AGAAGGAGGGAACCCTTGGGCCCCTTGTTCAAGTATCCAGTCAACTAGAAAGGCCCCTTGTTGCGAAGACAGTCGGTGTTCGTGGGCGTGAGCGACACGTCGATTTGTTGTTCCATTAATGCGTGAACGGAGGGTTGATTCGGCGACGACGTGAGCGCGTGCGGTCGCTCGGATGGAGGGAAACTCGTTGTTGTTGTATGAATTGATCGCGCATTGAATCTTCTGCTCGTACGCAGCCATGTTAACGTTGAATTGGTTGAGTTGTTGTGGTATTGAGCGAAGTGGTTGATAAAGCAGAGCGACGCGAAACGCGCAGCTTCTAGGGGTGCGCAGCTTCGAGGTACTCCAGCTTAGTGGGAGGCGGATGGCAAGTCCAGGGTATCATAGGAGATAGCATGACTTGTGAAGTTTTTTTTTTCGTGGAGGTGTATAGATTGAGCGTTATAAACGGCTGGCTACCTTGCAACTATAGATGTGTAAATGACAGTGGACTGTTGAGGATGTTACGAAAATCGCTCCCAGCGCTGGCGATATGGTTATTGTGCATATCGAGACTGTCTCGATAAACGCTTTATCTAGTAGCCGGGAATCTGAAGACCGTAGAAAAGGAATCAAAATCTCGATTGGCAGGGTACCCCTGTCTGCAGTACTAGTTTTGTATGATATGTTGATGCTGCTGCCATGAGGACAGGGGCGGTGCGTTGGTGTCTAGGTCAAGCTTTATCTTCACAGTCTTCAACTATTGAACATGCTGTTGTTTACTCAGAGGTGGTGTCGGAGTGAGTGCGCATGTGGTGTGTCTCGGCGAGGTGAGATGGTGTTGGCTTGGGTACACCTCGTCGTAACTACCTCTCTGGATTTAGTAAAGAGTAGTGATCATGAGATCAAGGTCGTGCTTTCCTAGTCCTTGTGGCTGTCGGTGGAGTTTTTCGTGGTAAAGCATGATATGCCTTGGTGATTTGAGAATCGGCAAGGTGGCAGAGGCACTGTGATTCGCAGCTGCCAGCACATGTTTCCGATAATATGGTCGGGCACTTCCTCGTCCGCCATGATATAAAATCTTGTTTGCCATGGAGAGGGAAGTCGACCTCAGTCTTGGGGTAAGAATAAGACATCAGGATTTTATCAATACTTCCGGCGGCGAACAAGCTCGAGATATCATGTCTTTGCAGTCGGCGATGTATCTTGTGAGTGGTGATCTCGGTCTCCCAGATACTAGCGTTCTTGGAGAAGACTCGTAGGCATAATCCATCGGCGATGACGAATGTCTCCAGGCGCCCGATTCGAATTCGACACAGCGACAAGCTGACGCGCACTCAGATAGATTGTTGATGATTCTGTTATCTCATTCCACATATCCAAGTCTATAGTTTTCCTTTTTCTATTTCGTCCATCTCGAAGAAGGTTGCCGCGTTCTTGTATGGTTTCAATGGCGCAGCGCTTGCGAAACTTTGTATGGAGTGAGGTATATAGGTCGCTTCAAACGCCATGGATGGTTCGGGCGACATGACATAGCCCATGCGCGATGGTCCTATCAGACTGTTGCGGAGGTTTGGTGTTCGTGATGCTCGCGATCCGGAAGTGTTTGATGCCAGCTTTTTCGCGTGCTCGGAGAAGTATTTGTAGATTGAGCGTGATAGGGCGAGGTTTGCGGCGATGATGCCTAGAAATAACTCGGTGCTGAAAGAATATTAGTTGATGCGCCATGGAAAGTATAGGGTCAAACGTACTTTGCCCATATGGCAGCTATGCAATAGGCATAGGAAAGATCGTCCGTGGTGGTTCCGAGCGAAGCAGCTCTGATGGCTGAACATACTGTGGCCACCAGTCCCAAACTCATTAGACCGCAGACTGCAGCTTTCGTTGAAAGTGGGATGCTACTGACACTCCAGACCACATATATCGGCAGGCCTGTGCAGATCAAATCGGTCGCGACAGCGTATGCTATGGTATATCAGTAGGAGACTACCAAAAATAGTGTAGACTTCAACTAACAAGCTTGCAGGTAGATACTGTAGATTCGCACTGCAGCAGGCCAACAGTGATCCGCATACGTCCCGTTCCAGTATGCTTTCACGGGTGAACATTCGGCGAGAAGTACCACTAAGCACTCCAAATTCGTCAAGACAAGTCCTGTAATGACAGCACCCAGGATGTATCTCAAAGTCCGAGTGTCCTTGATTCGCAAAATTAAAAGGCAAATAGAGACCTTCATGAGACATATTGTCGGGAAGAGCAAGATTTGTGTATACCAAGTAAGCATGTTAATAATCTGATAGTCGTGATCGGAAACAAATTCGCGGTGCTTTCCATTTCCATAGCGGACGCTGACAATCTGGATGGCCATTCGACCTATTGAGAGTACGGTGGTAAGAGCCATAAGTCCATCATCGACTCCAATTTTACGACTTCCCCATCGTACCCAGCAACGCAAGACTGTGGTTATGAAGGCCAGTGAAAACAATAGGCAGGTGAGTATGAGCAAAGTAGGACCTTTGTCGTCACTTGGTGAATGGTGTCCCATCTTGCAGAAGACTCCAGAATCCAGAGCCAGCCAGTAGCAAGAGAGTGATGTACAATACTCTAAGGGAAAGTCGTTGTAGCAGTACCTGCAGCAGGCTTGATGGTCTTTTCTTTTCAGCCAACTCTTTTTCTACGCAGGATTACTGCTAAGAATGCTACATCATCCAGGCCCAAGCCCTAGTCAGACCGTACCTGCAGACGAGAAATACGATTAAGCAAGATCGAAGCTACAGGGTCGAAGGTAATCTCCTTATAGCATATCATCCTTCGCCATGGCTTCAGAAAGAGGAGTAGCGCTGACAATAAACTCCCCGTTTGCATACTTAGACCATCAAATTCTTCCTCAAACTGCGACATTATGGTCGAGACGGGGCAGTCGTTCAACGTCTCCAACTTACATGTCGTGCTTTCATGACAAACTGCTTGTAGTGGGCAGGTGCGATTGCCTTTCGCGGACGGGATCCGGCCACGAGGGAAAACTAGCAGAATTAAACTTTACCGGGCGCCGAGGATCCCGAGATCACGACGATGCTCTGATGGGCCGATCGGATGCGAGGAGAGTCAGGCTCGAGACACACGAGTCATCTAGACACCTCATGCCTTTCAGAAAACGAACTGTGGACAAGCGGCGCATTCAATGAAACTCGCACGGCTCGGCATGAGCACCGCCCCTCCATCTCAATGATGCCCCCGGCACATCATGACTTCACAATCGAGTCGACGGTCCGGAAGATGACATGCCAGCCGCGGTCCGCGTCCATGGCTCCTAACGATGAACCATTAAAAAAAGACAGCGTGCTCAGCGTGCTGGAGAATTTGTGACGCCTTTCACGACAATGGCACGTTCACGTTGACATGTGTAGCGAGAGGATGAAATTGTGACAAGAGGGTCGGCGGAGAATGGCCGGGTTACTAGGCATTGGCGGGCATTTGCCGGCCTCTGATAGTCCTCGCGTCTGCTGCCCCACCACTTTTTACGAAACGCGCCCTTCCGGCTCCTTCGTTCCTCCTTGCCCGTGTTGGGTTGCTATTTATCCTAGCGACCACGAGATGCATATGCTGATCTGACTTCATGTCCGGGGTTGTGGAAAATATCCACCTAGGGCATCAGGCACGATCTCACGATTCAGGCTTTCCGCAAAATGTGAAGCGCCTCGAATGATATTCAGTTGAGCCTATACATGCCTTTGTTCTAGAGCAAGTGTGCATGGCTCGCAAACTGCTGCTTGCTGTCAGATGGCGAACTACAGCATGCAGGAACTAATGATCGGCACGACGGGCCTGGCAATGGCCGATCCACTTCGCGCCAGAAGGCATTACTGCCACACTGCCACCCTCCATATGCAACGCTAAACAACACCACAAGATCTCGGCCGCGTTAATGCAGACCGCCTCGATCGGGAGCTCATATAGGCCCGCCATATATCATCTATTTTGACAACCAAGCCCACCGCAAACGTCACTACCGACAGTATTTTCAAGGTTTGCCTCATCAGATTCTTTCAGGGTTTCCGTATAAAGCTTCCTGCGTACCGGCATGAAGTTACCATTTGACAGTCTGCTTTGCCAACGCGAATCATGAACATGGCTCCTTTCTCTCTAGCAGCTGCCCTTGTCTCGGTCCTTGTGGCCATCTCAACCGTGCAAGCATCCAACACTACCGAATATGACTTTATTGTCGTTGGAGGTGGTACTGCTGGTCTCGCAGTTGCTAGCCGTCTGAGCCAGTACCTGCCTAACAACACCGTTCTGGTAATTGAAGCTGGCCCTGATGGTCGCAATGTGCCTGGCATTTATATTCCTGGCATGAAAGGTTCCACACTTGGTGGCGTTTACGATTACAACTTCACAACTGTCGCACAAACTCATGCTGGTGGCCGCTCGTGGGCACAGAACAGAGGAAAGGTTCTGGGTGGAAGTTCAGCGCTCAATCTGATGTGCTGGGACCGTGCTTCAGTGGCCGAATACGATGCTTGGGAGCACATCGGAAACCCTGGCTGGAATTGGGACAGTATGATCACCAACATGCTCAAAGTCGAAAACTACACCCAGAGCGTCTACCCTGGACAGGGAATCAACCAAGGCGTGGGAGTTGATGGCCCAATTCATGCCACAATCAACCGGATTCAGCCCGACGATCAGAATACCTGGATTCCTACGATGGAGAAGTTGGGCTTCCTAGAGAACATGGAGTCTCTTGACGGCAATCCACTTGGCGTCTCCATCCAGCCAAACAACATCGACACTGCCAAGTACACGCGTTCATACAGTCCTGAATATCTCAAGATTGCTAGAGACAACCTCCATGTCATGACCGAGGCCCAAGTTATCAAAGTCAACACCGAGAAGAGAAATGGCAAGATAGTTGCCACTGGTGTCACACTCAAGGGCAACCTTACCATCAATGCCTGCAAAGAGGTTATTTTGAGCGCGGGATCGTTTCAATCTCCTGGTCTACTTGAGCTTTCCGGTATCGGTAACTCCTCGATCATCACTGCTGCTGGGATCGAGCCTGTTCTCGAGCTTCCGACCGTCGGCGAAAATCTACAGGATCATATCCGCATTCAGAACAGCTTCAAGTTGAAGAATATGACCTCCTTCGATGTTCTCAAGTACAATCCGGCATACAAGGCTGAGCAGTTGACTCTTTACAATGCTAACAATGAGTCGCTCTATGACTACGCCGCCTCTGGATTTGCCTATCTGACCTGGCCTCAAGCCCTTGGTAACGAGTCTGCTTCTCTCGTCAATGTCGCGAAGATTGCCACCAACGTGAACGCTTCCATCATCGACAAGACTAAGATCGACTTTATGACTGGAAACAAGAGTCACACTATCCCCCAGCTTGAGATCATCTTCTCTGATGGCTACACCGGTGTCGGTGGTTACCCTGTTGTTAACTCGTCAGAGTACGGCTCGAACTACTTCACCCTCCTCAGTGTCATCATGCACACTATGTCGCGTGGCCATGTTCACATCAACGCTTCTGATCCTCTTAGCAAGCCCATCATCGACCCGAGATATTTCAGCAACGAGTATGATCTCCAGGCTGCTATTGCTGCTACCAAGCTCAATCGCAAGATTGCGCAGACAGCACCTATGAAAGACATTATCGCTGAAGAGTACGAGCCCAGCGCTGAGATTCAGACTGATGAGCAATGGAGAAACTTTGCACTCAACCACACTCTGACCATTTACCATCCTCTTGGTACGTGCGCTATGCTTCCCAAGAAGGATGGCGGTGTTGTCAACCCTGAGCTGAAGGTGTACGGTACTTCTAATTTGAGAGTCGTGGACGCTAGCATTATTCCCGTTCAGCTCTCTGCTCACATTCAAACTGCTATTTATGGTATTGCTGAGCGTGCTGCTGAGATGATTGCCGCTGAATGGTCTGCTTAGAGGGGCCTTCTGTAGATTACTCAATGACTATTTCTGTTCGCTACGATTCTTCGTTCTGCTCTCATTCCTACCTTAAACTAATGTGGTTCGTGGCCTTTCCAACAGTGGCTTATCAGACTGGAGGAGGAATAGCGGGTGCGTAAGGATTTCTTTGCACATCCGTTTCGAAACTATGCACCTTCTCATCCACAGGCGATGGGGCCTCTGCATCGGAAGGTCTCTCTGGTGTATCATCAGCCTTGCCCTTCTCCGCAGCCATGATAAGCTGTCTTCTCTCCTCTTCATGTGCCTTGTGCTCTCTTTCTGCAACTGCACAGCGATGGTTCAAGGCAATGACAGCCAAAGGCAAGAACACGATTTCCCATGTGAACAGGATGGGAAGGGCTTGGTAGAGACGATCCACAGCACCACCTGACCAAATTTGGATCAGCACTTGCCAGACCTCGTGGGCGGGCAGAGCGTAGCCCCAGCGGTAGAAGCCAGGTGCTAATTCGAAAGGCCAGATTGTGCTGGTGACGTTCAGGATTACCCAGGTAAGGACGAAGAATGGGAGGAACTTCATGGGGATGAAGCCAGTAGCAACATCGATCTAATTTGGCTGTTAGCAAATGATTTTGGGTCTTTATAGAGCTCGTGTCTTACCACTGCAAAGTTGATGTGCATGAAAAGCCAGACGATGATCCATGTGCAGAAGAACTGCCCAGCGCCCACAGACCAGTTCTCGCGGAAGGCCCAGACATAGCCAGCCCAGCAAAGAGAGCCGACGAAAGTGTACGACAGACTCAAGACCAAGCGGATGATACCGTTATTGAGGACTGGCAGATGCGAGTAAAGGTTGAACTCAGCACTAACACCATTGACTGCCATGAGAAAGAAGAATTGCATGATGATAGGCATGACGATCGCAACTGTGTTGTACAAGACACGTGTACCCTGCGTTGTTGGCATGATGTTGATATCTCCTCCTTGTATCGGGTTGAGGAAGGCCTGCAGAGCCGCAGGATCATTCTTGTTCAGGGCTTGCAATGCTCCAGTACCGTTGATGTGGTTGTACGCGATACGAGCCACTGCAACAAGCTGCGACATGCTAGACTTGATTGTAGCGTCCTCTACCGCTGGATAACGGACCTGGTTCCAGATGTATGTGATCGTGTTGGTCGGGTCGTAGATAGTAGCTGCATCTCCACCTTCGAGCGCAGCTGCGAGACGCTCCGAAGCTCCAGCGTGGGAGAACACAGCAGCCCAATGATCTCCTCTCCTGACAGCTTGAACGATGTCTTCGACTACGGGGTACTTGGCGCTGCTCTCGATATCGAATGTCGGAAATGTATCAGCCTTCAGCTGTTGGATTGCGCCTTGCAGACTCTCCCCGATCACACCACCATCATAGTCGACGGTGAGGATGTGGAGGTTATGGACTCTGTGCTCTGATTTGAACAGAGAGCCAAACAGATATGACATGTTCACAAGGAACAAGATTTGCAAAAGCATGAAAGAAGCAGTAGCTGCGATCATGAAAGGCTTCTTCCTGCCATTCCAGAACGGGTCGCGATGTCCAATGCGATGAGCAGACTTCTCTGGTATGAAGAGGCTGATGAAGCCCATGGTGAGATCTGGAATAGCAGTAATTCGATGCAACAGTCGAGAATTGAAGTAGTCAGGATTGAATGATTCTGGCAGCAGCTCTGCAAACAGCTGATGATGTGGTGCGGAGAAGCTTGATGGTGATTGAGGAAAAAGGAAGAAACCTACAACGTCGCAGCAACTGTACCTTTACATATACATCCCACGCCTCCTAGATCAATTCTCATCTTGACACGCTGTCGGGTGGTCGGAATCTCACTGGTTCCAAGATTGCAAAATCAAGTCTGACCAGCGTCACAGATGCGACCGCGAAGGAGTGGTCGGTCTCCGGGAGCTCCGTTGTGAGAGGCGTTGCAAAGAAGCAGGGCTTCGGCAGGCTGTTCCGAAGCCCCCTTTCTGCCAAGAGTGCTCTTCTTCTCGGATCCGGAGGCAAGCAAATCCGTTGGTAACTCTACTCGAGAGGACGACAGGCGACGACCACACTATGCGACCAGCCCAGATCACCCTCTCTCCCAGCTCTCCGACCCCGAGATGTGGTCCGATCATCGCGTTGTCAACTTGTGCACCTGAATCTGTATACGCTTTGTGGTGGCGAGCGACTTATCTCCTCAGTGTTTCGAGATGTTTTGACACTTTCTATTTTCTCATCACGACGCTCACACGCTCTATTTATGCTCACAAGTTCGGACTCCGGCGGGGATATCTGGTAAGCCATCTCGATGATGGCCAGAGGTCTCCGTCACTATTGATCTTTCGTGTAGATTTTACACCCGTATGCTGGTTTGAGACCAATCTTCTCAATGTTTCTTGCACTGATCGAGCCTTCTCTCGCGGTCGCAGCTACGAGGTCACATCCTCGGTCTTTTGCTACGCGAAGTCTCTCCAGGAGTAATGCCTTGTGAACGCCTTTCCCTCTGGCGCTTGGCAGACAACTATCGATATAGAGGATAGCAATTCTTCTCTCCTTCGTATCAATCATTGCCATGCCCGCAGTGCCAACAACCTCGCCGTTGATCGAAGCTGAGAACAGGATTGTGTCTGAGCGCGCTGTAGCACTCTCCGCGAGGACTTTCAAAAGTTCTGCTGAGCGTCCGCCATCGCGGAATCCTTCGATAGACGCTTCAAGGAATGTGCCGTAGTTGTTTGGGCCAACTATAGAGACATCAATAGCACGGCCCAGGATATCTGAACACTGGAAGTCGGCAAGAAATCGTTGGTACTCGCACAGGGAACCGGTAATCTTGTAGTGCGTTGACAGTAGACCGAATGCTGTACTGTCGGCGAACTCGCACATGTCGAGCTCTGGTTGGACTCCATTCAGTTTGTACGCATCCTCAATGATATGTAGGTCGTCGTTCGTGACTGGTCCAGACAAAGCAAATCCGTAGGTGTGATTGAGCTTTCGTCCAAAGGTTGGAGACGACAGGATGGTGGTCGATTCTGCCACGTCTTTGACGATGTAGCCTCGGCTTGGATATAGTTCTTGTAGAGCCAGAATCTGGCGCTTGATATGGATGGCTTCAGCTTCGGCGATATTACGATTGACGCCCAGGCTTTGGGCCGAGAAGTCTGACATGATCATTCAGCTTGCCTGGAGGAACCTTAAATGGGGAAGATAGGACACGAATCAGGAAAGTCCTTGTTATAGCAAATCTGCCCTGGTCACAAGCAAAATCAAAACATGACTCACACTCCATTCGGTGGGTCAAAATCTAGCATCGGCTTCGAGAAACACATCAGCAGGCATTCTGCACTTGATTTTGTCTACCTTTCTATAAGCTGATGTGTCTTATTCTTAGAAGGACGATAGAAGCTATATGGTGGATACCCTTATGATCGATCTTTCATCATTTGATCGAGTTGTAATGCTGATCACCCTGACCAGGTTTCATCCCTCGGCAACTGCGGACTCACGCGTCGCAACGCGCTGGAGCACATCGGACAGCTGTGTTTCGTTATCTAAATGCAAACCAGCCCAAGAAGTGGTCGAGCTTCACGTCTCCTCTCCCAGACGGTCTGCAGAGCCGTTAATCCTCGTTTTAGACCTATTTCGAGCCTTGAATCAAATCTGAGGCGGCGAAGGATTGCGGCACAGCCTCGCAACACCGCACTGCCATTGTCGGCCTAGGACGTAGGCCAGCCAGAAAAGATGATTTTGCATACATCTGCACTCTTGCCCATCAAATGTAAGTCGAGCCCAAGTACTTCAGAGAGCACATCATCGAATCCCTCGCCCTTGTTGAGCCTTGATTGAGCTGTTCTACTCCAATATGGAAAACTCGTCGTCGATATTGGAGAAGTTGCCCACCGAGATCTTTCTCCAGATATGTGAGCTACTCGTAGACACTCATCCAGCAAGCGTTCACTACTTAGCTAGCGCAAGCAAGAAGATCAGAAACTTGACTACTACGGTCAGTTTCAGAAATGTCACATTGCCCATCGCCAATCACGTTAGCGTTGACGAGACTGTACATCGACTCGTAGATGATATGGCGCGTGTCGACGGCCTCGTCTGTATACGCACGCTGAGACTATGTCAAGCTTCGCATGACATTGGCATAGCGGAACAAGCCAGCAGAGAAATCAGATCTATGCCCGATTGTATCATGCAGCCTGCTGAAGCTGTTTGGTCTTACAACGAGGCCTGGAAACCTGTGGCCGATCTGTTGAGGCAGTTGTCTGCTCTCACGGATCTGCTCTACGAGCTCCCACACCAAGTCCCTCCTTGCATACTTGATATACTACATCAGTACCAGCCACAGTGCAGGCTTCATTTGAGGACCTTTGCACTTCGAAGCCTAGATCAGCCTGAATTGGACAAACATGAGTTAGCAATCATAACTTCACCAAATTTACACGCTATCTGGTCTGCATACGTACAGCAGGACAACGGTCGAGCGGCAAATAATTCTCAACAAGTAGTTCAACAGATTGCCGGCGGGCTAGCACCAAACCTCCAGGAAGTTTGTTTCATCAGGAAAAGACACCCTTTGCGGTCCAACGACAGACGACCAATCAAAAGTCCAGAGTCGCAAGAGGTCAGATCGCTCGTGGAGGGATGTCATCTCAGCCCATCGACCCGCCTGGAACGATTGGAGATATATCCCGATGCTGAAGAATGCGGTGTCTTGACAAAAGAGGAGCTCGTAAACTGGTCTCGTCATGTCGACTTCACACACCTACAAACTCTGGTCATGGACTTACCCGCAGAAATGCATGCAGTACAGTGGCTTAAAGATGAAGGCAACACTACTTCCCTCAAAGTCCTCAATTTTCAACCGCGCATCATCGACGGCGGTCCGTGGAGTGTCAAGGAAAAGGCGCTCTGCAGGACATTTGTCCATGCGCGACACCCTCTATCAGAGCTCACCATAGGGGGGACATATAGCTTGAGGGACTTTGGCAGCATCACTTCTCACGGGGTCAGTCTCCGCAAGCTGATATTCAAACCTACCACGGAATTCGGATATATGTACCGCAACATGGCATCCACCTACAAAAATCTAGGCCGAAATTGTCCCAATCTCACACATCTTGAAGCCGTCGTGCAGAGAGACTTTAAAGGCGAAACCACGGAATCAGATACATACAAGGTGTTTGGGAGATGCCCAAATCTTCGCCGTCTTAAAATTAATCTCATCACGACAATACCATATTACATGGTCTCTCAAGAAAGGCTCGAGGACTTTGATGACTTCGACTCGGAAGTATTCCCAGGTCTGGATCGATATGGCCAAGTCCGTCATGGCGATGTCAAGCAATGGTTCATCAACAAAGCCATCGATGAAGACTTTGCAAAGACCGTCCTCCGTCTGACTTCACCAGTGCAAAGTAATCAAATACTCGAGAGACTGGAGATAGCGCCGGACACATCCACTTTTGAACATGTGTTAGACGACACACTGATCAGAGGTGTTGTCAATCATATCTGCAGATCTTGGGTCGCTGAGTCGGCTGTTGGTGACGATCAAACTGGCCAAGTGACCATACAAGAGTTGGGCAAGGAGATCAGGAAGAGTCAGCCAGCTCCAAAAGAGCTAGATCCTCGTGTCAAGCAGATTTTTAGACGTGTCTGGCCGGGGAGTAATGACGGAAAGAGCGATTGGCGAACTGATTGGCACAGTCAATTGGCAATCGGCGAAGACGACGGTCAGACCTGATCAGTCGCGCGAGTTCATTGTATTCGTGGATGGCTGGATTGACCCACATCGATTATCATCTTGAAGGTCGGCAATCACTTGCTAGACCAGCGCCCACTGGTCCTTACAGAGTAAAACATATATAGGTTACAGCTTAGTACACGTAGTTTCCTTAAAAGCGTTCCCGCAGACAGTCGTGCAACATGTCATAAAAAGAAGATGTGAAGTTTAGGTCAGGGGTGAAAGTAATGCCATTAAAGCGCTCAAGGTAACATGGAAAGAACAGTCGCGCTGGCTCGGAAAAAAAGTGTATGAAGAGGCCAGTCTAAGAAAAAGGGCGGGATGTGGGATCAGCAAGCTACAAGGAGTTTGGGGTCAAGGGTCTCGACTATATTGACCCACTGAGCAGGACCTCGACAGCACCTTCAACACTTCCACCACTCATGCGCAAAGCACGAACGTTGCGCTCAAACTCGTAAAAGCCCATTGCGTTGAGTTGTTGGAGTTGAGTGGCGTACTGCTCCTCTGGAGGGCGGCTGTCTTGCTGTTGTTGCGGCGCGCCGAAGCCACCCATACCACCCATGCCTCCCATAGCAGCGAATGGGTTCATGCCTCCGAAGGGATTTGCGGCTGCACCACCTTCGGCATCAGCACCAGCACCGCCTTGCATACCTTGCATCATGTTCATGGCCGAGCGCATCATCTCAGGGTTCTGCATCATCTGTTGAGCCATCTGCTGGATGGGATCTGAACCGCCTTGAGCACCGCCCATGCCACCGAAGAGACTAGCGAAGGGATTGGCTTGTGCTTGAGGGTTGGATCCAGGAGTCTGGCCGTGTGCGGGGGTTCCTTGACCGGCGGTGGGCACGGGAGGTGTGCCAGATGGTGTCTGACCTTGAGCAGCTCCAGGGTTGCCACCAAACAGAGCAGCAAAGGGGTTTGCGCCGCTTCCTGCGCCCTGAGCGCCGCCGAACATGGCGAAAGGATTCGGTGGTGCTTGCTGGTTCTGCTGTGTGTTCTCGGATGTTGTGTTTGACTCTGTGGTATCTGTTGCGCCAGGAGCAGGGAAGGCCGCAGCACCGCCGAGACCACCTCCACCCATGCTTCTCTGCATGTTCATCTGCATACGGATAAAGTCTGGGTTCATCATCATGCGGCGCATCTCTGGGTTGTCGAACATTTGCTGAGCCATGGGGTTGTTGCGAAGCATGGGGTTGTTGCGCATCATGTTGATTACGTCAGGGTTGTTCATGGCTTCGTTCATCTGCTGGGCAAAGTTTGGGTTCTCGAGGAGGCGGAGAAGTTGGTCTGGATCTGGGGGAGCGCCCATCTGCGACATGTATCAGCGATTGCGATGAGAGAGTGGATCATGGTTGCACTTACACCTCCGTCAGCGCCGAACATGTCAGCTCCGGGCAATTGGTGGAAGCCAGCATAGCGTGCGCCGGTCAATTGAGCCAGGGGGTTGTGTGCGCCAGTACCGGCGGCGATGTTGGAAGGGACGTTAGAGGCAGTGCCGGCTCCAGCGACAGGAGTTGAGCCTCCTTGATTGGCAGGGTTCTGACGGTTGTTGCTCTCAGCGCCTTTGACGAGGTGGATAGTGTGGCCGTCCTTGATCTTGTAGCTCGATAGCGTCTCGTGGTCCTTGAGCACGCGACCCGAGTAGATTAGACGTTGGCGCTCGGTCGGAATGTCTGCGAAATCTGATGTTGACAACTTCTCCTTGAGTTGCTGGACAGTGGAGTTGGCTGTGATGGTGATGGCATATTTGGCGTCATTGGACGACTTGACGGTAAACGTCAGCTGTTGTTCGCTCTCGTCCGACATGGCGAATGCTTGAGATTGTGCGAATATGGATGCTTGGTGGGCTTGATGTGCTGGCGGAGAGAGATATAATCTCGGACGAGAAGGTGCGGATGTCCAAATCGTGTCGTCTATCAATCAGTACAGCCCGCTCCTGTCAAGACAAGCCAGAACGCCGCTTAGAAGGCCGCAGAAGCCAAAGGACTATGACGTAGAGACCCTTGCCAAGCTCTGCCATCTGACAACGCGAGTCATGAACCGAGGCCTGTCACTCCGTCTCCGCATTTTCGGGTATTGTCTCTTGTGCTATCAATGGCACGATACAGATGTACAGACCATCTTCCTTCTCCTGTCGTACTATACACTTGTCAATACATACTATAGCGTCAGCAACATGAGGGGAATCCAAGTCAAGGAATATGTCCAGGTAATGCTCCTCAAACCCTCAGTTGCGAGACTCCAAGACTGACAGACCATCAGGGTCCTCAACATCTCAACGTCACCGACCTACCTGATCCATCCCCCAAACCGAACCAATACCTGATCGCTGTCCATGCCGCTGCCACAAACTTCTTCGACCTGCTCCAGATCCGTGGAAAATACCAACACCAGCCTCCTCTCCCATGGGTTTCTGGTGCCGAGTTCTCTGGTGTTATTCTGAAGGCTCCTCAATCATTGCCTGGAGGGAAGAAGCCCAAGTTCAAGGAGGGTGACAAAGTCTTTGGTGCATCTCAAGGTGCATATGCCACAAAGGTTTGTGCTGTCGAGGAGCAACTCCGACCAATGCCCAAGGGATGGAGCTACTTTGAGAGTGCCGGGTTGATGGTCACTGCCCCCACCAGCTACGCCGGTCTTGTAACAAGAGCGAACATCAAGAAGGGTAAGATTAGAAACCTATCGTGGATGTGACCTCGATCGGTGCTGACCATGACAGGCGACTGGGTCCTGGTTCATGCTGCTGCTGGAGGCGTCGGACTTGCTGCAGTACAAATCGCAAAGGCATTTGGAGCAACGGTTGTCGCCACTGCCGGTACACAACACAAACTCGACGTGGCCAAATCTTTTGGCGCAGATCATCTAGTCGACTACAGGCAAAAAGACTGGCCCGAGCAGGTCAAGAAGCTGACACCAAAGGGTCGTGGTGTAGATATTGTCTATGATCCTGTTGGACTGATCGCCCAGAGCATGAAGTGCACTGCTTGGAACGGAAGGCTGTTGGTTATTGGTTTCGCGGCAGGAGACATTGAGAAGATGGCTACCAACAGAATTCTGCTGAAGAACGTCAGCGTCATGGGTCTGCATTGGGGTGCATATGCCACTAACGAGCCAGAGATGATTGATGTGGTGTGGAAGGGCTTGTTTGATCTGATGGAAAGTGGTAAATTCCGAGGAACATGCTATACGGACAAGGAATTTGTCGGACTCGAGACGATCCCCGAAGCATTGAAGGCTCTTGGAGCTCGCGATACCTGGGGCAAGGTGGTTGTCAAAGTGCCGCAAGAAGGACAGAGCAAATTGTAAATGGCAGGCGCGTATCAAAGCAGTGAACGCAAATCACGCGTTTCCCAAATCGCTCTTTCCTCTTGTCGCGCGCTGAACAGCCACCCGATTTGAAACCTGCGCATCTCCAGTCCCAATGTCTCATCCTACTTCAGCACTTCCTCTCGAGTATTTGATCCGTCTCTTCGAAGCAAACATGGCACCCCACGACAATCAGCATCTGGGACTGAATGACAAGGACCGCCGTGCTCTTGGTCATCGTATGCTCCTTGACGAACAGCAGCGCCGTCTTGAGTCTCGCAGAGCCTTGGAAGCTTCAATTCAAGCTCCCGTCTGTCCTTACTACAGTACCTCGGGCCACTCCAATTGTTGGTGGTGTCACCGCAACGGGAACTTCCAACCATCTGAAGCCACCGAGAACCTGCTTAGAAGTCTGACCCGTCCACAGTATCAGGTCAGTGTTCAAATACACCTTGTCTAGCTCAGAGATTGACAATAACCCCAGCCCACTCCTACATCAGGAAAGACTCACACTACTTATATGCCTTCTTCTGCTTCTACGATCGGCTCCAACCCGCTCAACCAGATCATCACTCCCAGATCAAGTGTATCATCCGCTCCACTCACCGATGAACGTGCTCAGAACCAGCCTCCCAACCGAAGACTCTACTCCAGCAAGCCTGCTGTCTTGGCTTCTGCCCCGGCTCTCGTTCCCGCTTCAACTCCTCTTGCCGTACTTACTCAGCCTAAGGTTATTCCCCCCCCACTTCCCTATGTCGAACGTCCTGTGGACAAGGACTTCGTCCCTGTCACAATCCCCACTACCTTTTCTCACTTTCTGCAACTTCCTCTCGAGATCCGCAACTCGATCTATTCCGACTTGGTTCACAACGGCATACATGGTCTTCTGCTTCCAAAGAAGGATCTGAGAATCTATCATCAGGCTCCCATCACTCGCGTCAATCGCCAGATTCGCCAAGAGTCGGTCAGTATGGTTTACAGGATTAACCCATTCGACGCAACCAACCGCGAGCTGGTCAAGCAAGGTCCCTCCTTCGCACGCCATGTTCCCAACAGCAAGTTGACACTCATCCGCAACTGGCGCTGGTTCACCGTGAAGCGTCATCTGTCGATTGAGTTTGATGCTACACGTGGTGGAGGCTGCGTTGTGGGTTTCGACGGCCAGAATGACGAGGCTTATGCCATAGGTCAGGACAGATGCAACCAGGTCCTCGTCTACTTGAACAGCCTGAAACTTCCCGTCACTGGTCTTGAAGCTATGGATGTGGTTGCCATCACTGAGATTGTCCTTCGTACCACCCCAAAGACCAAGACCAAGACAGAGGACGAGACCGCTGGTTGAGACGACGTAGGGAGGTGGGGAATAGTGCTGTGGGTCAAGTTCAGGCCTTACAATGGTCGCTGCTCGGTATCCTAAGAGGACATGACTTGGACGATAGGTTTTATAGCCGTTTGCTTTGCTGGGAGAACATGACGAAGACATGATAAGCTGTAAGGGTTTGCTCCCGCAATTAGCATGAATGACATAGCTATAGCTGTATGAGACAATGAAGATTGATGATCACACCGTTGTTTTCGCTTCTACTTTGACGATCCGAACGCAGCACCGCCAACGCTCTCATCAAACGCCATAGCCTCATTTAGACCACAAATCTCGAATAGAGCTTTGGGACCAATGGGCTCACACTCATCAGTGCCCTGCTCAACCAACATCTTGTAAGCCTTCTCCAACGGTCTAACAACAGCCTCTAGTCCCAATGTAGGATTGATATAGAGCTTGAAGCCAATCTCCTTTGCCCTCTTGACACCCATCTGCGGTGTTTTTCCTCCAGGCACCATATTAAGCAAAACAGGCGTAGGGGCAAAGATCTCGACCGCCCTCTTACACTCCTCCTCACTCTGCAGTGCCTCGAGGAACAAAGCATCAACACCACACTCCACCGCGCCCTTCAACCTCTCCACAGCCTCTTCGAACCCCAAATCTGCCCTCGCATCCGTCCTCGCAATGACCAACATATCCGCGCCCATCTCATCCCTCGTCTTCACCGCAGCCCTCAGTCTCGCATAATACACCTCTCTACTCACACATTGTTTGCCCACCAAATGGCCACAGCGCTTTTCTTGGACTTGGTCTTCGATGTGGAGGGCTGCTACACCGGCGAGTGCGTATTGGCGGGTTGTGCGAGCTACCATTATGGGACCGCCGTAGCCGGTGTCTGCGTCTGCTATTACGGGAATGGAGGGTGAGAGGGAGGTTATGGTGGAGGCGTTTGAGAGCATGTCGGGGAGGGTGGCGATGCCGAGGTCTGCGGTGCCGAGGCGGGACATGTTTGTGCCTGCTCCTGTCTGTTGTTGAGGGCAAGATGTGTTAGTGTGAGGGCTTTGTGAGAGACGGGTGAGAGGAGATGAGAGGAGGATGTACCATGTAGAGGCATTCTGCTCCTGCGGCGAGAGCGATTCTGGCAGAGAGGCCGTCGTAGACTCCTGGAGCGACGATGATGTGGTCGGGCGTTGCCATCAACTCTTGTAGTTTCTTTGCTCCTGTCATGGCCATGCTGACGGTGATTCGTATTTGTACAGTGTTTGTAGTGTAGATAGCGTCGTCAATGCTATGTCCAGAGATATCGTATAGTAGCTGTTTCTGCTCCAGGATCCCGAAGCTCAAGGTAAAAGTCAATGCAAGAAATTAAAGCTTTTACCTTGATGGGTGGGCTGCTCAAGTCCTTATACCTTTCCTACTCAAAAACTATGCCGACTTCGGAGTTTTTCAGGCCTCTAAAAGATCTGTCTCACATCCTCAAAATGTACGCACGCCCTACTCGTTAACACTGCGAATAGACACCGAATTGTTGCTTGTCATGGCTGACCAATATTTTTGCTAGCTTAGACGTCACTCTTAATTTGGTTTTCGGGTGCTACGCGGACAGCCGGTCCGGTGCCGGGTCTTGTGTGGCTGCCACGTGCGATGTCGGAGCCGAGTGTTTTCCGTACCGTACCTGGTACTTGAAGCTTGGGCGGAATTGCACTTTCCGATTTAATACAATATCGACGTGCTTTTGACAGTCACCGGATTTGACATGGTGTCCTTCAAAAGTGAATACGCGTTCAATAGGATCGCTCTGCCACGAGGAGGATGCAATGGCGTGATGATATCGCTGTTCACCGACTTGGTGAATAGGCAGTCAGTATCCGGAAAAACACGAACTTACACAATCTTCGAGCTGTACGCCTACGAAATCTCGAACCATTCCTACACGACGAAACGTTCCTCGTTTTGTCTGTCGTTTTCCTTAATTGCTCGAAACAATGCATTATTCTTCTCGAACTACTATGCCCAAAACAATGAATCCTCTACTTAAATGACCATCGGAAGTAATGCTGTACATATTTCGTGGGTCTCTTCCGCCTCGTAAGCGCCTTTACTCACACCTAAGTCACATCTAACAGACCCTTTGCATAACTGCTAACCTCTAGTCCACACCCCTGAGAAGATAAACATCTTCACTATGCTCGTCGTTGTGGAGCAGATTATCTATACCCACACGCTTCTCGAAGAGACAAGTAATGTCGAGCTGACCTTGGTTTCTGTTTCCTATTTCAATCTTTTCGCTTCTGTCTCGTCTACAAGATCCAAATCTCTTTTCTATTCCATTCATGTCCCATGCTTCTCTATATCCTCTTGTCTCATAATTGCTCTCTCTCTATTTCATCTCTTCACCATTTCACAGAGCTATATAGTTCCTCATGTTGGACGCTAACTCATCCTTTCCTTCCTCACACCTCAAACTCACAAAGGCACCAAACACTAAACCAAACGACTACAACCACTGACCTTAGCCTCGAATCGAATCATGTCTGTCCTTTATGTTCTTTGTGCAGCCACGTTGATCATCGAGTTCATGAAGATGTCTGCAAAATGGATCTTGGTGACTGGAGCTTGAGTAGTCCGAGAGGAGTAGCTTGGTACAAGAAAAGGTGCGTCGTCGATACAGGTATCGATGTTCGTATCTGGTAGGTAAGTCATCCGTCCCCCTTGGTTATGTTCACCTCTTCTCTAGAATTGAACCTATTTCCTGATGGTACAAAGTATGGCTCTCCAAGATCTAGCTCTACCACATGTCCAAACCATGGCTGGGGCTAGTTAAGCAGACTTGAGGTTCTCGAGTTCTGTAAAATAATGTACCCTACTCAGTCAAAAGATGTGCACATATACCACCGACCCTCTTACTAATCACGTTCGTCCTATAAACCACCTCTAGTTTGCCTGCACTACTTGTGGCGCTAGAATGAATTACAGTAAAGCAATTGGTTGGTATTATAGTAGATGGGAATGTACTTCTAGAAGATTTGCTACTTAGAGTGCTAAGTCTGTAAGTCTACAATATTAGAGACTAGGATCCTTAAGGGATAGAGATAGGTGATAGAGGGTGGTACTATCTTATTGTACATGACAAAGAATACAAAGACTTGTTCTTCCAAATCTCGTGTGCATGTTGATTTCTTGTGATGGTTTTATTGTGTGATTGCTAAATAGAATGAGTTGGATGACTTTGCGTGTGCTGATATGATGTATCGTGTACTCTGCTGATGTGACTTTCCGGTTACTCGCCACTATCTGAGACTCTCCTCCTTTGTCACTTGCTGCATACAATATCTAAAGCCTGCAGTAGAGGCTAATCAACGTCTGTTCGGATCACATACGATGCTGACTCACGTCCCATCTGATCTTGTCTCGGTGTGAAATGCAAAGGTGCTCTCCCCGCGAGAATGACGAGGGTTAAAGACACCAATAGGCATGTGGTCAGCCTCACTGTCAACACTCTCGTCTCTGTCCCCAACATTATCCGAATCATCCTTGTCGCTTCCCTCAAGCTCATTCGAATCACCCTCGTCGCTGTGCTCGGCCTCATCCCCATCATCCTCATCCCCGTCCGAGTACCCCTGACCGGTTATACGTTTGTCGGCCATACGGGTGATTGAGGCAACCAGGCTAGGAGATAAAGCAGGGGCCGGTGATATCGTACTGGAAGCTTCGGGGCGGTGGAGATTGACCTTCATGTTCCAGATACGCTGGCGGCGATGGAGACCGGGGAAGTTGTGTATGTCGTGGCTGCAAATCTCGGTTTCTCTCTAGACGACTATCTTAGTGGACATGTTGGTGATGATAAATGGAACAGGAAAGACTTACCGAAACAATGCGGGCAACTCTGTCCCTGTCCTGACGAACACACTCGTCTTCGAACCCATTGGCGGCGCCTTGTAACAAGATGTTATCCAGAACAAGCATGACATCAGTGTATGCACTGAGACATCTCTGATGGCCCAATTGCCAAAGCGAGAGGAAGCAGTCGTAATGACAGACGACCGACTGAATCTCGTCGGGGAAAGCGAAATAGCCTATGTTCAGAATCATCTTGCAGAAGTGGAGGAAGAACTTGCAAGGATTATGCATCTTCATGTCCAAAGCCATCTTTGCCTGAGCGAGCGTGCACTCGAGGCTGAGGATCTGTACGCCGTATTGCCAACAAGAGGTGTCTTGGTCGTTGTGTCCAGTTCCCATGGACCAGCATGCCAAGGGAACACCCTCTGTGTTGAGACCAAGAGAGTCAGCCTTGAAGACGAAGGCCGTCGAGGTTGGTTCGTTGTTGTCAGGGAAGAACCATCCGAGGCCAGCGATATACTGGTAGGCGTCGCTCAGTCCATGTTTCTGGATTGTTTGATGGCTGGGTATCTGATCCAAGTACTGCTTTTCAGCCTTGATGAGGTCGAAAAGATCCCAGCCAACGGCATCGAGCGAGAGTATACGTGGGGTCATAGCTCTGACCGTGCTAGAGACAAGATCATGTTCGGCACCAAGTATCTTGACGTTCTGTCCATGGTTGACAAGCTTGGAGATGGGAGCCAACAGTCTCACTTGACGTTTGTGGAGCTCGTCACGAGTAAGGTCCTGACGGATAGGCTTGTTGATCTTCCAAACAAAGTCAATGTGCGTCTGAGCTGGACTGGCCGACCATTTGACGGGCCTGTCACTAGGCACTGAGTGGATGTAGATAGGAAGGCTAGGCCAGATGTGGTAGCCCAATTTGAGATGTCTGACGAAGATGTCCAGATTCTCGGCCATCAAGAGAGCACGGGTGGTCTTCTCTAGCACTCGCTGCTGCCTGACAGAACAGTCTGAGCCAGGGGTGCACCCACACTTGGTACGCTGGTGCTTGATGGTGGCTTCCGCGATGGGAAACTTGAAGGTCTTGGCCGCATTTCCGATAGCGACGTAAGGGAGAAATTTGCCTTGGTCGACCTCGAAAGCAAACCATCTGGCATGAATGAGGACGAGTTCGTTGTGGCTTCGGACATACATGGACGCGTCTTGGTTGAGTCTCTTGTTGACAAGCATGGTCGAAGTCTCGACCTTGTATCTGTGGCCTGGTCGTTTGCCCATGGTAGAATATTTGACGTTCTTACCCAAGAGGAAATAGGAGAAGATCTCATCCTTAACCTCAGGAGGTAGAGTGTCGAGAGTTCGGCCACCATAGGCGCTTGAAGTTGTTGAACACATCGCGTCCTGCTCTTCTGTGTCTGGGTAAGTTGGAAGAAGATTAAGTGTGGAAGGAGGAATTCAAGTTCACCTGTTGGAATAAAATGGCGGGTGCGGTGCAAACAGGAAGAATTCGGGAAGCTGCAGGTCGTATTTATCTGGTTCAGGCTCGGCGCGTGTGGAAGTGATCAATCACAGAGTGATGCGCAAGCATACCGTGGCTTCCTTGTAGGTCGTGTTTCGACACAATCAGACAGGTCAAGGTCAGCTCATAGACAAAGTACCTCTCCATAGGGCACCGTTCTTCTCGATGCCTGATACGCTCCCCTTGCTACTCCCCTCTTATCACATAATATGAGACAAACAATTGGCCCCGTCTATCTCCTTAGATTACTTTTTGATACTCGTCAGTATTGCTACTTATACTGCGAACTCTCTCTCCCTGTAGTGAGATGCCAGATATTGTTGACACTTCAGAGCGAAGAGAAGTATAAGATAAAGATATTTCGGGCAATAAATCATTGATTGGGCTTCATCGATATATGTACAAGTGATGAACCATAGAACTAGATTTACAGAAGCATAAACAAAAAGACCCGAGTGTCATGTCGCGCAACGCTTGTCCAGAGCGGCGATGACATTATGTCGTCGTGAGTAGGAACCTCCCGCATTCGATGCTTGAAGATACTCCTCGTACCGTTAAAAGATTGGATTCGTGATTATAAATTCGACACTTTAAGCGTTGCAAGCAGGGGTGGTGGGCGCAGTCTTGAAGTAGACCTTGTTGTAGACATTGTTACCAGCTCTCTTAGCCTGAGCGGAAGGGGAGTTGATGGGACCACCAGTACGAGTAGCGCTGGGGAAAAGAATGTCACCCTGGTCAGGAGAAAGGGTGTCAAGGGGGCAGCCAAGAGCACCGACACCAAGGTAAGGGACGAGCTTGTTGATAGCCCAGTCAGCGGCAACAGCAGCATCCTTTTCAGTCCCAGCAATTACAAGGGGAGTGATGGAGCGGATACCCTGGAAGACATCACAAAGAATGTTGGTGACATTGAAGTTGGGCGTGCCGAGTTGAGAGAGACCAGGGACGATGATGTTGGAGGGATAGATCTGGAGGAAGGCATCTGCGATGGCCTGAATAGCTCCGTAGGGGTAGCTGCGGCGGTACCAGTTGGTGGGCCACTTCTCAGGGACGTACTTGAAGTTGCCAGTGCTCTTGTCAAGCTCGAAGCCGACGATGCTGGAGACAGACTCGTAATTGGGGACACCGCCAAGACCGTAGGTACCGTTGCTGAAGAACTGAGGGTAGAATGCGAAAGCACCAAGCGATACAATCTGGGGGAAGGGGAACGCATAGAGGAAAGGATTGTACTTCTTGCTGAAGTCGGCGTTCTTGGCGTACTGCTGAGCCATTGCTGCCATGTCGTACTGACCGTTGCCGGCCTTAATGATCTGAACACCCTGCTGCACAAGGCGGGAAGAGACGTGGTGGTTGTCACCACAGCCGGTGTAGTAGTCCTCACGGTGAGGGGAAACATCAGCCTCGGCGGTAGAGTGACGGTTCAGACCTCCGACATTGTTGGGTCCAGCACCGAGGTAAAAGGACTCTGTGACAAGGTCGCCATCAGCCAGCACGGAGAAGACGGCCAGAACAGCAGCAAGATCGGTACCCATGTTGAAACCACGTGCGGTGGCCTCCAGGACTTGACCGAAGTTGACGTGACCGTTGCGAGGCAAGTAGCCGTAGTTGGCAAGGAGGTTGAGACCAGGACAAGGACCACGGCTGTCGTTAGGACCAGGTGCCAGGAAAGTGTAGCCAGGCTCGGGACGCTTGTCATTGGGGTTCAAAAGACCTTGAGCGACAGATCCTACATGATTGTTAGCAGAGATCAGCGTCCATAAGATGAGGGTAAGATGTACCAAGAAGACCATTGACATCGCTGACAATCGTTCCGAGAAGACCGCCGACAGCGTTCAGAAGCTGAGGATCCCTCTTTGCCATCTCCTCTTTAGCGGCTCTCTCTTTGAGCATGTTGACCATGTCCTGCTTGGTACCGCCCATCATCTGAGGGAAACCCAGAGCAAGGGATGGGAGCACAGCTCCTGCAATGGCAAGATTGAACTTCATGATGGAGAATGCTCAAAAAGTGATTGACTGGTTGTGTAGCTGACCCACCTTGAGGAAGGGGAACGTCTATTATATACACCTCTGCACGGGACTACTCTGGCAGCTGCGGCAGGGTAGCAGTTATCCGAAGTCTAACAGATGTCGTACCGATCAGCTCGATGCTAGGACATTTGTTGACAAGGGTACGTTGAGTAGTTGCTGCACGTCGGAAATGTGCACTGACAGATGATCCTGCTTGGGAGCTGGAGTAGTGATCAGCAGTGACATGGGTGGCAGCGAGATACGATCCGCGAACGTTCCATCCCATCGAGTGGAATTTGCAGCATCGATGTTTTGTTCAGGGTGCCGTGGCTGCCGAGGTGCAACTGGCAGCAATTGGAAGCTCACTTCCTGTCGTGCAAGACCTGTGTTTGGCAATGTTGAGGGTCAGGTTCGAACAATGCCACGTCGTATGACGACGGTGTGGTGAGTGATCGCTCTTGACCAGAATTTTGGAGGTAAAGCGAGCGATGCATGAGAACAGGTCTACAGTGCGGTCATTTTGGCGTGCCAATTGTCGACCCGTTGACCTCCATCATTCTCCACAGATCGTCGCGTTTGCTTCAAGGTTGCAGACAAGGAAGCAGATTAAGTGTCGACGTTAGGATCCGCGGCAGTTGTACCTTCTTTTATGCATATCGCACCCTGAAGGTTCCTGAGAATCTATCGTGGCTTTTGGGTTGGGCTTGCAACGGTGCAGAGAGCCTCCTCATGATGGCGTATGTCTCAAGGCATATTCAACCGTCCAGGAGCCCTCCTTGCTAGTAGTGAAGCAGCAAGCGATTATTGTTGACCACAATTCGATGGTGAAGGCGATGATGAGAAGCTCGATAATCTTGCCAAGCTCCAGCTCTCCACAGAAAATCATTCTCAGCCGCACAAAGCGACGATCTCTCCTTCCTGATTTGAACAGCGGACCTTTCCAGATCGAGCATTCCAAGACCAATTAGGTCATCGCTGACAAGCACTGTGGATACGCGCCTTTTCCAAGCAGAAACAAGGGAGAAATCGACGTACATTTTGGCATCGTCGTACAATGTCTAATGACGATGCTGTAATTTGTCGAGCACATCCGTGCTCTTGCTTTGTCCGTTCACTTGCCTGCATGGAGATTATCTCCGTCGCGACACGGAATCACCGATCTTGCTCTCCGAAGATGTCATGCACGGAGAACCCGAACCGCCTCCTGGTGGTTATCGTCGTGCTGCGAAAAAAGAAGGGCACAAACAGCAGTGTCACTTTAAGGGTTCCGTAGTGGTCGATATTTGGCTCACGGACTTCCCTCTGTACCAAATTTTGTGGTGTTGTTGCTACCATCATTCTTGGTTATACTTACTTGTGGTTTAAGCAGGGTACTCTTGCCCTGATGTGATCCTCAAGTATGCTTCTTTGGACGACCCGATCATCGAGGGTTCTCTGGTGGTAATCGTGCTGCAAACAACATGATAAATTATGGACAGGGTTGTCCCGATTGCTTCGATTTTGCGGTCGTTGCGAGATGGTATTCATAAGAGAACTTCGAGTCAAGCGAGCAGAGCCTCAGGGGAATATCGTCAGTCCACTGCTCGAGAGCCGCATGTAATTGTTCGGCGGTCTCTGCGCCTGTTGACAAGTACATCTTGATGTGCCAGACTTGCAGTTTGTGCATGAGACTTGCATCCTCCCCACTCACCAAGCCTCAGTATACAAAGGCGGAGAAGGGTACACCGCAGAATGCGGAAATCATGACTTTGCTAATCCTTCTGATTGGCTTCTCAACATCGCTTCACTCGAGTCGCCAAAGCAATGATATACATGACCACATCATAGCACCAAATAAAGTTACGACGTCAGTTCATGTCAATAATGAAGCAGCATCCTAATTAAGCAAAGGCAGCTTCGGATGCGGCTGATGAGGCTTTGGTGACGATCAAACAAGATGGGGATCTGCAACGATGCAATCGACCATCACGAAGATCATGGATTTTCTCTCACATGTTCAACAACTCGCCATCGGGCAATATGGTCGTTGATCCATCTCCTCAAGGTTTCCTTGTACGCGCTCGGTCATCAGGTGAAGCCACATTCGTCTAGGGAGATGGTGAATCATTGGTATGTCGACATTTCTTTCTTTCTGTTGAGAAGTGTTGAGATCTGTGGTATGGTGAACAAGTGACACGTATGCGGGCCGCCATTGGATATTTCTTGCCGCAAGATGGTTGCCAGTGTCTGGAAAATTGCAAAAAAAGAACAGCAACGAGACCAAAAAAACATGCCAACCCAAGATCAAAATTCAAGCGCTCCAGGAAAATGCAAACAAAACGCCGGACAAAATGCAGACAGAACGCCTATTCGCAATGCGGACGAAAAACACAAACCACCACTTCTATTGTTGCCGACGCCAGGTGAGTACTCTTGATACAAGTTGTCCTGTCTTCACAATCATATTGTTGGTCGTGAAAAGTTGGGATTGTCTCTGGCCATGGTCAATGTGCCACGTTTGCCCATGAGGTCAATGCCACTATCCATCTCGCTGCCGACGCTTCGTCTGTCAGGCTCGCCAAAGTCTGGTAGCGCGCCTGGCCGTTCATCAATACTATGGATGCTCTCGGCATCGTCGGCTTGGGAGGAAGCGTCATCTACATCATCTCCGTCGAGAATACGCCCACCGAGCTGCACCTCCGAAGATGCGACCTGGTAGTCGAGGGCTTTTCTCCCATCTTTAATGAGCCCCTCGGTTCGGTAGAGGCAACGCTGTAGGGACTGGTTCATTCGTTGCGTGTCCAGCAAAAGTTCGCGATGGCGACTTAGGTCAAGACGCAAGCGCTTCTCGTCGTCGGCTCGCTGCGCAGCATCGCGATCAGCTTGAGCGCCTGGAGACAGTGGCAACGCGGAGGAACTAGTCGATTCTTCATCAGAGGTATCCGTTTCGGGCACTGAGTGAAATGGACTTGACGGACGAGCGCCCCCGTCATCGTCGTCAAAGTCAGGTAGGTCATCTTCCTCGTCGAGTAGTGACAAGTCGCCTTCAGCACCGCTTGGCCTTCGAGGGACAGCAAATTGGCCGGCTCTACTCAAGCGACGAAAGCGTTTCAACTCGGCTTTTTGTTTCCTGAGCTCCCGCTCAAGAGACTTATTGATGGCTAAGAGAGAAGAGTTTGAGATTTCCAAATCAAGAACTTTGCGTTCGCGACGTGCCTCGGCATACGGGTCAACAGAGAGAACATCGTCTTCAGGAGAGTCATCAGAAGGTGGCGCGTCGACTGAGCCATCATGTCCGCTTTCAGTCAACGGTGTAGGCGAGTCGAGCGAAGCATTCTCATCAAGGGGTTCTGTGATGGCAGGTATAGGGTGTGATTGACGACGATTTCGATCAGGAGTTCCCATGTCTATTGAAGAAAGACTGGTGCTTCTCAGATGTGAGCTTCGCATCGAGGCATTACTAGTTTTTCGCTGAGTAGGTTGTGCGGGTTGAAAAGGTAGGGGTGGACCTCCAAGAGCGAATATCTGGGACGCGCCCTTCCGATACGACAAGTGTATATTGTTCTTTGGAGGCGAAATGGGAGTCGTAAAATAATTCGAGGCGGATGAGACAGCACTCAGAGGGGGTGAAACAATATTTGGAGTAAGCGCCGAGTCTGAAGGAGCAGGTGACTGCACGAAGAGCTGGGGAGAGCGCAAGTCGGTGACGGCAGATACGTTGGACAAGACTGGGGAAGAACTTGCATGTGAGGGTGGTCTGCTTTCCGAAGCAGCATGTTGACCATTGGCGTACAGAAACGACGGGGTCTTTCTCAATCTGGGAGGCTGAACTGGAGCAGCAGGCTGTGATTGTGTTTTGGCGTCGCTTGCATGAAAGAACATTGAACTCGAGTCTTTGTCTAATTTGACCGAAGTGGGACGGGAGGTGGGCAAAGGAGAGACTCTCTGGGGAGCGGAGACGTGCGGTTGTAAGGTCGAGGCATTCGATCTCGCAGAATCCGGTGTTTTGACGAAGCCTCGCACTGTCGGAGCAGTCCTTGTAGTGACGGCAGGCGGACGCGAAACATTGGCGGCCGTAGGCCTTGCAGGGCCGACTACACTCTTCGCTCGATTAGATGCAGTGAGTTGCGGACGGCGCACAGCGGGTTCGGTGTTCGTGGGAGAGATGACCAGCGGCCTCTTTTGCGCATGACTCGGCGTGTTGTTGGAGGGTGTTTGTGATGTTGGCGTCGAGCTTATGATATACGCGGTTCGTGCCTTTCCAGCCAAGGCTTGGGGCGTGGTATGCGTAGAGGCGACCTGCGCCGTCGGACGTGTATGGGAGAGGGGTGACGGCGTGGGTTTGTGATTGTTTAGTTTCGGTCGAAAGTCCGACTCTTGCAGTTTCGGACGAAATGGCGGTGTTGATGTCGTGTTTGTTGCATCCTGCGGCGGACGAGGAGTGTTCGGCGCTCGAGCGAGGGTGGGTTTCAGTGGCACTCCAGAGCGCGTCCCAGTGCTATTCGACGTCGCATTGCGGTTGTTGGCCATGATGGGTTATTGTTATTTCAGAGGGTCCTGTCGATTTGTCTGCACAAACGTTGCCGACGACCATCCAATCATGTCTACAGCGGTACCTCAGAGTCCAAGTGCCGGTGCATGTTCTCGAGTCTCATGGGTAAGAGAGCGGCTCCTGCCTACTCGAATTAGAGTGTTAAACGTCGGTTGCCGTGGTTGTCAGGTCCTGGAATCTCCAGAATGACGCTCCTGCCCACTAAAGCCTGAACGGCCCGCGAACTTTGTCATTCTTTTCTCTTTTTCCTCCTTTTTCCTTCGCGACTTCCCCGCGCTCGCGCCTGCTTCGCGAATCTGCCCGTCTGCTTGAGGCAAACAATTTGAGCGGCTCTTGATCTATCTTGCCAAAATCGCGCTGCCATCTGGTGACCATCACCTGATGCGCAAGTCTACAAACCGACATGGATGGCCCTGTCCGCCATGACACCATCGCTGATGCTGTCGATGACGCTGAGCCTGCCACCACTAGCCCGACTGTGCCCGATGCCAGTCAGCACCATACACTAAAGTATCATCTCCTAGGCCCGTCTCTCACAAAGTCTGGCCAAGACGATGTCGATCAGAAAAAGGTGTCGGAGATCATCTATGAAGCATCCAAGGGCAGCAAGTACTTCAACAACGAAGAGGCCAGGGACAAGACCTTAACCATCAAGATCAATCGCATTCTCGCAAAGAAACGCCAGCTTGACAGGATAGACCTGAGCTACGACTTGCGCAAAGCAGACGAATACGTACAGAAGCTCGAATTGAGCCGTGACCTGACCCAGATCATCGTCCATGTCGATTGCGATGCCTTTTATGCCGCTGTGGAAGAGCTCGACCGCCCAGATCTCAAGGACGTTCCGTTCGCTGTTGGAAAAGGTGTCTTGACGACCTGCAACTACCATGCGAGGAAACACGGATGTCGCAGTGGTATGGCTGGCTACATCGCTGACAAGCTCTGTCCTCAACTCATTCACATCTCGCCAAACTTCGAAAAGTACTCGGCCAAAGCGAAAGAAATTCGTGTGGTCCTCGCCAGATACGATGCCCGCTTTGAAGCTGCCAGTGTCGACGAGGCCTATCTCAACATCACACCCTACTGCGAGGAACACAACATGGATCCGGAAGATGTCGTCCAGCAGCTGCGTGCAGAAGTCTTCGAAGAATGCAAAGTCACCGTCTCTGCTGGCATCGCTGCAAATGCAAAGCTGGCAAAGATCTGCTCCAACAAGAATAAGCCTAATGGCCAGTTCAAGCTGCCTTCAGACCGCGCAAGCATCATGTCATTCATGAAGGATTTGCCCACGCGCAAGGTGAACGGCATCGGCCGAGTCTTCGAGCGTGAACTTGACGCTATCGGTGTCAAGGCTTGCGGAGACATCTTTGCCGAACGTGCCTACATGTCTAAACTCTTTGGTGAGAAGGCGTTTCAATTCTTGATGGGTGTATATCTCGGACTTGGCAGGACCAATGTTCAGCCTGCAGAAGAGTATGAGCGCAAGAGTGTTGGCACCGAAAGTACATTCAAGGAGATGTCCGATCCACAGCAGCTTCGCGACAAGCTCCGACATGTTGCAGAAGAGTTGGAGAAAGACTGTGAGAGGACACAATTCAAGGGCAGGACACTAGTCTTGAAAGTGAAGTTGCATACATACGAGATCCTCACACGCCAGGTCGCGCCGCCCAAAGCCGTGCATATGGCTGACGATTTATACAATTTCGCCTTGCCTATGCTTGTCAAGCTGGAAAAGGATATCCCCAAATTCACCCTACGCCTTATGGGACTGAGGCTTACATCGCTAATTAGCATGAAGAAAAGTAACATCGACACCTTTTTCGCCGTCAAACCACAATCCGCATCGAGAAAGCCGTTCGTACCTGCCGGCGAAGGCGAGTGGGAGCAATGGCCTGACTCGGAGTTTGAGGAAGCCGCTCGCCAAGAGAAGCAGGACGACTTGGAGACCATGGAAAGGATGAGTCAAGAGTACAGGGATGAGTACAATAATACTCCGAAACAGTCAGCAGCCGGACACGCAGGTACAATAATAGCAAGCGTGCCTGCAGCAGCATCTGAAGATAAGGGCAAGGACGACGAAGGCGATCAAGAAAAGAAATGGGATTGTCCCATCTGTAGTCAGCCGCAGTCTGCTGATCCTGTGCTTTTCAATCAGCATATAGATGGCTGTCTTTCAAAGCAGACGATAAAGGAGATCGTTCGTGAGACTGCATCACCGTCGGGCTCTCCACAAGGTAAAGCTTCAGAGCTTGGTCAAGGGAAGAAAAGAGGTCGACCTAAGGCGGCAGACCCTCAGCCAAAGCGGCCCAAGAGCGCCTTTTTCTCTCGATAACGCCCAATGCGTAGTCTGACTTCAGACTGCGCTCCTATACTCGATAGACTGTTTTAATCCTTGCTATACCAGTGCATCATTCAGCTTCGCCTGCAAAGTCCGAAGCGTGCTCGCTCGGCATATCCAGATTCACCCACATGATTAGCCGACTCGTAGACCGTACGCGATTTCAGCTTTGGAGTGTTGCGTGTATGCAGTAGATACGAGAGCATTTAATCCTACCCTTACCGGGCTGCAGAATATCCACTATCGAGCCCTACCAATGTCCGAGACATTTCGCTGAGCTGTTTTTGAGCCTCATCTTGTGACACAGCGGGGTCAACTTGAATCTTCAAACTGTTTCCGACTCTCCTAACCATCTTCGCTCTCGCGCTTTCCACATCTCGACCATTTCTCTTTGTGTTCTGTCAGTTATGAACCTTGCGACAATCCACGAGCGTGTTTGTGTGCCATAATTGGAGATGCGAGTCAAAAATGCATCTACGAGGCAGTTTTGCGAATCTCCGAAAGGCTAGTTACCTTTTGAGACTGGCGTTCATGCAGGTCCGGACAATACAATGACCCAATCCGGATATCCACATGGAATATGGTTATGTCGAGTGACATTTTCCGACCTGTAGCTGGAATATTGTCCGAAGAGCTTGCTGGAGTTGTCTGTAGGAGCCCGACGCCACAGGTGAGGGATGAGGCTCGCTCTCGCCTTCCACGCGACTTGAGGAATCTAAACTGGGAAGTCGGCATGTAAGTGCATGGAAGAGAGCTTGACTGCATCATCACAGCCTAAATCTGTTTCTGCACATGCTGCGACTAAGCTAAGCGACATGCTGTCAAACCATGTTGTACGACAATATGCTTTGCAGATATGCATTCTGTTTGAAACCACAACGAAAATCACATCTAAGCATTGTGGTTGCGAGAGACCTGACAGCACAGGATCATGCTATTGTAGCAATGGCAAAAAACACGACATATCCCAGCGAACCAAATGTATGGATCTGACAAGACAGACGCGTCTTGCCAGCACATCCATGATTTGAGACTATGCTGATGCCACGGCACACTCTTGCCGAACACTAGTACTATCTCCCGCCCCGTATAAGCCCCTCTCATACCATCGCTCTAAGCCGCTTCATTCGGATATGTACGACGACTGGCTGGGCGTGAGGGATACGTACCACCCTTGACATGGTAGAATGCTGACAAGCAGATACGAAACTCCGAGAAATCCTTCACGTAGTGGATATACCATGAATATAAAGAGCAGATCATGTCTGCCCCAGATTGATCCGCAGCAGATCATTTCTACTCCTTCTTTCTTATTCTGTACAACTTGAGCATCATTATGAAGTCTGGCTTCGCTCTGGCGGCTCTTGCCTTTGGTGGCATGAGCCTTGGCCAAACAAGCTCTGCCGTCGAGGTTGACGGCGCTACTACGACACTGGTCAGCAACATTGACCCTTCAGATATCGCAGCTCTTCCTGAACCATCGATCCTTGGACCTCCAATTGGTGTTGTCGATGCTGTATCTTCAGCTACATATGATGCGGCTGAAGCGACCGCCGCAGTTCTCGCCTTAGTTGAAGCAGCCACCGATGCTCAGACCGCCGTCATGGTTGCTGAAACAAGTGCTATTGCCCCGACGAAGACACCCGTCGCTGATGCTACCATCGAAAAGCGCTCGTACATTGGTGGCCTCTCTGGCAACGTTCAGCGTCGCGATACGAGCTATCCCATCGATACCTCAAAATTTGTATGCATTGCTCATCATGTAATGCACTCGAGTCTCTGCTAATCATCTCACTAGAATGTTCCCTCTGGGTATACTCCAGCATTTATCAGCTTGCAGGGCTCCACCCAGGCCAATGGCTACTTGACTTATAAGACATTGTCTACTTATGATCCTAAGCAATGTACAGCTGCTTGTGATAAGATTAGTTCATGTCAATTTGCCAACATCTACTACGAGAAGGATCCTGACAGCAAGAACAACCCTGTCGATGTCATCAAATGCTCTCTCTACAGCATGCCCCAGACTGCCTCCACTGCAACTAACAAAGGACAATGGCGTGGCTCTTTCCATGTCTTGGTCACTGGTAGCAACGGATACAACAAAGCTGCCAAGCCCACTGCTCCTTCTGGCTACTCTCTTGACACTCTTCCAGGCGCTGTCAATGCACCAGTCTATGACAGTGCCGGTCAATGGAGATTCATCCAGCCTGTCTACCTCAACTCTTATGATCCTGCTCTTTGCGCTGCTGCGTGTGACAAGCAGACTGCGTGGGACAAGTCTCAAGCTCCTGATGATTGCAACTACAAGACTTGCGTCTACGCCAACATGTATATTCTATCCATGGATGGAGTGCCAAAGACAGTTGTTTGTGCACTTTACACCGAAGCCACTGACGCGAGCTATGCCACCAACTTTGGATACTCGACCGACTCGGATTCCTACCAGGTTTCCAACTCGATTGCTTTGACCAACACCACTGCGGTAAAGGCCGGCTATCCGAAGCTCTGCGCAGCTCTTCCTGGCGATATCGATTACCTGAGCAGCGTTGGCTCTGAGTTCTGCACAAGCTACCTTGGATACGTGCCCCCAACCGCGACTGCTGTAGCAACTGTAACTCCTGGCGCAACGACAGTCTTTGCAACCGCGACTGAGGAGGTCACCGTCACTTCTGTATACTCCACAGAGACTGTCCAGGTCACGGGAGCCCCTCAGAATAATAAGCGTCAAGAAAGTGTGAACATTATCACTACCACGGTCGAGCTACCATTCATCACCGTTAGCGACAACGAGACCATGATCGACTACATGACCAGCGTTTTGACAGTCAATGCTGCTTCTACTGCTGGTGCTAGTATCACACCTGCGGCAGTCGATCCCGCAGCATCAATTGCAGCCCTCGCAAAGCGTAGTGCTATCCCCACTCCCTCTTCCATCGTCGGCTGGCCATCCCAGAAGATCTCGTCTGCTTGCTCTCAGATCGCCACCGGCACCATCACGGTCACGCAAACCGCCACAGCCTCCGGCTCTGTCGTGACAGCCACGGACGCCACAGTAGGCGCAACAACAGTAACCTCCATCGTCTCCACTATCACCATCACCGTAGGCGACAGTGCAAGCTCCACCACCAGCGAGACTTCCTCTCCTACTTCCGCGCCCGTATGTCCCAAGACTTCTGGCTCTCAAGGCCAACTAAGTCTCGGTGGCTATTCTCTAGGCTTCCCCACTCCTATCGACTTTAACCACGATCCCATCCTCTGGACCTCCCTCGGCTCTTTCGGCGACGAATTCATCTACGACACCACAGGCTCCTTCCTCTACCACCTCGACACTGGTTACTGTCTCGCCCTCGGCGCCGCCACAGCCTCCAAGACCCCAAAATACAAGGATAGCCCTTTGACTTTGAGTGAATGTTCTTGCTCCACCAGTGGCTCAGAGACGCAAAGTTTCGTCTTCAAAACGTACAACGTTGGCAAGGGAAAGAACAAGACTACAAAGAGTTGTCTTGCGGCTCAAGGTGATTACGCGAGTGGGAAGGGACCTTATTTCCCTAAATTGACGGATTTGGGTGATGACGAGTATCCTTTCTCTGCTACTTATGCGGGGACCAAGTTGGATGCTTGCATTACTTTTGAGGTGGATGCTTAAAGTAAGACGTGTTATAGGATATTAGGGTTGAATACATAAGAGTGTTTCTCTGTTCTTGTTCTTGTTTGCTGGGAGGATCATTTGTTTTTAGCATGAATATAAATTGCATGGTTCTGTCATAGATTCGAGTCGTTTCAAGATGTCTTTTTGTGCGAATGCCATGGGGCTGGTTCTGAATTAAACCTTGAGACGTAGCCATAACATGGACTCATGATTTCAGTCATGCTTGTACTCTGATAGTCTCGTGCTCTTGCGCAGATCAAGGCAGTCCAAGAAGGTGTTCATAGAGCAGCGCACGTGAATTTGTCGCAGAAGCAAATAGAAGCACTGTCTGAGTATTCGCCATGACCCGTTTGCATATCCCTAATCACAACAATCTATCTACATCTCCCAAAGCTGGTGTACATCCTTGTTGTATCGATTGATCCGGACTAGTAGCTAGAAATCTGAAAAGTACGGTCAATGACCATACCAGTATTCTTGGGTGAGACCGGATGGTGTAAAGGCTCTTTCGACAGCCATCCCTTCCTACGATGATGTGTCATGATTGACGAGAATAATTACTCATGAGTCCTTGCCGCAAGATGCTTGATGCAGAAACCAACTATTCTTACAGAGCTCGTTGCCGCTCTATGCCACTGTGAAGTAAGATAGGGGCGACAAGTCCTAGCATACAGGGACGCTGTTGTATGGATTGGAAGCCTCAACCCGGCTCTGGCTTAGAGCGGACGTCTTCTGACAACACTCCTGACATATTCCTACTTCTTGCCCATCGCTCCCTCATGAGATTGCAGACGCACAACAACACGCTGTGACACAAATTTTAACAGGAACATGATCTTGCGGCATTGTGTGAAGAGGTTCCATGAGTCTTGGCACTTTGATCAAAAGAATTCAGAGTCACCAAAACTTCAAAACATCGACCATCACCCACGCAAAACATGCTATACCGCCCTTGTCGGCAAAAGAAGATGTACTGGTCAGTACGGGGGTCGAACCCGCGACCTTGGCGTGCCGTATATCGGAGGACATCGGATGATATCGGATGATATTAGCACCACGCTCTAACCAACTGAGCTAACCGACCTGTTTGATGAAGAATCGGTGGCCAGGTAGGTCTAACAAACAACAGAACAGAGCGAGGCTAGATATCAGACATCTCCAGGACCAACCTCATGTATGAATGTCCAATATATTGGACAGCGTGCAGATGAATCACCTCGGCATACCGAGAGCAGAGTTTTCTCAGTAAAGCCGAGATTCTCCCGAGGCAGCGGGGTCGGGCAAGCACCAGGATGGTGGAACGGCCCAGTGGAGATAGACAAGAGGTGGCATGGTCAAGTGTCCAAGGCCAGGAAGGTCTTCGTTGTAATGAGGCGAGCGAGAGTTATCTGAGCCTTTTCACACTTTTTCGCCTCTCATCCAAGTCGAGATGACTCTCTTACCCTGCTCGAGAGTACTGGCTTGGGTATGCAAAGCACCCAGTACATCTTTTCTGGTGACGTCGAAGCTCAGATCCTTGCAAAGCTGCTCCAATTGGTCGGCTTGAGCTCGAGGGACGATCTCATCTCCAGAAGCGATCACCATCAGAATCCTAGGTGGACATGGCGCATCTGCAATCGTGCGCAAGGCTTTTTCGCTGTCCCACCAGCTGCGAAGGAAAGGCCAGAGGTGTTTGTACGGCACCCACCAGTCAGGGTAGATTGCTGCAAGCATACTTTTAATGCTGATGAACGGCGTCTCCAAGATGAGCCGGGATATCGGAGCAGTGTTGGTATCTTTTAATGACTCCTGATACTTCGACGCGGCATATGCAGCGACTCCAGATCCAATGCTCTGGCCCCAGAGGATCAATTCAGTACACTCTGGATCCTGCCCATAGGTTCGGATAGCCCAATCGACAAAAGCTTGGGCATCTTTCTCAATGCCACGTTGATGAGCACGTCCTGAAGAAGACCAGTATCCGCGATAAGACAGTGCGAGTAAGGTCCAATGGTGTGGAGAATCTTTTGCCGCAGCTCTGAGGATATTCGAAAGCATTGGTGTGCGAGGCGGGATGGAAGCACCGTTACCCTGGAAGTAAAGTACAACTACCTGCTTGTCCTTGTTTCGAACGGGAATCATCGAGTCCTCTGGACGCGCGATAGCGACAGAGAGTTTCGTGCCATCCGATGATTTGATCTTGTGCTCTTCCCAAGACACGCCAGCCCATGTCTTTGAATAGTCATCCAGTTTCTCGCGTCTTGAGCCTGGAGGAAGAGATGGCATGTAGATAATCTTGTTCTGGAACAAGACCATGAGCAAACATTTGTGTATCCAATGGCCTATGAGAAGGCCCACAAAGACCCCAGGAACCAGTATGAAGGGCGAGACACCGGCAAAGATAGTTCGTCTTTGATGGTTGAGGACGTTGCCACGGGTCAACAGCATGGGGCATGGACGCCATATGGCGCTTGCATTGTGCCAGCCGCGGCTGGGTCGTACGTTCACTGCTGATCTCAGACATCCATTCTGTCGAATATCGCGAACGAATAAACAGGTCAGTCGCGATTTCATGACAGTTGGCCAGGCTGAGAGAAAGGTTCAGCGGTAAGGGTGCGTGACTTGCTTGGGAGGCGGTGACGTCAATGAAAGCCAATCAAAGTGCGCCTTCGCATCCCCTCGCGTCACCCACCAGTTTCGCGTCTTGGAATTGATTCAATAAGCAGGAACAGGTTCACTGTCCAATTCTGATTCTGTCTTGTCGCGCTCCAATCTGACATCTCACAGACCTGCATATTTCAGTCTACACATACTGATCGTCCCGCTGTGATAAAGATAAAGTGATTGGCTCGCGACGCCGACAACATGACACGCATCACGCGCGGCACTCAACCCCAGCTCTCGGAGTCTTGGGCAAACATGGACGATTCTCGAGATGACGTTGCAGCCATTACATCGGAAGAGGAATTCCAACCGCGTATTCGAGAAGCGTACTACAACTCTCACAAATCTGTGACCTTGCCAAAATCACCCCCTCAACAAGTCTCGTCGCAAGGTCAGTCATCTTCGTCACCTCGCAAACGGGATGCGTTGCAGATAAGCAAAGAGCCCGAGTTCGTCATGCCCACTCCTGAGGCCAGCGGATATCTAGACGATCCTCCGAGAAGAACACCAACAAGACAGACTCCAAAACCGGCGATGCGAGCATCAACTATTCGAAAATCTGTATCTGCCAAGCGTGTCACTCCTGTTGCTCAACCCGAAAGACGTGGACGCAAAACTGCCAAAACTACCACTCAAACCGCGTCGCCTGACTATGTCCAGTATGTCTGGCGCAACCTTTTCCTGCCTTTGCTCAAATATGTGCTATCAGTCTTCTCAATTGCTGCAAATGCTCTGAAACCACTCCTTGGCTACACATTGATTGTAGTACTGATGGCAGTTGGCATAGGCATTGCAAAGACCATGTTGGTCCACAGTGTCACTAATGCGCTATCTCCGTTGTGCAACATACCTGGAGCTGGCTATCTGAATCTTCCGTTTTGCGTCAACAATTATCATGATGGTCACAGACGCCCAGTCGAGTTTGACAAGCTAGTCGTCACGCAGTCAAACTTCGAGGAGATTTTGGAATCTTCTGTCCATCAAGCCGCTCTACCGATGGCCATGAAGAACTCTGAGCTATCCATCCGCGACTTGCGCACCGTGGTCAGGTACTCCAGCTTAGGTTCACGCAACGAGCTTGTCAATGAGTTTGACGGGTTCATCGAGACGGCTCGCCAAGCTAGTGACGGCTTGTCGCAGTTTAACTCTAGAATTTCTCGGGCATTGGATGGCATACTCTCTGCCAACCGCTGGACAATGAAAGTACTGCAAGGTATTGAAGCCGCCCCAGAATCCGATGGTATCATCCCTCGTTTCTTTTCGCAGTATTTGTCTGCCTTCTCTCTGGCTGTACCTCAACACTCTTCGGAGGATGTCATCTACGACCAATACATTCGACACACCTCGGAAGTCGAAGAGCAGATTCAAGTCTGTATCCTAGAAGCCAACACACTCCTTGGAGTTCTAGAGAACCTCGATGAACGCCTGCTTCAAATATCAGACATTGCCCATCGCGAGGGTCTCAAGGTCGAGGACGCCAATCGCGAACTCTTGGGTGTTCTGTGGACTAGGCTCGGCGCCAATAGAGGTGCACTAGCGAAGCAGGAGCAACAGCTAGCAACTCTGAACGACGTTGGCAGATATCGCAAGACGGCTATGCAGCATGTCATTTCGACACTTGTCAAGCTCAAGGACATCGAGAACAATCTCAGTCAACTCAGAGATGATGTTGCTGCACCGACTATTGTGGACAGAGAAAGAATGCCTTTGGAGATGCACATCGATCTGATTAGCTCTGCTGTTGATCGACTACAAACCGTTAGGGATGAAGGTCGCAAGGAGAAGGATAAGATGCTCCAGAGCAATTTTGAGCAGATCGACAAGCAGTCTGCCAATAAGAGGATTGGATAGCAGGAATATGAGAGGCAGGTGGTACGATGATCGACTATAACACCGCTTGGTAATGACACAACCAGGATACTAGCAGGAGGACCGCACAGGCGCTGGTCATATTGATTAGTAGTATGATATAATGACGCTATATAATAATAATCTCCCAAACACATGACGTGTGAAGCAAAGCGCGGAACTCTGCAACGTAACCTGGTATATTTGAGAGACATGACTTCGTATAGTGTATCCCCTGCTGACTCGGACATCATCGCGCCTTCCTTTGTTATTGTCATTGTGCTTGCCATTAAACAACATACCTCAGAGTTTTCAAAGTTACAGCAACGGGGCATTGTCTTCTAGACCTGTCATACATTCGTTGCGACTGTTGCTCGTGTCTCTTCACCTCCTTCTCTCTGTTCACATGCAACGGTATATCAGTAAAGAATTCTGCCCTTTCCTTATATCAAGTCTACTACATCACCAGCAAACATAGTCAACTCTATCACATTGCGCATTATGGCGGCAAGGCCCGTTGCTGATGTCACTCGGCAGATAGATCAAAGTGTGTATCCGCTCTCGCGATGAAGCAAGAGAGAAGAGAGACAGAGGTCCACGACTCTCGAAGCAGTTGAGGTATTCCGTACGGATAGATCCTAGATCTACTTCGTAGAAGAGATCTACGGGTACTCGTACATATGAGGACGTAGCGATGTATAGAAGAGTTACTGACCTGGGCCGGCTGTCAAGTCCAATCGATATGCGACATAAACGTGTGTGAAGCAGCGCTCCGGAATGTTCGCTTGGACGAGACGAGTGGTATTGCAGAACGAGCAACTTACTAGAGAGTCAAAAGTCCAGAAGTCGAGGGTCACATGGTAAACACGATACTCCGCTAGAACAAAATCACACAATGAGCCTTACTTCTAGCTGCACATGATCAGAATTTGATCACAAAGAGTTCCGTATGCATCATAGATTTATGTCGATCTCGGATGATCATTGCGAATATATGCCTACTACTGACATCGTAAGGAACCTCATCATAGTCTGAGTCTCGAACACGTTCATGCCTATAAAGCTTCTCCCGGCCGTGGCCCAATACTTGTCGGCGAACAACCCAACCTGGACCCGACGGTCCCCAAGGCCGGAAGACCGATGTCCGGACTACCAAAGCCTTCTTACGAGATAGTAGGTTGGTTCCGAGTCCCAGCAAGAGAAAGCGATCAAGGAGAGAGACAAGTCAATGAACATTTAGGAAGGTCTTACATTGCACCGGCGGTTATTCCTATGTTGACATGGACAGTCCCTGGAAGGGCATTGAGACAGGGGAGAGTCATTGACCTCTATCTGCCCCTATAGCTCTTGAGCCACTAGGACAATCTTCTGTCTCAATCTTCTGTCTAGAGCTGTTGCGAGGACTCATCCAGCCTCCAAGCTCTTGTCGTGTTCGTAATCGATTGTTGTCTAGTAGATGGAATTGGTGGCCTTTTTATACTTATCTACATCATATCACATGCTCTGGGAGATTACATCTTGCGCCTCGACAAAACAACGAGAGACACATTCGATGGCGGCCGTGAACCTTTTGAAGCTACTTCTCCAACAACAAAGCTCTTGAGAGGGTTTCACAACTGTGTATTGCTTGCTCAGAATCCAAGCAAGCACGCAGCTTTTGAGAGTGCTCAATGGTGAAAGTTTGGATGGATGAAGTGCATATTTCCAGATCTGTGTACATCACGTGCACGAAGCTATATAAGTCGCCTTAGCTACCACAGGTATACATGATAGCAGAGTTCTCGGTGCTGAGATTGACTTTCAGCTTTGCTGAAGAGCATAGAAGGAAGTACAGCGTAGATGTCAAGGGCCGGAGTTAAGGCTCTTGCTGTTCTCCGAATTCAAAGCAAGAGACAAGAGATGGGGGTTAACGAACCTCAGTCGAAGTAGGATGTCTCGGGTATCTCGTCTTTTGAGTTCGTGTTTAAAGGTTCTGAGGGAGTAGTACAAAGGCAGGGAGACACAGACCCTACGACCTGCCTTGTCATGCTCCATACTTCATGATCGAATCCGACGAGAGGGTGAAAAGCTGCGACAAGCTTGAATGATCGCCTTCGTGTCGGTGTATTGGGAGGATGAAAAGGATGTCAAGTCGATCGTGAATAACCTTCACAGTACTCCTTTTATACCTCTGATGATCACGTATCGATTCTAAGTACTTATATTCAACATGCAGCCATGGACTTTACTGTTGCTGCGTCATTGGGATTCCGAGAAATCATTACTCCCTATTGATACAGAAATTCAAAATATGGACTGTTTCATGCAGTGTGAGATAGATGGATATATGGCAACGAAGGTGTAAGTAATCCTGACTTCCACCACCTCTCACACATCAGTTATAATGCCAAAAGCAAGAGGCCATCACTATAAATGCATCTGAACTGTCACACTTCTTAGACGTCAAAAACATGACCAGTTCCCTAAAGAGACAGCATTCTAAACTTCCGTATCCACAAAGCGATAGAGATAGAAGTGGCTACATCATCCTAAGCGACGGAATCAAATAGAGCAGAGGAGAAACGCAGAGCAGAGACAGAGGTCAACAGACCCCACACAGAGCGGCGTATTCCCAAACCTATCCATTTTAGATCCAGGACTACTGAGAAAACTGTCAATCTAGCAGAGGATGGCAGGAGGAAGAAGGAGTCATTGACCCGCTCCCCCCTTCTTCCTTTGCTCTTCCTCATATCTTAGCGCTCTATCTACAAAGCGACAAGACCCTTAAGGTCCAGTGGGTCGAAGACTAACTCAGCGGTAGCCTGATAAAATAGCCGTGTAGGTCGATAAATCAGTAGCTACGGAGCCTGCGTTGATGTACTTTTATCTTCCAGCTCTCGAGAGACCTGAAGGCGGATCATCAACTTCACGGTCTCTATTTGATTTGATCTGATGCGTTCTGCTGCAAATGACTAACGAATGATATAAATGATACAATGCGGGAGATAAACCCCAGAAGCGAATGATAAAAGCACACAAAAAAGTCAGCGCTATGCAATACCAAGACACTCCACCAATGATCTCAACGGAGCTAGCGTACACGAGGACGATGACTACGATCCCGTCCGTTCTTGTCCAATCTTCCCCTTCTACTCTTGTCAGGAGGAGGAACATATCTCACACCCTGCAGTGCCCAATCCAAGAAATTGAGCATATACTCATCCACATGCCCAAACTCCTCCCCACCATCTTTGAGCTCTTGAGCCACTTCCAGTGCGTCGGCAGGTTCAGCGGGTGTGGGCGGCACACTAGTCTTTGGGGTCCTCGAAACCCGACTCTGGTTGGCGGTGGCAGTGGCAGTGGCAGTGGCATTGTTGCCATTGGCATCAAAGTCAAAGTCGTCTTCTTGACCTTCTTTGGCTTGTGCGTGGGCAGCGGCAACATCTTCGGCATCTTCAACTGCTTCCAACACTTTCTGTACGCTATGTTCGCCGACATTATTGCCAAACACTCTTTCTACAGCCGCACCAGCGAATGCATCGCCAAGAGCTTCATCTTCCACACTAGCAGCAGGAGCATTGAAGTAGTCAGTTGTGAACTCTCCTTCTTGAATGACGACTTCGTCAAGCAGACGTTTTTGATTCGACTTCCGCAGAATGTTGACTTCAATGGTGTGTTCACTGACGAACTTGTAAATGTGCACATCGCGGGTTTGACCGATACGATGAGCGCGGTCTTGACATTGCTTGTCCATTTGTGGATTCCAATCGAGATCATAGAAGATGACTGTATCTGCACCTGTCAAGTTCAGACCCACACCTCCCGATCGGGAAGAGAGGATAAAGACGTCGATGCGGGTATCGCGATTGAAGCGCTCCATCATATCTTGACGATGTTCAATCTTCGTGCTTCCATCGAGACGGAGGTAGCGGTAGCCGTGAATGTTCAGAAATTGTTCCAGGATGTCGAGGACCGAAGTCATTTGAGTGAAAATTAGAGCGCGCGAGCCACGTGTTTGGAGACTGCGCAGAAGTTCGGCAAGGCGTTGGAGCTTGCCGCAGTCGTATTGTAGAAGACGCCTGTCGGGAAATGCAATCGACAAGCGTACGCGTGATTCGTGGAAAGCATCCGGTTCAGGTGATTGAGAAATTGACTGCACACCGCGAATTGTGTTTCGAGGGACCATGTAGGGCAAAATATCGGGAGCCACTGCGTTCGGGGTGATGCATGCAAACTTGCGAATGAGAGTATTCATCGACAAAGATCTCTGATCAACACTCTTGACCATGTCGAGGATTAGAGAAGAAGAGTCCAGGTACCACTCTGAGTGCAGAGCTTTATCTCTCGGAGGTGCTTGCCGCAGTCGGTCTGACGTGTATGTTGTGCATCGCTCAATGAGGTCAGTACCAAAGACAGGCGCAAACTCAGTCCGCTGTTCTGTCAAGAATGCACATTGACGCAGGCGGTTCAGCTTGTCCATTGCAGTCATATGGTTTTGTTGTCCAATGACAGACGTGAAGGATGAACTGTCGAGCGTATGGATACCCAGTCGCTCGACTTCCCTCCGCACAATCTGGTCCATAGCCCGACTAGCTCTGAGTTGTTTGCTACGTCGAACATGGTACCTTGACCTCGACTCTCGAGACGTCAGATTGAGACTCAGGAAGTTCAGATCGAGCACCTCATGAGGATCTTGATTCAACATCTTCCTTCGCAAGAACAAGTCCGTAATCTCAAAGTCTGCTGCAATTGACCGTGGCTGACGCGTATAAGGCTTCTTCATTGCATAGGAAGTTACGATAGGACGTTCTTCGAAAAGGTCTGGGTGGTTGCAGACCTTTCTCAGCGACATCAGGGCTTGCGAGACACTGATCATGTTTCCAGAAGTCAACTTGGCTTTGGTGTCAGAAAGAGCCATGAACGAATCATAGAGCTGACGTTGACGTTTTGAAAGCCTGCAGATGACCGTGTGCTCGTATTTGCCCGGCAACTGTTTCTCGACCGAGGACTTCAGACGGCGCAATAGGTATGGACGAAGAGAGTGGTGCAACTTGTTGACAATATCCTGAGCTTCATTGCCAAGTTTACTCTTACCATCGACGAAGATCTCATCAACGGGTCTGCGGAACCATTCTGTGAATTCTTCAAGATCGCCCATACCTTGACCGTCTTGACCAGCAGTCAGGAAGGTGAGGAGCGACCACAACTCGATGATGCTGTTTTGAAGCGGCGTACCGGTCAGCAGGAGTCGCGCATGAGTCTTGAGTCTGATCATGGCTTGGTAGCGTTGCGAATTAAAGTTCTTGATGTTGTGCGCCTCATCCAGAATCATGTAATGCCATTCTGGCACTCTGATAGCCGGCAGATCTTTCAAAATAAGTTGATAAGATGTAATGACGACGTTCCAGATGTCAGGGTTACTCCAACCTTTACGCTTTTGCGCTCTCTCCTCAACAGAACCGTAGTATGACAAAACTTTAAAACCAGGCAAGAATTTTTTGAACTCCATTTCCCAGTTGAGGATGACTGAGGTTGGTACAACAATCAGATGAGGACCCCAGATGTGGTGTTCTTCGGCGAGATGGGCTAGAAGAGCGATCGTTTGGATCGTCTTACCAAGGCCCATCTCATCTGCAAGGATACCATTGGTCTGGTTGGCATAAAGCTTTGCAAGCCAGTCCAGACCTTCGTGCTGGTATTCTCGGAGAGTACCTCGCAGAAGAGAAGGTATCTTGACTTTGGACGACTTGCCAGGTTGAGGCGTGTCACTAGTTTCGGACATCCTGTCAGCTTCGTCGAAATCGACACTAGTGGTTGATTCAGCTTCAGTAGGCTCGATAGTAGTGTCATCTTTGGGAGATGTTTGACTACTTCTGTCTCCTGCGTGCGAATCTGCCGATAGCAGGTTGTGATGAGGACTCAGGGACTGGGCGTGTGTTTGCGATGTACCAGCGTCCTCGATATTTGTATTCGCTGATATTGCCTGCGGATGGTGTTGTTTTGCAGATGCAACTGACTGTGCGTTGTGGACGTCTTCTGACATGATAGGCTGGGGAGCTTCAGTAGCGGACGATTGGTTATTGTTGTCGAGCGGTGTCGCAACACTGTCGGTATCATCGACATCCATAGCTTCTGATGCTTCCACGAAGGTCTGGTCATCAGGCTCATCGGCGCCTTTCACATTTTCCGAGAGGCTTTCATCCGCTTGCGCAAGCTCATCAGGTTGGTCGAGAGTGTCGGTCGCTTCTGCTGGCTGATCTTGGATTATCGCGGATGCGCGTTCAACTTCCTCATCTTCCTGCTCAGACATCTCCTCGGCGTCCTCAGATGCTTCAACACCCTGCGTCGCTTGACTCTCCTTCGTCAAGGATTTGCGTCCACCAAAGAAACCAAGCAGACCACCATCATCTTCGCTCTCACTTTCTTCCTCCTCCTCCCTCTCGTCTTCACCATCTTCCTCCTCGTCGCTCATGTCTTCATCGCTCATGTTGGTAGACTCGTCGCTGTCGTCAAGGAGAGCATCATCAACTTCTTCCAATTGGACCTTCGAGTAATCTCGCTCCTCTTCAAGCGGTTTATTTTCGTCTTGCATGTCATCATTCTCGTCTTCGTCGTCGCTCTTGTCTGCTTTCGTCAAGTCTGCAATACCCGGATCTTGATCGTCATCTTCGTCAACGTCCATGTCACTAACATCGTCGTCGGATTGATCTTGTGGTATGTCTGGAATATTGCTGTATTTTCGTCGAAGTGCCTCCGGAGACAGGTTAACATCATCGTCTTCGCCTTCCTCGGCATCACTGCCTTCAGACTCGGATGAGGTCATACGATGATCTTCTTCGAGGCTTCGGTCTGACGCGTCCGAGTCATCTTCATCGCCGGAAATACCTTCGCTGAGACTGACTTGGTCATCGTTCTCATCCTCATCGCCGTCGATCGATAGACCAGAATCCAGCAGGGCGCGACGCTTGTCTAGCAGATTTGTCGACTTCTCCAGCATACTCTGCATCTTGAGCTCTCGTTCAATCCTTTGCTCTTCCTCGTATCGCAATGCTCTCCGACGATCGATCTCGGCACCAACAAGATCCCATTTCCGTTGGATGTCCTTGACAGTCTGGCGGTAGATGAGTCTGTACCACTCGTTCTCCTGCTTTTCCTTCTCTTCTTCAGTCTGAGGTTGTCTCTCCTTCCATTTTGCCAGACAAGCGTATGCGATCTTCTTGGCGTTGTCCACGTGTGCGCGTTTCTCCTTGTCCATTAGCGATCGCAAGAAAGCGCCCTGAGTCCAAAGATAATCCCAGTGGTGGTATTGCTGTGCTGGCTCTTTCTGGTCGTCTGGTAAATAGATCGAACTCTTCTCTTCGCTCAGAGGGCCACCTGGCTGAGCAGCTTCCAGAATCCTCAGACGTGCCAAAGCTTCCTTCTCAGCTCGCTCTTCGGGTGCCTGTTCGACCCTCTCGGGTGCGCGTCGTTCAAGGCCTTGGTATCTGTCGTCTTCCCTGCTCTCGTATGCAACCTCTTTACTCTTCTGGTCGTAGTGGGCGATAATATCTTCCAAAGACTGAAAACGTGGCGGTTGGACAACATGGCCAGGATGGCGAGATGAAAAGGAGAACTGTGGTCGCTTAAGCTTCAGCTTGATGCGCGGTGTCGATGAAGCCTTTTCGGGTGAAGCGGGAGCTTGCGACTCGGTGGATACTGCTTGCTCAGCTTTGGCTGGACGGCCGGCTTTGCGCTTGACTTGTGGTGACGGCACAGGCGGAGCGGGTTCCTCTTTCTTGACAACTGCAGGCGATGTTTCAAGTTGCTTGATTCGGGCAGATACACGAGACGGGCGTGGTGGAGTCTTCTCGCGCTTGGGCACTGGCGTCTCCTTCGGCTTCGGTTGACTTGTCTGTTGAGCAGTTTGAGCATTCTTCAAGACCGAACCTTTACTTGCCGGTGTCTTTGCGGCAGTCTTTTTTGACTTCGGAGTTGACTTCTCAAAGACCGGAGGTGCAGGGGCATTGACGCGGCCTGATCTTCTCTTTCCATTGTCCAAGATTGTGGTAGGACCATCTGCGGCGAACGACTTCCATGGCGGCGAGATGGGTTTCGAAGCTGAACGCGATCGGGATGCAGATTGGAGCTCGGCAAGCTTGCGCTTCTTACTGTTGGTCGTGGTTGGTGTCGAGAGTCGGCCAGACGCGTCAAAGTCGGCTTCATCCTCGGAGCTAAGGGGAGAGTCGGAGTCGACAGCAGCCTTGTCGTCAGCGGAGGCAGGCGGTATGGAGTCGGTCACATCGGTGTCGGGTATTGGAGTGTCGTCGACGGCATCTGCGTTGTTGACGTTCGTGGAGTCGTCGTCTTCAATCTTTTGATGAAAGTCGGGCGGAGGCGGACTGGGGCTTTCGTGGCCATCACGGGCGCCCTCGTGCAGCGTGACCCCCTCAATCTCCATCAAGGCCAATCGGGCCTCGTTCAAAAATGAGAGCGCTGGAAGCTCAGAGGATGCTGACTATCATGCCGCTTTCAGAAGTGCAATATCGGACGTAGTTGGGTAGATATACAGCAAAAAGACGTCACGGCAGCGGATTGTAGGTGTATGAGCAAAAGTTCGTGGTCGTGTCAATCTAGCGTTGATTGCTTGGCGCGTTTCCCGCTCTCTTGCTGCTTGCAAATCTATGGAGATGGAAGTTGCCGCCCATCGCGGCTTCCGCGCTCCGGCCAGCCAAGAAGCGCGAAGCTGATGACCGCAAGCGCATACCGGTTCAAGGTGTTTGGTAATTGACGATTGCTGCCACCACATCCCACAACGTACGCTCACGCCTGAAACACCTCTCGAACATCCATTGACGTCTCTCCAGATGCTCTCCCGCAGACTCGCCGCGGCACGCCCGCTCTCCAGCGCCGTGCGAACTGTCGCTCCCCGCACCACCCTCACACAACTGCGCTTCGCTTCCGAGAACAATGCCAACAAGGAGAACTTTGTCGGTGAGGTCGCTGTGGAGGACATTGGTATGGTGCGTTATCGAATTCTTGCTGGGCTCAACACGGACGCGAATTGACCAGGGCCAAACAGAACGGTGGATACGTCAACCCCCCAGCAGTCAAGCGCGCTTTCCGTGACCCTTACGACAGCTGGTGGGATCCGCAAGAACGTCGCAACTTCGGCGAGCCCGTCCATGAGGATAACGACACTCTTGGCATCTTCTCGACCGAGCCCTACACCCACTTCAAGCCTGGTTTCGGTGCCGTCCTCCTCGGTACCTTTGTCGCATCTGTCTTCGTTCTGATGGGTGTTGTTCGCCAATACTACCCCGACAAGGCCTCCGTTCCCAGAACTTTCCCCGGTGGCCTCGACAGGGAACTCGGCGGCGCCGGCGCTGTCATTGTGAGTCTTGAATGGGATATATGGCAAGGAGAAGTGCTGATTATTGAACCCACAGGCCCGCACCGACGAGAAGGAGCCTTTCTAGATAAACATGTGTCCATACCCAATTCTACGTCTTTTCTTTGTCATCATCATTCATAGTAATCGTGACATTTCTCGATGGTAGGTGTGAGATATGTTGAACGTCGCCCGTAAGTGCTTCTTTCAGCAGATGGTGGTCTGGCCGAGCCACAACAACCTGCCTTGGCGTGCCATAACACCATCGTACCTTCCTTGTATCTTTGTTCGATAGCCTGTTACGACTTCCCCCAGGAAACCTTTACACTCAACTTCTATCTAAACAATTTTGCCGGCACGCTTCCTTGCACATCAACATGAGCGAAGATACTCGCCAACTGGTCCTGCGTATCCAAAGCGAGGATCTGGCTACTCTCTGGGCCTCATCCGAAAATCAAGCTGAAGTTGATGCTACTCTACGCGTCTACCGCCGGCAGCTAAAACTACTGGATGCTTACCTGGAGAATCCTCGCCACCACGTACTCATATCAGATGGTTCGGACGCTGCCAACAGTAACGGCGTGCTTCCGATCGAAGATCCGAATGCGTGTTTGTTGACCGTGGATGGCGACGTCCATCAGCAAGGAGATGTGTATCCTCGTCACGACACGCCCTCGCGCTTCGCATCTGCGGCTTCCAGCCCATTTCTTGTCAGCGCGACCACTGCTCGTCCACCTCCCAAGCTCGATGGTCCACCGCGTGTTCGCCTTCCTCCACCTTCCAGTCGGACAGCCTCTCAGTCCTCGATCAAACCAGTCGTGCCACTTTCCCGCCGTTCAGATGTCCCTTCCGCCCCTGCCGCGATGCGAGGTGTGAAACTCAATCCTTTCGTGCAATCACCACCGAAACGATCTGCAGATCATTTCGCAACTCCCAATACTTCGCCGTTCAAGAAACGTGCAACTGCTGTCGTCAAGAGAGAGGTTATGGATGAGCCCACGTTGCCTTCGCGGAATGAAACAATCAGAGACAAGCTACAGAAGCTCAACTCTTCAATCTCGTCACGACTCCAGACCCCGGACCTGTCGAAGGTCGTTCATACATCGCCCAACAAGATCTTCGGTGTGCCTAGCCAGCAATTATCTGAAGCACAATCTCGTCCGTTTCACTCAGCATCTCGTATTCAAATACCTACGGGTCCCAAGATTCTTCTCCCCTCTACGTGGCGTACTCAGGATTCTGAGCCCTCTCATTCTGGCCCTAGTCTCGGAGCTCGACCTTCGACAAGATCTCCCATTGGTCTCAATCAAGCAATACCCTCGCGGAGCCCTTTTTCGAGCTTCGCTGAGTCTGCAACTACGCCCATACCTGTAACAAGCTCAGCTTTTCGGTTTGGCGCCCCGTCGGAGGTTGCGGCTTCTGCGACAGCTAAACACTATGGTCGCGACACTGGATGCGAGATCCCGTCCAAATCAACTTCTAGCCAGGCTGACAAGTCTCCGCGTCCCAAGCCGACCGTCACAAAGACGCCATCCAGCCTCGAAGAGCCTCATCAAGAGTGTACCGTTTGCTGCCGCGTTGAACCTACTTCCAAGATCTACGTCTCACCTTGTGGGCACCGATACTGTCACAAGTGCGTAAGTCATCGGTTCGAAAGTGCTTTGCGCGACGAGACTCTCTGGCCTCCACGGTGCTGCCGCCAAAACTGGCCTGATCCACCTGTGTTCCTAGATATCTTGGAGTCCGAGATCTGCACTCGTGCTTTCTCCCGAATGGTCGAGGCCAGAATCCCAATTCGGGAAAGGCTCTACTGTGCTGGCTGCTCGGCGTGGATTTGCAATAGAAATTCGGTTGCCAACGTGCGCTGCAACAACTGTGGCACTTCTACGTGCGCTAGTTGCAAGGCTGTCAAGCACGACGGTGCGTGCACGATTGACACTACTGATCTGGTGGTCCTTCGTGAGCTCGCCAGCATAGAGGGTTGGCAAGAGTGTTCTCAGTGCCACCGCTTCATTGAGTTGACCGACGGCTGCAACCACGTGCAGTAAGTTCAGGCGCTCTGCTTTTCGAATTCGCCGAAGCCTACGAGTCGCTGACAGTGCACAGATGCCGATGTGGATATGAGCTATGCTTCCAGTGTGGCCAAGAGTGGAACAAACTTAAAGGATGTTCGTGCGAGTTGTTTGATGCAGACTGGCTGCAGAAGAGAGAGGAAAAGAGAGGCTATGCTCGCATCTGGAAGGTTCGATGCAACCATGCGACCACGGATCCTGTGAGGAACGTCTCTGACGAGAACTGCGACAAGTGTGGTGAGCTGGCCGTGGATTTCTTCTACGAGTGTAAGGAATGTCTTGATCGGTATTGTCGCGAGTGTGCTTGGTATAGGTTGTAGTGGGCGAGCGAATGCTTTCTACTAAGAAAAAGTGTGCCCTCGGTCCTGTCTATAGCTTTCAATTGCTCTTGTTCGAGTTGTAAGTCTCCGTCATGCATCCTGTCCAAACATTTCAACCGCGCCAAACATCCCATTGGCCTAAAGTTGCGTCTAACTTAGCACGGCGGCTTGCTTTTGAGCTTCTCGCCTGATTACAACAGGATCGACCATCGAGCAACTCTCTCATGCACCGCCAGTGACGTTGTCTGTGCCTTCCAAGCATCTTACTTCACATCAAGCCTCGGTACCTTCCTCATCTGCTACACCAACATATTCGTACCGCGCTTTCTGTATCTGTTCACCTCGCCGCGCTTTCCACATCGGCTTTTCCACTCCTACCTTCCAAGTCTTCTGCTTCTTCACTCTACAGCAGTCTTCACTTCCGTTCCTCACGCGCTCTTTCCTGACCACCACCATCATGGACGACGAAGAGACACGCAAACTCATTCTACGCGTGCAGAGTGAAGACCTCGCATCCATCTGGAACGCCGACAACACAGAAAGTCCTGATGGCCTTGAGTCTGATACCAACATGGCTATGCGCCTCTTCGGACAAGAGCTCTGCACCGCTGAGCAGCAAATCGATGATCGCCGCGTAGCTAGGGCAGTAGCTCTGGTTGGTTTTCGACAAGATGTTATTGTCCGCGCTGATGGAGTGGAAGCGAGACGACTGTACCAGGAGCTCAATCCAGATGAACCACTCCCTACACATGCCGACAACGAGGGAAATGTCCTTGTTGTAGATAATCGTCAGCGCATTCCTTCTGATAAGATGGAAAGTGGACCTTCCCATGTCGCCCATTCTCTGTCGACCGCTGGACTCTTTGGACTTCCGAGATCTGGTCTCAAGCGCTCTGCAGACCATCTGGACGCGCTGTCAGAGCCGCCCTCTAAGATGCAAGCGGGTGAAGCCACGGATTCGACTATTCCACCCAGAGCTCCTGGTACGCTCAGTAGATCTGCCCGCGGTCGTGCTCATGCGCAGATGTTGACCCCTCGCACACCGGAGGACACTTCTCCTCAGATGCAAGTTGCAGGTCTCAAAAGACCTGCTGAAGATCTAGATCCCAGCTTACATCCTGCAAAGAGACAAACCACTTCGACCAACCACTCATCCAGTGCATTCGGACCTACAAGACCTGCCTCTGCGTCTGGAACGGCTACTCCGACTGGTCCCGTAAGGCACGTTGATTCCACTTCAACGCCCGACTCTTTCTTTCGCTTGGGCATCAAACAGCCAGTTGAGTCAAGAAACCCCTTCTTTGGAGCTCCAGCGACCGAGACTTCTTCTAGAATGCGACCTCCAGAAGGTACTGCTGTCGGACTCACTACTGTCATTACCCCTGTCGAGTCACTATCTCTACCTGCAGCTCAAGCAAGTACCTCGGCGGCTTCATCATATATGAGATCAGAGCAAGAACTGGAAAATATCTACAAATGCTGCGTATGTCATGAGAAGGAATCTTCGGAGAACACTTTCACGGCGGAGTGCGAAGATCGTTACTGCCGCGACTGCATCAATCCGTTCCTCCAGAGCGCTTGCCGTGATGCGACACGTTGGCCTCCTCGATGCTGCAGAAAGACTCTTCCCTTCGAGGATATGCGTCATCTTCTTACTGCAGATGTTCAAGCAGAATACCTTCTCAGACAGAGCGAGGCGAACACTCCAGCCTCAGAGAGAGTCTGGTGCGTTGGTTGTTCAAAGTTCATCTCGGCTTCATGCATCAACGGAGAGGCTGCGACCTGTAATTTCTGCCATGCTGTCACTTGCGTGGTGTGCAAGAACGCTAAACATGAGGGACCCTGCGCCTCCGACGAAACAGAGTTGGAGGTTCTGAGAGCCATTGCCAAAGAAGAAGGATGGAAAGAGTGTTCTGCGTGTCACAGCTTTATCGAACACGTCTTCGGATGCTGGCACATGACGTGAGTGCCATTTCTCACGGCACTGAAGTTCGTCGTTCCGTGCTAAAAAAATTCAGATGCCGTTGCCTGCATCAGTTCTGCTTCCTGTGCAAGATGGATTGGAAAGAGTGCAGATGTCCCTGCAGTGATCCAAACTACTTGCTGGCCAGAGAAGCTCGACGAGGCATTGCGGATGTCGAGGAAGGTATGTGCGGTCATCGAAATCTCAGATATGTCACTTGCAGAGACAACTGTGACATGTGTGGATTCTGGTTGAAGAGATTCCTGTTCCAATGCACTGAATGCCGCAGTCGTTTCTGCCGTTCTTGTACTTCGTGGAGACTCTAGGGTTCATACCTTGATAGCTCGGCAATTTGAGCTCAGAGAGTGGCGATGGTTACTTCATGTATCGACGGTTTCTTTTCTCTTCTTTCCTGCAGTACGCTTCTTATCTGTCGACTGGCTTTCCCCGTCCTTGCTGTTTCATCTCATACAAGCTATACTTGTCTGCGTTCCAGATTCCAAAACACCATAGCTAGACAAATTTCACCTTGCTATCGAAGCTCTCTTTGCTCTTCTCTATTGCTAGAGTCCTCGCTCTTGTGATGTTGCAGATCGCACAAGTTGTTGGTCATGTCAAAATCGTTTCCTTTGGTAAGTGGTCTAACACGTCAAGCTAGCAATGAAAATCGACGCCACTACCCTCGACACCTAGATAGTCCTCGAGATGAGAGCCTTCGTCCCTATCGTTCTAAACAAGCGTGATACGGCGATGGAATGTTGGACAGTGGCAAATTGTCTAGTCGTCCTCGCAAAGGTAGCAGAAAGTGTTATCGTGAATACGAGTGACTGCGTGATTATTGAGGAACTAAGGCGAATGGAGAAGGAGACTCACATCGTGTGGTTACAACCACCAGTTCTTTTCAATGATTCGAGTGTACTTTGTGCATTTTTGCCAATGCATCTTCTTCGCAAGTTTTTCTCGAGTAGTGATGCACTCGGGAGGCTCGCAAGCAGCGTCGTAGGCTTCTCGCTCGCATGCCGCATAATTCGATGTTTCACACCTGCTGTACTACAGTCTCTTCTCTAAAGGTCGATAGGCCGACGAAGGAGGTCATTTATTTCTGAAGCAGTAGATTCTGCTTCAGGTTTAATGCTGTACCCCCCTTTCTTGCGGTGTAGGCATAGTTGATATCGGTAAAGAGGTGCTCTCTGGCTCGTCGAAAGGAGAGCGCATCATCCATGGCTGCAGCATATCGCAGGGTGTGCGGCCTCGCGCCTGAGCATAATAGCAACGACCCACAACAGGTAAGTAACCCTCCCATCTGGTTCGCTGCCTTCCTTGATACTCGCGCATACTAATCCAGGATCTGCGCTAAAGCACAATACCTCGGCCACGTGCGATTGTTGCTTTGGGGAGTTCAAAGCTTGCGTTGAAGGAAGGGTGGATGGAATGCGGCTCATGCCACCGCACCATCTCTCTTCAGGAGGGATGCAACCACATCACGTCAGTCACTCGATCAAATATACCCCATGACCCGATGCTGATCTCTGCGTAGTTGCTTGTGCCGCCATGAATTTTGCTACCTCTGTGGAGCCCAATGGAAGACATGCGCTTTCCCCACCTTCAATCCTCAGATCCTAGAACCCCAGCAGCTTGCAGACCTCCAATTGGCAGATCTCTCTTGTTTTCGGTCTTGTTCTTCCTCGACTTCCTTTTTCCGGAGGCTCTTTATCATCGCTGGTTCTGGTTTGTATCTCCTTTCTTGAGTATTCAGGTAATTGGCCTTGGTAATGATTAGTCAGTAATCAGTCAGTCTTTTGTTAACTCATCATTCCCTCGTCTTTGATTTCTAGTCTGCCATGAGGTCGATGATTTTGTGCTTTGCATGATGTGACATGTCGCAACTATCAAAAGGTATCAAGACAGCCTTGCTCGGGGGAGCGAAAGATGTACTCCACGAAGAAGGAAGCAAGATGAATTAATCGAGTTTCAGAGCTCAATGTTGCATTTTGATACCGGTGTACGTAGAAATACTGAATATTGACTCCCCTGCGGTTGAAGTAGAACCCTGGTGGTCCTCTATGTCTATTCGAGTCTCTTCAACAGTCAAGTTCGGGCCAACATCGAATGGTCGTTTGCCTTTCAGACTCTCAACATATCTTCCTGAATCATCATCTCAAATCAAACTTGGATCCTGTAGTCGTTCTCGGAGTTGATCTCTCCCGCTACGTCGCCTCATGAGAAGCGCCTCTCGGTCTTTCTGACCCTTTCGGCTTCAAGCCTTGGTGCTCCAGCTCTGACTCGCGCTCGTTCAAATCTTGCCAATCTGAGTCTTCGTGCATCAGCTCGCATTCTTTGTACTCGGGCTTCCCTAGCGGCAGTTTCTGCTAGTCGAGATTCAGCTGCGGCGCCGGCTTCTGCTGCGAGCCTGGCTGGCGTCCTCAGCGCTTCATTACGTCTCTCGGCGACGGCATTTGCTCGATATCGTCTGAATCTGACTGCCTGTTGGTCCGCTGTATCTCTTACCATCATGCCGGTGTATGCATTTTCGAAACGGGCACACCTGCAAGAACCAATCTGTCCTCCGCACTGAAAACAGAAGTCATAGCCGCAGCGACAAGTCATATGAGAACATCCTCCATCTCTCTCGATCATCTGTCTGCATCCGCCGCAGCGTTGCCACTGTTTCTCGTGTGATAAACAGAGAAGCTCCTGCATTGATGCGTCTGGCGGCGGACAGGTCGAGGTATCGTGAGCGACGGCTTTGCAAACTACGCAAGTGATTGTGCCACAATCATGGCAAGTCAAGTTGCGAAGCTTGTTCAACGTTTGCGGTAGATGTGCGCTGCATCTAGAATTGGAGCAGTATGTTCGTCTTGCATACGGCATCTCCAACTCCTCGATCAGAGGTGTCAGTCTCTGAATCTCTCGCTTGCTCAGGTAGAGCTTTGCGAAGTCAAAGGAAATAACGTATCCAGCGCAGCATCTGACGGGCCAAGAACTTTGATTTTGGATGCTGGAGAATCTTTCCATTATGCATGGGATGCACCAGCTATGACCACAAGACAGGCTGGCGATATCGCTTCCTATATCTTCGTAGCAGATGATACATCTCCGTGCTTCGAATGGTGTCGAGTCGTGAGAGGAGCTGTGGTTCTGTGGTCCAAAACCACTTTGAGAGTTGTCGTATTGCTGAGTAGTGTTGAAGTGCTGTGGTCCAAAGGCGCTTTGGACATAGTCGAATCCTTCGGCACCGTAGGTAGTTTGTGACCAGAAATCTCGACCAGGCCTGGGAGGCTCGATGACGTTGGCATGGAATGGCAAAAGACCATGTCGCATTATGTCCAGACTCTGAGGGTAGCCGTCCCACTCCTGTTCTCCAGAAGGAAAGCTTGAATCACGTGTGTAGTGAGACTGGTGAAACCTCTGTTCGTGAAGTCTCTGGGATTGATGGTTCTCTTCCATATCGTGCTATAGACGCGTACCGCTCACGGATTTCGATTGCGAAGTGAAGGTGATGATACTGAACAGAAGATGAGCTCAATCCCAAATACAGAGGAGGAAATTTCAATGGAGATATCGTTACATTTTGAGTTGATAGGCTGCAGCCTTGGCCCTCGATGAAATATCACATTGTGGGCTTGAGTGAGTTTGCGCAAGTTAAAGGTCACAGACTCGTGACTTGACAAGAATCGCAACAGATCCGGCAACTGCTTTCACGCTCGTTCGCATTTGACAGGACTAGGAATGAGCGACCATGAAAACGATTCGAAGATGCCTCGCCGCTATCTCATTAGGAAGGAGCCTTCTCGAGAATTTGAGGTCAAAATCTTGCACATATCAAAGCCGTTCACAACTCTATTTACGCTGCCACTCGAGCTACGTCTCATGATCTACAGTCACGCTCTCGACGATTCCTATCAATGCAACGACGTCCCTCCCACTCTCGCGAGTTAGGCTTCAAATCACACAAGAGATATACGAACTCTGCAAGCTTTGGCTCTTCGTCGAGCACGGGGATGCATCGAGTGTACTCTTGATTCTCGACTATGACGACGCCGAGGCGCACATGGCAATCATCAGGAGATTTTAGGCCAAGCACAGTACCAAATATTTCACTCTAGACATGTACTCCAAGATGAAGGAGTACAAGTTGTCGCGAAATGGGGTTTACGCTCCCCTCAAACATCTTGTCATCTCCAATCAGAGCTGTGAGATGCTTAAGGAGTCAGCAAAGCTCTATCGTCAGTCCTGAGTTAATGTGGAGTATGATTGGGATTCTATGGGTAGCGTAGTACTTGGGCGGACCCCAGGCAGGCAGATTCTCATTTCTTGCTTCAAGTCTATGCCTGCATCGTAGTCATAGTAAAATGAATACGATTTGAGCATCTTTGATCAATCTACTGTCAGTCTTTTGGCGCACTTGAACGAAGTCTTGTGACTCATCAAACTGCGTCAGAAGGTCTCCTGTCCCTTTATCGATCCATCGTCTTGACATCTTCAAAGTATCTCGGAAGTACTTTGTCGTAAACCCTCGGCACCTTTTTGACAGAAACTTACTAGTAAACTCGAATAGACAACTCTGACACAACTTGACATCCGAAAAATGGCAAAAGAATCCTAGCTATGCCTTCGGAGCTACGCATCATGATCTACGACAGCTAGCCATACTCACGTCGAGCTCCCAGAAATCTTGCACGCCAGATCACAAATCACAGCAGAGGTCTACATATTTTGCAAGATCCCAATGAGTCCCGAGCATGGCAGTTGCCCAGAAGTGTCTTTGAAAGGCATCGACAGTGACGTTTTGGCGAACTTGTCGAAGATCAGGAAATTCGAGGCATTACAGGGCAATAGAGGATTGAGCCTCACCGTCTTCTACAAGGTCAAACCATCCAGGAGCGAGGAAGAAGGCTATCGTATCGGCGACTTGACTACGTTCACTCTACGAATGCCTGTAGTAGAGTCTTGACGACGATGCGTTATCGTCTTTTAGGAGTCGATGTACACGAGGTCGAATGTTAATCAAGATGAATTCTGTACGCTAGGTCCTGCCCTTCCCAGTGCAGAGTCATACTACTCGTACATACAGTCATCACGATCTAAAGTCTCTTGATAATGAAGGCTAACCATACCGTCAATTAAAATTTCCCAGTCTCGCAAGCGACTCCTTCGCACACATCATCTCACCCCAAATACGCCCACGATATCCCTCCCCATCACTTTGAACCAAAAGAATATCATGACTAGGAACCACCAATTACCCTCAATGCAGCAAACAGAAACCCCCCCAAGTCGCCTAAACTTGGAGAGGGAGTGAAATGATATTTTCTTCTAATTTTGTCGTGTGAGGATTACTGGGACCTCTGACCTTGGAAGGGTTATTGGCGAACTTTTGTTGTTATGATCATGAGGCGGAACACATAATGGTTTTCCCACGACTGTCACCACATGCCCCCGTCGTTTTGGGCTAATTATATCGTTTTTAGATTCCTTCTACCTGACAAATACATGAATCCCTTGTGATCTGAGAAGGTCACTCATTATCTCTGATGCTTTATTCGGCGCACATCACCTCCAGCCCAACGCGCTCAATCAGTTCCTCCACCCGATGAGCTATAAGAACTTCCTCATACAACCCAAGGTATGGATACCCAATCACAAGTCCGGCGTGATGTAGTATTGCAGTAGCCAATTAACATTCTGCTCATTTGTCAATCGTGATAATCTGTGTCCAAGACTACTCCAGCCTAAACAGGTAGTCGAGTCTGCCTGTACAACTCACGGATCGCCAGGAATTGATGCATCCGATTTCAGATCATCCGGTCATTTCTCTTTCGCCAGCATGATACTCACCGAAACACCAGAAAATCTCAATCGCGTCCATCAGCAGATAGTTCCGTTAGCAGAAAATACTTGGTCTGCACAAAATCAGAACGTAGCAGCGGACTGTAGCAGAAAGGTAGCAGAAACAGCTTATAGGTAACGGAAGACCAAAAGCACCGGTGAGATCAAATATCGCAAGCCTGTCTAACATTAGAGAATGGTTGCTTCGATGACCGTGTCAGCAGTAAGAAGAAGAAAGCACAAGCCACAAATTGCTAAAGGACACAGGTTTGCTGGACGATGTCGGGAGCAGCCACATGTCATGTCGAGTTGACTGTCCGTGATCGGTAGGCAGCCAACGGCCTACCTCGGAGTTCAGCAAGGTGTTACTGGAGGGTACGGAGCTCGATCTTTGGTGTGGGGGTGGTGAGGGAGAAGAGAAGGTGATCAATGGACGAGCGACGTCGGAGTGTATACCTGTACTCGGATCTGTACTCACACCTGTTGTGTTCCCCGAAACAGGGAAACCTATGCGGCATGTCTTTGATTCCAGAGATAGTGGACGTAGCATTGCTTACTGTCTTGTGTGATTGACAGCTTCCAGAGCAAGACATCATCGGCCACCTCCGACAAACTTCAGCAGACAGTGACATTGGCATATTGACACCTGAGTGTTGACCGTATACGATCTGTGGCCAGAAGTTCCCTTGTGTTATATCAGCGGATGTACCTGGCCAGCCTCACATCCCGTGCGCATCCAACGAGGATATCTCGGAGTTGCCTGATTCATTCGAGATCCCATTCGTTACCGAAAATCTGGTTCCTTGTCTGCCTAATTCGGTCATCGAGACACAAGTTTGTAGATCAGATGAAGTCGCTCTGAGAATGCAGCGGTGAGAAAGACAATGCTTTCTCCGGCCTTCTCTTAGTCTACCGTGTGTCCCTGGGGGGTCAGCCACGATTTGAACGCTAAAGATACAATGATATCCGAGGGATCGGTCGTGCCAAAAGCCATGGGCTGGATCGTGGCGAAAGACTGATCTGTTGGTCATGAGGTGTCTGATGAAGCATCCACAGATGAGATGAGCGACCAACTGAAGTCATGCCGAGCCATACGACATGCGATGAAGCAGTCATGAGAAGTTTAGCAGTCTCCGATCGTCAGATACCGATAATGAGCCACCCATCAAGATAGAAACACCGAAGAGCGAGGTTGTCACCAAAATGGCACGGCAAAGCGATCAGCTCGAACAAACCTGTTGTGCGGATGCCACACCGAACACCACGTGCTAGGCAAATGATCAGTGCAGCTTAAAACCAATCGCCATGGTGGCTGGGAAAGGATACCAACCAATGACCATATTGTCTACTGAGTATTTGACCAATAGCGATCGGGGAAGTGAGCGGATGGCGCAATCACTCGCATCTAGCAGCGTATTCTGCTTATACCCGTCATAGGCAAATTAAAAACATGCACGACACTCGGTAAGCAAGCGATGATGCCGTCGACAGTGGCATTATGGGCATCAACGTAGGCCGTAAAATCAGGCAGACATCAACGGCCCGCCGGCAGATGTTAGACTTTTGCGGGCGACCGACATTGCAGGACATGGCAGTTCAGGCATGCAACTTGAGATATGTCTTGAGACTCACATACACGAGGAGTGTCGGTCGGGCGTAAGGTGGCGAGGTCGATTGACATTGTCAAAGTGGCCGATATACCCACCAATGCATTCTGTCGACAGAAGATAGACCACGCCACAGACGCGTTTACCGCTAGATTTTTGCGATGTGTTCGGCAGGTATTCGATGCGTTTTCATTGACACGGCAGCTGTAAATGCAGGTACAGATTCGATCTGATAGGCCAGGTCGAATGTCGCCCTAGATATCGAGCGGGGAACATACCGCTCATATACCAGTATGGCAACGTCTCGTTCAAGGAAAGAGAAAGACTAGGTAGATTCTGTGGAATGTGGTAATGCTCAAAGGGCATGAAAGGTAATTGTGGCAATGAGAACACTAGAAAGAACAGTACAGTGAGCAATAGCAATTCGTAGAAAGACGTTACAGCAGTTTACGGCGTTGGGTTATCAAATCCCTGCCAGAACACCAAAGCAAAACGGATCGTCGAATCGTAAAATCATGAGAATCGTGAAGATGGAAGATTCAGCTACTGACGTGCTCTCACGTCTCCATCTGCCCAGGTTGGTCGTCTCTCCTGAGTTCGGTACCTCCTGTTTCCAACATTGACTTCGGCCTCGACGTCAGTCGTGCGGCGTCGGTCTCGATCGTTCCTCTCTTCGTGATGATATTCTGAACGGTGCACCTTGTAGCCATGTCTGTGTTCACGATCTTGATCGTGGTATCTGCTCTCGCGAGGTTCGTCCTGGCGGTATTTATCTCTCCTGCGTTGATCATTGGTGCTGCGTCCTGCCTCAATGACGACTTCTGTACTGCTAGATCTACGAGGCTCGTCGTTGCGGCGATGGCTGTCATTGTGAATTTTGACACTGGGCCGTTGCTCTTCTTGTTGGCGAGCATGACGGATGGCAGAAGCTTCTTCCATGACGAGAAGTTGTTCTCGGAGGTAGGTATATGTATGCGGAACCTCAACTTGCGAGGGCTTCTTGTGACGTGTGTATCTCTCGAAGATCTTGCCCTTTTGCATGTAGATGGCTTCGGCGACACGTTTTGACATGTGCGTTCCCTTGTGACACAACGGAGCACCGGCCTGCCAACGCTTGTAGGGTGAGATGCATTGGCGGCAGTCTCGGCAATGCGTCTCAAAGTCGTAGAGTAGCCACGCCTCTTCTGAGCTGAGGGGCCGTGAGACACTGGTGACAATGGAAGATGAGTCTGAAAAGCGGACTCTTGGCGACGGAGGGGATGAGGGCTGGACAGCAGGAGCGGCAGGAGCCATGTTGGTTTTCGTCCGCATGGGAATTGGTTGATTGACCACAGCGGCCACTGTTGGTGTGTTCCTCGTCATGAGAATGATTGGTGTAGGTGTGGTTGAGATGGGTTGGTAGTACAGCAGGATGATTGTGGGATTGAAGTTGTTGGTGGAGATTTTGCTTGTGGTTGGCAGTTGAGGAAGGTGGAAGTGGGAAAGAAGGGAAGGAACAATGGATAGAGATTTTGGCCTTTACTTATCGGTCCTCAGGGAAGTAGCGATTGTCTGCCTGGATTATGCGGAACCCATCGACGTCAATTACGCGCAGACCATACCATACTGAATACGGACGCCGAAGAGCTGCGGCGACGTACTGGCATGCATCGCCATTACACTGCGCCAACGGCAAGCCTACGGAGCGGATGTATGGAGCTACGCTAGAAGGGCTTGGGCACAAGTTCACCACAAACCTTGATCACGGTCCAAGAGTCTGGGAAGGCTGAAATGCGCAAGAGGTGGCTCGTCAATGCGTAAACGAGCTGCCTCACCAGCTGGGATCCCCGGATAGCAGCGTCCGTGACTCACCCAGACATATGCACGAGCAGTCTCGTGAACGCATGTGCTTCAGGAACCGCCCGAAACTGGATTAGCATCATCCTCGAGGAATTCGACTCGTGGATTGACCAATTGCTGACATGTCGGTGGCATGGATGGAGGGTGGTGGCCTTGCGGCTCAGTATTCCGGTGAAAGAGCTTGGCTCTGCGGGGCACAGTTGAGGCTCGTTTGCAGTCGACAACTGCGCCTTGCACGAAAGCACTTTGTAGACTCGACAATGATTGCTTTCGCGGAAAACTGCCTACGGAATTTCATATCCGCTTTCCGATCTGAGATGTTGTAGAGGGAACAACGTGCCGGACATGGTTTGTCGCGGGTGGCGGCGTCCGCGTCCTGTGCTTCTGGGGATTGATAGCTGGTGTCACTTCGGACCAAAGGTGAGTGGGTAGAGTTGTACGCAGCGGTCAATCAAGGCAGCTAGAATGGATACATTTTCAGGATACCTGCCTGACATTCGGTACGGCCTGTAGTTGATGCTCCTGACATGTGCCGGAACGGGAGTCACGGGAGCTTAGGCATCTGCTGCTTGGCCGAGTGATGTCAAAGTCTTGAGAAGACAATCAACCGCTTTGTTCGAACATGTGAGAAGACACGCCATGATGATTGGTAATGTCGACGAGCTCTGGTCACTTGTCAGGATCGATTTCGATTGTAAGATGGTGCCTAGTGTTGGTGAAACTTTGGGCTGAGCTTCGAGTAATGGGGGCTCAAATAACAGTGGGTGTCTTTAGTCGGAAGAAGCTGCCGACTACGGTGCTCCGTACTTGTCTTCGAGCAGAGAGTCTCCAAGAACTTACAAGCCAAGCAGAGTAAATCGCAAGAGATACGGTACGTGCAGTGTGTATGTCATCAGTTCTAGTTAGGTCTATCAATCTTTTATCACTCGTTGAGACTCATGAGGCTGGTCTCGGTTGGTGAGGCTGGTCGCTAGAGGCAGGGTCCAAGTGAGATGTGGGGAAGCAAGAGTTTCGCGGATGCCAGCAACGGTCGTACTTTGAACCGTGACTGAGTTCCATGCTTCATCATCGCTGAAATTACTTTCGGAAGCTGCGTGAATACAACAGACATAGACTCACATGGTTGTATCGACTCGCGCCAGGCTTCCACGACGACAATAGGAAAATAGGACCATAGGACGATAGGCTCACCTACCATGGTCGCCCCTACATAATCAGTCCATCATCAGCGGAAGAACGAGAGGACGGCAGCGGCTAGCAGAGACTTGCGAGTCGCGAAAGAGCTATGGATACATTCATGGGGACACCTTCCAAGAGGCGCTCCATCTCAGACGTTAGCGCAACAGCTGCAAGGCTTCAGCCGTCGCCGCTTTTGACCAGTCGAATTCCAAATGCAACCAAGGACGACAGTCTGCTCGACACATCACCACAGACGCCGAGACGGCCTGACTTCCTGGGGAGAGGGCTGTCGTTACAGATGCCACCAAAGACGACGGCAACGACAGCTACGACGTCCATGGCAGCTCCCAACACTGTCCAGCGCGTACCATTATCGCCCCAACTTGACACTCAAACTTCCTACGCCTCGCCTCAGACCTCTCTACCGCGTCATTCGCGTGGTCTGGACTTTTCCAGAGCTTGCACGAATCTCCACCACTCGACTCTGGCCGAAAATCCATCTCCGAGTTCATCACCCATCATGACCCAAAGCGCGCGGAAACCTAGTGTGAACAGTATGATGCTCGACTCTCCAAATCTCTGGCCTCAAATTCAGGCAGACCGGAGTGCTGTCAGCAGCAGTGTGGGCAGTGTCAGTATGCTTGCAGATGAAGACAGCGACGACAGTACGAGTGACGATGATGTTATGGACGATATGGATGATCAGATCTTGACGACTCCGCAAGTCAGAAAGACGACCAACCCTCAAGCTCCAACTCCCTTCGGAAACCACAGCACCGTCATGTGGAGCAACAACTTTTCACCAGCCCACGCCAGTCTGATGAAGACCTTCCAGCGCAGTCGTTTGAAGAAAGGAAGAAGCAGGAAAAGCTCAAGCAGTGCCAGTAACAATTCCGCCATGCCCAGCCCGCGCACAACTTCGCCGCCGCCGTTGCGCAGCATTGAAAACTCGGCCCACTTCGGTTGGCCGCGCCTTCGAGAAAACAGACCTGAGCACCCCTCCCTTTCATCTGGTAACGACAGTGGAGACGAGGCCGCTGCTTCCTCTTCAACTCCAGGTGTTGTGCGCCGGGCCGTCACTCGCAGAGGAAACTTGCTTGTAAGTGACTGTTCTGATGACATGCCAGCGCCAACCATACTGACAGCTCTTCAGCCAAAGACAAAGAACTTTGCGCGCATTCGTGCCGCCCTGCTTGAGGAGTCGGCTCCGGTTGATAGCGAAGTCCGACGGGAGGCAGAGACAATGCGTCAAGTCCATAACCATGATCCAGTCCCCGACCTTGAAGGTCCTTCACCCGATCCCTCATCATCACAACCCAACGCCAATTCTAACGATCCCAATGACCCTCAACCAGATGTCATCAACAACAATCCTATCAGTTTCAACCTCCACGCCCATCGCAACTCGGGTGGTGTCGACTACTGGCACAAACTCGAGACCGAATTGCACACTCCTCCTCCACCCGCCTTCCCTGCTCGCGGCAGCTCATCGCTGTCTGGCGATGTTAACATGGATTCGCCTGCCGACAGCTCGACTCTGCGTTCCGCATCTGTCATAAGCATGAACGAACCCTCTGTCGCCTCTTCAGCCGAGACAGACCTTCAAGCATCCGCCTACGCCAATCAAGACGCACTACGCCGACCGTTTGGCAAACGTCGCCGTGACGACGACTTTGATATGCAGAGCTTCAAGCGCAGGGCTGTCAGTCCTAGCATGAGTGTACATGGAGGCAGTCCTGTTGTTGCATCTCCTGTTGCTTCAGCTGCAGCACGTAACCAAAGTCTGCCCAAAGATGGTGCCCCCCTTGAGAAGAGTATCAGTGGAGGTGCTGGTGGTACTGCTCCTAGAAGGATTGGTCTGCAAGGTATGGTTGATACGAACGAAGGTATCATGAGGATGAGCATCGAGTAGTAATCTTGCTATCTTGGCTGGTCCTTCTCTCGACTTCACCATTCCTTCGTCCATCGCCTCTTGGTAACAACTGGACATTCTTTTCTCTTCTTTTTTTCTTCTCGTATACTCGCGTTGGGTCTTTATAAGCGTGTGGAGTTGGAGGTTTTTCTGGCGTTTCATCAATTTGTCTTTCACCAAAGGCTTTCAGCACGATACCATAAGTATCGCTTGATCACATATATTACCATCCCTTTTCTCCTCTCTTCCAGTTCCATCCCCAGGGTGTCGACACAAGAGATTTTACCCAATCCTCGTACATGAGCTGGATCTCAATCATAATACGAGTATACCTACAGTGCCAGTTCAAAAGATAGGCACTACGCTTTCAGATCACAATCGTATGACATGAGACGCACGCGTCGAAGCATCGAGGACTTGCTTTTGGACAGCCACGACTTGGTGCCGACATCATTTGACGACATGTGCCAAGACTGATGCTATCAGGACCACCCTGCCTCTTGTATCAACGACGCGATACAAGCCCTCGACAATATCGGAGCAGGCTAAATTTGTCTGAATATGTCTTTCAGATCGGAAGCTATCTTATGATACCAACCTTAATGGATGATTTTGGGCACTGACTGATATCGGCTGGAAAAGGTCAGCGAATTTACTCTCAGCATCGTTCGAATGGATTTCGAGTGGAACAAATGCTGAAGACTTGCACGAAGCGAAGCTGCCAAGAAGGACTTCGAACCACGCACACAGAAAGCCACACAAAGCTCATATCCCATCCAAGTTCGATGTACTTGACCACTTTGTCCTCCTGTCTCCAGACAATCAGCGATTGTCTCGGCATGGTTTTTTGCAGGCTGCAATTGTGCTATATAGGTTGATAGCTTCCAAACTAGCACAAATAGCCGCTTTAGCTCATCTGGGAGAGCGCCAGACTGAAGTCAACTTGAGTCCATTCTTCGCACCCGTTGCGAGAGTATTCTGGAGGCACTGTGTTCGATCCACAGAAGCGGCACATATATCTTTTGCTTTGTGGAGGCTTGCCTGCCAGGTCGTCGGACACGATGAGTGTTCTTTTTGGCTGCATAGTGTCATTTTTGGTGTTTGAGATGCATCTGCAGTAAATTTGCGACTACATGACCTGTAGAGGACTTTAGGAAGACGATGGCATTTGCTTCGTCTTCCGCTCAAAGATAACCGTGCATCGTGTCAGCAGCTGGATTGATAGAGAAGCGAGCAGAAAAAGGAAAGAAGATGCGGACGGATGTGATTGGCCAGTCGACCATCGGCAGATTTGACCAAGCTTCCCCTCTCCCGCGGTCCCGGCATCCTGTCACCACGCGCAGCGAACGCAAAGCTTCCCTCGCGATCGCGCAAAGGTCACACTTCTGCTTCTTTCCTTCCTTGTTCACTAGCAACGACTTCCACGTTTTCATCACAGCAATCCAGCATCCAGAGACTCGATACTCTGTCGCCATCACATCAAGCGCCTCATCCCCTTACAGCTTTGCTTATCGCAACTCGAGCGCGCGCAACTGACCAGCCAACCCTTTTGCGCCAACTCACGCGACGCGACGACGACATCGACATCACTGCTACAGCTTGTCGAGGGAGGAAAGCTTTCCATTATTGGGAAGCGCTTTGAGCTTAGAAGTTAGACATATCATTCACGTCATCTGCGCGCTTCTTTGACCACATCGCGTGTCGAGTGGGGCCAGTGATCAAGGCGCATTACACCTTGTCAGAGAAGAAAGTGTGGCAACGACAGACACACACGCTCGCCAGTAGTATACGGCGCCGGCGCACTGAAGACAGGCTGTGATTTGCACACGCGCCGCCACGAGAGAGTGATTTCCCGTCGCCTGTTTCCACACCCGCACCACCGACTCATCACCACCCACTACGTTTGACTCGTTTGCGCGCCTTTGAGAGGTTGCCTCTGTGATTGAGACAGTCAGCCGCGGAAACACAAGACGAGACACGTCAACACGACAACACGACAATCATGTCAGGTAAGCAAGACATGCACAAACACGGCCTCCTACCCCCATAAACTACCCACAGCTATGCGCTTTGACGAGCCACAATTCATGGATCTCAGCTGACCCGCTCGCTCTCCAGACATCAGACGCAGTGGTCGCGCGACCAAAGGTCAACACAAAGGGCTCGAGCCTACCGAGGTAGCCACACCCAAGAACAAGAAGGGCACTGCCACAGCTGCCTCGTCCAACAAGAAGGGCGGCAGCAAGAAGTCTGCCGAGCCCGAACCCGAACCCGAAGCAGAGGACGAAGAGGAAGAAGAAGGCGCCGAGGAAGTGATCCGCTGTGTGTGCGGAGACACCAAGGACGACGAGGTTGGTCGCCAGTACGTCAGCTGCGACACTTGTGAAGTATGGCAGCACAACGTCTGCATGGGCGTGCCATTGGAGGAGGAGAGACAGCCCGAACACTACTTCTGCGAGCAATGCGAACCCAACGATCACAAGGAATTGCTCGACGCCATGGCGCGTGGAGAGCAGCTCTGGCAGACGCGCATTGCCGAGCACGAGGCCGAGAAGCGAAGAAAGCGCAACGAGAAGAAGCGACCTAAGAGTCGCCAACACAAAGCCGCTCGCCAGTCCGAAGTCAAGTCCGAGGCTCCGGCAAGCGAGCAGGCCAGCCCTGCACCGGCTGCTTCTGCATCCATCCCGCCCCCTTCCCAAGACTCGACCCCTGCTGCTGGCAGCAAGCGCAAGTTTGAGGAAGACCTCCCGCAGCAAGAGCAGGAGGTGCAGCCTACAGTCGAGACACAGCCCGAGGCACCGAGAAGATCATCATCAGCAGCCGCTACACAGTCCAAACGCCGCAAGTCGGAAAACAAAAAGGAGGAGAAGATGGATGCTGACACAGCGCTTGTCGACATCAAGCATCTACCCAAGGAGAGACAGGGTCCTGCTCAGGCACTTGTCAAAGTATTCGGCGATGTCGTTCGCGAGAGAGTCACAACTGGGTGAGTCGCTCCTTCCACTTTTGCATGCACAGTCATGGCTAACCCACGCTTTCCCAGTTCCTACAGCCTCGGACAAGGCGAAAACGCAGAGTCGGTCAGCCATCATCATGCCACACGCATCGAGTACGAACTCTACCAAGTCTATGGCGCTCCTCCCGGATCACAGGGTTACAGTCAGCAGTTCAGAGCCATTCACGCCAACATGAAGAAGAACCCCATGCTTGTTCAGCGCATGCTCGACGGCTCCCTCACCGCCAACGGCCTGGCAACAATGTCAAGCCAAGACATGGCTAGCGAAGAACTGCAGAAGCAACGCCAATTGCTCAAGGAAGAGGCCGATAAGCAGGCCGTCATGATGCGCGACGATGAAGACGACAAACCTCGTGTTCGTCGCACACACAAGGGCGACGAATACATCGACGACCAGGCCGAGGGCACACACGAGTCTGTCTTCACCTCAGCGCCTGTGCGTAGCAGAGAGGAAGAGAAGCCACCAACACCCGATGCCGACGCTCCTGCTACTGCTGGCGCCGCTGCCTCACCCGATGCCATGGACATTGACCGACGCGAATCAAACTTCGACATCAACTCAGTGTGGGCAAAGACGCCCGCTGACCAACAAGCACAGCCCACTCGCCGTCGTAGCTCATTCGCAAAGACACAGACACCACAGGAGAAGGGCGAGAAGCATGATGCTGATGTCGATCGTATGCTTGCCGACGACAACGAGACCGATTACGCCCCACCTGAGGCCAATGGTGTCGTCTGGAAGGGTCAGCTCGTCCAGCCTGGAGTCACAGAGTTTACAGCTTGTGCTCGTCATGCTGCTGGAAACGACTTTGGTCAGTTCATGCCTTGGACCGAAGTTCTTCCTCCAGTGCTCGAGATCGAGGGTCGTCTGGAAGCTAAGCGCGCCGATGACTATCTTTGCGGTCTTCAGTGGAGCAAGAAGAGTGATGTGTCGGTCCTGGCCTTGACACCATACGACAACCGTGCCGCCTTTGACCAGATCTTCGACTACTTTGCTACTCGTGGCCGTTACGCCGTCATCAGCAAGGCTCGTGGCATGTCGTCAATCGTCAAGGACGTCTACATCACTCCTGTCGGCCCTGGCCACAATCTGCCACCTCACATTAACCTGCTCGAGTACAACTCACTGGACCCTAATGTCCCCGAACGCATGCTTGTTGTCACATTCGTCGTCAACAAGCCTGACCACTGGGACAACCCCGTCGTTCCTGACGCTCCCCACACCATTGGCGCCTCTCCAGTCAATGGCAACGCACATGGCCCGCAGTTTTCACCACGCCCGCCTCAAGGATTCACTCCTATGCAGAACGGCCACGGACAGCAGCAGTTTGGCGGCGCTCCCATGTCTTCCAACCCCTACACCACAAACTCTCCCGTTCCTGGACAAGCCTACTCAGCACCAAACTCGGGAGCTGGAGCCTACCCTTCGCCCTCACCTCAATTGCCACCACATCCCAATCCTGTGGTCCACGGTATCCTCGGCGCACTGGCACACACACCCGTAGTCGCTCAAATTCTGTCAGCAGCAGGCAGCCACGTCGAGGAGCACGTTTTGCTTAACATGCGCGATATCTTGACTTCAGACCCTGCTGCACGCGACGACCTTACAATCTTCTCGCAACGTCTGGCTGGCATGGGTGCACAGGGTCAGCAGGGATAGGATCCTTGTGAAACTCTTGTTGCAAAGCTGATGCCAGAGGAGATTCAGTGTGTGGCTGGTGCCGGAGATGTGGGTGCTGCCATCAAGCATGCTGATCTTTCTACTGCGCTTGCTGGACGGCTGTTGTGGAAGCGTCAGCTTTATCGCTAAGAGTGAAGGGGATTTGACGCTATGCATGGTATGACTCTATCGCATTCGGGAAGGTCTGGCGGTCATGAATAGAGTATGGCCCTTGCTTGGACTCGTTTAACTTTTCATGTATTTCCTTTTTCCCTCTCTTTTTTTCTCTTCTCTTTTTGCTGGAATACTGGCTGTGTGCTGAAGCACACGGGCGGTGGGAATGAAAAAGTGGCACACAGAATCAGTGTCTCTTTTGCTTTCCTTGCTCCTCCCTTCACCCTGTTGTCATACTGTTTCTTTCTGGCTGGCGCTTTCTAGGTGTTTTTTTTTGTTGTATTGGCGTGGTTCTCCAAAGGGATTAGCTGGGATTTTGCTTTCTTTTGCTGGGAAAAAAAGAGAATTGGTCTGGGACAACGGAGGCCCATGGCTTTTTTTTTTGCAGTTTTTTTTTTTTGCAAGGAGATTAAATATTTGACGAGGAAGTAAGTGGATGCAAAGAAAACTTTTTACTCTATACTATTCTCTTGTGCTGGGTTTTTCATCTTTGTGTGAGATTTTGAAGCTTCTTAGCGAAAAAGAGAGAAATCTTCCTTCAACATCGATGACTCGACTAGCCACTGTTTCTTAAACACACTGGTTTGTTATTTTATTTTTCTTGACGCTGTATGCTTTCTTCAGTTGTCTTCATGGCGTGTTATTTGTTCGTTCACCTGAGAGCCTGAGTTGTGGCAGAGACGTCGGACCAATAGGCACTTTCTCCCAAGCTTCAACTCAACAACAAACATCATCACAAACACCAACATTGGACGTTGAAGACGGGTAGTAGCCTTAAAATAATACTGCTAGTCCATGACTACAGTAATGAACTAGTTCAAAGCTCTTCTAACGGAATGACTATAGCCCCAGCGGAGACACAATGCCACAGCTAGCTATACACTAATGCTTGAAACCACATCACGAACCATGGCGCTCAATACGTTTCCAATACACCCTTTCTGAAAACTACTTAATGATCTAAGTAATAGACGAGATCAGGCGACACCAACAAGGATCTTCTTGCCGAGCTCCATGTCCTTGACTTCCTTGGCCCAGGCGTTGCGTCTTCTCTTGGTGCCAGCATCCTCACCGGCAATCTCCTCGAGCTGGTCGTCATTCAACGAGCTGACAAACTGAGGCGAGAACAGCTTGAGAGGATTCTTGGGTCCAGTGACCAAGAGATAGTCTGCGGCCTGCATGCAGACATTGTCGACAAATCTCTTTCTGGCAACCTTGTAGTAAGCCTTGAGGATGTCGTGGACTTCATAGACCGTGTGCTGTGCGTTCGACATTGGGTGGTTCTGGACGATGTCGTCAAGTGCAATAACGCTGCGTCCAGTAGTGCCAAACTGGGTTGGCTGAGTCGTGGCGTGCTTCTCAAGCGAGGCACGGAGACGCTTCTGACGGCTGCGCATGTTGTGTCAGTACTTGTATCTCGAGAAATCCTGACTCAGCTTACCTCTTCTCCAGGTTGTCGTTGAAGTAATGGTTGATGGTCTGAGGGTTGTTGTGCTCAACGTAGAGCACAAACTGGACCTGCTCAAGGGCACGGCGGTAGATCTCCATCAGAGGCTCCATCATGACAGACATAATGCCGTTTCTGACACGTGCTGAGGGACAGACAAGCTTCAGCAGGTCCGTGATGAACACATGTGCCAGATGGATGATGTCTAGGATGTAGCCATGTGCGAGGGGCTCCCACTTGGCTGATTGAGCCTTCATGGTTGTGCCGAGAAGGTTCTTGTCAAAGGTCCCCAGCTCGAAACCACGAGAGCTCTTGTACAGGCCCGACAGCCATTCGATGATGTTGGTGGAGATCTTGTCGTCAATGAGACGCTCGCCACTGATCAGATCCTCAAGGTCCGGGTGGTCTGGAGTCGAGCGCAGCTTCAAGCCCTGGCCACCATTGCTGCTCAGGTTCGATCTTCCAGGGACTTCCGGAGTGTAGTCGAACTTGAAACCGTAGCTGTGAAAAGTTAGAGTCAGTTTGAATCATGTCATCATCGTTCGAGGAAGAGTTCACAAGCACTCTCTCCATAGGAGGTACAGAAGAACTTACGCATGACCGTGCTTATCGACAGCATCGGCGAAGGCTTCGCCGCAGTTCACAACGCCAGTGACATACATCAGAGTGGAACACTCGTCGAACCACTTGTGTCCGGAATAATTGGAGTTGAGTGCCAAGCTGACCATCTCACGAAAGCGCGAGCTGATGTCCATGGTGAAGCGGCGTTGTTCGTCAGGTGTCTGACGCTTTTCACCGAGCTCCTTGAGAGCACGCTTGGCCGAGTTGAGCTTCATGAGCACTTCTCGCTTCACGTTAGAGAACTCGCGACGAATGTTGCTTGTCAGAACCTCTTGGAGCCTGCTGCGTAGAGCATCAACGCCCACGCGCTCCTTGTCGAGCTCGTTCCAAGGCGAACAATCACGGAAGAAGGCATTCTCCACAGCTGATCTGTCCGCAGCGTTGTCTTGACTCTGCTGTTGGCCAAGGTTGCGAACCAGGCACCATCCAAGCTGAAGTGGATGTCTATCACCCTTGATGAGCTGCATGACACCGACTTCGGCTCCAGGGTCGACCAGGTCAGGCTTTGTCAAGACACCGATGTACGATGACCATCGAGATCAGCTTCTTCGGCAAGAGTAATGATCTCTTGAGTGGCAATGTCAACATTGGCCGGGATGACGACCAGCATGACAGAACGAGGGTTGATCATGTAACGGGGGACCATGGCCTTGATCATGGATGCGTCTGCAAGCGTAGTCATGCCCTTCGTGGCAGTCCTGAAGATACCTGGAACATCAACGACGGAAAAATGTTCCTGCTCGGGACCAGTCACTTCAATCTTGAGTACGTCTTCGGAAAAGGTCGACTTGTTGTCACCATCGGAGGGATTGTCGGACAGACCCAAGAGCTTGTGGACGTCCTTCATGGTCTTGGAGAATGAGACAGGTTCGAGGACAGCATGGGTAAGGACTTTGAAAGCGCAGAGTTTCTCAGCGTATGCTGGGGTGGCGCCCTTGTGAGGGATGATGGTGATGGTAGTGCTTATGGCCTGCGCGCGACGGAACGTGATTTGAGTCGCGAATCGAGTGCAAAGACCAGAGTCTCTAGGGAAAGGCAACTTAGTGATGCCCTCTAGGACGGATGACTTGCCGCTGCAATCGACTTAGCATCGAGTTGATCGCGTAAACAACGATGATGAATGGCAGAGCGCTTACCTTGACTGGTCGCCAACAACAACCAACTGCGGCAGGTGGATGTGATCTCCGACACCACAGGCGAAGAGCTTGTCGATCTTGTCGAGGTGGCCCGGATCTACCATGTTGCTAGGCAAGCTAGCGCTGGGATGATGCATCTTGATGTGATGCGTGGAGATGATGGTGAGTAGGTCGTGTGGAAAGTAAGAAGGCTGGCCAGAAAAGCTGGACTTTTATGATGGGCTGCAATGATGTGTTGCGCAAACACGCGGAGCCGAACGCGAATGGAAGTGAGCTAAGTCTGGCAGTGAAAGTGGGCGAGAGTCAGATGCGCAGGCTCGCCCAACGCGTTCTCAGCAAGGCGCCTGAGACGAAACTGGCAAGTGCGAAAGTGAATGCTTGCGTGCGCGGCAACCCTTTCCAAGACGAACAAAGAAGCGACGATCAAGAGAAATCTTCAGAGCGCACCTGCACTATGTGGAAGATTCCAAACGCTAGCCAGTGACAGAAGCAGTGCGGAATTGTTTGTAGTAATCCGTGGCCTGAGCTGGACGTTAATGGACAGTCGCTCCAACGAAATATTCATTGCTTGACACTCGGTCCTTTCGCGTACACTAAGTGTTACTGGCACCGCTTTGATCGTCCTAGTCAAGCACTATAGGACGACTGACAGTGCCTACCGCACCTCTACTTCTCAATATGAACGAATCAATCTCGTCCCAGTTGTCAATCGCAGCAATATGATTGAGCCCTTCCTCATCTTCCTGGCGAGAGATATCCTCTGCTCTGATCTGGTTAACGAAAGTTTGTGGGTCGTGATCATTGTAGGCCGTTTCTTGCTGGCTAGGATCATCCTCCGCCGCGCGATTCGAAAAGGACTCGTCCCAAACATCAGCGAACTCAAAATGCAGGCGAGGTTCTGCTGCTCCAAAGATGTCCGTGAGCTCTTTCAGCCTCTTCAATTCCGTAGCATCCTCAAGCCCACTGATGATGATTGTTTTGGGCGGGCTCCCGCATACACTTCCGAACAATTCCATGATGGCTACGTGAGTCTGCCTCTGAAAACACAGAGCACAGTAGCAGTTTTTCATAGACACCTCCAACCGATCAAGCTGTAGATAATTCAGAATACGACCACGCTCTTGCCACATGTCGTTCAGATCATCTTCGAATTTCTCATTGTGCAGTACCCACTGCCGCGCGTGACTGAGCCGACCAAAGCTCGGATTGAGCTTGGTTTCGCGAGCAACACATGCCCTGATGAAGCCAGGATCAAGCTCTACCTCTCTGCTGTCATACGAGATGCTCAGGCTCCTCACGTGTTTGAGTGCCATGGCCGATATGGGAAATTCTTCCGGCTCATCTTTTAGGCCAGGAATTCGACCACAACTTGTAGGTTCCATAAGAGCAGACGAATTGGTTTTTAGAGAAGAAGACCGGGGCGCTCTCCTGGAGGAATTGTCTGCTGACGCCAAAGAGTTGAACCTCCGGATGATTGTATTTGTCCGTATCGTCCTCTGGCTTGGGGCATTGAAAGACTTTTCCAACAACAAGTAGTTCCTTGTATACCATGTTCCTGATTTCGAATGGCAGTTGCAAGAACGGAAAGCACTGGCCAGAAGGTAACTTCGGTCGATACGGATATCTCTTCTTATCCTGTAGCGAGAGTATTGCAGCAACGTCCCAACCATTGACTATGTGTACGATGTCCCCGACTTCATCGCCACTGTCATTGTTGTCGTTGTTGCGACGACGTTCAGCCCTGCCTCAATCATATGCCTCGATGCTTTCTTTCGTCACGGTCTCGGTGATCCTGGCCAACTGAGCATCAGTGAAGGGTCTGTAATAACCAGACTTCGATCTCTTGGCTTTCCGAGCAGAACGTTTGCATCTTCGAGTGGTCGGCATGGTCGCTGGTTGTTCGTCAGTGATTAGACAAAAACGTATCTACATGTCGGCGGAGGATAGCGGTATGGGGAAACATCAGACAACGAGTCATGGAGCTTTCCCATCACCAGTGCGACCGATATTGCACACCATGTCGTCATCAGGATAAGTAGATCAAGCTACACGTCTTCGTTTCGAGAGAGTCTACGCTGGTGCCTATGGCTAAAGTGGTCAGATATAGTCGTTTGGGAGCACGTTATGTAAAGCGAGGAATGTCTGATGACGGTTGTAGATAGCCGTTGGCACAAATTCAAAGTTTGACAGGGTCGAGCTGCAGCTCTCGGCAAGGCACGACGAACAACCAAGACAAGTACACCAACACCGAACAAGCGACTCACAATGACCACAGACATATCACTCGTATCACTACTCACAGTCGCGTCCAGACGAATTATCTCAGCAACCTGATGAGCCGGCCGTTTGTCAGTCATCAGCAGGACGAAGACAGCACCATGACGCCGACCGAGGCCTCGTCACCACCGCCGTCCAGCTTGCTACCTTCATCGTCGCAGATTCCAGGCCTCGACCTCCTTTCGGCCGCGCAATTTGACGCTCGGGTCATCGCCAGAAGAGCCGCGTCTTCACCAAATGCTCCAGTCAGCAAGCGCGCCAAACTAGATTCATCGACCAGCTCGACATCGTCGACAGCTCCTCGCACACTCCTCTCCAACAAGCCGCGTGGCGATTGCGCTGCCAAAGTCAACCATCTGTGCCAGACGCTACATCTGCGCGCCGACTATGAATATGAAGAAGGTCCTCCTTACGCCTTCTCGGCCTGCGTGAGACTGCTAGACGGTGACCAGGAAATAAAGAGTTTCGAAGCAATTGGTCTATTTGGCAGTAAAAAGGCTGCCAAAGAACAGTGTGCCGATATGGCTCTGCAGTGGCTAGAGGCACAGCCCGTTCCCGCCAAGCCTTCCAAAGACGCTGCCCTTCTGCCGCTTGCCGCTGCCAAAATCGACCTGACTGAGAATTGGGTCGGTGTGTTACATGGTAGGTCGTGCTGCTTCCTTGACTATCTCTTTGTTACTGTGCCTTGTTGTGTGCTGAGCTTGATCCACTCTTGGCCATCTGCTTTCCAGCCTGCACGTCAGCTTCTCGAATCATCATTTTAACTCATAGCATCGTCTGCGTGAGGTCCTATCTCAGTAATAGCGCCGCCGTCATGCTATGTACAGCGTGATTCACCGCATCTTTTGGAACTCTGAGTTGAGGTAACTATTCGAGAAACAACATGCAGGCTGGGAAGCATGCTTCTGGAGATTTATCATGCTAGTAATGCAGCGTGTCAGTCTACTCCTTGATTACTCGTCTATGCCTCATGATAGTTGCATAATAGTACGGCGGTAGAAGAGACATGAGGCTTGTGCTGCTTTCCACTTCTTTTGTGTCACCAACCCGATGCCCTCTTGGCCCCTCCACATACGAGCACATATCAAACTACGTTTTTACTATGTCTAACAACAGTACAGAATTCTGCCAAGCACGAGGTCAAGGTCAGCCAGAATACTCAGTCTACGAACTCGGTCCGCAACGCTTCGGCGTCACATGCTCAATCTTCGGCCAAACACATCACGATCAGAATGCCGCCTTCTCGAGTAAGAAGCATGCGAAGACCGCCGCTGCTCGTGATGCTGTCCTGACTCTCCGCGACGAGGGTATCCTGCCCGGACCTGCTCTGCACAAAATGTCAGTCAAAGCTGCTCCTCGGGTTTCTCCTGCCGTCCCTGCATTCGGAGCTCCGTTGCTCAAGCCCATCGTTCCCGTCGTTCCCGTCGTTACCACCACACCAGACGTTCAGACATCTCCTTCGCCTTCCGCGAGCTCACTCGTTCCTGTCCTCTGCAGCGCCCTGAACATCGCCGCGCCAAACTACAAATTCGTCCAGACCTCACCATTGACCCCTGACTTCTGGGACGGCGAAGCTCGCTTTGATAATCCCATCGAGCCTTGCCTTCGCGGCCCTGTGGGAAGAGTGGAGAGGATCTATGGAAAGCGAATGGCAAAGGACAAGGTTGTGCAGCAGGTGCTGGAGGTACTTGAAAGCATCAAGCAACAGAGAATGGCTGGTTGAGGTACGGACCACATGGTCAGAAAATCATTCTCTCAATGACATCAATCGCGTGTCGCCAGATGTCAACTTACTCCTTCAGTATGACTGACTGCTTGCAATATCATGCCTCACAACCAGTCCATCCACAGCATCTGGATAGCGGCCCCCATCCTCATCATCTGACCTTTCCCCCACTACCCTCGCCACCAAACTAACTCAACCCTACTCAACCCATATATTCAAGACATTTTGTGCTCCCCTGTCCGCCAGCCAAGGACCCTTCACACCGGTGGCTTTGGTCTAGTTGGCTGGCCCGACATTCGCCAAACACCCCCCCCCGGACACGCTCGGTTCACAGTTCAAGTTACGGCAACAGCCAAAACTTACGAACTGTGTAGGATTTATAATAAGAGAACGTGGAGGCTGCCGGTTTCTTTCCACAGGAGGCGTGGTTTCTTTTGCTCTTTTGGTAGAGAGGAGGATGATAGGTAGTAGGTATACAGACAGTGATCTTTTCATTTCGCGTTCTTGTTTCTTGTGGTGTTCTTGTGATGTTCTTGCTATTGGTTTTGCGTCGCATGTTTCCGACTTCCCGTTTCGGGTAGTTCGTCCTTTTGTGCTTCTTTGATTGCGTTCGCGTCTCATTGTTTCCTTCATCATGCATTCTCGTAGAAGCCACTTTTCGTTCACACTGTCCTCCGCATCTTCGCACACACATCCTGTCACCGACCCTCTCCGCGCCCGTCCTCCAATCGCTCTATACAACTTTTCACCCCTGAGTTCAAAAGTCAGCACCACACTTTTGATTTTTGATGATGCTGTACATCTGTTTAAGATGCTACGTCTGCTCACACATTTCCGTACACGTCTTTGCATGCTCTTCATTAATAGTTGATGTGCAGCTATCATATGCAAGACTCCATCGAAATGAGGGTTTTCCTTGCCAGAATACCTCAATCAGTACCGGCCGACCTTGTCGTGCTTCTCTACAAAATGACCAAGAAACGCTACTTGAAGCATTTGGAAGTCACCTGGTCCCAAGCACATTGACCACCGCCAAACGCACTGGTGCCCAACCTACCGGCCATCCGCACCAGCTGACCCCTGAAACTCCCTCATCCGACCTCGTTTCTCCCTACTACGCCCTAATCTATATATTCAGCTTCTTTAAGGTCCCCTTCACAAGCGAAAAAAACCGTGGTGGTGTAGTGGTTTAACACACCCGTGGTCTTAACACGTGCGTGGTCATTCGTTGTTACTCGACGTCGTGTCAGTCTAGATCCGAGGAGGTCGCGGGTTCGATTCCTGCCCATGGTGCTTTGTTTTTGATACTTTTTTGTTTCCACGTTACGTTCTTGCTCTTTTGTAGTCAACCTGTGATTGCTGTTATATCTTTTGTCTAAAGCTTGACAGAGCCTACTATCATCCTTTCTAGCTTTCTGGTATTGATCATGTTGCGCTCTATCTCCCTGACGTTACTGGCACCGATGAAGGCCATGTTTGTCTGTAGCTCGTTTCGCAATATTTGGATCGTGCGTCTGATGCCATGTTCGCCGTAGCCACCTGACATGCTGAACAAGACCGGTCTGCCGATGCCAACTGCAGTCGCTCCCAACGCCAGTGCTTTGATGATGTCGGTACCTCTCCTGATACCACCGTCCACGAAAACTTGCATGTGTTTGTGTAAAATATGTGGAGCATATCGATCAATTTCGAGGAGGGTAAGAAGGGGCGGCTGCGCTGTATCTTGAGATCGTCCTCCATGATTCGAGAGAACAATACCATCGACTTTATGATCAAAAGCAGCAACAGCGTCTTCAACTGTTTGAATACCCTTGATGACAATAGGTAGCTTTGTAGCTTTTCGTAGCCAGTCAATTATATCCCAGTCAAGGTCGGCGTTTATGAATCCAGTATTCGCTTTTGCGATGCCGACGCTCTGTGTTGTTTCGACCACTTCTTCGATCTTCTCTTCAATCTGAGTGGTTGTCAGTATATCTTGTTTCTCTTCGAGTGCTTTAGAACTCACGTCAGCGACTGATTTCGATCTTTCGTCTCGCTCACGATTGCCGACTACCGGTGAGTCGACTGTCAGCCAAATCGCAGCCACACCGGCTTTCTCGACTCGTTTGATAAACGCTTTCGATTTCTCCAAATCTTTGTCTGCGTATAGCTGCCAGAAGACTGGTTGATCCTTTGATATTCGTGCGTTCATGATATCCTCAATCGGCATGCTGGAGACTGTATTGACAACTTGTATACAGCCTTCCTTACCAGCAGCCGTAGCAATAGCACATTCTCCTGATGGATGTACTAGCTTCGCAAGTCCGACGGGTGAAGTATAGATTGGTAAAGCAGATGGATAGCCAAGAATGTTTGTGCTGCAATCCACTTTGCCAACTTTTCGTAATACTCGACCTCGTAGAAAGACTTTGCGGTAGGCATCTGCGTTCTCTCTCATACTGATCTCGTCGTCAGCTCCAGAAGAGACGTAGGACCATGCGGTTGGTGTCATTGTCTGTTTGAGATTAGTATCACTGTCCAGTGTTTGCACAAAGACGATTTGCATACCTTTTCTGCCACGCCTTCGAAGTCATTGACACTGATCATAGAGCTCAGTGGCGGGCTTCTTTTGGCTTCTTCCCTTGGCTCTGATTTCTTGTCCATTATTGGAATAGTTGTTACATCAATTGTTCCTTTTCGTGCATCCGGTCCAAGAGTCTCCTTGACAAGCTCAGGATTGTGGAAGAGATCATACTCGTCGGATGCATCTTTACCAGCCAGTTTGAGTATTAGACTTGCACCGCCAGGATGTTGATCAAGAAAGTCTGTCACATCCCAAATTTCGCCATGTATGAATACCCAGCAAGACTTTCGATTGTTGTGCTTCGCGAGCTCTGTTGCATCAATCTTCATCATTCTGCTGCAGCTCGAAGTCCAGCTCCAAGTTGTCTAGATGTTTAATGAACATATCATCCATGGTCAACTTGTTCATGGCTACGGAGTTAGGACTCTGTAGTTAGAGAAGCGTGGGGGTCACATCGGGGAGAAAGAACGATGGCGGGGCTGATCGTCGCTCCCCCGCTTCACCCCTCAATGTCGGCCTTTGAGACCCACCAGGGTGCCATATCATCATGATGCTTGGCCGGTCGAAATATTCCTTGATACACTTATTCCCAATCCCACCCGAGTATAACAAGATGTCAACATCAGAAAAGGAGATCAAGGTCCTACTGTTTGGACTCGGCGCGTAAGTCCTCCAAGACGACCCAACTGCAGTAAATTAACTAAGATCATGTAGCATTGGAGGCTTCTATGCCTTTGTACTTGGCCGTAATGACAACGTATCCTTAAGTGTAGTAGCAAGATCGAACTACCAACAGGTCAAAGAACTCGGTCTCCGGATCGAATCTGAAAACCACGGCAACCACAAAGTCAACATCGACGAAGTCTACAAGTCACCAGAGGAGATCACATCATCGTTCGACTACATTGTATGCACGCACAAAGCCGTCAACCCATCAAGAGTACCACCACTTCTGGAGAATGCGGTAGGTGACAAGACAACCTTTGTCATTATCCAAAATGGCGTCGGCAATGAAGAGCCCTTCCGCAAAATCTACCCGAACAACACAATCATCAGCTGTGTAACATGGGCAGGAGCAACCCAAACCTCTCCCGGCCTAATCCGTCACACAAAATCCGAAGACATGCAAATGGGTCTCTTCCCCAACACTTCAATCGATAAAACGCTAGAGCAAAGGCGTCTAGACACTTTCGCAAACGTCCTCACCACCGGAAATACAATCTTCCAAGTCGAAAGCGATATCCAAATCAAGCGCTGGGAAAAAGTGACTTGGAATGCAGCTTGGAATTCCATAACCACACTCACAGATGTGAATACGCAGGATTGGCTCAAGTCAACTCCAGAAGCCATGGCTATCACAAAACGCCTCATGCATGAAGTCATAGATGTAGCAAATCGCTGCAATGTACCTTTGAAGCATGAGCTTACGGATCAATTGGTGGATAAGATATTAGCTATGCCTGGCATTTTCTCGAGTATGCATACGGATATGAAGGAAGGGAGACCGTTGGAGGTTGATGTCATTTTGGGGTATCCGGTGAGAATGGCGAGGGAGCATGGTATGGATACACCGGTGTTGGATACCATTTACGCTCTCACTGCTGCTGTAAACGGGAGATTGAACAAGCTATAGATGAGCATAATCTTGAGTCTCGTTTTGATGATATCAAATATTGATGTCCATGTGGTAGACAGCCTACGCTCCGTTCTGACATACCTCTGGAGCTGACCGCAAAATCGTCATTGTGTAGAGCACTAGCAGGTCTGTTGACAAATCCACAAAGCCATTGATCTCGAGACCCCCAAACGCAGGTCCGAGACCCCCACGCCGATCTGCGGGGGTCTCGGATAGCATTATTTACCGGACCTCGTCGAGACATGTACCGAGCGCCTTCCCAATCGGCCTCTGAAAGCTGTTTCGACAACTTCACTCTTATAAGAGTGACAAGCCGAGAAAGTCTGATCCAGATATCGACTGCAGTCACTCACACCAAACTTCATCTAATATGGCACTAATCAAACTAATTGAGTACTTTAGAGTCAAGCCAAGATGGCTATTCGTCAAAATCACCGACGAAGATGGCAAAGTGGGTTGGGGTGAAGGTACACTCGAGGGTCATACATTGGCTGTGGAAGGAGCTTTAGACGAGATAATTGTCCGCTTGATTGGACAAGACGCCAACAGAATCGAGCATATATGGCAGCTTATCTGGAGACTTGGTAAGTACAGCAGGTCAAGAGCCGTATACAAGATGTAGTTCTGACAGGATTGTGTGATCTAGGCTTCTATCGTGGTGGACCTGTTTTCATGTCTGCTTTGTCCGGCATTGATATCGCATTATGGGATCTCAAAGGTTGGCGTTCAACATTACGGAAAGCTTGTATCCATGCTAATCTCAATACAAGCACGACGACTTAATGTCCCGATCTACGAACTTTTGGGAGGCAAAGTCCGAGAGAAGTGTCAAGTCTACTGCTGGATCGGCGGTGATAGACCTGCAGATATTGAGACAGCTGCGTAAGTGTATTCACCAATCCACGAGATGGTCTGATTCTCACAGCCGAATAGGAGAGCAAGAAAAGAGCAAGGCCTCACGTGCGTCAAGATGAATGCCACCGAAGACATTGGCTGGCTTGACGATGCAGCCGTTCTGGACGCAACAGTCGAGCGCCTGAAAATTGTCAAGAGTCTCGGTCTAAATGCTGGTCTAGACTTCCATGGTCGCCTTCATCGACCAATGGCCAAGCAATTGGCAAAGGCTTTGGAGCCCTATCGTCCACTCTTCATCGAAGAACCAATCTTGTAAGGCCCATCTGGTATGCCCACACGAGCTGTTGTGCTAACCGTAACTCCACCAGGGTGGAGCATATCGAGGCTTTGAAGCAGCTAGCAGCGCAAACGAGCATTCCTATAGCTCTTGGAGAGCGATTATATCACCGCTGGGACGCAAAGCCATTCTTCGAAGCAGGAGTGATCGATATCCTACAGCCTGATATTGCTCATGCTGGAGGTATCTCAGAGACCAAGCGCCTCGCCAACATGGCGGAAACCTATGATGTTGCAATGTAAGACATGGAACATCTTCTCTTGGATGTTTGCTAACAAGCCACAGTGCACCACATTGTCCTTTGGGCCCAATTGCTTTCGTAAGTGATACCAGTAGGCTCGAGAAGCGAGAAGTGAAGAATACGCCAGCGCCATACTGACTTGTCTCCTTATAGGCCGCATCATTGCACATTGGGCTCTCAACCCCGAACTTCACCATCTTGGAGATGTCACTGGGCATGCACTACAATACTGAGGCCGGTGACATTGACTTGAACACATATCTGAAGGACCAGTCCGTGTTTGCCATCGATGGCGGTCATGTCGCGGCTCCCACTGGGCCCGGACTAGGCATCGAGGTGGATGAAGAGATGATTCGTAAGATCTCGGCAGAGACTCAACCTTGGCAGCCGAAAGAATTCTTTGGTCCTGATGGCTCAATCAGAGAGTGGTGAGCTACGTAGGCTGTGTAAGAAACTCGATGAAATGGCACCCTTCGCACGACTGCATTTAATAAATGATGGGCGTACGCCGTGAACTCCTTCGAGACTTCGTTTTTGAGCATCGATGGTGCTAGCAATGCTTGTTCATGGTGTGGAGAAGATCTAGCCATCCAGGATCATGGTTGCACACGAGTCGAGTACCCTCGATGCTTCTAGCAACAGCTCCCACTCGGCATTGGCAAAGTCCTGAGATAGGGATTGGCACAGCGCAGCACATCCCTGAGCAGACACTTGGCTCGGCAGAGTGTCAATGCCAGATCCAACGCAGCTTTTTATATATTGGAAAGCAATGTTCTGTGTCAATGTGTCATTCGGCATTGGTGGTCTCTGTGAGAGGCTGGAAGGTACTCTCACTTTTATGGCGAATTGATACGACCATATTGACAGCGCTGCAAGATATAGGACCCAAGGTCGATAGATGGACGCGTCAGAACGACATGTGTATCTGATTGTCACGGTCGTATCCGACAATTGCCCTGTAGCTGAGCTCGTCTCGAGGAGGGACTCGTTGAGGAAGTCGAAAGCATGGGCAACGGCAAGTCTGGCTGAGGAGCTCAATGCCCAGTTGCGCATCCTCGTTGAACAGCCAACGTAGTCCTTATCGGTGATCTTGCGACCAAGTAAACGTTTGGTACCTGCGAAGACCTGTGCATCCAAGATGTCAATGTGTGTCGTGAGATATCCTAGCCGGAGAATAATAGTCGGATTAAACACCACGTCCCTGACCTTATCGCGTTTTCGACTGTGTGCTCTTGACTTTTCAAGCGCCCTTTGGAAGCTTTGGCACCAATGACTGTATGCATTGAGGAGCAAGATCCTCCACCGCTCCGACTCCTGGGCAGTAGGTATTGTCTCCAAGAACTGCTGGTTTCTCTCACGGCGTTTGATATGCCAACCAACACTAAGGAGGCCAGATCCAAGAATCATCCGGGCACCATGGTTCGATTGTACTTCATAACCATGTAAGCATCTTTTCAAGCTGTCTAGGAAAGGTTGCTGGTTAATGCCGTGCATTGCAAACGTCTCTTCTAGCCGCCAGACGTCCTCGGGACTTGAGGCAGACCAGAGAGAATCGTCACATGGCAATGGAAGCCGTAGCTCGTAAGGCAAAAGCGAACTTTCATGTCCGAAGGCTACAGCATGTAGTGTATCCATCTGTAATGCGGCAAAGACTACACGATGCCAGGACTCATTCCTTGCCCAGCGCCGCCACCAGCCCAATTGTTTAGAGGCACCATTTGTCTGGTGGGCGTTAGGCCCTGGAGATGGACATCGAGTCGGGGGTTCCTCGTCCTCTGCATGACCAACCATAGGGCTACCACGCCGTAACAAAGCTAGAGTCGAAGCGTGGTGAATGTACGCGCGCTCGTGTAGTCGACGGGTGGAGAACATCTTCTCATAGAACTCCAGCAACAAAAGTGTCTGCGCTACCCATAACGTGATCGGAGGCTCGGCTTCCGGAAGTATGTCCCATCTAAGATTGATCGCTATGAGGTCTGCAAGGATTCTATAATCGTCTTGTGCTCCTACCGGATGTGAACGGACCATCTGACCCGCCCCCAACATCGTTATTGCCAAGGTGAGAAGCAATGGACAGTCGTCGTTCGAGAAAGTCTGATAATGGAGAATGGGCATCTGGATAGCCACATGCTTCCAGAAGCTAGCTAAGCAGTCCTCCAAGACAGTATTTGTCACGTTAGGTAGATCTCGTCCATCTGGACTGAACAACAGAGCATCTTCTTCGAGAATACTCTGCATTACGGGTGGGCGTTTCTTGCCGAGAAACGAAATAATGCTGAAGACGACTCTGGATCGCAACTCGGCGGAACATTGGGCGTGGCTGTGACCATGGGACCTTCCACGAGATAGATCGGCCACGGGCGATACGGCCAGTGCGTTGCGCGCGGGAGCAGTGATTGCACTCTGGTTGACGTCAAACTGCCAGAGGTCGTTGATAGGAGAGCAGTAATCAAGACCAAAATTGACATAAGGTAAGAAGTTTGAAGGATCGAAATTCTGCTGCTGAGAACCCGGGCTGTCGAAAAGCCAAGACGCAAAGTTCTCGTTGCCTTGTTGAGGCGAGGTCGACAGAAAATCAGAATGGTCCTCTAGCATTCCAGTCTGTATCCAGTCAGGAACCTGTCCTTCCGTCTGCAGCGGCACATCTTGATGCGCATCTGCGGCATCAATCTCAAGTCTAGTAGGTTGTTGGTTCGCTTCGGCATCTTGGAGGTTATAAGGATCACGTCCTCGACCCAGTTCCCGCAGATCGGTATGTCCTTCTGCCAACACAGTAGTGCCAGCATCCTGTTCTGCTACAGTCGAAAGCTCGCCATGTCTTGCCTGGTGCCTCATGCATAGATCGAGACGCACAAATGTCTGATCACAGCCTTCAGCTTGGCATCGAAACACTTCCTTGGGCTGGTCTAAGACTTGTTAAATGGAACGTGCGTGGTGAGATTATATCGACCACGTGTCTTACGGTTCAACTGGTGGCGTTGCAAGTGCTCATGTCGAGAGTAGATCTGGTTGGTCAGTAGTTTTTCGAAAGCGGTTATGCAATTGATCACGCACGTACCTTAGTGCATCCTTCATAAGAGCATTTGAATCGCTTGGGCGTGTTCTTACGACTCGCCCTCTTACGTTTCTGCTGTGTTTCCGTGAGCCGTGGGCTGTCCATCGTGGCACATTGGGATGTCGGGTGGTTGCGAAATTGACCAAGAGCCAATCCGCGACTGACCCCCAAGATGTCGGACCAATGTATGGCATACCCGAATATGCAGACCCCGCAGCGGGGGCTTGGGGGTCACTTGGGGGTGTCGGCTATAGCGAGTGAGCCGCCGATATCGTCATGTTCACAAGTGGACACGTCTTGGGACGGCATGAGGCACACCGGGAATACCAGGCTTGTAGACGTGATCTCTTCGACTCAACACGCATAATGATATTGAGAAAAGAAAGTTGCGAAGGAGCTTTGCCAAGAAAGCCGGTTTAATCGCTGACTATGAAATTGTTTATCTTTCGTAGCAGAGTCATCCGGAGTGAGACACTCCAGGACGCGGAGAGGACACGGAGAGGACACGGTTCTCCGTACTGGTCGAAGTCGAGCGCGTCACGGATCGGAAGAGGGCAAATTTGATGATGTAGAAGAAGAAGAAAAAAGTAGAAGAGATGGCTGGTGTGACAAAGTTTGTCTCGCCATCTCCAAAGTCTAGACGCGACGCGACCAATACGCGACCTCCACCATATTTCCCAGACGAGGCTCAGGCCTTCTGAAGACTGTGCTCGAGATCGACGAGTCGGGCAAAGCCACTGTTGATCCCCAACTGAGCACTCTTCTCAGGCATCGCGCATGGCGACCTTGGCTGACCGCCGTAGCCGTTGTACTCATTTAGCCCGACCTTGACAGCCACGAATCCGCCCTTGATCGCAACCCAATCCGCTTCTGCCAAAATCTCCTGCATCTCACGCGCCTTGTCCACCTCACCCGCTTCGTAAGCCAACATTATTTGCACGTTAGCTGTCGGTGCGATGTTGCCCAGTCCTGCTATCACGCCAGCTCCTCCCACCGAGAGTGTCTGCAAGAGGAAGTCCGATGAGCCTCCAAACGTCAGGAAGTCGGAACCCTTGGTAGCAGCCACAACGCGAGCAAGCTTTCCTGTGTTACCACAGGTGAGTTTGACGCCTACGATCTTCGGATGCTGAGCTAGCTCAATGACTTGATCCGATGTTATATCGAGGCCGCTCTGCACCGCCGGGAAGTTGTAGATCAAGATGGGGATTGGTGAAGCATCAGCAACCTTCCGGAAGTGATCGAGGAGAAGCTTCGAGGACAGCAGCGAAGCAAAATAGCTCGGCGGAAGCACGAGCGCTGCATCGCCACCAGCAGATGCCGCGTCCTTGCAAAGCTTTATCGCCTCTCTTGTCGATTGAGCTCCGCAGCCCACGATGAGTCTCACATCTTGGCCAGATTCATCAAGAGCTTGTTTGGTCGTCTTGGTGATGAGAATTCGTTCGTCATGGCTAAGGTGCGCAGCTTCTCCGTTTGAGCCATGTGTGACTGTGATGTTAGCACTCATCTGCTTCAGGTCGCAACATCGCACTCACCTATGCCTTTGATGCCACTGCTGGCCAACTTCAAGACGTGCCTGCGTGTCGTTTCAACATCTACCTCTTCGTCGTCCTTGAAGAAAGCCACGGTTGGAACATAGATGCCTGCTTCCAGCTTCGTTCTGGAATTTGGCATTGTGATCGGCACAGTAGAGCTGAAGTTTTGAGTCGATGTGGGAGCCATGATACAAAGCTTGATATGAAGTGATGTTGACTTGCAAGAACACAGGACAAGCGTTGCTTATAATCGGAACACGCAGTCCGGTCTGAGCCAACAAGGGCGTGACCCCCACGACCCGTATGGCATCAGACCGCCTTGTTCCCGTATCTGATAGCCGAAGGTCTTCTGCACTTGGTTCCCGACAAGGTCACCTATCGTAGTCACGTCACATTTGGAGGCTGATGTTGTCTTCACGAACGATCTAAACTCCCATTACAAGGTCCATTTGAGGATTGTCACAGATTTGTGCCAGCGCCGCCCCGAGGACTATCGGCCCATCCAACCGCCATCCACTGTCAACACTTCTCCTGATACATACAGGCTTGCTCTGCTAGCAAGATATACTATTGACCCAGCAAAATCCTCAGGCAACCCCCATCGACCCGCTGGAATGCGTTCCAAGATGCTTGCAGCACGTTTCTCATCCTTGATCAGAGCATCGTTCATATCGGTATGTATGTAGCCAGGAGCAATCTGCGACAGTGATTAGGCTGTGACTGTGTCACCATTAGAATGCACTTACAGCATTGACGTTAATGCCCTGTGAGGCCCAGGAGTTTGATAGTGCCTTTGTCAGCTGGGCTACACCTCCCTTGGCGGCAGCGTAGGCAGGTACGTTGAGCCCTCCTTGGAAAGAGACCAAAGACGCAATCTTGTACTTTGTCAGTACCAAGTTCCCAGAAATCTCTTGGAGCGAAGACTCACATTGATGATGGAGCCACGATGAGGACCCTTCCGCGTCAGCATGTGAGCACCTGCATCACGACAGAGGGTGAAAACAGTGTTCAAATTGACTTGAAGCACCTGATATGATCGATCAGTCTCCGTTCAAGTGAAGGTGTGTTTTGACATGTTTACCTCGTTCCAGTCGTTATCTGGGAATTCGTGTGGCGGGTGACGACGCTGTATACCACCACAATTGACCAAAATGCTCAAGTCATGACCGTCGGAAACAACGCGCTTGATCAAGCCACTGATTTGAGCATTGTCTGCAAGATCTGCTTCGTAGATGGTCGCCTTTCTACCAAGTTTTTCGATACACTCTTTCGTAACAACATTGCTGGAGTCGCGCTGTATCAGGACGATATCAGCTCCCGCCTCTGCTAAAGCGATTGCAAGAGATTGGCCAATTCCCCTGGTCGCACCGGTAATTATAGCTGTCCGGCCCTGCAAGGAGAACAGACTCAACACGCCAGACATTGTTGCTCGAATGTGGTGAGAGGTCTTGTTTTCGAAAGTGTGGTCTGTACAATCACCCAGAATTGATGATATTTGACTAGAAATATGCTCCTACATCGTCTCTGCTCAAAGATCTGCTACTGACTCCCTTCGTTGCTTACAGATCTGCCCTGTGGTTGGGGGTCACACCCCGCACTACTTGATTCTCAGCTTCGAGATTGGGGGTCAACTTCCCTGTACGACACCCGTGGAGATAGTCGATCACCCCATGGGGTAAAATGCCGTGCAGAGCACATTCAAACTTTGCTTTTGGTATCGCACAAACATAAGTACTTGGTCAATCACTTTGACTTTCACCAGCTGCCAACCACCTTCACCACTTGAGCATCATGTCAGTTGACGAGAACAAGATTGCCACACAGCATGTCGAAGACTTCGACAAGATTCAATCTGTTCAACAGGACTTTGAAGACCTTCCTGAGTCCCTTCGCGAACTCAGCCCACAAGAGTTGAAGAAGATGGGCAAGTGGACGACGTTGAAGCTGGACTTGATCATCATGCCCGCCTTGACCACACTCTACATCCTGTAAGGTTTCAGCTTCAACTAGTGCCATTCAGCACTGACAACATGTCGCAGAAATTATCTGGACCGTCAGAACATCGCTGCCAGTAAGCTGGCAAACATCATGGTAGATCTAGACATGTCCGTTCAGCAGTACAACACATGCGTGTCGATCTTGTTCGTGGGCTATAGTGCGTACAGTTCTATGTTCTTCCCAGTACTTGGCTGACCATCGAATGTTAGTCCTCATGCAGATTCCCTCTAACCTTGTGCTGAGCAAGATCAAATGGCCAGCTGTGTGGATTTGCAGCGCGGTCGTCGGGTGGGGTGCAGTCTCTGCCGCTACCGCAGCAGTATCATCATTCGGCGGTCTCCTCGCCTGTAGATTCATGCTCGGATTCGTTGAGGCGGTATTCTTTCCAGGTGCCTTCTTCTATCTCTCAATGTTCTACAACAGAAAGCAGAGTACGTTCTGACACGCCCTTGCAACCATACCTCCTGCTAATTCTTACAGTCGCCCTACGTACTGCGATTCTTTATTCCGGCTCGCAATTAGGAAACGCTTTTGGCACTCTACTGGCAATCGGGATCCTCGAATTGGATGGCTATCACGGTCTTGAGGGCTGGAGATGGCTCTTCTTGATTGAAGGCGTCCTCACGATAGGCATTGCACTTATGTAAGCAAGCGACATATCTAGAAGGTCATTTTGGAGGGCTGCTTCTGACACAGCATTAGTTTCGTCATTTACCTCCCAAACTCCAACAAGAAGATCTGGACCTTCTCGCAACAACAGCGCGATTGGCTCAAGTGGAACTACGAAAGAGATCAGAAACAACTGGACGAGTCGACCGAGGTCACCGCGCTACAAGGGTTCATGCTCGCCGTGAGAGACCCGAAAACATGGCTGATGTGCTTGACGCTGTATGCCACATATACTGCCGCTGCGGTCAACAACTTCTTCCCGACAGTCGTGGGTGGCCTTGGCTTTGGGCGCAATATGACTTACATATTGACTGCACCACCATTTCTGCTCTGTGTAGTTGCTATGCTATGCAACGGCTTTCACAGCGACAAGGTTAGTACACTCTCTATCTCAATCTACGTGTCGTGACTAATCATCAAAACGCAGATGGGAGAGCGCTACCTACACGTTGCTTTGCCGCTAACAATTACTGTTCTGGCGAACATAATTGCCGTCAGCACCCTCAACATCGGCGCACGCTATTTCAGCATGTGCATCATGCCCTTGTCCTTCTACTCCTCCGCAATCTGCCAACTCTCCTGGATCTCGGGCTCTTTGTCCCAACCAGCCGTCAAACGAGCAGCTGCAATTGCCATCATCAATGCAATCTGCAACACTCCCAATATTTGGACCAGCTATCTGTACTACGATTCCCCACGCTATGTTGCTGCTTTCGCTGTGAACTTGGGTGCTGCAGTGGTGGCTTTTATGAGTGCTACTGCCACATTTTTGTATTTGAGGAGACAGAATCAAAAGATGGACCAGGGAAAGGCGTTGGGGAGATCTGGTCCTACTCCTGTGCAGCAGGCGAATGGGTTCAGGTATATGCTGTAGATTTTCGACCAATCAAGATCATGCCAGTTTCAAGTCATTTGGTTTCATTCTGACAAAAGAGCGGATGATCACGGACAAGATTGAACCAAGCACTTCAGGGACCAAAAATAGGACCAGTAACCAAGCTGTCATTCCACCACACTAGATGATACAGACACCATCGCAACGGGAGATCATATGGAGCGGTCCGATTGGCTCACTACCTGACTGGAAAATTCATGGTTTGGTGCCGAATATAAAGATTGGCACATGGTGAGACCCCATGAACGTATCGGTTCCACGATAACGACCAGAACATTTTGCAAATGGACACTCCGTTCTCTTATGACTGGGTATATGTTGCTCCTCTGATTACGATCATCGTCTAATCTGTCATCACTTGAACTGTATGGCGCGAGAGACGGGGATGAGTGGGAAAGGAAATCGAGGTACCTAAGGCTTGCACGGGCGACCGGTCATGATATCTTACTCTCGGGCATAATAATCAGTACCACCATGCTTACATGAAGACCTGTGCCATGTGTTGTTCTAAAGTGCTCAGCCTTTAGCTGCAGTATAACTATATCGCTTGTCCGAAAAGAGGCTGCGGATTGGCTGTTCATATGCAGGTCCCAATATCTATCCGATCAAGAGGACGCCGCAAGGAAGCGTCGATCCTCCTCGTCCGCAGCATTGATACTTGACATGTATTGTAGAATCCTGCTGTGAAGATCAATATTTATAGGTTGGGGCTATGATATTGTCGATATTAATGAGGTAGAATCCCACTCAAGATGCAGAATTCTTCCACAGGGCGCTTTTTCCAAGGTCCAAGAGGGACATGAGCATGAGCTGGAAACCGGAGCGCGGTCAGGTCGACACATCTCTCAGCGGCGCGCATTCTGACCAACTTTAGCGTGAATACGCTCATGCCTATTTTGCATTTTCAGAAGAGCGTGCCATCTCATGTTGCAAGCTTCATCTCAACCGCGTCTTACTCGGAGTTGTAGTTGAAGAAGCAGAGGATGCGAAGCCTCAACTTCCAGACTCGTTCTCAACGTCAACGTCGAGGATGTCATCAATCATCATGATGGTGACGTCATGAACCTCGTCACAATCGTCAGCATCTACAACAATCACAATAAACTTGTCACCAACACACCTTCCAAGAATGCTTTCATTCGATAATCATGACACAGCAAAACTACAGCAAGACTTTTATCCCTTTAGAATCGGACCCAGAGATCTTCACTGCTCTAGGTCACCAGCTCGGTCTTGCTGATTCGGTTGTCTTCAAAGAGCTATTCTCGCCCGATGAGTCTGTCGATGGTAAAGTGCTAGCCTATACATTGGCATTTCCCACGACACCCACCTACGATGCCGAAAGAGCCGAGAATGTGATACACAATACTCTGTCGCCAGATCTGTCCGACGTTGTCTTCTTGAAACAAACCATACACAACGCGTGTGGTCTTTACGCTCTGCTTCATGCTGCTTGTAATGGAGGAGCGCGAAAATTCATTAGTATGTCATCGAATGACCGTCCATCATTCACTTTTTCACCTACTGAGTTACCCCAAAGAGCAAGGTTCGATCTTACACAGCTTGCTTGAAATACCCGCATCAGAAAGAACCCACTTCTTGGATGAGTGTCAGGAGCTGGAGCAAGTCTATACGGTCGCTGCAAATGAAGGCTACACCGCACCACCAACAGATATTGAGGCTGAAGTGGACTGGCACTACACTTGTTTTGCTCCATCATCTAGTCACCATAAGCTTTATGAGCTCGATGGCGATAGACAAGGTCCTCTTGAGCATGCCACTCTGGCCCGTGATCTCACAGACTTCAGCTCGGTCGCAATCAGTCTCATTCGAAAATATTTTGAGGTCGCAGAGGGAGAAAAAGCGGCACAGTTCAATGTCATGGCTCTCGTTGAAGGGTCCTCGTGAGCTTCCTAATCTTCCGAAATACTAGTCATGATTCCTCTGGTAATCATGACCCTGCTCTTGCAGACCTACCCGCGATGCATCTGTTGAGCATTCCAACTGACAAGCTTGCCGTAATCGGGACCATGCACAATAACACACTTTGCATTGAAGACATGGTCAATGGGTCCAAAGCACTCAGCTAGAACAAAATTACAACAGTCGAATGACAACCATTTCTCTGGTTCGTTTGAGGTGCGATGATATAGTAGTCCGAAAAGCAGCAAGGGATCTTCGGACAGCATCTCTAAGTCGAGGTATCTAGAGAGATCCATGATAGCATGCTCCCTATTGTGACACAGATGAAACGGGGTCAACGTACGGCAGAAACCAAGTGTCTCGAAACCTCTTCGCTACGCCTTCAGGATCCCTAGGGTGCGGAACTCTCCGGACTGCTTTCCTTTCTCCGGTCTGTAGGCAGTGTGCGAAGACATCTGGCGTCGGTCCAGTATGGTATACATGCTCCTCTTCGCTAAGAGGATAGTTCACAGCGTTGAGCAGATGAATAGCAGCCCACTTCTTGGGGTACAAAGTACTGTTCTCCTCCAAGAATCTGAAACGTTCGTCACGCGATTTCTTGCGCCATCTGGTAGTGGTAAAGTCGGTATGGGCAGCCAGTGCAGCCTTGAGCGACGCCGTTTTTTCTCGAGTGACCTCAGTCAAAGCGGACATTGTCTGCTGAGCGGTTGTATTGCCAATGCTCGTGGTGGCAGGGAAGAATTGCGGGAAACACTCTTGACACTCATGATCCTCACAGTCGAATGGGTTGGGAGGAGGGTAGTCGTCGTCGATGAGTGTACCAAGTGGGGGAATGTCATGGTCGTCTTCATATATGGTTTATTCAGAATACATGGAGCAGATCTACAGAGTGGAGCCAAAGATGATTTCCGGGCATCGAGAGAATCAAATCCATTGTTCCATACATACGTATGTTTAGTGCGCATCGACCAAAGAAGGGCCGGGCATAGCAATTCTGCAAAAGACGTGGCAGGGTTGGTAGCATTGCGGGTATCAAAAAAGGGTGCTTCGCTACCTACCGCGCACCAAAAGTCCAGTCATCAAATTCATCTTCGTCGTCGTCATCATCATCGTCCTCCTCTTCTTTGTCATCTCTCGTGACTTTCGTGTCTTGCTGCGGAGGCTCTTGTATGGGAGCAGGAGCGTCCGGTAATGTGTCTTGTTGCTTGGCAAGTCGCAGTGCTTCCCTCTTCTCACGCAAGCGTCTGACTCTTTCATCCAATTCTTCCATGTCGTCAAACTCCTGTTGGAGTGCTAATGCAGCATCCTCATTGTCGGCCTCCATCTCAATCTCTCTTGCGGTTCTCTTGGCGTTTTGTTCCTCACGAGCCTGGGCTGCTGACTCCTCGGCTGTGACAGGGGCCGCAGAAATGGTGGCAGATGCGCTGATGATCGGAAGCGCAGTGTGTTGTTCAGCTGCCATCTCACGCTCAAAAGCAGCCCATTCATCCTCGTTCACATCTGGCGCAAGGGGTGGAGCAGGAACGACCGGTTGTGAGTCTGCAATTGTGACGGCTGGCGTCGATGGGCCAGGTGCCGTGTCCACGTCTTCAACGCCTTCCTCAACTTCGTCTGCGCCTTCCTCGGAGGCGTCAAAGAAGCCTTCTGGCACGAAGCCACCAGGCACAGCCTTGACCCTTTTTCTCCCCTCGTCACCGCTTTCACCTGCCTTGCGCTTCTTCGTCTGTGTCGGTGCTGGAGGAGAATTTGCGCGTAGATGTTCCAATCGGGCGGTATGCTGTGGCGAGCTTATGTGCTTCTCCCATAGCGATTCGGTCTTGATGTGAAGATTGCACACAGCGCATAGTAGTTTGCCAGAGTCCGAGTAATTTGCGTGTGGATGGTTGATTCTACGTGATACGCGCTCGTTACGCAGGAGGGAGCGCACGTCTGCCATGGCGATGCTTGTGCAAATGTCGGAGATCGTGAATCGCGTCAACGTAGTAGCGTGTTGCATTTGATCAGCGAGTTGTTTCTGGCGATTGCTTCCAACTTTTGCATCGCAAACGCATCATCCGCCAAGAAAGGGTATGGGATTACCGCTCCCGTCAAAGCTTCGCTGCCTCTCGACCAGGACAAAAACAATGGATGACATGCATCGTAGCGACTCGCATACGGTACGCAATGCACTCGATCAACCCTTACTCATGCCTGCATCTCAAGGGTCGTGCTGCTGATACTGATGACTGACATAATAGTGGTTGACCAAGGCAGTGAGTTGGCTTGTGATTGATGATGCTGCACAACCCTGCCCTCAAGGCTCTTTGCCGGCTTTCATTTATTTTCACTCGGCCACAGCCGGCTCCCGAAGACGCAACCCAGGGATGACGGCCACAGCTTGAGCGTGGCAGGAAGATAGATCCATTACTCTCCGCTACCCATGCGCCTGCTACCCTGGTGGTGGAACCATCGGCCATGTTGCCGAAGGTCAACTCTATCAGAGTTCTCAGTGTCCCACGTCAAGTAACAACTTCCCACATTGCCCATCCCGATTTCGCTGAAACATGCTTCGAGCCTTCGGTGCTTGAGTGTCAAACACTCTCGAAGGTTGTCCGCGGACCAAAGCGTGCTTCCAAGGTTAGATCCAGCACTGTCCATGCCCACGTGTGTGAGACCGGTGCTGTCAAAATACCCGATGACGCTCGGTTTTGTCCATATCCACGACTCGCAAGCAACCATGGATAGCATGCTCTACTGGGTGATCAAAGACTCCGCCAAATACAGTCAGTCTCGGCTATGCTCCTGATAGCTGCTTTTCTGCCACTCTATGCGTCGTATTGACGAGTCGGGAATTAGGGCTCGCTTGTCATATCGTGGCCGCGACTCCGTGATATGACAGTCGGACCAACTCCGCTGGCGGTTGTCCTTCCGTCTCCCCTACGAGAGTTGCGCCGATTCGTCTATTTCGATCTTGTGAGAAGATTTAATATAGTACCCGAGACTCGGCGCTGTTATCTGCAACGACAGCCCACTTTCGGAGGATGATCCCGTATGAATATCGCTTGGTTCCTTCAATCATCTAATGTGGATGTGCGGTGCTTCGAAGTCAAATCCCGAAGCTCGACTACAACGGGGTCTGTACTTTTCTGCCGCAGCTTTTCTGCATTCCTCAGCATAGAGATACATAGCTATTGTACAATACGGCACAGCATTTCGTCGCTACATCTAGGCCCAATCAACCAGCCGTGTTTGGCGTGCGTGCCCTATAAGAGCACTCTAGAAATGCGATGGAATATTTTTGACAGGGAACGGTCTCCCCGGAGTGTTCGACTTTGACTTCGGACAAGGGGAAGCGCGCATTTGGGCTTTGGGAAATATCTGCCGACTGTCCAGAAACCAAAAGAGACGCGTGCCCCTGACGCTCGCGAGACCGACGTCATTTCGCGAGTGTTTTCCTCATCTCGCACCGACACTACGTCGAAAAAAGATGTGTCAGTGCTAAAGCTTACACTCACGGATGCTGAGAATGCGACGTCTGAGACCAAAACCTGCTCACCGGAATAAAACAGAGTGGCTGATACTGCCTGTCATGAATGTCAAGAAGAATGTATGCACGTACATGCCGATCGATCACCATATGCAGGTGAACCTGTTCAGGCGGCTAAGCAATCCAAGCGTCTATTTGACAACGTGCATGCGTCTCCACCATTGAGGAAGCCGTGAAGGTTAGTCTTTCCCTTGGACCAATATCTACCCTCCATGCCCCACCCCACTGTAGACAGCATTCTCACATTACTTGAACGGACTCGAGTCCATCCTTAAAACACAATTCACAATACCAATATCTCGCTCTCACGCACGCACACGTACACAGTCAGAAACCCTCTCACGATGTTACAACACGCTCAAATGGCACATGCTTTCCAATCCACGACAACAGGCGTAAGTACCATAGAGGAAGTTGTGAGCGAAGAATAATCCTGTTGACATTGTGACAGGGTCGAACATATCAGATCTCAAAATTGCCAGAACTCGACTATGCCATCAACACAACCATCTTCCGCGAAATCCTGGAACTGGACGACGAGGACGAACAATACTTTACCCGTTCATTAGTATGCGACTTTATCACTCTTGCCCAACGGACCTTTACGGAGATGGATGCATGCCTGTCAGTACATGGCTCCAATTTGTGACCATGAGTAATGATATTAATTGGATGGAACAGAGAAACGCAAGATGTGAAGCAATTATGGAGCAAAGCCCGATACCTCAGAGGTCCGAGTGCGACATTGGGCGTTTACAAGGTCGAGTCTAGTTGTGCTCGGATTGAGCAAATGACAGCGATCCACGACTCATTGCAGACCGAGAGCGACTCGAAGTCGACACTTTGCAACTCGGCGAGGATTGTTATAGATCAAGCCCAGCAACATTTCGCAGAGGCAGAAAACGCATTGCGGCTCTTCTATGGAATGGATTGAATGTTTCGAGTATGCCAGAAGAGCGGCATCTACCTTTTAACGACCTCACGACTTTAGGTTGATACTGAGGATATAATGATATCACGACTGGAACTACCAACTATTTATCATCCTTCGCCACGCCGTCTACCTTATAAGAGCGGCTTCGAGCAGCGCACTTTGTGCAGAGCACAGCTTCTGGAGCGACGCCAGCGTTGCTCCACTTGACAGTCCACTACTGTATTGAGGAGCCAGTCTCCTTGATCTTTGAGTTTGGTTCCTTATGAGCCTTTGACCAACGCACTGAACACCAAAGTCAGAATCCGGCCATGATCTTGATATTCGAATACTCACGTCCACAAGCGTTACAAAGCGTCTTTGGGCCACAGGGACCCCTCCGCCACTCTGGAGAATTCGCAATACCACAATCTGTGCACAGATATTCTGTGAGGGTTTCAATCTTGGGCTTCTTTGTACGCGGTTTGGTCCGCCATGCACCGGTCTCGTGCGCATCTCGAAGGCGCGAGGTGGCGATCTCGATCCCAACGTCGCCCAGAACAGAATCTACCTGCGGTTTTGTGGATGTGGAGGACACGGACAGACTTCTCTTGCGGGAGAAGGCTGAACCAAATGTTGATAGTCCAATTGGAGAGTTTGGTCTTCCTGCTGGCTTGTTGGGCTTTTTGTTGTGTTAGTCATTGTTTGGTGAAGAAGCATGTACGTGTGTGTAGAGAATTTCATTGTATCGACTACACGTTCAATTTTGCACAGTCCATCATGTTGCCGATGTTATGACTGCGCCATGAGAGTGTCGGAGTCACTCACCGACATCGTTTCGATACTGATGGTTGCATGTTTGGTTGTGCTACTGTTCTGATTGTGTGGTATCGTTGGTGTCGTTGAGTCTCGGCATTCCTCTATCTCTCCATGTAGTCGCGCCAACTGTTTGGTCAAACGAATGTGTGTTGTGTGATGTTCGAGTATCGAATCCATCAAGGATGTGCTGGACATCTGATAAGGTCTCGAGATCATTAAGCACAACTTGGTGTCTTGTTTTGTGCCAAGTTTCTTGTCCATCGTGGTATCAGTGTACGGCTTGAATGTCGACTCGAAGGGCAAGTAGGTATCGTCTTTTCGTCGTAGCCGGTGATGACTCCTCCAGGCATTGCCCGTCGCCATGTTCTCTTTGAAGTCCAGAAGGAACACTGGAATATCGTCCACATTCATATGTGTGCTGACATAGCTTCCAACCAGAGCTTCAGGTTTAACCTGGATCAGCTTGAAGCTTTGTGGTGAAGCATACAGAACACGACCATCCTCGGCCAGAACCAGTAACAGATCCTCGATGCCATCCAGAACCTTTCTCTGAAGCTCGGACGAGCTGTCCGTCGGAGTGTCCTTCATATCAATGCGGAAACTATACTCCATGTGGTTTGTGTCGTGCTACCGTGTACTGACAGAAGAGCGTTGAGTTGTAAAAAAAAAAAAGAGAGGAAACAATGCAACACAAGATCAATGTTGATGTGAGAGACACCCTCTCACAGAGTTCGGGCTCGTGCCCGGTGGTCTTACAAGCGTTTAGGCATGTCTGGGGACTCGCAAGGGTTTGACTTCCAAGCCAAACCACCAATTTGAGACTTTTTTCATTTCATGTGCAAGATAGCGAGGCTCTACGTTGACAGCTTCTGGCCCCCGCTTCAGCGACACCCTGAATAGCAGACCCGAAGGATCCACTACTTGGCGAGGCGTGATTATGTTCTGCACACGACGACTTACTAGCAATCAACGATTCCCGCAGGTCGTGACTTTCTAGCCCTGCTCTGGTTAGTCGCTGCGAGACTACCGCAGCACCGTTCGTCAATTGCACATGCCACAAAGCCTAAAAGAGTGCAAGGTTGTGGTATGCAAGGGGTATCCTAACCATTCACCGTGAGATTTGTTTAACGGCTTGGCGGTGAATGGCTAAGGTTTACGGCCAGCCACTCCGAACGCGACCGAGTAGCGGACACTCCCTAGCGAGAATTTTGTTAGGGAGGGCAAGAATACCGTACGTACCGTTGCAGGCCCGGAGGCTACCGACGCGCGAGCCAAGTCCGAGGCAACCCGGTAGCTTCATGACATCGAGTTCTGGACGAGGCCAAAAGAACCCCATCACCGATCTCAAGGCCGATTGAGAGGACTGGCTGTAGCAAAAGACCAAGGTCGGAAGTCGAGAGTTTGAGCTGCATCAGTTGAGACGAAAGGCGTCAAATTTAATGATTGACCAAACCTTGCGACCTTCCCTTAGCTGCATCGTTCTAGAATTTCGAGGCCAGCACTCCTTCTCAATAGACAAAACCTCGCGCAGAGGCAAAACAACCTCCGAGGAGTACCCCAATTTACGATACCTACCCTCAGACACTCTGCGGTCCTATGGAAATGGAAGGTGCGAGGAATGTCTGTCTTCTGACCTGGAAACAAAGCCCAAGGTCGCCAGTCCAACGTCAAGGAAGTCACAACCGTCGGCGCAAATTCCCTCATGAAGGTCCGCCCTTCGCACTTCAACACAATTCAGGTCTTGATCGGTGATTCGGAAAAAAATGAAAAGGCATGTCGTCGCGTCACTTCAAACAACCGAACAGTTTGACACCATGGGATTGTGGCTTGTCAGTTTCCACGCGATCGGTAACAACGATTTCCTCCCATATCAGTGATCTCTGGAAAAATTCAGGGTCTCGCGGATGTTCAGCAAAACATAACATCGACCGATCAATCGTTGGCAAGGTATGCAAAAATTGCAATTTAATGTTCTAATCGTGTCGCACGGTCGTATGTTCCAGAGCCACCTGTATCACAGTGGCCCTTCAGCTTCAAGCCAGAACAAGGACTCGACTGTGCAGCAACTTGTTTAGGACAGCAGGACGCCATGCACGCCTTCTCCGAGGGCGCTGGAGATGAGGCTTGCAACGGTACAGCTAGCACGAAGGGCTTGTGTGTTCCACACCCCAGCAGGTATAGCCGTCTTCCGAACGAAGTTCGTGCCTCAGTCCAAGCCATCGACCTCGAGCATACGTTAGTCTTCACGACCTGACTGACTGGCCATCACGATGAGGATGATCCCCCTGATCCACTACCGATCGCTCTTTGAGAAAATACAAGTACTGACACGCTTGGGTCTCATCATCAAGCACGTGGTTCTGTGGTGTAGTTGGTTATCACTTCTGTCTAACACACAGGCGGTCCTGAGTTCGAGCCTCAGCGGAATCATCTCTTTTGCCAGTGCAGGCCTTCTTTTTGGTCCACGGCGTTGGCAAAGGCAAGAATTGAGTTGTGTAGTTTTGAGAAACATTTGGGTGGTATGAGTGGAAGCCTGCTCGGCGCTGTCAAACTGACGGCAGCTCGCGAAGGGCATCAACGCTAACGTACTTATTTTAGGTCTTCATCTGTTCTACTCACTCTCATGATGATCTTCAAGTGTGTGGTTGTGATAAAGAAATGAAGCCTGTATAGACTTCAAAACTGTACTTAGAAAGCGCGAGCTTGTGATCGTGCCTTCCTGTGTTTACAACAATGAACATAGCTGGATCATTAATTTTGATGCATGTCATACAGCAGTAGTCACATAGAATATCAAGAAGCTTTTACGGGCTCCTGCAATCTTGTCGAGGAGCTCACGTTCTTTTTGTCAGAATATTACGAGGTCCATCGTGTTTGGTACACAGGAGATGGATCTTCCTCATGTTCGAGATTGTGCTTCATCCTCATGGCAGCTCATGACGTCTTTGATACTGTATCTCACCACAACGGATTGTTTCTAAGCTTCATTTCGACTTTAACGCAGCCCAATGGGGTGTAATCTTTGTCTGTCTACAGTGAGTATGATGATCATGACACTGCGGTCGTGTGTCGGTCCTCAATCTGGGCTCTACTGTGGCTGACAGAGCAACCCTGTCTATGACAACCCATTCCTGGACACATCGTCAGCTTGGTGAGTAGATTTAAAACAGAATGACGTGCTGTATCGTGTCAGTCTCAAAGAGGAGATGTAACATTGCTATTTAGGCTGTTGAATAAGCAGTATCACAAACGGGTGATAGAATCACGATGAGATGCAGACCCAAACTACCATTCCGAGACGAGAGCAAAGAACGATGTAAGGCTGAACGCTAAGGTCTTGCTCTTCCTATTGCCTTGAGCGTGTTAAAATGGCTGGTTTAGAGTGACAGCATCATTCAACCCCATATCCTGAGTGTTCTTCCACAGGGGCGAGTGCCATACCGAAGAGCGTACAGATGGCATTGGTGGTTGGTAAACAAATTGATCTATAGACCAAGGATGAGAGCGCACAGATTACACGACGCACATGAGAGCTTGAAGTATTGTCGTAGATTAAATGAATATATTGGTTCTAGACTCCAATCGCATATGACCCCTGGTTTTATGCTAGACAAAGCAACAAATATGACTCCGTGCTAAATTTCAATGTCACAACTCTATCAGAGTTGCAAGTGTAAGACAAGAAGACAGGCGAAGATGAAGGAGTTTACTCCTTCTTCTTGCTCTGGAAGGGCTTCTTGATGAGTCCAACAAGCTTGCCCAGAGCACCGAAAAGGGGTCCAAATCCGAAGGTCCAGCCCTTGATGCGGACAGTGTAGATAAAGAAATAGACCAGAGCCCAGTTGGAGACGACGAAGATGCAGAAGATACCGAGGTCTCTCCAGGCATCGCCAGCCTGGATGTTAAGACTGGCCAAGTAACCGTTGGCATATTCGTAAGGGCAGTATTGGCAGTCAGCTGTAGCATCTGGGTTAAGAATGTAGCCACCAGCCGAGGACGCAAAGGCACCAGCATAGCTTTGACAGGTCTGACCACCTGGTACGTTGAATCTAGCAGTCTCGCTGACGGTACACTGGACGGGGATACCGTCCAGTGTTTTGGCGAGAACACCACTAATCCACCAGGTCGAAGGGTTGATGTAGTACCTAGACGACATTAGTCACAGGTACTTGCTACTTAGGATGACCGGTACGATCAAGAGAGGTGTTGCTTACATCCAGTAGCGCCAGAATACGGGAAGGGAAGCGTAAGGTCGAACGACTCCGTTGAAAAGTGAGAACATGACGAAGAAAAACGGCAGAACATTCGAGATGACTGTAAAGCTCGGCGCAAACGCGCATATCCACTCGCCCCAACTGCTCTGGAACCTACGAGAGAGAGGTATGATTAGCATGGCTCTTGAGTGGAATCGGTACGATACTAGGAGCTGATGGCCAAATTTGATCAAATTCGAATTTCTCAAGGCGAGAGTCGAGGGACGATCTGATGGCTATGGGCTCGTAGTATCGGCGCACTCTTAAACGTACAGAAAGAAGAGGAGGACCATCAAGAAGGTGTATCCTGAAGTGGAGCTGTCTGTTGGCAGACCCGTGGGCCAATACCATAAAACCCAGTAAAGAACGGCACTGACGATCGAGATAGGGATCTCAGCGACGATCATGGCAGTACAGAACGCGAACCAGCCATAGATACGCGAGGGAAGTTCTCTGGCCTGCCACAATGCCATGTTCTGGTAGAACTATAGGGGAAAATACGAGTTAGCCAACCTTTCGATAAACAAAATTGACCGCATGAATACACATACCTTAGGTACTACGGCATTGACAACAGTAGGGGGAATGGTCAAGATCAAAAACGCTGTGAACATGCGATTCTGCATGTCCTGGATAGAGTTGCCCAATTGCCAGAAGGTGAAACCGTTGAAGATACCGACGACGACAGCAACAAAGAGCTTTCCGTATAGATACGAAGGATCGCGCCAGTATTGAGTAAAGACACGCTTGGTAAGCATGGTAGTTTGCAGCCACACAGGTGCAGCAAATTCTGTTTCTTCATTTTCGTTGTGCTTTTCGTGAACCGATTTGCTTCTCTGACGCTTGAGGCCGTCGATCTCTTCGATGACTGCCTGTGCTTCCTTGCTGTTCCGCCATTCCTCATTCCAGTCAATCTTGGTGCCATCTGATCGTTTGCGTGGCTTGATGGCGGTCTCTAGTAGAAATTCGGCAACATTCTTTGCAGGAGGGCATTTCACGCCACGAGCACCGAAGTACTCGATAACATCCTTACCATTCTCACCAATTGGTCCGAAGTAGAATGTGTTACCTCCAGGGTTGAGAGCGAGGACCATGTCGAACTCTTGAATCAGGACAGACGAGGGCTGGTGAATAGTGCAAACAATGGCCTGGCCAGCAGCAGTCAGCTTCTTCAAGAAGCGAATGATGCTGTATGCGCTTTGAGAGTCGAGACCACTGGTAGGTTCATCCAGGAAGAGCAATAGCGAAGGCTTGGCAGCAAGCTCAACACCAATTGTCAGGCGCTTACGCTGTTCAACACCAAGGGATGAGACGAGTGCGTCTTGCATGTCGTTAAGCTCAAGCAAGTCAATGACGTTGTCGACATATGCGATCTTCTCTGCACGCGGAACCTTACGGTCCTGGCGCAGGATGGCAGAAAATTCGAGCGCTTCTCTGATAGTCGATGTGCCGTCATGAAGATCCATCTGTTCACAGAAACCAGTGTTGCGTTGGAACTCCTTACCAAGCGGTCTGCCATCGACGAACATCTCGCCCTGGACAACGCCCATCTTCTGTCTTTGACTGAGAGTGTTCAGGAGAGTAGTCTTACCAGCACCAGAAGCTCCCATGAGGGCAATCATGAGACCGGGCTTAGCGTATCCGTTGACCTTGTTGAGAAGCTTACGCTCACCGCCCTGGTATGGGACAGTGTACTCAACGTCTCTCCAGGTAAAAATGCTTTCGCTCTTTACGATAGAGTCGAGAGCCTCTTGCTCTTCCTTTTCGCCAGTTGATCCACCAACAGCAGTGTCGCTAGAACTCTCTGATCCAACCTTCTCCTCGTCGGAAGTACCGGCTTGCTTGACCTGCTGCTTTGCCTTCTTGGACTTCTTGAAAACCAAAGCACCACCTCCGCTTCCAGCGAAACTAAACAGCTCAGTGGCAGCAATAGTAACGAGAAGATAAAGAACAGTGAAAGCAATGACTACTCCGAAGTTGCGCCATAGATGGGCACGTGTGTAAGTGTATTGCGTCTGGAGATAGTCTGCACCGTTGACAGATCGGGCGTTGACTGCGGCACCAGTCAAAGTACAGCCCTGAAAAGCTGGATCAATACCCGGACCTTGAGGAACCAGATTGTCCGGGGAACAAGCCATTGTACGGTCAGAGAATTCGTTGGCCAACACAGCCTCAAAGGAGTATGAGATAGGGTTAATGTAGTAAATCCAACCGAACCAGATATAATTGTTGAGCAATTGAGTCTTGGGAATAACGTAGCCAGTGTAAATGATGAGCAAGTTCAGCGCGATACCAGAGAAACGAACGGCGTCATCGATGGTTGGCGATAAACTTGCGAACATACGGTACAGAGCGGTGATACAGATGGTGTTGACGTAGACGAAAAGGAAGTAGATCCAGAACTTGCCGGCATCGACGTCCAGGTTTGTCATGAAGTACATGATGACGGTGAACAGACAGACCTGTACCAGAATGACAGGGAAGTCAGCGATAACGCGGGCAACACTGACAGCGGAAGGACGATAGAAGGCATATTCCTTCTGACGAGCGACCACAGCACGCCCACTGACAGCCTTCATCAGCTCAGTAAGCTGGAGCCAACCAAGGAAGAGGATGGAGAAGAAGAGGGAACCACCACGAGAGAAGGCGCCATCGGTGTCGAGAGATTGTCCATAAAAGAGTGAGCCAACAATAAGACCGTTCGCAATGATGACGAAAACCTTCGTGTACAGAGTTGTGGTGTCTCCCCAGAGCAGCCAAAACTCACGTTGAGTACAAGCCAACACTTGGCGGATGTAACTGACGGTGTATGGCGATTTTTTGGTAACGGTCTTCGACTTGCCAGCCTGAACAGTTTCCTCAAACTCTTTAGCATCCTCATGGTTAGTCTGCTGAAGATGTTGCTCGTAGGCTTCGACGTCTTGCTGGTTACGGCTGAAGAACGAGGACTCGCGAAAAGCGCGCTCCAGCTCGACAGGTGTCTTTGGGGTGCTAGCTTCGCAGCCTTCTCTGAACTTTCTCTCGACGGGGTCGGTAATAGCAGTCAGGAAGTCGGCGGTAGTCTGCCTCTCGGGGCACTCGAAGCCTAGATCGATGAAGTATTGCTTAGCGGCTGCAGCAGGTCCAGTGAAGATACAGCGACCTTGGTCAATGACCAAGACCTTGTCCATGAGGTCGTAAATGCCTTGACCTGCTTGATAGAGGGTAACAAGAGTGGTTCTGTTGCTGACATCGGTCATGATGCGAAGAGACTTGGCGTAGTCAAGCGCGGTCGACGCATCAAGACCACGTGTTGAGTTGTCCCAGCAGACCACGGTACTCTTTGATGCCAGTGTTTCCGCGATTGAGACACGCTTACGTTCACCTCCTGAGACACCTCTGGTGTATTCGTCACCAACAAGGGTCATCTTTGTGTGGCTAATACCGAACATCTTCATCAAAGCGTCGGCAATGAGTGGGATATCACCCTTGGCCTTCTTCTTGGTCTTTGTCAAAAGGGCGAACATGAATGTTTGCCACACGTTGAGGGTAGCGAAGTGGACGTCGTCCTCCATGTTATAGTTGACCTCACCACGGTACATCTTTCTCTGCTTATCTGCAGGGATACCGCCGTACGAGACATCGCCATCGACTTGCGCATAGCCTTCGCGGTTGTTGGCGATAGCCTTGAGGAAGGTCGTGCAACCAGAGCCAGGTCTTCCCAGAACCAGCATCATCTCTCCGTCTCTTACAACACCCGAGAAGTCGTTGATGAGTGTCTTCAGGTCGCCGTTCTTCGATCGGAGGAAGGGGAGGAACCGGGAGAGCAAGTGATAGAGATCCGGTCCAAATGTGCCCATGACGGCGTCGGGCAGGGTGCGGACGAAGGTGGCACCGGCTGCGACACCCTTGACGGTGAGGTTCTTGTAGACAACACCAACCTTTTTGGCCGATTTATCACCCTTGCGCTGGCCAAGGTGACCTTCTCTCATGAAGCCTTCGAGCTGAAACTCGTCCTCGTCATTGCCCTGAGCCTCGGTGTTTCCCCCTATCTCAGACTCTTCGTCTACGCCACTGGTAGCTGTGCTTTGTCTTCTAGATCTTCCAGATTGCTTGCGGCCCAATGATTGATGTGCGCTAGTCCTGGATCGGTTGGTGAGCTCTCTTCTAAGAGCCCTGTAGTCCTCCATGGCCATGACCTCATTTGGGATGCCTGCATCCTGTTCACCCCAGGTACCATCACGGTCGACGTCTCCAGAGCTAGATGATTTGGAGTCATTGTCCTTGTGCAGTCGCTCAGCACGAGGCTCAGCAGGGTTGTGCCAGGCGTTCAGTCCTCCTTGACTCTCGAGACGAGCCACACGCGGGTCGTCAGGTACGCCGCTACCCCACATGGTGATGTGATTATAAAGTGTTCAGAGGGATGTCCAAGGTCGATAAATGTGAATTAAGAGTGCTAATATGGCGCGCCGTCCTGGATTTGAGCCAGGTGTGCGGTGTCAAAGGATGGCGACCGGGTGTTTGTTGGTCACAAACCTGCGTCACAGAGAATAGGAAGAGAACAAACGGGTGAGTTCACGAGAAGAAGGCTGTCATGAAAAAGAAATTTAGCATACGGCATTGACATACATGGCCCGGAGTTAGCATGGAGCGCCGCTGATGAATAATGCGAGCAGATCTGGCACATTTTGATATCGACGTCAGAGCCAACCAATTCAACGACTGTTGAGCCGTGCCCGTCGGCCGAAATCAGGTAGCGCAAGTGTAGATCAGATTGGAGCTTATTCAGACCTACAGTAGCGTTAATGGGTCAGAAACTGTCGCAATCATTGTCTGTCTGGCTACCTGTACCACCTAGCTGTAATTATCCTACGAAGATGCGCTGTGTAGCCTGGTATGACGCTCTGTTTCGATGGTTGTCGGACGTGTATCTCCTCGTCGCACAAGGAGGTCTCGTAAAGGTTATCGAGTAAGGTTCCAGCGGTTGGTCAGGCCGCGAGTCGGCGTCAAAGGAGGCGTCAAGGCCAAGATGATCCACGTTCTTATTCAAGCGAACGACGCCATTCTCTATATCTGAATCGCATCGCCCCAAACTCCATAACAAATGGGACAAGTCGTATCACTGACAATACTTCCAAGAGCCCAGTTTCCATCGTGAGCTGCGATCTCTACTGGCTGCTAGTGTGGGTTGTTCTTGTATTGTTGCTGAACAACGACCGGCTTGGCGCACGTTGGATAAGAAACATCATACGCTTGCTACAAGCGTACAGATTCTCATATCGAAGCTCGACCCAAATTTAGGGAACGAGGTTGACAAGGTGGGTCTGCTATCTCGGTTCAGAGAATGCCAGGGGAACATCAGGAAACGAAAGTTCCTGAACACGATGGAATTTTCTCGCCCCATCTCCAGGCATGCATGCTTCTGCTTGGAGCTGGTCAAATCCAGCGGACCCTTGCATGTGGATGGCTAATCTCTTTTTCGGTGTTCCTAATAAGTCACCGCAAGGGAGCAAAGGGATTACAAGTGTCCAGGGGGTGATGCATCTCGCGAGTCCTAGTAATTTTTACCGAAAACGCCGCCGACCTTTACCGCATGTGGAGCTTGAGGCTGAAGAGATTCGACGGAGTTAAGACGGACCGAAGAAGGAAATTCCGTCGGGCATCCACAGCAAGAAAAATCTCGCGTGTAGTCTCAAACATTTGCGGAGTTCAGTGGGGTTCTGATTCAAGGAGAAGTCATGTTTGACCTCAACAGAAGATCCCGCTGCAGTCATTTCTTATCGCATCCGACTTGGCAAGCTGTTGGATTATGTGAGCAGTTGAGCACTGCCTTTTTGCATGTGCTTGCTTACAGAGTGACAGATAAACGATTCAAATCAGTAAAGCACATCATGGCGGCAATGCATGGGACGGAAGATGTTGTTTTCATTGACCGCACGCTGCTCCCCGAAGTATTGGCAGACCGACTCAACGTCTGATGCAGCTTCATAAACGATGTCTGGAGGCAGGCGCGATCCATGAAGCATTTATCGCTCATCAGTCAAAAGAAATCTTCTTGCCCTCAAAGACTGCTGTGACTTTCTTTGCTTCCTTGGCCTTCTTCGCAGCTTCCCATGAAGGATGAATAGGACCCTGGTCATCTCTGTGCTTTTTCTTTGGCGGCTCAGCAGCGTCACCTCTGACTCCCCGATCCTGCCCTGGTCTCTCAAAGCGGCCTCTAGGGGCACCGCGAGCTCCACGCGGGCCAGTTCTATCAGTCGCGCCTCGTTTGGCGTCCCATCCAGAGTTTCTATCACTTTTGTTTGCTTTTTCCTGGTTTTGCAAATGCTTTGCGCTCTTGCCAAATTTTTTCTCAGCGATAGCCTGACGCGCTCTTTGACCTCTTCTATTCTTCTTCGGTGGTCCGTCTTCGAAATCCTCGGCTTCAGACTCGGAGCCAGACCAGTAGCCACCCATGGTAAGGGAAGGCACAAACGCCGATGTACCGGCTTTGGTAGCTCTAACTGGCGGAGCGTCTGATTCAGGTGAAGGTGACCGTGAGGGTGATGGTGATGGCGACGGAGAGGGTGAAACAGATGCCGATTGTGAAATGTCGCCGAGGGCAGCTCGTAATGCTGCGGCGCGCGATGCTTTACCCTTCGTCGGTACTGCTTCGTTGTCGCTTTGTGCTTCATCTTCGCTGTCGGACGAGCCCGCCAGCCTGTCGTCGAATTCTGCGAACTCGTCATCACTGCCGTTCCCAGTGCTCTCCGGAATTTGTTTGCGCTTTGTGCGCTGTTCGATATCGCTCTCGTCGTTTGGTTCTCCCATACTAATATCGCCAGATTCAGGCTCTGCTGCATGACGTGACGACTTCGGTGGTTGTGTTTTTGCTTGCTCCTCCTGTTTCTGCTTCTCAATGTCCTTTGCTCTCAGCCTCTTCTTCCCTTCTTTCACATCTTTGACCTCAACACCAAGGGCTTTTTGAATGTCCTTGAGCAACGGAGGCAGGGCTTCCTTGACAGGGTTCGAGTTACACAGTCGGGCAATAACGTTGGCCTTGGAGATATCGCTGATCGGCGGAGGAGGAGCCAGTACAGCCTTGGGTAGGTCGGGTGATTCTGCGACTGCTTTGAATTTGATCAGAGACTTGTGGAGGTAGTTGCGTGAGGTAGCGGCGAGATCCAGAGTCTGTAAACAACGTAAGCAGCCGCTCTCCTTTGGAGACTCTAGCCTTTCTGAGAGTATCCTGCATTTCTACAGCTAGTGCATGACAGCTTCTAGCACCAGCGGGAGGAAGAACAGAGCAGAAGAACGAAGAGAAACCGGAAAGAGATACGTCAGAAACGACCCACCTTCAAAGCAGCAGTCTCGCCTTCTATGCGCGCGACCTCTTTTTCATCACTCTTTGCACCAGCAGTCTTGCGCCGTCTTCCAGACTTTTGCGCCTCGAAACCCTTTGCCGTTTTGAAGGCACGCGCAAGCTGCTTGTGGGCATACTCGAGCTTGTGTTGCACTCTGTGCTGGCGGATGCTGACACCACTTTCTACACCTTCTGCGTCACTGGCAGACGCCTCCGAGCCATCTCTCTTTCTTTTGGGCATGGTGGTTTGCATATGTGCATATGTACAGAAACGTCGTTGTGGAATGGAGAAAGAACAAAAAAGTTGTCCGAGCACGCGCACCCGGCCCGACCACGAGACGGACATGCCAAGCACAACGCCGATCCCCGACTCGCATCCTCTTGCCCTTGACCAGCTTCAACGTCAAGTGACTGACACGCTGTCAAACTGGTCCAAGTGATCTGGAGCCTTGCTCTTTGACATGTCGCTTTCTTGCCTGTTTGGTTTGCGGCACTTCGGCAATGTCATCGACCCATCTTGGACTGCCTACGTCGGCCCTAGGCGGAGCTGCTTGACTAGAGTCGCCGCAATGCATATCTGCATATCCAGTAGACTGCAACGATTGGCCATCAGGTAGTTAGCCGCTGCCGACCCATCTTGACTGCCGTTTGGTATCCTTTGTTCGTCCTGTACTTCCTGCCTCCCTATTCGTACTCCTCCATACCCTGTCACCTTCTGTGCATTTGACATGCTTGTTTCCTTCTGTCGCTTTCCTTGGAGAGGGCGGGGCTGTTGCTGCAGGGAGCCCTTTCCTACTTTTAAATTCTGCACCTGCATAACGATTCCTCGGTGCACCCACATCTTCCCCTGATTCAATCTGTCATGCGCCTTCCTCACACCCTCACAGTCAAGTTTCAGAAGTCGTTGCGCAGAAATCGTTCTTTTACCTGGTGGGCGGTCGTCCCATGGCGTCTCCACACAGCCTAAAAGCTTGTTTGTACAGTCATGCAGCTATGCGAATCGTGCAGCAAACGATATCACTCCCAGAGGCTCAACTAATGGCCCTCTGTGGTTTGTTCGAGTACGCCACGTGTGACGCCCTGTTGGAACGGCATAGCATCTAGCACGGCTCTAGAAAGGTGTTCCTTCCTGTTTGTCCCTCACTTTAGCCCTGTGTTTCAAGTGTGATCGTATGCATGTGATGCCCTTCAGTATAAACTCTTTTTCCTTTCCCTCACTTCTACCAAGCGGAACTTTTGCTTTGTATTCGTCAAAAGATTTCTACCTTCAGTCACTCCTTTACTTTCCTTCTCGCTCCTCGCTTTCTTCTTCTCCACAACAACAACAACAACAACAACTCTCTTTACCACATTACCACACTATCTTGTTGACCAAGATGCGCTCATCACTCCCTCTGGGCAGTTTGCTCCTCGCCGGCCTGGTGTCGGCTACCAACTACAAACTCGTCAAGGACTTCTCGGGCAACAACTTCTACAACCAGTTCGACTTCTTCACCGGCGCCGATCCCACCCAGGGCTTCGTTAACTACGTATCGCATGATCACGCTGTCGAGTACGGTCTCATCTGGAACAAGAGTATTCCTACTTGGGGCGTCGACGCCTACACCCACCTGGACCCCAGCGGTTCCAATGGCGGTCGCACTTCTGTGCGCATGACCAGCAAGGACAGCTTCACTCATGGTCTCTTCATCGCCGACATCCAGCACATGCCACAGAGCTCATGCGGTGTTTGGCCTGCTTTCTGGACTTTCGGTCAGTCTGGCAACTGGCCTGAGTCCGGCGAGATCGACATCATCGAGTTTGCCAATCTCGGTCAACAGAACAAGGTCTCTGGCCACACCATGCCTGGCTGTTCCATCTCTGGTACTTCTCAGAGTGGCAGAATCCAAGGCTCTGACTGCTCGGTATGTCTCTTGTGCATCCATGTAAATGCGCGCTCAAGCTAACAAATCATAGTCTGCTGGTGACGGCGCTGGTTGCGCTTTCCTTTCTCCTTCGAGCTCCACCGCTGGCTCCGGCTTCAATAAGATTGGCGGTGGCGTCTACGCCATGGAGTGGACCTCCCAGCACATCAACGTCTGGTTCTTCCCCCGCAACAACATCCCCTCGTCTATTAGAAACGGCAAGCCCGACGTCAGCAAGTTCGGTCAGCCCATGGCCAACTTCCGCGGTTGTGATCTCGACAAGTACTTCTACAACCACGCCATTGTCTTCGACACTACCTTCTGCGGTACCTGGGCTGGCGAGACCTTCTACGGTGACGGCTGCTCTGCTTCATCATGCGTCGACTTTGTCGCCAACAACCCTTCTTCCTTCAAGGATGCCTACTGGGCTGTCAACTACGTCCACGTGTACCAGCAGAGTGGTTCTTCGAAGGCCAAGCGCGACTTCATCCGCCTTCACGCCAAGCAGACTCGCAACCACAACCACCTTCTCGTCTAAGAGCCCTTTGTCACCAGGTTGGCAAGCTCGATCATTGCTTTTCTTCTTCTTCCAACCCAGCATGCAGGACATGTTTCTTCCTTGGTACACCCTCATTACAACCCCAAGCATCAGGCAACGGCGTCTTCTTTCTGATTCTTTACACACTACCTTCGCTTCTTTGTGACTGTTAATCACTTTCACTTCATGTCTTAACTTTCAACCGACGAATGGGCTTTTTTTTCTTCATGACTTTCTGGCATCGGAGCACACACATGGGCATGGGGCTTTCGGATTGCCTTCAGGAATCTGCTTTGGGAGCGAATGAGACTCCCTTTTTCTCTTCCTCTTTACATACACTCGCTTAAAATGCAAACGATGTGTTATATTCCCTTTGCGTAGCGAATGAATTCGGACACTGTTTGCCATGTGACCATACCCTCGACACTTGCGACGATCGTACTTTGTAGCACGGCCGTTTTTACCTCAAGGCCAGTCATGTGCCACATTCTACGTTGAGTCGTTGTTCCTGGACCCGTCTGTAGCACGAGGAAACGAGCTTGGTTTCCTAGCGTTTCAGAATGTATCAGATCAGTTGAGCCGCTTGTCTCTCTCTATTCTGGACTCTGCCGGCTATCGGTCTCGATCTCTACAGTGACTACCAGTATCTTCAGCCGAACCTAGAATGCGGGAAAGATGAGGAATCAAGGAGCCAATGAAGGACGAGGAACCACGGTATTCTCACGAGAGTCTGTAGCGGTGAATATCATGACCTCAACCCAATCCAGAGTGACAAGAAGCGACACTCTTACTGAGAAACTGTCAGTAACTCTGCTTGCTTGCTTGCGCAACACCTTGATGAGCTGTAGAAAGGCACAATCACATCTCGTATCCGCAAGCCTAGCTCAGGGAGTCATTGACACGAAGTATCTCGATGAGATCGCTTGAGGTTCAGAAATTGTTGTGCCTTGAGGCAGCTACTAGCGTCACCGTGTTTCGAAAATGGGAAGGAGGTAATCAGATATTACAAGTGAAGCGAAGCCCAATTTCAACGCGACCTAGCCATTTCCTACCTATCGTACCTCCCCATCCACACATTCAACGCAGCCTTGCGCAGACGCGTCGAATCACACACAAACACACACACATTCACGCAAAAGCTATGGCTCATGATCAAGTACAATTCTGGGAGATTGTAGACCGCCAGCTCTGTCTCAACTGGCAGGTGGGCCGATGCGCAGGAGACGATGGAGAATGTCCTCGTGAGCATCACCCCAACCTCGATCCATACAGCGCTGCGGTCCTCGACTTCGCGGTGCCCGACGACACACACGTGGCCTGCATGAGATGTCTGCAGAGCGGATACAAGTGATTCAATCATCAGACTTCTGTTACACGCACTGACATGATACAGTGTGACAAAGCAGGACGTGAGGGTGACAAGAACCCCTGCTCAGAGTGCCGTCACTTTGACGGACCAAACTCGCCGACAGCAGCTACAACGACCAGCTGTGGAGGCAGGTGATGAGGCGCCGCGCAGAGGGCCACACTTTGCCTGACTTTGAGAGGAGCGACGCTCCAAATGCTAGCGGTGTTGTCCCGTCGCCAATGCCAGATACTCTGGTCAGAACTGACTGGAAGGGACTGTCGAGAGATGAGCTCCTTGCCAAGTCCGACTGGTTCCCAGATGGCTTCCGCGCCTCTCCACGAGCATACATGGTGCCACCGCGTCCACCCATCCGCGCGCAGGTCATTCAGGACCTTGAAGAAAGGAGTCTCCTTATGGCACAAACAGAGGATGGAGACTATGTCCCGCCGGTTGGGTTCTCCGGCTTCCAGTCGCAGAACAGTCAGGATCCCTCCTGCCAGTACACCTCTGACTCTGACTGAGTTATGTCTTTTCCTCTCTTCCTCTTACTGTTGGTCAACTCCTTCATTCCCTCCCTCTCACTGTTGATTAACTCCTTCATCTCCCCTTACTCTCATTGTTGGTTGATTCCTCCATACTTGCATTCTTGCTCCTTCTCAGTGCTGGTTAACTCCTTAAATGCTTGCGTTCTTGCTTCTTCTTAGCGTTGGTTCACTCCTTCACGTCATTACATAAACCTTGTACCAAATTTTTCAGCCGTTGCTCCATGTAGACAGACTTCCTATCGTATCGAGTTGTGCTATGTGACTGTATGATAACCCTCGAAGGCATGTGCTCTTCCTGCCCAAATATCAAAGCTCGCGAACGTAGAAGAGTGATGTCCTAACCATCGTAGCTTTGCCGTGCAAGAGGTTGAGGTATCCGACTAATGGAATCCGGATAGGCCACAGTCCTATTGTAAGGTCAAAAGTGTCGATGTTTTATCATACCATCTCGTCCTTCCCTGGATGTTGTACTTGGCGCGTCAGCACACTGATTTTGCTTGTCAATCAACGACATATTAGATCCAGCGGATCGAGTCTCTTCTTATGGGCACGGGTGGTTAGTCTTTCGCCATGACAGAACGACGGATAATCCAATGATCGGGCTCTTTCAATTTGGGAATGCGTGCTGATGAGTACTCTTGAGCAAACAAAAGCACTGAGCGGTCATAAAGCCTGCTCTTTCTGCGACGCATCTTTCGGTCGATAACATGGTAAGTCTTGCGCTCAAGGAGACCTGGAGAAATTGGAGTTTGTATCAGATCAGCTGAGCTATCCCGGTCTCCTCCGGCTGTCATCGCTGTGCTCCGAACTCCAACCAAAAGAAGCCTCTCCACCTGGTTCCCACTTGCACAATCCGACACAGCCCAAGGCAGCAAAAGTAAAAGAGATGTTGAAAGCGGCGGGATTCGAACCCACGCAACTTACGTTACTGCGATGCCTTGTATTTTATACAGGAAGCTATTGGCTGTTAGACCTTTCACTTGAATGCAGCGCCATAACCACTCGGCCACGCTTCCTTGGATGGAGGCACACTGGCTGAAATAGAATATAATACAAAAACAAAATCCGAGCCCAGGGGACGAAATTGGAGCCGCGAGCTCCAAACGTCATTTTGGCGGCGACGTAGGCGACAACAACACTATTCTTGGTCGAGTACAGGTGAGCTGTGCTGCTGGAACACCCAGTGATGGCGACACGTATTTCCGTTGAGAAAAGAGATGGTTGACTGCCAGGATATGAGAGAAAGGGGAGGCTTCTGAAATCTCGAGTTTTTCCACTTCCGCATTGGACCCTTCTATTTTATGACAGGCAACGGCTAAGCATACCTTATCCACGCCTCGATATTCAGAATATAGCGACCATACTCCCTCCCCGCATGCAAAGTGCTTTATACTTGTAGTTGACTCCAGGCACGAACCTCTCTGTCTTTGAAGCGATGGCATCGAAATGCGTCTTCTCCATAACTTCCCGCGTGAGATTTGCCGACATGAAATAAGACTTTGCGCCGCTACAGCTTGTTATTGCTCTCTTCTGATCATCGAAGAAGGGGGAGAACCCCTTTGAAACACGAAGAGATCTCTCTTTCTGTGGTTCTTGACATTTGATAAACTGTTCTGCAAGTTCGGGACAAGATGGTGTGAACGTGAACGATATGAAATAGATGCCTTGTATTTGAGGCCTCGGAAAAACCCAGGGGTTGTTTTCTTCACCATCATCGTCTCGACCATCCCGCAATTCACATATGACTCACGAAGAGCCCATTTCTTGCCATTGATACCATGTTTGAGCTTACAGTAGGTATTGTTGGACCTATATGACTGCATATCATGTCAAAGACAATATCGAGGGGATGACCCTGACGATATACCGCCGAGATAGGGAGGTCGAAATGTGATATGCCCGTCGGAAGAACGCGTCATCTAAGTAGAACATAATATCCGCGTGAGTACTGATTGAGACTGGCATCGGATGGTTATCGAAAGACACAGTATGATCAGTGAAGGACTGGCAATTGCGCGACGCGCTGGTGAGTGAGCGGTTTCGGAGGTGGCTGCGTCATCGGACGAATTTTTGGAGAGCAGCAGCGCGTGCAGAGTCATTGAGGGGCAGGTGTTTACTGTGCTCCTTCCCTTTGACACCACACTTGCGCAAACATGGACGTCAGCACATTTACAGAGAAGGCTCGTGACTTCCCCAAGAAGAAGTGCGGTTGGTAACACCTGAAGTGCATTGACTCCAAACAAGGCTAATATTACGGTGTTCAGGTGTGTTGGGAGCCACTGGCTCTGTCGGCCAAAGATTCATCCTCCTGCTCGCCCTCCACCCCCACTTCACCCTCCACGCCGTCGGTGCCTCTGAGCGCTCGGCAGGCAAGAAATACAAGGATGCCGTCAAGTGGAAGCAGTCGCTGCCCATGTCAAAGGAGCTGGGAGAGCTGGTTGTGAGAAAGTGCACCCCCGATCAGTTTGCCGACTGCGACATGGTCTTCTCCGGTCTGGACAGTGACGTCGCTGGCGAGGTCGAGATGGCCTTCCTCAAGTCTGAGCTCGCCGTCTTCTCAAACGCAAAGAACTACCGTCGCGACCCCTTGGTGCCCCTGGTCGTGCCCACCGTCAACCTTCCCCACCTGGATGTCGTCCACCACCAGAGAAAGCACTACGGCCTGAACAAGGGTTTCCTGGTCTGCAACTCCAACTGTGCCGTCATTGGCATTGTCATCCCCTTCGCCGCTCTTCAGGCCAAGTTCGGTCCCATCAACCAGGTCTCGGTCGTCACAATGCAGGCTGTTTCGGGTGCTGGCTACCCTGGTGTCAGCAGCATGGACATCATCGACAACGTCGTCCCCTTCATCTCGGGTGAGGAGGACAAGCTCGAGACCGAAGCCCAGAAGATTCTCGGTCAGGTCAACTCGGACGTCACTGGCTTCTCGGACCAGAGCGACCTCAGAATCTCCGCCGCCTGCAACAGAGTCCCCGTCCTGGACGGTCACACCGCTTGTGTCTCGCTCCGCTTCGAGAGAAGACCCGCTCCCAGTGCCGAGGAGGTCAAGCAAGCCATGCGCGACTATGTCTCAGATGCTCAGAAGCTTGGATGCCCTTCCGCCCCCGAGAAGGCCATCGTTGTCATGGACGAGCCTGATCGTCCTCAGCCCAGACTCGACAGAGAGACCGACAGAGGTTACGCTGTCAGCGTTGGTAGAGTCCGTGAGGACGAGAGCGGTATCTTCGACATCAAGTTCGTTGCTCTCAGCCACAACAGTAAGTCACTTCGTACCTCCGATGTCTCGACGAGATACTAACCCGCAATAGCTGTTATCGGTGCTGCTGGCTCTTCTATCCTCAACGCAGAGGCCTGTGTCCTCAAGGGCTTTGCTTAAAGCAGTAGTCTATGAATGCTCGTTATGTAATTATGGTCAAAGAAATGCTCGCCGGCATGCTAGAATAAAGCTGGTTGTTATCACGTCTACTATTGTCTTTCAAACCCCGTACCGCTACAATAGCTCCAATGGAACCTCACTGAGCATTCAGCCTACCGTCAGGCATCGCTTAGTTATCGCCTTGGCGATCAATAGGCTCGGTATAGGCATAAAACTCCATTCTGCCTTGACACAGACCATCGCACGTGACCACGACTTCTCTACCGACCATACATACCCTCTATAACAACGATATCATGGCCACCTACACTCTATACCTCGCTCTCCTCAACAGCGACGGTAACCCTAATGCTGGCCCCGCCGCACACACAAGACATAGGGCTGCCACCGCCGCGGAGACTCAAAAGTTCCTAGACGATCTGGCCGAAGCGCTTACCGGCCGTACGTTACTATATACCCATTCCCTCCTTATCCTATCTACACAATATCCTAACGATCAATATAGGAACCCCCATCACAATCGCCCCCGGTGGTGTCCCTAGAGGCTACCACTTGACCTGAGTCCCTCGCACCATCGCCAATGGTAGCCGTACAGGCGATCCTCACCTCTCGGGCCACCCTAGTGGCAGACCCTTCTCGTCGTTTGTGCAGCTCGTTAAGCACATCAACTGGATGATGGGTAGAGACAGCTATGAGGATGATGTGGAGGGTGAGGTCAGGGACGACAACTACGTGGAGGTGGAGGAGGTTTGCGAGTGTAAGCTCTGCAGAGATGCTGCCACCGCTGCTGCTGCTATGGCTCCTGCTACCTAGGTGTATATGGTACGGGATTAGGAGTGTACCACCATCAATGATTCAGCCTACGGGCTGTTTTTTTTTCGCTCCGATATGTTTGCTGCACTATGGTACAATAGCTGTGAGGACGCCTAAAAGTATGTGGTAAGAGACACCAAGTGCACTATACGTACTATTAAACAGGAGCTCTCCACCATCGTGCTCCACTCAAAATTGTGCTGTAAAAAGGTAAAATCAAATTCAAAAAAACACAAGCATGTCAGTGGAGAGCCCAAATTCGCTGCTCTCCGTCGACAACGACTCATTTTCAACAAAAGTTTATGGCTTTTCACAGCAGTATTTTGCAATTACATCGATCGTGGAGAGCTCATGACCTCACTCTCCGAGATGAACACATTTATAAAAAATCAGGCTGTAAAAATGCACAATCATTTCCAGAAACAAGAAGACTGTCCAGGGAGAGGCAAGAACATCTACGCTCCCCCAACAATCATGCCTTTTCAACAAAAGGTTCATGCATTCTTACAGCTTAGTTCAGGGGTAGTCATCAGAAGGAAATACCTTCCAGACCGGTCTTTCAGCATACAACCTTCGAAGTCTACAAATGTTCTTGCCTTTTTACAGGTTGATTCTAGCAGAAGCACGATGCTGGAGAACGCATTGAGTTTGACCTCGGGCTAGTGTACATCTTGTTGATACGACCTCTCTCCATGACCGTTTTTGACCTTCTTTTGCAGCTGTAAAAATACACAATAATTTTTAGATGTTGAGGTTGTTCGTTGAGAAGAGCATCATTATAGGTCTTATTACTGATTATCTAGACGTCCGCCGAAGCAGTAGCAGCAGCCGATCGCTTCGAATTGTTCTTCTTTGCCTTTTTCTTAGGTGCTGGCTTCTCAGTCTCAGCAGTCTCGGTATATTCATCCTCGTCCTCTACAGCATCACCACTCTTTCTCTTCTTCTTCGCTGCCTTTGCCATACGACCGAGTGCGCTACCCATACGCTTACTACCCTGTTCAATCCTCTGTCTCGGCGCGTAAGCACCAGCTCCAACACCACCATCGAAAAAGGCTGTGATGTTGGCTTGTGTGCCTTCTGCTTGTCTGCGATTCATGTCTTTGATGACAGGAACGAGGACTTCGTCAGTACGCTCAGAGTTCCAGCCAATAGTAGCCATCAGGAAACTGCGCAAAGCACTTAGATCAGGCACACCCCACTGGAAAGCAGAAGGATCGTTGTCGACATCCGGCTGCAGATACGCGGCTTCCACTCTCGGGTCAGGGAAGTTGGAGGGTAGGAAGAGTTTGTTCACTTGACGGCGGAACTTCTTGCGGAATGGATTTGCGGCATCTTCAGACTTTGGTATCTGATTCATCTGAGCGGCGTTATACCAGTCGCGGAAGTCGTTGAGGTTGGGAAACTCGGACAGAATCTCGAGAGCTGTGACTGGACCCACACCGGGCAAGCCTTCGGTATAATCTGAGCCAAGAAGTTGAGCGATACCAATCATCTTTTGTCGTGTCAGATCGAATTCCTTCTCGAAGTCGGAAGTCAAGTAGCACTCCACAAACTTGGCCTGGTTGAACATGTTCTTGTAGATGCGAGTGCCTCCGAAAAGGAAACAATCCGAATCATCGGTAACGATGCCATCCACCAGCCCAAGGGTGACAAGTTCTGCACACTGCGCTTCGGCTTCCATGGGCGCGGTGATGTAAGGCAGACCGAACAACTTCAAAAGTTGTTGACATTCTTGAATCATGACATGCGTCACTTCATCGGCATCACGTCTGTCCTTCTTCTGTTGAGTACGAAGCTGTTTCAACTCACGTTCATATTCTTCAATATTCTGCTGTTGTGTCTTGTGGTTCAATGAGGAAGCGAAACGAGCATGTTCTTCTGTTTCAGTAGCGAGTTGACGAAGGAGTTCATCGTCTTCAGAGTCAGAATAGTAACCAAACTCATCAGCTGCAGTTTCTGCAGACAGATTTTGATCTGCCGTGCCAGACACAGATCCAGGAACGGCATCGATGGCCGTTTGTGTTGTGATCTGTTCCTCAACTTCCTGTGGCAACTCCTGGGGCTGATCAGGAATGTCTACATTTTCGAAGTCTGGAGACGGCGATTTCGTAGGCTCCCTTGTGACTTCTGCTGGAGGCTGCTCGATGGACTTCGGTGAAGACTCTGGAGAGGGGTCCTTTGCTGCTTGAGGCTCAATCGTTGCTGACGGCTTTTGCTCTAGGTTAGTCTGCTGATTGTCGACCTGTTCCCACTCCATATTCTCATCGTCTTCATCATCCTCCGCGAAAGGATTGTTCTTCGCAGGCGTTACTGTCGGTGCAGACTGCTTTGGCGCGGCAAACTTCTCGTCTGTGGGCGATGCTTCTTTGTCCTCGCGACTAATGATCGGTGTATCCGAATGCTCAACCTTCTCTTTTTCAAGTTCGCTCAAAACAGGAGGCGCGGCTCGGACACGATCTGCCAAGTCTCCCATAGCAGGTGGTTCCACTACACTGAGGTCTATAGGCTCTGGTGTAGTAGCTTTGTCCTCTTCTCCGTCTGAGATGTCGATGATTTGTTGACTTGCGTCTCGAGGCTGTGACTCTTCGAAGTCCAGATCAATCACTTCACCGGATGAGCGCCGACCCAGAACTGGTACGCTAGCAAATTGGAACTCTTCGTTATATGCTTTGGTCTTTTGCCAGTCGTCGCGTTCGAGTGCATTTTGTTTGGCAATATTGGCGTCAAGGTCTCCTGCAAACCATGGTGGCATCGGTCCAGACTTGTCCTTCTTGTCTGGACCAGTATTGTCTCTTTCGAATCCGCCTGCCATTTCTTCTTGTGCTTTCTCCATCTTCTTTTTGCCGAGCAGAGAACTACCAAGATCTAGCTTTTCGAAGGGTAGAGGACCGGAAAACCCGCCAGCGTTTCTAGGATCCTGAACGGCCGTCGCGGGTGCTGAGCTGACGGGTGGCGCAGGTCTGATCTTTGGTGGCTGCTTAGATTGATACTTCGTCTTGCGTGACTCGGCAAGTGCAGCCTGAAAATCCATATCATCTTCGCTATCGTCACTTTCTTCACCAAAAGCAGCAGGCCTGGATCCAGCGTCGTTGCAGGAGCTTGTCTCAGCAGTCTCAAGGTCCAAGATATCGCCGTCATTGTTCGAAGCTGATGCAATAGGTACTGCCTTACCAGCTCGACTGTTTACGATATGCGCAATGGCCTGTCCTCTACCACGTGGGATGGGACGACTCTCATCAGCGCGAGACTGCTGGAACGTATCAAGCCAGTCTTCTTTCTCTTCGTCCTCAGCCGGCTCAGCTTCAGGCTCGGCGTCTTCGTTTTGCATAGACATGGCGATAGCTCGCTGAAGCTCTTCATCATCAGAGGCACTGCCTTCTTCATCATCGACTTCCAAAACGGCGTCATGGTCATCCTCTACAAATAAGCCTTCAGCTTCAGCTTCTGCTGGCTTACGTGAATGAGGTGCTTTGGCTCGCCTCCGAGGAGCACTTCTCTTCGATCGGTAGAAAGCTTGTCTTCGTTTGGCCATCTCCACGCCAAGTGTCTTCTCCTGCTGGGCATCTGTGGCTTTCGGGAGCCGATTCAGGCCCTCGATCGGAACGTCTTCGAATTCATCATCGTCGTCCTCATCCTGCTCTTCATTGGCTTCTTTTTCCGCTGCATCGACATCGATTGGTTTGTTCTGGATGCCATCATTCTTTCCAGTCACAACACCTAAAGCCCATCCACCCTCGACACCATCGTTCTTGACCAGCACGTATTCCCTTCCTCTTTCACCAGCTACTCTGCCTGGAGCGTCAAGACCATACATGAGATCATCGTTCATGCCGTTGAGGTTCATAAGACGTTGGGTGAGGTCGTTGCGCTCCGTGACGCGCTCGATTTGGAACTTTGAGAAGGCCATGCGGTCAGGGAACATAGTGTCCAGCTGATCCTTGGAGTAGCCCATTCTGAGTCTACTCCTCAGCCTGGCTGCGTTGAGAATGTTGTAGCGGTCACTAGGTGGAAGACTTAGAAAGAAGCTGCCGTCGAAGTCAATCTTGGAGAAGTCGTATACGTTGATATCTTCGCCAGTATCGAATTGACGGGCGTAATTCTCGAGTTCCTCCAGAGACATGATTCTTGGGTCATTGGGAGCACCCATCTCGGAAAGAGGTACGCCCAAATCAGGAAGATGGTATTGATCCTTCTTTCTGAAAGCCTTGTTCTGCTGACGTTCCTGAGGGTTCATGAGAACCTCATCGGCATAGACCAGATTGTCAGGCAGTGCCTCTTCCTCGTCTTGTGGAGCAGCATGTGTAGCACGCTTGCGGTTGCTCTCCTCTTCCTCGGCAATGCGCTGCATCTGAAGGGCAAGCAGCTTGCCAGCAGTGCGAGTCGCATCCTCTCTTCTGCCTTCTCTCCTCTGCTTGCGAGCATTGATGGTTGCACGCTTCAGGGCAGGGGCGCCGCCATCAAAGACAAAGACAGGTTTAATGCCAAAGTAGAGCAGTTTGCAGATACGACGGAAGAAGCCAATGACATGACTGTTTCTCAGAGCGTTGCCGTCTTTGTCGCGGACGGCCTTCAAGAATTGGTAGACCCAGATGGAGGCATCGACGGCGAGTCGTTTCTTGTTTAGTGTTTCGATTTTGATAGGTCGGGCACAAGGCTGGACGACATTCCACAGGCCAGTGACACCCATGACAATGACAGCGTGATGGAGAGCATGTGAGTAGCTGACTGTGCCGTCTACGAGTCTCGATGCTCAAAGGCACCAAAGAAAGTCGAAGCAGCAGGTTGGTGACGTATTGTAGACGCGCCGAGGACTGTGCCCTCGCACTCGGCAGTCAGCGAAGCTCGGGCCACTTTCACATGTTGACACGCGGAGGCAGGCTTGGTTTTGCAGGCCCTCCAGTCCCAAGCGTCTCTCAACATCCGAACTGTCTTTCATTTGGGGGGTCAGTCTCTTCGTGCATGTGATGCTCAACGCATTCCGTCTGTAGCCGCGCAGCATGTCACTATATATTCCATATCTGCCTCAGTCACCCCATGGCTGACCCTACTCGTTCTGCTTTGTTCAACAAGAAATGGCGCCTGCATCTGTCGTCCTGGATCACAGCAGTGATGAAGAAAATACTTCTCTTATCTACGCTGTGCTACCGCCGCTTATCAAAAACTCCATGCCAAAGGTGCGCTCTTTGCGCCGTTCGCTGTCGGGCTACAACCGTGCAGCTGCATTAGTCGGTCATGTAAGGAGCTCAAGCACAGAGAGCTCAAGACCTGGCTCAGCAACCCCTCCTCCGCCCTATCAGGAGCCTATCGCTTCCCTCACATCAGTCTTGTCTGATATGGACTTTCAAGAAACTCCGCCGACGTCCCCCAGTTCGCTACCTATTGATGCACCTGTCCTTGTGCATGATGAGCGAGCAGGAATCAGATGGGAATTTGCGCGTCAAGGTAATTACCATGCAGCATAGTCGTTGCACTCTTTTCTCATACTCATTGCTTAGGCTTGAGCCTTCTCCAAGGCTCTTCAAGTCTTTCCTCCAATCCAGACTTTAGTCGTCAATTATACGTTGACGCTGCGAGTTATGTTCTCAGAGGTCTACCACACAATCTGTCCAAAGAGGAAACGCTGCGGCTTCGAGCTGCGATGCCGTCTGACATGATCCCACCGCAGCAGCCTACCAATGGAGTCCTCATTCGAGGCCAGTCATATGACAACCAGGTCGCACAACCAGAAAAAGACCCAACAATACTCCATCGTGCAGTAGCAATGGTCGTGTTACAAGTCTTCTTCCTTCTATCCTTTCTCTGGCCTTATGTCCAGACAACATGTCGTGGTGCATATCAGTATGAACGAGAGCATCACATCTCAGAGAAACTACTCAACCAATCATGGACTACCGCCAATGCCTTGAGCAAGAACACAATGACGGTCGCCAGAACAGTTTGTAGCTGGAACGACGGCCAAGTGGGCACGGCTCTTGAAAAAACTATCTTTTGGTGGGTTCAAGGTGTTACTGGTGGTCTGCGTGATGGCATGAAGGATGGTATGGAAGCGTTCGGCGTCAAGACTGTAGATCACCGGGACAAGCGACCTGCCCGTGCATGAATTTTTTACGACTTTATACATGAGACTTAGATGATGATTTAGAATATAGATAATGTAACGATCGATGCCATTGCAATTGCACTTGTTCTTCATTGCAGTCGTCAGTGCGGTCATTTACTGGGGTTTGTGGCATTGCCCAGCTAGGCTTACCCACAGACAGCTCCACTGCTAGCTACGTCTTCTCTATGGGCCTCCTCTTCGACGTGCTCCAGGATCCTATGGCCAGTGGATCATCACAAGCTTCGCTCCGAGTTTCACGGTCATCTTGACCGTTCTGCCATTTTTCTTCGTCATGTTTTCACTTTTTCCAATTCACCCCGTTTATATATACATCATTACATACACATAAATGTCCTAAGGCACGAATTTTCTCTAAGTGTGCTCTGGTCATGGAAAGAGGGTGGGTGTGACCGAGTTGGAAATATAAGGAGGATAGATAAATCGGACTCAGAAGAATGTTTGGAAGCATGCCGTTGTTACAAAATTCAAGCTTAAACGCCTTTTTGCTGTATGCCAGCCCATGTTATATGCATCGTCCATATGCATCTATGATATATATGCACCGTTACCTTGGCCCTCCCTCTTACCGCAGTTTGACCCAATTCAGTCGACTCATAAACGAGCGATTATTAGTCTCAGCTAGCATGAGCCAAATCCGCCAATCGATCAATCTTTGGCGTCAAATCCGCAATCCTGAACGGCTTGCTGATCGAATCATCCATACCCGCCGCCATAGCCATGCTAGTCTGTTCGGGTCTCGCGTTCGCAGAAACACTCAAGATAGGCACATGGCCTCTCAGTTCGCCTGATCTTTGCATCTCGCGAATCGTCTTTGCTGCTGTCAAGCCATCCATGATCGGCATCTCTGTATCCATGAGGATGACATGAAGTTCTCTGTCTGGAGCGGCGTTAGTGATAGTCTTTCCGTCTTTCTGCGTGGCTTTGTTCCAGTAGCGGGTTTGACGGAGGAATTCTACGGCTTCCTGCCCGTTGTCTGCTGTCCAGACTACGTAGCCTTTATTGGTAAGCTGCCTCTTAAGCACTTTTTGATTGACTTGATTGTCTTCTGCAACCAGGACGTGAATCTGAGAGATCTCGTTGCTGAAGCTTGTCTGAGCAGAACCGCTGCGTGGACGCATAGAAAGGTCGTTTTTAAGCCGTTGCTCTGCTGGAGGTGTAGCCGTCCGAGTCTTGACGAAGAAGGCAAAAGTTGATCCGACGTCGGGTTCTGTAGCGATACCAATCTCACCGCCTTGAAGTTCTGCCAGCTCTCTGCTGATGAAGAGACCAAGTCCAGAACCTCCATATTTGGAGTATGTGCGTGGAGACGCTTGCTGGAAGCGTGAGAATAGCTTGATCTTCTCCTCTGGCTTGATGCCTCTTCCTGTGTCCATAACGCTGAACCAAATGTAAAATGTACCTGGTCCTGTGGCTATCGCTACAGACTCACGAACTGTGTCGCTCAGAGTATGGGGTAATGCAAAGTCGATTGTGGAAGATAGTGGACCATCCGAAGGGCGCTCGTTTGAAGTGCCCATCGTGATAGTGACCCTTCGTTCCGGTCTTTCTTTCGTGCTGCGATCCGGTCAGTGTTGGTGATTCATAATGTTCTTGCCGAACCACTCACAACTTCAAAGCATTAGTCACCAAATTGACCAAAATTTGATGTACTCGTCCGATATCAAGCATGACATTGTCGATTGTCATAGCCTCGATCGATGGATCAGCTTGGATACGCAATTCAATATCAGCGCGACCAGCCTCAATCTCGAATAGACGTTGCATATCATCCAGGATACTTTTGGCACGGACTGGAGCCTGGTTAATCTGGAGGAGGTTGCTGTCGAGTTTCGATAGAGTTAGGAGATCATCAACAATTCTACACGACCTTGGTCAGTACAGACATCACCAATTCATGATATTCGTAATACAAGCATACCGTTTTTGGTGACTGGAACATGATGTAATGATGTTGACAGCCTCTGCGCTGCTGGCAACCAATTCGAGTAGACGCTTATCAGCCCTTTCGTCAGAGACAGGCAACTTGCCCAAGATTGATTGCATCTCTCCTAGGGACTCGTCTATGGCATCTGCACAATGTACGACTGCTCCAAGAGGATTTCTGATCTGTGTGGTGTTAGCGAAGTTTGTTGCGATTTCGACTAGTTCAGCCAAATACCTCACTACACAAAAAAGTTAGCGAGGTTGATACAACAGAGGCAGGAGGTTAGACATGCTGTGACACCATGTCGACAAAAATTTCTGTATGATGTTTGGCTTCCAAGGCTTCTTCGACTCTTGAGCGCTGAACGTCTTCGGCCCACTTCAAATGGCTGATGTCTGTGGTTGTCGTCATTATGGCTTTGACAACACCATTTTCATCGAGTTCTGGGTGAGACGTCGACGATCCCCAAGACTGGTATCTGTGCCCGTCACCACTGACAAACATTCGGCGGAATCTGAATTGTGTCGTTTGTGGCTCGTGAGTGGCAAGTATTTGAGTGACGGATTCCCTAACCAAAGGCAGGTCTTGTTCGAGGATACCATCGACCCACGAAGAGTCCAGTTCGCTAACGGGCACTGGAGTGATACCTAGCATTTCAAACCAAGCACTGTTACAGAAACTCAAAGTCATGGACGGCATTTCGAGGATATGCACAGCCACAGGGGAGCTCGCTGTGAATCGAAGGAACCGTTGTTCACTTGCGCTCGCTCTTTCTAGCGCTTGCAATGCTTTGAGAGCATCATTTTCGACTCGCTTCTGAGCATCGATATCTGTTGTGCAACCAGCTGTAACAACATCAGCACTGCTTGGATACATGTCGAGACTTCAATCTTCCTACCGATACTGACAACCTTTCCGTGATCATCCATGACCGGGAGACAAACAGCTAAGATCCACCTGCCTTCCGGCCGATGTGGGTGCTTCCATCTCATCTGGTACTATAAAAAAGTCAGCAATCGGAGTGGCTTTGTGGGGGTCCTGATTGTGTCATGCGTGCATCTGTATTGAATCACAGCATCTTTTGGGAAGCGAGCAACGCCTCCTGAGAGTGTTTGCCGCGTTGGCTCTCTTCGTAGGCTTCTCCGTTCCAGAAGATGTATGTGCCTTCTCGCAGCTTGTCTTCGCCATGCAGAGTGACGGAGAAGATTGTATAGGGATAAACATACAGTGACTGGTTTTCCTTGAAGCATGCTATTCCAGTTGGACATGACCAATTCTTTGTCATCGTCATGAACGGATTCTAGCCAAGCAAAAGCTGGCACGGGGGCATCTTGACGAGGAAATGATGAAAGTCGATGCCAGGACTCGTTTGCTTGAAGTAAATTGCCGTCTCTGTCGCAGCTGAAAATACCTACATCACTTAGTTCCATGACTTTGACCAGATGATTGTATTCTCGGCTGATGTTGTTAGCTTTCTTCTCACGTTGGGCGAGCTCCAGAGCTGCGATCTCCTTCTTTCTAAGAGAGTGTATCGAATTTCCGATGATTCTTCGTATCTCCTCGGTCCAAGTCTTGTACGCAGTGTCGTAGGTCGATCTCGTGGCCACTCCTAGAACGAGTAGAGCCCTGACTTTGTGGTAGCGATTAGACTGTAGAGGGAGGACCAAGGCTTCCGTGCAGTCATCTTCCCAGCCCCGAGTATGCGCTGCCTTCGACCAAGATTCTGGAAGACTTCCGTCTTGTGTTGTCAATAGCACTGGTTCTTCCAACGCAACAGCCGAGCTCAGACTTTGGTTGAGACGATCTTTACTGGTACCGTTCAGGTTGAGCACGTTCGCAACTACTGCGTTGGTCTCAAAATCTCCAATTGAGCCTTTCAGTTGGAAGACTAGTTCGTCATCAACAAAGGTGTTGGACTCAGGGGCGTATATAAGCGCAAATGGACAGTCGTATTCTCTATATTGCGGACCGAAAATTAGCGACAAATCCCACATGAACCTGGATTGGATGAATTGCAAAGATAGGGCATAAACAGGGCCCCCTGATCGATCTCGAACCAGCTTGACGTACCTCTCAGACAAGCTCCCGAGTATGGTATCCCATAGAGATGACACATCCGTGGCCGCATTCAGTGAAAGCGTCAATTTGTGTATTGTCTGTAGCCTTCTGTCCGAGATTTTTTTCTCCGTCTCATCGCGCAGAATGACAGAAAATCCAGTAAGTGCGCTTTTCTTAGGAAATGGTACGATGGTCCAAGACATGTGAATCTCCATAAGACAACCATTTCTCATCGAAGGCATGGTGAAGCCCTTTTCAACAGAAGCTCTTCCAGTAGAAATCACTTCGTCCACTATTGATAATGTCAAAGAATAGGTTTCGGGAAAGGCTTCTCGAATGGGGCTACCGAGAGCAGCGGGGTGCTTTTCTCCGACCAGCTCGGCGTAGGCTTCATTGTATAGCAACAGATGATCCAATCCAAGGAGAAGCAACCGGGGCTGTGGGTCCAAGATAATCAAATGGAACAAGAGTAAAAGCTCCGGTGGCCAGTCATCAATAGCACCTATCGATGTGGCGGCCCAGTTGACATTCTGTACCAAGCCAAGATGTCTGTCCGTTTCCGGCGAGCCTGAGGACGCGTCAAACATCAGAGAGGCCATCAATGTTTAGAGATAAAATTTGCGACACGTCGTCGAGTGTTGAAGGATGCACCACGCACGCTCGATTCAAGAAATTGACGTCACTGAGTCGTGGTCACTTCCAGCCGTCTGGTAAGGAGGTGAAAAGAGGGGTATATTTCAAGTGAGCCTCATGGAATTCAGTCGTCAAAATTCGTCCGCCACCTTTGGATATGATAGAATATAGGAATGTAGCCCGGGCAAGACGGTCCTCCAAAAGTCTTTATTACGCAAAACATCCTCAACCCACCAATACTTGTTTGCAACGGGCAGCTCTAACCTAATCTGAGATTAAATCCGCGGAGCTGGTCTAGATTCCCGTCCGGCGGTGACGTTTGTTTTGTTTGTGGAGAGCCAAGTGCGTTCTGAAGCTTCTTCTCGAAGCCTTCCCAAAACGACTTTTTGCAATTTTTACGAGGATTTTTATGTACCCATCATATCACGATAATTATCAGCACTACTGGACTTACTGGTATCATTAAACCATCATGGATCATCAACAGACTTCAGAATCATCGCAGCCCAGCAAGCGTATTTACATTGGAAATCTGCCGTACGCAGCACAGGCCGAAGATGTGGAACAATATCTAGAGGAAGCCGGATTCCAGATTGAGCGTCTGGACATGTCGACCGATCCTTTTACGGGAAGAAATCCATCATACTGTTTCGCGGAATTGTTTTCGGTAGAGGAGGCTGAGAGAGCTATTACTTCGCTTCCTGGTGCTAGCTTCATGGGTCGCCCACTCAGAGTCAACGTGCATACTCCCAAGACCCGCGGAGCAAACGGCACAAACACTCCTCTTCGTCCCTCTACTAGATCGCCCTTCTCTGCTGAACGTACTTGGCGAGGCCAATCTTCAGCTGAGGGTGCTGAAACCCCTTCCAAAACTGGCGAACGTGATTCGTATGCTTTCAACCGCTGGGAGCGCAACGACGCTGCTGCTCAATGGACTGCACCTGTGGAGACTGGTCGCAGACTCTATGTCGGTGGTCTGCCCCGAATTGATGGTCAGGAGGTTATCAATGAGGAGATGAAGGCGTTGTTCAATGGTTACGCAGTCGAGGCTGTCAGCAAACTGATTTCACCCCACGAGTCCACCGCAAGCCTGCCCGGCGATCATCACTACTGCTTTGTCGACTTTGCCACTACTGAAGATGCTCAAGCCGCTGCCAACGCAGTAAACGGAGCCACCACGACTACTGGCAGCAAACTCAAGGTTAACATGGCTAGAGAGAGGTCCACCAGAGAGAGAAAGGTCGTTAGAGAGCAGAACCTGACAGAGAGAGCCGAGAAGACCGAGAAGCCCGCACCAGTCAGAGACTTCGGATCAAGCTGGCGTAGAGCCAACTAGGAGCCCACAGTCACTCGGAAACGTCCCCTTCGGAGACCATGCAAGAAGGTGGACACGAGTTGGATCAAATGGTTGCGTTGAACACAAGCAGCAGCAGCAGCAGAAAAAGGTGCTTGGTTTCGTTCTTTGTCGTTTTCATCACATCCCTGCATCGATACCCCCATTGCAAGCCACGAGGCTTTGGTTCACATTTCGTTGATTTCTGGAGAAAGCAGTTTGTATGATTAGAAGAGAATATTGAACGCTCTTTTCAGTTCCACCAAAAACTCATGCTGAAACTTGTGCTAAGACTTTCTATGTAATGCCACCATCCTATAGGGATGTACAAGCACTCGCCTGGGCCTAGAACACCCTCCACGCATTGCGCCTTGTTGAATGATGGATATTGTGCTTGGAATTGCTGCTTGGCCTCATCATCTACTTTACTTTCTGGATCAGATGTGTACAGCCTTTTCACAAGCGAGATATCGATGTGCGATGTGTTATCCATATTTACACCGGTGTCATCAATGCCCCTTGGATACAGATAAGTTGTTTCTGATGGAGCATAGAGACGAACGTATTTGTGTCCCACAACTTGACACAGGATGTTGTGGTAAGGGTCCGTGTGCAACGGACTAATGGTACCTGCAGGACCCAACCAAGCATTACGCAGAGGCTCGTCCAGTATCTCAGCGATATTAGAGGTCAACAACTCAGATACAGGAGGTTCTGTGTAACAATAGTCTGGAATACTAGTGTCGTCGCTCAAATTTGGTATTTGTGCAAATAGGTCGTGCTGAGCCAGGTAACCAGTCTTTTCTTGCTTGGGTTTCAGAAGATGACTTTTCATGTATTCAGAAAAGGTCATGATCCGCTGAGACCAACCATCGTCTGTGTAGGTCCTACCCAATTCCACTGGCACCAGTCTGCGACCACCCAGAGTAGCCTTGAGCAGGTACGACGGATCACTCCATCGTCGGTCTTGATCGGCTATTGCAGGCCAATCATCGATTACCCCCTTGATTATGACAGGAGTAGTTTTCGTGACAAGGTGTCTCTGAAATTGCAGAAAGTCAAGCTTCTCTGCACGAGCAATGGTGTCGTTCTGTGGTTGGGTCGATGGTGTGACAGGGAAGGATCTGGAAATGTCTTTGTGCTCGTTCGGATCAAGGCAATGTTGTAACGAATCAAAGATACTTAGTATTAGTTCGCGGCGTAGAGGAGCACCAGTCAGAATCATAGCCATGTCGAGTACACAGACGAGTTTCAACAACCAGTCATGCCCAGCAGATGGTGAACCATGACGCGTGCGCTTTTGGCCACGCGTGCCGTGTTGATTCAATATATCGACTGCCTGCCACAGACTTGCATCTTCGTACAGCCGTCGCCAGCAAAGCGGGACTTGGTCATATCGCCAGGTGTGTATTCTCTGATGAGCCAGGCTCAGAACGTCTCCAGGCCGCTGCTCAATGATGCTAAGGGGTGCACGACCACATTCAGATATCGGATCTCTTGAAGACAGTGAGGTCAAAGAATCTCGTATCTCTTTAGCCAAAGACAGGGCTTCCGCATTTGACATGTTCACGTCGAGGTCAAATGGTAGAGGGAACAGGACATGTCGGAGGTGAAGATGTTCTGGCCGCACCCCGCAGGGCAGGTGCAGCCGAGTTTGCATCATGTTTGTCGAAATTTATTGAGGCGCGAAGGAATGGGCTGCTACTTTTCCGTCGCAAAGCCAGCAACACGACAAAATGGCAACAGAGAAGCAAGAAGTAGAGCAGAAGACGACAGACAAGTCGTCAGCAAGAGCATGGGAAGGACTCAAACCCGCACTATCGGCGTGGATGCTGGACGCCATTTCCAGCATGGGCTTCCAGCGCATGACACCTGTGCAAGCCAGTACCATTCCCCTGTTCATGGGACACAAGGATGTCGTAGTTGAGGCTGTTACTGGTAGTGGCAAGACTCTGTCGTTCTTGATCCCTGCTGTTGAGCGTCTGTTACGAGTCGACGAACCGATCAAGAAGCACCACGTCGGCGCCATCATCATCTCTCCGACAAGAGAACTCGCTACACAGATCCACTCGGTCCTCATGTCGCTACTGCAATTCCACCCTCCCTCGGCCGCTGCTATCCGACCGAAAGACGACGAAGACGAAGAAATGACGGATGAGAACGCTCCTCCTCGACCCACCTTTCCCGCATCCACACCCAAGGTCGTACCGCAACTACTCCTTGGAGGTACAACCACTCCCGCCCAAGACCTGTCTGCCTTCATCCGTACCTCGCCGAATCTTCTCATCGCTACCCCCGGTCGTCTTCTAGAACTGCTTTCCTCACCACACGTACACTGCCCTCAGTCCTCGTTCGAACTCTTGATCATGGACGAGGCCGACAGACTGCTCGATTTAGGCTTCAGCGACACTTTGCAAAAGATTCTCGGAAGGTTGCCCAAACAACGTAGAACAGGTCTTTTCAGTGCCAGTGTGTCGGAAGCCTTGGATCAGCTCGTCCGAGTCGGCCTGAGGAATCCTGTCAGAATTGCCGTCAAGGTCAAGAGTGCCTCTGGTGCTCACGACAAGCGCACACCAGCCAGTCTGCAAATGGCCTATCTTGCAACTACACCGCGCATGAAGCTCCCTGCCCTCAGTCGCCTGCTCACACAACTCCCTTCAATGCCTCAGAAGACCGTCTTGTATGTCTCAACATGCGCAACCGTCGACCACTACCAACACATCTTATCCGAGGTGCTCCCAAAGGATTTCAAGATCGTGCCACTCCACGGCAAGCATCCTCCGAACGTAAGAACGAAGAACTTTGGCAGATTCGTAAACTCAGTCGAGCCATCCATTCTCCTCACCACCGACGTCGCAGCCCGAGGACTGGATATCCCGGCAGTCGATCTCGTAGTACAATTAGACCCTCCCAGCGACCCGAAAACATTCCTCCATCGATGTGGACGTGCCGGAAGAGCAGGAAGAAGAGGTCTGGCAGTGACCTTCTTGAGCAAAGGCAAAGAGGAGGATTATGTCGAATTCTTACGCATCCGAAAGACGCCGATCGCACCACTTACAACACCGGCCATCGAGCCGACAGAAGAGGAGGCCAATGAGGCAACACAAAAGATCCGACAAGTGCTGCTCGCCGACCGATCATTGCATGACAAGGCACAAAGAGCATTTGTGAGTTGGGTACAAGCATATAGCAAGCACTCGGCGAGCAGTATTTTCCGGATACAAGATTTGGACTGGGAAGAGCTGGGCTACAGTTGGGGCCTTCTCCGACTGCCTAGGATGCCCGAACTGAAGAAGTTCCAAGGAGACAAGCTGCTCGGACAACAAATAGATTGGGACACATTCGCATACAACGACAAGAAGCGGGAAGAGCACAGATTGGAAGAGCTGGAGAAATTAAAGGCCAACGGAGGTCATATGAACAAGCGTGCAGGTGACGGCAAGACGAACGAAGAGAGGAGGAAGGACAGGGCATGGACGGTGCAGAAGGACGCGAAAGCCACAAAGGATACACGTCGCGAGATCAAATTGGCACGTCGTGAACACGAGAGGCAGAAGACGCTCACAGCAGAAGAAAAGAAGAAGGAAGCGGAACTGCAAGCCATGATTGAGGCAGTCCGAGAAAAGGGAGAGCCAGAGAGCGAGTTTGAAGGATTCGATTAGGCAAGCGCTACAATCAGCAATGAATGATAATACAAGGAATGAAGAAGCGAGAGCGGGCTGATGATATTGCGATTCATTCTTTGAACAGGCGGGCGGCGTCGCGTGGCTGCGACTTCAGGGTCGACGATGCGGCCGAGGTCTGGACTTGTGACTGGCGTCGAGAGCGACTCATCTGTACACCGACTCCATCCTTCTTCCTCTCTTCCTCGCGTTTCCTCTTACATGCAACACTTATTGTAGGCTGCCACTTATCTGATTATGCGCGATCCATTTCCTATTCCTGCGCCGCAGTGGCTGGCGTCAGCGGTGCAACCGTGGGCAGACAAGCTGTCGCTACCCACGCTGCCCATGCACATCCATGAGATCATCCTGGCCTTGATCTTCTACCAGACCATCAACCTCGTCGTCGCGCCCGTTCTGTCCCGTCGCTTCTTCGCCCAGACCTACAGCTCCTTCAACCGCCGTACCCGCATCAACTGGGATGTCCACGTGGTATCTATGGTCCAGAGCTTGCTCGTCAACACGACTGCTCTGTGGATCATCTTCTACGATGACGAGCGCAACAACATGAACTGGGCCGGCAAGATCTGGGGCTATGACGGTGCCCTGGGCTTCCTGCAGAGTCTCGCAGGAGGCTACTTCATCTGGGACCTGTTCACCTGCACCTACCACATTGATATCTTCGGTGTCGGCATGCTGGCACACGCCATCTCTGCCTGCACCGTCTTCTCCCTTGGCTTCGTAAGCTGCTATCCACCATGGCTCTCCATCCATTACCGACCAAGGCTGACTGACTCCTCGTAGCGCCCCTTCCTCAACTACTACGGTCCCGTCTTCATCCTCTACGAGCTCTCGTCTCCCGCCCTCAACATGCACTGGTTCATGGACAAGCTGAACATGACTGGCAGCATCTACCAGCTCATCAACGGCGTTGTCCTCATCTCGACCTTCTTCTTTTGCCGTCTTGTCTGGGGTTCCATCAACTCTGTCCTCGTCTTCAGAGACATCTGGATCGCCATGCAGAACGGCGGCGTCGTTGGCCTCGACGAGAACCTTGGCCTCAAGTATGGTCTTCATCAGTCCATGCCGGCCGTCACCCCCCAGAACCAACCCTCGTTCGGCTCGGAAGACATCATGCGCTTCGCGGGCTCTCGCTCGCTTCCCGCCTGGCTCGCTCTGAGCTACCTTGCCTCCAACATTGTCCTCAATGTGCTCAACTGGTATTGGTTCGCGAAGATGATCGATGCTCTTCGCAAGCGTTTCGATCCTCCCTTTGGTACAAAGCGCCCTGAGAAGAAAGAGAAGGTTATCGAGGAGAAGACACAAGAGCCCGAGATTGAGATTCAGCGTGGCTTGTATGCCGACGGCAGAAAGACGTTCGAGGTTACCGGTACGAGTACTCCTCCTTCGGTCAGATCCAGACGTAGAGGTTAGATGTGCTCGTTCGAATCCGCTTCTCTGCTTGGATATAACGTGCTCATCGGAGAAATATCAATATTCCAACCAAGCTTTTATTGCGCTCGACCCATCCAGAAATCTACTTCTGGAAGGATTATGGCAATAACTTTGCGTATGCATGTAGTGGGGCGTGCAACTGATCCCAAAGCGGCGCACATCAAGACGCCGGAGCCTCTCTCTTTGGTGCCCAGCTGCTGGGTGTTGCGATTCAAGCACCCGAATCGTCCACACGACAACACCGGCCAAATATTGTCGACCGGCGACCATACTCAATCAACAATTTCTCCCCCGCTTCCGGAACAACAACCCCCGCACAATGGGATCGTCCATCTTGCAGATCTGATCTGTACAACAACGTCACAGATTGCTCTTGTCTTCTCTTCCGAATTTACGTCGTTCTTCCGTATGTAATGTCCGGTGTATAGCTATACCGAGCTCCGAAGCTTGATTGGAGGAACAAATTCACATTCAAACAGATCCCCCTCTCTTCTCAAATCTATGCTCCATGCATGTCAACCAGGGTTTCAGATTTGATATATAGACTTGAGACAAGAACAGTATTGTTTCCAACTTACCAAACACTCCATCATGTTTTCTCTCTTCCAAACCGTTCTCCTTCTGCTACATCTCCTACCATCTCTCACCCAAGCATCACCCCACCACTTCGCCCCGAAACCCGCCTACTTCCTCCTCGCTGGTGACAGCACTACAGCCACCCAAAGCGTCGGTGGAGGAGGTTGGGGGGATGGCTTCTTAAACTACACTTTGAAATCAGGCTCTTCAGGTCACAATTATGGCCATAACGGCGCAACAACCAAGAGTTTCCGAGAAGGTGGAGATTGGGCTCGTGTGATCAGCGATGCAAAAGCGAAAGTTGGAGACTATGCAGTCTACGTGACTATACAGTTTGGACATAATGACCAGAAGAATACATCGGGTGTGAGTTTGGAGGAGTATAGTGGCAATCTTGAAGCATTTGCGAAAGAGGTCAAGGAGGTTGGGGCTGTTCCTGTGAGTTCCTCGCTTCTTCCGCCAATACAGTGATGCGATACTGACAAGTTATAGATTTTTGTAACTTCCCTCACGAGGAGAAAGTACAACACTGCCACACCACCGAAGATTAAACAAGATCTCGAAGTCCAGAGAAACCTTACGCTGGCAGCCGCTCAAGCCACACGTTCCCGCCAAATTGATCTGAACATTGCATCTACAAACTACTGTAATGCTATTGGAACTGAGGCTGCTTGGGGGTACAATCTTCACCCCACGGATTATACGCATTTGAATGTGCATGGAAGTGTGGTGTTTGGGAGGATGGTTAGTGAGTTGATGGCGAAGAGGTACGCGGATATTGGGGCTGTGACAGAAAGGAACTTGACGTTGAGTAGAGAGATTTGGGATGGTGTTGCTGCTTAGAGAGATGAGCGAGAAGGAGAGAGGTGAGAAGATGGTGGATGATAGAAGGCCATCTCTGCATAAAGCTGACATTTGTTTGTGGTTCGTTTTGCTAGCAAGCAGCGTCTGGGTTGGTGAAAACTTGCTTGTTGAAGGAGAACGAATTGTATTCGCAATCCTCCTTCACTTTCTACTTACCTCGAAGAGACCGAGTGAGCGTCAGTGCATTAAGCGCTTCTCGTCCGAAATCCACCATATCCACCCTCTCGATTCAATTCATCCTTATCAGTTGCGCATCATCTGACTGTTACCATGTCTTCAACTACAGCCATGCCAACTACCGCCCCTGCCAACCCATCCAAGCCGCACGATGTCCGCAAGAAGCTCTGGACACTCGTCAAGCAGCGCAGAATCGGCGAGCTCGTCACCGCCATCAAGCAGATCGTCCGTAGCGACATCCAGCATCTTGCCGACATCACCGCAGGCCGCAAGTTGAACTTCAAGACCTTTGTCCTTGTCTGCAATGAGGCTGGCAAGACCCACACTGGTTGTATTGCTGTCATCACCCTTGCTGTCGTCGCTGTTGTCGCTTGCATTGTCGTTACTGTTTACCCCTGGGCTGTTGCTACGCCTTTGTTGAATGCTCTTGGCTTTACCGGTGCTGGACCTGCTGCTGGTAGGATTGTGCAAAGCATTCTTTCTGGTTCACAACTAATCGTCTGACAGGTTCGGTCGCTACTGCTGCTCAGTCAACCTTTGGTGTCGGACCTATCTTCGGCATCATGCAGAGTGCTGCCATGTCTGGCTACGGAGGTCCTGTTGTCGCTGCCATCGTCTCTGGAGTTGCTGCTGCCATTGCCGTCTTTCTTGGCGTCAAGTTGTGGTCTGCTCGTAAGAACAAGACTGTCTAAGTCGTTCTTGACTACCGCTCTGTGCGTTGAGTTCTGGTTGAAGGACACATCGATCACACTTTGAGATGTTGTTGTCTTGCAGATTTCACAGGAAGCGAGTTCACATGCCGACGTATTTGAGCCTCGGCAATGGAATCCCGGGCTCGGGGGATTGTTTTCCGTGCTGGCTTCGAGATGAGAAGAAGGAGAAGGAGAATGAGATGGAGTCTGCAGTGCTATACTAGCAGTCTGTGTCAATCAAACATACTTCGTCTACATTAAACAATATGGATGTGCGTAAAGAAAAGGAAGGAAGGAGAAGATACAGGTCGGCAATGTACAAAATAGACCGAAGTTTAGGCAACCCCAGAAAGGAGGGTGAGCGTCATGCGCGTGCCTGTCGTTATCAGAGCCGGACGACCGAGGGAAAGAGCTTCTTACTGCTCTTTTTCTCCAATCTGCTTGTGATAGACTGCAACCTTGTGAAGTGAATCATCCATCATCAACAGTTCATCCACCGAGACTACACATCTCAAAAGCTGGAAGTTAGCGGAATAGAATCATTCCTTCAATACACAATGGTTGCCGACGCACTCATCTACCACCCCGCGGTTGCGCACTACAACAAGTTTGTCGCGACGACGAGTGTGTTGACCCTCATCTTTCGCGCACGTGTGAATGCCCAGAACTGACAAGAGTCACAGTGGGTCGTGACAAGGCCCTTCGTCTCGTCCAATATCTCTCGCGTTTCCTCGCCTGGTACACTCTCCGCACCAACAGCCCCCAAAGCACAGTCGTGCAATGGGGAAAGCTCAAGGCAAACCTCGGTCTCGTGCGCAAAGCCATGAGAATCGGGAAATTCGTCGAGCACTTCCGCGCCGCTGCAAATGCATACGATGCCAAAACCCTGGATCCTGTCATCCGCTTCTGCACCACTGGTCGCCAACTCGGATATGGAGCTTACATGCTCACTGACACCTTGACATATCTGGATGCTTCGGGTGTGAGACCTAGTTTGACGGCCAAGAAGATGCAGGTGCAGGCTTACAAGGCTTGGATGACGGGTTTGTGCTTTAGTGTCGCGAATGGTGTCTACACCATCTACAAGAGCAAGAATGAGGAGTTGGCTCACACGGACAAGGCTGTGGCTGCTGAGAAGACTGTCGAGGTTAAGAAGTTGCAGCGGTATGCTTCCTATGCTCCTTTCCCTGATGCAGGAACACATTACTGACTATGAAATAGCGAGAGAAGCGCTGCTCAGACACAACTCGTTTCAGACCTCTGCGACCTGTTCATCCCCCTTTCTGCTCTTGGATACCTCAACGTCGACGATGGCGTTGTTGGTCTGGCCGGTGCAGTCAGTTCCTTGATTGGTCTGATGGCCCAATGGAACAAGACTGCTTAGATGTCTTGCTGTTCAAACCAGGGTCATGCCCTCGACATCACAGAACGGACCCGAAGAGATGAGAGGGACTTGAGCTCATGGCAGGATAGGCTTGCGACTGTGATTCCTAGCAGAGAAGACAATGATGCAGAAGCAGAGGGTAGTTGACACGTAGTGGAAGAAGACAAAGGCATGAACACTGAATGATAAATGATGAAGAGCAAAGAAGTCGTAATTTCGTATCGAGAGTAACTTATCACTGCCAGTGCCGTATATCACCAATGATCTGACCACCGTCAGCTACACAGTAGCCAATGTCGGACGGTTCCAAGGCCAATCAAGACTCAATAGTCCGTAAACAGTCTGGTGGATAGACTCGGTCTTGAGTCCCGTCTCTCACTTTGCACAGGACTCGACTTCCTGACCCCTTGCTCCTTGCTCTCTTTGATGATCCACACACCACCACTTGTACCTAACCTGGCGGCACCAGCCTTCAGCATGATGGTTGCATCTTCGACTGTCCTGACACCTCCACTGGCTTTTACTTTCATCCTATGACCATCCGTACGTCTGTCGGCCAAGTAGTCGCAAGCAGCGCGCATGAGCCTGACATGCTCGACCTTTGCGCCATGTCCCAAAAAGCCCGTCGAAGTCTTGACAAAGTCAAAGTTGGCAGCCGAAGCAACAGTGCAAGCAGCAACGATGTCTCTAGAAGTGAGTTGCGAAGTTTCGAAGATGAGTTTGAGCGTGGTCGGTTGTGGAGCCATAGATCGGAGGAGGGCGAGTTCGTGGTAGATTTCGCTGTATTCTTGTTGCTTCAATTGGGGCCAGTTTATGACTACGTCGAGTTCGTCGGCGCCGGCAGCCAGGGCCATGCGGGTCTCTTGCAATTTGTAATATGTGTCTTGAGTGCCTTGGTGGAAGCCGATGACGCTGGCGATCAAGACTTTGCTGCCTTTGAGGTTGGCATGGGCTTGGGCGACAAAGTTGGGTCGGACGCAAACACTCTGCGCAGACAGCACGTCAGCGAGATGTACAATGTCGAGAGCTCAGGCGACATACAGCAAAGTTAGCGACTCTGGCTTCGGCGCATAATTCGTCCATCTGCTTGGGTGTCGCATCCAGTTTCAACAGGGTATGGTCGATGGTGCGTGCAATGTCGAAATTGTCAACATCAGTACAATAGTCTTGCTCATACACTTCGAGCTCGCGCGCAACGTCGGAGATGATGGCGCGCCATTCTGAAGCAGTATATCTAGTCGTAGTCATCCTTGTGGTGCTGGGAGAGAGCGAGAGAGAGAGTCAGTTGTGGTGGTCGTCTCCTTTTCTCTCATGTAGCCGCCCATGCGGATGCGATGCGACTGCGCTAGTCATTCTGCATGTGCTACGCCCGATCGATCCAGTCATGCCGTGTTTGAGCTACTTGTTGAAAGTTGCTTGACATGCTGCTACAATCCCAATCACATGGGCGCTACACATGAAGGAGACTCGGGAACTTGAAGAAGATGGAGGATGGTCGTGTTTGAGACATTGTTGATCTTGATCACCAAGCACGGTGATGCAGGGCACCATCACTCCACTTTGCATCATAGGGCTGACAGTTACGCTTTCACGTGTCACAATCACTAAGGACATTGGCATGGTCAAGATATCAAGCAGACGTCAAATCAGATTGGCAGAGCTAGAACAAGGCAAGCATAGGTAGGCTTCCTCAATAGCATGCAGACTCCTCGCTCCTGAACGTAACCAACGTTAGAAGACAGGCAGGTGATGCCATCTCGTCTCCACAATGCATGTGAACAAACATAAAAGCAGATTAAAGAAGTTAAAACTCCATTGACAGTAAGCAAAAGACCAGTAAAAAAGGAGAAAACGAAATAAGCCGTGGCTTCAGGCTCTGGATATCCGGAACTCCCTTTTTGTGACGACGATAGTCGGGGTTTGGGTCATGAAACATGTTGCTTTTTTTGGGGGCGAGAGCGTTTCCCTCTTCTATCCACAATGCGCGCGGCTGACCATTGTTGGTATGTGTGTGCATCTTGATTGGATTCCATTCCGCTTGATTGATAATTTGCGTCCGTCCAACCCTCGTCCATCATGCACTTCTCGTTACGAAAACCAATGACATTCTTTTCATTTTCATTTGGTTCAACGAGTCGTTTACTTTCTGCGGAAAGAGCAGCCCTCGGTCAGGCGGGCCTTACCACCGGTGGGCTGGCAAAGGACCTGGGAGCAACCGGCGCAGACAACGACGGTCTGGGCGTGCGAGAAGACGGTGGTGATGGTGAAGCAACCGGGGCACTTGACGTCCATGAAGAAGGAGCGAGGGCCGGGGACAAGCATCTGGCTAGAGTCAGATGATGTTCAAGTGAGTTGATACGAGTCCGGGTGTACACACCTTCAGCTTGTGCTTACGGGCCTCGGCCTGAGGGGTGGGGTTGAGGAGATCGACTGCGAGAACCTGTGAGGCACTCTGTCAGCCCTTCTCTTTGCGACTATGGACATGTTCCGTTGTTCTGAGTTGCGACGCTTGATTGTTGAAGACGGGTGGCGAGTGACTGCATGATTTTGCTCGGCTGACAGCACTTCGATCTACAGGCATATCGATGGAATTGGATGCGACATGGATGATTTCGACGATAGTTTGATGGTTGTCGCACATGTCGTGTGCCTTGTTTGCGTCTTATGTCGGCGATTTGCCACCCGTGGTCGAGATGTCCAGCGCGCGCCTCAGAAGTCCGGTAAGGTCGGTCTTACCATCTTGACGGTGTTTAATTGACGATTTTGTGTTGGAAAAGTCTTTGCGTAAGTGGTTGATTGATTGACAGTGCTGGTTCGCAGGTACGCTCGCGGTCGACAGGTCAAAGAGTCGGGGCAGAGGGCGAGGATAAAGCTCCCGCTGAATTTGCCTACTGTGGGCGGGCTAGAGCCTTGGCACCCGCTTAGTAACCAGTTTCCGTCCGTGCTTTGCCTCGCCGACTATCATCGACCATCACTTCGAGTGAGGTAACATGTCATGTGCTTCCTTTTGCTTCTGCTTATGAAGTCTATCGAATTCTTGATTCTGCTCTCCGCCTCTAGAACATGCTCCGGAAACATGTTTTACGAAGTCTGACGCCTCAAGAGTGGCGGCCTACTTCTCTCGGCCGATCAACACCTCTAACCCGGCAACTGCATCATCCTCCACTACCATCATCATCTGCTTCCGTATATCAATTAATACTATTCCCCTTCACAATATGTTCAAGATGCATACAAGCCTGATGTTGAGAATCGTATGAGAGCATCCCATCACCATCAGCACCCTGGGATGTCACCTTGGACAAACACCACTGCGTCATTGAAGTGATGCGCAAGCAGAGCCGCCGACGTTGTTCGTATTGCTTCTCTGAGATCGACCTCTTTCAAACATGCCTCCTGACCTTGACCTCGGTTGAAGGCAGTGTCGTCGGCAACTCGACCAAGACAGTCATTCAGGCGTCTGAACCACCGACATCATCAAGATGGCTTGGAATCTACAGCACGTCTTCGTCGCCACTGATCAACACCGTCACATGGTGCGAATGAGGTCAGAATAGAGCTCGACTGCTCTCGAGTTCAGCTGTACGAGTCACAGTCCTTGTTGGCCTCTGGGCAGCACCAGCAGCTCGTACGCCTGGGTTCGCTTGGACGACGTCCACGATCAGGACCGATAAACTTCAAACACCTGACGTTGGTAGGCCAATCCGGCCTCTCAGTCTTCTGTCACCGGTGTAACGCATAGGGCAGGGCTCGAATCTTCCAGTATTTTCCAAACAGGCAACAATGTCACAGTCGTTGAGTGGGAGGCCATCCCGGGAGTGTGGCTACCTTGACTGAGAGTCTTCACTGCCGTCATGTTCGATTGACGTCTGCGCATGTCTCGAGGACAGTACCCCTACCTGGATAGTTGACCTCTTGCAGCGTCCGGTTGTGTGCATGTTATTATACATCAAACTTGCGTTCTGGTCCTGACGTTTGTTGTCCGCCGGCAAGCTTAACGAACACCCAGAAAGCTGCGTGTCTACCATACTACCAGCATCGTCCTCTTCAGAGGTCGGAAGGGTGGTAGGATCACAAGCCTGAAGGGCATTCAACACATGTTCGAGTGCAATGTTGCTTCTTCAGACAGTTCTTGACGATATTACGGCCACCCTTCATTTTTGCTACGAGACATGGCAACACCGACTAATGCTCTCTTGATCCCCGAGAAGGCCTATTACATCTTCCATCTTGCTCACCGAGATAACCATGGGATTGACGTTGGCAAGGCATGCTTACCGGTACTCGACACTACGACACGCCAACATTGAAATCGTGGATCTTCGAAATTTGACAAGTTTGAGCACTCTCTCGATTCTGCCTCCAAAACCCCAAGAGTCATGCCTTGTGGAACACCGATCCCTACAAGGTTGGATGTTGGGTGCAACTCTGTAGAACGTCTTTGGCATTGCTCAGTCTGAGCGGCTACTCCGGTCATCCATTGCCGACACCACCGATGGCCGTGGAGCCCGAACTCTGTACCCTAGCAACATCTCTGCAGGCCTCCTGGGAGATAATTACCAGCGACTATGTCTCGCTGTCTGTCAAGCCCAGGAGCGCTGGCGGCCACAACGAAAGCATTCGTCAGATCAAAGACCGTGTTACGCTCGACTCCCTCCACCAGCCTCGCTCGCCATGGACTGCTGCAGTGGAACTACATGGACGCTCGCTCACATGAGAGGACTCTCGATGCTGCACGAGACAGCTAGTGCGTAGCGACTACATAGACGGTGCTGGTGCTTCATACTTCATCAATCACATTGATTGATCAGGTCTCGTGGTCTAGCGGTATGATACTCGCTTAGGGAGGTGTCTCACACCTTGAAAACTCTAAGCCAATTGCGAGTGGTCCCGGGTTCGATTCCCGGCGAGACCCCATGTTTTGCTTGTTGTAGCATCAATCTGGTCTTGTACTAAGAGCAGGAGAGCTTGGTGTTCTTTTTGGAGTTTTTGCAAACTTGGATGGGAAACGTGAATCCTGCCGTGATTTGGGCACTGACACTTTTCCAGGCCTTCTAACCAAAGCAACAAGCCATTCTTGCTACTACTCGAGTAGAGAGCGGGAACATCTGTGCATTGTCCAACCGTCTTCTGCTCGCGGTAGTCATAGCTTTTGCCCTATCAAGAGTACGTTCTTCTCCTGGAGGCCAGTCTCTCTCTATGTTCTAGCAACCGTGGAACTTTCTTCGTCCGCATGAGCCATTGAACCCTCGAGCTCGTAGCATTCTTCAATGTCCGAGGACCCGAGATCTGAGTGCAGCATTCAATTTGTACACATCTGTGTCTCCGTATCATCAGGCAGGATACTCGCTCTTTTTCCACTAAAATAGAGAACATCCAGCCAGCCAATTCATCTTCTCCGAATTACATGCCAAGTCCTCTTCCATAAAGCTTTGACTTTCCCGGATCTCAGCCACCGCTCGAGCTTTGCAAAAGCTTGGCTGAAAAAAATCTCGACTTTCTCACTTCGATTAGCCCGCGATACCACCACCACGATGCAAGAAACAAAAAGTACGGTCAGCTGTGTATAGGAATAGCCGAAGGCGGGGCTCGAACCCGCGACCTTGAGGTTTGGAATATCTGAGAAGATAAGAGCCACACGCTCTACCGATTGAGCTACCCCGGCAGGTCTGATGATCTAGTTCACTGTGTGAACTGGCTGCTGACTGATGGAGTCTGTTGCCAACTGCTGGTAATATCAAGTCTGTCGTAAACTCGACTAGATCGATTAGTCAAACAAAATGAGATGTGGTGTTTAACAGAACTTGTCAGCCTACGAACTTACCCTGCTACTTAGTACATCCATTCTAAGAACGACTTCTACCAGTCATCACGTGTTCACTATCGAACGAAGTATCTTAAGCGAGCCTGCTGCTCACAAGATAGTTTGAAGGTTAAAGAACATACAAGGAATTGATAGTCAATCTTAGATGTAGCCAACGCATATATCAATATGCCACCATGCTCTTCATCATCTCGGTACATCGAAGCATACCTTTGATACTTTGATCAAGCCTGCGAAGTGCATTGGGTACATCACCCATCACAGGAACTTCAAGACGAAATCATCAATTGCTATTTGTTTATATTTGTCTCCTATATGCTGCCTTAGTATACCGATGTGGCTACTCCTCTCTGTATCCAAGGCTGCTGATATCGCCGCTTCGCACGAGGTCTGGCTCAAAGCGAATTGATGACCCCTTGTGCAAGACTGGCTTGGTAGGACTGGTAGGCTTGGTATACGTGTGTCAGCTACAGCTATCTGTCCAGTCATATGACGATACTAAAGAGCAGTAAGATTATCCATTGACGCCTTAACAGTATCCACTGCGTCTCGCCTTCTGTCTTAGGAGCTAGAACTCTGCAGTATTCGGGCTTCAGGTGCCATCCATCAAATAAACAAGGTTACAATCGTCCAGTAAACGCAACGATTAGGCAAAGGTGAAGGTGAAAGTGCAAGACGGAGGCTGTCAAGAAAAGCCGTGTCAGAATTCGCAGGACTGAGCATATATGCAATGGAAGCCTATTAAGTAATAGACAATACAATGCCTACGCGATGAAATGTCTTGAAGTGACCGCATAGTTGACCCACAGAATTTATCCGAACACTACCGACTTGCCAGGTTGAGATCACTAGAGAATTCAGCGACCATTCATAGAAGTAACAATCGGTTAGTGTAAGAGTGAGAACGGCACCATGCTCGGTATTGGTGTCGAATCGGCACGTTGATATCCATCTTGATTGATAGTAGAAGGAAGGAAGCTATAGTAGAAGGAGGGAGACTGCATAATGACCAGCTACGAAAACATACAAGAAAGAGGTAAGCATAATGCTCTCGAACAGACTGCTGATCATCTGCAGTGCTTGTATCTGTTGTCTGTACTTCCGATGTAAAGAGCAGGATCAATGGATCGCAGTTCGACCCTCGCCAGCACACAACCCTTTGAGTTTTATGTTTTTGGAGTTGTCATGACGCTCAATGTTCACAATCATCCAAGCTTTACTTACAAAAGAGAGTCCGACGGTAGTCATGGTCAAAGCATAACATCTATTCATCTTTTGCGACATCCGGGGCGAAGCCTTTTCTCCAGTTGAAGTGTCGTACACATGAACATTGGATATGCCACAGGGTATTGTCTCTACTCACGACTAATATATGAGTGGAGACTACACGGATAGTCGAAGTTCAGATATAGTGCTGCCAGTAGTTTGGGTGTTGTACCCTCGAACCCGATAGATCGAGGCTTACAATGGCGACCTGTCAATCTCGCAGGTATCGTGTGCATTGCATGAGCGATCGATCAGATTTCCGGAGATACAAACATTCTTACTGTTTCGACTATGCAGAAGCAATGGCCACACAACTCTTGAATGAAGAAGCGAAATGAACATGCAAGACGTCCTGCTTTTTCGTTCGCAGCAGATTCCAGCAGCTTCTGACTGTTCAGTGCTTTGCAGTCATCAGACTTGTTTTTCGGGTCTTCTGAAACATGAGATCGACCATTGCAAGATAGCTAATTCGAGCGATTTGTAATTGTCCGGTCCGTGATCTAGCATTGACGGTTGATTGCATCAAAGTCCCTTGCAGAACGAAAGAGTGAGACGACTGCTGGAGAGCGTTTTTTCTTTCAGAAACCACGTGCATCCAGCTCTCAGCTGCAAACGCCAGCCTTCTTCGACCCGAAGCAAGGGAGCGATATTATGACTTCCATTTCGAGAACCTGAAACTTGGTAACGAGATCTGCTGACTCTGTGTTGGTCGACATGCAGGAGGCCTGGAGGTTCCATCCTTCTCCGAGACAATGGGATGGCGAGCCACATGCGCTGGAACTTGGAAGAAAGATCTGATCCTCTGTGATGGGATGCCCCTAACCAGGGGCACAGAACCAAGTTTCCAGCTTGAAGATTCTATGCCGAGGTGATTTCTCAGGACTCGGCCCAGATGGGCGACTTATCAACTAATCATGTCACCCATGGTGAGATTTCCTGGACGTGTCATCAAGGGACAGGGTTTCTGAAACCGGATGGCAACAAGTTCTTTCCCAGAAATCGTCGTGGCGCGGAATTCGGCGCGAGTGATGCATTGCATGCTTACCAGCAGATAATATTTCTCTTCACGCGACGGGGGGCGTTCGGCAAACCCTTGTCATCTCGACCCTGTGTCAGCTCTAGCTTGACTTCTACGCGGCTACTTTTTGGGCACGGGTCGGCGAGATTGAGATCCAATGCGATGGGACAATTGAGAGACCACCAATCCAGCTGTGGAGCGGTTGATCGACGGGGGAACGATATGTTGCTGTAGTCAGACGCGCGCGGCGTTGGCTTGACGCTTGAAGCTTGCGCAATAAATTACATGCATTGGCGCCGTGTGGATTTTTGGGGACAGGGAGAGCGACCCGCGGGCCGTGAAAGTCCCTGAAGATTGAGAAACAAAACCTCGGGCTTTGAGTGTATTGATGACAAGGTATCTCGTAGGTAATCGAAATCAACCTAGTTCCCTTGCCTGGGCGGCATAGGCTCCGGTTGTACATATCATGAGTACTGCTTGATGAAATACGTGTACTTCATGCCGATCTGATTAGGCTTGTAAGCAGTGTGAAGAGATCATCATGCCAGGGACAGCGAGAAGCAGTTCATGATGTTTGCCGGCAAGAATCGCTTGCATGTTAGCCCCTGTCTCCTGAGTCGAGATCAGATGTATGAACTGGACCCATGACCAAAGATGGAATGACGAAGTTCGAGATATCTTCGGCCAAATTGGTAAACGAAGGCTTTTCTCTTGGTAGATGGATCGCGGTGGAGTCGACGTGTGAAAAAGGAAACAACGTTTCCAGGGGGTTGGCAGGGTCGCAAGCCGCCGAATGGGATCGCAAGCAATGATTGGTCGGGTGCACATCTGACCCGTCCCTTTACTAGTACATTGAGCTGCACGACACCATCCTCCAACTAGCCATCCAATCTATCTACCTTTCTCCTCTTTAACTATTGCTTTTACTAAGAGCTCGAGAAGTTCACAGACCACAGATGCACGAATTCAACCAGAAATTTGGTGTCGTGGATTCTTGAAAGAGATCGCGACGGGTGCGTGATAGCCGATGCATCAATCTCGATCCCTCGTTTTGAGATTTTTCGAACCATGCCAATCTCCTGAAATAGCTTGACATCTTGCAAAATCCTCGCTGGTGGGTAGGTAATGTAGAATTGATGAGCTGTCATGTGGTTGATACTTATGTCAAAATCACGGGTACGGCGCGGTCCGGCGCTGTGACCGAGAGTCCCCGAGCTTGACGATGAGGTGGCCGGAGCATGGCTGGAACCTGGAGGGCACTGACAGTGGGCCACACTTTCGATAGCATCAGACATGCAATAATCTGCTTATCCAAGCATACGACATGAATTGCCGACACCTTGTTGAGACTGGACAATGGCCTGCCTCGTACGATGTTCTTAGCATGCTCAGTCGAGAGACGCTGATCGGAGAGATGATGGTTAGATTGAGTGACTACCTATGAGAAAGGAAACAACTTCGAGTCGACCCCTGGTCCTGCGTGCCCGAGAGAGGGAGAAAGCACTTCATGAAAAGAAATCAAGAACCATTAAACTCCCCTGATTTTTTTGACCCGATCCTCTCTCGATGTGTCAGCAGGCGTTAAGACATATATAGTTATGATAAGCCATCTCATAAATCCCATCGGACGCCAGCCTAGAAAATACCCAGAGACAGAAATAAAGTGAAGAAAAAGGGAAAACAGAGTTGCTCTCAAGGGGCGCACTGGAAACGCCTTCGCTAAATGATACTTGGTTGCGACTTGAATAAGGAGATTGAAACAAAACGAAACGAAACAAGGAAAAGGGGTGACCCTGAGAGATGTCTTATGTCGTTACGTCGTCATGCTGTGGCTTGCTGTTGGCTGTCGATTGAGAATGAGTGGATAACGCGAATAGTGCGCATTTGCCAGGTGAATTAGGTATGATCGAATCGCCGTGTGAAAGCAAGAGTCGTGCGCGGTCAACGGCTCGACTTGCTCTTGCTGCGTGGGTTGGGAACAATGTACTCCTTGCTTGGATCCCACTCTTCGGGATGGAATTCAGGATTCAGGAAGTGAGTGCGATTGTAGTGAGAGCTAAACACATTTAGTGGCATGAAGATGTGTTTGCTAGTGGACGTGACTTACTGTTTGAATTGAGCTGTCTGGCAGACAGTGTTCTGAGCGGTTGCAGCTGCGACATTCTGTCCGTTCTGCTCAAACATATGTGTGGATGGTCTGAAGTTTCCCTTACCACCATAGCTCAGCTGGTCATAGTTGAAAAAGGTGGTCTGAGACATCGGAGAGAAAGCATAATCGGTAGTCGAGGTCGGCGAAGGAGTCTGGACGGCTGATACATAAGCCGGTGTGGCAGCGGCAATTGGAGTTGGCGGTGCGTGGTGCTGCGTAGGTACTGGTGCGGGAGCTGCCACAGGTGGAGGTGGTACTGCATCAGGGGGGGTAGCATAGTCCGACATGCCATAGAATTGGTTCGGCATCCAATTAGACTGATTGGACAGCAGTGACATGCCAGGGATCATAGTCATGAAATCGGACATGCCAAGATCCATGACAGGTTCCTCATAATGGTGGAGTGATGACTGCAAGTATGTCGGCACAGCGATGGGCTGGCTAGGTGGCGGCTGGGAGAAGATCTGTTCCGGTCGATAAAGTATGTCGTAGTGGCCACTGGAAGATGTTAGGTCATCAACGTCAAGCTATGATCACGGTGAGACACTCACGGTCTGTAGAGGAGACGAATGGTTTGGGTGTTCGAGAGACCGGGCGCAAATTGATGAGCGTTCACTTCAGTGCCAGCACTGCGGTCGAGATAGATGACTTCAAGAGATATCCCAGCAGGCTTCAGCAGAACATCAGTCAAAGCCTGCATACCAGGGTGGTCGATTTCGATCTGGTGAGGATCGATGTTGGCATCGCAGTAGCTAGAAACAGTGTGAGGCAGCACAAAGGGTGCATAGTCTTTGGCGCGAGTCTTCATCCAAGCCGATGTAAGCGTCTGTCAGAGTAAGTACATGAAACCTTGAATACGAATGGTTGTGTGTCGTTTATACCTTGAGGTAGGTTATGATCTGGTTCTGGATCTCTTCATTGTTGAAATGTTCGAGCAAGAAATTCTCAGAATTAGATGCGTCGGCTGACATGCACTTGCGGAGCAGAGCATAGATCTCATCGGCAAAGTCCTCCCAGATGAACTGGCTGTAACCTGCCATGTTGATCACATTGCCCAAAGACTTGAGGCGTGTTTCCTCTTCCAAGAATTTGGTTCTGTCGCCCACGCGGAAGAGATTCTCGAAGTAGCCGAATGCAACGGCTTGTTTGCGTTAGTACAGTTTGTTGTAGTGATTTTCAAAGGTAGTATTGTAGCTTACCTCTCCAGCCACACCGTCCATCACCACGGGTGGTGCGATAGTGAGAGTACTTGTGGGGCAGCGCCTGATAAAGACGTCAGCAACGGATTCGGAGGATCGATGACGAACGACGTTTGTTACCGATGTTTTTGTGCGATACACTGGGTCAGCAGCAGCGTACTCTTCGACGAGGGCACTGGTCAGTTGTTTTTCACCAACAAGAGGTCCCTGCAAATCTGTCAGTCGACGGGATCCGAAAGCTTGTGCACCAACGACACAGCGGGTGCGGGGAAGGAAGTTAACTCACAGTCACATCAGGCTGGAACTCGGCCGATAGCTTCTGAAGGTGTGCCATGTCTTCCTCAGACTGTGAGTATGCCATAATTGCAGGCGTGTGTTGCGATGACGAAGGTTGTTGATGATAATGTTGATGAGAGTGGATGAACTGGGAATGGTCGACCAAAGGTTGGTGATGAAGGTGTTGCTGATGATGAAGCTCGGGCAATCCAAGCGCCGATGGCCGCATTGGCATCTGCATCTCTGCTGGCCGATAAGATGTGGTGTACGACGGAAATTCGCCATAGGGATACATTCGATCGCCTTGATAGTAGGTCGGCACGCCCACATACGTGTACATGGCAACGATGGTCGACTGAATGTCAAGCAATTGGATAGGCCGTACTTGGTGAAGGCTGGTTGTGCCGATTGTGGAAGCGAGAGCAAGAGCGAAGCAGGCGGACAAGTGGGCAGTATGAAGGAGCAATGAACGGTGGGAGAGACGAGCAAAAGACGAAACAAGAAAAAGCACCGAGGTAGCAGAAGGTCTATCACGCAGGTCGAGAGCGTGAGGGGTGGATGGGCTTTTTCACACAATAGCCTTGTCCCCTACGTGATAGATTGAGGTGCAGGAAGCCGGGGAGGTACTGACACAAAGATGGGAGGAGAATAGAAAGGGATCCGTAAGTTTGGGAAAGGTTGAGCAAATGTTCGGTTCCCTTGCTGCACAGGAGGAAACAGGGGGTACTATATGAAGAGACGCGAATGAGAGTATAGGTCATGCGGCTTGAATTCTGCCAGGCACCAAAAACGCGTGCCGGGAGAAAATGTATCAGAGCATACATATCCGATCGGGCCACGAAGATGGAGCGTGGCAATCGACTGGGACAGATGCAAAGCTGGGAGCCAATCTAGAAAAACCACTAGACTCGGCGCCTCATGCACATCAAACTATCACCACACCTGTACTGTGAAACAGAGGCTGAGCTTCGAGTAGGACAAAGATATAATGAATTGTCTATGAGACACATCGGGTCGATGAGATCTGGCACATTAGTCCTGAGCCCAGATACGAGAGCCTGACAGCTTGTTTGCGATTCAGGTGAAGTTGTCACGTTGGAACCATAGGATTCCATGTTGAAATGATAAAGCGCGCCGAGTGGGAACCAAACTTTGGACAGCGTCTTTTGGGAGTAAAATGCGACAGGTCGGGAGATCTAGCGAAGTGGGTGCTTCTTCGACCCGACAGAGTGGATTCTAATCTAGACGCACAGGGTTCGTCGATGGTAGGCTGGGTTTTATGCCAGCTAATCGACTAGGAGCTTCCGGGCCGCAGAAGATCATTGGGCGGCTCCGAAAGAGCGGGGAGCGATGAGTTCATATAGTAGTACAAGACTGGACTACACGACAATACAGCATGCAAGCTCTTTACCTGTCTCTCGTCGGCAAGACCTGTACGAACGCAAGCTTACGGACGCGGGATGATCCTATGCAACTTCTATCGCGGTTTAATATATCTCGACCTTTGGATCGGTTCTTCAGTGATCATTATTATTCGTTATTCTGTGGACCTTCTAACCACGTTACTCGAGCTACACGCCCAACACACCACACTGCCCCACCCTCAAAGATGTGACCTGTCTGTGCTGGTATAAGAGGCTGACCTGTGTGTTACCACAGAGCAAAAACAAAGAAAAGCCGTTTGTGTCCGATGATGCTCGGAGCGTGTATAAATGGAGAGACGTTTTTACGAGCAATATTTCATCAATCGCTGACGGGAGTACAAAAGCGCCCAGAGGGATGTTGAGAGGGGAGGGGCATAGACCGCTTTGTGTCAGCAGCATGCGCAAGCGAAGAGGCGCATAGTGGTTCTTCCAAATAACGTTCCGGGTATCGCCAGGTACGCCATCCGCTGCAGATTTGTGGCAACGCTGTGGAGGTATGGTGTGGAGGCAAGGCAAAGGGCCGTGATTGGCTGGCACCCGACATGTATGCAGGTCATGTCGAGATGCATTCAACCTGGGACCCGGGTTTGATGCCTACGCTTACCAGAAGGCATGTTGGTACGATGCGCGGATGGCGTGAAGTACGCCTCGGGATTCGCTATGGAAGGCGCCCCATCGTCACCCTTGAAGCCCTCACCGTCGTTCAGGACGAAGGCAGCGAGAGAACGCACGGCCGAGGTCCAGTCAGCGACTGCGTGCATACGATCCAAATCTGCCCTGCTTTCGATCTCGACAGTTCCGGCTTCTTGGTTGATCTTGCCGTGGAGTTTCTGATCCATGATCAAGAAGCCTACGATGTCTTGAACTTCTGGGACAGAGATGTTCAACTGTTTGGCGATGAAGGAGAGGCGGAAACGCGTGTACGGAGCGACTAACTTGACAACGGCCTTTGTGCGCATGTTTCGGGTAACTTCATCAATGTTCTCGGCAATAAAGGGGTCGGCCAGCAGATCCTTGTTCTTCTGCAGGATGGACTCGTACCGGTGAATATCGTCGCGTTGATAAGCATCGACCAGCTCGGTCATGGCAGCGATACGAGGGTCATTCTTGTATGGCTTGGTCTCCTGCGAATCAAAGGGATTGATATCGGAGCCCATCAGCATGGTTGTTAGAACAAGATATTTGAGCACTTGGATTCTCTGCAACGAGCCGGCCTCGTCATAATTTCGGAAGGACTCGAAGAAGTCTGACTGAGCCTCTTTCCAGTTTTCTGCAGGGGACGGGTCAGCATTGGGTGTCTAAAAGGCGCAAGCGTGGCGTTCCCGAACCTTCACTCATGTGCATCTTGCCTCCACATTCTCGAATGATGCCCATGATTTTGGGATGGGGCACGGCCGATCTGACTTTGAGGGCACGCTGGTAAAGGGCCTGAGAAAAACATTGTGAGATTAGCTTGCGGCTTCAGTAGACGCCACGGGATGTTGGCACGAACCTTGAGGCGTTTGTTGTTGCGAGTTTCGGCGTACATGAGAATCTCCAAAGCGTAGACTTCGAGCGAGTATGTGCCCTTGCTGGGGTCGTCGGAACCGTCCTCCAGCTGACAGGCCTTGTGTAGCTCGCGCACCTTGTCTGTCAGGCGACGGTAGTCCTTCTGGTCTAGCCAGAGACGGGCCAGTTTTGTGTTCGTCTTCAGCCAGAGACGTTCGTTATTTGTGCTCTGGAACGAGTCGAGTGTCTTTGAGTAGAACTGCTCCATACATTTATTGGCGGCTTCATCTTCTGCATTCTTCTCGATGAAGTCAAGCATGTTGTTGATAGACTTTTCCGAATAGTTGCGTGTGACGGCCGACTTGACATAGGTGAGAAGCTCCTGGTAGTGATCGGCGGCTTGTTCATAGCGGTGTAGCTTGAATTCGAGCTTGATGGCCTGCTTTAAGCCCTTGAAACCCCTGCCATGTGTTAGACGGTGATGGACTGAAGTCATACTGACAATAAGAGCAGCACATACCAGTCACCCTTCTCTTCCTCAAGTGCTGGAACACCAAGGAACTCGTCGATAGCCTCCTCAGGATTGTCCGCCTTCATCTGCTTGGCATTGTAGTACTTGTTTTCAATGTCGACGTCGCCGCCCTGGTCCTCATCTTCGTCTTCGTACTCAAAGTCGTAGCTGCGCAGAAGTCAGCATTCTGCTTGGTTGCATGTTGGCGTGGCGCATGTGCTCACTCCTCCTGGTCAGAGTCCTGCATGAAGTCGTCGTCGTCGGACATTGTGGCGGTATTGGGTTGCGGTCAGTAGAAGTCGACAGGTCTGTTCGTGTGTGCGAGGGTCGGCGATTGGTAACACACAAGGTGCGGTGAAGGCTAGGAGGCACAGAGATTCAGAACCTGGTCGACGGATTTGTGCGCAATTTGTTTGTCGACGACGAGCAACAAGTGAAAGTGACGGAGCTTAAACGGATGACGGTATTGCCCCAGGCTGGAGAGTCTTGGCGCATTGCTTCCGTCTATCGGACTTGTCACCTTGTCACATCTTTCGAGTGCCATCTACTCGTGAGTCCTGATAAACACTGCGGGATCTCCAAATCCCAGTGCCAGCGAACTGTGGGCCCAATCCATATGGACACGCGTGATTGTCACAACATACCGCGATGTTCGTCTTTCTTCAGCCCAGAGCATTCAATATCAATCCTTGGTGCACAGAGGCACGCATAAAGCTGGGCACCCTATGGCGCTTGCTGCACACTTGTTATCGATCACAAAATCACGAGCAAAGATATGAGGATGGACATGTATGATAGTAAAGCTCAGCTGTCTGGTGCGGTATAAGACCAGGCTGGAACACGTGCCAAGGCATCTAGATGCGCCATGATGAGAAGCAGACCAGCAAGTAGTCCTATTCGTATATGATATGGAGGCTCTGAGGGTGTCTATCTCAAGATTGACAATCTAGACAAAGCTTCCCAAGACTGGTCGGGGCAGGATTGGGTGGAGGATAAAAGATGCAGGCTGAGTTTGGCAGGTGCGGAGTAGTTTTACCGTGATGGGGTACATGTCGAGACCGTGCGTGTGGCTGCACAACGGTGATGTAACGAGGGCTCTCGTAGCAACAAGAATCAAGACGGACGTTCAGCTAACGCCCTTGTCGACATCGAATTTGGTCGCCGAGCCTTCTTCCACGACCTGCCTGCTTGTTGCTATCTGCTGTCTCGCGACTCTGCCCACCCTCTGCCTTATCCGACGTGTATCGCGACTTCCACGCCAGCTTCGGATCGACTCAAACTCTACGCCATCATCCCCAGCCTCCCGCCGACGCACTAAACACCGCCCGAAGACAAGACTCTCAGCTCGCGCCATCCGTTCAATTCCTCTATCCAAGGACAACCGACTGTCGATATGCCTCTCTGCGGTGGAACAAAAACCGTCCAGCGCAAGCTGGTCCTGCTGTGCGTCAAACATATCGTCACTTTGTCTGTCGTCGACAACACACTGACAAAGGCCTTTCTACAGAGGCGATGGTGCTTGCGGAAAGACTTCGCTACTGAATGTCTTTACAAGAGGGTGCGAATCATCCACCTTGTCTGATCTCACCTTTCACTAACATGTGACCAGTTATTTTCCTACAGTCTAGTAAGACCATCCTCGCTCCCGTGCCCAACTATCATCGCTAATCCTCGCCTCCTAGCGAACCCACCGTCTTTGGTATCGTCTTCGAATGCGCCCTCGGCACGCCATGTACTGACCTCATGCAGAGAACTATGTCCACGATATCTTCATCGACAATGTACACGTAGAGCTCTCCCTCTGGGACACCGCTGGCCAAGAGGAATTCGACCGCTTGCGCTCTTTGTCCTATGACGATACTCACGCTATCATGCTCTGCTTCAGCGTACGTCCATAACATCTCTCAGCATGAAGACGCCCAATTCCCACTGACACCTCACAATAGGTCGACTCGCCAGACTCGCTTGAAAACGTCGAGTCCAAATGGGTTGCCGAGATCGCCGAGAACTGTCCTGGTGTCAAGCTCGTCCTGGTAGCCTTGAAGTGCGACTTGCGAGAACAAGCAAACGACGATGAAGAATCAGCCGAGCCCAAACGCCCCATGATCGACTACAAGCGCGGTCTTGCTGTAGCCGAGAAGATAAAGGCGCTCAGATACCTTGGTATGACTTCTATTGAAAGATCACAAAGTCGAGCGGATTTGTATTGACAGTAACGCCAGAATGTTCAGCCATGAAGAATCGTGGCGTTAACGAAGCCTTTACCGAGGCCGCTCGCGTTGCGCTTCAGGTCAAGAACGTCAAGGGTGACAAGCAGAGCAGCTGCTCGGTCATGTAAAGGCCAGCCCTGTCTTTTTCAGCAACCTGCACTCCAACTCCCGGCCCCCCAAACTCACCCCTACCTCACTCCGACTTTACTCGCCTTACCCACCCTTCCGCCCTCCCCGTTTCCTTGCAGCGATCTTTTCTCTTCTTGCACAAACATTACTATACCCCTTACCCTTTTTGTTTGGCCTTGCTGTCTAATTCACGTCTTTCCCTTACATATCTGCTTTTACGACCGAATCCACGTCCCATTTTCTCAATGATCGCTTTGCTAGCTACTGTACCTGTATCTATGCACCATGTAAATGTCTCTTGTTACTAGTCTTTGGAGTTCAATTCCAACACACGCGTACAATTTGCTAAAAACCAAACGTACATCTGCTGCCCACTGGAGTACTTGAATGTGTGTATGCGCAAGCTTGTTGTTGGTACGACAAGTTTTTCTAGCAACAGAGTCAGTGTCGCCCTATTTTGGAGGAATTGTTATACCATGCGAATTGTAGGCGTGCAAGAGTCGAAAAGTGTAGATTATAACGGCAAGATTGTTGTAGGAACACGTCTATAGAATGTGATGATGACTGCCCATTCATCCCTCGAAGATACCATGGTTCAACTCAATACCCATATCCCCAGCCACCGCCCTCATCTGATCCTCAATATCCGCATCCATACCTTTACCCAACCCAAACCACTGCTTGATCTTTGCATACCAGAACCAAACATCCGTACCCACCAGCACGACTCTGAAGACCAGATGATTGGCATAGTACTTCCATCGTTGAGAAATGGTGAGATGGGGTTGCTCGGTGAGCGCGCGAGAAGCCCAGAGGCCTGTAATCTTGATACGATTCACAGGTGAGCCGAGGAATTGGTTATTGCCCTGCACGATGCGCAGGTTTCTGCCGATAAAGATGAGCTCTTGAGGCCATTTCTTCTCATCGCCGAGGATTTCTCGGATGCCATTGCGCATTTGCATTTGCATTTCGTAGGCGCGTTCTTTTTGCTCTGCTTTTGTCAATTTCTTGATGCTTTCACTGGTGCTGTTGTCGCCGCCTGTATAAGGGCGCATGAGAGTTGCAGAGGCGAAGAGGTCGGGTGAGTTTATACCCCAGCCCTTTACAATGCGGGCGATGGTTTCGTTATCGAAGGTCATGAGGGATTTCCAGAAGAGGGCGTAGTCGTGGCGGAACTCGGGGGACATGCGGATGTAGAGGCCATGGTCGATGAGGACCAGTTCGGGCTTGCCGTTGGGAAGGCGGCGGATGAAAATGTTGCCTGGGTGGGGATCGCAATGGACGAGGCCCCATAGGAACATCTGAGCTGAGAAGAGCGAGACCATGGTCTCCATGACGGGCTTGTAATTGAGACCAAGACCACCTTTGCCAGATGGACCACGCCAGCTGTCGCGGTTAGGCTTCAGTTTCTCATGGCTAGGATCGTTTGAAGATTGGATGTTCGTAGGAGGAGGGAGGAGCTCGCCACCAGCGCCGGGGCTACCTTGACGCCAGCCACCATGCCAAGTTGCCTCGATACCTTCTTTGTCCCATAAACGCACACCTTCAATCCATTCAGCAGTCATGACACGTCTGGAGCTCAGTTCGCGATATACTTGTGGGATATAGACCTTACCGCGAAGACGAGGCTCGTTCTGGACGAGGTCTCGCATCTCGTTCGCGTTGTTTGCCTCGTTGAGGAAGTCGGTCTCCAGCATCAAACGCTCCGAGATGTAAGGGACCAGACTGTAGAGAGGGATGTCGAAGCACCATGTGTAGATCTTGGAAACGACCTTGAAGGTCCACAAGTCCCAGCCGACCTGTCTCTCGATCTCTCGCTTCTGGACCTTGATGGCAACCTCTCTTCCGTCGGGAAGACGGGCCCAATGTACTTGAGCGACACTGGCACTTGCTCTCGCCGTTCTCTCCATGATGCCGTTGGTGCCCTGTGAGGCGTCAAAGCTGACACCAAAGACTTCTTCCACCTCTTTTCCAAAGTCCTCTCTGATGACTTGTCTCACATCCTCCCATGCGTTCTGGGGAGCGTCGTCGAACATAGTCGCAAACATTTTCTGGAATTCAGGAGGTAGGATGGCGCTCTGCATGGCAATTGCCTGGCCAATCTTGAGGTAAAGGCCGCCATTGTTGCGAAGGAGATGGAACAAGCGTTCGGCGCTGCGATGGTGCACGTCGGCTACCGAGTCGGCGAAGGGAGGATTTGCGCGGAAGTTGATCTTGTAGTCGAGGGCAACAACAAGGCCAGTCTCGAACGTGCGGGCAGAGCGGGTGACGACCGAGTCGAAGAAGTAGCTGTCAATGCCCAAGACGGCGGCGGACAGAAAGCCCAATTGGATCAATCTCTTGAGGAGACGTCTTGTCCGGCGGTACTGTTTGGCTGCTACAGGCCTCCCGAGCGACTCTGGAGACGGTGGTACTAGAGGCTGGAACTGTGACTGGTGCCGTTGGAATTGTTTCGCGACTGGGCCTCGACTCCACGAAGGCGATACTGTGTGTGCCACTCTGCTACGGTATGCAGGTCGTGCCAGCGCCGTGACAAGGGCACCTCGACGGCATGACGGAAGCATCTCTTCCTATGCCCGCTCGCGTGTTGATTATTCGTGCTTGGGAGGATTAGAGTCGTGCTTGTCGCCTACATGTGAACTTCTCCAGTCCACATCATGACGTATTGCATGCGCCAAGTCTCCGCAGAATATTGCCTTCCTCCATCACTTCCTCTTAAACTCCTCTATATACCACTCTCCGTCTCCGCTCAAGACACCTCGCACAATGTTTGACACATTGCATTTTTTGCTTTCTTGCTTAGACAGCAAGATCAGCACGTCTCTCCGCGCCCCCTTGCCATCCCGCGTCATATCCAGTCGCTGCCCCGCCGTTTCTCCATCTTCTCCGCTTCTCATGCATCCTATTTGCCGTATGCTAGACCATGATTATCCTTTCGCTCATGTAGTTTTCCCGTCCACTCGCGCCGTCCTCTGGGCATCATGTAGGTCCTCATACTAGACTTGGCCCGGAGGCCTTTATACCCTGTTCTCCGTGCTGCTTGTGCAGTCTCGACACCTCTCCATGCCTTCCTCCTTGTCCGCAGTCTTGCTGGCTACCCTGCTGCCTTCCTGCATCTATGCGTCCTCTCCTGTCGTCACTATCACCAATGGAACGGTCCAAGGACGCCACTCTCCCGAATGGAACCAGGATTTTTTCCTAGGCATTCCTTATGCTCAGCCTCCTATTGGAGACTTGCGTTTTAGACGGCCTCAGGCCATAAATTCTTCTTTCGAAGGCGTGTTTGACGCTTCACATTATGGTCACAGTTGCTATCAGTACGGAAGCAATTTCAATCTGAGCGAGGACTGTCTTACTATCAATGGTAGGGTGCATATCCCTGTCTTTCTCTGTCCAAGCTGATTCGTCTAGTCGTACGTCCTGCTGGTCATGAGCATCCAAAGCTGCCAATTTTGGTCTGGATATATGGTGGCGGTCTCACCTTGGGTAGCACTGCGGATCCGCAGTACAATCTCAGTGGTATTGTTGAAGCTTCGGCTCTGACTGACAATCCTTTCATTGCAGTCAGTATGAACTATCGACTGGGTGTTTGGGGCTTTCTTAACACCCCGGTCGTTCATGCCGAGGGTTCTTCTAATGCAGGTCTTCTCGACCAGAGACTTGCTCTTCGGTGGGTACAGGATAACATAGTCTCTTTCGGCGGTGATCCAAACAGAGTGACCGTATGGGGAGAATCGGCTGGAGCTCAAAGCATCGGCTTCCACCTCACCAGCTACAACGGGCGCAACGACAATCTCTTCCAAGCTGCCATCTTAGAATCAGGAGGACCAGAAGGTGCTAGTCTGAACACATTGCCCTTCTATTTCGCTGCTACCGACAATCTGACAAGAACTGTTGGTTGTCCAAGGACATGGACCTCACCCTCCCAGCTCGCCTGTCTTCGCAATCTCAGCTCGGAAGCTCTGTTTGCTTCGAACTATACTGTCGTATGGAATCCAATCGTGGATGGCGACTTCCTAACAGACTACCCTTCGGCTCTCCTTGCGCAGAACAATTTCATCCGCGTACCTCTTCTCACTGGTGCAAACACAGATGAGGGTGTCAGCTTTAGCGTACAAAATCTCAACACTACAACAGACATCTACAACTCTCTCTTCTACTGGCGCAACTACGCATTGTCTCCTCCTAACATTCGAAAGCTGTTGCAGCTCTACCCCAACAATCCTGCTGTAGAGCCTCCATACTCCAATCATGCGAATGTTACGTATCCAGCATACGGAGCTCAGTGGAGACGTTCGGCTGCTATCGGAGGCGACCTCGTGATGATAGCACAACGTCGCAGAATGGCGGAGCTCTACGCAAACACCGGCGAAAAGGTATTCTCTTACCGCTTCGATACGCCACTCTATAATGCTACGGTACCGGGCTCTGTCAAGCACTTTGACAATGTCATGTTCAGTTTCCAGAACATCTCGGGTGCCATGGGACCATTGCCTCAATATCAACACTACAAAGCATTGAGTACTGGTATAGGCAAGTTATATGCCAACTTTGTCGGTACCCACAACCCGAATGGAATAAATACGACAAATGGCACGGGCCTACCAGAGTGGCCGCAGTACACTATCGACTCGCCTACCAACGTGGTGTTGAATGCTACTGCCAGCTTTGTAGAAGCTGACACGTTCCGTAAGCAGGGCATTAGCTTCATCAACAGCATCTGGCGTGAGCTATTGGCATGATGCGGAGAACGGTGGTTGAGCAAATCCTTGAGGTTGGCAAAAGCAATGTTGAAGTAATACACGTTATCCAATCATACACTTATTGCTCTCTTGATAAGAATCATGTTGTAACAACGACCTCCGAGAAGTCGTCAAGGCGCTTTCTCCGGCGCGGGAATTGTTGGAATCGCATCTTCTCCGCGGCCGCGATCGCATCTCTTGGCAAAAACTTGGTGGGGGAGAGTAGAGAACGTCTGATTGTTACTAACAAAGTGTTTCTCTGTCATTGTAAGACTTCGAAGAGCATAAGGGCTCACCGGGCGCAGGAATATTTGGGTCGTCGGAGGTCGAAAACTTGACTGTATCTCTCGTGTCCTGAGGCTTGGGACAGTCTCCAGAACTTGATACCTTATCACGCATGTCAAAGATCGCGATGGCATAGTTTTGGTGGGAAAAGCATAGCTACGTTCGCTAGATGGGATTGCGGCTGAAATGGTGGGGCGACCAATAAGCCCATGGCAATTGGATGGGAGAGGCAATTGCGTTATCGCGGGCACCGCGTTATCGGGCTCTGCTTGTGGATGCCGAGAGAAAAAGTAGTAAGCAACCCGAGCATGAGTCTTGTAGTCTTGTGTTATCTTTCTTGTTCGTAGTTTGCTTGATATATTTGCCCTTTGCACTGCCGATTACTTGCCACTCCTTTGGTTCTTGCGATTTCTATTCTTCTTCGACACGAACTTAGTTCTTTATTGTCCCAAGGACGACTTATCGACTATCCGAAGCTTCGAACAAACAATAGGAGGCGATAGTGTTATTATGGCCACTCCAGCATTGCTTACCGCTGTCGACTCGACCAACCATGTCCACTTGATTGTTGGATCCAACCCTCTGGCCGGTGCACGATGCAACCGAGCACTCGAAGTCGGTGCAGTGCCCAAGATCATCGCCCCTGAAGATGCACAAATACACTACGCACTGGCAAAGAAGATTGAAGACGGCAAGGTGGAATGGATCAAGAGAGAGTTTCGGGACGCAGACTTGACGAATCTGGGACGAGAAGAGGTAGACAATGTTGTGGATGCCGTCTTTGTGACGACGGCAGGCAAAGGCTCCCTGAGTAAGTGGAAGTGTGAAGACAACTCTGGACGTTGGGCTAATCTATGTACCAGGCACACACATTTCTACTCTCTGCCGCAGGTTGAGAATTCCTGTAAACGTCGCCGATGCACCGAACCTTTGCACATTCACCCTTCTCTCCACCCATTCCTCGGGGCCTCTACAGATTGGTGTGACGACGTCTGGCAAGGGCTGTAAACTGGCTTCTCGCATCCGACGTGAGATTGCCTCTGCCCTTCCATCTGACCTTGGTACCGCTGTTGAAAGACTCGGTACCATCCGCCGTCGCATCTGGGAAGAGGACCACGCCACTGAGATGTCCATGGACTTGGAAGCCGAAGAGGAGGACGCGGGTCAGAATGCTCAATTTAACAAGCTCATCACACCCACCGACCTCGAAGCGGCTAGGAACAGACGCATGCGTTGGCTCTCCCAAATCTGCGAATATTGGCCCCTGCGTCGTCTGGCAGCTATCACAGATGCCGATGTCGACGCTGTATTGGCTTCCTACAGCGAGGAATCCGCTGTCGTGGCCAGCACGCCTCTGCTTAGTCCCGGAGCCTTGGATTCTAGAAGCCGCAAAGGTCGCATCATTCTAGCTGGATCTGGTCCCGGCCACCCCGACCTTCTGACTGGGCTGACACTAAAGGCGATTCGTGGTGCAGACGTTATCCTTGCCGACAAGCTTGTTCCTGCTCCTGTTCTCGACCTGATCCCCAGGCGTACGCCTGTTCACATTGCAAGAAAGTTCCCTGGAAATGCCGAAGCTGCTCAGGAAGAGCTTCTGTCTCTAGGTCTAGCAGCAGCAAAGCAAGGTCAAACTGTTCTCCGTCTGAAGCAGGGTGACCCCTACCTGTACGGTCGTGGTGCCGAAGAGTACGACTTCTTCCGCCGTGAAGGCTTCGAAGTCAGCGTTTTGCCTGGCATCACTTCTGCTCTCAGCGCTCCTTTGTTCGCCAAGATCCCTGTCACTCACCGTGCCGTCAGTGACCAGGTCTTGATCTGTACTGGTACCGGCCGCAAGGGCGCTGCTCCCGATCCTCCTGTCTACCTTGCAAACCAAACTTGTGTCTTCCTCATGTCCCTGCACAGACTGAGCGCTCTCATCGACAGCCTTGTCGCTGAGGGTAAGAACTACCCAAAGACCACGCCTTGTGCAGTCATCGAACGCGCAAGCTGCACAGACCAAAGGGTCATTCGCAGTACGCTCGAGTATGTCTGTGCTGCCGTTGAGGAGGAAGGATCCAGACCTCCTGGTCTTCTCGTTGTTGGTCTTGCATGCGAGGTGTTGGAAAAGAACCACCAGAAGTGGGTTGTCGAAGAAGGCTTCAATGGTTTCGACAACCTTGGTGAAGGCAGTCTTGATGAACTTAGCGCTGAGCTCCGTGGCGCTACTTGAAACATTTTAACTGAAAGACAGAATGGCGTTTGGGAACGGCTTGCATTTTCTTCAAAAGATACCCCTGATTTAACAAGCATAGCTAGATATACATCCAACATAGACATATACACAGGTTGTTTACAAACAAGGCGCCTTCTCTTGTTCAGGTCGTCACTGTCTCCTGTTTCCACACTCACCTGCAGCTTTCCCTGCCTTTGGGTCGTGCCTTCCCAGACAACTCTTTCACAACTTAGCCTCGACACCCAACATCACGCTCGTACGTCCACAACACAGCTGCACATCACCAGCATGGCCACCAACGGTCTCGATCTGCCCGAATGGCTACAACAGCTCTTCTCACAAGTCGATTCTGAAGGAATCACACAGGCCATGACCAACATCTCACTTCCCGATTTCTAGCGCCTCGCCCAGTTCGCCCAAGGTCAAGAACTCAACGCTGAGACTATCACCAAGCTCTACGAGGAAGCCAGCAAACTCTCCGGCGCAGAAACAGCTCTTACAGCCGCTTGTCTTGTGATTGCGGCCATCTTCCTCTGCTTTCCTTGGGCACTTGCCTCACCTCTGCTTACATTCATGGGATTCTCGAATGTCGGTCCTATTGCTGGTATGTCGTTCATGCGTCCTTCACTGTGATTTTATGCTGATGTGGTATAAGCTTCTATCGCTTCCACCTTTCAGTCCCTTTGGGGCGTCAAAGCGTTGTTCGGGCTTCTGCAGAGCGCAGCAACGAGCGGTTATAATGCACCCATCGTCGCTGGGTTTGTGCAAGAATCTTCTGCCATCAGTGCCGGGATGTCCGGCCTTTTGCTGTGCAAGTCGAAAATCTAAAGACGGCCAAGTCAGCATCAACGGTCCAAATATTGAGCCATTCGAGCCATTCGAGCCATATGTCTGAGGTGGCTCAGCGGATGAATCATGATGTACTTATGGCGTGGTAAAAGAGCCGGACTTCATTGAAGGTTGTATAGTGTAATGGTTAGCACCTCGGATTCTGATTCCGGTAATCCCAGTTCGATCCCGGGTACGACCTCATCTTTTTGTCCGTGTGTTACTTTTTGTGGTAGGAGTTAAGCTGGCTCGTGCAACGGTATGTGGAAAAACTATTTCCTGCCCGATTTTGTGCCAAGAATTCTGCTCAGCTTCCATTCACCCACCTCTCGTCCGAAGACAGACTGATACACTGACAAAAAAAAAAAGAGCCTGATGAAGAGGTTGCTCTGCCACTGTGTCAATGGTTTCCTTTATGGCGATGAACAGGCGTCAGGATTGAGTATCTGCAATAATGCATCCATCGAGCAGCTTGTCTGCAGATGAGTGAGGTATATACTGTAGCTTGCCGGCAATTGCCTCAAGATCCTGGATCCGGTCAACCGGATCCAACCTTTACAAGCTAAGGTGATGTGGTGTAGTGGTAGCATGTGTCGTTGTGGAGGTTAAAGTCCAGCAACGCCGACCCGACGGCGGTTCGATTCCGCCCATTGCCAGGATCGTTTCTTTTGCTCGTCCAACATGATCTGATAGGCAGACGTCTTTTTGGTCTACATGATTAGAATTTGAGCTCGCTGGGCACAAGAAGCTATCTTGATGCCAGGGGAAGTGGTTAGATGTGTGATTCATCATTTTCCTGCATGACAAAGACAGGGCGATAACAAGCTGTGCAAAGCCATAGTCAATTCCCGCATGAAGAGAACTCTTGGGGGAGTTGATGAAGCAGTCCTTTCCGTTGAGTATTGCTGCAATACCACAAGGTACTGTGCCTTGACACAACTACGTTTGTGACGGAGCCTAGCATGCTGGGATGTGACACATTCACGCCCCTAGTATAGCACCAAGTCAGTCACTGACAAGTCAATAAAATATTGTGGCATGTCGCTGCGAGAGACTAACGCGGGACGAGTGACTAGTCGACAGCTAGCTGGGATAAATAGTGTAAGATAATGTACCAAGATTCATGGACATGTCGATTGCAAGAGTTCTCAACGGAGACATATTGTTTGGTGTCTAGGGGTAGCAAAAACACTTAGTGGGGAGATGGTCAATGTTGTAAAGCAAGGAAGAACGTGAAGGGAGGCAGTATTTGTTTCAAGGATAAGGAGAGTGTATTTTGTATAGATCGTAACCATAAAATTCCAAAAACATCTCGTAACAAGCGCCATCGCTGTTCTGTTCTACCCAAAGCTCCAACGCTCGTAGTGTGGTGTATATATATAAAATAAAAAAAGGAAAGGAAATCGTCAAAAAGGTTTATTTACAAGGTGATCTCCAACAGGCTAAGCAGATGCTTAGTTCTTGATCTCGCCAACATACTGCTGCTCGGTGATGGACATGGAGCGCTTGGTGATGACGGCACCACCCTCAACACCGGCGGCGGCAACAATGTCATCATCGTGCTTGACACGGAGAACGGCGAAGCCTTCCTTGTTCCAGTGGAAAGCGACGTAAGCCAGGACCACGAGGAATCCAACGAGGGGCACAACGAAAGAGATGCGGGTGTTGGCAGCATCAGCGATAGCACCCTGGATAGGTGAAAAGACCGCTCCTCCCGCGACTCCCATGACGAGGATACCGGCACCGCGGCGAGTGTGGATACCGAGGTTGGCAGTTCCCATAGTGAAGATAGTAGGGTACATGGGAGCCATGAAGAAGTAGATGGCCATAACAGCACCGATGGAGCCCTTGCCCTTGCCAGCGCAGACGTAAGCGTTAAGAGCGATGGTGGCAATGGAGTAGAGGACCATGATGAAGCTGGAAGACAAGACAGTGGCAAGACCGGTGGCGATGAAGCGACCGACGGTGAAAGTGATCAGAGCGTAAGAGAGGAGGTTGGAAGCCTGAGTCTCAGCCCAGCCAGCGTTGTCGACAGCGTAGTTGATGAAGAAGGCACCGATGGTAACCTGGGCACCGACGTAGCAGAACTGGGCGATGAAACCGCAGATCATGTTGTACTCCTTCCAGATGCTACCCTGACCAATCTCGCGACCCTCGATATCGTGCTCGGGCTCGACAAGGGAGTTATTGCGCTTGGCCTCCTCAGCAACTTCTGGGAGCTTGGCGAAGACGAACAGAATGGCAACAGCAACACCGAGGCAGGAAACACCGAGGTAGACGAACTGGACGTTGGTGAGGTTGTTAGCGTTCTTGCCGGAGAAGAAGGCCTTGGAAGCGATGAGGGGACCAATGAAGGAAGCGACACCGTTCCAGGCCTGGCAGAATTGGAGACGAGGAGAGGCAGTCTTGGGGTCACCAATGACAACGGCGTAGGAGTTGGCAGCAGTCTCAAGAGTGGCAAGACCGCAAGCAATGACCAAAGTGCAAGCACAGAAACCACCGAAAGATGCAGAGGCGTTCGCCTTGGAGGAGAAGTGAGCAGTAGGCCAGAACATGACAGCACCGATGGAGTAGAGAGAGAGACCCATGAGAATACAGATCTTGTAGCCGAATCTCTTGAGGACCTCAGCAGCGATGGGGGAGAAGATGAGGTAACCACCACCGAAGTACATGACCTGGAGACCGGTAGACTCGAGCTTGGTAATGCCAAGGACATTCTGGAAATGCTTGTTCAGAACATCGAGAAGACCGTAAGAGAAACCCCAGAGGAAGAAGAGCGAGGTGATGAGGGCGATGGGGAAGATGAGCTTCTTTCCGGTGAGGAAGCCACCAGCGATGGTGGTAGTAGCGATGGGAATACCGCCGCCTGCCATTGCTACGATTGTTGATGTAGAAGTGGTAAAAGGATTGTTAGGTGCAGGAGCAATTAAGCTGGATCCTTGGTAATGAAGGTGTTATTCAAACAATGAACGATAGTAGAAGACTGAAGAGTCTGAATGAGAGACTTGGATCTGCTGATTGTTGCTGGATGATGATTGTTTCCTGGGAGCAGACAGAGCTGGTACTTATACTGCTCGCCTTCTAAATTCCAACCCATGGGGACTCCAGATCTGGACAAGCACGTACCGTCTACTTCCATGCATGGACCATACAGCGACGAAGTTTACCGTCAAACGGCCAGCAGCCGGCATAAGCTAGAACGCTTTGACCCACGAGTATTCGGTCCGAAGCTGCAAGACCGCCTGGGGTTGGGTGAGCTCCAGATGACAATCGGTCCGGGGACAGCTGGGGATGGTGGGGGATGAGCAGGCTGGCCAACAATCGCTCGTCGATCTAACGATTCATCCAAATTCCGTATGAGTAATGAAGTGTAAATCGATGAGATGTCTCGTCCCTCCGCCTGCCAGCTGGTCTCGGCTCTCTGGGGGACGGTAGCAAAGCTCTTGCGTGAACATACGAGTTCACCAATTCTCATGCATCGGACTCGGTATGCATGGAGTGGCTCTCTCGGGGCGAGTAACCTATCATACGCCACGTCAAACTAATTGCATTAAATCCGGCACTTAGTTTGCACAACGTTGCGGCTGTCAACATCATCTTGCAGTAAATTTTTGGCAAGCTGTGGCTGCTAGTCAGAGTCAAGGGGTGTGCCACAAACGCCCATTGTCGTGATCATGCATGAATAATGTGATGGTCTGATAACGGCACGCACGGTAAGCAGACTCCTCGATCTTCGAAAATTTGGTAGATTTTCGTGAGCAGGAATCAGATTCACCGTACGGATGCGTTCGAGGCCTATAGTACAAGCAACATTATTGTCTTGCTGCAGTTGCTTGACACCAGCACTGGATCTCTTGTCAATTTCTTGCCCTTGGCGAACTGGATAGCTTGTTGCTCTGGGCGGTCTTACCCGTTCGTTCGACCGCTCATCAAGCAGCGGCTGCAGAACACAAGCGGTCTGGAGCACGCTAAGGGGGGCGGCTAATCTCCAGGTTTCGTGGAGACGTCGCGCTAGGAGATCACCGCATACCTACCGTAGAAAGCAATCGGGCCGAAGATCATCAACCACAGCTACCGACGGTCTTGAGGCTTCCCCAAGGGGAAATCTTCTCGACCTTTTCTATGGCAACTCTGCGTTGACTTGATCCTTCGTGTCAAAAGTTGCCTCGTTGTCACAGAAGGTCATGCTGTGGCTGGCTTCCCGCACGTCTAAAGCACACCAGACCGCGGCAACGACTGATGAGGCTTCTCACAGCTTTTTCACAGCTCTCCAATGCTGCCGAGTTGAGGCCGCATGGGCTTGAAGTTTTGGCGCTCATCTCCCCATCCCCACGGTCAATAATGTTTCGCGCAAAACGATGAGTGTCGGACATGATATGGGGAGACCCCACTTGGTAGAGCGCTACCCCTCGATAGAGAGCAAGCGGGGCGAGCTTGGGCAATGGGGAGCCGTCGTGGTCGCTTCTTTTCTCCCATCGTTCATCATGCCCCGTGGAGATGGGGTGAGCTGGAGAGCGCGACGTGCCTCGGCGGTCAATAAACATGTTTTCCCAGCTGCTGTCAATCTCATGCCTTGCAGAATCGATTGAGTGCCTTGGATGACGCTCACCCGTCTGTGGTAGCGTGACCTCCTTCCCTGCCTACTCTTGCGCGCGTAGTGCATTTTGCTTTTTACCCTTCTTTTGCTTGTTCTTGTGAAGGAGGATTATTGACTTCTTCCATGTACCTTTCGATCTTCCAGAAGGTCATGAGGCGCGGGATGGAAGGAAGAAGCGGCATGTTAGAAAGAGGAGTAGTCGCGGCATGCAGGATGATGATTGAGGCTGGATTTCCACGGGCGAGCAGCATCACCTTCACACAGACCCACAGCAAAGGCACCTTTTGTCCCTGGGCTCGAGTCCAACAATAATGCGGAGGTTTATTGCGTCCCGATCTCGCCAAGAGTCAAAGCAGACCACATTGAGTTTGATTCACGGGAGATCTCCACGGAGATAATGACATTGCTGGGGAAGACGACGGCATACCACCTCCCCGTGTGCGAAACACTGTCACACTTACAGCTGTCTCAAGGCACAATACTTTCTTAACATGCGATGTTGTCATCGAGATACTTTATGTTAACGACTCTCTGAGCTGGACTCATTGAAACGAGATGTGATTGTGCCTTTATACAGCTTGTCGTTGCCCTGCTTTGATCATTGGGGGAAGAGGGTGTGACAGTATTTTGCACACGGGAAGGTAGCGTTCATTGGTTCGTCGCCACGCCTTACTGACCAGACGGTCTCCCTGTTCGCGAGGTCGTCGATAGGCTATCGAGGGAGAGGGCGATTGTTTGAACACAGAGATATGGAGGAAGAACAACATAGGGACATTAACCGACCACACGAGAGCTCATGTGCAAGAAGAATTGGGTTGGAGCAATGTCTTGATGTAGTGTCAACACTACTCGTATATGGACCAGAACAACTACAGCTACTGGGTAGTCCGTGATGCTTGTCACTCGTCACATGCAAACGCGTAAAGCTATGCACGACTTGATGCACAATCTAATCCATGACCACCAAAAAGGTGTTGGAGCAAAGCTCAGTCGAAACAGCATGGAGACTTTTTGGGCCTTTAAGTGTCAGTCCTTGATGTGTGGCCACGGAGTGGGTAGACTGACCAATCAAGAGTCGAACCAATCGACGCGAAGAAGAAGACGACCTTTGCGATCGAGAGTCGTCTCGTCCCAGCCAGTCCATCCAGTGTGATCGCCTCTCGAATCACGGTGATCGTCCTTGGAAAAGAAGCGACAGAGGCTCTTCATGACCTGCACGACTGTAACGCCCGTCTTGTTGGTGCACTGAACTGCGGGCCAGTTGGTGACCTGGAGGCGGAGGAAAGCGACTGGAGGGTCGGTAGCGTGTTCTTCGGCAGCGCAAGTGTCAGTGAGGGCTGTTTCTCCATCGCCGTCGGCGGTCCAGAAGTACACGTGCTCGATCTTGGTAGCACACTCGTATGACATGCTTTCGAAGGCTGGATGGAGGCGGACATCGTCCAGGTTGATAGTTCCTCCGTCCGGAACGACGGCCTTGGAGCGAAACATTGTCTTCTGGCAATCAGGGTTCTCGGTGTGGGACTTGAAGGTCTTGCTCCTGAGGTTCGCATGATCAGTATGGTATCAGGAAACGGGACTGCGATTGAAATTACACAGCCATGCACATCTTGAGTTCAGAGTAGTCAAGATAAGACACAACATCAAGCCAGAGTTGTTTGGGCAGCTCGATAGTGCTAGCCATGATGATTCGCAAATGCACGGTGTCGGACAAGTAGTGGGGGGGGGTGAGAGTCGGAGTTGTGAGTGAATGTGGAACTAGAGAAGCTGGCTTTGAGGTGCGCGCGTCTGCCTGGCGCAGGGTACGAGGAAGGTGCGTGGGAAGTCGACGACTGCGTTGGAAGCAAAGTGCCAACCTTCCGCAAATCTGACTCAGGTTTTCTGCCAACACCGTGCAAAGTGATTTGTGATCGCGACCAGACTCTGGGCTTATGCTCGGTGGGTGATACGCGTGAAATGTATGCTCTTGCAGGGACCAAATTCGTGGATGCGCGCGAGCGTTCGGTATGGTGACGGGCACAGAAAAGGATGTCCGAGACTTGCCAGGCAGACCTCACGTCACGATGGAAGGCACGGGTATCGTCTCGAAGGTAGTGATACATCTGTAGAGCGTGCACTTCGTGTTCCGCGATAGAGACTAGACCTGTGGTGCTTACTCCATCATATCAGCCCAGGACTTTTTCTCCATGCCAGGAGTGATTTGTTCATCCAGGTCAATCCTTTCCATCTTTGCCTTTGTTGGGAAGGCCATGGTTGGTGGTGGCGCGGTATCGAACTTAGGAGCTGGTGCCGCGCTCGACAGATCTGGGAAATCTTCAGGCCTGGGACCAGATTGAGAGGATGGTTTCTCTTCTTGAGGAGCACGTCCACCTCTGCCTGATCCACCACGACCTCCTCTTCCACGACCTCTTCCCCTACCTCTATCCTCGCGATACATGTATTCGCGTCCATCAGTGTAGTCTTCTTTGTCACCTCCGAAGCCCTCACGAGAGCTTCCTGGATTCCGCTGGCCGGTAACACCACCATGCGCACCACGTCCCCGACCGGCGGGCTGTCTAGGACCTCCAAAGGCATCTGCATCATCCGGCTTCTCGGCGTCCCATTCCCTACCACCCACGGCTTTGAGTTTCCGCAATCTATTCTTCTCTCTTTCGCCCATCATCTGCTGTCTATCTCTACGTTCTTCTTGTCTACGCTTAGCAGCGACCTCTTCACGCTCGGCAAAATTGGCAGCGTCTTCCTCAGCACGAGCATGGGCGGCAGCGAGTTTCTCGTTTTTCAGTGAGATCTTGGACATCTTGTCGGCGAGCTCTTGCTCGCTCAGCTTTGGCTTGCGTAGGCCTCCGGTCGCAGTCCGGTCACCACGTACGGCATTTGTGGTCGGTTTGGATGGTTCGGTAGGAGCAGCTGGTAGTTGTTGATCTTGTGGTTCGGCCGTATCCCTTGACTGGGCGTCTTTAGGTTGGGCATCCTTGGATTGAACATCCTTGGGTTGGGCATCCTTGGGCTGAGCATCCTTGAGTTCAGCATCCTTCTTGATCCGGTCCTGGTTGTTACGACGAGCATCACTCTTGTTGCGATCCTGATTGTTGCGACGAGGATCGGTGTTGCTGCGATCTGTGTTTTTGCGGTCGTGAGTTTTGCGATCTTCAGTATTGCGGTCTTGGTTGCTGCGGTTTTGTGTAGTACGGTCTTGGTTGTTGCGGTCCTGGTTCCTACGGTCTAAATTGCCACGGTCCTGGTTGGTACGGTCCAGTCTGCTGCGGTCCTGGTTGGCACGGTCCTGGTTGCTGCGATCCTGATTGTTACGGCCCCTGCCTCTTCCACGTCCTCTGGCAGCACCACGTGGGCGACTTGGCGTAGAGCTCGTGGGAATTGGACTTGATTCTTTGGAAGCTGGTGATGGATCTGACGGTGATACAGCTGTGGCAGTAGGCAGGTTGACTTCTGGTGGGACGGCAGACTCGGCCTGTGTCTCGGGCTCGGTAGCGTCTTGGACGTCTTGATGTACAGGTTGTATGTCATGGGTGAACAAGTCGTCTGGAGCTCGCGTCTGCATTGACTGGTCGTACTGGATGTCGTCAAACAAATCATCCTGTTGCGCTCCGGTCTGTGCAAACTCATCCATGTCGTTGTTCGTGAGTAAGATCAGTTGCTGGAACTTCTGCTAGTGTCAAGATCAAGGTCAAGATCAAAGTCAAGATCAAGGTCAAGATGTTGCAAGCAAGGTCAAGCTGTATCGAACTGTCCAGCCCTCGGCCTTCATTTGTCCGAGCTCTCTTTGCGCGCCGCTTGGCGTCGCATACCGTCATCAACATTTCTTTGCTACTTCTATCATCAACCATTGTTCACCTCGCGCCATGGACGACGCGCCTGATCGCAAGAGGCTGAAGCCTACATATCAGCCTGCGCAAAATCTGCCACCGCTACCATCGGGGTGGACCGAACATACGGCTCCAACAGGTACAGCATCGAGACCAACTCTGTTTCTCGTCAGATGTTCACTAACGTCTCGCAGGCCACAAATACTACTATAATGCCGCGACGAAAACATCAACATATACTCGTCCAGCTGTGACTCCGCCTCAAGCTCCCACTCCCACTCCGCCTCAACCACAACCTGCATTTTCTCCTTCGCCAACTGCCTACGCTACAACCTATCCTCCCAACCAGTACGCTGCGGGTGCTGCCACTCAATACCCCTCGAACGTCGCCGCGCAATACACTCAACTCCCTGCCGCGTACAGTCTTCATCCCGCGAACCCACAATACAATGCCTACCCACCACATTCCCACCTTCCATCCACTTCTGCTGCTCCATCTCACGAGCCAAGACGCCGACCACAGCCTCAGGATCGTCCGAAACGCAAAGAAGTCATTCCCACTTGCAAACCATGGGTCGTCGTATACACAAAGCTCGGCCGACGCTTCGTCCATAATCCCGATACCAATGAGAGTTTCTGGAAGTTCCCCGATCACGTCATGAAAGCTGTCGTCGACTTTGACCGCCTGAAACTGGACGAGAAGCTTGGTACATCCGAAGAGGTTAGCGGTGCGAACAAGACACCTGTGGCAGAACGTGCGGCCCTCAAGGCCTCAAAGAAGCCTGGAGAGAAACCCGAGGAGAAGGCTGAAGGGAGAGCAAAAGCTCAAGAACCTGAAAAGGCACAAGCAGATGCTGCTGCATCTGATTCAGAGTACGAGGAGATCGAAGTCACAGACGATGAGGACGAAGAAGGCGGTGCTCCCCGTCAGGACCATGGCGATGCAGAGGTCGAGGACGGACCTCTCGAATTCGACGAAGACGACATCGCCTACCAACTAGCCGCAATGGAAGATTCATACGGTCTCGATCGCGGCGAATTCGGCGGTGGCGGTGAGGATGAGTACGAAGAGGGAATGGAAGGTATTCCTCTGACTGACGAAGACGGCGCTGCTCTATTCTGCGATATGCTCGAAGACCAACACATTTCCCCATATACACCTTGGGAAACTCTCATCTCCGACGGCCGCATCATAGATGACAGCAGATACACCGCCTTGCCGACCACCAAACGCCGAAAGGAGGTATGGAGTGACTGGACCCGTGAGAAAATCACACAGCTCCGTGAACAAAAGGCAAAGCAGGAGAAATTAGACCCGCGCATATCATACCTGTCTCTGCTCTCTGACAAAGCAACACCCAAACTCTACTGGCCCGAGTTTCGCAGAAAATACAAAAAAGAGGATGCGATGCGTGATGCGAAGCTGAGTGACAAGGAGAGAGAAAGGCTCTACCGTGAGCACATCAACCGGCTGAAAATATCTCCTTCGCAACTAAAAGCAGACCTGGTTTCTCTTCTCAAGTCACTCCCCTTGAAACAGCTCAACAGAGATACTAGACTCGAGAGTTTACCTAAGGATCTCCTGACCGATATTCGCTTCATATCTCTAGCCTCGAAAGCTCGTGACGATCTACTGGAGGCTCATATCTCTACTCTGTCTCCGGCACCTGATGACGAAGAAGCTGCGACTGAGGAAGAGAGAGCAGAACAGGAGAGGCGAGCAAAAGAGAGGAAAAGACGAGAGCAGGCATTGAGGGAGAGGGAAGAGACTGTCCAAGAAGAAAAGAGGAAGAGGGACAGAGATTTGGCCGTTGGGCGTGGAAGGCTGGGCGAGGCAGAGAGGGAGTTGGAGATGGCTATGAAGGTCGGGAGAAGTGGACTGAGAGCACACATAGATGAGGCTAAGGAGAATGAGCAGTAGACTCCACGGCCTGGTCGTAGTCGCCCTGCAACTCAATATAGCATTTGTCTCTCGGCATCATCGTTCCAGATACAGAGAAGAGGAGCTCTTGCCTTGAGACAGCTACAAATGTGACAGTCTTTCGCACACGGGAAGGACGGGCGCTGTGTGATTGTGCTTGGCGTCTCACTCCCAAGTCAGGGTTGTTGGTGGTACAACCCTGTCTATGTTTATTATCCTCATCTGTCAACGTATTGTGATCAACACAGACTTGGAACGACAATTTACTTGGCTTGACGGTTACTAATAATCATCTATGAATGAATATGTGTCACTCGAACTGCTCGGTGTCTTTTCTGAGACCGGACATGACAAATGCTCGAGAACGAGTCAGTAGCATTTCTCACCGTGTTGAAAAAATGAAGACACAGGTGACCCAAGTGATAAATGATTTCGAGTTGTTATATTACCTGAAGTTTTACCCACTCCTGTCAAAAGTATCAACAATGATCGTAGAAGAAGATCAGGCAGGTATCCAGGCACAGATGACATTGTTGTCGTCCTTCAAAGATTTCTTGTCACTCGTGAGAGTTATGTAGGATCTACGCGGACCATCATTTCATCAAGCCTCGATAGTATAACGGCTAGTACGAAGGTCTCATATCGGTCATCAATATGACCAAGCATGGCTTGGGTAATCCTTAGATGGGAGTTCGATTCTCCCTCGAGGCATTCTTTTTTTCGTTGATTCATTCGCTCGGTTGGTTGAAGGAAATCTAGTTTTGGTGGTCCGCAAGACTGTGGGGCCGGATTTCCGGGCATGGACTGGTAACGCCCGACATCAACTTCTGAGCACTGTGCTTCCATTAATTACTACAGCATCCATTTCTTGCTACAAATATCAAAAGTCCAGCAGTGGTTCGTATATACTAAACTTCCTTCCGCATGTTCGTCTTCAACATTTGTCGGGCCTGCATATCGTCTTCAATTCGGGCTGTACCAACGCGTGAACGAGTAAGTGAAGATGGTCCGATGCCCAAGCCTTTCTCGAATATCTACTGGATAACTTGTCCCACGGCATAAATCTAGCCACGCACAGGCAATCAGTCACATACTACATACCTGGCTGACTTGCCTCTTCCCCGTGTGCTAAATTCTCAGTGACTGGCTGACTTGCCTCTTCCCCGTGTGCTAAATTCTGTCACATCGATGCATCTACTTTCAATGATCAGAGCAGAGCGACAACGCAACGCATAGTCATATTTTAAATCGACACAACCAATGCAGGGAGTCGTTGCATGGACGTGTCCAGTCCCAGGGAAATTCGTACCTTAGGACAGCTATAAGTATGACTGGCAATTTTCCGCACATGAGGAGGCTGATACCGATCGACCAAATATTGACCTTACGAGTCTTCAACGTTTGGGAGGAGTCCCGAGAGCTGTAGATTATCATATGTTGGTCTGGAAGAGCTGGATAGTTGGTTCGGTTGCGTCATCGGGGCTCCTGAAGGGCATACAATCGTCAAGAGGCAGCGAGTAGTTCACAGACTTGAGAGGGTCCGTGGAAGGAGTGCACCCAGCCATCGCTGGCGGATACACTTATGATCTGCCTGATAACCAAAGCGCAGCAGAGTCCTAATTTCAGCTGGGAGCGTGCTTTGAGCCAGCAAATCTCGTCTAACAATGCCTACCAGCCACAAGGAACGCGCTAATCAACCATTGCAGGGCAAGCCGAAGTCTTGAAATCCAAAGACGGACTGTGGAAAAGCATAGTGATATTCCGTATCGACACACGTAACGCGAGGAGTCCTCAAGCAGTTGTATCTCAGTGCCATTGACCAAGATCCAGAGAAGTTTGTGCCTTGAGACAGCTACGAGGGTCAGATTCTTCGCTTACAGGGAGGCCAGAGATCTCACTGTGGCATGATGTTGCCATTGCTGCAGGATCCATTGGACAACAACTCAACTTTCCCGGCACAAGGGAAAAGGTGAAAGCGTCACCGATGGTATGTTCTTCTGCACCTGAAGTTGCAGGTAGACCGGCTAGGAACAACATAATGCTTTGCGGGTGATGAGACCTTGAGTTTGAGCAGGAGCGTGATCAGCCGTGTCTCCCAGATCGCACGAAAAGAGTGATTCGAGAGTTGAGAATCTCACGTGACCTAGACAGGGTCGGTACTTCAACAGCGACACCCGGATGTCTTTGTCCTTCCCGGGATCAGGTGGCCCCGATGATGGTCCTGTAGGCGATGAATGGTTCCTCGGAGGGATTGAAGACTACGATCTCATTGCTGGTCTGCCGAAATCGGGTATGTCTGAGCTAGGTGACTCTCGGGACTTGCAAGAAGCTCAAGTGTGTGATCTTCTCGTGCGTTGCAAGCTAGCTGCGAAGGGCTAGTGCCGCGAGAGAACGCGTGATCGTCTCCCAACAACATTGGTCGATCTCTTCTGCAATGCACTACTGAGTATTTCTAGATGAGATAGAGCCTCGGCGTGATTAATGTACAAATGTTCTGTTTAACAATCACGACCCAACTTTCACGCATTCTCTTCGCACGTGTTTGCGATCACCGCTGCTGGAACTACCTCAAACTTTCATCGTGGTCGTCCCAATTTTTCGCTGGCAAGCTTGCTGTGTGGCGCATCACTCGATGTAGTTCACCGCTCGTCCAATATTAGCAGGAACGAGCTATGTGCTCAATCGGGTGTCTATACAGTGTAATTCTGGTAGCCTGGGGAGCATCTCGGGTTGCACAACTATCAGGGTGGGGTGCATGAATGACAGTATACAGGTCCAACAGATCAGCCAATAGACCAATGCAGTCACCCGGTAGTTTACTCGAGTACAAAGCTGGATCCGAGACGCCATCAATGAGATACAATAGTTGTTCCGACGCTCAAACAGCCGACTGAACATGGAGACATGGAGATGGACTTGACAGATAGTCCTGAAGGGCGGAGCGAGTCATGGAGACGGAGCTCCGAAGAAGGCCAAAATAGCTCGGCATACGGCTGTAACCGTCGTGGTGATCGAGCGTCATGCAGCACGGCATACGAAAGCTGATCAGTTCCTGGCAGATTTCTGCAGATCCGGCGCGCGAAATGGTCCGTGAAACAATTGCTTGAAGGTTGAACTTGCAGGCATCTCTGACGCTGCGCCGTCCCATTTGTGCATCGGACGTGTAATGAAATGATCTGCAGGATCTTTCTTGCGTTTGACTAAATTCATGCAAGCCGACCTACAAGATAGGTAGACATGCCACACCCAAGTTAGCCCAGTTCTTCTCTTTCTATTTCCTCTCATCTGTTGTTGTCGTTACTGTCACGCTTGAAATCTGTTTCCCGTCCAGCGATGATGTGGAAGACTGTCGCTTCCATTGCTTCGTCTTGCTCTCTTGCAGCAGCAGCATACTCACCCATCGTCATCGAGAATCTGAGCACCCATCAACCAATCGGAAACCCTGCAGGACAAACCAACTACTATCGTATCGACTTCGATGTCTCGTCACCTAACGGCGGAGCCCGAGCGTCTGCGAACTGCCAAACGTTCTGGGGAGATAACTCGTGGCTCGAACCAGAGGCCTATAGTGTTGCTGTTCCTACAGGCAAATGGATTGCTTGCAATTCCAGTGACTTCAGGTTCCAGCTCTTTCCCTACTTTAGTATCGGAAACTTCAGCCTTGCCGTGCAGCAAAACTTTACCGATGATGCGTAAGTGCCCATATGATGACCCATAAAGATGCAGCTATGTCGGTCTAACAGGCGATCAGACTCAATCAAGAGATGTTTGCGAACGGAACCACGCAGATTAGCAACTTGACATCGTCGTTGACCTGTGATATCAACCCTCAGGAAGTGATGTATCAACAACACGCACATGGCGACTGTAACATGGCCAGCAATGCCAGTGTATCGGTTAGAGTCGAGGCGGAAGCGTGTACTTCTGGCAAAGTCAAGGCTATATTCGAAGTGACTGGATCGTTCGAGAGCGACCCGGAATCGATACTTCTGGTTGGCAGTATTCCTGAACTCGGAGGATGGGCACCGTCCAAAGCAGTGACACTGTCGGTGCTCAATCCGGAGAGCGAGGGAGTTCCAAGCTTTGGCGCCAGACTCGACATTGTTTCGGGGAGTCAATTCGAGTATAAGTACATTTTGCGTGGAGCAGATGGAAGCGAAACATGGGAATGCTGCGAGAACAGAGTGTATACGGTACCAGCAGATTCGGCTTGTACCGAGAGCAGGATCGGCCCAGACTGGTTTCGCGGTGGAGGTTCAGCAGTTCAGACATGAGGAATTGCCAGATTATAGATGGGCCTGGGATGGTCTGACGAGATGGATTCAAGAAAGCGATGGTTGCAAACATTTGGCAAGGTTAATATAATAATGCAAGGTCATGGTTGTTATTGCAAGGTCTCGCGAGGGTTGATGATCTGGGTGGTTGATGAGTGACGGACGTCATTTAGCGGAGGGAGCTTCGGTGGACAGTGGGGGAGGCTTGCACATGATTGAATGGTCGAGGATCACACCGAGTATTCGAGCAATCAAGACTTCACACTTAGACCAACACACGACATCTAGCCCATAGACGCCGTGGTAAAAGTATCGCCACGAGCAGCATCGTGCCCGATTCCCTTACCGTGGCTGCACCCTTGGCCGCCAAGCGTCCGCGCAGTGCGTCGCCGCCAGAGGTAGAGGCAGAGGCAGGGCGTAAGAGAGGCAGGATGCACCTCCAGCCAGAAGACGGAGGCAGGACCAAGCACGCCGCGAATGGCGCCTCGGAAAAGGCAGCTCATTCTCACTCGGCCAGTCACTTCTACGGCCACAACCGACAAGAGGTGACACGCATCATCATCCAAAGTCTCTCGGACCTGGGCTACCAAGACACGGCCCAACAACTAAGTCAAGAGAGTGGCTATGAGCTCGAGATCCCGAATGTAGCCGCCTTCAGGACCGCTGTGCAGCATGGAAAGTGGACAGAGGCCGAGGCCTTGTTGTTTGGAGACGCCAGCCGCGAACCTCTCCCGCTGTGTGAAGGCGCCAAACGAGATGAGATGCTCTTCCTGATGCGCCAGCAAAAATACCTCGAACTGCTCGAGCTGCGCGACCTCTCAAAAGCCCTGATGGTCCTGCGGCAAGAGCTGACTCCGCTGCATCAGGATGTGCCCCGTCTACACGCTCTTTCCAGCCTGATCATGTGTCGCGGAGCCGACGACTTGAGGCTTCAAGCACAATGGGACGGAGCGGACGGCACTTCGAGACGAGACTTGTTGTCCGAACTGTCGAGTAGGCTTCGTTTGCTCCTCCGTCCAACACTCCCAGCTGACCCAGACTCCAGAGTCAATCTCACCGTCCGTCATGATCCCCGAACACCGCCTCGCCGTCCTCCTGGACCACGTCCAGCAGCAGCACATCGATCAATGTCTATACCACAACACCACCCATCCACCCTCGTTACTGCACGACCACGTTTGCGAACGCGACCAATTCCCTCTACATATCCTCCAAGAGTTGCAACATCATGGCGACGAAGTCTGGCATCTCGAATTCTCACACGATGGCTCCATGCTGGCCACTGCGTCAAAGGACAACACTGTAGTCATCTACGACACCACCTCGTGGATGCCCATATGCCGTCTGAACCAGCAAAAGCTTCTCAACGAGTCCGGTGTCTGCTACGTTGCATGGAGTCCCGACGACACTTATATCCTCGCTTGCTCACAAGCAAAGGAGCTTGTCGTCTACCAAGCTCGCACAGGCACTCGTCTTGGGGGCGTCGATCACTTTTCATACCCAGTCACTACAGCTGTCTGGGCCCCTGACGGCCAAAGCTTTGTTGTTGGCTCGCAAGATTCTAAAAGACCTCTTGGCCTCTACCAACTAGCCGACCAGTCATTACTACATTCATGGACGAGCCATGATTCCCAAAGCCTCCGCGTGAATGATTGTACCATCTCAGCAGATGGTACAAGACTTGTCGCTATAAGCAACGACAACCGCGTCATCGTCTACGACTTCAAGACTCGTCTGAAACTCCAAGAGTGGGTCATGGAAGACAGGCTGACATGCGCAACTCTGAGTCGTGACGGCAAGTCACTTCTAGTTAGCATGAACGAAGGCCGTCTGGTGCTCCTCAACTCGGATACTGGCGAAGTCCTGCAACGTTACACTGGCCTTAGCCAGAGTGAATTTGTCATAAGAAGTACCTTTGGTGGTGCTGGTGAGAATTTTGTGATCAGTGGCAGTGAAGGTAATCTGAGTTTGAACCCCCCTGAGAGTGTGCCTATTTGCTGACTACGAGCCAGACTCGCGAGTCTATATCTGGCGGAAACACACCGGCCAGCTCGTTGTTGCACTAGAAGCACATCCACCTGGCACCGTAAATTCGGTAGCCTGGCATCCCACAAATCCGGCCATCTTTGCTTCTGCCGGCGACGACAGGAGAGTCAGAATGTGAGCAATCACTTGTCCACGTTTGTTGTGATTTCAAGATGCTGACAGTCTTGCTATAGATGGTCTAATCGACCTGCTGATCGCCAACGTTCCTCTTTCATGGCCAACATTCCTTAGCAAGGACACTACGTCCTTTATTCTTACGTTACTGCATCCCGGCGCTGGCTCACGCGACACCACGATCGCTGTTTGATTTTGCTAATTGTCTTTTCTCTTTTGCTGGGGCGGCACAGCTGGTTGCACGCAGAGGAGTTCTGGGAGCAGTATCTCATGGGCTAGCTTGTTCTCCTTCTCTCCCTTCTCCTCTATTCGAGGACGTCTATCTTTTCATGACATGCTAGATGGACAACAAGTCATCGTTGCCATGAGAAACTCAACAAATTCTACCTCATCCGGATGGTCGCACCGTATTGTGACACTTTAGTGGAATGAACAATCAGTCTTTTCTACGAAGAATATACATCTAATAACTCCTATATGACTGTATCGTACATAGTTTACTGTCTGTCTATGCTTTTCCAAGCTGCTTCTCAAGCGCAGCAATCTTTTCGTTCTCAATCTTCTCCTCTTCCTCCTTCTTGCGTTGGAATTCAATGGCAAGCTGGTCGGGGCGTCTGATGGCAATGTCCTTTGGACGGAAGTCACTGAACATGTGCTTGAGCACCTTCTCAATGATCCAACAACCACAGTAATCGAGAACCATGATGGTGGTCATGGTGATCTTGAATTCGGTGGTGAAAGGAACCAGCTTGAGCTGCTCGTTGATTTCGGGGATGAACTCGGTGGCACAGGAGAAGGCGACACCAGTGACCATAACAATACCATAGTACATTCCCTTGTTCTCCTTGATGGACTCGCGGAAGGGACGACCCTGGTAGTTTATAGCAAAGGTGGAAATTTGTTGAATGAGCTGCAAGAGGTAGATGGCAGAGTTGAGCAGCGAAGGCTCGAATTCACCCTCGAGATCAATGTCGGACTTCTTGGGCTCAGTGCGTTGAACATATCTGGAAATGTAGATCAAGGTGACAATGTGGACGGCGAACTGTCCAAGAACCGAACCGATGATGTATGGGTTGAAAATGTTGGGCTGAGGTCTCTCCTTGGAAAGTGTTTCAACGGTCTGTGAGACGAGTTAGTGGTGAAAAAGAGACTGTAAGCATTGATTAACGTACCTTGGCGCGGGAGATGGAGAGGAAACAGACGCTCATCAGCATACCACTGATCGTGACCTGGCCATCACCAAACTTGATACCGTCAAGGTACAACACACTCAAACTGTAGGCAGAAATCAGACAGTTCAGTGCCAAAATCTTGTACATCTGAATGGTAGCAACGAGAGTGCAACGACCCTGGCGAATAATGTTGGGAATGGCGACAACATTAGCCAGCTTGCTAGTGAAGGGAGCGGCAACCGAAGCGTCTCCGAGTTTAATGGTAGGGGGTTCGTCATCGGTAAGGGCATCTTCCATCATCGAGATAGACATCTTCTCAGCCATAGCACTTGCAGCATTCTGAGCCTTTTGTTTGCGTTCCTCCTGGACAGTGAGAGCAGCTTTAGGGGCGGTCTCACCATCCTTAGCGGTAGCGGTAGCAGCATCAGCTTTATGCTTGGCTTCAGTGACAGCCTTCAGGACTTCGGTGGTGGTGCCCTTGTTAGCGGCTTCACGCTCCATGGCTTTGTCGTAATGAGGGTTGCCGATACCGGGAGGGTAGAGGTGGGCAATGTGGACAGGGACAGGAGGAGAAGGCTGATTGAAGCGCTTCATCATGGAACACTGCTTCTCGTAGACGTCCTTCATCTTCGTCTCTCTGAAGTTCTGGGCGATCTTCTTGAGGTCATCCTCGGTTCCGTTGAGAAGAGCAACACCAATGTGTGCTTGCTTGAGAGCGCCGACGTCGTTTGTACCATCACCTGCCATCAAAGTGACGTATCCGGCATCTCTAAGGCCGAGAAGAATTTCTTCCTTTTGCTTGGGCGAAACACGAGCGTAAACCCAAGTGTGGCGAATGATTTCTTTCAAAGCCTCCTGGCCAGTAAACTTGGAGAGTGCGTAACCAGTTACGCAAAGATCCTTGGTCTTGATGATTTCGGGGTCGATAGGCTCAGCGGGGTCGACGGGAATACTGATCTTGTCGTCGATGCTTCTCCAGACAAGATTCTGGCCAGAGTTGTCGTGTTCAGGAGCGTCAAGAATAAGAGTTTCGCGATCGACAATTTCGACCTTTCTAGCAACATGAATAGCTGTCAAAGGGTTGTCACCAGTGATCATAATGCAACGATGACTGCTCTCGTTCAACATGCGAACAGCCTTGATAGCATCGTCCTTGAGCGGACATTGCAAGACAAGGAAACCGGCGAAATGGAGGTCACATTCGGCCTCCTCACGCTTCATGTCGTTGATCTTGTTTTGACCAATCTCATCACTAGTGGACATGAACTTGTAGGCAAGGGCGAGGACGCGAGCACCATTTCTCGAGAAGTACTTGAAAGTCTCCTCGTACTTGGGAGGAACGTCGACGAGCATATTTCTGATGGTCTCGGGGGCGCCCTTGACACCGACAAATGTGCTTCTGGTTTTCTTTCCAGAATCGCGCTGAGTAGTGACAACAGTCGCAACGGAGCTCTGGCGTTTGAGAGTAGAGGAGAACTGGAATCTACGCTTGATCTGAACCAAGTCAGCAGCGGACTGACCGGTGCCTTTGGCACCGACAGCGGTCTTGCTAGTTAGAGTGTCGTTGCGACCAACAGTCCAGCCAAGAGAAGCAAGAGTGGCCTTCTCCATGGGCTCACCAACAACGTCACCATCTTCGAGTTTCACGAGAGCGTGAGCAGTAGCAAGAACCAAAGTGGTGCAAACACCAGTGTCGTTCAAGGGTACGAGTTGTGTCTGAGCACCATCGGCCTCAGCAGCTGCACCTTCCTGCCCAAGAGTGAGACCAGCAACACCATCGACGACGAGGTCTTCTCCGGTAAGTGTTCCGGTCTTGTCAAAGCAGGCAATATCAACACGACCGGCGAAGGGAATGCGGAAAGGTTCTGTACAGAAGATAGCGTACTTGCTGAGAGCAGCAAGGGAAGTGTTGACCGCCAAACTCAGTTCCATGGGCAGCTCTGGGGGCACAACGCTGGTGACAATGAGAACACAGTCCAGGAGGAGCTTGGAGCGCTTCCTGTCCTTGGCGACACCCTCGGTCCAAACGTACCACGAGGCGGCGATGGCGAAGACAGTGAGGAACAGAATGAAGAGCAAAGCCTCGACGTTGTTGGCCGACACGCGCTCAGTAGAGTAGATCATGGTGCGGACAAGACTGCCTTGGCTGGTCTCAAAACCGGTTCTGACAACAATAGCCATGGCACCGTTATCAGGAGCTGCAGGTACACCCGAAACAACGGGATGGATCTTGTCCGAGTCATCGGATCCAGTGTTACCATGAGTGACCTGTAGAACCTTGGTACCGCCATACAGGAAAGCAAGCTTGTCAAGACCTTCAGGCTCGATGCGGGCGTCAGAGGGGCGGAGCTGGACCGAGTCCTTGAGTACGGGGGTACTCTCACCAGAAAGCATAGCCTCGTTGACAATAGCAGAGCCCTCGACCAAGAGCATGTCGCATGCGACACCGCTATCTTCCTTTGTACGGCCGACCGAGACGAGATCACCGGGCAAGAGTGCGTCGCTCTGAACCTCAATCCACTTCTTTTCTCTGTAGACCCAGATGTCATAAGGCTTGATGCTCATTCCACGGAACTCAGTCAGAGTACGCTGTCTTTGCCAGACGACGGTGCTTTCAAAGACGACGAGCATGAAGAGGGTGAAGAGTGAATAGTACCAGTATTCGTCGAGCATCCAGAGGCCGACACAGAAGATCTGGAAGACGAAGAAGGGCGCAACGGCGTGTTCCTTGAATAGCTCGGTGAACGAGGGCACGGGAATGTCGAAAGTGTTTGGGCCATAGTATTGCTGGAGACGGGCTACTTCTTGTGCAGTAGTGAGACCCTTTGACTTTTGGAACTCGCCAATAGTTGGCTTTACTTCCCGATCCAGGGGGTATGAGAGAGGGGCAAAGGTAGCAGTCTCGGACGAGTAGAGGAAGCGGCGCTTCTGGAAAAGGAAGGAGACATTGGTCTTGCCGTCGACGGTCTCGCGCTCGATGGGGCAGATGTCGGCAGAACCAGCGTTCTCAGCAGGGAGAAGCTTGATCAGGCCAGCGCTGCGAACGTCCGAGGCGCGTGTGGTGGTGAAGAGAGAACGGATGTTGATGTTCCAGAAGGTGGAGAGCCAGAAGAGGGACTGGATGGTGACAATGCTGCCAGACCAGACAAAGGTCCACTCTTGACCGTTGAAGTGCTTCTCGTAGCGTTCTTCAGACAGGTAGAAGGCGAAGAAGACGGGCCAGACGATCAGGAAAGGCCAGATGTACGTGTGCAGCGGCAGAGGCAACGGGTTGTGAAGCGAGGCCGACTTGACCTGGGCATTATCCACGAGCGGCGCCCTGCGAGAAGCCATGGGTCAGTTGGAGAGGACTAGGAGGGGGTCCGGGGGAGATACATACATGATGGCGGATGACACGGAATATATCGTGGCAGGGGGCTACAACTATCTACACGTTGCCTCATGGAAGCATCCAAGAAGTTCGACGGGGTCGGTCGTTTGTCGTTTGTCGCTTGGCAGCCTTATCAGCTTATCGCAGACACCGACGGCCCGTTCTGGCCGACGAGTGACGAACAATTTACCTCCCTGTCTGGAGCATTATATTCACACAACAACACATCGAACCACCATGGCCGACGCAGTGCCCGAAGAACCAAAGGTCTCGAAGCGCGCCGCCGAGAAGGAAGCCAAGAAGGCAGCTAAGAAGGCGGCGAAGGAAAAGTACAAGGAAGCCGCTCCTGCCAAACAGCCCGCCCAAAACACACCCGCCGCGCCCGCCGCGCCCGCCGACCCCAATGTCAACTTCAAGCAAGGTTGGCTCAAGGGCGTCTACAACGAGAAGCCCGTCGACACTGTCCAGACGCGTTTCCCTCCAGAGCCCAATGGCTACCTGCACATCGGCCACGCAAAGGCCATCACCGTCAACTTTGGTTTCGCCAGAGCTTACGGCGGCAAGTGCAACCTGCGCTTCGATGACACAAACCCCGCCAAGGAGGAGGAGCGCTACTTCACCAGCATCAAGGACATGGTCAGCTGGCTGGGCTTCGAGCCTGCCAACATCACCTACAGCAGCGATAACTTCGACGAGCTGTACCGTTTGGCCGAGCTTCTGATCACCCGCAACAAGGCCTATGTCTGCCACTGCTCCGCCGCAGAAGTCCAGAAGGGAAGAGGAGGCTCTGATCATGGCCCTCGCTCCGTCTGTAGCCACTGGAGCAGACCCGTTGAAGAGTCGCTCGAAGACTTCCGCGCCATGAGAGACGGCAAATACAAAGCTGGCCAGGCTGTCTTGCGCATGAAGCAATACCTCGGCACCAAGCCTGAGGAATACGCTGTCACCGACGAAGACTCGCCCGAGACCAAGAAGGAAAAGGCAAAGCTGAAGACGCTGGCCGAGAACCCCTCCATGTGGGACGTCGCCGCCTATCGAGTCAAGGACCAGAACTACCACCACCGCACCGGCCTCAAGTGGAAGATCTATCCCACCTACGAGTTCACCCACTGTCTGTGTGATAGCTTTGAGGCTATCACTCACTCCCTGTGTACTGTCGAGTTCGAGACTCTCCGTCCTGCTTACAACTGGCTCCTGGAGGCTCTCGACCACAAGCTTCCTGCATCCGAGGAGAAGGGTCCCATGCAACGCGAGTATGGCAGACTCAACGTCGAGGGTACCATCCTGTCCAAGCGCAGAATCCAGATGCTGGTCGAGGGTGTCAACGCTGCCGGTCAGCAGCCATCCGAAGAGGACGACCTTGCTGATGCTGCCGACGAGCTTCAGATCGCAGAGACTGGCGAGCAGGAGGTTGGCGCTGAGACCGCTGTGTCCAAGCCTGTCGCTGGCGCTCAGACCATCCCTCCTGTTGTTCGTGGCTGGGATGACCCTCGTCTCTTCACCCTTGTTGCTCTTCGTCGTCGTGGTGTTCCTCCTGGTGCCTTGAAGAAGTTTGTTCTTGATCTCGGTGTGACAAAGGCCAATGCCGACACCAAGATGCACATGTTGGATGCTTCCGTCCGCACTTACCTTGAGCGTACCGTGCCCCGTCTGCTGGTCGTCCTCGACCCCATCAAGGTCGTCATCGATAACCTTGCCGAGGACTACCTCGAGGAGCGTGAGGTTCCGTTCGACCCCAAGGACAAGGAGAAGGGTACGCACAAGCTTCCCTTTACTAAGACTATTTACATCGACCGCGATGACTTCCGCGAGGTTGACGACCCAGACTTCTTCCGTCTTGCTCCCGGAAAGTCTGTTGGTCTCCTCTATGCCGAACACCCTCTCCGCTGCACATCGTTCACCAAGGGTGAGGATGGCAAGGTCAATGAAATCCGTGCCGAGTACGGTGCCGATGTTCCTGCAGGCAAGGCGCGTATCCACTGGATCGGTGAATCGGCAGCCCACAAGTCGCCGGTCAAGGCCGAGGCACGCATCTTCAACTCACTCTTCAAGAACCCTCGTCCCAACGAGCTCGACTGGAAAACCGGTGGCTACTACGACAATGTCAACCCCGACAGCGAGATTGTGTACAAGAACGCCATGATCGAAGCTGGCTTCTCCGACATTCAGCAGCGCGCACCCTGGCCCAAGGAGGAGGGTGAAGCCAAGGGCAACACAGGTCCCGAGGCCGTCCGCTTCCAGGGCTTGCGCACTGCCTACTTCTGTGTCGACAAGGACAGCTCGGCTGACAACATCATCCTGAATCGCATTGTCAGCTTGAAGGAGGATACCAGCAAGAAGTAAGCAGGATCACATCATTTTGGGCTAGTTCAGCAAAGCATAAGGATGGCGTATGGGAGACTTGAGTTACGAGAATCACGACGGGGTGGCTGGTCAACAAAGCAAGGTATCTTTAGAGCTAGCCAGATACCCAATCTTTCTTTTTTGCTCTTGCATACGATCTACAATGCGTGGAAACCACTGTGGCATGATAACCTTGTGATTTGGGACGGCGCTAAAAGACAAAATGCTCATTTAACAGGACAAAGGCTCGCAATAGCCTTGACTGCATGTATGTGGCTATGTGATCAAGCGGGGCTACCTCTGTTTCTCTCACCACCAGTCTCGGTCCTGAGCTCCTCTTTGCTCTTGGAAGCCTGGGCAGAGTTCTTGACAAATGGCATCTGGAAGATATCACTCATGGCGCCTTGGAGACCCTCCCACATGCCGAATGGTCTGGGAGTGCTCCAGTAAAGTGCACCAACCCAGGGCTGCACATTGTACTTCAACTGCAGTGTACAGTTTTCGGCTCCACCAATCTTGGACCAGGGAGTAGTGATTTGGTACTTTGGCTTTTGATTGGAGAGTTTCAGAATGCCAGGAGCGGCGCCTTCAGGATATGCCTTGTAGCCCGCTTCTGCAGTATTCTGGCGGCGGCTGGGCTGCTTGCGAGACTTTTGAGGGTGGATGTATGTGTTTTCGTGCCAGGGTTCCGAGGGGGCTGGGATGATGGCGTCCCAGATGATTGCTTCCGAAGGAGGAGAGAGGGGAGACTTCGAAGGGAAGGTAGCAGCCACATAGACAAAGACTTGCTTGGTGTTCCAGGAGAAGAGAGAGGTGAGATCTGTAAGAAGAAAGAGCCATGGTCAGAAATGTCGCATGTTGGACAGGTATACCACCGGGTCAACGTACCAGTCTCTAGGTCAAATTTGATGTGTGCGTATTCCTCCTTCTTGGTACTGTAGTAGTGAGGGCGACCCTTGACTCTGAGCGCTTGTCAGATGATGTTATATAACACATGAGCAAAGAGTTGCTTACACCTGAACGTTGCGCAGCTCGAGCTCTGCCGTCGGGTTTTGGTGCGACACGACAACGCTCAATGCGATCAGCATGCCCAAGCTGAAGGCCACAGTTGTGAAGAAGCCGAATACATTCTGTATCCGCACGAGCGAGGAGTGCATTTTGGCTCTATTGTTTGTATTGCAAGAAGAGTTTGAGCTTGAAGCCAACATCTACTTTATCGTGGCATTCAGTCATTCACTTAGGTGGCCGTCCCTGAATCTGGGGAAGTTATGCAGGAGGTTATGCTCAAGAACAACGCCGTGCTTTGGTGTGCTACAAAGTTGATCTTCAATTATTGAATTTACATCCTTTCTCATCTCATGCTCGCTGATTGCTAAGCCTGCGCATCGGCGGTTTTGATTCTCTTGAGCTCTCTTTCGTCGCCCGCCGGCCCTTCAAGTTTGCGCTTCTCTGCACTCTCCTTGTCCTTCTTTCTTGCTTCACGCTCTTTCTCCTTGCGCAGCGCCTTGCTTTCAAATTCGTGCCAGTCACCTTGCAGGTTCTCAAGCTCGACAACTTTGTCTGCTTTGGGCTCTTCCGTCGTGAAGTAAGGATGTTCCAGAACATCACTGGCAGTGGGCCTCGTATCTGGGTCGAAGACGAGCATGGCACTCAGTAGGTCAAACGCTGCTGGAGATACGCGCTCTTGATACTTGTCGGCGAAAGTAGAAGGCACCTTATGCATTGGTCGCAAGAGCTCGTACCAAGCCAAGTCTACAATGCCTGGCCAGTTTGATCGCGAGGGCGTGCCGAGGACATTGTAAATCTTGTCAAGTTGATTGATCTCACCACCGTCTCCTGGGAAGATGGCATGCTTTGTGAAGATCTCTACTAGGACGCAAGCTGCCGACCAGATGTCAACCGCAGGACCATATTGTGTCTCACCCAGCAACAACTCAGGAGAGCGGTACCAGATAGTGATGACCCTGTTGGTATAATCTTGCTTCCGTTTTGCGTTCTTGTTGTAGAAACGCGCAAGACCAAAGTCAGCCAACTTCAATTCACCATGGCGAGACACGAGAATGTTGGCTGCTTTGATATCTCGGTGAAGCACGCCGCGCTTATGAAGATAGTCGAGACTCTCGAACAACTGTTTTGCAAGGTCTTTCTTGTGTCCTTCAGTGAGTACGAATGACGGATGATTCAACAGTCCTGTCAGATCGTGAGAGAGATACTCGAAGATCATGAAGCAGTCGTTACGCTCCACCATGACTTCTTGCAGCCTTACCACATTGGTATGGTTCAGTGATTGCAGAAGTTTGATCTCGCGGATCGCAGTTACCGGGAAGCCATCGCGTTCTCCTTCCATTCTTATTTTCTTGAGAGCGACTTTGTCGCCAGTGTAGACGTGCACGGCCTTGTACACCTTGCCGTATGTACCAGATCCGACCACAGATTCGTTGCCAGTCTTGCGGTAATATACCGAGTCCGAGCCAGTATATTCTGCCGTCAATTTGGGTTTGGCTATTAGTCGGCTACGTTGGATCATCTGCTTCCTCGTGCGAGGGGCAGTGAGAGGTGCTGGTTTGTGAGGCGCAGAAGGATCTGCCCTTCCAGCCATCCCTTTGATGGAGAAGCTGATGCCCGACTTCCGCTTCTCGCTTTCATCCTCAGCACGTAGATCTTTGGGCGGTCTGAAGGGATTGTCGTCATCGTCGACAGACCCGGTCGCCGAGCCAGGTGCGAGAGGAGTCTCTGTGCCAGATATCGAATTTTCACGCTTGGACGCCGTTCTCCCCCCTCTATTACCGTTTGAGGGGGTCCATGAAAGATTGGAAAAGTGGCCACCACGACCCCCTCTACTAGCAGAAGGCGCGGGTCCTGAAGCTGGTGCTGTAGGCCGATGTGGGTTGTTATATCCCCTGGAAGGAGCCCCGCGGTATGAGGGTTGAGGCGGGTATGCAGACATTTGTGGCGGGGCTGGGTAATGCGGCGGCGGTTGTTGTGCCTGATAGTATGGACTTGCGCCAGGGGCCGGGTAGTTCTGTTGATAGTAAGGCGAGGCGGCAGCTGAATAGGCAGCGTGTACAGGAGACCTGTCCATAATTTAGCGTTGATCGAGCAGATTGGAGGATGAGCACTTACCCTTGATAGCTAGCATACGCCTGTTGTTGGGGATATGGACGGCCATACGGTGACTGAGCGTGTGGTGGAGAAGGACCCGGAGGCGGATATTGCGGCGACTGTGAGTAGCGTGGGTCTGCGTAAGCGCGAGGAGGTATAGGCTGTCGGGGGGGACCACCCCTGCCGTACATGGCGTCCGGCTCGCGTTCTTCGCGATAGCGTTCTCTTCTATCGTGGTATTCGCGGCGACCTCCTCTGTCGTAGTCACGGCTACGTCTATAGTCTCTGTCGTAGTCCCTTGCGTAACCTCTGTCCTCTTCCCTCTCACGGTAGCGAGGTGGGTCCTGCCTGTAGGGTCGACGAGTTTCTGGTTGAGGCGACCTCGATGAGCGACGCGAATGCACAGACGGACCACGACGTGTGCTAGACTTTGCTTCTTCGGGGCGTGCGGTAGTTGCCAGCTGCGATATGAGGTCGTCGGAAGGAGAATCGGATCGTCTGACGTCTCGAGGGGGTGAGCGTGCAGAAGGTTTGCTGTAACGAGATGCAAAATTGTTATCCGAACGGCCACGAGACGGGCGGTCCGATGGTCGATAGTCTCTGTTTGGAGGTGGCGAGTAGCGACGACGGTCGTTATAGCGCTCCCTGTCGGAAGGATATCTGTGTTGCCGCGAGTTGTAGCGAGATTCGACCGAACGAGAACGTCGCCTTGGGGGGTACGGATCAGGCGACAATGGCCTACGAGCTGGTGGGGGTCGATCCGCGTACGGACGTTGAGCGTATGACTGTGGAGGTCGAGGAGAGTAGTCCCTCGGTGGGCGTTTGGCGTATCTAGAGCTGGTGGATGGAGCTGGCGAAGGACTTGGACGTCGGGTGGAGTTCAACGACGACACAGCAGCTTCGTCGGCTGGTGGAAGCGATGGCCGAGGACGAGCGGTGTCGTTGTGACGATGCTGGTGATGATGGTGATGGTGGTAATGGGCAGGTCGTTCGTGGTTAGGGTCTCGGGCCCTGGGTGCAGAGGTTGAGCGCGGACGGTGGTGATGCGATGTGGAAGGATATGCGGCGCGCCCTCGACCAGCAGCTGCAGCGGGCGATGGCGATATGTTGCTATCACGCTCTCTGCTCCTGCTTGGAAATTCACGTCCACTTCGGCCGTGCTGTGTTTCGTTGCCTGCCATGTGGAAGGGGACATAAATTCAAGTCCGACAACGAACGCGGCCACCGAGACAGCCTTGAAGCCCACGCGCCAGTGACACGGCAATGGCAGTAATCCTCTTTGGACTCAGATACGACAAACCAACGACGGCGGTAGTAGCATTTGTGTAAGCAACGCAGCGCAGAAGGGGGAAGAGGCGTGGAAAAGATGGAGTGGTCGAGTTCCCTCACCTGTCAATTGCTCAGCGAGCAACTCTTGCTTGAGACGCGCCCTCTTTGCCCAACACGCCCCGAGCGAGATCCATGGGCGTTTCCCCGCCGCTTGCGCCTACCCGAAGCTTAAGCGGCCTCACCAAGTGCCTCCTTCTATCGAGTCCTTCTACCGAGTGAAAGAACAGACGTTAGTGTTCCTTTGGCCATGACTCTAACATGGGTGAGCCATCTATGTGTTCTTGTGCTCCTTTTGTGGCCCGCCCTCCTCGGCTTGTGATGGTTGAGACCCATCGTCTAAAATTCACTTGCAATGCACCCACGTCCGGCTGCCAGCTGCTCTAAAACCCTTCTCTTACCAATATTGTGATGTGCCAACACGTTTCGATCTCCTTCGGCCAAATCATCAGTATTTGTATGCAGCAACGGCGAGTCGGGAGAATTCACAGGCTTTGTGCGGGCGACCAGACTTCGGGCATGCAAATATTTTGCTTCGGTGGCTCGATCACTTTAGACGAACATGGCCAGTACGTCCTGTTTCGGGATGTGCCCTTGAGTTCGTGTTGCCAATACACACCAGGTGTTTGAGGACTCCTCAAATGGCACGCTGGGAATTGCTCTAAAAGCTCCATCCCCATAACGCGGATTATAGTTAGTAAATGATAGTAACCGAAGCCTCTGGCGCTTCTGCCACATTTTCAACTGCAAGGAAGACGGTATAGTTGTGCGCGAATAGATTGTCTTGCCGAGCAAAGTGTACAAGCGCTGATCAGAAGGCGAATTCCGAGTCGGATCACGAAGAAAGGAAGCGTTAGCAGAGGAAACATAACATGTCGATGAGAGGACAAGACCAGAAGTCTCGTTGAGTGTCTTCGGGTGCTGAGACGTGATCAAGAGTTAGTTGTGGTCGAGCAGCGCATGATCTAACTAGGTAGGTGGATGGGTGTAGCCACACTGCAGTGAGACGCGCAGAGGACACGCGTCGTCCCAAGCAAGAATTCAGACAGACAGAGTGAACGAGAGAACACGACCAAAGGGACGGCGCTGGTTAGTAAGGGCGGGCAGTGAGTGCGAGGAGGTGGTGAACAGACAGGCTGGCGTTGGAACTTGGAAGCATGGCCGCGTTAGGAGGTGGAATGCAGTGCCCGCAGTGTGCACGTGCACGTGCCAGAGAGCCCCTAGCTCCAGGGACCAGGGCTTCGTCGGGAAGGCGTGACTCAAAGAGAAAAAGTTTGGCGAGATGGCGATTGGCGGGGCTCCAAGAGACGAGCGAGGACGGAGGCTGCATGGAGAATACTAATGGCCTCTGCCTCTCAAGTCAAAGTCATGTCTCTGCAAAGCTAGACAGACCGTAATGGACTTTCTCTTCTACCACATACAAGCTTCACACTCAAACTACTTCATCTAGGACGTGGACAATTCCCCAAGCACTCTAATTGCTGAACATTTCCCACTAGTAGCCGGACGCACCAGTATCAGAAGCTTGACAAGCAGACCACTTGACAGCTTCAACCATGGATCAACAACCAAATTCACCCATCAGGCCCAAACATCTGCCATCGCACATGATCAACGGATCGTCTCCCCTGGTCACGCAAGAAAACCGGGACGCGCGTGAGCGAGAGAGCGCCTACAAGTCCATCAAGTCCTCAATGGGTCCCAAGAAAGAACCCGTGGATCTTGAGGGCAACTACTTTCAGCCTCATACCAGCGCCCAACCCCGCGACAAGCGTCCCTCGAGGCTGACCAACCTCGACGAGGTAGAGGCCAGAGATCCGCGTGACGACTGGTCTTCTCAGCAAACCAGCAGGGCTAGCAGTCCCTACACCCTTGCGCCCACCATTGACTTTGATGGTCTCAGCTGGCCCAGTACGCTTAGTCGACTCCATTCAGCAATCAGCTCTCTAACCATCTCCTAGGCACCGGTACCCGTGAGAGACTCGAGTCGACCCCCGAACAAGCCGCAGCCCGCCAGGAGAAGCTGGCCGGCGCAGTCCGCACTCTGCTAGAGTGTATTGGAGAGGACCCCGAAAGAGAGGGTCTCCATGGTACTCCCGAGCGTTACGCAAAGGCCATGATGTACTTTACCAAGGGCTACGAGGAGAATCTAAGGGATATCGTTAACGGCGCCGTGTTCCACGAAGACCATGACGAGCTCGTCATTGTCAAAGACATTGAAGTCTTCAGCCTTTGCGAGCATCATTTGGTCCCCTTTACCGGAAAGGTATGCACGAAACCATCCACGCATCATGGGCGCTTACTGACTGTGGACAGATGCACATTGGCTATATTCCCAACGGCCGTGTGCTTGGTCTCTCCAAGCTTGCACGAATCGCCGAGATGTTCTCTCGCCGCCTACAGGTCCAGGAGCGCCTGACCAAACAAGTCGCACTCGCTCTGTCCGAGGTCCTCCAGCCTCAGGGCGTCGCTGTTGTCATGGAATCCAGCCACTTGTGCATGGTCATGCGTGGTGTTCAGAAGACCAGTGCTACAACAACTACTAGCTGCATGCTTGGTCGAATGAGGTCGACTGCTAAGACGAGAGAAGAGTTCCTGAACCTGCTCAACAGAAGATAGAAGTCAGAAAAACAATCAAGGTTGATGATGCATGGACACAGGCGTTAGTTTAGGAGCGATATGGGACTTAGATGAAGGATGAATGGCCACTCAACAGCCAGATTACGGGATGATACCACACTCAACGATCGTAAGTAAATGAACTAATTTTTGCCAACTTTTTTCTTTTCAGCTTGTATCAACGCACGAAAAAGTTCCCTATTATTGATTTGGGACTGAGGTTTTGTTGTGACTCCATGTTCGATGAGCATAACCTGGTTGTTGTGATCACTCAACTCCACTGGCCACGAATAAGTGAAACGCGAATCGCTCTTCACAGGCGTCTGTTATTGCGATCGCATCACTGCGACAACAGCTACTTCTGGCGGACGTAAACACAAGTTTCCTGCTATTGTCAACCTGCAGCCTCACTCTCATTTGCTCAGTGCATCTCTCTTTTACCTGTCATTTAACTTGCGCACAAGCTCAAGAACTGATCACCATCATCAAACTGCATTATCATGGCACACGCCAGCGACACATCTCGAAAGCGTCGTCCCAGCGACTCTCCCAACATATCCGCACGAGACGGTGATCTCGCCCCGTCTCTATCCTACAAGAGGCGTTTCATACTCGACGGCGAGCTCCAGCAAACCACGACCAGCGAAGACCAACCCACGAGCAAGCAGGAACTTCCCAATCCCCTTGATGTGCTTGCCCAGGCTGCCTCGCTGGCCCAGCCTCTGCCTACGAAGTCCCGCAAGCGTATTATCTTGAATCCGCCATCGCCATCTCCTGGAGTCAAGGAATTCAATCTTCTGTCTGGGCTTCTCTCACACGTAGACATATTGCTCCAGGTTACGAGCTACCTTCCGCCTCAGACTCTGCTCAACCTTTACAGCGTTTCCGCACCCTTCCACTATGTCATGAACAGCCACTTCACTGCATTCATCAAGGCTGCCACTTCCACATGGGCTCCCGATGCCGACAGGTACTTCCCCTGGTGGTGCTATCGTCAGCTTTGTATCGAAGATCCTGCTTTGCGTCGCTCCAGGCCTGATCGCAGAAGCGTGAGCTGGGATGATTTCACCCCAAAGCCCTCTCCCGAACCTGCCTCTGATGGATCTGATGCGCACGTCTCGAACATCTCTGGAAGTCCAAGAAGTATCAAGTCAGAAAGTCCTGCCGAGATCAAAGCGAGAGTTACCAAGCTGGTCAAACAACGCCAAACGGCCGCTGCGCCAGTGCCAGGCTTACGCTGGCTGAAAATGGCGGCGTACCGTGAGTCGGTGTGTCGAGAAATTGTTGGCTGGTTGGCAACCCACGGTCATCGGATTCCACGCTGTGAAGGTGTCGACGCTCTCAAGGTAAGTTGTGTCTTCTTGCTGATTTACGCCACGTCGTATACTGATCTGTTGAACAGAAAATGTGGTTCCTGCTCGACATCCCTGTCAACGGTCCTCGTATAGCCTTGATTCACAACACGAAATTCTTCACCCGAGGAACGCTTGCCGTCTTGCAGCTATTCTTCATCAAGCTCGATATGCTATACGTCGATCCTGTGCATTATTACGGTGGGGAAGCATCCATGCGCGAAATGCTACTCGCAGAACGTAGTCTTACCACGCTCTGGAACTTCCTGCGCGGCGCAGATGGCACTACGAGACTGGACACTTTGCGCCTCTGGATCAGACATCGCTACAAGAGACCTCGAGTTGTCCGACCAATGACTCTCGAGGCACACGAGCAGCATGAGGCGAAGATAGAGATGCCAATCATGGGCGTTCCACCAGAGCTTGTTGGTCGCTGGGGCTACGAGTGTTGGGGGCTTGGACAAGTCAAGCTCATGCGTCCTGATCAGTTGGTACTGAAGGAGGCAGTCAGACGTCGCTACGGTCTTCAACGAATGTTCATGTCTTACATCTCGTACGGATATCTCGATGCAGATCTGCATCCGCTACCAACCGTCGTCAAGCCAGAGGACGTTGTCCTGAGCATGATTCGCAGAAAGAAGAACAAAGAGTTGAAGTCAAAGGAAGAGGATAAGACGGACACTAGTCAGAGGAGTGAAGACGGCAGTGCTGATCGTGGAGAAGCGCCTGTACCATTGGTAGACAGACTTGGAGTCCTGCTTACACAGAGACACGGCTGAGCTGTTTGTTGGATTGATGTAGGGACGGCCTCCAGACATCCACCACTTCATGAGTATTGCTTTGTTACTCCCGTGTACCTGGCACAAATTGAGAAGAACTTGACTGAAAGTGCTCCGTACGTTGAGAACTTCCAAAATATGGTGATGAGTGATGTCACCTCCCCGTGTGATTCATGATGATCAGAGCAGAGCGACAACGAGCTGAAGCAATGCATAGTTATATTTCGTATCGGATGATCTAATATAGGTAGTCGTTGACAAGATGTATTTCGGTGCGCTCGCTCCAGATCCGAAAGGGTCTTTGCCTTGAGAACAGCTACAAGTGTGCCAGTGCTTCATACACGAGGAGGCAGTATACTGGTGCTGCCTTCATCTGACCCAACGAGACGAATCCTGGTATTCATGATACGTCGGACGCTTGGAGGACCGTAAAGGACCTCCTTCAGGGAGCAACATCTACCGATGGGTCTATCTCATGGTTGGGTGGCTCCGAAGTGGGCAGAATAATTCATCTTATTTGAGGCCTATGTATTGTCAACATCGCAATCTTGACAGATGACCGGTGCCACGACTGTAGCCTGATATTCGAAAGAGTTGTGCGCCAGAGGAAGAGAGTGAGGAAGCCGTGGAGGAATAAGAAGAAGAAACTAGACTTGGAATTTGCAGCATAACTTTGTAATTTGGCATCACCATTCTGGGTATCTCGGTGGCCTCCTTCGAACTCGAGCATTAAAGTAATTCAAACATAGTGCAAATAAACGCCCTGATCGGACCGAGCAGTGTTGTGTTGGACTTAGCACATATCAAGTTCCGTCATGTGTTATACCTATACTCAAGGCTGACTGTCCGTTGCAGTACTTTCCTAGAGCCCAAGGCCGGGTATGGAGGGAAAGTGTCGACACGAATTCTCTCGTCAATCGTGTAAGATAGGCGGCCCACCGCGTACGGCTCTAGGAGTCTCGACGCACCGAGGCACTCATTTCTTCTGCTTCTTCTTGGGTGGCTCCTCGTTGGAAGGCTTGGACTTGGCCTTACCGTTTCCAACAAGCGCTCTCAGGTCAATTGGCTCATCATCGTCACCTTCATCTGACATATCTTCGAAGTCCATCTCGGACATGTCTTCCATCTCCTGGGCTTGGGCTAGAAGAGGATTAGCGGCTTGACAACTGGGGCGATATGTTGGCTCATACTGAAGTATTTGATGGCATTAGGCCAAACGTCCTCGGCAATGAGCTGAGCGAGCTCATCGCCCTCTGGATGAACCTCGTCGTCACCGGAGATGTCGAGGTCATCCTCATCTTCTTCAGGCTCGGGGCTCTCTATTCTCTCGCCCTGGGCCCTCTTGTCCTGACGCTCCTTGTACTCCTTGTTGGCTTGCGCCGACTCTTCGGCAGAAACGTAGCGAGTAGCAGAGACGAAGCCGAACCAAGTGAAAAAGGAAGTGTTGTCGGCGTTCCACTGCTCAATCATGTCGACGAGCTTCTTGTGTGCAGCGAAGTCTTTGAGCTTCATGTTGCCGGCCTTTTTGCGAGCTTCGAAGACAGCAAAGGCGGCATCAGTGAGACCCTCGGTGGGATCCTTACCCTCCTTCCAGTCGATCTTGACAGGCTCGGAGACCAAGCCAGACCAGCCATCGTTGGATCTTCTGTACCAGAATTTCTTCTCGAGGACAGAGTCGGTGAAGTAGTCGTTGCTGTCGAACTCGAAGCGGATAGCGATGCTTCGCGGATCACCGGTCTCGGCCTCAATCTTCTCGGGACCCATCGGGACCTCAAAGCGCTTCACTTCCAGACTCTTGAGTTTAGCAAAGATGTTGGCATCGTTGGGGGTAATGTAGCGGTCGACATCGGGAGGGGATTGCTCAAAGACGAGTGGCCAGAAGTTCTCGATCTTGGATACAATATCTTGACGCTTCGCATAGAGAGGGGCGCTGCGGACATACTGCTTGGCCACTGGGAGTATGTTAGTCCTCAGTCCGGCGACGCGCGCGCAAGAAGTGCCTACGGATTTCGCGATCAACCTCGTCGAATTGGGTCTCGAGGAGAGCAAGGTCCTCGTAGTAGACTGGCATTTGTTCCTCGGCCATTGTGTTGTATGTATATGCGATCGTAGGAGACTTAAGAAAACAAGAAAGCAGAGCTTGAATTGAGGTTAGGAAAGGAGGATGAAATTTTGACGAGGCTCAGCCAGCACCCTGCGAGCTCCACACAGACGTCACTTTTCAGGGTCCAGCCTTTGCATTTTGCGGAGAACCGTTCAAGAAATAGTACGAGGCTACGATCAGCAGGGCCGACTCGACCTTTCCTGCATCACACAACTCACCTGATGTCGCGGCACCACATCGTGACAAGTGAGCTGCCTACCGAAAATCACATCTGATCCCATCCGATGTTGATCAGTACATACCGTTTGTGTATATAGAATAGTAGCCATTCGTCTTTCCAAAGATGCTTGACCACACTTCCAAAATGAGGGCCACTCAGCCCTTGCTATGCCGCGCTCTTTCCTCGATACGACCCATGACTCGAACAACATGGATGGCAAACCGAAGAACCATATCCATAGTTCCACCTCCGTGGCGCCCTGCCTCTGTCTTGGACAAGTAAGACACTCGTGACCAAAATTCTCCTTCATTGCTAACAATACTCGTAGGTGGGTCGAACGAGAAGCAAGGCCTATTAGTCTACGCCAGCTTACTTTCTTTGGCCGACTACTGACCGATATTCGTCTGCTCGGATCCGCAAATTATGTTAGACTTGAATTGCCTACTAGGTAGTCCTATCCCTACAATACACATTCCTTCTTGAAGCCACTAACGCATAGGCAGGATTGCACACAGGCTGCGAGACATGCAGACGCTACCGTACGCCGCTCTAGTCAACCCTCACATCAGTCATGTCTACGAACTATATTACTCGGCCTTTGAGAAATTACGAAAAGTTCCCGAGATCAAGACTCTAGAGGATAACGATGCGTTTTGCGACATCGTTCGCGAGCAGCTAAGAGAACATCTAAGCGTTATCCCTCGACTTGCCATGGGAGTACTGGAGATCTCCGAAGCTATACCAAGCGATCAATGCGACAAACTGGTCAACTCCCTCTTGAGATCGCGGATCAGTCGACGAGTCATCGCCGAGCAGCACTGTGCTCTGACAAAAGCATTCCTTTCACCGGACCATCTTCCACCCGCAGCGAAACTTCACCCGGAACACGGTGATGAGTTCGTTGGCGAGATATTCCTCCGCTGCAATGCAAAAGAGATCGTCCAGGAGTGCGCAGAGACGATAGGCAACCTTGCCAAACAGGCATACGGCCCCGACGTAGCGTTGCCAGAGGTGATCATCCAAGGCGCAGAAGACATTTTTTTCCCTTACATTCCCAGCCATCTGGAGTACATAATCGGCGAGCTCCTGCGAAACTCTTTCCAGGCGACAGTGAACCGACATGGCTCGGATCCTCCCCCAATCGAAGTCTTGATTTGCGAGGCTGCACAGCATGTCATCATTCGAGTATCAGACCAAGGAGGTGGTATTGACCATGATAGTCTTTCCAACCTATGGTCTTTTAGCAAAGGACCAGAACGTAACAGAAGACTTAGGAACCTGGAGCAAGTCCCCAAGCTAGCAGCAACACTTCAGGATTTGAAAGTCCCGGAATTAGGATCAGCCAAAAAGCACGACCAAAAGCAGACACGCTTCGACCACTCTTTGGGATCGTTGTCCGGTAGACATCCTGACCTTCGTTTGGGGATCGGGCTTCCGATGAGTCGAATCTTTGCTGAGTACTGGGCTGGAAGTCTTGAAGTCCACAATTTAGAAGGCTATGGAGTGGATGCCTTCCTTCAAATCAGCAAGCTCGGCAATAAGAACGAGACATTGAGCACCAGAACCAGCATGGACGCGTTGTAGCTATCTCGGTTGATTCAAATCACATAGCAGGCGCTCACTGCACCCACTAAGCAATCCAGAGGCGGACAATCGGTTGCGATATTCGACACGGATGTGGGACTTTATGTAGGCTGGTATTTCCTCCGAGCACAAATAACGCATCGGTATTGTACCGCTTCGCGAACCCTAAACTCGGTGTCTGGCGGCGACGATAGTCTGGCAGGTTGGGCCTTGATTGTCTATCAGTTTGACCGAGAAAAGACTCCCAAAGTCCTCTCACCGCTTCGTGTTGGGTCCAGAACACCAACCGAGTGCCTGAAAGGCCGAGCAAGATCAAAAAACTCCCTATGCCGCCAACTCACAATAACACGAGACGACGCCGCAGCAAGCTAATGACATAATTATGGTTGTAAACTCCGAGACCATCTTCTGCGGTAGCGAAATACTCGAAGCTGATGGCTTCCGACCAGATGCTAGAAGGTAGACACGAGTAACGAAAAGGCTCTTCTAAGTATAATGTGCATCCTTGTAGCTAAGCTCTATAAAAACTTCGTAGTCTGTTAACGTCTAGGCTAAGGAAGTGAAACATCTCAACATGTCGGTAGAAAGAAACAATGGAAGTTGCTGCACTCTCGAGCAGCTCTCGATGGTATCATTCGCGTGAAACAAAAGGTTCCCGGTTCTCTGCCAGCACAGCTTGACAGGAGGTGATCAATGACGCCCAAAGCATCTAAGCGAGAGCAACTAAGGCGGCAGCGACGACAAGAATACCGGTTGCACCTCCCAGGTTGCGCGAAGCAGCGCCAGTGTAGGTTGAAGAAGGGTTGGCAGCTGTTGAAGAGCCAGTAGCGCCAGCGACTCCGGAGGACTGGGCAACGCCAGACTCACCAGCGACACCCGAAGGCTGAGCATATCCAACCACGCCAGTAGCCGAGGAAACGGGGTAAGGAGCAGAGGAGCCATAGGCGGCACCAGGGACGATAGGGGTAGCGGTTCCGACCGAGGCGACAGGAATGGAGCTTGATGCTACTGCAATAGGGATATTGGATGCCTCCTCAGGCGACACTGGGCTTGAGACAGGAATTGATGAGATGGAAGCGCCGGTGGCCACGGAGGAAGTCGAGAGCACCACAGCTGATGAGAGGGGTGCGGACGCGTATGAGCCGGTAGTAGGGACCAAGGTGGATGCAGACGATACAGGGGCAGCTCCAGATGGGGAAGCAACGGGAAGAGTCATCATGGTGGCAGCAGTGAGGACGGTGGTACCGCTTGCGTGAGTGATGGTGGCTCCAGCAGGGCACTGATAGGACAGATCAGCGTCCGTCCGAGTGAGATGTCACGATCTTTCATGCTTACCCAAGTAGTAGTCTGCTCGACAACGCTGGTGACATACACAACGCCCTGGGGAGCAGCAGCTGCGCCGGCAGCAAGTGCGAGAGCAATAGTGGCAGTGGTGTAACGCATGATGATGTGATGATTGTTAATGGTAAGCGAGTGGTCAGTATACGAAAGAATTTGGGTATGGAAATGTGTGAGCGTTTGAAAAAGAATGTAAGGCGTGTTCGAAAAGTGTGCCTAGGATCTGAACCTTTTGTACTGTAACACGTAGTCGATCGAAATATGTTAGTTTTTTGTCAAATGGTCGAGCTTGGGGTCAGGGTCGATCGAATTGTGGGGCAAGCATGAAACTCAAACAACTTGTTTCATATGCACACTAAAGCAGTCATATCCACGCGTTCATCCTTCACACAGATTGTGCCTTGAAGATCACACTCACTGGGTTTCATTCGAACCTCAGACTCAGCAGTGGCGCATGCAAGACACTTCACCGTGGCAGCGGCGTATCCCGGCTGTCGATGCTCTGCAGCCTGAACCCACCACTACCCCTGATCCGTTGCGATCGACTAGCATGTGATCCGATACCCAGGCTGACTCCAGACAGATATCAATGACTGCGTTCATGATCCAGATGGTTGGTCCTTCGTGTGTTATTTACTGTTTGCCCTTTTACTGACCGGGATGCTTCGATCGCGAAGTAGCGTGATTCAACGTGGCCTACTATCTCTAGAGAAAGCGTTGCTTTTCGTTGGTGACTCGAGAATATGTTGCACATCCTCATCATCGATCCGTCTAACCATACTGTCCGACTCTTGTTGAAGATTGATATGGTAGTCATGGAGGCCTTGTTTCCCTAGCAGTTCTCCAGCTGAGGACGTCATTGCTTTCCTCATCGAAGGTTGTGTCTCTTCTCTTTCTGTCCTCCCAACTGTTCGAGCACTGCTCAACAAGGTTGCTTCGCCACCATTGTCGACGTGTTGCTGTCAAAGGATTGCGACATTGTGTATAAGGAGATCCGATCAATCACATTACCGGGACCTCTCCCACGTGTATCGTACGAGTACCGATCGGTGGAGGACGCGACGAGTTGAACACAGTATGTGAGGTGCAGGAATGGTGAAGTAGCATAGGACGTCGCAGGCAGGTGGTGTTGCCAAGAGGCGGCTGCCACTTCTGAATCAAGCGAGGCGTAACTTATCATCGCTTTTTCCGCATACCTCGCACATGCATATCATGCCGCTTGTACATTGAGTGCATCGACTCTGGTTCTAATCCTCGGGCAAGTCGAATCGCATGTAAGTCGCAACAATCACTATTCGTCTCTAACTCCGTTTGGCTGCTGAGGGATGGCTCGAGCTGCTGTTTCCAACGTTCAAAACTCCATCGACGGAGGCAGGTGCTTGTTATCCGATCACAGAGGCTTATCTGCACATGTTGTATGATTCTCGCCGAACAAGAATCAGGAGAGTACCCTTGTTATCAGGCGAGAATCAATCACTTCCGACTTGGCCTATCGAGCAAGCATTGCTTGGACTGAGTTCATGATCGACCCCCGATGCCTTCCAATGCCTTCAATGGTTGGGTCCAGCCAAACATGAACATTGCGGGCTGAATGCGTCGCCTTTTGTGATTGCTTATCGCAATGCCGACATCCCAGCGATGGCACACATCATGAACGCGATCATCTTTCTGTCAGTCGTCTCGACAGGCAGTATCTCATGCTATGCAGGAGCACGGACACTCATGCGCTTGGCTCATCTTGGTATGGCACCTAAGCAATTCGCCAAAGCAGACAAGAGTGGGCGTCCGTGGTACGGCATAGTACCCACGCTGATTATAGGCGGCGGCCTGGCATATCTCAACGTCAACAATTATGGTGCTCAGGTCTTCACCTGGTTCTCGAACCTGACTTCTCTGTTCACTCTGTTCTGCTGGGGTTCGATCTGTCTGTCTCACATTCGATTCCGACTTGCTTGGAAGGCACAAGGTCGATTGATAGACGATCTGCTCTGGAAGTCCTGGACATATCCTTACGCTGCTTGGTGGGCTCTGGCTAGGTGCATCATCCTTCTTGTTGTCGAGTTCTACCCTTCAGTCTGGCCTCTTGGTGAGCCCCCGTCTGCCAGGACGTTCTTCGCGAACTATGCATCTGCTGTGGCTATCGTATTTCTGTATTTAGGAGCACGAGTGTATTATCGCGGTCCTTGGTGGGTCAACATTTCCAAGGTTGATCTCGATCTCGGGCGTAAATTCTACGCTGATTCCCAAGACTTGGAGAAGAAGCACGATGACATGGTTACAAAAGTCGTCAAGGGCATCTTCACATAGACGAAGGCAGGATACATGAGGATGCATAGATAGAAGTTGAATTGTTGAACGCCGGGGAAATGCTTCTATGTAAATTCGCTTTTGAAAAACTGAAAGACACGTTGAAAATTGAGAGGTGCAATGTGCTCAACCCTTTCTTCTCTTGCCACCGCCGCCACCTTCACCATCGTTCCAGCCCTTTCTCTTCTTGCCTTCCCTACGCCAGTACTCTTCTTTCTCCCTCTTCTCTCTCTCGGCTCTCTTCTCGATATTCTCAGCAACCTTGGCACGGTAAGGCTGCTTGCGTTCCTCTTGCTTAGCACGACGCTTAGCGACCTTCTCGTTTCTCAGCGTTTGGACCTGTTGCAATAGTCTTCTAGCCTCCTTCTCGTCCTTGCCAGCGACGACAGCACGTTTCTGCATATAGGTCTCCTTCTTCTGTGGCTTCATCTGTACGATCTGAGACTTGAAAGGCAGCTCCGCGGCTACCTTACGAGGCACACGTAGAGGGTTGAAGTGACGCTCTTGGCGCTCAATGGTACGATAAGCAGAATTTTTGTCCTTTGGAGTAGCAATGTCGAGAGCGTGACGGACTTGGCCAGTCAGACGCATGCCCTGCCAACCCTCGTTGTTTATATCGGCGTCCAGCAAGTTGGTAACCGGGTTGTAATAGCGGTGGGGCTTGACTGGGTACCATGCTCTCAGGAAGACAATGTCTGACATGAGGATCTTGTCTTCGAACGTGGCACGGAAGTTGCCTTCAGGCTTGCTGAGCGCCTTCTTGATCTGACCACGGATACCAGAAACTGTACGTACACTAGCACCTTCGAACTTGGCAATCTCGAGAGAGGTACTAAACATATCCTTGATGAAGGCAGTGTTCTTGAAGATCTTGTATGGGTGGCCGGTCAACTTGAGCTTTTTGACAATCTCAGTCGACTCATCGACGTTCAATACTACACCAGTGGCGGCAATTCGGAATCCAGGGTTTTTGTTCGAGAAAGACTGGACGCAGCAGAAACCGGTGTTGGGCGCAATGAGTGGTCCGTAGAAGGTTCCGAAACAATGCATGTGCTCAGGCGTGTACTTGAGCATACGATTCCTCGTTCTGGAGTCTGAGATGCTGTACATGGGCATGCTCTGAAAACGTCTCCAACCAAGAGAAAAGATGAGAGGATCGTTGGTCTTGAGGATCTTCTTGTGCCATCTATGACGCTTGATTCGGATCTGAACGTAACCAAAGCGGTCCTCGGTAGGTGCTAGACCGCCGATGAGGACAGGGAAACGTGGGTTGAACTTCTCCACAAATTCGCAGGGCACATTCTCCAGAACGATACGAGCGTATGTTCCTGCTTTGTAGCCCTCTACTCGTACACGAGATTGCTCGTCCAAGGCGTCGAATTCTGAGCGGTTGATGTCGAGCTGTTTCTGGATGAGAGCTTTCTGTGCATCATACCAGTCGTCTTCGCCGAACTCATCATCGCCAGTCTCACGCTGAGCATTGCCCTTGTCGTTCGCGAAGCCCTCTTTGTCTTCCTCTTCGAAGCGAAGCTTGAGCTCTTCCTTTCTCCTGGCGTTGCGCTCACGTTCGGCATCCAGGTCCGGTTCTTCTTCGCCATTGCCACCATTGGTCTGAGCCTCGTCTTCGGTGCCGTGTACTTCTCCGGTCTCCAGGTCCTCAAAGGCACCGTCGCCCTCGTCGTCTTCATCTTCGATACCATTGAATTCGGCTTCAGAGTCGTCCTCGTCGCCTCCTCCGTTGAGCATATGACCCGAAGCGAATCTTGAACGGATAGCTTCCAGATTTTCGTCGTCAGTCCATTTAGCCTCTAGCTCGGTTCTGTTATATACTGGAATATGACGGTCGAGTGCGGCGTCGGCTTCTGTGGGCTTCTTCTTTTCGAACAAGTCCTCCTCTTCCTCGTCTCCGACGTCGTCAGTCTCGTCGTCTTCACCACGCCATTGTCGTAGGACTTGAGCTGTGGATAGCATGTCATTGTACAGCAGACGGGCAAGCTCGACAGTACGGTACGGGATCCTGCGTTGATGAAGGGCAGCGGCACGCTCGGTCATATTCTTCTTCCAGCGAAGGTTACCATCTTCGTCTTCGCTGTATTCAGCATCTTCGTCGTAGTCTTCTGGATCGCTTACGTCTTCCGCTTCAGACATGGAACCAAGGTCGGAATCACTATCTGCGAAAGCAATCTCTTCGCCGGCGGCGTCAGGGCTGGCGTCTCTGCGCTTGGGAGCAGGAACAAGCATGTCTTCGTCAGCATCCTCATCAGCGTCGGAGTCACCACTCTGGTACTCTTCCTCCTCTTCGTCGTCGCCGCTTTCAAAGCCCTCGTCCTCTGGACTGGCCTCGTCATCGTCGATTCTTCTTGACAGAACACGAGCAGATTTACGGCCAATGTCGTCGCCAGTCAGCTTCTCGCCGTCACCGAACAGCTGCAGGCCTCCCTCGCTCTGGCCGAGTAGCTTGCGGCCGGCCTGTAACCCAACGACCATTTGTTCTCCAAGTCCTCGCTCTTGTTCATCATCCTCAGGATCAAAGGTCTGACTCTTGATATCAACGTAGACGGCGTCTTTATCCACAAGAACACCACCAACATCAGACATGGGAGCGTAGATGAGCTTTTGTTTTTCTCCTAGCCTTCTTCTGCCCGATTTGCCAGTGGCTTTGGCGATTGCTTGATCCAGGAACGGAGTAGGACACGGGTCAGGCAGGGCCTCGATGTTGGAGACACTGAGATCACCAACACCGGGCACGTGGACTCTTGCTCCATTGGCAGGGAAGTTTGTACCACGGAGGTAACCGTATAAAGCGACGGTTCGATCGCACTTGGGGTCTTCTTCTACCTTGGTAGGTGGGGTAATGTCGAGGAATCGGTCGGCAAGAGCGTAAGGATGGCTGTTGCGCCAGACAAGGGGTCGAGGATTCTTCATGACGGACAAGAAGCGCGAGAGGTTCAGAACCTCGCGGTCGGGGTATCTGCCGTTGACGACACCAGAAAGATAGAACAGCTTGGCTCCGGAGTACAATTCGCTCCAGAAACGGTGCTTGAGACGCTTCTTCTGCGCTTTGAGGGCCTCCTGTTTGCGGAAGAGATCCAGGTGGGTCAGAATACCGAAGACGTTACCGGGCATACCGCTGGAAGACAAGACGTTCAGGAACTCCATTGTCTCCATCTCGAATCCGTAGTTTCCGTCGATCATGAGCAGCACGATGTCGACAACCTTGGCCACATCCATCATGGCAGCCAGCGACTCGGCCGGACACTCCATGAATGTGAGACGCCTCCTCTTGGACGTGACGACAGTGATAGGACCGACGGGCTGGGTGATGGGTTGCTTCGTGTATCTTCGGACGAGGGATTTGATGAGTGTTGTCTTGCCTACGCCAGGAGGACCGACAACGCCGACGACGATGGGAGGGGCTTCTTCGGGCAAGCGATCCACCAAGGGAACGTGCAATCGCTTCTCTTTGACCTATGCTTTGTTAGAGGCATTCGTTGCAGGCAAAGAGTGCTGAGTATACATCATGAGAGCGAGCAGCCTGCCTCTGCAGTTTTCCAGGGCGTGAAAAGGCAAAAGCTTTTGGGTTCCGATCACCAGTATGCGCGGCCTTCTTCTCCTTGGTCGCACGATGCGGCCGGTTTGTCTGAGATTCCGACATATTGTCCGGCGTAACAAGACTATTGACGGCGGCAAAGGTCAGAAAATGTTCACATCCATCTGAACTTTTCGATGGAAGCCCGAGCCGCAGACCCTCGATCGGATCTTGACCCGAATTCTTGGCAGCGAGCCCTTATCTTATCGTGTCCTGGCAACCTCGGCAGCCACCTAGGTATTCTCCCCTCCAACCAAGGATCAGATATGCTTGCACCTTGTTTGTTCATGGTTGAGAGCCAGTGGACTGGTCACAAATGATCGACGAGAATGTGATCGATCTGTGGCTAGTCAAGAGATGTTTGCGTCGATGCTGCCATCAACGGGCGTTCCTCGCCATTGACCGTGCATGTCGAGGCGTCTTCACGTGCGCATTCACGAGTGGTAAACAGAAGGAGCTACGTAATCGCGCAGCCGAGGGGTTGAAGCGGGTTTGGAGGTGAGATTGGCAACTGCTCAGTGCCTCATGCCAGCCTACTTGAGACCCAACACTCAACCTCTGAACATCTTCCCACTCTCGCCTGCCAGACATACTTACTCCACGCAATCAAGTCTTAACCCCGTCCGCACGAACATCTTCAGAATGCCTTCCATCAACGTTGGTCCAACGGCATACACGGCCAAACACAGCACGAGATAGCTGACAAGATTCAGGTCTCCCTCAAGGATGGTGCCGATGCATCTCAGCTTGACTCGTAAGCCTCGTGTCCCTCTGATGCAGCAAGGCTGTACTGACGTCCATCGTAGCGCCAAGAAGCAAGTCACTGAGCAGGGCGGCAAGATCACAACCGAGTTCAAGCTGATCAAGGGCTTCACGTACGCTTACACTCGAGCCAGACTGTTGGTGCATCATGACTGACCGACCTGTGACAGTGCCGAGTTCCCCGAAGACAAGGTCCACACTCTCTCATCCAACGAGCACATCAACGTCGAGAACGACGGCGAGGTCAGAACCCAGTAGAGCGGGCTGAGAAGGACATACAGCGCCTGATGGACGACGAACACGACATAGATATGGGAGGGTTCTTTAGGATACGTTTAGCAATCGAACACAGTTGAAGATCGAGTCGTGCTATCGCTCGGCCACACGGTCGGCCCTTTGAAATGCCATGAGGCCGGAGTCGTGTGATATGGCCTTATACACATGGCCAGCCAGGCGCAGTGGTAGATTTAGAGATGGTGACTCTGACAGAACGACCAAACGTCCAATCATCACCCCATTGATAGAAATATGGCGCACCCAGCATGCCTCCGTGATGTCGGTCGGACCAGTGATCGACACGTGAGATAGCGCTGCGTCATAGGCCTGCGAAAACAGATATAAACACAATGCATGATTGGCGTTTGATTGACCACGATACAACTCGGTCGTCGCAACAATGAATCGTATCAGCGGTCTTCGGAGGTCGCCCTGGCTGCAGCAGGGGAGTTTGAGGTCACTCCATTCGACAACAAGACGTCAAGCAGCCAACAATGGGCTCAAGAAGAAAGAAGTCACAGATGGTGAAGTTGCGCGGCTGGCAGGTAGACCCTTGCATCCTTTGACCTTAGCAGATCTGGCCAAGTCAGTTCAATCGCACGAGAGGCAGCATAGGCAGCTAACGAGCTCTAGGTCCGGACGACCTCCTCTCACAACAGACCAATTGCTCGACTCGGCCAACTTCACCCTTTCCATCCTCCCATCTCGACTTGCCCACCGCATCCAGTCCCTCCGCAACCTGCCGTATATCGTAGTCTCCAATCCGAACGTTTCCAAGATCCACAACAACTACGTCCACTCATTGTCGACCCTCTTGCCATATGCCTCAAAGGAGATCAAGACACTGGAGGAAGAGATACAATTCACAAGTGTTATGGCCGACCTGGTCCAAACACACTCAAACACCATCTCCATCCTTGCACGCGGCTTTCTCGAAGCTCGCAAGTACATCAGCCCCAACGAGGTCACCAAATTCCTGGACGAACATCTTCGAGCTAGGATTGGCACCCGACTGATTGCCGAGCAGCACATTGCTCTGCACTTTTCCTCTCAACCACACCTCGATCTATCAGACCATGGCTCACATGTTGATTCGTCTTACATCGGTGTCATCGATACAAAGTTGAGGCCTGTCGACATCATCAGACACTGTGAAGGCCTGGTTGGAGATATCTGTGAGTACAAATACGGCGTGCGACCTAGCGTCGTTATACGTGGCGAGTCAGAGACAACTCTCGCCCACATACCTATGCATCTAGAGTACATCATCACCGAGCTGTTGAAGAACGCTTTCCGCGCAACTATTGAAAAGGGCAACGAGCGGCATGCCGTCGAAGTGACAATTGCTCCCGCTCCAGAGGATACGGACGGAAAATCAGATGCCATCACCAACCACGATCAAGGGTCAGTGGATGCGGCATCAGGAGCTCAGAAGCCCGCCAATGCCGCATCAGCAAACATTCGCCCACTCGACAAATCCACTCGAGGCGTCACGATCCGTATTCGAGATCGTGGAGGTGGTATCCCACCCGCCGCTTATGCAAAGCTGTGGGAGTTCGGTTTTACCACTTTCAACGAACAGGAGATTGTTGACATCACTAGTGGAGGTACCAACGATGGCGATGGTCTGAATGCTCTCTCAAATGCTGGTGGTACTGAAAACAGCCTGGCGGGTCTGGGCTACGGCCTGAAGCTAGGCAGGGCGTATGCCGAATACTTTGGTGGCGGTATAAGAGTACAGAGCTTGCTTGGCTGGGGTACGGATGTCTATCTCAGCTTGCGTGGCGTTGGGAAGATCGACTAGACTTCCCGGCGATCATGACCCGCGAATCAGTCGGGATGTTTGATCAAGATACCTTGGATGACTCTTCGGATTGCAACAGCGGCAAGGCAGGAGAAAGTCGAGTCAGCAAGCACAACGAATTTGAGCGCAACCCTAGCATGCCATATTCATGCCTCAGCAAACCTGAATGCGAACTGCTTCGCACAATGATGCAGCAAACCTCGAATGGGCAATCAGTCATCTTCACCATCCAGCGCATGACAGCAGACCCTTGAACGTCCTCGTTTGACTGGATCCTCCTCTCGTCTAGATCTGACGATCGTTTCGCAAGCACTATTCTGCTGTCGAATCGAAGGTCTACAATCACATCTGAAAGACGGATTTACAGCGTGCAAGGAACAAGTACAGCAAATGGAAGCCATATGGCTTCTGACTTGTATTTAGCGGCCTCCGCGTTCTGCAGCCTCTTCCCTTTCAGAGTCACCCAATTGAGCATGTAATGAATAGACATGTTGCTTTCCGCGACTGCATCAGCCCTCGACTTTTTTTGGGATCCAGCAACCTGGTTGCATCTCCTGTGCTCGTGCGAGATCGCATTAGTGCGACACATCACTAGTCGTTAGAGTCAAGATGCATGCTCTAGTTCTGGGGCGAACAAGAAGGCTTTTCACTTGAACTCATGACCCAGGTCGTGACTAGCTTCCGCTCTGACAGATGTAATACTGTATTACATGACGGACATAAATGCTCTCTTCCCATTCTCATATTCATCCAGCAATTACCCCAATGTATCTACAATTCATTTGTATCCTTCTACTTATAATCCCTGCCACATCTGCCTTTGTGCAAGGTGATTGTATCAGTTGTGATGCCGCCTTAACGAAACTTTCTTTCCAGTTGTCTCCTGAAGCAGCAATCTCTTGCAGAAATTCTCCACTACAGAAGCAGAACGCAAAGCGGTATTGGGGAAAACAATACGGCAAGAATGCGACAATCGTGGTGTTCCCAGTCACGAAAGAAGATGTCAGTCATGCTGTACAGGCTGCTTCGTTTTCGAGATATGGAGAACGAGATCTTGCCTTCGTTTGCGGTGGTCATGGTCAAACCAACGCCTCAAGCTCCTCGGGTTTCTTGATTGATCTCTCGTGGATGAACTCGACCAAAATTTTACACAATCTCATACTGGAGGATGTTACGATATCCACTGCCATAGCATACCAAGGAGGTGCAATATGGAAGCAAGTCACGGACACCACAAATGGAACAGGCTTTACGGCTGTCGGTGCTCGAGTGGGCAGCGTTGGTGTTGGTGGTTTCTCAACTGGTGGAGGCATAGGATTTCTGGCTGGCGCATACGGATACGCCATTGATCGTCTGAGGGCTCTCGAAGTTGTCTTGATGTCTGGTAAGATTGTACTTGCCACGAAGACCAATAGATACTCGGATCTGTTTTGGGCCATGCAAGGCGGAGGCGGACAATTCGGGATAGTCACTACTTTTTACCAAGAGGCAGTTCCAGAACCGACTTCCTCGCAGTTTGGCGTTTGGATTGTCGCCAGAAAATCATGGGAGCGAGCTCGACAAAACACCGTGGACTTCTTCCGCTCTAATAACGATCCTTACTCGCTCATGTACTACTCGCTCGGCTATTATCCCGAGGACCTTGCAAAAGCGAAGCCGACCACGTTGATGGTGATGGTAGGCATTCAATTCGCAAATCCTGAATGCCACCTCCACAGCCCATATGGTCCGATCCCCAGTCACATCCGTTGTCAGAAGGGCTTCAACGCGACGTTCTCCGGACTGCTCGACGGTCTTATCTTGGAAAACATATCGACATACAACGTGCCGTATGGACAAGCCACTGAGCTTAGTACACTGTTCTTTCCCTATGGCCATAGAAGAGGATTCTGGGGCCCCCAAACCTCGAATGTCACAATGCCGTTTGTGGACGCTGCATCGAAGCAAATGGAGCTTTACATCAATCAGTCGCTGAACAGAGGAGAGTCTCCCGACAGTGCTGTCTGGGTCTTACAATACATGTATCCTGGTCAGAATGGCCATGGTCCTACGTCGGATGAGGCTACTGCATGGCCACATACGCAAACCGCCCACCAAACACTGTTCTCGCCTTCCTGGAGATCTGCCGAGAACGATGCTTTTGTTGTTCGACACAATGATGCGCTGAACCAAATCACGTATGACCATCAGGCATCGATTGGACCTTTCATCGCGGACTATCCGAATTACATCTCACCGAAAGCGGACGGCCATAGGGTATGGGGAGACAATATCGAAAGACTAATCAGAATCAAGGCCAAGTATGACCCAGAATGTCGAATACATCAGGGAAGAGTCTTTGCCTCTGACACATGTATTGAGCGTGGCTGGGCGAATGTCTATCCGTGGAAGAGCTAACAGATCGTGGTCATTGATTCTGGTCAAAACCAGGTATTATGGTCACTCTTCCGTCCGATCATTGATATCCACTCCGTAGCAAGCACGTATTGGCGTGACTAAAGCATGAGATAGCAATAATGACTTACTTGCTTATGATATTGCATGTTTCCGCAGGCACAATGCCTGAACCTTTGTTTCACTGTGACTCTGATCAACACATGACGAACTCTTGATCGAAAGTGCGCCGTGTTATGATTGATCTCTTACTTGCATCATGCTCTGCAATGCATCAACAAGCTATTCATCATGATTGTGGAGATTCTACATCTTACGAAGTGGTGGCGCGCTTCTGCTGATTTGTACATAGACTGTTTTCACAGCCGATGGTTGGCGCGGTATTTCACTTTTCTGCACAATAAGGCTTTTAGCCAATGACAGTCCTTAACAAAGTCGATTAAAGCAGTCCGCAAGACGTACACTAATTGTCGGACGCTGGTTGAGTCTGTATTATTACTCGATGGACAAGCCCGAGCCCGGACCAAAAGTCATCCGTCTTCGGCTGATGGCGGGAGGCTTCAACGGCTCCTGGCTCGGTGGATCAAGGTGCCTTCTTTCGCCCGACACACCTGATTCTGGCGTGCAGTCTTGCCTGCCACTGGATTCCCCTTGCTTCCGGACGATCAAGGTCTATGAGCCGTTCAGCATGTGTGCCTTCTGATTGCGACGCGACAACTTCAACTTCGTTACATGGCTGATTCGCTCAAGATCAGCATTGTGACCAACGACGAAACGGACCAGAGCGCAAGCAGCGGAGATATCGAGCCGGGCAGCTCGCTTTCTCAAACTCCTGTTCAAGCGCTCAGAGACCATCCGCGCGAGCTGCTGTGGTGTCTCTACACAATATTTGTGCTGGTTCTCAGCAGTTTCGACAACCAAGCTGGAGGTGTTGTACTTTCGATTCCTCAATTTCGAAAAGATTTCGGCTCGCCATACAATGGCAATTATGTGCTGTCTGCAGAGTGGCAGTCTGCGTACAGTGGCGCGCCGGTCCTTAGTTCGATTATTGGGCTACTGATATCTGGTTGGCTTGCAGACAGGATCGGTAGAAAACGAATGCTCGCAATTGGCTATGGCATTGTCTTCATATCGATTACCATCGAAACTTTGTCAACTACCAATCTGGTCTTCTTTATTGGCAAGTTTGTCGCAGGCTTCGCTATAGGCGCTTTCACAACTACCGCCCTCACGTACTTGGGAGAGGTGGCTCCGCGTCCTGCGAGAGGCATACTTACCGCGGCGGCTGGTATGGCGTTGACAGTAGGCCCTTTCATCGTATCTATCGTCGTCAAAGGCACGGGTGATCGGTCCAATAGGTGGGCCTATCGGTCTGTTTTCTTGGCTCAATATGGGTTCGGTGCTGTCGGTGCTAGCCTCCTACCTCTCATGCCCGAGTCTCCATGGTGGCTGTTAAGTAAGGGTCGGAACGTGGACGCCGCCCTTGCTCTCTCCCGCTTCGGATATACTGCAGAGCAGGCACAAATTTACGCCGCTGCTGCTAGCACGACACTTGACCGTGCCAGAGAAGAGATGGAAGGCGTCACCTATCTGGAGTGCTTCCAGAAGAGTAATTTACGACGGACCATCATCGCAGCAGCGCCTCTGGCCATCCAAGCCCTCAGCGGGCTCTTCTTTGTATCATCCTACTCGACTTACTATCAGCAACTGGCTGGATATGATACTCCCACGACCTTCAGCCTTGGTATTGTTCAGAATATACTTGCCATGACTGGCAATGCGTGCTCTTGGTTCTTGATCGACCGAGTTGGTCGGAGACCCTTATCGTGCTATGGTATGCTTCTTCTGACTGCCTTACTTCTGATCACTGGAGGGCTTGCTTGTGTCGGGACCAAATCAGCCACAAAGGGAACGGTAGCATTATTGTTGCTATACAATTGGCTCTATTCGATCACCATCGGCGCTACAGCATATCCGATATTGATAGAGACACCGACAAGTCGCTTACGGATCAAGACTGCTGCGATAGGACTGACGTTACAGAACGGGCTATTCGTGAGTCTCGCCTAGATGTCTCCACAAAACTGTCTAACTTTTTCATAGGCGATGTGGGCATTCGTCATCCCATATTTGTTTAACCCGGACCAAGCAAATCTTGGAGCTCGAGTGACCTTTATCTTTGGCGCTTTGGGGGTACTGTCGACCGCGTATCTATGGATATGTCAGCCAGAGACGTCTGGACGTTCATTTGCGGATCTGGACGAAATGTTCATCAAAGGAGTATCTACACGGGGCTTCAAGGCATATGAAACGGAAGCTACCAGTGGCCTTCGCTTGAGAATTCTCACGGTGTACGATGTACCTGTTCCGTAGTCGCCAAGATATACATAATAGGAGAGCTTTCTGTCTGGTGATACTGTACTGAGATCTGACTCGCGATATTTCACTACTAGTCCCAACATGTTGACATGTGAGAGATCGATCCCATAATCCGAGCTGAGAAAGGCGACCCTGATATTCGACACGCCAAGGCCGAGCACGGGGAAACGTGATGCACTTTACGCCCGACGCGTCTTCCGAGTGTCTCGAAGCTCGCCTTGTTCTCTGAGGTATGCCAACATGGCCTCGATCCAGGCCATCGAGCAGACGTCGGTGCATCAAATTCAGTCCGGTCAAGTCATCGTAGACCTCAACTCTGTCGTCAAAGAACTCGTTGAGAATAGTTTGGATGCTGGCTCCACATCAATCGAAGTTCGCTTTCGCAATCATGGCCTCGACGCTATAGAAGTGATCGACAACGGTACTGGTATCGCATCAGAGGACTTTGAGTCTGTCGGTATGTATCGCATCCGCTGAGTCTAGTGATCGCCAGCTCCTGACAGATCCTCATCAGCACTAAAGCATTACACTTCCAAGCTGCGTAGCTACGATGATCTCGAGAGCCTGGGCACTTTCGGCTTTCGAGGCGAAGCACTTGCCTCACTCTGTGCCCTCTCTCAACTCTATATCATCACGGCTCGAGAATCGGACTCACCGAGAGGTACGCGCCTGGAGTTCGAAGTGTCGGGCAAACTCAAAAGCACAAGCACGATCGCTGCACAACGAGGTACTAAGGTCATCGTCGAGAAGATCTTCCACAACCTACCTGTGCGAAAGAAAGAGCTGGAGAAGAACATCAAGCGCGAGTATGGTAAGGTACTCACGCTTTTACAAGCATATGCTTGTATCAGTACTGGTGTGAGGTTCTCCGTCAGCAACCAGATGCCAAAAGGGTAGAAACCTATTCGCTAAACATTGCCGCTGTATACGACTAACCAGATTACAGAGTAAAGACCCCGTCTTTCTCCACAAATGGCAGTGCAGCAACCAAGGATAACATCATCAAGGTCTTTGGCTCCAAAAGCTTGCGAGACCTGGTATCACTCAATCTTCAGCTCGAGATGCAGACTACCACATACGCAGTCTCGACACAGAGTGACATCTCGTCTCACATAGTCAAAGTGGAAGGACACATATCCCGACCAGTGCCGGGAGAAGGCCGTTCGGCCCCAGACCGGCAAATGTTCTACGTCAACTCACGTCCCTGCGGTCTTCCGCAGGTCGCAAAGGCTTTCAACGAGGTGTACAGAATCTTCAATATATCTCAATCGCCTTTCGTCTTTGCAAACCTAGTCATGGACACGAACTCCTACGACGTCAATGTCTCCCCAGATAAGCGGACTATTCTCCTGCATGACCAGGGCATCTTGCTAGAGTCTCTGAAAGAGTCCTTGGTGAACTTGCTTGAATCTGAAGAACAATCCGTACCGCAGATAAGGCCAGCTCTAGCACAGCCGAAACTGCCCGCATACAAACCTCTCGCAGTCGTACGTCAATCGGAGCCCAAGACTGAGATCACCACCAGCGCAGAGTCCCGCGAATCTCAAGACGGCTCAAAGGAACAAGACGAAGAATCGGTTCTCGAAGACGGTGTCACTCAGAAGAGCCCGCCCGAGCGCCTGATACACAACTGGGTCGGTCGAGGCGCCCAAGATCGAGACGACGTTCACAAAGTGCAGGAAAAACCGCCAGTACAAAACGCCTTCGACCGCATGCGTCCGCAACGCACTCCTCAACAAGTGGCTGAAATTACCATTGGAGACAAGACTACGCGGACCGTTATTGGTAGTGGAACTTTCACTCCTTATACCCCAAAGAAGCACAAAATCCACATTCCAAAGAGCTCTGTAGCCAAAAAGTTGAGCCAGTTTGCCATGCCTGGCACTCAGGTGGACAGTGGTGACGATTATTCCGAGGAAATTGAGGCTGGTGACCAACAGGGGCAAGTCGGCTCTGTAGACAGTGATGAAGAAACACTGTTCGTGCCCCAAAGAAATGACGGCCAGGTGATTCTTGCAAGGGAGGAGACATTCCCTCTGACATCTCAAACCTTGAGAAACTCACAAACGAGTCCCATTGATGAATTCACACGCAGCACAAGGAATGTCGACGAGAGTTTCCAAGACACTGGTGTACCGAGCTTTTGTGCAGATTCAGAGTACTTGGACGAGGATGAGACACGGATTCGAGAGGACGCTAAGATTGCTCGAATGATCCAGAAGGCAGAGGATGAAGCTGTCCATTCATCACCGGACAACGTCAAACGCGCTGTCCACACTCTGCGAGCATCGAAACACGTCACCTTGAATCTAAGCCAAGCGAACAATACCTCAACCGCTTCAATTGCGGAACAAGCTAGAGTTTTGTCAATCACCTTGGCGGCATCGCAAGAAGCTTCCCAACCGGACAAGACAGTTGCAAATGACATTGAGAGACCTGACGCAGAAGCACGTCTTTCTCTGACTGTAACAAAATCTGACTTTGCTCAGATGAGCATCATTGGGCAATTCAACCTTGGATTCGTTCTTGCAGTACGACCTCCAAGCGAAACGGTCTTGTCCTCCGACCTGTTCATCATCGATCAGCATGCGGCTGACGAGAAGTACAACTTCGAACGTTTCACTGAAACACTGATCCTAGAACCTCAGCCTCTAGCGCAACCAAAGCAATTAGAGCTTACGGCGATTGAAGAGGAGATCATCTTTGAGCACACCCAGTCACTTACTGCCAATGGTTTTGTCATCGAAATCGATACCTCCGGTGCAAGTGATGTTGGTCTGCGTTGCAAGCTTCTTGCCCTGCCGATGAGCAAAAGTGTCACGTTTGATCTCAGCGATCTAGAAGAGCTCCTCCACCTACTCTCTGATCATTCGGGTGGTGAAATTCCCCGTCCGAGCAAAGTGAGAAAAATGCTGGCGATGAGAGCTTGTCGCTCTAGCATAATGGTTGGCAAGACTCTGACAAAGAACCAAATGCTCAAAGTTGTCAGGAATCTGGGCGAAATGGACAAACCATGGAACTGCCCTCATGGTAGGCCAACCATGAGGCATCTGGCTGACTTGAGTGCATGGACGCCTGGTGATGAAGATACGCCGAAGACTGACTGGAAAGACTGGTTGAAGAAGGCGAGGGCGAAGGCGGACGAGTCAAGCAGTGACATGGATGTCGAAGAAGAGGATGAGTGATTGATGCTTGGTGCTTTCTTCTTTTTACAGTTGTCATGTGTACGATGATACCCCTAACACACTTTATGGTTATACCTGATTCACTAGCATAGCTTATCGCACATATAGATCTCGCGTCCTTGCAGACGTACCTTCCACACCCTAAGCACTGAACATGGGTCTGCCGGAGCGCCCTCAGATTAGCCGCCCAGATCGTTCATCGCTATACTCATTGACATCGACTGGAGTTGAGATCATTATCGTGGGTCAGGATGTGCTGAGTGAAGTTCCTTCGACTTTGCAAAGCCAGATAGATTACTAAATAGAACTCTTAGATTCCACACCTCTCAGACTCGGACTTGCTCAACTCCTCCCGGTACGCAATCGACCATCAAACAAAAGGCTCAACAATCGAAGCAGCATCACCCAGTACCCCCATGAATCCTTCAATGATATTACCCGCCGAATCAAAAAGGTCATTCATAGTAAGCCCCTCACAATAAACCCACTCCCCAGAAGCAGCATGCAACGCAGCAGCAACATCATACGCCTGACAGAACTTAGAGGTGTTGAAACTGCAAGCAATACCACCACTGTTATCAGGGATGGCTTGCCAATTGGTGATGCTTCCACAGCGACCGCGGAGGTTGTCGAGGAAACCGCCGGCCCAGTCGCCGGTGCCTTGCGCGGAGGACATGAGGTTGTCGTTCATGTAGACGCCCCAAAAGTTTGAGACGGAGCCGCCCTTTGTGGCGCATTGGTTTGGGGGTTTGGAGTCGCGATTGATGAGGATGGGGGCGGGTGCTGCGAGGACGGTGGTTGCGGCAATGGCGAGGAAAACACTGCTGTTGATGTACATGACGCTGGTGAGTCTTATGTGAAAGAAAACTCGTGTTGTAGAAAATAGAAGTGGTGTTGGTGTGGTGTTGAGATGGGATGAGATGGCAAGAGATTGAGAGGCCACGAGACGAGACTTATTACTTTCTGTCAAGCCTACAAACTCGACTTACTTGCTCGTTCTATTCGTCCATCTTGCGCAACTCGTTCATCGCTGGTAGTAATGCATGATACTTCTCTGACCTTCTCATGCACACTGCCTCGTTACTTGCTGTGCACGTAGTAGTGGTGCATCTGGGATGACAATCATGCATGCTCATATCAGGGGATCAGGCCGAGTCCAAATCTACGTACCGTATTCGAATGTGTTGGATGTCTAAAGTTGTGCCGACTGTTGGATGTTACGTGTTGGACAACACAACATGTCGCGGCTGTCTTGGTTTTGCTGTGTGCCAAACATCCTATGAGGCTGCAGGATAAGCAGGCTGTGCATATCTTTTATGCCGTGCATATATCCAGATTTGACTTACATACCGAACCAGCACCATCGTCCATAGTTTCTATCCACTTGACCTTGATGCAGAAGTGTTTAGAGACTGGTGTAGTCTTTCGGAAGTATCAATGGGGAAAGTCTATACGCGGTGCTCGCTCAGCAACACGATGCACAATCGCCTACTGCATATCGGGATTCGGTTCAGGAAAGGGCTTTTTCCATGTTTAGCAACCTAATGACAATCGCAATTGACGACCATGTGTGAATATGCATGAACGTCATGCCATATGATGAGCCAGTCGTCCTGCATTCCCGAAATGAGCATATCAGTTGTGTGGAAGCAATTAAATGTCCCACAAGCATGGTTGGGGTCATCACCCTGATCTCAACACCGACACTGGCTTGAGGCAGGAACGAGGAGGTCAGGCCACCAATTGCACTTGCTTGTCTTGTTCCAAGTGTCGCCTCTCGGGGAAGCTCTTACTTAGTATTCATACGCCTCGTTATTCGTACGATATAGCGATGAATGGATAGATGTTGATTATTGTGAAATGCATCTCTAGCTTCTAGCTTTTAGTTTCACCGTTCTCCTCTACCTTCAACGTTGGGTCCTCGGCCTCTTTGTTATTATTATCGATAGCAGCTTCCGGCGCTATAGGTAACGGTTTCTCCTTTACGACATCGTTAGTCGTCATTTCCACGTCCTTCTTCAATGGTGGAGGCGGTGGAAGATCGGGCTTCTCCTGAATCACTGCTTTCGCGCCGACGGCGTCGACGAGCGTCTTGCCCATGTCTCCGAAGCCGTCAATCTTACTCAACTTCAAATCAAACAGTTGGGCGTCTTTGAGAAGCCTTTGTTTGCCGGCCATCGTCTTGACATCCACTCCCTGGAACGCTTTGAGCCATTGCTCCTTGTAGTTGGCGAATATCTGGCTGAGGATAACCGTTACATCCATTTCTGCCAGATGCCTGCTCAGAACGCGGTGCAGTGTACCTGTTTCTTTGGTCAATGTCTCCATGTACGCACTGGTGCCATCTGCGTTCTTCTTTGCTTCGGCATCAAAGTCTATTTTCTTCATGGAGTTGACATGCGACGTCGCCCTCGCTGTCATGATTTCGACAAGCTTGTCATGAATCGCCATCTGGTGATCCTGATATAATCTCTTCAGCTTATCGAATTCGCCCAATACTTCAGCTTTGTTGGCCGTGCTCGCGTGTCTGCGGACGGCTTCACGAAGATAAGGTGACATGGCGATGACAAAGCTGAGCGCTTGTGAGGCCAAAGCTAGATGCTTTGTAGTGATATTCTTCAGTCCAGCAATTCGCGTGGCGCCAGCGCCGAGAATGAGTTGCGATGTGCGAGAATTGAAGGTCCTGAGGACGTCAACCAAGGCGGGAACGGCAGCCGAGGTGATTGACGGTATGCTGGTCATCAGCGCAAGGAAGCTGTCAATAGGTTGGAGTAGTGAAATGGCAGATGAAACCAAGATGTAGCGTGTGTCATCGATGTATGCAGGGCGGTTGGTAGATTTGGCATCCGTGCTCTCGCCATTTGACGAAGAACTGGCGTTGTTGGCTTCTGGTCTCGATGCATCTTCCCACACGCGCGTACCCTGGAGCCATATAGGTGGATCTGAGGACATGCCTTGCAGAATGCGAGAGAGTACTGCCTGGTCAGTCTCTTTGAAATCTTTGGCTTCCCATTGATCAGAGTCCAGAGTCTGAGCAATACGCTGATTCTCAGCATCGCCGTATGCTCGTACAAACGTGTTAATCTGTGTGTTCACCAGGGCTTTCAGTTGCGTCCCAGAGCGACCGGAAATGGCCTCGCATTCATCGGCGAATAAGCGGTTGATCGTAAAGTAGCGGAGGAAGCGGTCCAGCGGTAGGTGATTCACCTGCTCGGTGCGTACTTTGAGAATCCGTGTGACTTGGGTATGCGCTACATCGACAGCTTGACCGAGTAGACTGGACATATCGAGTGCCTGGCTTAATTCCTCTTGTATACCATTCATTCTAGGCGCTGGACTTCGAGATCGATCGGCTGGTTTAGTGCTGGGACTCGTGGGGGACTTCAGCGAATCAGGAGCGTCCATGGTACTGGTCAAATCAAGTAGAACCTTGATCTGGATGCTCAGCCGTCGCAAAGCTTCACTAATGTCTGTGTATATGCTGACAACCATATCTTCGGCAGACTCCTCATCCATGGCTCGCAGATTTCTGGCCAGTATAATGGACTTTTCCTGTTGGCTCGCGGCTTTGCTGGTTCGTGTAGCAACTGATGTGACAGACTCATTATCATCATCATTAGAGCTGGGGAGGTGTTTGCGGATCAAGTGTTTCATTTCCCTCATGATGGCTTCCCTGAAATCAGCTGTCGCTTGTGCAGTCTGCGCCGAGTTGCTCAGGCCGTGTAACGAAGCAAGCAGGTCTTTTCGGAATTGGTCATGAATCTCCATGTAAGCAGTTGGGCCAGTCTGCAAGCCTCGTAAGCGCATTGAGGTACTCGCCCAGCGGCGCATGGTGTCTTTTGGTGGAACATTGTCGACGTGTCTCCGTAGGTCCGAGAGCAATGTCTCAAGAAAGCGGGACTCGAAGCCTCTGCCTATGCGGAAGCGTAGTTGATTCATGGAGGCAGAAAGGCCTTGGAGGGCGTGGAGTGAACGCAGGTCGTGCAGTTCTACTGGTTGAGGGTCCGAGGAGGGGTCGGATTGTCCAGACATCAGGCGATCGAGGCGTAGCATTGCACCGGCGGCAGCGTCATATTCCCCTTTTTCGACCAAGTCTTCGCAGTCCTTTGCATCCTGTACCACACGCGCAACCTGATCAACAGCATTGGCAAGCTTCTGCATATTCTGATATTTCCTGCGCAAGTTGGCGACCTCCAAACCGCCCATTGCCATGTCTTGATCCAGCTTTGCCAAGTCAGCTCTCAACTTCTGGATCCTGGTGACAGAGTCCGAAGCCTCTTGCTCCAGATGGCGCAAAGAGCCCAAGGCGGCGAAGAAAGACGTCGAGGCGGAAGAGATGGACTGGATCAGGTGAACCTCTACGGTATCCATATACCAGGATAGCTTCTCTTGCAGGATGGCGTTGCTGGCCAGAGCCTTGCGCGGAGGTAGGGGGACACCATTGGCCGACTGCTCTGGTTTTGCGGTTCCAGGAGCGATTTCTGCGCGTTCGCTGACGACATCGAAGGTTCTTGGATTCTCCAATTGAAAGTTGTCGTCGAAGTAGACATTCGGAATGATCGAAAGAGGAGTGGGTTCGTTCGGTCTGCGGCGAGCGTAGGCACTAGAGCGACGGCGCGGCTGGGGAGGGTCGGCGGGAGAGAGGAGGGAAGCGTTCGAGTTGTGGCGACTGAGGACGGGACTTGACGGCGCATCGTTCTGTTGGCGTTGCAGCGTGTCGCGACGTAATCGATTGAGGCTGTCGAAGAGAGGGCCGAGGCGGGAGATGTAGTCCTTGAAGGCAGACGGATCGACCTTTGGGATATTTGAGAGAGTCACAGGAGGAATGTCGCGCGTGGTCGGGGCCCGGTAGGTCGAGACGGCGGAGGCGGCGGGAGTCAGTCGGCCGGTGCGGACTATGGGAGGTTGCAGGAGGGTAGAGATTGCTATGTCACGTTCAGAGATGCTATGGCGGACGACGAGTTGTGTGGAAGTGGGGGCGCACCATTCTGGCCGGCCTCGTTGAGCGAGTTCGAGGGTCGCGCGGCATGAATGTCTAGAGAGCCGCCTATTGAAGTGGTCGAGACGGTGCTGTCGTTGGACAAGCGACGCGACGGTCGTCTCTGATACGACGAGGGGAAGGGATAGGCCGAGGTCAGCGACGAGGGCGACGAGAGCAGGTCGGCGCTGTCTTCCGACATGTCAAGGACAGTGACGACGAGATCATCTTTGAAGCTCCTCCGCATAAACAACCACCAGCCCAAGCCCGGCCACGTCTACGGAGACGCTCACGCCCACTAGTCCACGCCGACCGCCGACCGCCGATCCGAGCTCGCTCCCGCCACTATTCCCAATCAGGCGGTAATTAGTAGTGAGCACGAACGCGAGTCGACGCCTTGTTTGTCCTGACTTTCTCCTGCGTGTTTACCCCCCATTCTCATAGCACAACACATCGCAAGCATGGATAGAGAGTCTGTCTACACCTTGAGTGTCTTTCCCGAGGACCGCAGCCAGACCGGCCCTGATTCTCGCGGCGCCATACAAGAACAGCTTGTCAACTTCATCTTGGACTTTAACATCCAGAATGCCTTTCTCTACAGGTGTGTTGACCTGTCTACCACTTTGAACAATTGCACAACATCTAACCATGCTTGCGATGCAGAGATCAGATCCGAGAAAATGTCCTCTCCAAGCAGTACTACTGCGACGTCGACATGGCCCACCTCATTGCCTACGACGAGCACTTGGCCCACCGCCTGAATAACGAGCCCGGCGACATGGTCCCGCTGTTTGAAGCTGCCATCAAACATTGCGCCCAGCGCATCGTCTATCCTTCACAGCGCAACATCAATCTGCCTGCGCACCAGCTCCTGCTGCACTCATCTGTCACCCAGACCTTGATCCGCGGCCTCACTGCCATGCACGTCTCTCATCTGGTTCGCATCCCTGGAATCGTCATTGGCGCCAGCACTCTTTCATCGAAAGCCACCGTCTTGCATATCCAGTGTCGCAATTGCCAGCACTCTCAGAACATCTCCGTCTTGGGCGGCTTCTCTGGCCTCACCCTGCCCCGAACCTGCGCTCGTTCTACCCAACCTGGCGAAGACTCGGCAAAATGTCCCCTGGATCCGTATTTTGTCGTCCACGAAAAGTGTCAATTTATCGACCAGCAGGTCATCAAGCTACAAGAAGCGCCCGATGATGTTCCCGTCGGTGAACTGCCTCGCCACATCCACATCTCGGCAGACCGCTACCTGACAAATCGTGTCGTTCCCGGTTCGCGATGCACCGTCATGGGTGTTTTCAGCACATATCAATCAAAAACAAAAGGCTCAGGAGCTGCCGTCGCCATTCGCACTCCATACCTTCGCGCCGTCGGCATACAGACTGACGTCGATCACACTGCCAAAGGTGGTGCTCACTTCACCGACGAGGAGGAGCAAGACTTCTTGGAGATGAGCAGGAGACCCGACCTTTATGAGCGCTTTGCCGAGTGCATTGCACCATCTATCTATGGAAACAAGGACATCAAAAAGGCCATCACTTGCTTGCTTATGGGCGGTAGCAAGAAGATCCTACCTGATGGCATGAAACTTCGTGGTGACATCAACGTCCTGCTTCTTGGTGATCCCGGTACCGCCAAATCTCAACTTCTCAAGTTTGTCGAAAAAGCGGCCCCCATCGCCATTTACACTTCCGGTAAAGGTTCTTCGGCAGCTGGTTTGACGGCTTCGGTGCAACGCGACCAGAACTCTCGCGAGTTCTACCTGGAAGGTGGTGCCATGGTGCTAGCAGACGGTGGTGTAGTATGTATCGATGAGTTTGACAAGATGAGAGATGAAGATCGTGTCGCCATCCACGAAGCCATGGAACAGCAGACCATTTCGATCGCAAAGGCTGGTATCACAACCATTCTCAACGCTCGCACTTCGGTCCTCGCAGCTGCCAACCCTATTTTTGGACGTTACGACGATCTAAAATCTCCTGGTGAGAATATCGACTTTCAAACAACCATTCTCAGCAGATTCGATCTGATCTTCATCGTGAGAGATGAACACGATCGTGCCCGTGATGAACGTATCGCGAAGCACGTCATGGGTATTCACATGGGCGGCAATGGTTACCAAGATCAACAACAAGCCGCACCATCCATTCCGGTCGAGAAGATGAAGCGCTACATTAGCTATTGCAAAACTCGTTGCGCCCCTCGCCTTTCGCCCGAGGCAGCCGAGAAGCTCTCCTCCCACTTCGTCAGTATCAGACGACAAGTCGCACAGGCCGAAGCATCCGCCAACCAGCGTTCAAGCATTCCAATCACCGTCAGACAGCTAGAGTCCCTCGTCCGTATCACCGAAGCCTTGGCCAAGATTTCTCTGTCTCCGATCGCCACAGAACATCATGTCGACGAGGCCATCCGCCTGTTCCTAGGAAGTACCATGGATGCTGTTCTTTCGCAGAATGGAGAGTCCAACGCCGCCAACGCTGCCGGTATCTCTGGAAACCGTGAACTCGTCGACGAAATCTCAAAGGTCGAAGACGAACTGCGAAAGCGCTTACCCATTGGTTACACGGCAAGTCTGGCTACCTTGAGGCGAGAGTTCGTAGACCGCAAAAAGTTCTCGGAGCAATCTCTCAATAGAGCCATCTGGGCACTACAGAAGAGAGATAGCCTACAACTCCGCAAGGGTGGCGCACAAGTGTACAGAAGTGGAGTCTAATGATTTGCGAAATGATGGCGCATGTGTGAAGTGATTGGGAAGGGAGTTCAGCAGGTTGTTATATCGGTTGTACTCAGGTGGCGTTCAGGGCCCGGTGCCGGGAGGTCAAAGGTCAGGCAGATTGCATGCGATTTCAAATCAGATACCATTTCAATTCTTGACATCTTGTCATTGCACACACGCACAAATTTCTCGAAAAGTGTAAAGTGTTGAAAACGTGTTCAGTGTGCTCTCTCCGCTTACATAAACCATCGATCGCTAACCCAAGACAGAGAACATCATCTTTTGGTCTCCAGTCCTGTCTCCCGTCCCATCATGGCCCATCCGCCTCATCTCTTCTAGATTCCGGTTTACGGAAAAAGCGCATATTACGCCAGAGTACCAAAGGGGTCACACAGTCAGGATAGCATGCAGATGCAATGAACCGATCAAAATCACTGCACCTGGCTGACGATCTCGTTCGCCTTGCCCAAGCTCTCAACCATCTGCTGGCACTCTTTGCGCCTGCGAACGGTGTAGTCACTCTCCTTGAGCAAATCGTCGAATTCTTGTGTGCGGTACATTTGCTCCAGAAGCTCGCGCTGCATTTCTTCCTTCGAGAACCTGAAATCAATTTGTTAGCGATAATAAAAAATAGGGCTCGTCGATAAACTTACTGCACCAGAGTCAACATGATGGCTTTGGGAACCATGTCGATCATCGTGCGGCGCACAATATTGAAGTAGCTGGTGATGAGAAGCTTGATGACCTCGACTTCTTCACTCTCCTTCTCACTGAGCGTGCCACTGGCTTTGAGCGTCGGTGGAGGCGCTTCCATGGCGGCCATCTTCTTCTTGTTCTTGCTGGCGAAGAAGCTGCCGAAGAAACCGCCTGCAGCCTCGTTGCCATCAAGAGAAAGCGAAGGGCTTGCCGCACGCGGGGGAACGGCGGAGGGCGGTAGAGGCTTGCCAGTCTTGGGGTCTACTTGAGTAGGTCTGGCGGCATGGCGACGCTCATTGACAATGGCCATGGCTCTGTGTCCATTAAGGAAATCGGGATGGCCAGTGTTGACGTAGCAGGCCTCCATGGCGACAAGGTCCTTGACGAGCTTGTTCGAGGGGTCCATGGACTTCTTGAAGAATGTGATGACAGTTTGGTAGAGTTTCTCCTTGAGGGAAGGATACCTTCTAAACAGCGGCTTGTTCAGGAGTTGACCCAGGATGCGCACAAGCTCGTCATGAACCAAAGAAACACACTTCAAACTAGGGTCTTCCAATCTCTTAATCTGTTGCTTAACGATGAGCTCGAACGCGGTAGTACCGACGAACAGAGCGGGCGAAGAGCCGGAAGAGTTGTAAAGGATAGTGCGGATATCAATATCCTTGACCTGATCAAATGGATCGACAGCCTTGACACCGTTGGCATATAGCTCGTGGAACACAAAGGAAATTCTGGCGCCACCGGAAAGTTCGATGCTCGAGAGTTCCTGGTTGTTTCCCTCAAGAACAGTTCTGTACTCATTCGAGAACTCGGTGATGATATTGAGGACGATGTTCGCGCTGTTACCGAGAATGGAGTCGCCAAGAGTACCAAGCTCGGCCGTGTATTTTTGCAAGGAAGCAGAAATCCTGGCCTTGATGTCGGGTAGTGTTTGTTTAATGTGCATCATGAGGATCAAGTTGAGCTTGCGGGCCAAGTAAGGAGTACCGCAGTAGCTGCTCTTGTTGCGGTAGGCCTTGTGGTTCTCAAAGAAGGCGCGCTCGTGCTCCAGCGCGTAGGAGATGGCCTTTTTGTTCTCGATATCGCGCTGACCACGGTTGACAACGGGCACATATCCCAGTCGTAGAGGAATGATTCTGCCAGCAAGAATGTCAACAACATCAGTGCCGTCGTCCATCAGATCAACCTTTGTCAAGACACCGATGGTGCGCTGACCTTCGGGGTCAACCTCGCGAGCCAGCTTAAGACCGTCCGAGTTTGCCAGATCCGTGTTGGCGGCGGTGACAGCGAGAATGATAGCGTTCGGTTTGCTGATCTGCTTGAGGACCATTTCGCGGATCTGGCGCTCAATGTCGCGGGGTTGATCACCAACAGGCACCTTTGTGAGACCAGGCAAATCGACCAGGGTCAAAGTCAGGACGTTGGGTGAGTAGATGCGCAAATTGATGGGGGCGGGCGAGATGCCACCATTGCGACCAGTCTTGGACTCGGTCTCGCGCACAATCTCCTCGCGGATCTTGTTGAAGTCGTAGAACTTCTGGCCAGGAATATGCAGGAACTCTCCCCACTCATCGACATTGGACTCTTTGTCTGCGGCACCGTCGACAGCCTCAGCGGCGGTGCCGTTCTCTTGCGACTTGGGCAGGGGTGCTCGGTTGATGAGTTGCAGGATGAGCGGGCGTCTTGTCACGATACCAGTTCCTCGCGGCAAGAAGTCCCTGCCGACTATGTTCTCCAGCACCGAACTCTTTCCACTTGACTGGGATCCTACGACGGCGATTTGGGGAAGGTCGATGGGGTTTTGGACCTGTGGGGCGCATGGTTAACATCGAGTCCAGCTAAGGGGTGGGGTAGAGTCGTACGCCAACGGTGGTGAAGACATCTTGCAGTTTGTTCACCAGCGTGATGAGTCCGGGATCATTGACGTTGATGCTTCTGTTGCATGTCGTCAGCATGCGAGGAATTATCGTGGTTGCTGCCTCCTGAACATGACTTACGCGGCTGCATTTGTGGCCATGTCTGGCGGTGAGCTGCGCGGGGGCTTGTTGCGCGCGTTTCGTACGATGCGAGAGTGGCCTAGTAGAGGCTTGCAAAGGTGATGCTGTGGGTCTTGAGAAAAAACAGGCAAGGGTTGCAGTTGCGATATGATCAGGGCCACTGTTTAGTTAGCCTCTTGGGTAGATTGAGAGTAGAGGACGGTTAAATTGCGGCGGGTGACGTTTCGTTGCTCCCTGCAGGCTGCTGCTGCCATCCACCGTCCACCGTTCTCCACAATCCAAGACCCTTTTAACTTCCGCTCTTATCATGCTGCCTCGAGCACAGCCACACCAACGAGGCAGTCGAATTGAATGAGAAGAAATCGAAAAATCGCTGTTCACTGACCAGGACAGTCTCTTGTTCTATCTATCTGCTGTCTATGCAAAGCTGATTTTCCAGCCTCCGCCAATGCTGACTCCTGGCTTCCTGACTACGGCCCAATCTGCCTTGCCTGCTTCTCCACTAATGAAACCGAAGCCAGCTTTCTTGCTCGAACCGCTGCTAGTTGTTCCCTCTTCCGACACATCAACTTCCGTCTTACTCTTCCACGACGACGGTGCATTAACAATCACAATCTTCTCCACTTGGACGTCCTTCATCTGCTGGAGATATTGCGACGTCTTCTTGCCCTTGATGCCAACATCTTCCGATGCGAGGGATGATGTGGCTCCGCTGAAAGTAAACTTGCGATGGATGTATGCACCTTGCTCGTAGTCGTATGACTCGCCATCGTCCAGATAGACCTCACCCTCTGCCTTGCCGTCGTTACCGAGGACCACCACAAGCGTAAAAGGGTCGAACCTCATTAGCCCGCTGGACCTTCTTGGACGATCACGTCTTGGAACAATGTGTCCACCTCTCATGAGAAGCGGGATCCTGTCCAGCGGTGCCTCGATCTTGACGTGGCCAGGGCCGCTGTAGCTTGTGTAATCCGAGTAGTCAAAGTACTTCTCGTTGTCTGGCAGGTACATGTCGACACTGCTTGCACCTTCTTTGGTCACGGGCTTGACCAATAATCCGGTAGATCCGAGATACATCTGATCATCAATAGCAAAGCCCTTCTCATCACCTGGATGTGCGTAGTACATTGGCTGCACGATCGGTGCTCCAGTCTTGCTCGCAGCGTGGAAGGCTGTGTACCATGCAGGAAGCAGGGCATACCGAAGTCTCAACGCTTGCGTGACGATGCCCCTCTCAAGATCGGGCAGAAGGTAAGGTTCGCGGCGGCGGGTATCTATATGGGCGTGTGCGCGGAAGAAGGGGTAGAAAGCTCCAGCCTGGTACCAGCGGGTGAGCAGTTCTCGTGATGGATTGCCGAAGAACCCGCCCACATCGGCTCCGGCGAAGGGGAATCCAGAAACACCCAACGACAGGATCATAGGTAGAGATGCTTCAAGATGCTCCCAATTCGCTTGGTTGTCACCAGTCCACATGGCTCCCATACGCTGCGAACCTGCGTAGAACGAACGGGTCAAGACAAAAGGTCTGACGCCTCCAGCCTTCTCCTCCTCCTTGTTGCGCGACACCAATCCCTCGAAAGTGGCGTTGACCAGTGTAAGGCCGTTGAGGTTGTGCACATCTCTGTGCTCCCAATTACCATGGTGCAGGTTATCTTTCGGCATAGTTGTCTCCGGTCCGTTGAAGACAGAGGGCTCGTTCATATCGTTCCACAACCACAGATTGTGAGCGGATCCCTTGAATTTGGCATACTGGAACAACTGTCCCCACCACTTGCGAGCGGCAGGAGAGAAACAGTCGACCCAGTAGGAAGATCCAGGCCAGCACCAGCCTTCGTATATGTTGCCATCTTTATTGTGAGTCGCCAGATCCTTGGACTTAAGTTCGTCGACGACCGAGTAGCCGCCCTCGTTCTTGATGTGGGGATCGATGATAGCGACGAGTTTTCGCTCGTGATCATCGAGCTGCTTCTGCATACCAATAGGGTTAGGGAAGGTCAGAGGGTCCCAAGTGAAATACTTCTTGCCGTCTGTGTATTCAATGTCGAGCCAGATGACATCGTAAGGGATTTGAGATTTGTCAAACTTGCGATCGACGTCCTTGACGTCTTCATCAGTCACGTAGTTCCAGCGACACTGGTGGTGCGCGATGGCGAACTGCTGGGGGAGCTGAGAGTAGCCAGTCAATTCGGAGAAGGACGAGACGACGTCCTGGGGCGTAGGACCTAGAAACACGAAGATATCAAGCAAGCCAGACTCGGAAAACCAATGGGTTTGTGTATCGGTGTGAGATCCAATACCAAGACTGAGGGGATTTGCACTCGACTTGGACTTGACAATGTCGATCCAGGTTTCGGCAGCGTTGAGCCAAAAGATACCGACAGTCGAGTCCTTCTTATGAGCTTGCATGAAAGGAATTGCACCATAAAGTGTCATCGGACTGTTCATCTCATATTCAAAGACATCGGCATTATACAAGCGATAAGGATCGTTGAAGTTGCCATCGCCGCCACTGTGAAAACGGTCAGTTTCGAGTCACTGCGATGAGAATGAAAAAATTCCGACATACCGAGTTTGTCTCAATGAGAGAGGTCCAGTGTGCTCTGGCACACCAAAAACGTGCTCATAGCCAGGGAAGGTGACGTCGAGGGCCACACTTTCGGGACCTCGAGGCTTGGTGTCTGTGTTTCCACCGAATGCTTCATCCCACCATGTGCTCTCGTCCTCTGTCAGCGCCTTGGGCTCAGTGTTATCGTCTTCGCCTTCTTTCTTCTCTTCTTGTGGCTTGTCGATCTTGGGACGCCAGTGCTCGACGTTCAAAAGACCCCTGTCGTTCAGTTTGATATGTAGTTCTCCATCTCTCTTGAACTCGATGCCGAAAGGAGAGTGACTGATGATAGCCTCGAACTTAGTTCCGAGGCCGTACATAATCTTACTGGTGCCAGGCTGAGCGTCTTGAGCAGCTGCAGCACCAGAGCTGAGCTTAGTCCCACCAACGATGGCCCACTTCTCTGCTTCGTTATAACGCTCTTTCCGAGCCTTTGAACCATGGCGAAGTTCAATTTCGCCTTTCTGACGCTTCTCTTCATCAATGGTGACTCTAACGCTACCAGATTCGAAGAAAGATATTGTGATTGGCAGGCGGACGGGTCGGTCGGAGGTCGTAACAGTCTTGAGGATGGTTCCTGACAACTGGCCCTTCGAGAAAGTGACAGACGCAGAGTCAAGGACGTATGGGCTCACCCACGAGGACGAGGAAGCGGCGGCCGAATCGGCGTATGCTCTGTTACGTTTACAGAAGCCCGACTGATCACACGTCTTGAAGTTCTCGTGTTTCACAGACACTGTATGGTTTAAGCTGTCTGCTGTCTACGGAGCATTGGACCGAACTTACCAGCAGGGTACACTAAGCAGCAAAGAGCTGCGACTAGCAGTAGCAGCTTTGCCCATCTGGACGAGGTTGCTCTAGACATAACAGCCATGATTGACGACGAAGTTGCTGCTACTTGACACTTCTACAGTTGGCCACACTTCAATTGACAGTCCGGGGCAGCTTATAACCGTGACACCAAGGTCTAACCACGTCAATGCAGCCTTGTGCGATGAATTGTGCAGAGAGCACAAAGTCAGGGACCCGCAGGAGGCTGGAGCTCTGGCCAAGCGGAAGTGAAACGTGGATGAATCCCCGCCGAACGAAGTCGGCGTTTTCCGACCTCCGACCGCTGCTCATGAATTCCAAAATCTTGTCCGCCAAAGATAGATCCTTGCTCTACACTGTCAATCAATCAATCACATCTACAGCCATGTCTTCCAACGAGCAAACCTTCATCGGTAAGCAGTCCCTTTAGGTTCTAGGGCCTCTGCTGTAGTCTGCAGTCGGACCCCTCGACTTCACCTCCTACACCGCCAACATACTTGACTTTACTTTCTATACCACCTGCTAACACTAATACGTAAAGCTATCAAGCCCGACGGCGTGCAACGCGGTCTGGTCGGCCCCATCATCTCCAGATTCGAGACCAAAGGATTCCGCTTGTCCGCCATCAAGATGTGCCAACCTGGACAGGAGCACCTTGAGAAGCACTACTCCGACCTCAGCGACAAGCCTTTCTTCAGAGGTTTGATCTCTTGTACGTCAATCATCTTCCATGGACGCTGCACTTCGGATGCTGATTCTTTGCCACAGACATGAACTCTGGCCCCATCTGCGCCATGGTCTGGGAGGGTCGTGACGCCGTCAAGACCGGCCGTGTCCTTCTCGGTGCCACCAACCCCGCCGCCTCGTCCCCTGGTACCATCCGTGGTGACTTCGCCATCGACGTTGGCCGTAACGTCTGCCACGGTTCCGACTCTGTCGAGAACGCCCAGAAGGAGATCGCTCTCTGGTTCAAGAAGGACGAGCTCACCAGCTGGAAGTCCGCCCAGAACGACTGGATCTACGAGAAGCCTTAATTTCTCTCCAGCTTGTACCTCCTGGAGTTGAAAGATAGCACATGAATCCAAGCCACAAGATCCTATCCTACAATCGAACTGTGTTCTTCGAACGCTAGTAAATCTATATGCTCCAAGTATCACCTAAGTTTTGTCCCTACAACCTATTGCGCCAACCAATGACACCCGGGTATCACCCGTGCATCCGACAATGCTTGATATGATTGTTCACCTCATTGCTTATATTTATGCCTCAGAGCTACCGTTCAGCTGCTGCCGAAACTTCAGGGCCAGATTCTGGACGCCACTTACCAAACTCTCCCCTAGAGCATCCACTGCCCCCTTGGGGCTCAACAAGCTTGGTGGTACAACTTCTCCTGCCCGAATTTTGAACAGTCTGACGTTGGTGCTGCTCCAGATACCACTTCCAGATGTCGATGCATGTTGCAAATCTTGTGAAACTACCAGGCCCCAGTAGAAGGCCGCATACGCTTCCGAAAAGTGGGCTGTCATAGGGAATGTGTGGATGTTTCGAGTCGTTGTTTCCACACAGATTCTGCCGACATTACGCACTGGCTGTAGCACTTCGTCCATACCCAAGCCATCCACAGATTCTTGGCTAGTCTCCATACCTCTCTCTTCTAACAATTTAGCTGTCCAAGCCTGTAAAGCTAGGAAAAGCGAGAGTATTGTGAGGAGAGGCATTTGGGGAAGCCACGCTCGAACCTATATATTGTCAGCGTGTTTGAATCTTCTGGATACTTAGGCGGGCATACGATATCCATGTCTGTAGACGGAGAGGTCAGTGCTCTTGCCCTCTCTTCTTCGAAGTCTGCCGATTCTTTGCTCTTCTCTGGTTGCTTGCCCATGGCTCTTGTAGACACTGAAGGCTGTTTCTCGGCAGAACCATCACCACTAGGTGGCGCCGCATCATCAACCGGGAGCATCGTCGGAGATGCTGCTGGATTGTAAATATCGCGAAGCTCTAGCCATGTACGTCCTCTACCCAGACGTGGTCGGGGTGCCTTGTCTTTATCCATGTTAGCGATGTCACTGGCAGCAACCAAAGGGTGCAGCACAGTGCCATCGGGACAAAGGGTCGGTTCCGCAATACCGTTTTCACGAATCTGTTCCACAATTTGCTTGAAGTTCGAGTCAACTTCCATCCTGAGATCTGCTAGATGCTCGAACGTTGTTCCGTACTTCCATACAGCCCAGAGTAGATTTTCGTTCTCTGCAAGGCACAGGTCAGCACTGCGGTGATGGTTGCCTGGGCTTGACGTACCTGCTCCTGGCTTGTGCTCCTCCAGCATCGAGTTCACTGCGCGGACCATGTGGGTCAGGACCATGGCATTGACCTCGACGCTGGTCGACAGAGAGTTTCGTGTGTAGAGATCCACCAATTGTATGAGCTTCAAGCTTGTTGCTCGACCGAGATTGAAGATGTATGGAGACACATTAACAATGATGCCAACTAGAGCAGCTGCCATGGCGTCAAGTTGGCCATTCTTCTTGGGTTTGAGAAGAGTGAGGAGCCACTTTGGATTGTTAGTACACGATCGGAAGTGGATATCGATGATGCAGGACTCACAGTGAACAGGTAGTCGGCATAAGAGCCATGGAAATTCTTGATCTGCATGAAAGATGGAAGGTTGTCGTGCCCATCGAACTGCTTATTCAAAGAGATTGCATAATCAGGATTCTCACTCATCGTCTGTACGCACAAAAGACTAACTCGTTGAACTCCTTCCACATTCTTGTTTGGGTCCAAGATGTAGAAGAGAAGAAAGACAGTGAGCTCGAATTGGCGACCAGTTTCGCAGATGAAGGCGCGGAAGTACTTGTTAGAGTACAGCGACTCCCATAGAAGCGGGATGATTTCATGCGCCCAAAGAAGCGGCCTCTGTACAATGTTCAGGCCGTTACTGCTTGCTTCGAGCGGCTGCCGTAGGATCTTGAGGATGCCATCGGCTAAGAACTGCAGATGTGTTGCCTTGTGGAGATGGGAGAAGAGGTCGCGGAAACGGTTGTCGGGTGGAGCAGAGCCCTCGACCCACGGCGATCTGTTCAACAGATTGACCTGCAAAAAGTGCAGACACGTACGCACATGGGTTTCGTGCACTTCTCTAGGTGAAGGCGACAGATAGCGAGCGTCAGGCTGGTACTTCAGGACTGTGTTTAGAAGCGAACACAACAAGTACTGAACCTTTTTGCGATCACGATGGTTAGAGATGAACTCTACAGCCTCGCTTCCGAGTGTTGTGAAAGCATTGGCAGGCTTGTATATGCACTTGCTTTCCAAGACCAGAAGAAGCTGCATGATCTCGGTCCTTCGGCTCTCAAACTCTTTACTGGTCTCCAAGCGTCGCTCATAGGCGATACCGCTTTGCCAAAAGCCATAAGTAGGACCGTTCCTGCCATTCATGTTGACGGGAAGGGTGAAGCCTGACCAAAAGGCCAAGTCCAGCAGGGAATCGATGAGTTCCTCTCCAAGACACGCAGAGGTATCGGGACGAGAGTTGTCTTCAGAATGATGCAGAGTCTCGGCCGTGGCGGATTCGCCAGAGATATTCCGGGAGACTCCAGGCGGGCGGGTATCGTCTGTGGGCTCCCAAAAGAAAGATTGCTCCCACGCACACAAGCGATCGCATTCGTAGACAAAAGGCAGGACTCGGGTAAGGGTGCGGACACAATTCAGAGCCTCGCGTATGAAAGCAACAGCGTCTTTTGCGAAGAGTGAGTCCTCATCACGGCGGAGGTGTATCAGGCGTGTAGAAACAGTCAGGATCAACGTCTCGAAGTTCTTGAAGGATTTGGGGTGGTCGCGCATGGTGCGAAGGTCTGACGGGGTGATGGTCTCGAAGACATGTTCGGCGGTTTCTGGTCGCTGCCAAAACTAGACGAGCAGTGTGTCAGCAAGCACCCAAGCACGGTACAGTGGACAGTGAAGCGTGTACTGTTTGCCAGAAGTCGGTCAGGGTCGATGGAATAGCGACGTCCGGCGACGAGGCCTGGACGATGGTCGATTTGAGGTCGCTTTGTACAGCACCCATGATGCAGCGCGAGACAAGAGTCTCTCGACAGGCGGACGCTTCAGATCAAGGTATGCGTTGTAGCGACAAATCGGGATGCTCAGGTAGGCAAGCAATCAGCAATAGAAGGCGCTGACGTAGCGTGCGTGCATCGAGGACCCTTTGTTTTCCCCATCTGCTGCACCGCCTGCTCTGGACTTCTTGTACCACGAGCAAGCTGCACGCTCCACCCCTCCTCCAATCTGCGACCAACACTCAGACTTTGACAACATATCCGACCCTCGGCCATCACTTTTGGCCATGGATCCCAGGACCGCGCAAACATCAAAGGCTGATGTTGGACTACTCCTAGCAAAGGGAAAGCTCGTCGGCTGCCTTACCACTGGCCAGTCCAAAAGGTCCACGCTTGACTCGTCCGACATCAACAGTTTCCACAATCTCCTTCAGATCGCCATCAAAGACACTTCACGTTCAACCAAAGAGGTCTTTCGCTGAGCTTGAATCTCCATTTGCATCCCGAGCTAAATTGATCCCAGTTCAAAAAATGTGTTGCCTGGATAGTCTGCCATGTTGCCAAGTCTCGCCGCAGGGTCGCTGCCTTTGGTGACTACTTGCTAAAGCTCGTCTACTCTCTCCTGCCTTCCTCGACCGATCTCGATCAGTTGTCTCTACTACGTGCTGGTTATGGTCATGATCTGCTTCAACTGCTAGATGCCGTCTTCTTCCGCATCCATCTGAATCCAGGCCAGCTACTCCGCAAGTCGCTAGAGACCTACACCATCTTCGCCAAAGCTATTGAGCCGACTGTCTTCCAGCTTGTCGAGTTTGCTGCTCCTTCGCATTCTCTCCAAGCTCTTCAATTCCATCAAGACCTGGCATGTCTACTGAATCATTGGACTCAACAACGACTATTCACGAACCGCATACGCCTGTGTCTTCGCAGCGTTGCTCGAAAAGCCTATGTTGAGTGGCTGGGATGGCTGAGAAGTAACCACTTACCATGTTATGTGAAGTTGGTCACCAAAAGACAGGCCAATCATGTCGAAGACGACGTCTCCATCACTCACGGGCAACCACAGGATGCATGGCATGATCTCCCCGCCGGAACTATGGTACAGGCTATGAAATCCACAAAATCTGGCCATCCTGTAAATACTGCACGGATCAAACCCATCGTTATGCCCACTGGCTCCTTGGACTCGGACATAATGGAAACGGTGCTCGAGCACATTCAGGAGTGCAAAGACATCACTTCGATACCCAATCTTTCGACAACGGACGATGAGTTCGCGCTCAACGGCCTTGGTCTTCGGCTTAGCAGAGACCCAATGGCCAATCATGATCGACCAGAATTCAGAGTCGTCGAAGGTTACTATGGGTTCAGCGTGCCTTTCATGAAGACTTTTCAGAACTTGGAGGAAAATCCACCCTCCGGACCGGAGCGCCCACTCAATTGGGCTCCTCCGCCACCACCGCCCGAGTTTGCTCAATCTCCACCATTCCAAACAAGCTTCTCACCCAACGCGCCTCTACCACCTCCAGGCAGAGATGTATCACAAGTTGGTGGAGGCAGCTATAGACAACATGACTATGGACGTGGGAACGGTGCAGGTTGGCGAGGTGGAGAAACGCGTGGTGGTGGTGGAGGAGCTTGGCGTGGAAGGGGTCGAGGCGGTAACAACAATGGAGGTTCAGGTCCAGGTGGTTATCGACCATATTGAGCTAAACATCGCAATGGGATACATGTCCGTCGAGGAGTAGTATCGCGAGACGGCGCTTTCTGACTTCAGAACCACATGCTCTCGGGGCCATTGTCCTCGGGCAATGGCGTTAATCTACTAAGGTATCAAAATTCCCATGGAAGACACTGTTCGCGTTCGGAGTATAGTCGAAATACATGGCCGATCGATACAAATTCGTCTTGACATAGTATTCTTACATCTTCGTACGTCTACAGTCTAGCCTTGATTTCAGTAGGTTGAACCGCGTCCCTCTTCGCCCATTCGCGAAGTATAACACGCTGAATCTTGCCACTAGGGCTTTTCGGAACCTCGTCAATGAATTTGACTCCGCCAGAGAGCCTCTTGTGCTTAGCGACTTTCGAAGCTATCCATGTAACAACGTCTTTCTCGGTGACTTTACCCTTGGCTGATTCCTTCAAAACTACGTAAGCTCTGGGAAGATCCTCGTGGTCTTTGTTGAGACCGCAGACTGCAGCGTCAGCAACATCGTCGTTTTCCAGTAAAACTGCTTCAAGTTCCGCTGGAGCGACCTGGAATCCGTTGACCTTGAAGATCTCCTTGGCTCGGTCAACGATCCAGAACCAGCCTTTTTCATCGTAGATGGCAACATCTCCGGTCTTCAAAAAGCCTTCGCTGTCAAAGGAACCCTTGGTTGCGCTTGGATTTTTCCAGTAGCCCAGGTGAGTTATATTAGGACCCCGAACGAAGATTTCTCCGCGTTCGCCAGGCTTCGTGACTTCATTACCATTATCGTCAACAAGCTTGATTTCCGAATTGGGGTCGACTTGTCCGACACTACCACTGCGATCGTCCAATCCGCCTGGAACATGTAGGCATGAACAGGTTACTTCAGTCATTCCCCATGTCTGAACAACCTTGAGATCGAATTTCGTGCTGACTTCGTTCTGCAACTCCTTGCTTAGAGGTGCTGCACCACAAAGGATATTGACCAATGATGATAGATCGTACTTCTTCGTCTCGGGTCGCTTGGCCAGCATGACAAGAACTGGAGGTGCAGTTTGTATATGCGTGATGCGATGACGCTGGATGTGAGACAGGAACGGCTCGAAGTTGAATACTCTCATGTAGTAGCATGGCGTCCGCGTGATTGCAGCTGCTGTTATTGACCATAGCTGCCCATAGGCGTGGTACCTTTCGGACATTAGTATGCGACCTGTGAGATTTGACTTCGAGAACATTCACTTACAATGGCAAAAATCCTAGAAACCTTTCTGGTGGTTTCTGTCCCGATGGATAAGACTGTGACAGCTCACGCATATACAGAGATTGACAGACGTTCGCGATGATGTTCCGATGAGCGACTCTTACGCCCTTAGGCAGTCCAGTAGTACTGTCGATGTTAGCGCCGGGTCCAATACTCCGAGCTCGAACCTTCGAAGAAGCTACAGAGCGTTTTCACGATACTCACCCTGACGAATAGTTGAGCACAGCAGTGTTGGACTTTGATTCCTCAGCTGACATTCGATGCCATCGCCAGCTTTCTGCGGCCTCTTGCGTGGGAAGAAAGGAGCTCCAGTCTTTGATTTCCCTTTGCGTGTTGCATGGCTCGTCCAAGAAGAGGAAGATCTTGTCGTGCGGAAATCCAACTTGGTCTGCAGCTTTCAGGGCGTTGTCAAGTAGACTGGGGTCTACTAATATAAGCTTGGCCCCCGTATTAGTGATCTGAAATGCAATTTCCTTGACAGTATACGCTGGATTACAGCCACTGAAGACTCTCCCGCTACCAGCGATGCCGAGATAGGCGACCGGACAAAAAATATGGTTGGTGGAGAACATCATGACGACCTCATTCTGGCCTATATTGAGGTTGTCAAGACCAAGGCCGAGTCTTTTGATCCATATCAGGGCTTGCTTAAGTGACAAAGAGTTTTCTGTGTTGACGGCATCGATCCAGATGGGCTTATCATACGGTTCTTGTCCTTCAGGATAGACATAGGACAGTATGTCGGTTGCCGGAATGTCAATCTGATAGGGCGATTGCTGAGGCATGATGTTTGGTGTTGGTAATGCAGACTGGATCCGATCCAGTACGTGACGATTGCCATTTTGTGTGATCACGGTACAATGAGGGGTACAAGTCGAGACTACAACGAGGACCGAGGAAGACAACTTTGGCTTTCATCGACTTCCCCACGTGCGGACATGCGGGGATGCACACAACAAGCCGACAGAGCCGCATCCGACGATCATCCAAATCCTTTGCATCTCACACCTCAACGCGTCTCGACCTTTCTACAACGGCTCTTTCCAACATATCGTTGATAGTAAGAACCAATTTCGAAATGGTTGAGGGACGTGCCGACGCGCGTCATAGAGAACAGAATTATAGGTCAAGATATCGTGTCGGATACAACAAGGGAACTTCTCTGACCAGGTAGGCAGAGCTTCCGACTTGTGCTATGGCAAAGACAACGAGCATGTCCGAGTCCAAATCCGAAGTCAGAAGAAATCCTCTTTCGGTGAATTCGTCCGCTGTTTTTGGACTCTCACACACGATCGAAACACCTAGATTGGCGGGCCAGCATGGTGAAACAAAGCTCTGACGCTGGCGTTGACTTCTCCCACCAGACTCTTCCTACTTACATGTCGTATGACTGCGAAAGAGGCCGACCATGATTTCTTTGGTCGAAACACAGACCCAGCCTGATACCTAGCATTCCAAACATGTTAGACTGGCACCAGACCTATTCCTCCACTCTTCAAAAAGCAAGCACGCGACGCGTACCTCGAGGAATTCAAGCCTCAGCGTTCCTTTTTCTCCCTCTTCCGTGCCCCCCGCATTGTAGAACAAGGTGGTAGCTATTGGCATAAATGTCATGCTCTGGATGCTGTTTTTCTTTCCTTGAATGAGATCAGCATCACCAGCGCTTGTCGGTATGGACGCGCCAACCACATCAACGATCAAGAAACACACTTTTACGAACACACTTATTACGATTTCCCTTCAACTACTACTCTGGTCCAGTCTATTTCCTCTCTCAATTCAAATTTCCCTATTCGCTCTCTCCAAGGTCGATGCATCGTTGTTTCTGGCAGACATCCTGTGCATCGCCGCCGTAAGTATCGTCGTTTGATACTTCGCGACCTCAAGCACATACTGATCGGTTTGGCAGGCTGGTACATCGCTCCTCGTCATTCTTCTACACATAGTGATTGTCCGGCTTCGGGACAACATCTTCAGCAACTGGGCGAAGGTAGCCGCTGCAGTCTTCAAAGTCATAATTCTCTTCGCCTCATGCATAGCCGTGCTATTATGGATCACAACGGTTGGTCTGGGAATAATCCTGGCTCTCGCCAGACAGCCGACTTGTCGACCAGCAAGTGCTGACACGCATGATCTCTGGAGAAAGGGTCGGATCTGTGTCTTGCAACGGATTGCGCTGGTCGTAAGCATGCTGAGCTTGTCAGTAATTAAGTTTCTCGCATGCTTCTTTCCGTGTGACTGACTGGCATCATACAGCATCGTTTCCTTTATCCTCTGTTTCACCTACAACGTATCACACGATCCTTTCGCAGCCGGATTGTTTGGATCACGACAGCCAAATCTTTGCTTATCGCCATCTGATCTCCAGAGGAGTCCTCAGATGGCCGTCAAAAGGCACTCCACACTCTCATTCAAATGCCGTTCAGCATTACTATCCCCAATCGCGGTCTCGTCACCTCTCCGCATCTCGTCGCCCCTGCGGAGGACAATGAGCATCAACGTAGATAAGCCTGATGCCTTGTGCATCTCTTCACCACGGCTCTCTATCGAAAAGTCTCCTCTACTTAGCAAGAGTCCGTCGCAGTCTTCCGCGCACTTGTCTGTACGATCGAACGATACTACAGACAGTTCGCAGAACCAGCTGCCCCCGAGGGCCTATATGCCTTCGACCACCCGAACGTATCAACCATCAAGAGTTCCCACAGACTATGTCCCCTCTCCTCATGGTACGCATCTGTACTCGCCGAAACGTCTTCCCAAGGCAGTTGCTTCGCCTTCAAGGGGCAAACCGCCTGTTCGACCGGTGGGACCATATGCTCTGCGCGGCGCTGCCCCTGCTATCGATACAACACCCGTCCACACGACGAGTCTCTACACATCGAGACGTGTTTCGTCGACGTTCCTCACTCCCACCTCAATGATCCCGCCCCTCATGACGAACAACTCCTCTCCCATGAGAGAGCCAAACACCTACCAGGCCTCACCCCCAGTGCATATGCCGCTCAGTCGACCCATCAACCTGTACTCATCGAGAAGGGCGCCGACGCCGTTCGCTCCCACGAGTTGTCCCACTGATCAGGCCTTGCCGAAAAGAGACCCAAAAGCACAAGGCCTTCCCGACTACTCAACAAGGGTACCTTCGACAATGCTGGCACCTCCGCCTTCGGTTAGACAACTCAACTCAGCACGCCGGGGTGTCAGTTATGCTTCCAACACGAGTAGTGTATACAGCCGACACGTGAACGATGTATAACACGTATATAAACACATTCCGGCAGATCAGTCGACTGGTGGGAGAGCTGAGTCATTTCAACAAGCTCCATATAATGATGAACGATATTAATTGCCAGTCCCCGTCGTGCATATGAACCACCACCAACCAGTCAGTCGGTCGCTGCGTCCGTATAGATCTTCTTCAATTCTTTGTTGCAGGTCCAACTTCCAATGAGTGAGCATGGGCCATATCTTGGGATATATTCCTGCGAATTACAATCACGACACGTGACTTGCGTTCCTCTAGCCCAAGATAGCTAGCCTGGGCTTTGTGTGCTTCTCGCGACGCAACAGAGAAAGTGGCAGCCGCAGCCAGAAGTCTAGACGGTCGTCGTAAGATGACGATCGACTCGTCCTCATCAGTCTTATTCCCTTCTACGATTGTATAGCCGGACACAATGTCAGCGGGCCATGCAAGAATGTTCTCATCCGGTAGCAGTTGGCACTTGAGTGACACCCGCAAAGGCCTGCATTTGTTTGCATCGAGGTCTGGCCTTCCCTCAGTGATTATCATGCTCGACGGGCATTATGATCGCCACATGTCATATTCGATCTGTTGGGGCGACCCTGGCTAATCACGTGATCTCTTCGTGCACCGCGAGGATCAAGTCGTCGAAGAGACCGGCAGATATGGAGTCCTTTGCTTAAATGAACGATAGCGGTATAATCTTGAATCGAGCCGTAGAGACTGATGCGCTGATTGATTCGGCAGAGGATATGGTTCGTTGGCCATATGGTTGGTCGAACAGGTTGATTTTATAACGAAGCTTGACATGTAAATGTCGAAGATGGGGCATTAAGGATAAAATCGAGCCATAGTAATGATCTGATAGACATGAGCATAGACGACAAAACTGTAGGCTATCAGAGGCACGATGACGCTAAGAAGTAAAGCTCAACGGCTGCACGAATATCTTTAATCAATCACATTCTAGCTATGTCTACTAACGAGCAAGAACCCTCATCTGTAAGCGGGCCCTTTAGGTTATAGAGTCTCTGCTGTAGTTCGGACTCGGACCCCTCGACTTTACTTCCTATACCGCTGACATACTTAATTTTACATTCTATACCGCCTGCTAACACTAATACGCAAAGCTATCAAGCCCAACGGCGTACAATGCGCGTGGCCTGGTCAGCCCATCGTCACCCGCTCTTGTGGTCGACGTCACGGGGTTCATGGATCGAGCACTAAACACTAGAACATGGGAAGGACGTGATCAGGTATACAGTAGAGTGCTACAATAGGCAGAAGTCGAGGGTGTCTGGTAGAAGATCGACATCGCTTCCAAGCATGAGGGACAGAAGTCCGAAACTGGAACTAGCATGAATCTTGTTGAACTAAGTCGATACCAGGCAAGATCGCTAGTCATGACCAGATGTGTCTGCAGGAAGCTGTTACGGAGGGCGTTTGGAAGAAGGATGGGTTCCAGTGTACAGGTTGGATCAAGAGCAAGGGCTTACAGTTGTGGCGTGTGCATGTTGTTCAATGGACTCTCTGCGCATCGGACAGGCTAAGGATCTTGCCAACACACTTGCCACATCCGTCACCAAGAAGATGGCAAGGCCTCAGGCTGTATGCTCTTCCAAGTCGAGGCCAGAAATCTGCTCAAAAGGAACGCGATGCACACACACACGGCGCATGCTGACATCCACAGACTATAGTGACTAATTCTTCGACATCGGTTTGGTTTTCATGAGGCGAGCGACAAGAGAATGTCAGTATACAAACGTTCTCCAGTTCACGACAGACAATGGAAGTGAAGGAAAGACGTCAAGTTCCTGCCCCACTCGGTAGTCGGGCTTCTCTCCACAAGGACCCCTCCTCCATACAACTAACTCCAGCGCCGAATCTCGGATACTCTCTTTCTTTAATTGTTCACACTCTGATGTTTGCTCTTCGACGATCTTCCAACATCTTTACACGCCACGCTTCCTCCTCGACTTCTCGCATAATGTCTCAAAAGCACGAATGGATGGTTATCCTGCCGGATAACACTGGCGCACTGGACAAGCGCATGGCAGTCAGACAGTGAGTCTTCCTCAATGCTCCTTGCGATCTGTTACTTCTCTTGCATTTCACTGCACAAGTGAGACAACAGCTTCACGGAGTATCCGTGACCCGAGTTGCCACATGAGATAAGTCATTGACCAAACCGTGTAGACAACATTTGAGCAACCTCAAGCCTGATGCAGACTCGGGTTTCTGGGTCCTCGGTGGTGCAATGCTCGAGGACGTTCCCAAGGAGGGCTCGCCCCTCAAGATCAGCGGCTCGGTCATGATGGCTTTGGCAAGCTCCAAGGAAGAGGTCCTCGAGAAGATCAAGAAGGACATCTATGCTGGTGAGGGTGTTTGGGACATGGACAAGGTAATCTCAACATTGTGCTAGACGACCTCATGTGCTGACCATCGATTCAAGATCCAAATATTCCCCTTCAAGTCGGCTATCAGATCTGCTCTGTAGATTTGGCTTCCATTACACAAGTTGTCAATAATCAAGAGATTTGCATTGAACAGGAGAAGTAGATGATTGACGATCCGTCTGATGATATAGAGACGGCAATAAGCTCATAAGTAAATCTGTACCATGACACACTGTTTGTGAATTCTGTCTCTGGTGATCCAAAGTAGTCTGCTACCAACGCCGACGCTATGCAGGGAAAAACAGAAGGCGATCAGATGGGTCATATCTCATCTTCTGCCACCACGGCCAGCTCCGCCAGCTCCGCCCATACCTCCCATTCCGCCCATATTGCCCATCATCTTCATCATGGCACTCATGTCAGGCATGCCGCCACCACCTCCAGCGCCACCCGGTGCACCTCCACCCATGCCCATACTGCGCATCATGGCGCCAATGTCCATACCCCCCAGGTTTGGCATTCCTCCCATTCCACCACCAGGAGCACCGCCACCTCTGCCACCTCCCATCGACTGGAGGCGTTTCTGCATGGCGTTCATCTGCTGCTGGTTGTTCTTGCCGCCCATGGCGCCCTGGGCCTTCTGCATGTTCTGCATGCCTCCCTTGAACTTCTTGGCCATGCCGCCCATGACCTTCTGCTGAGACAAAAGTTCCTCGACCTCGCGAACGCTAGTACCGCTGCCCTTGGCAACACGGGTCATACGCGACGGCTGGTCAACAAAGATTTTGCCATCAGAGTCAAGCTCCTTCGCAGTCATGGAGTCGCAGATGTAAATCATGCGCTTCAGCTTCATGCTGCCTTCGTCATCGTCCATCTGTCCCATCATACCGCTGAGTCCGGGGATCATGCCAGCCATCTTAGAAAGGGGACCCATCTTCATGATGTTGTTGAATTGGTCGCGCAGATCACGGATGGTGAACTGACCCTCAGCGATGTGTTTCATGGTGTCCTTTTGGTCAAGCTTCAAGCTTTGAACATGCTCCACAAGACCAGCCATGTCACCCATGCCTAACAGCTTGGAGACGAAAGACTCGGGGTTGAACTTCTCGAGATCCAGCAGATGTTCGCCGGTACCAATGAAGACGATGGGAGTGTGTGTAGCAGCAACGGCAGAGATAGCACCACCACCAGCGGCAGCACCATCGGTCTTTGTGATGATGATGGCACCGTAGTCAGCGGTCTCCTTGAAGGCTCTGGACTGGGCCTCGGCAGCCTGACCGATGGAAGAGTCGAGAACCATGATGGTCTGGTGAGGCGAAACAGCCTTCTGGATTTGAACCATCTCATCGAAAAGATCCTGCTCTTGTCTGTGACGACCCGAAGTATCGACAATGATAATCTCGAACTTCTCCTTCTTGAACTTGTCGACACCTTCCCTGGCGACGATGACGGGGTCGGTCTGAGTCAGACTACCATAGTAGGGGATCTTTGCTTTTGTGGCATTCTGCTTGAGCTGATCGAAAGCACCAGCGCGGAAGGTGTCGGCGCAGACGAGGGCGGTCTTGAAGCCTCTGGCTTGGTACCAACGGGCTAGCTTGGTACAAGTGGTGGTTTTACCGGCACCCTGGAGACCAACGAACATGATGACGTTGGATTTCCCTTTCTTGGGCTGATATGGCGTGTTGTGGGGGTCGACGAGCTTGACAAGTTCGTCAAAGACAGCCTTCTGGATGATGCGCTTCTTGTTGACGCCAGGCGCGAGTTCTTTGAAGTTGACTGTCTTCTTGATGGAGTTTCTGAGACCAGCGACCAGCTTGATGTTGACGTCTGCTTCGACCAAGGCATTGCAGATCTCCTTGATCATGCCATCAAAGGCCTTTTCGTCCAGCGTGGCCGAGCGGGTCAGGTCGTTGACGGCGGCATTGATGCGGCGTCCGAGATCTTGCAAAACCATCCTGGCTAGATGACTGCGATGAGATCGAGTCTAGTTGCTATGGTTGCAGAGGGAGAGAGGGCGGTAGGCGGGGTGCGTGTTTGAGAGTTCTTTGCGACGTAGCACCACATGGTGGAGGACAATCGAGCGCGGGGCGAGTCGGCCAAACTGTCGCCGCTCGTCGCTCGAAACCACCGAGCCGCGACTTTCCCTTCCCCGCATTGTTCAATTCGAGATTGTCAAAGTCGCGACAAAAAATCCCAGCGCCTCGAAGAATTTCCACACATCACAACACCAACACAATACTTGCATAAATCACCATGGGTAACCCAAGCGCAAAGAGAAAGAGACCAGAGGGTATGGGCTACCGCAAGCCCAAGAAGCTGGTGAAGAAGTTCAAAAAGCAAAAGGCCTACCACAGTGACAGCGAGGACGACCATGTCCAGACCACAAACACCACAAGCGATTTCAAGCCCGTCGACATGGATGACTCGGATGAGGAGGTTGAGGATGCTCCTGCCCCTGCTCCTGCTCCTGCTTCCGCCCCCGCCCCCGTCCCCACCCCTGCTCCTGTCGTCGAGGAGAAGAAGAAGGACACCTCCAAACCTACCGTCCCAGCAAAGTCAGAGCCCATGCCCGCACCAGTACAACCGAAACTCAAGTCGGCATTGAAACAGTCAAAGAAGGCTGATCCGCCATCTGAGAGTGACGAGGATGAGGATGAGGACGACGACGACGACGACGTTGAGGACCTTGATGCGCTGGACGACGAGGACCTGGACGACGAGGACCTGGAAGACGACGACGAGCTCGACCTGAGCGACGACGAGGACGGTGAAGGCAGGACGAAGAAGACGCGCAAGCGCAACGATCCCACAGCCTTCGCCACATCCATGTCCAAGATTCTGGGCACCAAACTTACTACGTCCAAACGACAAGATCCCGTCCTGTCGAGAAGTGCTGCTGCGACGGCCGCTTCAAAGGAATTGGCCGACCAGAAGCTCGAGCTCAAGGCGAAGAGAAAGATGCACGCTGAGAAGAGAGAGGCACTGGAGAAGGGTCGTGTCAAGGATGTTCTGGGTCTGAATACGCCCGAAGTCAGTACTGCAGTCATTCAGGAGACTGAAAAGAGGTTACAAAAGACTGCCCAACGCGGTGTCGTCAAGCTATTCAACGCCGTCAGAGCGGCACAGGTTCAAGGAGAGCAAGCCCGAAGCGAAGCAAAGAAGGAGGGCGTTATCGGCATCTCACAAAGAGAGGAGAGAGTCAGCGAAATGTCAAAGAAGGGCTTCCTCGATCTCATTGCCACGGGAGGAAAGAAGCCTGCTGCTGTGGAGGCTTAGACGTAGCTAACGATACCCGATCACAACCTACTCTTTTTCGTCATTGCTCATAAAGGCGTATCGCCTTCCATCATTGACCTCTTGCAGAACGGCGGATAGCGACCATGCCGTCTACACCACCGTTTCGCTCATCCAAGACACCGCCCTTCTGTAGGATGCTGACTGTGTGCTCCACTACGCTTGACTCGACACCCCGGACATCGTCTGCGAACTTGACAGTCTTGAGCCACGCATTGGCATCTTCCTGTGAATACTCCATTGTACCGGTGATGTGTGCGACCGACTCCTCTTGGTGCTCGCGGAACCACGCGACTCCTTGGTTCAGCTTCTCTGCCATGACTTCGAGCTCCTTATCTTGGGCGTCTCTTGCTGCAATCATCCAGCTAGGCCATGGCGTGTAGATGTCGCCTACTCGCTTCAGCTCGCCGTTGTCGTAGTACTTTTTGGTTGTGAACTTGAGTTGGTCAGTCAGCTTGACTCAACATTATCGTGACGTCGACATGACTTACGTGCTCCCACATGAAGAAGTCGGCCTTGTTTCCCGCATTAACCCCATCTCGAAGGGCCTTGAAATCGCCCAGAGGAACAACTTCAAAGGGTGACTTTGTCTTCTCCAGCCAGCCCTTCTGGTCTGCCAACACGTACGACATTACATAAGATCCACTGCCGATTCTTGAAACGCCAACTCTCTTGCCGTCCAAAGCATCCTCACTATCGATCGAGCTTTTATTGCCTACACTGATAGCCCAGCACAACGGACTCTCAACGTAGGTTCCGACCAGTTTATATGAAGGTGTCTCTTTCTTTGCGTTTGTCTTTCCTAGGTCCGCCACAAAGCCCTCGGTCAAGCCAATTGCGACGTCGATGCTGTTTTCCTTCAGAGCTGCTGTGAGAGCGCCGGTACCGGTGGGAAACGGCTCTATGTCTGCCTCGAGGCCGAAATGCTTGATAGCGAAGTGTAAGGGTGTCGAGAAATGTTCTGGCCCTGTTGTTAGCTGTGGACTAAGAAGCTTTTGACATGATTACCAGGAATGTATCCTATGCGAAGCCTTTCTCCTGCCATGATTGAATTTGTACTAAAGCTACGAGTCGTGTGTCTTGTCAGTGAAATGAACTTCCTCGAGAGCATGTCGTAGACAAGGTATACAGGATCACTTTTACGAATGTCACAAGTGTTTCCCCGCAGTCAGGGCACCGTTGACATCCTTTTAAATGTAACCAGCACAACCCTGTCCTACAATTATTCACTTATCCGACAACGCACCCACACATATTTCCGTCCTTCAATGGCTGTCCCAAGGAACTCTCTTAGAGCCTTCCTCACACAAGCTAGAGCTAGCTTGGAAAAAGCCATCAATCACCATGAGAAGATCACTTTGGTCATCGGCAACGAATCAGCAGGTAAGATGCACGATTCCGCACAATCCGGCTCATTCTAATCTGCACGCAGACCTTGATTCCATCACCAGTTCGATAGTATATGCCTATCTAAAGTCCATCACGCATCCAGCACAAGGCCCTGCTACTCTACACGTACCTCTGTTGAATATTCCGAAAGCCGATATAAATCTCAGACCGGAGCTGCTTGCACTGCTTCCGCATGCGAATATCGAACAACGTCATCTTATTACCCTGGACGACCTGCCAAGTCTCACTAACATCAAGGACATCCTTTTGCCAGCAACTACCAGATGGATTCTAGTCGATCACAACGTGCTGCAAGGAAAATTAGGCGCCATCTATGCTGATCGCGTTGTTGGTGTTGTCGACCACCATGCGGATGAAGGCAAAATTCCAAACGATACCGGCTCCGAGCCTCGTATCATCACTACTAGTGGAAGCTGCACAAGTCTGGTAATCAACCATTGCCGTGAGGCTTGGGATAGATTGTCGACTGGAACATCGTCTACTGGAGCAGCACAAGCACAAGGTGATACGCTTATGGAGGATGAAGCCCTGAGCTCACTCTGGGATGCACAAGTGGCGCAACTTGCTCTAGCGTCTGTGATCATCGATACCATCAATCTCCAAGATGAACATAAAACCACAGAACACGATCAACACGCTGTCACTCATCTGGAAGCAAAGATCCATCTATGCGCCAAGATCGGCAGCCAATTCGATAGGACCGAATTTTTCAACAAGATCAATGATGCCAAAAAGGATCTATCTCCTCTGACTTTCGAAGAAATCTTGAGAAAGGACTACAAGCAATGGTCCGAAAACGGAATGATCCTAGGCACAAGTGCAGTCGTCCAACCCATCAGTTTTCTCAAAGGCAAGATCAACAAGAACTCGGACTCCAAGGACTACAGAGCTCTGCTTGAAGCCTCCAAGCTCTTCGCGCGAGAGAGAGGACTGTGTGTCTTCTCCATAATGACGGCCTATGAATCCGAGCATGATGGCTTTGCCCGAGAACTTGCTGTCCTGGCTGTAGATGAGAGAGGCCTCGGTCCGTGCAAAAAGTTTCTGGAATCATCCGGTAGGAAACTTCAGCTCGACGAAGTAGATACCGATGAGAGTGATGAACATTGGTTTCACACGTGGAAGCAAGGCAACATCTCTTCGAGCAGAAAGCAAGTTGCACCTTTACTTAGAGAAGCCATGTCAGCAATATCCCGATAAACGAGCTGAACATGAAACACGGTTGTATGATCATGTAAGGATGTCGTTATGACAGTTGTGTGTAGCAGACTTACATATGCACTGAATGTTCCTCGCAGCTTGAATATTGGTATGGGATGAGCGGGGTTCGCGATGACGGAGGCATCTCCGTCAGAGCGCTGATGTCATTATTCTTGGAGGCGGGGAGCCAAATCATGGCACCACTACATCTCAACGACCGTCCCTTGATTGTTCCTCCCTTCGCTTTTCACATTGTCTGTGTTTCGCAATGGATCAGCAATCTATCATGGAAGAGGTCACTGGTATGGCAAGTAGGAGGAAAGGTTGTTGGCGCATCCAGGATTGCGGCAGCTGTCTCAAGAGTAAGCATGGTTGTGGGTGGTGCCCAAGTGTAAGTATCTATCTTGCTCGACAGTCTGTGTTGGATTGGTTCGAATCTCGACCCGATGAATCCATCTTTACTGGGCTCGAATCTAGAATTGAAGCCAGCTGCATTGGGTTCCACAAGTCGACTAACACAACCCAAACTTGCAGTCTTCTACCTGTGTGCCCACAACCAACCTCCTCACACCGATCAGTCATCCAGTCTGCCCTCTTGCCTCGGAACGCTATGAGCTTCGCACCAAGACTTTGGGCTGCAACTGCAGCACTATCACGTTCCTCAGCGTAATCGTTACAGTCTTCTGCACCATCGCCGCGCTTCTGCTTATATCCGGTGTGCTATGGTTACTAAAATGGTGGGGTAGAACCTTCAGATCTGGAGGATGGGAGATTGTAGTCGAGGAGGATGGAAGGGTACGAGAGGGTACCTGGCGGCGAAGTACGTTATGGCCGAGATTCATGGTCGCGAGGAGGTGATGTTGCAGAAACCAGTCTTCGCGGAGAGCGAACCCACACATTGTAAGTCATTTGATTTCAACAAAAGCCTCTTTCTGCCAATTCGTATACTGAACGATATAGATTTAGAGAAGATAGTTCGGTGTCAAACAGTACGAGCCTCTCATTGGTGGAATAACTCACATGTGCCAAGGACCCAACTTGCGTGCACACCACAGACACTTCTTGTATCCTTGTCCATCACTTCTACTTGACTGTCAAAACAGACTTCCTGGGAAATGCCTACGCACAACAACCCTATATTGAGCGGATTCAACCCTGACCCTAGCCTCGTTAGGGTGGGTGAGGACTACTATCTGACAACATCCACGGTACAATCACTACTGTCCTGCACTACGTTCCATCAGGCCATCCGCAGTATTCAATGCTGACACGACATTCGATTAGTTCGAATACTTTCCTGGTTTGCCCATATACCACAGCAGAGATCTCATTAGCTGGACATTGATAGGACACGCTCTGACACGACCATCCCAACTTAATCTGAGAACAGTCGAACCAGGCGGCGGTATCTGGGCACCCACCTTCAGACACCACGATGGAGTCTTATACATCACTTCTTGCCTCTGGACTGCTTACTCGCCTCAGCAGAACGTAAGAGTATGGCCTAGAGGCTTTTACGTCTCGACACAAGATCCATGGAAAGCAGATAGCTGGTCTGATCCGATCTACTTTGATCAGCCAGGCTTTGACCAAGATGTTCGTTCTATGCTGCATGTATCAAGCGAGCATTTACTGACACGCCAAGCTCTTTTGGGATGACGATGGAAGTGTTTACCTCTCAACTTGTTTCAGACCGATAGACCATGATATGAAAAGTGGTCTCAAAGGCTTCGCTATTCATACATCCAAGATCGATCTGGCTACTGGCACGTCACTCGAGGCGCCTAGAGTTATCAGAAGATCCCCATCTGGTGTCGCTGAAGGATCACACATCATCAGGAAAGAGCAATATTACTATCTTTTCGTTGCTGAAGGTGGTACAGAGAGTGGTCACATGGAACTGGTGTTTCGTAGTTCGACTGGCGTGTATGGTCCTTGGGAGCATTGTCCGAACAATCCACTCATTAGCGCTACGACACAAGACGATGTCCAGAATACGGGACATGCTGACTTGATTGAGGAGTCGACAGGAAAGTGGAGAGCGGTCTGCCTAGCTGTCAGACCATATCGTCAGAGAGTTACGGAACAAGAGAAAGACAGGTTTGTGCCATCGCCGTTTGGTGAGTATTTGCTACTCCAGCATGCCTTGCGAACTCCGTACTTACAACCCATAGGTCGTGAGACTTTTCTCATGGATGTGACATGGGAAGACGATTGGCCCATATTCAACCAAGGCAGCAAGCTCCAGCTCAGCTTCGGAGCAGAGGCAGATTCGGTTCCACCAATTCTCAAATGGCGTGACAGTTTTGAGGCGAGCGAGCATCTCTCGCTTGGATGGTATCATAAAAGTAATCAGTCTTTGCTATAAGAAATAGCCTCGAGCTAACCTCAGATCAGACACACCACTAAAACGCGAATATTCTTTGAAAGAACGCAACCACCACCTAAGACTCTGGGGAGGCCCGTACAACCTTCAATCACTCGAAAGTCCAACAATGGTTCTCCGCAAACAGACTCTAGCACGAGGTATATGGGAAACTAGTCTAGACTTCCTACCTCAAAGACCACACTGTGAAGCTGGCACAGTGGTCTACTGGAATCCATACACCTTTAGCAGTATCGGAGTACGCCGAGGTTTTAACGGGGAGAATCGGGAAATTCAGTTTACACATACGACATCACCAGGAGAATTCACGTGTACGACACAGTATTTGAAAAGCATGGGCTCTGTCAGACTCGCGGTACAATGCTCGGAGCTCGAATACACCCTTGGATATGCAGAGCTTGATGAAGAATATAATTGGTTTGAGCCTGTCAGCATGGAAGTCATGACGGCAGATCCACCAAGAGGTATGGCATTTACAGGCATGTTGTTGGGACTGTATGCATTCGGTGAGCTTCAAAGATGTTTGGAGCCTGCAGACTTCGCCTTTGCTGCGTTTACTGGTTAATGAGTGCTTGACAATCGCATCCGGCATTGCTGGAACTATGACGATTAACAGGAGTCACGACGGCGAGCATTCAATCTCTCGATTCAATTTCGGCAATTGCCTGTTTTCATGACCCATATATAACCATTTATTAGATTTGCGATCCTGTATGTAACATTTACTTCATCGTGACCAATTCCTCAGCAGAGGTGGGGTGAATGGCAACACAGCTGTCAAAGTCAGCCTTGGTAGCACCCATCTTGATTGCAACACCAAAGCCTTGCAGGATCTCGTCACTGCCTTGACCAAGGATGTGCAGGCCAACGACTCTCTCGTTGGGACCCTCGCAGACGAGCTTGTATGCGGTGGGACCCTTGTCCTCGGGCTCCATCATAGCGTAGTACATGGCAGTGAAGCTGGAGGTGTAGATCTTGACCGAATCACCGAATTTCTCGCGAGCCTCGGGCTCAGTGAGGCCGATACTTCCGACAGTAGGGTGAGAGAAGACGACCGAGGGGATGTTGGTGTAGTCGAGGTGGGCGTCGTTCTTGCCTCCGAAAAGACGATCGCCAAGCTTACGTCCAGCGGCAATAGCGACGGGAGTCAGCTCGGCGCCAGCGTTGCAGACATCACCGAGAGCGTAGATGCCATCGACGTTGGTGTTCTGGTACTTGTCGACCTTGATGTGGTTCTTCTCGTCAAGCTCGACACCGGCATTCTCCAACTTGAGCTTCTCGACCTCGGGTGTGCGGCCAATTGCCCAGAGGACACAGTCGACGTCCATGGTGCTCTCACCCTCGTCATCCTTGTAGTGCAGCTTCTTCCAGCCGTTGCCCAGATCCTCGAGCTTGCTCTGCGAGCTGTTGGTATGAATGTGAAGACCTTGACGCCTGTACTCCTCCATGATCTTGTCCTGAATCATGGGGTCGAAAGTGCGCAGGAACTTGTCATGGCGGATGAACAAGTGGGTCTCGGTACCCAGGTGGTGGAACATGCCAGCCATCTCAACAGCAATGTAACCAGCACCAATGACGGCGACCTTCTTGGGCTGCTTCTCGAGGTCAAAGAAGCCGTCGCTGTTGATGCCGAGTTCTTCACCCTCAACACCGATCTTGCTGGGACGTCCACCGACGGCGACAAGAATCTTCTTTGCGCGAACGTGCTGCTCTTGACCGTCCTGACCAACGACCTTGACGACGTCTTTTGACACAAATGAGGCGGTTCCATTCAGGTACTCGACCTTGTCGTTCTTCAAGTTCTTCTCATAGATGCCGTTGAGACGCTTGACGTAAGCGTCACGCTTGTGCTTGAAGGAGGTCCAGTCGAAAGGAGCGGTCTCTTCAACAGAGAAGCCGTAAGCTTTTGCCTCGTGGATGGTCTCCTTGATGGCAGCGGCGTTCCAGGTAACCTTCTTGGGCACACAGCTGTATGGTCACGTCAGAAGAGGCGCGATGATAAGAGCGGCAGTACGACATACCCAACGTTAACACAGGTGCCACCCAGTCTGGAGTTCTCGACGGCGATGGTCTTCATGCCATACTGGCCACTAGCTCTTCTAGCAGCGGCGAGACCGCCACTTCCGATACCAATGACAAGGAAGTCGCATTCTTTGGGAGTGGGAGCCATGATGGGACGAGAGGTGGAAAAATGACGCGATAGAGAGTGGATTCGAGAGGAAGCCGTCGGAAAGCTGTAGAGAATCCGCGGGGAAGTGCTGAAGATACGCATACAATATATAGCCAGACGGGGGATTGATGACGAGGGGTAACAGTGATGAAGCGAACTGAAATATAAAAGACAAAAGGCGGCTTCGCTTACGTCAATGAATGGATTACGCCACCAACGAAGAAGATTCCGGCGCGCAAAGGATGCAATATCGACAAGCAGGTATTGAGATTGGACGCAGCAGAAGAGCGATGACAAAGCTTGTAGATGGTTGATTTCCAATTCAATTATGGACTGGCGAGCGCTTCGTTTCGCAAGATCAGCCTTGAGCCTCCGTCTGCCCCTCGGCGAGGCTCGCCGGGCGAGCATCGCTGTCTAAACCTAAAACCCTCGGGCGCACGGACGCGCGTGCAGCTCGATGATGATGAAGCCGTGCCTTCCTATCACACCACCAGAAGCCCTGCCACTGCTTAGCTCTGCCTTGTCGAAGCCGAAGCTGCCTCCTCTTCTGTAATCAAGCAATCAACACGTCGATCATGGGCGGCAGACTCTCCGTCCCAAAGGGGCCTGCAGGCACCACCGAGATGTCGCATCCCAAAGCCTCGCCCTACCCTCGTCGCAAGATGCCCTTCAATTCGCGCACCATCATTGCTCCCGCCGCCGCTTTCACAATGGCTTGCATACTCTTCGTCTACACCAGAACCTCGATTCGCGCCGCCAAAGCAAACGCCCAACGACACCGGGACGCCGACAGCGGTGGTGAGGGCTTGGATCTACTGGCTGAGAGCAGGAGAAGACACGGCCGTGGTGAGAAGCTAGACCAGGGCGGTGGTACCATATCTGAGCTGGCTCATGGTGCCAGAGAGCAGTTTCTAGGCTCTTCCAAGTCAAAGCCGCATCCAGAAAAGCTAAAGGGTCGATCGCCCATCTCCGAGAACGAGGAAAAGCTGAGAGCTGCCATGGGCAAGAAGAGCGACGATCCTGCATCATGAACTCTCCTGATGCCCCAGATACTCCCGAACTCTCGTGCGGTTCTGTTCCCACAGGCCAAATGTCACGCCCTGCACTAGGCAATCCGCCAGATCGTCTAATTTGCCCGACATGGCTACATCGCCGCCCTCGGCCTCTTCTTCGCTCTCGTTATCCTGATCCCGTCGCCGGCTTCGTCGTACTTTTGGCGAGCAGAACATAGCAACCATCGGCGCTATGCCCGCATCTACTGTCATATCATCTGTAGTCATCGAAAGTGATAGCCAGTGCTGAGCGAGCGCGATCTTGTCCTTTTTCTCAAAAGACTTCTTCTTGACCTCTGTTTCTGTCGTCTGCTCGCATCCAATGGGAGCCGTGAGCGACGTCGCTATGTCTGCAGGGTTCGGGAAAAAGTCTTTGCGAGCAAGCCAGAACATGCCGACACGTCGAGGGCTCATCTCCAAAACTTCTGGAAAGATTCCCTTTTGAGCCACCAGATCCTTTTCGTGACCGCGTCGCATGGTTTCTAAAGAAGCCCATAACATACTCTCTAGCATGTTTACTCTCACAGTCCATTCTTGTATAGATGGAGCACCGCCAGATCGGAATCTCTGTCGCTCTATCAGGATGTAGTCTGGCTCATACCGCAGAAACTCAGAGGCTAGATTGAATGCTATCTTGGACAGCGACGAAGGCGAGTAGATGTTGGGTTGATCTCCGGGTGTTGTCTCGGCCGCATATGTAGTCTTGTCGACAATATCTCCCCGTGATGGATCTGAAGTCTTTGTATCAACAGGATTATCTCTGGTGACCATTCTCTCGGAGACATCCAGACGTTTCCAGTCCGTTAAATGTAGTGATAGAGTGTTGTTGTTATCATGTACAACGGATTGTTCGTCGTCTTGAGGCAGCTTTTGCAGATCCAGTACACAAAATGCGAGATTCTTGACGCCCATATCTACACTGAGGACCCTGCACCGAGGCTCAGGAAGAGCTGCCTTCTTTGTGTTGTCAAGCAAAGTCCTACATAGTTGCGCTTTCGTCCCCGAGGAGTTTACTCCGGTGAGGAATGCCAGATGCTTGAGCTGCCATGCTCGTAATCCTGACAAAATTGTAAAAGGGTCGCGCTTCAACTTGGCCATATTATTTGTGGAGGATGGTTCAATTCACGTCGCAAAAACAAACTCTTTGTTCTCTCCGCCTCGACCCCTGAACTTCATGTGCTCCAACATCCATTCTATCGGTAGATATGGCTCCACGCCATCATGTAACAAGTCGCAATTACATGAATGAGGACTAGCAGGACCGATCTTACGAGAGCTACGTCTATCAGAGGAACAAATAAATCATCAACCTTACTTTCTCCCACCACCCGAGTCTTTTCCTCGAAAATAGGACCCGCTTTCCCGCCTCCGGGCCCATATTTGTAATGGGCACTCCTAAAGTCGGACCTGGCAATTCCGTTACTACATTGTGTGACAGAAGTCATCACGAACGAAGACAATCTGACATTGCCACGCAAGAGAATCGACCAGTCCCTTACCAGACGTGGATGTGTATCAGAGACTCGACCCGTGTGTCGACTACAAACGTCGCATCTCTGGTCAGCATGCTGCTCACAGTTACCGTTTAGCTGCTGATGATTGAATGTGGAAGTGTGCCAACGATTAGAAAAGATCAATATGCTGACCGTCAATGTCTTCCAGTTCGTCCAGCTACACTCCAGGACACAGATGAGAGAAGATATGTATGCTGACTGTTGTCGTTTTCGAGATCATTCTGCTGCTGCTCGAGATCTACCGACCGGTGAGCAAACAGCCACTTTATGTTGAGCACACATGAGATGCCGCGGTTGGAGAAGATCTATACGTTGGTTATTCACGACTTCAAATTCTCCTGCTGCGACGTGATTCATTCTGCGGTTGTCCGCCGGCTATCGTCTATGAACCATCAATGAGCTGCGATGTAAGGAAGAGCGCCGATCACGGATGATCTATCTGAAGACCTATACATTCAGGCATTCAGATCCAATCACTGTCGATCGGTCGTCAAGAAATTACAATGAGTATGGAGGGTTAAGTGACCTTGAATTCATGTCATTGTTGGCAGCTACTCAGACTTGGACCGGGAGTCAGGAGCATTGCAAGCGGCTGACGAGCCGACCGAGGCCGGGCGTAATAGGCGGTCATTACCACTCGAGTTTGGTGCGTCGCGCGCAAAAACTGTTGGCGGTCATCATCCTATCCATGCTCACGACCTTTGTTCCGCGATCACAGAGGTGCAAAACAAGGCCTCAACCCGAGATCGAATCGGGGACCTCCTGCAGTTTCGGATATACCCAAAGCAGGAATCATACCACTAGACCATTAAGGCTTGATGTAGAAGTGTTGCTCGTCAAGGCAGAATATAAATATGTTCAAGTCCGGACCCAGCCTCAGGACGCTTTTTACTGTCACAATCATCAAGTAGTTGTCGGACTCCATCCGACCATTGAAGTAGAATCTGATGGCATCTGTGTTGCAAGCGCCAAATCATTCGGATCTCACGGCGACGGCTTTCTTGGCTGACATAAGCCGACATTCCTTTGCCAAGGTCTAACAGCCTGTTCTGAGTCCTTTGCCATCTATCTCATGTACAAAAGTATGCCTGCCTCCGGACGCAAGATGGTGAATAAGTATTCTGAGCCCATCTGGATCCTGTCTGAATATGATCAACAAAAAGGATAGCCAAATCGATGGCGCGTCGTCCGGAGACAAGTCAGGTGTGCAGCCCAAGGTCGAGTTACAGCAACGGGCCAGTTCGGAAACAACACGCATAACACTACCCTCTTACGAGTCTCTGGCTTCGGATACACCGCCTTCTTATCAGTCAAATCAGCCAGTCAAGAAAGTAGCTCCCAAGAAGAGTACAGCTGGCGCGTCTGCAGCTACCATCAGAGCTATAATGGGCGATCCCGTTGCTGAGGAACCTCGACGAAGCTTGAGAGACAGGCTACTTTGCCGAAGGCAGAACTACAATCGCCGTCCTCCTTCTTCGGAACGTCCAAGAGAGAGTTCTACAACTTCTACGACCTGGAATGTATGGGGCTCACCTATCACCGACCCCAACAAGTGAGCACGGACAGACTGCACACGCTAGGCGTGTTGGCTACTGAAATATTGCTGTTTTGCTACGCCCACCCTTGTGGGAGCGATAATTCCCGTCGAGCGACACGCAATCTCGATTCCTCTGAAGCCTCAGCTCATATCATTTGAGCAGCTCCTGATCCGATGTCCAGGAAAAAGCATTACCAGCCACGAGGGACATGTTCATGGGTACGGTGGTCATATTTCATAAAAACGAGAGAACAACAGCCAAAGTATTTACACGGAAGAGCGAACGAAACAAATATTAATAGAAATATAAGCAAGACCACCTTTCGATCTACACCGATCCTCTGATATAGAGGAATTCCTTGTACTTGTTAGCGGTCCACCTGCGGGCAGCCTTGCCGAAATACATCATGACGATTGTACCCAGGAACATAACACCAAAGCTCACGCATCCAAGTGTGACGAAGACTTGAGTGAGACTGTGAGCATCGAGCCAGATCGAGCATACAAAAGTGAAGATGCAAGCCAGCGAGTTGTTGTAAACAGCTACACCAACCATGCCTTCGAGAACTGCGTCCGGGTAACAATCCATGAGGTAGGCCATGGTCAGGTCACCTCCACAACCGAAACCAAAACCAATGAAGCCCAAAGCAACATAAGGAACCGGCCACGGCCACACGCGCTGTGTGCCCATACCGAAAAGGATAAGACCGACTGGTGAAATGATGGCGGGGAGATACATAAGCCAAAGGCGGTCTTCGGCCTCGGAGATGTTTCCGCGACGTTTGGCCATCCAGCGCACAAAGACGTCGGAGAACCAGCCTCCATAGACACATCCTACGACGGCACCGATAAGGGTTGGAATGCACATGATCGCATCCGCGCGGTCGCCATAGTTGTAGGGCTCTGAAGTCCAATTGTCGTCTTCGACCGTCATGTAGAAGGAGAGAAAGGCATCTTGCATGCCCCACTGCAAACCGGAATAGATGACGGCTGGGAAGTAGAATACACGTAGGGTGTGGAAAGTGCGGCGCATGTATTGCTTGAATCCTGTTCCGATCAATGTAGGTGATGGCGTAATGAGAGCTATGCGATCCCAGTACGACTTTGGGACCAGGTCAGAGCCGTTCGGGATCAAATTGCCCTTTCTAGGACTATGGTCGTTGTTGGTCTCGTCACTGACAACCACCGATGTGGGATCTGCGACTGTCTTTTTCTCGCCAGACATTTCAGTCTCAGCGGAGCTACGCCCAGTGGCCAGTCCATCCAAGATGCTGTCACGATCGAAAGCAGTTTCTTCAAGACCGAAGTAGAAGACGACCAGAGTACAGCCGGAGATGATCAGAGCAAACCAGCCCATCCAGCGCCAGCCGAGCGGACTATCCGCGATGAAACCAGAAAGCATGGGCCCGAGGAAAGTACCAACCGAGGTCGCAAGCACATAAACACCCAAAACGGAACCACGCTGGTGTTGGAAGGTAACGTCTGTCAGAGACAGTTGTGCGGTTGCCTCTGCAACAGACTCAGAAATTCCCAGGAATAACTGACAAAGGATAGTATCCGCCTTGCCATCGGATCGGGCGAACCAGACGCTACCGATGATTGAAGAGATCAGACAGATGATGTATGAGATACGTCTGCCATACAACCAGTTGGCAGACGACAGTGCCAGGCACGAATAGCCAATGCCCAAGAACAAAACACCCGCAGCAGTGTTCTGAACTCCCCAGCCAATGCCATATTCTTCGACCAGCGCTGTGCCCGCAGCACCAGCACTGTTGGAAGTGGCTGCTGTTAGAGCGGTTATGTACAACACCAAAGCAGCAGACCACATTCTGCGCCAGTAGCTCCAGTTGAGGGGGTCATTAGGTGATTCTGTTGGCTGAGGAAGCAACAAGATTTTGTCAGATGCTGTCGAGTCCGAATCTTCGAACAGACGGATGGTGCCCGAAAGCTCCTCGTGAGTGGAGTTGAAACGATCCATTGTGCAGATTAAATTATTCTTCACACTGCGTACCAGGCGGTCACAGAGACTGGAGGAAAATGATGTCCAAAGTTGAGTTTCCAATGAATCGCCGAGTTCAAGAGCGGATTTACCGCGCAAAATTGAATCACAATCTTTTCAAATCCTTCTTCGTGTGGCAATTCCAGAAATTGTTATCGCGGATCTATGATTTGCTGGTTCCAGATGGCGGCAGTCCACGGCAGAAAAGGTCGATCGCTGAAGAGTAGGTAGACACAGATAGAAATGTTCCCAATTGTAAGGGTATTATTGAATGCCCTTGACGTATCCGAATGCTACGAGCATCATTGCAATAGAGAAGAAACCATTAGGTGCGCGGAGTTCAAGAGGAAATAGGTACTGGTTGAGGAAAAAAGTTGTGTCGCGTGTCGGGTTCGCGAATTGCTGATAAGATCGAATTTTGCCGCACCGGAAATAAATTGCGGATGGCCACATTGCGAGCTGTGCGCCTCCCATGTCATCGCTTCCACGGGCAAGGTCACCAAGAATGATGAAGCGTGTGGACAGAAACATAGGTAAGTAAGGCAGTCGCAGAATCTGGCTTCGTAGGTATCCATTGAACATCAGCAGTGTCGTGCGTTTTGATGTCATTTCTGTTTCATAGCTCTCTTCAGCATGCCACAAAAACTCTCGAAGAGAATATGGTCTTTTCCCTTTATCCAGCGAACTTCCATGTCACCTTCTCTGATTTCAATGCGGAACTTCAATGACACTTCAACCTGATCTCCACCTGTGGGCACTTTCGCTGGTATGCTCGCTGATTTGCCACTTTCTTCTTCCATTTCAATCCTCTTACGCTTGCGTCTCGCTGATCGTGACCACACGTTCTGACTGGCGCTACCACAACCGGCCCATTTATCAGACTGCCAGAACCATTGTAAGGCAAGCGCTTCAAGCGTCGAATTGAGCAAATAAGCGGCTTCGTCCTGTGTGAAACCAATCGTGTGGATAGTTTGAGCCGTTGGGTAAGGAAGAATATGAGTACCAACATCGCTACCTCGGGCAACAGCCTGTGTTTGTTAGTACAACATTTGCGGTCTAGACGTTATGATTACTGACATTGCTTGGCCTTATCTCTCCGTAGCTCCAGCCCACAGCCCAACGTCGAGTCTTGTTCCCAGCACGAAGCAGTGTGACTGCCCAATTTGTGATGCCCAGCTCCTTCAGACGATCAATGACTTGATGAACACTAGATAGTTTTCCGAGCATGCTCGTATACCATCTAACAGTATCTTTCAACTCTCGACTCTCTTCGACCATACGTAGCACAAATCCAACATCGCCACCTGGACAAATCATCTCGACTTCTGCACCCGTGCATATCGCGCTTGGGGAGTTGCTCTTACCCGCGCTCGAAATTGCCATATCCTCTGCACTCGAATAGAAGGGCGGGTTACACATGGTGAAGCCAAGTCTGTCAATGCCAAATGCTTGCGGTGAGATCAGAGGATCCTCTGAGGTGTTTAGTTTGGTGGTGATCCTTGAACCCATACTGTTCTTCTCAATGTTGTTGTTTGCACATGTAAAGCTCGTAGGGTCGATGTCCGTACCAAGCATTTTCCAGGATGATCGCAAGGAGCATGCTAATAGGCTGTAGATGCATGACGCGCCGATGCCGCTGTGAAGACATCAGCTATACAGAACCTCGAATACCACCATCTGTCTTTAGACCTTACATATCAAGCCCGGTGACCTCTTCCTTCGACAAGTCTTCTACGTCAATGTCGTTGGTCGTATCCATCAGGTCTTGGAGCCATCGAACATAGCTGTACCTGACAGGGACAGGAGGACAAAGTCTATCATCCAGCAGCTCGAGCTCAAGATTGAAGTCGCGCTTCAACAAGCTTTTAGTAAGCTGTCTTCAAGAAGTCAGTCACATGTCAAATGACATCCATCAAGGAAGAATAGTGTCGAAGAATTGCAATGGGACCAGTCCCAGACCGGGGCCCACGCGTGTAGCGTTGCATCTAGAAACCGGGTGTGCTTCAACGTGGAGAAGATATTGATGTTCTTGCGTCCATGATCAAGGATGACATACTGTAATGCTTTTGGGTCCTGGAAATCAACATGCGCATTCGCGTTATCATAAAATTTGGCAAAGTCGGGGTCAGTCAATGCAAGCTCCTGAAAATCGACATCTTGGTCATAGTTTGGCACTCCTGACGGAGAGGTCATATTGTTTGTGCTGGGTGAAGGGAAAATGGCGAAGTCGAAGTGGATGGGTTGTAAGGCGAAAGGTGGAGAGAAGCCAAGGCCAAAGTCGCTCTGGCAGGGCGTCAAACTACAAAGATGGAGACATAAATTTTGAATAAATAATACAGAAGTGAAGTGAAGTGAGGCAAAAGAAAAATCTCGTCTATTTTCAAACACGATCGGTACTCCAAACAATGCAAGCCGAACGCCATACCCATGTCGTAGACTGATCATGAATGCTAGACAGCGAAACCAAAGGAGCCATCGAACTCCCAGATATCTGGGTCTTCACCCAATCTAACTTGTTCAAAGGTAGGAACAACGTCTGGCGCATAACTCTCGAGCAGTGCCTCCATGTCGCGCTCCTCCATTGTGCAAAAGTCCTCGAGAGACCATTTGTCGCAGACCTTGATCATCCTACAAGAGGTTAGTATGAGGTGTGCTGTGACAAGACGGGTACACGGATACATACCACTTCATTCTCTTGGGTCCCTCTTCATTGCCGGGAGCCACGACTCTGAGCTTCTTTCTCAGAGCTCCCACCTTCTTGATAGCCTCGCCCATTTTGGGCGGTAAGCTAGCAGCAATTCTCCTGCGCACGATGTTTGCCATCCTAGGACCGTTTCCGCTGGTGCTGACCATGATCTGTAGAGGGCCATCTCTGTACTGGCTACCGAAGTAGAAGTCGCACTCTGGCGGCACGTCTGCAATGTTTGCAACAATTCTCTTCTCTTTACACAGCTTCCAGATCATGGTCGAGGCTTCCGGGTCGTCGATTGCAGTCATGACCATTGCGATGTTTGGATCATCGAGGTCCGAGGGCTCAAAGGTACGATCGATGTATTCCACAAGGCCTTGTTCGACACGGTGGGCGACTTCATCATTGAGACCGGAGCGAGGGCTGATAAGACGGACTTTTGCGTCTGAATTGAGAAGGTTCAGGATGCGACCGGCGGCTACCTTGACTTGTTGGTCAATGTCAACATTCAAGGTGGGATATAACTTTGTGTATGACTAACCTCGCCGCCGCCAACCATCAGCACCAGCTTGTTGCGGATCTGCCAGGCGAGCATCAGAGAGCCGCCGCCCTCGATTTCTGGGAATTTGGCCATGGCAAGGACTGTATATGCAGAAGATTAGAATGTGAGGAAGACAAGGCAGATAGTCATGTGGATTCTGTACAAATTAAAGACGATTAGCGATAAGAAAGGCAAACCCCGCGGGAAAGGTCGCATCGGCGCATGGCCATGGCATCATCAACTGTTGGTCCATGCAACGGCCCGAGAACAGCGAGGGGCGGTCAAGTCGAGAGCATCGTAAACACAAACAAGTTGTCTGTCGGCCTCGCGCCGGATCGAGTTCGAGCACCCCACGATGGCTTCGCGAAGGTCTCTAGGAGGAGGCCGCGTCTTGGGCAGCGGCCGCGAACTGTCGCCCGCCGTCATTCCCCAGCGCCCGCACCAGCTCACGCCCTCGGAAAGCTCCCTGTCACTGGCTTCCAGTTCACACACATCCACCACCGAAACAGACGACATCGCGTCGAGAGTCGCCCTCGACGCAAACAATGGCCCCGTCGGTGCGGCCGCCGCCAGCTCGCGTCTGGTCTGTCCCATCTGCAACGAGGACATGGTCACTCTCCTACAGCTCAACCGTCACCTCGACGACAATCACCAGAACCTGCAAGAAGTCGAGCAGGATGAAGTCAAGAACTGGTTCGAACAACAGATGAAAAAGGCGAAGCGTTTCCAGCCACTTGCCGTCCTCAACCAGAAGCTCAAGGGCCTCGACGTCTTCGAATCAAACGCTGTTGCCCCTACTTCGCTCGTCTCCACTACTCCACCTCGTACCGCCAACCATGCGCATACCACCTCCGCCTCCGCCTCCGCTTCCCTGCCTGAGACGAGACCCGATCCAGATGACGTCGTCACAAAAGCACACTGGCAACGCCCTTCAGTCCACGATTCTTGCTCGGACCCTCTGTGCGGAAAGCGGCTTGGAAACACCAATGGCAGCATCAACTGCAGACATTGCGGAAGACTCTTCTGTGAGGAGCATACCATGTATCAGATGAGGCTGTCTCGCTCCGCACAACACGATCCCGTGCGTGGCTTGTGGTGTCGCGTGTGCGAGACGTGCTACAAAAGTCGTCCGGGCTACAACGACCACTCTGGACTCGAGCGCAACCACACCGCTGAATTCGCTGCTATCCGTAGACGCACTGTAGACAAAGCATATCTTGAGGTCAGTCGATTGGAGAAGCGCCTCTCGAGGTTGACTCAGCTTCTGGCCAACCCGCCGCCGCCTGAGAACGACCAAAGTACTAGTAGCTTCTTGTGGTCTCTCACTGGTCCCAAGACACATATTCGCTCCTTGGAACAGTCTGTCGTGACCTGGGAAGATGATGCTTGCGTTCAACACTGCCCATTTTGCCAACAGCAATTCTCACAGTACTCTTTCCGCCGTCATCATTGTCGAATATGCGGTCGAGTAGTGTGCGGTGATCCAGCCACAAATTGTTCGACCAAAATCGGTCTGAATGTTGATGCACCCCTCACGAGTAATGGCCTGGAGAAATCTGTCGGTCAAGTGGCCGTCGACGTGCGCATGTGCAACGACTGCCAACATACCATCTTCAGCAAGTCTGACTTTGCTCGCCAACTCTCTGTACAGCCTCCAGATCAGCGCGCTTACGAGAATCTCGTCCAATTCGAACGTGGTATTCGTCTTCTTTTACCCAAGTTCCAAAAACTTCTTCAAGCGTTGCAAGATCCTGAGAAGGCCCCGACGCCAGCCCAACTCACTGACGCCACTAAAGTGCGCAGACGGCTCATGGACGCATTTACACAATATGACGTCGCAGCGAGACGTATTAGAGATCTTCCAGCTGACAGTCCGACTCAGGAGCGTCTGCAGAAGGCCGTCTATGCACAAGCAACCACTTTCTTACACTTGCACATGCTTCCCCTCAAATCGTTACCTAAGCTGCTTCAACATGCCACGCCACACGGCAAACCGCGACCCAAGTCGTCAGCTGATCCCTTGGCCGCCATCAGAAACGATCAGGTCAGGCCTCAAGGAAGTCGAGCAAGTAGCTCTTCATCTGCTCAAATCACCGCTCTCGAAGCCGAGGAGAAGGAACTGCGAGAGCGTATGATTGTTCTAGAAGAACAAAAGTTCTTCGTAGAAGGCATGATTGCAGATGCCAACAAACGAAGGAGATTCGATGAGGTAGCCAGTCTGGCTGGCAACGTTGAAGACTTGAGTAGGGAGATTGATCAACTACAAGGTCAGATTCAAGGCATGGATTTCGCTGGCGCTTACGCTGTCGGGCAGGAGATTTGATTACAACCATCCTTGCCTTCCACCAACGTTGCAGCTTTCGTGTATAGATTTTTGGGATTAGCGAGGCGTTTCTGGTGATCTGTGGTATTCCCATCATGGTTGGATAGTCAACCGACATCACATGATTCTTTTTTCTATTGCCTCCAGTGCTACTATGAGCCTGAGCAGACTTTCGTTTATGCTTGTCTCTATTCAATCCAAGCGTACAGCGGGGTTTCGAGACATGGAAGGAATATGTCCGAATTACTTCTTGTGTACTGGAAGACTCAAGGTCACCCCACCGCATTCTGCAAGAGTTGCGCCATAGCCTCGAGCTGATGCCGAGCATTGATATTGATCTGACATGTAACAAAGTTTAAGCGGCACCATGTCGTGAAGTTTTCTTGAGTGCCAGGGACTGTCAACATGAGGAAGCAGAGCACTCGGAGACTGACGTAGTACTTCGAGTGTGCTTAAAAGAGTAATCTCTGACATGATCAGCATATGATATGCTTGCTTTTCTCCATCTTTTGTCTTTCTCCGCATCGGATCCTGCAGCCGACTCCGAAATCTAGGGTCATCCTGGTTCTTGGTTCAGAACATGCACTCTCTCCGAACGCAGATCGTCATTGCGTGCGACCCCGTAAACCTGTTTCCAGTCAATTTCTGCCCCTGAACATCACTTTGAATGGTATGGTTGTACGAGTAAGGCATCAAAACTGATGTGGATAAACTCCTGCATCAGTGGACTTGGCTGAATGACGGAAGAAATGTTTCGTTATATTCGTAAGACCTCACTAACGCTTATGCAGACATGTCTTTTGGTGACCTCACCCACTGGTGATCCCAGGGCACCATTGCATCCTTTCCAAGTACTGCATTGATGGCTCTTTCGCTGATTTTCCAGAAGCCAGGTCCCAGAGAAGGATCTGCCGCTAGGTCTTTTTCTCGTCCTGGAACACCCTATAGTACACATGTCAGCAAATTGTGCACCAAATAAGGTAAGACAGAGCTAAACTCACGACATCGACTAGATATGCACCGTTTAGGTACTTGCTCTCTACATCGGGTGACGTCGCTGCGTAGAGAACTATGCGCGAGCTATTGCGTACCGTGAAACTGGTATCTTTTGACAAGGTATCCAGGATACGATCGCAGAGGTCCATCGGTTGCCAATAACTATCTCGTCTGGCGTGGCTACTTGCGTCCACAAGGTTCTTTGATGGTTGTACCGCAAGCGCATAGATGTTATCGTGATGGCGTTTGACAATACGATCGGCGAGACCGTGCCTGACTCCAAGGATCATACTCGTCTTTGACCGACGGAAGATTTCGGAACAGACTTCTTTGTCGTAAACTGAGCGGGCTGAGTCTTCTTCGTCACTTGAGGAGGCGTCGGAGAGACTTTGCAATCGCTGCTGTCCGGGCGCTTCGAAGATGACACGAGGAGCAGGAGCATCGGGGATCCGTGAGGTTCTGCGTAGTAATGGCCATAGAAGGTTGCTAGCATAGAAGTGACCAAGCCACATCATACCGAAGTAAGCGTCTATGCAGTGGATGTCGGTTGCGAAGTGGGCTTGATCGATCCCTGAGCCGAATATACACAGGTCCAGTCTTGGAAGTTCATGGCATAGTGTAGAGAACACCTCTTGGACTTGGATCAAGTCTGTCATGTCGCAGTATCGGTGTTCGATCGCCGCACCTTGGCCAACTTCATCACGGATCTGTGACACGGTCTTGGTGCCTTGCTTGTCTTGGACATTCACCATGATGACGCGGCATTTGTGGACAACGAGCGCTCTCGCAATTTCGCTGCTGCTTGTTTTTTAGCATCGAAGTCGACTATCGGTAGCAACAGACGTACCCAATCCCACATGCACCGCCTGTAACGATAGCGATCCGGCCTTGTAAGTCTGCCATGCCGTCTGGTGTTCGGAAGAAGGGAAAGTATGAATCTGCGGCGCGCATGTTGGCTTTTGCTCGGGAGTTGTTTGTGTTGTTATAGAAGAGGTCGAGATTGAAGTGTGGTCGGAGTAACAAGACCAGACAAAGCAGTCGGTCCAGGCGGACATATATACTGTTTAACAAAGGATGGTGGCTTGGAGAATCTTGATTGAGGGGGACAGTGTCGTTCCTGGGCAAGCCATTATATACGTACGTACTTTGTGTTTCGTCTGATACTCCAAGGGTACTACCGGAAGACCTGTTTGTGCATATGCGGGCCGGTGGGCCTGCACCTTATAAGCACCTGATTCTGAATAATGGTGGTGAGTGATCCGCATCCCTGTCATTCTTCCGCGGCTCTGTCACTAGCTTGGGTTTCCCCGGAAGCAGATAAGCGATCGTGTGTCGTCGCATTCGGCAAGAATTGCGTTGGAATGTTGGCGGATTCTTGTACGCGCTTCCTTGATTTGCCTGGGAACGATTCAGGTTTTCTGGAAGCTCACGAGCAGTCGCAGACCAAGCCTCCAAGGACTTGACCTGCTCCTTCTCCACGTAAGCTCTTGAATAGAGAGTTGGTCATCAAGCTGCGCCCGGTCATTCCTTTGTTTGTCGCGTTGCTTCAGCCATTCGTTGACCAAGCCAGTCGCTGCACCAAAGAATATCCGAACCCGGCAGCAGTTGCAGGAATAGCAAGGTTGACAGCCTACACATAACGGCCGCGAGGCTAGGAAAGAAGACATGCGCGTAGCAGAAGGCTCTCAACATTAGAAGCGCGCCGCCTGTAAACATGACGTACCGGTCCCGGCTGATTGGCTTCGCTCAGCACCAAACTCCAGAACGCCGTTGATGGTATGAACCAAAGATGAGCGTGGTGTCGGTCATACAGGCCCAGTTCACTTTCTTGTTGAGCACTCAACTCGTGCGTTATCTATGGGACTTCATGAAGATCTGCGATGTTTGATATGAGAGGTGGCCCATGTGGTTTCGTGAGTGCAGCATGATGCCCTTTCGCACTGGGAAGGCCGCAGGCTGCGCTTCGTTGGCGATGGCTTCGATCTGCCGATACGACAATCCATCACAGAGGTAACTTCACTATATATCACGTTGCTACTAGCCAATCAAGACGCCTTTGTCGGCAGACAGAGTACACAGGATTGGATCATATCTGGAATCTTTCTGATGACTGCTACGTGATCAATACTTCCATCCATTGCTATCGTTCAACCTAGGAGAGACGAGGTGATTGGGTCATCGAGCAGGGTCCGGGCATATGCATACGGCTGTCACATCTTCCATCACTACGGCAGACTGCCTCCCATGCTGTTAAATTTTCCAGTTGATCGTACCACAGAAGTGTGATAGAAAAACTACCTGTGTTACGTTAGGCGCCGTGGCAGACGACCTCCACTTTGCTCAAGTACCAGGAATCGGAAAGGGCACGCCTGCCTGGCGTCGTATCACCAGCACATCTGGTTGCCGAGCTCTTGGTGATGCATATGATATAGTAAACAATTTTTGGCTCTCTCGGTCTCGAGACCACTATCAAACTTCGATTGATCAGCCTGGCGTGAGCTTTATCTTCAGCTGTGAAAGATCGATCATAATTCGTCTTTTTCTTTGCGAGCGCTTTTTGGCTTGCTGCATACATATGTCAGTACTAGCCGGGCGCGGACTGTGGGTAAGGACATACGGCTTGAGGTACTTCTTGAACAAGGCGTTCATAGTCTTCAGGTGGAGGAAACCATCGGCATCTTCTCCCAATCCCCATGCGAAGACTCCTCCGAGCTTGCGGAATTTTACTATAGCCGGAAACTTCTCCGCCATACTCGCAGGTGTATCCCATGACCAGAAGATCTTCTCTTGAGCATCCCAGTAATAGTTACCATCATTGTCCCATTTTCTGTTGTTCAAAGCAGCGTGGAATGATTTTTCGAGCTCCTTGGGCACCTTATCGTGCCATGAGAACGCTCCCGACCTTTCAAGGTCATTGCCAGTCTTTGGGTCTTCCATCAACACTGTCTTGCAGCCTAGCGGTTCCTGGCCGCATTCGCCTTCTGTCCTGAACCATTTGACATACCAGGCAAATCCCAGGTTCACCTTCTCAGTTGGGACGCCATTCGTCAGATATGTGTCTATGGCAATAAGTGAGTTGCCGATACCCGTGTGGTGAATGGTGACATTATCTCTGCGGTTCATCAGGTCGTAAGTCATGATGTTCAGGAAGTCGAGACTTTTTACAACGTCGGCGAGGGTGTCCTTTGTGAACGCTACTTGGATGTCGACGGGCTTGCCCCTTATAGGTCATTAGCATGGTCCATATTCAAAGAAGCGCATCACACCACGAGTCAGATCAGCCAGCTTCGAGATGCATGTGTTTATGTAAAATCAATTCCAGAGTTGAACGGCGGCTGTCAGCTTCGCAGAAGACCGATCTGACAGTAATTCGTTTCGGAAGTGGTCGCCGTTACTGTCAGTCTTCGGCTCATCTTGCTTACGCCTCTGACAACAAGGCCTCGCGCCTGTTGGCACTCGAATACTTTGAATTCGCTAGTGCATGCCAGACGTGCTTGAACAGCTCCAACAGCCTGACTCATGGGTGGCTTTATATTCAGAGGACTTACGGGACTGCTGCTGACATAATCTTGTCAGGGCCTACGACGGCTCGAATCTCAGCCAGTAACTTAGGATAGGCGCCAACTTCCCAGCTCTTTTCAGAGTTGGTGATTTTCTTATAGTCCTCTCCATTTCCTCCAGGGTACTCCCAATCCAGATCGATGCCATCAGCGCCGGTTGAATCGAGCATGGCTTTGACGTTTTCGGCAAAAGCCCTTCTTCCCATCTGGGAGGCGGCAGCTGCTGAAAAGCCATTTGTATCACCCCAACCACCGATAGCAATGAGGATCTTGACAGCAGCTTTTCTATTCTCGGGAAACTTGTCGCGAACACTTTTGACAGACGTGAAAAGGGGCCAAGTGGAGGGACGCTTTCCAGTGAATGTTGATGACTTCATGAAAGCCAATGCGACGTGCGTCACATCCGCGAGCTGGTTGACTGGAGGGAAGACAGGATGCTGTCCAGTAACGTACAGGACATAACGTGAGGCCTGGCATGTACAAACTAGGGCAGCGACCAGCGCCAGCAGAAGTGTGCGCATTGTGAGTTTCGTTGGTATATACGTGGGAATTTGGCAGTGTGGATTGTCAATATCGGACGTTCTGAATGTGGAGGCTTGTCCTATGTCATGCTGTCGAGGTGTGGATGTGCGGCAGGAATCATAATTTGCCCAATACGGACGCGAAAGATCGTCATCCACACATCTCGTCCCACGATCAATCCCGGCTTCACTCCTCTCGGCATATTCTTCCTCCTTACAGGTTGTCGTCTATCGCACTGATCACGAGGTAACTTTGTTAATCACTGCTAGTTTGATATGACGCTACAAACTTTGGCACGGTTGCACACTCAGGCAAGCACAGAGGCTGCTGCTTACGCGTGGCAGCGGAGCGAGAGACGCGTCTGCAGGCAGAATGGCAACTACCCGCTCCGGCCGCTACTTAGGGCAAACCTCTGCGTGTCTCCAGGTACTATGGGAGAACTTTCTGCATGGAACCAAGCCCTGTATGAGCTGTCGCGTTCTAACGTGGCCGCGACATTCAATCAAAACCCAACAAGCCGCGAATTCGCGACACCTGTGCATCATACTCTACATACTCGAGTCTCGCATGACCAGAGCTATAGACGTGCATGATCATTTTGCGAGAAAAACTATGCCTCTTCATTGCTCACTCTTAGCTACATCTCAGGACCGGTAAGTGTACGAAAGGCCAAACTTAGCACACAGGGTCCACGCAAGCAAGCTGGGAAATTCATCTGTGTTTCATCTGATCGATTCCTCAGTATGTGGGGTTTGAGTAGACACTCACAATGCCCGTGGCTACGTACTTTGGTCTGTTGAGTCTGAGTATAAGTTGAAACGACACCACAGGGCTATATTGTTATGCCCTAGGCCAACCTCCCTTTTGGTTGCCTGCTTACGACGACACATGTAGATACTGGAATATGATGGCCGGGCACTCCACACGCTTGGAGATATATATCTCAGCCATTTGACCTCAGCTGGATCGATAACTTCCCAGGTTCGTTTACCTCGCTGCATATTTCACGCAAACCTTTCAACACTCGTTATGAGGACCAGTGCTGCCATCTTGGGCGCTGCAGCTCTTTGTGCTGCGTCATCTAACACCACTGAAGATGGTTTGGTCACCAATGGAGTGGTCTCCCTCGGAGATTGGCAGACTGCCTTTAACAAGGCTCAGAACTTTGTCTCACAGCTCACGATCGAGGAAAAGATCACCATAATCGGAGCTGGATCTCTCACCAACAGCTCTGCCAACTGGACTGCACTCGGAATCACCGATGGTCCTCAAGGAGCCGAGAACTTCTATTATGAGAGTGCATTCTCTATGACATGCGCTCTGGCTATGACCTGGGACAAAGATGCTATCTACAAACAGGGCAAGGCTGTGGCTACTGAGTTCTACCAGAAGGGTTTACAGGTCTTAGCCGGTCCTGTGTCAAATCCGATGGGCAGATCTGCATGGGGTGGTCGAAACGGCGAATCGTTCGGACCGGATAGCTATTTCAATGGTATTCTGGGTGGAATCAGCGCTAAGGCCTACCAAGCTGGTGGCGTTATCGCTGGTGGTAAGGTATGCTATACTATCCCGTCCACGTTGTATTAGTGCCATTGACCATTTACCAGCACTTCATCTTGTACGAACAAGAGACCAACCGCACTTCGTCCGGCGGTGGTATGGGTGGCGGTATGGGTGGCGTGTCCGGTAACAGCAGCTCCATGCCCTCAGGCTCTGCACCTTCGGGTTCTGTTCCATCAGGCATGATGCTCAGAGTCAGAGCGGATAACTCTTCTTCGATTGTCTCAGGAGAAGATTCAAGCGACACTGCCCCGTACTCTTCCAACATAGACGACAAGACTTTCAGGGAGACCTATTTGTGGCCCTGGTACGATATCATCAAGGGTGCGTTTCCTCGATAGGGCTTTGTGTATGTCTGCTAATCTCAACCTAGCTGGTACTGGTGCTGTCATGTGCGCGATGACTGAGATCAATGGTACTGCAGCCTGTGAAGATGAGTCCCTCCTTATGGGCACACTCAAATCCGATCTTGGTTTCCCTGGTATGGTCTGGCCTGATCAGAACGGACAGAAAACTGCACTTGGTTCGGCTACTGGAGGTCTGGACTACGGATCATCCAGCACTTGGTCCACATCGACTATCAACGCCTTCTTGAGCAATGGCTCTCTTACCGAAGCACGCCTCGATGATATGGTCATCCGTAATGTCATCGGCTACTATAGAGCTAATCTGGACAATGGAGAGCAACCTTCAAAGGCCGAGGTACGTGTGTTGAAGAAGGACCGGTATGATCTCGTCTCGAAGGACCGATCTATGAAGCAGTCCATGCCTCGTTCGCAAACTCGATACACCTCCATTCAAGAGATGCTAACTTCACTTTGAAACTTAGTACGACGACTATGTCGATACCATGTCCAGCCATGCTGAGATCATTCGAGAAAATGGAGCCAAGTCAATCGTCCTTCTCAAGAATGAAGGTGGTCTCCCCCTCGACAGACCTAGAAGGATCAGTATCTTCGGATCTAATGCTGGACCTGTGATGGGGGGACCCAACATGCAATTCACTGTCCAAGGATCTGGACCAACATACCAGGGTCATCTTGCCAGCGACTCTGGCTCTGCTCAATCTTCGTTGCCTTATCTCATCACTCCTGACGCAGCTATTACATTGAGAGCATCCAAAGAGCACACTAATGTCAAATGGATCTTAAATGACACGTACACTGCAAGTAGCTCTGGCAACACTCTGGTAACCCTCTCCTCCTCTGAGACTGCTGTAGATGCTTCTTATGCTGGCTACGCCGCTGCGAGTGATGCATGCCTGGTTTTCATCAACGCTCTTTCTGGTGAAGGTGCCGATCGCACTGAGCTATACAACAACGATCAGGATACAATGATCAACACCGTAGCAGCCAACTGCAACAACACCATCGTCATTATCAGTACAACTGGTGTTCGCCTAGTCGATCAGTGGATCGAGAACGAGAACATTACTGCCGTTCTATACTCTGGTCCCCTTGGCCAAGAAAGTGGCAACTCTATCACGGACGTCCTCTATGGCGACGTGAACCCTTCGGGCAGACTCATACATACGATCGCGAAGAATGAGTCGGATTATAATGTCGAGATTTGCTACACCAAGAACTGCAACTACACTGAGGGCAATTACATCGATTACAAGTACTTTGAGCACAGCAACACTACTGCTCGTTATGCCTTTGGTCATGGCCTGTCATACACCTCTTTTAAGTATAGTGATCTTCAGAGTACTAAGCTCATGTCCAACCTCTCGTACCACGCCAATGGGCGTCTGGAGGTCGGCGGCCGTGCAGACCTGTTCGACGTCGTCGCTCAGGTATGTTGAGTCATTTCCGAATGCCACAGAAGCACACTAACAAGCATAGGTCGATGTCAACGTACTCAACACCGGTTCGCGCGATGGGGCTGAGGTTCCGCAGCTCTATATTGGTTACCCCGAGGGCTCCGCGGCTGATCAACCAATCAAGGCTCTTCGCGGCTTTGAACGTGTAGAGCTCAGGAAAAACGGAACCAGTCAAGTGAAGTTCCAGCTCAGGCGTAGAGACCTGTCATTCTGGGATGTGACTGCTCAGGAGTGGGCTCTACCAACCGGCAGCTTCAAGGTGTATGTCGGAGCTTCTTCGACAGATATCCGCCAGACAGGTGTCCTCGCTATGTAGGTGAGGCTTTTGCTCCCAGTGTGGAGAATGAGGAGAAGGATAAACTCCTGCAGGGCGGAAGCAAGAGACAAGATGCTTGTGAAGTTGTTGTTGGACCTATTTCGTCTATCACATTCATGTTAACAACGTTTATTTGCATGTGTTATACCTAGTTGACGTGACTTCGCTGCAACCGCAATATTATCTCTGGACAGTTCCGATGACTTCATGAAAGCTTCGTGGTTCGGCTGATGGCTACTCGATGTCATCGCACTGGTTTGCCAAACATTATCAGTCGCTGTCCTTCGGAGACCGCAGACGAAGTTCTAAAAGCTGCAGCAATGCACAATCATATCTTGGAGCGATATGTCGTCAGCGAGAGCGTAGCTACATATGAATTTTCTCGTCCGTCGCTCTGCTCAACCAGAAAAGTTCGTGCATTCACCGGCAAGAGCGGCTTGGCGTGCGTCGAAAGAAAGCTCGCAGACTTGCGTAGGGTGACCCACCACTTGTCATGAAACTCACAATTGGCGGCCTGTCCTGTTGGGATCCAAAGTCATACTCTCCATCATTATACGATCATCAGAACTGAAGACTCAAAGCTGTGATAATCGATGTTGGGCTCCTCAATGGGCGTGTCATGTCTGACTACGGTACTCATGCTGGGTTGCGGCCGGCCTGAGCATGGGCATCGTTACTCAATCTTCGAGATCGACGTTATCTGTAACACAAGCACGTCCCGTCGGAAGGCCGTAGCCGGTCCGGATGTGCCTGGAGATCATGAATCTTTTCTCAACTCAGACGATTGCACTGCACCACTGCATTAGAAGTGGCTACTCACGTACCCACAGATTACGGCACAGACATTGGCACTGCAGAATATGCGAGGTACGGTAGACATGAAAAGTAGGTCGCTCCTGCCAAATCTCGAATCTTTCACCTCTTGTCAATCACTCTTATAAATCGATCCCTAATATGTTAAAGTCACTCATTTTGACGGCCGCCTCCTTTGGCCTTGCTGCTGCAGTTACTTGCGATGAATTGGCTGCTTCTCTCACCTTCGAGGATGTTGATGCTTCTGTGGCATCCTGCAGCTATCACACTGCTGGAGAAATTATCAAGATCACTGGCGAACAAAGTGTCTGTTTCTCGGAGATAGAGACAGAGATCGATATGTGCAGAGTAGTTCTGAATGTAGCCACTAGCCCTACTTCCCATAACTACATGGAAGTCTGGCTCCCTAGCGGTAACAGCCCCTGGAATGGCAGGCTGATGGGTACCTACAACGGTGGCCTTGCTGGCTGTGTCGAATACAAGGACGTGAAGTACATGAGCTCAAAGGGGTTCGCTGTCATGGGTGACAACGGGGGAGTAAGTACACTTGATCAGTACAGAAATCCATTTTCGAAATATTTACTGATCCTCTCTGCAGCATAACTCCAGCACAGCCGATGGCTCCAAACTACTTAACGACAACGAGGCAGTGATTGACCTCTCATATCGTTCAAGACATCTCTCGACCGTCGCCGCGAAGCAAGTTGTCAAGCAGTACTACAATCAGCCACCCAACTATACCTACTACGTCGGATGCAGCACTGGTGGTCGTCAGGGCCTTAAGTCGGCTCAGGAGTTCCCTGAAGATTTTGATGGCATTCTTGCCGGCTCTGCTGCCGCCGACTTCAACCACTTGAGCGACTGGACATCTAGGTTCTTACTGATAACTGGCTTTGGCAAAGACGACAGAGCTCTGTCTCGGGACCAATGGGTCTATGTTCACGAAGAGATTCTTACTCAGTGCGACGAGCCCCTGGATGGTGTTGCAGACGGCATCCTCGAAGACCCGACGATTTGCGTCTTCAATGCTACGGCTCTTCAATGCGGACCTAGCTCCGACTCTCGTTGTCTTACTCAGACCCAGGTTCAGACCGTCGATGACGTCTACTCTGAACTGTACGATCAAGGCGGCAACCTTCTTTACCCCTCTCTGTCACTCGGAGCCGAGTTGGTCGCATCTCAACAAGGACTCTTCAGTGGTTCAGTCATCGGAAATGCGGCAAATTGGATCGCAAACGCAGTATACAACAACAGTTACTGGGACCCTACCACCCTGAGCCAGGAGACCTACACCAAATCCGACGAGACCGATATTCTGCACGGAAACATCTCGACCTGGAACGGCGATCTCAGCTCCTTCCGTAAGGCTGGCGGTAAGCTGATGATGTATCACGGTCTTGCCGACCCCAACATCGCCGGCGAGAACTCCCAACGATACTACCTCCACGTTGCCAAAACTATGGGCGCAACCGATGAAGAGCTTGACAAATTCTTCCGCTTCTTCCGTATCTCGGGCGGCGACCACTGTAGCTCTGGAGGTGTAGGCGCTTGGGCTTTCGGACAAATTGCTGCTGGTAGATATGGTCGCCATAACGCCATCGATCAATTGGTGGCATGGACTGAGAAGGGCATCGCTCCTGAGACCATCACTGGAACCAAGTTTGTCAACGACGACCCTAACCAAGGTGTTGCCTTTGAACGCAGTCACTGCAAGTTTCCTTATCGTACTACCTACAAGGGAAATGACTTTGATCCCAATGTCACTACCAGCTGGACTTGCGAGAAGATCAACAACTGGCAGGAATGTGGTCCTGGTGCACTTCCCAGACTTTGTTAGACACCTCGTTGTTTCACATCGAGGCTCCTCACATTGTGCTAGCTGGATGGACTCATGATCGATCAAATGATAATGCGGTTTATAATCTCTGATATAGTAGACTTCACTTCTCGCAACTTGACTCCCTCTCGAATTTGTTCGGCCTCCACCCAAATCGACTTTGCCATGCGACAGTGAAGTTTTACCGTGACAGAACGAATACGGAATACCAGATCAGGCACCCATCCTAACCAAGAGCCGCTTGTTTCACATTGATTGATCGCCAAGATGTGCATATGCAAGCCTCACATCTGGACGTCCATGCTCTATCTCGGAAGCTTAGTGCAGTCTAATAATACCTCGCTTGCATGTTAAAAGACAAGCGATCCGAGAACAATAGGCTTTTGAACTCAGGGCAGGGCATCTAATGGATGGGGGTTCAAAAAGGGAAGAGCGTTTGGGGCAGGTGCGTTCCTTGGTCGACAGATGAACACCGTTGTTAGCAAGTGCAATGCACCAAGCGGATTACAACGCCTTCTGCTTGATTGAACTTCACGCGTGTGGTCAAATCTGAAAGGGTCCCCGGTGTTTAGACGAATATGTCGTCTTGAAAAGCAACTGAATCAATTGGCTACGTTGTCCTTGCGACCCTTGACTCCCACACCAATGCTCTGCGATCACTATTTTAGCCTTCCATCCACGTGTTTATACGCCGGCAGCAACGTCGCTACCACCACCAACACCTTCAACCTTGATCAAGAACTCTCTGACTCTGCCCGCCTCCTCTCTTCCCAATGCCCCCTTTTCTGACTCAACAGCCGCCAGAAGCGCACTTAACTGATCTTCAACCTTGTCTTCTGCAACACCCGTACATAAAGACACGACTTTACGGTACAAATATTCGAGCTGGGTAGAGCGAGACTTGAGCTGGGTCGACTTTTGCTGCAGGCGATCATTGTTTGACTCGTAGACCTTTTTCAGGACACGCAACTCGGATATTGAGGGCGTGTTGTTGAGTATCTGCTGTTGGAGTGAAGACGAAAGCTGTTGCGCGACTTGAGTTGGATCTGCAATATCAGAGGGCAGTCTTTCGGCAACGGCAAGCACAGTGGAGACAGAGTTGTCTGCATCTCCCACCACTGAACTTGTCTTTGTCACTTTTCTGCCGTTGCGGTGGCGTTCTTCTAAGATGCGTTTCAGGTTAGCGATCTTGGACTGGCCTTCACTGCGAGATTTGGCGCGGCGCTGGAGAGTTGCTAATTGGTCGCTCTCAGTCTTTGCGACTGCTGACAGCTCTTGGATCTGAGCATTCAGCTTGTCGATCTGAGTAGTCTTCTCGGCGAGCAGTTGTTTGTGCTGGGCGAGGTTTGCAGTAAGCATGCTAGTGAGTGACGCAATAACGTCTTGGTTCTGCTCCTCAATGATGTTCGTGTTGGAGACAGGTGTTGTTTCCTTCTCGTTTGCACCTTCTGTGGTTGTGTTCTGTGATGGTGGGCGGGTCGACGCTTGTTGTGCTTGTGAGAAGATGGGGTCAATGTTCGAGGTATTGTTGAAGCCAGCGTCCGCTTGTCCGTTCTCGTCCTCTACACCTACACCAAAGTCGCGAGCTGTGATGCCTTTTTGATTGGGAATAGTGGGGTCAGCTTTGACTTCCAGGAGCTGCTGGATGATGCCTCTATTGCCAATTCTGGCGGCTAAGTTGAGGGCGGTGTTGCCTGCCTTATCCCGCGCATTTACTATATGCGTCAGGAAGCGCATCAGGTTGATTCGCTCTTTTCCTGTCTGTCCGGGCGTTGCAGAGCCATTCTCCACGGGAGCAGGTTTTGACACGCTACGGACCAGAAATTCTAGCAAAGCCTCGAGATAATACTTGCTACTGGGTGCTCGGCCTTTAATTCCGCAGGACACTGCGATATGGTGGAGAATTGTGCGGGCTTGAGAGTCTCTCACTTCAATCAAAGGACTGAGAAGCTCCAGTACGTCAGGGAAAGAGGAGTGTTCGCAACAATTGTTCACCAATACTGCCGAGATCAGGGCACTCTGTCCGGCAGCATTGCCACGAAATATGTTTGCACCTTTCTGAATGAGCAAGCGGAGCAACGGCAGTCTCGACAGTGTTGCAGCCCAGTGTAGCGCAGTGTTCGCTGAAGGATCCAGAGGTATGTCTAGATCTTGTGGTGACAAGGAAAGGAGTGCTGGATGTGAAGCAAAGTCTTGCCTCGATGACTCGGCAAAGAGGTCGAGGAGAAGTTGGCGCTTGTTCTCTTCGTCTACACCCATAGGTGCTGGTAAGGGAGGAAGTGTGACCGGCTCGTCTGAACCATTCACGTTCTCTTCTAGATATTGCTGGGTGCTTTGGACGAAGGATTCCCCAGGTTCTGTGGGATCAAGTGACATGATTGACGCGTCTACAGGTATGTCGTCGTTTGGTCGCATGCGTTTTCTAGGAGGTTCCTGACCACCTGGTGCCTGTCGCCACGCGGGATTTTGTGTGTTGTAGCCGGAGTCGGGCATCTGGTTGTTGTGGTAATTGGCATCAGCCACGATGCTGTGAGAGGCATTTTGTTGCTGCTGTTGGGAAGAGCGTCTCATGTGGCTCGGACGTGCGGGTGAATTGAGACGAGCGGCCTTGTTCAAAGCAGCGAGAGCGACAGAGGACATGGGGGAGATGTTCTGGAAGAAGGTGTTTGAGGCGGTGGGAGCGTTTCTATCCTGTGCACCGGCGGCGTAGAATCTCTTTCGATTGGCAGCCATGGCTTGTTCCTTGGTTGGAGTCTCTGTCGTCTGACCGGCACCGGAGCCATCGAGGTCGTGCTCCAACAAGGGAAGCAAGAGATCCTCGACGCCGTACTGGCGGCAGAACTCACGACCTCTGCGGTAGGCGATCCAGGTGCCTTGGTATTTGCCGTATCCACCTTGGACTTTCTCGTGCTCGCCAGGTAGAATCTCCTTTTCAAGAACCTTTGTGCGTTTTCCCTTGTCAACACCGGCAACCTTGAGGATCTGTGTAGCGTTGAGCCAGCCATCTGCGCGTCGTCGCATGCAAGCAATGCTGTTCACCTCCATTTCGTAGACTTGGACTCCAGAGTATACGGCCTAACTTTACAGTCAGTGCGTGTTACGCGATAAGCATGAAATGGATTGCGAACCGTGTATATGGTGGGCTTCTCGAACGTGGGACGCATGCTTTGCTGAGGAGCAGGTGCTGATGCTCCTTGGCCGTAGCCGGCATCTTGTAGGGCTTTGAATGTCTGAGCCATGCCTGGCGATTGAGCGACGGCGTATTGAGCTGTCTGGGAGCCATAGGGCATCGAGTAATGACCTTGGTCTTGCGGCGTCCGATTCGTGTGATGCGTCATTCTGGCTGGATCTTTGTGTAGATGACTATGTATAAGATGATGAGACACCTACGGGCAGTCTATACGCAGATCAGGGTGTGTAGAGATGGCAGCCAAAAGCATCACCACCCAAGTCTAAAGTGCTCAGCGATATGTCGCGAGTTGCTTTCGAAAGACGTGGAGCGCGTTTGTCTGGTCCGTGCGCAATGGGGTCCATAACGCGTTCTCGCTATTGGCTTACGCTCCGATTGCACTATCAAGGCGTATTCAATCGCTGGTCCGCACTCGTCTTTCGTATCGAGTGCTGACCTGCATAATCTCAGGGGGGAGCTTCGACTTTTCGAGACAGCATGTTGAACCTCAGCGTAGAAGAAGGTCATGGGCCAATTGGCTGTTCACATTTGGGCGCTCTCCCATTCCGTTTACTATAGTACATAGATGTGCATATAACGCCGACCCAATCGATTCTGAACATGTACAAGCTGAAAGACACCACATGCAACTCCTCTAACGTCTGCGGAGGTACCAGTTGAACGCTAGAGCCATTGTCTCGTTGGCAAACGGCGTGGGCACTTCTGCCAATCCAGGTCTAGCTACCGGGTGACGGAGGTAGACAGCACTGCAGATCTTCTGGTTGACCTCCAAGTACCGCGGGATGAATGCAAATGCGCTCATGAACTCACGCGGCCTCCATGGTGTGGCATAGGGCTTTGATGCATCAATCGGGTTCTCGTTGGCACGCGCAAGGGCGGCGTGTAGTAGTTCGGCATCCTTGCGAGCACGGAAAGCGTCTTCTTTCTTGGCTTGCTTTTGTTGCTGGTCTGGCAGGGCTGCTTCAGCAGGTGCACCTTCGGCGGGCAGTTTGGCAGCGATGGCGTTCAAAGTCTCCTCCAATGTGTCGATTGTCTCGGTACCAGGCTTAGCAGCACCGGAAGGCCGGAGACGCGACATGGTCTGCTTGACTGACTTGGCGAAGGCGCGGAGATCCTGCTTGCGCTTTCCGGATAAACCTTCCTTGCTATCTCTCGTGATGTCTTGAGCACGGGCGAGCAACGATCTGAGAGCGGCTTTGGGATCCTCGTTGGCCAGATCAATGGTCTTGATGGATTTCTTGGAGGCCTCGTCATTCTTCTTGCTCTCGGAGCCATCTACAAGATCCTCTGCATCTTCATCCACGATCTGTCCGACCTCGTCTGACTCTTCACGGCCTTGTAGTGTGTCGGGGTTGTTCTTATTGTGCTTACGAGCGCCAGTGGCGTAAAGAACGCGCTCGGGTTCTACTGAGAACATGTCGCCAGGGTTGAGGAGATAGCCAGGGTGGTTCATCTGGACATGTCAGCTTTGCGAAACCTCTGAGGTTTTGGGCAGACGGCGAACTAACCTTCTTTCCATTGACCTTGACAAAGCCGTGGACTACGAATTGCCTTGCCTGACGAGCACTACTGGCGAACAAGGCACGCCACACGGCCGTGTCCAGTCTGCGCTCGGTTGGGAAATATGTCATGTGCATGTAAGGCGTCCTTTGCGGTGCTTTCTCTCTGGTTTCCGATCGATCGTCGTCCTTCTTCTTTGAGATGTTGAGACCAGAGCCACGGCCAGCAGCCTGCTCTGAACCGTCTGTACGGGCGAGGAGTTTGTAGTCCATAGGCACAACAGCGGGGAGGCGACGGTCGAACATGCGGGTCCATTTTCCTTCACGGATTTGCTCACCGTGGTAGGCACGGGTGAGCGATTTGGCCAGCCATTTCTGCTGGAAGAAGGTCTTTGAAGCGGCGTAGGGAGTTTGTAGGCGCGAAATGTTATACAAGGTCCATTTTGACCAGTCGGCTCGGACTTTCTGCGCAGAGTTAGCAGGGCAGCGAGGGATGGGAATCAGAGAATCGTACAGGTTTCTTCAAACCGTGAAACCTCTTACGCATGGCGGAAGTGGGCGCAAGGCAATTCTACGTCAGTCAATCGACGGCAATGGCTGGCTTGAAATTCGTCCAGACTCCAGCATGCAGTCGGCAAAGACTTCTGACGCCCGGGTCGGGGCTTTTGGCAGCTTCGGCTCCGCAACTTCCAGCGACTCGCAGCACGCGTCGAAGGACGAGACTCCAAATGCCGCCGCCCTTCACTCGTGGAAAATGCAATGAAGCTCGACACCTGCTGCGCGCCATCCTGCGCGAATCCTCCTATCTCCCTGATGAACAGGCCCGCATATACATAACCACCCACGCCGTCTCCCGCTTCAGAGACTACTCCCGTGGACACAAATCGGACGACCTTGTTACACAAAGACGCCTATTACAGCTCGACAATGCGCGCAAAGCCCTGTCAGAACTTCGCAGAGCAAACCAAGGAGAGCTGAAGCCCTTGCTCAAGGTCCTTCATCTGACCTATGCTCGCACTGGCAAAAGACGCCACGACCTCCTTCGCGACTTTCAGTACAAGCCACCGGCCGGTGCGCCCGCCGAACCACTCCCGCTGCCGCAGTTGACTCCTCAGCATGTCGCGCTGCTCGAGTCCCAGACATCCGCTTCTCCTCCCACCACTGTCCGTCCTCTGCTCCGATCATGGGCCCTGAAGATACCCGAAACCAACAGCTGGGAAAGGCCCATGCCCAAGAAGCGTATCGCAAACATCACCCAGCAATGGTATGCCACCGTCCTCGAGCGAACTATTGTGCCTCTACCTGTCGCTGAGTGGGAACGCCTGCGTGATCTTGCTCTAGGCAAAACAAGGTTCAAGGGTCCTACACCGCGCCGTGTCGCCGCTGCTTCACGAGCTAGCCTTCCTTCACCACTGGAAGTAGCCTTGGGTCTTGTCCGGCTAAATTCGCCTGACGTCGTCCTCGGAAACGCTGCGAACACACTTCATGCTCGTAAACTCACTGCTCGCTCCATGATGAGATGTTGGGCTACCGTGTTCGCACAGTGTCCAGTCATGGCATGGCATGAGAAGTCTCAGAAGTGGTCAATACAGTGGGGCTGCCATGTTCTGGACAAGGCGGACATTTCTAGAGCTACCGAAACTCCTCTGGACAAGAGCTGATGTATTCTGTACATGTCCGTAATGCTCCATGTAGCTCACCTTGTCAAATCTCCGCAGTAATTGCCAGGGACGAAATTCTAGTTCCAACGGCATGGGCCATGACGAGCTTACATAGCGTGTAAGTTTTGCTTTTCCTTCTTCTTACCACACGCAAACACCATTGTATGATGAACAGATCTTACGAATACTTATCTACATTGTCTGAATAACCTTGACGATAAATACATCTCTGACAACCTGACTCATTGGTCTTTCCATTCATTTTTCGTCCTCCCCAGACTTCCTATCGAGAACTTGGTTGCTGACCAGCCCACGATAGATTCAATCCGCTCAGTTGATGCTATCAGTTGAGGACAGCTCCCCACGAAACCTGTAGGAGAATGTTTTCGATCTTGGCCACCAACGCACTGCAGTAACACCGAGCTGCATATGTAAAGCTCTGATGCAGTGTCTGTATGTTGTCAAGTGTTGATAAGGTGCACTGTTCTATGTTAGATGGAGATGCGCTCGTAAGGTCACAGAGCTCTCACCATCCTACGTGCTCAAGTCGATCTATGTATCAATTATCCAATGATTCCGGTCAGTCCACAACGTCATCGTCTGAGCGTGCCAGCACCGCTCTGCACATGGCGTATGACAGTACACCTGTCATAAAAGCTAGGTATCCAATTATACTTTGCAGTTAAAAGAGCTGCCACGATCGTCATTGCCAAGAAACCCGGGGTGATGGTAGATTTCTAGGTCCACATGTCATGGACAGGGCGTTCTGTCTCTTTACTCGAAGACCAATTGACCTAAATTATCTTCATCATTCCACTGCTCCATATCTCTCTTAGTCTCTCCTAGTTCATCGTGGTTGTCTTCGGAAAATCAATTGAGTCTTTACTATGTCCAACCAACCTACTATCAGTCATGCAACTCGCGAAGGTAAGTCCGGGGATGATTTCTGAGATATCCGAGCCACTATTCAGGCCAATGCTTTGCCATACTTATACATTACGCCCCTTCTGTATGCTAACGTTGGACAGATACACCTCATATCCTAAGTTTGATCCGTGCTCTCGCCGACTACGAGAAGGCCCTATCATCATGCCATGCGACAGAAGAGTCTCTGGCATCCACTTTGTGCTTTGCTCCTGCCCGAGGCGAACCTCCATCTGGCCCTGGTTATGCCAAGGTACTATTGATCCGTACACCCAGCGATGAAGTGGCTGGTATGGGACTATACTTCAACAACTATTCTACCTGGTGGGCAGCACCTGGAGTCTACCTTGAAGACCTCTTTGTGCTTCCTGAACATCGCAACAAGGGATATGGGAAACTACTCATCGGAGCTTTGGCAAAGGAAGTGAAGAGAATTGGTGGTAAGAGACTCGAATGGTGCTGCTTGAAGTGGAACAAGCCATCATTGGACTTTTACAAGATGCTGGGAGCTGAGCAGATGGAGGATTGGGTCACGTTGAGAGCAGATGGAGAGGCCTTGGACAGACTGGCTGGCTCTGCCGAGAAGGTAGCCAAGGTGCAAGTCGAGAGCAAATAAGGAGATGTAGTTGGTGGTCCGCAATGAATGACGACGCTGGGAACAAACGGCTTCCATCCTCCAGCATAAAACAACAATTAGACTGCCTCAAAGCATAATATTATATGGCCTGCTTACTACGTCCACTGAGAGCGCTGTAAGCTGACTATGTCTCAACACCACTGCGCAACATTCGAGATTACTCTACAAGCACGCAGTCACACCCAGGCCGATTGCAGGAGTGTGGAAATGAGGATTTGTGGTGTTCATGCACCTGTGTCAAAAACACTACACCAGTGCGAATATGCGAGCAAACCATACCACACCTTGCAAGCGATTGACCAGTATATACGACTTGCCACTGGTCCGTACGAAATCAAAATATACCACATGTTGTCGACGTGATTAGACACTGCAAGTGTGATCAGGGTGATGCCCCTGACAAAGAAACATGGCGATGATGCAACGTCACACAAAACAACCGTGCGTCTCGAAACGCCGAGAAGATTCGAAAAAATCGTGTTTTGGGCCCCAACGACGACAGCGCAAGCAAGAGAGCCCCTCTATCCCATCTACAATCTCTCCAGACTATCCAAGCGCCTTTTCTTTGATCGAGATACCCCCCTTGTCGCCATATAGACGACTCTTGTTTGACACGTTCAAAAGTTCTTTCTTATCACTACACACCACACACACATCATGTCGTAAGTTGGACAGTTGGACGCTTTGTCCGCCACATGTGTGAAGCTGCGACTGACCAAATGCGCGCAGTGTCGTCGGTCTCGACTTTGGTACTCAAAATGCCGTGATTGTGAGTATCTGTTGTGGTCTGAACACTCTGGAGCAGCTGCTGACAGACTTCACAATAGGCTGTCGCCAGAAACCGTGGTGTCGACGTTATCGCAAACGAAGTCTCAAACCGCGCAACTCCCGCACTGGTCGGTTTCGGACCCAAGTCTCGCTACCTCGGAGAGACTGCAAAGACACAGGAGGTCTCCAACCTCAAGAATACCGTCGGATCCCTCACCCGTCTCGCTGGCCGATCGCTAAAGGACCCCGATGTCGCCATTGAGCAAGAACACGTCTCGTGCAAGTTGGTCGACGTTGACGGCCAGGTCGGCGCAGAGGTCTCATATCAGGGCAAGAAGGAGCAGTTCACCGCCACCCAGTTGACCGCCATGTTCCTCACAAGGGCCAAGCAGACTGCTTCCGCCGAGCTTAAGCTTCCCGTCAACGACATGGTCATCGCCGTGCCCGCCTGGTACACCGACGCACAAAGAAGAGCAATCATCGATGCTGCCGAGATCTCCGGCCTCAAGATTCTGCGTTTGATCAACGAAACCACCGCTACCGCTCTCGGCTGGGGTATCACCAAGACCGACCTGCCCGGTCCCGAGGAGAAGCCCAAGAGAGTCGCCTTTGTCGACATTGGTCACAGCAACTACACCGTCTCCATTGTCGAATACCGCAAGGGAGAGCTCAAGGTCATCTCGACCGCCTACGACCGTCACTTCGGTGGCCGCAACTTCGACAAGGCCATCGTCGACCACTTTGCCGCCGAGTTCAAGGAGAAGTTCAAGGTTGACATCAACGAGAACCCCAAGGCCAAGCTCCGTGTCGTCGCCGCCTGCGAAAAGCTGAAGAAGGTCCTGTCCGCCAACGCTGGTGCCCCCATCAACATCGAGTCGTTGATGAACGATGTCGATGTCCGTGGTTTCCTCAAGAGAGAGGAGCTCGAGGAGATCATGAAGCCCCTCCTTGCCCGCAGCACTGCTCCTCTCGAGCAGGCTCTCGCCGAGGCCAAGCTGACTGTCGAAGACATTGACACCATCGAGCTTGTCGGTGGCTGCACCCGTGTCCCTGCCCTCAAGGCTTCCATCCAGGAGTTCTTCGGCAAGACCCTGTCCTTCACCCTCAACGCCGACGAGGCCATTGCCCGTGGTTGCGCTTTCGCCTGCGCCATCCTCTCCCCCGTTTTCCGTGTCCGCGACTTCTCCATCCACGACATCTGCAACTACCCCATCGAATTCACCTGGGAGAAGAGCGCAGAGATCCCCGACGAGGACACCTCGCTCACCGTCTTCAACCGCGGCAACGTCATGCCTTCCACCAAGATCCTCACCTTCTACAGAAAGCAGGCCTTCGACCTTGAGGCCAAGTACGCCAAGCCCGAGATGCTTCCCGGTAAGATGAACCCTTGGATCGGCAGATTCAGTGTCAAGGGCGTCAAGGCCGACGAGAAGGACGACTTCATGATCTGCAAGCTCAAGGCCAGATTGAACCTCAACGGTATCCTGAACGTCGAGTCTGGATACTACGTCGAGGACATGGAGGTTGAGGAGCCCATCGAGGGCGAAGATGTGAGTTTTGAACAACGAGAGACTTGGCAATTCCGATCCGAACAGGAGAGAGAAAGCAAGCGACCTAAAGTAACGGCCAGTGCTGACATCAACCTACAGGCTATGGACACTGACAAGGAGCCCAAGACCCGTAAGGTCAAGAAGCAGGTCAAGAAGGGTGACCTTCCCCTGTCCTCTGGCACCGCCTCTCTCGACATCCAGGCCATTGCCAACCTTTCCGAGAAGGAGCACAGCATGATCATGGAGGACAAGCTTGTTGCCGACACCGAGGACAAGAAGAACGAGCTTGAGGCTTATATCTACGAAATGCGCGCAAAGATTGACGAGGAGTACGCCGAGTTCTCCAACGACGAGGAGAAGAGCAAGCTGAAGGAGAAGCTTGAGACCAGCGAGGTAAGCAACGCATGCTCAGACTCACCCATCATAGACTGTATACTAATGCACATCTCAGGACTGGCTCTACGAGGACGGCGAAGACGCCACCAAGGCTGTCTACCAATCCAAGATTGACGAGATCCGCGCCATCGGTGGCCCCATCGCCCAGCGCTACCTCGACAAGTTCGAAGAGGAGCGTCAAGCCGCCCTCAAGGTCCAAGAAGAGGCCGCCGCAAAGAAGCGCGCCGAGCAAGAGGCCATCCAGCAAGCCCAGCAAGAGCAGCAGGCCGCCGCCGCTGCCGCAGCTAAGATGGCCGCCCAGCGCGAGCAGCAGGAGAAGAAGGATGCCGAGATGCAAGACGCATAGAGTGACAAACACACTTCCGCTATAATGCCTTACCCGCCTTCCTCGACCTCTTCGAATAGTCTGAAAAGAAGACTGCCAGAGACGTTTGGACGCGAGGATTCAAATGAAACCCAAAAACATTAGACCCCCATCATCGCCTCCATGTCCCGCTACTTGCATCTCTCTCTTTTTCTCTCTTTCTTTTTCTGTTACTCTCTTTCTTGCATCTCTGATGAGAATGACTGGGTCAACTGAGGCGTGAGCATGGGGTTCTTTGGTAGCACATGATGAAAGAAGATAGATATGACAACGTAATGCAATGAGCGTTTACAATTCAACGTGTATTAGGAGAATTGCACCTCTTCGTGTGTGCAATACCGTCGCACTTGTAGCCGATTCAAGGCACAAGTTGACTTCACGACGCATCTCGATGACACCACTGCAAGCATAGAAATAATTGTGCCTTGATTCAGCTATCTATTTGATACAGCAATGTATGAATGAGTCGCGAGTGGCAATCCTTGCTCTACATCAACTTCGTGCGTCGAAGTTGATCTACCATCAATTCTCGTCCTCGTCGCCACACATGCCCGAATAGTCGATGGCCTTGGTCTTACGACCAGCTCTCGTCTTCACAGGCGTGCCGCTCTTGATAGCCTGCTTCTTTGCCTCCACCAGGTCCATTGACTTGAAGATCTCCTCTCTGAGCTCCTTATAGAATTCGTCGTAAGCACACTCCTTCTGAACACAGACTGTGAGCTGCTTATTGCAGAAGGAGCCGTGTTGATCACAAAATCCGCGGACCGCGCCTGGCATTGAGATGATGCTCATGACATCCTCGCGACTTCTGCCTCCTTCAGTGCACCAGGCCTGAACCAACGGTAGCAAGGCATTTGGCCACAAGAATGCTGTGTTGTAGTAGGGGTGGTACAGAGAGCTGAAGAGCTTCAGCTCAGAAAGAGACACGGCGGGGGACAGCAGTTGGTAAGCCTTTCTCATCGTGGTTCGGAACTGTTTCTGCACGTGGACAGCAACTAACGATTGGATGCGTTCCGGACCAATGTGCTCCAGGAACTTCTGCATCATTGTGCTATCAGAGAAGTCGAAAGTGTGGCGACTGAACAGATAGGGTATCGACTCCACGTTGATTTGCTTGTTGACGCGCATCAGACTGCTGCTATAGTGCTGCTGGACTCTCGGAGCGCCGTCATCTCGGAGCCACAGGGTGTTGATGACTCCGGAGTTCTTGCCATAGATGTAGAGCTTGTGTCCGGGACGTTCTAGGACGAGAGAGTAGATCATGTTGCGAATCTCAGCAGGGAGTCTCAGGAAGGGGAAGACCTCGTGCTCGTCAGGCTCTGGCTGCAGCACAAGAACGTGGCGTCCAGCGTACGGGCCAGATGTCATCAGAACAGGCTCCATGGAGAACGGCTTCTTCGAAGTGAGCTCAATCGTTTGGGTGAAAATCTTCTTCTTGTCGCGCTGTTACATGATACTGTCAGAAGGAGTTGTGACATCTGACAGGTGACCGGCTAAGAGCTTACGGTTGCGATTGTGCCATCGTCGATGGTACACCTGATCTTGCGGACTATGCGATCGAGCTTAGACGTCAACACAGCGGTGAAGGGCTCATTCTGATCGGATTCGTCATCAGAAGACTCGGGTACGGGCGAGAGCGAAGGCGAAGGCTCGCGCTTAAGCTCGCGTTTGATGGCCTTCTTCTCTGGCTTGATCGACTTTATGGACTTCGACACGATGGCCTTGGTTTTCTGCTACTGTTAGCGCGCAACATTCCACAAGACAAAGAGACGCATCGTGTATACCTTGGGCGTAGCAGCAGCAGCAGCAGCAGCAGCTGAGCTACGTGTCGAACGTGACATAGCGACAGCTCTCAGTCGGCCAGTCTACCAAAAGCCGAAGTTGTGTGATGTTCAGGACGAGAGGTAGAACGACGCACGAAGACCAGAAGGGGGATTCGAGGCGCGCATTGTGAAGATGAGACAGGTTGGAGCCTGATGACCAACGCGCCTTCCTTCAGTGTCAAAGTGAAGATGTGGAGAGATTTAGTGATGAGAGTCAGAGCTTGCTCGAGGCAAGTCGCGCTTGCTCCAATGTGTCACTTACGTCTTGCGAGATATTGCTTACGATAACATACATCCAAATCGACTGTCCGCATGGCATCACAAATTTTGATTCACTTCCTGGTCAAGGGAATGACCTGATGTGCGAAGTCTCTTGATTCGCAAGTCTACTTTTGATCTCTCTGATTACTCCCTGTCGAGCATGTCTATCACGACAAGCCGGCGCTAACCCCCTCAACAACGCCAAGTATCAATACATAACCTACAAGCCGCAACAACGACTGCACCAAAACATTATCCCTAACGACTACCTCTGCTTGAGCGACGACCATTGAACGTGACAGGCCTTGTCGGGCTGGCCAGTCCCATCGCCTTGCTACTATGAGCGAGGGTCTTCACGCCAAACTTGATCTCGGTGACGCGGGACCAAAGACCTTGCACAGCCCGCTGGAGTTCAGGGCCCATCTCGCGGTTCATGAGACCTACAGCAAGAGGTGTGAATGTAGTGGCGTGACGTTCGAAGTCTTCGGTGTGGAAACAAGTATAGCCCTCAAGGACATCGACTACGACAGGTCGCCAAGTCATGATATTGCGTTGCTGAGTGTCTTCGTCGAGTTCAATGTAAGAGTTCACAATATCGACACAGAGCGGAATGAGTGCCTGCTCTGTCTCCGCACGTGATGCCTTACGCTCTTCTCCTTCATCTGAAAACATGCGCAAAAGAATGCTGACATAGACTGATGCCGAACCAGATTCCTGCTTGAGGAGATTCGGTGGTTGACGCATGAAACCTTCTCTGAATAACTTTGCGCGCAAGTCACGATCCTCGTTGAAGCGTTTGGCAAAGTGGTAAGACTTCTTGAGCAGTGACATCAAGCGCAGCAACAGATGAGATGGGATGGCAGTGTAAACAGAGTCGTTGGAGAACAACTCGCTGACAGTGTCGATCATCAATAACTGTAAGACACACTTCGTGATGATCTGGTTGAAGAAGCGGCGGCGTGCTGCAGTGACAACAACTGGTGCGTTGGGTGTTTGCGAAGTGTTGTTGAAGTCCTCAAGCTCGTTGCTGTCTCCGATCTGTGCCTGCCTTGATGGTGACAGACTTCGATCGGACTGCATGGTGGCTGTGGTATTACCACGAAGACGTCTAGGTGTTCCTCCGTTTGATGCAGGCTCTTCGTTATCCAGAGCCTGCGGGCTCTCAGAAGGCAAGGCCGCCGGGTCTGCGGAAGGAATATCTGTCATGGGGAGTCCATCCAGCGATGCTGGGACAGCCTTGGAACCATTTGAAGCGGTAGAGTCCTTTCGGTATGAAGATGACGTCGCTGCGGAGAACAGGGCTGTCGCTTCAGTGCGTGCGAATAGATCCACGAAGGCGCCGACAATCTTTTCCCAGTGCTCAGGCGTAAACTTGTGTACATTCTGAAGAATCAATTGTTGTAGGCAGTTACTACCAATTCTGGCCAATGTGTCATTTTCCTGGCATATACAAAGTGCCAGAAGGTCCAGGAATCTATCAAGCATGTACTCCAGAGAGTCGAAGAAATGGGTAAATAGACTGATCATGTTGCGAAGTGCCTGGATCATAGTCGTCGAGAGCCACACTGAGAGCTCCTCGTGATTGAGAGCCTTTGACATTTCCGACTTTGATTTGAGCACCATGAAGATGGGGTACAGTAGCTGGCGCCACAGAGTATCCCAGAACTCGCGAGGGAAATCCCCACCATAGCGTGTCAATGTCTCGAAAAGATAATTGAGTGCCCTGATACGTTAGCATTTGCGACTGCAGACACAAACAGAGGGAACACACCTGGATCGGACTTCGAGATCATCCCCGGTCATCAACACATCATGGAACGCGAACAGAACAGGGAACCAGAATTGCTCTTCTTGTGTCTGTCTGGTCGGCTGTTTGGGCATCCCTTCTGCCGTGGGGGCATCCTTGGTAGTGCTCGCTTTGACACTGAGTGGACACTCTGGAGTACGAAGCATCTTCGCCACAGAAGATTTCAGCATTTCAATAGCTTGAAGAGACTTCTTTTGGAATTTGTGGTTCTTGGAGAACTCGGTCAAGCAGACTATGAGGTCAGCAAAGGCGCCCTGGGTGATAACCACAGCAAAACGATCGTTGTAAACCTGTGTGACATTATCGTAAGCAAGGTTGACGATCGATTCTGTGAGATGTTAGCCAAAGTTATGTACACCACGAATGTCGACACTTACCATAAGGCTCGCGAGCAGCAACAGTGAAAACGCCAAACATTGTTTTCCAACCGGAACGAATGTTGTCGCCTCTGGCTTGGATCATCTGAATCAAGCAGCGCAAAACCATATCTTTGACCGGAACTTGTGTGGCGTTGCTGAGAATGTGCTCGAAGGGCTTCAAGAAATCTTTCTGAAACTTGAAACCAGGTAGCTCTTCTATCTCCATGAAACGCATAGACAGCTGCCGCAATGAGTTGAGAGCAAAGTAGACAACATTGGTATTGTTGTGGCAGCCGACTTGGATAAAATGCTCACCCAGAACTTGCCAGATGCTCGTCCACTCAAAACGCACACGGGTCATGTTGTAACCACTAATCTCCACAAGCTTTTGCAGACTGTAAGTTCGGGGAGACTCGCTGTTACCAGAAGACTGAATCTCCTGCCAACTGACTTGAGTCAAGGCCGTAACGAAGTGGACAATGGCCTCCCCAGACAGATTGGCTGTATTGGTGAAAATTCGATCGACGCTGCGGACCATATCGGCAGATCGACTCTCTTCAGCAATATCGGGCTGGTAGACAATACCACTGACAGAGTTCCTGTTGCGGTGGCGAGGAGGGACACCAAGTGACTTGCGGTTGGGGTTATTGGCTGAGGAGTGAGATCTCAGCATATCAGGAACGTCGCCTTCGCTAACACCAGTAGAAATGAGCTGGAATCTATCAAGTTGACTGATACATGTAAGAATGTCTCGCCATGAGTCTTTGAGCAAATTGCCTTCGTTCTGGGCAACATCGAGGACAGCCTTGAGGGCCTCGATATTCTTGGCCTTCATTTCACCTATGTTGTACAGGTTCGTGAAGCGAGTAAGGGAAGCAATGAAGGCTTGTCGAGGATCTGTCAGATCGAACAGACAACAGATACGAATAGCCAGCTTTTGACCCTCCATACAAAGCTTGATTCTTTCGATGTTGTTGGTTTCTTGAGTACCGCCAGAGAGCGCAGTCAGGAATGACATCCAGGTTACTTCGAACATTGGGCCAACATGCTTGAATGAGGATGCAGGGATGTATCTCACAATAGGAGACCTAGCAGCACCACGGCGTTGCGCCTTCATGAGGTTCTTGAAGAGCTGCTCGGTCTTGGTAGCCATCTGATCCGAAGCTTGAGCGTACGCCTCCCTTTGCAGATCACGTCCGAAGTTGGCAACAGCTTGACCGATATTCGCAGCTAAGCTGCCACTATTCTGTGGTAACATGCCTAAATTGGCAGCATTCTCACGTTCTGTGTCGAGGACAATCTCGTTTTTGGCAATTTCTTCGAAGATGACCTTGAGGTAGTCGTCCGGCAGACTCTGACCATCATTGATGCCACGATTGTTCTTGATGAAGTCCTCTGGAGTCATACGAACCTTGACTTGTGCGCTGTGCTGATCGGTGTTGAGCATGACGACTGAATACGCGAGCACATAGGCGGTATCGGCGTTGGCAAACGCATTAGGATTACCTCCCGTGTATCTCTCGGCAAATTTCAGCATCAAGCGATCGATCTTCTGGGCCTCACCGGGCAGACGGAAGCTTTGCAGGAAATTTCGGAGGGCGTCGACGAAGCGTGTCTTTGTAAAGTTCATGCTATCGACAAAGGCATGCATAATGGCAATGTTTTCTGGCTCACCCTCTCCAAGATATTCGCCCAGAGCCTTTTTGTCTAGTCTGTCATTGGTAATGAGGAATTGAGCAATGTCCTGAGGCGAGTCTGAATTGATAAAACCACCAGCTATCAGTACTTTGATGCCCTTCTTAGGCTTGAAGTTGAACTGTTTGATGGCGTTGTTGAGTGCAGTCTTGTGTTGTTTGACTCGCTCAAGCTCAGCAGGATCATCCTCTGCTAATGGTGTGCCAGGCACGGTAGTTGCAGCCTCCGTACTAGGTACTATAGGTGACTGAGAGACTCCGTTCTCGCGAGCGTCGATAGAATCTCTAAAGTCTTCTATAGAGTTGCGCGACTCTGGATTCGAGAATGATGCGACTACGTCGTTCAGACCTTGCTGTGACCAATTGACCATGGAGCGTAATGTCTCGACGAGACATTCAAGAGAGTGCTGCTTCATGATGTACTCAGGAGGGATATCCTGATTCGCTTCGGGCGCACTAGCAATCGTGGAAGTAGACAATGACGGAGGCAAAGTGCTCTGAGCCAGCCATTCGGACATAGCATTGCCATGTTTCGATTGTTGCTCAATATACATGAGTTCCTGCTGTGCTGTAACCTGCACAGGCGAACTGGCTATCCTTGAAAGATGCTCAATAATACGCTGGTAGAAGTTGTCGAGCGCTGCACGATCACAGTCATAATTGAGATAGATCTCGACCAGTGCCCTAGGATCCGATGCAAGCCTGGTCAATACTGTGATGATGCATTGTTTCTGGAAAGCGGGTGCCGTCCTTTTGTCCAAGATCGAGAGGTAGATCTCCTTGAGGAAAACCTCAATCTCCTTTTTGAGAGTGACACGCAAGTAGCGGATCATGAGCCAGAAGATTTCGCAGCTGATCTCGAACACTTTATTTACAGAGCTGGCTCCGTTGCGACTCAGACTCAAGCAGATGTACTGTTTGATGGCTTGTGTGAAGCTTGTTGGGTCGTTGTTTGAGCTGCTGCGAATAGTCGCAAAGGGCGAAGTGAAGACAGCATGGTGGTTGAAAATGATGGTTTGAATGATGTGAAGGGACAGAAGCTTGGAGCGCATACCCTGCGACCTCAGATCGACAGTTTCTTCCACACGAAGCGTTTTTGTGCTGAGCTTGCACATCGCACGGAACACCAGGAAGGCGTCCTTGATGAAAATCTCATCTTCTTCGTCCTCCTCGGTAACGTCAGAACCATCTGGTTGTACAGTGATGGCAGGAACGCCGTCGTTCCCAGAAGTGGTCCGAGCAGGCATCCGAGACTTCTTCAGACGAGTGACCATGGTGGGAGCATTGTCTCCTATCCTGGCGTCGTCAAAACTCTTCTTAGTCTCAAAAGTCTGCAGAGTCATTCTTGTTGTGTCGACATCCTCTTCCTCATCTTCTTGTAGATCGGTGGAAGGCCGTGGTAGATCAGTGTCAACACCATCGGAAAGTGACTCGACGTTCTCTTCAAATCCATTAGCAAGGGAAGGCTTGGATGATTCAGCCCTGGTGGCACGTCCAGCAATTCGTGTCTGCACCCGCTCAAAAACGGTTCCAACCATTTGTGTCAAAGTGCCTTGAGCAATCTGTTGGTTGGAGCTGTTCTTCGACAGTAGAAAAATGTTGTACGTTTGACGAACACTCTTGAGCAGACCTGCGCCATGTACCACAATCTTGTCGTTGAGAATAGCAGCTAACAGCGATTTGATAATCTGCATCTGGACCTCAGCCGGAGTCGCTTCGCCCTGAAAGCAATCGCATATTGTGTCAATGGCGCGTTCAATAAGCGGGACAGGCTGCTGGTTCTCATTGTTGGTGTCTGCAGGCACAGAAAAGTAGGAATAACTAATGAGCTTGCCGATGCAGTCCAAAGCAGTGGTGACGATGGCGACAGTGTTTGCTTCGGTAGCTAACTGCAGGGGAGCAAAAAGAATCTCTGGGTCAGTCCGTGTTGGGTCCCCCTGGCTCTTGATTGTGGACAAGGCACGCTGAGCAGCGTCCGCCAAGGGCTTCCTCTTACGAGCATCCTTCGATGCGGCGATAGTTTCTAGGGCGCTGACGACAAAGACCATAGATGAGCGAGTAGTCGACCGGGAGGTGGCAGTGGTAGATTGCGAGTCGGTGCGCTGGCGGTTTGGCTGAATGAGACGAGGATCGACGGGGTATTGGGGAGGTTCGTTAGGTTGCGGCGTCGTCTCTGGCAAGGGAGTTGCGATGGTAGGAACAGGTGGCTGCTCGTATTGCTCGACGGGTGCCGAAGGTTGTGTTATAGCCTGCACTTCCGGATGTGATGTTTCGATGCTTCCGTCTTCTTGATGCGGTGTGGGATCCGAAGGCTCGTATGTAAGGACTGACAAATCATCTACTGGAGAATCTGGAGCGGTGTCTAAAGGTATGTCCTGTAGTTCCTGGCTCGATTCCACATCGGACTGCGGCAGGCTGTCTTGTTGCCTATCAAGCGCGACACCACGCTCCATGGTATGAGGAGCAGGGGCCTCAGTATCTGCCATGCCTGCTTGTTCAATTAGGTATACAGCAATGCGACATGTGACTAACGACTTCGGCCAAGATTAGGAATCGTCAAGTGTTCTTTTGAAGCAGCTTGTGGAATTAAACTGGACAGCTCTCAATGTAATACGACTATCCGGGGGGTACAGCGCCGGCTGCCACGGCCAATCAAGCCTCCGAGATTCGCCCAGCCGACTATGAATAGGTCCAGCATTCTGTTTGGGCAGTGATAATGAGCCAACTCGAGAACTCTCGATTCTGCATGGGGTGCAATCGACAAGAGACGATAGTTCAGGAACTGCACCTGTCGTAGATTCACACCGAGTTGGATGGATGGTACTGTATGTACAAGGCGTGTTTGTTGAGCTGCTGCAGGTGTACGCGCCGCTCGGAGCATGTCCCCATATGCCAAAGTTTGTCACGTCTCACTTGCTCCCACAGGGACGAAGAGCTATGGGAGAGCTGGAAAGATTCACAGTCACCGACAGGCAAGACATGTGACAGGAGAAAAGCAGCACTTTGTAAGTTTTGGAGATCGATAATTTGGTCACTGAAGCTAAGGGACTTGGTGAGTATCAGTCGCAGAGATGTGACAGACTTCGTCGATCGAAGGGTCCCAATCTTATCAAGCTGGCTGGCGTGCTGATGGTGCCGGCTAGATTGTCCGAACGCACAATCTCACTCCTTTGCACCTTACAACGTAGGTGGTAAGAGCTGAATACGACCAAAAAGAGGGCAACAATCCTCCGGTATAATATAAAGTCGAGAATGGTGATAAATTGCAACAACAGCGCATGCAAGATCAAAAGAAGATTGGCCAAGTGGACTTGATGGTAGGCAAAAGTCGGCATCTTGCACGGACTGGTCCCTTTCTCGGGAGCCAAGACATCGGGACAAGTCGAAGTTGGGAAAATACTCCATGTCCGAGACGGCCTTTGTTGAGAGCTTCAGAAACACCTTCTCCTCGTTCCTCAATCATCTCGACGTTCGTTGTGTCCGGTGGCAGAGTCTCTTGATCCTCTGCATATCTCTCCCTCCTTTTCTCCCTCCAACCAACCCCCCTCACACCACACACAATGTCGGCCGCAGCTCTGCTTGCCCGCGCATCGGGAAGATTGTGTCTGCAATCGCTGAGGGCGAGAGAGTCTGTCGCAACTCCCGCCACGTTCGGCGCTCTCAGCAGATACTATGCCTCCAAGTGTACGTGCTAGCCCTCTATACCACGTCCGCAAACACTGACCCGCTCTCGATGTAGCCTTCCCCCCTCACACTGTCATCACCATGCCCGCCCTGTCACCCACCATGACCGCTGGAAACATTGGTACCTGGCAGAAGAAGGCCGGTGATGCTCTGGCTCCCGGTGACGTCCTGGTCGAGATCGAGACCGACAAGGCTCAGATGGACTTTGAGTTCCAAGAGGAGGGTGTTTTGATCAAGGTCCTCAAGGACTCGGGCGCAAAGGATGTTGCTGTCGGAAACGTAAGAGGACTTCAGCTTCCCGCATACCGCGACACACGCCTTACTGACACTGCCACAGCCCATCGCCGTCATGGCCGAGGAAGGCACCGATGTCTCTGCCTTTGACGACTTCACCGTCGAGGATGCCGGTGGTCAGAAGGAGGCCAAGGAGGGCAGTGGACAGGAGGCCCTTGACGCTTCCGAGCCCCCTTCAAACTCCTCTAGCACTGCTCCTGCTCCCGCTCCCGCCCAGTCAACTCCCGCTCCTCAGCCCGAGGAGTCCGAGTCCTCTGGCGAGCGCCTCCAGACCGCTCTCCAGCGCGCACCCAAGCTCAGCCCCGCTGCTCAGAAGCTCGCCCTCGAGAAGGGTGTCGCCATCAACAAGGTCAAAGGTAGCGGCCCCGGTGGCCGCGTCACCAAGGAGGACATTGAGAAGTTCAAGCCCGCTGCTACCGCCTCCGCTGCCCCCGCTGGTCTCCCCACCTACGAAGACGTCCCCGCCTCGTCCATGCGCAAGACTATTGCCGCTCGCCTGACCCAGTCCATGAACGAGAACCCCCACTACTTTGTCGCCTCGTCCATCTCCGTCAGCAAGCTCATGAAGCTCCGCCAGGCACTCAACTCGGCCGCCGATGCAAAGTACAAGCTCTCGGTCAACGACTTCCTCGTCAAGGCCCTGGCCGCCGCTGCCCGCAAGGTCCCCGCTGCCAATTCCAGCTGGCGTGAGGAGAACGGCAACGTCTTTGTTCGTCAACACAACACCGTTGACGTCTCAGTTGCTGTCGCTACCCCCGTCGGTCTCATGACCCCCATTGTCAAGAACGTCAACGGTACCGGTCTTGAGTCCATCTCTAGCCAGATCAAGGAGCTCGGCAAGCGCGCCCGTGACGGCAAGCTGAAGCCCGAGGAGTACCAGGGCGGTACCATCACTATCTCCAACATGGGCATGAACGCTGCCATTGACAGATTCACTGCTGTCATCAACCCTCCTCAAGCCTGCATTATCGCTGTTGGTGCCGTCAAGAAGGTCGCTGTTCCCTCCGAGAACGAGGACGGCATCGAGTGGGACGAGCAGATCGTCATCACCGGTTCTTTCGACCACAAGGTTGTCGACGGTGCCGTCGGTGGTGAGTTCATGAAGGAGCTCAAGGCCGCCATTGAGAACCCTCTCAGCTTGATGCTGTAAAAGCACTCGTAAAGAGAACTCTGCATTTGTAATCTAGTAGTCATACGGGGATTGATACCAAGCCTCTTCATTTTCCCAGGAAGAAAGTTCACGGCGCAATGATTGGTTCTTATTCTCAAAATTTATCTTCTTTCTCGCCCCTTTTGGCATACTCAACTCATATCATCAATCTATCAACTCACGAAACAATCTTGAATATCCCATCCGCTGACGCTAGCACGCAGTAGAAATCTCGGCGCAATCGACAATAAATCTCATTCCAACAGGTCACAAATGGCACTCTGGTACGGGGATGAGAAACGCAAGTCGATAACAATTATCCATGATTTCCGTCTTCTCGTCAAAGGTTAGCTTGGTCCGGGACGTGTTGTGCGCCATAAGTAACCAAATGTCGATGGCAGAGGCGCCATGTTGATGACGGCCAAGGCAACTGCGCAGCCTGGACCGGGCCGGTTCAGGGCCGGTCTGTGAAGGATGCATCACACAAATATTGGACTATAACTACTGACCTGTGCTACCATGGAGAAAGCAGGTATACTATCGTTCTATCGGTATCGACTGACATCTACAGTTTCCTATTGGATTGATCTACCCAAAATCGAGTCTTAGCGTCATCAATCTTACGATACCCGATGCAACACCCAAACATGACTCAAGCCTCGATCACTGGTCAGCAACGTTCGGATCGTGACAACGATAACAACGCCATCGATCTCGAGAATGACGGCGGTACAGAGCCGTGTAGCTCGCACGAACCTCCCTTCTCCGCCTTTAGCAATACAGAAAAGAAGCTCATCGTGTTGGCCGTCTCTTTCATTGGTCTACTTTCACCCCTGTCGGCGAGCATTTACTTCCCAGCCACCAAAGCACTTGCCAGAGACCTGCACGTTTCAACTTCGGATATCAACTTGACTGTAACAACCTACTTGGTCGGTCAACAATTTGCACCTCCAACATAAGTCGTTCACTGACGCTATGGTTTAGATATTTCAAGCACTAGGTCCGACACTATTCGGCAATCTCTCCGATGTAAAGGGCAGAAGACCAGCTTATATCGGCTGTCTTATAGTTTCGGTCGCGGCAAACATTGCACTAGCATGTCAGAGAAGTTACGCCGCTCTTCTGGTCCTCCGCTGTGTCCAGAGCTCCGGATCAGCAGCCACAGTAGCTCTGAGTCAGGCTGTAGTTGCTGATATCTCGACTCGAGCAGAGAGAGGCAAATGGGTGGCCTATGCCGGTATGGGTATCATGCTAGGACCTACCCTTGGGCCTTTGGTCGGCGGACTTCTGGATACATACCTTGGCTGGCCTTCTATCTTCTGGTTTCTGGCCATCTTTTCTGGTACGATGTTGATCGTAACCTTGGTGTTCTTGCCAGAGACCTGCAGAGCTGTAGTCGGTAATGGATCTGTTCCACCTCAAGAATGGAACCGGTCTTTGTGGGTGTGCCTTCACAAGAGAGATCTGGGCGAGCAGACCGAGACCTTGCAACGTTCGACAAAGAAGCCAAATCCAATCGCTTCTCTCCTTTTGGTATTCAAAAAGGAAGACGGTCTCATTCTGCTGTCCGGCGCGTTGTTGTACGCAGGTTTCTATGTCGTTTTGATCACCCTGACGGACCAACTCGCAGAGCGTTATAGTTTCAACACCCTGCAAATTGGATTGTGCTATATCCCATTCGGCGTCGGAAGTATGGCTGCTAGATTCTCAGTCGGTGTCTTTCTAGACCGCAACTACAAGCGTCTTATTCAGCAACTCGATCCAACGAATGCCAAAGATCCCGAATCTTTCCCAATCGAGAGGGCACGTCTCCAGGTTGCTATACCTGCCGTTTACGTTTCTGCCATCATTACCATAACCTATGGCTGGGTGATGCACTACAACACTTCTCTTGCTGGCCCACTCATCATGTTGTTCCTCGTGGGCAACTCAACCACTGGTGCTTTCAACGTCTTCAACACGTTGATTGTCGACATTAATCTGCATCAACCTGCGACGGCTTCTGCGGCAAGTAACTTGACCAGGTGTGGTATGGGTGCCATCTTCACAGCCTTTGCACAGCCATTGGTTAGTGCGATTGGCATTGGTTGGGCGAGCACTGCGGTCGCGTTTCTTTGGGTGTTGACATCGCCTTGTCTGTGGGTAGTCATGATTTGGGGACCTAAGTGGCGTGCTGCAGAGAAACAGAGACGGGAGGAGAGAGAGACCAAAAAGTGAGGCTCGCTGTGTGTGAGTGAGAGTGACATGTCCCTCGTTGCCATCAGGCATTAGACTCGGGGAACATGACATTGTGTACATTCGCTTCTGCTTGACACTTCATGATTGGGAATTGATTGATACACGCAACGAGAAAATCCCGATCGAGGTCTATGCAATCATGTTTCGGTCGGTCTAATCAATCATGATCACATCATGCTCCTCTTTCTCCTGTTCATTGTTGTCCTTCTGAAGTTCTTCCCACCATGTCCTGACCATCGTCACTTTTTCTCTCTCCTCATCTCCGATCTCCACCGGTGGACCGGTCATCTCTTCTCGAACACCATCTTCACCCACTCTCTGACTAGTGCCCTTGCGAGCCCAGACTGGTCTGTCGTCCTCCTCGGCTGGGCCGTCGTAGTCTAGAGCCGTGGACACAGATTTGTCATATCGCCAAACACACCATCCACTAGCAGCAGTAGACAGGAGATAATTCTTATGGCCGCGAGATCTGACTACAAAGCCTCGAAGCAAGACTACGTCCCCTGGAGAAGCTTTGGGCAGACTCTGCTTGAAGGGACGGAAGATCTCTACTCCGACGTCCTTCACTTCTGGGACTTCTGACTTGCCTTGGGAAGTAACGTTGTAGTCGTGGAGAGGCTGGTCCACGATTCTGAATGTTGTGTAGTAGTCTTTAGGACCAGATTTGGCGCGCTCTGCTGTGGTGTTGAAAGTCGTACAAACAGCCACTAAATCGATCAGAGATGATTGCTGATTAAGGTGCTCGTGGAGAGCAGCTAGCGGCGTGAAGTAAGAAAGGGCAGTTGAAGTGCCTTGTGACGCATAGCGCTGAAGCGGTGGCGGCGAGATTGATCTATCAAGAGAAGTTTGCTTGACCATTGATGCGGCTGCAGGCTTTGTAGGCGTCTTGTCGAAGATTGAGTTACTGGAGGTGGTGACTTTGACTTCAGTGACCGCTTCTGGCGCGACGGTTGTCCGGCGGGGAGTGAACCACGAGCCTATGACAGGCACCTCACTAATTTTGGAACTCAGCGTATTACGCCAGGTTTGTGATGGTGCGGATTGTGGTTCCTGAGGCGTGACAGCTTTGCCTTTGAGGGGTGTACCAAAGAGAGATGCTTCGACCTCGGCAAATGGCTTGAGAGTTGGTTTGATCTGGAAGTTACTTGCAGCATGCTCTGTCTCGGAAATCTGTGGTTGCCCAATGGCAAATTCTCGAGCTTCTGCGAGATTCTCTGTCGTCTCCTGCACGGTTGCTGCAGCTTGCGTTTGGACTTGCGAGATTTCCGGAGCCGCGGGTACCAAACTTGGAGCAATCGGATTTTGAACCTGCCCTCCGCCTGGGGATGTACCTCCCGTCACTGCTTGAGCCGCTACAGAGGCTTCCGAGTCGCGAGAGAGTACACCGTGCATCTCTTCATCGGCGGCAAGCTGGGGCTGGGCCTCTTCCATCGTCTGCTCATTGTCTCGATCCTGCTGTTCCAACTCGTTCTCGCTATGCGGTTGCCTAAGTCCGTGAGCTTGCAGCTCATCTCCTCCGACAGATGCTCTCAAGTCAATCGACTTCCGTCCTCTGAACAACGTAAGAGGTCTTGCTGGCTTCTTCGTGCTTGCGGGACTTGATAATCCTGGCTCAACTGATTGTAATCCGGATGATAGTGCAGCTGCTTCGGATTGCGGAACATCTTGCACATAATCTGCGAGCAACTCATCGTCAAGGCCGACCAGTGATCTAATTTCATCCGCGGTTTCTTTTTCATCGGGTGATGCCGTGTCCTCAATTGCAGGAAGCTGCGACTGTAAGCCTGAAGACCCATGCGACTGCTTTGCGAATTGCGAGAGAGTAGTACCCAACTCCTGCGATGGCTGTACTATACTCTCCTTCAATAGCTTTTGAGTCGTTTGCAGTGGCGAGACTTGCACTGCAGGTTCTGGGCTAGAATTGTTGCTAGGCGCATCACTACGTTCAGCAACCAGATCTGTGGCATCCTCATCCGCACTGTCAGGGATTGTCTCGCTTCTGGTGTGTGCACGGGAAGATCGCGGTTGAGAAAGTTGTGATAAGCGGGATGTCCAAGCAGGCTCGACTTGGGACAGGTCGAGCTCCTCGATAGATTGATCAGACTCTTGCGATGCAGCACGCACACTGTCCTGCGGTATTGTAGAGGCGCTGGCTTCGACAGCTGGAATTTCGACCACGTTGGGCGACGGACTGATGGTTTTGAAGCTGGAACTCGACAGCGGTCTAAGCTCTTCCTTGACCTGCTGTAAATCTTCTGTTCCAGATACCACTGTAAGAGGAGGCTGTGTTTGGATCATCTCCACCTCCGAGTCTCTAAGAAGCTCAGGGTCGACCTCCACACTTGGTTGAATTTCCGGTTTCATAGGGGTTCCTACAGTTTGAGATGTCTCACGATCTTGAGCAGCGGAGAGTCCTTCTGCCGTCAATTCGTCCTCTCGTACACTCGATTGAATTACATCGGCATCATCGGCGAACGGAGAAGCTTCAGACTCTGGAATGTCAGACATCGGTTCGTCAACATCCATTAGGGAATTGCTGTTTGACGGCACGCCGTAGTGGCCATCTGCGAGAAGAGCTGGGTCGATCTCATGTTCTTCTTGTGAGAACGCGGGATCAATCTCGTACATCGATGCTTCTGTAGGACTGCTTTGACCATCATCATCGAGCGTGGGATCAATCTCGTGTTCGCCGCTTAGCAAGGCTGGATCGATTTCATGCTCGTCCATCATGCTCTGAACAGACTCGACAGATTCCAAGTCTGAGTCTGCCTCTTCACACACCTCCCTGCTATCCTCAGATTGAGCTTCCACGTCTTCGCCAGAAGACTGAGCCTGAGGAGGGCTTTTCTCTCCTGCATCTGAGGGCCCGTCTTGTGCTCCGGGTGCTTGCGGATGCATTGTGGTGTCCATAATAGCCTCCACCATTGCTTGTTCTTTTGAAGCCGTTTGCGGTGCTACAGTGATAACAGTCGGTTTGATTGTGAAGCCTACAACAGCGGGACTGGAAGGCCGTTCTATGCCGCGTTTGACATCAGCCAAAGCCGGGTCGACCTGATCGACCTGATCGACAGCTTCGTGGGTCCCAGAACTCTGTTCGGTGCTTGCATCTCCTACAGCAGGCTGTACTGTCTCCCCCAGAGTGCTTTGTATCTCGGAATCGGGGATCAGAGGAGCTTGCGGAGGCTGCTGCTGCTGTTGAGGCTGTAGAGGCATATTACGATAGTTCTTCTTGAACTCCTTCAAGAAATCCGAGAAGCCTTCGAAACAATAGTCTCGCTTCTCTTCAAGTTCCTGGAGATGTTCAAGCATGTCCGGCGCCTGGTTCGTGCGAAACTTGTCTTGATCGGCAAGCTCGTGGTAGATCCTCCAACAGGCATTGACGAGTACTTCATCCTCTTTCAGCCGATATTTGACGCCTTCTGCAAACATGTTACCCTGATCTGCAGCGACTACTACGTTGCCCCCGATCTTGCAGATCGTCTTCAGCGCGTTGAACTTGGTCCACTTAGTGCTCTGACCACCTGCCTGGTCAGATATACGCTTAATTTCTGAGCGTATCTGAGCAGTAACCGGTCCAGTGAGTTCAAGATGCGCATCCTTCTCTTTGTTGTCGAGCCACTGGTTGACCAGGTTGATAGAAGGTAAGAAATCGATTGTGACACGGACAGGCTGTGAAGGAGAGCTGACGTCCGCATCTTCTTCCTCTGACTCAGAGTCGTCAAGTAGCTCCACGACATCGAGTCTGGATGAGGAAGGGGGCGGCGCATCTTGAAATGGTGCTTTGACGGTCCGCTCAAGGACCTCTACGGCAGCATCCCTATCCCGCCACGCCGCGACCTCATCACTTCCTGCAGAGCCTTCCTCAGATGCTGCCTCAGAGGGTAAAGCAGTTTTTGTCTCTATCACAGGTTGAGCACCATTGGTGCCAAATGGATGGCTATACATGGCATTCTCGGGCATCGAGGGCTGGTAAGATGAATCCATCACTTCAACTTCCGAGTCTTCACTGTGATCGTCTTCAGTACCAGGCATAACGGCTCGATCAAAGTAGCCTGATCCATCGGAGTCTTCGTCAGACTCGTCATCGCTCCTAGCCAACATTTCCTCATCGAGCTCAGAATCACTGTCGTGCATTACAGCATCACCTTTTCCAAGAAGTCCGCGAATTCCGGCAGGCAGATCTTCTCTTGACTCTTGGAGAGCTGCATCTTCCTGCTCAAGCTTACTTTCCAAATAATCCCAATCAGGTTCTTCGATGTAACCCTCGTCATCGCTCTCTTCCTGTAAAGCTACGATCTGGTCTGAGTCGTATGCAGATGACGCCTCGTCAAACTCAGACTCTTCACTGGAGGATTGCATGTTTTCGTCGGACACTGCATCGGCGGAACTTTCATCGGAGGAGGATAGCACGACAGGTGTCTCTTCAGCGAGGCCATCGTAGGTGTCGGGAACGATGCGAGAGCTTTGTACGACTGCTTCTGATGATTCACTTGAGACTTGCTGTTGTGGGATGTCGGAAGACAGCGCAGCATCCTCAGACACTTGGGCCGGTTCCTGTACCTCCCCAATGCCATTGCCGGCCGTCTGCTGTGATTGAGATACCATAATTGGCGACAACTGAGATAGTACCTCAAGAGGAGCATTCGACGGATTCAAAATCTCCGTCGCAGTATCCTGATTCGCTGCTTGTCTGGGAGCTTCCAAGTCCTTCGCAGGGTTCGAGAAGATAGGTGAAGGAATCTTTCGAGCACTAGTCGGAAAGGGTGACGGTAAAGATAACCCTTGGGTGAGCAGAGGCTGTAAGACAGGAGTTGTGGGCCTATCCACGTCATTGGCACGTGCCATCTGCTCCAGGAGTTCGCTCTCGGTTGGCAGTATACTAAGACGGGGCAAATGTGGAGGCATTCCATCCTTCTCCCGAGATTCTTCAGAGCTCTGTGGTTCCTGTGATGTCCGTCCGGAGATATTGATGCTTCCATCAGGGTCTCTGGTCGCTGCTTGAGCCACACCTACCTCAATATTGTGTACGTCGGATGGTTTGGGTGTTGGATCTGGTTGGCTAGCAACCTCAGCCGACAGGTTCTCAGTAAGGTCCACTGAGGAGTCCAGCGCAGTGGTTTCTCCAGCCGGTTGTGCCGTAATCACTTCTGAGCTCTGTGCATCGGAGTCAGGGTGTTGATTCTGTCCGTCCAAACTTTTTGCGTTTCCAAGTGCATCTTGCATGGTTGTGTCTTGGGTCACTTCGGCCTCTGCAGTCTCCGTGTTTGAGTCTGTAGTCGCAGCGACCATAACATCATTTGCATCTGTATCTTCCATAGTATTGTCTTGGTCTTTCTCAGGCGAAGGTTCTCGAGCATCAAACTTCCATTCCGAAACATTTTTGTACGAAACCCGCCTTCTCTTACGCGATGAGAGGGTGTCGAGGTCGTCGTCTTCGGAAACAGGTACGGGGGAGTATGGCGTGCTTCCTTCTGATAGGTGCAGGCGTTTCATGAAGGCCGGAGAAGAATACACAGCGACTCCGTATACATCGAAAGAGGTGCGCGGCTTGTTTCGTGCGACGGGTGTACTCGGCGGTAGCATACTGGGCTTCGGGGATGCAGGCTCAATGGACTCGTCCACGCTGATTGTGCTCAGCTCATCTCCCCCTCGTGCGATAGTCATATGCAGTCGATTCTTGAACATGAGCTCGCCGTCTACACTTTTACCAGGCGTCTTCACCAGGGCAGTATCGGACTCGGTCAACCATTGCGCGCCTACGAGCGCGACTTGCACGCTATCTCCAATCCCGATGCCAGAGGTGGCTATCTGACGTGCACTGGGCCCGGTGAATCGTACGCGTACTTGGCCTTTTTGATATCGCTGTCGCGCGTCCGGGTCGGCTAGGAGAAGGGCGCATTGTCCGGTCGCTGAAGAGAAGGGCCATAGTAGTGTGACCAGTGCTTTGAACCCGCAGTCGGTGGGGAGTGCCGACGAGGGCGACAGGGAAGATATAGGAACTATCTGCATACTGACCACAGCTCACGACATCGCTCGACCGTAGAAATAGCACAATTGATGATTGGGTGTCAAGCCAAAAGCTTCGTGAGCAGCCATGTCTGAGAAATCCACGCTCGTTGCGGGGATCCCGTTCGCATGACGCTTCTCGTAAGAAGCACGTGAAATGGTCACAAAGGAAGTATGTCTTTGATTGAACGTAACCTTCGTCTCGCACATGGACTATGTAGGCCAGTACACGATGCGATAGAATCTGTTGCTTCTCTTCCTATCTGATATGGCTAGCACTGCGACAGAGTAGGGGATTCTCAACTACTTCCAAGCTGCTTACCTCTGTGCAACTTCCCGATCCAGGATATTGATCATGGCCAGACTGAGTAGAAGGAATCTACGCTACTCTACGTTACTAGAAATCATAAGACTGGCATAACCTGTAAGAGCAAGATAAAACATAAGAGGAAAAAGGATGAGGTTGCTGACAGCCAAAGAGACCTTGGCCGCATCTGTTGTCAAGCTATGATCTCATCAAAGTCCCCTTGATTCCTAAAGAGACTTGCTTGTCCAGAAGAGCAATTTTGATCTACTGACTACACAACCATACAATTGAGTTGGCTTCTGACAAGCATACCTAGTTAAAATGTTTGTGAAGATGGGACTAGATCAGTGCGGCGCCTCGAGTCGACGCTTGGGTGCCAGGTTTACGACGATGTATATACAGCTGCGATGTTGTCAATTTCGCGCAGGCAAACATGCTACCTCTGCCAGCCACTGTGAGTAGTCGGCATAAATAACTGAGTAATATAGCTGCATGAGGGAGCGACAATATGTTGCACTGTCACTCGCATGATAGCAAGTCTAGTCCCCACTGGCACGGCTTATTAGTTCCGAGGAAGTCAGCCTTCGACAGCAAGCCTCCATTTGTATGTATACATCCTTGTGTTCGGTGCGTGTAGTGATGCGGCACCGAAATCATAAACCCACTTGCCAACTATACGGCGCGGCACTCAGTCTTGACGATCCGAGCCGAACTGCTGGCCAGTTTCCCAACAACCCGTACGCAATGTGTTTTCGTCATGGCACACATAGCCATGATGAAGGGTTACAGCAATTCATTTTGAGCGCCTTGGACGCAGTGTTGTGCTGCCAATTCCCGGGCAGATGCAGTCACTTGGTCACTCGACACGGCGAAAGTGGTACAGTAATGACCGAGGCCGGCAGTGTTACGGACCGATTCACGGATCTGGATATCCCAGCATCCCCGTAGACGATTAAGGATCCGAAAGTGTCAATAGCACGATACACCAGGGATGCTAGTGATATCGCTTGGAGGTCGCAAGTAATCTCGGCGGGGAAGGAACGGCGAGTTGGTAGCTTCTGATATTCACATGCTTGATGAAAAGCGATGAGGGGATCATCAACGGTGCCGAAGGCAGATACGCGACTTTTGCAGCAGCATGGCAGAATAGAAAGGCGAATCAGATGCCGCCATCAGAAGCTTTGCTCTACAGGTGCTATCGTGGAGGAATGAAGATACGCCCGCAAACGGCAGTGCAGAAGAAAAAAGCGCGCATAGGCGTTGCGGATGCAGTACCTGGCATTTACGAGGCGGCGGGGGTAGCTGTCAAACATGCCACGACAGGCTGCGTCGTACAGTAGTGGCAGGAGGCAATCGGTAGGTCGAACCGCGGGCATAGTTGGACGATTGTGGTTGAGTGGTGTCTGGAAGTCGTTGAATGACATGTGAAATTCACATGCCGCCAAGCGGTGCAACCGAAGTGAAATCCAGGGAATGGGGAAGTGACATCGTTGTTTCCTGACGAAGGAGCACGCACTGCAGCTGTAGCGGAGCTATTAGCTCCCAGATAACACCACCACCATGCCTGTTCATCTTCAGATCCTCACCTTGACTTTCTGTCCACATCTTGATCCTCCTTGACTTTTTATCCCTTCTCAACAGCTCGCTCAGGGACAGCCATTGACCATTCCGTTTACGATCTAAGAGATAGCATCATCACAGTGAGTCTTTAACCTTTTCTCACTGCCATTCGATTGAAAGTCTCTCTTCGCTTTTTCTCAGAGAGCTGTAGCGGATCTGGTCTCGTTTCTGTGCAACTCTTCGGCTGACAGTTTTTTACCAGCAACGACCCAATGCCTCACGCAGAAAGCGACATGTCTAGCCCTGTCACTAACGGTGACAAGCCTCACTCACAGTTCTTCTCGGTATGCAGCCAACAAGAGTTGTCCATATAGATTGCACACACTGACCGACATCAGCACCTGAAGTCATACCCCGTCGTCAATGATGGCGTTGAGACATTCATGAACAATCCCTACGGTGCAAAGTCTCTCGACATTGCCGACGCCGCTTACACCAAGCTTGGAAAGCCCGTCATGCCCTACCTGAGGACTCCTTACTCATATGCTGCACCGTACGTGGCCAAGGCCGATAGCCTAGCCGATAAGGGATTGGAGCAGGTCGACACGCGCTTCCCCATTGTCAGAGAAGACACCACGACCATCAAGGACACCGTCATCAACTATGCCTTCCTCCCTCTCAGAGCCGCTGGAGAAGGTCGCACGTACCTCATGAATACTTGGGAGGACCAGTACAACAAGACAGCAGCCCGTAACAACCGCGGTGACGGATTGAGCACTAGCTTCCTGGCCCTCATCTCGACCCAGCTCAGAATTGCCGCTGATAGTGTCAACCTCCTTGCTGACTGGTTCGGTCCCAAGACTGAGGAGGCAAAGCAAAGAGGCGACTCGCTGTTCAGCAGCTTGTACAACAAGGCCGCATCGTACGGAGAGCAAGCCAAGAGCAAGGCCAACAAGGCCGAAGACAAGGCCGAGACATACGCCGAAAAGGCCCAGGAAAAGTCAGGATATTGATCACGTCCATACAACGCGAGCTCCATTTCTGATAGCCTGGCAGTCTTCCCGAACCTCACCACGGGTATCCCTGGACCTATGATGGAGTCCAGAACGGCGACGAGACGTCAACGACTTGAACGTCGTTAATGGAAAACTTCCTCTTACATTCCTTCTCTCAGCTGTTGCTCGCTCATGTATGTACTGTATTGTCCATAGAAGCTTCATGCTCAACTTGAAAGCTCAATCGATTGCACGCGATGTTTCTATTGCCTTCTCGCTGTTTTTGTCGTGTGCTGTAGATTACTGCATGCGAGCACGACTTTTTTACCTTGACCATCTTGGAGGAAATTCGGTCGCCTCTTTTGACAACACTGTGTGCTCGCGATGTCGTGATGCTTGTGTACACGACAGTCTCCAAGGGTGTTCACCGTTGGTCGAGCTTGGTCCTGCCTACTTTGACTGATTGAAGCCTTCCGAGGAACTGCTGCACCCTATGACCCCTGGGCAGGAGCAACACTTTAGACTCGACAAGTGAGCTCACGAAGGTTTGGGGATTTCAAGTAATCACTCGATCATGAGTGTCCATGTGCGAGAGACAGAAACACATGTCAGAAGCAGGGTGCTACTGGTAGCAAAGTGAAGCGAATCCAATGACGTCAATAACATGTATGTCTCTCAACATGTATGTATCGTTAAGGTATACACAAAATCAGTTTCGTCTTGGGCAATGTGAGTCTGAAGTAGCAGAGTACCGTGCAGAAGTCCAGTATATTTTGAGAGAAGAGCGAATGAACCGCATACAGCATTATGTCAAAAGTGGTTGACATGTGACACGGACCGAGAAAGCCGCCTTTGTTTGTTCCTAGATTGACCTGGATGGTTTGTTGATGCTACACACAAGCCAACAAAGATGCTGTGATGGCGAGGAACGCAATTCAACCAAGTTTCGACTTCTTCACGGGAGAAGAGCGCTCGCCGGTGCGACAGCCATTGCGCGACACGTTTCGGCAATCTACTGCGACCGTCGCGCGTTCTGGTGAGTCTTGCAAAGTCTCCCAACACGCAGCTAAGAGGGACTGACATCAGAGCGTAGACGTCGCCAATGAATCTTTGCGCGCTCAGCTAAACACACTGCAATATGAACTGGACTCATTGAAACAGGAGAAGGAGCTCACGGCGCTCCAACAAGCCAGCGACGTTCGCGATGCCGAGCAGCGTGCAGATCGAGACTTCAAAAGAGCCCAGGCTGCAGAGGCCGCTGCTCAACAGAGCGCCAAAAAGCTGGACCAACTCTCGCGTGAAGTGAGCGACATCGAGAACCGACATACCAACGAGAAGATCCAGCTCGATCGCAAGATCCGTACACTGCAAGACGACAACCAAAGTCTGAGAGAAGATCTCGAAGATGCCGAATCACGTCTATCATCCGCCGAAAGAGAGCATAAGCATGGGCTGGACGACCTTGAAGCAAGACACACCGCCCTCCAAGCCTCGTTCGAAGAGGCGCAGAGAGACTTGGGCTCAAAGGTTTCGTCTCTCCAGTCCACGCAACAACGCCTGTCACAACGCGAATCAGAGAATGGAAACCTTGAGAACGAAATTCTCCGGCTCAAGGCACAGACTGGCGACTCTGACACTCTTGCCATCATTAAGCGCGAGCTTTCTGAGCAAGTAGCCCATATCAAGAGGCTGGAGTCTACCAATCGCGACCAGTCTGCCGAGCTCAAACAATTGCGCAAAACTCACAAGAGTGTCGAGATTGTCCAGGAAGAGAAACGCACTCTGGAACAGAAGCTACGCGCCATGGAAGACTTGCGCAAGGAATTGGCAGAGGCGCAACTGCAAAAGCAGATTCTAGAAGACGAAAGACGTAGTTGGACAAGCTACCTGGAAAGCGAGGCTGCCGGAAGGGAAGAGATGGCTTTTAAGTCACCAGAAGATATGGCCAAAGCATTCGTCAAGGAGCGTATGGAGAGGATTACGCTAATCGAAAAACTGGGAGCCATACAGCCTGAGATCTCTGTGCGCGATGCTAACATCAAGACGCTTGAAGACGAGAAGGCCCAACTCAGAGCAGAAATCGAGAAGCTCAAGAGTGCAAGCGGTACGACAACAATCGCTGCTCCTGTAGACGTCAAAGCTCGCGCACGCCTTGAAAGACAGAAAAATCTGGCCATCAAAGAAGTTGAATATCTACGGGCTCAGATGAAGGCGTTCGAAGCCGAGGAGAACGAATTTTCGCCGGAAAAGTCAAACCAGGAAGAGAGCAAGCGTACCCAAGAGCTGGAAGCACTCATCGATCAGTACCGCTCGGAAGTCGAGGCCTTGTCTGCTGAGATGAAGCAGCTGGAAAGTAGTACTCCTGCTGCGTCAACACAAACTTCGAAGCGACCTCATCCAGAAGAGTCCGATGAGCGACTAGGCGAGTTGCGCCGTAAGACACGCACACTCCAAGACGACTTGACAGCATTACAAACTCGCTACTCCACCACTGAGACTGAGCTGAAAGCCAAGACCAGCCAACTCAATGCTCTTCGTGAATCATCACGAACAAGAGTGCTCGAGCTTCGCGACAACCCGACTGCGCAAGCCGAGGCCATCAAGATGACAACTCTTCGTACCTTGAAAGAAGAAAACGCAGCACTCCTCAAACAACTTGAGGGCAAACCAGACGGCGCGACGAAAGTGGTCCCTATCAGCACACTTGAGCACGCACGTCTGCAGATGAGCGAGCTCGAAGCCACAGTTGCCCAACGCGACAAGAAACAACAACGGCTGAAAACCATTTGGTCGGCCAAATTCCTTGAATTTGCAGAAGCCGTTGCTGCGACTCTGGGCTGGAAAGTGGTCTTCCAACCAAACGGTCGATTCAAGGTTACGTCTATCCTGTATCCGACATCCATCAACAAAGATGGCGAGGAAGAGGAGAACTCGATTCTCTTTGATGGTGAAAAGGGCACTATGAAGGTGTCTGGTGGCACGGAGAGTGTATTTGCGAATGAGATTCGCCCGCTCATCGAATTTTGGGTTGATGGAAGGAAGGAGATTCCTTGTTTCCTGGCTGCATGCACACTGGAATTCTACGACAAGACAACGAGAGCTACAGAGATCTAAAGAAGTAATAAAACAAGCACCCTGATGCATTTGCTGATCATACCCTTTCCCGCCATCACATTTCTAGTACTCGTGGCTCAGTGAAGCAGGCCGCGTCGACGAATGGAGCTTTCCCCTTCAGCAAACGAGTGCAGATCAAACGAAAGAAGGCTGCGATCATATCGTGTGTCCGAAACCATGCTCTCAGGAATTCTGCTTCAACTGTTCAAAAGACTGGAAGTTGTGTAGGGGAACACGTAAAGGCGGTGCAGCAGAACTGCTGGATAAGGAGACGGAAGCTAAAAGTCCAGGTGTGGTCAAAGGTCTACTCGGCGAACTGAAAGAGGTCTTGAGAAACGAGTTCCAGCTGCTCGACCGGGAGAAGTGGTCGGAAACCGAGTTGACAACGATCAAGGAGAATTATGCGTCTTGTATCTCCATGATAGACCAAGCTGATGCTTTGCATGAAGTGTTTGAGGAAGTAAAGGAGTCTGTCAACAAGTTTCTGAATCCTCTACGGAAGCAACGCGGAGACCCACCTCTGGATGGGGCAGAGAGCCCTGCAGAAAGCGTGAAACAAGTCGAGGTTAAGAGCAATGGGAAGCGCGCGCTCTCTCCTGACCCGTTCCTTGCTCGTTTTAAAAGAGCGAAGACGGACATGCACGCTGATGACGAGGACAAACATCGGGAGTCTGAGCGGGCAGTCACCGACGGGAATGGAGACGTGGACAGTATCGCCGAGGACAGGAACAATGGCGAATCCGATTACGAGCAAGATGTAGATGACGAGGAGGGGTCTGAAGAGAACTATGAAAATGGAGATGATCCGGATGGAGACTCCAGCTGGGGATCTTGTTGAGAACGTACTCTTGGGTTGCACCTTCCTCCTGAAAACGCCGAGCCGAGTGTGCACAAAATTAATACGTGGGTATCGTGAGAAGAAATGCAAAACGCCGATATAATGCCCGAATCCCAGAATGCTTGTATAGCGCCCAATGCAATGTCCCTTCCTAAGAGTCGACGCCTGAACTATGCTTCATCTCGTCAACTTTGTATGCGTCCCGCATTGGCGTGTCCGCCACGGCGCGACTCGGACCATAGTCGTCTTCCTCAGCGCCAGTCTCTGTCGCAATCGTAGGTAGCACGCCGATTACTAGACTAGGCCTACGTTGGCGAACAGGCTTACGGCGTTCGTGCCGATACGACGCTTCAACGACGCTGTCAGGTGCGGCGGGCAATGAAGCCTTGCGTCGATGGTCGCTGGCAGCACCTCCATCCGCAATACCGTGTCTGCGAATTGCTGGATGTGGCGGAAAATCTAGATGTGGCATCTCGCATGCCTGAACTTGTACTTCTTTCGAGTTTGGCTCTGCACCGGTTTGTCTCCGCAACCCGACGTGAGGTAACAATCCCATGTGTGATCGCACGGCGCCAGTCTTGTTGTCAGATTTGTCCGAGAACCATCTGTGGATCCAATTACGCATCTTGTGCACAAAGTGTCGAAGGAGAGGCTGTAAACAGGCTAGACTTGCGGCCGAAATGCCAAAACCGAGTTCCGTCAGAGCCAGTACAATCTCCGGAGCCGAGTGATCATAGAAAGAGGTGTGGTAGTTAGGGTCCAGGAAGGCTGCCTGAAACCACACACCATAGACGTAAGCAGTACGAAAACAAGCAGCCACACTACCAGTGACACCCAGAATGAGCAGGATGCAGACCGAAAGCTTGATATGAGGCTTCAATGATGATTTGATAAGTACTGTCACTGGCAAAAGTGCAAAGGCCCAATCTGTGACGGCACCGGTGGCTCCATGGAGATAGAGAAGAGGCACGAATCTGTTGCGTCGAACACACTGGCCATTAATCTGTCGTTGGGCAATATGCGACAGCGAGCCGCATTGGAGAAGCGACAAGAAGAGCGCAATGAGAGACAACACGATCGAGCAGGCTCCTGCAGCAATGATCGCTCGACGTTGCCATTGTTTCCAGACAAACTGACGATAGAAGAGCATGAGGGAGATCTTCAGAAATATGGTCGAGAGCATGAACGCCACTTCGCCGAGTGTGAGTCGCTGCAGTTTGTGTTAGTAAAAGATTGATCGACACAAATTGTATCAGGAGACTCACCAACAGAAACTTGTCTGCTACTGGTAACGTGAGAATTGGGTTGTGGTGTTCAAGTAAGGCAACACTCATCGCCAGGCAACTCAGCAGTATGAAGAAGAACTAAAGACATAACGTCAGTTCAAAAGACTTGGATTTCCAGATACACCCGAGTTACACACCCAAGCTGTGAGTATAGAGTAATCGTCGACAGCAAGTTTCCGCTTTCCGGTCCGTAGCTTGGCCCATAAACGCAGAAAGACGCACAAAGTTGTTAACGCGATGAACATGATGGTGACTCTAAAGATCATGCGTTTGAGGAACCCTCCTCCAGGTAGATCGTTCTGCGCATTGTAGTGCTCCGGAAGCATGACCTGTAGATTGATGATTGGAACAGGCGAAGTTGACAAGGCATGATCGAGTCAAGTCCCTACTGTCATGCAAAAATGCGGCTCTGTCCCTCCACATAAGAGCGAGGGAGATGGAAGGATCGAGACCAATTCGCCCGCCTGGCAGTCTCATGATCATCTTCTTTGTGAGCTGCGAGCACGACGTGGTACCGTTGGATCGTGGGCTTGAAACGTCGAATGGTGGATTTCGTCAAGATTGTTCAACGGTCCGGCTTCTCATGCCTCATATCTGCGATACACAAATTCATAGCCCAATTCAAGCGTAACGGCCAGGTCAGGTATTAAGCGGGCTCGCGATACATTTCGGGAAGAAGGCTGGCGCCTAATCGACCCGGCAGCCGATCGCGCGAGTCAGCCGGCAGGCACTCCGATACGTAGTTGATCACTAGTCCGACTGTTTTATTCAATACCGTGATGACATTGTAGTTTTCCAAGAACGAAAAGCTGCTGTAGGCTGGAACAGAATAGTCACTTTGTTTGGACGTTCAGGAATTGAGCCGCCATGTTGTTGTATCTGGTGCATGGTTCTCTGTCAGGATCTCAGATTTCAACCACGGCACATGGCAGTATCGATACAATGTACAGTACATTCGAAAGGTACCAAAATGTTTTTCTTTTGAAGGATCCGGGTGGCGAAAGTGGAGTCTAGCCTGACCAGATCCAGAATGGCGACGAACGCCATCTCTGACAACATCTGGGTGTTCAACCGCCAGCGCCATGTCTCTGATACAGCACGTTGCGGTCTTGCGATTAGACCTATCAAGGGGACACGAGCGCTTTCAAGCGAGCAAGTCTTCTCTGCATGCGAGCCAGAAGCTAGTGACGCCAGAGTCGGTGTACGGCCAAGATTTCGGCCTAGGGTTTGGATGTATTGTAGATTGTATAGAAAGTCGGACTAACGCGTCCAGTCGGAATTCTTGTATTGGTGAAAAGGAACATGCACCCCATCCATGTGAGATAGGGTGCTGATTATATAGATGTAAATTCGTAAAGGGTATTGGGTCTACAGGGGTCTGTCGACATGGGGTACTACAAGGCATAGAAGGGGCGAAATCATATCAGCTTTAGAGGTGTTCTCCGAATCCCAGCAGGAACATGGCTCATGTAACGACTTTTGGAGTCCGGTCTCTGAAGCCGCCGGAAAGCCTCGGTGATGTGCTTGGTATTGACAGGGGTCCTTGCCTCCTCGGGTGGATCGAACAGTCCAGGTTCTCGGCGGATTCTTTTCCTGCGTTGCTGGTCTTCATCGCCGCCGCTTTCCCTTCTCTGTATGTCTTCGGCATTCTTGACTCGCAGAGCCTCTTCTGTCAGGGTCTGGACGATTTCGAAGGTCAAGAAGCCTAGGATGTCGACAATGTCGTCGTTTGGCTTGCTATCCGTCACGACACCGAAGCCAGCCCATTCTCGGAAGCGTTTGCCCTTGCGGAATGTGAAAGAAGCCTGGCGACATTCGCTCCAGTGTAGATATTCCTCGGGTGTCATGTTCTTCGTACGGTCGTCTGCATTCTTGAGACGCGTCATGGTAGCGGTTGTCATCTCCTCTTCATCCTCGTCCTCCTCATCCTCTCTTTCCGGGACCTGCTCTTGGTAGAAGCTTGATACATCCCATGGTAAACCGACTTTTGCTTTCTTCGTTTTTGAATTTCTGGTCCCGACCGAAGGACCGGCGGTAGCCAGTGTTGGGTCATTTGCGGGGCCAACGTCGATGTCTGCAAAGTCGTCACCTCCTCCACCACCGCCGCCTCCTTTGTCGTCCGAGTCCTTTGCAGATTTGCGTACGTCTTTCCAGCTGAGGAAGGTACGTAGGCGGGAGACCTTTGCGCGATCGTGGCGGATGAGAAAGATCAGATCGTCTGTGTTGATGGATCGAACACCACGACGGGCGGCCAGAGCGGTGGCTCGTGTGAGCATCTCCACGACTTGTTGTTGTACAATTGCTTCGATGAGTGTGGTAGTCTCAGGGGCAGCTTCCGCAGTTTCGCCAGAGACGAACATCATCTGCTGTATCTCGGTACGGTACTTGGCGGCCTTGTCTTTGTCGGCCATGATGAAGGAGAAGGGGGAGGGGTGATTCGAAGCGTGGTGTTGAGTTGAAGTTGAAGCCTGGTATTGAGCTGAAGCCTAGTAAAAGTGTCGCGTGAAGATGTTTGATATGTGGCGATGATGAGAAGAGGATTCCAGGTCAGGGACGATAGATCGAGAGGAGTTTCAGGAGGTTATTGTCGCATGGTGCAAGTATTGACGATGGATAAGGACAATAGACAATAGGCCAGTCAATAGGCCATGGTGATTGCGGGGAGCGATCGTCAGACCGAGCGTCTGGAATCTCGATGTTTTTTATTTCCACAAAGTCCTTCCTTGCTCATACATAAACGCAATCATGTTCTACGCAATCGGTCTGGGTCTGGCGGATGAAAAGGACGTGTCGGTCAAGGGTCTCGAGATCATCAAGCGCGCCGAGCGTGTCTACCTCGAAGCCTATACCGCCGTCCTGCTGGTCGAGAAGGAAGTCCTGGTACGCCGCTACCTTTGACGAGAGCGCAAACGTGCACTAATCGCTATCGCAGTAGGAAGCTTACTATGGTCGCGAAGTAATCATCGCCGACCGCGAAATGGTCGAATCCTCATCCGACGAGATCCTCGAAGGCGCCGACAAGGTCGACATTGCCTTCTTGGTTGTCGGTGATCCTTTCTCGGCAACCACTCACACAGACTTCATCATCCGTGCTCGTGAGAAGAACATCCAAACCCGCATCCTGCCCAATGCCTCCATCCTGACTGGTGTCGGCTGCACCGGTCTCTCGCTCTACAACTTTGGCCAGACCGTCTCCATGGTCTTCTTCACAGACAACTGGAAGCCCGCCAGTTACTACGACCGTGTCAAGGAGAACGTCGCCCTGGGTCTGCACACTTTGGTCTTGCTGGACATCAAGGTCAAGGAGCCCAACCTCGAATCTCTGGCCAGAGGCAGAATTGTCTACGAGCCTCCACGCTTCATGACTGTCGCCCAATGCGCCCAGCAGATGATCGAGACCGAGGAAGAGAAGGGAGAAGGCATCTGCTCAAAGGACAGATTGGCTGTTGGTGTTGCTCGCGTCGGTGCTGACGATCAAGAAATTGTTGCTGGCACTCTTGAGCAGCTCGCTGAGGCTGACCTTGGCAAGCCCCTGCACAGTCTAGTCCTTATCGGCAAGCGCATGCACGACATGGAGAAGGACTACGTCCGCGAGTATGCTGTCGACAAGAAGGTCTTTGACGATATCTTTGCCAGGGACTACCACCAGTCATAAGATAATGACCACTACATATTTGTGTACACAATCTTTTTTTTCTTCGTACACTTCGACTCTGCTAGTAAAGAGCAAGATTGTCCTCGTTCAATTTTCCGAACAGCTCCTCCAAATCTGCACTGACACCCATGATTTCCTGTGCCAGGGATCCAGTCACGAGCGCTACAGTCCAAATTAGCAAAACGAAGTCATGAGGGTGATTATAGATCAAACTTACCATACGCATACAGCAACTCATAGTCCTCCTCAGTCGCCAAAGAAGCCTTGTCACTGTCCCTTCTGAACTCAAAGATCTTCGCCAGCAGTCTGTCTCTGGTGTGATCGATGTTGGGCAACACATCGTTGAGCGGATATTCAAGCTTGACCGAACTGGCTAGCACAGAGAATAAATGACTGATTCTCGCAGACAAAGCAAATCGTTCGGCTCTGGTGTATCTCAATACCTCAGCCTCTCCAGGGCTCGCCTTGAGGTCTTTGGCTATCACCATATTCATGGCGTGGAAGTTGTCCAACATGCGCTTCGTTCTTTCCAATATCTTGCCGAAAATCTTGTCAGGGAACGGAGCTCGAAATTCAAACTCAGAAGCAGCAGCTTTGCGGAGAGCTTCCAATTGCGCAAGGAAAGTTTGGAGCTCGGATTCTTCACGAATATCCATGTATGTCGAGACGGGCTCGCCGAGGAGGAACATGGCCAGCGGGTCTCTGCGCCAGATCAGCGACATACGAAGCCAAAGTAAGCAGATGCCATTCTTGAGCTTGCGACGGGCAGAGATGGGCCAGATCACTCTGGTCACCACGATGCCCCAGAGACAGCCTGCGATGACTGCTACGAAGCGATGAAGCACAATCTCCCAAATCTCAGGATTGATACCTCCTTCATCATCGTCGTCATCATTGTCCTTGACAGACAGCGAGTATGCGTAGAGAGCGGAAAGGTTGTAGGTGAGAAGGATGAAACGGCCCATAGGTCCTTTGCCTTGAACCAGGATGATGTAGAAGCAGCCAAGCGACATTAGCCAGCCGAAGAACCCGAGGAGCCAAGGACTGTCGTCCGAGATGATCCAAGCCATAATTGCCAGTATTGCGCCCATGGCTGTGCCGAGGAATCGCTCAACACCCGTCGTGTTGGAAGCTCCGATGGTCATAGAGCACACAACCATATAAGAGACAAGACCCCACTCTCCGCGCCAATGTTGGTAGAACGGTCGTGACCATACCATGAATGATGGCAATGCAAAGAGAGCTGCTCCCACACCAACCTTTATCGCAAATCTGATGTCGTCTCGTCGAATAAACTTGAACATGCGATAAACCTGATGTGTCAGTGGTTCCTTGATGTTGAGACCTGCTCTCGCAAATGTATCCGCTTGTAAGATGGGCTTGAGAATGTCAGTTGTCAAAGCCTCGTCAGGCTCGTGAATCAATGACAGGCCGGCTTCCACTGCAGCAGTCTTGTCGGAATCATTCCTTCTCCAAAAGGCCATCCAAGTCCAGGAACGTGTTCGATCTTCTTGTTCGATTTCTTCCTTTAGTTCTTCCAGAATTTCAAGATACTCGAGAGTGTCTTCGGCAAAATCGACCATCGCGGCAGCATAATGTCCACAGCTAGCTGCAACTTCTTCCAGGTCAGCCACACGCTCGAGGGATTTTGCGTTCGTAATTTCCTTGTTACGATATAGCGTTGACAAGGCTCCTTTTCTAGTATTATTAAACAAGTCAATTGCTTGAGCAAGACTTGATCGGAAGTTAACATTGACCGCGATCACATCGTCTGTACCGGGTTGAAAGGGCAGCTCATCCAGGATAGATTTGAGAGTAAAAGCCAGCGACTTCATCGGCGGTCCTAGTTGCGTTATGAATGTCGTAAACATTTCAGAGGGCGACAATGAAGGTCGTTTATCTGTGAAGTTACTGGTGAAGCTTGAGGCCATGGGACTAAACGGTATAGGCTGATCAGCTGGCGACTCAGGAGCTTCGCTAATAGGTGTCAAAGTCCCTCGAATTTCGCCCGGTTCGCTCACAAGCTGAGAGCCACCGAGAAAAGAGGAAGACATGGATGCCGACCTGTTGATGTGTGGTGATGATTTGATGAGCGCAAATTGCGTGCTTGCCGCACTGTAGAGACCGCCAATGCTCTGGGATAATCCTTGCAGACATTTGACAAGCTTGACCTCGAGACGATATTCTTTTTCCCTGCCCAACATGTAATGCTCGTATTTCGCTTCAACCAGGTTCTTCTTCATTGACAATTCACTGGCCTTGCAGTCCTTGTCGACTTGCCTGTATGCTGCACCTTGCATCTCCGTTTCGGAGCCTGTAAGGAAAGCTCGCGTGATGGCGATGAGCTTGGCCCCAAGTAAGTCTGTAGTCTTGACAAGGTCGCGGTGTAGCTCTTTCTTGGCGTATCGTGGTTTGACAAGCAGATTGACTGCCGTGGTGGCTGCCATACCAAGCAGAACCATCCGCAAGACTTGGAAAACTTTGTCTTCGGAAAATTTGGCAGCTTGAATAGATCCTTCCTTGGTCAAGATGGTAATGATGGCCAGTGAGGCAAGACTGCATCCAACATTGACAGTCGGGTGACCAAGTCGCTGTTTGAGCCAACCGATGAAACCCAGTCCACCAGCACAAAATACCACCAGAACGATAGCATGACCAAGAACCAGAAGGTCCCGTTTGCCCAGAGCCATGCTGATAGCCATGCTGGTAAAAGATACGAACGCTGCATACACAAAGGCAATCAGAGCGATACCAACGGCTTCAATCATACTCCCTACTGTCCTCGAAGGGTGAAAGTACACCGTGACAGTCGCGACAACATGCTTGCCGTCCTGCTTTCCGAGGAATGCCGAGATGAAGGGCAAGAAAGTAGCAAGAGATCCAAGAAGATAGGCTATGGAACATTTGAAGATTCCCTGTCCTAGGTTTGAAGCCCAAAAATCAACCGATCGATCCCGCCAGCGGTAGAGAGGGTTTAGTAGGGCATTGAATTCAGGTGTTGAGGGTCGCGCGTCAGGATCTGCACCTAGCAACCCCTCACGCTCCTCTGACGAACCAGATTCCTCGTGAGCATCGTCTCCTAAGGTAGGCAACGAAAAGGCACGTCTAACACGTTCTCCAGTCCGTGGTAGAATTAGTGTCGCGTTCCTAAGCTTGACGGCTGTTAACGACAAGCACGTGGCGCTGGAGGCGTTCGTGAACTTACGTTCCGGGGGTTGAAATGACGGCCCAGAGACGAGACTTGCCCAGTGCTTTCTGATGGCATCACTCACTGGAAACTCGGCGACATTCCCTTTTGTTCGATCCACGTATAAGTATGTTCAAATGTTTGGAAAAGATATAAGACGTCGGAGGTGGCCTAGCGGTTGTCGTCGATGATCTGCACGCAGGATTGCCGCTTTGACTCCTAGTGGCAGCTCGTGCCGATCTCGCTATCGATAAACCAATTTGCCGTAGAGAGCCTCAATCGATCTTTCATGATATTGACAGTGTTCTACGAGAAAATGTCATGATATATGTGTGCTGATCTCGTCATACAAGGACTTATCTTAGCGGCGCTGAGATTATATCGTATAGCATGTCTCGAATGACACCATACTTGGTGTCGGAAATGAAGGCAGCGAGGCAGTGAGAGCAATGCTGAGAATGATGACCACCGCTTTATGTGAGATTCTACAGGAATTGCACTTCCCCTCTCCAGGAAGAAGCGGAGGAAGAGAATCACGATGATGTTCGTGTCGTGCCACACTGATTCCCCAAAACAGAAGTTGCTTGACAAAAATCGTCAGCATGAAAGAGCATAAAACACAACTCCTCGCCAAAATCATATGCCGCCCTGCCCGTACGCCGTAGCAATGCAAATCCCAGCTCTAGTACCTGGCTTGTACTTTGCGATTCGATCCATTCCATCGCGTTGAGTATCCCGTAAAGATCCTCAGTTGGCAAGCTCCTTCCGTACCAGTCTCTTAGCGGTCGCAGCTTCGAGCTTGCGCCTGAACTCCATATTCGCGATGGTTCTTGCTAGCTCTTGATCTCGACTTCGCGACTGTCCGGCAACAAGACCCTATCTCGATGACTCCTGGCTCGCGGTGCGCGGTTGCTGGCCCGGTGAAGAGGGCAACAGCTTGATCTGCTTGATAAGATAACTTTTCTCGTCCGAGAATTGGTCGTCCTCGGTACGGTCTGCCAAGAAGTTTGGTAAGAAATCCAGCAGTCGTTGACGGTTCATAGTCAATAGACGCTTGACATCTGGCGACTTGTTCGGGTTCGCAGCAAAGATCTTGAAGACATGAAAGGCTTCATACTGCACCATCTTACGATCATCTTTCAACTGCCACATTATGAGCTTAAGATTGTCGCCGGACTCGACATAGCGTGTCATTATCTCGTAAAACTGGCGGTCCAGCAGGACTTCGCCGAGCAGTTTAATGGATTGGCGTTTAGTTACGTAGCTCTCTGACTTGATGAGTACGTTGTTGTACTTGTCGAAGAAAAGATCGAAGTTAGTGTCAATGTACTTAGCCACCATGGGCTTGTGTCGAACTAGGATTTGCTGTTGATCACTCTTAGTACGTAGCCGTGAAGTATGTTGAGGTAGCAACTCACGCGGAACGTGTCAAAAGCATCTGTGCTAACTTCAAACAAGCTCTTGTCTATCCAATCAAAGAACTTCCAGAATACACCCTGGCCCGATGCAGGCTGGTCTGTGTCAATGCTGCCAAGGTCCAAGGATTGACCGTGTAGGCTGGGCTCATCGTAGAGAATCAACGCAGTGACCGCGTCGTGTTTCAAAGCCTCTTTCAGTATTCCTCCACAGGGCATTGCGCTTTCGCGACGATCGTAGCCATTGCAAAGCGCGATGATGACTTCGGGACGTGTGGTGATGATGTATTGAAGGGCGATCGGTTGGTCTTCCCCGGGTTGCTTGTATCGCAAGACGTTGGAGATGATGGTTTGTGTATCTTTGCGCGATTCGAAAGGCAGACGGTGGATGTTTTCGGCGAGGACTCGTAACAGATCTTCGGTGACGAGGAGGTTGACAAGCTGGAAGACCTGGTCGGGGCTGACGTCAAGTTCTACACGCTAGTGTCAGTCGCTCTGTGCTTGAGAACTGGTTGGTCGTGGTAGTGAAAGCATACCGGGCGTGCCTTGAAGAATGACCTTCATCTGGCCAAGGTTCCGTGCCACTTCTTCCTCGATCTGACCGTCGTCAGCCCAGTCCAGTCCGCTCGAGTCGTAGTGGTCGGCTACCTTTTGTGAAGGCTTATCCTCAGCAATCAGCTTCAGCATCAGATCTTTCGTCGACCGGGTCAACTCCTGGTTGGACCTGGCCTTGCTGCGGCCAAACAAAAAGGCCATGTTGCCTGTAACTTATGCGCTGCCTGGTGTGTCTTGACTGCTCGCGGGGTTGCTGTTGCCGGTCGATAAACGTTTATCAGGAACACAGCTGGATAGTCAAGGCACTCTTGTAAAAGAAGAAGAAGAAGAGTGCGAGAAGAAAACACAAGAGAAGAATACGGTGAAAGAAACTGCAAACAAGTCGTCACCGCGCTATGTGTTTACTACTGGAGATTGACTTTCCATTAAACATCGTCACTCCGAGAAACTGTGGGGGGACGGCCTTGGCAAGCCTGATGACTTTCTTGTTTCATGTGATGCTGCCATTGACAAGTAAGATTGTCTTTACCACAAAAGTATGCTGCCAGCTGAACGCTCACTTCAACGCTCTCACCGTATCTAGAACCGAACAACGTGTCACATACCCAGGCATTCACAGCGCCAATCCATGGCAAAATCGACTGATCTAAGAATAACATCGTCAAAGAGAAGTTGGCACCGTGGTATCAGGCATCTATCAGGCTACCCGTACACCGCACGGACGAGTCAAGAACTTCTTAGCATGAAATTGGGAGCTTCAGATGTGAGGGAACGTGCCTTTTACTCCTGCAAGATAGATCATGACTTCTCGCGCTCGACGAAGCCTACATTGAATCGGAGCATGATTATCTGTATGACAGGGTGTCGTCGGATATAACTCAAGACTACGGACTCTTTCCTTCGAGCATAGAGAATTCGACTCTACAGGCTAAACCTCTACTCAAAGAAGCTTTGCTTCCGCCACTATTGCATTTTAGATGTGATTGCGAATCTTGGAAAGTGACACTTACCTCGTCAGCTTTTAATCTATTGCCGCTCTCATATACGATCATCCTTTGCACTAGTTCTATCGCTATCGAGGGAGTTCCGGGAAGGATATTTGTCCAGGCCTTTGGAGGATATTGTACAAAGGCCATCTTGCCCCAGTCCGGCAAAGTTTTGGCTTCCTAGACGAGTGTGAACTTCTGATCTCCTGTGCAACGATACGGAACAACTTACAGGCCAGATGTCGAGGTTAGGGGTACCGAGTGTCGAAAAGATACTCTTGATCAGGGCAAGGTCACTCCCGAGATCACCAGAGTCGAACAAAGTCCGAGGACCCAGACTCACCACTTGAGCGGCCACGCATCCAGCAGCCCACATGTCAAGACTCGTATCATACCATTGGTTGCCGAACATGAGCTCTGGAGGGCGGTAGCTCGTTGTACCCACATCCATGATCTTTTCCCTTGCAGGTTCAGACGAAGGGTCATCAGCAGACCATGCGATACCGAAATCTGATATGTAAATTGGACCAGCTGGGCTTCTGAGCAGGATGTTAGACGGCTTTACGTCTCGATGGATGATACCGCAATCATGTATGTGCTCAAGACCTTGCAACAACTGTGAGAGAATGGCCTTTTGATGGGTCGGATGCAATTTGCCCTTTCTGAGTTGATCGTCGAGGGTATATGGCATGAACGGGAACGCTAGGACGAGTCGACCACCAGCTTGTGAGAAACTCTCGACAAGCTCTACGACAAAGGGGTGGCGAGCTTTTTCCAGCAGTCGCACCTCTCGCACAGAGTCATGAGGTGGTTCCGTGGCAGATGGATTTGTGACCTTGAGAGCAACTAGGCAGGGATGGTACTGATGCCCCTGTGTCTTCGGTGTGATGCCGCAGTTATCTCCAGCTGTAGCCTTGTAGACTTCAGAGAACAAACCGTCGTTATGATGTGTAGCGTTTGTGTAACGACCAATGGTCACGCCAGAGGTGGACAGCACCAGAGGGGCTTCCTCAATCAAGTCGTTGGCTTGCTCACGAACGCTCGAGCTCGAAGACAAATCACCGACTACAGAATCAATGCGAGATTGGTAATCTTGCTACGCGTTGGAAGGAATATCAGAAACACGGAATGAAAGAAAAGGGGAAGCAATGTAATCGTTTACCACATGTTCCGAACCGTCGAAGATAGCTTGCTCTACATCTGTAGCTTTGCTTTGGATATGGCTGGCAGGGAGATCTGGATGAGCAAGCACAAGAGCAGCTTGTCTGAAGTTTGGTCAGTACTGGAAAATTACCTTTCTCATTCCAATTGAGTGTTCAAAGATGTTTGACTTGCACTTTGGAAACAGACTCGAATCTCTCTAGGAAAGTCAAATTGGGAGACATGTTCGGAGGACTGCTATACGAGAGACGGCGAGATCAAGTCGAAGCGTATATCGAAAGAGGCTTGTGGGTGGTGGTGGCTTTGGACGGAGCAAAAGCGGAAGTGGGTCATCAGATAGAGTTTGCGGGGATGATGACGGGGCGATGTCGATTTGCCGGCGGCGAGTGTCGCAGCAGCCTCAGCAGGCCTTCGCTCTGGCCGCGGCAGGCATGAGACACTCAAGCTGAGACGTTCCCCTAAGTTCTCAGTCTACTTTGACCACTTTCTTTCGACCTCCAGGCTGCAGATCCAAGGAACTCGGGCTTCATTCAGGAGAAGACGACCAGGACAACAAAGACGGCGCGATTCCTCGCCGCCTCTCCCAACGCCGCTCATCTACAGAGCGACCTGCGACATCGTTGTGTGACAGGCTTCGACTTTTGCGACACGATGCGCATCGCCCGTTTCCCACTCCTCGCTGCTTCAGTCGCCCTTTTGGCACCCACGGCCTCTGCTGCTGATGGACTGACTGGCCCCAAGACGCATATCACGGCCGACGGGCTCGAGATTGTGACGGTAAAAGCAAAGACGTGCAAACGCCCCACGAGATCCGGAGACGACGTTAGTGTACACTACCGCGGCACCTTGCTTTCAAATGGCTACAAGTTTGATGAGTCATACAACCGTGGAGTGCCTTTCACTTTCAAGCTCGGCGCTGGGGAAGTCATCAAAGGGTGGGATGAGGGTCTACTGGACATGTGCGTTGGCGAGCAACGGAAGTTGGTCATTCCCCCAACACTGGCCTACGGCCACAGCAACCTCGGTGTCATCCCTCCGGATAGCACTTTGGGTATGTTTGACTCTCCACACCACGCCTTCAAGCGCTGACATACCCCGAGTCTTCGAGACAGAGCTCATAGAGATAGCTGGCGTATCGGCCGAGGCCGAGGAACCCAAACCCAGACCCGAAGAGTTTATGCCGCCACCCCCCATTCCGCAAGACGATATCCCTCCACCTCCGCCCGCTGCGAGTGGTGCAGAGAAAGGTCCCAAGGCTATGATGAAGGCAGAAGATGGCGAATGCAAGCTCCTAGGCCCATTCGCCCTGATTGTACAAGCTGCACTCGGTGCCCTTGCTCTTCTCTCCCTCGTCTTCAAGCGTTGGAGAGAGCGTCCAAGACGGCCCCTCAAGATCTGGTTCTTCGACGTTTCCAAACAGGTCGCTGGTACTTTCTTGCTACATCTCGCCAACCTGGCCATGTCCATGTTCTCGTCGGGTAAGTTCGATATGGCCAGCACCAAGCCTGAGGATATCTCAGCAAGTGTCTCTGCTGTCGTTGCCGACAATGGCAAAATGCCCAATCCCTGTTCATTCTACCTGTTGAATCTGGCCATCGACGTGAGTACACTCTGGTCGCCATACTCGTCCTTTTTTGACATTATACAGACTACCATTGGCATTCCTGTCCTTGTCATTTTCCTACGCGTCCTGCACAGTCTTTTCTCAAAGACTCCCATGGCGAACCCGCCCGAATCCATCAAGTCGGGCTACTACGGCAGTCCACCACGTGCTACTTGGTGGCTCAAACAATCTTTCATTTACTTCATTGGACTCTTCGGCATGAAGCTCTTCGTCTTCTTGCTCTTCGCGATGCTCCCATGGCTACCTTGGGTCGGTGACTGGGCACTGCGCTGGACCGAGGGCAACGAGGCCCTCCAGATTGCTTTTGTCATGTTCATTTTTCCCGTGGCTATGAACGGCATTCAGTACTACATCGTTGACAGTTTCATCAAGGATGCGGGATCAGATAGGGATGGTTTCCAGGCCGTGCCTACGGAGGACGACGAAGAGCAGGGCAGAGACAGCGATACTGAACAAGACGAAGACAGATCTAAGAGACGGAACAGAGTCAGGACTACTGAGCACGCCGCTGAGGCCAATTCGACAGCCGTGTCCCCTTATGATCACGACTCCGACGCTGAAGCCTCGAGCGGTGGAAGCTCAACTCTCAGAAAGTAACAAGCACAGCGACAACGTAGATAGCACGAGTTCATGATTAAGACAACTATCATTTGCATCATATCTTATAGCTCCATCATGGGCACATCAACTGTCCGGCGACAGAATGAACCGGGACAAGCGACATTGTGCATTGATGAAGCTTCGAGGGTAGTCAGGTCCCCTCTAGCGAGGGCTTCTTGGTCGTCGGCGGTGTGATCGATATGAAGAGCCATTTTCATGCTCGCCATCGCGGCTTCGACTCCTGGGCTGTCTGTGAGAATGTCTCTTAACGCGATTGTCGTTTCTCTCCTGCCTGCTGCGTTTGTTGTCAGGAATTGGGGCATCGAGAGAAAAGCTCTCGAGACCGCCACCTGGACTTTGGTTTCCTTCATCTTGATCACGTTCGCGTCGACGATGTTTTCGTCTTTGTCTCTCTTCTTTTTCAGCTCGCTCCAGCTCCTTGAGCTCCCGTTCCTTACGGGCCTTCCATCTCTCCTTGTCCGTCTCGGCCTGTCTGAGTTGTGTTTGTGCTTTGCGCATGAATGCCATCGGGTCGTTTGAACTCATCCTTGTTTGTTCTCTCTCCCTTCGACTCGGATCCTCGTTCCCCCAGACATCCTTACTTGACTCTCGCGTCTCAGCATCTTGCTTACTTGAAGAAACATACCATGGCGCCGAGGATGTTGACTGCTTAAAACCAGCCGCATTCGAAAAACGCATCGTATACTGGTCCTCGTACTCCCGTGCTTTTTTTGCCTTCTCCGATTCTGCTTCAGCGTTGCGGGAATTGGCTAGTATGGCACGCTCATCAGGCGCAGCAAAAAGCTGGATATGACCAGCATGGTCTGTTAGGGGCACATGGCCATCATCTTTTCTCTGTTGGCAGAGACTCAGATTCTCACGTGCAGCAGCTCCAGAAGCTGCATCCATGCGAGCGATGCGCATGTCTCGATCGGTATCATCTTCGCCTCTCAAACGCCTTCGTTTGCGATCCCGGCCACCATCAACATCTCGGCGCTGCCGCGAGTTACCATGCTCGTCGGGTGGGGGTGATTGAGCTATGACGGGTGGAGGCACTTCACCTCGCATAATAGCGATGCGACGAGTAGCATCTTCTTCTTGCATGCGGCGTTCTGCCTCCTCCTCTCTGGCTTGCGCAGCCGCCTCATCTTTGCGCACACGGTCGACGTTGTCTTTGTTGTAGACATTCCAGCTTTTCTTTCCGAGAAGATGCAGGACCATGATTTCGGGGCAGTGTGGATGAAGCAAAGTGCCTCTCTCTTGTGGCCGTTATGTCAAAAAGAAAGCGCCCTGCTTTTTGGTGGCTTGACATGCAAGCTAAAACAGCATCAAGTCGCGAGCGACGAATGAGAGACGGGCGGGACTCCTTCCGTTGGATGGGTGGATCCAAGCGGTTCGGCCAGCTCGGAGGAGAACGACGCGTTCGTGGACCCCCAAAAGAATTGCGAGCGAACTGGTGATGCTCATGCATGAGCGAATCCTGCAGCGTCTGCCCCTTCTGTTCTTGTACCGCCTCGTGCAACTGTAATGTGTTAGTCCTTTCACTGTTCACTGTCGCTATCCGTCCTGTGTCCTTTGTCGACTGCCGTCTCTCCTCCGCTGCACCGTCTCTGAATCATTGGCACAGCTCTCTAGCCGACGAAGACGACTCGGCGCGCCGATTGCCAACGGTCACATCAGACAGGATACAATCACCCGCGTCGCACCTTCCTTCCAGCGGCCGTCCCAGCCACTTCTCTTTAACCAGTGTCCACCCAAGTCATTTCGCTGGATCCATCCAGCAAGCGATCCGCTTAATTGCAGGGGGCTTGGACACCTCGCAATCTCTCATACTTTTCCCATCTTTCCGCGAGAATAAAGAGACCGGAACTGACCAATTTTGCTGTCGACATAACGCTTCGATTACTCGTGTTTCCTCCCACGTCCTGCCGTCTCGAGATCTAAGTCAACTTCATATATCGTCCCGCACCAGAATCGCATCATCCGTGCCTGGCCACGGCTCGAGCACTATCTGACACGCCGATCGCTCGTCATGCCAACATATCTAATACATGGATTTCGCTGGCCGCGGCCATTGATTCGCATCCACATCATTCTTCAAAACCTTGACGATGCCGCTGCCGAATGGCTTATTGCGCCCGCGACTACTGAGACTCTGCTCGACAACTTTACCGAGTTGTGGCCGCAGACCATCAAGAACCTGCCAAATCTGCGCTTCGTAGAGCAGTTCGACCCCACCGACGAATCCCCGGCCGCTTGCTCGCAACCGTACGCCTACATTGCGGACATATGTGAAGAGGTTAAGCTGGGCATTGAAGTGGACGAAGTCAGAGGAAAGGGTCTAGGCGACGATCAATGGGGTGCCTTGATGGAGCTGAGAGACAAACTTGCGCCCGACGAGAAGGTTGGCTGGTTTGTGGTCGTGTGTGGTGACGAGGATCGGTCGGACACAGGCCCAGTCGAGGAAGAGGAGGAAGAGCAAGCTTATGCGACAAACACAACTGCACCGGTCGAGCTACCGCTAAGGGGACCGGCACACACACAACCGGTGCCCCTGAAAGAAGGCGGCCACGTTCCAGCAACACCTGAGACCAGCTACACCAACTATAGTGATACGACCAGTTCAAGGCGTAGCAGACATAGCAGGAACAGTAGTGAGGTATGCTTCAAGCTTGATAGGGCTGTTTGATCGGGGCATGAACTGATGTCTTTACAGCGCACCCCTACTGTCACAACCGCACCGACCGCCAGTCCCAGTTTGGAATCTCCACGTGAAAAGAAGAGCTTGCGCAAGATGTTCAGTATGGTCAGACAGAAAAGCATGACAAGTTTGCGCAGCAAAAAGAGGTGAGTACAGTAGATCCCAAGAGGCCCGACCAGACGACGCTGATCACCGCCCAGCTCTAAAAGCATCCGAGAGACAGCAGCGAGAAATGATTCAGGATCAGCACCACCTGTGCCACCAGTACCACATACGGCCCAGTCACCAGCAATGTCATGACGCCTGTACGAATTACATGCGACATGTGCAACGTTTTACTTGGACGAGGGGAAAAGGCCCCTCACCACCGGAGTTGTTTGATTTTCATACCCTGGAATTCCTTTGGGAGATTGCGTGAGACGACATGTCTCGGGGAAATGACACTTTGTAAAGGAAATATTTGGGCAGCGATTGCACCAGGCTTGGAGTTGTCTCTACAAAGGAATTTGAAATTTTGTATACCACAAGGCTCGAAACGTGACTTCTAAAATGAGGAATTCGTCCTTGCTTAAAGCTGAGGTCCATCACTGAAACATGCGATGAAGACAGGCGGTCATTAAGTATCGACCATAAATGTCCTATAAGGATGATGACGATGATGAACATGTTGATGATGTTGGTGCTGAGATCAAGGTTAAGCGAGAAGGGTATGTGGAGGCGAGGACGGAGGTGCCTCGTGCCTAGGCTGGGCGAACCCCGCAGATGTCATCGAAGTGGTTGGTTGGGCGAGCACTTGCATGCACCTTTGATCAATCAAAACACTCCCTAGACTCAAGTAACAATCGCCATCATGGCGCCAGCATCAACACTAGTCGTATGCAACCTCTACTTACACTTCAGACGCTTTGCGGTTGAACTGACAACGAGTTTCCAACAGAACAAGCTCAAAGTGCAGCTGAAGCTGTCCATCTCACGCCTACGTATGGTCCAGCAAAAGGACACCGCAATCGCCAAACAGCAACGTCGCGCAATGGCCCAACTACTCGAACAAGGTAAAGAAGAATCCGCACGTATCCGTGTCGAAAACATCATCCGCAGCGACCTGACCACCGAACTCCTGGAAATCCTCGAACTATACTGCGAACTGCTGCTTGCTCGAGCAGGCCTTCTCGAAGCCAAAGAGTGCGATGGTGGATTGGAAGAAGCCGTGAAGAGTATCATCTTTGCCGCACCGAGGACAGATGTCAAGGAGCTGCACAATGTGAGAACCTTGTTGGCCGAGAAGTTTGGCAAGGAGTTTGTGCTGGAGGCTACCGAGAATAGGGATGAGAAGGTGGCCAAGCGTGTGGTGGATCGTCTACGAGTTGAGCCGCCAAAGGCAGAGTTGGTCGAAGCATATCTATCGACCATCGCGGATGCATACAACATCGACTGGCCAAAGGGCCGTCTAGCTGCCAGAGAAGCCGCCGCCAAGCAAGAGGATGAGGACGACGAGGACGACGACAATCCTAGCGGTGGTCAAAAGGTACCTGCGCTTGAAGCACCGGACGGAACAGAACCACTAGTCGCTGCCACCCCTCCACGAAGTCTGGGCATGAAGAGTCCTGTCAGTGTGGTGCCGCCCAGTCCATCAACCGACAACGTCTCTCCACGCATCAAGTTACCAGGACCACCAGATCTCAAACCTTCCGCCAAGATGGTAAAGGCAAATAAGCCCGACACGACGGGTCCTGGTGGCAAGATTCCAGATGTCAACGAATTGGCAGCACGCTTTGCTCAGCTGAAGAGATAGCGTCCTTCCTGTTTCTCCATCTAAAGCACCATATGCCCATCATCGAGATTGGGACCTAGCACTAATACTATCTATCTCCTGTGCACAACTCCCTCTTATGCCTCAATGTGATAATCACATTAACAAGACGGGATGTCCGCACTATGGATCCTTGATTGATCAGGCTACTCTGATTGGCACGATGGGTCCAGATCCCACTATCTCTCGAAGTCAGTCTTATGATTAGCCGCACTCTTTCGCGGCGCTTCCTGACTCTGGAAGTTTTGGTGGCTGCGTAGATCTGAACTTGAATATATTACTCCCAACCTAAGCTAGAGCCGGGCATCCACCTCGCGTAGAACATCGGTATCACATAAGGAGAGGAGAAGTTTGAACAGGAGTCAAGCTCAATTGTCATTCAAGAAGTGAAAAAAGGTGAGTAAGAGAAGATAGTCTAGCGATACACATCAAGAATAGATGTCAAATCCATATACCTCAGGTGGATCCAATGTGTGGTGATGGCCATATGTTTTACTCGATCAGAACACTTTTAGACGCACTGAGAGTAGTACTCGTTCTGGACCTTGCAGGTAGAGCCAGACTCGCACTCAGTGGCGCCAGAGTAAGCCTTGCCGCCGCACTGCATGTACTTCTTGACAGCACCGCTAGTAGTACCGGTGGCGATGGGGGTAGTGGAAGAAACAATGACGGTTGAGAAACCAGTAGGGCCAGCAGCAGCTGAGGTGGCGTTATCAGAGGTGTAGGGAGCATCAGTAGCGACAGTTTCCTGAGTGGAGATGGTGGTTACGGGAGCGGCAGAAGTAGCGGCAGCAGAAGAAGCAGCAACCGAAGTGGCCGGAGCAGAGGAGTTGTCGGAGCCAGCAGCACCATCGCCCCAAACGGCAGGACCAGGAGGCTGATAGTTCTCGGGAATGGGGTAGTAGATGCTCAACTCAATGCTGTCCTCGTGACCAGTGTAGACACCAGGGATCTTGACGGTAGGGTCAGGCTTAGCGGTGGAGCTGCCGGAAACCTCGATCTGGGCGCAAGAGATGTAGAACTGGGCACCACCGAACGAAGAAGCGCTGTGAAGACCAATATGCTCGACACGGAGAAGGTACTGGCCGGCGGGAGTCTCGTCGGGGAGGGTGAAGGTGACCTTGTCGAGTTTGTCGGCCTTGAATGTAAGACCGTTGTCGCCAACCTTGTCGGCACCCATCTCGTAGATTTTGAACCAGTCACCTGAGCCATCGTACTCGGAGGCTTCACCAGTTGCCTTGGACATGTAGACATTGAGAGGGCCAGGATGCTGGATAGGGGTGTCGACAGCGAAGCCAACAGTGTCACCAGGGGCGACCTTGTAAGTCTTGGTCTGGGCACCAGTGTCGAGACCGCCGACATTGCAGACGAGGTCCTTGGAGGTGACATCGGTGACGGGAGAGTTCATGTTGCTGTTCTGGCGCACGTACTCGTACTCCTTGGTGACCTCGTCTCCAACAATGAGCTGGTTGAAACGATAGTGAGCCATTGCGGTTTGAGCCAGGGCTGCAGCAGCCATGATAGTAGCAAAAGAACGCATCTTGGTCGTTGAATGTTGATACCGCTAGGGTTTTTCTTTGAAGAATGTAAAGTTCTGAAAACGAGTGGCTTTTGGTGGATTGCAAAGAATGATGGACGACCAGCGACCAGAAGTTGAAGAGAATGAATGAATGAGACTTGAATGCTTGGAAAGAGTAGTACACCATTGATGAGAAGACTTTATATACTTGACCTACTCTCTGTATCCACTGCTCGGTGGGTACATGTCCTGCGATGTCTTGTTTCACGATTGTTCGGTTATGCTGTTAAGCGAAGCGGCAGAACGTGGTCCGTTTCGTGTAGAAGCTTCAACGACAGCAGTTCACCTGAGCCAAGCACGACTTCCCATGTTTGAATCATACCCTAGTCGTTGCTGGAGCGTGACAATACTGTCTCGATGTTTGCTTCCGTAGATCCTTGCCTTCCATGATCGATACTGTGCGTACTAATGGCATAGTCAGAGAACATTCTGCATGACTTACGGAGCCCTGAGTAGCACAGAACATGCGAGCCACACGTTGTTTTCCAACCGAGATTGAGGGCTAGATCCAGGGCGCATTTATCGTTGATCACGATGCGGTCTATGTATGTGATGCAGGACAGCGCGAAGAGAAACGCGAAGGAATTGGAGTGGAGAAAGAGAGGCTCTCGCGAAGACTTGGCATCAGCGGTCCGATCCTGAAGTTGTTTCAGCCAGGAGAGCAACTCCTTGTGACTCGCTCCATTGAAATCTGGAGACCCACCTTGTTTTGTGAAAATTAGATTCCAGCCTTGCAGATCGGGCGCTTTTGAGTTGTATCTCGTTGTATGATCGTGCAAAGGGGAACCGTGTGTCAGTCAACCACAAAGCCACCATTCTCGCCACTGCCTAAGGCAGATCTCCTGATGTGTCCCACGGTCAAATTAATCTAGGCTACACATGAAGATGGCAGACGAGTCGCCCAGACAGTACGTGCAGGACAATTTTGAACAATAGGTGGCACTTGCTGAGCGATATAAGATTCCTAGCAGGAGTGGGTAACAAGAAGAAGGCATGCACTGAATGTCGGCAACAGAAGGTTTGATCTACCAATACCAAGCAAAGACAGACAAGTTTCGGGGAGCTCAGCATCTACGACAGGCTAAATGCGATGCACATTTGAACATAGGAGATGCTTGTTCACGTTGTAAGAGGATTGGGCTGCGGTGCACTATATCCGCCCCGTTCAAGAGAGAGAACAAACGCCAGTATGTCAGCATGGGATGATGCTCGCTCTATCGCTTAACGCTCTTCCAGGAGACTGTATGAACTCGAACATGAAACAGACTCCCTACGGAATCGGCTCGTGACAGAAAGTCGGCAGCTCGGAGCAACCGAGACCCCACAGACAGAGCAGCATCACAACGAACTTGACGATTCTTTCCATCTCGAAGCTGTCAACACGACAAGACATCGTTTGCTCAGTACGATATCCCCCACTCAAAACCTTGGCTTACTACCCCCTGCCACGCCTTCGCATACGATTTATGCACCGCTCAATATCAAAGCGCCAACAACTACCCCTCGAACTCTGGACGGAGTAACAGTTTCCGCCAGTGATATCAACAATATCTTTGAGTTGTACTTTCGCGATTACGCCCAGTTTCTACCAATACTTGACCCCAAGCTATCGCCTGATTCGTGTTACCAGCAATGTTCTCTCTTATTCTGGACCGTGATCGGAACAGCCTGCAGGAGCTATGCGCAGAATCCGACTCTGCTGAGCGCGTTGACAAAGAGCATCACCTGTTTAGCGCTTTTGTCTGTTACTCTCACCAAATCGCCTCTACAACGTGCACAAGCGTTTATGCTGTTGGTGACCTGGCCTTTGCCCGATGCTGTTGAGACTAATCAGCAGGAGACCAACTTCGTGCTGGCTGGTCTCCTATTGCACCTGGCTCAAAGAAGTGGCTTACATGTGCCCGCTGGTTCTGACGAATTCTTTAGGGCTAAGATGCCCAATCTCCCTGACATAGGCATCGTTAGACGTTCTGAACTCTGGGCACATATCGTGCTAATATATCAGAGGTGCGTCCCGGAAACTCCAGTAGGTAGTGGTATTGCTAATTCGAGTAGGAGCTGTTTATGCAAAGGTTTCTTAGCACGTACTTCGGGCGATGTTTCTCCCGAGATGAGTCAATTCCAAGCTCGCCAGCAAACGTTGCCTTCATCTTTAATCTTACGGATAAAGTGGCAAGACCTATGTGTTCAATGCGGCTCTGCTGTGTCCGAAAATGGGATTCGCAACTTGACTCCTGATCAGGACCGCTCTCTTTCTATCATCATCAGAACATACGAGACTCAGATCAAAAATCTCGAGTACACTGCTGCAGACGGTAAGTGACTTGACCCACATCGCATGATTTTCGAGCGAGCTATCTTGGTTGTCGAGGGCGTCACGCATTGCAGCGAGACTCGTGCTTATGTTGCCGTCTTGTACAGCTCATGCTCCCTACTGACGCGACTAAGACTCAGACAGACTCGAATGTAGCATTGCGAAGCTATACATCAGAAGTCTCTACTTCTTGAAGCAAGACCATACGTCGTACTTAGCTACTTTCGACAAGATACAACAGGTCTCTCGCCAGGTTATAACCAACGTGGACAGCCTCATGCACCGAGCGTCGAATCCAGTGTCTCTGCCTCATCATATTGTTTGTGCACTCATCTTCGCCACTTATGCTCTATTGCGAGTGCTCAAGTCGGCTGTGCCTATTCTCCACAGCGAGCGAGAGGAAGCGAGAGCATCATTCTTCCATGCGCTTGGTCTTGTGAAGAAACTCTCCATCGACAACAGCGACATGTGCAACAATTCGGTCACGTATCTGACCCAACTTTGGAACAGCTCGCGGGCATTCAAGAAGGCCGATGGCTCTGATCAATTGAGCTTGAGAGCAAGAAGCAGGCTGAACGGTAGTCACGTCGTGGATGCTATCGTTTGGTGGAGAGAGGAGTTTGATCCTCACCTCAAAGCACAGATACAAACACTGAGGAACAGTGCTCTTGGTGAGTTCTGCAAAGTCCACTCGGACCACACCGAAGTACTTATCGAGAGCAAGATCCGATGGAGCCTATACAAACAGGCGTCCAACCCGACCATATCGCTCCGCAGGACGAACAAGATCAGATGCCAGATTTTGGAGACACTTCCCTGTTCGACTTTGATTACTTCATGAGCGCCGACTTGTCTTTCTCAGAAGGCTTCTTTGACTTTACTGGTTCAAACAATTGAATCGTCGGCCAATGCGATTCTCGACGATCGTTGCCGCGGCGAAGCGTGCCAACTGCGAACAGGTCGAAGCCTCCTGACTGGCCAGAACTCCCTCATTCAAGCTTGTTCCCGCCAACAACCTCGCTATCCCACACATCTTTCATCAACCATTATATTCGAGATATTTCAGTCCCCTCCACAAGCAAAAAAGCCGTGGTGGTGTAGTGGTTTAACACACCCGAGGTCTCAACACGTGCGTGGTCATTCGTTGTTCTCAACGCCGTGTCAGTCTAGATCCAAGGAGATCGCGGGTTCGATTCCTGCTCACGGTGCTAGTAATGTCATGCCAGAGTTGGCGCGGGTAAAACCGTGTCGAAACTGGCATGACATTATTATTTTGCGCTTTTGGGTTGTTCTTGCAACTGTTTATCTTTTTCTTTCCTGATTTGTGATCGCTATACAAGCTGAAGTATAATTTAAAAGCAGGTTTGTTGTTCCCACAACACATCATGGTATGATTCCTCGATCCCAAGTGGCGAAGATGGTGTGCCATGGGATCATGTGGGTGATCAGATAGTACCGTCATCCTCGTCCCCCATCGATGTCAGAGCCTGTGCCGTAACGATGCAGAATGAATTCATTGCGACATGGAGCAGAATGAAGATGATATCGCCATGCGAGTCAGCATTGAATAATAGTCCTTACAAGTTTATCATTCTGGTATATGTAAAGCCGAATAACATGTAGAGCCGGTCAAACAAAAGTGGTATATTTGGGGAAAGCCACACGCTCAAACGCCGTGTATAAAATGCATCATGCAATCCCGATGTCTTCTAGTCATCTTTTGAGACAGCCCATTCGGGACTCATGCCAACGTATTTGAACCAGTTGGGGCGGCAGTCTTCCTTTGCCAGCGTTGCATCTCCGTCATAGAAGCGACCGGTGACACAGCCTCGACATTTGGGAGAGTTGGGACAATTGAAGAAGGGAATATGTTGGTACCCAATGTCCTTGAACCTGAGAAAGAAGTCAGCAAAAGCGGAGAGTAATGACATCCTGGACGAGGGCTTACCAATGGATCTTACGAGCGTCCTCGAAGAGACCGAGGGCGATACTGTGGACAGGCGCGTCACCCCAGCGCTCATAGAAGAAGCCACCGGCACGATCCAGGTGTTCAAAATATTCCTCATAAGCAGACGAGCGCCAGAAGTTCATGTCGGCGATCTCGAAATTGCTCCAGAAATGGCAAGTGCTGTAACCGTTGGCTTCTTGAGTGTGCTCGGGTCTACGCTCCTTATCGGTAAGCCACTTCATGGCATTGTCGGGATGTTGATAATGACTGTTCGAGGCCAAGAACTTGATGGTCTCAGTCCAAAGGGTCGGGACGGATTGGGGAGAATCGTAGAGGTTGATGGTAAAACCGTAGGTCTTGTTACGGTCTTGCATGAAGCGGAAGACGTCGTAGTCGACGTCGCAAAAGAAGTGGACTTTGGGCTCGACACGCCAGTAGTATTGCATGTCCTTGAGGGCAGGATGCTTGTAGAACAAGCCCGAGTTCCAGCGACACATTTGGTGGTAGCTCAACATGTGTGCATATTGGACGTCGTGCTCCTTGAGAATGTCTGCGCTTTCGCGGAACAAGTCGCGGTTGATCCAACTGGGCACCTCCCAGTGCTCGTTGGGAATGAGCTCGTAGCGGATGTCGGCTTTCGTCATGGCACGAGTGGCCTTTTTGAATTCCTCGGTGAAAGGCACATCGTTGAAGAAGGTCCAAGGGTAGTTGAACTTGTGATTCCAGGTACGTTCTAGGTCGCGCATGGACTGTAGAATTCCCGGCAGCTCTTCATTGCGCACAAGCGATAAGATGGTGGCATTGATGCGATTCGAGTTTGCGTTATCAGGCGCATAGTTGTTTCCGGACACTCTGTGCAACGGTTCCGGAGGCTCGAGGGTGGCTACGCATACAGGTTAGAGGCTGGATACATGCTCGAGACGATGGTTTGTGCGTACGGTCAAGGTTGGGATCTCTGGGCATGTCCTTGATCTTGATAGCGTGCTTGCCGCCTGCCGACAAGCTCGAAGGCGCCCGGTAGATCTGAATGCAGAGGAATGAGAAGACTAGCATTGTGCCAATCGCCATCAGGCGGACTGCCGGTGGCAATGCCATTGTCGCGATGCTGGAGCCGTGTCACTTTCTACGAGTGCATGCGACCGACCGCTGGAGCTCCCTGAAACTTGGACCATGACGACGCTCTACACTTCCCGCCCTCACCGCCTTTGGACGCGTCCCCGGATCTCGCTCTTTCCCGTACGCGCCAACTCATCTCCACACGCTTGATCAGATATCGGCTTCTCTGATGACCTAGTGTCGAAACAAACATGTATCTGACAGATGCAAAATGGCTCACGCTGCGATACTTGGTGCCCTTACCGATGACCTGATCACCCACATCACCGCTTCGAATCCTCGTGTATGCCTCGGTCCACTTCATCATCTCTGATTCATACTGATCCAATCCCAGAGAGATGCTCGGCATGTCAAACATCTCAAGGATTCCGCTTTAAGGACTTTCAGGACTCAACAACATGTTCGTGTCAATCAATTCGAAGTCGATGCACGATTCGAAGGCTTGCTTGATAAATTTTATGTTTTGAACAATCAACCTCTGGCCGATGCTCTCAAGCCTCGTCTGCACGAGTTAGCCACCATACCCAACAAATGGCGACCTGAACTATTGGCTCTTTTGCTGGCTCTCTCAGACCGTCCCGTCGAGAAGACTGACATCAATCGTGCTCTCGAAATAGTCCCTGATCATCCACCTGAGCAGCAACTAACATGGGCTGAGATCATTGCTGATGATCCGCTTGATGAGGAAGGTATCTGGAACGATGTTGAGAATGAATCTGATTATTCAGAGCATCGTGCACCCAGTCTCAGCGACGAGTCTGTCGGCGAGCCCACCACGTCGACCCATGCTTCCTCCCTCTACGAAGAGGATGCCGCTACTTTTGCACGCGCTTTCATTCTTCCTAGAGATTCTGAAATTCTGGATCAGGTCACAGATCTGCGTCATCGCATGGCAGGTCTGCATTCAGGCTCTGGACTTACCGAGTTGCAAGTTACTCGTCAAGTACTATCCATGCTTCAAGGAGTCCCTACCGACCTATTTGAGATAGGTAGAAGTGGTCAGATCCGACCGAGATACTCGTGTCGGATACTGAACATTGCTCCGTCCACAACAGATCGCGTTCTACGAGACTTCGCCTCACTTGGTTCACAAGTCACATTCGTCCGCAAATTCGCTGCGTCTGACCGATTGAGTGTGGTCTTGCAGAGCTTCCAAGCTGCAATACAGGACGTGTTGCACCGCCTTGGGAAAACGCTTTCGAGCATCGAGCAAGATCTTTTGCGACCAGAAAACTCGACGTTGGTGAGCTTACTGAAAGTACAAGTCGAGATCGATCTTGTGGCTGGTCCACTTGTCCGCCTCACGAAACTGATCCCGGACAATACCCTCAAGCACAACAGCCAGGCGCTAGAGGTACTCAATAACCTGTTTGAACAAGCCTGCAACCTCCAGCTCATTGGCGAAGACAATGAAAGTGTGAGTGTCGCCAGTCTTCTGCTCAAATGTCTTGAGCCATACCTTCGTCCGGTCAAATTGTGGATGACTGAAGGCAAGCTCATTGCCTCGAACGAACTGTTCTTCGTACGATGCGACGATGAAAGCTCTGAACGCGGATCTATATGGCACTCTCGCTTCACACTTCTTAAGAATCATGACGGCTCGATATTTGCGCCTCAATTCATGCAGAGTATAGCTGAGAAAATATTCAAGGCTGGTAAGAGTGTCATGTTGCTCGAGGCTCTGGGTCACAAGCCAGACGTCTCCCTATGTAGCGCGCAGAGTCTGGACATTGCTCAAACCATTCAATCTGTGGAGAACACGCTGCTACCGTTCTCAGAAGTCTTTAAGCTGGCCTTGAACCGATTCGCTGATGCGCTAGAAGGGTCAGAAACGCACACCTTGCGTCAGGTCCTAACGTCGCAATGTGGACTACGGGCGACTATCAAAGCGATCAATCATCTCTACTTTGGTGTGAATGGTGCTTGTTTCCAAACTTTCGCCTATGGCATATTTCAGCGCATGGATCGAGGCATTGGCTGGGACGATCGATTCCTCCTGACTGAATTGGCCCAGACCGCTTTCGAGCCAATCGATGCAGTAGAGTCCGACCACATTACTGTTCGGGTGAAGCCCAGGAATGATCAACAATATGCCTCAGCCCGTCCAGGACGTTCGGACACATTGGGACGAATTTTTGTGGACTATTCTGTGAGTCGCGTTGCATTGATCTCCCGTTGAAATGTATTCTGACTTCAACCTAGATTACGTGGGTTCTGCAGAACATCATGTCCAATGCCACTTTATCAGCATGCCAGAGAGCTTTCACCTTCTTGCTGAGACTCTATCGAGCTCAATTCATTCTCAACCAACAAGAGTGGACTTTGAACATCATGGTCAAACACTCCAAAATTGCGACCGTCAAGGAGCTTATCGCTCTACGCCATCAATTGTCCTGGTTTGCGGTCACATTGAGAGGTTATGTCTGCGAGATGCTGTCTATTGTATCTAAGCAGCTTACGCTAGACCTCGATGCTGCATCGGATGTGGATGGTATGATTGCTGCATTTGACAAATTCTCAGATAACATCAACAGCAAACTCTTGCTTCAAGAAAACATGGCTCCAATACGAAGTTCCATACTGGCCGTATTCGACCTGTATGAGGACCTCGCGCTGGAATGGAGACACACCGTCAAGCAAATCAGCAACGATGCATCTCATCCTACACCTCGAGAACTGGTTGTGCAGAGAGGTCCCTCGAATCGTCGAAGTAAGCCGGAAACTGACGATACAGTTGATGTTTCCGATGACGAGGATGAGGTCGGAATTGGACATCATGAACACAGGTCTGTCTTGAGTGTTCAGAGCCTACTCAAGGAGTACAAAAGACAGTCATCGTTCCTGCTGGCAGGACTACGTAGTGTCAGTAGGATTGAGGGTGAACCAGCCTGGATCATGCTATCCGAGAGGCTTCAGTGGGGAGTTGCTGGCTTAGACAGGCGATAGGATCAAGTCTATATTGTTCGCATAGTGGTAGCTTCACAATCATCCCGCCAAGACATTACAATTAGATCGTTATTTTGATCTCTCTTTTTACATTTATCTTCTATGCCAGCAGCTGACGTCATTGAGGCTAGCGCGCCCGGGGGCTGAGGCGGCTTAGAAAGATAATCGTGATGCAACAAGAATCATTGATTATTGTGTATGTACTGCCCTGGATTTTGTGCAGCGTCTCGTATGAATTATCCAACATAAATCTCGACATCTACATGCACAGTCTTCTACTCAAATCGGCCCGTGATTTAGAGACTGAAGTCGAACAGTGACACCCTCTGAATCTCATAGACCCAATGCATCACTTCGGGTGCTAGATCACATGGTGCAAGTGCAACATACATGTGACAGGGTGGTGCCCTCAGCAACTATGACGGACAAATCCTGGGACCTCAAACATCTTCGTCTCTCCAGCAGATACCAACGTTCCGCTTCATACTCACACAATGCCGCCTCCCAGGCTACTCTCCCACGTCCTACCACTCTTCCGGTACAACAGGAGTACCTTACAGCAACAGATCCGCCATCAATCTACCAAGCCTTCGGCAGAAGCCACGAAACACTCACGTATCTCGCGTCTCGAAGCCCGTCTCCCACGTTTCCTAGGCCGGTATGTCGCACCTCTACGCAATGCGCCAATCTCTCACATAACTGCTTTCCTGATCCTCCACGAGCTCACGGCTGTCATTCCTCTATTCGGCCTCACTTTCGTGTTCCACAAGTTCGATTGGCTACCGCCGTTCTTCTCCGAGGGATACTATGTGAAAGAGGGTGTTGCGAAGTTCGGAAGATACTTCAGACGTAAAGGATGGATCAGAGATGCTGATGGGGAGGGATTTGAGGACGAGAAGAACAGAAAGGGATTTGCAAAGTGGTGGCCCAAGGGTGAAGATGGTGTGAGATTGCTGGTCGAGTGAGTTGCTGCAATATGGTTCGGACGCGCAGGAGGAAAGAAATACTGACAGTTTAAAAACAGGGTCGCGACTGCCTACGCTATCACAAAAGCTTTGCTACCTTTGAGACTGGGATTAAGTCTTTGGCTCACGCCGAACTTTGCAAAGATATCGACACTGCCGATCAAGAAGTTCTTCAAAAGGAAGGTAGCGACAACTGCACCAATTTCGAAAACTGCGGCATCTCCTGTAGTAGGAACGAATGCTGCTGGTGGAAAGGCTACGAAGTAATGATTCAACCACAGCAGTCACTCCCTACCCAGCCAGGTATTATAGTCCAGCCAATTCTCCGTCCTCTCAGCAATCGGTTGTTTGGCCCAATGGGCTCACTCACCGTTTGCGATAAAACTCCCTGAGAGTTCTTGCGGTAATCCGAGACATCAACAAGGTCACTTGTTCGATCCTCAGCCGCGGCGTAAATGCCGCTATAATCCAATAATAGAACAGTCTCTTGCAAAGGTAGAATACTTTGCAATCACATGGGAGCTTTCCCAGGCAGCTGTATAGCTGCATTGATTTCGCCTGTGCCCAATCAACCAGGGAGATCTTTTAGCTTGTGTCGTGCAATTGAAGATACTACTAAGTCCGGACGGCAGCCATCCTTTTTGTAAGTTTCACCATTTGAGCTCGAGCGCTCACAAGTTTCGCGAAAGACTAACATTGTTCTAGAGAGCATCAGAGCACGATTTCACGAGTTCATAAGCAAGACCGTTCGACGTATGGGCACTTTCGATGCATTTTCTTTTATTCGCGAATCATATCTCAAACCGACGAGGACATCACTCCATGAGTCGTCTCCCCATAAAAGCTTCCTCCAAAATTGCCTGAATATCGTCTTGAAGCCTACGGAAGTCACGACGGACATCCTCGATCTCCCTGCTGATATACCGGTATTGATCAACCAGCGGAACTTCCGTGTCCGACATGTCGCTCTCCAGCTCCTCCACCCGACGAGCGATCGAGCCAAGCTAATCATCAACCTTCTGCGACCGAATGTCTGTCTGTGTAAAACGTTCAAGAAGCTCATTGAGCTGGTCTCGGAAGCTAAACACAACCTGTTGCGTAAGATGCATCCAAGAGTCTTGCAGACCATCTCTTGTCGCACTCTCTCTCTCTTCAAATCCTTCATGGATTCGGCAACTGCCTTGCTGACTTCCTTCTTGATCAGCTCCTTGATCTGGTCGATGCCGACACAGGATCTGGGTGTATGAGCAAGCTGGTGCGAAGACTCGTTCTGGGCCGCTTCCTGTGGAGTCGAGGCCGGCATCAAGATTCTCCTAATCTCGTCAAAGTTGTCATCATGGCTTGATCGAGTAGGCGGCTCATCTCTAGCTGTCTCATGTACGGTATAGAGGTGTTGTGTAGGCGACTCATCTCGAGCTGACTCTTGCACAGTAGAGGCGGATGAGAAGCGCCTTCTGATCTCGTCAAGGATGGCATCACGGCTCGATGGAGTAGTTGTCTGGGGTGGATGCTGACTCCGGACCGTAGGTTGCCGAGTTTGAGCCGATAAGATCCGTGTGATCTCTTCCGAACGATTAAGATTATCTGCAAAGATGGTCAGCAGACTCAGCGCGATCTTGGTACGAACGAAGCATCACTTACCTTGCATTTCGGCAATTATGGCGGTATTTATGGCGCTTTGTGATACGGTCGAAGGAATGTATCTCAAACGTGCTTCCAGTGCCCTTAGCTCAGCGAGGTGGCCTTGAAGGACGTGTTAGCGCGTTCATGGAGAAAGCAAGAGCATTGAAACGGTAGCACTCACGCCGAGCGACGTCACCCATGCGGATAGTCTGGATATCCAGGGTAGTTCTAACCTGGGATGTGACCTCGTAGGGTGGAGGTGAAGTCTGGGGTCGTAAAGTCTGGATAAACGAAGCCTGAGAAGGTGAAGTCTGAGATGGGGAAGTCTGAGTGGATGGAACAGCGACAGTATCTTCAGTACGGTCGACATCGTGAAGTAATTTCTCTGTGATCAAGAGTAAGGAAGGAGAAGAGAGAAAGTTGGGATGTTTTTCGGTTTGTATGCATCTGGAGCTATGACGCAGGGTTCTTGCGCGTTTGTCTCCTTCAGAGATCAGTTCGGCTCTCATCTGTACATGACTTATCCTATGCGCGAGCGGAAGTATAAGGTCTAGACAGAACTAATGACGGATGTTATGTTCATGACTTGACTCGAATTCCGCACCGTCACGGGTTCTCATAATTTAGACCCTGCGCCGAGCCGTACAAGCCCGCCGTCAACAAGATCGTATTGTCTTCCTCTTCGCCAACCCATCCATCTAGCCAACACATCTTCACCGCCAACGCCTGGCTTGAGGCCTTTACTCTGCCAGCCATCGCCATCGACACCGATGCCTTGTCCCCCATGAGCCGGTCTCGTGTCTGCTTCCCCTTCTGAAATGGCCTTGGCCGGCGAGTCTTTCAAGGTCACAATGGGCCTTTGATCGTACCCGCCGTTCTCGAGTTCATCCTGCGTGAGCACAGGTGTACAACAAGCGTCAGTGTCATCGAAAACCTGCTCCCACTCTGGTCGCGTTCTCGACTTGAAGGTCTTTACGAAGAGGTTCCGCAAAGCCGGCCACGTTCTGCGGTCTTCTCTGGCACCTGTTAGATCGGATGTCTGAATTTCCAGCCCTCTTATGAGCCGAGCGAAGAATTGTGGCTCCAACGCTCCTCTGCGTGTCATCAGTATTGGCGTTCGAGAGCAAGTGGCAAGACCGAGACTCACACAGCCATATAACCTCCGTCTTTGCACTCATACGTGTCGTAATAAGGACATCCTCCGTCCAATACGTTCTCACCCCTAGGTTGATCCCACATCGGCGTCTTTCTGGCAAACCTCGGCATAACGCCCAAATACGCGGCCCCATCCACCATGTTAGCTTCTACGACTTGACCCATCCCGGTCTTTTGTCTTTGCAAGAGGGCCATCACAATACCCAAAAAGCATACAAGTCCACCGCCACCGAAGTCACCAAGCAAATTGGCTGGCGGATATGGTGTGTCGCCCTTTCTACCGAGCTGAGACAAGACGCCAGATACAGCAACGTAATTGATATCGTGGCCAGCCATAGAGGCGTACTTTCCATCTCTACGGAAGCCGGTCATACGTGCAACGATGAGTCTAGGATTGAGTCTTAACAGCACTTTCTCAGGCGAGAGTCCAGCTTTCTCCAGGACGCCTGGCCTAAAAGGATCGATTAGGATGTCCACATTTGGTATCAATGATAAGATGAGAGAGATGCCCGCTGCCGATTTGATGTCTACCGCAATGGATGATTTATGACGCGTGAGAAGATCTACAGTTGGTGGTGGAGGCTTGTCGGTATGAGCTCCACGAGCTGCACGGTCTATTCGGAGAACATGAGCACCCCAATCGGCCAAGAGTATTCCAGCGAAAGGTCCTGGAAGTCATGGTGAGTATCCACGGTTGCAGAAAAGTGGTCACTGCGATATACCTGGGGCCAAGCCTGCGAATTCAAGGACGCGAAGGCCGGTCAACGGCGGCGACTGCGACATTCTCAATAAAGTCGACAACGACAATTACAATACAAGTCAAAGAGTTGATTGTTTCACAGATCGAGGTGAGGTAGCTCGCCAACCTCGGATGCGGCAAGATGGACGATCACCGTAATGCGGGGAAACATGCCGAATACCTTAACAGTGCTTCAAAAACGGAATTATATACAGCCTCGAGGGACCATGGAAAACGCCCTAAACGATCAAAACAAGAGTCTATTGTCTTCTCTACTCATCCATGACGGAAGCGAATTTCTCGTTCATCTTCTGCAAAAGCTCCTCGTACTGCGCGGTCTGTTAGTATGAAATATTTGGCAAACGAGCACGAATCAAGACTTACCTTCTTAACGACAGTCTCCTCACCATCGTCCGGAAGCTCGAACTTCATGCTTCTCAACTCGCTCTGGACCTCACCAGTCGCTTCTCTAACCTTGCTCCAGGCGTGACCTTGGCCAATAGCCTTCTGGGCCTCGTCGTGGAAGGCCATCATGTTCTTCATCATCCAGAAAGTCTTCCAAAGAGGGCAGAACTGGTCGTAATCACTGTAACCGTTTTGTTGCAAGAAGTCCTCCTTGAGAAGGGTTGCAACATCCAGAGTAATCTTGTCACCGTCGCCAAGAGCAGACTTTCCGACCAATTGCACAACCTGTTCAAGATCCTCTGAAGTGGTCAGGAGCTCCTTGATGCGGTCACGCAGACGAGGGAACTCGGGATTGTTTTCTTGGTAGTACTTCTCCAACGAAGTGGTGTACTTGGAGTAGGAGAGCGAAGTATTAATGGAGGGGAAATGCTTGCGCTGAGCAAGCTTCTTGTCGAGACCCCAGAAGACCTGCACAATACCAAGAGTGGAACTGGTAACAGGGTCTGAGAAATCACCACCGGGAGGTGAGACGGCTCCGACGATGGAAACACTGCCCTTGCGATCGGGGCTACCAAGAGCGGTGACACGACCGGCACGCTCGTAGAAAGAGGCAAGCTTGGCACCGAGGTAAGCAGGAAAACCTTGGTCAGCAGGCATCTCTCCGAGACGACCGGAAATCTCACGAAGGGCCTCAGCCCAACGAGAGGAAGAATCGGCCATCATGGCGACGTCCTTACCCTGATCACGGAAGTACTCGGCGACGGTGATACCAGTGTAGATGGAAGCTTCACGAGCAGCGACGGGCATATTGGAGGTGTTGGCGATGAGGGTAGTACGCTTCATGATAGGTTCCTTCTTGCCGTTGACATCAATGGTGAGTTCGGGGAAGTCCATCAAGACTTCGGCCATCTCGTTACCACGTTCACCACTGGTCACAGGTCAGCAGATTGCACAGATGTGGTTAGAATGATGCAGACATACCAGCCGACGTAGACGATGATGTCGGAATTGGAGAACTTGGAGACAGACTGAGAAATGACAGTCTTTCCACATCCGAAAGCACCAGGAATGCAGACGGTACCACCTTGGACACTGGGGAAGAGAGCGTCGAGGACACGCTGACCGACGATGAAGGGCGAGTCTGAACCGAGCTTGTCGTTTACGGGGCGGGGGACACGGACGGGCCACTCCTGCATCATGCTGTATTCGGACTTCTTTCCCTCGAACTCAACTTCGAGGATCTTCTCATCGACAGTGTAGCTTCCCTCTTCTGCGATACGGGTGATGGTACCGCGAGCTCTGGGAGGGAGGAGAATCTTGTGGTCGTTGAGTAGCGAGTTCTCCCAGACGGAACCGAAGACGTCACCACCAGTGATGTGGTCGCCAACCTTGTAGCCAGCGGGCTTGAAGTCCCACTTTCTTTCGCGGTCCAGAGCGGGAACATCGATACCGCGGGGAATGTAGATGCTGTTGGAGACGTCCGAGATGGCCTTGAGAGGGCGCTGAATACCGTCGTAGATGGTCTCCATCAAACCGGGACCAAGCTCGACTGACAAGGGCTTGCCAGTTCTGTAGACGGGATCACCAACGGTGACACCAGCTGCTCTGAATCAGCGACGTGTATGTTTTGCATGTGCCAGAGCCAACGTACCAGTCTCTTCGTAGACCTGAATAGTGGCCTTGTCGTTGTCGATTCTGATGACTTCACCAACGAGACCGTCCTTGCCGACTTTGACCTGCTCCTCCTTAGTATGGCGCCTTGTGTGTCCGAGCTGTATATGGTACGTACGAGTTCGTACATGGCGACACCGATCATGTTCTCGGCGATAATGACGGGACTGGTAGGAGGTCAGTGGCTGGTAGGCGACGACGGTCGACGGGTGACGCGACATACCCGGAGACTGAGAAGATTGAGCCTGCATCATGATTAGCTTTGGGGCCATTGGGTATAGAGGGCGACAACTAGGCTTACCCTGCTGGGACTCGACATCTCTTGAAGGAGCCATCTTGGTGGACTTCTTGTTTGTGGTGGTGGAGGTGGTTGAGCTGTCTGCTATGGGGCTCTCGGCGAGGTCGATGGACAGCGAGTCCTGGTCTACGGGAGATAAGGCGGCGGCGCGATCAATGTCCTTCTTGGTGACAAGATCAATTAGTGAGGGGCGCGTGACAAGTCTGGGTCGCAATCCTAGCATACAACTGTCTAGGCTTAAATGGGGGAGTTGTCCATGTCGTCCGCCTGCCGCTGGAAACTGACGTCGAGTGCTGCGCACAGACCAACCGGCCCGTCTTGGTTCCTTCTTGAAACAGAAAACAGACCATATCTTTCATTAATTATACAGCATTTCTCATCATCCCTCATTATCAATCCTGGCAGTCATTACACAACCTCCAGGTCCGTCGACTCTCCGAATCCATTGTACGCGACACCCCTCAGATTCCACTCCGACACCTTTGGCTGTGTGTCTCCCGATTTGTCTGTCGCTTTGCTGTAAATCTTCAGGCCTTTCCCTGCCTCTATGTTGATCTCGGCCTTCCACAACCTCCAGGACCACTTGCTCTCATCGACATCATGCTCAATTTCTGCTTCCGTCCATGTGCTTCCCTCATCTCCAGACACCTCGACCTTAACCACAGCACCGCCATCACCACTAGGCAGAGCAAAGCCCTTGACCATCACCTTCCCATCAGCTGACCTCTTGACTTTCGACCCAGGCTCGGGTATAGCGATTGCACTATTGACTGGCATAGTCTGAAGTGCTGGTGTCGAATCCCAATATTTCTCGGCCGACTCAGCATCGACTGCCTCTGGCGGAAGGATCTTGTAGTCGTGCTGCTGATAGTAGTTGGAGCTTTCCACTGTCTGTACTGTGATTCTATCCAGCCACTTTACACTTCTAGCACCAGCGATACCGGGGACTACGATACGGACAGGGTATCCATGTTCCTTAGTAAGTGCTTCTCCATTCATCTGGATTGTAGAGTTAGTTGTCATCTCCAACAGCATGATTGGGCCTCGGTCATGCTCACCTCAAGTGCCAATATCACGTCTTTGTCTTCCTCAAGAGCTCTTCCGAGGTCAATTGATGCTCCGTACCATTCATCCTCCTGGCAGGGTTGTACGTGGCTGGCGAATGCTACATGACCCTTCTCTTCTTCGGTGAGAGTAACTTTTGCTTTTTCCAGAATATCCTTCAACTTTGGTCCTCGCCACTTGCAGTTCATGACAGCTCCGTCGAACCAGTCAATACCTTGAACTTCCTTGATTGCTGTGCGCATTGTATGTCTCCTGATACCAGCACATTGGAGGGCAGAGACAACAGTGTGCTGGGGTAGGGCTTGCAAGTCGGATATTGAAAGATCCAGTATGTTTTCGACTGCTCCATCTACCCTGACATGATGCTTCGAAGCATCAATTTCCGGTATACCGCCATGGTTGCGATCATACGCATCTTTAGTAGTGAGAAATGATGAAACCAACTCAGTGGTTGGTGGCTCGCGGTTCAGTGGATCGAAGCCAAGATCGGGCATGGTTGCGGGTTTGTGTAGTCCCGAAGGTATCCGAGAGATTTGAGACAGTGCACTGTATTCGATTAAATGGCACTTGCCTTCTGTTGAGCTACGGATCGTTAGAGCAGAACATTTGCTCTATGGACACAATTGAGGTCTCTGACATCGATCGATGACGAGATGGCTTGGCACGACCGAGCCTTGACGGAGTGTGGCTCTCCATGAATTCTACCACAAATTCTTCAATGTTCTTTTCAACTACTATTTGAGCCGGAGCAGGAGACTCGGATGTCTCATGTCAGTCGTCGCGTTTAAGATATGCTGTTGACGGCGCTGCTTTGTGATAGACGTTGGAAGATGATCCGTTCAACAAGCTCCGACCCCCATGTGTCTGAAGACAATAGACATCAGCGACATCGCAACACAATCGTGCGACAAGCAAACATGTTTATCGAATCCTTCAGAGGACAAATCAATTCTTCCGGGATCAACATCAATCCTGCGGCGTTCAGGCTGTATGCAGTGCTCGGTAGCACCTTTCCCACCTGGGATGATTTCTCCGTAACCCCTCGAACATCTTTCAGACCCCGCGCCGCTCAAACTGGTGATCTTCAAGTGAGCCCTGATATGCTATGATCTTATCTTTTTGAGTGGTAGGTATTTCGTCTGCATCTTACACTCTTCTCTAGAAGCGCACAACTCTCAAGACTGCCAAGATGAAGTTTCGCGATGGTCAGTATATCCAAATACATGATGTCCGCTTTGATAATAACAACATGAGTAGGCATGTGGCTGGTCGCCGAGGGCAAAAGACTAGAGTATGCTGAAGAAGTATACTCCATCAATGAAGCATCAGATGGCAAGAAAGTCACGCTGCTCTGTCCCACCATGCAGATTCGTAGCAGAGGAGATACCTTGAATCGTCCCACCTTGACAGTGGAACTTGAAGCTGTCATGGACGATGTACTTTCCGTAGAGGTTACCCACTGGCATGGTGCTATCAACAAAGGCCCACACTTTGAGCTCTTTCCTTCCGGCAAACCTCAGGTAAACGCCGGCATCCAAAAGACAGAGGGCGGAACAACCATCTCGGCTGGTAATCTTTCAGCAACGGTGTCCTCGAAACCCCACACCTTTGACATTCGCTTCCACAGCAAAGATGGCAAGCAAAAGCTCACCTCTTTACTCAGTCGTAGTGTCGGACTTGCTTATGATCCTGCAACCAGCAGTCCTATGCAAACAGCAGATATGAGAGATATCAAACACTACATCTTGACTCAGAGTACCCTCGGTGTAGGCGAACAAGTATATGGCCTCGGTGAACGCTTTGGCGCTTTGAACAAAGTCGGCCAAGCAATCAGCCTCTGGAATGCAGATGGTGGTACTTCATCAGATCAAGCTTACAAAAACATACCATTCTGGATGAGCAACAAAGGCTATGGAGTCTTCATCGATGCTACTGAGAGAGTGGAGCTCGAAGTAGGTAGCGAAAGATGCTGCAGGGTGCAGACATCTGTTCAGGGTCAAAGATTGAAGTGGCATATCATCTATGGCCCATCACCGAAGGAGATTCTGGACAAGTACACCACTCTGACCGGAAAGCCTGGAAAAGTGCCCAGCTGGAGTTTTGGTAAGCCACTCTTCTTTTGCAACAGCCACCATGACTGATAAAGTGCTCAGGTTTATGGCTCAGCACATCGTTCACTACCGAGTACGATGACGCTACCGTCCTATCTTTCCTCGAAGGCATGAAATCTCGGGACATCCCTCTTGAAGTATTCCACTACGACTGTTTCTGGCTGCGAGCTTTCCACTGGTGTGACTTCGTCTTTTCACCTGAACACTTTCCGGATCCCAAGGCTTCCATCCAACGTCTGAAAGCTTCTGGGTTGATGAAGAAAGTATGCGTGTGGATAAATCCATATCTCGGTCAAGCAAGTCCTGTCTTTGCTGAAGCTGCAGAGAAGGGATATCTCCTGAAGAGAAAGAATGGAGATGTGTTCCAGTGGGATCTTTGGCAGACCGGTATGGGTATTGTCGACTTCACAAACCCAGAGGCTACGAAGTGGTACGTTGGCTGCTTGAACAAGCTCTTCGACATTGGCATCGACAGCATCAAGACAGATTTCGGAGAGAGAATCCCAAGCAAAGATGTCGTGTGGCACGACTCTTCTCTGGATCCAGAAAAGATGCACAACTACTATGCCTTTATTTACAACAAAGTCGTGTATGAAGCACTGCAAGCTCGCTACGGAAAAGACGAAGCTGTGCTTTTCGCTCGCGCTGCTACGGCTGGTACCCAGCAATTCCCATTGCAATGGGGTGGTGATTGTGAATCGACCTTTGAGGCCATGGCAGAATCTCTGCGTGGTGGTCTGTCTCTGGGCATGTGTGGCTTTGCTTTCTGGTCCGTGGACATTGGTGGTTTCGAAGGTACACCCGACGCATCAATCTACAAACGCTGGGTACAATTCGGTCTGCTCTGCTCTCACTCACGACTACATGGAAGTAACTCATACCGCGTTCCTTGGTTGGTCGATAACAATGACGAAAGCGATCAAGGATGCAGTGCTGTGTTGAGAAAGTTCACGCAGTTGAAGTGTAGGTTGATGCCGTATTTGTACTCGACTGCGACGGAGAGCATCAAGCATGGCTGGCCTGTCAGCGTAAGAGCTATGGCGATTGAGTATCCAGAAGACAAAACAGCCTGGTTGTGTGACCAGCAATTCATGCTGGGACCGAGTCTTCTAGTAGCTCCCGTATTTGACGAGAGTGGCGAAGTCGAGTTTTATCTGCCTCAAGGCAAGTGGACTAGCTTTTGGGATGGGCAGATCATCGAGGGACCTAAATGGGTCAAGGAGACGCACAAGTTTGACACTTTGCCTTTGTATGTGAGAGAAGGCTCTATCTTGGTGCTTGGAAAAGAGGGAGAGAAGAGAACCACATGGGATTGGACGAAGGATGTCGAGGTCAAGACCTTCTTCCCAAATCAAGGTTCCATTTTCAAGCTCGTAGATCCGGAAAACAAGGAGCTAGCCACCATCACCGCTATGAAAGAGGGTGAGGAGTGGCGGGTAAAGGGAGCTGAAGTTTTGGCATGAGGCGTTGAAATATCCCTTGAGACGCGATTAGATAGATATTTAGAATGTGTTAAAGTCGGTATCTTCATGAGCACATCTACAAGGTCTTCGGCGGCTGAGTGATCTACAAATTATCAGTATTCGGTTTTAATTTCGATAAGCAAATCAGCTTACCTTGGTCAAATGGTCACCGTTGAGCGTCTTCATGACCTTGCCCAAGCCTTCATGCGAGTAGTCCTTTTCGTTCCACATGTCCTTGTGGTACTTGACTTTACCTTGATCGTCAAGCGTCAGAGTGATCAGACTGTTCACCGGCTTAGAGAAGTGAATGATTCTCGGTGTGTATTCTTGCTGGAGTTTGAAGATGATGCGATCGGGCTTTGACTCGACGACTTCAGTCTTGATTGTCTGAGACTTGGCCATCACCTTGGGAATGCCGTACCATTGGCCGGCGATCTTGTAGCGAGTATCGCAGTATGACCTTGGCTCTTGTTAGCATTGGACTTCGGTCGAATTAGAATCAACGAATTGGTATCCTCGTGCTTCTCCGCTACATCTCCTCAGAGAGGAACGAACATACCATGGATCGTCGTAAACGGCCTGCTCGGCATACACCTGCATATCATCCTCGCTCGCGCTACCAGAGTACAAGGCACAGATTGATTTCACAATCTTTTCTCTTTCCGGCTCAAGCTGAATACTCTTCTCGGGATGAGGTTCATAGTCAACACCAGTAGAGGCGTTTTGGCTGGGATCCTCCTTATTGCCGGTTAGAGCCTGAGGGTCAGGCCTGATTTCGTAGGTTTGGGGAACGGAAGGGTTTGGCATGGTTGACGATCTGAGTTTGATTAAATGTATAGAGTCAATTGTGTGGAAGAGTGTCTGCAGGATATAAGTATGTGGCATCGAGACTATGCCGTCATCATTTCACATGAAGGGGTCACCGGAGGAGTTGCTACCGAGCGCTAGCGGTTTTTCCAAAGGTCCAGGACAAAATGCGAGAACCTGTCTCTTGGCGGGCAACGATTTTGCAGAGTCATAAAAGGTTGATCTTTGCAATCTTGAGACCTGTATTCTAGTCCGAGATTGGAACTGGCCATGCACAGTAGACTCGGTGGGTATCCTTAAAGAAGCGTCGCATGAGATTGGCCAAGTTGACTAGCTTCCCGATTCTTATCGATAGCGAGGCTCCAGCCACTAGCACAGCCACGTGTGATGCGCCACAACCCTGGTGGTTCCTTCCATCTCTATTTGCAAAGGAAAACAGTTGATTTGAACATACGGCTTCAGCAAACTCTTCTCCCAATCCAACTTCATCATTGTCATACAACAAGATCCTTCGTCCAGGTCCATCGAGGTCGTATTATCTCATTCATCCCCGCCTCCATCGACACATCCACCAATTGAAACATAGTCCAAGACCCTACTCACCTCATAAGGACTTCCACTCCAACAACAAGCACTCACATCATCCGTCAATATGCCAGACAGAGAGCTCCCCTCGGACACGCTGCTCATCATCATGATCTGTTTGGCGTGGCCCCCCGGTGCTGTTTACCTCATGAAGGGTTGTGGCTCAGAGGTTGCAATTTGTGTCGCCTTGAGCATGCTATTGTCAGTCTCCTTGATTTTGCCGCTTCCCATCGTAAACTAACCTTTGAGGGAATAGCATCTTCCCCGGCGTCTGGTATGCCGTCCACATGGCCGTACATCGTCCCAAGAACATCCAGAGCAAAGTGATTCTCGACAACTCCGGCACAGCATCCAATGTTCAGACAACCCCTCGAAGAACCAGCACCCTGCCTCCAGTCGTCCAAACCATCCAAGCTCAACCCGCCGTCGTACCTACAGAGCAAGTGGTCGTTGTCACCAAGGGACCCGAGCCAGCATCAGCCACTTCATCCCCTACCGCACCAATCACCCCTCTGCATTGAGCATTGAGCATTGAGCATTGGACCCGAGCTTGAGAGATGAAAAGACGATTGATGATAGCACGGCCTAGCAAGAGATACCTACTTCAATGAACCTAATGACCTTCACCCTCAACAGTGGCTGCCTTTTGGCCTTCTCCTTCGGTGATGGTTGCCTTTTAACCTTCTTCCTCAGTAACAGTTGCCTTCTGGTCTTCCAGCTCAGCCAAGATTGCCTTCTCGGCATCCGCATCATCGGCGTTCCACGACTCCGAATAGAGCATGTTTTGCAGCGTGAACCTGCCATCTTTGTGAACAAACAGATACTGATTTTTGTTGATAATCCGCCAGTCCGCCTCAATGTATGTGCTTGGCTCACTGGCCACGATGACGTGTTGACCGTGCTCTTTTTTTTCCTTTCTGGGTCCCTGCTCGGGTCTGTCGTCCCCATCGGGATGGTCGGGGTACTTGCGGTTCAGCGTGGTGCCTGCTCTGGTCGAGAAGTACAAGCTGGGAGGTTGCTCTTGTTTGTGATTGCGGAAGCGACATGCAACTATCTGGGTGCCGTCGGTGGCTGCCAGGTTCAAACTGTTGGGCCTTCTCTTTGGACCGAGGATCTTCTTCTGTAGGTTGCAGACGGTCTTGATGGCTGTGTGCAGGGCGTGGGCAATGGCGTGGACAGAGTAGTTCTCGTCCCAGGTATCTGCGCCTTTGCCCGTGGATAGAAAATGCATGAACAGAGCTCCGATGTGCTCGCTGTCTGTACTTCCTTGGATGCTGTTGTACGTGTCGGGGTCGAGCATGTCGCAAAGAGCGCGCCTGATGAGAGGGAAATCCGAGATGGACCCGTTGTGCATGAAGGCTATTCTGCCGAATATGAAGGGGTGGTTGTTGACATGAGCGACGGCGCTCTCAGACGATGCTCGAATGTGAGCAAATAAGCAGCGGGTCTCGGTGTTGGCACATATTGAGCGGTAATTGGCGTCGCCTTTCGGAGGCTGTATAGTCTTGTAGATGGCTGGTCTGAGACCATCGTGCGGCTTGCCATCTTCACTCTCATCGGTGGCGCCCTTTTCGAAGTCGCTGTAGGTGGAAGTATACCAAGCTATACCCAGGCCGTCGGCGTTGAGGATACGGTTGCGCGCATTTGCTTCGTGCTCGGCAGTAATTTTGTTGGGCAGATGAGCGATAAGGCCAGGTAGGTAATGATCGTTGACCTGATTGGTGAGAGAATGCTTAGGTGTAATGAGGACGTCCGAGAGCAGGCAGGGCTCAGTAGGAGAGAAGTATGCGAACCAGCTGCAAACGATGTTGGTCTCTGGAGCAGCGCACGCTCCGTGGGATACTTACCGGCACATTTTGAGCTGGCGGTGGATCTAGGCTGTACGGACGATTGCACTAGATGCAGGTCAATTAGGTCGTAATTTGGGCTAAATGGATGCAGGAAGTGGTAGAAGCAAGAGAAACAGGATTACTTGGCCGTGTGTCTAAGTATGATATAGGCTTGCGTAGTGGCAGTCGACTGTGCTGTCAGCCTGTCACTGGCTGGATTAGGCAGGGTCGTGCCGGTGAATGGAGGAAAGAGCAAGCACGAGGTCGACTTGAAGCTCTGTTTCGGTAGGAACGACCCCACAAAAGCCAAAGGCACACGTCGTTCGTCGCGCGTCTTCAAGCGAGAAGGCGTCGAGCTGCTTGTCTGGTCTGGCGTGTATTATAACTTGGTACAAGCACTCTTGTCTTCACTGAACACAACTTCTCTTCACCGAGCACAACTTCTCTTTACTGAACGCAACTTCTCTGATAGCCATACATCACCTGTCCAGTCCTTGGTCTCGACCTCTTCTCCTCACCACGCCCAACTTTCATACCTCCACTCTGCGAGACAATGACGACAATATCGAAAGATGCTCAGCAGAGCTCATATCCGTATGTCACGGACACTCGCCATACTGCGCGCACGACTGACGACAAGCGCCACTCCATAGTCCGATAGCCCCGCCAGACTTCAATGCCCACCAGCCCAAGACTGTCAGACTGTATCCCTTGAGCAATTACACCTTCGGCACAAAAGAGACACAACCAGAAGAAGATCCCTCGGTCCTTGCTCGCTTGAAGCGCCTAGAAGAACACTATGACGAGTACGGCATGAGAAGAACCTGTGAAGGCATTCTCGTATGCCACGACCACAACCACCCGCACGTTCTCATGCTGCAAATCGCAAATGCCTTCTTCAAGCTGCCTGGAGACTATCTTCCACACGACGCCGATGAGATCTCAGGCTTCAAGCAGCGCCTCAACGAGAGACTCGCCCCCTCCGGAAACCAATTCTTCAACGATGGCAATGAGGGCGAGTGGGAGATTGGCGACACCCTTGCGCAATGGTGGCGACCAAACTTTGAGACTTTCATGTACCCCTTCATCCCACCACACGTCTCTCGTCCGAAGGAGTGTAAGAAGCTCTATTTCATCCAGCTGCCCAAGAGTAGTATGTGCTCCACATTCCCTGAACTGTCTGCCACGCGCTAACGAGTGATACTCAGAGGTCTTGAGCGTCCCCAAAAATATGAAGCTACTTGCCGTTCCCCTCTTCGAGCTCTACGACAATGCCCAGCGCTACGGTCCTCAGCTTTCCGCCATCCCTCACCTCCTCTCCCGCTACAACTTCGAATTTGTCGACGAGCAAGGAAACGTCTCGGCTGTGACGCCTGGAGGTAACCCTAACGAGGGTAGTGTCCCGAGAACAAAGGTACTTGCAGGTGGAGAAGAGTCGGTCCAACAAGAGAACGGTGCTCAGCAAGACTCGAAGATGGAGTAGATTTCTGCATCCTATCGACTTCACGACCACACAAGACATTCTGTCTTTTTCTTGCATTTGAAGCGGGGGTATGTAAAGCGATCTAAGAGACAGAGTGTTAAGAACCTCTAAGTTAACAGAACCTAAGGACAACGAAGCATTATAAGATAATCATGTGAATCATTACAGAAGATCGCTTTCATGACTGCTAGCCTAAATGGAGAGCTTACCTTCTGGAAATATCAGTTGAGCATGGTCAAGGTAAGCTCAACCATGAGTCTGACAACAATATTAATATTACTGCTAACACTTCACAAGTCTGTTATCAACGCCAGGGCATACTATGCCGAAACTCGCAAGGTGAATGCCAAGATAGCCAACAAGATTGATGAGACGAAGCGTATTGAGCTTGGTCCTAAGCTCAACACTTTCAAGTGCCGCCTGCAACGACTTCAGAATGTAACAGAGCACAGAGACAAGGAGGCCGAGATTGCATTGACCAAGCTCCGTAAATTGGCAAAGGATCTTGGAGTACTCAAGCCGGCCTATCAAGAAACTCAGACTGGTGGAAGTATATGGAACGCAAGTCAGTTCGCTAGACAGGGTTAAGGAGATCTCCATGGGTTCTACTACACTATGTTCGCACCAGCTCTACTTGCTTCCGGCCAGCTTGGTAATTGGCAGAACACCAGGGAAGAAGCTTGCCGGCATGGTAGGAATGGGAATACTCTGAGTAGTCCCAAAAGCGGTCTTGAGATCAGCAGCCATGGTAGGGGCAGCATATCCAACAGGAGCCTTGCTGACCCACTGAGTAGTGGCGGGAGAAGCTACATAGTTTGTTCCAGACTTCAGGCAGAATCCGCTACCGTAAGCGTTCTCGCAAGAGTAGAACTGAGAGCTACCTTGTTCAGTCCACATGTTGAAGTCAGAGATGTTTATGTCATGGCAAGGTGCTTTTGCGGCACACTTGACCTTGATGGGACCACGAGCTGTGCCCTTGAGCTCTGTGCCGGTCCAGTTTGATATTTTGAAGTTTGACAACTCAACGCCATTACCAGCGATAGTCTTCATTGAAGTCCATGCCTCGTCCAAGGTGAGTGAGTAGGCGTTGCCGTGCCCGATGAAGTTCTCGAGAGTGACATTGGAGACGGTACCACTGCCACCATTAGACTTGAGCATGAACATTTGGTTGCTGGACCAGGTGTAGATGTTCTTGTAAGTAATGTCTGAGACGGCCGTGTCGGTACCAAAAGAGCCCATACCGCAGCCACCTGACCAGTTACAGTAGACGTTCTCGACAAGGATGTTCTTGGAAGGACTCTTGACAGTCACACATTCGTCTGTGAGATCGTTCAGCGGTGTGACTTCACATTGAAAATCGACGCAAGCTTACCTTTGTTAGTGACCATGACATCGTGAATCCAGACATTGTTACTCCAGACATCGATACCGTCCAGACCACCCTCATTGCCACCACGGATGGCCATGTTGTACACCTCGCCGTTGGTACAGGTATCGATGGAGAAGTGGAAGGAGGGTGAGTCGACCAAAGTGATGTCGTGAACAGACCAGTTGGTAATGTCCCAAACACGCAAGAGTCTAGGACCAGAAGTGCTGCCAGTCTTGTGGATCTCGTAACCGTTGCCTTGAATCGCACCCTTGCCAGTGGAGGAGAACATCTCGAAGCTGTAAAGACATTAGTATAACTTTTCAGGAGGAGCAGAGGCACCTCACTTGTCGCTGTGCTCGATCATAATCATATTGCCAGCATCAGTACCAGTACGAGTGATGGTACCATCAAGCTGAAGAGCCCAATTGTTACCATTGGCCAACTTGACCCACGTCGACATGGCATAATTTCCAGCAGGAATAACAACTACACCACCAGCCTTGCAAGCAGTGAAAGCACTATTCAAAGAGGTAGAGATATCGGTCTTGCCATCAGCAACAGCACCGTATTTAGTAATGTCGCAAGTCTTCTTTGCAGCCTTTGTGGCATGGGAGGTGGTGGGACCGACTTTGCCAGAGAGTTCAGCTGCGACCAGCGCAGGCAAAGCAACGGCAAGTGTCAAAAGAGAAGAGAACGAACGCATGTTGTAAAAGAATGACAGTAAGAATGTGAATGAACGACTGGAGGTTACGTGATTGAACAAAACAGAAAGAGTGACAACACAAAGCAGAGGTGGGCAAGATCTACCTAATATGCCTTCTATTACCTTGGTGCTTTATTAGGGCTTCGATCAACAGTACTAGATTAGCCCAGTCTAGTATTCGAACATAGACTCGATGGGGGAGCAAGGTTGGAGACGCCTCTACATTTCGATGAAACGAATCCAAAAGACCTTCCGCAAAAGGCCTGGGCTTCAGTGCGGGGTGGACGATCAACATGAAACTGCGTCTTCGAGGTCGCATCTCGAACGCAAGATGAATGTATGGATTACAAGAATGATTGAAAGAGACTGTGAATAATCGGTGTGTTGTGCCACGAATGGGCACTCCGGATTGCACATGTGTCGTGAGTCGAATGCGACAAGTCGTGTCGCTTAGAGTCGTTGCGGCGAACGGCAGCTAGATGAAACACTCAATGCTTGAAGAACCATGGAGAAAGCTTGATTGTGATTCAGAAACCCAGCCCTAGCCCTGAGCACCTCGCACGCTTTCTGCGCTTTCTGTACATACGGTAGTCAATACGGCAAGACAATTAAAGGTGGAAATCCGAGTGACGGATTGTGTGGATGGGGAGGACTTCACGGCTTGGTCAGATGTCATTGGGGCCAGTACCCCTGTCTATCGAGAAAAGCACGCCATTTGCATGATGTTTCCATCCCTTCGCTCCTCGATGCAATATAACCAAATTCTATACCAACATACCTTTAGTTCTACGATAACGAAGGCAGACAGAACAGTAGAATCACTGTATGAGGTTTGTACAGACATTATCTCGGCCTGGTAGCTGGTAGATGGCGGTTGGGAAGAGCTGTGAAAATGCACAATGTTTTTCAAGATTACTACCATCGTCAATGGAAGACGGTGTCCCTAAGAGCTTCTCTTTGAACGTAGCTACAGAGCCCTCGGTCAGCGGAACGCACGGCACTGCATACCGACAGCGTCGAAATGCCGTCACAAACACACACCAGACTATATACAAAGGCCGTTTTTTCGTCATGGCTAGTAAAGATGCTCCGCTTTAGTGATTCGCGGACGTCGCGTCGGCATCTGGGCATGATATGGCGGATCCTGTGTGTGCAAGACTTGACGACCTAATCCACCTACCACACTTTGAACAAGACCTTGAGTACTGGTGACTCGTGTAGAAGTCGATGTGGTCCTCGAGGTCGTCGTCGTCGGTGCCACGGAAGAAAGCACTGATGACGCTGAAGATGATACAGAGGATGCTGATGAAGACGCAGATGATACAGATAATGTCGACAGTGAAGATGCTGAAGACGCGGATGATGCGGCGGTCGATGATGCAGATGATGCCGAGGAGGTCGATGATGACTGACCAGAGCCGAGTCCCAGCCCCGGAGCAAGAGCCACTGAAGATGTTGGAACCAGAACAATGCCGGTACTGGTGACAGACGAAGTCGTGAATGGAGGGCTTGCTAAAAACGACGCTGACGAAATCACGGACGACGCAGATGATGCAGCGGAGGATGTTGAGGACGCCACTGATGAAGCTGATGATGATCTGGACGATCCTCCTAGTCCTCCAAGACCGAGATCTAGTCCAGCTGCGGTGCTGCTTGTACTTGTGGAGACGGACGAGGTACTGGTAGTTCTTGACAACGCCGTGGATGATACTGTCGGACCTGCTTGACTAGAAGCAGAGGCTAGTCCACCTAGACCAAGGTCCAGCCCAGGCGTAGTGCTTGCCACTGTAGAAGTAGCGGATGTGGTTCGTACGAACACGACCGAAGACGATGATGCTGTAATACTAGAGCTTGCTCCCCCTATACCACCAAGGCCCAGGTTTAAGCCAACTGCGCTGCTTGTCGATGTTGACCTGATAGATGAGCTAGACGTTGTAGATCCTGCTTGAGCAGCACCAGATCCTACTCCACCAAGGCCAAGGTCTAGTCCGGGCGTTGTGGTCGCTACTGCGGAAGTGCTGGTGCCCGAAACAGGTCCAAGTCCGCCTAAGCCAAGGCTGAGTCCAGCAACTGAGCTGGTGGTCGACGAAGATATTGCCGATGAACCCAGTCCTCCTAAACCAAGATTCAGACCGGATGCAGTGCTTGTGACTGTGGGAGTGGATGTGGACCCGGGCAGACCGAGACCTAATCCGATCGAAGAGGTAGGGAGCAGACCAAAAGCACTGGTAGTAGTTGCCAAAACGATGGATGCGGGCTGAGTTGGAGATACCACTCCCGATTGACTAGACCCAGATCCTGGAAGGCCGAGGCCCAGATTGAGTGTGGAGCTTGGAAGTAGAACAATACTGCTAGACCCTAGCGACAGACCAGGACCTACACTTGAGGCCAGTGAAGGAAGGAGCGGGGCTGAAGATGACAGGCTGGGGATGGCGATGACGATACTGCTAGTGCTGAGGATAGGATTAACGATAGCACTAACCGCCAGAGACGTGACGGATATTATCGTAGCAGACGGCGTGGCGATAGGTATTTCTGTTATAGCTGGAATCGCGCTGGAGATTTCCAAAGACACCGAAGGTACGTTAATGCCACTAGACCCGATCGAAATAATTGGATCGAGACTGGTGACGAAAGACAGTGGAAGCTCACCAGACGTGGTTGTTACTGAATCCATACAGAGATTGAGTAGCTGATCGTATCTTAAACAAGTTGGAGACGGGAGAGCAATCGTGATTGTTGTGGGCAGCGATGCAGCATTGGTGATAGCAGGGGGAAGATTGGTCGGAATACTCAGTAGGGTGGTGGCATCCAGAATGGCAGAATCGGTCAGTATGGTGGGTAAAGATACGATCGCTGTAATCGACTGCAACGGCATAATCTGAGTGATTGAAGGCAAGGACACAATGTCCGTGAGAGAGGGGAGCGCAATGGTGGAGATTTCGGACAAAGTAGAGTCCACGGAAATCGAGCTGAGTACTCCTAGGCCACTGGACACAATTGGTACAATAGCGCTGAGTGCCGTATCGGATGGCAGATCAAGGTCAAGCGTAGCGGTTGCGGTAATCTGAGGAATACCGCCAAGCAAAGAACTGACACCTGCCAGCACTGATGACGCAGCGTTTCCCACTCCGCTGGCGACGGCGCTGATGTCGCTCGCAAGGACTCCAACAAGAGAGGTGGGTAGAACAGACGCAATCGGAAGATCGGATACCACTGATGATAAAGCGTCGCCAAGGTCACTCACGACAACACTGACAATGGAGGGCGCAGGCGCCACGACCGGGGCTAATGTCGTCAGAATGTCACCAGGTATTGCTGAAATGGTAGGTAGCGTTGGCAAACTCGAGGGCAATAGCGTAAGCGGGTCGCCAACGATTGTCAAAACACCAGTCGCTTGAGATAGGAGCGACGAGGCGGCGTTATTTACACCGCTTGCAATAACGCTGACATCGCTCGCAATAACGCCAATGAGAGACGAAGGGATGGCGGTAATGACCGGAGCGAACGTGGTCGCATTTAGCAGCGGCGGTATGGTCGAGGGTAATGGTAACTCCGATGGATGCAGCGTGAGTTGGTCCCCAACGACTGACAGAAGACTGCTAGCCTGAGATGCGATTCCGGATATTCCTGCGATTGGCGTAGGCGTCTGCAAGAGACTACCACCAGTTCCGATCGTCGTGAGAAGATTACTGGGGACCAGCGCGGTGTTGATCGAGATGGGAATTGTTATCGATGGAAGAGACAAGCTCGGCAGATTAATTGTCGGAATAGACAGGCTCGGCAGGTCTATAGTAGGTAGCGAAAGAGGGTTGCCAACTGTTATCGATGATTGTCGGCTCGCGGCCGTCGAAGAGATGTCGATAGTTGTAGAAGCAGCAGCTTCAGTTGTTAGCAAAGAAGAGGAACTCGAATTAATAGACGTAGTAAACGTGCTACTAGCTGAAAGCACAACGCTTGATACTATCAGTCCTGACCTGGTGCCTAACAGGTAAGCAGTGGCCACATTGTCTTGATAGACTCCATCCGCCGAGTTACTGTTGGTGATCAAGGTGCATGATTCATTCTGGTAAGTGAAGCTAGAACAACCGTTGGTATTCGAGCAATAGTTAAAGCAGGAAGCCAAGTCATCGGCCGAAAGAACCGTAGTGCTGTTGCTACTGGCAGGCAAGAACGTGTTACACCGTGTCTCGTACAGTGAACCAGAAGAATCTACTAGTCGAGTACCATCAACTTCGGGACATGTGTAGTCGGAGATAATGGCAGAGTCCGTTGTCGAAGAATCTTGACGTTTGATCAAGCTCTTAAGTTGTGGTTCATTGCCTTTGTAAGAGCATAGACCAGACGTAGCGACATACGAGACACTAAGGCAGCCTTCGACCATGCTACAAGCTTCTACACAGTCCTGCAGTCTTGATCGATAGCTCGTGCCAATTGTAGCCTCTGGCTCATCGGTGTTGCACCGCAGTTGATACACTCGGTCGTTCGTATCAGCATAGTAGATACCGTCATCTGCAGGACAGGAGATGAAAGCTCTGCTTGCAGGCGCGATCCCAATTGAGGCCGAGCTCGTACTAATCGCAATAGAGATAGCAGAAGCTGAGCTCGTTGCAGGAGAACTAATTGGTGCGAGACTGGTAGTAATAAGGTTGAGTGGAGTCGTGCTAGTGGCTGCAGACATCAAGCTCGTAATAGTTGACGATGTGGTTCTGAAGTCGGACAGGACTGATCCGGAAGAAGACGTCGAGCTCGTGGTAAGTAGTGCCGTGGAATTTGTGGTTGGCTGGACAGTCGGCTCATCAACGAGTGAAAGGCTGTACGATGTGGATACGGATCCATTGTTTGCAGTGATTGGTGTGGGATACACCGCAAGGACGATCGTAGAGCTCGAACAAACGCCTTTGAAAATTTAGCCAATGAGCTTCACTAAGAATAGTGTTTATTGTGCTTACTTGCCACAGCTGCCCTGTTCTGATCAAGCTGCAAAAAGCTTGAGCTCTGGAGCACAAGAGCCGTGATAGCAGTACCTAGCAACATGTTGTCGTGGGGATGCGAATCTTCTGTGCGATAGTGTCTGTGGCTTGATCGATCATGCCATATCGATCAATAGTTATAGGTTACCTGTTCGACGACAGATGATATTCCGGCCAATCTCGGAACAGATACTTCGGCATGAGCATACCTGCTCTTTTCCCAAAACAAACACAAGGTCATAAGTGAAATCATGTTCAATGGTGTTGAATTTGGCTGGGATTAAGATTGACCAATTTCGAATGACGACGTGAAAATAAGCGTATTTCGACAGGCATGAAGACGGGACACCACACCGCATACGCTTGAAGCATGAGAATAGACCAAGTGCACATATCTTTGGGCCCGAGAGAGCAAAACAAGTGCGCAGGACTGTTAGGGCATGGTAAGCAAGATTTCCCTGCATCAAAGGATCGTGACTTTCAGGCACAACAATACTCTGTTATCAACATAACCCTTCGCTCAGTAATACACTGCAATGCGGGTCATACTCCGAGTCGGTGAGACTGGTGAGATATTGGGAAAGGTCGAGAAATAGTTCGACGGAAAGGTCGACAAATGTCAGGCCAGAGAGTCGATACGAGTTGGCGTCCCCGAACGATGTCGGGCATCGCCATCAATCCTGAATCGAAGCCAATCAACGACGCACGATCAGAAGACAAGATCGCCTCATCGAATCACACCATGCAGCAGCAGACCAGAACGTATGAGGTCTTATCAATCCACGTGATCGGGTATCAGTACGATGGACCGTATTGAGGCTGACGTTCGGGACGAAGACGCAAGGAAAATCTAGGGCTTTGGTGTCAATTCTCCATTCCACGGTTTCTGAGATGTGATGAAACCAGAGCGCCGGGCCGAAGTATTGACAACACACCGGGGATGTTTGGAGCAAGGGATATGAGACGCTGGCAATCTAGACTGGGTTGCGAATCATGTTCGCACTGTTCGGTCGGACGCGCGATTCAAGTCCATTGCCGAAGTTGCTCTCCACTTGCCGGCTTTTGCTACGTGGAAGCCGAACTTGCTGCTTGATTCAAGAGTGCTTAGGTGTCGATGGTTGTGCAGAGACGCGACTTGCGTTCTGGCGTGGAAGTGGAGTGGGACATACTCGCAAGCGGACAACTCCGAAGAGCTCTCGCTGACTCGACTCGCCGAGCTTACCACATTCGGCTAGCTCAACTCCATCTCAGGTGCATCATGATTTGCCTAGCTTTTCGGAAGGCCGCCTCAATGATCAGCATGCATGTTGGCTTCGAGAAGGTAACACGATCAAATGCTGTTTATTGGTCAAGCCTGCAATTTGGACATGAAAGTTGCGCAATAACATGATTTCTAGTAGCTCCAATATGTAAAAGTTCGCCCCAGGATACTGCAGTCTGATATCATGGGGAACTGCATGCGCTATGGCTTGACTCTTCCAGCCCTGCAAACATTCATTTGTGGCTCCCACCACTTCTGACAAGCGTGGTAAAACTCGGAGGTTGTTCTTGAAGCCGAAAATTGCTCGATGAGTCCTGACGCCCAGCTAGACCTCCTAGTACGCCGCCAAGACGTGTGGGTGGCCCTTTCGGGCACGTCTGATTTTCGGCCCGAGTCTTATCACATTCCTCGGCCATAAGAAGTAGCTAGTCCAGACCGAGCCGAAGATACCGAGATTATTGTACACATTTTCCAGTGACTGTTCAAGGTTGGGCGTTGGCAGTAAGTTGACCGACGATGTCGCCGAAGATTGTGAACAAAGAGCAGCTTTGATACTTCTCTACTAAGGATCCAGCGTCGTCCTCAGGCTCGGTCGTTTCCTCGGGCATTTCCTGCCCAGCGACAACCGTACCTTCAGGATAGACTGGTCGTTTACCTTCCTCGATTAGAGCAATGAAGGCCGGATCGATAGGCACGCTGCCGAGGAAAGGAACACTAAAATCTTTGGCCATCACTTCTCCACCACCCTTTGAGAAAACGTTTGTGCATTCCGCACAGTTTGGACACACAAAGCCAGCCATATTCTCGACGACGCCCAGGATGTGGATACCAGTCTTCTTGCAGAAATTAATCTCCTTCCTTACATCCGAGACACTGATGGCTTGTGGAGTGGTCACCACCACGGCTCCAGAGACCTGACCAGGAGCTGTGTTCTTGAGTAGAGTTTCTACCAGTGAGATGTGCTCATCAGAGGTTCCAGGAGGTGTGTCGATCAAGAGATAATCAAGGTTGCCCCAGTGAACATCTGACAGGAACTGGCGGACCATGGCAGTCTTCTTCGGGCCGCGCCAAACGACTGCATCATTCCGATTGCCGAGAAGAAATCCAAGAGACATGCAATGAAGAGATCCAAGGGGCTTGACATCTTCAGCTGTGTTCGCGTCTCTTCCTTCATGAACCGGAACGGGTAGCCAGCCACCTGGTGCTTGTTTGACTTTGGAGGATTCAATTCCGAGAAACCTTGGCATCGATGGTCCAGTGAGATCAATATCAAGGATGCCGACGGAGTGTCCTCTTAGTGACAGTGTGAGAGCCAGCTGTGTAGTAACGCTTGATTTTCCAACGCCTCCCTTGCCGGAAAGCACCAGGATAATCTCGTTGACATTTGTGAGTGACATTTTATGAGGCAGAATCGGAAGTATGATCTCTCCTTCTGTATTTTGTGACAAAGGAAGCGTTTGTATCTATCTGAAAGTCGTTCGCGCTCGAAATCTCTATGGAACGCAGTGATGATTACCAATTCGGCGGCGGCCACAGCAAGCGATGACGGAGCGCGTCAGGACGAGAATATTTCCTTGGCGTGTACCAACCACCTCACTTAGCAACCACTTCATCTCAACGACATTACGCTGGACCATCGAACTTTACAAGGCGAATCGAGATGCATTCGTGGTGAGTCTTCAGCGGCCTTTGCGTATTAGCTCAGTCGATTCGAATCGCTGAGCTGTCGGAGTTGTTTAGGCGAAATGGTCGTGGTGATAACGAATACCTTGGAAAGCTTAATCAGTCGGACTTTGACATCGATGCCAATTTCCATGACTTGGATCATCCTTGGTCGTCTGTTTATTGCATCTTATGTTATTAAACTATATTTGAAAGTTTCCAGTGCATGCGATAAAATTTCGAGCTTGCGTGACGTCTTTCTTCTCGATCTACATGAAATGGCATTGGTTGTGTGATAAAACAGTCCTGCCAAATTTTGATGTATGGAGCATAAGTCAACGAAGAGGAGATACCATCTGGCAATACACGCTGGAACAGGTGCAAAGAGCCACCTCATCTTAGATTCGATGATTCAATGGCTTACAAGGAGAATGTTGCTGTCGATACGACACAAAACAAATGTAGACAGGGTTGTACCTTCAGATTCTGGTTCGGTCGTAACAAAACGCGGAGTCGGGAACCTCCCTTGCTGTCTAGTCCTTCGCCAATCATGTCATACGAACCAGAATGGGGGGGATTGATGAGGTGGAGAAAGTAAGCATTGTGCAACCACAAGCAAATTCTACTGAGACATAGCTATACTAACAAAACAAGCTGATTGAGTAAGAAGCGAATATAGCAATGACAGCAGCTTATCATACAACAAAACAACAAAGCTCTTCCCTGAGCTTGAGTATCCTCCCACAAAAGCCACTGGACTCCTTCTCGAGCAAGATAATTGAAATACGAAATATAATCACTAGCAATATGCCGCCTGTGGACATAGGCCTGTAGCCTCAACGGGAATAGGTAAGAGAGGAAAGGAGCAAAACTGTGAAGCAAGAGGCACCTCCATAGAACTCGAAACCACTAGGTCGTGTCGTGCTCATTGTACTACTCGTTGTTCACAAACTCATCCATATGAGTTTCGTCTGGATGGTCTTGATCGAGTCCGCCAGCGGCGAAGGCTTCACCTGCGAGCTGGTTCTCTCCTTCGTGGCCGAGAGTGGCGTGGTCATCATCGTTGTGAACCATATCCGCGAAGATGGAATCCAGATTGGGGTTCGTGTTGCTGGTGCGCGGACTGCTGAAAGACGGGCTTGCTTCGGTATGCACCATTCTAGGACTACCAGAGGAGCCAGGCCGTTTATCAAACATGGCTCCGCCAGCGGTAAAGAGCGCAGGGTCTAAGTTCATGCCTGTGCTGAACATTGGGGGATGCTGTGGTGGAGATTGTGGCACTGCAAAGTTAGGCTGTGGCGGTGGAGATGTGTGGGGTGTGTAGTTGTGCGAAGCAAATTGCGCGGGGTTGACCGTGTGAGTGGGCTCACTTGGAGTGCGAAGTGGTGGTAGACCAAACGACGGTGGCGCAAACAGAGGCGAGTCGCGGTAGCCAGAAGTGACAATCGATTGGCTTTGAGCAGGGTAGCTGAACGAGGGCGTCTGCTGAGTATAACCAGGTCTGCTGCTAGGAGGTCCAGGCGTTGCTGTTGACATGCTGGATGGCGTGTGAGCAGCAGGAGAACCAGCGGGTTGAAGCAGTTGAGGTGGCTTTGGCTGCGGTTCACTACTCTTTCGCTTGTGAGGCTTGATTCTGTACTGCGGAGGTAAGTCATCAGGATTGGTTATTCCAAGCGACGCCATGAGCTTTTGCTGTTTCGTGGGGCGAGGCTTGCGGGTTGAAGCAGAAGAGTCAATGACTGGCGGAGCTTCCGGGGCGACAGGCGCTGACTTGTGAAGCTCTTGCCGCAAAAAGTTGGTCTCATAGGCCAGCAGAATGTCGGCACCTTCAACCTTTCGAAGGTAGAAGCGGAGGGTGGTCACTTCGTCCGGAGAGACCGTGAGAGGGTTGACATAGGGACGAATGTAGTCTCTGAAGGCCTGAGCAGTCTCGATGATGCTCGTGAGGGTATCCTCTTCCTCAGGCTGGAAAGGCAGGTTCTCTAGCTCATCTTGCCAAGCAATGAGCTCTTCAAGCTTGGGACGAGCAGCGTCTCGAGGAATTTTTAACCGCCAGTCACAGATTGGGCAAGTGTATTTGTCATCCTCCTTGACCTTGCCGCGAGCAATTTTCAGACACTTTCCATGATACCTAGACGGTGTGTGAGTTCATGCAAATCCAGCCGAGGTAACCCCAAACTTACCATTCGTGACACAACTCGCACTCGATCATCATACCAGCCTCGGGCCTACGGCAAAGGCAGAAAACATCAGGGATTCTATCCTTACTGTCTGGCTCGGGAGTATGTTCTCTCGAAGAAGGCTCAACAGGCATTCTGGGCTTGTCACGAAGCTCGAAGCATGCGTCGTTCCTCTCCTTTACCAAGTTCATATGCTGGTGCAAAATATGCAGCGGCGCATTAGCTTTGCCGAACAACTTCTTGCCCCGGCGCATCCAGTCTTCGTGGCGACGTTGCTCTTTTTCGAGGTCGACCGTACCGGCAGGCTTGTTGTTCAATTCTTCAAGAGAGGCCATAACATCTCTGACGTCCTTGTACATCGGCCGAGCTCTGAAGTCAGGATTCTTGCTCTGTTGGTAGAGCGCAAGGATCTTCTCTTGAGCCTCGCGCTGTTTCTTGAGGATGGCATCGACTCTTGCAAGAGTCTCTGCAGTAACAGGCAGACCAGCTGCTTGCTTTGACAGGGCATCTAGCTGCTGGTAGTGAACGTTCTCCACGCTCATAATCTCTTTAGCCTTTGCCTCCCAATATTCACCTTGAGCTTTCGCTTCTCGCAATCGAAGTATGTGCTGATGTGTCTCGGGGATGCCGATCTCCAAACCGCGATTGATGAAGGTGTCGACGTCTTGGAGTGTTTGGAACTGAACACGACGAGTGTTGGCTTCATCGAGCCATTTGACGTGGTTGAGCAGCTTTTCGAGGTTCTCCAGCTCAGGAAGTTCGATGTTGAGAGTTTTGCCGACTTCAAAGACATCCTCAATTTCTTGAGTAGACCGAGCGCGGTGTTGTTGACCCATAATGATGTCAAGCGCTTTTGCTTTGAAATCGTTGATATCGGTTTCCCTCTCGCGCAAAGTCTTGTACTCTGGGCAATCGAAATGGATTTCGTCCGCAGTAGCAAGCAGCTTTTGCATGTTTTCGAAATTACGAAGCTCCTTGTCGCGCTCGTCGGATTCAGCAACTGTCGACTTTTTGCGCGAAGATTTGCCCTTCGCTCTGTTCTGCTGCTTACGAGTGATGTAAATGGTAGCCTCTTCCACCCATTCATTGCAACGCTCGACATAGCGCCTCAGATCTGCGAGTTGCGGGATATCAAAGGGAATCTTCTCGCCCTCATTGAGCAGGGAGCGCAGGATTTTGAGCGATGGGCGAGGCTCTTGACCAAGGTAGTCGTCAACTTTCTGTGCCCAAGCCTCGGGAAGTTTAGATTTGTCCACGACCTTTTGAACCATCGACCTAAGCTCTTTGTCTGTCATACGGAGGGAGAGCACATGGTCGTGGTTTGGGCTAGCGTATCGGTCCGATTCCTTCGAGTCACAGCATTCGTACGCGCCTGCATGCAGTAGACACATCACCTTACCCGACTTTTGACACACGTATCGCGAGAGGAAGCTGTAACATTTGCAGAAGCTGCAAACGTATTCCTCTTCATCCATGTCCTCTGTGAAAATCTCAGGCTTGTTGGTGTATCTGTCACCTTGGTAAGTGTCGTCTGTAGGTTCTGCGTTATCTGGCTGTTCGAGGAAATTTTTGCGAGCGGCCATTTCCTTCTCCAGCAGCCTTTCCAGAGCCGGCGCAAGCCACTTTGCGGTGTTGATCGTCGTGTCACGGGATGCAGCTGTCAACAACAGCTCGTCGTGCGAGAAGCACGGCTGTCGACGATAGTCACGGAGTCTTTGTACACCGCTTTCGCCGAAAGGCTCCCAGTCGACCGGCGCGAAATTGACAGCCTCGTTGAGGTTGAACCCGTGATTGAAGCCTGCATGGTACGCTTGAGGGAAAGTAACGACCATCTGGCCTGCACGCTGGTCGATCGCGTAGACCCGCACACCAGCTTTCTGTAGCTTCTCTGGTGGCATCAAAGTCACTAGTTGAAACAGAAGATCTGGTTGCGTCTCGAAGAGCTCCGGCACAGCTTCTCGCATTGCGTTCTCGAACTTCTCAGCATCCTCTCCAGGAACACCATACCATGTCTTGGTAGCACCAAAGTGCTGATAGTTGGCCGAGTAAGCATAATGGTCCTCGTTGTGCCAGCAGAAAGTGGAGAACACCATGCCGACATAGAGCCATGGGACGGTCATGCCGGATATGTCAGTCTTGATGTGTTTGAACAGAGACTCGCCGTAGAGAGGCAAGACATTCAGGTTCCAGGGATCTGTCGAGTAAGGGTCACGAGGCTGTTTTTCGATGGTAGGGAAACCACTTCCGTGAGTGGTCGAATGGATGTCAGCACCATATTCGACCTCAACCGTCTCAGTAATGTTTTCTACGAGCCTCCAGAACTCGCGCTCAACATCATCCTCATTGACAGCTCTTCTCTTGTTGAGAATTGGGTCGAATGGCATTTTGTCGGTGAAATGATTCTCCTTGAATCTGTTGGCTCTTTCTTGGAACGCTCGCAGAGAATACACTTCGCCCTCTTCAAATCCAAACTCTCCTGTACCAACAAGGCAACGAGGACAATGCCAATCATTTTCGGGTTGTTGCATCTTGACAGGAGGCTCGAGACATGCGCCATGGTAGCCACAATCGCAACTGTCGCATATCAGAAGGAGTCCAGGGTCCTCAGGCTTTGCGCATGTTTCACACGCTTCGCCTGGGGGGAAGTTACTGCGTTCCCGGGCTGGCACAAATCTTGGCGTTGACGTTCTAGGTTGGTGCATGTGCGATCCCGCTACTGTGGGAGCCGGTTCTCTCTTCAATCTCTTGCTTCGTCTTCCTGAGGCGTCTAGATCTCCATTTGCATCCTTCTCAGCACTGTCGCTTAGAGCACGTTTTGCAGAATTGGTAGGTTCGAAGTTTGGCGTATTGATCTCGAGAAGCTGAGGACTATCCATAGTAGATCTCGGTACCGAACGTGGATTCTCAGGAGTCGCATGCACCCCGTTAGGTCCATTGACGGGAGTAAATCCTGATGGACGGTTGACTGATGTAAATCCTCCATTGACCGGCGTAAAACCTTGCATAGGAGCGGGCGATGGAGCCGGAGGAGCCGGCTTGATAGGCGTTTGCTGTGGCACAGGAATGCCGGCGTCCAAAGAAGCATTCAGAGCGGCAGAGGCACGCATAGCTGGGGTGCTTTCGCCGTTTGGAGTGTTATTCTGCGACTTCTTGAGAGGCGAAGTACCCGGAGAAGGAGTGAATGGACCACCGTTTTCCAGCTCCAGTTGATGCTGAACACCTGGTTTCGCGACACGCAAGTAATCCTCGTACGGCTGAAGCCATTTCTGATAAGAATTTTTGAGTGACGTTGAGAGGCTGGACATGATCTTTCCACTATATCCGAGATCACGACCAATTTCGGCCCATTTCTTCAACTTGCACACTCTTTCAAAGCCTCCTCTGGCTTCGACGGCTTTTTTCAGCTTGTAAAGATCCAAAGGCCGTTTGTCTACACTGGGGAAGCGGTTGAGATTAGTCCCATGTTGCCTATGGAATTTAGAGAGTTGATCCAGATAGTTCAGATTTGCGCGTGTTCCTTGTCTGGGGTCAGCCGATGCGCCGAAAGGTTGATTGATTGCTGTGCGACTTACCTCCCTCGACAGAGTTCAACTCCTGACGTCGCACACGGAAGTGGAACCGCTATCGGTCGTGTTAGTCTAACAACAAACAAGCTGCCACACAAGACGTACTGATGTGTCGATGGCAAAAGGCATTTCCCAGCCATCGGGAGGAATGATTTTTGCAATGCCATATTTTCGACCTTCGGGTTCGATCTTGCGCATGTATTCCATAGGATCGCGAAACTCTTCTGCAGTTGGTCGGAAAGTAGGTCCCTCGAGGATTCCATGTAGTCTGTTCCGCTTGGTGATCTCAGGTGCAGCATTCGGCTGTCCTCTTCGTTCTACGGTATTCAAGTCCAAAGGTTCGGAGCGTCTTGCGCTGAGGGGCATGGATGCATTACCGACGGCAAGACTCGGCGTATGTGCAGCTGATTTGGACTTGGAAGAAGTGCCATTATTGGCGGTCGACAGCGGGCGATTTGCTGAAGAGGCAGCAGCCCCTCCGCTGCTTGGAGGGACGACCATTCGCGAGGGTTGGTAGGGGTGATTATTGTAGTGCTTGCAATGAAGCTGATGTTAGGCGACTCGACGGTGGGAGTACTCGAAGTCGTGGGTGATGGTATTAAGGAGCGGCAAGGATGGTAAAAGGGTGGCAGCAGCTGTCCATTCGACTGTGGAGCGAATCTGGAGAGGGCGAACGGAGCGGAGCGAATCTGATATGTAGGCGCAACGCACAAGGAAGGCGCAGATTTGGCTTGGCTAGTAACGAACTGGGGTCACTGTTTTGTTCGCATCGGTGAGCATGAGAACTGCGCTTCGCCCTAAAGACTGTAGATTCGGATAAGAGTTGGCACTTCTGAAATTGAGAAAGCAGGTGCAGGGCGGAGGTGAATACGGCAGGGACGAGCCACAGGTCTCCCGATGCTTGGCCAAAGTCAATCTTCCCCGTGAGCCGCGTGATGCCAGAAATGCCATGTTCTGAATCATCCACTCGCTTGTTTGATCTTCTTCTTTCGGCCTTTCCCAAACTTGCGTCGTCTTCTCCAACCGTTACACTGTATCCATACCCGTTTTCCTATCAGACAACACTTCTTGCTATTCCAGGACATTGTGCAGTCAAGATACGTCGTCGGATTTGCCGCACAGCGACGCACACCGATCTGCAGCCGGGGTACAGCCAATCATATGTTCCTTTGTCTCACCTCGCGGATTTTGGTCGACGGCGACTTCTCCTAAACTCAGTCTCTGGGATTGATAGCGTGCGCATTAATTTTGGGCATTTTTCGCTCGGTTGGGTCAGCAATGGATAGGCCAATACCTGCATTTTATGCATGTTACCTGCTACGCTCTACAGTTCGCCATCAAAATCTCTATGTCGGAAGTACGCCACACCCTGTGAGGCGTTTAAAACAACACAACGGAATGGCCAAAGGTGGAGCAGTGAGAACTTCGAGGGATACGTTGCGACCATGGGAAATGACTTGCCTTGTCACTGGCTTTCCTTCAAAGATTGCTGCTTTGCAATTCGAGTAAGTCGACTCAGCACTGGGAATTCGTTGTCTAATCGTCAACATTGGATAATCTATGAGCACCTGCTACTGCTACGAGGTCTGTAAGTTCTAACAGATTATTCTTTCCTAGATGGGCATGGCAGAACACACATCAAACGCGGCACATTGCTCCAGATGAGCGTATTACACAGGCCAACACAAAACAAAGATTCTCACCTAGGAGTGGAAAGGTACGCAAGCGCACAGGACGTCCTCGCATGTCAATGCACGATAAGCTTGCGAATCTTCACATCCTGTTACGAGCAAAGAGTTTCGAGCGCTGGCCCTTGCAGGTCAAGTTCTTCGCCGAAGACGTGTTCAAAATGTGGCATCGATGGACATTGAATATGGCTGAAGTCGTTCGGCAAGGTATCGAAGTTGGGATGGATCAATCCGTCTTAGACAAGACTACTTTGGAAGAGGAGAACCCTGAACAGCCCATCGGCATCTACAAGATCGATCCCACGTACCTACACGTGAAGATCACCCTTGCGAAGAGTCAGGAACTATTGGTTGCTCCAAGCAACAGCTGCGCCCTCTGTAGCTCTGCTCTTGACTCCAAACGAGAGATGGCGCTTGTCTGCTCAAATCAAGCGTGTAACACCATTTTCCATGTTGGATGTTTGTCATCACATTTTCTCAGTGGCGAACATGGTGCGCAGAACGCAATTCTACCAACGCATGGGAATTGCACTTCATGCAAATCAAATCTGAACTGGACCGATCTGGTGAAGGACCTGAGTCTACGAATCCGTGGTCATAAGGAGGTGTCTGCCTTGTTCAAGGAGCCAAAACGTCGCAAAAAGAATTCAAAAGAGGATGCAAAGAGTATGGTTGTGGCGGACGATGAAGAAGCTTACGAGCCCGATGTTCTAGCAGAGGAGAGTGATGTTGAAGGTGATCTCGATGACACCTTGCTACAGTCGGAATGCGGAGACGTTGACCAGATCCAACTTACGCCACCTGATGATGAGGATTGGAAGCTTGTCGATGAGCTGGCTACACAGGCCACGTATAGAGCGGTCACATCAGCAAGTTCTTCGGCTACTAAAGTGAGAAAGGAGATTATCGAAGACAGCGACTGGGACGAGGCTGAAGTCATCGAATGAGTCGAGGTATATCCGCAGGTCGAAAGATCCGGATTGCCTTCGATTAGATCTCCGTAGCTGTCGGTTGCGAGGGTGGCCACACAAGGACGATCACCACGGCCGAATGCGCCGAAGGGGACTTGAGTCGTTTGTCGCATTGATGCAAGCTTCGGCATGGTGCCGAACATCGTTCTCGACTGCCTCAAGACCTTGGCCAGCGTCGATGGTTACAAAGTCAGAACCATCATCCGTTGCTCGAATATCGGCAAAGAGTTGGCGAACGCGGTCTTGGAGCTCCTTCTTCTCGTATCGCTCCTCACCCCAGGCGCCTCGCTTCGCAGCATCCTCAGCAGAGATGTCAAGAAACAGACAAAGATCAGGACGAGGAAGACCTTCGTCCGGATGGCGGCACCACGCAAGACTAAGATCTGGGTTATTCTTTGCGGCTGAGTAGACGCAACCGGAGTAATAGTAGCGGTCAATAATGACAGTGGTTCCGCTGTTGATGTCTGCTTCGATCGACGCTCTACACATGGTCAGTATTTGAGAGTTTGACAACTTGTGAGAGAGAACACTCACACTGCCTCCCATCTGTTTGCAGAGAACAGTAGATGAATGACATGATCCTCTTGTTCGCTTTGACCCTGCAGATAGTTGTTGATCATCTGACCGATTGGTGTTGTTCTGTCTATCTGGAAATAAGTCCTCTTGAAGTGCAACAATCCGCTCGTTTTATGCGTAGTACATACCAGGAAATCGACGATGCTTTACCGGCACGCCTTTTGCTGTGAGGTAGTGGGCTAGCTTCTCGCACTGTGTGGACTTTCCTGATCTATCCAGACCTTCAAACACAATCAATTTGCCGCGAGCCATTTTCGAGCTGGATCCAAGACGCTTCGACAAGACGAAGAGTCGTGAACAAGAAAGCAATTTACACGTCGGACGCGGAGTGACGCGCATGAACCAGTGTCTTGGCGAAGGACTTTAAACCGCCAGCGCGGAGTGAAGGCCTGAACTCGATCAACATGTCAAAATGACACGGGAAGAGATGACCGAGACCATGTTCAAGGTCAGAACAGCATCTGCTGGAAACGTGGTCCGGACCGGCGTACTAAGCCTCCCCAACCGCAAGCCTATCAACACACCGCATTACCTGGCTTTGGCTTCTCGAGGTGCCATACCACACTTGACTCAGGACAATGTAGCCAAACACACAGACATCCGCTGTGCATACATGGCAGCAGAAGATTGTATGTTTTGCTTCATATACTCCATCGCCGAACAGCGAAGCTGACCGAAGCGCGTGCTCACCAAAAGAAAAAGTCGTAGAAAAAGGCACTCCAATTCTAAAGTACAACCCACCGGATGGAACGTCGCGACTGCGCGCATACACCGCGACTCCGGATGATCACGTCCTGATTCTTGGAGCTCGCCGTTCACCACCTGTGCCGTCGCCAGGAGCAAGCACGGATAGCCATTTGAGCATCATGACAGCATTTGGCTTCACTAAACTTCAGGCGTCCACCTTCAGAAGCTTGACCACTTCGCTCGACCCGGATATCGTTGTTGGCTTGGGAGACATTCCATATGGCTACTACAAAGTGAGCTACAAGAAAAAAGACAAAATCACGGATCGAACTGCGAAATGGATGCAAGCACACGTGAACGAGAGAGGCGCGGCCAAGAAAGAGCAAGGATCAAAATCGCCGCTGCTGTATGCACCACTACTGCCCATCTCTGCAGATTCGCAAAAGTACTACATTGACCATCTGGAGGACATGATACAGGATATTCAAGGATTGGCCCTGTACAACACGGTCTCCATGGAAAATTTGCCGGAAGAGCTGAAGGTCCTCCCACGCCTTGGTCTGACTGAACCAAACAATCCGCGCGCTGCCTTGCAGGACATCTCTCAAGGCATTGACATTGCGACCCTGCCTTTCCTCAGCGCCATAACAGACGCCGGTGTCGCGCTGGACTTCCGCTTTCCTGTCTCTGGACCGATTCCAGACCAACCCTTGCCTCTGGGTGTAGACATGTGGGACACAAAGCACGCGATAGATGTGTCGCCGCTGCGCAAGGATTGCCCATGCTATGCATGCACAAATCACCATCGCGCCTTCCTGCAGCATCTTCTGTCGGCCAAGGAAATGCTTGCATGGGTACTGCTACAGATACACAATCACCAGATCATGGACGAATTCTTTGCCGGTATTCGTGACAGCATTGATCGTGGCACTTTCGAGAAAGACATTGCAGATTTCGAGCGGGTATATGAGCCTGAGCTGCCAGAGACAAATGGCCGTGGACCAAGGTATTTATTTTCTTTGATGAACACGTGTGCTGTGACCAAGACTAATTGTCAACAGGCTTCGAGGTTATCAATTCAAATCGGAAGGACCCAACGAGCGCAAGAGAAACTCGGCGCCTTTCACAGTCTACAAAGCAAACCCAGATAAGGTGTTGGAGAAAGGTTCGGCACCTGTTCCTGGACCTGATGCCATCGCAGAAGATCTTGAAAAGATTGGGTTCGCCGATAAGAAGGAGTAGACGGCGAGAGGTGTGAAAAGAAGCAGAAAAGACATGGATCGCAAAGCAGTGTTACAACATAGACCAGCTATGTATGTCTTGTCGTGTCCAGTTGCACAGGCATTAAATATTGTTCTTGTTCGCCTCCCTACAACAAGCCCTTTCTGGCCAGCTGAATCTTTCTGGCAGCTTCTCCCGCTTTGTAGCCTCCCTTTGACACGCATACCATACTACCATCGTCCAACTCAACCTTGTCTTCTATTTCAGGGAAAGCGCATGGACAGTGGTGCGGGAAGTGTACGCAAGATAGCGTCGAGGGGCAGAGGTACTTGTCGCAGTGGACTATGAGCCGTGTTAGCAGCTCGCTTCTGGCCAAGACGGACAGAGGATGAAGCAAGAGAGACATACCAGCTTCATATTGTTGTTTGTACCATGCAGAGTCTGAGCCGGCATTCTGTGGTTGTTGCTGTTGCTGACCGCCTTGGTTGAACATTTGGTCGAAGAACTGGAACTGGGCGAATGCAGGGAGAACGAGTAGGAGGGTTGCGCAGAGGAGGGATAGTGGTGTTGACTTCATAATTGCGGTGTGGTTCGTGATTTTATCCTCTTTTCTTGTGGTAAAGAATGTGACAGAAATGCGTCCTCGATATCCGTATAGTCCAGTCTCTGTGATGGTTCGTCGAGAAGCTTGTCAGATAATGTGCAAATAAATGATCAAAGACCAGCTGTACGACTATGGTCGACCCTGTTAGATGCACAGACCTCCTCCACAAGAGTCGGCGAAAGCTTCATCGCAATCCGCAAATCCACGAATTTTTCCTCCGTCACACCCAGCGCCCAAATCGACCAACGTCACTCTTTTCCCACCTTTTCAACCACTCGATCTCTCAAATACCGTCGCCATGCATCTCATGTACACTCTCGACAACCAGGGCAAGCGTGTCTACACCTTGAAGAAGGTCAACGGCGCAGAGGTCACCAAGTCTGCACACCCTGCTCGCTTCTCGCCTGACGACAAGTACTCGAGGTAAGGATCGAACTACTGTTTCTCTGTCGCGACCAGAAGGTGGGAGGATCAAAGAGGAGGAAGAATAAAAGAGATGGATGAGAGGAGCCTGGCTTGAGCAAAGTGGCAGAGGCTAGTGGATTATCGCCATGAGAGCACACGACACCATACCACAAGAGACGGAGAGCACCGCAGACACGGCGACGGAAGAAGAGCACAGTCGCGACAGAGAAAGCAAAACTCATGCAGCACAAATACTGACTTGATTGCAACAGACACCGTGTCACCCTTAAGAAGCGCTACGGTCTCCTCATCACCCAGCAGAGTACGTTCTGCCATATCTACCTTCACTCTCCCACCATCCGACTGACACGATATCCAGAGGACCTCAAGGTTCTTGGCCAATAGATGCTTTCTTGCGCATCTACCTTGCTGAAAGCAACCATGCACATTTGACCAATTTTTCGTACTATGGGGGAAAAAAAGAAAGGCGTTCCACGGCGCACATAACGATCATCGGACTGTATATTGGAGGGGTTGTCTCTTTGAGGAGAATGAGAGAGAGTACAGAAAAGAACAGCGACTGGCGGCCAGTTCAATGCTGCAGAACAGTCGAAAAGAACAAGGCATCTGCAGAAGCAGTGCCCGAAATTACCAAACATTTCAATCTCCAATCTGCCCAGATGTGATGGCTGCTGAAGCTTGCAAAGCACTTTTGTATACTGAATTCCACATATTGGTGACATCACTAGCAGAGATACTTGATACCGACAAACGCCCTCTGTACGCCTCATGAACACCATTTCCATGCAAGTAGATAGCTCATATCGACATGACTCAAAGCTCCCCGTCTATCGCTTCTTCGAGTTGACGTTGCGTCCACCACCAACCTTCATCCTGCCACCAGTTCTGTGGCGGTCTCCCGTCAAGATGCTAGGGAGATAATCCTCATCCATAAGATCTCTCTCCTTTCTCCTCTTCTCCGTCTCGAAATGTCTGGTGTACTCCTTTTGATCTTCGGCGAGAATCAACTCGTTGCCCCAGTGGCCTTTACCACCACCCTGGACTCTACCATTTGCGCTGCCGTGTACAGGCTTGGGAATACTGAAGCGGTCGCCGCGGGTGTTCCATTGCATGTTCTTCTTGAGGTGCAACTTGAACTCTCCGTTGGAGGTTGTGCTGCAAGCCACGCGGGTGAGGGTAGGACTTCCACATCTGGGGCAGAATTGCTTGCTCATCTCCTTTGTTGTGCAGAAACAGGCGTGGCAGCGGAGGATGTAGGTCTTGAGGTGCTTTACACGTTGCATGGTCGGTGATAGCAGGTTGAGGTTTATTTGAAGGAGCACGTTTTGCATGGCAAAATCGGTTGTAAGTGTCGCGACTTGGAGGACGGATTGTTGTGTCTGAGTGCTCTCGGTGCTGCCCGATGAGTCTTTCTCTTGATGCTTCTTCAGGTTGGAGGGAGTAATCCAGCCACCATCCGAGTCCTCGCCCGAGTCTGCAGCAACTTCTACGGTCGTAGGGGTGGGCTGAGCATCCTGAGCTGCTGGTTGTTCCAAGGCGACCTGTTGTACTTCTTCGATCTTCGCTTGGGCAAGGTCTTCTGAGATTTGCTGAACGGAAGCCTCGGTGGGCTCCTTTGCGGTCTCCTCGGTGGATGTCTGCTCCTGCTTGGTCTCTCCAGTATCCTCGTTCTTGGGCTCCTCTGTCTCTTCGGGCTTGACCTCTTCCTTGACCGGAGGTTTGCCGTTCATGCCCTTCTGACCAGGGTTCCTTCTAAGTCTCCAGTCGCCACCATTGCGCTCGCACTCCAACTCGTAAGCCAGTGCAACGATCTGAATATCGGGCTTGGAAAGAACATCCAGATCACCAGTCTTGCGCGCAAAGTCGGTGACAAACTTGATACTGGCGGGATTCGGCGAACGGATGGTCAAGAACGGCATGAGCTGCGTCTCTACGCGGGTACGGGTGGCAGCATCTCTGATTTCCGTGATGATGGCAGGAACGGTGACGATTTGCTCGGATTGGGCAAGAAGAGTCGATACAGTAGGATGGTTACGGATGATGGCACCAGTATCTAGAACGATGGTGTGCACCGGCTTTTGCTCGCCGATTGTTGCGCTCATTTCGATATTCTGTGTCGTCGTCGCAGAAATTGTGGTCGGCCAACTTTTTTTCTGAATCTGGCTGACGCCCAAGGACCCTGCATGTGAAGCGCCAAGAGACGCTGACTTGAGACTGCTCCTTACCTAGGTATCTTTCTGTTGGCTCCTCCACACGTGCCTCGATACATCTCACTGTAATCGACTTTCTTCTGCACCATAGATAGACCAACCCGTCAGATCAAGAAAGACCCGTCGGCAAATTGTGTCCCAGAACAATCTCAAGAGTCACTGCATTTTACTGACATGTTCGGAAGCGTTGTGGCACCAAGCAAACCCCATGTCCTACACTGGGTGCATATCAAGCACAAAGCTATAATGAGCTCATCTTAATACAGGATCATGGCCAGTCGAGTAACCTCAGCTCGAGCCGAAGGGAGCACAAAGCAATGTGTCTCAAACATGATGGTATCGCAGAATACGAAAGAAACGTACGAGCTTGACTAGACTATGGCGCAGAGTATCGTGGGCTGTCAGGTGAAGGTGTTGAGTATCAGCAGCTGGCCATAGCTGCAGAATTGAAGCAGGGCCGCAGAATGTGACATCTGGCTGGTTGATGCACACGCGAGATGTAGGCACGTCGTGTTACAGTGCCAGCGGCTGCATAGAACCCAAAAAGACACGGGTAGTCCAAGGGTCAACAGCGTGGCAGACATGGGATCAGAGAGCGGGATGAGCCGGGCATTCTGCATTCGACGAGGAATTGTGCAGAAGCCAATCAATTTTTTAATATCCATGGGTCAGAGGGCGGGCCACGAGCGGCTACCACGCCTGGCGGTGTGGTGTCTCGTGGAAACCAAGGACAGGGAGACAGCAGGAAAACAGGAAATAGCAGAGTGAGCACAGTATTCGCAGCTGGAGTCGTAGCAACACAGGAGTCAATATAGAGTACCCGTAGTCGAATGGGTGGTTTCAGAGCCGAGTCTGTCTTCGCAGATAGCGGGCCAGCCGGCAGATGTTCTCACGGGCCAAGCATGGTCCGGTCACCTTGTCGCTGCTAGCGAAGAATTGCAGCTAGCGGGGCTGTCAAGTTGTGAAGACTTGTGGGAACAGACCAGAGCAGCACCAGGACCTGAAACTCTCTCTGCTCAAGCTCACTGCTTCTGTGAAGCTTTCCGTCCGCTACCACATCGCATCCCCATTTTGTCTTTTGTGCCTCGAGTCTTCTGCCAAAGCACCCACAAGCATAAGCAGTCCTTGCAGCAGAATGGCATCTGCACCGACAACTCCAGGCGGCGGCCTCGACCGCTACGTGGTCATCCACGTAGCTACCACATGTGACGAGCACGGTGTCTATGTGACAAAGGATTCGGCAGAAGTGATTGAGCTGGGCTGGATTCTGCTCGACTCCAAGAACTGCGACGAGGTAGGCAGTCGTCGGCCTTGTCTGGCATTGGAAGAGGAAGCAGCGACTGACGTTCCTTCTGCAGCTCCACCGCGAGAGTGTTCTCGTCAAGCCCGTCAACACGCCCATCACCCCACTCTGCAGTAAGACCAGCCTCCGCTGTATCCTGTATCCTGTATCCAGAACGACTCTGACTGACACGTTGTGCAGCCAGCCTTACAACGCTTACCTGGGAGCACGTCCGCAACGCAGGCTCTTTCCGCGATGCCATCAACCGCTTCGACCAGTTCGCCCAGGAACACCTCGTCAAGAACAACCACGAGTTCGCCTTTGTCACCCTCGACTCGTGGGACCTCCGCGTTCAGCTGCCCCGCGAGGCCCGCGACAAGGCTGTCGTCCTCCCTCCGTACCTGCAGCACTCGCGCACCTTCGACCTGCGCACCGAGTACCAGAGATGGCAGGCCCACCACCCCGAGTCGCTGCCCTTCGGCTCCAGCGCCCTGACCAACATCTGTGCCGCCCTCGAGGTTGAGCCCGTCCAGTCGTCGGCCCCCATCAAGCACAACCTGCCCTTCCACCTGCAGGCTCTCGCCCCCGCCTCGCCTCGCCGTGCCATGGAGGAGGCCGTCACTCTTGCCAGAGTCCTCCGTGGTCTGATCCGCAAGTCTCAGCCTCCCCACGAGCACCCCGATGTGCTCACTCGCCCCATGGACGCCCGCGCAGATGTACGTGCCTTCCTGTCTGAGCGCAGCAAGGTCCTCCACATGAGCGGTCTCCCCCACGACACCACTCAATCCGAGCTGGAGAGCTGGTTTACGCAGTTTGGTGGTAGACCCATCGCTTTCTGGACCCTTCGCACCCCCGACCAGCACAAGCCTACTGGCACTGGTTTCGCCATCTTCTCCTCCCACGAAGAGGTAAGCTTCTCTCCAGAATCCATTCATGATTCAACCCATGCTGACTTCCACTGCTAGGCCGCCGAGTCTCTCTGCATGAACGGCCGCGCACTTAACGAGAAGGCCATCGAGGTCTCGCCCTCTTCTTCCCGCGTCCTCGACCGTGCCGCAGACATCCTGACTGCCTTCCCTCCCAGCAAGAACCGCCCTCGCCCTGGTGACTGGACATGCCCCTCATGTGGCTTCTCCAACTTCCAGCGCCGTACTGCTTGCTTCCGCTGCTCCTTCCCCGCCATGGCTGCAGCCCCTGACCCAATGTACGGCTACGGCTACGGCCACCCTGGCATGATGGGTCCTCCTGGACACCACATGGGCCACCACCACATGGGTGGCGGCGGTATGCGTGGTGGCGGTTCCACTCACGTTCCTTTCCGTGCTGGTGACTGGAGATGCGGTGCTGAAGGCTGCAACTACCACAACTTTGCCAAGAACGTCAGCTGTCTTCGCTGTGGTGCCTCTCGTGCAAGCGCTGCCTTGGTCGCCGACTCCAACTTCCAGCAGGATGGTTCCCAAGGCTTTGGAATGGCTCCTCCCTCCATGGCTGGCACTCCTGGACCTGCCCCCTATGCTCCTCAGCAAGGAAACTTCAACTCTGCCGGCAACTTCCCTGGCCAGAGCTACGGTGGTCCCCAGTCGACCTACGCTCTTCCTTCTGGCCTTGGTGCCGGAACCTCTCCCTACCCTGCCATGAGCTCCGCCTACAGCCACAACGCTGGCATGCACTCTGGCGGTTTCGACAGCCGTGCCGAGGCCGCTTTCTCCGGAGGTCAGAACAACTCCTCTTTCTCCAACGGCGGCGGCATGTACCCCGGTGAGCAGGCCACTCCCGACCCATTCACCTTCCTGAGCAGCGGTCTTAGCGGTCTCAGCGTTTCGGATGACGCTCGCCGCAACGGTGCCAACCCCTCCAAGTCTCCTGCATAGAGTGATGAAGACTCCCCGGATGGGACAGGAAATCGTCACAGCCACAGGAGATGACCACCATTTGTATTGAAAAAACCGGACCGTGTACACCAATTCAATTCGGAAAGGGGCAGGGTTATAAAATATGGGTTTGCTGTTTTTTTGGTCAAGAAAATTGCAATGTCAAGTCAAGCGTCGGCGCCGGTGGGGGGGTTGATCGGGATGGTTTTGCTTCTTTATACAAATTGTGGGATTGATTGTTTTCAACTGCTTCAAAGTCGCCCGCGATGATGGCAGGATTGTTGTTCGACAAAGGGGTTTGGCAAAGGAAGGTTGTGGTAGGAGCATGGCAACAAGGTGGAGGGACTTGGTTGGTGGTTCTTGTTACCCTCAACTAGGGCCACTTGAAACATAAAAAGCATTCAGGGGAAGGGTGGAAAGGCAAGCAGGACAACACATCTAACATCGCGGCATACATTGTTTGGCAAGACAGAAAGGTGGAGAGGGGCGAGGAGGAGTTGTTCTTCATAGAATCGTGCGATTTTTCTCTGCAGTTTTTGTTCATCATTGTTTTCTTTCTTCCATTTTACTTATCGCTTGCTTCAATTCCCTTCGTGCTCCAGTACCTTGTGAACTTCCCATGCTAGCTTTTACAACATACAAAAATGGAAAAAAAACATTGCTCACGACCAAAAGTCAGAATCAAGGATAAGCGTAAATAAGGAGCGTATCATTCGATGCATCATGCAAAAACTATCTTCCACGTCACGAACCATTAACAGTCATGTCGCTGGATTATCCAAGTCAATTCGTCATCATATTCATCATCTCCTGCTCACCAACTCGTTGATTTTCGTCTTCCAGTACTCCGAGTCGTGAGATGGTAGCCCGATCTACGAGCTATTGCCATCGCCATTGACGGCACCTCCTCTACCTCTGGGTGCGAAGCCGCCACGGCCTGCACCGCGACCTCTGCCCTCGCCACGTCCGCGTCCTCTGCCTCTACCGCGGAAATCGTTGTTGAGAATGGCGGGAGGAGGTACGGCACTCATGTTCTGTGGACGGAAAGAGAGATTGTTGCGGACAACGTTCTCCATGGGATCGGAGTTGTCGACAATCGTGTAACCACCTCTGCCTCCACGACCACGACCACGAGCTGGGTTTCCTCCACGAATAGCCAGGTTCTCGTGGCTGCCACGACCGCGTCCATTCATGGCACCACTGAATGTGCCTCTGAGTGCTGGAGGAGCATTGGCAGGGCGCCATTGCTCTTGAGGAGGTCCATAGCCGTTCTGGACGGTCAATGGAGTCTGCTTGGTGGGCTGACGCTTCGATGCAGCAGCCTTACTCTCAGCAATGCATTGCCTATCGGTCAAGTTCAGGACACTGGTCACAGGAACAGTGCTTCCTCTGAAAGGACTGCAGCGATCACCAAGGCTGGTACCAGACATGAAAGAGTAGTCGAACACCACATCAAGCATGGTCATTCTGGGTGTCTTAGTGACGCCGATGACAGTACCTCTCGAAGCGATAGGAACTCGACCAGAGTCTTGAACGTAGACGATGCGGTCACCAAGAGTGAAACGCTGGCCACCAAGACGCTGCTCGGCATCACTAGGCTTGAGGAGAGCGTGACGAGGAACGCCACGCATGGGCTTGTCTTCAATCTGATCGGCCGACAGTGAGACATAGTGCTCTGCAGCACGCTCAAGTGCCATGACGGTATCCGAGTTCATCTGCTCGGCGTCAAGGGGAACACGTTCGAACGACTTGGTCTCGACACTCTTCAGCCAAGCACCAATCTCCTTCATCTTCTCCTTGGCGACCTCTGCAGGGTAGAAGTCGGTATCGTTGAAGACATCACCCGAAGGGTTGGCCTGAATACGAGCGACAAAGTCAGGGAATCTGGTCATGTAGGTAGCAATGAGATCTACAGCCTTCTGACTGTATTCCCAGCCGCGTTCCGACTTGCGACTGTAGCCAAGAACCTTCATCTTGCGAGCCTCGAACTTGAGGTTGAGTCCGAGGTTGAGCTGCAAGCCCGATGAGTTGACACGGAAGGATGCGGTCAACTTAGAGAGGACGAGAGGGTGCAAGCCCAGCTCCCTCGCAACAGCGAATGCAGGCTTGTAAGGGAATTGGCGTTCGGCCTGGTTGGCAATTTGATGACCGAAGTCAGGCTCTCTGACCTTGACTGTGTTGACTCTGACATTGGTCTTGCCATTCTCGTGACCATCGACAATTGCGGGTCTACCGTAGTTGAAGTCGCCAAGAAAGAACGCGCGAGAGTTGAGCGGGAACTCCTCGTCCAGAGGAAGAGCGGCCTTCTCCAGGAAACGCTGATCAGCAGAGACAACTTCGTCAACAATAGCTTGAGTGGCGTAGTCAGCCTCCAGACCTTCGACCATGGCGTACTCTTTGACAGTTGCACCATCGTCAGTCTTTCGGAGGCCGACAAGCATCTCGACGTGAACCATGGCCTCAACATCGCTGATGATGACACCAAGTCTCTTGCTGTAGACGCTCTCGATGCGGCTAGCCTTCTTCTTCCAGTTGGAGATTTCGGGAGGACCATGGGGAATGGCCTCGATGTTGTTAGGTGTAGCCTCAGCATTGGGGTCGGCGAGAACATAATCGAACAGCTCATCAGATACTCTGGTGACCTTTGCCTCATGCAAGAAGGGGTAGCCAACGTGGACTGGCTTTCCGAGCTTCTGCTTGGCACGCTCGATGCTGCTGTTCTCCTCTGCGTTCATAATAGTGACAACCATGCTCTCGTTTCTGCTTTCTTGCTGGAAGACGTTGACTCCATGGAAGCCAAGAGTGCCAGTGGTGGGAAGTGTGCGCAGACTGGGGAAGCCAGCCAGAGCATCTTCACCAAGCTTCACACCATTGACAAGACCAATGTACACGTCCAGACCTTCCATGGTAGGAAGCTCGAAGATGTTCTCTACACACTTGCAGTTGGGAATGTCTGGGAAAACACCGGGGAGGGACGATGGGTAAGTGTAGTTCATCTCAGCGGCATAGCTGAACTTCAAGCTGACACCGAACTCATTACGAGCACGCTGTGCGTCAGAGAGCAGATGGTCTCTGGTCGACATGGCACTGAGCAGACGCTCCTCATCGATGAAAGGAATCTTGACGACTGCCTCCCACTCCATCTTCTTGCCGTTCATGTCAAGATCAAAGTCGCGAGGGTAGAAGTCGATGATGGGCGAGTCGGGACTGGTCATCAAAGGATGGTAGACATCGGGGACGATCGTCTTACTTCTGTCGGGAAGCACACCCATGAGTTGTTGGTAAGGGCGGAAAGGCTGACCGAGCTTGAAGTCGATGTTCGCCTTCAAACCGCGCTTGACATCCGAGATCATGGGCGAATAATGGTAGCCGTAGTACCAGGGCCATGACACGACACCTTGGTAATAGTAGTACAGAACCCATTGCAAACCTTGAACATAGTTCTCGGTAAGCTTGCGCAGCTCTTCCTCGTTCTCAGTGCCCCATTCGAACTTGGACTTGTAGTAGGTATCCTTCCACTGAGCAAATTTCTCGTCGTATTTCTTGCTCATCTGCTCTTGGGCCTCCTCGGCGCTGATGTCGACAATCTCAGCGTTGTCGTATCTCTTGACAACCCTGAGAAGTGCCATCTGGCCCTCCTCATCATCCTCATCGTCCGAGTCATCGGTTGGTGGGCGAGGGAAGAAGGAGAGTTGAATATGGCGCTCGCCTTGGTCGTCAACAACGCTCTTCCACTGCAGGTGGAGGCTGTCGGCAAGGTCTTCTACGAACTTCCTGTCTTTTGCAGGAAGCGATGCGGGCAGGTCGAGGGGAGCGGGTTCGGAGTCGGCGGGCCGACTGTTGACGTAATTTCTGACACGTGCATATACATCCTTTTGCGACGAGGTCATGACGACCTTGCCCTTGTTCTTTGTTCTCACCATAACATCCTCACGACCAGTCTGCTTGCCCTTGAACCAGCTGGCATCTGCGTTCTCAGACTCAAAGTGGCGGTACTCGACATGGGAGAGTTCGTCGAGGAGTATGGAAAGTCGGTCCAGGTTAATGACACCGCCCTCGTTGATATAGCCCTTGGCAAGGGGAAGAATCTTCTTGTAGACACCAAACATGAGAGCCAAAGCGCCCTCGTTGATGTGCAGATGAGGAAGATTGGGCAAGAAATCGTTACCGACGAAGAAAGCCATCAAGATGAAATCGTCAATGACGCGCTCCATGTCGAATTCGAAACCAAGAAGTCCGGGCTCTTTCAATTCCTGAAATTCAAGCTCGAGATACTCGCGTACTATGCAGAGATGCATGAGATAGAAATTCTGATGTTCCAATTCCTTTGACTTTGCCTTGCTTTGGCGGCCAAAGGTAACCTCCTCACGGAGGAGACAGAAGTGAGGGTCGTGGCTGAGAAGACCCAGCATGATAAGATCGGCGTCGAGACCGTAAAGACAGTGGCGGACGTTGGGGTCGTAGTCGGGTTGTGATTTGGCCTTGCGGATGTATTCCATGATCTTGTGCTCTCCTTCTCCAGGGACTTCGTGGCCAGAGAGAACAATCTCAGGTCCTTGCCAGTCGATGTCTTCGGAAACCTTCTTTGCGATGAAGTATTTCAAGTGTTGTGTAAGACGGGCCATGAACTCTGTTCCAGGGGTGATGCAGTTGCTGTCGAAGGGGGCTTCCTTTGGCATTTCGGTACCAGCGGCGATGGCCTTCTCACGAGCATTTTCAGCATCGAGAGCGGTACGGAAACGTCTAGCACGCTGCTGGTTCATCTTTGCTCTGGGAGCAACACCATCAATGGCCATGAAGAAGAGCTGCTTGGGCTTGATCTTGCCAAACAAGTGCTCGATGTAGTTGAAGATGGCGATGAACATTTCATCTTCGGTCATACGCTTGGTGACATGGTCTCCGTCTTTGTGGGTGCAGTTGTGAATAATACCGTTCATGTCGAGCTGTGTGGCATGGTCAGGCGGTGATCGAGTGGGTTGGCGCATAGCGCAGGCATTGGCGCTAAGGGAGAACATACGTAAAGAGCGTCAAACTCGGGAATGCGGTTCTCGGCAATCAGCTGAGAGATGGCGGGATAGCGTTCGCTCATCCATCGGAAGAATTTGGGAACACCTGATCAAGCGCATGTTGGTTAGCTATGCTCGTGGTCGTCGCCGTGTCAGGATGGCGTAGGAGCCACTTACCCATGATGATCTGTGTTCCAAGATCAAGGATTGGGGTCGAGTAGTAGAAGGGAAGGGGGGAGGGGGAAGGGCAGAGAGTTGGGTGCTGAAAGGGCGTATGGCGGGATATTTCGACACGGAGTCCTCGAAAGGAAGAAGGAGGAAGCACGCAAGAGGCGACTGCGACTTTGATGATGTCGACCAGTCACAGCGCACAGACGTGTGAGAGAGCTCCTTCCCCGGCTTTCACTCGAAGTTTGCTTGGCGGCTCCGGGCTCCCAGGCCAATCTATGAGCTATGAGCAAACGCGTCGAGCTGTCCGTGGAGCGCGTAAATCTTTCTCCACCATTCACGTATACCACTATCCAGCGTCACTGATCCTTGACCCACTACCAACCATCATGGACCAAGGTATGCACCCGTATCTATCGCTTCCTCTAGTCTTGCTCCAAGCGCCTGCGCCTCTAGCTTCACATGACTTCACATCGCCTCACCATCACACCCGACTAACGACGCAATGGCAGACATTCAAGCACAGCCCGCTGGCGTCAGTGACCCCGCCGTCGAGAACAAGATCATCAACGAAGAGTACAAGGTCTGGAAGAAGAACGCCGTCTTTCTCTACGATGTCATCTACAGCAGGGCTCTGGAGTGGCCCACCCTCACCACCCAGTGGCTCCCCGACGTGCAGTCCTTGCCCGACAAGAACTTTTCCACCCACCGCCTGTTGATCGGCACACACACTTCAGGCGCCACTCAGGACTACCTCCAGATCGCAAGTGTCGACCTTCCCAACAAACCCGCCGTCAACCCCGCAGACTACGATGCAGAGAAGGAGGAGATTGGCGGCCACGGTGCTGCCAAACAGCCCATCTCCTTCAACGTCATCCAGAAGATCAACCACCCTGGCGAGATCAACAAGGCTCGCTACATGCCTCAGAATCCTGACCTCATCGCGACCATGACCATTCAGGGAGACGCCCTTGTCTTCGACCGCACAAAACACTCGTCCATGCCCAAGACGAACCAGGTCGATGCGCAAATCGAGTTGAAGGGTCACGAGAAGGAGGGCTTCGGCCTTGACTGGAACCCTCACTTTGAGGGTCAACTAGCCACTGGTAGCGAAGATCAGACTGTGCGCGTATGGTACGATCGTCTCTCTCTCTGGCTCTCATACCGATACATGACTGATTGCTTCTCAGGGACATCAACAACTTCTCAAAAGCCGACAAGATTCTGACAACCGCTCGTATATTCAACCATCACAGCGCCACCGTCAACGACGTACAATGGCACCCCATGCACGGCAAGAACCTGCTAGGCACAGTCGCAGATGACAAGACCTTTTGCCTCATGGACCTCCGCACAGCCTCCAATTCAAAGCCCGCAATCAGAATTACCGGTCACACAGATGCTATCAACACTCTGGCCTTCCACCAGAAGCATGATGTGCTATTCGCCACTGGTTCTGCTGACCGTACTGTGGGAATCTTCGACATGAGATTCCCAGAGCACGGCAAGATTCACAGCATGGAGGGTCACCAGGATGTCGTCACTAAGATTGAGTGGCATCCTCACGACCCTTGCATTCTTGCCAGTAGTGGTGATGATCGTCGTGTCATTTTCTGGGACATCAGTCGCGCCGGAAGTGAGCAGACTCCAGACGATGCTGAAGATGGCCCACCAGAGATGTATGTACTTCACTGGTCTTTTCTGTGCGCCCAATACTGACTTTATTGCTAGGCTCTTCATGCATGGTGGCCACACTAGCCGTGTATCGGACTTCAGCTGGAACAAGAACGACCCGTGGATGATGTGCTCGGTCGCCGAGGACAACCTCATTCAGTGCTGGCGTGCCTCGAGAAACTTGGTTGAAACCTTGCCTCCCGGTATTCCACGCCGTGAAGTGTCTGTATCACAATAGAGCAAAGGCTGACTTTAGCTTCTATCTACAGCCGCAATGAGAGACGTTCAGGACTAGAAGACCCCTGAACCCGAGGTCATTGTCGAAAGCTGGATGGACGGTCTCGATTGAGAAAAACATGATTGATTTCCGGAGCAGCAAGGCGTTCAAGGCGCGATGGGAAGTTGAAGCATCTATCTGGCTTGGACTCGGTCAGAGTCATGGGAATGGAGACGGATTGTTATGAGAACTAGAAAGCGATCGTGTAGACTCCTCCACAAACATTCTTCCACATCACAAACACGACTTTGGTCGATCATGCATCGTGAATCCGACCAGTCGTGTGTCACGAGTAAGGCAGGATTATGTGATGCTTTGTAGATATGGACTCGAGGACAACCAACAACCTGATCTACTATCGCTAATCTGATTGTCGAGTGCTAACGTGTATTGGCTCAAAGTGCTTCCATGAGCCTGATAGATATCGGAGCCTACAGCCGCAATGCGATCAAAGACCAACTTCATTCATCACAGATCAACATCATAGTCATTTTGATTACTATGACGAGTTTTTGACGCTATAGAACCAGATGTGAATGTATTTGCAATGATTCTCCCTCTTGGACGGGGTGCTGCACGATGACATAGTCTCGCGACTTTTTAGACATGAGAATACCAAGCTGCAACTTCACCTTGGAACGCGTGGATGATATTGTCATGATTCTCTATCGAGACACGCGCATACATCCACAAATGACAACGGCATTTGAGCCTGTATCGTAAATTGACAGGCATTGAAGTGATGATAGACCACTGGACTGGGTTGAACTGGGCCAGGGACTGAACTAGATTTCGAGACTGGAATCGCTTACGCAAGCTACAACACGCCGCGACGAGTCATCATCTTCTGACTATTGGGACTCTGAAAAGACACGCTCGAGACAATCAAGATACATCAAGATACTAGAGAACCAGTGCATACAGGATCGACAGAACAGAGACCCATACAGGAGGTATAGACCTGCAGTGGAACACAGATGTTACGTGGATACAATAAACAAGAGTCGTGCGTTCAATCGTGATTCAGGTTTCCTTCTCGGTCCGCACGAGGTCCACTCGATCTGAGCCTCGCTCTCGAATTGCCTATTTATGCCGAGTCTGACTCCACGGCTCTTCCTCCTAGAGACCGATGTTGTCTCGCATGCGATCCGCAATACTTGTATCTAAAGCTTCGATCAACTCTCGGAGCGCCTTTTTTTTTTCTTCCTGAACAAGTCCCTCTCAGAAGATTCAACCCTTATATACCACCCAGATACCAGATTTCTCGGCGGAGTGAGACCGCCCAATGGGAGGCCGATCAGAGGGAAAACTGGTGTATTACTAGAACTGTATGGCTGGTCCGGGGGTTGGAAGGCTGCATTGCCTTTTGCTCGTGCGGTCAAGTTCAAATCACTCGCACGACGATTCCATTTTCTTTTCGCACTTTTTAGAGATGCGAACGGGGAGTATGTCACTGTAAGCAGGAGTGTTGCTGTCTTGTTCTGAATCATCTCTGGACTTTCTTTGCATGCTGTACAAGTGGATCTGATGGCACACCTTCCGAATGTCACTCTCAGAGGAAGGCTACACTATGTTGGATTGGATTCTGCATTTCGACAACCGCGTTCTAGGCTTCAAGCTGCTTCCGAAGAATCGACGAGCTGCTGACACGACTCATAGACCCCGACACCCGCATAAGAATCAAGGCGGTGGTGTACGGTGCCTTCTCAAACATATGAGCAAGACAATCATCCTCTATAGTGCCAGTGAAAGGTCAGCAATGCCATGGCACAATGATTATCGATCAACAATCAAGATCGTGGCGGTGTTGGATCGGCAGGCAGTATTCATGATGCCGAGGTGAGTTGTAAGCACGCGTCGAGCAAGATAAAGGATCAACGGAATATAATGATCTGTTTCATGAACGATCACTTCGAGTGTCGCTAATACTACAGACATCAATGCGGTAAGCCGAAACAACCAATCACGCCTCAGTCAGCGCGAAATGCTCCAAAAATGGACATGATCCGCGCCCTGCATCTTTCGAAAGCTTATTTCAAACCCAGGCCTCAAATGCTCAGGCGTGACCAGCAAACGTACATTGTAGAGACTATACGTGACCAGAAAGAGACACCAACCAAACTCGTAGTTTGCAACCTCAACCGCGCGCTGCTTGGCTTCAATGGACCGGACATGAGAACTCTAGTCCCTGAACTCGGCGTCGACAGACTCGAAGCCATCAAGGAAGCCTTGGAACATCTGAACACCAAGACCGGGATCCGAAGTACCGGTCGTGGCACGAATACTGTGCATGCTCAGTTGTGGAATGCCGGCATCAATAGCACGCATACCAGTAGCGCAACTGAGCATAGGTCCAACGGTGCCGCCTGACCTCGAGTCGTTTCTGATCTGGAAGACTTGGAGGGTAGCGTTGACCTTTTCGGCGCAGCGAGTGAAGATGGCGGTCGACACACCATCTGTGGTCATGTGGCCGTTGCTGTCTGCTGAAACTACGACACCAACATTGAGTTCAGGAGCGTGGTTGGCGAGGTATACGTTCTCGAAGTTGGGGTTGACGGCATGGGTAACGTCTGACGAGACGAGGAAGGAGTTTGCGTATGTACGGCCCATGAGGTCCGAGGCGGGATGTTGGCCTGCGAGACTGCCGACTGCACGCTCCATGACAATGGGGAGGAAGTTACCGCGGGCACCTTGCCTTAAGCCACTGCCAATTTCCTCATCATCGAAGAGACCGACCATCTTGATAATACCAGAGCCAGAGGTACCGTTGCGGGCGCTCTGCTTCAAAGCCTCGAGTGCGGCCCAACTGCACAGCTTGTCGTCGATACGACCGGCGGTGATGAACTCCTTGTCGAGGCCAGCAAGAGTAGCTGGTTGGAGATCAAACAGCTCAAGTTCCCAGTTGACGATACTTGAGGCATCGCTGACGCCGAGTTCCTTCGTAATAGCGCGAACAAGACGAGGGGGCTGAGTGGCAGCGAAAGAGCCAACCTTTCCTTGGGTCTCAATCTGGCTCTTTGCCGACGACTCCAGACCAATGATTGGCACAACTTGCGTCTCGAGGTTGAAAGGGCCGTTTGCAGGAGCGCCGAAGTGAGGAGCAAGTGTGGGGATCTTAGCGATGGGCCAGCCGAGCTTGACCAACTTTGTGGCGATCTTGTTCCCTTCTTTTACAAGCACTCGTCCGCCGATACTGAGGTCTCTGTCCCACCATGTGGGTCCTGAAAGGGCAGTCAGTATTGAAGGTGGAAGCAAGATTACGCTGTACTTACCCAAACCACCGGCGTAGGGGGCAACGCCCAGCTCTACATAGCCAGCCTTGTTAGGCACCTTGCTGACAGGCTTCAGCTTAGCGGTGAGAGCATCAACATGACCAGCGAGAACGGCAGCACCATTGCCAGACTTGTAATCATCACCAACGACAAAGGCGATCAAACTGCTGCCGTTACGCTCGACAAAGTACTTGCCGCCAGCCTCGATACGCCACGAGTCTCTCTCACTCAGCTTGGTGAAGCCATCGCGCTTGAGGCCTTGAGCCATGTCGTCGACGGCGTGGAAGACGGTGGGGTTGTTGGTCAAGAAGTCACAGAAGGGCTTTGCGTATGTCTCGACATTGTCTGATGTTGCCATGATGGGGGCGGCTCTTTCAGAAATGGGGAGGTACGACGACGATTGGGCGTGCTGGGTGGCTGATTGGAGCATACTGTCGAGCTTCTGTTGTTCGATACGCAGGCATTGCTTGCTCTGCTCGTGTACTAGTTCGAGTTGTCTCAAGTAGTCGGCATAGGCAGCCTTTCTTCTTTCTTCCTCGACATTTTCCTTGAGGTGCAGAGGGAAGTCGAAGGTTGGTGGCGGTGAGTTCATGTGGTGGTGGAAGGATTGGGTTGATGTCTTGCGCGATAGGCCCTGCATGTTCTTGACCATGATGGCGGTATTGTTGTTGTGGTGTATGTATATGTGGTGGAAGAGGATGATGTAGAAGTGTATGTGCAAGTGATGACGAGAACAGAGGGACGCTGGAAAGGAGACAGATATCACGTAGACCGAGTCGTGTTATCAGCAGGTCAATGTCTATGACTGTTCAGTTGCCCCAGGCACCGCCATCCCGCCATCTCTCATCATCACGGACTTAACAACCACCAATCACCGCGCCATCGCATTCCGCCTGAAACGGCAGGTGTGGAGAAGCTCTGCCATCCTCCACACCTGCCAACTCGCACGCAGCCTCCATTTCGTCACAACCAACTTTCAGACTCTTGCCCGTCCCGCCATCATGACAGGGATCTAAGAATAAGTTCATGCTCTCTGTCAGGTACAAGGATCTCGTTGAGTTCGCACCATGTAGAAAAAGTGCCACACTTCTCACTCAAATTGACCATCGTTTCTCCATCTCCATCTTCCGCTATTTTTGTTGCATCCGCATATCCAGCTTCTTAATCAGGAATCTCCAACCTTAGATAGCCCAACTATCGAAACACACCGCCGCCTAGTAGCACCTTGCACTCTCAAGAGGACACATGTCTCAATCTACCACTCCCGTCAAGCAAGCCAAGCCACCTGCCGCTGCTGGAAGCGAGAAGGACCCCCTCCGTCTGATCGAGAAGTTAGAAGTCAAGACAAAAGCCGTGTATGTTTGTGATCATTCAACGGCTGTTGCATAAAGGGGCAGATCATGCCCAGCTGATGCAGTTCTACAAACAGTAATGCAAACAATGTTGCCAGAGTAGCCAACAGTCACTTGGTTAGTGCGGATGATAAACTGCATCCTTTGTTGAGCCTTAAGAATGGAAGGACACTGGAGAAGTTTCCCGAATCTCCAAAAGCTTTGGCTAAATTGAGTGGTTGTTCTCCCAGACGTACCTGTCCATAAACCTCGCTAATTGGAATTTGTGATAGTCGCTCTTGTGGACGCCATGCTCAGTGCTCTGGAGGCCGATCGCAACGGTAATGAAATGGAGAAGAGAGAAAGGCTGCGTCTGCAGATTGGTCTCAAGCCCAACCCTGCATGAGTGCAAGACTTCACGACTATTAATGTATTGATGGTGTCATCTAGCGTGTAAAGACATTCAGAGCGAGACCACAATACAGAGCAAATCACTCCGAGATCGGGTGGCCAATCAACCGCGCAAGCAGGAACTGAAGCTCAAAGTGATCAACGACAAATGACAAACGAGATATGTTCGGATTGGAATGGAAAAAATCATACCACCTTCGCCTGGTGTCCCAAGTGTGTTCATGCACGCATCCCAGATGTATAACGCCGCTATGCAAAAGGAAACACGAAATCGAAAAGAGACCCCCAGTCCCGGGTCGCATCAGTCGCTATGTCCTGTAAGCTCCATCATTCGTCGTCAAGTTCCTCGCTACCATGTCTGGTCCTCATCAGTTCTGGAGTATGCAGTATGCAGTATGTAGCAGCACCAACTTACCCGAGCAAATTCTTGATGTTGTGCATCTCGTAGTGTTTCTTTCTCATGTTCTCAAACTTCTCGTGCTTCTCTCTCTCCTCCTGGGGAATGTTCTCGGGTGTCTCGCCATGTCTTGCGCCATCAATGTCCATTTGATCCGGGTCGACCATGACTCTTCTCTCCGAATCGCTGTGTCTGCGCTCGAGGGTGTCCTGCTCGGGCTCTCCAAGGTCGAGATCGGGAATATCGACCTCACGGGGCTTCTTCTTGCTGGAACCATCACCTTCAAGCTCCTTTGCCTTGTCCAGTTCGTCCACCATCAGGTCATCAGGGTTGATGTTGGACAACTCTTCATCGTCATCGGGGTCGTAGCGGCCGACGTAAGGAGTCTTGGGCTCGTCAATCTTCATCTTGCCGCCCATCTGGCTCTCGTTGAGGAAGAGATTGCCCTCATCCCACTTCAGTCTCGGCGAGCCATGGTCTGCGTGTTGACTTCCGTCGACACCTGACTGGCGACGTGAGATGCTGCCACGAGGGTTTGACGAGTTGCGACGGCCGCCTGCATTGATTTCTGTGTTCATTTGCACAACCTCTTTCTCGGACATCTCGCGGTTCATTGTAGGGCGGTCAGGGTTACTGGGCGCATTGATCTGGCTGGCGGCGTGTGTGTTCGTTGGCGACGGAGGGTCCTGAGCGGGGTGCTCGCCCATGTAGGAGCTGTTGTTCTTCAGGATACCTATGACAATGGTTAGTCGACTAGACGGCGAGCGCATAAGCAGTGCAGCATACCTTTGGGTCTCTTAGGAACCTCTGAGGAAGAGCTGAAAGCGGTCATGATTGCTGTCGGTAGCGGAATCCGAGAGAGACGGGCAGTTTGGATGCGGAGTATCGGCGGTGCAGGACCTGTTATAGACGGCGGGAGTGCGGAAACCTTACGAGGCAGCAGTCAGGAACGTTGTGTTTATCGAATCGAAGACGAGGCGTGGAAAGTTAGAAAGCGTGACGCAAAAGGGAATAGGGTTATCTGTGCTCTCACTGCATCATGAGGCGCACCCAAAGAAACCAAAGTGCAGGTGGGGGGTTGCCAGCGACCAACGTCATTGCTCGGCTTCGGTTCAGCGCCCATCATGCGTAAACAAATATAGATTCTACTTCCTATCACATGCTGATGGCTACAACATCTACTCCTCACGCGCCGTTCCTTTTCCCGGTCTGCTTTAGCCCGCTATACAACATCATCGTTATCTGCACCCAGCCGTATCGGGCTCTGCTCGCTTGCGACGCCGTTGCCTGCCTGAATCCTGCTTCCTTTCAGAATGCAGCCTCCAGAGTAGAGTCAAGCTAATCAGAGCTCCAAATTTAGTATTCAAGCTTCTCAGATTGGCGCCCAAGCCATTTCGTTCGTGATATGAGGCCAAGTACTCGAATTGAACGGACTTCTGCCATGATGCTGATTCACGAGCCGTCATCATTCGACTGACCACGCAGAGTCATAAAGTCATCTTCCGCTGCCGCGAAACCGCTTCCTCGCCCACCATATCGTTCTCGTAGCACCTTTTCCTTAATTCGTGATCTTCTGACCACAAGCCTATCTCGTCTTTCAAGTGTCTAGAGCCTTGCACCGCCGTTCAAGAAGAACAGGTTTCTTCCCTCTCCCTGAGTACTTGGTCGCACGTACCCGCTCTTGCCAATTGGCTCCTCGGCTCTGCTTGCAAGTCGTTTCAATGTTGTCGCATCTCCATGATTGGCAATGAACCTGTGCCCGGAAATCTTGAGCCTTCCCACAACATGGCCGAGCGAAGGCACGTTCTTGCGGTCAAAGTCGACTGTGTATGTCTGGTACCAGATCAGCTTGCGGACTTCTAGTGTCATAGTGGCAGCTTACCTCGATCATGGCTTCACCCTCGGCGGTCTCGTCAATGACAGGCACCGAATCACTGCTAAGACTAGGAGGTAGAGGATTGCGAGCAGGATAAGATCGACCATCTGCACGTGGTCGCGAAGACAAGCAGAGAACATGCTGATATGTCAGGACGCCGCCATTTGCGAGAACCAGACCACTTGTGCCGTCTCCTGCACGTAATTTCTTTGCCATGATTGTCATTGCCTGATCCAACCGTTAGCTACACGAAAGTCCACGAGCGTGAAGCAAACACTCACATGCATAGAGTAGTTGTTGCCTGCTCCGCCAAAACTCGTCAGACCACCGAGTAAAGTGATTGGTTTCTCAGGCTTCAACATATCCAGGCCAAGATGGAGACAGGCAAGCTTGGGTACGATTGGAAAACAGCTGTAGAAATCAAACATGTCAATATCCTTTTTACCAAGCCCACAAGCTTCGAGCCCGGCGTCCAACGTGCGACTGATAGCAGGACTGGAGTAGAAGTTTGGTCGTTCCCAGAAGTTGTCACTGTCTTGCGTGCCGGCCCCTCCAAGCACGTAGATCCACTTGTCTTGAGCGATACCTAGCTCGCGAGCATACGAGGTGGATGTCAAAACCACTGCTCCAGCCAGATTCACAGTATTGAACGCGTTCATCAGAAGAGGGTCTAGTACACATTAGCGATGCAAACAACATGGTGAGGGTAGCCGCACAAGGGAAACTGATCATGCGGTTTCGACTGGACACACGTCCTATGGTCTCCTCTGTTTCTGCCGTTTTGGGAAAGTTCCACGCCAGAGGCGTCTTGTTGGCAACCTGGGCAAAGCTAGCATAGAGCTTCGCGCTTTCCGTGTTGTTGTCCTCTATAGACTGTCCTCTTTGAGCACGTAGGCCGTTCTCGAAAAGTGGATACACCTGAATAGGTGCTCCGATGGTGTGCTTGGCTCCGATCCCTTTGGCCATTTCGCTTGTCGAAGGCGCGAATACTTGAGTGACGGGTGTGTCGACCGGAGTCCAGTTTGGCGGAGGCATTACGCCCGCCTTCGCACATGCAGCGAGCGATGCCAGAGCCTCTCCTCCTGTCACTACTGCCAACCTTGTTTCTCCGTTTGCAATTCTACGAGCTGCTTCATCGACCAGTTTGGCAGGCTGAGTACCTGCATGTGGAGAGCAGAAGGTGTGACTTGGTTTAGTGCCCAATTTCTCAGCAAGTAAAGCAGGAAGATCGGGATATGGCCAGGTCCAGGTACGGATAACATCTATGCTGTCGATTTTGGTCTTGAGGTTTGCTATGGCTTGCGACGAGAGACCAGTGTCCTGTAATGCAATAGATATAGCATTGAGCATCAACTCGAGTGGTTCCGCGGCATGATGAACTGCTAGATTACGGTTGATGATATCGCCCACACCGATCAGGATCGGAGTCTCCGCCATGGTCTACTGCTTGGTAAATTGAAGGACTTTGAGCAGGTGGTAGAGTCGATGGGATTGTGAGAAAAAGACAGACCGAGTGTCCTGGCTATGCACTTGCAGTGAATGTATACTATGCGAATGAAAGCAATCTCAAGTACGAGTGTCTGAGGGATGATTCAGTTGATGGATGAAAGATGGTCGGGGCCAGGAGCGGAGAGGCAGGATGCCGAGGTCTAGAGCTTCAATAATGGCTGGTCGAGAAAGTGTCACAGCATTCCAAGGCCGATCAACACCATACGATCTTACATAGAGAAGAAGTTGATTCTAGGTAGGGTCAAAAGTTCTCCTAGGATTCGGGTTGATTTATATGGTCCATGGAGAAAATGAGATGGACTTTGTGACGGCGACGTTAAGATGGACAATCCGGCCCATCGACCACAGTGGTCTCCCATCTCGATATGACATGCCAATGGTAACTCTGCGCAGTTTTTCATATGAAGCGTCTTCAAGTCAAAGTGTCTCTCCATTAACGAAACAAAATCGTGTATGTGATCGGACAGCTCGGGGGAGAGTTGCGGGCTGTAATGAACGGCAAATGCCGGGGTACAAGGCATCGCGATCATGCGTCGAAGGTGGGAAAAAAGTGGTGGAAGCATTGGACCTTGATCATATCAACAATCGCAGCCATGATGATGCCGAGTAGAGGACTGGCGGGCGCTGTCCGTCAAGGCGCCCGTCTCAATCGCAGATTTGTAGGTTGGAAACATGCAATGAGACGACGATTTGGACTTACACTGTATAGATGTCAAGTCCGGCAAGACCATTGTCTGCACTCAACTCGCGCTCAACAGGCCGCATCTTCCAAGGATCTGTCATCTCGCTCGCCGCACATGCCCGTCTTGCCTCGACATCAGCACCCGCTGCTACCCCTGCCGTCTCGCCCGCCACGACGGCTACTCCTCCTCCTCCTCTTCCTACCTCTGCTACCGACGCACTCGCAACCGACAGCAACCCTTTCGACATCAGCGGTGCCACGGACTTTACAAACATCCCCGAACAACTCGGCTTCCTGAAAGAGATGGGTCTTGACTACGGATGGGGTCCCACATCGGTCATCGAATGGTCTCTCGAACACGTCCACGTCTTGTCTGGCATGCCCTGGTGGGGTTCCATTGCCGCAACTGCTCTGCTGTACCGTCTGGCCTTGGTGCCCATGTTCATGAAGGCGAGCGAGAACGGTGCCAAGATGCGCGCAATGCAGCCCATCACAAAGCCCATGAACGACAAGATGATGGACGCCATGAGAAACGGCGACAGAGTTACTGCCATGCAATTGCGCCAGGAGCTCATGCGGATCAACAAGGCCTCGGGTGTCAGCACTTTCGGTGCGCTTGTCCCTAGTGTTGTCCAGGGTGTCTTTGGTTTCTGTGCTTTCCGTCTGCTGCGTGCCATGGCCAACCTCCCCGTGCCTGGTCTCGAGACTGGTGGTTTCCTCTGGGTCACCGATCTCACTCAAACAGACCCCTACTTCCTTCTTCCTGTCATCATGGGCGGTACTCTTCACATGGTCCTGCGCATGGGCGGCGAGACCGGTGCTCCCATGTCTGAAGGCATGAAGCCTTTCTTGCTCTACGTTTTCCCCGGTATTGTCTTCATCACCACTGCCTGGCTCCCCGCTGCTCTCAACGTCTGGCTCTGTACCACCGGTCTCATGGGTGTCGCTCAGGTCCACCTCTTCAAGCGCCCTGAGCTACGTCGCTTCTTCGGCCTGACCCCCATGGTCGACCCTGCACAAGCACAGCGCGATGCCGTTGCCGCTGGTCTCGTCAAGGAAGAAACAAAGACAATCGACGTCAAGGCAAAATCATACCCCACCGTCCAAAGACCTGTCTACCAAGCACCCAACGTAAAGTTTTCCGCCAACTCTTCATCTCCCAAGCAAAACGCCTCCTCAGCATCAGCCGCTACCGCCATGCAAGCCCCCCAAAGCCCCTTCGATAGCGTCAAGGGCAAGAGCTTCGGCGTCTTCAACAAACTTGGCGAGCAATGGGAGACCACAAAGAAGAGCTTGAACGACGCTGCCATCAGAATGAGGGGAGCCGCCAACAAGCCCCAGAGCAAGACTCGCTCCGCTGAATTCATGAAGGCAGCAGAAGAATACGAGCGCAAGTGGCAAAAGTTCAACAAGAAGTCAGAATAAGCCATTACAATTGTAAATATACGACAAAGAACCTTCTCGAGCACTTTTTATGGCGCAAATTATCGGACAAATGGGACAGGCTATTGATGGGTGTTTTTCTACTGCTGTAAAATTGTAAAAATAGGTCTTGGATCCAAATCTTCATTCCATCATTGACACTTTCATCGAAGAATTGTGCTTGATTATGAGAAAGAAAGTGTACCAGTGTTATCATTCTGGTCCAACGACAGGTCGGTCGCTACAGGATTATTGTCATTGTTCCGCACGTCCGGGAGAAGCAGCATGGCTGATATGAAGGCTCAAAATGAAGGTATTGGAGTAGAATCAAGAAACCAAGACCCCGGTCGAACGAAAAGGCCCAAGCAAGAAAGATCGTTTATAAACCGCCGATGCGGAACAGCAGAAGCAGAATACCATCGCCATCATTGTTCATCATGTCGTTTCAATCAGCCCCATAACGCATCCTTGCCGCGACCACTGCCGTGAACCAAAGGAGGAGTCAAGATCTTGTGACTCCATGCCTCTTCGCCATCGATAAACAGGCGATACTTCAGCTCAGATTGGTCAGAAGTGGGCGGTGTGCTGATGCTCAGAGCGCCGAACTTCGAATTGCCGTCGGGCATGTACCTGCTGCCGGTTAGCCATGGTCTACCCAAAGGATGAAGGGCAAGTACTTACTTAACACACACGTCGTCGTTGTCGGTCTGCTTGTAAGTACGAACGGGAAGATAGAACATGCTCAGCGGACTGACGCTGAACTCGTGGACCGTTGCGCTGATGGGCCATTTCTTCGTTCTGAGTCTGCCGTTCGTGGTATCAAGACCAGTGACCTTATCGTCGGTGGGTGGAGGGAACGAGGTGGCGGCAAACTCATGTCTGTCGCCACTTAAGACAACAACGCCAACTCCGCCACGAAGACCGACGTCCCACATGGCTTCCAGGATGATCTGTCTCTCGCCAAGGTATCCGCCCCAGGTGTCCTCGCTTCCAAAGCGCCAGTTCTTCGTGAATGGGATGCTTGAAATCACGACCTTCCATCTGACGCCGGAGGGTACAGGGGCAGCAAGCCAACCAAGGAGATCCTGAAGTTGTTCGTCACCAAGCATGCTCTTCTTGTAGCCGGTTTCGGCTTGGGTGCCATTGTAGGATCCATCTGTACCATCAAAGGGTTGGCGGTAACGGCGAGTATCGATCATGAAGAATGCCGCAGGTCCCTGGTTGAAGCTGAAGTATGTCGCACCAGGACGTACTGGGTCTGGGTTGACAGCAGCTTGGTAGTGGTGCCATGGGTCTACAGCAGCTTCGTACACTCCAGTAGTGTTCTTGTCCCAATCGTTGGCAATCTCGTGGTCGTCCAGAACGTGAATCCAGGGAAGCTTAGCCTCTGAACTCACAGACTCCCACTGAGGTGAAGAGTAGACTTGACGGTACTCTCTACGGTAACTCTCGATGTCAGTACCAAGTCTCTTAGGCACGTCGGCGTAGATGAAGTCTCCGAGGAAGATCATGAAATGAGCCTTCAACGACGGCAATAACTTGGCCAGATGCTTGAAGCCTGGGATATCGAGAGGGTGATGCAGAGGGTTGTAAGGGAACCTGGGCTTGATGCAGGATGAGTGCAAGAAGGTGAAGACATCATTGTTGCGGGGAGCAGTGCGGCCAACTCTGGGAGCAGTGACGAAGAAGCCGGTGTGGTTGTTGGATGCGGTGTATTGGTACGTAGTGTCGGGTTTGAGCCCGGTCAAATGAAAGACGCCTGTGTAGTCTGTGCTCTCGTCGACGTTGATGGCATTGTGAGGATGTTTCCAGCTTGCGTCGTGGTCACGGAAGCCATCGTCAGGGGAAGCACCTGCATATCTGTAGCTCAAGCGAAGGGGATGTTCAGAGGTACGAGGCTCTCTGATCAAGAGCTTAGCGCCATGCTCATCTACGTGACCAACGCGAACGAAGGACAGGTTGTGGGAGGGATGGAAGAGTGGGGCGCGGTACACCATGTCAGCAACCATGGCCAGTAGAGCGACATTCGTGAGAAATGTCACGGCAGACCAGAAGAGAGAGCTTGGGCTAGGCATTCCGGTGATGAGGCTTCGGGCGATCTTGGGGTCCTTTTCCTCAATAACGATGGTTTCCTGTACCTCAATTTCTTGAAGGGGTTCTTCAGTCTCAGCATCGATCAGAAGTTCATCATCGCTGTCGTCGCGATCGATTGTATCCCTAGTAATGATATCAAGCTCATCTGCCACGACTTCGTATGGGCTTGTGTGGGTGAATTGATAGAAGAATGATGTGGCATATACAGCAAAGGCACTCAGAATGAGTGGAGGTGCGAACTTTTCAAGAGTTAGTAGACGCAATAATTGGAGGTGCAGCACGACGAACATGGCCGGGAATCTGGGAATAGTCAGCAAACAAGCAAGACCAAGCATTGTGGTAAGCGAACCCAGCGTAGGAAGACATAAGTGGCCAGGCGCAAGACTGTCGAAGACAGCACCGTAATTGGACCTGCAATACTGGAGGACATGGTGAACGCGCTTTTCCGTGCGTGTTACGATATGCTACCAGGACGGGAGGATAGCATTCCAAGTTTACTGTCAGTGAAGACAATGGCAAGACGCGTTTGCCAGCTTCGTATCAGCGTCATCGCAGTGATTGCATGTGACAATGCGGAGATGCGCGTTCATGCAAGCTTTCCACACATTGCGAATTGGAGCAGGCAATGCACATCGCTTATGCAAGCGGATATATCTTTATGCAACCAAAGGCCCCTTGCCATCTTGAAACGGAAACTCGATTTGCACTCCAAAGCTTCCTGACCCTCCGTCGCAGCTTCAGGTCAAGCGTTCGAAGGAAGAACCGAGCAGCCATGTCGCTGCCACCTGACCTTGCTTATACCAAAGCTCTGCCAAAGGTGGAGCTCCATGCTCATTTGACAGGCAGCATCAGTAGAAGATGCTTGCACGAGATTTGGAAGCAGAGAGCCTCCAAAGATTCTTCCTTTGGCCTGGAGGATCCATTAACGGCAATCCCCAAGGCGACGGATGGCAACATTGATGTAGTCAGGTAAGTCACTGCGATGGCCGGCCTTCGTGTTGGCGAAGACGGCTAGCCTCAACAGCGTCGCAGTTTCTTCCCCATATTCGACAAGTACATCTATTCCTTGGTCTCGGATGAAGAAAGCATACGATTCGCAACCACTACGGTTCTGGAAGAGTTTCGAGAGGATGGAGTCCGTTACCTAGAGCTCCGTACTACACCTCGCGCCGTACCAGCCGCTAGGATCAGCAAGGACGATTACATTGCCATCGTCTTGAAGGCCATGGCGGACTTCAGAATGTCGAATGACAGCTTGCACGTAAAGCTCATACTGTCTATCGACCGCAAGAACACGCTTGATGAAGCCTTTGAGGTTGTACAACTGGCACTCAAATATCGTCGCCTGGGAGTCGTCGGTGTAGACCTTTGTGGCAACCCAGCCCGCAGGCCGATCTCCCACCTGAAGCCCGCCTTTATCGAAGCCAATACTCAAGGTCTTGCCATCACACTACACTTTGCAGAGATTGCTCAGCCGGATTCTGACGAGCTAGAAGAGTTGCTAGCATGGAACCCGCAGCGCATCGGGCATGTAATTCATGTCCCCAAGGAGCTAAGGAAGTCTATTGGAGACCAAAGGCTCGGACTGGAATTATGTCTGAGCTGCAATGTGCTAGCCAACTTGAGCGAAGGGGGATATGCATCCCATCATTTCGGTGAGTGGTGGAGCGCTGGGGCGCCCATCGCTTTGTCTACTGACGATGTCGGCATTTTTGAGTCGAGTTTGAGTAGCGAGTATTTGCTGGCTGCACATCACTTCAACCTCGATCGTAAGCAGCTTCTGGAACTCAGTAGAAGTGCGTGTGCCACCATATTCGGTGATGCGGATGAGGTGAAAAGGTTATCCAATCTCCTAGACGGGTTCTGCGTGTTGGCATGAACCACCGACTTCAAACTGCTGATATTTGGGTCTCGGTATACACGTCGGTCAAATTCCGAATTACCGTGCGTCGCGGGCTAATGTCAAAGTCAGTAACAGTGGCAAGCTGGCAATGACTCCAAAGACATTCTTTGAGTGTCTACAGTCCTAGGTTGTCTCACTGCCACATTCTTCCATACATAAGCTATCCAACTCGTCACCTTCTGAGAACGCCAATTACTCAACCAATCGAGGTATCACTCTCACACTAAACCCTTCACCATCCCATGTGATCGATAGTGTTGCTGCATCCCGCTTCTCTAAAAGTTGATCTTTTATGGCATCAATACCGACTTGTTCACTATCATCGATCAACACCAGTCGGCCACAACCTTCACAGGTCCTGCCAACCATGGAAAACTACGGCGAGAATATCTGGGCAGCCGCCACAGCCAAGTGAGTTTGGAATCTCGACAAGCTTTTCCCGTACTGATGACTGGACAGCGAGATTGCCTCCAACAATCCAGAGACGATCGTGCTTCGCTCTGCGCTTCAAAAAGGCCCTCAATCTTTCAAAGTCAACAAGAACTTGCTCTGTCATCACTCGAAATATTTCGATAGCGCTATCAACGGCCAGTGGAAGGAAGGAGTCGATCGCAAAAAATAATTCGACATCGATCTCCCACAGAACGTGCTCCGTCTCTTCTGCGGATGGGTTGCAAATGGGCGTTTTCTTACGGGCTTCGAGTCCGATGCAATCATGCAGCTCTGGGTCTTTGGCGACTTCATCGATTTGCTGACCCTTAGACGCACCACTATCTCTCATTTGCAGAAGACATCCAAAAGTTTCGAGAGCGGCATCCAAGTTGTCACTTACCAAGCCTTGGACGAGAACAAGATCTGGACTCAATATTCACACTCGGCTCTTCATCAATACGTGTTGGATACATTTGTCTTCCTCTGGAACTATCACATGGATGAAGGGGTTTCTGATGCCACAAACGCCTTCTCAATTCCTTCCAAGTTTTCATACGATCGCGTTGTCGGAATCTCGAAGAACCATCACATCATCAGCAGAGGCGTCGGCATCGGCGATTGTCGCTGCTGTAGCAGCGGATGCCAATATCATGAGCACCCCAATGACAAAGAACGGCTGGCAACTTGCGGAGCTGCTGCGGAAGATTTGCTGCTCAAGTTTGAAGAGGAAGATCACAGTGACGTCGAGGACGAAAACAAAGAAAACGCGGACAAGATGCACGCCATGTCTAGCAACATCGGAGATCCAGACCAGACACTTACTGAGGTCGTGAAACATGGCGAAGCGATGGATGACCAGGAGGCCTTCAAGGAAACCATGAACATCGATGTCGTCGAAGATTAGAACATTGAGTCCGAGCAGAGCGACCAAAGGGAGGCCGGAAGCGATGGTTTCGGAGGCAAGCGCAAGGCGGAGATCGAGGACGAAAGTGTGGCTAAGAAGCCAAAGCAAGAGGCAGGACTTTGAGTACCGGTCTTTGCTTTTAAATTGGAAGAGTAACATGATTACGCCATGGCAATATCGGAAAAGAGCATGTGGCAGCGAGAACGAGTGAGGTTGAGCGAGCAGTACTCGTCCACCAGATAAGCCTACATAATGCATCACAATTTGGATTTGACCGCTATGTTGTTGACAAGTCTCCATGTTCAGCGGGTTCTCTCTAGACCACAATAGGGATCCACGTAGTAATGGGCTCAATTGGGATTTACTCGCTTTAAACCACTGCTTTCATTTTCATTGGGCAATATACCAATTCACCCGAGGCTGCGCATCAATTACTTCCCCGACTCAACGTCCTTCTACATTACACTTAAAGCAAGCCAGCCGCTTTCAGTCACCTCGTCACTCTTACAGCTTTGCGTCACAATAGCCATACAGATCTTTGCATCTACTACCTCTACAATCAGCGACGGTCCTTCAAATATGAAGGAAGAATGGAAGCGCAACATCTGGAGGAGCAAGACTGCAAGGTGAGCGGAATCACGGGTCTCTGGGGCATGTGCCGAGACTAGCGAAGCTCGGATGGTCCAACTCATGTCCCAGGAGAGGAGAATGCCAGCGAACTTCGCCTATCGTTTGCTGCTCACAAAGCTGGCAAATCAGAAGGGTGGCGACACGGTCTGTTTCTGTTGTCAGGACTTATGCAAGTTTCATGGTCACGGAAGTATAGAAGAACAAGAAGCTAGTAGGTTTATACGGCCAAACCGAATGACACCAGCCGACAGTACCTCTAGCTTGCGAATTGGACGGGGAAAAGTGCGGCTCCAGCGAACAAGATGATCTGGCTCTCGACAGCGAATCAGAGTCAGAAGGAGAATCTTACAACAGACTCCAGACATCGGGTTTGAGTTTGACTTGATGATGAGAGGGAAGCCTCAAAGATGGTTTCAGCGGCAGAAAACCAGAAAGAAGTGATATAGCAGCTTCCAGCTTCCGCCATCATACCATCGAGAATACTAGACGCAGAGCAGAGACTGACACTAGTTGAACATGCTGAGATTGTGTATCTGTCGATTCTAGAGACTATAGCCATGACAGAAAAGCGGAAAGAAACATCTGTTTCCAGATCAAGGTGGCTTCCAATGACCACGCGCTGTGCACTGATACAGCTATCCGAGTAACAGAAGTCAGCGTATGGAGAGACTACGCCAGTCCGGGAGTTAACCATGTCTTGGCATTAGTGAACTCCATGGTCGGTGAGGGTGAAACACGAGCTGCAGCGCTTTCACTTGAAGCGCGCGCGTCTGTTTGCACCCCGTTCGCGCACACCACAACACGCTCGTTACACGGCATTTTGTTGTTTGCTCTTTCCTCCCTCGACATCGCACAACACTTGTCGCCATGTCTACGCCACATGGCTGGAATAGTCGTATTTGGACCGAACAGATCTTCCTGGCGTAAGTTCTCGTTGCATCTTGCTTTTTCTCCAAGCCACTACTGATCCATACCAGTCATTTGAACGACCAGCAAATAGTCGAAATCAGAACCAAGGAGCGCATGCCGCAGTCTTTCCGTGTTTCGCGCTCTTTGTTCTCTCATTACTGTCCCAAAGCTCAACTCGCTCGTGCCGGCGGTCCATTCGACTTTGAGACGAGTAATCGTGGCGTTCTTCTTCAGTTTTTCAAGTGGCTACACACTGGAAATATTGCTGCAGATGCCGACTGGTACATGGCGACTGAGTTGTATTTCATTGCGGCCCAAGTCGGCTCGATCGCACTGGCCAGAAGTGCAATGACGCAATTGCAAAAGGCTTGCAGAGAACCCAACAAAACTGACCTGTCTTATTACGGTTATATCGCTGTCGTTGAAGACATGGTCGGCACTGAATCTGCTCTCTTCCGCTACATCGAGGACACTTACTTCAACCACTGGAGTCCGGATAGCGATGCACACGACAATGCCCCAGAGCATGAGAAACCTGGCCTGTTTTTCAAGAAGCTCTATGAGCGCTCGTTCAGAGAGCAAAGAGACACCGAGAACTGCTCATGTCGTCATGATCATTGCAGATATCACGACCACGAGAGTGAAGCGGAGCGCCTTGCGAGTAAGTTCTTCCTTTTCCAGACCGCACTGAGAGTATACTGAGTCTCGATAGCTTGTGGCCATTTGGCTTCTCATACGCTTGTCGTGAACGCTTCAGTCCATGACTCAACAAAGACAGTCGAGCCCGGTCTTCCAATCCGAACTTCTCGTAAGAGCAAGGCAGCTGTGCGCAAATCAATGAACACTCTTCCGATGTCAGAAGACGAAGACTCCCTGCTTCGCGAAACTCGGTTTACCGCCTCGCGTGCTGGTACACCAAGAGTGGACCCTGCCACTGGCTCTTGGCTTAAGGAGAAGTGCAGTGCTCCTGCCGACTTCCCTGACGATTATCATGGATTACTCACGTCACTACCCCAAGTCAAATCAATCAAGGCACCTGACTGGTTGTTGGAGGGTCTGAAGGCAGCTGGCATTGAACAACTTCCAGAGCCGGATCGCATTATCGCTGCCGCCTTGGCCTGAAATGCCGAGGACTATGCGCAAACCAAATGCAGCTTCTTCAACCAGTACAATATCACAGTTCGCAATCGAAATCATTGGCTGAACACTCTCAAATTTGGTGGCCCAAGACAGAGAGAGAGGGCCGGTATGCTATTGGCCATGTGGGAGTGTTTAGGTTGGTTGGAAGGTCCTGAGGTAGTCACCAACAAGGAACTGGACTGTGTCCGAGGTACCGTCACATCGCGGACCCGTCAACGAGCTTCTACGGGCAGCAACACCGCTTGGTCGCAAAAAGAGAAGGATGCTGTTGGCAAAATCATGGGCGAAATTGAGGAAGACCAAGCCTGCGTCAGTCTTGGCTTGCTTGCGCGCTCCAGACTTTGCGCCGAACGACTGAAGACTCAATATGGACACATCCGCACCGACAACGCTGTCCATGCATACTGGTCGACCAGACGAGCGCTCGCTGATCCAGTCGCACCTGAGGGAGTCGATCAGGGGAACCATGTCGTCTCGTCCACCATTGGTGGTCAAATCGCTGACGAGAATAAGAGCGAGAACAACTCCCAACGCAGAGGATTCGGAGTCGCTTGGACCGCGCAGGAAACTAAGGCCATGTTCGATTTCATGAATGCCTTTGACAATGACCCGACTATCAGTATCTTCAGTACTACAAGACGAAACATGCTGTGCAGTGCGCATCTGAAGGCCACCTTTGATACCGACCGCACTGCCGTTGCAATTAACGTTCGGTACAACAGGGCCCGACGCGAAGCAGAAGCAGAAGCTCAAATTCGCGACGCTCTACCCAACACTCACACCGACTATACTGCTCTCCAGCGCGGTCCAGCTACAGTTGTCAAAGGTGCTACTCAACATGAGTTGAAGACCCCTCTTATGCGCAAACAAGTGATCAGCACAACTCCAGCTGGCCACGCAGCCACCGGCAGTCCTGCCGCGAGCAGTAATCACACAGACTCTGCTCACTTGACTGCGATCGACCCTATAACCAAGCGATCAGAGCGCAGGACCGAAGAGGAGCATGACACCATGATCAAGGTGTACAAAGAGATTGAAGCCAGTCCAGCTTTGGTGAATCTGAATGTCCGCGAGCGTGAGAAGTTGTGTAGCGGATCCCTGAAAGCTAGAAACGGAATTGAAAGGTCGGCTCACAGTATCAAAGGACGTATGTCAAGATCCGACCTTACGAAAGACACATCGGCCAAGAGAGCCAGAGACGACAACAACAACGACGACGATCTTGAGCCGTTGATGACTCGTCAAAAGCGCAGACAGGGAAAGTTCAGATTCGTCAACGAGCTGTTCGATGCTGGAGAGGAGTGATGGCCTCTGCCAAGACAAGACTCGGCGTACTTTTGGACGCGAAGGGCGACATGGGCTTGCGAAAACCAGAGAAGCATGTAGATGACCTCTTCTGTAGACCATGTTTTGTCGAATCAAAGTGCGATTCCTCAGTACTAAGTGCAATTGGGATCCTAACACTATCCTGCGAAATATTCACCGTGAGTGTCGACCACGGCAGAGAGGTCGATTGAGGCTTGCATCTTGTTTGAGTCTCGAGAGGTATCCTTTTTGGCCAAGTAGGGACCGGAAGTCTGATGTTTGCTTGGACAGTAAGGCCCGGCTACCAGCCACAAATAAGTCAGGTAAAAAATATCATGTGTACTTCCAGGAATACTGTGAGAAGACAAGAGACGAAGAGAAGTAGCAAAAGAAGCAAGCACGAAGGGATGAAGAAGAAGCCGCTTGGGCCACATAATTGCGTCAGCACAAGCGGGGAAGAAAAATGCAAAGAAAACAAAGAATTCTTTTTATCTCCCATTTATCTACTTGTTTCTTTGACGCAGTGATAGAAAATCATCAAACACGTTGATCAATCGCAAACAGCTGCTGATTCGCGATTATATCATCTCACTTCTATTCTCCCATATTCTCTGGTGATTTGCTCAAGCAAAATAGCTCACATCACACATCATGAGCGACCACGAAGAGAAGTTGGCTGGAAGTTCGTCTTCGCCAATGAGCAGCGTCGCAATGCAGAGCCCCATCACAGAACACATCGACAACGGCAATAATGAAATCACAGCTGTGTCGCGCACGCCACCTCAATCGGCCAACAAACGCAGCAGAGGTCGTCCACGCAAATACCACACCGATGCTGAGCGTGAAGAAGCGAAACGCCGGTATCGCGAAAACCACAAGACCAAAGCTGCATCTGGAGGTGGGGTGAGCGGAGGTGCAATTCCTGGAAACTACACAGCTTTTGTTCCTGCTCAACCTGTACCCAGACAACAAGATGTTGATGATTTGTGGGAGGCTGTGAGGGGATTGCAGGCAGAAGTTGCGGGTTTGAAGATGCAGCTTGCGCAGAGGGATGCGGCTGCAGCTGCCGCTTTACCGCCGCAGAAGCGCAGGAAGGTGTGAGCACAGAGATGAGTGAGACGTTTCACGATTATCACGACATCGACAGCAGAGTAAGTGTAACCATCTTGAGTCTATTCGGAAGGCCTAGGCTGACAGAGACAGTTCTATGTATGCTAACGAGCGGACGATCCAATGTGGCAGGACAGGCTACAGAACCTGCTAATCCATCCTCCACGACTCGCTATCTTTTATGCACCTGCCAGCTATATTCTTCTTTGCCAACATACACGACAATCGCCAAATTCCTGATCAAATTTGCTTCCGAAGCATCGTGGCCTACTTTGGCGGCTGGTATGCTGCATTTGCTTCTGGTGTAATAATACTTTCCAGCATTTTCCTCGTAGTTCAAGCTTTCCACAATTTCCTGATGGGATGAGATTACATGGCATGGGACGGATCGCTGAAAAGTACTCTAGCCGTGGAAGTTGACGATTGACTTCATTCGCTTCCTATCGGCCAGCCCCTCAATTCTACCGCAGTGCGATATAGGTCACGCTCCGCCATGGTTTTCGAGAGATTGACATGATCTTGCCAAAAAAACGAAACACACGTAAAGAGCTGAATTGCGCAAACGAGTTTCTATACATTGCTTTGGGTCCTGCCCATCAGGTCAGCGATATTTTATGTACAAACTAAGAAACCAGAAATATGTTCATCGATCTTCATGCCACTTGTCATGATACAAATGAGAAAGTTTCTAGCACTTTTGCGACGATGCGAGACTCTTAAGGACAGACTGATAGTGTTGACCAGTTGCGGTGAGCTGTGGTGGCCATGAGCTGGTCATTAGGTTCCAAACGCCAGGAACGCCTTCTCCATTGTTGGCTCCGTAAGCAAGGACCATGTCGTTACCCTCGAAGTATTTGACCATACCGTCAATGAAAGCATTGACAGTGGCTTGGTCACCACAAGAGCTCCAGTTCTGGTCGTTCACGCAGGTGAATTCGCTGACCCAGACGGGCTTGCCAAACTTCTGAACGTAATACTCGACTACCTTGATGCCTTCAGCAACAGTGGGCTTGTTGACGTGGATGCTAGTGATATCCCAAGTGACGCCTTGAGCGGCGAAGTTGGTCAACCAAGATTGATCCAACTGCGTGCACATGGGTGGTGAGCCGAGAGCGATACCACGGCTCCGAAGAGGCTTGATCAGCTCGTTCCACTTCTGTACGCCGACGTTGACATCGGTGATGTGACTCGAAGAAGGACAGTCGCAGTCAGGCTCGTAGAAACCGAAGAACACATCAGGATGTGTCTCGCCGCTTGTGACATACTCAGTAAAGTTTCCAAGGCGCCACTTGTCGACCGGTCCGTCAGGGTTGTTAGTGAGGCACTGATCACCCTTGCCCCAAAGCATGGGAGCTCCGACCACGGTGTGAGTTGAAGCGTTGATGTTGGGGGCCACAGGCTCGTAATTGCTGTACCAGGAGATGTATGGCACCCATTGCTGGTTGAACAGATCGAGTGTCTCAATACCCGGATATCCGGAAAGTCCTGCCTTGAAAGCGAGACTCATTGTCGATGCAGTCGAAGTCGCGGCCTTGGTGGATACTGTCTGTGTCGAGCTCTTGATCGAAGAAGAACTCTTAGAGACTGGCTTGCTCGAACTGCTGGCGGCTTTGATTGACGACGAGACTTTCATAGAAGACTTCGAACTGGAGTTTACCGAGCTGGTGGAGGCTTTCGAAGAAGACTTGATTGAGGATGCCGTACTTCTTGTCGAAGTCTTCATACTGCTTGATGAAGCCTTCACAGTGGCAGTGCTAGCCTTGCTACTACTGCTGCTATGGAGAGCCTGGTGACGCTGAAGTCCGAAACCATGCTCTCCATGTGCAGCTGCAGAACCTAAAGAGGCCAGAGAAAAGGCAGAGAGGAGAATGGTGCTCTTCATCTTGGACAGCGTCAATTGCTAGATGAAGGGTGCGAGCTTCGGCTCAAATGATGGACTGTTCGAAAGAATGGAAGAAAAGGAGATGCAGATGATGATATCGCAACGGACGGAGGAAGAACGATAAAGATATAGACAATCTTGACTGATAGTAACACCATGGAGAAAAACGTCCTTCTCACCTTTACAGAGGTCGACCTGTGTTCTGGTCAAGTCTAACGTTGGATTCCCCAGCTACCGCCTAACGGCGCGTCGCCACTACAACCCGCTGTCTCAGCAAATGTGGCTCGCAAATAGTCAATATTCACACCACGGGTGCGTCCAAGCAATCAAGGTCCCGACATGAGAACTCCAGACACTGTCAGATAAGACGTTCGCTGGACAGAGCTGAGGGGTCGCGAAGATTGTAAGCGCTCTAATATTGAGCTTCTGTATGCAGATCGATGGACTCCTGGTTCTAGCTCCAGTCTCACTGTTGCTCTGGACCTGGTGTGGAATCTTGAGACATCGATAAAGGTACATGGAATAGTGATTCACAGCGGTATGCCATGTGGTGTTATGTGATGCAGTGTCGTTTTCTTGGTTAGCGGTTGAAGAGGTACAACTTAACGAGAGAGATAAGAAAAACGGCTGACGCTTATTTGTGCCTACCGGCCGACGGAATCGATGTCCAGAACCTACGAGGCTCGCTGCAGGTGGCATTGTCAGTGACAGCCATCTGACAGAAGATGGCCTTCACTGGTATGCCTGCATTTACTGAGAGATGCAGAAGAGGTGACAAGGGTCGAAGCTCTCATCGACAATTGCAACGGATGCTCTTTGCGCCCGGTGGGTCTGTGCTTTGCGCAAACGTCATTATCACAAGCCAATGCGTGAATAACCTGCTGCTCGCGCGAACCTCTTCATCTCACCATTCTGGAAAATCGGAGAGAGTCACAAGTCTGTCAAAAATTGAAACCCAATACTTCAAGCGACAACTGTAAACAAGTTCTGTCGCCAACTCTACCGAAACGCAACAGATACGGAAGTACAAAATGGCAGCGTCGATCCCTTCCACTATGAGAGCTTCTCAATGGACCTCCATCCCGAACAGCATCGAGAAGAGTCTCAAGCTCAACAACAATGCACCTCTTCCGAAATCAGCAAAATCACTTGGTAAAGATGATACCCTTGTCAAAGTCCACTATGCCGCTCTCAATCCTGTCGATTACAAGCTCCCTGAAGCACCCATCGTCGGACGTGTTGCCATTTCCAAGCCCGCATCACCATGTATGGACTTTGCTGGTGTTGTTGTGAAGACTTCGCGAAGTGATCTGAAACCTGGCCAGGCTGTCTTCGGCAAGACAGAGCCTCCTCTTTTCGGCGCTATGGCCGAGTATCTGGTGGCAGGACGTCAAGGCACTATCGCTCTCCCTGACGGTGTAAAGCCTGAGGATGCTGCCTGTGTTGGTGTAGCTGGTTTGACCGCATACCAATGCATCGTACCCAACGTCAAGCCTGGTGACAAAATCTTCATCAATGGTGGATCGGGAGGCACTGGGTCTTTCGGCATTCAATTTGCAAAGGCACTTGGCTGTGAAGTCACCACGACTTGCAGTGGACCGAACGTGGAGCTTTGCAAGAGTCTCGGGGCTGACGAAGTCATCGACTACCGAACCCAGAACGTACACGAAACTCTTAAACGTAGCGGTAAGCAATTTGACCATATCGTCGACTTCGTTGGCTCGCCGGAGCTGTACTGGCAAGCTCACGACTTCTCAAAGAAGGGAGCCAAGGTTGTGAACGTGGGAGCTACCATGAGCCTCGACTTCTTCCGTCGCTTGTTGCCCATCTTCATCTTGCCAGGCTTCCTTGGAGGTGGAAAGATGAAGTACGAGTTCTTGACCTGCCGCGCCAAGGAGGACGATTTCAAGCAGATCGCAAAGTGGATGGCTGAGGGCAAAGTCAAGCCAGTTATCGGCGAGATGTTCAGTCTGGAAGAGGTCCCTAAGGCTTTCGAGAAGCTCAAGACGGGTCGTGTTCGTGGCAAGTTGGTTGTCAAGGTTTCGAATCAGTAAGGTGCACAAAAATCGGCGGATGACGATTCTGGGCACGTTGTTATTGGCCTAATCCTACTATGATTCTCTGCTATGACTCGACATCCTGGGTCATTTAATACAGTATTTCAACCACCCCCTGATGTTATACCACCATGGTCGCTTATTCACGGCAGGGCAATACTGAATATTGCTGGCTATCACGAATTGTGATATTTTTCTCGAATGAAAGTGACCGAGTACGCTGATTGGGCAGGCACGATGCTCGCGTCGAGCGGGGCAAGCACAATATCGACCCGCGACGCGGGCTTGCTCTTCCATTCGCGCATTCTCCTTAGGCGGTCGCAAAAAAGGCCGCCCTGGCCGAAATTGAACGTGTTCTTCAATCAAGGAACAAGCATCTGGCTTTATCCCGGAGTATGGTCTCCTGTGTCTGCTTGGTCCGCCCGGCCGCTCTTATGCACACCAGGTCACGCTGCGTTGGCACTTGGACTGGTCATGCACCTCGCTGTTTCTGACGCTTCTGCCATGTCACGGCGGGCCTCTCAAATGCGTTACCAAGAATCTTTCAACAGGAATGCTTGATTTTGGAGTACCTTGATAGGCTGTACGACTGATGCAAGCCACGCCACTTGTCCAGGGCATGAGGGCTCGTGATGCAGGCTCTCGCCCTGGCACCCACACTTCATCCTCCAAAGCTGACGATTCGAGCTGCTCGCTGATGTTCCCGCCCCTCGTTTTTTTGTACCGCAGTGGTCAGCACGTTGACAGAGTTGTGGTCGGTGCTACGAGTCGTGTCTCCACGATTCTATAGACTAACTTCTATCGAATCCTGCTGATCAAGAAGGCTTTTGATCCTTACAATCCCTCTATCTACTTCTCTCGTACGTATGAAGCCTGTCCGGATGTTTTTTCCTACTGCATAACCAATCGGTAGCTTGCATCACTTTTGTACTAATCACAAGCTGCTGTTGAATGAGCTGGCATTGTCCACGATACAACGGCGGCTAATCATACTACAACACAGTGGTGTCGCGTCTTTTTAACAACTGTGATAGTCCTCGTTGTCTACATCACTCTCTGCGTGAAACATTGCGAGATGTCACAATGTTGAGCGGGTTTTCGCTATAACTGCTCCTGATACTCACCCTCAGATTGGTGTTGTAACATAACAGGTCTTCATCATGACGCAAAGAGCAAACTCGACTCCGGCTTCTCTGACCGAGTTGGCTTACCTCAGGCGTCTGCAGAGATACCAACATCGAAAGAGCGACAACATCGAGCATCGCCTGCATTGGTTAGAGACTTCCTGCGAGGCTCGGGATCGTGTTCTCAAAGGCTCAAATGGATTACGACATCAGCTTACTGAAGCGATCCAGTCTGGAGATCGCAACAGGTTTTCATTGCTTTTCAACACTTTTCACACTCTGAACCAAGCATGTGACGAATGGGAGTCACAATCAGCTCCATCGGAGGCATCGAACATCCCTGTCTCGGACCACCGGAGCAGCTCGTTTTTGGAGGACGTGTCGCCTGACACCCGCGACATCTTGATGGCCTTTCTGTCTCGTATTTCCTTTGATCCGACTCTTCTACTTGACCGTCTGTTGGACCTCAAAAATTCCGATTTTGCTTCCCTGTCCAGGCCATACGCTCATAGTCCGTCTAGCCACTTGGGATTTGGTAGCCTCCCCAGGCGAGCAGCGGACGAAGCTGAGAACGAGACCATCGGCAGTTTCCTAGATTTTTCCAGATCTGATGTACTTGGTTTACTCCTTCGGTTGATACCCACCGGTGAGCATCTTCAAAGCGGACCACTTCCAAATGCCTGGGGGCTTATTTGTGCCGGACTTCTGTCGCACCAAAAGCCTGGTAGCGACAAATTTGTCGTGACCGTCTTGAATGCGCACCTGGGACAGTTGGACAAAACGGCCTGTCACTGTCTGGAGAACTGGCTTCTGGACACCCTCAGAGATGGCGATTTCTTATTGTATCAAACTGACAGACAGTCTTTCCGGAACAAAGCTCAAGTACCCTCTGGTCAAACTGGTGACGATACCAAAGCTTTAGAGGAATTCTTCGCCAAAGCCATCGGAAGATTACTCCTAATTCTTAAGGACAACGAGTTAACAAGGGTCATTCCGAACAGTGTCTTGGTGCTGGGGAGATCAATCGTAGCAGAACTCGAGCCTTCATCCCAGCAGCAACAAGCAGCTCCATACTTTCTTTGCACACGATGGCTCTTTGCCTCTTACTTGTCGTCCGTAATTACAAGTCCCGAGGTACGTGGTGTGGTTGATGAGAAATTTGGTCTGAAACTGATAGTGGTCCAGACCTTTGGTCTTTTACTCTCTCATCATATTTCCTCTACCTCCCGTCAACGCATACTCCGCGAACTGGCGCATCGCGCAAGACAAATGATGGAAGGTGTTGCCTATTCATGGTATGTGAAACCTCCCTGGAAAGCCTGTCAGTCTTATGTAGTGCAGGAAACAAACCTCTCCTATTGTACCGAGCATCATCACGAACATCGAGTGTATCGTGGGTCTGTTTCGACCCGTTGTACAGAAACCGAAAAAGTCTTCGGGTCTCCAACAGCCGGACGAGCCAGTACGGAGCCATTTGATTAACCATCGTGCACAGGTGACTGTATGCCCATTGGAAATCATCAACGCAATTCGTGTGCTCTATCCCGAATGTGGAGAGGATCTATATCGCAGCTTCCATACTGTTGGCGGCTCCACTCTAAGATCTTCAGCCTCTTCCATCTCCGGGCTGTCCTTATTCCGGACCGTGTCTCCCTCTGAACCTGTATCCCCACGGAATGGTTTCTGCGAGTCTGTCCCAGAGGTAGGTAGCTCTGAAATACTCCCTAGCTCCGGATCCGCATTAGGAGATCATTGTCGGGACGAATCATGTCGCAGCACGATCGGAGACACCTTCATCCAAGGGTTGAGAGAAGCATGTATCGAGCTATCCGTGTATACAGGACATAGTTCAAATGCCGGGACCCGCGATATCTTCTCCGAGCAATGGACAAGCCTCGAGGCATGTCCCAATCGCAATGCGACTTCTTGGATTCACCATGCAGATTGTCAAATACGCCATACCTCCGAACTTGGGACCGGCATTGACGTTGATCTTTCCACGTTGGACTTTTTGACTACAGGTATCCATACCCTGCTGGATGGCTTCATGTCAGTGTCGACTTCACATGGGGATATCGCTCCTCAGGACAATGACATATCGTTCACAGCATTGATCGACCAGTTCGAAGCCGCCAGGGCCACTTGTTATCATCAAGGAGATTTCGCAAAAGCACATCTTTTCTTCCGATTGGCAAAGACGACCACTTCGCTCTCTCCAGAACTTACTTCACAGGTCACGCAAACTGTTGCGAAGGAGTTTCGTAGGTCTATCGATGATCTTCGTCTCAAGGTCCACAACATGGGCGCTCGCATTGAGAAATTGAATGAGAGGATTGACCTACAAAAGACAGAATTCAAATCCATCTCATACATCCACGATCGACTACGAGAGAAGATGTGGTATACAGCGGACATCCAACAAGCAGGTCATTATGAAGACTTGCGAAAGGTAGCAACAGCTCTACGCGTCATGGCGACTTCGACCCGGCCAAAGTCGGGAAAGAGAAAGCCTCTTCTCAGACACCGAAGTGCATCTAAATCTCTAAACTACAGCGTGCAACTCAAAGCAGAAGCAGCTACGCTCGATCTCATGTCTGCTCCGGTAGATAAGGGAGGCACAAACAAACTCAGCGATGCTCAGATCGAGACAACACTGCGTTGGATGGAATTACACGGCGTGGAGAAAGTTTGCAGAGCGGAAGAGCGTATCCATCGGTTCTGCTCCGAGCTCACCAGATGTCTGGACTGCTTTGTGGGTCAAAGCGTTGTCGACAACCCGATACTTTGGTCGAGTCAGCTATTTCAGAATCAGAAACCGTTGACCGGTCTAGTCAATGATAGAGTCAGTACGCCGAGCTGTGAGCGCAGCGCGTTGGAGCAGTTGCGGTTAATGTACAGTACCAAAGCTTCCAGCGTCTATCACGAGGCTCCATTTTCGCCTCAATGGGGACGTGTCGCCACGCCATCTCGGTCCACAATGGATTCCAATCTTGCAGCGAGAAGCATGAGTCCAAGATCGGTCTCTCACGACTACTTCGGATGTCGAAGTCCCACACTTACCCATAAGTCGTCTGGTACTTTGTGGTCCACTTTTAGTGCAGGACCACAGTCTCCCTCAAGCGCCACAAGTCATCCATCCAGAGCTTTATCACCATTGTCGACAACTCGGCCGTTATCTCGTCATTCTTGCTTGCAACAGAATCAGGCTTCTTTCTTGGCAGAGCTGAGGCAGAATCTGACTAGTCTGCTGCTGAGTGATTTCCACGACCTTTTCCATTCTGGTAGTGAGACAGACAAGGCTATGCGTAAACCACTGACATCCAAGACATCAGCCATTAATGAGCCCGCGGAGGTTATGGAATACGATTACGATACCCCTCAGTCTTCGTTCGACTTCGACCGAGTGTTTTGCAAGCTACTCAGACGCTTCGAGTTGCAAGCAAGTCCTTACACCAAACTCGACGTCCTCTTAGAGCTCCAATCGATGCTCAAAGCCCATCGTGCGGACTTGGGATTGGAAGATCAACTCGGCGCTCCTCCTCCCAACAGCGCTCTACTCTCCTCACGTAGACTGAGCCTGAGGATCGATGCTTCGACTGCTCCACGGTCATCTTCAGGCCATGACAGTACAATATTGAGCTTCCGTCAGCTGTTTCAGAATCCACACATGCGGCCGAAGACGCTTTTCCGCGATTTGCAGTTTATTGCATCGCTTGTTCCTCTCCATGTCCTTGACAGTACACCTCGTGGTCGTGCATTCTGGAATGCCACCATCGCAGCTCTCGATCTGAAGGAAGAGATCTGTCAAGGCATGATCGAGACAGCCGACCAAATCGTCCATCATCACACTTTCAATCGGGGACACTCACGTGTAACTTCCGCTGCTCAAGCCAAACGCGATGCAGCTGCCTTTTCGCCTTCGACACCTCAACCTGGCGACCCATCAGTCGCAGATCTTTGCATGAGTGATGCAGCGACATTACTGCAGCTTACAGCAAAAGAAGGCATTCCTGCAGCGCAACGCGAGCTGGCGACGCTTTATCTCACACATCCGGAGTTGCTGGGAATATGTCTGTCGCCATTTTCTAAAGTCAAGGACGTATTTAAAGATATTGAAAAGGATCGAGAAGCGCTGAGCGAGAGATATGATCCAGTGGCTATGGCTGTTGCGCAGCATTGGATGGAGCTGAGTGCAAGAGGAGGAGATGGACCTGCTGCTAGATACTTGCAGGCCAGGGATGAGTTTGATAGAATACCCTGAAGATATTTGGGTATGCGGTGGTTGTGGTGTCGTACATGGCGTTGTGTTGCTGGTCAACCTCGCCACTGATATGTTTTTTGCAGTCATTGTAAGTCGCTTGCTTCGTAAATTGGTGTGGATGATGACGACGGTGATGGCTAACGTTCTAGGAAACTGCTGTCCGAGAAAGCATCGACACGAGGATAATTAGTCCCTTCGCGGCTTCCTCGCATATGGCTGTATCGACAGCTCCTTCCCTCCAAGCATTCTTATCACCTTTCTTGGCTCTACGACAAATCAAAATCTTAATTCAAAGGTGGCACTTCTTTAGCATTTACAGTTCCAGGCCTTTGATCGTCTTTGTCCTTGATATCAATTTCGTTGTTGAATCCAAATATCATCCAACAACTGAAATGATCCATGCTGCTCTTTTGGTTGTCGTTGCCTCCGGGAGTGCAATTTCTTCATCAGTGTCTCATGTTGTTACCTGGATCTGGATCGCGGCTGCCTAGTTTTACTAGACCCAGACTATGTCCTGGCTCCCTGTAAGCAAGAACAAAAGCGTGAAAGGTGATGATGAAATTAGTTCTGGTAATCTAAGTCTATAAGTCTAGAAAGTTCCAAGTATTCTGATTAGTCGTGATGATAACAAATTCAAATGCCAGCAACCGAGTTCTTGGTGTTGACACGGTCAATATCATAAGGACTGGCCTCGTAAACAGCTGTGGGATCTCGGATGGTCTCATGTGTCTTTGCCCTTGTAAGCTCGAGAGGATCTTGCACATGAGCCTTCTCAAGATCAATGTCATCGCCACTGGTCACACTGCTGCCTCTTGTTGTGACTGTTGTCGTGGCAGCCTTCGCTTGCAGCATCATGACTGCCTTTTCAGCTGCAGAAGCATAGGTGCATCTAGCTCTGATTCTGGCGCCAAACTTGTAGAAGACGAAAGGTAGGGGGACACAGAGGAGGGCGAGGAAGGCGGGGATACTTGAAGCCCAGTGGATGCCGAGACGATCGTACATGTAGCGGGTGAAGAGAGGGAATGCGGCACCGAAGAGCGAACGCAGAACGGTGTTTGCGGCGAGCACCGAGGCGGCGTAAATGACGTAAGCATCAATAAGGTAGGAGGTGACAGACAAGAACACTAGCGTCAAGCCGAAACCGAAGGGCGCACCTGCGATGATAGAGCTGGACCAGTGAATAGAGGGCGAGTTCGTCCATGCAAACCAGAACATTCCGATAGGCAGAGCGACTGAGCCGAACATGCCGATGATGAGACGGGCCTCCGGAGGTGCAAACCCGCCATTTTTGGCCGCGGCAGCCAAATACCACTTGTGCGAATAAAGACTGAAGCCAATGGCAGCGAACATGCCTACAGCAACACCGAGGAATGCCAGACCACCAATACCTTCACTCCAGCCACGGTGGACTTGGAAGACGATGGGGAAAGCAGCAAACAGGAGGTACAGAGTTCTGTCAGAGACATCAGTAAGGTTTGCAGACTCTTGACACGGATATAAGCATACCCATAAATGATTGCGATGTAGATGGACAAGAGCAACACGATGGGCTCAGTGAAGAGCAGAACCCAGGGGCGAACGAGCACTGTAGAGACCATCTGCTTAGCAGACACAGGACCCCTCTCGGCATCAAATTTGCTCTGATATGTCATTCCGTTCCTTTTTGAAAGTTCCTCCGCGCGACGGCGGAGCAGAACGGGAGCATATGTCTCTGGAACGATCAGGGCACCAACGATCCACAAAACACCTGCGAAGATGGCCAATAATCCCTGAACCCAACGCCAACCTTCGTTCTCGCCCAAGAAACCACCAACCAACGGACCTACTGCGGGTGCGATACAGGGCGAGATACTGAAGATAGTAATAGCCAAGCCGCGTTCTTGAGCAGAGAAGATGTCGGAAATGACACCTCCAGCATTGGTGAAGGGCGAAGAACCAAAGGAGCCAGCAAAGAATCTTAGAACGAGGAGAGTGCCGACGTTCTGAGCTCCGGCGACACCAGCAAGGAAGGCGGTGAACGCGGCAAACGTACCGAAGAAGACGTATTGACGACCGATGGTCTCTGACAAGGGTGCCCAGACAAGGGGACCGAGAGCGAAGCCTAGGACGAAAAGTGATACACCGGCTGTGATGAGTTCTGGTGATGCATGAAAGCCATATACGAGCTCACGGAGAGCACCTATCCTGCATCAGTATTGTACCGAACATGGAGTATGAAGGAAGGACAAACCGCTGAAGGCGCTGGACGCAAAGGCCGTGGCGAAACATGTCATAGCGACGGTCATGGTAACAAGCCATTTGAAGGATGTTGACCAATTCAGGGGATTACCAGCATCTCCGGGTACCCAGGTGACCAGGAAAGGATCGTTTGGCGTTCCCGAGCCCTCATAGTCGTGAGCCTGAACATCGGGGCTGATACGAGCTTGGTCGCGAACAAGACGAAAGAGGGAGAGCTTGTGGGGTGCGCTGGAATGCACCTTCTCGGAGCTTGTGGAGTCCATCACGGCAAACCAAGAACTGCGGAGGAGAATGGTATAGAAGACAGGCTACATAGTGGGGACCTACGAGATGACTATGTACAAAGCACGACCGAGCGAGACCAACGGTTCATGAAATCTCAGCATACCGAGGCGTGGTCGGTATACGGTGGGTCGGAGGTTACATGTGGCCGTGTGTGCACAACAAAGTTGTCGAGATACGGAAAGTGAGTAGAAGGGCCGTAGAATTGACATGAGGATTAGGAAGCGCAAGCGAATAGCGAGATGAATAGCCTCGGCTAAAACGTGTTTCTGCCAAGAAAGACGTCCAAAAAGGGAAGGCTTGCGAAATCACGGAAATTCCAGAGGGAAAGCCCTGCGAAGAAGGAGATGTAGATCCCGATTTGGGTTAGATGTCGTAAGCAAGCATGTGATTATCGAGGCGATGGATGCAAAGATGGCGACGTGAGCATGTGTGGGATGCGATGGATGTGTTGATGCACAATTGAGATGATGTTGATGAATGCTGCTGGATTTTGACGACCGGGGGCGGCTCCGGAATAGAGTTTTGGATGTGTGAACAAACAAGTCAAACAAGCGCTTCACATGCAAGCGCCCAGTGCAAGCTCTCGAGTTTTGGCCGAGTCGCATCCACGAACCAGCACCCGAATAATTGCAAAATGAGCGGCGCCTTGAGAGTCATCGAGATATCACCGCGCGAAAGCGACTATACCAGCCTGCAGGCTCACCAAGAAGAAACGCCGGGAAGCTTCTACGATGGCAAGGCTGTGCTGCACCACCGAGTGCAGAATGCGAGCTTGAAGGTGTCGGAGAGAGAGCTGGCCAGCAACTCTACCCTCCAGGCATTGCGCACCTCTGCCGGTCCTGGCGCAGGTCCTCACGCATCTCCTCACTCTCATACTAACGGCAACGGCGAGGAGCCGAGAGTCGAGGTCACCATCACGCGCATCCAGATCTGGGTCACTTCAGAGTATGTTAGCCTCATGCATCCGCTTCCCATCGCATGCTGATCGTCCCTAGATTCTTCACTCTCTGGAGTACGACAGCCGGCACTGGTGTGCAAATCCCCTACCGAACCATTTCGCTGCATGCTCGCCAACAGAACGCCCTCTACCTTCAACTATGCCTCAGTGACATGGCGCAGACCGCTGACGACGATCTCGAGACTGTTGAACTCCTCCTAACTCCCGAACCTGTCGCCGACAATGACGCGACCGACGCTGCTGAGAAACTCTTCACTGCCGTCTCTGACTGCGCCGACCTGCACCCCGATCCCGATTCTGATGAGGACCAAGATCAAGAGCAAGAGCCGGAACCAGGAACCGGAGGCTGGATTACTTCGGAAAATATGCAAGATTTCATGGACGAGAACGGAAACTTCCAAATGCCTGAAATCGGTACCCTTGGCGCTGGAGCTGGGTCCGTGAGGACTGCAGATCAGTTTGAAGATGCCGACGCTGGCGACGAGGTCGATGGTAATGAGGCCACCGATGCGACCAAGTGGCGCAGAACAAGCTGAGCGACATCCGAGAACATGCAGTAGCACTACCATGGCTGCGCGTTTTATCGCAAGTCACGCAATGATCACGATAGACAAATCTGATGGTTTTGCGCAAGGCACGACTCCTCATCACATCACACCGCTTCAGTCAAGTCGTCACGATGATTCAGAAATATGCCGCAACACTTGGTTACCCGGGATATCCCCAAAGATGTCCTGCTCAAGAGACCGCTACAGATATCTCACGGCCTTCGATGCGTATACCCGATCCGATCAGAAATCCCAAGTATCAATATACTTTGGCGTAGGTCGTTGTTGTCAAGTGTTTCGCGCTAGCGCTTTCGCAGACATACGCGTCTTCTAGCATTGAAGTGAAGAAGACTCTATCAGAACGATCGCAGTCTGCACATTATGTATTAAGAGCCTGCTCTGATTTACGTGCTTTTCGAATCCCTGCCCCGTTTCTACCTTCCATGACCCCTCACTTCCGATGCTATCCACGTGTCTCTATCACCAGTTTGGCCTTACGCGGGACCATTATGACGTCATGCTTCGGTCGGTCCGAGATATACACGACAGGGTGATGCCCTCAGCCATATCTACCAGCATTGAAGGTGTCTTATTAGAGACACAATTGGATCTAGGTGGTCATTAATTCCCTTGATCGATACTTGGGGACATCTACCTTACGTTTTTATAAATGAGTATGTAGAGAGACCTTCTATTGTTGCTGTTCACGTCAAATTCTACAGGCATGTTATATGTCTTGGAAAATGGATACACAACACACATTGCTCAGTCTGTCTCCATGATTGACGGTAAAGCAGTCACGCGACGCAATCGGAGTTCGATTTGGAAACATTCCCCTATCTCGTGAGGGTATTACTAGTATGTCAATCAGTATGAGATAGTTCAGATATCAAGGTCAACAATTAGAATGCGTTGAGCATTGCGAAGGCAACGAGACGGAGCCCGTCTGCAACGCTGCTTCTGTTCCTGAAATGCTCGTTAGCTTCAACCGCGAATCTCATTCTTTTGCTGAATCTCCTTCTCAACACGAGGAAATCGATGAGCCCGATTCCTCCCTCGTTTGTTTCCAGGCGCTTAGGTATGCAAGCCATGGAAGTAAAAGGGCGTATACTTGGTATGGTGAGAGAGAAGATCGGGAACTTCCGCCCAGCGGCCAACCACAACGTACAAGGGCATCCGTTCGACAGAATTATCTTGCTTATTTAGACATTGTTGTAACTTACTTTCTTGAAACATGCTATCAAATCCAAGCGATCAAGAACGAACGTTCGAATGTCCGACTTGTGACAGATCATTTGCGCGCCTTGAGCATCTACAGAGGCATCTCCGCACCCGTAAATACCCCGTTGCAAGAATGCCTAATTCGTGTTGAAAGAGTAGGAACTGATGATCTGCTTGTTCGCAAGCGTCTAAGATACCAAAGAACGACCGTATATCTGCTTTTGTGGACGCACGTTTACAAGGCAGGATCTGCTCAAGCGACATGATCGTAGAGCGCATGCGGCTCGCGCGGAGCCCATTGGAAAGGAAGCGCCTACCGCTGATTATGCTCCGCGAAATCATACCTTGGACTCAAACATTACAGGTCTGCCTGATACACGGAAGCCAAAACTGCCATCAGCTTCAGCCTGCGTACAGATCGAGCATGGAATCGAGCCACATGATAATAGCCCTGGCGACGGCTTCTCGTCTGAATTTCAGCTGCCGCGTGTTGTTCAGGCTGAAGGAATCATGCCAGATGCGAATACATTGATTGCGGCTAGCGATCAGATATCTATGGATACTTATCTCGACATCATTGATCACAACGATCTCAATCTGGACTGGAACAACATGGAGCTAGACGAGACGGGAATCCTTTTCAACACTCAGGCTGGTCTAGATATAAATCATGCCGACAAGTCTCTACACTTAAATAACAGTGCTCAGATCGCTGCAGCCAACATCGGCTGGAACGTGTCCGAAGAACAAAGAAAGGACTACGAGAATCTTCAGATCGTCGTAAATCAGCGTTTGCCCCACCTGATCCTCCCTTCCTATCCTACGCTCAGACGTTACATCGACGGCTATATCGATGGTTTCAACCAAGCTTTTCCACTTGTTCACGTACCTACCTTTGATCTGGGAACTTGTAGTCTGGAGCTGGTGCTTGCAATTGCAGCGATCGGCGCGTATGAACGCTTCGAGCCTCGCAACTCCGTCGAGCTATTTGACGCATCGAGAACGATCGCGAGAGAAAATCTCCGTATGTCGCAGACATGTCGAGAGAAGCAGAAAACACCGAGATCCACTCGTGGGTTATCACCGCCAGAATATCCCACAGCTTCCATGGTCGGTACACAAGACACTCTAACACGGACTGCAGGCATAGACAATTTGACGGCTTTGTTGTTGCTGAGCTTCCTTGGTCTGCTGGGCGCCGATTCTACGTTATACAGAGAGGTGCTCGATTTTCAGAACGACATGATCGAGGTCGTAAGGTACTTTGGCTTGGCCGAACAGCATTCGAACACGACGACATGGCAGGCTTGGGTCCAAGAAGAGCAAGAAAGACGAACCAAGTTCGGCCTATTTTGCTTCCTCAACCTTCAGACCGTCCTGCACGACGTCCCCTCACCAATTCTATGCAGTGAATGGCAATTGCGTTTGCCAAGTTCTGTCGAATCTTGGGAGGCGGCCAATGGAGAGGACTGGATCGTCGAGCTTGAGTCACCTCGGGTACCCTTTCAAACTGTTTTCAGATCGTTACTCGCGACGTCTGATAATCCTGGCACGAGTCTTGTCCGGAGCTTGACTCCATTCGACTGTACCATTCTAGGGTTGACGTTACTGCAACGAATTTACTATATACAACAACTGCAAGCTGCAACTGGAGAAGTTCTCCGAGAGGATGACATGAGAAGTCTACAGTGAGTAAACACAACACTAACTTGAAAGTAGCTCTAACTAATAATGCTCTCGCAGAGGCGCGATTCAAGGTTTGGAGTCAGCTTCACTAGAGCATCAGGTTCAACCCTCTAAGTGTGGTCAAGCAAAATTGCGAATCTCTGATATAGTGGCATATCAACACATAGCCTATATGCGGCTTCACGCAAATCTCAGCGGAAAACGTAACATACAGTCTCGCGACTCTGAGCAGATCGCACGATCCTTTTATGATGTGCCTTTGCAGGCCTGCGGCTCGTTCTCACCAGGACCACTATGGCGGTCTATCAACCAACTCCAAGTTGTCGTGGATTTGGGTGTCGCGTACGTTTCCCGCGATATTGGATGCTTCTCGAGCGTACCGCAAGCATTGTCGTGTCTGCATCATGGTGTCTTTCTAAGCAGATGGTTCTTCTCGCTGGCTTCTGAGCATCAAAAAGATCCCCTGGCGCGTAAGTGCACGAGGCAGGAACGTTTGCTACTCAGTGAATCGAGGCTAACTTTTTCCTAGCTGAAGAACTCCAGATCATTGACCATACACGGTCATTGATGCAAGAAGTTGTTATATCGGCGCCAGACATCAGCTCAAGCTTAGGATGTATGGACTTTTCTGAACCCAAATGCTGCCTTGAGCTTGGCATCTTGGTGCTGAAGATCTGGGCTTATATACTCGAGACCAAAGTCAAATGGCCGCTGGTTACTGTCCTTGGGCACTCGATGAGTCTGTATGCAGATATGATGTCATCTGCAAGGTCACACTTGGAAGCTCGATTATTGCATCAGGGTCAGGCTGGATGAGCATGTATGCAAATACGCGTGTGTGGGCAAAAACGATGATTTATTGCTTGTTCGAGGCTGAGCTGAGAGGTGGAGAAAGTTGGAGAGGGAGGAAAAGGTGGAGATGGAGAAAGTCACAACGCCAACGAACGGTGGAGAAATGATGAAATCACCCTGACAGTGCTGACATCTCCATCAGCAACAATTACCAATCCTCGCTTGCGTCACTGATACCACATCGTAGAAACCACGCGCTTTGCTCGGAAGGCAAGCGCGACCACTGAGACTTCCTTATTTAAGTACAGAACTTGAATGCTCCAAAATGCGTCTACCACTCACACCTGCAATACTTTCTTTTTCCGAAACATCTTTCACCCATCATGCCGACTCACAAAGTCTTCCGTTTGCATTCGCGCACAGACTTCTGTGCCATCAAGAGCCATGAAGAAGAGATGCCTACCCCTGACAAGCATGAAGTCCTCATCAAAGTCAAAAGTGTCTCCCTGAACTACCGCGACGTTGCTGTCGCCAATGGTGCATACCCTTTCCCTGTGAAAGACATGGTCGTCCCCTGCTCCGACGCTTGCGGTGAGGTCGTCGAACTCGGATCCGCCGTCAAGAATGTCGAAAAAGGCGATCTCGTTGTGTGCACTTTCGACCCGACGAACCTTTATGGACCCCAGAAGGATTGGCAGAATGGACTTGGTGGCCCTGTGGATGGAGTCTTGAGAGAGCATGTTGCCGTTCCTGCAGCAGCTGTTATCAAACTTCCTTCTGGCTCTGATGTCTCGACTGCGAGCTGGGCTAGCACGGTTTGCACTGGTGTCACTGCTTGGAACTGCTTGTATGGAAATATCCCTCTCCGTCCCGGTCAGACTGTGCTTCTTCAAGGTAAGTTAGACCAAGCGAGTCAATTATGACAATGCATTACTAGAGCTGACACGCAAAATTCGACAGGCACCGGAGGTGTCTCCATGACCGCCCTCCAGATCGCCAAGAACGCTGGCGCAACCACCATCATCACATCCTCTTCAGACAAAAAGCTCGAGTCCGTCAAGAAGGAGTTCGGCGTCGACCACACCATCAACTACAAAACCGCCGACTGGGCCGAAGAAGCCCGCAGACTGACAAACGGTCATGGCGTCGACTACATTATCGAGAACGGCGGCTCCGGCACCATCAAGCAGAGTCTAAACGCTATCGCCATGGGTGGAAATATCTCGGTCGTAGGCTTCTTGTCTGCAGCTGCTCAAGAGGATATGCCTGATGTTGCAGGTCTTGCTTTGAGCAAAGGATGTGTGGTCAGAGGTATCACTGTGGGATCTACTCAACTTCTCGAGGAGGCCGTACGCTTTTTCGGATCGAGAAAGATTGGTGTTCCTGTGGACAAGGTGTTTGGTTCTTCGCAAGAGGAGGTCATCAAGGCCTTTGAGTACTTGACTGGGGGCTCGCATATCGGCAAGGTCTGTATCAGCTTCGAGAAGTGAGAAGGAGCCATTGGGTTGTGTGACGAAAGGTAGAAATATATGTAGATTCGTAATAATCTAATACTTTGTACTCTGATCCTTTCCCATATCATCAAGAAGCAGAAGTCAGATCTGCATACACCAGCACTCTGTTCGATCCGCCACAAGCCTCTGTACTATTGCCCGCACATGGCGAACCGCAACCATTAGCCAAAACATCACCAGTAAGCAATTTGCCAGCATCAGGCTTGCTCGCTTGACCCCAACACTCGGCTTGATATTCTAGCCCACAATAGACAAAGCCTCGAGCCTTGCAAGCATCTAAACACTTGGCCACTGTCATGTCATTGCCCGCAGCAACCGAATTCAGTAGCGTACGACTGCTTCCACCATCAGAGTAACATGACTGCAGGGTATAATTCCCGTAACCAGCTCTTGCGACAAACGGTGTTGCCATAGTGTCAAGCACCACACTGATCAGACTGCCGCCACCGCATTTGAGAGTCGAGTCTCCAGCACATTTGGAGTTGCAGACGGAAAGGGAGGAAGCAGGGTTCGTAGGTGCTGTCTTGCCGCACCAACATTCGGAGGACCATTCGGTGCCTGAGTATGGGTAGCCGAGTGTGCGACAAGCGGTGGCGCATAAAGCTGGTGTGTTTGAGGAGTTGGAGTAGGCTAGTTTTGGGAGGACTCTGGCACCTGAGTCGACATAGCAGGATTGATTGTAGACGACGAAACCGGTAGGGAGTGATGGATTAGAGACGGTTGAGATGCTTGAAGATAGGGTGCCAGATGAATAGGAAGAGGAGCGAAGGGAGCTACTTGTTGTAGTTGACGATGAAGTGATAGCTGACGAGGAGCTTAGAGTTGACGATGAAGCTATCGTCGAAGATGAAGTCATCGTCGTGGAGGTTGAGCCGGTAGAGACGAGACTAGATGAAATAACATTGGTCGAGGAGCTGCTCACGACGATAGAGCTACTCAGAGAGCTAGAAGTCTGAGCGCTTGATGATACGGTGTTTGAGCTCAAAGTGGTCGAAGTAGACGAGCCGGAGACCGAGCTAGTCGATGAAACACTGCTGATCTCTGAGCTGGTTGAAGAAGCGGCGGCAGAAGCTGAGCTAGACGAGGAAGAACTAGCAGAGGCGATCGAAGTTGCTGATGTCGAAGAGTCAGTCGAGGACGCGCTCGTTGTGGCAGAGCGTGACGAGCTACCATCAATTGTCGAAGATGCCGAGGAAGTGCTCGAAACGGTTGAAGAACTGCTGATTGATCCAACAGAGCTGGAGCTGGTCGAGGTGGTACCACTCGAGACCGAGTCACTTGTGGAGGACCCGGTACTTGATGTGAATGTAGAGAGCGTTGACGTGCTGCTGGCTCCAAGAGTTGAGCTGCTGGGCGAGGTGACGGAGTTGCTCGAAGACGATGACGCAGCGAGGCCGCTTGCATCACGAGATTGCACAATGGCAAAAGTGGTTCCTGGAGCAATGGTCATGGTGGTGTTGTCGAAATCACTGTAGTATGAACAACTGGTCGCACCGTCATCAAAAGCTGAAGCCACACAAGAGGTGCTACTTGCGCAGACATTGAGACAGTCATCAATGAAGGTAGTGGCTCTCTTCCTCGGTAGACGTATACGAGTGCCAGAGTAAGAAGTATTGACCTGAATTGAATAGGTCACACCACCAAAGACAGGTCTAGCACCGCTGGTGTATGCAGAGCTCGCAGGTGACGTCTGCGTGACCGATGCGGTCGATGAAGAAGGTGCAATAGCGCTCGATGCGGTTGCGGATAAGGTTGCCGAGGAGGAATTCACGCCCGAACTTGAGGGCGTATCTGAGCTTGTTGAGGAAGAAAAGCTTGAGAGACCAGCGGAGATCGAGACCGAAGAAGTCAAACTAGAAGTAGCAGAACTACTGGAGGAAGCAGCGACCGAGCCTAATGAGGAAGGAATAGCAGAGCTTGGCGAAGAAGATATGGCAGGCGCTGACGATGAAAGTGCACTAGAGCTCGATGTGGTAGGCGCGGATGATGAGCTGACGCTCGACACACTTGAAAATCTGCTGACCCGGGAGCCAGAGAGAACATTGTTACCTGAGGATGACAGAGACCCAAGAGCAGTCTTCTTCCAACAAGTACCGCTTCCAGCTCCGTTCTTACCGCCCACATAAGTGAAGGCGTTGCATTGTGCGTCCGCATCGCATGCGTTCATACAGTCGACGAAACTGGTTGACGCAGCAGCATTACTGTAAGCACCCTGTGTGCTGTCAGAAGAGTAGGCAATGGTGTAGTTACTACCAGCCGAGTTGGTGGTCCAAGGAGCGAGAGCTGAGGCGGTCGAAGTGGACGCTACTGATGTACTTGAGCTGCTGCTGACAACTGTTGAGCTTTGGGAGGACAAGAAGCCAGCAACAAAGTTGACACCAGCGGGAGTAGCATTACCTCTGCTGTTCTTCAACCAGCACGTCGCAGAGCCTAGACCGTTGTTTCCTCCCACATAAGTGAAAGCTACGCAACCAGCAGTGGTATCGCAAGCGGCAAAGCAGTCCATATAAGAATTGCTGACTTGTGCACTCGAGAAGGATCCAACCGAGGTGTCCGAGGAGCAGCGTATTGTGTAGTTGTTTTGCGAGCCGACAACGATCTGATTGTCGACACCGGGACATATGTTGGAGTCCGAGACTGGGTCAGTAGCGGTACTGGCGGTAGTCGGAGAAGATTTGGTTGCTGTCGTAGTTGTTGACAAAGATGTCAGGGCCGAAGCCAAAACAGCTCCAATGGCACCGCCATTCTTGTTAGGATATCCTACGCTACCCTTCATGTAGCAATTACCTCCGGCATAGGTGACAGCAATGCAGCCAGAGGTGATTTCGCATTTTGAAAGACAGTTCTCGATGCTCCTCACAGAGGTAGATGCGATATCTCCACCTGCATGGTCGATGCCGCACTGAATTGTGTAGTTTGTGCCTGCAGATGTTGTGTAATTCTTGGAATCGTCGTTCGGACACGACAATGGATCGATGATAGTTCCGTTAAACTTGAAAAGAGTCAAACGTGCGTTTCCACCACAGTACTCATTCTCATTGCCCGGACACTGCATGAGGCAGCTGGTGTTACTGTTTAAGCCAACATCTGCTGGAAGCTTGGAGCCACAGAAACATTGCTCTTTGAACTCGGTACCGAAGTATGCGTAGCCAGCGCAGTAAGTAGCGCAAAGTTCGTTGGTCATACCTGTAGTATTGCTGAAACTGGCGGCGGTCAGAGCGCGAGACTGCACAACAGACTCATTGTAGCATCCTTGGTAGATGTAGTTCTGGATGACCGGAGGAACAACAGGCGTCGTTTTTATGGTAGCATTGCCGCTTATCGAGAATACCGAGTATCTTCCGTAACCGCCACACTTCTGCGTAGAGTTGCCCGCACATGGTGTCAAACATGCTTGCTCACCAACCAATCGAGCTTGGTAACCAAGCGAGTTGCCACAAAGACAGTCATATCCTTGGAGAATGTTATTGATGTATGATGCGGATAGGCCAGCAAGGCTGTACGAAGCAATGCTACAAGCAGCTGTGCAAGTTTCGATGGTATTGGTCGAGTTGCTGAAAGCCTGATAAGGCAAGATCCTGCCGGCGCTGGGCCCGTCTGAGCTGTCGGCGAAGCAGCCAGCGTACGACATGCCACTGTAAGGTACAGACGGTGGCGAGACAGTCGACTGGCATGTAGTGTTGGGCCACGGGTCATCTCCTTGTACAAGTCGAGGGCAGCCAAAGTCAAAAGCTCTTGATTTAGAGCCACTCCAGTTGTCCAGGAAGAACCTTGACTTACCAGCTGCACTGTTAACCATACAGCCAAAGTCATGTGCACAATCGATCAGGTCGACTGTTTTACAACTCGTGGAACTGGCACTAGTGCAAACTGGAGGGAAGGCCTTGATGAAGTTGTAGAATCGCTCTTGATGGTTTGCTCCGGTAGTATCAGGTCCACATCGACTAGAGTCGTCGACCATGTCTTGTAAACCGCGCGCATAGTTGATAGATCTTGAATTGTATCTGGACAAGACTGCGGCTGGTCCGGAAGCGACAAGAGTTGAGCCATAGGTTGGTGTGTAGTTGTCAAGCCCGTCACGCCAGTCATTGTAGTTTGTACAAGATCCGGTACTGACAGGTCTATCCGCGTTAAACCACACATAGCTGTCTGGGTTACCGATCCAGTAGTTGATCCTTGTAGCAAGGCCGAGAGTCTTACCCACAGCCGCATATCTTTGCACCATTTGAGCACCGAGAGAGTGGCCAGCAACAACAATCTGATTGATGTTGGGGAACATTGCCTTGTTATCGTAGTAAGTAAGAATTTGGTCGAGGACATCAAATGAGGACGTGGCAATTTTGCTGGAAGGATAGACTGTGAGAGGTCAGAAAGAGAAATTTGCAATAAATTTCGAGCGTGCGTACCATTGTTCTCAGCTTGGCTCCAGTCGGCACCATGCCAGACTAAGCACGAGGTGTTGGATCCTTTGCCAGGGGCAAGCCCATCAATCCAAGGATATACGTTGCCCTTGTCATCGCCATTAGGAAAGAAGGGCGCGATGATTTGTACATTGTCTGCACTAGGGCCGCTCCCAGATTTTGAAACATCATTAAGAGCACCCTGTACACCCCAGATATAGTTCAAGGGGTCCCTGTTGAGTCCATGGATGATGACAATCACGCGCTGGACTTTTGTATTGCTAAGTCGCTGGCCGGAAGAGTTTAGAGAAGAGTAGTTGACAAGCGTGACGTTTCGGCTCTTCTTGTCCACGATGTTCCAGAAACTGAGTTCAGCTCCGCCGATGCTCGGCGGTAGGCCTCCAGGAATGACTTCGCCAGCATATTGTTGAGCGCTAACAGTCTGCAGAGGCAAGAGCAAGGCCAGTAAGAAGAGAAAATTCGAAAGAAGGACGTTGATCTCGTACATGTCTCCGATGGAACGAATGACTGGAGATGCAGAGAGAAGGAGAATACAACTTACCACTAGGATCTACGCGCCGGACCATGAGCACACTATATGGCACGTACGATCTTTCAAGTCTTGAGCAGTGGCTGGTGTCTCATACGGCCATCCCGAAAGGCTCGTGGCTCAAGGTCAGAATAATTTATCAGGACATGAAGCCTGTACGCTGGAAAGCCGTTACGCTTGACATGCTTCCAGAAGCGGACCCCTTCACCACTGACGCCACTACCACGGAGCTGAGGTCGAACGTGCAATCTTGAGTTCATCAGCTCGAGCTGAACGGTGAACCCCGTACACATACTTTGCAATAAACGACAGCACGCTTCGAGCTGCATTTCTTGATGAGGGCTTTCGAAGTCGGACCATAAGGTCGACTAATTGTGGCAGCCAAGGCTCAGGGATGTTTTTCCTCGTATCACTGACCCCGTGGAGAGTCAAGACTACAAAGGAGAAGCCAGCAATGCTTTGACGGCCTGGACCTATGCCAAGCCACTGGATAAGCTTCGGAAGCTATCATGACATGGTTATAATAATAATATGCATATTTGTACTCCAAGTATACTAAAGTTTGTTGCTCATAGCTTGAGTACACATACGCATGGTGTCGACAGACTTTGAATTTCAGGATATAACTGTTACATACTCGCATGGTAAGGACTTCCGTAGAGACTTGTGCACTTTCCGCCGTCACCAATTATTATGCACTGTGAAGAGTCTCGATAAGCCAAGCCCAAAGCACCCAGCAGCTTTGCTGGCCTCTTCACAATAGTACAAAGACTTGAGGTGGCACTCACGTGGTCGTCTGCATCCAGCACTCGCAGACAAGTCCGTGTTCGAATATTTGTACGACAGAAATTTCGGCGTCGAACTGCCTCCGATCCGTTAAGCAATTCCACGTGGTGGGGGAACCGAGATCTGCTAGCGGCTGGTGACAGGTGATCGACATAACTTGGAGTTCGATCTCCATATCGGCGAACCATGATCTATACGTCGACCATGACAAGGTGGCTGTTTTGTTTTCAAGTCCGCGACATACACTCAATAGAAGTGCTGAAAGACTGTGGCATGCCATTGTGTTGGGCACTGTTTGGCGCCCATGTATGAGACGGCTCAAACCTCAGTAGATGACACGTTGGCCTCAAAAACGCCAACTTCAAGCTGCTCCAAGTTGTGAAAGGTGCCTAGAAACACATGGAGCTAGCAAAGGTGAACGATTACAGACGACCCGAAATGAGTGCTTCGTGTGTACAGAAATGGCCATATTGGAGAGGGCGGCTGAAGCCACGCTTCTTTAAGACGACTTTCCCGCGTCAAGAATGTCATTGACCGTGCACATGGCCCAATTCGACAGCTGACTGGATCCATTCCATCGGAATGTTGCGAACACAGCGAGGCTGGTAGGGATTCAATTCAAGTCAACCAGAAGCAGTCTTTGCATAGTTCGAATCAAAGTTGGTTGATGGGGGATTTCAGGACAAACGTCCGATCATGATCAACGATCGATCAAGAATTGTAGGCAACGAGAGAGACGAAGATCAGAGGTATAGATGGGAACCAGGGACTCTGGCAGAGCTCAAATCAGCGAACGTGCGGATGTTTGTCTGGAAGCGCCACCAAAACATCGGGGACGTTCGAAGACGGTCTGGACAAACAGCATCGACGATTACAAATTATTGTCGAGTCGCTGAGCAGAGATGAGAAGAGCAGCATGAAGGAACAGACACAGGTCAAGAAGTAGGATAAATCAAGGCGCGACAAATGAAAACTCTTTTGGGAGATGGGAGATTATCAGGCAGTAGTGAGTAGGAGAGTGATGGTCGGAAAGTGTAAATGCACAAACGTTTGTGTGTGAGAAGAACAGGGAAACTGGGACTTTGTGGGTCCGGTAGATGGGCATTCGGAGTAGGAGGTGTGGAAGTGGCTGGTGGTATAACAGCGCAGAGCAACAACCAAGAGAGACCTTCTGGCTTGCAAGGAAACAGACTTAACGAGCATCAACGAGAGGGGATGCAGCAGAATTGATCGGGAGAAGGAAAATTGAGTTTGGGCGGCGTGGATGCGACGACTTGACTGGCAGGCGGGACTAATGACATGAGCCAAGAAGCACAGGGCAGGGCACTGGAAGGCTGCACGGCTGGCTGTTCCAAGCCATACCACGACAAGAGGGATACAGTCAAGCGGCGTCCACCTCGATCCACAACAGACACACGCTCCCGACGACGAGCTCAGTCGACTCGTGCCTGGCCTCTCTGCTCCCGTGCTCGCGTCTGTGTAGCTGCTGATGCGCCCTTTGTCGACGGGCCCATCTGCGCGCTGCTTTGCTGAACAAGACTTGGCTGAGGCCCGTACAAGCGTCCTGGGGAATGTCTGGTCCTCGCAAAACCGACACCGACACCGACGACCACAGGGCCATGCGCTCCAACATGGTCCCGCCGCCGTACCATGACGACCCGGAAGACGACGACGACGCCACTCCCAGCGCGACGCCCGCCCGCAACCCTCCTCCTGCCACGGCCGCCAGCAAACTGCTGTCGCGCCCGACCCTGCGCCCCTCGCCGCCACATAGCTCCATCACGCCGACAATAAACGAGCCCGATGCAACCGACGACAGCTCCCTCTCTGTCAGTCCTGACGAAGCCGAAATCGCAAGGCTGCGTGCCGCCGTCACGGCCAGGATGACCTCGAATCTGCAGCGGGCAAAGGCAAACCTGGCCGCTCAACAGCATCAACTCCTGTACATGCCCTCGCCGGATGCTCAGCAGTCACCCTCGGTCAGCCGCTCCAGTAGCTCCAACCAGGTGCCCCGTCGCCCTTCACCCATCAAAGAGGAACATGCCATTGTCTCTCCCCTCACCGCCGCCTTTAGCAGTCCGCTGGCATCTAGCAGTCCGCTGCCCTCGGCCAGAACTGTCTCCACCGAGTCGACTTCCTCTTCGTCTCGTACCATCCGTGGAAGTGCTACTGCTACTCCAGCCGCCCTGCCTTTGCGCACCCCATCATATCCTTTCCCGTATGTCCCTGGTACGCCACGCACATGGTCGTCGTCCTTCCACCAGCCGTTCACCGCCCTGTCGCCAACCGTATCTGCCGCTCAATCTGGCGACAGCAGTACTCCCGGCGGCCTTCCTATGTCCGGTGCTACTACCCCCGCTGCTACCGGTGCCGCATTCGCTCCTCAAGGCTTCGAGTTTACTCAGAGTCAGGACCCTCGCTTCCCCACGCCTAACGTCTACGACCTCGTGCTACAACTAAGCTCAGAACCTGGTCTGGAGGCTTGGTGGTCTGCCGTTGCTAACATTATGAACGACGTCTACAAAGCAGACCGAGCGAGCTTGGCCCTTCCTGCTGACTCAAACGACATCGAGAATGTGCCTTGGGGCCAGAAGACGACTTTCAATGTTGCTGGCCGAGAGGACGACCAATCTGATGGTAGCCAGCCTTCAAACCACCCAGCACCTCCTGTACTGTCCTTGCCTCCTCGTTCTGTGCCCGATCCATCTCCCTTGGGTCGCATTCGTCCAACTCTCGAGTCTCGACATTCATACGCTGGTCACACGTCGGTCGATACACCGCAACGCCCAGGCTCCGCATTGCGTCCGAACATGCCGTCACGCACCGTCAGCCACGCCCCTGGTATGACCAATGTGCCCTTACCATCTCCAGGCCTCGACTATCGTAGCCACACCTATCGAAGCACATCCGTCAGCGAACCCGAGTTCAGCAGCGTTGGCGGCTACAGCCAGCCAACACAGCTAGCCGTTTACTCGGTACTCAAGGGCTTGGAATTCGAGGTTGATGGTCTGATTGACTCGAGCGGTATCAACAGGGTACTGGAAAGAGGCAAGCTGATTACACTGACCCGTGACTACTCGACCAACGGCCATGACAACCAACCCTCTTCCCACAGCTCACAGGATGAGAATTCGGTCAAAGCAAAATCTCAGCAGCCGGTCCAACCTCCACCACCAACTCAAACGATCGGTAAAGCTCCTCAACCTTTTGGCAACTTCCGCAACCTCTTCTCGCAGATGGACAACAACAAGCGCCGTGGGTCCACCTTTGAAGAATATGAGCAATACCCTCCATCCCCTTGGGCTCAGTCGCCCGCACCTTCGCCCGCTATGCAAGCCGATCCGGAAAATAACCCTTTCTTTGCAGCTGAAGAGAGCGTTGAAGATTCATTCAACCCAGCCAATGCCGCCCACGACTACTCACATCTGGAGCCCGTCGAGGCTATCGGCGTTGACCGGGCTCACACCGTTGTGCACATCCCTCTAATCCACCCCACGTTGTCACCAATAATGCACAGCTATCGCACAGAATCACCGAATCCAGAAGGTCGCCCGGAAAGTCGTGCTCAGTCAATGTCTCAAGTATCCACTGGCGAGCGGAGAGCGCCCATCGCGATTCTCTCCATTCTCAGTCCAGCTGTGCCGTATCCTCAGAACCTCGTCCAATCTCTAAAACTGCTTGGACCACATCTGGCCACATCTTATTATATGGCTCAACAGTACACCAACGCACACAGCCAAGCCATGGGCATCCGTCATCACAAGTCTATCTCGGGTCACAACGTCGGTTTCGCGCCTCTGAGCATCGCTCCAGGAAATCTGGAAGATCTCATTCGTGCCGATCTGGATGAAGTGGCAGGTTCAATCTCTGGTAGTATGACTAGTCCATCCGATTACTCTGGGCGTTCCAGACACAGTCCTTCCGGTTCGATAGTGGGTACTCCTGGATGGGACCCGGCAGCCTTCGGTCTTAATTCCAACAGCAAGTCGGTAGCTAGCACACCAGCTGGTCTGCGTGGATCGGAAATCACTGACAGCTATTTTGACGCTAAGAAGATGCACCGCGCAGTGGGTGTAGCTGGTAATCAGAACTCCTTGGCAACCCCGGCAAAGGATAGGGCCAAGAGAGTCTCTGTCTCTGCAGTCGATGAGGAACAGCCGATTGAAAAACGCAACAAGGTTGCTCGGCCAGGCAAGGAAGACAAGTCCCCACTCAAACCTGCTGGTCGTGAGCTAAGTCCTACGCGACCTGGCGACAATTCTATCGCAAGGAAGTCCAGCTTTCGTAGTAACGCACCTCCACCTACCATTGTTGCCGAGGGTGGAGATAAGCGTCATTCTGTCTTACACTCCTACGGCGCCGACTTTAGCTCGTCTTTCCAGGGTCTGCCTGCTGCAACCACGCCTGTACCAAAGACCCCGGGACCTACGACTCATGTCAGAGCGAGTTCCGTCTCTGAGGACATGCCTCCGCCTTCCGAGCGGCTGTTGCGCACGATCATTGATTCACTGCCCGTTCAGATCTTTACCGCCGCTCCCGGCACTGGCGCAATAACTTGGGTCAACTCGAAGTTCCTTGTGTATCGTGGACATGACTCCAGGCAAGTCCTGAAGGAACCTTGGCAGGCAATTCATCCCGAAGACAGGAGCAAGTATATGGAAAGCTGGAATCGCTCGCTCCGGACAGGTCAGCAGTTGCAACAGAAGATTCGTCTGCAACGCTTCGATGGTAACTACCGGTGGTTCTACGTTCGGGCTGCGCCTCTGAAGGACAAGAAACAGAATATCGTTCACTGGATAGGTACAAACATGGATTTCCACGAACAACACCAGGCCGAACTGAACCTAGCCCGCCAGCAAGAGACTGCTGCTTCTGAAGCAAAGTACCGGGCATTGGCAAACTCAAGCCCCCAGGTCGTCTTTACGGTCAACAAATCAAAGGGTATCACTTTCTGCAACTCGCAATGGCTTAACTATTCTGGGCAAAGCGAGTCTCAGGCACTAGGCATCGGCTTTATGGAACACGTTCACCCTGATGACATCGTCAAGTGTAGATTGCCTGCATTCGACAACGACTCGAGTAACGCCACTAACGTTCCCACTACTATGCCGCCCGAGCCTCGCAGAACGCTGTCTTCATCTGCGCAATCGTCTAGCGCCTCTTCAGATACTGAGCGTGGGCCTACAAGCCCTGTGAATACGTCGCCTACAACACAACTGCCTCAGGCAAGACTATCGCAATTGGCATCGACTGGTATCTTGAAGGTGTCGAGAGACGCGGATGGCAAGCCTTCGTACTCAACCGAGGTGCGGTTGCGGTCAAAGGATGGTGAATACAGGTGGCATCTCGTCAGAGTCCTCCTTGCCGAGCGTGATCTTCAAGAAGACGAAGAGGAGACATGGTACGGTACCTGTACCGACATCAACGACCACAAGGCGCTCGAACGTGACTTGAAGGAGACCATGGATGAAAAATCGCGCTTCTTGAGCAACATGTCCCACGAGATCCGTACACCTCTTAACGGCATCACCGGTATGGTCAATTTCTTGATTGATAGTAGCTTGACTTCAGAACAGATGGAGCATGTCAATATCATTCGAGCTTCAACAGAAGGATTGCGTGGCCTGATCAACGACATTCTTGATCTCTCAAAGGCTGAGGCCGGCATGATCCAGCTTAATATGGATTGGATGCATGTACGTTCTCTCATTGAGGAGGTCAATGACTTGACTTCGGCTATGGCGATTGACAAAGGGCTCGAGCTCAATTACCTGGTTGAACCCGATGTACCCTCACAGATCAAGGGTGATCGCTTCCGAATTCGTCAAATCTTGCTCAACGTCATTGGCAATGCGATCAAGTTCACCCAAGTCGGAGAAGTTTTCATTCGATGCAGTGTGCCACAAGAAGAAGAGAGTCTCCCACCTACCGATGATTCGATGTACATACAGTTCGAGATTATGGATACTGGTCAAGGATTCACGGAGAAGGAGGCACAATATCTTTTCAAGCGCTTCAGCCAGATTGACGGAAGTAGCACTCGTCAACACGGTGGTACAGGCCTCGGACTTGTGATCTCGCGCCAGTTGGCACAACTGCACGGAGGTGATATGACCGCACGCGGTGTCCCTGGTAAAGGTGCAACTTTCAGCTTCATCATTAAGACCACTCTTCCTGCTGGAGATGATAAGCCACCTCCACCGCCATCTACACCAGGTCCAGCTTTGCTTCCTGTGACGCCTTTGACACCCTCGCCGATGCCGACGGTGATTCATGACCCTAGGCTGTCAAATACGCTCAATCTGCCGTTACGGGGCTCGTCAAGAGATATATCAGATGCTACAGATGCGTCGTCGCCGGATTTTGATCAGGCGTCTCCAGTCACATCGTCATCCGGCAGTTCAGATCCTTCGATCAGAGGTGGGACCGTGGGTAGTGCTCAGTCGGTCAGATCTTCTGCATCTTCTTTTGTACCTGATCCTTCCCTCTTGTTGCAGTCGCCACCAATCGAGTTGGCGATTCCCTCAGATGGCAAGCCTGGTCGCATCTACACGGCAAGTCCAGCGCCGAGTGACGCCAGTAATGCTAGTGCTGGTGCTGCTCCACATGCCACCATCAGGACGGTATCCCCTGGAGGTAGTCACCTGCCGCCCATGTATTCCATTCTGGTAGTATGCCCTCTGAAGCACGCACGCGAAGCAACCGTTCAGCACATGGATATGACATTGCCTAAGAATATCCCTCACAAGATTACTGCGAGGGAAAATCTGATAGAGTGCCAGAAGATGATTGGTGGGGAGGATGCAATGATTTTCTCCCATATTGTGCTGGTCTTGCAATCTGTGCCAGAGATCATCGCATTCGTCCAGCAGGTCTTTACTTCACCTCCTCATTCGTCGACGCAACTGGTGCTCATCACCGACTTGCAACAACGACGGAAGCTAATGGAACAAGCATCGGAATACGATTACGATGCACTAGCAAAGGCCAGGCGGATGCAATTCATCTTCAAGCCACTCAAGCCAAGCAAGTTTGCATCCATCTTCGATCCACGAAAGGAGCGGGAGATGAGCACCGACCGCAACCAGGACTCGGCACAGCAGGTCGCTGTCAGCCAAAAGCAGGTATACGAAGAAATGATCCGACGATTGGGCAACAAAAATAAGCGAGTCCTGTTGGTTGAAGACAACCGTGTCAATCAGATGGTGAGTTTTGAACAGGCCGAGATCATACGAACATGGCTAACAAGCATGCAGGTTCTTCTTAAATTCCTCAGCAAAGTCAACGTCAAGGTCGACACAGTTCTGGACGGTGTGCAGTGCACCGACAAAGTCTTCGCCAATCCTCATGGATATTACTCAATCATTTTGGTAAGCATACTCCGAGTGAAAGACGTCCGACATTGCTGACATGTTCTTTAGTGTGATCTTCATATGCCCAACAAGGACGGCTACCAAACTTGTCGGGAAATTCGCAAATGGGAGAAGAAGAACAAACAACCATACCTGCCAATCGTTGCGCTGTCCGCCAACGTAATGGGAGATGTATACGCCAAGTGCGTAGACGCAGGATTCAATAGCTACGTGACTAAGCCAGTCGACTTCAAAGAGCTTAGTACGGTCATGTTGACATATCTGGACCCTTCGGACCCGAACCAACCCATTGAATTCATGAAGCAGAAGAAATAAGCCATCAGTCTTTGACAAGGCGAAAGAGCAGGAATATTGTAGGCGGACCTGCCATCGCCTATGAGGTTAGGCAATTTTGTGGAGGACAAATCTTAGCAGGCGCAAAGGCGTTGAAAGGGTGTGTTTGATGGATTGATTTTCTAACTGGATGGGCTGTCAACGCGCCCATCATTGAATGACAAAGTTCTTTTTGCGAGGAGCAGCGGGTCAAGAGGAGGAGTTTTGATCACTCCGGGCGGCGAATCAGCATGGATAAGGGTCATTGCGCTTTCTCTTTCCAAAATCTTCGTTGCGTTGTCGCTACTCTCGTCGTTGTTTTTGCCTGTCTGTTCGCCCTGCATAGCGATACATTGGACTGTTTTCCTTTCTCATCTCTTTTTTAACTTCTTCTTTATCTTCGATTCAAACCATACCTTTCTCCTCTTTTCGTTCCTGGACCTCATGTTTCCTAGTCATGTTTCTTTACTGTATGAGCATCCGTCTTTATAATTCTTAGCCTTTGAGGAACCTACATCATGTTGGTTAAGGGAGGCCAGCTGCAGAACAAGATACCAAAGAGCTGCAAAGAGGCTGAAAGTGGTACGTTCAGACTGTTGCATATGGCACAACCTAGCACCAGCAGTGATAATAGCATGTACGAACAGTATCGAATTATGGTTTCGCATGTTCATCGCAGACCCAAAGAGGAAGGCGGGCTTGCATGTGGGGATGGTTCGTGCTCGGGGCAAGGTGGTCGGCGGAAGCGACGGGACTGGGTAAAATGACGTGGTGGTTCGGCGTGCCGGCAGCGATTTGGGTGGGTTCGTGCCTGCCTCTTGCAGGAACCTAAACAACACGCTCCTTCCGTCAAGTTATTCGTACCTGTTCATATTGATCTTTGTAAGATCGCAAATCAGTCGCAATGGATAGGCAAGAGTATCCCACCATGGCGGTATGTTTCACATTCGGGTCTCGCGCCAGGGGACAACAAGATGCAGCAGCGCGGGTTGTTTCGAGCGAGCTTATGCGCAAGGGCTAACACTCACGATTGCAGGCCACTCTTGAGCCTGGTCAGGCCATCAGCGTTCTCAACGATCGCGTCCGACAAGTTGGCCGTCTCAATTCCGACATTGCCGACTGGCTTCAAGTAAGACGACCCAAAGTCGCATCACGCAGACGCGACAATTGCTCATACAAGGCAGGAACGAAGGAGACTCGAGGAGCAATACTCTGCTGGTCTGCGCAAGCTCGCAAGGCGATCCCCTCCTGGCGACTCGATCCAGGACCTTGGGTACTTTGACTTTCCCAAACCCGAGTGAATCAACACTGACCAGGCCACTGCAGCATCTTCTCGGTACCATGGACGACGCTTACATCCGCCCTCGAAACTCTGGCCGAATCGCACCAAGTGCTGGCACAGAGAATTGAAGTCGACGTCGAGCGACCACTGCGCGACTTTGGCTCGAACAGTCGCGAGATGCAGGCCATGTCGACCATCCAGGGCAATCTCACCTCAATGGCGCGCGATGTCGAGAATGCACAGAAAAAGAGCGAACGTTTGAACAACAAGGGATCCAACAATGCAGGTCGCGCCGATAGTGAGCTCGAGGGCGCACAGTCGCAGTGGTCTGCTCAGGCGCCATACGTTTTCGAGTCTCTGCAATCTCTCGATGAGAGTAGATTGAATCATCTGAGAGATGTGCTTACTCAATTCCAAACGCACGAGATCGACGCCATTGAGAAGACGCGAGTGTCGGCCGAGTCGGTGCTGAATATCCTGTTGAACATTGAGACTGCGGATGAGATCAAGACGTACGCTCTGCGTGTTGCCAGCGGGGACATTGTACCCAAAGAGAAGCCTAGAAGCCGCCAGTCCATGTTCATTCCTCCTTCCCTGGCTCCAAGCACTCAGCACGATGACAGTGCTAGCGTGCGTTCCGGTCCTGGTATGCCAATTCTACACATTATACACATAGCATAGACTGACCAAAAACAGCACCGGTAGATCAACTTCCCGAGTCGAAGGGCAAGCAGAAGGGCGGTCTCAAGAGATTGGGCACTCTTCTTGGCCGAAACAAGAACCGCGACAGCAAGATAATCCCTAACAGAGCATCCGAGTCTCCGGAGCGCAAGCCGTCTAGGCCATCGGCTTTCAACTCCTTGTCCAGTAGATTTGGGCGCAACAACGACTTGCCCACTCCCCTCGAGGAGAACGAAGAACACACCAACTCTCCTCTTCGCACCATCACGAGCAACACAAACTCGTCGTATCGTGGACCCTCGAACGGCGACAAGGAATTGCCGCCCATTGATGGCTCCGCTCAGTCTCTGGCTGCTGCAGGTCTTGCTCCAGAGCCATCGTACCAGCCTTACCAGCAAAACACGGCTCCGCAATTGCAGGAGCCTCTGCAGCCCTCGCAGGCTTCGTTGCCTCTTCAGCCTTCTCCTCAACCCTTTGCCCCTGACCTCTCGCAGCCCTTTCAACCTTTACAGTCAAGTCAGACTCTTCAGCCGACTCGCGACATCGAGGGCTTCTCGGAGCCACCTCCAGCTGTCGATCTTATCTCGCAAGCCCAGCAAGAAGCTGCAGATGCAAACGATGCCAACCAACCTCAGTTCAAGTTGGACATTCGTAATGCACCCATCGCCGAAGAAGGTGGAGACGCTGCTCTGACCAGTGTCGTCAACACTCTGAAGATGCAAGCTCCTCCTCTTACCTCGCGCAGAGCAGGTACCGTCCGCGGACGTCGCGACATGCGCGCTAGTGTCTACGGACAATCTCCAGTTACCACTCCAGACGTTACCGAGGAAGCCTCCGCTCCTTCTATTGCTCCTCCACCGATACAGACCACACAGGAAATGACACGAGCACCTTTGGAAATTTCGACTTCGTCCCTGTCATCGGCACAGAGTCCGTCGTCGCCCATGTTCACATCTGCTTCGTCCAACTTTCCCTCGTCTACCTTCTCGCCTTTCCACGGCTCTGCTCAAGCCACTGCAGCCAGCGTCTTTGCACGCCCAGCTTCGCGTATCGGCGAGAGCGATCACGACACTGGATCCATCCGCTCCGGCCGTTCTCTCAGTAGCTCGCAAAGCCAGACCAGCAAGCACCCTGAACTACACGAGCCCGGTCTCAACAGCTCCATTATCGAGACTGTCAGCGCATGGTTCGAGCAAGGCCAATTGACCCGCAGTGTCACCATTGGCGAGATTGCGCTTGCCTACAACCCCTCCAACTTCACCTCTCCCTTTGGTCATGAAAACATCCGCGTAGACGGTTTCTCCAGCCTGGAAAAGGTAGCCCCGAACCCTGCTTTCTTAACTGCCGCCGACCAATCAGGCGAATACAGTGTCAACCTCGCCGGTATCCAAAAGACAGCCGTGGCATTCAAATATCAAGTCTCTTCTCCTGGCACAACGGCTGCACCACTTCTGCTCACCCCAGCATGGAAAATCGAACCCACGCAAACTTCTGCAATTCTCAGCTACAGTCTGAATCCCGCCTTTATCCTTCCTGCTGGGCAGACAAGTATGACGCTGCAGAATGTAGTCTTGATGCTTTACCTCGACCCTACATCTAAAGCATCCACCTGTCTCTCAAAGCCAGTCGGAAACTTTGACAAGGCCAAGAATCTCATCTACTGGCAACTCGGCAACATTACACTTTCTTCCACACCCGGTAAACTGCTCGCTAGATTCCAGACACCCGAGGGAGAGGCAAGAGCTGGACACATAGAAGCCAAATGGGAAGTCGTCGGTAATGGATTAGGAGACAGTCTTGGCGTCAGTGTTAGAGAAGAGGCTGCTAAAGAGGCAGATCCTTTTGCTGATGAGAGTATTGGTGGTGGTGAAGGCGGTGGTGCTTGGAAGAGGGTTGCAGAGATCAGGAGGGTTGTTGCTGGTGTTTATCATGCCAAGTAAAACCCTCACCTTTTTCCTTACCCCTGCTTCATCGACCGAAAACACACATACCTATAGTGTTTCCCCAGGAAAATAAAGGAAAGGGAAAAAGAAAGAGGAAGGGGATTTTTTTTTGATAATTGTAATTTTTTGTCCTTTTTGTCGTTTCGAGGAATCTTCCTTTTCACCCTTTTCTTTTTTTTTGGAGTTGTATAGTGTCTTTGCTTCGAAGTTGTTTCTACTTTCAGTCTCTTGTATATTCCCCAATCGAGTTTTTGTTTCCATGTATTCTACTTCTGTCTCTGTTTAAATTGGCGAATTAAGGCCGTGATTTTGCTCTCGATATTGCTCAACGGCACGCTCCCAGCGAGCTGGCCACGAGCAATGCGTCAAGGACGGCAGAGACGTGTCAAGCGCTGTGGCAGACGAGTATGGTTGGGCAAGATCCCGATGCGATAGTCGCAAGCGTCAAAGCGTTCGTACGTTACATCAAGCACAGAAGAGACATGATAAAAGCTCTGGCCCACGAATGTGATTGCTTGGTATCAAAAAGAATGTATCAAATCCTCAGCCGTTGGAGTTCACTTTCTGATACGAGCCCAGAATCTCCTCAATCTAGCGAACCGAGGTCTTCTGGGCGAATTGCCTGGACGTGGTGCTGCTAGTACACCACTCTCACTGTCCGGGGGTTTTGAAACGCCACAGCCTGGGAGTCCTGAATCAACACGGTCTGGAAATCTTGAATCATCACGCTCCGATGGGGACCGACTCCTTGATGGACACTGACATCCTGATGGGATTTGATATCCTGTCGGAGACCGACGCGGGCATTTGCAAGTACGTCGTCGTGGCAATGGTTGTTTCCATGGCCGAGAAGGCTGCTGTTGAGGAGGCAGAGGTTGTGCACTTGGTATGAATGGCATGGTATGGCTAGCGCTGGGTAAAGGCATGGACGTCTGCACGACGTAAGGGCTGCCACTGCCGGCATTCGGGATGGAGTAGACAATCCGAGTGGTGTCTGTCGTCAATGTAACATTTGGTGTGCCGCCGGTTTGGGAGATTTGACTACCATCGCTTGTGATGATCAGCATCATACTCATCATACAAAACAGCCGAGATATGAAAGACTTACTCTGATGCTGGTGCAGAGGGAGGTAGGAGTACACCGGCTTGTTTCGACATCGTGATACTTTGCTATTGATGTTTGCGTTGGTGAATAGCGCTTGTTGATGGAAAGGGTAAGATGTCGTGGTGGGAAGAAGCAGAGGGCAGATGTACCGGGTGTAAACAAAGTACGCAGCGGTGGTGATGTTTTGGAAAGTGCATGCTTAAATGCTCTTGCCTATTTATGGTGAAAGGCCGAAGTCTTGATGACGATCTGATCCTGGCTTTGCGTTGTTGAGATGGACGATAGAAGATCGGATGCTTCTTGCTGCAACGATATCCCCAGTTCTGATAGAGATCTCCTGATTACAGAGTGCCAGGATGGAAGGCTCGACCTGCTGGCGTGAGTTATGCCTGACTCAAAAGTCTCCAAATACGTCAAGATGAGACCATCCATCAAGTGAAAGCGCATCTGACGAGGCAGGGGGCTCTCCAATGGACTTCTGAAGTTCCAAGCTGTGCACCAAACAAGAAGGTGCCTTCAACTTCTCACCAGCTACATCCTTCCAATCAATCTCATCAAAGAAAGTATGTCCCATGACATCTTTAGCACCACTTTCCCCTGCTCCAAGTCTCTGATCCGAATCTCTCTTCAACAACTGCTTGCAAATACCTTTACCGCTTTCCTCCATATCCAATGGGAAAACGGGTTTCCCTTCATCCAAAATCTCCTCAAACACTGCATCTTGATCCTCCCCCCTAGCAGGTTCTTCAGCTGTAAGCATCTGGAAAATCACAACCCCGAATCCCCACCAATCAGCTCCATAACCATAACGTTTCCCTAGCAGCACTTCTGGCGCCATGAAAGATGAATTGCCACAAAATGTGGATGTTCGAGAGCTGCTTGTCATGTTGCCTTTGCAGATCCCAAAACCTGTGAGACGGATATGTGCAGAAGGGTAAAGGAGGCAATGGTCCAGTTTTATAGCTCTGTGGATTATCCCGTTGGAGTGGAGGAAGGAGATGGCATGGCAGAGTTCGGCGGCGAGGAAGCGGGTGCTATGGATGGTTAGTTTCCCGGTGCTTGAGATGAGGGCTTCTAGGTCGCCGTTTGCGAAGTATGGCGTTGTCAGGATTATCTCCCTATCTGTCTGGAAGGAATCTAGGAGGTGAAGTATATAATTTGAATTGGAGTTGAAGATGTCTCTTGTAGAGTTGAAAGCACGAGTCCATATTTTGAGTGCTGCGGGGTCGTGGAAGCCATCTTTTGGGATGACTTTGAATACGTAGAAATCCTTTGAAGAGTGTTTTTCGGCTAGGTAGATGTTGCTTGAGGTGCCAGATGTTAGTCGTCGAATCGTTCTTAGATGTCTTGGATCGATGTGCTGATGGTTGATTGATGCCATGCTTGAATTGTGGTTGTGCAATATGACGTAGAACGTGAAACGAGATGCAGATGGAAGTGAAGTTGGTGTTCGATTTTCACAGGCACTAGAAGTCTTTTCTATGTTGTTGATAGACACGGGGTCCCTCGCTGTGTTGTGTTGGTCGTATAGTAAGCCAATCACTGAGACGTAACGTCACGTCCGTGCGCGGCAGCGGAATCAAACTCCGCGGGAGCTAGAGCCGACAGACAACCACACTCGATGAGCACAAAAGAGTGAAGATGTCCTTTGGAGCACCGGTCTAGAACACTATGATCCACTCAAGTTCGAGAAGTGAAGTGAGATGACGAGCAAGATTGAGTGTGCTTCGAAGCTGTACCACGGATGCAAGGATTGTTGTGAGAGATTACTCGTGCAATATCTATACTGTCCATGCTGTCCAAGATCAGCGAAGAATACAATCCAAGTGATACGAAGCGTATCAAAGGCACGAAGGAAGCTCACAGCTCGACGGGGAGAAAAAGAGGAGAACCAACGATATTGTACAGCAGAAAAGGGATCGAATGTATTTTTCTGTAGTTTAGTGAGGGGAAACATATCATGCAAGACTGATTTTTCTCCATCAATCACAGGTCCGCCAGGCCAAGATGTGCACATCCTCCACGCCATCCATCTCACACTGACTGACCTTGCTCGCAAATAGGGCGCGCTGCTCGTACTCCTCACGATCTGCCCCGTTGTTGAAAGCCCAAACGATGTATTGTGGTACCCACGGTCGATCTGGCTCGCTGAAGCAACTACTATGTGCCATGTAGCTCTGAGGCACAATCCCTATAAGGTACAGTTGCTTGTAAGGCTTCAGACCATATTGGCCAAGAATTTGTCTCTGGGATTCTCGAGGAAAGCCGCTGAACGCAACAGATTGTAGGCTAGGCATGAGAGGAAACGCCTGTACCACTCTACGGACGGACTCTGGGTGTAGTATTCTCCTTAAAGCAGCGTCGCGCCGCCACTTCGCCTTTGCTTTTGGGAGATGAACAGGAGCCACGGTGAGGTGCTTGACATGTTTGAGTCCAGCGTTACTGGGTGAGCAGAAGCTGTCGAGAACAGCGCGTTCTTGTTCGTTGATGGTGATGAGTGGTCGGCGATAAAGCTCTGGCAGAGCTCCGTAGCGAGCAGTGTTGCTGACCAAGCTCAGTGCTATGAGATCAGACCGCCGCACTACATGTCCTGCAATACATGTCCATATCTCCGGAAGGTCCAGAGCCTTGTTTTGTTGGGGCCCCGGGACGGATGACTTGGTGGGGATGGATTCCTGAGGTCCGTCAAGTTCTGCCGGGGAAGTGTCCCGTCCTCTGGCCTTCTTTCTTCTTGGCTCAAAGAACCGGCCATCCTCATCCTCGCTGGTTGTACTAGAGGCAGTATCCCAGGGTCTGGAATTATCAGGAAGTGCCTGACATATCGTCGACTCGCACCGATTAGTGGAGCAAGTTGTGGTCGAACCAGCGCGTCTCCGCTTGGTTCTGCTAACAGGCATAGGTTTCCAAATATAGGCTATAGAGGTCGCAGACGCATGTGAGCGTTGTTGAATCTTCGCTTTGAGATAGTGTCTAATCTTTGAGATCGGAGATGGTTATCGGATGAAGGTCGGTAAGATGGCAGCAGAGACTGATGAGAAAATATACCACTTTTCAAATAACAAGACCGGAGGAGTCACTCTTGCATCGTGGGATTCATGGCAGGTTGCAAGTAATCATAACGCGTAAGACGAGTCATGAGATACACAACATTCTCGCCCTGTCTTATTCCCGCATAAGCGAGCGAAACATCGCAGAGGACGGAAGCGGTTGCTCATAGGGTATCATCGTAGTAGCGTATTCATGCTCTTGCTGGAAAATGGAAGTCTGAAAAGAAGATCACGGGATGACTCATAGAGAAGACTTCTCGCCGATGTGTGGGAACACGTGGCTGAGTCCGTTCAAAGGTGCCTTATCGTTGTTGTCTGCATTTTCGTCGTATCGCATGGTCTTCTCGCCTTTGGCCGGGTCCTTGGAGTCGTTCTGGCCATCCAAATGGTCCTTTCTAATTTGGTCTTGGTGCCACTTGGACAGATCTAAAGTCTTGTCGACTTCTTTTGTGAGCTTGTCAATTTCTTCCTGGAACTTCTCATCTCTGGTCTTCTTGGCTTCTTCTTTGGCGATATCGTCTTTGCTCTTGATAGGCTTGCCAGGAAGATATCCGGGGTCAGTCTGTGCCCACAGGTCCTCGAGTTCGTCTTCCCAGCCGATTGCTTTGGCAAGTTTTCGCACACCAGCGTCGCAGTCGCCGAGTAACAGAACATCGTCGGAGCGTGAACCAAGGCCTCCGACTCTTTCCATGTTGATCAAGACTCTAGGTACTCCAGATTTGCAAGCACCAGGCAGACTTGCGAAAGGCTGAACCTGTAGCGACGTGCCCAGAACGATGCAGAGATCTGCCTCAGTTGGCACGTCAATATTGTCGAAGAAGGCGCTGGGTAGCTGCTCGCCAAAGAAGACAATCTCAGGTTTAACCAAACCGTGGCAGCTAGATTTGTGGCAGCGAGGGATAGTCTTGGCTTCGATTTGCTTCTTCAACTCTTCTTGTGGGTACGGGCTCTTGCAGTCGATGCAGCTCTGACGGGCGAAACTGCCATGAGCTTCAATAATTGACTCATCCGGCACACCAGCTTCGCGTTCGAGACAGTCGATGTTTTGAGTGAACAACTTAAGCAGCAGGCCTTTCTCGTGGAGCAGACGGATGAAGGAATGTGTGACGGTCGGGCGGTATTTGCCAGGGTAGAGCTCATGAGCGAGAGTGTAGAATGGCGTAGGATTCTCGCGGAAGAAGGAAATGTCGAAAACGGCCTCGGCATACGGTAGGTTGAGTCTAGCTAGGTTGGCGTAGAGACCAGTGTTGGGCGAGCGGAAGTCGGGGATGCCTGCACTTGTCGAGATTCCTGCGCCCGTCATGACGACAATGCGCTTCGCGTGCCCTTCCTTGATATACTTGGCCAAGCCATCGACTGTGCGACTCTCAAGTGTTTTGGAAGGTGCGCCCTCATCTACCGGGCTTGAACCGTCTTGTCCCATTTTGTAGCGACCTTTGCCTACTTTTCCACGATCCTTGTTGGCCGCGCCTGACTGGCGGTGCGCTTTGTTCTTGCGACCTATCTTGAAGGCGTCACGAAGCCAGCGACTGAAAGGAATTGCAAATGTTATGTCGACGATGTCGTGGAGACTAGAAGGCTTCAGGTTGATGAAGTTGGCGCGAAGAAGAAATGTCTAGAGAAAGCAAGATGGAACCCCAGAAAGTCGAGCCCTGAACTTTCCCTTGTGCGATCGCGTGTTTGCGTCATCGTGACTTGAGGCTCGGCGACCAACTCCGGGCTCGAGGCTTTACTGACAGGGTGAGAAGCTCGACGACAAATGTAGGAACTGTCGACGACGGTACAGCCATACAGAATTGTCCTTTCGAACTCATGGTCGCCTGAAACTCTTTATGGTAGTCTACAGATTGATCTTGAGCATACTGGTCCACTGGATATTTGCAAACGACAATCACCTTTGCTCCATCGCTGGGGAGACCATCACTTGATGCCAAATATCCAGAAGCCAGAGAACAAGATCGCCTTTCCGGCTCTGTTGTTCGTGATCACTAGGGGAACATGAACAGAACAGTCTAACCGGACTAGATCATGCATTGCCCAAAATCATGTGATCCATTTCACTTTTGCAACCAAAGCACGCATTCGTACTCATCACCTCGCCAAACCAGCCTCGAACAGTTCGAGTCTACCATCACACATCTGATCTTCGACGTCCGAGGAAGCTAGATCAGAGAGGATGATACGTCTCCCTCTCCTCCGCCGTCATCTCCTGAACCCTATTCATAAACACCCCCATCCTCCGCACCTTTTCATACTTCTTCTCCTGCACTCGACTCCCCACCCCTGCTCCACTGCCCCTATGTCTGTCACCCACAATCTCCTTTCTCAAATCTGCAATCACAGTCTCCTTTTGAGAAAGCATTGCAGCTTGTTTTTCGATAACGTTGTTTTTCTCTTCGATGGTGGTGCTGAGTTCATTGATTCTCGTGATGCTTTCGCGCGAGAGACGTGAGTACTCGGAGGCAGCGACGTATTCAAAGTCGCGAGGGAGGATGATGTTGTGGATGTTGTGGATGTTGCGGTGTTGTAGTGTTGAGCTCCTGATGACCGGTCTGGCTGCCTGTATGGCCTTAGTAGACATGCGTTGAGTGAACATGATGCTGTATCTGTCGACGATGGCTGACACTTTGGAAGATCTGTGTGTTGCTCGGAAACTTTTTTGATGTAGAAAGAGAAACAGGACAATCAAAGCAGAAAGTGAAAAAGTCATACGTGCCAAAAGTTGGAAAAGAGTCGGGAAAGCGGATTCTGTTTGTGACTCAAAAGAACGAATCATGAATCTGCTTTGTTAGCACGAACAAGTTCCCCGAGAAAAACTCGCTCAAGACTCGAATTACACAAGGCATCAGCTGTCCGCCAGGGCGCAAGAGCAAACGGCCATGAAGTATGGCGACCAAAAGGGAGTATTCAAAACTTTCTGTAGCATTTGGTGGATTTGGATATAAAACAAGCAGGGGAGGATTTGGTTGTGAAAGGACATTAAAGATAATCAACAAGGGGCGTGATGGTGAGAGTATTCTCTTCGTGCTTTTAGACGCCCATCTTCTCAGCGGTAGCCATCAGACTGCCGATGAAAGTGACGATAAGTCTACTGCGAACGTTGCAGATATCTTCGGGCACGAGCCAAATGGTCGCGCCCATCTTTCTGGCGATGGAAATGGCGAGCTTGGCGTTGGCATATGCTTCGTCGTCGTTGCGGCCGGAGGCAACCATGTCGTAGTCGACGTAACTGCTCTTCATGCCGTTAAGGACGTCCAGGAAGAATATACCATTGCCGAGAGAGCTGTCCTTGAAACTGCGAATGGCCGATGACTTGCCACCCTTCTTGGACATGCCGTTAGCCCAGTTGACCATATCAGCGTCGCTGATTTCGCGCTTGCCCATACGTTGGGCGAGAGCACCGAGAGTGTTGACGATATCTTTGCGCATCAGTTGCCAGACCAGACCAAGAGTAAGCGTACGTTGACCGTCAGTGATATCAGCACCTTGGATACCGACCAGGGAGAAGCGGTTTTGCTTGCCAATCTCAACAGCATAGTTTGTGTTTTCAACAGCCTTGAAACGCATGAGCTCATTGCCGTTAGCAGGACGCTTGTTGCAGTGACGCCATTGTACGGAGCCAGGAATGACCTTGTCGTAGGCTTGCAGGAGAATTGTACCATCGCGGAGGTCATCGAAGAAGGACACAACGGTGGGTTGAACGTCAAGACTGTTGAGCCAGAGAGTAAAGACACGAGCCTCACGCTCACCCTCGGCATCAAAGTCCTCAATATCAGCCTTCTCTTCCTCAGTGATGGGATCAAGTCCAGGGTGGGTGTTGAACAAGTTGGCGACGAAGGCAAGGTTGAGCTTGGGGTTACCGGCGACGAGCGACTTGGGAGTCAAAAACTTGCGGCAGTCGAGTTTGTCGGCGTTGTCAAGGACTTGCTCGGCGCGTTGCATGAGGTCGCCGGTCTGGAGGGGGGAACGAGAGCAAATTTCGGGCTTGAGCTGGTTGAGAAGAACGGTGTAGTTCTCACCATCCTTGACGTCGCTCGAGAAGTTGGAGACGCTGGACACGGTCAGATTGCTTCCTCTGGAAGAAGGACTACAATACTCACGTTCTATGCCACTTGGCATTCTTCAGGTGGTAGTTGAACCAGCGCAGCAGAATCTGCTCAGCAGGCAGACGCAGGAATTGTTCCAAGGTCTCGTCATCTTCCAACAGTCTGTACAGCTCGGGGTGAAGTCTGATGTCGATCTTGCCGAGCAAACCTCTGCGGATGATTTGCCAGATCAAACCAAGAATCAAGTGCTCCTTGACTTCAATGATATCACCAGAGCCAATGTTGACGACGGAACAACCAATACCCTTTGCCGACTCAATGACGATGTTGTTGTTCTCAGTCATGTGGAAGGCGTTGAGAGTCTTGATCTTCTTGCCGGGTCTGTTCAGTACACGCTCATCGATTGTGTCAGGCACACTATCGTTGATGAGTTTGGCCAGTACCAGACCGTCCTTGCACTCGTCGAACATCTCAAAGGTATCGGTGGGGAAAGGCAGCTTGTTGCCAATGTCGGCATCTCCGGCAAGGACGGCATTGATGTGACGGGTGAACTCCTCGCGCTCGTCCTCGTTGATGGTGTGTTGCGAACTAGACGTGGCACCTCCAACGTGGATACGGCCACCTCCAGTTGCGCCACCACCAACGCTGCCCTTGGAAGCGTGGCCGGGAGTGGTTTGTTGACCTTGTAGTTGAGCGTTGCTGAGACCGCGCGAACGAGTGGGCCCGGTGGCCATGCTCTTCTGCGCTTGCGACGAGGTGCGGAGCTTCGAGATCAACTACGCGCTTGTCAGTCGGGTCTTGACGGAGGTAGGCGGGTGGGCTGGTATACATCAACATAGTCGTCCAACTCTACTCGTCGCGAACTGTCCAGCTCAACCTCTTTGAGAGCCTGTCGCACGACATCGTAGGGTTGGCGCTCCGAGTTTTGAGTGGCCTTGATGACGGTAGCTTCATCTATGTAGCCCTTGTCGTCGACATCCATGTTCTGGAAGGCATTAGACAGTTGGAAGATCTCATTCTGGTCGAACTGAGGGTATTTCCTGTAGCCTGTCAGTTCCTATCATCCAATCGCACGCGTGTCCAGCGTCCGGAGCCATACCTTTGCAGCTTAATTACGTTCATGATTGCGGTGGTGGGGGGGAAAGAGTAGCTAGACGCGTGAAGATGGCGGGCGGAGATTGCTAATTATGAGTCGCGGGATCCGGATGCCTGACGTTCCACTTCGACTTTCAACGGCACAGTTGCTTGACGTATCCGCGTATTCGATTTCGTACTCAGCCTCGATCAATGCTGTATTATCCAGAGAGACAGAAGGCAGAAAGGTTAAGGTACATAGACACGCGGTGGGTGACGTCGACGTCTTGGAAGCAGTAGGATTCACTTGCCGACAGCTTTCAATTGGTGCCCCCCGGTCTGACATGCACCGCCACGCTTCAGTGCCCAACGCCTCAAACTTTAGTTATACTGTCGGATCTGTCTCTTATGAAAGCAGCTGCCTGATACTGAGTAACAATTCTGATTCTCATCTATAAAGCTAGACCTGCGCCTCTGAATCTATATGCTCAAATCAAGAGGTAGAAGCTGGTGAGCACACTTGGGCCAACAAACAGCCCAATCCAAAACACTACGTTGCCTAGTAAGTCTCGACCCTTGAGAAGCTTGGTTCGGCTAAGCATCACCAGAGGCATCTGCAACAACTGCATCGTGAAGAGATAGCCTCGAACCTTCTTGAAGAGACAAGCCATGACCAACTCGTGCACCAGTGCGGATAGTAGGAAGGTGACAAAAGTCGCTGTTCCCTTGGAAAGATGGAAGGCTGAGATGGAAGAGTGGTAGACATGCCTCAGCAGGAAGTTGTGCACAGGCCTGTTCCAGTCTCTTGCATACTGGTCCCAGGATACGCTGTTCCACCAGTCGCCATAAAAGCCTCGATCCGCGAAACAGGTGAGCTCGGCCAGCACGTTGAGTACACATTCCTGCATGACGATTAGTGAACTTCCTCTTGAATTTTGTAACGTTGAATCACGACTTACCCAGATGACATACCACGACAGCAGCTGTTCCAGCAAAAGGGGGAAAAGCATGTCGCTCACAATCCATGGCATTTGCTTTGCTCTTTCTTCCAAAGACATGCCCGCTTCCTTCATGCGGACCGTCTCGGCCACTGGAGGGTAAATATATGCTTGAGAGATGACTTGCATCACACACATGGTTCCAAATGTGGCCATGGACTTTTCAAGTACATACCACCAGTTGATACGCTCCTGTCGGGGGTATTCGAGTTCGTACACCAATGTCGGGAGAATGGTCCAGTCGGCAAAATTGGTAGATGTCAAGTTGTTTGGGTAGGCCTTCTCGTCAGATTGCGCCTTGCCTTTGAGGTCCTTATCCAAGGCAGTGATCTCTTCCTCGATAATGCGCTGGAAGGCCTGCATTTGATCTTGGGTCAGAGGTTGACCGGATTCCATAGCGGTTGCAACACTAGCCACATCTGAAGTCTCGTTGTCGAGATTAGTCGAGGTGCGGGTAGCCACCGGACGACGTTTCTTGTCATTCGAATCCACTCTCTCCAGGGCACTAGTCACTGCGGGACTGATAGACTGAGGACTAGTTGGTACAGATCCGATAGGCTTCGTATCGCGGAGGTCGCGCAACTTCTCTCTCAACATGTTGCGCCGCCTGTAGAGAACTGAGAGGTGTCCATTGTAGAAGCCATAACTATGTTGCTTCATGAGGAAGACCATAGTATGGAGAACCATGAAGATGGTATGAGACCAAGGCCACTCGCGGTAAAACATCCACCAAACGACAGATCCTAGGAAGAAGGTCTGCCAGACGTTCTGAATGATCCATCCTGACCGATTCCAGCTGATGTAGTTTTTGACAATGGCCTTCTGCAGCAAGAAGCCTAACGCCGACGAAAAGACCATGACAGCATCGGTGACACCCAAGACCAGGACGTCGTGACCGAACATGATCTTAAAGACCTCGTTCCCGCCAAATATGCTCCCATGCTCTTTCCAATTGTATGCCGAGACCTTGAGGAACATGAGGACCATGGCCAACCAGAACAAGGTAAAGAAGCCATGGAAGGGCGACTCTGCGCTCAGAGGGTTCTGTCGGTCAAAGGTGGTGAATTGGCGAGTGAAGACCAGATCGCGGAGGCTTCTGGCTTTCTTGGATGGATCTTGCGATGCTTCTTCTCTTTCCATACCCTTTCTAAGGATATCGCGGACGTCGGGATCATCGGCAGTAAGGATGTAGTGACCTTTTCGGTCGGTCTTTTCGAGGCGGATCTGAATGCTCTTGCGGCGAGAGTCTGGCGATTGTTGGCGGCTTGGAGCCGTCGACTGTCTTCTGATATGACCCACGCCTGAGGTAGATGGCTTGAGAGACAGATCTTGGTCTGACTTGTCGCTTGTAATGGTCTGGCCTAGATGACCGCCGCTGCTACCATCGATGATTGTGTCTGGGTCGAGCTCGATCTTGTCATAGTCTTCGACATCTTCATCGGAGGTCAAGGAAGTTGAGGATGAAGTATTGGACGTGTCGACGTTCTGAAGATAAGCCGTCTCTTGGTGACGTGGCTTCAGAGAAGCAAAGCCATCTTTCTGTATGCTGCCCACCAGTTCTTGGGCATCCAACGTATTGTTTGTCTTTAGACCAGGACGACGGCTTCCTCGAGCCAGTCCGTCCATGATGAGCGAGAATTGTCGTCAGTGGAGATGAGAGGAAATGATGGTTGATAGGATGAAGGGGTGCTTAGGGTGAGATGAGGGAGGCTAGGGTTAGTGAAGGAAGAAATGGCTGGACATGTCACGATGTGATCAGTTTGCCAGGGGAACAGGGCAGCCCACACAGAAGAGTCTGTGTCAGACAGTCATATACGGGGCTTCGTTTACGGTGGACACGCCGGAAATTCGACCTCATGCGCGAGTTGGCAAGGACTGGGTCGGAAGAGTTGCTACTTTTCGCTGCTTGGCTGACGATCAGGAATGACGCAGCCTGACGAATGATGCTGAAGCTCCTCGCCTAGGAGTTACATCCCGGGCCTCGGTCGAACTCACCACCTGGCGATTTGTTTCTACGCGAAGATTGTTGTCACAGCAAGAGATGATGCTATGTGCGGGTATCATGTAGTCTATCTGCAGCAAATCTTTGTGCATCCAAGACAGCAGATACATGGCATGCCGTGTACAGACTTGGCCAATCAAGGGTCTGATTCAGGGTCTTCCGACAATCACGTCGGCAGCTTCAGCTTCTGTGACAAACTTTGAAAGGAAGCTCCCCGCATCATAAGCCGCTTTTTTGTTCCAGCAGAAAAACCGTAATCATCCATATCGCGACTTTTGCTCAGGAAACAATCAAAACTTACATCAACATGGCCGATCCTCAAGCAATGGAAATCGATACGGATACCACCGATCAGGAGATTCTCCTCGCCGCTACCAACCATGATCTCGACTCCCTCCGCCGCCTTTTGCGCACCCCCAAGGGCTCAGCAAATGTTGTCGACTCTGATACTGGCATGACTCCTCTCCACGCCGCCATTGCTGCTTGCGAGGCCGACGAAGACACCGCTCAAGACAAGATAGACATGGATGTCGACGAGGCCGCCACTCTCAATGACACGGCTCTGGAGGAAGAGGAGGCTCTCAAGACTGTCAAGCTCCTTCTTGAAAACGGCGCTATCTGGAACGATCTGGACGACAACAACGAGACCCCCGGGTGCTTGGCTCTGCGCTTGGGTCTAAAAAAGTGCTATGAGGCCATGGTCGAGGCTGGTGTTCGTGCCGAGTTACTTCTCAGCCGTCTGGATGGTTTCGAGATGCTGGCACAATACGAGGACGATAGCGAAGAGGAAGAGGAGGATGCTGAAGGCTTCGAGATCATTGAGAATGAGAATGGTGATTCACTACAAGCTTCCATGGTCGAAGTCGATGAGAGCGCGCCCGAGCTCGTTGGTCCTGACGGCACCGTGCCTGGGGCCGAGAGTGTCCCCGAGCTTGTTCAAATCGATGAGAACGGCCAGGAGACCAAGGTTGATGTCAACAGTGAAGACTACCTCGCATCAGAGCTCACATTCAAGGGCGACAGACTTCTGGACGCCGACAAGAACGGTGTCATGATGTCTTGGGAGACCGACATCATGCTAAAGACCGTCGATCGTCTCTGCCCTGAACGTGGACTTCGCGTCCTCAACGTTGGTCATGGTATGGGTATCATTGATGGCATCTTCCAGGACAAGAAGGTTGCTGTCCATCACATCATTGAAGCACATCCCGATGTCCTCGCCCGCATGCGCAAGGACGGCTGGTACGAGAAGCCTGGCGTCAAGATCCACGAAGGCAGATGGCAAGACGTTGTTCCTCAGCTTGTTGAGGAGAACCAGGTCTTTGATGGCATCTACTTCGACACTTTTGCCGAGGAGTACAAGGCTTTGAAGGAGTTCTTTACTGAATACGTCATTGGTCTTCTTGATCCTGAAGGTCGCTTCGGTTTCTTCAACGGTCTTGGTGCCGACAGACAGGTCTGCTACGACGTTTACACCAGAGTTGTCGAGATGGACTTATTTGATGCCGGTATGGACACCGAATTCGAGGACATTCACATCCCCGATCTCGACGAGCAGGGTGAGTGGGAAGGTGTCCGCCGTCGCTACTGGGCGTTGGACAACTACCGCATGCCTACCTGCAAATTCGTTGGTTGAGTCAATCGCCGTATCAAAAAATTGACCACTTGCGTCGGGCGTACACGACTTGGCTCAAGATTCATCTTCGCCCCACGCAGAGATCAAGTCATTGCTTGAATGGCTGCTTTCGTCCAGCACTTTCTCCGCTGCCTCTTTGCCAGTCACGGGAAGTCTTTGGAGACCCCTCCTCTTCATGTCACCAGGCACAAGTTTGGGATCGAGCAATCCTATTTGAACCAGCACACTTGCTTGGTCCCAGTACAACTGCTCATGCCATAACTTGCCGCCGCGGATGCTGACGATAGACACCACAGCCACTTCAACCGACTTGTTCGTCGGGGGGACGTCTGGCAGTATCCTAAATATCATATCAGAGCGCTATGTCGTATTGTTCACAATGGACGAATACTCACCAAGGTACCGCCTGTGTATGTCTGAACGAGACGATCATTTCGTCCACCACTTTCTCAACACCAATTGTGCGACTGAGTAGACGCAATTTGAGACTTGGTGGATTGCCGGGAAGAAAGACATTTCGATAGAAACGATCGAGCTCGTCTCGTCCGATGCCACCTGTCATAGTAGGCACGGCGTTGACATAGGGCACCTGGCTCAACATAAACGTTGCCATCTTAGCATCTTTATCCTCGAACCTGTCTGCACAAACGTCAGTGACTTCCACCTTGTAACATCTTTCCAAGAGACACATACACTTATTCCATTCATCCACAACACCTTCTAAATCAACCTCCACGCCAAACCCTTTTCTCAATGCTCCCAATGTCCTGCTCCAACTCAATCCTGCGGCAACTCTATCATATTCTTCCAAATCTCTCTCTGCAAATCCTGGATATGTATCAGGATACACATAGGTCTTGAAAGTCGAAGCGCCAAAAGGTTGAATAGAAGCAAGATGACAAAGCAACGAGAGATGAACAGGATATTTGTGCTTTGGAGACGGCAGAGCAGTAGGGTAGTAGCAAGTCAAAGACATGCAATGAGGAAGAGGTTTTTGGGCGAGCGTGAGGATGTGAGTTGCCGCTTCACCGAATGCTGAAAACACGTCAATTCGTGGTCATAGAATTAAGGGGAAGGAGCAAAGTAGGATCACCTATTATAGCATAGTTCTGACCTAATTCTAGATCATCTGAGAAATGCTGTACTGTCCATTTGAAATCTTTGATGTCTCCTGTGGAAGGAATGTATGTCACATTAAATCCCTCCTGTCGAAGATGTTTGAGAAATACGCGATCGAATTCTGTGTCGTCAGACAAGACATGTACACGAGGAGACTTGCTGTTAAATGTTAGAAAGCCGTGGTGAAGTTTGTTCCAGGTGTGTTCTTCTGCCATGATGTCGAGATTATACACCCGTGAGTACTACTGAGAGAAGCAGTCAGAGACTCACATCGCTGAGGTTGACATGATCTTTGTCTTATATCGTGATACGGAGTATGGTCTTTGCGTCGCTCGATCTTGATCAGGGCTGGCGTGGTGATGAGAGCCGGATCAGGCTTCGGATGTCGCGTTTCCGTGATCCGAAAGAAGAGGTTCGATCACTAATTGTGGACTATCAGGTGAGTGACATCAATCTTTCAAGTTAATTGCCAAAGATTAATGAACCACTCGCACAATGGAAAAAGGTGAATGAGCAGGATATCGAGACGAGGATATTGCGAGGATCGAGAAAGAGCGTCATGAAATCTTGGCACACGAATCAGTCGAATGTCTGTCGTGCAATTCGCAAACACACTCTGCTCAAGTGAGATTTGGACAACGGAATACACGATCTTCATACTTATCCGCTGCTACAGAATTTGACGGGAGCATCCAAGCTTCCCCATCGCGACAGAACATCTTGTTCCGTGTGTGCTGCCAGCTGAGGGTCTTGTCGAAGCTGCAGCAATTCTATGTAGTTCTGCCATCCTCGCCGTCTCCTCACCATACGCATGACTCCGTTACCACTCGCTTTGCCTACGTATGACAAGGCGATAGCCTGCGTATGATCTGCAGAACCTTTTTGACCACTGACACTTTCAAGGTGTTCCAATTGCCTCAGGAAAACAATGGCCTCTTCATCTGGCGCCGCGTCGCTGTCTCTCCAACCTCTGCGAATGGATCTGGCCAACCCCTTTAATGTGTGACTTGGCAATCCCAAAGTACCAGCCACGCTCTTACAAACAAGGCCTCCGACAACACGGCCTACACCCTTTACAAGACCGACCGCACCATCCTGTTCGAAGCCATGGATCGGCTGGGTCACAACACCGGTCTTCGCGTCGTGCAGTCCAAAGCAGACTTCCTCGGCTCCTGCTTTCAGACCTGATCTGATGCCAGTGATCTCGTTCCTCATACGGACAGTCCGATCTCCCATTGAATGAGCAGGCGCGTTGTGAAAGCCATTCGTTACATTGTATAACAGATCAATCGGGAACTGCAGAATCTTGCCGCCGATACTGGCCCCGAATCTGCCGATGCTTTTGAGAGTGTTGCCTGATCCGTCAGTAGCAACCTGGCCGTCGAACAGGACTTTCGGAGCAACGCTATCTTTCGATGTTGGTCCTTTTATGTCTCTGTTCAATCTCGAGACGCAAGTTTTGTAGCCAACGGCCGTCGAACCGAGTGTGGCCAGAGCGCCGATGAGTGGATCTTGGGCGCCTTCTTCCACATACCAGCGGTGTTTGCGTAGGGGCTTGAGAGACTTTCGGTCGATCTTGTTGTGATCAATGAGAATGCTAGCTCCTAATGCGCTCAATTGGATATTAGTGTGTCGCACTCGCCAGACAGCAACTCTATCGGGGATTAGGAAGCAGTTGAGGATTTGCATCTGTTCAGTCGCATGGAACATTCCGGCTGCCGTCTTTGTGCCCGTTTCGCTTCGAATCAGATCGCTGAGCTCCTTTGCTCGGTCCTGGACTTGAGGTTCCAGAGCTTGTGTAATCTGACTTGCTAGCTTTTCTGCCGTCAAGTCCTTGTATCTTATCGGTGATGGACCAGTACCAGCACGCGCGACCATCTCTCCCCAGAATGGCTGGTCGCCAAAGAACGGAACTACTACTGTTGGTTTTCCCAGCGCTATACCGATGGCCATCGTTCCAGCACCGCCATGGTGAACCACTGCGGAACAGCGCGGAAAAAGCCAGTCGTGCGGTACATTGCCGAGCAAAAAGACATTTTCCGGAATGTCTTTGCCTCCAAGGTTGCCCCAACCTTTGGAAACAAGAGCGCGTACTGTGAAGAAAGTCAGTTTGCCGCTGCCTTTGCATCGATGGGGCCGAAACACTTACCTCCTGATAGTCGCACAGCTTCGAGTATCATATTTGTCATTTGATCAGGATCGTCCACTACAATTGATCCGAAACCAATATAGACCGGTGAAGGTCCGGCTTCCAAGAACTTGGACAATGCTTCGTCCGGTTGGAATGATGATTTTGCTGTTTCCAAGAAGAAGAATCCACTAATGCCGATGTTAGAGCCCCAATCTTGAGGCTTTGGTATCAATGCTGGAGACCAGCAGTAAGTAAATGGGACTTTGAGCTGTGGAAGCAATTGGTGACCCCAGGCAGCGTGGAGCGGGTCGAGAGCAAGAGTGTTTACCCTGAAATCATTTACAAGGTCGATAAGACCTTCCGAAGTCAGCAGCTCCATAGCGTAGTAAGACAGATAATTGGCCATCTTGTTATTGCTAGCACCTGACTTGACGTTGGTAAGGGGGTGGGGAAATGCTGTGGTTGGGCTCCAGGGCATAGTAAACATCATATGTAAAGGTACGGATAGTCTTTCCGCAATATGGATATTTGCATATGCTGGTGGATTGCTGATGATGGCATCGGCTATGAATGGATCTGGCAGCGAGGTTGTTGAATCAAGGCTTAGGGTCTTCGTGGCCGGTAGGTTGATAGAGTCAACCCCGTTTCCCGCCTCTGTACACGCTCTCCAGCAGCCGTCTAGCATCTCAGCAATCTCAGCGCGTCGTGCGCCCACATCGCCGGCTTTTCTAGAGGCTTTAGTCGGCAGAACGCCCGGGTTACGTACCATATACGACATGAGCTTCTCTGGATCACCCCCGATTGCGTAGTATTCGAGGCCGTCCGATTCCACGAAAGTTTTGAACACCGGGTGGGTGCAGATTCGGACGCGGTGGTTATACGGAGCCGCCTTTAGCACTTGACCGAGAGCGATAAATGGCTGAACATCGCCTCTACTTCCAACGATCAGGATTGCGATGTTCATACGTGGCGAGCCTCGAAAACCATCGATAATGGGCTTGAAGTCATCTTGACGTTGGTGCCAATTGAGTCTCGCGAAGTTTTTCCTAGTATGTGCCGTCTCGTGCTGGGAGTCGCCCAAGGAATCCTTGCTCTCTTGGGAAAGAAGAGTTTGTAGCTGTGCTACTGCTGTCGTACTAATGGAAACGTTGAATCGACCGTCGTCTGCGGGGAGGGCCGCTTTCTTGTCAAGGGGAATTTTGTACTTACGCTGTGAGAACGAAATCGGGGACATTGTAATAGCGGAAGGTGCAGCGGGTGTGCAAGTCAAGGCGCAGAAATGTGATGCTCTTTATTAGAAGGGCGATTACTCCCTGAGCATTATCGTAATTGGCCAAGCGCGATACTTTGTCGTCTACAGGATCTCCATGGTCTTGAAACTCAGATCGATAGCGTTCTTTCGGCCCGTTGGTTCTGTACTGAGCATGCTGGACGATTATCGAGGAATTACATTGAGTAGGGACTGGTTGCCAATGTGAGCCAATGCAACGCTCTATGAGCCGCCAGCTGACGGTTCAGTGTACCGTTATTGTCGCTGGAACAACGCTTGTGACAACGGTGTCAAGATATAGTCCGCCCAAGACCGAGGTACGAAATGCTAGCAAGAAGGTGGACTGGAGAACTTGGGGGTGAAAGCTGTGGAAGCTGGGACCCTGAATTAGCCCCCACAGATGTTGGTCCTCAAACGGTTTAGTTTTGAGTGGGGAAGATCCTTGAACGAGAAAGCCTATTTGCGATCTGTGAACTAAAATCTGTTATCAAGGTATGAGCAAGGGACCTCGAAAAGAACCGATGAAGACAATCTCACAGTGCTGAGCTCATATAGCGCTACGGCTAAGTAGTGTGCTTTACCTCGGCGCAGATCTGGCTGATTGGCTCATCTGCGATTGACATCATCCATTGTGGGCCACTCCCTATTGGTTCGAGAGGAACGCGACTGGTAGTGGCAATTTGCTTCAGCTGAGAGAGAGGATACGACCATGGCGAACAGTTCTCGGGTTTGGGCTGATCCCCTCAGAGCCTACATGTTCATTGCTACTTGACACCGACCCAGACATACAACGTTCGCTCCCACTCCCTCACCTTCGTATTCCGAGCCTATACCATCTGTGGTGCTGCCTATTGGTCGGCACAAATAGATTTATCAGGACCTGATTCGAGTGCCAAGGACAGCGGTGGAGGCCGTATGCTAAGCGTCGCAAATCAGCTACTCAACTCGAATCCACAGCCAGGAATGTAGCGGGCAACCGGCACCGCTATTGCCCACGCACCGAATCTCACTGATCTACGCTCTCCTGAGACTGGTGGGGAAAACATCGTCTTCGACAGCCACGGTCACAGTGCTCGCGAACGCGAGCTCGAAAATCGTATACAATGCACGTAGACCAGATCCAACACTATACCAGACGAGTCAAAAGTCTGGAGTACTGCAGCCGTGGGTTCTAGCATACAGCAGCAAGCTGATCTACCTCCTGTGGAAAAACTACCATGGACCGTTGCCATCAAGCACGGATTTGCTGCTGCTGCCAAGCTTGTCCTGTCTCCAACAGGGTTCTTGATAACCTTGTATGGTCTAAACGTTATAGCCTGGGGTGCAATGCTGTTCTTATTGTTGCTCCATGCCGCTCCCGCCATGAATCCCTCGGACAACGGCAATGCCGACTCGGCTCCTGTAAGATCTGGCTGGAGATCGATTCGCAAATCCTGAACGCCCTGTTTTGTCTAACAGCCTTTGGACTAGCTTCGTGGCGCTTCAGGGATCTCTACTGGATCACCTGTTGGAGACTGAATACTGGCTCGAAGCATGGTCACGGTCCATTGAAAAAGTTGGCCGAACGCAACAGCGACTGGTTCAGGATGGGCAACAGACGTGGCGAAGAACACCTAGAAGACTCGAGGATTATATCCACGGGGCGAACATGCACCTCCAACCAAATTATGGAAGCTTGATCCCATGGTTTGGTTGATGGCATTTAACACGTTTTTCCAAATAGGCATGGCCTTCTTCATGTGGCACTGGAATCGCATAGACCGTCCGGGGTGGGGCGCAGGAACTTTTATTGGCCTCGGATGTGGTGTGAGTCTTGCTGCAGGGATACTTGCGTGGTGGGAAGCAAGGAAGATCAAGCTTATCGAGGGCCCTAAGATATTGGCACTACCGAAAGGAGTTGAGAGCAATAGGGAACAGAGCCCGTGATGACTTCTCAAGGATATGTTGGCGATTACGATCATATGTCACACTACTACACGGCCACAAGATCCCAGCCAGACGTCGAGCCTGTTGCCATTGATTACGTGGTACAATGCGGTGATGTGTTTGGTGGAGCACTGCCATGTCCCAATGGTCACCGGATATTCAGTCCATCGATACCTTGCCTGCAAGCTCGATGTGATACAATCTTCAGAACTCGCACACCTACCGTCTCGAATCCAGGAAGTTCTTCCGGAAGAGCTGTCAGGAACTGGTTACTACCTAGTTTCAGTGCAAGCATGTTGATGCCTCGCGGGTTGACGTCCTCGAGAAAGTTCGCTGAACATATCACCCTGGCCGAGGCCACCCGCGGACTCCGACGCTACACCCCCCACGTTCTTGTTTAGGTTCAATTCCAGAAACGGTATAGCTCACAACTTTCCGAAAATCCCGAGGTTCTCGATCACGACTGCTCAACCACCGATTGCACCATTCTCTTATCGCTACAAAAACATCGACTGCATTGGCAACGCAATATTCGGGCATAACGATCCCGAATCTCGCGGTCCGATGGCGCGATGATATGCGATGACTGAAATGCGCAAATTCTGCAGCTGTACAGTGCAAGAGGAGCAAGGAGGTAAGCATGCGTGGCCTGCTGCCTATTCTTAAGTACCGTTCGTATCCTTCCAACCTTAAAACGGCTTCATTCATACCCCCACGTGCTCGTTTACGGTCAGTCTCCTTTTCTTGAAGGCTTGGATTGTTTCTTGTCTTGTCTTGACATTCAGCCATGACTACCCGTCCAGGAGTAGAGGTGCCGCTGGCCGCGCCCCAGGATACCGCAGAACAGGAGACCACCCCATTATTGAGCCAGGGAAATATCAATGACGACTTGGAAACACAACAGCAAGACTCAGTGTCAGAAAGTCAGCAAGAGCAGTCCAAGCGATCTGTCTTTGGCATCATCTCGGTTCTATTAATCGGTGTCTTTGTTTCTCAAGCCGATACGACCCTGGTCTTCGCAACATACGCACACATCACGTCCGAATTTATAAGATTGGGAGGTGGCAGCTGGATTGATGGCAGTTGGATAGTGACGAGTTTTGGTCTGGCCACTTGCGCTACGCAGCCCATGTATGGACGCCTCAGCCAGATCTTTGGAAGGAAGCCAATCCTGCAGATTTCTTATACCCTTTTCCTTGTCGGCACTGCCATTGCTGGAATCGCTAGAAATATGGAACAGATGATCGTTGGACGCGTCATACAAGGTGCTGGAAGTGCTGGCATGGTTTCTATGGTGTCTATCCTACTCACTGGTATGTCAATTCTGATGTTGTATCACTGCACGTACTCACTAGCCACCCAGATTTGGTACCGCTCCATGAGGTTGCAGCATACAGGAGTTACGTCAATGTCTTCTCTACAGTTGGAAGAAGTTGTGGAGGTCTGATAGGTGGCTTTCTATCCCAGACTATAGGATGGCGATGGTGAGTGCCAAGGAACTAGATTTTGGTTCGCAACTCACATATCATAGGGCTTTCATCGGACAATGTCCACTCTTGCTGCTCTCTATCGTCTTGGTCTGGTGGAAGCTCGAGGAACCGCAGCATGATGTCGAGCTCAAGCAAAGCATTTGGACAAAATTAAAACGCATCGACATTGTTGGAGCTTTCTTCATGTCCGTCGCTATCTTGGCGGGTATCACTGCCCTTGATCTTGGAAGTAAAAAATCCAGTTCTTCTGTGGTCATCAGTTTAGTCGTGATTGGCGTCATCGCTGCGATACTTTTTGCTCTCGCTGAGAAGTTCTGGGCAAAAGAGCCGATCTTTCCTCTAGAACTCCTTGGAAAAGATGCAGTAATCACGTCGTACTCGATCATCTTCATCCAGACCGGTATACAAGTAGCAGTAAGTCAGGTTTCACAGTTCTCGCAATACATGTACTGATCATTTGTTCACAGCTCATGTTCCTGGTGCCTCTATACTTCCAGGTAACTGCAAACGCAAGTATGGGGGAAGCTGGCGCCCACCTTGTTCCTGCCGTCTTTGGCAATACTCTCGGCGGCCTTGCTGTTGGTGCATGGATCAAGCGGTAAGCATACGAATATGACATAGTCTTCGTCCACTGACGACGCGCTAGTACTGGCCGCTACAAGCCGCCGACTGTTCTGGCTAGTCTGTCTGCCATGCTTTGTTTCTCTCTCCTTCTCATCATTTGGCGAGGCCACACAAGCACCGCTGGCTCTTTGGTGATTTTCTTTGGCGGCTGCGCGTCGGGCATGGCAAACTCTGCTGTCTTTGTCGGGTTGACTGCGGGCGTCGAGAAAAGCCAGATGGCTATTGCAACCACTGGGATGTACCTCAGCGCAAACATCAGTATGGTGGTAGGTGTCAGCGTTGCTAGTGCAATCTTCCACTCTGCATTACGGTCGAATCTCCACAGAATGTTGGGCAGGGTGGTAGGAGGAGACGAGGTATGTATCATGGTCTACTTCGGGAGCAGTCCGTGGTTAATATTCTCTAGATCGCTCGAAAAGTACTATCGGATGTTGCGTACGTGCAAACACTGCACGGTCCTCTGCACCGATTAATCATTCGTGCATTCGTGGCGAGTTTCCGGAGAACTTTTGGTACGTGCTCCAACAGAAATTCAAGAAGTGTTCAGCTAATTCGATTCCTACAGCGGTACAAATCGCCTTGGCAAGTACGGCGCTGGTTATTGGTATACTGTCAAAGCAAAGAAAAATCACTCGCTAAATTTCGGAATGTTGTTCCTGGCTTCGAGAAATTACTCAGATGGTATGTAAACCAGAATACTGAGAAGACTCATATGCACTCTGACGCATCTCAAACGACCCACGTTCTTCGGTATGACTATCAAATAACATTCGTGCCTTCTTGTCTTTTCATTGCTCTCTTCCGAAATCAATTTACAGCTTATCATCTGTGCAAAATTTGGTAGTAGCCATCCAGCAGCCACATCAAATATGCAACTCTGGCGAATTGAGAAGACAAAGAATAGCTTCGGTCCACTAGCTTCTGTCGCCAGGCGCAATCCTCGATATCTTGACTCCAGACTCCATGAATAGCTCTGAGACTGGCTGTCAAAAGGCAAGATCATTTTCCAGATCTCACAGATTGTTGACGGAGAGGGGTGAGCCAGAGGCAAATGGGTTCATCGAAGTACGACTCCCGCAACCATCGACAGGTCGTACAATGGCCATGGAAAGGCAGAGTGGTTTTGACATCAACAGCATTGTCCAGTGAGAGCAGGTTAGTCATCGGGTCCTATGATCATTGCTCCACATCTCAAATTAATCATGCATATCGACAGCCCACTTTCTAGTAGCAACGCTACTGATAGGAGGGAGGCTTCGAGGTCCTGCATTGGTACGCCTAGGCTCATAACGTCGACGAACCTGTGCTCCATACGCTTAGCATATCTCCAGGACGAAACGAAGGATGATTACTGAATTGAAGCCTCTCACAAGGGTAAGCTCGGTTGACGTTCTATGCTTGTAGCGGACAGCCTAACATATTCGTCAGGTTGCCTGCGGCGTTCATATGGTCGAGCCTTTCCTTCATTCGGTCAAAGCGTGTTTCACTTTGACGAACAAGCATCTCTGTACTGAAGTCTCTCACAAGGCTGACTTTTTTCGATCACTTCGTCGCTCACATAATTAAGAGTGGCTCTCGGAAATGGACCGGAATGTTCTATCGCGAGCAATGACCACCCAACCCGGGTACACAAGCCTACCGCTCTTCCTTTTAGACTATCTCCAGCGCATCGACATTGCATCGAGACATCATGGTTCACGTCCTCTTCAGAAACAAGAGAGTCGCCGTCCGCGACATCGACCTTAGCCAGATCACCAGCCTTGAGAGTGACCCTCAGCACCGCCCTTCTGCCAAGTCGAAGTACATTCCGGTTCCTGACTCCGTATTTCTCGAGCTCCTCACTTCCTCCTTCAACAACCATGAGACCGCAGGATCGATGGTGGCAGAACTCAGTAAGCAACGCGTGCTGGAGATGCCATACTGATCTTATCGACTGATACCCGGTGCGTTCTCAGACTGTGACCGTGTCCGCTTCGTTGGCGGTCTTCCCCCTGGCTTTGCCTGCTATGAGGCTCCTCCCAAGGATGGAAGACACGACCGCTACATCTACGGTCACCACGAGAGCACCCGCAATAGCTTCCACGCCGACAAGCTCTTCAGATCATTCTCTTCGTTCGTTCCTCACGTCTACTGGATCATCTGCGACCAGGTCGTGATCGGCAACCTTCCCAGAGGCTGCAAATGCTTTCACTGTGTCGCACAGAGAACACCCGCACCCGTCAACGCTTGAACGGTAAGTATCACGCTTACATACATGCCAGATATTGGTGATACTAACAGAACCATAGTCAACATCACCATAACGAAGCAGCCAAAGGTTGTGGGGTCGGATCATACCAAACAAGCAATACGTACTGCTTCTCAGATGTCGGAGGAGTAAAGGATCGTAGGAATTCGATCATAACAAGTAGATTGAACAAGCAATACATTCTCATTCTCATCACTTATAAATCTGCTTCTCGATCCATCATAGTAATGTACAGAGTGATTGAATTACTGCAGTGACGCGCTCAGAGAGCACACGGTTCTCAGCTTTGAACAACGATGACAACCTGTACCGCAAACACATCTAAAATGGAGAGAGGTTCCCTTGCTATTTCTCGATCATCGCTGTCATAGTTGCCAAAACTATTGTGCATCTTTCCAATCAAGGAAGGAGTGGTACGTACAATTAGAAGTATTATTTGCGCTCCTAGCGGCTTAATTCCGATATGCTGGCTTCTTCACCATGCACTGCTCAATATACCTGTAAAGATGTAAAATGATTTGCAAACTACTAGACACTGCATGAGAGAGGCTTCAGCTCATACCATCTCAGTAAGCATTGCAACAGGTTTCGGGATGCTGTATATCTTTCCTGCCAGAGCTTCTCATTTGCTGAGCACTGTTCGGACTAGATCTGCTTTGTGGTCTGTTATCTTTCCTCTTCCTCCGCAGGGACCACCACAAACAGTGCACCCGACTTGCGCCCTGCACGAAGATGGCTCAACCTCAAAGCGTCCAGATCGATCTCAGCCGACTTCCACACAGCAATGGGACCTCCGCCACTGCTGGTCACAGACCTGGCTACACTCTCATGCCTGCTGGGCCTACCCTCGATCGCTTGACCACTCTCTTCAACAGTGACCAAAACCGTATCGCACGCTGGAGTTTCTCCGTGAGGGCGATTTCAAGCTGGATACCGACAAATTCCTCAAGCTTCTCACAGACAGATTCAACAACTTCCTTGAACAAGCTCAGGCCAAGGAGGACTACGAGGTCCTGGACAAAATGAGTACGTGTATCCAAGTATACTCTTAGACTTTGACTGATCAATATACTTTGTAGACTGCGAAAGTGTCAAGTTCTTCGGAGGCTTGCCACCTGACTACAACTGGGTTGGTCATAATCGCGACAAGATGGTCGAGGGCGAGGCCACCATCCGCGTAGAGAAGATGATCGAGGGACATGATGTCTTCGAGTTCCGTTCGATCGAGTCCTTCGTTCCGCACGTCTACACCTTGCTCGTTGGCTATGATCCCAGCCCCGAAGGCAAGCAAGACGAGTGTATGTGCGAGGTCTGTCAAAGATGCAATGTAAGTGATGCGGTAAACACAAAGGCATGTATGCACACTAACGCCTGGATAGTGAAGCTACCGTCGCGGCTATTGCAGCCATCGCAGCCATCATAGCCACCTCAGACCTATGTCCATCATCCTCATGACCAGACAACCCCTTGCTAGATCTCAGTCAGGGACCTTGAATGAATAATGAGCCACTATGCTCGCTTATACTGGACGCCTTTAGTCTACAGCCATTCTGCATTACACACTCATTTGTTGTTTCCACTCTTTCTCTTCCTACAGACGTGGATTTGAAGTATAATTTCTGTGACCCGTGTGACTTATCGACATCCTATGCCTAACTTACATCTACTTGTCCTTGACCTGGGACTATACATCCCAGTTGAGGTTCATACAGTCAAGGTTGGAGGGGCCAAGGGCTGATATCTCGATGTACCGTGGTGGTGCAGAGCAAACCGAGTAAGGTTGCAGTGATTCCTAAACATCTATTCATATAGTCAGACGATAGAAAAAGCCTGACTCGAACAGTTGAGATCGCAAGAAATATCAGGAACACTCGTCCGGACATACCATGACCTCTGCTTGCTGCTATAAGATGGCCCCAGACTTCGCATGTCATGAAATACTTCTCTTACGCATATTTGTAACAAGAAAATGATATTGCAGCTCGTACTCATTGTATTCCTGTGCTCAATCATGTCGTTTCTGTGCGTGCATCATCGTGTCCCGTCAGTAGCCTTGTTGCCATTCATCTTACCAAGTGTTGCTGCTGTCCATGATCCTTCAGCTCAGGGGTTCGTCTCGCTGACTTGCTTCTGCTATCGTTTGAGCAGCTAGGTCGAGATTTCCATCGCAGGCACGATGATGCACAAGTGTCGTGGACCCTGTGTTGAGAGCTGGAAGTGCCGGTTGTAATTTCCACTCATCCTGTGCATGGTCTCTTTTCATCCGCCGACTATATTACGCTCCACAACTCTACGCGAGAGTGCTCCGCCATGGCTCAGCCTCAGCCCTTCCCAACCGACCTCACCCACTACAACAGCGATGGTGTTGTCACAGTCATCCCTCCAGATCATACTGCCGTGCCAATCCAGCAGTTCCTGGCATCCTTGAACAGACGTTGGCGTAATGCAAAGAACACCGGCCTCGTGCAGCAAATTCGTGGGTCAAGTCTGCTCGACACGCCACATGGGAGCATGCTAACAATGTTTCTACAGCTTGGTTCCCTGACTTCATTAACGGCGCCCCTACTCACTACACACTTCAGAGTATGCGGTCTGGCAATGCCATTGTCTTGAAGGTGTTTGGTCACCCTAGCGGTCGCTACTTCCGCTCCATTGACACATTCTTGATCCACGTCGTCAGCATCATGGTTGGAAATGGCTTTGCCAACTGCAACTGTGGGCTCTTTTGAGCCTGCCACACGAGTTCTTATCCAGCAAAGCTTTCTTGCATTGCTCCACGTCCCTTATTGTGCCCGATATGAGTATCATGCTGCCAGCCAGTAGCCTCAACAGCTCAGGGGCGAGTAAGCCGATCTTTCTTGTTATGTATCAAACTTGCAAATCCCAGAAATAGATCCTCAGGCCCCCAAGCAAGTCCATCTTTACTCGTCTTCCCTTTCGTTCGACATTATGGATGGCACGACTACTCTGCACAAACATAATGCAGCTCAGGGTATGTTGGTTTGGAGCGTTATGCACTGGTGGTTGGGTAATCGTTTGCTGCCCCACTCTGACAGAAGCTTAGAGTGCTCATGTCCCACATCAACAAGTCTGTTCTGTCTCCGATTTTTGACCAATCCTAGCCATTCCTTGCATACTCCAACCTACATCCTGGTAGAAGTGATTGATTGGGGGGTGTGATGACTCAAATGACAACTCAAACTTCTGCTAGTTTGATATCATCCGAGTTCGCTGTCCTGCTACAGCTCATTTCGATTGAAATCCAGATGGACCAGTCTCGAGAGAGCACCTCATCTCTGAAACCTCCTGTGCCCGACAATTATTGAGCAAGGCAACCGTCTTGGTCGTAGCCTCTGCCTAGTCGTACGCAAGTCTACCACGTGGTCATGGTGCTATACGTCGAGGATTCCAGGCTGTCAAACCGACCATTGCGGTCACGACGGTGTACGAGAACGACATGTGCCCGCGACGGAAGAAGAAACTCGGCAGGCTTGATTTATTGGCTCAGCTTAGAGTCCGGCAGTCTTCTTTCTGCTTACACGCAACTCCAGACGCGCGCAACTACGCCACAAGATTGCTCAACCGGCACAAGACCTCCTTGCCGTCGCTGCAAATGGTGACCTTGACCTCAGCACCCTGCTCAGCGATGGTAATGGCAACGGCCCCTCTGACCCCACCGGCCGTACCCAGCTCACCAATCAAGACGCTGAGCACCGCAGGTACCTGGAGACACTGGTGCAGGCCTTCAACAACGACACTCAGATGGAAGCCCAGTTTGGTCAGTCAAGCTATTCAGGAAATATCCAGGTGATGGACTGACGAGATATTCTTAGGCAATGTAAGATTCGTTGGTGACCTTCCTCGCGGTCACAGCGTGTGGTGGTACGTCAACAGAGGTGGCTGTCGTCCGAAGGGAGTCGTAGGTTGCCCTACCAAGAGCTACTTTCGCACCGCCGCCACTTTTAAGCAGCATGTTGGAGAGCTCATGCTTGCCAACCTCGCTAGAGAGACCAGTGTTCGTGACCGTGCGTGGCGCCGCAATGACAATACCGCCGCTGAGACTGTCCTCAATTGGAACATCGCCCATAGACAGTGGTTTACTCGGTACGGCTGGCCTTACCAATCTCTTGACCCTCAAAACCTTGCCCATGCTCATTACGCGGGCTGGTGACATATTGATGTTAACGCCGTTGTCCGGGCCATGCTAGTAAAGAGAACGCGATCGCCATTCCCACCTGCAACTGTTGAAGTGCTGCAGACAAAGCACTCGGTAATGAACCCGGGGAACGTATTGCTATCTACCCTTGCTCTTGTTCCCACATATATCAGAAGCTTACTTCCCACAGCCACAGTGCATACACGTCCAAAAGAGTTCCTGCCTCATTACAGGCCATGCTGTCTGGCATGGGCCTACTGGAGAGAGGAGATGGGTATATTCGACGAATAGCCTGGGTTACCAAGGCCTCAGGGAGCAACATCATGCTTCTTTGAGATAAAGAACATCAAAATTCAAAAACTCTACACCCCTGAGTCAATGATCGAGTCCCTTTTGCCGGTGAACATTATCTACGTCGTTTGCCACAAGAGGTACAGAACAATAGACGAGGAACAAGTGATTTCCTTGTCGAGTTTTCGTTCAGTGTTGTCACTCATGCAATCATCTATAGCCTTCCCATTGTCGACACCATTGTCATCAGTACGATGATACAAAACCCCGTCACCGACCCTAGAACGCTCCGGGAGTCGACCGCAGGCTACTTCACAGCTACTCTCTCAGCTCACTAACCTTCTCTTTTCGCCGTCCATCACGACAACCCTTCGTGACTACAACACAAAGATGGCTCTATCTCAGCAACAACCCGCTGAAGCCCTCAAAGCCACAAGATTCTCAGTAGTCTATGCTATTAAAGACATTGATCTGAGTGCCATCCCCTACCGTGCCCTTGGAGCTGGCACTGGCAAAGGTCCCGCAGATGAAGACAAAGACAAGAACGAAGAAACGTTGAGAAACGCAGACGACGACGACGAAAACGAGGACACAGACGAAGATGAAGAAGAAAGTGAAGAAGAACCCAAACACCACACCCTCATCCCATCCCAATGGTACATCGACAACCTGAACAAATACTGGAAACCCTCAAACACCCAACGCGTCGGTAAGACCTTCCCTCTTTTCCCCTCCCATTCTCGACCCACACACACACCCTGCTAACCTAGCCACTCGACAACAGGTTTCTTCCCAAATTTCATCGGCGGCCTTCCGCCAGGCTACTCTGGCTGGAGCTACCTGACTCCCAAAGGAACCATTGTTCGAAACTTATACGGCCATCCCAACGGTAATCTATTCCGCTCGGTACCGAGATTCATTCTCCATGTGGTGGAGATTCTGAGGCAGACTGCGCAGGGTGCTTGGCAGCTTGAATGTCGTTGTTTCGAAAGGGCTGTGGAGAAGTAATGAGGTATGTTTTTTGGATCTAGTGCGATGAATTGGGAAATGTGATCTGACTGTTTTTATAGGCATGAGCAACTACTACTGAGGCTACTGAAACTGCTGAGGCTGCTTCTTGATATTGATACATTGAGTTTTTTTTTCACATTGTCATTTACTTGAATGACTTTATCAGACATTGACAAAGATCGTCAATGCTACTTTCTTTTCTCCAGAAATCGATCCCACTTTCTTCCTTCCAGGAAGCCACATCAAATTCTAGAACTACCTTCCTGGCGTTTGACCAAAACATCCCTTCTTTGTACTTCTGTGATGTGATCTGCAAATTAATTTGTTGCCAGAAGCTACATCAGGTGGCTGCCAGTGATGAGAACGACAAGACCTGTGATACACTTCTACAACAGATCACCCTGAGCGAACTCTTCGACGAGTGCGAGTTCATGGTGCTTCCCGACAGTTTCCAGTACATGTGCTGTGGACACCCAATGGCGAGGACCATATAACATGTATTATTACCTTGTCCCTCCAGCATCACTGCTGCACCTTAAGAACAGAACGGTAGAAACACAGAAAGATGTTTGAGACGTGAGGCAGCGTGAAGGAAGAAAGATAAAACAACATTCTGAAATACTTCATATCTCAAAACACAACACTACAGTCCAGAATCAATCTGGTCCACAACAGCCCTCCCCGTGAACTCACCCCAATCCCTACAACTTTGCGCCATAACCCCCGGAATCTTCATGTCCCTCTTGATTTCCTCCGGTCTCTCCAAGATACTAACATATAACCCTGCAGATACGTGCCATGCAATATGGCAATGAAAGGGCCAGACTCCGGGGTTGTCTTGGTCGATTTGGAGGACCACGTAGGCGGGGGTATTGGCGTCTTTGGCGGCTTGCACCCAGATTGTGTCGCGACGTTGGGGGTTGGAGGGGTTTGTGACGGTGTTGTCGTATTCGCCGAAGCCTTCTGCTAGGACGTACCTGGGGCTGATCAGTACTGGCTAAAAGCACCTGTGAATCGTGTGAGACTTACATATTATGACCGTGCATATGCATGGGATGGCCACCAAACGCAAAGTAGTTGTAGACCACAAGACGAACGGTCTTGTTGGATCCAAAGTTCATGACGTTGTACTCTTCAGGAAAGTCGAGATTGCCAAGCTTAGCCTCCAAGAGGACTGGGTTGTTGTAGTCACCTCTGAAGCTGACGTTGTTGACAAACCAGAGATTGAAGTCTGTCTCGTTGGTACGGTACTCAATGATCAAGTCCTCGGTAGTGGATGGGTTGGGATCAGGCTTGATGGAAAAAAAGGGTTTTGTGACAGAAAGATCGTCGTTGTTGCAGTAAGAGAGTTGAGTTGTGGTAACCGAAGACTTGGAGGTGGGGATCGTGGTGTTGTCAGCGTCTTCGTAGTAAATTGCTGCGACAGCTTCGTCGACTGTGCCGTCGGTCAATGAGCAGTATTTTAGGTTGGAGCGCATCCAGACGCTATCCGTCGGTGAGCCATCGGCTTCAACAATGATGTCGGTCCGTTGGCCTATTGCCTTCATTAGTCTTGTACAAAGAGAGTTGGGGAAGATTAGACTTACCAACAGCAAGAGTCACAACCGCAACTTGATATGGCTCTACAGGTACAAAGTCGTTTGCGATAACAGTCATCGTGTGTCCGTCGATTGAAAACTTTTGCATGGCCTCTGCGCTCATGTTGATCAATCGTAGTCTATGCTTCTTGCCAGAGGTGAAGGAGAATTTTGAAACGCCGGCGTTGGCAGTGCAGTTGGTGTCCTTGTAGCAAGGAAAATTCATCTTGCCGTTGATGAGGTTATTGTTGGAGGCTGGCTGGGGAGTCTTGTCGGATGCTTTCGACATCGTTTGCTCGACGAGGGTGTAGTAATCTTCATGGTACCAGTCTGTGAGGATGACAGGTCCGACATCGATATCGTAGTCTACATTTTTGGGTCCGTAAATGATCATGGCACCAGCTGCGCCACCTGCATACTGCGCACCTGGTTCTCCGTTAGCAAGACCCATGACCAGATTCTCGCAAAGCTGAACGCACTGAAGTGGCTGTGATACCAGCTAGTACCATATAGATCTGCCTGGAAGACATAGGTGAACGACTTTCCGGGAGCAATTGGGCATTGCATAACTGTGGGGACGCCATCATACCATGGTGTTGCTTTCTGGAGCAAGCCTGGTTGGGTCAGCTTTTGCCAGGTTTTCAACTTTCGTCCACGCTTACCATGCCAGTGCATTGAAGTGCCCTCATCAAGCGAGTTCTTGACAGTTATGGAGACCATGTCTCCCCAATTCGCTTCGATAGTTGGGCCAGGGAATTGACCATTGACAAGGACACCATCCTTAAAGACACCATCTGGTGCAATCCGTCCAGCGGATATTTCAAAGTCGTAATAGCGGGTGACACCAGTGTTGGGCGTGTCTGTGTAGTAGTTTGTGTTGTTGGCCGTTGATTGACCCCAGGGAAAGCCGAAGGGAAGAGGTGTGCCGCCATCGGAGCGAAAGGAAGGAAGCCGAGGTGCATCGAAGCTTCCTAATACAGAATTGCCATCTTGCTCTTTCTCGCCCAAAGCATTCTCCAAAGATTGTATTCCATTGGAGATGAAGGCTGGGCTGTGAAAAGAGCCAGCATTTACTCCACCTAGCACATTTTTTGGTGGCTGTGCAGCAGGAGCAGCAAACGTTGCTTGGTTAGGCTGATAGATCTTCCGGAGACCATTGTCGGTGAGAGGAGAGAAAGAGAAAGCATGAAGGATAAGGCGACCCCAGGACACCATCGTGATAGTGATCAACGTAAGAAGAATAAGAAAGTATTAGATATGGCAGTCACCAGCAACTACAACGGAAGAGACTTCGACAGAGGGGGGTCATGGAGCGAGATGATGATGATTTTGTAAGTGAGTGCGATACTTGGCCCTGCTACAATTATAGATGTGGAGGTAGATCCGATACAGATCTGTCACGATTGACCCGACGAGCAAGGGTACGATGAAGGAAAATGTGTGATGCTCGGCCCGTGCTCGATATTCTCTGGCCAACACCTGATACAGCTCGGCAGTGTTTTAGAGCGGAAGATGGCAAGCCAAGAGGTATTATACTCGCTCTGGAAGAACTCGGGGAGGGGTATAGTCGAGCGTTTGACGTGTTCGGTCGATGAGTGGAGCTGCCTCAAGTGGCCAAATCGACGACATGACTCTTCCAGTAGCAAGCGCGGCTCTGGATTTCACTTCATGCTCCTCGTGTTACATATTCTTCAGGAACCAGCCATGAGTGTTATGCATTGCAATATTGGTCGCGCAAGTGAATGCTCCAATGACTTTGACAAAAGTCCTTCATGACTCGGAATGCATTGTCAGTCGAGCTTTTCAGCTTCCAAGAAGGATGAAGTGCTTGAAATAATTTTAGAAAGTCCGAAGCGTGAAACGCGACTGCATCTTTTGGACCGTGTCCCCAGATGCGGTCTTGCCGCCCAGACAGGCATGGCGCACTTTCAGAACATCAATGAGGTAGACACGTTCAATAATGGAGAGCGATGATCTGGAAGCCGCTGTACTACAGTGCGTTGGGGTTGTAAAGATGTGTTGGTAGAAAGAAGAGTGAGATGCGGCGAGGTTGGACGGAGTGCGGGAGTCGGAAGTCGGACGTGGCCGAGTTTGGGTGAATGTTGCAGATCAGGGAGAAGCTGTCTGGAGTGTGGAGTTTCGAAACATTTGACCTTCTCGGCGCATTACATCGTGCAGACTTGATAGAGGCGAGGAAGAGACGGACATGTCAGCGACAAGCATGGCGAATAGTGCAGACATCTACAAGGCATCCTCGGTGGCCGAAATCCGAGCGACGTTGGCAGAGTTGGGCCAGCAAGAAGCCAGCGTGACAGCCCGTCTGGATGCGCTACTCGCTTCGCAACGCGATCTCTCGCGTCAATTGACCAAACTCGACCTTGCGAGAGGTCATCTAGCCTCGCAGGTTGTTCAGACACGCTCCATCAGCAATGGCATGCTCTCGTCAGCCGCGTCGACGGCCGCCCGCATCTCCAGCGCCGTCAATCAACTCGATCGCGAACAGGCGGCCGTCAAGTCCACATTGAACGTGGTGGACCAGGTCGCCGAGCTCAAAGCTTGCGTGCTGGGTGTCAATGGCTCCATGGGCGCCGCTCAGGACTGGGAGACTGCTGCATCCTACCTTCACCGCGCTTCCCAGATCCCCGACCACGTCATCGATGGTGCTTTCGCCGAAGAAATCGTCCCTACCGCCGAAGTCCCCGATGCGCCGCGAGTCACGCTGAGAGAGGCGTCAGAGAGTCTTTGTGGCTTGTTCCTGCGCGAGTTTGAGAAGGCTACGAGCGAAGGAGATGGTCAAAAGGTTACACGCTTCTTCAAGCTCTTTCCCATGATAGGCAAGTCCGATCAAGGGCTGGATGCATACGGTCGCTATGTCTGCACTGGTGTGGCACAAAGAGCAAGGAACAACCTGAGTGCGACAAACCAGCGCTCAGACGGCCTCTTCTATGCCAGCGCCTTGACCAAGCTGTTTGAGCAGATTGCTTTGATCGTTGATGGCCACGCTCCTCTTGTCGAGAGACACTACGGGCAGGGCTCCATGGCGAAGGTTATTGAGCGTTTGCAAGCCGAGGCCGACATGCAAGGCGGCATTGTGCTTGATGCCTGGGCAGACGATCGCAACCTTGCAAGAAAGATCAAGGACGTCAAATCATACGCTTTCTCCTTCCTCGTGCAAAGTTTCCTTCCTGCCCAAAAGTCCACTGCCGCGAGATCCTCTTCGCCAGCTTCGAGTCGTGCTAGTGAGGATGAAGGTGTCGACATGAAAGAAGTCGATGCTCTTTTGAACGAGTCTGCCATGATGTTGAGCCGATGGGCACTGTACACTCGTTTCGTCGCAACAAAGATCAATGTATGTTATGGCACACTGTCAAATGTACACGACACTTTACTGACCCCTTTGAAGCCTGGAGTCGAAGAACACATTGCCTTGCCGGACCTCCTCGCCAACAGCAGGCTGCACCAAAAGATTACAGATGCATTGATTGAGCCCTTCAACACCATGTCAACCTTCTTCTTCCGCCGCTCAGTCGAAAAAGCCTTCCAGATGGACGAGTCCCCCTTTGATCTCACATTGAATCCCAATAAGCCTCTTGGCTCCAATCCGCCCTTCATCACCTCGGCCGTCGACGATGTCATGTACATTGTCAATCAAATCTTACAGCGAACGCTCGCCACCTCACAAAGATCCGTTGTTGCCAGTGTCATGCCTTCGCTCAGTCGTGTTTTGACTGGCGACTTTTTCGGCATGATCCAACGGAAGATGCGAGACGAGAGCTACCCCAAGGCTGCTATTCAAGGAGCTCTGCCCCCCGAAAGCGTCATCATCTCATTCTTGGTACTTGTCAACAACCTAGACATCTCTACCGACTACCTCCGTCGCATTGTAAATACCAACCTAGGCAAGGCTGATCCCAGTCGTCAAGGTCAACAGCAGCATGCAGCTATTTCAGACCTTTTCCCCTTCGCTCACGATGCTGTGTTTGTCGAGACCAGCCTCAGCAATATCCTACACGCTTTCGAGTCCAAGACCGGCGACCTCATCGCCGAAGCAATCGAAGTGTTGCTAAAGCAAGTCATGCGCCCTCGCCTTCGTCCTGTCTTTGTTGAAACCTTCCGCGATGTCGAATACATCATCGACGACGACACCGCCTCGGAAACTACAGAGCCCGACACCTCGGTGCCCCAACGATTCGAAAGAGGCTGGATGCAATTCACCCTCCCCATAAAACGTATCCTCACCGAACGAACCTACCACGCCCTCATCACAAGCACAATCACCTACCTCTCCCGCGCCCTCGAAAAGCGCATCTGGAGCTACTACGGCCGAGTCAATGAAAGAGGAGCTGCGAAACTCGAACGTGATATCTCTGGTATTGTGAATGCTGCTGTCAAAGGTGGCAAGTATTCACTCAGGGATGCGTTTCAGAGGTGTACCGAGATGACGTTGATTTTAAATATGGAGGAGGATGAGTGGGAGGAGGTTAGGGCGCAGAGTGTGGAAGAGCAGAGGGATGCTGGGTTGGAGTGGCATTTGGATGCTGGGGAGAGGGCGAGGACCAGGAGTATCATGACCGATAGTAGATAGAGGTGATTTATACACTCTCCCGTGATCAGACTAAGTCATTGTTCAAATTATCATGCCCTTTCTACAGTGCTACAATCACTGCCGGCAGTCAAGTGGAGAAGCTGATGTTTACCATGCCTCTTTCCCTAGATCGAAAAGTGAGAAACAGAGACCCAATATACCTAATCCAGCACACCACCATTGAGACATGCCAACTCGGCGATGTCGCCGTCGATGCAAGCTGCGACAACCGTGTCCGGGGCCAAACCCAGTACTCTACAGAGGACCACCTTCCCAAGCCAGGGGACAACAGAGCGCGGACATTGCGTCCGTGATCGTCCGGATTCACGGCTTGATCTCCGTTTGAGGTGGAAGTGTAGACTTTGCAAGCTCTCAGGGATTAAGGCGGTCTACGTCGTCTCATGGTAGTTGAATGACCGGGCTCACACGGGCATCACTTCTGCAAAAGTCGCGGGTATCACTTCTGCACCTATGAGAAGCTGTGTCTCTTCTTTCGAGGACTTCTGTTCGCGCTTGCCCTCTGTGAACAACACTACCTCATAAGCGCTCAATGAGTGAATTCTCTCAATCAAGAGTCGCGATAGATTTGGCACAACAGCTCGCGTTTCCACAATACAATCCCGTGACAATACCAAGTCTTTTCTGCGCCAAAGTCTTCGAGGTTATTGATTCCCCTTGTTGTGGGTTGCGCTTGACCTGGTATTTTCTCTTGAGGTTTCTGTTCTCTTGAGTCGGTGTTGGGGCTTGAGAGCGTACATGTATATATCAGTGGTTTTCGAGTAGTCACTGTGATGTCCGTCTTCGTATCGTGTCTCGTCGTGTCGCCGTGTAGGTTGGCGCCTTGAGATCCTGACGTCGCGTTCTCGTTGCCCGTAATCATCGTTGCCCGTAATCATTGCTCGTCGTGGTCGCGTTACGTTTCTTAGTCCAGGTCCGATAGTCGTACTCTCGCTTCGTACTGTTGTCCATGTCATCTGGCGTCGCCCGTCAGGTCTTCTCGCACAGCATGTTTCCACCCTTGTGTAGATCGCTCTTTCAAGTCCGCCTGGTACATGCGCGACAAATGCGCGAACCATAAAAAGCGATCAAGTTGAGCGCGTGAGGTTTCCTTGCGGGTGTCTGCCAAATTCCTTCAGAGCTTACTAATGATCGCAAGCTCTCCTCAAATGCATCTCAATCACGACGTGCAAAGTTCTTGGTTTCTACTCTTAAGCTCGATGAGCTTGTCAGGGTAGTAATTACCAGAGCAGGTGGAGATGCGCATCACACGAACAGTTCATCATATGCCGCTGAATTTGGTTCGAACAAGGGATCATCGAGGATCGTCTGTAAAGCCGCTTGAATCTTCGCCATGCCAATCTGCGCACCTGGTGTGCCGCAAACAGCTATCTCATAGGTGAGATAAGGCCCAGTGTTGGCTTGTTGTCGAGCCTCGTAAAGATCGGTTATCTCGAGCAGTGACAAAGACTGCAGATTCTCTTTGATCCACTCGATAATGTCGATCCATGAGTCATTCTTCATCGCACATCCGTTTATGATGAGAGTCCGCAAAGTATCTCGGTACTTGTTGAGTAATTCGAAAATACTCTCTTTAGAGATTGGGAGAGACTCAATCGTCAAGTCTGTGATGTGGTCTGACACAATGGATTTCAGAGCATGGTCACCCGCTTCGAATTCCTCAAGCGAGGTAGCTACATGCTCCCCCTCTTCTGGATCTCCGAAATCCACAAAATTCGAGATCTGAACAGCCTTGAGATCCTTGGCGCATGAGATAATCTTTGACACCGACTGCAGACAAGAATCATGGAGGGGCCAATCAGCCTCAAACTTGGCAGACTTGAGCGCAGAGAATACCTCCATCTCCTCTTCATCGAAGTCATCTAAATTGAATGCGCGCTCTGTCGCCTCGGAAGATTCTTCATCTATTTCCAAGTCAAGCTTGGTGAATTGCAATTTACTACGACGTATGGCCTCAAGACATGGTTGAATAGTGGTCTTTGGGCAGTTATCTGAGATGGGTTCATGGCCGTCATAACCATCCCAGTCTAGAAGGATAGTGTCGTGGTCAAGATCCCAGTCCGTCCAGGTTCCAGAAGATATGTGTAATGCCACAGAGGTTCGATAGGTTTGCAACGCGGTGAAGGCCTGGGATATCAGATCTGTCGCTGCACCAGACTTGCCAAGCTCGTACTCATCAACTGATCGCTTCAAACAGCGCTGAAGTGTGACTTTCGCAGCTACTGCCTGCTCCTGTGTCCGGTTGTTGTTCGAGAGAAGGCTTGCCGTCTCACTCGCAAGCTCAGCCACGAATCCAGGATGTATGCGACCAGAAGTAATGTGAATCCTGCGAATACAAGGACCGAAAGATGGATGCTCACATATAGCTATTAGACGCTCCAGGCATGTTTGAGTCATCAGTACCGAGATGCAGGCCATATAACGTGTTGAGAAGCTCCTAGTTGCCAAGACTGATGTACTTTTGTTGGCGAGTCGGAGTATCATCAAGTCATCTTTTCCAGCGTAGTCACATATCCTTGCGATCAACTCATTGGGTAGCGATTCGAGTGACATGGCCGAATTGATCAGCCAAATCTTTGAAGTTGTTGCAAGATATTATAATGGTTTGAGAAGTAAGAAGCAACGTCTGACCAGATTCTTGGCATGTCGTTGCCCCAACAACGCCCTTTGATGACTTCTCCAGCTTTCTTCTTTTTGTCACACCATGCTGAATAGAAGGTAGCTCTCACGAAGTGATCAGAATGACAAATTTTCTAGTTCATGGTCTGAAAAAGCAGATTGGACCCTTTTCAACCATCTGACACCCTTTGGTCATCATGCTGGGAATGTTTCGTGTGATCACGTTCTAGGAGGACGTCGCAACAAGTATAGAATGAGGACACCAGTTTCAACCTCGTCAGATCGAGACTGGCCCCTCAGCGCACCTGACGACGCATATTCGGTCAACGCACATAGTCTCACTCCACACAGACCGGCGGAAGCGTCACAGCTGGTTGACGGCTTGCGTGTAGCCACTAGGAAGCAAAATTTCGGGAGTCGGGAGATGGAGCGATGGGTGAGTCGCGGACCCGAGTGTCTTGGTCGACGTGGCCTGACGAAGAATGAGCTAGATCTTGGATATGCAACTAGAGGTGGATACATCTGTGCCAATGCAGGGACTAACTCGATTGTGTGTCAGTGCTCGTGGGATTGATTATGGTGACTCTCCTCGCTCTAAGCACTCAAATCGAACCTACACTTAATTAAAGTTGCTCTTACAGACTCAAGCTCTGCGCATAAATCCATCCCCACTATTACGTTACTCTCACAAAGTGGTAAGACAGCGCACCTTCCCGACTCACTCCTCTCATACACTCGGCAATGGATCAATCTAGTTACGAAGAAACGATCAAAGAGGCTGCTCGTCATATGGCACGAAGACTGAATTATGATCCTCTGGAAAACCCGCAGGAAAAGATGGCGTGCAGAAGGAGTTGAACATACAGATGCCAACGACGAATGCCGGGTCAAAGATTTGATCCGTGTTCCCACGGCTGATAGCGATTCGCATGACATGTTCGGTGAAAGGCACGCTGGAGGACAGGACATGATGGGATAAAATAATGGTATCGTAGTATTAGCCAACAATTAAATGTGAATGTCACCATTTTCGTTGTAGAAAATCTCTCTTGCCTTGACACAGCGCAAGTGGTTCTTGCCTCCTGACAGTGATGAGTCATGGTAGAACAGGTACCATCTGCTCTCAAACTCGACGATGGAGTGATGTGTGGTCCAGCCAACGACTGGCTCCAAGATGGTGCCACGCTGGGTGAAAGGACCATAAGGGCTGTCGCCCACGGCATATGCCAGGAGATGTGAGTCGCCAGTCGAATATGAGAAGTAGTACTTGTCCTGGTACTTGTGCATCCATGCGGCTTCGAAGAATCTCCTCTTGTGGTCGTCGGCCTGGATAGGCTTGCCGGCTTCGTCGACTATCGAGATCTCGCGAGGAGTCTCGTCGAACTCAAGCATATCACCCGTCATCTTTGCTACCCGAGGGCCTTGAGCAGCGACGCCTTCGCCAGTCAGCTCTTGTGGGCCGCTCCAAGCATTGTCAAAGTGTCCCTCCTTTTGCCAGCACTGTAATTGACCGCCCCAGAGACCGCCGAAGTAGAGGTAGGCTGAGCCATCGGTATCAACGAAGCAAGCAGGGTCGATGCTGTAGCTACCCTTGATGTAGTCTGGCTGAGGGGCGAAGGGGCCCTCAGGCTTGTCTGAGACGGCGACACCACAACGGAAGATACCCTCCTTGTCGCGTGCAGGGAAGTAGAGGTAGTACTTGCCATCCTTGGTCGCGGCGTCAGGTGCCCACAGCTGCTTGGAGACCCATGGAACATCCTCTTGCTTGAGTACAACGCCGTGATCTGTGACGGGGCCGCTGATGGAGTCTAGCGAGAAGACGTGATAGTCGTTCATGTCGTATTGATCGCCATTGTCGTTGTCCTGGATGTCCGTCTCGCGATCGTGTGACGGATAGATGTAGATCTTGCCATTGAAGGCGTGAGCCGAAGGGTCGGCTGTGTAGAGGTGAGTGATGAGTGGTTGCTTGTCCGACATGGTGAAAATGTGCTAGAGATCAGGATCAAGAATAATGTGCAAGAAGACCTACTCCCGGCGCATCACGAGTGTTTATAAAGCGGCAAGGCTAGAAAGCAATCTACATGGTCTTTAGCCTAGCTGTTTCGTCTCTACAGGCTGTGTCTTGAGAGCGGCTCTTAAGCTCTTTGGTTCCGCCATGTGGGCTGCGATGAGAAAGCACATTTTAGCCTAAACAGAATTGCTAGGAAGAAGGAAGGTGGAAAGGAGGGGTTCGTGGGGCTCCAACCGTGCGTCCTTGGCACCTGTCACCATGTCACCGGGCCCGACAAGTCTTGATCGGTCTTCTTCCTGCCAAACAGAGTTGATACTCATCATGAGAGCAGATTGTGAATTGTCCAAGGGCACAATGATCTTTAAAGCAATAGGAACGCCCGTGAAGACCGGTACGAGCAGCCGCATCCAATGTGACCCGCGTGGTCTCCGTAAGCACATGCCTTCAACCAGCTGCACAGATACCAGACTCCAATGGTACCGGAAGCGGCAGCATATGCCTCCGCAATCTGGAGCAAGAGATCCACACTATCGGTCCCGGCTTGACCAGATTGGATTTCACATCCAGCTATCCTGAAAGCGCCCAGACTGTGGATTCCATAAAGCTCATGTTGACAGAAGCAACCCATTTAAAGCACTTGCGTCTTGAGGATGAGAGTGGCATGAACTACGTCAACGAAAGCCACATAGGAGAGATGTTGAGAGCTGTCACTTCTTGTTGTCTTATGGGGACCCCAGCTTACCTTCCCAACTCGATGATTCAGATGCTTGAGAGATCGAAGTTGACCATGAAGAAACTGCACTATCATCCAATCAGTGGCGCGAAGCTAGACGGAGCTCCTAACGAATCATCGCGATGGGTCGAGGAGAATCTCAAAGGACTGTAGGTGACATTACATCCTCAGCTTGAGGTTCTGGACATTTCTGGGGATACTGGATAGTGGTCGGAAGAGGCTTTGCGAGAAGAAGGGGGCACGGCTGTTCGTGCGAGGTTAGTAGAGCTTCTTGCTACACGATCAGACCCAGAGTAGCTCGCAGGGGGCTCGACAGGGTTTTGCGGAAGTAAGACAAGAGACTCAGAACACATGGAGATGAAACGACCGGGACAACAAGCTATATCAGAACGCGAGAGGAAACAGGAAACCTTCCTCGATGGGCTATGCACGCGGATACAGTTCCGTTTTATACACCTGGATGCATATCGATTTCCACCTTACGTAGAACTGCCTCGAAACATATGCCTCGGGGTTCTTTAACTGGACGAGAGCAGGAGATCGAACGACCTTAGGTATAAGCAGTGACCCTGTCTCGCTTCCTTGACTTGACTGCCATCTTTCAAGCCAGATTTGGACTTACTTTTTGGACAGTGCAAGCTTGGAATGATCAATCAAAGGTTCATGGAGTCAAATGCCAGTAGTCTTGGAGAAGGTTAGGGTATTGATCATTCCAAGGACAGTCGGAGATATCACGGAAGATTCATGCATTCTGATAGCACGACTTACGCGTCAGAGTGGACTACGAGTGGTGTGTCAATTTTTAAGTCCAATATCGACAGAAATGTCAATAAGCCTGTGTTTCTAAAGCTGAACAGTGTTCACATTCTCAACTGGTGGAATATGCTGGCGTGTATAAGTGTCAAAGCACGACGCAGTGGGCTTCTGATCACGAGGGCGGCTAAGTTAGCTAAGGCATTCATGAGCCACAGGTATTCTGTAGGAATAGAGGTACGGCCGTACGATCCTTCGAAGGAAGTAGATATCTGATTTAGAGTGTTGGGAGTGGTTTAAGACAACATGAGACACTAGAATCGCTGCAATAACAATCAAACAAACAAGATCGCTCCTTCACTTCACCAACCCTTATATACCAAAGAAACCCAGCCCTTTTACATCCCAGCTTTGTAAGTCCAAACCGTGAGTTTGGCGTAGTGGAAGACCCCCTGACCACCGGGCAGCCGTAAAATACCAAACCCTCCCACGAGGAGGTGATTTGGTCACTTACGAGTGTACGAAGCCGAGAGAAGTAGCGTCGGCTACTTTTTGTTTACGCTATCAAATGAAGAGGGTGAGTTCGATCCTTGACGGTGGTTGTTCTCTTTTTGCTTCTTTTGCTATAGGAACCCACAGAAGTGCAGTAACAAGACTTGAGGAGGGGGATGAAGAGTTTAAAGAGAAGATGGAGCACTTGTGGCACAAAGTCCTTGTAAAGCTTTGAGATAGTGCTTAGGATCATCTTGAGGGAGTCCAATGACACCATCCTTCTTCCGATTGCTTCCCATGAACTTGGGCCTATACAACCCATGTTAAGAGTGTACAGTCCTCGATTCGAACGAGTGCTCTAGAGGGAGAATCGGCGGAAGATTTTGAGCTTACCCACGAAGCGGCCAATTATGCGAGCGTGGACAATTGGATGATTGAGATGGTCGTTGTCCAGCGGATGCAAACTTGCCGAGAGTCTCGTCTTTGTTTCCTCGCACTGCGCTCATCATTGATAGTCAAGTCGTGCCTTGTGCGAGCAGCTTTCTCCAAGCATCTGTACCATCACCAGCATCAACTATGGGGCGTAAATTTGTACGTTGTAGAGGCTCTTCGCCCACGCCCTACTCGGAGACGGAATCAGAGTATGAATCAGACCAATCACAAATTCTCATCAAGAAGACTGTAACCAAGGAAAAGACTGACAATTGGCTTTACGGTCGGGCCAGTCAAGCGAGTAGTGTGAGTTCTATCACTGAGCTGGCGCGTTCCGCTTCACCTTTGCAAGTTACGCGCTATCGTTCAGCATCTCGTTCTCGTCAGCAGCATTCCTACCACGATTCTCATCCTCAGGCTCTTCAACTTGATACTTCGCGCCGACATCGCCGACGCCATCGCCGGCGTTATAGCGAAGACCTGCCGCGTATTGAAGAGAAGAAAGTCACTCACCAAATTTGCCACTGTCCTAACAAAACCTCACTTCCGGCGCAGACTCATCACGTTTGTCCGTCTCCGATCCTCATTGCAGTTCCCATCCACAATTATCGCAAGATGGAAGAAGTCGGCGGTTTCACCTACGAAGAATGGTGCAAGAGACGCGAGTGTGTCCCCGTTGCTACCGAGACCATCGCTCCCAAGTCGTCTATCTCGAACCGCACTGTTCACGCTCAGAGTCAGATCGCAAGCGAAGTGTCTGACCAGGACAACGCTTATCGTTATGTTGCGATGAGGGAGCCCGGTCCCCAAGACGCTGTCGTGAGTAAATCAAAAGATCTTTTGGTTGCTCAGTGACTTACTTTTCATCGTTCCAGCCCGTGGCCTACGCCCTCTATCCTCAGCCCGGTTACACTTACATGTACCCACCTCAGCCATTCGCAGCCATGGCCGCTCCTCCTGTCCCTGCTCCCAAGTCAGCTCCCAAGCCTGTCGCATCTGTTCCCGCTTCTTCGTCGCACTCCAAGCAGGAAGAGGAGCACTACCGTCACTACACTCGTGAGAGCGTGCGCGAGAAGTCTGTCCGCGCCGCTTCCGAGCCTCCAACCATCGAGAAGGCTGCCCCGCCTCCACCCGCTCCCCAGGCCGGCATGGCTACCATGACCTACGGCGCCTACCCTTTCGGCATGCCCGCCGCCGCAGTCCCAGTCGCATACGCCATGCCTAACTACCCAGTCCCCGTCCACGCCGAGACTACCGGCACCGCCTCGCCCAAGCCACCTCCAAACCGCGTCTGGGTCGGCCGCACCAAGAAGCAAGTAGACGAAGACAACGCCAAGATTGCTCACAAGGAGGGCGTGTACAAGCCCAATAAGATGGTCCCCAAGGCTGCCTCTCCTGACCAGCTGTTTTGGGTTATCGAGCCTGACAACAGTAACACGCTGCGCAACTTCCGCACCATCGAGGAGGATCTTCAGCCTGGAAAGTGGAAGGTCGATCCTAGATATGGCAACGCATACTTTGTGCGCGACAAGAAGGAGAAGGCTTGATGCTGTATCTTCTGCTCTTACTTAAGCGCCGAACAGTAGACTCGTGGTCTTTGTCGTGGCATGATCTTCTCTTTCGTGAGAGCTGGAGAACGAGGGGAATGACGAGAGGAGAGACATACCGCAACGGACAGTGGGCTTGCTAAGGGAGGATCCAGCGTTGCTTCATCTTCATTTTATGCCGAGCGAGGCTTCCCGTTTTCTACTTCCTTTCTTTCTTTCTTTGCTGCCCTTTTTTGCTTGAAAACACACACACGGCAGCGTTCGCATGTAACAACACAGACTAAGTTGGACGCTCAGCAGCTACTTGCTGCATTGCTATTACACACAATTCAAGATTTACCGACCGCTTGTTCACAGTCTATCTCATATGTGACTCCATTGTAGTCTGACAGTAACGAAAGACGGTGAGAGATGTCAATGAGAAGGAAGCAGGAGCAGTCAGCAGCCGACGTCGCTATACCTTCCCGCGAATCGAGTCAAGAAATGACGTACCCCCAAGTCCCACAAAACTTCCATCCCACACCCATCGTCCATCCTCAATGCCAAACGCAAACAACACTCCAAACCCATACCACTTCCCCCTCCTCCTCGGCATCTTCATCCTCGCCTTCTTCCCCGGTCTCATCGGTCCAATCTTCAACTCGCCCTTTACACTACTCAGCTACACTTGCTCACTGCTTCCTTGGGCAACACCATCTGCCCCACTTCAACCGCAAACAAGCACAACCGCGACAATGTCTTGGACGCAAAAAGCTTTCACACTGCCTGCGAAGAGCAGAGGCAGTTATCTGATCACTGATCATGTCATGGAAAAGGTGCCAGAGATCAAGGATTATAAAGTCGGCATCTTGCAACTGTTTGTGCAGCACACGAGTTGCGCGTTGAGCTTGAATGAGAATTATGATGAGGATGTTCGGTATGTTCCTGCCCCCCCCTCCCTCTGCCCTTTGTTTTTCACCTATTCCGTAGGGTCACTGCTAACATGTTTTCACAGCGCCGACATGTCCGACGCACTCGACCGCATCGCCCCAGAAGATCGCAAGGGAAACCTCTACCGCCACGCCGACGAAGGACTGGATGATATGCCTGCACACATCAAATCCGCTCTCATCGGTGCTTCTGTATCCGTTCCCATCACAAACGGTAGATTGGCGACGGGTACTTGGCAGGGCATCTGGTTCTTGGAGTTTAGAGCTAGTAAGCATCAGAGAAAGGTTGTTGCCACTATTCAGGGTGAAAAGGCTTGAATAGATTGAAGATTATGATACGGGGCAGATGTTGAAATGACAATTATGAGCACGCTTGCTGTTTCTCTTGTGCGTTGGTATACTCTTGAATGCTCAAGTGTTGTGTTGTAGACGAATTTCATGGTTGAGGTTTTATATACACTGCAACTGTAGGAGCAAGGGAATTTGAAAGGGGAAGGGCTTGTATATGACAATCATCGCTGTTCAAGAGGCTTGCCAGTGTTGCTCTGGTAGCCCCGAGGGACCTCTGCTTCGTGACCGGTAGGCTCGAGAGGGTAGGAAGGGTTTGGGAGGGCTTCGAGGATCTTGCGGTTGGACTCCTTGGCCTAGACACGAGAGTTAGAAGGAGATGTGAGATTCCGTGACGCTGACGCTGATGCTGAACGTACGTAGGGAAGACCACAGTAGGTGCATGCGCATATTTGTGGCTTGTCGACGTTGATGAAGATGCGAGGGTGGCCGAGGGGACCACCGCCGCCGTCGCACTTGACGGTGCGCTCCTTGACCCAGTTGACGGGCTGCTTGTGGATGAGCTCGATGGCTGCCAGAGGACGAGGCTGTGTTCAGTCAGCTACTGCTCGTTCAATTCCTTGCTGTCCTTTCTCCCTCCACTCTTTCGTCCTTCTTCCTCTACCTCTTGCGACACCCGAATATCCAGACTCCATCGCTTTTCCGGGACTTCACAGCGGGGAAAAGCTTCCTTACCTGATCATACATGATCATCTGCTCAAACCTCGGGCCCACCATAGCCTTCTCTCTAGGCTGCTGGCTACGACTCCACACGCCCTGACGGTTGGGCGCTTGCATGGCACGACGCTCCTCGCCCTCCTGCACAGACTCTTGCAAAGGCTTATCCATGTTGCCCTCACTGCTCAGAGGTGTGGCATTGGTGCTGCTGACGGGGCTGGGTGTGTCGCGGTTCTTGGGGTCATTGGCCGGGATCGGGTTGTCGGCTCTGCGGACGAGGGGGCTGGTGCTGAAGGCGCGGGTAGGGAGGCCGCGTAGGCAGTTGCGGGCGACGCGTGCTGGCAACATGGTGTATGTGCTGTGTGTGTGATTGCTTGAGCGTGAGCTGCCTTCAATTGACCGGGTTCGCGATGCGTGGATTGAGAGGTGCTGTTACGCTGCCAAGACTTGAGATGATCCGTGCGTTCTCTTCCGCTCTCCGGTGTGCTTGATTCTTTTGGTCAGCAACTCTTTGCATCGCGACAACGATAAAGTTTCATCGACTTGAATTGTTCTGTGTGAGGATGACCGAGAAACGCGCGTTTTGATCTTTTATCTACAAGTTTATATCATTACGCTAAAGACAAAGGAAATTTTCGTGACCATCTTGTGTACAATCTCAGCGCCCAGGATCATGGAGCATTTCTCACTTCCACTCGAACATCCCTCGTCTTGAAGATCTTTGACCTGCTTCGTCCTTCACTCGGTGTCATCGACGCCCTGACCAACGACTTCCTGTCGCTCTCATCTCCATCATGGAAATCTTCTTGCGCTTCCAATCTGCCCAAATCTTGCAGCTCCAGCACTTCTCGTTCGTCACCGACTGCGACACTTGCTGTGGACACGCCGTACTCATCATCGTTGAATTTCTTGAACCCTTTATTCGCCTCCACTCGTTCGACGAATCCAAGACCATTTGGTCTGTTGACAGGCTTCTCGGTAGAGCGACTGCTGCTCGATGATACACCGTTTTTCTTTGATCCAGACCATCGGAACATGAAAGTATTCTTGATGAAAGAGCCGGTGCTGGTATCCTCGAACACTTTTCTCCAGAGTGGTCTGCAAGCTGCCAGTGATGTAGCCACAATCGCAAGACCAGGCTCGATGATACTCCACAGCCCCGTCTGCACCGCTTGCTTGAAAAAGTCAATGTCCAGTTTGAGATTTGAAAGTGTCGCAACGCGGATCAGAGCGCAAATGGAGCTGACAGATCCGATGCAGAGTAGGAAGCCTGCTGTAAACTTCATGCCAATTGGCATATTTGAATTCCACAACACGTAGATTGGGAGGAAGGCGTAGATGAAGTCAGTCAACGCGTCCAGGGCTCCAAAAGCATATGTCATGATCAACAATGTGTGATCCGGGAGGCATTTCCCTGCTGCTCTGTAGACAAGTTGGTGATGTATGTCCGAGCCACAACGAAAAAGGTATGTGAATGAATATGTAAGGCCATACAGAGTCATCGTCGTTACCGTAAGGTAGATGACAATTCTCTGCCATCTTGCGACGATGATGCGAAGATAGAAAAAGGCGAGCGAGATCTTGACAAAGATGATGGAGAAGACGTAGAAGATTGTGAACAAGACTGAGCTCTGAACAGCATTAGTAGAAGTTGCGCAGCGTTCACGCGGTTCGTCTTACTGTGTAGATTTTCTCTATCACCTCAATCGCATCCTGAAAACTTCCTGTGGTGACAGCTGCGATCGTTGATGGATCATGCTCAAGACCAATCAACTGTATCGCCATCACACAAAATGTTAAGAACATGACCTGGTTGCGTAGATCAGTACCTTGATAGCTGCAAATAATAAATGCTCCAACTTACATGTGCGACAATCAAACACATGTCATCAAGTCCGAATCCCTTGACGATGAATACTCTTACGTAGATACGGAGCCATAGCGCCACAGTTGTGATGGGCATGAAGGCTATCGCCGCCGCTTTGAGCGCGAGCGACGACTTTCCAATTGCTGCTATCTTTGCCAGATCCATGAATACAGATAGTGACATTATTCCAATGCCTGGGGGAGAAGCTTTATTGTTATACTTTCGGTTCAGAATCTTTTCCCTCGATGTGGCTAGCAGCTGCACTGTAATCGAGTCAGGTCGGATAATGTTGAATCAATATACGCTCATGGTGTGACAGATGTTGAATGGCACGGGACGAATGGAACCAGGGTTTGCAGCAATGTGTCTTCGGTTGGACAGCAGATGAAGATACACAAGTACTAGATCAATCGTCGCTAGCAAGAGCATACCCGATCTCGACCGAGATTCACAGTACCATCGAGGACGACGTGGATCCTCATATAACGAAACTCAAATACGATGGGTGATGGAGCAAAGTTGGAGCTGGTCAATGACAGTGTGTCTATTTCTCTCCCGATTGACCAGCACTTGCAGCACGCGCAATTCAGCAGGGATCGATTATGGTCTCGAGAGCATGGTGAGGACCTGCAGCTGATACTGTGTCTGAGCAGACCATGCGTGTTGACGCTGGGACGAAGATCAGTCGTCATGACTAACGTTATGTGGGGATAAGAGGGGATCGGAGAAATAGCTTGCTGTATGGTCATGCGAGCCGGATCAGAAACGGACACTCATGTGGCGATATAAAGAGGCCAAGATCCATCGTGAATCAATCGGGCCTTGTTATAGATTGGATCTCGTGGTTTCAACAAGGCTATCATGCTGCGTTGATGTTTCGAGTCGGACATGCATGTTTTAGATGGGCCTCTGCTCAAGTCGGTGCGTAGCGCCTTTTCTTATTCTAGGCCGGCATTGCGCAAGACGTCAAGCTGAATCGTCCGAGCCGTTCCATAGTTGTGGGATTGACAGCTCGGTGGCTGTAACCTTAGCTACAGCTAGCTGCATTCAGGCAGCTTTTGTGGTGAATTCGGCTGGTCCTGGTGCAGCACAGGCAAGTCTGGCGGTTGGCCTAAGCACATGTCGTCGCTTGATCCTAGTTTGATGGCGTTTCGTGTACGGGGTAGGACATGCGACCATGTGTATAAGTCTGTTATAGCGTCCTCTTCCACAATCAATCGAAGTCTGCTTCCAGAATGGAGACGAACACAAGTTGTTTCCGAGCCTTCATCCCGACATGGTAGCCCTCTCTCGGCTAAGCTCCCTCGAAGACGCTGAAATGTGGTTGTGTGCCTCTGTGGCTGGTCATCGACCCTGATCACCAGAAGAGCTTGTAGTGGCAGGGTAGAGTTCACGAGTCGTGTTCACCTCATCAATTCACAACCCCTTTGCTGGGAAGGGGCCCACTCGGGAACTGGCGATCGCTCACTCTTCGTGTTCGCTGGGTCGGAACAAGCTGATCGATTGCTCTTTCCACCTCGAATCTCAACCCGGCAGGCCTGGTGCCACGGAATATTGTTTCATCGAAACCTCGCTCGGCTTGTGAGAATCCGGTCTCAGATCCATCGGGCGTGAGCGTCACCAGCAAATCAAGTCTCCATCGTGGCGGTTGTTCCTCATGCGAGATGCACGTAAGAGCGAAAACTAATATGCGTCTGATGTCCCCGAGGGTCCGACGGGCGCCGTGGTCGCTCAAGCCGCCACGTCCCCATGACGCCGTCGACACCGAGCGTGCGGTCCACGGTCGCGTTTTGCAAGACGCGCAGTAGCGTGAAAGGGTTCACTTTGTTCTTTACAAAAGCAGTTCACAACCCATGTCTGGCCAAACAGATCGCTGAAAGTCTGACAAAGTATTCGCGGCAGATATCGATGTGTTTGCTAAGCGATGTTTTGAGATCTCCGACAAATGGACAGGGTGTATCCGTCACAGTAAAGCACTTGAGAATTTGTCGCTACACATGGATACTCGAGTAGAGGTTGGCAATCTCGCAAAACCCCATGTATAGAAGAGGCAGTGAGAAGTGGAGCACATTCACAGACCTAAGCACTGATTGTCTGCTTGTGCAATCGGGGTCTATATTTGACTGCCTTCCGTAGAGTAGAGCAATGTCATGAAGGCAACCTCAAGTCTAAGTGGACATGTGCCCGAGATCGACAACGAGGGCAACTTGGTGGTCTACGACAATCGATCATACCGGCTCGCTGTTCATAGTTGAATATCCTTTCGAGAATCATGAAATGATTGATGCTGCTACCCGGGCGGCTATGAGACGGCAGAAATTCAGCGAGGGAAGTTTAACCGGGGCGAGGTGATCAATTTACGCGACACGCGCCGCGACGCGTCCTCGGGCAAATCGTTCTTACCCACCGACTCGATTATGCGATATCAACCCATCTCGGTCGACAAATCCATTTGTCTCTCGTGCTACCAATTACTGCGTCTCCATTGTCTTTCTGCATAGCCAAAGTTTCTCGTGCCAATACAAAGTCATTCCACAACACAAGCACCAATATGGCATCGAGGCCGGAGCTCAAGGTCGACGATGAGTACGGCTTCATCAAATTCTTCAAGAACCTGTCCGGGACAGATGACGACACGATACGACTGTTTGACAGAAACGACTACTACACGGCACATGGTGATGACGCCAAATTCATCGCCCAGAACCAGTACAAAACTACCTCGGTTATCAAGCAACTCGGCCGTGATCCCGGACTCCCATCAGTCACGCTATCACAGACAGTGTTTCGCAACTTCCTTCGAGAGGCTCTATTCAGACTAGGCAAGCGCATTGAGATCTGGGAATCTGCTGGTAAGAACAAATTCACGCTCGCCAAGCAGGCATCACCAGGCAATCTACAGGATGTCGAAGATGAGCTCGGCAGTAGCATGGAGGCAGCTCCCATCATTCTTGCCGTAAAGGTATCAGCCAAGGCATCAGAAGCTCGCAACGTCGGTGTGTGCTTTGCGGATGCTAGTGTGCGCGAGCTGGGTGTCAGCGAGTTTGTGGACAACGACATCTACTCCAACTTCGAGAGCCTGATCATCCAACTTGGTGTACGAGAGTGCTTGGTCCAGTACGACGGTCAGAAGAAGGATGGAGAATTGGCCAAGCTGAGAGCGATCGCCGACAACTGTGGATGTGCCGTATCAGAACGCCCATCAGCAGACTTCAGCAGCAAAGACATCGAGCAGGACTTGAGCAGATTGCTGCGCGAAGAACGCACATCAACTCTACCCCAGACCGAGCTACGATTGGCTATGGGAGCCTCTGCTGCACTTGTCAAGTATCTGGGTGCCATGTCAGATTCTTCCAATTACGGTCAATACCAGCTATACCAACACGACCTGTCGCAATACATGAAGCTCGATGCATCTGCTCTGAAAGCGCTCAATCTCATGCCTGGACCCAAAGACGGATCGAAAACCATGAACCTGTACGGCTTGCTCAATCACTGCAAAACACCAATTGGCAGCAGACTTCTCGCCCAGTGGCTCAAGCAACCTCTGATGAATCTAGAAGAGATCGAACGCAGACTACAACTTGTCGAGGCCTTCGTCAATGATACACAGCTCTCTGAGTCGATGTCGGCAGACCACCTCAAGTCCATTCCTGACCTTTACCGCCTGGCCAAGAAATTCCAACGCAAAAATGCCAACCTGGAAGATGTCATTCGCGTCTATCAAGTCGCTATCCGCATTCCTGGCTTCATCGGCACGCTCGAAGCAGTGATGGATGAAGAGTACAAGGATCCTCTTGACCGAGAATACACAAACAAGTTACGCGAGTGTGCCGATGCTCTGGGCAAACTACAAGAGATGGTTGAGACAACAGTTGACCTTGACGCATTGGATAATCATGAGTTCATCATAAAGTCCGATTTCGACGAAGGTCTGAAGGTGATTCGAACAAAGCTTGACAAGCTCCGTTATGGTATGGACAAGGAACACGGCAGAGTCGGAGATGATCTCGGTCTAGACACGGAAAAGAAGCTCTTCCTTGAGAACCACAAAGTTCATGGCTGGTGCTTCCGCGTGACAAGAGCAGAAGCTGGCACAATTCGCAACAAGAAGCAATATCAGGAGTGCTCAACACAAAAGAACGGTGTCTACTTCACTACAACGACACTGCAAGCAATGCGCAGAGAGCATGATCAACTGTCGGAAAACTATAATCGCACGCAAAGCGGATTGGTCCAAGAAGTCGTTGGTGTCGCAGCCTCATATTGTCCTGTCGTTGAGAAGCTCGCCGGCATCCTCGCGCACATGGATGTAATTGTCTCGTTCGCGCATGTGGCCCTCCAAGCCCCTGTACCATACTGCCGACCAAAGATGCACCCTCGCGGCACTGGCAACACAGTCCTCGTTGAGGCACGTCACCCTTGCATGGAAGTTCAAGACGAGATCACATTCATGGCCAACGACGTTACTCTGAAGCGCGAAGACTCAGAATTTTTGGTCATCACAGGTCCCAACATGGGTGGTAAGAGTACATACATCCGCCAGATTGGTGTCATCGCTCTGATGGCACAGATGGGCTGCTTTGTACCGTGCACTTCTGCCGAGCTCACCTTGTTCGACTGTATCCTCGCTCGTGTTGGAGCTAGCGACAGTCAACTTAAGGGTGTTTCCACCTTCATGGCGGAGATGCTGGAAACAGCCAACATCCTCAAATCAGCTACGAAGGAGAGTCTGATCATTATTGACGAACTAGGTCGTGGCACAAGCACATACGATGGTTTCGGCCTGGCTTGGGCCATCAGCGAGCACATTATCAAAGAGATTGGTGCTTTTACTCTTTTCGCAACACACTTCCATGAGTTGACTGCTTTGGTTGACACATATCCACAAGTTCAAAATCTGCATGTCGTTGCAGATGTCAGCGATGGTCAATCATCAGATTCTGCACCTCAAGTGTTGCTCATGTACAAGGTCGAACCTGGTATCAGTGATCAAAGTTTCGGTATCCACGTCGCCGAGCTCGTGCGCTTCCCTCGCAAAGTCATCTCAATGGCCAAGCGCAAGGCAGATGAGCTCGAAGATTTCGCTGGCAAGAACGAAGAAGAAAAGTCAGAGCTCAAGAATGCTAGCCAAGAGGACGTCGCAGAGGGAAATAGGCTCCTCAAAGAGCTGCTCATCAAGTGGAAGAAGGAGACTGAAGGCCAAAACATGGACGGCAAGGAACAGGTAAAGAGGCTCAAGACTATGGTTGCAGAAGACGAGAAGTTGAGGGCAAACAAGTTCTTTGTTGGGTTGAAAGGACTGTGATGGTAATGACTGGTTTTACATGATTTGCTCTTTCCTTGCCCGAGACTGATAACCTTGCTCTTCTGCGTTGATGCAAATGATTCATTTTCCGTAGCTCGAGAAGAAATACAACAAGCAATGAGTGCAAACACATCCCATGTCATGATCTGATCCCGTCCTTCTCTAGCATACTGAAAGACTTCGTTAACAACCTGAAGAGTGTTGTGATGATCACAGTGCGGTAGAAGACAAGCCAAGCGGACCAGGCACAGGTCCAAGAAGGGTGCGGTAGAAGACAAGCCAAGTGGACCAGGCACAGGTCCAAGAAGGTGAGGTCCGTATGGAAGGGTATTACTGCAAAGCTGGCAAGTGCAAGTAGCGAGATTGCCTTGGATGATGCTCACAACATGCTCAGCAAACACTCTCCACGAGGTAGTCTGACCATTGGGATGACCGTAGATCTGATAGACCAGTTTATCACCCTGGCCCTCTCCATTAAAATAAACAGAGTAGCCAGGAGGAGCTGAACCGATGAATCTGACATGGCAAACCTGAGGTTCGTGTGAGCAAAAGCAAAAGAGTGGAATGAAACAGAAATTCCGCTTTACCTTAGGTAGCATAATGTCTACAGTAGTTGAACTAGCGGGTGATGAGGTTGACAAACTTCTTGTCGTCTTCCTTTGGTGTCCGGGAACTTGAATCTTTCTGGGGCCTTTGACCGGTGCCGTCGCTTTGGTACTGGCTGAGGTCAATCTCCTCGATGTGCAGAGTACTTATTGCGGCAGAAGCGGATCTGTTTGTGACCATCTTGTAATGATGATGGCTAGTAAGGACGAGGTTGAGATAAATTGGAAGCTTGCGTGTCTATAGGTTGTTCTGATGAGTAAGGAAATAGGTGTCGAATTGGCGTTTGTAATCATCGCAAACTTTCGTGTCGCTACTGGTCTCGCCAAGATACTAGAATGCTGCGGAGACGACAAAGAGTCAATCATGTGTTGAGTCAAGACAGTCTTGAGAGTGGCGGTTTAGAGATGCACCTCGTTGGTATCGCTGGAAGTCTTGGGCTTGTTATATATCCCGACGGCTACAAGTGTTACATACTTCGAGCACATGGAGAAGCTCGCTGCAGCAGAGTAATCTAGTAACTGCGCTTAGCGTCTTTCTCGTGTTCCATTGTCTCTGCTTCTTCCTCAACTTCTCTGTGCGGTGCACTATTGATGACTACCTCTTCACTCAGACCTGGCCCCCTGAATTGACCCTTGGCTGTTGTAAACCATGTAATCAGTGCCACAACCATTACTACACCCACAGCTGCCGATGTGTAGTTCATATTTTCTGAGTCGACTGGATTGACAGTGGGGAAATTAAATGTGATGGATGTGAACAGGAGGTACACCAGTGCCATCACGTTGATTGGCATGCTCCAGCGGCCGAGACTCCATGGGCCTTCGAGCTTTGCGGCGGCGGTCGATGCCGTGAGAGGTGCGATAACACGGAGAAGGATAGGGATGGCATACGAGACGTCTGGGATGCTTTGTTAGCATTGGTTTAAAGCAGAGTCACTTGCTTGTCTTACAGAAGCCTTCCGTAGCGATCGAAACGACGGTGTTGAAACCGGTCACAGTACCGAAATAGATTGAGTTGAGAGCAATTTGCACCACAAAAGTCAAGAGGATACCGTAGATGGGAACCTGCTTTGTTGGGTGAACTTTGCTAAGGGTGTTGGAGAAGGGTAGGCCTCGATCTCTAGCGAATGCATACTGCACGTATTATCAGCAAAGTTCGTTCCCAGTCCTTGAGGATTGTATACTCACCACTGCGCGACCACCTTCAGCCAATAGAGATATAGCGGAGAAGAACTGAATCATAACCATCAGGAAGGTCAAACAAGAAGTACCGGCAATTGACTGCGTCGAATCGTAGAAGATCTGAACGATGGGGTCTCCGGTTGCACTTTCAGCCACGCCTTCGATTGATCCCATGCAGAAGCACGCAGCGATGAGGAAAGCGAAACCGGTGATCGCTCCTAGCGAGACGGATAGGATGATTGCTTTAGGGGCGACCTTTCTCGCATCGTTGATCTCCTCAGTCATGTGTGCAGGTGCATCATAACAGCACATACCAAAGGCTGACTGAAGCAGACCCAAAATTGCCGCGTAAGGCTTATTAAAGCCAGTGAGATTTTGAAACTCGGAGAACACAAAGCTGGGAGTTTGCTTGTGGTCGTTGGTTGCGAGAATGGTAATAAAGATGATCAAGAACGATCCCATATTCCAGATAAGGAAGAAATTGGTCATCTTGTGCAACATCTGTGGGCACAAGACGTTCAGCGACAAAGCAGCGATAGCCACTGCATATGCTACTAACGTCGAGTGCCAGCGAGTTATCTCATAGTCGGGGTTGTTGAGAACAGCAATCGCAAGGATGAATCCAGAAGCGATGAAATTGACTACAGCACCCATAGCGATGATGCCGATCAACATGAACCATCCACAGACATAGGATAGTCCTCTAGACCAGCTCCGAGGTGCTAGGATGGCAGCCCACGAGTATTGGCCCCCTGCTAGAGGGTAGGCCGAACACATCTCGGCCATTGATAGTGCTACTGCCATGGTAAATATGCAGACTCCTACCCATGACCAGATCATGACTGGAGGGCCGCCACTCTCGGCTCCGATGATGAGTACACCAGACAAGGCGGTCCAGCTAGAAACGATCGAGAAACAAAATCCAATCATGCTGACAAGATTGAATGTCCGCTTCAACTCTGGAGAGCAGGCCAGTGTCAGTTGGCGACCTGCTGCAGAGCCTTAGTACCACTTACCTTGCTGGTAACCAAGTTTCTCGAGCGCGACATCATCAGCAGTTCCTTCGTCGAACACTTTTGTATCCATCATGTCCGCCATAGTTGGTTTTGTCGATGGGATGTGGAAGAGTAGCTGAATTCGGATTGATAGAGCTCAACTCATGCCACAATCAGAGAGAAAAGAGTGAAATATGTAGTATTCAGCCATACATCCTTGTAGGCTGTAGAAAGGATATCGATGTTATTCATGCACACGAAAAGACAATTATGAGCTGGAACAGGCGCCAAAAACTACGATAAGGTATCGAAATTGGTGGGAGTGGCTAAACATTTACTGTCAGGTATTTGCACATTATTAGCAAACCAGGTCTACAATTCGAACAGACCAACGATATGCCAGATGCTTATCTTCGGAAGGCCGCTCCGAATACCGGGACGCGGAGAAGGGTTTGGAAAAAGTCGGTGCTTGTCAGTATCTCGCCATACTTCTCCTCAAGCTTCCCCATCAGGTAATTCATAGATTCCGAGAAGGCGATAAGATCGAGGCGACATCCAACTCATTTTTGAGATGTTCTGATAGCGACAAGGAAGAGGAAAGTTGAAGAGACTGGCCATGGTCAGCGGCTGCAACATCCGGGTGCTCGTCGGCGTTTGTCTAACGCGGGCTCCGAGATCGCAACTTCCCAGTCCTGACTGGAGACAACGAAAGATTCTCCAAGGAGGCATGCACACCCAAGAGCGTGAACAAGCGAAGAGAGTTCTGATGGGATTAGAAAACAATGAGTGTTCTACACTTGAACTACAACCATTAATCTATCTCAGGCCGAACATCCGCAACAGATCATGGCGATGGAAGAAATCGCGACTCTTCTTGCCATAGATGTACATCGGCAAGCTCAAGCAGCAGATGACGACTTCAATGCTGCCGAAGATGATAAACAGTCGCTCAATACCTCCGGCAAACACCCATGTGTAAGCAAAGTAAGCCAGGATAAAGGAAAACATATTCTTGAATATGATGAGGCAGGTGAACGATTCGACTGCAATATCTCTGTGAGCATCAAGCAGATATTGCGCAGAAGCTGTTGCGCCCATAACCATACTAGCGACAATAAATGCAAGGAACACCTCAGGGACGAACCAGCCATAGCGTGCTACATTCGCTGATGTGATTCCGAAGCCGTAGAGTCCAGTGGCCGCGAACACGAGAGTTGGGATGACAAGGAGGATCCTAAACTCGGGCTCGTATCTGCCATTGTTGCGTTTGATCATGTAACGCGTGGTGAGCTCGGTGAATGCTCCAGCGACTAAGAGGCCGAGGAGACTTCCGACGAACGCTGCAGTATACATTTTGCCGGCCTGCTCTTCATTGTAGAACAAAGGTGGTCCCAGGAAAATAAGCGAGAGAATGACACCCACCATTACAGTCCAGCCGATGATAACACCTTGTATCAGACAAGCCCAAATGACTACTGGATGCAAGAAGAGAGGGAATGGTCGCAAGAACAGCTTCAAGAATGATTCGTCAGTCTTTCTTCCGTTGAAAGGAGAGATGCGCAAAGGTTTCCAGGCGTTACCCCTGACTCTTGGTGTCACTCTCTCTTCTGGCATCTTCTCTCCTGAGTGAAATGCGTCTCCGCTGAACGACTCTGTGCTTGCTGTCATGTAGTCGGTGTTGAGTCTTTCTGGTCGGTGGTATGCGACTTCCGGGCAAAGGAGTACTAGGAGCAGGAAGCCGCCACCCATGAAGATGGCGATGAAGTAGAAGGACCATTGCCATCCAATGTTGTGAGCGATCATGCCGACAAAGACGGGAGTCAAGAACGCTCCGCCGAAGAGTGAGACGTTTGCGAAAGCCATGCGCAGGCCACGTTCGTGAACGAAATAGAGGTCACCCACACAGGCGTTGATAAGGGATTCGAATGGAGCCAGTGCGACTCCTTGAATCACTCTTGCCCATAGCAAGCTGGTATAGTTATATCCCTTATGTGTCGAGCCTCCCCAGGCAGACGATGCTATCATGAGCAACGCTCCAATCAAGAAGACATGTCTCTTTCCCCAAACTCTTGCAAGCGGTACGAATAGTAAGCTGCCGACTCCAACACCTGCGAGATGGTAGGCGGTGAGAAGAGCCGCTTCTTGGAATGTGCATTTGAACTTGAGGGCAAGCTCTACCGAGTCGGCTGCTAAAAGTGGTGAAGCTGTGGTTGCGAGGACCGAGACGATGCAGAGAATAACGAGGATGACATCGCGTTGCCACAGCGGCCAATTCTGTTTAATTGTCAGTACTGTCTGCACACATTGATATTGATCTAGCCGAGCAGCAACTCCTCGGGGTCCGAGATCTGGGAATGCGATACCAGTGGATCATTCGGATCATCTGTTGGTTGTGGCACAAGTATTGTCGTTCGCGATCTTGTCAAATCATTGTCGGTTTTGTTGGTGACTTGAACAGTACCAGGAACATTTTCGGTCCTGGGCTCCAGTATCCCGAGAGCCATGTTTGACGGTCAAGAGTTGGACTGTCTCCACCAGAGATGCAGGTTAATGCGCTTCAAGTGAGAGTAATGCTGACGCGACGGCGGACAAACAGATCAACAGATCGGAAGTGTCTCATTTCGAAAGAAACAGCTGAAAGCTGAGCGCGTGCCGGCAGAAGGACGAGTATACTCTACTAACTCGATCAACACACCGACCTCCTCTTTTGGTCAAGCCACAAAACATGGCTTCAGCTGAGCATGGTACGTGAATCAACTGTAATTCGTCCTTCCGCGGTGCAAGCAAGACTGCATCCTGCAGATGACCTGATCAAGGAGCATATCTTGCTCGAGCTGCATTGTTCGGCTTTTTTGTCTGCATCTCGCTCGTCGCAAATTATGGACGAAGTTTGAGCGTGAACAGGACGGAAACACGAGCGACAAGGGTTTAGAGTGTTGACCATTTGATCCCCAAGCGCCGTTAAACTCTCTTAGAACCCCACGATCAATGTTAAACTCACTTGGCACAGTCCAATCCACGGCGCGCCGGTGTCTTGGTGTCGAACCGCCCACCCCATGGAAGAAACCACGGCTCCGTTTCCCTAGAAATTGGCTGCCACTAGAGAAATGTCAATCTGAGTTTGTCCCCTCTGTGCTGGCTCCAATACTATCTCAGCCTCCTATCTTCACCTTTGCACCAATTAGGACTCGTCTTGGTAGCAGCTCTGACTTGATCCTTCGGCTATCCTTGTCTTGTTCCAGTCCGGTCTGTGGCTTGGGGTACATGTATTTTGAGGGTATATAATATAAACATGCTCCCGCTCTCTCCTGGAGACATTTGTCTGTAGTTCCAGAAATTATCTCACCTTTCCTCAACCTCTCCCACAATCAAATCGTCGACATGCGCACCGCCGCCTTCACTCTCGTTGCTGCTGCCACTTTGGCTACCGCTCAGCTCGGAAGCATTCCCAGCTGTGAGTTCTCCCAACTGTCAGGAGCAGTGCCAAAACCAATACTGAGACAGGATTAGGTGCCACTTCTTGTATCTCTCAGGCTCTGCCCGCCAGCTGCAACCTCGACCCTAAATGTATCTGCTCCGATGCTAGCTTCATCAGCACCATCTCTTGCTGTGTTTCGACTGCCTGTGACACTTCCGGCCAATCAGCAGCTCTTGCCTATGCCAGTCAGATTTGCGCTCCCGTCGGCGTGACCAACCTCCCTACCGCTGCATCGTGTGCCTCAGGCTCCGCCTCGGGCACCAGCGCCGCTGCTGTCGCAACTGCCACTGGAAGCTCTGCATCAACCTCTCTCTCATCAGCGACCCAATCTCTCTCATCCCTCGCCTCGTCGGCTAGCAAGATCGCATCCTCCGCCGCATCTTCCGGAAGCTCTTCCGCCCGCTCGGCGACCAGCTCCGCCGCAAGCGCTGCTTCAAGTGTAGCTTCCAGCGCAAGCTCTGCAGCTTCAGCACAGTCTACTGGTGCTGCTGCTACCATGGGTCCTGCTGGTTTGGCCGGTGCTGTTGCTCTTGGCGCTTTTGCCCTCCTGTAGGGTGCTTACTTCGAGTTATCGCTTGATGGATTGTTGCTATAGCCTACGAGCTTTTGTTTATATGTAATACACGAAAATGACTATACCCTTTTATTGAACGTACACGCTGCTGAAAGTCTGCCTTGTTTATGTGTATAATGAAGTCAGTGTCAGGATGAGAGGGAAGACTTGCACAATGTTGCATAGAAGCTGGGAGATTCACCGCCTTCAAGGTCAGAGTTCTGCCATATGACGTGAGCGATGGCTACACGCGCCAGCTTCGGTGCTTCACCAAAGAGGCATTACAGCCATCCATCACTCGTGATGCCCCGTCAATTCTCGGTATAATCCAACGGATCTAGCGCCACTTCTCGAACACAATGAAGCGCCAGCGCCGAGTAGATCGCGACGCGTGATTCGAAGTCTTGCAACACACGCTCAGCCGAGATCTCTTAAACCTCTCCTAGTGCTGCCCTCCGTCAGTCTCGTTCTCCTGCGACAGTCAGAACAGAAGCCAAGGCGAGCTGTAGTAAAGCACGGCTATATCTCATATCAACGGACTTGGAGTGGAATCTGCAGAAGAGACGATTCCGGTGGCACTGCTTCAGATTCAGAAAGGCTTGTGTCTCGAGACAGCTGCAAAGTGTAACAGTGCTTCGCATAGAAGAGGAGATCACACAGCATTGCACAGCTGCTACGCCACGACATGTGACACCTTTGCCAAAGACATAACTCGGAATCCCAACAGTCAACCTCGAGTACCTCAGCGCTATCCATGAGAATAAGACTACAAGAGTTGGAGAAGGACAAACACACAATCATACGCCTATAAACAGACTTGCTTGATCGAAGTCGGCCAGAAGGTCATCCCACCCTGAGGCGCTTGATCCAGGAGCCATGTTGATGAATTCTTCCCACAGCTTGTCAAGCTCAAGGTCCGGAACCGGATCGAGTGAAGTATTCCACTCCGGCGGCCCATGCGACTGAGCTACCTCGTTCTGAGCAGGAGGAACAATTACCATACCAGTGGGCTGCACAGCTGGCGTCGCTGTAGATTCAGACGGTGTCAGGTACTGGTTCTTCGGTCTAGCGTCTTGCAGCTGGATCTTATGCTTGCGCAATAAGTCCATCAGTGCAGTAATGAAACGGTTGGCAGCCGGCATCTCCGTCCTAGACTCTTGCAGCATCGAGCATGCCTCCTTGAGCTCCGCTCTTCGACTCTGGTCTTCTGCTTCGCTAGCCGATTTGTTGAAACACAGATCAAGCGCCAGCGTAAGTGCCGCCATGAAGATGTGGTATAGGACGAAGTTGAGCCTCGTGATTGGGAGCACCGCGTCTCTCTTCTCATGACGCAATAGTCGACAGATCTCGATACACTTCCGGACAGATTCCAGACATGCTGTCCGCGAGACATTGAACCTTGCGTTCGTCGATCCACGAATAAGGAATGGTCGATGAATTCTGCTCCGATGGCAATGAAGCCCTTGCTGTAGGAGATACTTCTGCGTCGCCAGCTGTGGATACTTGCTGAGATATGGCTCTGTTCGTCGGCGACTCTCTTCGTCAAGTTGAAAATAGAAAGGTAGGTCGTCTTTCAGTCCTGCAGTCCGTTTCTCGAGAGCGACAATTTCGTCGTAATCGACGCTGTTGACGCCAGAGGCTAGTGGGTGGACGAGATCAGCCAGGATACGGCACATTTCTCCTCCAACCGTCCTGACCAAAAAGTATGACATCTCGGTCGGTTCAGTGAGCGGCTTGTCGCTGGTTTCCTCTTCGTGGAGAAGCTCATCGTCGTTGATATTCATGGGTCGATTCACATGGGCATGTCTTGGATGAATGCTATAGGTACCTTCCTGTGGGCTGGGCATGCTCCCCAGCAGCCTTTTGCACACCATCAGCAAGAGGCTCTTACGATACGGTCGATGGGAGGAAGCAGGGATTCGTTCGACTCACCAATCCGTGGTTGCGAGATACCACCAGATCCTTCTCTTTACCTCGCCCTCGATCTTGTTTCCTGGCTTGACCCTGGATGGAAGGTCCAACACGTGTATGGACAAGTCCTTAGCGAGAGTTATTGAAGTACAGTGGAGCAGCCAAAACTTCTTGGAAAGCCCTTTTGCAATCAGTCTAACGACGATTACAGCACGAATTATTGCACTTACCTTCAAAGTTTTGCATCATCAAAGACATGATGATAGTAGCCTGCAGCTGTTCAATCGAAGTGGTTGTGGTACGCTCGAGGTGGTCTAGGATGTCGAGGGCGTTTTGTTTCCAACTCGTGGATAATCGGTTGGCTTCTTGTGAACCAGGAAACACACTCTCCGGCCATTCAGCGAGTGCTTGGAAGTATGCTCCGCTGACGAAGATGCTTAACAGAAGAGCAGCGTGTGAGAGACTAGGAGCCTGGCCACGGACGATTCGACAGTAGGTCTCGTCAATCAAAGCTTCAACCGTCTGCCTGTGATAGATGTGGTACCATGACCCGAGTGACTTGTCGTACGACTGGAAGAGGATATTGGCTTCTTCCCTGGCAGGCAAACAGATGCGGCGAACAACTCTGCTGCCTTTCACGGAAATATTGGTCAGGATCGGATCCTCGAGATTGAGGTCGAATGCGATCTCCGACACTCCGGCAGAAGTGAATAGGAATTCACCTTGATTATCGACAGCATCTATTCGCCGCGACGCAGTGATGTCTGTAGAGCGAAATTCGTCTTCGCGTTGTCGCTCGACATTGGCTTGTGGTGATGAATCAGATCTACTAATGGCATGAAATATATCATTCTGTACAACGTCCTCGTGCATGGTCAGTAGAGGTTCAGGTCCGGCTTGCGTTTTATCTCGGCGCATCTCATTGCCATTCGCCAGAACAATGTTTTCAAGTTTTTGAAGTCGCTCCAATACTTGTGCTAAGACCGAGTTGTCGGAAGGTACGACTGAGCTGCTTCTGCTTTCAGTCAGCGTCGCACGTCGCAATTATGCCTCTCGGCGAGCAGATCACACGTGAAGCTGTCTCAAGGCACAGTACATCTTGGATCTGAAGCGTTATCATCGAGAAAGATCATTCCATCAACTCCCTGCGCCAGTGTGGTCCGTCCAGAAAATGACCATGCCTTGCTACAGCTCGACATCTCTGCTTTGTGCGTCGGAGGGATGAGTTGACAGGTTAGCACACAAGGAGGTAGGTAATCGTTCTCACCTTGCTTGACCTGACACTCGTGGCATAGCCTCAGGAGGCTCACAATTCAACCCGCGCGATACGCAGTTCGAACATGGAAACGTGCGGGAGCATTTCAGCTTCTTCCGGCGGCACACTCCACAGGACACTGGATCCTGACGACGACGTGTAGCCTGTGGCTCTGCGATTGTACTCGTTTCAGGGGCCGAGCGCTTCATCTTGATTCGACCGGAAAGTCCAGGGAGTGAACAAGATGTAAGTCCATGATAGAAAACAGAGAGCTGAATCCTTCCGTGGACTTTCCGTGGAGAGACCATGGTCCGTGCGAGTTATATCAACATGTTCATGCATAAGTATGCAACTGCAGCTGGACAATGGTTTCTAGACAGGCTCCAATCATCAAAGCAACTCATCAGTCTTCGAGAGTCGTCACAATGTCTCACATCGACAAGAAGATGCTTGCTGAAGCAGAAATCCAATCAAGCGACACATCCATTCATGCTCGAGAAGTTAAGGAGCTTAACAAGCGATCGATATCGGTTCTTGTTGGAGCTTTCTGTGCCTTCTTCTGCAGTGTCGGGTTTTTCAATGCATTTGGTCTCTTTCAGGAGTACTATCATGCCAACCAGCTATCGAACAAGACCGAGTTTGACATCTCATGGGTATGTTCGAAGATCAGCCTGGCTCACGCATCAGCAGCCACCAGATGATGTTTCCCCGGAACGGTCATTTCCATCCTCAACCTATGCTAACTGTTTATGCTCTTCGCAGATTGGTAGTTTTGCGATCTGCGCCATGTATCTCAGCTCTCCTGTAGTCGGTATATCTTACGACAGGATTGGCCCGCACATGCTTTTGTAAGCTGGCTCCTGTTCCGCAGAATGACTACTCGACTCTAACACCGTCTATCTAGATGTATCGGCACTGTGGGTGTACTCTTCGCAATTTTCATGGTCTCACTGTGCAAGGAATACTATCAGATCTTCCTCGCGCAGTCTTTGGTCTTTGGTGTTAGCTCCGCCTTCTTGGTTACTCCATCTTTATCGACCCTCACCAAATACTTTCGCAAGAATAGAGCTCTTGGAATGGGGATCGTTGTTGCCGGATCGTCGACTGGAGGTGTGGTATGGCCAATTGTTCTGGACCAACTGCTCAATCACACCACACTTGGCTTTGGCTGGACCATCAGGATTGTTGCATTAATCATGTTACCACTACTCACTCTCAGCTGCCTACTCGTTCGTGCGCCAGCTATTGTTATATCCCATCAGGACGAGAAAGACGAAGCTACTACGGCGAAGCCGAAAGCTGATTTCAGCATCGTCAAGAAACCAGCATTCATCCTCTGCTGTGCTGGTATGGCTATCGCCAACCTCGGGATGTTCAGTCCTCTCTTCTATGTGAGCTCTTATGCTGTATCTCTCAACATGTCGACATCATTCACCTTCTACCTCGTCTCTATCGTCAATGGTGCTTCTTTCTTTGGACGAGTGCTGCCTGGTATCTTAGCTGACCGTTATGGCTGCTTCAATCTCCTCTCTTCCGCAGCTCTTACCTCTGGTATTGTTGCATTCTGCTGGACCGGAGCAACAAATGTCGCTGGCGTTACAGTTTGGGCCCTCACCTATGGATTTGCTTCCGGGGTGAGTCGCATATCTTTCCGAATGAGGCTCCTGACATGTGCTGACGATACAGGCTATCATGAGTCTCCAGACAGCTTGTATCGCGCGCCTGGCGACACCCGAAACTATGGGTACTGCTATGGGTCTATCGATGGGAAGTATAGCACTAACGGTTCTTTTTGGGACACCTATCAGTGGGCAGCTCGTTGGACAATATGGCTACCTTGAGCTCAGCATGTTCTCGGGATCGACCCTGATCGTTGGCGCAGTATTAATTGGGTGTGCTCGTCTGAAGCAGGATAGAAAGATGCTGTCAGCTATCTAGACTGAACAGTTGTATATGAAGACTTTCTACTTTGGTCCGGGACATGCCGTAGAGACGGAATCATCTGGACGAATGCTCAGCGTCTACGAAGGTGGAAATGTATTTTGAGTCGTTACCGCCTAACAACCATCGCTACTAAGATCAAACTGCCGCAGTCAGGCCTTCAGATATTTCTTCATGTCCTTCTACTGTTTTATTGACCCGATTGTCACTCGTGCTCGTGAAAAACACATCGTCGCTACAAATTATCTTGTCAATTGGACGACCCTGACAGTGAAATCCGAGTGCACCGATGACGTAGAGCAAAGTACCACATCCTACGCGCCTCTGTCTCTTTCTTGTGTCTCAGCTCACGCGATGTCCACCAATCGACCGCGTTTATTCCACCTTATTATCGATCGGTCTGCTCCTCTTCAGGTCTAAAACGCTACGATGACATGGCCACTCGACCTTTCTGTCGGACTTTGGCCGCGTAATCCCTCATGAGTTTAGACTGTTTGAAGCCTAGCAGTCTCGACAGGCTCACACGCCATCATCCACCGAGGAAGAATAGCCAGTCGCGCGCATAGGCAGAGATAGAGTCAACGAACACGTATGGATGCCCTTCGACCACGCCCTCACGATCGCGCTGGCATCACAAAACCCAACCCTGCCGAGACTCGCCGAGCCCTGGAGCTATCTTGGCCTCCACCTCGGTCAAACCTCCGCCAATGTGCTAGGCAGCGTCAGCCATGCCCATAACAAGACAATATTGATCGATTTCGCGTAAGCCAAGTCGTCACAGCCGAAGGACTTTGAAGAGATGGGAAGAAACTCAGGGTCAATACCGAGCGTGGCCATTGGCGTTCATCCTCTGCGTGCTCAGATTGGTGACACGGTGGCGCACTTTATCTCTTGTCGAGAGAAGATTTTACACACTGCTCTCTGCAACAGATAGGTTAGTAACGTGGTTGATCTCCCTCAAGGGAGCATCCGGGAATGTTCAACACACCCCGCGGCCCCATGGGGGTGTCACTCCACACAGACCCCCAAGAAGCCGAGAACATAACATGCCATGGCCTCTCAGATATCTGCTTGGCCTAGCAGTCAGGGACTGCAGATCTTCTAGGCGATATAATCCTCCATCATACTCGATGTCCTACTTAACCTGCTGGTGTCGTCCTATAGCTTCATCATCTTTGGGCACGTTCAATCAACATGGCAAACGAAAAACCTCCCTTCAATGGTGTCAAGGGTGCTGGCCCGGAAGGCGAGACTGACAAGATTGATGTCAAGGATGAGAGGAGTTCCGGTGCCTCTTCGCCTGATCGCTTGCAAGAAGCCACCTTGTGGGAAAGACAACGCGACCCTTATCTGGGAAAATCCGAGCGCGATGTCATTGTCGATCTGGAAGGTCTGATTCAGCGATACGACCTGCACGACCTCAAGGACGAACTTACTCGTGGTGCTCGCTATGCATACGATCGCGACGATACTGATCGGTTGAACCCTACCGAGCATGAGATACATTGGATCGCAAAGGAGAAGAGTCCGGCTTTCAAGGACAAGTGGGCCCAGACGAAAACTATGTACTTCGTTGCATGCAAGTACCTGTATTCAAGTTTTCAAGAAGAGCAAAATGAGCTGACACACCACAGTCCTCTGCGGATCTGCTGCCATTGTGCAAGGCATGGACCAAACTGCAGTTAACGGAGCTCAGCTCTTCTATTTCGAAGACTTCAATATCACAAACAGCTGGATTCAAGGCCTGGTAAACGGTGCTCCGTACCTCTGCTCTGTTCTCATCGGTTGTTGGACGTCGCCAGTTCTCAATAAATACTTTGGTCGTCGTGGTACGATCTGGATTTCCTGCTTCGTCTCCGTCGCTTCCGGGGCTTGGCAAGGTGCGACTTTTGGAACATGGCAACTCTTCGCCTCACGTTTTGTCGGAGGCTTCGCTATTGGTGCCAAATCTTCTACTACACCCGCATATGCTGCAGAGTGCTCTCCGCCTCGGATCAGAGGCGCCCTAGGGTCTCAATGGCAGATGTGGACTGCGTTTGGCATCATGTTAGGCTTTGTTGCCTCTGTAGCCTTCTACGGTGTGTCCGCAGAAGGATATTCCGGACTGAACTGGAGATTGATGCTTGCCTCCACCAGTGTTCCGTAAGTACTATAGACATGATGCCTCGCCAAGTCACATGATATTGCGCTAGCTGAGACTAACTTGTCGAATAGTCCGATCATTGTTTGTTGTATGACCTTTTTCGCACCAGAGAGTCCACGCTGGCTCATGAGCCAAGGACGCTATCGTCAGGCCTTCTCGTCGCTTTGCAGACTTCGTCACTGCCGTCTGCATGCAGCACGTGATCTGTACGACATCCACATCCGTCTCATGCTCGAGAATGAGCTCAAACCAAAAACTGCTTGGGCCAGAGCCACCCAGTTGTTCGCCGTCCCTAGAAACCGTCGCGCTGCGCAGTCAGCCTTCTTTGTTATGTATATGCAGCAATTTTGCGGGGTAAATGTCATAGCCTACTACTCGTCCCAGATCTTTATCAATGCTGGGTTCGGGGAGCGTCAAGCCCTTCTTGCCTCTATGGGAACTGGTATCATCAATTGGTAGGCTTCACAGGCTTCAGAGGCTTCAAACCTTGACTTTGCGACGTACACATGCTGATATCAGCCCAGGCTATTCGCTATCCCTGGCATCTTGACCATCGACACTAAGGGTCGTAGGTGGCTCTTGCTTGTTACGTTTCCGTACATGTCCGCCTGTCTTTTCTTTACAGGGTTCTCATTTTACATCCCCGAGACAAGCACTGCACGTATCGGATGTGTGGCAACCGGTATTTATCTCTTCATGGTGGGCTACAGTCCCGGCATGGGTCCTGTGCCGTTCACATACTCTGCAGAGTCTTTCGTAAGTTCTTGACTACCACTCCCTTCCATATCCCAGGCTCAGTACTGACACTCCATAGCCACTTGCAGTACGTGATACCGGTATGGCGTTCGCAACAGCTACTTGCTGGGGCTTCAACTTTCTTCTTGCATTGACATGGCCTCCTCTGGAAGAAGCATTCACTTCCCAAGGCGCTTTCTGCTGGTATGCTGCCTGGAATTTGTTTGGCTTCGTATTTACCTGGTTCTGTCTGCCTGAGACCAAGGCTCGACCGCTTGAGGAGCTGGATGCTGTGTTCAACATAAGAACGAGAGATCATGTCAAGTATCACTTGATCAAGACGCCTTTTATCGGCAAGGGACATGTTAGTAATGACTTGGCGGATGTCGCGCAGATCATTGAGGGTAGAGATATGAAGGGCCATGTCTAGTTGAGACCGCGAAGCAATTCTGTCAATGCGATTGAAGGAGGGAGAATCATCAAGTAGTAATATGTCGAGACATCGAACACGAAATACGAGGTACAGAATGGCCCTCTCTGTGAGCGACGCCAAAAAGAGGTCCGGGTCGTCCAATTGTGAGTGCACATGTACGAAGGCAGGCTTCATGGTACCGAACATGACCGTCACCCCGGGGATAAAAAAACCGATCATTTATGAAGCATCTCGTATCAGTGGCTGGAAGTGCAAGGCGTACCTCCACGGGAGGCGCTCCTCCACAAGCCGGCCATCGATCCCGGTCTTGGCGAGCTCTCCGACCTCAAAGGTCAAAGCTTTCTCCGGCTTCCACAGCTAAATGATGCACAACGGTCTGGTTGTTTCTCCTAAATGTCATGCCTCGTAAAGATACGAAGCAGTCCTGGGTAGGATTGACACTGCTATGTGATCAAGGTTTTGATGTCGTGTCGGACGCTCTGCGTGTGACCTGGAAGACGGCTCTAGCCATTCGACCGACCGTCGAAGGCCTCCAAACATGAGAATACAAAAGCATCACCTTGCCCAGTGTGAACGGTGTCATCCATTCTGATATCAGTCCCTCATCATGCCACTCAAGTACATTTCCACTTTGTTGCTTGGTCTCGTCGCCATCACCGTCGCATCTCCTTTGTTGGACGTGCGTGCTGTCTCTCCGTCTGTCACTCTTTCCTCTGGTGTGGTTGTGGGAACCGCAACTGCTGTACTCAATCAACCGAGCGTCACGGGACTTGTTGATGCCTATCTTGGTATACCATATGCAGACACTCCCAAGAGATTTGAGCCTCCTGTTGCGTACTCAGGCTCTTGGACAACACCTTTTGCTGCTCAGAAATTTGGAGATGCTTGCATACAGCAAATTAACACTACTGGTAAGGCTATATCTTCTCCACCTGTGCTCGCATCCAGCTAATGATGGTCGTATAGACTACCCATCTTCCGAGAATTGCCTCTTTGTCAACATCTATGTCCCCCCAAACACAATCCCATCTAGTCAGAAGCCAGTCATGTTCTGGATCCATGGTGTATGTCCTTTCTGTTCATCTTCAAGATTTATACTAACAATGTCTAGGGTGACCTCGCTATCGGCGCTGGTTCCAATGTAGAGTTCAATGCTAGCTCTCTTGCTGTCAATCATGATGTCGTGGTTGTCACCTTCAACTATCGCTTAAGCAGTACGCTGTCCCTCTCACAGCATTAAACAAATCACTTACCATGGCAGTCTTTGGTTTCCCTAATGCACCCGAACTCCGATCATCTACACCCAATCCTGGCTTCCTCGACCAGCGTCTTGCTCTACAGTGGGCTCGAGACAACATCAACGCCTTCGGTGGTGACAAATCACATATCACAATTTTCGGTGAATCAGCTGGTGGCTACTCCGTTGCTCAGATCCTCGCTCTTCCACCAAAGCCTCTACCTTTCGTGGCTGCCATCATGGAGTCGCCTATATATCTTCTACCTGGCGATGGGAGCAAGAACTGGAATAACGTCAGCTCACACTTTGGTTGCGATGTCAATTCATCTCTAGCGTGTCTGCAAAAGGTTGATGCCACAGAGCTCCTCAACTACATCAGAAGTGCTGGTATCAGTCTGCTTTGGCCTCCTGTCACCGATGGTATTACACAGGCTGGTAGCATCTCGGACGCCATATCCGCCGGTTCATTTGCTGATGTGCCTGTCTATATGGGTACCAACACGCAAGAACTCGATGGCTTGTTATCTGCTCTTGGTCTTGGAAACGACAACGCGAACAACGCGACTGCGATTCTCACTAAACTCCTTGGCACCAATATCACAGCACTCGTGGCACTTGTCGGCCCCAAGTATAATGATGACCCTCCTGTAGACCTCATTGGACAGATCCTGACAGATCTTCTATTCACCTGTCCCGTGGCTAGGTTTGCTCGGGAGCTTGCACTCAACAACTATGACACTTGGAGATACTGGTACGGCCTAGCCACTGCCACTTATGGTTCCAAGTATGTTGTCCATGCATCCGAGGTCGCTCAAGTTTTCGGCTCTTACCCTCTGGCAAATGAAAAGGGCGTAGCATCTGAAGATCAAATTCAGTTGAGTGCCTTAATGCAGACTATCTGGACAGATTTTGCAAAGAACCCATACGCTGGACCTGGTTGGCCGAAGATCTCGAAGAGTGTGAACAACAAATTTGGGCTTCTGGGTGGTGCTCGTAACTCAAGCGGTCTTCAAGTTATTCCTACCTTTACTGCTGACTATCCTTGTGGTATCCTTGACGGTCTTGCCGCCACAGGTAAGGTGGGGATCTTGGAGGTCGGGACATCTTAGGGGCAGCGACAAGTGATGGTCACCATCCGTATGCGAGGGACGGTCACGGACGTAGCTGCTCGAGAGCACAAACTTGTCCAGTCTCATATAAATGTCGCGGTAATACGTCTTTCAATCGACAAATTCACAAGATCTGACTGTGCCTTACTGCAGCTCGTCATTGCTCTGCATTGATTGCTAGAGGATAGGATCCACACAGTTCGGCACATGGGCATATTGTGAAATTCATAAATTCATACAACTCAACGTAGATCACCAGCTTAGTATGCCAGCAAACAATATAGCAACAGCTCCCACGGCAGCAGCAGCCTTTCCACTCCCCGGTCTCTCTGGACCCATGCCTGTTGATGCAGTCCAGCACTTCTTGTACTGACTATTCACCGCCGCTGCTGAGCCGACCTGGAAACTCATGATATTGTATGGAGCCTCGTAACAATCTCCATTCCCTGAACTTTGGCATGTCCAACCCAGGATAGGATGCACGGTCTCTGCAGAAGCATTCGTTTGTTGACAATTCCGTCCGCTAAACACTTCAAGCAGGCGTGTGGCATCTTCACCTTGGTTCGGTGATGTCACATTTTGTTGTTGGTACCAGACTCTTGAATAGTTGAGTTGGTTTGAGTATGCATCCGTGTTGAAGAGACGCCAAGCTATTTCCTCGTAGGGGACTGAAGATTGAGGTGATTGTGTCGTACGAGAGCCGTAGCTGCTTGATGTGCTGGAAGAAAACAGATCTTCGAGGTTGAAGCATTGGTATGTGGCAGGAACGCTGCTTGTGGTGAATGTGACGGCTTCCGTTGAGCCATTTGTCGCACAGGTGTTCAGTGTGGATGGTGAGAATGAAAAGGTCAAGTTTGTGCTGTTGGATGTAAGTATTTGTCCAGCCGAGTGCAACACGTGCTTACTTTTGTGCCAGAGCTTGTGCGGCGAAGGGAATCGTAAGTAGCAGCGACAAGAAAGTCATATTGATGGTAGATTGTATTGTTTGAGTGATTCAAGCCAGATTCAAGACGCGTCAGTGGAAATTAAATGAGATGCAACTATCCGGCACGTCCGGGAAGACAGTACATATAAGCAGACCACACTGCTCCGAGGAAGTCAGTCACACGATGAGTTAGAAAAAAAATAGGCAGCGTCCATGACCGAGGTGGCGCAAATCGAAATGCAAAAGTCAGTCAGACATTTACGATCGCCATGTGAGCGTGATGCGATATAGCCAAGATACCAAGGCGCGATTGTTTACTTTGGACAGTAGAAAGAAAGTTTCATGTTCCTTTGGGGACGAGTGGAAGGAGCTTTTGGGGCCCCGCACTCCGGATTTACCGCAAAGGTCAACGGTGTAGCAATGGAAGCCGAGGACAATCTTTCGATCCAACCAAAACGCCATTTTCTATCACGAGATTTCTGGAAGGATGCAGAAACTCGGGATCTACTGTCGGTCATGTTTGATAGTCATATATCATTGACGCTGAACAGGCCCCAGATAGGGACCATGCTGCGAGGGCAGACAAAAATCCTCCGTTGATCTTCTTACGGCCGGACTCTAAACAGACAACATCTCTTGGCTCTTGTTGTCGATCATCATACCACGTCGTTTCACGCGTGCTTGAGTGCAATGATCGCTTGGTTGCTTTCGAAGAGTCTCATCGGCGAACCACCGGTACTGTGCATCACGATAGCTAGCACGACGACGCTTGAGTCATCGAGAGCTTTGCTTCTTCATACGAAACTCATCGTCTTCATGTGCTGAGTTTGATCAATTTTACTTTTACTCTGAGAGCGACATCAATGTTCAGAAATGCACTGTGTTTCCTCGAAACAGAAGAGCTTGTGCCGTGTATGACTGACACGACTTGTTCTGGTGATAGCGCTGCGGTTCCTGGAAAGTGTGGTGTCGCAAGGCAGCTCCCAATGCTCGGCACAAGACATCGTTCCGGGAGCGAAGAGGTCTGAAGATCATATTATTGCAAATCCTGTTATAGGGACGACAAAGCAGAACGAAACACCTCCATCCTGCCTCCTGTTCAGCCGCTAGGACCATGGGTCTGGGCACTCAAGTGTAGCAAAGGTATTGTAGGAAACAAGTGGTTCCACAGACAGAAGCAGACTTGCACTCTCCTCTGCAAATGCCACCCTTGTTGCCGTTATCGGCTCCCTCTGAACCAAAGCAGGCTGATGAGCACCCGCCAGCATCTGAGATGGGGTTAACTCAAGGAAAAGTGAAAATGCGTATGGATTACTGACCAGACCAAGGGCCAACAGGACCACCAGAGCCATCTTCGCAAGCGGGGACATCATTCTGTCGCTTCTCAACCGGCGTAGCCATGGCCATAGTAGCGAAGATGGCGAGAGCAATGATGGAGAATGCAGGCTTCATAATGATGTCTGGACTTTGGGTTGACTCGATGAAATTTTGAGTGATGGATAATATGGACTTTGAGAACGCAGGAGAGGTGTTGCGGTTCAATCTGCTCGGGCATAGGCAGCATTAAATGATCCAAACCAAGTAGCATGTAGTAGAGCTTGCACTGTGTTGGACATGGTGATTGAGAGCGAACATGTCATCATCCACAGACGCGTCAAGCATTCAGACGCGGGCTCCTTCATCACCTCACGTTGATTCCTCAATCGACCGATTGACGATCCCAAAAAAGAGGTTCGATACTCAGACTATAGAGCTTTAACAAACTATCTTTTCCACCAACATGGAGCGAAGGATGAAGGATTGCGAGAGTTGCTCGAACACCATCGATACGAGCTGAACAACCGCCGACAAGGCCATACCGCGGAAGTTCGGGTGTCGTCTCTACAGCAAGACACTCGCACGTGTTTGAGAATCTGGTGGTAGTAAAACGTGCTTCAAGCCAAGGCGACGATCGAAGGTGTTGCAGATCATGGGGCAGATAGAAGAATTACGCTTTCCTGATCGACAGAAGGACTGACTCTCGCACTTTTATCCAAATGTTGACGTATACCATGCCTATTGCAGACTCATTCCGCGAGCATGATCGTCCCTGTAGTCCGGAGGATTCAGTTCTTACATTTCAATCGAGACATAATCGTATACCATTCCTGTCCCAAACTCTTCCTGCGAGTATACTCGCGCCCGTCGTCCGGAGGATTGGGGTGGCATCCAAGATCAGCACGATCGTGTCCCGTCAACAACTCTCCTGTAATTCAGTATGAACATTCGGGTAGAACGAAAGTCTGCTCTATGCGAGCATCGCAGGAAAGCACATTGACTGGAGGCAGCGATGCTTCGCACCGAGATGACATCCTCTTCGGAGCCTGTATGTATGAAAGATCGACTCGTCAAGGTGTATAAAGTCGGCTCGTCTTCGTGTCCAGTTCACAATTTCATTCTCATCCATCATCTACTCTGAATACTTCCCTGACTTCCATCAAACCTATCTCAACATCAACAATGGCAGCTGCTTTGGACGCTATTGGTCTCATCAGTGGTGGTCTTGGTATCATCCAGTTCTTCTTGGACAACGTTCCATCCAGTACTCCTCAGGGAGCATCAGTCCAGATCAAAGCAGGTCTTGGTGATGATACTTCCGATAACCTGGTAAGCAGTCATGGCTGCGTTCAGAGAAAACAAGCCTAACAAATATGCAGGGCGGCGGCATCGACAATGTCTATGCCTTCGATTACAACAATAACTACCTTGGTGTCTCTAGTGGCTGCTCTATGGGCGACGGCGGCGTATGCCAAGTCACTGTAGACCAGGGTAATGCTGGCGTTCAAGCCGACTATGTCTCAATCTCCAACGGCAACGATGCAACTTGTATCGCTTGGGTCTCTGTCAGTCAGTTTGACAGTTCGCCTGGAGGTGCCTGGACTGGTGACATCGGCTACAACTGCGGCGACATCTGGTACTATGGTAATCAGTTGGCTGGTAGAAACCCCGACGGCTCTGAGTATCGCCCCTACTGCGCGTGAGTCCACGGCCCATGGCTGTTGAAACGTGAGCTGCAACTGATCGTGATCGCAGTTGGTTCGATGGTGACCACACAAACGGCTTCCAATATGCTTCCCTCAAGTTCACCGTCCGCGCTTATGGAGAGAAGGCAAGCGATACCATCAGCCAGAACAAAGTCTGCTCAGCCAGCATCTTTGGTGCAGACACTGGACCCATCAATGGTCAACCCGAGTCCATCTCCAAGAAGCGCTCTGTCAAACGAGCTCCTTCGACACGTCGGTCTTGGATGGAGAATCGTCTTATCATTTCGAGTCATGCAGGTCACACGGCAGAACACCTATGCAACTCTGCTACCAGCTGGGGTCCTGACTTCGTTGGTGCTGATGGGCAATTCTGTGACATGGCTACAAAGACTCTGTCTCCTCTTTGCTCCAAGGAGGACGTCGACGGATGTATAGATGTAAGTCAGAACGGGACGGTAGTCGCTAAACGTTCGATCGCGCGTCGCTCGGTGCCAATCACCAAGGCGTATGCTGTTGTGTCGGTATGGGGTGACGAGGCTTGAAGATGGGCTTTCGCGAGGGACCTTTGGGAGGCTTTGTGGAGGTCTGTATGAAGGGGAGTACCGTTATTCTGCCGGTGTGCGTTCGGATTTCCCGTTGACAATGGTGTCGAGGCATGCAATCTGCCGACACTCGGTGCTGTTCGTTCGTTGTGTCGTAACCAATTCATGCTTTTCGTTCACAATATCTTCGCGGTGCTGCGGTATTTGTCCATGAAGCGACAAGAGCGTGCTTACCCATGGTCCCGGTCGGCCAGGTATTTCCTCAGCAAGGCCTACGTTGATCGCATAATCGACTTTGTCATTTGACCGTGGGCTTCTTGAAGCCGTAGTTCAAGAGCGCAAGGTAGAACAATGCGTGTCGCGTGTAAATCGCGACGTCATCAATTTGCTTGGCACGTCCTCCACGTCTGTGTCTCTCCTTGCTGTCGCTCAAGGCTCCAGCGACACTGGTCGCGCAAGGGGTCACTGATGGTAGCTCTTTGACGAGCAGCTTGTCATCCACTGTGAGCAGAATAGATGCCCCAAAAACGCTTCTTTGACGTTCATGTAAGGGTTGTACCCTGGGCAAGATGTATCGTCTTGCTGTCGTAGCCCTGGACTGGCTGTTCACAGCACTAAAAAGCTACAGATACAGTCCAGGCAAAGAGCACATCGATTACATCCGCTAGCTCTGCGCTATCAGTACGAGACGATATATCCGGGAGGCATGCTCCTGCTTGAAGCGTCCCTGATGTGTCGAGGACGGGAAGCTCATGCTGACAATCACTGAGCCATGGACGCTGGATGAGAGAATCAAACGTTTGGCTGTTACTTGTTCTTCTTCCAGGGGATTATACTTCGTCCAAGTGGCGTTGATGGGAGGCAGAGCATGCACACGAGGTAAGCAGAATGTACACGGAACATTCAAAACACGTGAAAATGGTCGAATCTTCCGGTGGAAAGTCGTCACTTTCACTATCACTCCCTGCTCGCTCATATATGCGACAAACTCTTCAACTCTCGCAGAAACTGCTCATACAAAGTGTTCGGCGTCACCAGCCCACTCTGTAGGTATGTTTGAAAACGACGTGATCTGCATTGGGTGGCCCCGTTCGTCGTTACTGCTCGTTGACTGGGATCATCTGAAGGAAGTGGTCCTCGCCGATAGTCTGAGAATAGACATCAGGCTATCGTCTCTAGGTCGTTGATGGTATTTTGAGGAAGTCAGGTAAGTGACAATACCATCTATTGTGGCGTTGTACAAGCTTCGACACTGACTCCATCCCAGCAACATTCCTCGCGACTACCTTGTTACGGTCTTGTTGAGAATGGCTGACCGCTTCTCAGTGGAATGGTCGATCAAATACGAAGTACCCGTACACAGGCAGTTGTTGGCTTACTTCTCATCCTATTTTAAGGCAGCCTTCGAGAGTGGCTTTGCCGAGAGTACACAGGAAGTCTTTGTTCTTGAAGGTCTTTCTGCCATCACGTACCAAGAGCTTTTCAGATGGCTATACACAAAACAACTCGACCTCTTGTAATCGGGCTGGTCCTACTGGCTCCTTATCGAGCTCTACTTCTTTGCCGACGCTTACGACTTTCCCGCGCTTCGACGAAAGACCATTTCGATGTTGGTCCAATCCAAACGTGTCCGATTTCCTATCATCATGAGTGTCGTCGGTGAGCTTTTGAAGGTACCCCAAAGCTCGCCACTTTACCAATGGAGTGTCGAGACCTACATTAACCACTGGGATCCGAGATATCATCATCGAAAACCGATTCCCGATACCCCGATTGACTTCTTCCACGATGTGGCTCAAGGTCACATTCTGAAGACCATTGAAGGTCAGAGTCTTCCTTGCAAATGTTGCCACGATCCTTGTCGTTGGCACGAACACCTGGACGAAGAAGAATGGGAGAAGAGTGAGCAGAATTCAATGAATCATCACGATATACCTGCTTACCATCAACTAGACTGCCAAAGCCACGACGCTACCCTCACCAAGCCCGATCCTTCAACTTACCGCAAGCCACCTAGACGATCATGAGCGAGCGACATGTCAACCGATCCCAGCGCTCGATCACCGCTCTTTGATGACGACCACCGACTCCAAGTCACTCTGATTGATCTTTTACAATACATTACATCCGTCAGCAGTGTCTTCCATACTCGAAGTACCACCAAACCTGCCAGCGCCTTATCGGCCCCATCCTGTCGATACTCTCTGCACGGATCATTTACATCGCGCTTGCCAATTGCGCCTTTTTTTTTTGCTCGCGCTTCCCGGTGACCTCTGGCGTTTTTTTCCTTCTTGCGTCGCTCTGTTTATTTCAAACCTACTAATGCCCCTTTCCCCCTGAATATTTGCTTCTTTCACGCTTGCTTTTGTGTTTCTTCCATGGTCAAGAGCCATTAATGTCCATTCTACCATTCTCTGCGTCAAGCCCCTTTGCTGTGTCAGACATGACTAGCTCAGTGCCTGTGACTGCACAAGACACATTAGGACCCCATACATTGCGCAATTGTCATGGATAGCACACTGACTCCCGTCTGCCAACCATCAAGGTCCCCCTTCAACTGATTTGTATCTTTTGACAGTTGCTGTCACTATACGCTCTCCAAAGTCATCCACGTATTCTCAAAATTACTGTTGGGGAAATTGCACACGACATGAGAGCCGAAAAAGCATCTTCTTCATTTCTCAATTAACGAGGAAGCTGCCATAGTAATCTGTACAAGCAAACGAGATTCCCCCATCCCGTCTAGCCGACCCTATCTCCATCTAACTCGAGAGAGCCTCGCGTCTTGCTGTTCTGCCGTCTACTCGACCGCAAAAGCCAACCACCACCACTCCCCCACAACCCACCCATCAGCCTCCTTATCCTCATCCTCTCCCTCCCCACCATACCTCAATCTCTTGGCCAGCCCGGCATTCTCCGCCCACTCCAAAAACATCTCCAATTCCCAATCCCAAAGCTTATTCTTGTAAGCACCTTTACTCATATCCTTGACCTTGAGACCAGGGCGGAAAGCCAATAGCCATAGGGTGGCCATGACTGTCATTTCCCAGTAGACTTTGATGAGATTGCCGTGGATGTCTGTCCAGAGCGGGAGGCGGGGGCCGAGTTCGTCGGGGAATTGTCTGGAGAGAGGAGGAGAGGGGATGGGTGAGATTGGGTTGCCGTGGACGTACGAGTCTGTGGGGTGGAGTTCGAGGAGGAAGTGCAGGCGAGACTTGTCCATGTGGACGGTCTTGTAGTTGCCTTCTGTAAAGCCCCATTTGGTCAGACGAGGGTATGGTGCACCCATGGAGTGATTGACTTCAGGCAGAAGAGGCACGACTTTGGCACGACCGGCAGCAACCAGGTTGGTCATGCCGGTCATCTCTGCATCAGTCGCTTGGTAACTGATAGCAAGCTTTCCATCCTTGGCGAACGCCTCATCGACAGCCTTCTTGAACGCCGCAGTCTTTTTGAGATAGCGAACATCCCATTGGCGTTTGAACATCGTCAACACCGAGTCAGAAATATCGTAGTTGCGTCCAGGAATTTGACGACCTTTGTTCTCCATGCGGATGATCTTGGCTCCCAGTAAATGGTCCAGCGCTCTAGGTAGATACTCCTCAATCTGTATGAGCTTCTCATGTGCTTGATTACTGTCGTAGACTGTGTCGGGTGTGACCACATTGGCGCGCACCCACGATAGAGCCAACATAAGCCCGTCGTCGCTAATGGCAGACTTGGGAGCTCCTGCAAGCGGTCGTGCAAAAGTCCAACTGTTGGCCAACTCCTCTCTGCGCAAGTGAGTGACATTCGCGACCCAGAAATCTTCTCTCGGAACATTATACACTTCGGTAGCGTTTCTGACGTCGTAGCGTTTGTCGAGTGCCTCACGGTCTTTGGGCAGTTCGGGCAGTCCGTTCAGAGGGTTGGCACGAGCAAGTCTTCTCTCAGCCCACTCGACAATACCCAGCCAGTCGTACTTCTCCGGCTCAATGAAGTCGATGTTAGGTATCTCGCCACTCGCGTAAGCCTCAAGGAATAGCTTCTGGAACTCTACTTGGAGCTTGTCTGCTGTACCACCCAACTTGGGCCTGAGGAAGACCCAACGATGACGACAGTAGTTGGGATCAAACTTGAAGTGGAAGACTTGATGCACGAGTCCCCAATTGACAATCTGCTCAAGACCTCCAGTAAGAGTCTTGACAACCACGACAGCGTAGATGAGGCGTTGCTCCTCTTTGTCCGACATTGAGAAGATACCAGTTCTGCTCGAACGTGGTAAGACTGCCTTTGGGCCATAAGACTTGTACTCTGGTTGGGGTCTTGGTGCTGGGCGAGGTCTTGCTGAGTGCAATCTGGGAAGCCTAGTAACCCCAACAGCTGCGAATCGTGGAAGCTCGTATCCGACGTGTGGGCTCTCCGTTGGCAACTCGAGCAGCGTTGCTTCCTCTCCCGCCTGCTTGAAAATGTCTGCAAGCGACTTTGGAATCTGCATCTTCTGACCAACAAAGCCATACTGTGAACGTTGACTGGAGGTAGTGATGACAACAGGATCGGTCGAAAATGTACCTGATTGACGATGGAATCTTTGATAAGGAGCAGTCATCGATAAAGCGTCAATAACGCTGAACGTGCTTGCTTGCCTCTGTTGCAAAAGTTGTACAAGAGAAGGCTCCTCGGGCAAGTCGAAACGGACCCTCGGAGCATCAGGCACATCTCTCGATGGCACGGTGGGAATGACTTCTGGCTTCAACAATCCAAAGTCGCTGGCTGCGACTGCATCACGACTGTTCTGCTCGGCTTCAAGTTGATCGTCATGACCAGTAGTCGTAAGGAGACCAAGAGCACGTCTTGGAATGATTTGATCTTCCGCACCCCATCTTTGCAGCTTTGCAAGTCTTCCGCGACCACGTGGACCTCGATCAACAACAGCTCTAGTAGGGTCGTGTTGGTAAGAGTCAAGTTGGAAGTCGGTCGTCAGAGCAGCCACAGCATTGTCAATGTCTTCTTCCATCTGAGCTTGCATGTATCGTTGTTGACGCCTCTCTTCCTCTTCGCGTCTGTGTCTTCTGGCTGAGACACCCTTCTTCATTCTGGCTTCTGTCATGCCGAGCTGAACCTTTTGAGGTCCTTGAAGACGACTGACGACAGCGGTATGGTCGTAAATGAAGGAGCTGTTCGGATTGTGAACATCCGGGATGCCTTTGCCGCCTCTCAAATCGTGCTCTATACGAAGACGAAGCTCGGGCAGGACTTCAATGCTTTCAGGAACATATGTCATCGGATGAACCTCGATGATCTTTTGCTTGAGCGCCTGCACTTCTTCACTGTCAGGATCAATCTGCGGTTCCATGACGATAGCTTTAGTAAAGATTTTTCCATCAGGCGCTGAGAAGGTGAATGACTCTTTCTTCAATCTGCCCTCATCAATCAGTCCAGCAAGAACTCTGTCAAGAGTATGACGATCAGGACGACGCTGGAACTCCCTATCCCAGACAGTGACAAAGGGGTAGAAGAGTTCTCTGTCACCACCGAATATACCACCATTCTGGTGCACAATCTCAAGCAGCACCCTGTTACGGTTGTAGCTGACGATGCCTCCAGAACGGCCAACACCAACTTTGGTAGGAGCTTTGGCGCGACTGGAGAAGCGAGCAGCCGTAGTAGGGGTTCGAACGACCGGTTTTGTGAAAAGCTGAGCAGGTGCACTTGGTGACTCAACATCGTCGTCAACTTCTTCAAGGATAACCGGTGCGTCGGGTCTTCTCGATGCTCTCCGGAAGAACGGCTCCAAAATCTTCTCAGATGTTGTAACATAACTGGACTTTGCTTGCTGTGCTTCAACAGGCTCTGGTAGCATGTCTTCTGATTTTTGTTCGATGGACTGGTTAGATAGGTTCGTTGACGGCGTCTCTTCCTCGAAGACTTCGGCCGGAGATGCGTCCTCCATCTGCATGTCGTCATTCGTTGCGCCTACTGAGGCCTGACGCTCTTCTGAGGCAGCTTCAGATCCTTCCTCTGACTCGAAAGGCGCACTGTCAGCTCGCTGTAGAAGTAAATCGACCGCTGAGGCATCTGCCATAGATATATCGGGCAAGTTTGTGACCGAACTAGGTGGATCGAAGGATACCCTTGAACCAGCAGTAGAAAGGGCATGTGGTGCTACAGTGGCCTCTCTGTTTGTTGAAGGCGTATCTGGAGGCGAAACCTCGGATGTCACCTTGTAGGCCTCTTCAAGCTCGGTCAATGGTTTCCACTTGCCATCGACTAGAGATTGCTTAACTGCAAGCCTCTTCGTAACTCGTTGTCGCAATGATTCGTAGGCCTTGCGCTTTCCTTGTCTTTGGACTTGGATTCTTCTTCCTCCTTTGATGACAATCTCTTCCTCTGGCTCTACTGTAGACTCTTCTTGTACCTGAGTCTCCGTGTTCATAGTAGTCCACTTGCGAATCTCATCTGCTTGAACCAGTTCGGTATGGTCTGTCGCAGGTTCGGGAACTGGGGTAGCAGGTTGTGCTGTGTCGAAGCTAGGTTCCGGTGTGGCCGCTTGTGAAGAGGATACCTGATAGATATCCTCTTGTGTGAACCACGGAAGAGACTTGAGTTTCTGAGACTTGAAGACTGCAATGAGATATCGTGAAGGACGTCCCTTTGGCTGGACAACGTCATTCTTCATCTGACCAGAGCCTGGAGGATTGATGTAAGCACCAGGCTTGGTCATGTTCAAGATATCCAGCTCAATATCAGCCACACGCTTCTCAAGCTCTGGGTTCTTGGGTGACTTTGCCGTGGGCCTGTTGCTAGGCTCCTGCAGACCTTGCACATTGGGTTGAGCAGAAGTCAACATCGGTACTGCGGGACCATCGTGACTGGATTGCTCATGCAAAGAAATGATAGTCGATGATCCCTCAGAAGCTCCAAGAACAGGCGCATCAGACGACGCAGAAGCTACAGTCTCGGATACCAAAGCAGGAACTTGGCTGATATCCGCGGGCCCAACATCCTCAGTCTTGGTCGACTTGCGTCGTTTCTTCAGTTTAGGGGCATCTTCCTTGACGTTCAGCCCAAGCTCTGCTCTAGCTTTCGAAACAGCCAGTCTGTGCGATCTGACCTTCCACTCTTGAAGTTCGGCCTCGACACGCTTGGGATTCATTTTGAACATAACCTTGTACACCTTCTTCTTTGTCTTAGGTGTGGATGGGTAAGTAGATGCGGCGATAGCGTCATCCTCATCTTCGATTGTGTTGACTGGTTGTGCGGCTGAGGAGGGGGTCTCGGAGGTCGCGATACGCTTTCTAGGTGTCTTCAGAGTGCTCATACTTGAGAGAGGACCCATAGGAGAGTTGAATGCTTTCTTCTCCCACATGGGTCGCTTTGGCTTGGCTTTTGATCTGACAAGAATATTCTTGCAAGCTGCGACATTGTGCGTACCGTCATGACCAACGATAGTCGAGGCCTTGACCTTCGGAAAGCCCCAAGCATCGAGATCAGGCTTTCTTAGGACTTCTGCAGGCTTGACGTCGATTGCTTCCCAGGCGGCATCGCCATTTTCTACCATCTTCTGAAAGTTGTGATAGCTTCGGAAGACGTAGTGAGAGATACGATGTAGCTGAGAAGTGTCTCTGACAATGGCAAGGTGACGGAGATGGAGAGGCTGTGAGACGGTCCAAACGTCGGTGAGTCTGCCCATAATTTCGTCAAGTGGGCGTCGCCAGAAGTGACCCAATCCGTAGTTGGCAAGATCCATGGTACTCAACCCCTTGGTACCAGCATTGGCAATGATGTGGAAGAAAAATTGCGTATGATGCATGTCTGGCTGCCATTGAGGTGGCACACGCTTGGTGATCTCAGTCATCTTGCCCAGACCATCCAGAGCAGCGGCGTCAATCTCAACGTAGTCATCATCATTATCGGCATCGGCTTCTGCATCGGATTCTTGATCCTCAACAACTTTGCCGACTTTGCCAGATTTGACGGTAGACGTGAATGCTTCCTTGTCCTTCTCGACAGGCTCACGGAGCAGCTTGATACATCTGACCCAGAAGACATTCTCCGGATCATGTTCTGTCTTCTCGGCATCGTTCTTTTCGGTAGGAGCCTCGGAATCGATCTCATAGCGATGCTCGGAAGCCTCAGAGCCTTTTTCGGCTAGCTTGACCTGTTTGGGTCGTTGACCTTCCAGACGAGCGCGGAGTCTTTGAATGCAGCCCGATCTTTCAAGTCTCTTGATGCATCGATGAAGAGCTCGTGTCTCCCATCGCGAACCATGAATGCCCATCTCCTTGCGCAAGTCTTCGTACGCGATAAGACCGTCGTGTTTCTTGAGAGTTGACATGACTTCACTGAACCATTGTTCGTAGTTGATCATACGACGAGTCCCGCCTTCGCCTTTTCCAGCCTTGCCGTTGACTGTGTAGAAAGTGGAGGTCGGCTCTTGGGTTAACTTCTTGAGACGAAGCAGACTGGTCTTGATACCGCCACCGAGACACATCTCCTTGCTGATATAACCTTTGCTGGCAAGCGAGTCGGTACGCTTTGGCACGGATCGCTTGTCTTGACCTGTGATTCTGGTGACATCAGGCTGAAGGACGCCCTGACGACCGGCGGCGGCCACGACCTGGAGACAATGGAACTCTAGCTTGGGAATGCGCTTCCAATCAACGTCGTGATCGGTAAGAGCGTGCCAGATTCGAGCTTCTATCGTGTAAAGTCTCTCCTTTGCGTGTGCTTCGAAGACGGGAGTGAGGGGATTGGAAGGGTCATCTTCTCTAGACCTTCCATATTGATCGTCAACGACGGTCGAAGTCGCAACGACATTGACATCCGGGTGGTCAACGAGCCAAGTCCAGAGCTTCTCTAAGTGTTGTGGATCAGATGATTGTGATTGCGCAGCCGAGTTCGCACCAGGAGGCTTTGTCGAGAAGAGTAAATCTCCTTCATCGCCGTTATCGTCTTCGCCGTCGTCGACTTCAGCAGCGTTATTGTCATTGAATTCGATAAAAGCGTCGCTCAGTGCAGTGATGGTAAATCCTAAACATTATGTAATTAGTATGGCGTTGTTCATACAAGCATTGCAAAGCCGACATAAATTCTCCCCAATGCATAGGTGCGCGAATAATTCATTTCATCTCCAGAACGAGAAAAAAAAGTGATCCGACCACAACAGCAAGCGGAGCAAGCGACTCTGGGGAGCAAGACTTACCGATTTCACCAGACAGAGCGACTTGAAGCAACAGGTGCTCCAGTAATACATCCGAACCTGTAGCCATGGCTGAGCATGACTTCTTGACGTGATGGTCCGAAAGCGGATTGTGGGAAAAAGATTGTAAGATGTGGGTGCGCAAGGAGAGATTCGAACCTGCGTGCGCGCCGATGAGTGAAAATCGCAGTTTCGACGCTATGAGTGTTGGGAACGCCGTTGTGCTGTGAGCAACATTCGCCTGGTCTGTGCACGCGCGCCGGTCGTCGCTGGGGGGAAGACCCTGCTCGATCTCTCTGCCGTACGCTGTTCAGCGACAGTGAGGACGAATGATTGTCATGTGGTAACTTAATTGTCCTTTCTGATATACAGATCTGTACATTCAGCTATAGAACGTAGCAGAGGGTAGATACACCTGTTACAGACGCGTGGTCAAGAAGTGAAACGAGTTGATTGTCTATACAATGTTGAAGAATGATTAACGTATGCCTGTCATGCAATGATTGAACGAATACCTCCCGAGTCTTGACGCTCTCCCAACCCCCCGTAAACGCCCCACATAGTCAGTCCGTCTCGACGCATTATCATCTACCCTGCCCTCCATCCTGTCAAATTAGGTGCTCCAGCCGCATACTGTTCTCTGCGTTTCTGCTCCTGTTGCTCGTCATCCTTAGCCAACCGCTTCTTCGATGTGGCCTTTTTGATAGCTGTCATGGTGTGTTCCCATATCTTCGATCCAGCGTTCACCTCCCTGTACCTCTTGATAATACCCATATCACCTGCCGGTCTGCCATCCCAATCAAGTAGATAAGCTCCACTACCCTTGACTTCATCCATACCGACAGCAATGTCCAGGCCTCCGTTCAGTGGTATACCCGCCGCTCCATCCTTGGCTTTATACATTGAGCTGGTGATTTGGAAGAAATGTCTCTCGCCGCTTTCTCTAAAGTTCAAGATCCAAGGCGTCATGACCGAATACAACACTTTTATGCCAAGCCTGATAGGTCCGGTGAGTTGATTCGTGATCCCAGACTTGACAGTACCAGGATAGGAATGACTGAATGATGTTTTCGGGTGTCTCTTGGCCAGCTCTTCCATCATAAAGTCCGTCATCATGACACAATGTGATAGACATGAGTGTAGTGTGTATCCTTTTGTAAGCTCCATATTGTCCAGGTCGATGTCAGCTTCGGAGCCTGCTGCAAGAACTGTCAAGACGCGTGACAGCTCGTGATTGCTTCCAGCTGCTGTGAGTTCGGGCATAAGGTTCATAATAAATCGTATCCTTGAGTAGTAGTTGACGGCCATCTTATGATCCAGTCCTTCTGGAGTTTCTGCGAGAATGATGTCAGAATCATATAGGATCTGGTTGCAAGACTGTATCCGAGTCCAAGGTGCAGTGTATGAACATCGAACATGATAACTCACCTTTCCTGCCGCCTAGCGACATGTAACCGGCGGAAAGAAACAAGACATTGATCTTCTTTTCTCGCCGTTTCAATTCCTCACAGATCTCGTCGACATTCCTCAAGATGCTGATATCCTTTTTGAGAAAGATGGCCTTTGATCCAGGATTTAAATCTTCGAGCTCTTTGCAAAGACTATCTCCTTTTTCTTGACTCCTGAGAACATATATCAGTATAGATTTCGAGTATCAGACAGTCTCCGTATTAGACAATGAACTCACCTGCCAATGATGTACGCTATCGGTGTTGTTGCTCTTAAGAACAGTTCCTTTTCGGTGTTCTCAGCGACACCGTTTGTTCCACCAACTAGACGATGTCAATTTTGTCAGTAACGAGCTCTCACACAATGGCGTCTAATGAAGCAAACATCAACTTTAAAACGAGACCAACGACAAGCGAAGAGGCGAATCAAAGGTACATACCAAAGACAGTAACCAGATTCTCCAAATCACCAGCCTGCAAATTCGACATGCGAATAGAATCTAGCGAAACCATATTGGGGTTCTCAGAGAAGATCAAAGAGGTTGGTGTCGTGACGTTTGCAGCTGGAGGGGTCCAGCCTGCGCGTTCGTCGACCGACATTTGTGTAAAAGTAGTATGCGGCTCTGCTTTGATGGGAAGAGGCTGGTGAAGCTAAAATCGCCTCGGGAGCGATGTTGCCAAGTTTGTTAACTGGTTAGAATAAAGTTGATGGTATGCCGCTGCGTGGATAGTTCGAGAATAAACCACGGAGAGACTGGCAGAGAAGAAGGGGAAAAATTATTTCTGTATTACAAGTGCGGAGAAAATCAAGATTGGTTCTCATACCATTTGACTCGAGGAAATAATAACTCGTCTGTCCGATCTCATCCAACAAAGAATTCGTGGGTGCTGCAAAAGTTCACTGCACCTGCCCAACTCATCCGATCAACGCCCACATCCCCAGATGTTTGGATCGTGGAAGCGGCGGAGCTGGACACGAACGCCGAATTTTGTGTCCAATGACGAAGTGGCTTGGAAAGTGCTACATGTAGAACTTGTCCATGAGCTTCGTTTTCACGTCAATGATTCCCGCAGATGTCACGATCTTGGGATTGGTCTCATGATTGACGGCTGTTTCATATGTGATGATCATTATCAATTAACCAGACTAATCAACTGCTCTTCGGATATCCTAATGGTGATGAAGAGAGAAAGAGTGCATGTAAGCACGAGAAAGGAAAATCAAGGCAGCGTCGGAGCCATCTCCACTGTCTCGGAAGGCCTGCCTCCAAAAAGCGGCCAAACAAGAGATATGCTACGTCAAGTATTATTGTTGACCTTTGGTTTCTTCCGAATCATGGAGGCGCTCAAGATGTTGACTGCAGATGCCTCCACAGCGGCAGGTGCTTGTGCCCGGTCTTCCGTATTCTTCCTCTTCTTGCGAACTAGCATCCCGGATATGTCGTTGACTTGGCTGGACTTGGTAAAAGACGCTGGATGAGCAAGCTGATTCGAACCAGTAACCTCCTTGCCCCAGTCTGCAGTAGGATTCGAGATGGCCGCGACTTCAGCGAGCCACTTGCGCGTACTACTAGTTGCAGTGTCTGCATTTGAAAAGTCGAGGCGTAATAGTAAGTCGTGGACTCTTGAGTATGAAGTATGCTCCAGGACGATTTGACCACGGCCCTCTTCTGGCCACTCTTTGCTGATCGTCTTGTCTGAGCGCGACGACACATTCGACGAGGACGACTTGATCTGTGGTTGGCGAGGTACAATTGGCCCTGATAGCTTCTTCCTCCTCGAGGTCTTCCTCGGACTGGCCCTGGATACTTCCTCGGTTTGACCAAGACTCTCCTGGCTCGAGAAGATGAGATCCGCTCCAAGCAAGTCGTCAGCGTTGAAAGAAGTGGCTGGCGTCAGATGTGTAACAGTATCCTCGAGTGACTGGATACTTGGTTGTGTAGGTGTAAAGACGAGCCAAATGAAGCCAACCATCCTGCCAGAAGAACACTCTTGTCTGAAAGCCATGGTGTCCCAGAACTGATCCAGAGTCCTTATGCTCTTCCACATGCCATTGCCTTTCTTAGAGGGCGAGAAGAATGTCTGAGAGGGCTGCGAGTCTGGGATCTCGGCATCGAGTTCGTCAAGATAGCGAGCCTTGGGGTCGTCGGGAAAGTGTGGTACGAGACAGCGTGGCGGTGCGGATGGATTCGGAGCGATGTCGAGGAGCGGATGACCATGTCGCCATTTGCGATTGTCGACGGGATCGGAACGGCATGTGGGAGGGAAGAATTGGGTCGTCTCGTGGTAGTCGAAGCCTGGTACAATGACATGGGCGCGGGTGGTATAGGAATCGTCTGTGGTCGGGCATCTCAAAACGGGATCCAGAGTTTTGCACCACCACTTGACAAGTTGACGGTCGTCCAAGACATGCTTTGCGCCGTGGTCTACGCTGCCGGGAAAGAGGTATTGATCCTGGGCTCTTGCGAAGAGTGAGACGACAAGCGGAATGCCAGGTCTTTGCCTAGTCTCGGCAAGCCATGTTAGAAAGGTCGAGGTGAGAGGCCGGATGGGTGACTGTCGAGTGTGGGATGGGGTTCGGGATAGGAAGCCTGTCGAGTCGGCTTTGGAGACGAATAGCGTTGTCAGGGTGGCAGTCGTGTAGACGAGCACCTCGATGGCAAAGACAAAGACATGACGGCCTTGGGTTTGAGAGGATGTTGAGTTGGATGTTGAAGATGATGAAGATGGCGAAGTAATGGAAAGAGTCAGAAGGTGGGATTCGCAATGCGTCCGCTGAGGCCTTTGAGCCGGGGGAGCAGCAAACAAGGCGTCTGACTTGGTTGGCCGAGTCGAGAGATGGTGAATTCTGTACTGCAGCCCGCCTCCCAGCACCTTCTCCAGTCGCGAATACAAATCATTCCTACTCTTTGCCGATCTGTCCTCTGCCATGCTGCTAGAAATTGATATACAGTGAACAGCAACCAGTTGCGACAGGTAAACACTGCTCCAAACACGGCGACGGCAAGTGCCGACCTTTTCTCCGAGGTGCCAATCAAGAAAGATTCACGCCGCCAGCAATTGTCCAGAAGCACGACTAGACGTGGAGGGAAGCAGCATCAACACAGGCAAAGAGAAAGAACTGCGCGAAGGAAGACGGACATAGCATATCACACACACACACGACCACATTGCCACCATGAGCGCGACGGCACTATCACCACCCGCCCTCGTCGGCGCCGCCTTCAGAACATCCACATCCATGGCTCGCCCTCAACTCTCTCGCTGCGCCGCCCGCTTTACACAATCCTCAAACTATGCCACCTCCTCAGAACCCACCGAGCATTCTACTCCTCGCTGGGCTGCCACTCCCGCCCGCATGGCCATGCCTGTTCGCGCACGACCGGGTCCTCGCCAACGTCAAGCTCCTCCATTCGTCGTAAACGAGGACCCTGCCACCCTCGACTCAGCCTACGACTCCTTCCTCGGCAAGAACGGCAGTACAGTCCTGCCAGAAGAGATCAAATGGCTAGCGGTAACACACAAATCCTTCGATCACGCGAGAAGAGGCTTCAACGACAAGCTTGCCTTTTTGGGAAAGAGATTATGCGATATGCAATGCTCGCTCGCTCTGCTGCAATCGCCTGATGTCGGCTTGACGGGCAAGAGGCTCAAGTTGCTGCACCCGGCTCTGAAGGGTCTGACCAACGTCTCGGACTTTGCAAAGAACAACACATTGGACAAGGAGAGATTGGCCTCTTTGGCACGGCAATATGGTCTGGATGCTGTCGTGAGATGGACGCCGAGAAACGTGAGTGCACACCGTCCATGTCTAGAAGAGACGACGGCGTAACTAACATACTGTCCAGGTCGACAACCTCTCATCATCTGGTGTCGATGTCGTTCTCGCTCACACTCTCTACTCGATCGTCGGAGCTGTGGCCTTGGAGAAGGGCGGAGACTATGCCAACAAGATTGTGAGAGAGAGGATACTCAATCCTCTCGGTCTCAAGTAAAAACTATATCCCATCACATACTGTACAATTGTATATTTACACTTCATGCCACCCAATCAAAGTACATGGCCAAAGAAGACCGAGCATAAAACTGACATTTTGAAATACTGATCACAAGATCATGAGAATTGGTGTCGTTTTTACATGTAATCTGCGCCCCCCTACGTAACGCCCTTGGTATTTGTACATTCTCTTTACCCTTCTTCTACTTCTTCTCTTCTCTTTCCTCATCCTCTTCCTCGTCTCAAATAGACACTCAACGTCTTCTCGTCAAACCCCTCCTCTCAGCATTCTTGGCCTTTCTAACATTACTCTTTCTCCAAGCCAAGAATCTGTTACCAGGCTTAAACGGCGTGACCTTGACACCAGCTCTCTCGGCAGCTCTTCCAATCTCCCAATTGGCAGCACGGTATTGGTATCCTGGTCGCAGTGTCGGCGTTGCTCTGACCACTTCTCCTGTCCTCTTGTCTTTTACGACAATCTTTGCTTTTTGCTCCTTGGGTGTTGCGAGAGGGGTGGAGGTGCTGATATCTGCGTCTCCAGAGATGGCAGCTTCGTTGCCAGCTGAAAGGTCACGGGTGAATTCGACAGCAGGAGTGGAGGAATTTTCCATCTGATGAGCCAGCATACCCAGACGTCTGCGGCGGACAGCATGAGGCGGTTGGGGAAGCACTTGGTTGCGCTCAAACACCACACCAATGTATTGACGTTTCGGGTGCTTGAGGGGGTCTTTGTAGTATTTGACGTAGCCCGGTTGGGTGGCGTAGATTGTGTGGTCGCGGCCCATGCCTACATTGTCGCCGGGGAACCATTTTGTACCGCGTTGGCGGAAGATGATGTTGCCGGGGATTACGTATTGTTCTGTTTGTGTAGAAGAAGAAGAGCTTGTCAGTTTCGTGGTCTTTCTCTTTCTCGCATGTGTGGCTGGTGTGTGTGTGTGGATGGAAAATGTAATGGCGCAAGGGACATCTGTCGTGTGTCTTTTTCAAGGGTACGTGATCAGGAAGCCGTACCTCCACTCTTCTTAGCACCCAATCTCTTTCCTGCTCCGTCCTTTGCAGAGTTGGCAGCACCCTGGGCCTTGTGCGAGGCATGGCGTACTGCGATGCTGGTGTTGGTGACGGCTGGCGACAAGCGCAATGCTAAGAGAGCGGTCTCGACGGTAGCGATGGCAGACGAAGAGCCAGTGGGCAATGCCCGTATCCTTGGGAGCAACATGGTCGACGGCGCTGTGTGTGGTTGCGCTTGAGATTTGTCGTCTTGTCGCTGCTGCTGCTCTCTGCCCGTCAACTTTCTGCCGCCTCCGCATTCGAGTCCGCGGTTCGTGATGAGATTCTGGGCGTCGTGCTGGAATTTACGCACAACTCGAGCTTCTGCTCCCTTCGCACTTCCACCCTCGTTCGCAACAACGAACATCATAATTGCAACTGGGATCGTCGCATTGATGCAGCTTCGACACTTGAGTCTGATTTCTTGTTTTTACGTCTAGTGTACAGATCGCAACTCACTCGAGGATTAGAGCCTCCTCACAAATCCAACACCGTCTTCTGCTCCTCTCGCAACTCTCTGTCGTCTTCTAGCATGTGCGCTGTGAGGGGACTGGTCACTGCCACTTTAGGTTTTGTAATAACGCCTTCCATGTCAAGAATTGTCTGTTCACTCCAGCTCTTTGTTCTATGATTGCGCATCTCGGTGTTCATGATGCCCTCACGAGTGCCAACAAATGTCAGCTCATCAAAGTCTTCAAGCTCTTCCGTAATCTTCTCCAGTCTATCAGCACTGGACGCGGATCTTGACGTTGTCCCATCTGTTTGGTCCACCTCTGCCTTTTCAATGTCGTGCTCTGGTGGCTCGACTGTCGAAACAGTGTTCAGCGTCAGACTCCATCGAGGCGGCTGACGTTCTTTGGTCGACTTTGGGAAGAGATGCACGATTAGTGGTTTGAGGGCGAGTAGAGATGCGCAAATTATGCCGACATTGGCTTCGACCATTGACCACGTCACTGCTTCTGCCGAGGAAGCGGTAAAGTCATGTCGGACGTAGGCATTATGTACCACGACAAGCCTGACAACTGATATCGCACAGGTACTGCGCTTGTGTTAGCTGGTCAAAATCAGGCGGGAGGAGCTATGCTGCAATCTCACAAGAAGCCTAGCAGAAAGACGCCCACCAGCGCAATCTTTTGTCTTCGTGGCAACATCAGTCGTGAGATGACTGGGATCGGCAATGCCAGTACTGCAAAATCGAGTACAATATTCACTGCCGTGACGCTCACCCAGTATGTTCTCGTGCTCAGACATTTACCCGGCTCTATTGGGTGCCAAATCTTTCTGACTGGGTCGCAAATGAAGATGGAACCGAACACGCCCCAGAGAAGCGAAGGTACGAGAGCGGCGAAGAGAAGCCATGTTAGCCGTCGCATGGTGCGAGTAGGGAAGATGCGTAGGTATTGGGTAAGAATCGAGGCCTTGGTGACATGAATGAGGACGACGTAGAGGACGTTCCAGCTGAGAAAGAGTTTGGCCGTCGCAGAGTGAAGATCGAGAGGACTGTGCCAGGCGTAGCTGCCGAAGCCTGTGACTACCATGGCCACAGTAAGACCAAGGACTACCCAGGAAAGGAACTGAATCTTTGTCAGTGCGTGTTTTGCCATACTCGAAAAGAAAGTCGAGTGGCAGGGAAGTGGGCAGAAGTGTTCGACATCAAAGTCGGGATAATAGTCTTAAAGCGCTCATATCCTCGATGTGTGTCTCTGCAACTCCACCTCCCATGTACACGAACAAATATACTCACAAGCGATACCACAATGACAAAGTCATCGAAGCCTACAGCCTTGACAAATTTACATCGGACGATGAGTCTCAATATCACCACTGCGGTCGCGAGTACTGTTGTGATGATGGTAGGCGTAATAGTATCCCAGCGAAGATCCGGCTTGTGGTGTGAGGACTGTGAGTCGGCCATTATCGTTTTGTCTATTCACAGTCGGAGTAAATCATCAGTGTGTTGTTTAACGGTATGTAGGAGGCAGAAATCGATGGTATGTTGATAGGAGATGGACGAGTTCAAAAGTGTTGAAAGACTATTGATATAGAAGGAGCCACATGAGAGCTCTTTCCTGGACATCCGCCACCTCAGATCTACACAAACACCAATGTTCTTCCGATAACAGCTCAACCTCTTTCCCTTCTCCACGGTACAGCGCTATCATCTGTGTAACGCGTCGCACCCCTCATTAATGGGCTTGTGGACCACTAAGCCATGTGACTTGACACTTTTTCAGCAGGTGCAGTCTATCATCCCCAAAACTCAAAGTACGTACGACAAATCAAGTCTGGCGGGCAGAAACTCTGAAAGTAGTATCTGGGGTACAGAGTTTGACAAGGTTAAACGTGGAGCAGGCTCGACGGTGGCCTGAGCCGGCCTGTGGACACACAAATCCACCCTTTAATATCGTTGATTGCATTGTACCAAGACAACAAACCTCGTTCACTCTCCGATGAACAAAATCTGTGGAGAGGTTGTGATGTTCTCGAGGGCATTGTGGTGGATGAATGTCTTGGGTACCGGTGGAGCGTATAATCTGGCTGGCTGCCATATATGTGGTCGAGCTTTACCGGACTGTGTCCGAGTAGGCTCAGCTTGTATCGGTCTGCTCAGGTGTAGATGCTAGAAGCAGCACACAGAGGTTGACCTGTGGCCAGCTAAACATGTATCGATGGATAGTCATGAGCGAGACCGATCGAGATCCGGCAGTGTCATGGTGCTGCGGCTGACAGCAAAAGCTCGGCCAGTCTTGTCCGTAGCCTTCCGATTGTCCAGGTCGCCAAGCTAGATCTGATATTGGTGTACCGAGTGGATGGGAATGTGCCTCCTAGAGACAAGCGTTCCGAGAAGAATCGACCGATCGTTCAGTTGTGAGAGAACAATGCCATCTTTGCTTGGAGATATGCCTGTACAGCAGCATCATTCGTCGCTTTGGACCTGCCACAGCTTACCGCGTGGGTTGGAAGCGACTGTGTCCAGGCTTGAATGGCAGATGGATTGTATCCGCCTTGGGGTTGAGCAGGCATGGCATAAGTTGTTGGTGGAGATGAGCTCATGTTTTGGCGAGTAAGGCTGTTGGTAGACTTCGTGAATGACGACATATTTAATGCGAGAAGATGCAGGAAAGCAACAATAATATACACCTTGGGACTGGGTATGTGTTATATAGTTTGACTGCCGGATAAATCGATTATTGGGAATAACAGAACAAACTTCTGGCAATTGAAGATTAAAGGAGACTGTGAGCTGCTACCGACACGTTTCAAGGCCGGGCAGCCTCATGTATTTGTGTATGCTCCAACCACTTGACTGATGAAGGTTTCGGGACCCAACGGTGTGATCGCTGGACAAGAGGCGTGGTGTGCAAATCCCGAGTGTCATGCCTAAACCTGCCGCTTGCTCTTGAACAGCAAGAAGAACCGCGAAGGATTGCAAATATATGGTTCATGCAACCATCGATTCACGATCAGGGAGCCCGACTGATTGGTAGGTTGTATGAGTCGAGGAAGAAGAAAAGGCCGTTGTGCACGGCGTGTTTCGTGAGCAAGCTCCGGCAACGCTTGAACAAGCCAGAGAGGCCCATCTGACAAATATTGTGCATGAAGCGAGCTTCAACAAGCAACTTCAAATGTAAGCGCTGCTGTGTCTTTTGCTACGAAATCATAAGCGAGGTAAGATAGCGTGCTCAAGAAGTTGAAGCAATCTAGTTGGTTTCAAGCTTGTGCGCACGATCTGGAATACAAGTCGAAGCTCATGCGATCAGGGTCTTGCCCCCCCACGCGATGATGTGTTACAAGACCCTAGAAGAGCATGGGAGATTGTATCGTTCCGCGACTGCATCCCATCATGTTTGGTGCTTGACCTACCTGCGACACACAATTGTCCTGACAAATACTGGCTGATAGCACAATATTGTTTTCGCGGAAGGATCAATCATGCAGATCCCTCATCATCGGGGGTTACATTCGTATCATGCCCTGACACTCCACTTGCTTCTAGTAAAGGCGTTTATTCAGGGTTGTTCACGGCAACTCCGTAGGAACAGATAAAGAGATCAGTACATTCGGCAGCGGGCCGTCAGCTAGAAGGTTGAGTCGTGAGTGTGTCGATTCCAAATTCATAAACATGCTTCGTCGGCAACCCCAGTCTAAACTTGCCCACTTACGGGCAAGCCGTCCAAGAACGCCTTCCCATGTGTCCTCCGGTGCCGTGCTATGGCGCACGTTCTGCTTTTTGGAATGGGCCCAGATGCCATGAGAAAATGCTTGTCTTGCATGGTCCGATGGTATATCGTTTGCTGAGAATCGTGTCGTGTCTTGTCAAGAGTTGTGCAAATCTCAATACCGTCGAAAGAAGCTTTCAGTGCTCTCTGACGCTCTTTGAAGGAAGCAGCCAATCAACGCGCGTCATGCAAAGTATTTCCAAATACTTCCTTATAGGGCTGCAGGTCAATATTCAGATACGACATCAACATGAAGCCGTTGCGACCGTCAATGACCGACATATCCCTCCAAGGTTCTGCCTGCATCATTAATAGACGTGTCATGGTTTGAATGACATGTGAAATGAATTGTTCTGCATACCGGTGCTGATCAACGACCTCATCCCGCTGTCTACCTCGTGAACTGTCTTGCGCGTACTCTTGCCTCGGATTGCCCTGCCTTAGCCACTCACTCGGTCTAATGTCGAATTGCGGCAGGTTGTCATACATCGTACATCGTGCAGGAACCTGGCGCTGCTGAGCCGACGCGGATTGTTTGTCAGGATGGCTGGTTTCCTGACCGCCAAGTTAGTTTTCTATCAAGCCACCATCGAGTTTAGACGGATATAACAGGACGTTGTATCGCGTAGAGACTCAGCAGTGGCTCCACTGTTCAGTCGGCCAAGCAAGAGAATAGTAGACTAACCCTGTTATGCACGTCAAGCGGGTAGTCTCGGGATTTGTATTAAGCTTCAGTAAATAGAGTGTCGCGGCATGCTTCCCTTTAAGGACAACACAGCTCAAAGACAGACTACCATCTTGGCGATGACAAGCGCTCGAAATATGAGAAACAATCGATTCTATTACTTCTACATCTAGGGTTTGACCTAATTAAGGGCTGCAAGCAAGACTTTCCAATGTGCTGTGCATTTATTCCCAGAGCCATGGGTAGCTTTCCAATACCAAGGGCTCAATGAAGCAAAAAGCAATGTAGCAAGATACCAAGACGATCCTCTTAGTGATGACAATTAGGAAATGCTTGGGTCCTTGCAGTCAACAAAACGGTGAGGATGACAACTGCTCCTTCCAACCAAGACTTTGTGCATGTCCGCACCTGACGCAGAAATCTTGACATCAGTAGTGCGGTATCCACCCCTCTTCAGGAGTCGAAGATGGCGCCAAAGGCCGGAATGCCACGGGATTCAAGACCACCAACGACTTGTCTGGTGACGGAAGCGTTGGAGATGATGACAATAGCTTCCGATTCGGACTCAACATATCTGGCGTGAACCAATCTCAGAATGTCTCCTCTGCCTGCCTTGGAGGTATCGACGATGCATGCGCCAGAGTCGGCTGTGAAGACCGAGTTGATGATACCGTCGCCGTAAGACTCTCTAGGCTTAGAGCCCATCCACAGAACATGCATGTCGAACTCGGGGCAGCTCTCTAGCAGCGAAAGACATGGTCCGATACCAGTGCCGGTTGCGACAACAAGGACTTTCTTGAATATGAGAGCGACGCGCATTACACCATAGATAGGGGCGCCTTTTACCCAAATACTGGTAGGAGGGTTGTCGATGAACTCCGATGTCCAGTCTCCAGCTCTTGACATAAGGACCCTGAATCCCTGCTCTTCACCCACTCTAGAGATGGTGGCGAAAGAATGAGTCTCCTTAAGTGGGGAGTTGGTAATGCGGATGCCCTGGCAGGTATCCATGCGTCTGTAGTCAAAGTGTAAAAGAGCGGCTCTAGGGGAGAGGACCTGTACATGGACGTCGCGCAATCTGAGACGACTCCAGGGGTAGATGATGGCCAATGTGATGATACACAGGCACCTGGGAGGGAGTCAGCACGGTCACACAGATACTGTGAAGGGTTTTATCATGGTCGCCGAATGTTGTCCCAACCTCAAAGCTTGAATCACTACGGCTGTCACAATGCAGAGACATTTTCGATTTGCGGTTCCCGATGATTGAGAGCAGCGCTCCGACCGTCTCTCGTCGAAGGAGTATGCATAATTGAATGTGTCTCTGCATCTTGACAGGCGTACACTGATCGAGCTTAAAAGGAAGAGACGATGTGCAGCGACTTCAAAGTAGGACTGTACTTACCAGAAGAGAGGGCTCTGGGCTAGAAGGAGGCCGACAGGCTCACCAGAGAAATAGTTGGAGGTGGCGACAGAGGCACCAAGCTGTGCCCAGAGAAGAGTAACCGAGAACCAGCCGGCAAAGCGATGAACGGCTTCGAATGTGTTGTGATAGGAGACTCTGAAGGTAGGAAAGGCAGTCCAGCTGATGATCAAGAGAAGAGTGCTAGTGAAGACTGCGAAGCCGAAAGCAGGTCTCTTGTAAGGGTCCTGGAGGTCTGTACCGAGAAGGATGGTGAAGGCGAGATACCAGAGCATGCCAGCCATAGCGCAGCCAGAATGGAAGCCGCCATACGAGTAGACCTTGCCCCCGATCCTGCGAATCGAGAGAGGCGCCGAGGGCTTGAGGGCGCATGCGATGCGGAACATGGTGTTGACAACATGCTCGTTGCGGACAAGAATGGCAACGCAGAGGTTGACAGTAGCAGCCGTGGCGGCATCTGAGCTGGTAGTGCTGGTGAAGGGAACAATCAAGACAGTAATAAAGAAGTTGGCAAACATGATGAAGGCAAAGATGAGTCTGTATAGGGAGAAGAAGTCCCAAAACCGTCTGGTAGTCTCGGTACCCAGCAGAGCGGGAAGCTCTTGCGAGGAAGCAAGCCACTCCAGCTGACCCTTGTCGGTGATGACAGGGTGATGGGCCTTCTCGCAGAGCTGCTCTTCATCCTCAGAGATAGGAGAGGAGGCAAAGGAAGACTTCATCAGAGGAAGCAGCCAGTGCTTCTCGCCCAGGCCGAAGTTGGAGAAGGGCTCGGCCTGGAGACGAAGGGCGCGAGCAAGGCGTGTCTCCTCAGGGGGGGAGTCGATTGAGCCATAGCTGGTCATGGGCTCTGAGTTGGCGCGTGGGCGTGCTCCATTTGTCTTGACAACCACAGTGACGGCGGGTGGTCCAGAATAGCGGCGAGCGGCCATCTTGGGTGGTTGTGTTAGGTAGGTGGGGAACGATGGGCTGTACTCAAAGCCATTGACTTACTGTGATAGATGGTAGGGGGTGTGAAGGTATACTACAAGCGCCTCCTGAAGGTGAGGCTGGTGAGAGCAGAGCTGTCACTCAGGGGTGCACGACTCCAATCGATGGGAGAAGGAAGATAATGCAGTAGAAACACACACGGGCTGACAGACCGGTGCAACAGACGAAAGACGGACAAAACGAAGGATAGAACCGCAATGGACGAAAAGAACTTAGGTCGCCGTAGGTTTGACGCGAAAAGATATAATGGCGCCTGGACGAAGTGCGACTCTTTTTTTCGAGTCTGCTCCCGCTTTGACCACTATCATCACTCAACCACGCAATCGCAGAACGTGCGCGCCAATCTTCCGGATCCGGAGTGTTGAAGAAGTGAGCCAGCGCTTGAATCCAGAAGAAGGTAGGACTAGATCAGACCATCGTGCTGGGACGCAGTTGCAGATTCTGAATATTCCGGGGAGACTTTTCTACGACACAAGGTGGTGGGTTAGTCTTGCTATCTGGCATTCGTGCCATGAAGCATTATAATCCAGTCCATTCTGGAAGATATACCGCGCTGTTTGATGCTGCATCTAGATGCAACACAACGGCAACAAACGCCGATGCATCTTGCATGCAGGTCGACTTCTGATTGAGGTTAAGACCTCGATGCCAACACTGAACCAACCATCGAGCAGACAGATCTCCTTCCATCTCCAGAGTTAGTCTCTCCCGACGGACGTGCAACTGCCGTCGCAATGCGATGCAGCTACACCATCCTCAGTTTTATGATCCAGATCAGTCTATACTCGAGTATCTTATCAGCTACGACAATCCAGCAGAAGATATCTCCCAAGATCTCAAATTGATGGATCCTTGGAAGAGTCTCATGATTGACCTGTTGTTGATGAGAATGAGGAGAAGGACATGTTGCAAGCTTCACATGATAAAAGTGTCTGTATAGGGCTGGCAGCCTGTCACGGAAGCCTCGCTGATTGGTCGACGAGAGCGCGTGTCTGGGCAAAACTTCGGCAGTGACATATACAGCAACCTCAGTATCACTTTGTTCGTGCTTCTAAACGATCTTGCGCGTATCCTTGTTCGGTGTTCTTCGTAGCATACAAGACTTCACCTTTGAGATCGAAAGGCTCTTGAAACTCTACACACTTCGATATCATGCTTCACGTAGCATGTTGCTCCCGCAAAAGTCCTCAGCCCTTTCGGATGCGTATCAAAATGCAAGATCAATTCTGGACACCTTGTCCTGTCCGCTGAGACTCTATGACCTTGACAACTCCAACCACGGTCTGTCGAAAGGGTAAATAATTCTTGCTTTTTGATAGCGAACTCGATTCTGAACCCATGGTCCGGGAAGAAGAGACACAGCTCTGCTTGTGGCTGCGTTGAGTCGTTTGCTTTCCCGTGCCATGTCTCGGCATTATCATGATGTACACCAGGTCTAGCTCCGGCTGTTTGCGCCTTTCGAATACATCTCCATCAAGTACCAATTTCGTGAATTTCAAACCACATCAGGTCCTACCAGCGAGCATCATCCCTCAGGTCAACTACCCTTGCTGCTCCATGTCTACTCTCCTACTCATCGACACAAGTCCGCATTGCATTATGATATGATGCGCGTGAATCTTCCATGCGCAGACGCTGAGCGCTGGACTTGCGCTTCACTTTCCCATATCAGTGCATCATGCCCTTCGTCGATTGACCCCCCACACCTGCATCGCTCTTTCTACCATACCTCCTACTCCTCCCTTGACTGACCTGCCCAAACTCTATCCTCACCATCGTTCCCTATCACTTCCACACATCAACCAATTCTTTGCGCAACTGCAGAAAGTCAACTAACTCTCCATTGTTAGTGAGAAAGATGGCAGCAAGCTCGCAAGCCCCTCGTCTTTGTCACAAGGACCTGCCCCGTTTCGTCCTGGACCACGGGGTGTATGATGAGGACAAACCAATCCTCATTGATGCCACCGCCCCTGAAAGGGCTATCACCAAGGCGCAAGCCAAGGTGATGGTGGAACAGACGGCACAAGGCCTCCAAGCAGCGGGTCTCAAGCGCGGAGACACGGTCTGTGTCGTTCATTTGAACGATGTAAGTCACAAAGGAACGAGCTTGCTAAAGAGAGCGACTGATAGCCAGTTAGATCATGTATCCGGTAGTTTTCCTTGCCATCATCACGGCAGGCGGTGTGTTCTCGGGGGCCAATCCCATGTACAAGGCAGGTGAGCTTCGCCACCACTTCAAGGTCTCGGAAACCAAATTTGTTCTCTCGGATCCCGTCTCCCTTGCAGCGGTCTCCGAGGCCTCTGAAGGTCTTCTTGATTCTGGTAACATCATCGTATGGGGAGAGAAAGAGGCTGGTGCGTCGGTCGGTGCCCGACACTCACTCGCTAGTCTTATGGCTGGTGATTCTGGTGTTCCGGTCCTCGATCCGGTCTCTTTCGATGACCCGACCCTATCGAGAGACACCGTCGCCGTCCTGATGTCGACGAGTGGCACCACCGGTCTGCCAAAAATGGCTGCCAGATCGCACTTGAGCTTGGTCACAGAGAACCTGGCTTTGCACGAGCCCATCTCCAAGAACTACGAGGTCGCCCGTCTACTTTTTACTCCGTTCTTCCATGGGTTCACCGCCCCTCTTGCTCTTGTCGACGCTCTCGCCTCTGGCCATACCACTTATATCATGCCTCGCTTCAACCTGAAAAGCTGCCTCGAGTATGTCGAGCGATACAAGATCACCGAAATGGCAGCACCTCCTCCCGTTCTTTTGGCTTTCAGACAATTACCCGAAGAAGAACGTACTGCACTTCACTGGGTGCACACTATCTGGAGTGGCGGCGCTCCCATATCGGCTGCCATGCAGAATTCTGCCGCTAAAATGTTCTACAAGCATGCACGCATTGTCCAAGTCTACGGCATGACCGAAGCTGGTTGGATCACAACATTCAAGTGGCCTGAGATGGACGAGAATGGTTCCGTCGGCCGTTTCCTTCCTTCTTACGACTTCCAGTAAGTTTCTCAGCACAAATCTTTAGATGTGCCCAACTGACAGACCTTCTCCAGAATTCACGAAGACGATCAGGACATTACGGTAACTCATAAGCCAGGCATGCTTTTCGTGAAGGGTCCCATCAACATGCTTGGATACCACAACAATCCTACCGAAACCCACGACACCCTCTGTGATGGCTGGCTCCGCACTGGTGATGTTGCCTACTTCTCACACGACCACAAGCTCTATATCGTTGATCGCGTCAAGGACATCATCAAGCACCGTGGCTGGCAAGTCTCTCCTACAGAAATCGAGGCTTGCCTACTCACGCATCCGTTCGTTTCTGATGTCGGCGTGTATGGCTGTCCTGTAGACGGAGAAGAGATACCCATCGCCCATGTTGTGCTCAAAGCCGGTCTACCTGAATACACTGCCCAGTTCGTCATCATGCGCGAGTTGCTTGATCACTGCCTGGAATATCTCTCCAAGTACAAGGTCGGTGCTCTCGAGATGCGCTTCAAGCAGAGCATTCCCAAGAACCCCGCTGGAAAGATTCTAAGATTCAATATGGTCCTTGAGGAGTATGAGTGGAGATGTGTCTATGCTTGGACACTGGGTCGCGACGGAGCCGTAGTGTTCCCACCAGAGACAGAAGAGATCATCTGGGAAGACGATGAAGAGGGCGAGTGTCGCGACGATATCCAATCCAAAGGATGCTACGAAAACGAGGAGGGAGATGATGAATACTGCAAGATTGAACTTGCTCGCCTGCCTGAGATGGTCGGTCATCTGGCGCTATCAGAAGAATGGCTGGAATGAGCAGCTTAAGCCTTGACAACGTCAAAATGCTTTTTGCAGCATCAATGAGAATGGACACGGTTGATGAATGTCTCTGCAGTTTTCTTGTTCTAAGAGTAATAAAATTGATTGCGCATTTTGTTCCCTGGTGATAGCTGTAGGCATCAAGTCTGGCATGCTCAGGAGGTAGCGATGTGGGACTGCTGACCCAACTATGAAGTTGGTGGTTTTCCTTTTACCAAATTGCGTCGTCGGCTCCGGGCCATGAAATTGGCCCTTTACCAACTAAAATCTTCTCTTCTTCTGCTCTGGCCTCTTTTTCACTTTCTTGCACATCAAACAACGGAGTCACGGAATTGTTGAGATATTTCATGAGCAATGAATACAGCAAGGGTATAAAGACACCTCAGCTATCGGTCAATCATAATAGTCGTTATCAAAGCGATACCACAGCCGACATCAGTGCCAGAACCATCCAGCGCCATCTTTCTTGTCATGCCCGCCATCACTCTCCAGACCCGTCTCTTGTTCGGGTAGTCCAGTCGACTCTTCTTCCCTGTTCTCCTCAGTGCCGTCAGAGAAACGCTTCTTCAGTACGCGCTTGGTGTAGACTGTGCCGTCGGGAATGGTACGCATCTCGGTGGTGGTCATGACCGAGATGACGCTGGGCTTCTGACTTCTTGCCGGATCCGAAGATGAGATCGATACTGAGGAGTTGTTGGACATCGACGTCGCCTTGGATGAACTTGCTTGCTCCTCGCTGTAGTCTTCTTTCACTTTCCACAAGCTCTCATACATGTCCATCTCGGTCTCGGGCTGCATGTTCCTTCTCAAGACCAAGTCTTCGGCATCAGGAGAGGCCACTATTCTCGCCAGCTGCGTAAAGTCCTCGTATACGGAACGGCCATATGGTGTCCAAAAGTTACTAACTCCAGATACGATCTTGCCGAACACGCGATCAAGTTTCTTGGTCTCGAGAGGGGTGATGTTGTAGAGGCTGGGTAGCTGGGGTGGCAGAATTCCTCTGCACTGTAGGCCAAGCATCCAGTCAATACCAGGTTGGGCCCACTGATTGTACAGTGTCTGATTCTCTAGATCAGAAGCGGCGATAGAATCCTCGGCTTTCCAAGCGTCGTAAGCAACTTGCGGCTTGTCGAGATGAGCGCAGAGCAGATCTTCAAAGGCAGCACGCCACTTGCCACCATGCTGATGAGCGGTAGAGTGCTGTTCGAGTTGGATTGGGGAGTAAGGACTGTGTCTGAACCAGTCGATACCTAGCCAAGTTGTGTTGCTGGTGGTCGTACGGATAGGAAACTTGCTATGAACAGGCATCATACCTTGACCATGATCCTGATACAGACTGAGAATTCTGTTTGGATTGACACCAAGACTAGCATTGCGTGCTTGCAAAAGTAATACGCGGGCAGCCTGACGAGCTTCTTCGCTAATAGGACCTCCGAGATATGATCTCCGTTCTGGCGCACCTAGAAGAGAAGCGAAGAGGGGCGGAAAGTCTTCTTCGAGTCGTTTGCGCAGTTCTCTCATCTCGTCTGTTAAATGCTGTTCTTCTGCACCCAGAGAGGCGGAGCTGAAGCCAGGTAAGGAGTTGATACCTTGAACTAGAGCTCCGATTTGCTCCTCTGCAAAACGACGAAAGTCGGCAAATGGATCATCGTCACGATGGGGCTTGTCTGCTTCGGACGGGGAAGGCCACCAGGGAGCCATGGCTTGAGATTATGCGTGGGAGAGATACCCTAAGGAGTGAGAAATTGAGAGAAGTTGATGTTGTCAATTTCTTTTGTTAGGTGGACCTCTAGGTTACATATTACAAAGTGGCGACAAGACCAGCTTGACGGAATGATGATTCGAGATCAAGAAAGGACAGAAGCACGAGCAGCGCTTGCCTTCCACAAGTTTTTAAGTTTGACGCGAGCGGGGTAGCGCGAATCGGTATAGAGAGGTCACCACCAATTGCATGTCGTGCAACTCGCTGTCGGGTGTTGAAGTTTCTCATGAGATAGATCACATGTCGTCCGTAGCGGGTGTAGAATTGGGTGTCGTTGACTTCCGACAGTTGCACCATGACGAGGGGTCGATCAAGCCATTGTCCTACGTAAGGCTTCACCGCTAGTCGAAGAATAATACTCGCCTAGATATCTCTTGAGCAAGGGGTTGCGTAGAAATACTGCGGTTGTGTAATTCAGGATGCTATGGCTACTAATCTAAAAGAACGAATGTGCTACCAGGCGACGCTACTAATAACACCAGATGTGTCCAGCAAAAACGGCGGAGAGCAAGAAAAGAGTCCGAAAGTCCAGAACATGACCAATTACTCCAACATATCCATCTCTTCCATGCCATGATTAAACCCGCGATAGAGTGTGCGCCAGAATGCCGTCGTAATCATACCCGCTGTCGTTAAAAAATGCCCGAAGAACAAAACTCAGAAAGGTACGCCGTGTCGCTAGATCCCATGTTGTTGTGCTCGACTTTGACAAGCACCATCACTCATCCTCATCATCGTCAAGGCATCTCTTACGCTTGCCACCAGTAGACGGAGCGGGAGTTGCGGACTCATCTTCGAAGACGAAGATGTCAAGTGAAGTCTGCTTAGGCGGAGAGATGACGATGGGCGGCGTGCAATCATTGTCAACCTTGACGACAGGAACATCCAGGTTGCAAATCTCAGAAGCTTCGTGGAGGATGACGATCGAGTCCTTCGTTAAACCCTCAGGGATGAACTCGATAGTGTCGAGTGAGCCAAGAGGGGCACGAGCAGCCTCGTCAGTATCCATGTCAGCAGCTGTTTTGGCCAGGCGGCGTGATCGGCGAGTGGGTGAGGAAGAAGCAATGGGATCATAACCGGCAGGAGCGACATTCTCCTTGCCTCTGTTTTCGTCGGCCTTGGTTGCAGACTCGTCATCGGAAGAAAGATCCAGAGTCAAGGTTGAGTGTTCCATGAGGTTCTCGGCTTCCTCGTCGGGAGTGTCTTCATGGATAGCGAAAAACCATGAACTGGGCATTGACTCGTCGATGGACGCTACGGGTTTCACGTTTGGCGCAGCGACTGGGGCAGGAGCCTTCAAGGAAGCAGTGAGGGCGGCGTCTATGCTGAAAGGAAGGCCGGTGCGAGCAGACGGTCTAGAGATTGCAGAATCGACACGAGTAGTAGGTGTATGAGCGCTGAGTCTGCGACGATCACGCTTTGATTTGGGAGATCTTCCAGCAGGCGCTGTGAGTGGTGTTCTTGTTGAGGGCTTGGTGACGCCCGCGTACTTCATCGGTGTTGAGAGACGGGAAGGAACGATGGCTGGAGGAGGCATGGAAGTTGCAGGTGTCGTCTTTGTAGGGTTGAAAGTAAAGTTGAACGAGGATGGCATGGTGCTCAGGCCTTTGGGCTTGAGAGATATCGAGGGCTTGTCCATCTTTGTGCGCTTCATAGGAGAGAGGAACATGTTCGGGTTCACATTCTCGGCGTCGTTGTTCTCTCCATCGAACTCGTCAAAGGAAAGAGTAAGAGGACGTTTTGTTAAAGGCTTCAGGCTGGGTGATGATGTTGGAACCATTGACTTTGCCTTGCCAGACAAGGGACTAGGAGTTTTGGCTATGCCTGCATACACGCTAATGTCAGCCATCTATATATCAAGCAGATCAGAATGCTAGACTGAAGCCTGAACGTACCATTCTGACGATTCTTCATACCAGACAGATGAGCCAGGCGAGGACTGTCAAGGACACCGAAGGGCTGTCTGGGCATCGATACAGCCGCCATGATCGCTTGCGACGAGTATTACGCCGATCAGGTAGTTGAGCCGTTCTGTTTACGATTTGTTTACTTGGCTGTCACAGATTTTTTCTCAACGACAATGATAATGATACAGGATCTGACGAGATGGTATGGCGACACGAAAAAGAGTATAAGCGCCTGGGTGAGAGAGTGAGTGGAGAGGGTAGTGTCAGCGGTAGACAAGGGGGACCTGGATGTCCTGTACTCGTCTCAGGTCGCGTTCGCTCCTTCCTCGCGTGTCGTTCGTGTCTGATCCAAGCGCCAGACGGAAGTACTACTCTTGCCGAAATTGGACATGCCCCGCAGCTCGGCATGGTTAGGAACGCACGTCCGTAGTTTTGATTGGCTCGTCGGACTCATCCTGCATACATTGTGGTAAGCTTCGTGCATAACGCGACTTGCTCTGTGCCACTTAACGTTTCCGCAGTAGCGTTTGTCCTACCAACACCAACCTCCAATTGGTAAGGTCAGACATCAGGACAGGTTATCAAAGGGAAGGATGACGTGACGAGACAAGGATACATGTGGGATTTCGTCGCAATTCCGATCCGAATATGATTGCTCTGGTCGGATGAAGCCCAAGAGTGCCTCTCCTGCCACTTTGTTATGACCATACAGCAGAACACTTCGGTGGTTCGAAGTCGTTCGTTGGATCAACGGCTTGCGGCTCTCATGACCTGGTTGTCCCCCGCCACGACTCGGATGTCGTTGAGATCGACTTTTAGTCTCGATCTGGCTTGACTAGCTTCCATGGTTTATTGAGATGGGAGTCGAGACAGACAGTGCTGTTTGCGCGTGTCGATTATAGTGCCTCAGATTGGCATGACCAACGGACAACAAAGTGCCCAATCCCTACCACAACCAGTCTAGTAACTGGAAAGTCTAGACTGCCAGAATTCTCTGTGACTTGCGAATTTGAGGGCATCTATCAGTCTACAGAAGGGACAAACAGTGTCAGGTCTATATTGGCTGTTGGAACCAGAATCCGTCCAAGGATGGTTTCTTGTCTGTGGCTTGAGCCTTGTTGCCATGCAGCCATTCGGATCATATCAGCCAAGAACAGGTGATCATCAGAAATGAACCCGAACTGAACATATGCTAGTAGGTCGCAACCTGAGAACACCCTAGGTGAACAGAGACTCTTGCCTCTTCACACATGATCGTTCACCCTCCCGCAGATTGCTACAGTAATTGCTCAACTTGTTATGGGCCATGTTCTTATCTTGCGGACCATGGCCGTATCTCTCTACTGTTTCTGTCCAATCCAAGAGTGACATGCTCAGGTAGAAGTAAAGCCCCTCAGGAATGCGGGAGCGCAGCTCGCATGGTCTCAAAGACGTTGTTATAAGAATCTGAGTGCTTTCCAATGGAATCCGTCAGCTATGACTTTGATATGTGGCTGTATAATCGTGTCCTCGGTGTCATTCACCAGGCATAGCATAGAGCGTGTCATGTGTCTGCATATAGTCCATGATCTCAGAGACGGTCAACGACAGACAAAAGCAGAGATATGACACTGATCACTTGAGACATGCCATGTCCACATCGTAGCCCAGGAGTGTCGTGATATCTTTGAGGATGTCCAAGCTGACATGCTCGGGCGCATGGCCTTAGGGAAGGAGATATTATATAAGATAAAGGTAGTGCGATGTATGAGGGATCATACAACTGCCTTGCAAGAAACCTACCTATCTCTAGACGCACAAACTTGACTGTCGGTCCGGTCGATGAGTCTTGAAGTTATGCTTATGGCTATACTGCAGCTCGCCGAACTGGGACTAACGGAAGCGGTCATGGTGAACATGCCGCCAGCATACTTGCTCTTCCAGGATACCATCTCATTATGGATATTGTTGCGCGAAATCGATCTCTGTGAATGGCTGGACGACTTCTGGTAAGTCGGACTGGGCGTGGGCGCGTTGCAAGAGCCAGAGTCAGAGGACGAGTGCTTGCAAGAGCAATGACATCAGATGGATGAGTGATTGAAGGGCACGCGAGTAGAGCGAGAAACAACTGAGCATCGAGTAGTCAAGGTGATGACTGTCGAAGGAAATCTCGTGGACCATGCACATGCACTTGCGATGATGCAGAAGTCATGCCGGCCATCGGGAGTGCCCCACCACTTCTCCGCAAAGCTTGGCAAAAGGCGTCTCTACTGAACAGAAAAATAATGCTCGCGCCATAACAGAGTCCAGACAATCAGAAACAACGATGGCTACCTCGGACATCAAGTCGTCGCCTTTTCTGGACGCTGGAGCTGCCGCTTCGATCGGATCATTGGCAATCTTACATCTTAAACGCGACCAACTCATCCCCCTCATCCTCAAGTCAACAGCAGATGATGGCTACGCAGAGGGCGCTGTCACGAATACCCGTTTCGGTTCATTCCCTCACTCGACACTAAAGGATGTTCCATGGGGCACTCAGGTCCGCGCATCCAAGGTCGACACTGGTTCAAGAGGTCGTGGAAAGGGAGCTAAGCGCAAGCTGGATGACACCGAGGCACCGAAAGAGGCTATCCAAGCAGGCACTGGCTTCGTACACTTGCTACCGCCTACCCCCGAGAGTTGGACCATCAGTCTGCCCCACCGAACACAAGTCGTCTACACACCCGATGCCAGTTACATTCTACAGAGACTGCAGGTTCGCCCTGGTCAGACAATCATCGAGGCTGGCGCTGGCTCGGGCTCTTTTACACACGCTTCAGCACGCGCCGTCTTCAACGGCTACCCTTCGCAATCCTCATCAGAACCTTCACTGAAGAAGCGCCGCTATGGTCGCGTGTGCAGTTTCGAATATCATGAGCCTCGTGCTATTGGCCTGCGGGACGAAGTTCGTGCTCACGGCCTCGATGACCTTGTTCGCGTGACACACCGCGACGTCTACGCTGACGGCTTTCTCCTCAACGAAGAGGATCCCAAAAACAAGTCCCCGAAAGCGGATGCCATCTTCCTCGATCTCCCCGCCCCCTGGATGGCCTTGAAGAACTTGACCCGTCAACGACTACCTGCGCGCACTGCCAGAATTGTCGCCAACTCTGCCTCAGCCGATGCCGCCGATATTGCTTCAGAGTCAGAAACACCCACCGAAGAATCTATCGAGCCCTTCATCTCACCTCTGAATCCAAACGTACCCGTCCACCTCTGCACCTTCAGTCCTTGCATCGAGCAAGTCACCGCCACAGTCGCCGCACTCCGCCGTCTGGGCTGGACAGAGATTCAAATGGTCGAAGTTATGCAAAAACGTATCGATGTGCGACGGGAACGTGTGGGTCTGCACGAAGAAGGACTACGAGGTGTGAACGCCACCGCCGCTACAGTAGATGAAGCCGTGAACCGCTTGCGTGAAGTCGAAGGTCGATTTAAGGAATGGCACGAGACTCTCAAGGAAGCCGACGAGGCAGCAGAGGCAAACGGACAACCCAAACCTCGTCCTAGCACTACCAAAGATCACCCGGCCAGCCACTTTGAGAGCAAGGCATCTAGACTGGAACGTATCAAGAAGGAGGCAGAAGAGAGAAAGACTTTCAAGGAGGGAAGACTTGTGCACAGAACAGAACCTGACATCAAGACGCATACAAGTTATCTGGTCTTCGCTGTTCTGCCACGAGAATGGAATGAAGAGCAAGAGGAGAAGTTGAGGAAGAAATGGGGTACTGAGGGCAAGGTCTCGACTGAAGATATCAGCAAGAAGGCGAACAAGAGGAGCAAGAAGACGTAGAACATACACATTTACCCTAGAGCATTCACGAAGACAAGGCATTCTTTCCACGTTGCACTTCCATCCTCTTGGCCGGTTGTAAAGATATGCTCCTGTGGTGTGGTACGAGTCCGTCTAAATACTCTTGCTCTTGTAGGGTCAAGCAAACAGAAAGCTCAATGTGTAGCTGCGACTATGCACGATTGGTGTCTAAATCTCCTTTTCTAGATAACTCTGTAGCACATGCTTCTCCATAGCTATTTTTTGTCGCGATGAGCTCTCGCCACTAGCGATACCTACAGTGATGCCATCAAAAGGCACAGTCAACTTGAGATCCCGAGGCGACTTCCACGAGAGCTACAGAAAGAGATCGCTCTCGTCCCACGAGATTGATAGCCTTTAGTCGTCTGTGCACTGTCGTAGCTGCACGTCATCGTATACTTCTCTTGAGAGTTTGACAAGCTTCTGTATGTGGTCTATATGATTGACTATCTAGATACTTTTGTGAGAGATTCAGGAGAGGAGCAAGTGCCGATCCTTGAAGCGGTCGTGCTGAACGGGTAGTGAGGAATAGTCAGTCTGAGGCAGACACTTGTCTACCACATACTTGTAAGAAAGCAAGGCATTCAACGGCATCTATCTTCTTTACGTCAGTCGTGTTGTAGCTCAAAATGCGTGATAGAGTCTTCTACTCTGGTGCTCAGTCAAGCCAATTCTCGCCATGCACAACCAGCAAGATCATGCTGAACACATGTCGCGGCTGCGCTAGTAGTGCGATTACCAATTTCATGTTGATCATCATTGCAACAAAGGCGAAGAAGGAAAGAGTAAATCATGACATACATTCACTAAATGCTAATCTATCAAAGTCGAGGTGTCCCATCTTGTAGGTCGTCGCCATGTCCTGGGAGCCACCACGAAGGGGCCCTCGTGAAGACGGTTTTAAAAGTGGGGTAGAATCAATCTCGACACACGCATCGGAGTCGCCAACCAGGTAGAAAATATAGCCAGTCAGCGAAGATTTGAGTTGGTGGTCTTGGTTGAGAGAGAAAAGAAGAGAGGACCTTCACTGAGATCTCTTGTAGTGAAAAAGATACGTCAGGGTCCGTGCGACATCTTGGCACGAGCTGCGACAGTTCTGCTTCCGACGGCGACTTGGAGGGCATCATGCAAATACTCGATCCCACCACCAAACACCACTTCACGCGCTATTACTCCCGATCAAAATACGATTTCCAGCCAGCTTCCACTCAGACTTTGAACACCGCCGCATCTAGAGCTATACCGTAAAAACAGTCGACCACCTTCAGAAACATACCATACTACGCCGCGCGAGCTTGTCACAATTTTCTCCACCTTGCCTTTGTTCACCTGAGAAACACGCCCATTGTGCCCTTCCGTCCTTGTCCAGCCTGCCTAGCTAGCCTTCTCTTCTATCCGAAGCTCCCCCCTGTTCCTGTATCTCTCTCAAGCTAGCAGTCGCCGCAATGGACAAGGACAGAGACAACCTTTGGTCCCGTCGCACAAAGTAATACCCCGCCGATCTTCTCCCTGTCTTTCACTCCTAGGCTAACCATGCGCCTGTATAGCGTTGGAAAACTGTCCCTGACAATGGACAAGTCAGATCGTCAAGATGGACATACGTCGTCGAAACGTTTCGGCAGCACCTCCTCTCACGGCCGCAACAATCCCTTCAACTCTGTCACACCGTTGACCACGAGCGGAATCTCGTCGCCTACTACAGGCGCTTCCAGCGCTTTCAGTTTAGGCAATGGCGCCTTCGCTTCATTTGGCTCTGCTACAAAGACACCCAAAACGCCGGGCACTGCCTTTGATTTTGCCAAAGCTGTCGCTGGCACGTCCTCAGCTGTCAATTCAGCTGAGAAGAAGGACGGTGAAGAGAAGAAGAGCTTTGCTAGAAAGGTTGCGCCTGCTACTACACCCCGTCCCGCAACTTCACAATCAATAGAGCCGGCAGCAAGAGGCAATGACAGCCCGTGGCCGCTCAAGTACACCTGGGTCATCTGGTACAGACCCCCCACATCAAAGAACTCGGACTACGAGAAATCCACTAGACCGATGTGCAAGATTTCGACTGCGCAACAGTTCTGGCAGGTCTATTCACACCTGAAACACCCTTCCGGACTCCCTACCGTGTCAGACTACCACTTCTTCCGTGACGGCATCAGGCCTGTATGGGAGGATGAGGAGAACAAGAAGGGAGGAAAGTGGATTCTGCGATTGAAGAAAGGCGTTGCAGACCGATACTGGGAGGACCTGCTAATGGCCATGATTGGAGACCAGTTCGCCGAGGCCGGCGAGGAGGTTTGCGGTGCTGTTGTCAGTGTGCGCAGTGGCGAGGATGTGTTCAGCATCTGGACCAAGAACGACGGAGGCAGGAACGTCAAGATTCGGCAAGTCATAGGATGCGACACGATTTCGAACAACATTGCTGACATTCGAATGCAGGGAAACCATCAAGCGCGTCCTGTCTCTGCCAGCAGACACCAACATGGTTTGGAAAAGCCATGATGACAGCATCACTCAACGCAGCGTGATTGACCAGGCTCGTTATGAAAAGACGGGCCACCACGGACGCCGCAACCAGAACCAGAGCTCGACCAGCAACGGAACTGGCGAGGAGAAGGTGGCAGTATAATGAAGCGGTATTTGACGATGAAATTGCAGCATTTGTCTGCATGTATTGTAACGCATTGATTACCCGATACCTATGTGAATCGATTGGGCCGGCAAAAGGATATTGATATTCTGCTTTCAAGGCGGAAGCGCGCGACGGCATGGGGGTCAGCAGGGATAGTAGGTATGCATTGGCACCTCCAACGCGGGGTCGCGATGGAGATGCAGCAGAGGCGGGGGATAATCAGTGTAAAAGTAGGCAGCCGTGTGCAGCAGGAAAGCGCAAAGCCATGCACGCATGCCAAACAAGACCGCATTGAATGGACGAAAGCAGTAAAGAAGCGCGTACCACTTTCGACGCTGGCTTCAACATGACGAATGTCCGTGGCTCTCCACAAATTGGCGGTATCGGGGGGACCCTTAAGAAGAGCAACTGCCGAATTATGCGTATCTCGACATTGATTTCCCAATTTTCCCCTGCCACTCAGTCACACGAGCAAACATGCACGCAACAAGATCAGAAATGCCTTCAGACAGGATCACCGACAAGATCGCGGCGTTGCCGGAGGACAGCACATATTTCTCTCTCGAGTTCTTTCCTCCAAAGACTCAGCAGGTAAGAGGCGGCGAGGAGGGGCAGCTGCATGGGCATGGCGGGAGAGGAGTCTGACAAGTTTCCAGGGTTTCGCAAACCTCCACGCCCGTCTGTCTCGTATGGCACACTCATTACGGCCACTATTCGTCAACGTAACATGGGGCGCTGGTGGCAGTACTTCGACAAAGTCTCTAGCTCTGGCCGAGATGACGCAGCGCCAATTGGGCCTCGCTACATGTCTGCATTTGACCTGCACAAATATGTCGCGCAAGCTCATCGACGAAACTCTGGAACAAGCAAAATCATTGGGTGTTCGGAACATTCTTGCGTTAAGAGGTGACCCTCCGAGAAGCGACGAATACCGCTCCAACGAGCTGGAGAACAATGAGGAGGATGACAGCAACAGGGAGTTCACATGGGCAGTCGACCTGGTACGCTACATTCGCAAGGAGTACGGACACTACTTCTGCATTGGCGTTGCTGCATATCCTGAAGGCCACTCCGATCAATCACATCCCGAGCACCAGCATGCAACCTACGATCTGCCATATCTGGTCGAGAAGGTCGAGGCTGGCGCCGACTTCCTCATGACCCAACTTTTCTACGACATTCACGCATATCAAGATTACGAGAAGCTGTTACGACAGCACGAAAGCGGTGCTTTCGAGACAATCCCCATCATCCCCGGCCTGATGCCTATTCAGAGCTATCAGATCCTCAAGAGAACCACCAAACTCAGCCACGCCAATCTTCCCTCCGAAGTCGCAGACAGACTGGACCCAATCAAGAACGACGATGAAGCTGTAAAGCGCGCTGGTGTCGACATCTTGAGTGAGATGGTCGAGGCTCTCAAGAAAAATGGCTACCCTGGACCTAAAGGCTTCCATTTCTACACGCTCAACCTGGAAAAAGCTGTTGCTCACATTGTAGAACGCTGCAAGCTGATAGGTGCGGTCAATGACTTTGTCGCTGTAGAGGAGGATGATACACCAGTCGCCAACGGCAAAGGCGACAAGAAATCAAAGGCTCGTCGCAGATCTTCCCTCGCCAACTCTGCTCCCCAGAACCGCGTTGTAGTCGACAGAACGAGGTCGGAATCTTGCGGTAGCGCAACTTTCGAAGTTTTCGACGATGAGGCCGGTGTGCCAGGAGAGAACCCGCCATCGCGCGCAGACGCTCTAGCAATCTCCGAGGGCGAAGGTGCTATGGGAAGAGAAGCGACGTGGGATGACTTCCCAAACGGAAGATGGGGTGATGCTCGCAGTCCGGCATATGGTGAGATTGACGGATATGGTGTCAGTTTGCATGTCTCAATCCCCAGTGCCTTGAAGCTGTGGGGCTATCCTGTCGATGCGAAGGATATCACAACCATTTTCGAGCGACACGTTCGTGGAGATCTGGACGCCATTCCATGGAGTGAAGAAGGTCTCAACCCCGAGACCGAGACGATCAGGGAGGAGTTGGCTAGCCTGATCCAGAAGGGTTGGTGGACTGTCGCCTCTCAGCCTGGAGTGAATGGCTTCCGCAGCGACCATGAGATCTTTGGATGGGGGCCGCCCGGTGGCTTCGTGTTCCAGAAGGTACGTAATCATTACTTATCATGCACTGTATACATGCTAACGTCTATCTAGCCATTTGTCGAGTTCTTCTGTTCACACGAAGACTGGACGCGACTACGTACCAAGCTCGACAAGGATGACCAAGTCACGTATTTCGCATGTAATGGCAAGGGTGATTTCCAAGCAGCCGAAGAGGAGAGCTTGAATCCAGTAACATGGGGCTGCTTCACCGGCAAGGAGTGAGTATCTTTGAACACCAAGTTCAAAATCACCCACTAACATGGTTGATAGAATCGTCACACCCACCATGATCGAAGCCGTCTCATTCCGTGCCTGGGCAGAGGAAGCCTTTGGCATCTGGACCGAATGGCGTCACGTATACCCTCCTCGCTCGCCGTCAGCAAACCTGCTCCGCAATATCAGAGACAACTACTGGCTAGTCAACATCATCCACCACGACTTTACCGAGTCCAATGGTCTGTGGAAGATGCTTCAGGAAGCATGAATAAGAGCTTGGCATGAGGGGACACAGGAGTTGTAGGATACGCATATAGCATTGGTGGCATTCATTCGCTTTCGAGCCTGTATATATTGTTTCGAGAATTACAAAATACCAATTATCTTTGACGTCTTCTCTATCTTCGCATTCAGATCCGAGATCGGTAGAAGTATCCTTGATCATTCGATCATGCCTTCTATAGATGTGCAGTTGTGTCTTTGTGAAAGGTTGTTCATTTCGGGCATCCCTTCTTGATGGTCAAAGCGCGATGATCAGGCAAACGTCATCTCCTGCTCCTCACCGCGTCTTCTCCCCGTTCAAAGTGACCAGCCTGACTAACTTGTGATGGCTTCGTCGTGAACCAGGACAATCGTCCGAAAGGAAGCATTGAGGTCGCAGCGTCTTGACCGCCGCTTCATCATCTCGGCCTCCACAGGTGCCATGAGTTACAGCATCCATGGAGAGCGAGAGAAACACGAGTTGTGCAAGATGTCCCACGACCGCATCAGCCTTGATCACGGAGGTATTGCTCTTGCTCGATTGCAGTGCTGGCAGGACTGATCGTAGATAAGGGGTGTTACTTACGTCTGTGTAGTGAGCGTTGATGTCAGTGTCATCCGAGGGAGCGTCTATGGGGTTGAGTTTGCCAGAGGTTGGTTGGTACATCATGGCACTTAGCGTGTTGAAGTTGCGCACGAGGAAGCATAAGTGACCTTTGAGGTCGGAGGAAGGGACTTTGGTTATCGTTCAGCGGCTTTTGGTCAGTATACTTCTAAGCTGATGGCAGGTTTGTTACATTACAGCCTCTGATCGGCATGCGCAAGAGTGAAGGTAGACGCGTGAAAGTCAGTCTTGAGACGATGAGTGCTTCTTCGCCAACTGACCAAAAATATCAGATCAAAAGAAGATATCCGACACACAGACCGCAAGGAAATCGACTAGACCTGGATCAGAATAGCAAAAACCAACACCTTAGTGCTAGTGAATCCCCTTACGCACTCCTTGATCTGGGTCTCCAAATGTCGGTCACCTGGTTGCGACATACATTGCGGAGCTTGGGGGGATTTTTTGGTTCATATGTCATGAAGTGGTTAAGCCGTTACACCAAACAGAGGACTACGGTAATATTTGTATCTGGGTAAAATATACGGGTAGGAGTGATGAAGCAGAGGGGTCCAGGGTTCGACTCGGAGCATTGAAGGAAGCCCATTTTGCTTCAAGTGAGTTAAGACTCAGCTCATACCATTGCTTCATGCAGTCTGACACCGATTTTGGATGCTCATAGGTAAGAATCTGATGTCACGTAGACAAGCCATCTACTTTCAAGTAGCGCGCAATCTTCAAAGGTTGACATACGAGTACGCCAGCTTCCAGTTTGAGCCTTCTAGCTGAAGTACATCATGCAGGACCTTCTCTTCTAGCCTGCTGTTAGCTATGCAGCGCTGCTTTCACATGACCGACATGGTGCACGCGATAGTGGCTGGTCGAGCCACGAGCACCGCTACTTTACGCCTTCTCAGCACGTGGTCTTTTCACCGAGCATGCACTCACTCGTCACTCTTGATGGCAGCTTAACCTGCCTTGCTGAGACTCAACTCCTGTCGGTTGTCCGGTCAACTCATATGAAGTTGAGGCCTCCCAAATCGGTGCTTGGACATTGCTCGCTCTTGCCAGTTCGGACTTACCACTGCTTTCCTAATGGCTTCACACACACTATCCTCCCTTGCTTTCTCAGCCTTTCGCGATTGACCATCATCACACATCCTCACTCCACCCATCAGACCTCTATTCTTAGAGTTGAACCCTCTCATCATGCCATTGGAAGCACTGCCGAACGAACTCATTGCTCAGATCTGCGACTCTGCACAGAGAGAAGATTTAGCGAATCTTCGTCTGGTCAGCAAGCACATTTCCCTCGTCGCCACCAGCCAGTTCGCACGTTCCTATCGGCATACCCTCTGCGCCCTCATGACCCCGCACAGTCTGGAGTTACTGGGTGATATATGCTCGCATCCAGCATTTGGGCCTCACGTAAGGCAAATCCATATCAGCTCTGGTCGAGTGGCCCCTATGGTCTTGGAGCGGCTCGCTCATCGTGCAAGCATAGCTTCGCGAGTTGCTGCAATGGTCCCTTCAACAACAGGTGGCGATGGACATGCTTCGAGTAGCGACATCTGCACTCAACGATACAATGGAGAGGTCTACTGCAGAACACCGACTCTTGAACAGTCCAGACGAGGCTTTTGCCTTACTGACACGTGTCTTCGACGCACTCAAGCGGTCTGGTCGTGGTGTCACCCTACGCATCTATGGAGATGACTCGATGCACCATCAAGTTCTGCTTGGCTTCAAAGGCATCAGACTGCATAGAGCAGAATGCGATATCCGTCTCAAGCCGACAATCGAGCCCTGTCTCAAGGCAGTCGCTTCAACCCAATACAATCTAAGCGGACTTTCTCTAGATCTGCGATCGAGGTATATGGACCCATCCGAGAGACGATTCCTCTTGGATTCCAATACGACCCCCTTCTCGGCACTCCAATCTCTGTTCCTCATAGTGCCTCCAGGGTATCATGTGTCGGGTATGGAAACGCTACATCATGTTGTGTCCCAAGCCCAATGTTTGCAGTCGTTCAAGGTCGACTTCGACACCACTAACCCGGCATCTCAAACCGAGCGCCACAGGAGGGTATTGAGTTCTGTTTCCAGTAACAGATTGAGAAGGTTTTTTATAAACAAAACCGCCGTTTCGTACGATCAATTGGTGGATCTGGTAGGCCGGCACAGTAATGGACTTGTTGTGCTGCAAATCACTCACGTGGTCCTCGGAGGCGGAATCTGGCCCCAATTCTTTGAATGGTTGAGGGATAGCGTGCTGACCCTCCGGAGCATGCATATTCATGACTTGTCCGTAACGTCAGGGGACTTCGTACAGCCGCTCATCAATCATCCTAGCACTACCAGATGAATGTGCTCAAGGAGAGTCATCTCCGGTCAGACAGAAGTACGAGAGGTATTAGATCATCTGGCCAACTTGCAAAGCTAGTAGAGGAGAGATAGGTGTGAAGAGACTAGGCCATTCGTTTTCAGCAGGAGCCTCCATCAAGAGGTTATGCTCGACTCGCATCTCAATCATTTGAATCGTCAGTCCGGAAAACTACCACACCGACACGAGCTGGGAGTCGGGATCAGGAGCAACCCTGTTGCTGTTACTTCGTTTACACCGGTATTCATTCTTTCGTGTCACGACAACACACTAGAAGCACGGTGAAAGAGTATTAAAATTAATGTCTACTTTTAACTTGTACAAGAAGAAAAACAAAGGCCTTCCCAATGACCGAAACGCCTTGCAAACTGAACAACTTTCTAATAGGGGTGAGCGACGTTTCTCTGCTTCTCACCCTCCTTGTTCTTGGCCAAAGGCTCGTGTCTAGGCCAGTGAAGACCCTTCAACTTCTCCTTGAGTCCAGCAGGGCTCCAGTTGGTGACACGGAAAGCCCAGTAAAGGAACACGGCAGCGAAGATGTTGAACACAACGAACGCCCAGAAGATGCCAAAGTTGCGCCAGACCTGGCTGTAGTAAATGTTGCTACCAGCGAGGAACTGGTCGGCTGAACTGAGAGCGCAGTAAGCACAGTCGTTGGTGGCATCAGGGTTCTGAAGGTAACCAGGGGCTTGAGTCAGGTAAGCGGCCAAGTACTGGCCACAAGTCTGACCTTGAGGAGGGTTGAAAATGCTGGTTTCGACATCGTTGCAAACAATGGCCTTTCCGTGCAATTGAGCTGCGACGATACCGCCGATCCAGTAAGTGAAGGGCGAAACGCGGTACATGAAGATCCAGAAGCCGGGAAGAGCATCAGGGGCTTGCATAACACCGTTGAAGAGCAGAGACATGGCGAACAAGAGTGTGACAATGGCAGCAGCGGTCTGAGCGTCAGGCATGGCGACGATACAGAGATGCGCAAAGGTACCGGCGTAGATGAAGAACTCGATCAGGAAGAGAAGGACCATACCCTGCTGCAACGAAGTCTGAATACCCTGGACGGCGTAGTAGTAAGAGCCGAACACCAAGACAGCCAAGACGATGTTGTAAGGAATTTCGACGACAATGTTGGCCAAGATGAAGGCCTTCCACGAGTATGCCTTGCTGGGGCGCTCACGTACTTCGTAAAGCGAACGTTGACTGACGAAAAGAGGCATGATCTGTTGGACCAAAGACGAGAAAATGGTACAGACCATGAAAGCCGAGAAGATGACGTTTTGAAGACCTTGAGTCGAAGAGTCGGCCTGGTAGAAGGAGAAACCAATGAACAAACCAGCAGCGGTACCGAGTGTCCACTTGGCAAGAATGTAAGATGGCATACGCCAGTACTGCTGAAAGACTCTGTGAGTGACGACCGAGATCTGAGTGGTCAAGGGCATGGCAAATTCGCTGAGCTCTTCCGGAGTGGGCTCGTGTTCGCGAGCTCTGTGGCTGGATTCCTCATGGAGTTTGTCGATCTGCTTTTGAACGTCCTTGGCTTCGTCACTCTTCTTCCATACATCGTGCCAGTCAGGACCTTGTCCAGAAGAACCAGCGTTGACAATCTCGAGCATGAATTCGGCAGGGTTCTCCTCGTCGTCACAGTGTCTGGCTCCGTTGGCCTCGAAGTAGTCGAGAAGAGTTCTAGAGTTCTCTCCAATGTCTCCGAAGTAGACAGTCTTACCTCCCTTGGCCAGGAACAAAAGACGGTCGAATTCCTGGAAGAGGACGGCACTGGGCTGATGGATGGTACAGAGGACGGCTTGACCGGCGTCGGCGAGCTTGCGGAGGAATGCGCAGATGGCCCAGGCACTCTGAGAGTCAAGACCACTGTTCCCAGATATTAGTATGTACATATGAGTTGATGCGCAGATGGCTACTTACCTGGTGGGTTCATCAAGGAAGAGGAGGAGCTTAGGCTTGGCGGCAAGTTCGACACCGATTGTCAAAAGCTTGCGCTGCTCGACGTTCAAACCTTCACCAGGGACACCAACGACTGCTTCGGCAAAGTCTTCCATGTCGAGCATCTTGATGACATCCTCAACGTAGTCGTACTTCTCTTGCTTGGATACAGATTTAGGCTGTCTAAGCATGGCGCTGAAACGCAAACTCTCGCGGACGGTGGCTGTTTCGAGATGGAGATCTGGCGAATGGTCAGTTTGAGTCTTTTGAAATACGCGACCCGATTAAGCTTACCTTGCTGTTGCACGTAACCACAACCTCTCTGGAAACTGGCATCAATGGGCTTGCCGTTGACTAGCATGTCACCAGTGATAACACCCATAGTTGTACGTTGAGCAAGAGAATCCAGAAGAGTTGTTTTACCAGCACCACTGACACCCATAAGTGCAGTGAGAGTTCCTGGCTTGACGTAACCTGAGACATGGTCCAGAAGTCTACGAGGCTCACCCTTGATTTTAATGTCATAGACCACATCTCTCCAGGTGAAGATGTCCTTCTGAGCGGGGATGGCATCGACCTTGTCGCTTTCGGTGTGTTCGTTCGAACCAGCGCCTTGTGCAGGAGCTGCTTCTTCGTCGTTGGTACCTTCTTTGACCTGGCCAGTAAGATTTGCGGGTGCGTGTCCCTTGCGGAAAACAAGAACCTCGGCGGTGCTGGTAGTTGAAGAGTTGATCTCGACAGCGACGAAGTACATAGCCATGAAACCAATCAAGAAGGCAATCATGATTCCGAAGTTTCTCCAGACGTGCGAGTAGCTGTATTGATAAGCAGCCTGAATGTAACTGTCACCGCTGACGGTACGTCGGCCAGCAACTGCACCAGTCTGAGAGCAGATGAACTGGTCGCCTACCAAGTTGGGATAAGCAGGTACAAATTGAGAGCAGGTAAACTCTCGTCCGTGGAACTCATTGGCGATCAGAATCTCGAAAGCGTAGTAAATAGGGTTGAGGTAGTGGATCCACTCAAACCAGTCCTTCATGTATGGTCTTGGTAGAACATAACCAGTGTAGATGACGAGTGCGAGCACCATAATACCAGCGAGTGTCATGGCTTGAGAGATCGTTTTCGTGACAGCAGCCAGGGTGCGGAACACGGCCGACATGATCTGTCCAATGATGAATGTGATCAAGAAGTAGATGAAGAATTGAGACGGTTCTCGTCGAAGACCAGAGAGGAAATAGAGAATCAGGTTGAACACAGTGGTAGTAACGAATTTGACAGGGATATCACTGACAATACCGGCGATGGCTTCCGTTGCTGGGTGGTAAAGCGCGTAGGACTTGTGCTTTTCGACGATTGGGCGTTGGGCGTAGAGACTGTTGATTTCGTTCATGGCAGTTAAGGCGTTGAGCAGAACAGCGAAGAACAGAACTGCTCCCTTGGACATGAAGCCGACCGTAGCGTCTGGAGTACCGTAGAAGATTGAACCGATGATGAGAGCCATGAAGACGTTGACGAGAATTGCAGAAGCCGTGGAGGGAAGATCGTTCCAGATGCGCTGATATGATCGGACGGTGTTGAGCTTGATCTGCATAGGAATACTGATCATGTATGGTGACTTGAGACGAGTGTGGTCTGCCTGAGCTTCGCCCTTGTTCTCACGGAAAGCCTCAACCATCTTCTCTCCAGAGACTGACTTCTCATGCTCATCAATGCCGTTGACCATTGCCTTGTAGGCCGAAGACTCAAGCCATTTTTTCTCGAATTCCTCTGGGGTACGAGGTACCTTGTTCTCCATGCCCTTGCGAACTTTGCGCTCAGAAGGGTTAGTAAGTCCAGTCAGGAAATCACCAGTCGTCTGACGTTGGTCACATTGCCAACCCTGCTTTTCGAAGAATGCACGAGCTTTGGGGGCAGACCCGTAGTAGATACAGCGACCCTCGTAGAGAACGATGGCCTTATCGAACAATTCGTAAATTTGCTGCGATGCTTGGTAGATAGCGACAGCGTGGGCAGATCCACCAAGATTTGCCAAAGTGCGCAATGAGTTGACAAACTTGAAAGCAGTTGCAGAATCAAGACCACGGGTCGAGTTGTCCCACGCACCAAGAGGCGATCCAGTTAGAGCCATTTCGGCGATACTGACGCGCTTTCTCTCACCACCGGATACACCACGAACGAAATCGGAACCGACTTTGGTGTTGTATGTGTGACTGAGGCCAAAGACTGACATGATGACTTTGGCAGTATGTCTGGAGAAGTCCTTTCTCGACATGCCACGAATACGGTGGGAAGGAGTACGTGTGGACGCAGCAAACTCCAGGGTTTGACCGACAGTAAGATGAGGGAAGTGTTTGTCGACTTCCTGGTTGTAAACGACCTCGCCCTTGAACTCTTTCATCATCTGCTTCTGGTCGACACCGTTGTAGTGAATGATAGAGCCATCGTCGATATGAAGTCCAGTGGTTTCACCACAGAGTGATTTGAGGAAGGTACTGCAACCAGATCCAGGACGTCCGAGGACGATGAGAAGCTCGCCAGACTTGAGGTTACCGTTGAAGTTGCGCAGAATGTGCTTTCTCTCGCCGCTGCGCGAGAGGAGAGATTTGATCGTGGCCAAAGGCTTCAAAGCAATTCCAGCAACTGTGTCCTGAAGCTGCAGAGCTGCACCTGAACCAGAGACCGATAAGTTTCTCCAAACGATACCGGCACGTGTAGCCTTGACACTCTCAGCATCAAAGTCCTTGATGAATGCGCGAAGCCATTTGTCCAGACTGAAGTCCTTGGAAGAAGGGTCAATGCCGGAGTAGCTGGCGTTCGTTGCGGAGCGAGTCAATGTAATGAGGTCGTTTCTCATAGCCTCCTGGTCCTCGCCAGGAATGTTAATCGGGGCATATGCGACGGTGCCATCACTGCTGCTCCTCGATTGGGGTGTGCTGCTTTCATCAACCTCTTCGATGCCGTCCGAAGACTTGCGTGAAAGCTCTGGTGAGAAATAGTTCTGCTGCTGTGTGTTTTGCTGTGACTCGTAGTTGTCGTAGCTCTGGAATTGGTAAGGTTGTCCGGCAAGAGCGTCGGCTGCGATCTGCTCGGTAGTCCGGTACTCCATGTTGACTGATGCAAGGCAGGGAGTCAGGAGTTGGAAGTCGAAGCGGGGCTGAAAACAGACTAAATAAGCAGAGAGCGCTGCACCTCTCTATGTATTATACTCAATAAGATGTCTTGCAAACTTCGTTTTGCTTTTAAACGGCCTGTATGACGAACTGGGCGCTTTAAGATATAGGGGATCCAGACTTCATAGTTCGTTGTGGACGGGATTCACAGAGTCTAGCGCCGACAGTTTGTGAAATTGTGTTTCAAACGACATCATTCCGGCGATTCCACGCCAATTCCAGGTGCATAAGGGACCCCGGAAGCAAGATGGACGTTTGAATAGACTCTCGGCGACCTTGGTATCCGCCATCCGAGCCCTCCGGGCGGTAGTAAACATGCTCCGTTGACCTTTTGGGAACAACGGTCGCTCACCGGGACTCAAAAATACGTGGAGCATAAGTCGGGAGCAGCTCTTACCGGCAGATGTACATGTGGAGAAGAGCCAGATAGACTTGTCTTGGGGGAACACAGCCCAACGGCGTCCAGTACAAGAGGACCATGCTCAGCTCAACAAAAGCATTTGCGCTTACGCATAAGGCTGTTGCTCGTAATTGTACGAGACACTCCAGGTGGCTGATCAAGGCGGAGGAAAACAAAGACGCCCCGGTCGACAAAAGAAGCAATACACACTACCCGGCGTCGGGCCGCGGACCGCCGATCTGCTCATACGAGCAAGTACGAACACCATGACTGCCGTTCATAATCCTACACTGCCCCTGCAATCTTTCGACATGGATAGGGTCCCTCCGAGCTGCGCACACGTAAGCTGCGCGGCCTTGCCTCTCTGGACTTGAGGCAGTAGTGTAAGCAAGTTCAACCCTCGAGCTGCTCGCCAGCAAGAACCCTATTTGCGCCATCCGATATTGTCAACAATTGACAAACGTCAAAATTGAGTTCAAGTGGCTTTGTACCAAGACTTTCGACGTCACACACATCCCACTTCATGAGATACCTTTGAAGCTCAACCTCCGAGTTTTTGAGATATGGTCGGACGCCCGCGGTCCAAGGGCTGCTCCACATGTCGCGCCCGCTATTTGAAATGTGGTATGAATCAGTGGCCAAGTCTACAGCTCATATTCTCGAAATGCGCGCTGACGGAGTTCTAAGATGAGCAACGCCCCAACTGCTCTCGCTGCGCAAAAGACAAGTTCGAATGCGGACCCCACTCTAACGAATTCCAAGTTATTCAATACTCCCCTCCCAAACCTCGTAAGTGCATTGTACCAGCGGCACTCGTAATAGCCAACGACGACATCTTTATTGCACACCTGAACCACGAATTTTTCTCGGAGCATGATTCCCGCGCGAGGTGGGTAGGTTTCAATGCTACAACACGACCAGACAGTTTAGCCTGGAAGTGCCTGCTCGCGCTATCCAAATCTTTCTATGGCCGCGTGCAGAATGAGGCAAGCATCACACGACATGGCATTGGCTTGTACGGCCAATGCCTCGATAGCATCAACCATGGCCTATTCAATATGAAGAAGGGTATGATGGGCTGATATGCTCTTGTCAATAATGATCATGGGCTTATACGAGGCGAGATGTGACCTTCCATGCTTTCGTGACTTGTTTTCTGACTATAGCAGATGATGCTTTATACGAGCCATGATGCCTGGATTCGACACGGTTAAGGTATCTTAACGCTCTTTCTGCTACAGGGGCCAGGAGCGTGCAAAGATCGAGTCACATTCGATCTTTTCAGAAGCAGTCGCTTCCTCATGATACTCTCCTCTCTAGCTGTTAGACGTCCCACCTTTCTTCATGAACATACCTGGAGGACGACACCATGGCAATGGCACAGTACAACGAAGGATTCCATGGATGACCTACTCGACATAATGACCCATCTGCCCGCGTTGAGAAGCACACTCTTCGCCTTGCAGAACAATGCCGAAGCCACGGAAATGAATACAACTGCCCACCACAATCTAGCAAAATAATCCCTCGCCGATTTCGTCGCACTGCAAGAATGGCGAACAGATTGGGCCACCACGCCAGATGGCAAAGTTACCTTGATCTCCGATCCCGCATTACTGACAAAGCAATCCCTCACTTTCATCTCCCTCTACGCGGCAAATTGTCACTCCCTTTACAACGCGACCCTGATCCTCCTCATCGAAACCATCTTGCTATCCGCGCAACCCTCCCAGATACCTCCAGGCCTGGCTTCCACATTGCTCCATCAGTCGCGTCAAGCAGCGCTAGAGATATGCCACAGCTTTGATTTCCACTTGCGAAATTTGCATACTAGACTAGGTCAACTCTTCATCCTCTGGCCATTACGAGAAGCTGCAAAGGTCTTAGGACGAGGTATTGTGCACGAACAAAGGCTATTGGAAGAACAGAAAGGGAAGTTGGACACATGGGACGTCGCGAAATTTGCGTTTGACAGTTATGATTCGGTAAAATGACACCTTCAAGTATGTCAAGTTTCACGTTCTCTGCGCTGGTCAGATGAGCATATCGAGCAATCTTATTTCGTAGTAATCGTTACAGTAAAAAGCTAGCTAATCTGGTCCTTTTTGCGGTCTACTCCTCAGTGGTAGACATCTTGCTCAGATTCTTCCATCTTTTTCGTGATGGCAGACTTGCTCTCCGGATCTCTTGTGTATTACTCCTCAGCCGTGACCTTCGCTGAACCGATCGCTCGTTTCTTCCTTGGTGGCTGATCCCGTCGTCCACTCCTTGGTAAAATACCCTGCTAACCTGATCTCTGCGCAATCTACTCCTTGGTAGTACTCTTGCTAAGAGGATGAGGAGGACGCTTGTCAATCGAGGGACTACCCTGACGACTGAGAGATTCGCGGGCGTTAGCACGGGCAGGACTGCGAGGAATGCTAGTGGCGCGAGTACCAACACGTCCACGAGTAGTCTCGCGAAGACGAACGTTTTCCTCGGTAACGCGTTGTATGGTACCTTCTCTTTCCCTGAGCATGATCTTGAGCCTCCTGTTGTCGTCCATGACCTTGTCTGTGTAAGTCGCGACGTTGATGGTGCGAAGTCTGGCTTGCTCGCCAGATGCCCTGATCTCGAGTGCAGAGATGCGTCTCTCCTGTTCGGTGTTGGCAGCTGCAAGGGAGGTGTTCTCGTTGGAGCGAGACTGGTATTGGTCGCGCAGGTAGTCTAGCTGTTCTTCGGTGGCCTTTGTACGCTTGATCTCCTTGTCTCTATCGGCAACGGCGGCCAGAGTATCGGCCTTGCTTTGTTCGAGCTCGGCACGCTCGGGAATTGTGTGGTTGAGCAGAGCGACTTGTGCTACGCCCAGCTGCTTCTTCAGGTCCAAGACCTCGTCGCGCAAAGAGATGTTCTTGGTCTGCAAGCCTTCAAGACGGTTGGTCACTCTTTGCACACTCTCGAGGGCTTCGTTGCGCTCCTTTTGAGCTTGAACCATCTGAGCACGCTGTTCTTCACAGTTGAACTGTTGCTTCTCCATATCCTGAGCCCAATCTGAGACCTGCTGCCGAGCACGGTTGAGTTCCTGGAGGGTCGAGGCATGCTGAGAGGCTGGCACAGAATCGCTAATATGCGAGTGAGGAATCTCACCGGATGGGAGATGCATGTCATTAGGGTTGATGGTCAAAGGGAGTGACTCTTCGACGCGGGCTTTCTTTGCCAAAGGTACCTCGGGGGCGTCAAGTTGGCGTTTGTTAGAGTCGCCGTTGATTGCGAGCTCATCTTCGGAACTGGGTTGACTGGGTATGGCTTCGATCAGCTTCATTTCAGGCAGACCATAGAGCGGCCAGTCTGACTCTGCAGGGTTCAGAATCCATGCAATGATGTCTGATGCCTTGCGACTGAAGTCCGACTCGTTACCGCCATTCTGCCAGCCAGCGTTCAGCCTCTCACCTGTGGTGGTGCTGACAAGTACGTGAAGACGTTCTGACTCGGAAACTGTCGAGGAAAGGCAGCGTTCGGCATGTTCGATCGTGAAGGGAACCACAAGAGAGATGGTCGGCACGAGCGTGTTATGCGAGAGCATCTTCTGGGTGCGGGTAATGGTTTCGTCAGACAAACTTCCAGGAAGGACGACGATCATGTCCATGTCCAACAACGGCATGTCAACAGCAGTTGTGACGGTGGTCAACAACATGGTGGCGGTTGAACTCTGGTTTACTACGTTGTTCTCGCCATCAATCACGTTGTACATAATATTGGTGGCTTGCAAGAAGTTCTGAAGAATACCAGCAAGTCTTCCAGGCTCGACGAGTAAGGCAAGGTGCAAGTTGTGACGCTTTGCAGCGTCCAGTAGAGTCTTCAAAAATCTGAACTTGGAACTGATGCTCTCGTCCCACTCCGCCTGCGTAGCTGGACTGGCTTGGGTGGAATCGAAGGTGCCGACATTCTCAAGGTCAGGGTGGTTGACGTAGTTGTGGAGACGATGAATGAAGGCACGAGCTTCATACGCAAGACCAGTTTCAGCGGGCCAGACTTTGTGCAAGGTGAATTCGTCGACGAAGCTCTTGCAATCGCCGAAGACACCCTTGTAATAGGACCTCTGAAGTGTACCGAAATCCAGTGAGACCAAGTGCTGGTTGTGGTCAAGATCAACAACAGAGGCGTCCGGCATATCAAGATCCTGTGAGACATATGCGCGCGATGCGTTGATCTGAGGCTCTTGACCAGGGAGCAAGGTCTCATAGCGCTCTGAGCGCGAGTACTCCTCGGGTGCCTGCTCAGGTATAATCTCGACAGGAGGAACAGTCGAAGGGGAACGAACCTCACGATCAGTAACAGCAGGCGACATCAGTCTTGCAGGCACAGCGGATGCAGGCTTAGGCGAGGAGACACTGGGGATTGAGAGACTCATGGCGGGTGCTGTGCGCGTAGCAGCTTGCTCAGCGGCTTGCTCAGCGGTTTCCGCGGCGGCTTCCTCGGCGGCAATGCGAATCTCTTCAGCCTCAAATCTTAACTTAACAGCAGCTCTCATGGCGTCCACTCGCTCTTTTGTGGTACGTCTAGGAGGACCACTCATGTTGGAGTTCGGTGTGTGAGCACGAATTGGAGAGGGGGCAGATTCACCAATAGTGCCCGAGAACTGCGATGGAATGGCAGGAATGGGGCTTGATGAATCAGCAGATGGTGGTTTCTGATATTGACTTGTCAAGGTGTCTTGAACAGACGCGACCAGGGTGGGTCCTCTCTGCACAGGAAGTTGAGGCACTTGAGTCAGAAGTCCAGTCGAAGAAGATGTGGTCAAATCCTCTGCAGAACTGCGCACCGCAAACTCAAGTGTCGGGGGTGGTTGGTTCTGTTGTTGTTGTTGGAAGGAGACCAGCTGGGCGGCTTGTTCCACGTGACTTTGCTGGGTGGTCACTTCGACGGATGCTGTGTTTTGGCCGATTTGTTGGTTGAGAGCACGGGGAGTATTCGGTTGTGACTGAAACGAGATCTCGTCCTCCTGCTGCGATTGGGAATCACCAAATTGCTGAGAGTCCGTCTGTGTCGATTTATCGGGGACCTCTGTAGGTGGTGCCGATGAGGTTGAGCTGGAACGCGCAGCAACTTCAGATGCCGGCGAAACAGAACGCGTAAGAATTTGCTCAGATACTTGAGCAACAGGGCTTGATACCGCAATGAGAATAGGTTCCGGGTTGATAATGTTTCCGATTGTTGCATCCAGTGATGGCTCGCTCTGAGTAGCGACGTTCGGCTGCGGAGCATCCTCTGACATCTAAAAAGGAAAGTTAGCCGAGCCAATCAGGACGCGCCATATCGCGTCAAGCAACGCGACAAGATCAAGATTAGATAACCAGATGTGCATAACAGTATCAAAGTGACGGATCTTACCTGTACCTGTACCTGTACCACGCTGCTCTCAGGAATAGAGCCCTGCTCAGCATTGCCCTCGATCACGATCTGACTTTCGGTAGGATCGTCTTCAACATCTTCGACGTCCTCGACATCTCTCATCGATATGTCAACTTGCTCGATCTGAGGTTCTGAAAGATGAAGACTGGTTCCGTCCAAGTGGCTCTGTGAGTCTGGAATCACGACACCAGCAGCGAAGCGGCGAGAAATCGCAACCGGGACTGGCATTGTGTGTACGCCTGACGAGCTGTTAATCGAGCTGTAAGTGAGTGTTGATCCAGTGGTGGTGCCTGGTTCATAGGGCGAGTTTTTTGCAGAGAGGCTCGAAGCCGCAGCGGCGTCTACCATTGCCGTGGAATCATCAACGTTGTCAAGACTCGAGGAAATAGCGATAATATCGACTAGAGCAGCCGATTCTTCCGCGTCAACAAAGCTCGTGCTCTGCTCTTCATGATCAACCGGCTCTTGTTGAGTACCTCTGAGAACCTGAGATGAGTGGAAGTCGCTAACTTCTTCATCTTCGTCTTCATCAAGCTCCCTCGATGCTTGTTCGACATCGACAGGCAGTTGTTTGTGAGCTGATCGTGTCTCGCGCTGCAATTGTGCGGCAGCAGAATCAAGGTCGCTTTCCTCGACTTCGGTGGTGCCAGCTTCATCGGGACGAGCTGCACCAGCTGGAGTCGATGGATTACCAACTGCAACCGGCGCAGTGTTGGGCTGGATGTGTTGGCGAGACGTCTGCGGGACGTCTTCAGCACCTTCATTGGAAGACTCTGGTATAACACGTGCTGTGCGTGCCTCTGAAACTTGGATGGGAGCATCATCGTCGGGAATATCAAACATCTCAATCGAGATGGGCACGACAGGCGTGCGTTGGGGGCCAGATTTGCGCCGTATTCTGGACAATTTGTCGTTCGAGTCTTCGTCAGAAGAATCGAGCGTGGCGCGAGACAACTTCTTCGGCCGACCAGGCTTGCGCTTCTCAGATTGCTGGTCTAACTGCTCTGTAGACCTGGACAGCAGACTCTTTCTGGGCCTTCCAGGACCTCTCTTCAACGGAGCTGAGCTGGCTACCTCGCCGTCGTCTTGTATCGCTTTCTGACGGTTGGATGGCTGCAGAGGGCTCGATTTGGCAGGTCCAGCAGGCTGGTTGAAGAACTGGACGTCTTCGTCATCCTGCTCTTTCTGACGACCGATCTCTGGTAATAACTTTCTAGGTCTACCACGACCACGCTTGACAGGCTTGGTGACTTCCATCAGAACGACATCACCGTCGTCGTCATCGTCGTCTTCCTCGGATTGTGGTCTGGTTGCAGACTTGCTCGGCCTTCCGGGTTTCTTCTCAGGAGGCTCAGGTGAGTTGGGTGCAGATTCGGCGGTCTCGGTGACGAGCTTGACAGGCTTCTTGAGCTTCAACGTGACGGGTTGTCTAGACGCAGAAGCAGCAGGCTTCGAAGGGCGCTGCGTGTCTTTGGAGTCATCCTCCTCGTCGCTGTCGAACTGGATGAAACTGCCCGACGAAGGACCAGCTGTGTCTCTAACCTTGCCCTTTCCCTTGTCGGCTGTACCCTCGCTCTTTCTCTGCTCTTTCAGCCTCTTCTTTCCTTCCCATTCCTCGATAGCGGCGTCGGTGACGTTCTCCTTGGGCTCCCAGGTGGGCGTGAACTTCTTGGAGCCAATGTCTTGCCAGTCGACACGGTATTCGTTGACTCTCTCGCCGATGATGCTCTTAATTTCGAAGAAGTCGTCGGCTACCTCGTCCACCTCGTCCTCATCATCCTGGCGAGGCTTTTTAGCAGGAGGTCCGCCACTGCTACCGCCGTTCTTTCTCTTCGGCATGACTCTGGACTTGAAGATCTGTTTGTCGCAAGGCCTGTGAGGTCGCGACCGAAAATTAGCATCTCAAGGCATCTTTTTTTTGCTACCGAACCACCCGCGTGAAAGAGCGATTTGAGGTGGAGGACGCGACGAGGAGTGTGGGGAAGCTGGATAAATTGGAAAACGCGTGAGAATGGAAGACGACCGATCGGCATCGGCGCTTTCCGAATGAGGTAACCACTGATGGTTCGTACTTGACAAGAGGTACGTTAAGGATGTGTCACTCACCTGATGTAGGAAAGAGCTACTCAGTGTAGACCTTGATTTGATCGAAAATGGTTGTGAAGATCCGGGCTGGACGTGGCCTGGATGTGGTAGTATCGCTCTTGTGCAAAAAGCAGCCGCGTCTACACGCGAAGATAACCAAGTCAGGTGAGGTTCGAAGGTAAAGAAAGGAAAGATACTCTGGTCTTGAGAAGGGTAATGAATGAGGACCTGGAACGAACGACTGCTTTGGCTGACGATTGTTGATGTGGTGTGGCAGGTGTAGTCCGATTGATCGAAAGCTCAGATCACAGCGAAGGTCTTGTGAGCCGCCGACGCGAGAATATCAAGACCACGATACTCGATAAAGCTTGAGATATACAAGGTGAGCTGCCTCGACTATGTGTCGAAGGCCTTTGTGACGCTGATCGTCTCGAGGAGAAAGGTGGGAGTGAGGACCGGGTGACTGGAACGGCAAAACGACTTGGTCGAAAATTTGGCGGCCCTGGCACGAAAGTCGGCGTGATGTTGTGAGCTAGCGACCAGCACCGTATACGACTACTGTGAACGGTAAAAGAGGCGGAAATCACAGGTGAACGTCCCCTCAATGGATGTACACGAGCTATGATGCACGTGGCCAGGAAGATTTAAGACAGTAGTGGAGGGATACCTACCATGTGCTGAATTCTGGGTATCAAGCAATCCACAGCCGCTGACCGTATGCAAACTACATAAGTCACAAGTAGCACGAGAATATAAGCCTTACTAGAAACGAAGGGCAAGCACACGGCTTTCTGAAAGGTTTGGTGAGAATTCGTGTGATTCATTTGCGTTCATTCCAATGTCTTCATCTCTAGAAGAACCAAGATCGTGTTTCCTCCCAACTGTTGAGGTGGTACTGTCCTTTCATCCAACACATAGCAGTATCGTGTACTGTTTGCTTTTTCGTTACATCATGGAGCTGTGAGAGCAGCAGTCGCTATGTCGTGTGACGTCTGCTTATTTCTTCTCGTCCTTCTCTCCCTTCTCTTCCTTCTCGTGCTTCTCCTTTCTCTCTTGCTCACGCTTTCTCTCGTGCTCACGAACGAGCTCTGGGGGGCTGTCCTCGATGAGCTCACTGCTGTCGTTGAGGCCCGACCACTTGGGGAGACCGTCAGGGATGTCCATGACACGCTGGCTGTAGAACATGTGGCATCTAGGCATTGTGTTAGTAAGGGTATGTGGGAAGGCAGATAGCCGCAACAATATACATACCTGGGCTTGAAGTTGGCCTTGTCCTCGTCGTTCTTCAGGTGAACCAAGCTGGGGAAGAGCAGGATCATGTTTCTACCCTCGTCCATGATGGGACTGTGGCAGAAAGAGCAGCGAACCTTGCAGGGAAGCTTGTGTTCGATTGACTTTGAACTGGGGTCGTACCACTCGAGATCGTGATGTCCGTTACTGAAGTTGATGTCGTCCTTGTGGAAGATGGCAGCCCACTGGAAAGGCGCAGCTGTTGTTGACGTTAGGAATAGTATTGTGGTACTGTTCAATTGGCAACATACCATGCTGGGTCTGGCAAGTTGTGCAATGGCACAACTTGGAATCAAGAGGCTCTTCTCTGCTCAGTTGGTACTTGACCCTGCCGCAGTGACAGCTTGCTTCATATCTGGCCTTGAAGTTCTCGTTGGACTCGTGAATCTTGTAAGGTGCACGCTTCTGCCAATCCTCGACAGGCTTCTCAGGCGCCTCGCCTCTTGCTTCCTTTGCATCCATTTCCTGCTTTTCGTCCTGGAAACTGCTTGCGAAGCGAATTGACTGTCTATGGACAGTGGGTACAAGACGTTGAACTGAGAGACGTGTGAGGGGTGTTGAAGCTTTGATATGATTAGACGCTGTCTGGAAACCGGCTCTTGACAAGGTCTTGAGAAAAGAAGAATTGAAGGGTCTTGCGTACATTGGAGGAATTGGAACTTAGTTAAATGGATGAGAGAACAAACGACTGCTGCTCATCGCCGTATGGAGTCGTTCTTTTTGTTTCCAATCCAATGACATGCAATGTTTTGTGATGTCATTGTCCTGTGCACAAGCTACATGACCGCTACAAATGGGACAGTCGACAGAAGGGGAACTTCTACCGAGCGTGTGGGGTTTTGTATCCAACACGTCAAAAAGCCATCATAAAGCCATCAGATCTCCGTCATCTCATAAATCATTGTCAAGGCTAGCTGTGGGATACGTAGAAACCCCCGAGTCGATTTTTTACTCAAGCTGCTGTGAATCGGACTCGCAGAAATGTATCGCTGAGATGAATTTCAGTGCCTCTGCAGTCAGAGGTCGAAACACTTTTTGGGATCAAGTAGGTATGTGGTCGTTGTATATTACAATCCTGTGCGTTCCTTAATAAACCCTACCAAGGGACAGGGACAAAATGTGGAGTTGGATGAGGGGCACGATCGAGGCTGGTACGAGGTACCTTAGGATTATTAGCGTCTGATGATGAGGCTCGGAATCTATTAATTTTCAGCCTCCTTCCTTCGATCGATCATCCTTTCAATAGATTCAATGCTTCTTTTCGTGGGAGCCCTAGGATGTTCGTCAGGTAGTCCAGCCTGTCAAGAACGTCAGTTTCAAGTGCACACGCGACATCAATTACAATGAACGACTTACTTGGCCTCGCCTGCGATCCGTTCACTGTACTTTTCGAATTCCTTCTCCCGCCGACTCCATGCCGCGACCCGCCTTTGGTCATCGACCTTCTTGATGCGGATCTTCAATCGTGCGCTCACTGGCCTATGATCGCTGACTCTGACCTCCCATCGTCTGTAATCCTCGCATTTCACCCTGCCCATGCCTCGGTAGAGTACCCTGTCGCACCATGCGGGCGCTCGCTTCTTCTCGCTCGTGTCATAGTCATCGGTACCCACGTTGTATTTATACGTCGGCGCAAATGTGATGGGCATTTCCTGGAACACGCGTAGTCTAAACGCTGGGTTCTTTCTGCGTGACAGTAGAAGTTGATCACGTTCAAGCAGTTTCGCCAAGTTCCTGTCGTTAACAGCGCGCACGACCGTATCACGCGGCATCGCATCAATGCGATAGTTGAGATCTCCATTCAAGACACAGATCTCGTGGTCCAAGATCATGCTGCCATCACCACCGCCAACAAAAGTGCCAGCCGTGTTGCTAACAGCGGCAACCGGAAGGCATTCTGCTTCGAGAATTGCGGCAATGTCATTATTACGGTGGAGTGTTTGCGTCTGACCGGCAGCAAGATGGCAATTCACAAGACACAACGAACTGTCGTCCAGAATCATGCGGATGATCAAAGCTCCCTTCCGCGTTGGTCAGCAATTGTGAAACGAGTACAGAGAGTGTTGCGACTTGCCTTGTTTCCATGCAGACCGCCCATGCCACGCTTCACTTCTGCGGTATGCACTTGCTTGATGCGACCTCGAATAAATGTCTTGACGAAGACGCAGCTGAAGAGACCAACCATGCTAGACGTGTGTAACAGAGTGTAACCCTGTGTGGCCGGCATGTAATCTTCAATGCATCTAGTGAGATGATCTCGCCAGGCTCTGTATTGATGCGACATGTGCTCTTGCTCTGTAGGATCCTTCTTCCTGCTCTTGAAAAAGCTCTCTGTCCAGGTTGTCAGTGTCTGTTCAACGGTTCAGAGTAAAAGAAGATATACGTACTAGCTGTGACTTTCTTGTTCTCCAGATCTACCAGTTCCTGGAAACCGAAAATGAGGATGTCTGGAGGAGCGTTCGAGGAAAAATAGTCCCTAAAGAAGGCAGCATCTTTCTCACTACCCTTGAGGTGATTAGGCTTCACGGCGCCAGCATTCCATGTAAGCACTCCGGCAGTGATTTCCTCGAAGGAGCAGAATTCATTATCGCTCTGTTGCATCTTGGTCTCCAGCCAGTCCTCGCGTAGCATGCCATCCCATAGCCTGATGGTATTATCAAGGCCGAGACTCACGACTTGCAAGCGATTGTCCATCTTCCATATACTTTGTGTGTCTGTGAGGATACTGCAGATGGGATTGTCGTGTGCGACCCAGTCTTTCATGACTCGCCAGGGCGTGGCGGATGTGTCGTATACGAATATCGTGCCGGCAGTATATCCAGCCCAAAGATAGTCTCCGGCACCTGCCAGAGAACTGATCTTATACGGACTGATGCTATATACACCAACACACTTGAAGTCGCGGTGTTGGTAGACAGAAACTTTGCCATCAGAATGACCGAAGTAAACCAGACTTGGTTTGCTGGGTATGATAGCACCAGCAGTTATGTCGCCTGCGCCTTCAACTAACAAAGGCTTCGGCAAGACGTTGAAAGCAGCTTCTGTAGCTGCACTTGGTTTGAACACTCTGATTTCTTTACCTGCGGCAAGCCAGAGGTGTCCACCGACAATGACCGAGCAAGAATGACCTCGCATAGCCCTGAAGGTAGTGGGTATAGTATCCAGACTAGGCATACCTGCGGACCCCGGCGACCAAACATTGAGCTTGCCATCGTCATCTAGAGACCATAGCTCTGAAGCGTGGCGGAAAATCCTGAGTATTTCTCGTCTCGGATGTGCATTGGACTTGGTGTGTACAATGGATTGACTAGGGATGTCAACCTCATGAATCTCGCCAATGTTCGTTCCAAGCCAGAGTCGCCGCCCTTCGTTCTCCGCATCGGCTGTTGGCGCGAAGGCCAATGCAGTGACTTTAACGTTATCGCCATGGGACAGGGTTAGAGACGACTCGCCGGTGCGCAGACTCCATACACGCGTAATGTAGCCCGTCGTGCACACCAAGTCTCCACATACTGCAAAAGTACGAGTGTCGTATCCTGTGTGAATTTCCCAAGGACGGCTCTTGAATCGCGGAGGGCGTCTATTTGCTTGCGATGCATCCGGAAAGTCTTGAGGGTTACCACCAGGATAATTGACAGGAGCATCTTCGACGTCGTCGCCCCGATCCGTCAACAGAGGAGTGGATGGAACGGTTTTGAAGTCTTCACGACGGGTGTCAACTGAACGACGAGGTGCCGGAATAGCAGGAGGTGGAGGTTTGCTAGTTGAAGGAGTAGCAGCAGGCGTGACCGAACGTCTCCTGTCAAAGCCTTGTGATAGTGCACTCGCGGACGTTTGAAGCGGAGCTGGCTGGGTACGACGTGGCGGAGGCATCATGGCGCTGTCTGTATTAGCGGCAGCGGCACTCGTCCGGCGTGGAATATCCAGGGATTGGCGGGCAGGTATCCTGTTGTTGAAGCGTGTAGGGCTGGTACGTCCAGAATGCATCTCGCGCTCGGGACGAGGCGGCAGTGTCGGCGCATCCTCCTCGTTGGTACCATCTTGTACTGCGATCGGGCCTCTCTGAGGTATTTGTTGAAGTCGGGAAGGATGAAACGAGGAAGAGTCGTATGAGCGGCTCAGAGGTTTGGGAGAAGGGTTTCGAGATTGTACGGGAGCGAGTCGGGGAGCCACCACGCCAGCAAAGTAACCGTGAGAAGTAGACTGATTCCTTGGTTTCGAGTCGAAGGGTACAGAAGGGACGACTTGCTCGGCATGGGGAGTACTTTCAGAACTGCTTGGAGGCGTGCCGAAAGGCGAGACGTGGCTGTTTCCAGTTCTGTTTGATTTCAAGGGCGCGAGGCTCTCGACACTAGCAGAAGCCGAACTACCCAGCTTTGGTTTCCCAGCACGATTGACAGGCGGAGGTCCTCCGAAGTTTGGGCTCTTTGGTCCTTGATCGCCGTTCGATTGAGGCTTACTGTCCAGCAATGTTTCTGATGAGGCATGCAGGAAAGCCGACATACGAGCCTCTAACGCAGGAGTGGTCACTCGGCTTGGAGTGCGAAAGTGACGAATAGAGCCTGCCGGAGAGGCATTTGTCGAGCCTGGAGTTGACAAAGTGGACGTAGGAGGAGACTTTGAAGGGGTCGCATTTGTGACACGGAGGTTCAGATCTCTAGGTGGGGAGGCGGGAGATTGTACGCTGACAGTAGGGGGAGAGTGACGAGGAGTCAACGGGTAGGCTGTCGAGACAGGACGTGGTTTTGGCGGAGGAGGCTTCGCTTTGTTCAGCGCTTGTGTTGGGTTGGTGGACGCCGGTTCAGCGCGCACAAGAGGACGAGGAAGATCGAGAGACCTGCGTACGCTGGGCGGAGGCGTAGATTGGACGGGTTGTCGCTGGGTGGTCATGTTCTCAAAGCGCGAGCGAAGCGACGACACAGGCTTGATGGACGATTCATCCTTGACCTGGTCGTCGTTGGCCATGGCGGCCAAGTTGGTGGTAAGTCAATGTTGTTGTCGCTAGCTATGACTGTCTGGTTTGGCGATGGTTCATGGTCAGGTCGAGGCTGGGCGCCACGGGCTTGCTGGTCCAGTGACGGGCTTGGACGAGGTTGACAGGATGCAGGACGGATTGCGCGCCGCAAGATGGATGTAGAGGGATGGCGTGAATCGCGTGGCAATAAGGAGGATAGAGCGGTAGGAGCGGAGTTGAGCGAATGGGTCGTGTATGGATATGTCGTGTTGTTTGGTTGGCAGGCTTCAATGCCGCAAGCTGGCTCTCGTCGTAATTCGTAATTACCGTCGGTATGCGCAGCAGCCACTTACACGCTTCCTGCCCCACGTGTGAAAGTTTGTCACTTCAAACTCGTGCCTTCCTCATGTTTACACACAAGCAGCGCGTCGTAGGGATAGTGGTAGCTTTCTAAACAACCAAGCTGACTTACATAGAGTAGCCAGCTCCTATAATTCTGCCACCTTTGTGAGATACGCAAGTAGCGTCACGCATTCGCACAGCCAAGGGCGTGACAGACTTTAGTGCTGGAAGAAGGGCTATTCTTGCCAACACGGCTTGATTGGCTGCACTTGCTCTCCCCAGATCCGCAACAGCCTTCCGCGCATCCGTGCCCCTAGATCGCCGCTGCAATTGCCAAAAGCTTATATTTTGTGACACTCGACCGACGCCAGCGCTGTACACAATCCACTTGTTCAATCTTTTGTGCTGCCATATCAACCTGCGCTCCATCACAGTTTCTACTCGTGTATTCCGCTTCCTCGAAAGCTTCGCATCATGTGGTAAGTCGGTTCTTTCCTCTCAGCTGTAGCCCAATCTGACCTCTCCACAGTAAACACGTTCTCAACGCTCAAGTCTCAATCCGCTCTCCTTGCTGCAAGTCCCTCCGTCGCACCACTTCCGTCTCGCCGCACCCTCAAGACTAACACGACACAACAGGTCGCAAATGGTTCGACTGCGCAGAATGTCACGCCGAGTCAGAAACACACGACCTCAAGCCCACCCTCGAAATGGTCTTTGCTTGCAAAAAGTGCAAAAAGGCTTTCCGTAAAGATGTTCAAGAGTTCGAGGAGAGCGACGAGTACTGCCCACACTGTGACAACCACTTTGTTCTCGAAGCAAAGACGCCGCACGCCAGATTACAGGTCGAGAGTGAGGATGTGAGAAAGGACGCCCGCTTCGTCAAGGATGACCGTGTGCGCGAGGAAGAGCAGCAGACCATCTGGAGCCTGAAAGAGGCTAGTGAGAGACTGGGATGATCTGCTCATAACGAGTGGAATACTCGAAAATCACTTGGAACCATGCATATAATCCACCGGCTACTGCATCAAAGTCAGGTCGCAGGTCGCAACACAGAACAACGAATTCACGAATCATCATCATCATCATCATCAAAGTCGAGTATTAAGGTCTTTTCATTGCCTTCACTTCATCATGCAGCCATAAAGGTCTCTGTTTGCCGTTCAACGCCAATGCTGTAGTCCCAAATGCAAGTCGTGTCTACTCTGTAGGTGCGCTACCGTCGCCTGCTGGTCTGCTAGCCAGCACGGCTTCGGTGCCTGCCACAGGGCCTGTCGTGCTACCCTGTGCTCCGGCACCTCCAGCACCTCCTGCACGAGGACCTCTTCTTGTGTTTGCCTCGTCCTGCTTTTCGCTGTTGATGCTCTCGACGTACTTCTCAATGTCCTCGACCTTGAGCATTTCCAGGGGCTTGCCGGGTTCCATGACGGCGATCTCGATGTTCTTTGCGCCAGTCTGCACAACCTCAAGCAATGACTTGACGGTAAGCTTGATAGTCTCCTCGCGATCCATGCCCTCCTTGTGGTTTCTCTCGAGGAATTCGCGTACGGTCTTGGATGAGCGGCCGATGGCGTTTGCCTTCCTGTTGTTGTTAAGTTAGCAGGAGTCCATAGAACGATGTAACAACGGATAGACGAACCATGCAGAGTAGATACCACTGGGCTCGGTGTAGAACAGTCTAGCCTCAGTGCTGTTGGGGTCGAAGCCAACAATCAGAGTACTGATACCGAAGGGACGGACACCGCCAGATTGAGTGTAGCGTTGTTGGACCTGAGCGACGTGCTTTGTGATGTATTCGATGGAAACGGGATCTTCGACGGTGAGACGGTGACTCTGAGCTTCGAGACGGGCCTTGTCGACAAGGATACGGGCATCGGCGTTCAGACCGGCGAAGGCGAGGCAGACGTGGTTGTCGATGAGACCAATCTTTGAGGGAGTAATGCGTGTATCTTGGAGCTTCATGGCACTGCGCTTCTCACAGCCCAAGACGACAATCTTCTCGCCCTTGACACCGACGGCGCAAGTTCCTGGGGGGCAATCAGTTGACTGCTGGAGTTGAGTGGGCGAATGTTGAGTAGTGGCATACCGCGCTTGACGGCTTCGAGGGCATATTCGACCTGGAAGACGTGTCCATCAGGACTGAAGACTGGTCAGACAGTCAGCATTTGCATGTTTCGATGGCGGATGGACTGGCGTCATCGCATACCAGACAGAGCTCGATCGTAACCGCTGGCCATTGTGGATGTTGATTATGTGGTGACGAAGGTTTGGTACGGAGTCGAAGGCGATGGGCTAAGAGACACAAATGAAGAGATGGGATAAGTTCACACAGCTGTATAGACTACAAGACTGGGCCCGATGGATGGCTGTAGACTGCAGCTTGCGGGAGCTTCGCGTTGGACCAGACCGGCGGCACAAGCCGAGCTTGACGAGCATGAGTGAGCGAAGTGACGAGCGACTGCGGCGAAGATGATGCGGAGATGGCGCTCTCAATGACTTGCGGCCATACAATTTTTGTTTCTTTATTTCTCTCCCTTTCTTTGCCCGAATTGTGCTAATTCTTTTCCATCCTCTCTTTTTCCGTTACTAACACATAGTCGGACTATCATAATGGCTCCTCTATACCGCTGCGCACCGGCATTGCGCCAGATTAGGGCGGCCAACTTCGCCTTCAACCGCGCCGCCATCGCCCGCACTGCTCCCCGCGCTGTCTTTGCCGGCCAGAGACGCTTCGAGAGCACAAAGAACGAACCCACCACCTCCGCCACATCTGAGCCTCACCAGCCGCATCCTGATCTTGGAACAAATGGCCCCGAAGCCCCTGCTCGCAGAATCAAATACACCTCCGAATCATACCCGGACTTGAAGAGAGACCCCAAGTTTGCCGAGCTCACAACCGACCACGTGAAATGGTTCAAGGATCTGCTGGGCAACGAGTCTGCCGTCCTTGATGGTGTCAGCAAGGACGCGTCCGAGGACATTGAGCCCTACAATGCCGACTGGATGCGCAAGTACAAGGGTCACACCAAGCTGGTTGTCAAGCCTGGCAACACTGAGGAAGTCAGCAAGATCCTTAAGTACTGCAACGACAACATGCTGGCTGTTGTTCCTCAGGGTGGTAACACTGGTCTCGTCGGTGGAAGTGTTCCTGTCTTTGATGAGATTGTCGTCAACTTGGCCCGCTTGAACCAGATCCGCAGCTTCGATGACGTCTCTGGTATCCTGGTTGCGGACGCCGGTGTCATTCTTGAGGTCGCTGACAACTATCTCGCTGAGAGAAAGCACATCTTCCCCCTGGACTTGGGTGCAAAGGGCTCATGCCAGATCGGTGGTAACGTCGCAACCAACGCTGGTGGTCTCAGACTACTGCGCTACGGCAGCTTGCACGGCAATGTGCTTGGTATTGAAGCCGTCCTTCCCGATGGTACTATCATCAACAACCTGTCTAAGCTGCGCAAGGATAACACCGGCTACGATATCAAGCAGCTCTTCATTGGTGCCGAGGGTACCATCGGCATGATTACTGCCATTTCAATCCTCTGCCCCCAGCGCAGTCAGGCCACAAATGTTGCCTACTTCGGTCTGGAGTCCTTCGAAAAGGTTCAGCAAGCTTTCGCCGAAGCCAAGGGCATGCTCGGCGAGATTCTTTCTGCTTTCGAGCTCATGGACGGTCGTAGTCAGAACCTGTACAAGGGTGCTAGCGGTAACAGCTTGCCCCTCGAGAACGAGCATCCCTTCTACTGTCTGGTTGAGACTTCCGGCAGCAACAGCGACCATGATCAAGAAAAGCTCGAGAGCTTCCTCGAACACGTTATGGGCGAGGAGATCGTCAGCGACGGCGTTGTAGCTCAAGACCAGACTCAGAGCCGTGAGCTTTGGGGTTGCAGAGAGGGTGTACCCGAGCATCTTGGTCACTGGGGCGGTGTCTACAAGTACGATTTGTCTATCCCCATCAGCGAGATGTACGCTCTGGTCGAGGAGACTCGCGAGCGAATGGACAAGGCTGGTCTCATTGGTGACACCGACGAGTTCCCCATCGTTGACGTTGTTGGATACGGTCACATGGGTGATGCCAACCTCCATCTTAACGTACCTGTACGCCGCTACGACAAAGCCGTCGAGAAGCAGCTTGAGCCTTTCGTCTACGAGTGGGTAGCTAAGCGTAATGGCAGTATCAGTGCTGAGCACGGTCTCGGTATTGCCAAGGCTCCTTTCATTGGTTACAGTCGCGACGAGACTATGATCAGACTTATGCGCCAGATCAAGGACCTTTATGACCCCGTAAGTCTCTACACTGCATTCTGAACATCACAACCTTACTGACTATGTTTATAGAAGGGCATCATGAACCCATACAAGTTCTTGTCTGGTTAGATCAACTGGATGATTTGTACATAGATTTGCCTCTTCTTGACTACTAGCTGTTTGCATATGGTATTTCGTAGATACCCTTTGATGAGCTTACGAGCATGTATTTTACCATTACAAAAGTTAGGTTCTTTCATCCCCTCTTCAATCTTCTCCTGCACGTCATGAATTGGCACGTCATGAATTGGCACGTCATGAATTGAGGGGTCAATGCGCCATTGATCATTTCTCGGCAGGGTGTTCTCTGTCCGTCGCTGCACTCGTCAAGCACTTGCCTCCCACACACCTGACGAACTGCACGATAAATTCTCTTCCCACGAGCGATCGACTGGAAGCTCTCCCTAACGAGATTATGTGACCTCCTTGAGAGAAAGGATCTGACAAATGTCCGACTCGTTAACAGTAGAATTCAGCTATCGCTGCTACCAACCTCGCGAAGAACTACATGTCTCATTTCTCAACCAGTCGTCGCTTGAATGGCAGAGAAGTCACTTTCCAAAGTCCTGATGTGAAAGCACAGGTGTCGGAAATACTTGCGAAGTTGAACACCGATACTTTAACTGACATGTAGGCTTGTTATACATGTGAGATATCCGCGTACCATGGCGCTACAAATCGCAATGCCAACACAACGACCATCGAATCCATCCTCAAGTCAGTCCCAACATGCACGATTTCAAAAGATGTCTTTCTCGAGCGACAAGGACGGCTTCTATCCGCGACATCTTTTCAGGCCAGTACGACCGCATGGTAGTTACGATATCGCTCCTCAGTTCCTCCTCTTGTGCGCCGAGCCATGCCATGGAAAGACACGCAATCAAGTACAAAGATCCGAGTGGTGCATAGCGCGATGCATCTCGAGCCTGCAACAAGATCTCTCGGGCAATTTCGTCTGCGCTCTTACACAAATCCGAGTCCGACTTTTGATCTAGAGCGAAACGGATCCGATTGAGTAAGATGACAGCGCTTAGGTTGAGGCAGTGTATTCGTTGGAAGTGAGCATGGGTCGTCGGCCCTTGACCAGAACATGACGTCTGTGGGGCTGAACATTCCTCGGCCAGCCTCAATTCGTCGCGGGATCTTGTAGCAATTTGTCGTACAATCTCGTAATCGGCATGTACCTCAGATAAGGTCCCGGGGCACAACTTTCCGTGTCTGTGATCGAGATAGCTTGGAACAGCAGCCAGACAGTGCATAATCCTGCATGTGTCATTCTCGAGGTTGAAGTATTGCTCACCCAATCGTCTCAGACCAGCATTGCTGAACTGAATTTTGGGGTTGAAGATGCCTTCGACTAACTGTGTGAACTTGTTAGTACATTGTTCCAGAAGGAGAAACCTGTGTCCCTTACCACAGAAGCGTATAGAGATGCAAGGAGCTTGCGCTCAAACGGATCTCCTGATCTGCAATCTCCTCTGATCATCAATAGAGTTGCCGCACCTTCGCCATGGCCAGTCCGGCGATCTTCGGTAGTCCCGAGGAGCGCCTGTTTGTAGTGTTCAGCTATCCTGTATTTTCACGGGATCAGGACTACCTACCTGGCAGCTCATGAGCAGCATTACGGCGCAAAGCGTCTCTGGAGATTGCGCTTCCGCTCTGTCGTCAAGACATATGCGTAAGCTACTTAGTGCTTGAGAGTACCTGATCAAGGCGTATGTCGATGCTGGGCGTCGAACACAATAGTCTGAATGAGCTGTAACAAGCGCTCTGGTGGCTGCGTCCAATGCTTGGTTTCTACCGAGTCTTCGAGGCACGTCATCCAGGAAAGGCCCGAAGGACCAAGCAAGATTGAAACGTACGCCTGTTGAGGCAGAGATCTTTCCTATCAGAGAGGAAGCAAGTGTAGTTGTATCACTGCTCGGTGTCCGCACTACTCGATGTGGACACTGGCCAATATCACTCTTTTGGTCATTCTTTTCGTGGCCTGTGGTAACGAATTTGAATCGGCGTTTACCAGCTCCGATACACTGCAGATCCAGTCGGTTACACCTTGAACATCTCGGTATTGTTTGATCACACTTGCTGTAGTCAGAAGGCAGATACTCAACATTGACAGCTCTGAGGCTCACCTTCTTCTTTTGCTTACGACAAGCTTCGCAGCCTTTGCCAGACGGCACTCCCGGCATATCGATCCTGTTACATGAATACTCGGAACAAATTCACAAGGTTACGGAGCCATGAGAGAATATTGGATCACCCTGTGATGCCTGATCATCGAGGTGAGATTGGACAAGGGATAGGCGGTCGCGTTACAGTAGCAGCGCTGCATATAACCATATCCGGTATAGCGTCTTTGACTAGCGCGATATCCTCGCCGACGTCAAGCCTCCTCAGACGTAGAGCTGTAGACGAGGCACAAGTGCATCAATTTTCAACAAACGTGTGATCAGACGATCCTATCTTTAGCCGTCTGTGATGCAATGAGTGAACATGATAGTGGCGGAACGGGTGTTCCACCATTCGCCGAATCAAGTCATATCGAGCGCTCCGTCAAATGGAATGGTTGTGTATAAAGTCGTGTACAATGGCATGCAAATAGAGTCTCCAGAATCCATCAGTATTGCTCTTTCCTACTTACTTACCGACTGACTGACACAAGCACTGATCAACAAGTATGTCTGGAAATTCTTCTGATAACGTTTACCTTTACAGTGCTAGCCATGTCGCACCGATCATCTTTTCCATCCTTGTCGTCATATCGCTCTTCCTCCATATCTACCAGTACCTGTGAGTCCAGTCTTTATGGTCTATCGACGTACCAAAAAGCTTACGCCAGTCTAGGAAGTACCGTCTGCTAGGGATGAGCTTCTTCATGCTTTGGGGTGGCGCCGTCTTCAGTTGCGGCTGGATCCTGCGTTCAATCTCGACATACCACCCTGCAAACCTCAACCTCTTCATTGCACAGTATATCTTCATCTATGCAGGACCCCCGATTTATGCGACCGCGGAGTATAGCGTTCTAGGCCGTCTGCTCAGCTATGTGCCCATGCATACACCTTTGCACCCGGAACGTGTGACCTACGTCTTCATCTATCTGGGTGCTGCAGTCGAGGGTCTTACTGCTGCTGGAGCAAGCCTCGTAGCGACAACAAACGCCGATCAGCTCAGTATCCGTCAGACAGGCTATACTCTGATCAGTGTATCTGTGGTCTTGCAGGGCGTCGTGGAATGCGTCTTCATCGGCATAGTCGCTTTGATACATGTGCGATGTAGAAGAAGCCACATGATGACTAGAATTATCCGCCGATCGTGTATGACACTTTACGGCACCTCAACACTGGTCTTAGTACGCTGCATCTTCCGAGCTATCGAATCGTTCACCACTTTCTCAACTGGAGGTCAATGCGATGGTCTTTGTCGTCAGATGCTGTTTCATGAGTGGTATCTTTACGTTTTTGAAGCACTGCCCATGGTTCTCTATACTTTTTGGCTCAATTGGAGGCACCCCGGCTCGCTGTTGCCCAGAGAAAAGAATGTATATCTTGACCAAGAAGGCTTGGTAGAGCGTTTGGGTCCTGGTTGGGTTGACAAGCGATCTAAGCTGCATACCTACATGGATCCCTTTGACCTGAGAGGTTTCATGGGCGGCTGTCCTAATCACGAGGAACACTGGACACAAGGAGAAAGATGGCCGGAGTATCACAGGGAAAAGGGAAGCGCTCTGTAAATTGCTACAATGGGCTCCTTACTGGCAGTCAATCTGACCAAGAAATCTTGTGGAAACGACTCCAAACTCAGTCCCATCGAGAATCCAATGACGCATAACGATCACGCCCTTTCGATACCACCTAACGGTAGTGCAAGAGTATGTTGATCGCTCTTCCTTCCTTTCTCTCTCTCTCTCTTTCTTTCTTTCTTTCTTCCTCTCGTCTGCTCTTTCTATCTTTCCTTCTTTCTTTCTTTTTTTCTTTTTTTCTTTTTTTCTCTTGGTCGGTCACAATTCGCCGGTAGCGTGTGCTCCAGCGGTCATAGATGTGACCACCTGTAACCTTTTCGCTCAGGTTCGTCGAAGACGAGGATCACGCCACGTTGTGGACACTCGGAATGGTTGCAAGCTAGCTTAAGTTAGCACACCATCAATTTTGTCTCCCCACAACTCTCTACGTCAGCTGTAAAAACACCCCTTTGTTCTCAAAAATTCTCGGAACCTTGACACACCACCTATAATCTCTAATGTAAGATGCTTGTAAGATTTGCTCAATCTTTGCAGCACGGTATGCTGCCTCTAGGGTCTTGTCTTAATCTCTCGTCGTGGGACTACTCTCGCTCCACGCCTTGTCCTATCGTCGTCATTCCTCCAACCTTTGTCTTTACACACGCCTTACGCCGCTGCAGCATACACCCACGCTCTGCGTTGTGAAGTGCAGCTCCATCTAACCCGGCCCGTTATACCCAGCCAACCATCTCCTATGGCGCTTAGAGCTTGGCATAAATAGAGTAGCCTGGCAACCAATATAGATGATTTCAGCATGTATGCAGGCCGAGACGAGGCCTGCGGATGGAGGTAAATATGCATATTCATCATGCCATACGCGAGAGTTGATCATTCTGTAATATCGAAGAAATATCGAAGATGAAAAATTGATAGAAAGCGCAGCAAGATTTCTTAGCTTAACTTGTGCGTGTAAATCACGAGACAGACTAGAGGCTGGCGTTTCGCTCCTTCATCGCCGTCCGAATGATGATGAGGGGCTAGGATATACTCGCCTAGTTATTGGCAGAGCAGTCGCTGCCCAAGTCACAACTGCATATGCAAGCATCATTGTCTGTAAACGGGTAACTTGTCGTGGTGCAAGTGCTTCGAGCTGTGGCACGAGGTCTTGGCATGTCGACCAACAGGGTTTCCCCCATTTAGGCGCCATACCATCATGGAAGATCGCCCATGCACGTTTTTGTAGCCGTTCTTTAGACACCATGGAGCTCGTCGCTAATTGAAGGAATCTTGCTGTCAATTGATTCCAACAGGCGAGCTGGACAGCTGCGTGTAGACGTCTTACATCCTCTGCCGATCATGAAGCCTTAAGTACGGCCATGACCCCTTGTGTCTACCGTTGTGATTACCTCACACTTTGCACAACATCTTCAGTTTCGACTTACGAATTAGCGCTTGTCGTCATGATGGGTGGTCACGTTATGAACTGGCTTCGGAATCAGTTAGAAGCTCGATGTTTACAGTCGAACCTCGCAGCCACTCGATGCGCTTGGGCTTTCCCATGGATGTCAGAATCCTGTACGTAACCCATGAGTATTACCTCTAGTATTTTCGGCGACTTCATACGGACGACTTACTTATCACATGCTAGTTCCCCAGATACTCGTCACTATCTGGTGGACCACTTTCGTTCTCGCTCTGGCTGTACTTTTGAGTCTAGGGTTTGGGACAAGAGGTGTTAGACCAGGTTAGGCAAGCATCTATGTAACATGAGAGATGAGCTAGGACTTACAGTTATAGGTTCCTTTGCTGCAAGCTACCAAGGGTGGATGTACGGAGCTTTCACCCCTGCTAATGGACCTTTTGCTCGCTTGACAAGCTTAGGCATGCTCGGATTCTTTGCAATGGCTGCTACCATCATGTCGGGCATCTGCGCATCTTCCATCACAATTTTGATATGGCTGTTCCAGGGACTCGTACAAGACATCTTCGGTGTGATTTGGACGGTCTGACACAACTGCGCCTCTGGAGCATTTCAGCTCTGAGACTATGGTGAAAGCTCGTCACAGAAAACTGGAAAAGTCGAAGACTAGTGCACTGCACAATAACGCAGCTGAAAAAATGCATAACAATTCTCGGAAACCGCGACTCTATCCCGGAGAGCACGTCGCTGGTCTCTCTCCTTCCCATCACCGCAAGAATTGTCAAATGATCTTGTATTGTCCCAGCTATCAAACTGCATGTCATCCGACACCTGTGTAGGCCAAAAGAGCCCAGAAAGAGACGATGCCCTGAAGGATGATCTGAACACAGCCCACAAAGTTATTGGAGCGACAATGACAGAGCTCGTGTTTGACCTTTTCTAATAAGCCAGATCAGATAATTGCCTGTATTCCCACGACACAAGCAAACAAGAATTCCCCTCAAGGATCAGATCAGTCTGACACTGCCACGTCCTGATTGCTACCTGTCGAGAGGATATTCACTACAGCGCTTGCTATATTCCACTGCTAGAGATCAAACAGCCCTGTTCTTGGCAATCAGTATCACCTGGTGAGACCGGTTTAGAGTACGACGAGACTCAGTCGATGTATCTGTCCCGAGATCGAGGGTTGGTAGAAGTGGTGCCTTGTAGGTATGTTCTGTCGACTTCGCAAGAACTGTCATTAGCACAGGCTAGGCATCAAATCAGTATCTCAAGGCTATAATAATCAAGTTCGATTCACTCACCCCTCCATTCTTCAGCTGTGGCATGCTCATGATAATTACAAGCATGGCCTCTTGTGACTGGATGACCGCCGGGACAGCCGCAGCGGGTATCGAAGTATGTATCGCAGCAAGGAGATCCGCGAAGTGGCATCATTGTATCGTGACAATACCGAGGGTAGCCTTTGGCACGCGCTCCCATTACCTCAACGAAAAAGTCGGGGTACTTCTCCATAGTCTCTACCTTCTTCGCATCTGGACTGTCATATATCTCAGCCTTGAGCCAGTGATGAGCCTACCAATCAGCTAGCCAACGAATCAAACCAGAGCTCTTGGGAAGGACATCAAAGACCTTCATGATGAGTTCAAGTTCTGGACCGTCTTGACGGATCCCATGCCTTGAGCCTCTCTCGACATTACGATGGTGGAGATGAGACATAACAGACCTCTTTAGAGCCAACATGGGTGTGACATCTGCAAAGAGGTACAGATCAAAGAGATCCGAGTATCCAGCGTCGCGAGGTATACGTCCAGAGTACAGGCAAGACACTAGCATCTTTGCCTGAGCCTTGCTCAGATCGAAGGTGATCTGCTTCTGACCGCTCTCCAAGGACCTACCATTGAGATAGGCATTGTAATAGGGCGAGAAGTAGCAGAGCAAATCTCTGTGGATGAGTATGTTGAAGTCATCTTGGGCTTTGCAATGTAGTAGCTCGGCGTTCATGGTGAATATGTCTCTGATCGCTTCACAGGTCCAGATATGGCTTTGGGGATCTGATCTGGTTCCCATGTTGTGATTCGGGCTTGGGGTTGGGCTTAGCTGAGTTTGAGAAGATTGATTGGGTACGAGTAAGATATGCCCATAGTATATAAGTCAGCTCGGGATTAGAAGCTCAGTCAAGATCTCTTTCTGATTGAACTGGCACGCGTTTCGATGCTTCTGAAACCTATCACACATGTCTTGGATTGGTTTCTTTGTTCAGCAACTTTTGGCAGTGCCAGTCTTCATTAGACTATCATGTTTGTGTCTCACTGGCCGTACCAGCTTATTCATAACAAACAGCAACTGATCCTTAGGCTTACCATTCGTTCATGAGTCTGCCAATTAAGCGAGGGCAGCCAAGCCTCCTTGTGGACTCATTCTCATTCCTTGTAATACCCAGAATCTGGCTCTCCAGTGTCGCTCGGAGTGCTGTCATGTACATCTTCGCAAGCTGTCCGAGGCCGATATATCGATTGCTGCAGGATGCTGTGATCTGGATACTCTGGCTTCATTCATCTGCGTTCTCGTGCTCGTGGTAGTTGCATGATGTACATTTACAACAAGGACACGGCAGAACCTTGGTCCTGGGCGCCTCAAACCGATTGCGTGAGGTTGTGAGAGATCTGATGACGTTCTAGTAGAACTCTTTAGGGATGCGCTTGAAGTCTTCCTGTTCTTCGAATCTGACATCGCCCACTGCAACGATCGTGTGATGAGCGCAATAATCTGCGAAGTAGCGCGAGAGTCCACACCCATTCGGTAGACGAAACAACTACGGAAGCATGTCGTGGAGGCCAGATAAATGTAGTCATCTTCCTCGTTGAGTGCACTGCAGCAGTGTACGATTTTCGGCATAACCGATCTTCGTAGAGCGAGCATGTCCTTCTCGTCGGCAAATACGTAGAGATCGAAGAGATATGTGGAGATATCGCTGATTATTTGACCAGAGTATAGCCAGAAAACGAGATCCTTTGCTGTATCGTGATCGAGATTGACGGTGATTGTGTCCTTTTGTGCTTCAGAGAACTCTCCTTCCAGAGCTGCAGTGTAGTAGGGCGAGAAGTAGCATGATAGCTCTCGATGGATCATTGCCCTGAAGGGCTTCTTCTCTGAGTTCAATCGCTGACTCGTGATCTGGGTGATCTGGATCATGTCGGGGGAGCTGGCTATAATCCCACTGTGGAAGTCAGTCTGTGCGGGACGAGAAAGAGGGTCGCACAAGGGAGCTTTACGTGACATGCTTTGCGCACCAGGTGTTGCGTTCCCATTTTTCATTTTTGGGTTCCATTGTGATGGTGTGTTGTAGTGTGAAAGATTTCAATCAAAGCTTGAGCTGGAGGTTAAAGAACAGCTTTGGAAGGAGCGAGTGTCAAACCTGCTTGCACTGCCTAGCGCGTCGTGACTTCCGTAAAGCTGGGTTTATTGATCATGAAACGAGTCGAATGAGTCGAACAGGTGCGTGCCGAAACCATGTGTGCGTTGTGATGGAGGCCTTCAGTGAGATGAAGTGAGTGAGTACTGAGCCGGTCAATTATAGGCCGGAGAAGAGATGCCTCATGTTCTAAACTTTTTCTTCTGATACAGTGTGATAAGAAAGCATACTACCAGTCAGAGGTCGCGCTATGAGACCTGTTCCTCCCACTCTGTGGAATTACACGACCAGCTTGAGGTTAAACAAAACTAAATAAGAGACAAAAGGTATCTTTGAGAACTTGCGCACCGAATCTTTGTTGGACTTTTGTGTAGAGCAACGAAGCTTAACGACGTCCAGAGCGGGCGACACTGCCCTGCATGCCCTCAATCTCGGTCTCCAGTTGCTTAATGGTGGCGTGGCTGGTTTCGAGATCCTTGTTGAGGCGGTCGCGCTCGGCGATGAGCTTCTGCTCCCAAGCACGGAAACGCTGTTCCTCGACCTTGACTTGCTCTGTAAAACGCTTACGAAGAGCCTCTTCTTCCTCCTTAAACTTGGGGTTATCAAGCTTGCGTGGCCTGGCTTCGCCAAACTTGCGAGTCTCCATTTGCTGTGCACGGTATGCCTCGTAGTGGTTCTCCTCGGTGGTGTGAATCAAGTCGAGCATGTGGGCGCGGATCAATACAGCGCGCAACTTCTTGAAATCGCAGTGCTCCTCGTTCTCGACCTCGGCAACACCCCATGCGTATTGTCTGCCCTTGACGCTGCGGCCATCGGGTGTGGTTACATCCTTCTCGGAACCAATGACGGCGAAGGGCATGGAAGTGATGAGTGACTGGGCATGTCTGAGGGCGGACTCGTCGTCTTCTTCGAGGGGAGGGGAGTAGATCTTGATGCCCTGAGCTTGGATGATGTTGCGGATCTGTGGGGGTCAGAATGTGGGGAAATACAGGGCCTGTTTTAGAACATACTCTTGACTTGAACTTCAGGAGGTCATTGGGGCTGAGAGTATCTGCCTTTGCGATAACGGGGATCAGGTTGACGCGGCTGGACAGACGCTTCATGACTTCTATGTCGAGAGGCTTCAGGCCGTGACCAGTGGGACGGATGAAGTAGAGGCAGGCGTGGACGCGCAGGTCAATGCGCTCACCGCGGCGAGGCTGTTGTTCCTGGAGCATGTATGACTCGTGCTGGTCGTCAAGGAACTCGATGATGGGTTGCCACGAGTCTCTGTTGTTGACATAGTCGCCAAAGCCGGGAGTGTCGATGACGGTGAGGCGAACTGGAGAGCTTTGTCAGAACATGATTGACACAGAGCGCAGAACAGGTGCAAAGTACGGACCCTTGAAGAACTTCTCCTCGAGCTCGGCCTTTGTGATTTCAATCTCGACAGTCTTGTCAATCTGCTTTTGGTGACGGCGACGGTGGTCTGCGTAGTTCTTGATGGTGGTGGAGAAGAGAGTGTTGATGAAGGTGGTCTTGCCGAGACCGGACTCGCCAGCAACCTGAACATGTGTGAGTATTCCCGAGATGCGCCTGGATGTATATCGATGAGCTGACCATGATTGTGAAGGCGGCGCCGCGCTTGGCGACAATCTTGTGGCTAGGCTGGCATTAGTTGATGGTCGATCGAGTATGGCAGACGAGTCCGTACCGTTGGTTGGGGAGCTGCATCAGAGTCAGTAAGAAAACACGTCAGGCAGGTAGCGCATCACATACGTTGGCAATGCCAATGGGCGAAGCAGAGTCGGCCATGGTGGTCGGTATTTTGTATGGGATGCTATGAGAGGATGGAAACGAGTGGCAGGCGAGGAGTCGGCGACGCAAAATCAAGCGTAGCCTTCGGAAACGACGGTGAATGAAGAAGGTGCAATAGCAGGTCCAAAGCAGGCAGGAGCAAGAGAGCCTCGTGTACGGTGTGTCTGCTTAGGTCTCCTTTCCCTGTCGTGAGGAAGCCACCGTCCCGGGCCCGTGCACTCCCGCCGAACCCTTTTGCGGGGAAGCAGAAGATGGCGCCGACTCGCCGACTTTTACAAGCCAAAGCCAGAAAAAATGTTGGAAGTTGCGACCGAGACATTGACAAGATGAAGATTGATTTCAAGGTGCGTTGTTTCGGTGCTCCGACCATCTGTACGCTCAGACGGCCTCTCATACTAATGTCCCATCCAGTTTTCCAACCTCCTCGGTACCGTGTACAGGCGAGGCAACCTCTGCTTCAGCCCGGATGGCACATGTCTGCTGTCGCCCGTCGGCAATCGCGTTACTGTCTTTGACCTAGTCAAGTGCGCATTCTCCCTCTGAACGGTCGCGTATATAACATACTGACCCTTGCATCAGCAACAAATCGCATACCCTCCCCTTCGCTCATCGCCGCAACATCTCCCGCCTCGCTTTGAATCCCAAGGGTAACCTTCTCCTCACAGTCGACGAAGACGGCCAGGCTATTCTCACCCACCTTCACCGTCGCGTATCTCTATACCACTTCTCCTTCAAAGGACCCGTCTCGTCACTTGTATTCTCACCTTCTGGTCAACATTTCGCTGTCGCTCTTGGTCGCAAGATTGAAACTTGGAGGACGCCCTCCACTCCCTCGGATACCCAGGATGGCTCCCTCGAGTTTGCTCCTTTCGTAAAGCACAGGGAATACGCCGGTCACTACGACACGATACAAAGCATTGAGTGGTCCAGCGATTCACGTTTCTTCCTTACTGCTTCCAAGGACTTGACCGCTCGTATCTGGAGTCTGGACCCCGAAGCTGGCTTCGAGCCCACCACTCTGGGCGGTCACAGACAAGGTGTTCATGGCGCATGGTTCTCGGCTGATCAAGAGACGATCTGGACCGTGTCGAAAGATGGTGCTCTTTTCCAGTGGCAATACCTGCCGCCTCGCAATGCGCCCGAGGATGAGATGGACATTGAGGAGAACTTCCGCTGGAGAATCGCCGAGAGACACTACTTCATGCAGAACGGTGCCACCCTGACATGCGCCTCTTTCCACCCGGAATCAAATCTATTGGTTGCTGGTTTCTCAAACGGTACCTTTGGTCTTTACGAGCTTCCCGACTTCAACCAGATTCACAACCTTAGTATCTCACAAAATGATGTCGACTTTGTTACCATCAACAAGACTGGCGAGTGGCTTGCCTTTGGTGCTTCTCAACTTGGTCAGCTTCTGGTTTGGGAGTGGCAGTCCGAATCATATATTTTGAAGCAGCAGGGACATTTCGATTCGCTGAACAACCTCACATATTCGCCATCTGGAGATCGCATCATTACATGTGCCGACGACGGAAAGATCAAGGTCTGGGACGTCGCGTCTGGATTCTGTATCGTAACCTTCACAGAACACACTTCAGGAGTCACAGCGTGTGAATTCGCAAAACGAGGAAATGTCCTGTTCACGGCATCTCTGGATGGCTCGATTCGTGCATGGGATCTGATACGATACCGAAATTTCCGAACTTTCACCGCTCCTGAACGTCTCTCTTTTTCGTCCATTGCTGTCGATCCGTCAGGCGAAGTCGTGGCTGCTGGTTCTTTGGACAGCTTCGATATTCACATCTGGTCCGTTCAGACTGGTCAACTGCTGGATAAACTTTCTGGCCATGAGGGTCCTGTCTCAACTTTGGCATTTGCTCCTAATGGCGGTGCTCTGGTGTCAGGCTCGTGGGATCACACTGTTCGCATCTGGTCAATCTTCGCACGCACTCAGACCAGTGAGCCTCTCCAACTACAAGCAGACGTTCTGTGCGTCACCGTACGACCAGACTCAAAACAGATCGCCGTCAGCACATTGGACGGCCAATTGACTTTCTGGTCGTTGTCAGAGGGAACGCAAGAAGCTGGCTTTGATGGCCGTCGTGATGTCTCTGGTGGACGTAAGCTTACTGACCGCCAGACTGCCGCCAATGCAGCAGGCACAAAGTCATTCAACAGCATCAGCTACTCTGCAGATGGCAGCGTTGTCGTCGCATCAGGTAACAGCAAATACATCTGTCTCTACGACGTCATGTCAGGAGTGTTGCTACACAAGTACACTGTCAGTGTCAACTTGTCACTCGAGGGAACACAAGAGTTCCTTAACTCCAAGAACCTCGGTGAAGGCGGCCCAGCAGGCATGATCGATACAACAGGCGATAACTCTGATCTCGAGGACCGCATGGACAACTCCCTCCCTGGCGCCAAGCGCGGTGATGCAGCCTCTCGCCGCATCGGCCCCGAGGTCCGCGTACCCGGCGTAAACTTCGCACCCACCGGCCGCTCGTTCTGCGCTGCATCTACCGAAGGCCTCCTCGTCTACTCCCTCGACACATCCATCGCATTCGATCCCTTCGACCTCGACATCGACATCACCCCTCAATCCACCATTAAGACCCTCCAGAAGAAGCAGTACCTCAAGGCCTTGGTCATGGCTTTCCGCCTCAACAACCCTAAACTCGTCGCCCGCATACAACGCTCTGTCCCTGCTGCTGATATCCCCCTCATCGTCGCCGATCTCCCTGTCGTCTACCTCTCCCGCCTTCTCCGCCATATCGCCGTTCAGTCCGATGCTTCCCCTCTGTTAGAACTCAACCTTCTCTGGCTTCAAGCACTACTCAAGTCTCACGGTTCAACACTCAAGAAGAACCAAGGCGAGTATGCTGAAGTCACCCGTTTGGTCCAACGTGCTGTTGCTCGTATCCAAAAGGAAATCTTTAGTGTTGCTGAGAACAACGAGTTTATGGTTGAGTATTTACTTGCTCAGCCAGAACGCAAGCAACAAGATGGACTTAAGATGCTACAAAGCGTAGAGTCTGGCGCTGTCCAGGAAGTCGAGATGGTTGACGATGATGACGAGGACGATGGAGAAGGTTGGATCGGTCTCGAAGAGTAAGATGTGTTTCTCCTTTCTTTTTGAATGTGGCATAGTGGCATACATGGTGTTTTTCTTAAAAATCTGGATTGGCATTGTTGTCGGTGGAGTTGTTCTGGTGCAGATATCCTGGCGTTCAAATAGTGTAAAAGATAAGATCATGTGCTCACTATACATCGAATATCGATTCTATTCTTCGACGGTTTCCAGCATGTTTGAGTGATGAAGTCACATTCTAACACGATGCGCCGCACATGCGACTGAAGGGCTGAAGACAAACAATGTCGTTCGCTCTTGCTCCAGCGTCGGATCAATTGACCTTCGAGGAAGCCACGGCCCGAGTAGTTTGGCTATCACTCAAGTGAAAGATCACGTCTTCGCTCCTTCCGGTATCACTTCTGTCAATGTCAAAATAAAAAAAAGCCATCATCTCAAATTTGATGGAGAGAAGCCACTCAAGAAACAGCGAGACGTCAAGAACGTTAGATGACAGGATCAAAAAAGAGCTTTGATGATATATATATCAAAATAGGAAAACAGTCAACAACGAACAGCAAAGCCATGCAAAACCCCCTCATACAAAAAACAACACCCATCACCAACCTCCAAAAGAAAAAACGCCATGTAAACCCCAGGAGTTGCAGAGCTGCTGCAAATAAAAAGCTCCTGGCTCCCTCTCTCTCTCGGTAAACGTACGACTGATGAAAAATGACAAGGATGAAAAGAAAAGAAAAGAAAAAATGTAAGAATGATGCTGTCGTTACCTCCTCCTGCTCTTCCTCCAGGTCCTCAATGTCGCGCTTGTGTTGTGATAGCTCAAACATATGCGATGAGGATACTCGTATTTCTTAATGTAGTTTAAGCGTCGTTCATAGAGACATCGCCCTTGAGTCTCTTGAGTTCTGCCATGGCTGCAGTGACTTCGCCCAGAATCTCATGCATGGGCTTCGAGGTCATCAGCATACCAGGTCTGAAAGGCTGGACCATGTGTCTAAGCGCCAATGTAGTGACGCAAGTCTGTCGAATATTAGTGTCTTGTTTTCTTGGAGGCTCCACTCAGGGGTCGTCAAAATGCTTACCTCGATTCTGCTAATTTGGTGCTCGACAAAGTTAATGACGAATCGATCTGTTATCTCGCCGCCACGTTGCTTCATGCGTTCGAGCAGAGCAGTCTCTGGCGCTTTCAGGGCAGTCAACCCTGTGGTCTCTAGACTGCTGCACAACATCTCGAGACGCAGAGACACATTCCACAGGTCCCAAACGTGATCAGTGTCGATGCTAAGCTGGCTATCTGCGCTCTTCTTCGCGACATCTCCAGTTGGCGACTCAATACCGACATTGGGCCCGTTGGGTCCAGCAGCAGCGGCGGCTTTCACTTGCTCTGCCTGCGCTTGTTGCTGCTGTTGAACCACCAAACGCGCTGATAGCGAATGAGGGTACATGAGGTAGATGTATTCAGGATTTTCCAAGCCCTTGAGGTTACGCTGGCCAAGATCCTTGACCTCGAATCCTTGACTGCTGAGGGATCGCAATTCACGACGAATGGCATTTCCAATCATCTCATCGCCCATCGTATCGTCCGATCCAGTAGAGCCGCTTCGATCTGTTTCGATGTGTGTTTCGAGCAGGCGTTGGATCTCTGCAATGAAGTCCGAGGACACCGTGATCTGACCGCCATCGGCGACGGACTGAATACGTGCAGATCTGTTGACCATAGGTCCGAAGTAATCCATGCGGCCAGTGACAGGGTCTTGTTCACAGACAGGACGACCGAAGTGAATGCCCATACGGACTGACAGACCACGGAAGATACGGTTGCCATCAGTATCAAGAACCTCTTGCCCGTGGATGCTGTTGAGGATTTCCTGTGGCCATGGGACCTCTAAAAGTTGACTTTGAATGGTGAATGTCCATAGCAGTGCACTAGTAACAGTCTGGAAGGCTACCATGAAGGCATCACCTTCAGTCTTGACTTCATATCCACCGATGATACGCAGATGTCTTCTCATCAGCTCGTTGTGCAATTTTATCGCACTTCGCATAGCGATGGGGTATGATTCCCAGAGCATCGTGCTGTTCTTGATATCAGTGAATACCAGCGTGACTTCGCCTTGGGGAGGGTCGATCTCTTGATCGAGACGGGCCAACTTTGAATCCCCCACATTGTCGCGGCCACGCTTGGGACGTCTCGAGGTAGTGAGGAGCTCGTCGGGCGCGCCGCTCGGTCCCATACTCATGCTGTGAGTTCTGAAGCGAGCACGTTCCCTCTTGCGCAAGTCGCTCACGCCAAGCATCATGACCATGATTTTACCAGTGGCGCCGAATGCGATGGCCAAGTCACGCAGCTTTTGTGCAGCTCGCATCAAATCACCGCGCTCAGAGCGAGCGACATCGACCGCAAAGTCCATGGTCAAGTAGTCCCAAAGCTCACGAGAAGCAATGACGATAATCTCATCTGACTCCTTGAGTGATATGCGGGCTGTATGTGGGCAAGCAATGACACCAGGCAGATGCTGTACAAAACCAAATGCTCTCGAGACTTCAAGAGCATCGTTAAGCTTTCCTTGTCTGGAGACATAACCTCCAGCTTCTCTGATTCGGATACGCTCGTCTGCTTCAGCAGGTGCATGTTTGCGCGTGATAATCCGGTGACCGCCTTCTGAATCAATCAACAATGCCTGAGCATCGCCGACATTGGACACGTATAATTCCATGCCTTGTAGATACATGATAGTAGCCACAGCTCCTGAGACCATATCGTCTTCGTCTAGCTCCAAGCCAGTCACGCTTCCTCTGTGGAGCAGAGCAGCACTTGGGTGAGCGCGAGCCTCGAGCGCTTGGGTGGCTGCTGTGGCGAGGTCTTTGTTGAGAGAAAGATACGCTCGCCTTAGCGCGTCCAGAGGTGAGTCGTCGCCATCTTGGATTTTCGCAAGCTCATCTGCAAAGTGATGTCTAAACTTCTCGTACAGGAACTTTGCAACCTTGCTGCCACCGGTGTTCAGGTTGTGTCCGTCAAACATACCAAACAACAGTCGATCTTCATTGCCACCAAAACTGGGAATGACCATATCCAAAGTTGACAAATGCTCATGGCGTCCAAGAGTATCAGCCATACCGTAAGGAATGTGTGTGCCGATGATGGATCCGGCGGTACGCACACGTCTGTCAGGACCTTGGTCCGGGACAGAGGGAATAGTCAATGTCACATCCATGAGGCCGAGAATCCGCAAATGCTGTAGGGTAGAGAAGTCCGTCAAGTCTCGTGTCTCGCGTCCCGGTACAACATTAACGTTGGGCTTGATTTCGAGACGCTTATTGCCAGACATGTTGAGATATCTCAATTGGTGATTCCAGTTCCAATTCCAGTCATACGGCCAGTTCGAGACGTTGTACTTGAGTGCGTTACTGCCAACATCTAGAGTCTGAAGCTTCTGAATTTTGCCAAGTTCCGCGGGCAAGACATTGAATCTGTTACTGTTCAGATGTAGCACTCTCAAACCTGACCCTTCCTCGAAGTCCTCGGCTGGTAGCGCAGACAAGTCGTTGCCGGATAGATATAGTTCCTGCAGATTGGGCCACCTTCGGATGGTTCGCGGCGGGATGTCATACAGTTCGTTGTATGACAAGTTCAGGATGCGGAGCTCGGGCAGGAGAACGAGCTCATCGAATACGTCGTCGGAAAGACGATTATCTGCCAGAATCAAATGACGCAGGGTGTGAGCGAAGGTAGAAGCAAGTCTGTTTGACATGGTAGAGTCCTTGCGAGGCCCGGGCGTAGCAGCAGCACTGCTGAGTCCAGACTCGGTTGATCCTCTGGGAGCTAAAGAGGGGTGCCTTGTTTGAGCGCCGTAGCTTGACGCGATGGATGCCTTACGACCAGCTGGTGAGCCGCCCGGGATCAAGCTGTGGCCGACTTGACTAGGTCTTCTGAGCTGGAAGGCCTCGAGTTTACCGAGCTCATCGAAATCAGGAGTGCTTGGGCCACCAGTCGTAGTGACGGGTGTAGAAACTTCTGATAGCAGTGTTGGCGGAGGCGCACCAGGTTTTGGGAACTCGTTCAGGACATTGGAAGCAATGTTCAGCGACTCTAGCTTACGAGCGTACCAAATCTCCTGTGGCAGTCTGCTGAGGTTGTTCTCTCGAATGTCGAGATATTTCAGATCTTGCAACCTGCCAATGTCCGAAGGCAGATTGTTCAACATGTTCTTGGCTACACTCAAGTGTTCCAACTTGGTCAGCTTGCCGATCAGGGGCGAGAGTGCAGTGAAATGATTCTTGTCAAGGACCAACTTCGAGATGTTCGAGATCTTCGCAAACAGATCATCGGGTAGTTGCGTCAGCTTGGCGGAAGCAAGATTTAACACCGAAAGCGTTGGCACAGGACCTGTGAGACCGAAGCGTGTGACAGGGTTGTGATCGAGGGAAAGAACCTTGATGCGATGGAAAGAAGCCTCGTATGCGGCAATGCTATTGTGACCGACTAAGAGGTGCTCCAGCTGGGGCAGATGAGCCATGACATCGATGTTGTCCAGAGCATTGAAGCGAATGTCAATCTGCGTCAGTTTGACAAGCTGTTTGAAAGTCTCAGGGAATGCACCAGAGAGCTTATTGTTTGTGGCGAACAATCGCTCCAGATTGACGAGCTTGCCAACCTTTGGTAGCGCTGAGATACCGTTGAAACTTATGTCCAAGTCGACAACAGTTCTGAGCTCGCAAAGGAAGTCGGGGAAGGTGTCAAGATTGTTAGAGGCCAAGTTCAAGCTGCGGAGAGCCTGGTAGCAGCCAAAGTAGGCGGGCAGACTTGTCAGCTTATTGTTGGACAGCTTGAGACTGACAAGATTGTGCAGTTTGTGTAAGTCTGCGTGTTGCATCTGCTCGAGCCTGTTGTTCGAGACGTCGAGCATTGTCAGTCTTGAAGCCAGGCAGATACTTGCAGGCAGTTTCCAGGCTTCGTTACTTGTATATTTGATCTCGCGAAGATTGCTGCAGCTTTGAATAAAGTCCTTGGGAATGTCGAGAGACAAGTTCTTGGACAAGTTCAATGTGATGATCTCGGTAGCTTTCTGGTACAGAGCGATGGGAATCGTGACCAGGTCGCGACCTGCGAGGTCGATGTGGTTGAATTTTTGCATCTTGGTGAATCCAGGATCACGATCCAAGCTCGAGTAGCCGCTTAACTTTCCAGGCAAGAAAGTGAATCGCACGAGGTAGCCGTGGTCCTCGCGACCCAGATCTTCTGGCCTATCTTTCTCGTTGTAGCCGGCCATCTCCAGCATATGCTTCTGTATCGCTAAAGGACGTTCACCGCCAGCGAGAATGCGGCTCGAGCCAGTCTTCCGCATGACGATCTGATAGGTGTCAAGCTCGTCTTGCAAGAAAGTCTTTTTGGCCATCATCTGAATAAGTTCGCCGGCGGTGGTGTTCAATCCAGCGGATATGACGGCGAATGTGCTGTCGGCTCGGAAGATGCGCATGAAGTACATCGGACCTGGATCCTCGTCTCGAGGCACTTGACCTTCTTCGTCAACTTCCCTCAGAGCGGCGACATTCTGATCAGGAACTCTTTTGACAGCCCAACTGTCAGGCACCTCCCAAGTACCAGTTTCTTCTTCTGCAGGTTTGTGAGGCTCCATGCCGGGGAAGCCAGTGAAGATCTCGCTAGTAACGGGCGGTGTCATGGGTTGGCTTCGATTGACAATTCCTTCCATCTGGCTCATATCGGTATCCAGATGCCACAAAGCGGATGCGTTGCGGACGGCCTCGGGTCTTGGAGCGTTTGGATCCTTCGGGTTGAACTCTGCGCTTGGCTCGGCACGCCTAGGTCCTTTGAAGGGTATCCTTGTGTGTTCTTTCTTCGTCAAGCCCAAGGCCATTGGCTTTCCGTCCGGCCCTATCGGACCCTTCTTTCTGCCAGCGGGTGCTGTAGGTGTCTGAGAGAGGGAGCCAGTAGAGGACGGCATGCTCTTCAAAGTCGGCTCTGCGGTTCTGTCGTGTTTCTTGCGACCAGTAACGCGATCGAACAAAGAGCGTTTCGCGCTTTGTGTTGATGTGCCGGGCGAGCGTTGGCCAAAGTGTGTGTCGCCGGAGTGGCTTTGCTGGGCGCTCATCATACTCTTCATGCTAGGGGAAGGACTTGTCGCGCGTGTACGGGCTCCATTAGAGTTTGTCGGCATGATTGACTCCTTGCGGACGGTGCCAGGACGGCCACTCATGACCGAAGCGCTGTCATCGATATCTTCAAGACTGGTCTTGTGCTTGTGGCCGGGAAGACGAAGACGATGGTGATGGTGATGGCTGGATACGGAGCCTTTTTCTTTCCGCGTCGGCAGTTGCTGCTGCTGTGACTGCTGGGAAGGAACGTTCGAGGATTGCGTCGGCTGCGTGTGAAACTGTTCAATTCAGCGTCAGCCCAAATCAGCCTTGACACTGCAACACAAACTCACGTTTGCCGGGGCAGGCTCGAAATCCCACGGCGTCACTTCACTACAGGTGTTCGGGGTGCGTGGGCGTGATGCCGTGGGACTTCCAGCACGGGTCGTCTGGGTGACTTGTGTAGCGTTGGATGGGTTGCGCCCTCGCGGATCTCGAGGATCTGGTTGACCGGGTGGTTCCTTGGGCGGCGGCGCATTCGGATCAAAGTCTTCGCCGAAGAAGCCTTGCAGCTTCTTGTGAAACTTGCCAGTGATGCTGCGTTTGGAGGAGCCCGTCGAGGACATGGTCGTCGTACTGGCCACAGATGGCCTTCGGTCCTCGCCAGTCCAATCGAGCGACAGGTTGTTGCCATTCTGCGGGATGAAGCCTGGGGACATCTGAGGAAGATCATCGCTGGAGGAGTTGTAGAAAGAGTTATTGAAAAGATTGGATGAGAGATGCGAAGGACGATTGTTGCGACCAAATGGCGGCGGAGTATGATCTGAGGGCTGTTGGCGCGAGATGGAGGGCACACTACCACTGGACTCGAGACACGACAAGTCCTTGCGATAGTCGCCAAATTCCGGAGTCTCCCAAGCCAGAGCTCCACCGCGGTTGAATTGCGAATTCACGACGGTGCTAGGAGACACATCTACATCGGGTTCCCTATCGAAGCAAGTATCAGCTCATGCGAAGCTAGCATCCGCGACCGAAGACCAGACATACCGGGCCAGTCGCTCGGGCTTTGACTTTTTGGGCGTGGTTTCGACCATTGTAGCTGTCACGGTCACTCGGCCACCACTCTCTGGAAGTCAGGACTCTTGGGGGACAGGCGTTCTTTGCTTTGACTGGCGGCTTTCAAGGCTTCGTGCCATTAGAGACAGAGATGCTTCTTGCCCTGTCCTGTCCTCGACCTCGGACTCGACCACCAAACACTCTTTCGGTTTTTGCTCCCTCTCCTTGACCTGAATGTCCTTTCTTTTCCTCGACCGGGCGGACGCAAAGAGGCGAGGTCGACTGTCGTTGATGGCCAAGGCGGCGGCAGGGCTTCGTGGTGGTGTTGGGATGATGCGGTGATTCAGGGCGGGAACGGGTTTGTCGCTTTCGCTTTAGCTGGGCAGCTCGAAACACTTCACACGCTCGCTCTCGATGTCAATTGCGTCACTGGGAACATGGCCGGGTATTGCGGTCTTCTGAAGGGCGGCGGAGGGAGAGGAGCACGGATGACACTAGGAGAGAGAAGGATTATCCTGGGCGGGCAGCTGTGTGGGCATGGTCGACGGTGGAGGTATCTACGGCTGCTAACAACGAAAGCCTGCTGCTGGCGCAACTGCTCCATCGCTTTTGGCGTCGCTAAGGGCGGGGCCATCCTAGTTCCAGCCAAAAGGCTCGGCTCGAAGAGGCATTCCCGTCATTGGCCGTGCACCAACACTGACCTCGACCCGCCAACATGTGGGACATCTTCAACCCTGTGGACGCTGGACATGCAACATGCCTTCGTTGTCCCCCTGCGACCTTTTACCTGCTGCTTGTGCAGCCAGGCACACATGTCTCGTGAAGCAGACCATCATGTCTTGACGCTGCAATCCGGCTTACGGGCTCCTTCTGCAACGGTCTCATGGCTTAGGAATGGAATCAAACTCTTACTCAAACCACATCGCACGTTGAGCCATGTCGGTCTTTACCTGCATAGCCAGCACCTAATACTTGCCAACACGTCTCCCCGTCTCTTTCGTTCGCTTCACCCATGACAACCTTCTCGGTTGTTGAACGAATTCGGAAGCTGTTGTGCCCACCGTTGGTGAACTGAATCCGCCAAACTCTGCCCCATCTAAATCTTTTACCCTTGTGATTGTTACCCGACAGTGGCCCTGGATCTTCGTCGACAACACGGCTATGACTTCCCGTTCCACATAACCTGGGTGTAGGTGTATAAGGTGGGCATAAAGTGATATGTCTCGAAACTGCCTTAACCATAAAATCAACATCCGGACGCCACAGGAGCCATGCAGACAAAACGGCCAACAACTACAATATTACGATATGGACATTGCCACCATTCTGTCAACATTCTGATGGTTGCCCTCTCTGCCAAAGTCAAGAAGTATACAAGTCATTACGATTCGTCAGTTGGCGTAGCCTTGGGTAGGTGTCGGTGCATTTACTGCGCCGTTTGACATTGACCGTCTCTGACCATCCCTACCATTCCACCCAGGAAATAGTGCTCTCAGCCTACCATATTTTGACTCAAGCTGGGGCATACTAAGAGGCGCGGTAACGAATGAGGGAGGTTGCAGCGTGGCTCCGGGTTTTGATTGGTTGTCGGTCTGACCACACACATAACCTAGATTTGAGTGTAATCGGAGATATACTCTGCGAGTCATTGCGCATTAGTAGGAATGGCTGATGTCTGTGGTGGAATGTGGCTAGCCTTACTGGGTATACTCGTCGGACGCAAGGGCATCTGGCAGACCCTGTTGCTTGAGGTGAGCAGCCGCCTGAGGTGAAGTTGCTCCTCCCTTGCCCTGCGTCTGTAACGTGTGCATCTCTTGCAGCAAGTCGGCGTTGATGTCAAGTAGCAGTGCAATCCTCTCCTTCTCTTGTGATAGACTCGTGGGGGATCCGCCAGCAGACGGAGAGTGCACCGGTCGGGATTGCGGGGCTGCCATGGGTGATTGCTGAGGCGAGCCTTGTGCGACGGCCGAAGTAGCATAAGGTGAGACACGATGTGAAGGGGATGCTGTCATGGGCATCATGGCTGACGGGGACATGGACTGAGAATAGGGCAGCGCATAACCTGGACGGAGGCAACCAAATTAGCCCTTACGCAACCACAACAGCATCCAAAGGCTTCAGCTTACCGCCGGACAGCTGCTGCTGGTGTTGCTGGTGCTGCAAGACATTTTGCGTGAAATTAGGCGCCGGCTGGCCCTGGATGGGAAAGGGCGTGTTGGTCGTGTATGGAGAAAAGGACTGGCCAAAGGATTGATTGTTCATGGCTGCTATCGACATGATAACCCTCGGTATTCGGCAATCTACGATAAATGATAATTATGACCCGCTAGCAGACGTCAGTCAACGAACACTTTGGGAGCTGACAGCCACGAGCCGCTAGTTGGGTTGATGCAAAATCGAATCAAGAAAGCCTCCTAAACCAAAGAAGCGACGTGATTTGTGGGGCCATCCGACTTTCGGCTCCTTGGCTGTCTTTCTTGCTTTCCCAACTCACCAATCTGCCATCACGCCGTGCACATCCTTGTGATAACAGAAGTCACCATCCGACTGACACTGTCTGATTCGCTGCATCATGTCCGGTAAAGTACATCTCCTCTCATGCACGATCGCGCCCAGCGTCGCGCAATACAGTATCTTTTAGATTCCGTTGCAAGGTTCCGACAATGGTCCAGGCTCACAACAGCCCCGGTCACGTCTTCAAGCATTGCACATGTCAGTCTTGCTCCAACAGCAAATCACTGATACGTTCATATTCCAGGAAGAGGCAGAGGTGCCTATTTTAAGGCCAAGTATGCTGGTAGAGGTGGACGCGGAGGCGGTGTTACTGGTGCTGAACATCAACCACAATCCTCGGTTGCGCAACCATCCAGCTCATCTCCTTCTCCTTGGACACAATTGTCGCAAACCCTAGACTCGATCGATGGACAGCAGTACGGTAAGTCATCAAACTCCTTATCTCCCGTCTTCACTGTCGTCTTATCTAACTTCAGGCTCGTACAAACGCCTACAAAATGCACGTTTCCGGCATGTCTCGCCAGACTTTACGCTAGCAATCAACCACGTTCAAGCGGATGCATACGCGTCGCCATCAAAGATCAGTGTTCGTATGGACTGGGTAAGTTGGCTTCTTTCCAAATACTTTGCTTCTGTCATCCTCTCGCAAGCTGTCCTAGATTGAACGTGGCAGTACCTTAAAATCAACGTCGTCTAACCACATCCAGAAAACCACCGGCTTCCCAGACGAATATGCTACATCAGACATTCGTCAGATCGCGTTGGCCGATTATCTTTCCAGGGCTGCCGCTGCCTTCATTCGTAGCAAGCACATGGACCAATCGGTAGGTTCTGGTAAATCTGGCTGGTCGGGTCCTAAAGGTGGAGCTTTCAACATCAACAGTCCTGCCCAAGAGGTTCTGCCCCGCACCAGTGCCCTGATCATCCCTGGTGGAGGAAATGACATCGAGATGCGATTCACAGTCTCACTGCCTGCGCGTGGCCGTACCATCCTTGGTGGCGAGGCAAAGACAATTCTCTGCACCAATCTACCAGAACTAATCAAGCAGACTATGCTTTACTCAGCGCATGTAGCTAAAGAGCTGGAGGCCCACATCCACTGTGTAGAAGATCAGGCATACATGCGATCTCAACTTGAAGCTAAGGGCTTGGTTGCTTTCGTTGGTAATGGTTCCATCTTACCAAGAGCCAGCGGCGCTTCTGCCCGCGGTATGACAGGGAAGCATGTGGTCCCATTTGAGTCGCCACCCGAGCTAGAGGTTGCTTTGAAACGCAAGCATGGCTCCAAAGTTCATGGCACGGGTGTCCCCAAAGGCATCACCCTCCTGACTGGTGGCGGCTACCACGGCAAGTCGACTCTCCTTGAGGCTCTTCAATTCGGTATATACAATTACGTCCCTGGCGACGGTCGTGAGCTGGTAGTGACGAATTCGTCTGCAATGAAGGTACGCGCCGAGGATGGTCGCAGTGTCACGGGTACCAACATCAGCGCCTTCATCAAGAATCTACCAGGCAAGAGAGATACCGAGGCATTTACCACCGATGATGCCAGTGGTTCAACATCCATGGCAGCCAATATCCAAGAAGCCCTCGAACTAGGAGCTCAAGTCATCATGGTCGATGAGGATACCTCTGCGACTAACCTTCTCGTTAGAGATGAACGCATGCAGATGCTTGTCAAGAACGAGCCGATCACACCTCTCGTATCCAAAGTGCGTGCTCTCTACGAGAAGCATGGTGTCAGTACTATCATCGTAGTCGGTGGACTAGGTGATTGGCTCGACGTCGCCGATAATGTGGTTGGCATGGACTCCTACACCCCTCGTATGCTCAATAGCGAGGCTCAGGAGTTGATTGAGAAGATGCCAAGAAAGGTCGTGCAAGACAAGAAATACGGCACAATACCTGACAGAGTTGTTGGCTTCCCGGCAGCAATTCTTCACGACAAGACTCCCTATGCCAAAAGGAGAGATTTCATCACCATTTATGCCGACCGTGCCCTGCAAGACCCATCACAGGATGAAGTTGGCATTGACATATCGAACGTGGAGCAGTTGGTCGAGATGGGCCAGACACGGACCATAGCTCACTGCATACGTGCACTTGCTCAGGCGGAGGATGATGAAGGGCGAGTAGTGCTTCACGTGCGTAACAATGTTCAACTTTGGCTAACTTAGGCGCAGTGTTCATCTCAAGTCTGCCTTGACAGTCATCGAGGCCAATATTGCCTTGGAGAAAGCCATTCCGAAGGATCTGCCTGGAGGTGACTTTGTGGCAGTTCGGCGATTTGAGCTGGGCGCAGCAGTCAATCGAATCCGGGAATTGATGTCACGAGCAGGAGGGGTGGAGGCTCAGACGGGAGAAGGACCAAAGAAGAAGGCACGCATGGACAATTGATCAACGGCAAAGAGGCTTAGATGTGCTTGTCAATGCCTCTCTGTATGCTAAGGTCTGTCACTTCGACTATCATTTTTAATGATTGCAGAACAACGACAGGCTTCAAAGAGGCACATTTGTTCACTGAGAGGACAGAGCTCGTGCCGGGATAAAGTGTCTCGGTTGTATTGCTTCAGTCTCTGAAATAATTGTGCCTTGCAACAGCTGCAAACGTGACAGAGTTCAGCATACAGGGAGATGGTTAGAGAGAGCCGGAAATAATGGCTCCAGGGGAATTGACTTTGAATCCTGATGGGCGCCTGATCCTCAGAGATTCAAGCTTCTCCGCATCACACTTGGCCGGTGTCTATTTAATCCAAACATAGTAACACAAGGATCATCACATGTTGCACGCTTAACCATGATGCTGAGATGAGAGCACCCAGGTCGCCAAAGGATAAGTCGGCACGGGAGGAGAATCCTTCGACGAATGAACCATTCACGTGCCAAGACTTCTGTGCATAGAATGCGAAATGGAAGAAGCATATGACATGGCAGTGCATATACATGTCTGATCCTGAGGTCAAGTGACCAAGGAAAACTGCTGCGGTTTGCTGAAGGAATCGAAAGCTCAGATCGCGATCCAGTAGGACGAGCAATTCACTATCGAGTCAAGGGTCTTGGTTACACGCCGATCTTGCCGAGGATTCCTTGTCGATAGCTTTCGTACGAAGAAGATGAGCTGTATGAGATTGGGTTCTATATTCCTCCACATGAGACCGCACGAGACCAAAGAATATGGAATAATATCTTAGAGTCACTGCGCCGCCTTTGCCGCTAGAAGAACTTTTGCGCGCTTTACAATCATTGGAGAGGAAGACAGATGGACAACATTTCTCGAGATGCAGACGTCTTGGTCGCGCTGTACTCGCCAATCTCGGCATACGACACAGCCTAGAACTAGGCCGCAAGAAGGGTCCACTATGCCAAAAATGGCAAAGCTCACTGCGGGGGAGCCGTTCCTTCAAGGCAGTTGTTTGGTTCACATGTTGTCTAGGATCATCCCAAGAGAACGAAAGGTGGCGTGGGTCGAGCGGCCATCATTGATTGTTGCTGGTGTGCCTGCCAGAAAATAGAAAAGATGTGACATATAAGACAAGCTTGGGTCGCACCTTCTGCTGAGCTCCAGCTTCAGATCAGTCTGTCTATCTTCTACAGCTCTAACCTTCTTACTGTTACTCAGTCAACAACCACATTCCAAAAGGCAATAATCTTCATTATTTCGCTTGAATCCACATATTACCATCAATAGCCAATACTGCTATAATGAACAACCCCAACAGCAGCATCATGAGCGATGAACACATTCACCATCAGAACTCAGACTTGGGCAAGTCACCTATTCGTGGTAGCAACAGCGACCATGACCCCCTTGTCAAGGTGCAGCCTCCTCGCCGCGAGGATCTTCAGCCTTCGTACGCCTCGGTCATCAAGCCTGATACCGAGGACGACTCACAACATGGGTGGTACGGAGGCATGATCAACACTCTTGGTGCCATCATCGGTAACCTTGGAGCTGTTCCTTGCTGCATCATCTGCCCCAACCCATACAGACCTGTCTCGCAGGGTAACGTTGGTCTGGTCACCAAGTTCGGTCGTTTCGCTCGTGCTGTCGACCCTGGTCTTGTCAAGATCAACCCTCTTTCTGAGCAGCTCATTCAGATTGACGTCAAGATTCAGATTGTTGGTAAGTGATGCACTCCTCTCGCCATGTCACGGCCCTGAGTACCCGCTAACACATGCACAGAGGTTCCCCAGCAAATTTGTATGACCAAGGACAATGTCAACCTCCAGCTCACTTCCGTCCTCTACTACCGCGTCACATCACCTCACAAGGCTGCCTTCGGTATCTCCAACATCCGCCAAGCCCTGGTCGAGCGTACCCAAACAACTCTCCGCCATGTCATCGGTGCTCGTGTTCTCCAAGATGTCATTGAACGCCGTGAAGAGATTGCACAGAGCATTCGCGAGATCATTGAGGACACCGCTTCCGGTTGGGGTGTCGAGGTCGAATCCATGTTGATCAAGGACATCATCTTCAGTCAGGATCTGCAAGAGTCGCTGTCAATGGCCGCACAGAGCAAGCGTACCGGTGAGGCAAAGGTCATTGCCGCCAGAGCCGAAGTCGAATCCGCCAAACTCATGCGTCAAGCTGCCGACATTTTGTCCTCTGCTCCAGCCATGCAGATCAGATATCTTGAAGCCATGCAAGCCATGGCCAAGTCAGCAAACTCCAAGGTCATCTTCTTGCCCGCACCCAACCAAACCGTCCAGCACCAGATGCAGATGGCCGATGCCGTTGGCGAAGGCCCAGCCTCATACGGTCAGACATTTGGCAGCAGCAGCAATAACGACTTCGGCTCCGGTACCGAAGGCTTCCAAAACGCCATCAACAGCCGTGTCGTCGAGAACATGTAGAATGAGCCGCCCGTGCCGTTGGTAATGCCAACAATGCCTAGAGCTGTCAAGTCATTGCATTCACGGCCGTCAGCAGGACCGCGTGGTGCACCCTTGGATCGCTGGAGTCCCGAGCACGGGGTGCAGTGAGCAGGATTTACGCGTTCGATTAAGATGTGTTTTATGGATACCCCTTTTGTTCTTATACAGTACCCAGGCTGTCGCTTCTCGATTTAGAAGTCAGTGTATGGCTAGCAGCTAGTCTCTTTCGTATCAGAGTTATGATCAGTAAATTACCTCTTGAGATGTCCTCTTGATTATCGTGTGAACGTTCTCACAATGTGCTAACAGCCTGATCACTCCTCTGCCTTGCCGCAGCTGGTCTGTCTTCGTTTGTCGTAAACAGAGGGCAATGTGTATGCTGCACGTCGACGTTTACGGTTGGTCGCACATCCACGAGCTAATCGCGTCGCGTGCTCAAAAGTGTAAGCGTCATCGCAGAAAAATTGGGGGTAGCAAGGGTCTTGCTACTAACGCTAGTGTCATTCTATGGCGGATCGTCTCCGTGGTCAGGGTGCTACTGTTAACCAGTGATTTTGAGGTCGACGATGCTGTTCTGAGACCACGAGGGAAGCTATAAGGTACAGTGATGTTTCATAACATAACTAGACGTATTTGGTGATGATATATGGGTAGTTGGGAAGTATTTCCGCTTGGGTGTTCAGCAATATATGATTTTATGTTTTTAGATACTTTTATATAAGGATTTGAAGAAGGACCATGATCAGAGATCTTCGCCATTAGCTTCGTCTTTTATGGCCTTCTTTAAAGTCATAAGCCTTTTAAGACGGAATGGTTAGGTGATAATGACTTCGTGATCTTAGGCGAGAAAGAATTTCTACCTTTAAATAAATCTGCTAAGGATAATATAATACGAAAATGCCGTTATAGGGAGTATAAACAGGTTAGCGATCTCCGAGCCGCCGAAATCGTATAGGAGAAGCTCTAGGTTAATGCTCTATCTAGTGCTGCGAAGCAGACATAAGTTATAAATTTAAACTTACAGCTATCAGCGTGAGTTATCCTGAAAATTGATGACTGAGGCCTTATTAGCATCACTGACAAGACGTCTCCACTCTGGGTATGATCCGATGTTTTCTCCCTCGAAGCTTCTTCTCAAGCCCTGGAACAAGTTACTGAAGACGTCGTAAGGGGGTGTATCTGCAGTTCCAAGGAAAAAAAGGAATCTTTGCCATGGGCGACCTTGCAAAATCATCTGCGCCATATCTTCTCGTCCACGGCGTTGAAACATCTGCGCAAACTCACATTCCTCTCGTGACAAGTCATTGCTGCCATTGTAATACTTTTGAACAGGCCACATCATGCATGGAGAGCTAAATGCATATTTCTTCGTTTCAGTTGATGCGAATTCCCAGTCAATTATCCCGGTGATGTTGTAGTCTTCGTCGATGAGAATGTGGTCGCCCTTGTCGTCGGCATGTTTCATGTAGAAGTGATCATCTGTCGCACTTGCCACAAGACCGGGTAAATGCTCGAGCCTCCAGAGATGGGTCAAGTAGTTGTCGGTAGCAAGCGTGGCTAGCTCTCCACCTTTGATCATGTCTCTCTCGTGCTTCAAGATCGAGGTGAGCGATTCCTTCAAGGTAGAAAACGGTCCGAGTGATTTTGAAGGAGACACGAACATGTGGCCCTGGGCGAATGGTCCAACCAATCCACCTTGAGAAAGTGATCCTGTTGCTGGGAACGGGTGCTTCTCAAGTTCGAGACACACATCTACAAGCTGTTTCATGACTTTCGTTTTTTGTTCGGCCGAAGCATTAGGCCATTGCAGTGGCTTACCAGGAAGCTTCTCCATAAGCATGTATGGAGTTCCAGTCTCACTCTCGTCGAATGAATGGTGGAAAACTTCTGGGACTCGTATACTGGTTCGAGCGAGGAATCTCAGAGTTTCCACTTCACTCATGGAAATAGTCGCTTGTGCATCGTGAGGCAGTACTGTAGGTTCTTCAAATCGTAGTCGTGCTATCCAGACAATGCCGTCATCGAAGCGGATATCGAGGTTGCAATTCTGACCGCCCGTTTGATCCAAGATCTGCTTGGACTCGGCATCAGGTACTGCCTGTCCAATGTCATTCCGGAAAGCGGGCATGTAGCACGGAACATCGTCGTGGAGACGAGTCGCAATGGATCTAAGAGCATTGAAGTCGACTTTATTGAGTAACGCTTGCAGATGGCTCTGTCTTGCAGAATCGTATGCCGTAAAGAAAGCATCAGGATCATTGTCCTGCACAATCAGCACTTATTTTCTACTCTATTCTCGTCGTGCGATGACACGAACCTCAGATGGACATGTATGGAATTCGGGCGCCAGGTGTTCCAAGCAACGATGATGGGAGCATATCATACAGTCGCCACTTCCACGCTCGGCAGGGTTTTTACAATTGAGGAAATCACAGTCTCTAAGTGGCATGTTGAAGGAATCATTGTTGCAAGGTCTGTCAATTGGAGGAAGAGAAAGACGAGAACAAGAGTCAAAGGATTGGAAATTCGTTCGCTAGTTGCCAAGAGCCATACAAGGCAGCACGCGGCGACTATTAAGCAGCCCTGTTGTCTGACTCCATGCAGCAATATCGTCCTCTCTAGGCGTGTCTTTATCTTTAACGAAATGATATCCTATGTACCTAAGCCAACCTGATAGGCGCGAGGCTCATTTTGACATCTTACTTACCCCCAGAGGACTGGTCCACGCTCGAGCTTCCCGCTACGAGAGGGGGAGGGGCCCCGGAGCGAGGGTAAGCGACAGGCAAGATACACTCGTCGTACCGGCGAATACGCCCTAAGTGATTGATTATTCACGTATGTGACTCTGCTTCTGATTTAACGTTGATCTTAGGCTGAGAGTTTTAGCGCACGTTAAAATAGGGCTGCTGCATGGAGTCGGATAACAGGGCTGCTCAATAGTTGCGGCGGCTGGAAAGACCACCTCAGGTGTTCCTTGCAGTATGAACTCCGCTCGCCTCGCTACGCTCTTCTTCACTGTCGAGCCAGCAATTAGGAGAAGAGACTTTTTGATTGAAGGAGTCACGAAGGATTGCAGGCATGACCATGTTCACCATCTGAATCGTGTCTTATAAGAACCCCCTCATGTCATGGTTTTACCTTTCCATTTTCCGGATTCTCAACTGTCTTCTCGACATCTATAACGCACCAGTACTTCTTTCACTACAGAAACATGGCTGCCAGCAAGTGTCGCACCGCAGGTTGCGCTAATTGGGCAGTTTCAGGCAAGAACCATTGCAACGCTCGTGAGTTTCATCTTTCCGACTTTCAAAGCTTGATGTTTATCAGTAGTGGTACAGATGGTGAAAGACGTCCCTTGTTCGAGCATGACGTTACCATAGCAAGACCACGAAAGAGTGTCCAGCGGTGACCTGGTTCTTAGGAGGGCCACTTAGTACTGAGCATCCGCCCTTGACGGGGCTCGATAAAATCGGTTATTAAGTACCCCGTGTCGAGGAGCACTGGGCTAGAAGACGGCAGGAAAGGTTGCCGATAATCAACGTTGTAGAAAGTCCTCCGCATTTGTCGGCGAAGCCATTCGTACGCCCGTCGGATCCAGGAAGTGTGTACGAGTGGTGTAAACGAGCGGCCACCAGGGAGTCCAAACCCCAACATTCGAGGAATAGGCACATTTGGGCAGTGCGATGACAGCCAGGCGAATGTGGCAGCCTCGCCTCGGATCTTCTCGCTGGCCATGTTGGGAGAGGTAGGCGAATTGAAGCGATAGGGCAAAGGGCATCGAAACATCACGCGGTAGTCATCGTTGATGGTAACAGGTATGCAAATATTGAAGGAGCCACAGAGCCAGTCTCTCCGCGGAGCGACTTTGCATGCTCGGGGTTGGCGGAGAGACAGATGATGAGCGACCAGCTGCTCAATAGCGCTTGCTTCGCGCGTGAGGTAGTTGGCAAATTCGGCTCGTTGGCGTGGCCATTGCCACTGGATGATCATGTTATGATCATCGCGAACCAGTTCCGAATAAGTCTTAGCCATGATGGCAGTATTCCAATGCGTGTAAGAAAGACACGAGGGAAAGCGTCGGCGCTTGAGGTTGTTAGACATGGGTGGAGGGAGAGCACTGAGAACGCCAGTTCTTGGCGCATTGATCGGCTCACCTGCAACCACATCACCGTGATCGGGAAAACAGTGAGTGCATCACTTCTATAGTAGTGCAGAAATTAGGTACTACAGTCGGAACCCCGATGCTTGTCAAAGAAAGGAATTCTGTTGGAGCTGGCGAGCTAGAGTAGAGGATACGACAGAAATTGTTATTTTTTCGAGCTAGCTAGGACAGCGCGACCTGCCCAAACAAGGGCTATCTGGAGTTATCGTTGCGTTATTTTTTAAGATCGCTTTAGGTTATGTTTAATAGGGAGCTCGATAAAATATCATCTGTAGTATTCCAGCTCTGATGGAAGTCGGGGAGCGTTCATTTGTTGTGAGCCTTTATAAGGGGCTCAAGATATGCCAAAACAGCACCACGAACGCCATCGGCGGAATGACCGACTCCGTCTACAATATCAAGATGAGCTTCGATGCCGAGATCTTTCCAGACGGTCTGAATGTTTTGCAGAGTGCCGAGTCTGCCTTTGCCGTCCTTCGAGCTCTCGATGTTACTGATAAATTCAGCTTCTTCATCAGAGCCAGATGTCTTAATCTTGGCCTTCATCCGGCCTTGCCATTCCTTAAATTCGTTACCACCATGTGCACCTGTATCTGTGCTGCCGACGACCATGTGGATATCAACCGCTTTGAGCAAAGTCTTGTCGACTGATCTTCCAAAGACTTCCTGGACGTCCGAAACTCCTTTCGGCCACTTCTGTTGTTCATCCAACATCGTTACCTTCCCTGGAGCTCCTATACCGACGGCTGCCAGACGTTCTGGGTAGATATACAAGAAGCGCTGTGCAAACTGCCCACCGCCAGAGAACCCCATGAGGAAGAGTCTTGTCGTATCGATGTGCGGCCAGCGTGCTCCGACCTCATCAAGAATCGATAGCAGAGCTAGATCAGACCGGAAAGTCTTGGACTTGAGCTTCTTGTATGAGTCCAAGTCATTCGGTCCTTCGATGCCGGCCGGGAAAAGAGGTTGCAAAACTGCACAAGGCATGGAATCGGCAAAAGTCTTTAAATCACCATAGATGGCAGAAAGATTTCTTCGTGTCCCATGGATATTGACTAGAAGTGGTAGTTTCGTTTTGTTGGTAGTTTCGTCTTGTGTATTTGCTGCACGCGATTTGTACGGTCCAGGTGGGACGTAGAGGGAAAAAGATATGCGTGGGTCAGATTGTAATGCCATCTGAGGGACATGTCCGATAAGGAACGCGGCCTCAAGAAATTCAGGAGGAACGTCTTTGGTTGTGAGAGCTTTCTTTGGCTTTGGCATGTTGACAGATGTTGAAGCCTCAAAGTGTTGCAGCTTGACGATGAGAGATGTGACGCGTACTGTACCCAAGCAAGGGTCGCGACTCAGCTACATGATACTCAACCACTTATCGCCCATGAACACCACCATTCATGACTCAGCAGATGCACGCGATCTTTGAAGAAATTCATGTGAGTTCTTCTGGTGTGACAGGTTAGAGTAGACGTTCTCTAAGGCAGAATGACAAAACTCTTGACATTTGACGAAGCACGGTCAAGCTTCGTGGCAGTTTTGTCGCGGCATCGACAAACCGCTGCTCTATCTCATACGAGAACAACTTACTTGATTCAATATATACCGAAATGTGCCAAAATCATTGATGGGGGTCACAGTAGGTGAGGCTCATGAAGAATGATTGGGTCGGTACTTGCTTAGCAATCACACGCTTGGTGCACCGCTCCTTCCACTTTACCTCCGCACTGGATGTCAGCTTCCTTGATATGCAAGTGGCTGGGACATGCATCCCGGATTAGGATGTCGGAGTTTTGAACACGGTCGAACTTTCTACCGACGAGGATCGTATATAAACAGCTATTCGACAACGATTTACTATACCGTAGGTCCACCAGGTGATAAGCAATAAACACCATCTTTGAACGACATCACCCATCACCCATCATCCACAAGGACAAGGGACTCTAGAGCTCAAAGTCGTTGTTCTATCCGCCAATCATGCCTCTATCCGAGTCTCCATACCTAAACGACGCCGCCGGTATCCTCGGCCATCTCCTCATCCTAGGCGGATCGGGTGCAATCTTCAGCCCACGTTCTGTCATCGGAGCATTCGGTCTCGAAGCCCCAACAGCACCCGACTCTCAAAGACTCGCCGACTTACTCATCCCACTATACGGCTTTCGAGAAGTTTCACTCGGGCTATCTATGGTCTCTGTTTGGCATTTCGGAAACACAAAGACGCTGGGATTGACCACGCTGGCTGTGGTGGTGACTGCGCTTGGTGATGGATGGATAGCGAGGAAGCAGAGGAAAGGTATGGAGTGGGTGCATTGGGGTCTTGTGCCGATTGCGACGGGATTGGGAGCTGGTCTGCTAGGTTGTTTTGATTGAGTGAGGATCTGACGAGTGTCTAGAGACAGGACGGGTTCTAGTTCGACAATCTCTTCTCATCATTTGTAGCAACAATGTCGGTATAATCCACCTCAACCATCGAAAGCTTGAGTGATCAAATTGGTGAGACCCAACTCTACAATGATCTGACCATTGCTGTCGACAAAAAAACGCCCAGTATAGGCCTTTCACAAGAGTCGCAACGATTCGTCTCTCACAGTAAGTAAAGCAAAACAATGCACTTCCCACAATCAACGTGTGTCACAGCAGGAGCAAAAGAAACCACCACGCCCGGTTGGACATGGTGGAAAGAAACCGGCAGCCCCCGCGTTCTCTTATTATCCCAGCGGTGAAAAGGTTGCTGAAAGTATTTCGACCATCACGAGGCTTGAACTCGTGCACGGTCGACTGTACGAAGGGTTGTCGAATGCCCAACGCCAGCCGAGTGGGCTAAGCACACTCCAGTCGGGTAGGAGAGGGGGGCCCTTGCTTGGCTGGGGACAAGGAGGGCATGAATTAGCTGTATATATGGGTTGATGGGAAGTGTGGTTGATTGAGTTAGTTTGTGTGTCTATGCGTTGTGGTCGGGAGCGGCGAGGTCTTGTGACCATTACCTTGTATGCAGAGGGATTTGCAAGAGGAACACACCTTGGAAGCTAGCTCGTAGACTAAATCGAGACACAAGAATAGGAACATATTACCATGAATAGTCTAGGACATTTTAAGAAAGAAATCAGAGATTGGGTAAAAGGAGAACCTGAATGTATTTCTAGAATTTCAGGCTATGCCGCTCGTGTATGATTGAAGCAGTGCCTTCCCAAAGAGACCTTCGTCAGTATTTACATGTATGAGCTGTGAGGAAGATGATTGAGTATCGAGTGATCTCCATCGACTCAGACCCAGTCGCTCCAGCTGCCTCGGTATTGGAAAGGCTCTTGACCTCTCTGTACGGGCGCTTCCACGTCAGTCATCCAACTCACTCCAGCATGCGAAATGTGATCCTGGTTTCCTTCCGCCGACTTGATGTATCCAAGTTCGCAGGACGAGAAGCCCACCTTGGGATACTTGAGGTAGTAGTTGTCAAACTTTGGGTTCAACGCTTCGGTCAGTATAGCAACACTGCCATCTTCGTGATGAGATTCCCAGGGCTTGACACAAGTGTTGCCTTTGCAAGTCTTGAGCACCACGAGCAGAGCGTCAAGTCTGTAGATCAACTGCTGCCAGGAGCGGCCAGCAAGCGTGTAGTCTTTGGCGAGCTTGGGGTCGGCAAAGAAGTTGTGCATCTGTCCTGGATCACGACGAACGTCGTAGAACTCGCGCTCGCCAGTACACCACACTGAGTAAAACAGACTGTAATCCTTGCTGACGAGACGCAAGGCTTTGTATGTGTTGTTGGGATAAGACAGACCACCATCGGGCTGGACAATGCCGAACTTTCCTTCAGGAAGACCAATGCCCCAGAATTCGACGTTGACATGCTCGCCGCGAGCAGCGATTTGAGCTGATTTTTTGTCGCTGACCAACGGTATAGCCAATCCATCGAAGTCATCGCGACTTGCACCAGCGATGGAGAGCAGTGTAGGAGCCATATCGGTGTGGGAAGTAACGATGTTTCTCTTATCACCTGCAGCAAGGCCAGGCCCACGAATGACCAGCGGGATATGAATGTCAGTATCGTAGCCGCACTCTTTACCAGGATGCATGCGATGCTGACTAGCGTGAAAGCCGTTGTCAGTGGTGAAAATGACATAAGTGTCCTCGAGAACGCCCTTTGAGTCAAGCAGATGAACCAAGCGCTCAATCATCTCGTCGACTGACTGCAGAGCGCGAAGTCTAGCACGCTGGAACTCATCGTTGTACTCGATCATTGTGTCGTTGAGTTTTGGAAGTTGAGCTATCCAGCTTGCTCCGCTAGCCTGTTGGTCATGTAAGTAATCCTTCATTCGAAACGATCATTCCACTCACCTCCTCAGGGTTGAAGTCTTCTGTTCGTGGAATTTTGTAGTCCTTGAATAGATGGGCATGGCGTGGAGCGTACTCTGGGATGGCAAACTTGTTGACAGCTCCTGGAGCAAGCACCTCCAGCTCGTTGAGAAGACCAGTCAATGGGTGCGCCACGATGTTGCTGTGTGGAGCGATGGGAGCTACTGTGACGAAGAACGGAGCGTCTCCAGCGATAGCCTCCTCCAAGAAGCCATAAGCCTTGTCAGCAACGACATCCGGCGAGTATTGACCCGAGTAGTCTTTGGGTGTCTGTCCGTTACGAGACATTCTTGCGTGCCAGTAGTCGTAAGTGAAGGGGTCTAAGAGAAAGTCGGAACCATTGTAGCCCTTGACGAATGGTTGGTTGTAGTTGTTGATGGTATGAGCATTCCAGAGCTTGCCCGTGTAGTAAGTATTGTATCCGGCAGCTTGCATCCACACAGGGAGATAGTCGTCATTAATGCCCTCTTTCACAATCTTGGGATAACCTCCATACGGCGGTCCAACATCAGTCACGTTAGTGTTGTGAGCAGCTCTTCCAGTCCAGAGATTGACTCTTGAAGGACAGCAGATGGCGATAGTGCAGAAGTGATTTTCGAAAGAAGTTCCCTTGTCGATCAGGTGCTTCTTGAGAAGTGGCATGTGCTCGACTGATCCCATGTGTCCATCCTGGTCGTCAGTGATGATGAAGAGTATGTTTGGTTGCTTTGCCAGTGCGCAATTGACCAGAGCAGCCAGTGCCGAGAACTTTAGCCAATTGACCTTCATTGCGCGTGTCAAGAGAAGATTTCGGTTGTAGGAAGTCAATTGACGTGCCAGCAACAAGCTTCGAGGTTGATCATCAAAGCTAGCAATCTTTCACATGCGCGCATCAACTTCACACCTTCAGACCGGCTTCGCAACATGCTCTCTTCGCGTCGCTCACTTTCGTAATGAGGCTGATGAGGTGCGATGGCGTAATCGTAGATAGTGGTTGGCAACGTCACTCTCGGCACCGCAGGCCGTCGCTATAGTACGCATCGCAACACTCCATCGTAATCAAATTACACTGCGACTTAAAATCAAGAATATCACACGATTTCTTTTCTTGACGAAGTCTTGAGACAGGATGAGTCGCAAGTCGTTGGGGATAGAGACCCACGTGTCGCGTGCTGCAGGCATCCTCAAACGTTGACCACACCCTCGCATATCTACCGAACTAAAGAACAGCAACTAAATAGGGTCGCAACTGAATACCACCTTCTGCTGCTTTCCAATGATTCAGAGAAAAGTAACCAACGTTGTCGAGATGGAAGACAGAGACAGGGTGACCTCTAATCTCCACCTCTTGTGACGGTAAAATCTCGGCTCCATACCCGCTCTCCAAACAAAAGAAAAATATTTGCGGTGCTGTCGACCATCAACATCACAACATGCGACCAACAATCTTCTACGTTGCGCGTCTACCATGATTGCAGAGTTGCACTCGGTATATGAATGAGACATGCCTCTGCAATCATCACGACCGTCCCACAAGATTGCACTGCTCACCTCGTCAACTTCACCAATCAACTCTCGGATTTTCGCAAACAGAAAAACGCATCATGGTAAGCATCATCCTCTTCCCCCCCTCTCCTTCACAGCACATACAACCAATACAGTCAAAATGATGAATATCCGGTTTGGAGACCTGTTCCGACCCTTGATGACGGATAACTTGGAATAATCTGACATTTGACTTCATTCTTCAAAACCTTTCACCTTTTTGAGTCCCGCTTGATGAATAGAACAAGTGCTAACATTCGCGCTGTAGATTTTATGATATCATCTGATGTTACGACTTGATGGCTTTATGAGAGATATGATGCTCTCTCTCGAGGGGGAGATTGGTGGAAAGTAAATAGGACTGTAGAAATGCAAGATGTTTTTCTTTCTCCCCAAGATACATGTCTGGATTTATCGAGTGTGAATGTTTTTGTGATTGCTTTGCTTGTGTCCGAGATCTATGACTGGTGTCTTTGAACTGAACTCTGCACACTGACTGGCGTGTTCTACGCATGTCATCGTCCCCAAGATGGGCAGTCACATGGTCAATATCTAAGACCTACATTGCTATTCTTTTGTGACCTCGACACATCGCGCTCCATGAAGAATAATCAGAGGGTTGGAGGGAGCTGTGAAAAGGCAAGATTTCATCCAAAAGGGACGCTATGTCTGCTGAGAGCAAGCAAAGTAGTAATACATGTCGAGTAAAATAGTCAGATGATGTGTTTCTCATAAAAAGGTGTTAACCTCCCCCAAACGCCTCGCCAGTTGAAACCAAAGAGTAGAGTCGTACATGTCAAGAAGAGGTTGCAGAAGAAGCAGGCAATGAAGCAAGACGGAAAGAGCCCTTCTAGAACTCACCACCAGTCCTGCCACCACCCCCAAGTGCAGAAGCTCCCCAGACACCGACCAAGCCCCACATGCCGACCCTCCAACCTCTCCATAGACCACCGATGCCTTGTCCTTTCTTGTCCTTCTTTTGCGCGACAAGACCTGGTCTGGCGGGAGTGTTCAGACGGCTTTGTGGCGGTTGCTCGCGGATGCCTTCTTCGGTAATAATACTCCAAGCAGTGCCGAAGACACCTCTATAAGGACCAACAGGAACGATTGTGTCCATGTCTGGACTTGTGACAGACTTGTTCCCGCGGAAGGAGTTGAGAGCGGATTTGTTGTAGGCGTGCTTGTGAGAGGATTTGAGGTGGGCGATTTGGGCGCGGCGTAGGACGGTCTCGAGAGGGAGCTTGAGGAAGAGTTCGGTGGTTGAGGTCAGGAATGTGGCGAGCGAGTACGTGGCTGGAGTGGACAGTGGATCGATGCGGAAGTATTGACGGAGGATGAGAGGAGTGCTGGTGCTCAGAAGAGTTGGGAGAGTCGAATGGAGGAAGGTGATGGGAGCTAGAGAGGTGGGAATGGTGAGGCTCGGCAGGAGACGGAGACTTGGTAGAATTGCGCGAGGTTGTGATGTGGTGGGTGTGAGGATGAGTCTAGAGATAGTCAGCGTGGGAAACGACATGGGAGAAATCATGATTGAGACACACCTCGTGCGGACAAGGTCGAGAGGAGCAAGCAAAAGAGCAGCGATAGCAGAGGCAGCGACTGCAATACCCAAAGAAGCCAAAGGCGAGGGGCTGTCTGCTAGATCAAGACCGCCCATTGCACCAGCAACAACCTCTGCAGGCACTGACGACAGAGACGACGGGTCTGGCAGATCGAACAAAGCAGATAGTAGATTACGTGTCCAACCCTCTGTAGCCTTCAGCAAGACATTGTAGATGAAGGTGGCATTTGTAGCCTTCCACATGGCGGCGGCACCAGCTTGCTGCCACAGCTGAGACAGAGCCTCCATGACCGAGTCGGGCCTTCGTAGTTGTAGAACATGTGGAGCAGGCGATTGCTCTCTCGACGAACGTGAGGGCGGGGTACGAGGGCGACGAGAACGGGACCTGTCCGACTCGGATGCTCGTGTGGGCTTGGTCGGGGTGAAGTAGCTCGGCTCGTCCGGGTCCGAGTCGTCATCACTAGGCGGGTACTGGTCGACGGCGAAGCGGGCAGAGGTTCTACGTCTCAAGGTGGATTCGGCATCGAGTTGTGTGGCCAGGCGGACCTGGAGAATCGTCTTTGCGACATCGAAGGGCTGTGCCAGAAGGACCGAAGTGTACTTCCACAGAGCCTGGTCGAGGACCTTGCGACCCATGTCGGCAACCGAAGCCGAGTCGCCATCGTTCAGGAAGGACGAGTAGTCGAGATCGTTGAAGACACCGCGTGCTGAGCTCCCCAGGCTGCTGCTTGCTCCAGTAGCCGAGCTTGTCGCGTTTACATCTGGCGGCGGGAGGCCTATTGAGGGAGGGCGATAGTACGGTCGGAGAGGGTTCGGAGTGTCGCGCGACGACGACAGCTGTACTGGATGCGCCATGTTTGTCTGTGTCGTGGTGGAAGGATCAAAACACAAAGTCGTTCTGTTTCCGTCGGCGAAGCCCCACACTCTCTCCCGCATTTCACTTGCTGACTGACCTCTTTTTGGCTTCGTCATTCAAGAACATTGCCATCTTCTTTGGGATCGGATTTTTCACGGCAGTCGCGTCTGTAAACACCCACTTCTTCCAATCTCGACATGTCCGTCGCTACTTCCAGATCTGCCGCCAGGTTAATACAGCGCTCGCTGCGCTCCTCCGTCTCGACCTCGTCGCCGCTCCGATCCGCCATCCCGCAATCGACATGTCAATCTAGTCGTCTCTCGATCGCTTCCTCTACACACTTCCCCTCAACGCGGCCGTTCTCTTCCTCGTCATCTTTGCTCCATGGTCATCTCGACGCCCCTAAGCCTGGCGAGGAGCGTAAAGTCACCTTTGTCGACAAGGAGGGCGATGAGCACACCTTTGTAGTGGCCGACGGCGACAACCTGCTCGACATTGGTGCGTTACTAGGAGCCACCCACCAAATCTCGCTTCCCAACTGACAACTCCCAGCACAAGCCAATGATCTCGAGATGGAGGGCGCATGCGGCGGCTCTTGCGCCTGCTCAACCTGCCACGTTATCGTCTCGGACCCGGACATGTTTGACAAGATGGAGGAGCCCGACGATGATGAGAACGACATGCTCGACCTCGCCTTTGGTCTGACCGAAACAAGTCGTCTGGGTTGCCAGGTCAAAATGTCAAAGGAACTGGACGGCTTGGTCATCAAACTCCCCACCATGACCAGGAACTTGCAGGCCAGCGACTTTGCAAAGAAATAGACATCGCCAAAGATACCCTCGCCCGAGTTTGTATACAACAACTTCCTCTTCTGTATTAACACATCACTTTCTGTTCTAAAAGCATACAAAATGTATAGAATCTTCTCTTTTCTTCTGTCTACTCTCAGCAATCACTCCCAAGACAAACATTGGTGCCTGTCCATAGCCACGAGATATATGCGGTGGAGGGTCTGACAAGACCACGAGTTTCTCCTCCGGATACCCTCTGAATAGATGATCAGGGAGAAGAACTCATGGCGCGTCTCGGAGGGAATTGTACATGAGAACCTCAGGACACTGTTGTGTTAATTGACTACAACACGCTACACTTCGCGCGCGCGTTTGGCATCATGATCTTGCGTCAAGGCACGAGAGCGTGATTATACTACAGACTTGCTGTATGAATAAGATTCCTGGTTGAGAGTCCAACGGCGTGTGTTCAGAGTTATAGATGTGAGCACTCCCGGTCACTGTCGGCTTTGACTGGCTTCAAGACTCCGGCCTTCGTGCTCGTTGGATAGTGACAATGCATCGAGGCACGGCAATTTTGGCTTCTTGTTACGGAGATACTCCATAGATAATCAATGGTCAGTGAATGTACATAGATTTTCTCATAAGGAAGGATTACATGCAAGGTATCGATTCATGGGTACGCAAGGTAGGTTATGGCGTACCGTACATACTGTGCAAAAGTACACCAAGAACTAGTAACATACAAGACCAGACACCCAGTCTTCGCTATCACTAACGCTGAGTCCAAACTCTCCGCATTTGTCATGCTGACCCTCCTTCTTGCATAGGCTGCATGTTCGCTGGAGAGTACTTGATCTATGGTATGCCACATGACTTGTTCAACCACTCCAGTGCCACAATACTGGGAATGCACAATATCGACACGATTAGGTACATGCTTGATGATAAAGCAGAGGCCGTGTCCGAAGTGTCAAGTGGGCACTTCAACTTCTGCAGCAATAAGGAATGGTTGAGATGATGGCGTATGCAGGAATCGACCGGTAAGGATGTGCTGGGAGTGCGGAGTGGTGTCACTCCAATGTTGTTGGATCGTAGAGGAGTTTGACGATTCTTTGATGTCATTTGAAGAATGTTCGACGTCTCCCCTCTCCTCTCTTCTCGTGTTATACTCGCTTAGGATGCTGGCTTGATTGGTAGCTCTGATATGCGAACGCATTCGATGCTTAGAGTATGGCCTGCCAGAAGGTGGATGACTAGAGTGTGGCCTGCTCGAGCATGGACCACCAGGGTACGATAGGGCGTAACTTGTTCTGCTGGAGAGTGGTCTATTGGCGTGGAATCTGCTGGAGCGTGATCATCCGGAGTGTGGTCATCGGGAACTTGGTCGACTGGGGCTCGATCAACTAGAGTCTGCTGTATCGGGGCCTGAACGAGTAAGACTTGACCTCTTGGAGCTTGATCGATCGGAGATGCTGTGTGTAACTGGTGGAAGGTTGTTGCAGAAGGATCCTTTACGACCCAAGGCGATGAGTTGACAATCGAGGGCGTCACTCTACTGATTAGCTGCCGCACCGCTGGGACTGGTAGTCGAATTGGGTAGCCAAGGGAGCTTTCAATCGAACGGTCGTTGATTGCAGTTGCGACTCCGTTTGTTACGTACTCTTTGGTTCCCGACAAGGTTGTGATGGATCTCGGCATGGGACTGAGGGATGCGCACAACTCCTGACAAACAGCATCTACGATTGTGATCAGTCGTTGCTGTACAGCAGTATAGTTTAGACTGACTATTTCTATGACGACAATCGGCAGATGTGAGTCTTTTGCTGCGTGCCATGATAACAGGTAAGTGGTTGTAAGCGGATAATTATGTCGTATGCATTGGTCGATGTGGTTAAATGTGTTGCGTAAAAGCTGATGGCCATTTTGTTTGGACTAAGACAGCACAGAAGTGCGAGGCCATCTCAGTGAAGTATTTGAATGCGAACGGAAGGGGCGGCCAGAGCAAAGGCGTTATTTTGATTCTGTGAGGAGGAAGCGACGAGGAGGCCTGCAAGACTCTTCGTCGCCCTAGAAAACTTGAGCCTGCATCATGAAGCGAAAGGAAGTAACAACCAGAGCAAAGGTATAATGACCCCCTTTTTGGGAAGATCCAACACATTGATTGAGCCATCAGTGAAGATAGTAGATGAGGAAAAGAATGTCGTGTATATCGCCAAATGCTTATCAAGGATAGCGATAAGCGAGAGGTCCAAAGTCGAGATTGATTCTCAGATGAACTGCTAAAGAGTACGTGTATCGACGGCTATTTGTTGGGAAGACATCGATACTTGAAGCAGTCAATAGTGGTCCTGGAAAAAGTCGCAGACCAAACTGAAAAACAACTGCGCTGAAGTGTCGTGGGTGGTTTCAAGTATCAAAGTCATCAAGGGGGGGCATGATAAGAAGTTAGTATTTGGCAGGGAAAGTAGCGATGATTTCGACGAATACTTCATGGTCCCCGAAGAAGACTGTGCATATTTACAGCACTGATCTCGAGCAGCAACATGCTCAAGAGATGAACTCAACAGAAGGTGCTCGGCTGCTACCTGAGGTGAACATGTCGAGCAGCGTAAGAAGACAAAAAGACGAGCACTCAAGCAGGGGACGACTGAGATACCGGTAAGCGACACAGATACGAAACAGGCAGCAACAATAGTCGTACATACCTTGACGAATCTTGGAACCTGCTCTTTCCTCGATCAGGTCAGCATCCCGTGTGATACCACATCCTGCGATTTGTCCAATGAGAAGTCGTAGGACAGAAGTATTATCGTCCTTAATGGATGAGGTGCTCTAGTCCTCATGTAATATCTCGTACAAGGATAGATGTTAGCAAGGAAAGATGAAGGAGGCTGTGCAGAGTCACCGTAACCTCCATTTATTTTGATAGAAGTCAAGAAGGATGTGACGTTACGTTAGAGTATGATAGCGAGTCTTGGAGAGCGCGTAGAAGGTTTGGGTTCCGGCTCGTCGAGGCCTACAAAAGTATGCTCCTGGTATCCAGCTGTCGATCCATTCAAACCGCGCAGCTTAATCCACTCTGGTAAACTATACCGATCACCCAGAACTTAAGTTGGTGGAAGGGGGCAGAAAGAGACAATAGGACGTGACCAACTTCAACTTATAGTAAGGAAAATCTCGTGGGAGGCAGACGTCGTATATCGTTTGGACTCAAATCGATTGATTCTGGAAGGTAAGAGTACATAACTCTTCTAGATTGGGAAGGTCATTCCCGAGCACGTGGAACGGGAATGATCAGCCCATGGTCAAGAACCTTAGTTCGATGTTCCACTTGGGTGGGTGGCTATGGAGTTTAAGATAATATACAGCTTGGGTGAGGTATCTCACTTGCTTGTGAGGTGACAACTAAAGAGAGACACACCTTGATGGCAAGACATGTTGCGGAGCCTGACAAGACCCTGTGCCCTCAATGCTGATTCGAAGGACTGTTGACGCGTCTGATGGTAGTGCAGCGCAAGACGGGAAAATTACATCGTTCATCTTACTTGAAGGTTTCTGATTCGACGTGATATAGACACTAGTCAAGAAACGATAGACAACAAACATGAGCAAAGAAGGGTGAACGACCGGTGTAAGAGCAGAAACAAGAAGAGAAAAGGGTGTGAGGCGGTACCGAGCCTCAAAAAGCTCTTTGAAGAAAGGAAAAGCACATGTCCCAAGAAACGCCACCCAGATTTATCGTTTGAACGTTGATCATGAACAATATTAGTGCACCCACATCAAGACTGACGGTCCATACCGGATCTGGTATCCTGTCTGGAGAGAGCAGCCAAAGCATGAGCAGCATCTTGAGCATCCATCTCCATGTATGGAGAATGCTCGATTCGACCATCAGGACGTTGATAACGGTAGACATGTGTAATGTCTTTGTAGTTGGCAGGTCCAAGCTTGACGTTCTTCCTTTGTGCTTGTTGGAAGAAGTCGGAGCATGATGTTCGCGCAGTGTGGTTTGGCGTATCGAGCTGTTTGAGTCGACGAAGCTTCACAGTACCAATGGTGCCGACTTCCTCGGAGCGAGTCGGTTGTGCTGATTTGTTTTCGAGACCGGTAGCTTCGGCCAGCTCTCTACACTGCCTCGCTTTCTCAGGGTCAGCGAGGCACATATCGCAAGTACCTGGGCCGGAAGCATTCGTTGGTGCCTCGAGAAAGCTTGGGGTAGATATGTCTAGTGGCATTTTAGGTTGAGTGGTGGCACGCGATGAATCGATAGGCGGAAGACTCTTGTTGAGTTCTTCTTGCTGTCGGCATATGCAGTTCTCTACATCACTGCAGAAGCCGCAGTGATCCTCAGGGGAGACTGGAGCATATGCTGATGGTTTGCGCGAAGAGAACATGAAAGTAAAGTCCTGTTCCTGATCATCTTGATGATCATAGTTGTCCGAGGGAGGAGTGAGAATGTGATGGACTGATGAGACAGAGTTTGATGTGATGTTCGAACGCTGGACTGTGTTAGCGAAACGATCTTCATCGAATTGACCTACAGGGTCATGATTACCTGTGGTTGCGCGGCATGAGAGTGTGCGTGGTGAAGCTTGGCAGCATCTGAGGAGAAGGTCAGCATGAGTTCGAGCTATCAACAAGAACCGGTCGTTTGAGCACATTTGAACATGTCATGACAACGAGAGGATATGTGTGCAGGAAACGCATCAGTGATAAAGGGCGAGTAGACGTACCGAGTTCCTTCTGCATCTCCAGGATACGCTCTTTGGCCTGGCTGCACTCAAGGTCGGCGCGAGCCTTCTCGGCGATGAGATTCGCCTTTTCGGCCGTGCTTTGGATAAGGGCTGCCTGAAGAGCAGAGATATCGTTGTGCAGCTTGGCCATAGCGTCGGCATGTTCGTCCTTCAACTTCGCATTCTCGGCCTCAAGGTCTTGACACTTCTGAGCACGACGGTCGCGGAAGTTACGCTGGGCGACCCTGTTCTGGGTTTTGCGTTTGTCCGACGAGTCGTCGTGGTCCACCATGGGCTTACGACCAGGCTTTGGTCGAGCCTTGAGGATGACCTGCTGGCTGAGCGGACCATTGTTGACAGTCGAGTCGTTGCGGGGACGCTTCAAGGCAGGAATGGCCATCTTGCCAGGTGGCGCGTTGTCGGGGGATGCTGCCGAGACGGGAGATCTAAACAAACATGGTCAGTCATGGTCCGGACGGTGAGAAGTGTCACACGAATTGACTGGAAGACGAGTAGCGACTTACTGCCCATCGAGCGCGCTGTCCATGGAGCCGAAGTTTCTCTTCAGTGCAGGAGGCGCAGCGTCTCCTCCTGCTCGGAACAATGAAACAGACGAATCCTGAGGACTCCCATGACTGGAGCCGGAATGCTGTGGCTGAGATGGTGCCAAAGTCGTCATGTTGAAGTTGTCGTCTGGAAGGCCGAGGGTAGATGGAGAATAGGTGATCTGATAAGATCCCTCGCTCACAGTCGTGCCACCAGCGCTTGGACTCTTGGCGGCCGAGTATCGGAGCGCTTCCTGCTCGATCGCCGCCCACTCTGCCCGAGGCCCGAACGACTGTTCTGCCGATGCATGTTGCTGTTGATAGACTGCTCAATTATTAACAGACTTGCCTCCGACACTGCATTTATATATCTCACCTTCGTTGTGCTGGGTCTGCTGTGGACATGTCGGTCTTGACCCATTCTGGATGGTCCACCCTGGATTTGGGGATATTCCCTGCTCGTATTCGTATGCCGGGAACTGGTGGTTGGACACTGAGAAGCTGAATTGCGCCTGTCCATGTGTCAACGGGTTATCTTGTAGCATCTGGCCAATGGCGAGTTGTTCGACTTCCGCGGTCTCGACCTGCGAGCTTGGGTGTTGCACGCCCAGTGGAGCATACTGAACAGCGCCTTGCCAGCTTCTATTCACGTCAAGATCAGGTCGCTGATATGCGTGTGCAGCATTCCACATCTCTCCCTGATCCACGCCGCTCACGGATCCTGGATCACTGTACGTTCGTGTAATAGGTGGCTCTCGTTGCTGACTGCTTGAGACCAATTCTGCATACGGGTTGCATGGGTCTGAATGCGCCCTCCGGTACGCGGGACTATACGGTGGCTGCCAGTAGTTGGGCTCAAAGGACATGCCGCTTGGTTGTCGGTAAGCAAAGTCAATGGGAGGCGGTATATTGTCGTCCTCCAAGCTAGACTCATGAGCGAGCGATTGACCGGCTTGAATGAGAACACGCATAATGGTGTGTGATTGAAGTTGATCAGAGTGCAAGAGCTGTAAGCTTTCAGACGAGAGCGACCTTGGCGGAGGGGAGTAACTAGACCTAAGGTACGTCACGCACCTACGAGAAGACTTAGAATCCTGTGACCCCGAGGGCGCACTGTCGACTATTCCGGGACAGAAGTGGGCCCTTTCACATCGATTGACTTCGAAGTGCTCGGGGCCCCAGCAACATTCGATACTCTCAATTGGCTCCCTTGAGGGAGTTGCTGGCACGTTCGAATCTGTGCTATGCCTGCTTTTAAATATTCCAAGCCATAGTTGAGATCGCGGAGAAAATAGATTATATTTTGTGTAGCTACTTGCTATGTAGTCAATGGCGTCTCTTCATCTGATTAGTCCATGGCAAATGGCTGCTGTGTCCCTCACATGTCATCTCTACTCCGCAAACAAAGACGAACACGGTATGACGCCGCGGCCTTCGTACGTAGACATGTCATCGTAAGGTCCCACCTCAACTCAAATTCTTCATCTCTTTGGCAAGCCCATCGATGGTATCCACGGGCCCCTCGCCAAACATCAGATACTGTACACCCAGATACGAATCGCAGCATGCTTGGAAGATACCACAGAGCTTGAACGACCAAGGGATAGTACTCTCAGCCAAGAAGAAGAACGACATCTTCATGGCATCACCCAACAGCCAGTTGGCAAGAACACTCAGACGGAATCCCTTGCAGCTGCGGTTCTTCTGGTTCGACATGATTTGCGGGAGAGGAAGCGTTGCTTCGATTCCAAGCGCCACATAACCTTGCAAAGCGACGTATGAATCCAAGCGACCGAACAGGATTTGCAGCACGAGCAGGGTAGCGCTAAAGTATGCGAGGAACATCCAGTATGGCTTTGCTTGCCTCCATTGCCAGAAGTCGAAAGGTCGCTTGATCTGAGTGTCGCCTTCTCTACCAGCTGCGAATGGCTGATGGATGTTGGTGGCAGCGCTGGCAAGAGGACGGTTTTGCAGAGCGACTCGAAGAAGGACAAGTTGCACAATCACCATCAAACCAGCTTGAATCAGAAGAGAAGTATCAAAGCGCGCTCCAAGCCAATAGAACAACCTGCGTCATGAGATCAGTTGCCAAAACTCAGATGTTTAGAGCGGGTTCGAGTTTGAGTTTGACCCATAGAACGTACTTCAAGATTGACGCTACCAACATGATGAGGGGAATATCGAGGGAAAACCCAGCTGACGACCTCGTACGATGGATCGAATAGATTTGATCGGCATAACTAGTGACGGGCGATGTAGCAAGAAAGACCGGGGCAAGATGCGTGATCAGCCAAGAGATGAAACCCATGGTAGCTCGCTTTTGTATTGTGGAGATGAGGTAGTTTTGATCCTTTGTCCTTTGATCCAGAAATGTATCGAAATGGGAGGTGCTCGTTCGATTAGATGAATACCGATCAGTTGGAATGTCCAAGAGTCTGGTGCTTGGCGTAGAGCTTGTCGTCAACTACCGTCGCGTAATGGACGTAGAGAGGTGTTGAGAAAGTGGTCGTCAAACAGTCGTCATCAATATGCCAAAAGGTGGTTCGAACAAGTGGCCGTGAATAGAACAACAAGGAAAAGGAGGACAACAAAATCTGCAAAATTATCAGGGGTCGTTCGTGGAAGGCTGTTGTTGAAAGTCGAGATCTCTCAGCCCTACGGAGAGCCCTGCGTTGAACCGAACTTCGCGCAGAGCCTCATCAGTACCAGCCACACATCACTGTGCCACAGACTCATATGAGCCACCCCAGTTCGCCGAGCGGGCAAGTCTTATCGCCGCATAACGGAGGCGCTCCAAGTTCCATCTTCGTCACCATCAACAAAGAAATCGAGACAACACTCATTGTAGGTCTTTCATTTGGTCAACTCGTAGTCACCTTTCCTTAGAGGCCTTCTGTTTGCTGCAAGCACTGGTGCTTTCTAGACGTAGTCGCTTGGTGCTTTCCATCACTATATCAAGGTAGGTGCTATCTGCACTCTCGTAGTCCTCACTTCCAATTCCTTCACCCGCCTACATCCGTCTCGACTTCAAAAGGCAATGGGTTCTAAATACGAAATCAGTGAAGAGTGCACGATTGACTTCAGCAACGAAGAACGCATCAGTCACGCTCAGACCAAGATGGGCGACCGCACAGCCTTCTTCTACGGTATGTTTTCTCTAATTCAATTGCAATCCATGTCAGAACTAACTCCATCGTCATCAGGCACCTTGATGGCCCAGGAAGTCCTCTACAGAGTCATCTTCGGCACCTCCACAGTCAGCAGATACAACGTCCAAACCGTCACTCAAACCCCCGCTATTCTCCACAACCACAAGCGTTCTCGCGTCCGGTACTGTGACTACCCCGGCGTCATTCCATCGAAAGGTCACTCCGTCCGCGGTACATACGTCACTGGCCTTACTGACGGCGACATCTACCGTCTCGACATGTTCGAGGGAACCTCCTACGAGCTCAGAGGCGTGCGTGTGCGTCTCCTGAAGAGCGAAGGCGATGAAGCAACCGGCGAAGGAAACGTCGAAGGCGAAGAAGTGGAGACAAAGACATACATCTGGATCGATGAGGAAGACCGTCTTGAGGACAAGGAGTGGGACTATGCCACTTTCAGAAAGGAGAAGCTGTCTAGATGGTCCGGTGGTGAGCCTGAAGAGCAAGGTTGGGATGATGATGAGGAGAAGACTGAAGACATTGACCCTACTGGCGGTAGATTCGGCAACGGTCAGATCGCTCAGGACCTCGAGAAGGAGCATGAGAAGCTGAAGCAGCAGGGCGGTGATGATGGCGAGCCTTTGAAGAGTGCTGTCTAGATTCACACACATGACGAAAAGCATGATTACGCATTACAACATGAAATACACTAGAATACAAGAGCTCTCTTAGCTCCCATCTACCATCCAAAACAAGCCTGTAAAAATGCACAGTAAATTGTAGAAACCATGAGATGTCCGCCGGGATACCGATATCTGACCTATCACAATCGTCTCTCCAGAGCCAGTGACTCTTTTCTAGGAAATATCTTGTATTCTTACAGCACGACTTCATCCCTCCGCCCTCGGAGGAGATAGATTTATGGTTCACGGACCTGGTGGTGTGCTCTACTGTGATCTACCTGGTCAACATACGTCGCCGTCGAGCGCATATACTCTCTCCGTGATCGGTGCATTTTTAAAAACCATAGCTATAAGAAGGCAAGATGCTTTTTCGGATGTTCGTGGAGACTTTGGAAAAGACCTGCTGTTTATGTACCCCGTTGCTTACCTAGCTCTTACCTGTGATGTCTGAATCCCGAGCTCATGTAATCTCATTGTCGGGTATCACAATGACTGTCTTTCAGCGGTCACCGACTGAGCCAGACACCCCTAAACCGCTGTATTCGACATCAACCCGATGTGTCTCGCGGTTGGGACCTAGACTACGTATTTGGAAGGGAGAACAAATTTATGTATTCGTTTCAGCAAAGGGTAGGACGCTAATGTCCGTATGATAGAGAATGCTCTCATGTCAGCCGGGATGGCTCTTATGCCTCCCTGTGAGTTATCCATGCAGCCTGTCTGGCAGCTACCTCCAATTCACTTTTGAAATCAACCATGTTGCCACTCCCAAACAGCATATCATCCTCAGGCTCGCGATCGACCGTCGGAGGTGAGTTGCATGATGGCGATGATGCTGCAGGTGGGCTTGAATTTTGCATTTCCAGCGGTGGTGGCTTCATGGGCGAGCTCTGGACCATCCTAGAGTCTGTGTGTTCCGCTGGTGGTTTCAAAGGCGAGCTCATTCGAGTAGGCGCGAGAGCTGGACTCTGGGATCCGTTCTCTTGGCTACTCAACCTCAAGAGACGTGCCTTTTCCTTCTTCCTCTGCTTCTTTGCAGTACTCTGCTCTATTTCAAGTTTGATCAGCTTCTCGCGGATCTCCGCTCGCTTCTTAGATGGATCAAAGTCTGCAAAGTCGTTGTCGTGGTCAAGTTCGCGAGACATGATCTTGCGGACGAACTCGGCAGGGTCACGGTGGAAAGCCTCCATGTAGCCAATCAGATACACGCCGCAGTCGCAAAAGTTTGTCTGCTGAGGTAGACCGCGAGCTGCCATCCCTCTGAGCTCGCTATGGTCGAAATCGAGACTTCGCTTCTCGCGACCTTCATGAACGACATATTGCTTGAGATTCTTGATTTCTGTAGGATGTGAGCCACTAAGTGAGTCGAGGAGGATAAGTGCAGGTCTGTTGATTGTCAGCATGTATTGATTAGAGCTCGGAAGCATACTGAGAAACCTACGTGTTAGGGTCCATCTTAGGGAGAGGCGGTGCCTGTCTTTTTCCTTTGCGCGAAACGGGCTTCAACTTAGTAAGAGGAGGCAACTCATCATCTTCTTCTTGAGAAGCATCCAGGGAGATACGCTTGACTCGTTGGGATAGGTCACCGTCCTTGGCTTCTTGAGGCGATTCGGGTATCTCAGTGTCGTTTTGCACCGTGGTCTGAGATTGTGGTGGCTCCTGTTCGTCTGGCTGTGAGGTAGGCTTGACTTCTTCTTCCGCTTCTTCTTCATCTTGTTCTTCATCATCACCAAGGCCATCCAAGTCCAACTTCCGTGCTAGCTTGTCGAGGTTGCAGATGATGACCACGAACCAGTGCAAGTTGGCGTTGATTGGAACGGCGACAAATGGATGACTGAACAGATCAACAGTCCTAGTCCATCGGCTGACGGCATCGTAGTTGAAGCCTTTTCTTCCGGAGCTTGTCGTAGTCAGCGTGGAATAGAAGAAACTGTTGAAAATGTGGGCTTGATTTTGCAGCTCTGGGTGATTTTCCTGCATCTCTCTCAGGCAGAATGAGATGATGTTGTCGTTGAGGAGACCACCTTCATCTAGTCCTTCGATATCCGAAGCATCGATCGTGGTTCTGTTCTTTCCGACTGCAGGATAAGTCAATGGGGCATCCCATTTGGGGATCCCATGAGTCTTGGTCCATCTCTCGAGTTCTGGCTCCACCGGTCTCGTAGCTTTGCCATCATCTCTGCTTTGTAGTCTGCGACTGCTTCTGACAGGTGTGGCTTGTTCCGCACGAGATGTTGGTGGCGGTAGAGAATGGTCTTGTCCGCTGTCTGCAGTCTTTGTATTGACAAAGTCGGCTATCATAGCACGGGTCAACCGCGGTATCGGAGTGTGACTGGTGGGCTCAGGAAGAGGATTACCACTCTGTGCCGCCAGGGTCCGCTCTCGATGTGTATGCTCTCTGGAGAGAGATTCTTGACGAATACGCATAGCTTGAATCTCAGGATCAACCTCCATGGTCTTCAGCTTGAAGAAAGTTTCGGCACTGCTCAATGCGTGCTGAAACTGATTCCTGCATAGAGGTTAGCATATTTGTCTGAGATGATGCACAATACATACTCGTTCATCTCTCTGTCCTTGATCGTAGGGTTCATCACCTTTAGAACTTCTATGAAGCTCTCAAGGTGCCTTGGTGTGGGGAAATCAAGCCAGATGCGACCCTTAGAGATTTCGTCTTTTGCTCCAAGCAAGATGGTCTCGGTGGAATTGTTGTCGCCATGGTAGAAGCTTTGAGCGTGTATGCTTTTGATCACAATCATTGTACTGTTGGGATCAAGAGAGTAGAGTTCTTCCCCATTGTGATTGAAGTGAATCTCCTTTTCCTGAGGATAGTAGATAAGGCCCATGGTCAGGTTCTCCCAGTTGCCAGCCTTCAGACGAAGCGAGCTCACAGGAAGGATTACTGGCTCATTGAATCCAGTCTCTCTTCGGCCTCTGGTGAAATGCGTAGAAACGATGCGACCTGGAGACGGCGAGCGTTGAGTTGGGTTGCGCCTGGGCTTTCGGGCTGGTTGTCGCAATGAAGATCCAAGCGCTAATTCATCTTCACTCGAGTCGTTGAGGCCTTGTTGAAGGTTATGGTTCCGCGGAGGATTAGATGTCGCTTGCATCTTGTCTTTGATTGACAGGGGCGCTTTCTTTGGTGCTGGGGATTCTTCTGGTTCTCCTCTGTCTCTTTTGAATTTGTCATTCAAGTTTGGTGAGCGAGGTGCATCTATCCTGTCTTTCTCTGCCCGATAATGCCTTTGCCAACTGCTGTCAACCTCGGTAGTTCGTCCTGGGATTTGAGCATTCTTCAAACGAGACGTCGTGGTTCCAACGGCCGATGATCGAGCTGGACGGTCCGGAGTACTTTGGTCCCCGATGAACTGGACTTCGTCGTCCTCGTCGAGAGAAACGGGATCGGTCTGTGTGCCAGTGAAAGGGGACGAAGGCAGATGTGCTGCGCTGGGCTTTCGTTTGCGACTTTTCTTCTTGTTGTTAAGGGTCCTATCAACATTACGGCTCTCGTCATGTCCGAAAGCAGTGCTTCTCTGGCTCGGAGTTTCCTGGCTCTGACTGGCAACACTGATGACACTTGATTGTCTTCCTAGCGTAGCCGAAGGTTGGACTTGAGTACCACGAGTGAGGAAGTCGTTATCGTGCATATTGTCGGTGCCATGTTGTGAACGGCCATCTTCTATTTTCCGGCGCTTTGTCTGACGTTCGTCCACGTTCACTCCGCGAGTAGTTGTGGTTGTCAGAGGGGCTGGACCCGTGCCTGAATTGCGCAAGGTGTTCTGCGGCGTGAATCCCATGCCTTTTCCTGGCTTCCTTTTGACAGTGCTCATTGTGTTCCACTCGTCCAGCGGTACGCGAACGAGAGTAGATGTTTCGGTCTCGCTAGATGGCGTCAGTCGACGTGCTTCTCGGGTATAGTCGAGGTCGGCATACGGGTATACTCCAGGAAGCAGCCTCCTCTCGTCGACGCTGATTTGTGTGCGGTGATTTGTGCGTCGCTGCTGAGTGGTAAAACTTCTGAAACACGGTCAGATCATGTGGTTCGACAAAGACCTGGTCACGGCGTACCCTCTTGACGATGCGCCTTGCTCTTCTCGGGCACTCGGTTGCGCGTGTGATTGTCTAGGGCTGGACTGTCTTTCCGAAAATATTCTGCTTCGCGGCTCTTGCTCCGAACTGGTGGGATACGGTCAGGTTCTGTAGCTCCTAGCTCTTGCGGATACATCCTACTATCTCAACGATGCGACTTGTCTTGCTTCTGAAGTGGCTTGGGTGCGTATGCGTTTTCTTCGGAACTGGGATTGTGGGCTGCGAAACACGGTCAGACATGTGCGAGCCGGTGGGATTTGTGGGTGGAGACTACCTCGTCGGTGATGGTTCGAGTGTCGCTTCTACGTTCGTTTCTTCACTCGTCTGTGCATCGTCCTGTTCGACGAACGGATCAGTATGAGAGGCAGGACTTCACTGCCATTGTGTGGGCCCACCCTGGTGTTCGACTCGTTGCCTGAGAACGCGTCGAAGGCTCGTTTGACTCCTCCAAAGATGGAATCAATGAGAGAGTTGGCCATCGGTCATGGTAGTAGTGGTAGAACCGGGCATTTATACACGATTGTTGCAAAGATGCTTGGGTTGGCGAGAGCGATGTCTGCGACTGCCCGCACACGCAAACTTTCGAGACCTTGTCGTGAACCAATCTATTGTTCCCAGCACGATGCTTTGGCTGTTTCGCTTGCACTTGACCTTTGATCCGTGGTCACACTGATGATAGAGATTACATGTCCCATTCATAACTCCACCTTCTTTTCGACAATAATCCTTACTGCATGCTCTTTGGTATCGCGCGACACCTCGGGCCGTTGCTATCCGGATGCGGAAATGCTGCATCTCGACTAGTCATGTGCTGCCTTCGAAACAGCACCACGACTCGCCATGAATGGAGAATGATATTCACCTTGGACAGAAAACAATACGAAAAGCCTGGTTGCTGAGCCGGATCATGGCATTGAAGCAGGGCAGACATTCCGAGACACAATTGAGCTCGCAAAGGATACAATTCTTCCAGGGAAGGTTTGTGCATTGTGACAGCTGCATGTTTATTCCTACGTCATACCCATGCTCTCATTGACGAGATGGATGCATTGCTGGACGCTCAAGACCTGAGAGACCGCCGCCGTATTCTTCTACGACAAGCGATTGGGTCGCAAAAACATGCCTTGGTGATAATTGCCTTGCCCAAGAGAAGAACGACGTGCAAGGCACTGTAATTGTGAGCAGAATTGACTTCGAAGTTCGTGATCGACAGCCGACAAAGCCGGCTCAACTTGTGTTCCACTGGAAGCCGTTCCTTTAAACTCGTGCCAGTCAAACGGATCAAACCCTTGTCGCTCCTCTTCACTACCCAACCACGTGGACTTTGTCATTGGCTGCAAGATTTAGCACGTACTGTATCAGAAAGCGTCATACGCCTGGTCAACTCAATCTCGTATCTTTCCTCCCGTCTCTTCGACGCCGCACGGCGATATAAATGCAGACCGCATCCTCTGGACTATGAGTCGGGCTCTGAAAGTTGTCTTCTTTGTTCTACTGTCGTTATTCACCATGTTCGCTACACTATTCTTGTTGGCGGCCCCTTTCGCGTTTGGGCAATCCGACATTCCTCTATCCCAACCCATCCAGGGCGTTCTCGCTACTAGCAACAGCAGTCTATACACATATCCCACGGACTTCACCCAGGGGATTCTGCCCAAGGCCATACATTCTCACAACGACTATTGGAGACCCAAGCCGTTCTACACCGCGCTCTCCAATGGCGTAATCTCAGTGGAGGCCGATGTATGGTTGTACAACGGCACGCTCTACGTAAGTACATCCTCACAAGACCCAGTTGGTGTCGATTTAACGAAGAGTTGTGGTCGTGTTTATTAGGTATGCCAATACTAACGCGCATCAGGTTGGGCATGAGCAATCTGCACTTACTCATGCTCGCACATTCGACTCTCTATACATTCAACCTATTCTCTCAGTGCTCAAGAAGCAAAATCCAACTTCTCCCTTTGTGACTGGCTCTACACACAACGGTGTGTTCGACACAGATGCCGGTCAGACTCTTTACCTATGGGTCGACGTCAAGACCGACGGTCCTACTGCTTGGCCCTACGTTGTCAGTGCTCTCGAGCCTCTTCGTCAAGGTGGTTGGCTCACCAAGTACAATGGAACCGGCATCACCAATGGAGCCGTCACTGTGATTGGAACCGGCAACACGCCCAGAGCACAGGTTGAGGATCAGAGCCAGCGTGACTACTTCTTCGACGGCCCCCTATCCACCCTCAACGCCACTGCAAACTCCAACATCACCCGTTTCCTTAGTCCTATCGCCAGCACAAGCTTCAAGGCTTCTTTCGGATGGCCAATGAATGGCCAGCTGAACGATACCGCTCTGGCTAAACTGCGCGGTCAGATTGCTTCCGCAAGCGCCAGAGGAATCGGAACGAGATATTGGGAAACACCAAACTGGCCCGTCTCTACCAGAAATGCTATCTGGCATTTGCTCTGGAATGAAGGCGCCACACTCATCAACGCCGATGATCTTCCTGGAGCTGCAAACTTCTGGCAATGAAGCATGTAGAGCGTACAAACAAAAATCGATGCTGGTGTTCATCTAGAGAATATGGTCAGAAAAATAGAATGAACTTAGTTGCTTAGGATGCTGAAATGAACATCACGTGAATACGCGTAACAGTCGCAGTGGTTTAGTGGTAAAATTCGTGCTTGCCATGCACGAGCCCCGTGTTCGATTCACGGCTGCGACATGCCTTTTGTACCTCGTGTGATATTTCTCTTGTTTTGAATAACCTCAAAGTTTTGATCCGTCGTTTTGCGCCACAAATGTCCAGCTTGCCAACTATGAAGCTCGCTCGATTCCGGAGAGCTCGAAGAGGGAGTAGTTGACGAGATGCACAGACTCTTCCCGCGCCTTGACCTTGACACTGGGAATCCAGTGCTGAAGTGCCTTTACCAGGCACTCAACTAAGCACTGAGCCGACTCCAGCCTGACCGCATCTTACGAGAGCACCTTTCTTACAGGAAAGCAGAGATGTATCTGTTATGGAGCACGTCTTGGAGAAAGCACAAGGGCAAGGTGAATGCCAAATCAGGAGCAGGGTACCTAGCAATTGTCAAACAAACGCATCTCAATGACCGACATCAGTGTCCAACCGCCTGCGGCATGTTTTTCTAGGACGAGGACTACTTGTGGAGCTCGGCCGGTCGATACTCTGGACAATACCGAGTACTTTGCTGAAATAATCTTTGCATTCACACAGCTTCAATATGCTATGTCACGCTCACGAGATATGGGAGTGAGACATTACTACCCGAAGCTCCGCTCGCTGTCCGAAGCCATCCAGGCCTTTTTCATTGTTCCCGGATGAAGCTCTTACTATCAAGTGTCAAAGGACTACTGCTGCTGCAACCGAGGATAACACTCAAGCCCCACATGCATGGTTCAAAAGAAAGACAGCACTTGCAGCACGAGACGACTTGAACGTGGACAATTGACTTAGCGCAGCTGAGCTCGCCTCGCGAAAGATAGCGAAGCAACTCGATGTTATCAAGAAGTCCGATGTCCTGCTACACGGCATGAGAGCATAGTCGACTAGCGACTCGACTACGGGCACCGGCGTCTTCAATCGTGCCTAGCGTCTCGAGAGGCTCTGTTGTCTCGCGACTAAGAGCGCGGTTGATTTGAAGGTGCCTCTGACGCTCCAGACGGTCTATGAGGATGAAAGTACCATGTATACACGATGCGTGGGATGGCACACGGTGTTGGCTTAGTTTTCCTGATTCGCCAGGTCCATCTGACACCTGAAGAATGCGAGTCCGTCCGGTTTAGTATAATGAATGATGGCTAGAGCTCCTAGCCCGCTGGAGTGGCCCCTGGCTGTCTAGTGACCCAGCTGTTTGAACCGACATGACTTTTGATTGTCTACCCCACCTCACGCATGCACCCCTCTTTCTGCTCAAATCTCATGCAGACCACATGCGCTATGATTGATGCGTGGCGTGTCCCAAGCAGAGAATAATTGACGAAGAGAGTTTGCGTACCTGAATATCCCGCACGGCAGCACAGCAAAGAAGCGGACAGGGTCATCTGGCAAGGCGCCACGATATCAAAAACACTATCAGACTCAAGCCCTTAATTTTGTACTTGCGATTGAACAATGACTGGTCATATTCTGTGGACAATTGTCTGAAAGTTCTTCTCCACTCACACGGTCGGGGTAGCGCTTATAGTTGAGCCGGTTGACGCTTATCAATGACATTGCGTACTGTACATGGCGCAAGAGATAAGAGCCACGCGAAGGCATGTCGTCAAGGGATGTGCCCGTGCAGCAGAGAGCCGAACAGCCACCGTGCAGCGTGCATGCAAATCAAGTGCGGGAACGACCCAGGGGTGCGAGTCTTGAGTGGGATGTTTTGTCGCTTGAACAACAAACACGAGGCAGGTCTCTCTGATATCCGTGGCTCGTAAGCCATTCGGAGCAGGGAAATGCGGGCGCATGCTTCCAGATTGGAATTTTCCGAGTCCAGACAAATCGGAACAACTCTGACAGAAGGGGTTGAGAGGGTACAGAGGCCAGAGTCATTCAGCCATCAGCCATATCTGGTGGCTTGCGCTTCAGAAACCGCCAGACCCGTGGCTCTGTTACTGCCGCTGCCGCTAACATAGACGATACTCCAGGCAAGGTGGGGAAAGTTGAAGCTATGCGATGTTTACGGTCATCATTGAAGCGCAGTCATGCGTCTTCTTGTCGTGGGATGTTGTGAGAGGCTGCGGGCAAGCATTGCGCTTGGCTTCGCGCGGTCTCAAAGCTTCAACGCATGCGCAGTGCAAACCCATGCCGATGTGCAAGGATTGCAGATGTTGCGCAAACATCGATGATGAGCTGTGGTTCACGAGAAAGGAAGCTCCCGACGGTTGAGAGTTTGGTGGAGCCTCGCCGGCGTCCGGCAAGAAACGGAGATTTGGCGAGGGCAAGCCCACGTAGCAGAGAGGCATCACATCGTCAACACAACTCCGTCTTGACCCTCATGAGTCACGTCGAAAGTAAAAGAAATAGCAGAATAGATAACACACTTTTTCCCCACCAACCTCTGCCTATTCACGTTTCATTGTGTTGTCCTATTAGAAGAGGCAGCCGCATCCGCCGCGTATTCGAGCCTTCCTTCTTCAGGTCTTTGTTCGCCTCGGCGGCTTCCGACAATTCACGAAAGGATCGACTCTCGCGACTTGAAATCTTTTTTTCACATTTCCACCGTGTATCACCTTGCGCGCGTTCATCAGGAATCAGACCAATCTGGTGCAAGCAGAAACTTTGCTTCACACCCCCACGCCGTATCGATTGCGACTTCATCTAGTCACGCATATTGATCCGCTCGATCACGCACATAGACATCACCAGCACACCCCCGCGCTTTCGTCAGGGTCCTTGGACGCATTGACTCGAGGCGCAGGACTCTTCTGCCATCTGCGACATTACAGGCTGTGACACTCAGGACTTGGTTTTTAGACTTGCAGGATCCTCGAACCGGTGATTTCTTCATAGAAACTACTCCACCGAGCTAGCAAAGTACCGGCCAGCAAGGACCAACCTCGTGAAAGACGTCTCTTTGCTCCGCTTTGGACCGCGACTCGTTATATATACCAGACTTCCTCTCTCTCCCTTCTTCAGGTACTCTGGTCTACCCATCCACTTCGACGCCTCTTTAAACTCGGGGTCTACCCCAACTCTTCTTCCACTTGAGCTTTGGATCCGGATTATGAACTTCAAGAACGACTATTCTCATTGGCCCGCCGGACAGGAGCACATCAACCGCTGACCTGTTCTTCTTGACTCTATTCCATCAACACCACTTGCGAAGACTGCATCAAGCATTGTTTCGCACCAAACCACTTGTCTCGGAAGCCTGCTTCTTCTGTGTGCACCGCAGAGGCAGCAGCATACCGCACCAACTCGACGGCATCTAGAGCCGAGTCCGACCCCGCAGTCGGGATTTTCTACCATGATGGATCAGTCCATGGTTCTGCTGAACGCTCAGGTTCAATTTCTGGTACGTTTGCTCCTTCGTGTCTTTTGGGAACGCTCACTCTTGTACACGAGACTATGTACGTTGGACTCCTTTGTCTAGATTAGTGGATTCAGGAGTCTTTACTCTATATTTTCGAGATTTCGTACATCAGAATGGTCACATTGTTTTCTCGATATCAGTCACCCGTATCCATTCATACTAACCTCGACCCTCTTGTACAGGAAACCAAACTAGCAATCGTGCACATACCACTACATCTATATTCTCACTTCATACAGCCTATACTGCGTCTCCTGACGCTTTCAGACAGCACAGACGAGGTAGACGGATTGCCACGTAGGAAGTGGGCATACCCAAACGCCTTTACCAACATCTCGGTTACGACCATTGAGTGTTCAGTCGTCTGTCCACGTCCACTTGTCGACGACCTGTTCCGACCTCTAATAGAGAGGCTGGATGCAAAAGCAAAGCAAGCTGTTATCATCAGCAACGATGACTTTGTCGTGATACAAGTCGGAGGCGAAGGCATGGAAGCCGGACAACGAGTGCTGGACTTGACTGCACCACTTGCGCTTGCTGGAATGTGAGTTGCCCGACTGAACCCACGTTTGCTTCCCTCTGACGCAGCATGACAGTTCGATCTTCTTCATCACAAGCTACTACAGCGACTTCGTGCTCGTCCCTTACAACTCAAAGTCGACCGTCATTTCCGCACTGGAAGAACGCGGTTTCGCCTTTGAACCCGTGTCTAACGGACATGGCGCAAACATGACCAACGTCTCCTCACCCCTCCACTCACATAACCGCAACAGCAGCAGTTCCTCCTCCCTCGACCTGCAACCCCCAGGCACACCCCCACCAGCCACAGTCGCAGAATGGCAAACAAAGACCTTCTCCACACTCCACCGGAACGACATCTTACCTCTGGTGGACGAGGGCTTGGAGCTACGCACGTGTGCCGGCTACCGCAGCGACAGTCCAGACATCCACGACGCGATCCAACTAGGCATCTTCAAATGCCTCCTCACAAACCCTCGCTTCATGTCCATCACCCTCACCCAAACCGACACTGTATCCCTCACCCTCGACCAGTCTCTCTTGTGCAACTTCCCCTCCAAAGGCGAAGGCATACTTCTCCAAAACGACCAAACTTACTTTGCTATTGTGTTTGACTTACGCAAGCTTCCGGAAGAGAGTACGGGTATAATTTGTGGTGTTGCGGGCAGACTGCTGGAGAGGCTAGGAGACGAAGGACAAGGGGAGGGCGCGTTCAATATGAGTTATTTGTCCACCGCGAGGACGGGTAATGTGATTGTCAGGGAGGACGAGGTTGGGGAAGCATTGGAGGCGCTTTTGGAGGAAGAAGCTTTGAGTGTTGATAATTTGGATGGTGGGCATTGAAAGGAGAGAAAGGAGAAAGAATGTTGCGTGAGTGTTTGAGTGGTAGTAAAAACGAAAAAGTTCTTGTGTTTTCCGGCTTCGCTTTTCTTGTCTGTTTACTTTCTTACATTGTCGAAGCTTGCTCTGGCTTTTTTGGATTGGAGGCACTGTTCAGCATCTCATCTCGGCTGCATATCATGCATTAGACAATATATCATTTCGGGCTCTTGTCTTCTATATCCGATACCTTCACAGTCTGCCATCTTCATGTCTAGTGAGCTTCCTTCATCGTAGAATGACCAGCTTTGCTTCTTCAAATGACACTGTCTCTCTCGTAGATGTTGGTATGGATGTCAGTGCTCCAGGGAAATAGAATCTTGCTATACTTTGTGCTGTCTATCTGACTTTGAATGTGCCCACTACGATAAGATGGCTACTGGCAAGCCATGGAGATATCTTGCCATGTGTACAACCCTGACTGCTTCTATGATCTTCATTGAAAGCGAATGCTCTGGTTTTGTTGCTCTTGACAGCTGTCAAGGTATCGTGTGTAGAACGGGTTGAATCGTGGGTTGCATATAGCTCGAAGCCAAGATGAGTTTCGACAGTTCTGCTCTTACTTGATAGGCTCTGCGGAAGCTTGACCGACACGTAGTACACGAAGGACCGAGGTTTTACACCTGCTCGGATTCGTAGCTCACGTCGACAGATATTTCCTTGTAGCACGATTGGTCCGAAACGGCGCAAGGGAAAGGCTCGACTGTGCAGAGTATTGTAGCATGCGTGGACGTTCCAGTGCTCCGCTACATTCCCGATGTCTCCAGCGAACGGTGCTAGAGGCTACAATGCTATGGCCGTCGACCAAGTAGCTGCCCATAGCACGCCGTAGCAAGCTATGCTCATCCGGCGATGAACACAATGGCTCCGCCCTGATAAGGCTAGGATGCGCAAGAAAGGGTGCCATGTGTAGGAGACGCATGTCTCAATAGCAAAAGTCGCTCAACCAAAGGCTCGATCCATCTGCGAACCCATATCATTCCCAGACTCTTGTGGACGCAGCGCATCGGCATTGTCATCATCAACATCCAACAGACTGGCGTCTGGCTTTGTATCCGGCGGCGGTACTGTAGTGGCAGGCCTCAGAATTTTGGCATCGCTGTCCAACCAACCAGGGGCCTTTCTTCTCTTCTCGGCCAATTCGCGCTCGTTGATAGCATCGTGCCATTCGCGGATCTGCTTGCTGGCATCCGATGCAGCAGTGTCTAGTTGATCGCGGAGGGCCTTGTTCTGGGCGATGATTGTAGAGGGATGGGCTCGGAAGCCTGTGCCAGAAGTTACGTAGGCGGGAGGAGCGTTTGGGTCATCATTGTCCGTGTTGAGGATGGAGGGTGGTAGGGTGGAAGGTAGACTGGCGTAGTTGTGCGGTAGTGTTGGGGCCTTTGGGAGCGTGACGAAGGGGGAGACAGTTAGTGGGACTTGGGCCAGCAGGGCATTCTCTGTGAGCACATCCAAGTCAGTCGGGGATTGTCAAGCGGGTTGGACTAAGGTAGGGACTTGCGTTCGGAGGGCATGGCGGCGCTGGGTCGTGACGTCTAGGATTGGACGGTGAACATTTGACAGCGTGGACAGTCGAGGGTTGGCGTGGCAGGGCTTGAGTCTGAGCTTGAGCCTGAGCCTGAGCTTGACTTTGGGAACGCCGACCGTGCTCTTGCTCGTGCTCGTGCTCGTCTTGAGTCTCTTGACTCTTTGCTGACTCTGTTTGAGGCTTTGCTACCGACCCGTTTGCAGGTGCCACCTCGTTGTCGTGTGTCTCGGTCCGCTGGCTGAGCTTGGGGTATGCGAGATGAGCATGCGAGATAGCCGTCCGGCCCCGCATGCTGATCTTGGCGCCCTCGACCCTGAGTTCCTCGCGAGAAAGCCACCCGTCTTCGTGCCCTTCTGTCAGAGACCGGCACATGCTCCGCCCTTCAGTAAGCGACAACGGGACCTTTGGTGCCTCTCGAAACAGTCATGACGACGGTGGACCGCAAGAGAAAGTATGCCTCAGGTGCCCGACTCGACTCGACCAATCCTCTTCTTGCATCATGCAATCCAACAAGACCTCAATTTCTGTGCCGTGTCTGAGCCTTTGCTCCATGCAATTCCGACTTGGCTTCTGCCATGGTACGCCTTTCGCTTCGTCACTCGTGCAGCCGCATACATGTTCTCAAGCAAAGTCAAAAGTCCAAGGAAAATCACCTCTCAATCTTTTTGACTTTTGAATTCTCCGCAGAGACAATAATAGTCGGCGCTTTTGTAGAGACTCATGTGACGGCCGTGACAACCTATTGTTTCAGCTCAGGGGAGGTACTGTACACCTGCGACACGGATTGTATTGAACTGCTGACTGTTGATCTACACAATATGAGCTGTAAAGGATGGTCAAGTAGTATTGGGGAGGAATAGGGTCGCGTTGTTCCTCCGTGCCGTTGGAGGGTTGAAAGGGTGTGTTTGGGGGCTTACATGAATACTCGGTTCAATGGTTTCGACGGCGTTTGCGCTCCTCAACCGGGGATCTGCTAGAGGCTATCTCCTACGGGACAAGATCTGCTATTACAGCCAAACGAAAAGTACGCCGACGGTGTGAAGATCAATGAACGGAGATGCGGTCAGAACTCAAAGAGATTAGGAGGCTGAACTGTCTTTTTCTCATATGGGACAATAAACCGCAGAAGGAGCATGCACAGGCGCAGGGGAGAGTGATTGCGGACAGCTCAAGGTGTTAGACAATGTGCAAAGGACATGAGTCAGGTGAAATATTGTTCAATCAATTCTGAAAGTCTTGCACTGATAGCAAAGACATGGCTCCAAATGCTAAAGAAGGTCGACTAATATCGACATAACATGAAGAGGTGGTGAACACCCAAACGTCCGTCCCGCTTGAAATGATCATTTAGTAAACTCCTGCCTCTCAGAGGCCCGCCAGACCCAGTGATAGTGGTACACAATAAGAAAACGCCGTTCCATGAGGTCGTAATATCCAGTCACACTGCTTCTTTGAGCAGTGTGCTGTAAAGTAGAAATTGTCGTGACTTGGTCGAAGACCGAAGTATTTATGATGAAGAGGTGGAGTCGATGCTCATGCCGGAGGTCTCCTTGCGAAGACCGGTCATGTCGTGCTCTCCCGCAGGGGAGCCGCGACGACGGGCAGATGATGTGGCAAGCTCGAACTGCTGCTTGGTGTGCTCGTGCATGAGTCTCTGATATGAGAGACGAGCTGAGTCGGGGTCGTTGAGGTCGTAGTGCTGAGGGAACTCGTACTGAGGAGCAGTAGGCTCGGAGTAATCCTCAGCGATGTAGACTTGCTGGATCTCAGAAGGGGCGGCCATTGTGATTGATTTGGTGGTTGAGTGTGTAAAGTGTGGTAGAAGTGACTTGATTGTTTGAAGATTGATTTGCTTTGTGACTTGTATTATTGTTGAAGTTGAAGATCGGAGATGAGAATGGAAACTGCCAGGAGAACAAGGTCTCTTATATTCCAAACTCGAGTTAAGTAGTGAGAGCAGTTCTCCAGTCAGCAGAGACCGAAAGTATGACGGACCAGAGAAAGGATTGGATCAACGTCAGACCCTGCGCCTCTTGACCGTAGGCGTTGGTGCTAAGATCAGCATCGCAACGGCTGGCAAGGTTTGATACGCGCCAGCGAAACAGGTCTATTCCCGCGTCGGAATGTTTCGATAGGGTAGGGCCATGTCATGGAGGCGGGATGCTGCGAGTATCGAAAATTGTCATTGGATCGTACGTACCCGCAATTAGCTCATTGCCCTGTGTACAGCAGCAGGCCCGAGGGGGCTAGGCCACGACCAGAGAAGACCCTGTCTATCATGATGTAGCTGGCGAAATTGCCCGGTGGTTCTCTCATCACCGCGCGGGGGCGAATACGGGTCGTTCTGACTCTTCGGGTCTTTTGCTGCGAGGGAGTGAAATGGCAGAAACGACGTCGCGTGTCTCTCCTTCTCGCTTGGAGCACCACAACATCCTCTTTGTTTTGGGAGGTGGACTGCACAACGATCATCCCCACAAATCTGACATTGCAAGTGGAGAGTGAGCTCATTCCTCGGGTCGCGATGTACCATTCTAGACCCTGTTGAGCTCTTGTTGATCTTCCATTCGGGCATCTCACGAGTCGAGGTGTACGCCGCTGACCATTCTTCGTGACTTGCCCCGGCACGGCTTAAACACACTCAGTCTCGTAGCCACGGGTGACTGACTAAAAAGACGAAACACCCGTCCAGTCAAACCGCTTCCGCCGCCGCCACCGCCGTTCGCAGGGAGAGAGACGCCGAGTGTGCTGAATGACGTATCAGCCAGATTTCATTGTCGTTCTGCAGGCAGGGGCAGGCTGGGGACAACGATCTCACCCAATCTCGAAGCGTCTTCACGCTGGGTCTCTTCTGACGTCGCTCGAACCATTCTCTCGGGAGAATTGCTAGAAGACATGCGACGTGGATGCACAGACTAGCGCCCTATGATGTTGTTTGCCTCTGTATTACTTTTGTGCTGCACTCCACTATCGACCTCATCCTCCTACTTTTATGGTGTGGGGAGAATCTGACATCAGACATCAGCAGAAGATCCTGGCGATCACCTATCTATTACCCCGTTCAGCCATCTCTATAGGCACAAAGGGTTGGACGTAGCGAAGCATGAGGCACGCACTCCGTAATGCCTCGTCATAACACTTGGTCCTTTTAATCCCAGAACTGCTTGTTCTCTATTCTCGACCCGTCCGAGCCAGTCATTCTTCTTGGAATATAAGATCTCCCTTCGTCATTGGCTCCTCGATTAGAAAGTACACGGGTAGCAGTTGACATCGATCACCATTGCTGGCCTACATCTGTACTCTTGTACGCATGTCCACCTACTTGTATGCTTTTGATGCGGTTCATGCACGTCTTCAATGTAGACGAGCCGCAACTAGGGCAGCTCGGGTTCCTGGATTCATTAATTCCCGACCGTAGGATGGAGACCAACGTATCCCACGGTTCCCAGCCTTGTCAGACGAGAGTGCTGATCCAGCCTGGATTCTAGCCTCCAAGAAAGGTGAGGAGTTCGTCGGACATGGTCGTCATGCCCATCAATTTCTCAACATACGTATGCGTCTCAACGACCACCGTCATGTGAGTCGAGAAATCAGAGGATGCCCTGGACATCGACCAGAGCCATCGACCCATCGTGCAGTTCTTTGGTCCTTCCGTGTGTTGACATGTCATTCTATCCACTCAGTGGCACCCCTTGACTGTCCAATACTGCGATGCACCCGATGCTTTTCGCATTCATACGACTCGATATCATTGCCTAATTCTGCTTGCTCGGGCGCAATCTTGATTCTCGAGACCATCGACTTCGACCCCAAGCGAATTTGTGCCACTAGAGGGTCATCTTCGTCATATGAATCCTGACTTCTCCAGGGAAGCGTCACATCTGGTCGTCTATCCACCACATCGCAATCATCGTCGCTTCCAATCTTCGATGCACCTGGTACGTCTATGATCTCGACGCGCAACTCTCACTAGTATCATGACATCGGAGCCGCACCCGGACTAATACCCGATGACTTTTACTGTCCACGATCATTGTTTCTGTAACCCATCGCTCCCTTGCGGTTCTCACGTCGTGACACGACTTTCAAACATGAGACATGGCAACACGTTCGTCGCCAAAGTCATGCGAGCTCTTCAACCTTATGACGGCGCTTACAGTGGCTCCGTCATCGTGCATGCTACCAGTCCGTTCCACAAACGTGTGACATGCTGCTTGAAGTCCGCTTCCTAAACCACGCATCGACGTTGCCTTGACGGTCCTCTTGCCTCGATGCTTTGTTATGAGGATGAACTGCCTTGCCTCCAATGGACGTGTCGACCCCCCATGACCTACCTAACGTGATCACAAGCATTTGTTACATGAATAGAAGCGCGCCAGGTATGATTGTCAGGTCAATCAGTATTTTGATTGATAATTCACCATGGTGATGCGTGTCGTGAAATAATTTCGAAAAGCTCGTTTCCCCAGACAGCAAATTAATCTGATAAGAGAAGAAAAAACAAACATATCCCAAGTCATGTGCTATGCTATGAAATCACACGGGGCCATCGCGCAAACAGTGGACACTCCTACAATGTTGGACGTGGATCCGTAGTTGCAAGAAATCAACAGAAATGACGAAAGGCCGAACAGCAAAAGCTGCGTCATTCGCCACTGTCGCGATGATCGTGAAATTCCAAAGCATGTCCCTGACTGACGACCAAATGTTTGTAGACGGACAAAGACGTAGAAAAGACGGGCTGGTTGCTGACATTTTGGCTTTGTTGGGAAGATGTGACGAGTTGTTCAAAGCGCCAGTAGAAAGATCAGCAAGATGATCAGGACTACAATCAGAACAGCGATGCAACAGCTCGAGTACGTATCTAAGCAGCGTCATGTCAGTAAACTGTCACACGACTGGAGAATGACGAGGGAAAAGGGGGGAAAGAGAATAGTGCAAACAAACCTTCGTTTTTCCTGATGACCCAGCCAATCTTCTTGATGCCATTTTGAAGTTTCCCTCCGACACGATCGGCGATATTGTCAACATCATCGAGCAAATCTGCTTGTTCCTCGAGTTCGCGACCCATGGTGTCTGCTTGTTGTCGCAGCGTGCCCACAGTCTTGAAGACATCGTCCAAGGCCTCATCTTGCTGCTGCATAATCTCCTCTTGCCTCTGCTGCTCAAACTGTGCATAGTCCCCATCACCCATAGCATCCTCATCTTCACTGTCAAAAGCGCTAGGATGAGGTAGTGCTTCTTTGCCCTTCCCCTTTCCGTGTATTTGTGCCTGCTCGACTGTCTTTGCGAGTTCTGTGTGCATGTCTTCGATCTCGGCGCCTACATCTTCGACGAGCCTTCGCCGTCTTTCTACTTCGTCGATTTCCAAGCCATAGCGGTAGGGGTCGTGTTCGACTGCTTTTACGCTGTCGACGAGATCGCGGAGGTCGGCGCCGAGGTCTGTGAGGGTGGATTCGAGTTCGGTGCGTGCTTCGACGAGTTCAGGGGATGTTGCGGAAGATGCAGAGGAGCGGATTCGGATGTAGCTGTTGAAGAGTGGTCGCGTGGTGTTTAGTAGCGATAGCACGTCACTATAAACCACTGTCAGTCAGACTGAATGCACTATTCGATGCGGTGAGTCGCATCGGGGAGCTCAACATACGCCTGGACTTGCACAAAGGGGTCTTCGGATGCCATGATGTGAAATGTATGTTGATTCTAACATGCGGCCCGCCTATGCCGCAATGACAATCTAGCTCATTGTTCGGAGTGGAAGGTCTTTCGGAAAGGCTTCACGATTGTTGTTGATTTGCCTGGAAGTCGCTTTCCCCCAGGAACAGCTGCGTCGTTGGCGCTACACATGGCCGTCGGCTTTTAGACGCGGTCTTTAGACTTTGAGCCGCATTTCTTTCCATTTTCTCCAGCCAAATTATTTTATACATTTGCATACACAGACAATCTGGAAGGAGGTATTGAACCCCGCTCCTACAACCTCGCATCATTCCCCAGATATCATCATCTTGTCTGTACGACTGATTACATACAACAATGGGTCCGGAAAGTGCTCTGCCGTGCTCGCCAGAGTTTGAGAGCTCAGAGCAATATGTCGAATCACTACTGGACTTTATTGGATCGTCAGAACTATTACACACTCTTTGCGGTGGTGTTCATGTTTTGGACTTCTTCACAAGAAAGCCGGATCTATATTCTTTGGTCATAGCTCCGGAATGGCGATCTTTCTTCAAAGAGCATGACATAATGGACATCCTGGATCTACTCATGCGAGAGGACTTGGGAAAATTCAGCCAGCAAGCAGATTTTTGGAGAGAAGGTCCAGTACCGCCGGAAAGTTTATTACGATACATCAAGCAAATCAGGAAACTATCTTTGCGACGTGAGCATACACCTATTCACAGAAAGGATGAACACGGAGCAAATGGACCCAAGACTTCACATACTCTGGCACGACAAGTTGCAGTTGGAATGAATATCAAAAAAATCCACGAAGTTGATAATCTCTGTCGTTACTTGGATAAATTGACCACTGAGTACGCCGAATCTAGACATTCTGAACTCACACATCTGGTCGATTTTGGAGCTGGACAGAATTACTTGGGCAGAGCGCTGGCGTCAGAACCCTACAACAAGAATGTGATTGCTTTGGAGAGCCGCGCCCACAATATCGAAGGAGCGAGGAACTGGGATGTGCTTGCCAAACTAGCCCCAAAACAACAGATTATGAGGAATAAGAAAGAATGGAGAATCCAACAACAAGCAATGGCGGCCGAGCAAGGTATCTCGGAGAAGGAACTGCAAAAATTGGATCTCAAAGGAGAAAGAGAGTCCCAAGCAGGAGTACCTGCCGAAGAAGAAACCGCACAGGCGACACTGAAAATCTCGAACTCAGGAGTCGGAAGCATCCAATACGTCGAGCACTACATCAAGGATGGTGATCTTTCGAAAGTAGTACCACAAATCGTTGATCAAGACGCTGTCCGCGAGAAGGTCAGCGATGACATTACAGCAACCAGATCGGAAGCACCCACCTCCAAACAAATTCCCGACAACTTCATCGAAGGAAACCTACAGATCGACGACTCAATCAAAGCACAAGACCCGAGACTCCTAGTAATCTCACTCCATAGCTGTGGTAATCTGGTCCACCACGGCATCCGCTCTCTTCTTCTTAATCCGTCTGTCTCAGCCGTCGCGCTAGTTGGATGTTGCTATAACCTCATATCTGAACGTCTTGGCCCTCCAACCTACAAGATTCCATCCCTTCGAACCGATCACCCACGTCTCGCCGAAACAGCCGCAGCCTGTGATCCTCACGGGTTCCCAATGTCTTCACGTCTCTGCAATGAAGACACAACCACAGGAAAAGGTCTTCGTCTAAACATCACTGCCCGCATGATGGCTGTGCAGGCACCGCAGAATTGGGGAAAGAAAGATAGTGAATCCTTCTTCAAGCGACACTTCTATCGTGCTCTACTGCAGAGGATTTTCATGGATAAAAGCATCATTCAAGCGCCCGAACCTGTCGATGTGGAAAACAATAATGGCAGTCCACTGGGCTGGTCAGCTGGTGGTGGCACTGCGCCCATCATCCTTGGCTCCTTGCGAAAATCTTGCTATGTGTCTTTCGTCGCATATGTCCGCGGTGCGTTGGAAAAACTTGTCAACGACCCTGAGCGTGGAGACTTGTTCAAAGAGAGAATGGCAATCATGACCGATGAAGAAATTAACAACTATGAGGAAACATTTGCCGAGAGAGGCAAGGAGTTGAGTGTAGTGTGGAGTTTGATGGCTTTCAGCGCTGGTGTAATTGAAGCTGCTATTGTGGTCGATAGATGGTTGTTCCTCAAGGAGCAGGACGAGGTTGCTGATGCTTGGGTTGAGCCTGTGTTTGAATTCAAGCACAGTCCGAGGAACTTGATTGTGGTGGGCATCAAAAAGTAGGAGGTTGGTTACTCTTCATTCGTCCCAACCTGCGATCGCTCCAAGTTGGGGGCGGTAAGATCAAGATGATAGGTTGATATCAGACACCTTTGTTGGGAACGGCTGCCGAGCCACCATGTCCCCTCGTCATGATCTTTTGTCATGATCTTCGACCAATATGACTCATCATGCTGCTTTGTCATGTTCCAGCGATCATGAAAACACATCATGTTCGTTCGCTTGCCAAACAATCTTCTGATATCTGCCTGTCCATACTGACCCCTGCATCTGCTACAGCCATCTGAGAAGTCAGCATCCTTGCATCATTTTGGTGACAGTGGCATCTCATAGTAAGTCCATGCAGCAATGCAGATGTCTAGGACAGTGAAATCTGTAAACGGGTTTCTCTCGAGTGCAAAATGTGCCTATAAATCCTTGCCATCACACGTGCCGGACAAGGATTGCGACTCACACTGTCATTCGTTTCGATTGCCCTTTCTCGAACAACTGCTTCCTGTCAGCGAATGGGGACTCGGCCTGTGAATTGGTGAGATCGATCCTTCCTGAGGATACTTTTTCGTACTTGCCAAGGCAACATCGCTTGTTGCGTCGTCAGCTCTTTCCAAATCCAAGACACCAAAGCAGGAAAACTCGCTTAGCAAACCAGATTTCTTGGGCACAATCCGTACGCGGGTACAGACCCGCCGACGATTATAGTAAGAGGCAGAAGTTGTTGCGAGTACATCAGACTCAGTGCGGAGAGAATTAGATGTAAGTCTTGAATGTATATTTTTCATTCGTGCTATTGCCAGCAAGCCCAATAAACCCCCCGGATAGGGGGAGTGTATATAACCGTATTTCCACATCCGTGAGATGGGGGTATCATTAAAAAAAGAAGAAAAGGCAGAGTATTAACACCAAAAGCAGATGTACAAGATATACGAGAGGTACAGATTGTGCATCTCAGTGCCGCGAGGCCTCCAGATGACAGGAGAAAAAAGACATGACAACCATCTCAGACCTCAGCTATGTTGATGCACTTAGAGGAGGACAGCGAAACCAAGAGCGGCAGCAGCGGCGGCGGCACCGGACATCATGTTGTTGGAGACGGCAGCTCCGGTAAAGGCGGAGGGCTTGCCGCTGGCAACACCAGTGCCGGAAGCGTGGCCGGAGATGGTGGAGGTGGCGACAGTGCCGTTGTTGTAAGGGGCAGTGACAGCAGGAGCGGTGGCAACGGGAGCAGTGGGGACAGCAGGGGTGCTTGTGCGGGTCAAAGTGCAGGAGCTGATACATGTCAGTAACCACGAATTTGCACAGAAACGCGAGTTATCTTACCAGTCCTCAATGGTAAGAGTGGTGGCAGCGGTGACAGTGATGGTGTGGGAACCAGCAGTGACAACGGTAGCGGCAGGGCAGTAAGTGGTCAAGCTAGAGCAGATACAATTAGTAATGTTCTTTGTGATACTAAGACCTTATAGGTTCCTAGGCTTCATAGTACTTACTGGGTAACGACCTCAGTGACGTAGACGGGGGCAGCAGGGGCAGTGGTGTTAAGAGCCATGGCAGAGGCAGAGGCGGCAAAGGCAGCGATGGCGGCGATGGTGAACTGCATTTTGATGGTTTTGGGTGGTGGTGGTGGTGGTTTGGGGAAAAGGTGAGTGATTATATTATTGGGTTGGTTTGCTGAAGCGAGTGTGAGACCGGAGTCGAAGTTGGATTGATGTATTAGCGAATGTAGTGGATGGAGAAGAAAAGCATTAACCAGAGGATAGGTCGAGTCCTTATATACCAGAGTTGCCATGGTCAAGTGTTTGTTCGCACTGACCCTTGGCGTAAGCCTCTCACCTTAGACCGGCTCCTCCGCTAATCGTTAGTGCCCACGCCCGCACCCAGCGAAATATGCAGAAAAAGCCCTGAGATTGGAGAGGCAGAGTCGGTCTCAGCTCAGATTGGATCTAGGTTCTTGAATTCGCCCGGCCGTTGCTGTCAACGAGCCTTCTGCGATAAGTCCCAGCAACGACTTCTCAACCGTGAGAACGTCCGGCAGTATCGCTATCGCAAAATGTACTTTTCCACTGCAACTTTGCGTCTTCACGGCAAGCAGCAGGAGACCATGATCGAATAACACCCAGGGATCCATGGCCAGACTTCCCCGTGTCCACGACTCGGAGTGGCGGCAGCCATGTGCACGATGCAATTTCCCACATCCCCAATGCGGGCCGTCGACAGTCGTATCCTTCCAGCCAGTGGCTGTGTCCTTGAATTAATGGTGAGGAACATGTTAGCGCAATCACCAACGGACTATTGACTCTAAAAATTGCCACTGTTCACAGCCCCAGCTGCCATGTCCGCTTGCGCTGTGTCTCTCCGAGTAATTTTGGTTATTCTTGGGTGGTTAAACTTCGCCGTTGAGCGCCACCCTTTTTCGCTTTCAATGTCTTGGTGTAGGAAACTGCAAGGACAACAAGGGTTCCTGCATAAGCTCGAAGCATGGCCAAATGACAAGCAACTTCCCGAGCGGCCCATCAGATACGGAGCCTCGACTCCTCGAGTAGGTATCTAGCTGAGGCCACATGCGGGAGGTCAATGGATTGTCGCTCAATTCACCAGGTAGTATTCGCCGATGTACAACTGAGACACGTCCTCTTCGGTTTTTGAAGAAGCAGGCCCAACAAGCTAGAGGGCTGAAAACTTAGCATCGTGTGAGCCATGCGCATAGGCGCCAGTGAATGGCGTAAGCGACAGCAGTCCAGTCAAGATGAGCGATGGGCGCTCTCCAGGAAGGCTGTGAGTCTGCCAAAGCTGCGTCCAGTTCTTCGCCTGAAGTATTTGCCTGCTTCGTGCCTTGAGAATACCTAGCAAGATGTAACCTGCGTCAGCTGGTCAGTCACAGGGCCTGAGGCAACCATTATTGAACGTTTGAGACCACGACTCAAAGGCTGTTAGGGCACGCCGCAGGCTCATCGCAATTTGCATATCGACGAGAGTGGTGGTTGGTGCTACTTTCGGCATCTCTTGCCTCAATATCTCTCGTCTTCACTTGAGCTTTTGCATGTATGCAGCCTTTGTTGAACGGGGATCACCGCTGAGGGGGAGACTGGGAGGGAGACAGGGACGAACGCTTGTGGGTGTTGCTGTCCGAACCGAGCTCTGCACATCCCCCACATGCAGGAAATTAATCCTGGTTCAAGGCTGGTCTATGCGCTCACTGGTGTTGTGGTTTAGATGATGGCTCTAGAAGACAAGCACATGGTTGGGGCCAGCGTACGAATGTCTTGACTGGCAGTGATTCGCTATCCCCATCAGCCGCTCCAATCTCTTGATCACAGCACACAGAGCCCTTTGACAGAACGATCATGCGATAAAGTCGCCGAGGAAAGAGGAAAGGTATCTAATAATTGGCGCTCCTTTGCCAATGCCTCATCTCGGCTGCCATTTTCAGTGCTGTCGTCGCGATTTGACCCGCCTGTCATGAAACTTCGTGTAACTCATTTCGTTATGCCAGCCAAACGCACTCTATTCGTATTGTTGGCAATAACAGCAAAACAGATGTTTTCTGCCACGGTGGCAGGCTGATCTCCTGCCTTCTTTCATTCGTGACACGCGACAAGGAGAGAAGGTCTGATGACCTTGACGATCCTGAAAATCTTCACAAACAGTCTCTTGAGTTGACCGCACCGATGTCCATCCCTTGACAACCCGTCACGACTTGCAAGCTGAATCTCGATGCCCTTCTCTGTTTGTCGACACAGCTTCGACTGATGCTAGATAAGAGAGAAGCGGCTGGATGGGAACAAAGCTCATTGCGCCTGGCAACAGGAGCATCTTTCCAAACATAGGAAGTTCAGTGCTGATGAATTGTTCTTACATGCATGCACTAACTATCGGTCGTCATTGAGTCGAGCCGTCTTCTTCAAGAACGAGTGTCGATGGTCATAACCCGACCGATCCTCCGCACGCACCCGCGTCGATCAACAAGCCGGGAATCACAAGTCGAGTCGGGTTCGAGCTCATCCCAAACGTCAATACTTACCGATTTCGGACCGGATTCACAGACATCGACGAAGTTGTTTCATGGTCATTCCGATGTATACGAACACCAAACCACGTGAGTCAATGTTGACAGCAAAGTCGGTGAAGAAGAGTCGATTGAAACAATTTTCACAGCCACACCTTGCGACTACCGAATGAGGAAAGATCGAAGGAAGATCTCTTCATTTTTCCACGATGACTTCGAACGTCAAAGCCGTCCTGTTCCCGCCAGTTAAGGTTGTTCGATGTCAGTAAAGTTTGCGATCTCGCCGACATTTCTGCGCATCCACACATATCGGTCGCCTGTCGTGTACGACTCGAGTTTGGAGATGGCGGCTCCGTCGGAACGAGTTACTCCTATACGAACACGTTCGAGCTTGTTGCGTTCATGCACGGCTGGGAGAGGTGTAAAGAGTGACGCGGATATGAATAGGAGAGAAAATTCTCAAACGAAAGATTCCCGTTCGTACCCGTTGGAGAACCATAGGATGATGTTGGATGACTTCCATCCGGCCATCGCTGCAGACAATCTAAGACTGCGATTTCGATGCTTGCCACCTCCTGAAGTCCCAAATTCCAACGTTTCAGGAGTGCTTGCCTGGATTGTCGCGATGTATGATGCTGTAGACTTTCGAGATGTCGTGCATGTCCATCGAAAGATACGCTGGATCAACACATACCCTTTCGAACGAGACTTCGTGATACTCATACCATGTCTGCTAGCAGCAGTCACAGGTTTTGCTCACGCACTTTGGAAAAGAGAAAGACAGAGTAATGTGAGAGTAAAGATGATACTGATACAATAAGAAATATGCGCGCTGCTAGGGGGGTATATACTGTCGTGGATCAAACGCCTCAAGCGCCTGCTGTACAATAAAATCACAAATCTGTCGTAAATGTTCGTGTTCTCATAGTTCTTGGAGCATGGCCGAGCATATCCAGAACATTTTACAGACCAAGGAAAAGTTCCGAAACATGGTGGCATCGCCTGACCACCTTACACACGGAGATTCGATGCAATGAGCTCTGCATCCTCTGCGTGAGAGCTGTGTCGTCGTCTTTTTTGTTCCTTGAGCTCATGCTCGACGTCCATCAATCGTGTTGCGACCCATGATCTCATTCTAGGGTCGTTCTTGACAGCGTCACAATTTATCAAGTCGGTAAGAGTATTCTTGATTCGGGAGGAGATGTCGGCAAGCTTGACCTCATCAATGGTCAATGGTGGTGGTGCTGAGGGTTCTTCTGGAATAGATGTGATGCTCGTCCTGTTTGGTGACGTTGGTGGTGAAAGCGAGCTTCGGCGAGAGCCCAGCGAGGATGATCGAGAGTGTCTCCTCATGCCAGAGGGTGGAGTTTGTTTCGTTGAGAACGAGAATGCGGGTGAGGGCGATGCGAAGGATGAGGAAGGAGATGCAGATGCTGAAGGCGAGCTACTCGAGGGACTGCTGGACGAGCTTGAGCAGTTTGAGTCGATCGATAGCCGACGGCGAACATTGGTCTGCTGAGAGTGCAGAATCATGTAGGTTTGAATGAGTTGAGACTGGAGTCTTGTTAGCCACAATTGGTATACAGATTCATCAAGGTGAATTTACTTTTTCGGGAGCTGTGGAAGACATTGCTCTGGCTTTAGATCGATGATGAGATGATGGTTGAAAGAAGACCGGCTTCAATCAAGTTGATATAATGCGCTGCGTCGCCGATGGTTGATGTGGAGATGGAAGGAATGCGAATGTCAGGGGAAAGCAGAAGGATTGGTATGATAGACGATGGCAACGTCTCAGATAAGAAGATGATGTAGGATGAAGAAAGTTGGAGGATAAGGTGCACGAATGAATATATGTACAGTATTTGTCCCAAAGGCTATAATTGCACAATGTTTACGAAGGAGATTAGAGTTGGTTATCGTGCAGCGAAACCCACACCTTCTTGACTAGAAACACATGTCGTGGATCTCACAAAGCCCAAAGATCGTGGAATGCAGGAGTGGAACTGAAGATACGCGTAGACGGGAGTCGCTGGAAGCAGGTGACGTGCCTGCTGATCGGCAGCCATCTTGGTCCTTGGAAGTTGATTTCTGTGTAAACTCTGACGAAAGTGGGTCTGTCTTGCAGCGAAAAGAGGTCAGAAATCGATGCGATAGGCGCGCGTCCAACGAGTAAGCTCAGGAAGGGTTCGGATGGTTCAAAGTTACTCGGGGGCGATGCTCGCTCCCGATCGCGCGATGTCAATACAACCTTCTGATCCATCGCATGATGAGAGGCTCTGCTGAGCGAGCCAATGATCGGGGTCGTTGCAGATCATGCCAAACCATGTTTTGGATGCTCAGCTTTGTGGGGCACGACAGCCACATTTGTTGGCAAAACTTGGCCGCCACGTTTGCATTGTGGCATCACCTTGTCTATCTTTACTCATAATTGGTTGAGCGAGTACGCACGCGCTCCGTTTCACACCTCATTTCAATTGTCGTTATCCTACCCTCCACGACAAGTTTGGTATCTCACTTGGCCGGAGTACAAGAGAACTCTGGTGTTGATGACGTCGCAATGTATCAGCGTTTTCCTCGTTTCTCGTTTCGGTGAGTCCTCGTCTTACAGAGAGGGTGCGATTCAAGATTGCAGTGCACACAATCTTGATACACTGCATCATTCTTCTACCATGGCGCATGAACGAAAGTGAAGCAACAGCCGGTTGCGGTGGGGGACGGAGAAGCAATTCGATAGTCTAATCTTACAAGATCGTAGTCAAATCGTCGCAGAGCAGAAGCAGCGACACCTCGCAGCTACAGCATCGGATCGTTGCCGAGTCCCGATAACCACCACCACTTCAGCCACATTCTACCTCCTGCATGACCCGTTGCACTCGGCCCAAGCAATATTCCACACGGAATTTAGAAGGTTTGATCGCTTGGGCTTCTACACAAGGCTGACACTAGTGACTAGAGTCAAGATGGCTCTGACAGCAATGCGCGGATTATGAACATGGTCTCAAAGATACCCTCGGCATCGACCTTACAACTCCGAGTATATCGTCATGCGAGGTCTGCAATATCAATAGCATGAATGACACCCAGAGGCGCGAGGACCCTCTGAAAGTACTGTGCTTTTTCAGTGGCCAATATCCTTTACGAAGCGATCACGCTCATTGCATCTCCGTCGAACCCGACGCTCTATCGAAAGGTATTCATGTATTGCTACATTTACGAGAGCGAACAAAGTTGGCTTGGCATTCGAGTTCTCACATGAGATCACACATCACCTCATCCACGCCGTTCCGGTACCAGTATGCTAACGACTATCAATTGACATTCCTGAGAAGCGCTTGAAGCATGCCGTTCGTTCTCTGGGACTTGCGCGTCCAATCGCATCCTTGCCAGGCGCGGCATACCGGTGCCTTCCTGGTCGATCGCATGGTATCCTGCCCAAGTCGCGAGCGCCCAAACTCGAGAAGCATATTTGCCATGTTATCCGGGTACATGCTTGAGGACTTGATCCTTCTCAGGGTATGCTTTTACTTCATGAGGATCAAAGAACCCTTGTACCGGCAGAGACAGAAGCTGGGGCTTGGGACTAGGAAGATCACAAGTTCTTACCTCACACCAGGTCATGCCATCGTTGAACGTGATCTAAACTGATATGCGCTGTTCTCGACTGTCTCGCAGACAGCACATCACGCTTCTTCGCCCTTCGAGCTTTACCAACACTGCTAAAGATCTCGATCGCTTTCGCCATTTCAATGAGAAGAACGAAGAGCGACCGCTAATAATTCAGGGGTAGACTGGGTTGTGAGACAGATGTTGGCATCCAATATGAGTTATGCCAAGTGGTTTCGTGATGAGAAGGAAAAGCAAAAACCACACGGCGGGCGTGTGCTAAACTTCCCCACACTCACCAATCAAAATCAACGGAGCATAAAACGTACCGACAGCGTACTGGCATCAACTCTAAAACTGAAAGACCTCTCACGATCAACTGTGGGCCGCGCCGTACGTACGGAACAACACGCACCTTCTTGCAATTGGCGCCGTTGAAGCTGTGCACTCTGCCTCCATCGACACGATATGCCTAAGTTGCGGGTTGGAAGCTGTCGCTGATAAGCGTTTTCGATCACACGGTTGTCAAAGTTAGCGACCAATGACTTAACGAATTCTGAGTTTGCTCCAAAGACAAGTGTCTCCAGAAGAATCTCGCTCAGGGGTTTGAGGAAGTTCTGTTCGTTGGTTCAAATCCTAACAGTTTGACCAAAAGCTCGAACTTTGCATGAAGGTGTTCGACCGCATGACCTACGATTGAGCGCTTCAATTTATAGATCATGAAGACGACTTCGGACCTGTCGCGCAACGTTCTTGAGACGCGAAGCCTAAGGTCGAAGATTGAGGCTTGAGGTTCGTCGCAGAGCACACCTACTCCGCTCATCCTCACCTTGATGGACAGATCTAAACATAGAGTATGCGACGCAGGATCAACGTCCCCAAGTCCTCAAGTGCAGAACCTGATCACGCGGACAGCCTTTTGTACACAATCATTGTGCTCAATCGATATATGCAACCACAATCACCCCCCAATGCATTTCCGCACAATTGTTAACGCGGCCTTTCTCCTTGAAATTACCTGCTGAGAGGGGCCCCCTGTCCCTGATTTCGAGTTACCCTCAAGGCATTTTGCACGGATCTGTATGTACTCATATCTGTTTTACCTCCTGTATGCAAGCCTGGTCTGATTCATCTGCTTGATTCGCCATCCTTCGCGTGGAGTGTGGTGTGGCTTGGATTCAACGTCGGGACAACAAGCGGCATGCAAACAGTAGACCAGCCTAGCAACTCCAAGAATCCTTGCATCAATCGGATAAAGTGTTGGTAATCGTCCCTTCTGTCCAAAATCATACTCACTATCGTCCTGTCCTATTTGGAGTTTCAGTCGTGGTTCTCTTACATGGTTGTGGAAGAATCGAGGACACTGGATTATGTAAGCACTGGGAGATTAAGCTTTTTCCCTGGCTCGCGTTGAGGTCATCGTCCAGAAGAAAAATAATTGTTCCAGACCAAAGGCTCTATCAGAATACATTCTGCTTTTACATGAGACGTGCAATACTATTTCGTCAGCCATCCCGCTTAACTTTCACCTCCTCATCACTTCTGGCAAGACTCATTTTCGACACATCAATTTGCAATTTTGGGACGCTTCACTCATCACATCAAAGCGCTCACTTACCACATTCAAATCGAACCTTTCGCATCATGAGCTCAAACCACATCACCGCCGAGGTCCGGGCGCAAGGAGAGAAGGTCCCACAGACCCAGATACTTCCAATAGATCCAACAAAATTGGGGCGTTTCTCAGACAGATCTACAAATTCGGGAATGCCTCTGGAAGACTGGGATCTGGAATTGGACACATCAACACAAGACGGAAAGAACCTACAGCTAGCGGCCTCACATCTCAAATGCTCAGACATTCCAGTCGCATTTCCGACAGAGACAGTATATGGACTCGGGGCCGACGCAACTCGCAGTGCAGCAGTCAAGGGTATCTACCAGGCCAAGCAGAGACCATCTGACAATCCTCTGATCGTACATATCGCATCACTTAAACAATTGCGACGGCTGCTGTCTACGTCTAGCTCATCGCCTGAAGTCGACCCTATCCCACAAGTATACCATGCACTGATTCAACGTTTCTGGCCTGGACCGATCACCATCATTCTGCCAGTGCCAGAGAACTCTGAATTGGCTCTAGAGGTCACAGCGGGACTGCGCACTTTCGGCGCCAGGATGCCTCGTGATTTGCTCGCACTGGCATTGATAAAGACTGCGGATGTGCCCGTAGCAGCACCATCGGCGAACGCTTCAACGAAACCATCACCCACAGCAGCGGAACATGTACGATACGATCTGGATGGCCGCATTGAGCTGATTGTAGATGGCGGCCCTTGCGACGTTGGCGTTGAAAGCACAGTGGTAGACGGATTAAGTTCCCCTCCGGCAGTGCTCAGACCTGGTGGCATAGGAATCGATTCGATCAAAACAGTACCTGGTTGGGAGAACACGGTGGTAGGCTACCACGATATTTCATTGAAAGGAGATGCCGCGCCGAGGGCCCCGGGTATGAAGTATCGACATTACTCACCAAAAGCACCTGTCATGTTGGTGGAAGCTACAGGAGGCACGCAACCTTCTTCTTCAGATCTAGCACGTCAACTAGGCGTAAAAGGTAGTCTGGGGTTTGTCAGGACGAAGAAGTGGCAGACAATGTTGGAAGGTGACAAAGAGAGTGGTGCCAAGGATGAGGTGGCGGGTAGACTGGGTTCACTGGAGCCACCTCCGATAGGCGCTGGTTCCTCCGCCTCACCTCTCGAAGTCATGCTGCAAGAAACCTCTCATCACCAGAAGCAGTTACATGCGGAGGAAGTTCAACTCGAAGATGTTGGTAGAAGCTTCACTGTGTGGGACATGTGCATTGGGCCGGACACTGCGAGCGTGGCGCGTGGCCTCTTCTCAGCATTGAGGGAACTGGATCGCAAGAATGTGGATGCAATTGTGGTTGAGGGCATTGATGACGAGGAAGGCGATATTGCGGCGGCTGTCATGAACAGATTGCGCAAGGCGGCCGAGGTCAAAGTCGTGCAGCTTTAAAGTCCTGCGGCGGACCAGGATCGAAATTGGAGATTGCCATGCTGACGCATAGTATTCGGAGTGAATTCCGAATCAGAAACTGGAGTAGCCGACTACAATCCCTCTCAGTTGTCGTTACAGGCCACCCAAATAATATATCTACCAAGAATAAAACATTCCTAACAGAGCCATACACTTGTCGCATGAGTCTTTGACTTCAGGAGCGTTACCGGGTCACTATTGCTATATCGTGCTCCATTGATTGCCGTAGCACATCTCGATCAGATCCGATGGTGATACTAGTGCCCCGAAGATACATATCTGCTGGTGTCTAGCAAGAGTCTCCAGCGTTTGACAACTCCGAGATATCGTTCTCGACGTACATAACTGAATGTGGCACGATAGAGACGACTCTTCCAAGATGCAAGAGAAAAGGATTGTTCCATCAAGCAAAGTGACGAAGTGTTCCCGAGGGATGGAAACGTTAGCAAACGCACAACTCATGCCTCGACTGGATGGCAAACCCCTGATGTACTTGACGCCGGCTGCGCATGCCTTTTGGAAGCCCTATTCTCGACCGGCGGGACCAACTCCGCCGGGTTTGGGCGTCGGGCGACCACGCATTACGCGGGATCCAGCACGGCCTGTCCCTTGTGCCCAGTCAAGCAGCTCAAGGACTGAGGTTATGAACGGAGTCTGGGCCGGATGACACTACCTGTGCTTGACAGGACGAATCAGCTTGGGCTGAGTGGCCCCTATGTGCGGCTATGGTCTCTGCAGGCGTAAAGCTAGTGCCGGATGTCAAAGACAGCGACCTCATGTGGCAGAGGTGTTGCGGACCAGACTCCATCAGCCATTCTCTAGTGGGGCAGAGGAAGGGGTGGGTTGGGCAAGGCTCGACTGTCGGAGGCGTGGTTGTTACGAGGGCAAGAGCGAAAGACTAGCATCTCGAGAGTCGAGTCCATAAAGCACGCAGCTGCCCTTCGGTGTCTCCGGACTAGGTCGCTTGCACAGAACCTTCCCCAGACCGTCTCATTCGCAGCCACATCCAGTGCACGCAACGGGTCTCTACCTCGACCCATGGACTGAAGCACAATGGCCAAACACGTCTCTATCCTGGTCACAGGCTTCGGAGTAAGTACAGAGCTCCAGCTGGTCAGACATGTCGCGTCGTGACAGAATGCTTTGGTGACGCGCGCTGTATGCGCCATGGCCCATGCCCCATGCTCATAGCAGTGCGGTCGTGACGCTTCCAATGTCTCCGGACAAAGTCGCCGCACAGCACCGCACAAGACAGCAGCGTCAGGCGTCAACAATGCCCGGCCACCACTGCCTCCAGCAAGTCCGTTACTGACATTGCTGCCATTCTAGCCGTATGATGGTGTTGGCTCTGGGAATCTCTCTTACTCGATTGTGACGACGTTGCCGAAGTTCCTTCCTGCCACGTCCAGGTGCCCCATCCCCGTGCGCGTCGTCATCCACCCCTACGACATACCAGTCATCTACAACGAGGTCCGATCGCTCGTCCCACGTCTCTACGACGCCTACGGCCATGAGGCCGACATCTGGCTGCACTTTGGCATGCGCCCCGGCCAGGACTCTTACTCGATTGAGAGAGTCAGTCGCCGCGACGGCTACCATGAGACCGAGGACATCACAGGCCACACTCTTCCCAAGAACGACGGCGAATCCTTCTTTCGAGACTGCCCAAAGTCCCTCTACACCACACTTGACATAGACGATGTCTTTGCCCGCTGGCGCTCCAAGCTGCTCGACGCACCAGAAGTCTCGCCCGAACTCGGTGCCGTGCGCATCCGCAAGAGCTCCGATCCAGGACACTTCATTTGCGACTTCCTCTACTATTCCGTGCTCGCCGAACACTGGAGGAGAAAGGGCCGTCCCATTGGCGGCTCGCGTCTACCAGAACTTCTGCCCGTCATGTTTCTGAACGTACCGACCGAAAACACTGTAGAGCAGTTGCGGAGAGCCAGGCATGTCACTATATGCCTGATGCAAGCCCTTGCTGAGAATTGGACCGCAATACATAGTGTACCTGGACCTTCCACAAGGCCGTAACGAGGACGAATGCCGCGACCACACACAAAAGTCAATGGAGAACGGAAGAGCGGCCAAAGATACCCATTCATAGAGCAGAAGAGACTTCGCAGTACCAGTATTGAACAGCGGATTACCAACCTCTTGACAATTCCCTCCAAGAAGGTGAGAGAAGACGCTTAAAGTGGCCTTTGTTTCGCACGAAGAGTTATACCTATCACAATTGACGGCCTTACGCCAGCCAATACTGAGCGTGAAAAGGGGTTCGTGAAGTCCTCGTATGTGATCCTGACGCCGGTAGAGAACGAGGTAGAACTTGGGAGAGGCCAGCAGACTGTTCATGTTAACCAGGAGACACCGCACCGTGTAAGATACCTATGCTCCGGCCTTGGGGCTTGAGAGACTCGAATCTTCGTCTTGACAAGCTGCTCTGTTCGTGTCATGATATAAAACCCAATCTATTATTGGCCAAGTCATTAATCTGCACAGAAGGACAACGTGGTGCAGTTTTGCTAGAAGCAGACACACCGAATGATGTCGCTTGCTAGCCGCTGAAACATCATTAAGCATGGCATCATACTTACCTCAGGGGGCACTAGACTCGTGAGCGGTCATCACCGCGAAGCTCACAAACAGAGAAGCGACAGAGCGGCATGGCGGAAGCAATGATGAAATAGAATAAGACCCGTGGTTACGAGAAAAGGAATAACCTGTCGGGGGGCCGGCCATGCCGCCGAAAAGCCAAGAGTCCTTCAGACCCTTGTACCACCTGCGGAACCGTCTCTTGACCTTGAACAATTCTCACAGCGTAGCAGCTGTCACTAAGGTCCAGATCCGGATCCTCACTTCACTGCACCCACATAACATCGACTTCTAGCCTCTATTGATCTATATGCTTCGCCTCCCTGAGCATGCACCAATGCGGCACGGTGTGTGGTCGCCCATACTTAGCGGTATCTATGGGGAACTCGCGGATCTGAAGGGTCACAGTGTCAGCATTGCTCTCATGTATGTTTCATATCCACGAATGCTTACATCTTTGAACCCGTTCTTGGTGTAGAGATATTTGCCCATGACGGAGCCCTCTAGGTAGACTGGCAATCCCAGGTCATCCGCCTTCTCCAAGCCCCATCTCAACGCAGCAGCACCGGCTCCCCGTCGCTGAGCTGTCGGGTCCGTCGCAAGTAGCTTCAACAATGCGTGCGGCTTGCCTCCCAAGATCTCCCGTCTGGTCTTCGTTTGCACTTCACGAAGATCACTCACTGCGGTGAAGTTGACACCGGGAACAGGCTTCTGCTCCGCGCGCTCTTTCCTCGCCTTTTCTTCCTTGTCCGATATCTCTTGGTCGGTTAGATGTTTGGTTTGGTGGTACCAACCCGCGACAGACAGGACTGTCTTGGTGCTGCTGTCCCGCACGAGGATATAAGAGAAGGAAGGGTCAGACAAGTCGAATCCACTGCGCAGATATTCTCGCACGGGCTCCGTAAGACCTTCGGGAAAGAAGACCGATTCCAAGTTGCCCTCCACTGCAGTGAAGGCGTTCCAGTATACCCGGATGTAGGCGTCGATGTCGGCTTCCGTCAAGGGCGTGACCTCGAGAGACATGTTATTGTGACTAAATCAATTGATGGATATGATGTTGGAATACAAGAGTGGTAACTTCATAGTCTAAGGTATGTAGACATATTACAGCATTGGACCCAAGTCTGCCAAGTATATATCTTGCTGCCTGAGAGCCAAGCATCCTCTCGGTGTCGCGAATTGGAAGGAAGATAGGTAGTGCTTGTTTACAAGTACACAATCCTTGAATCTGGAAAACAGTCTGAAGGTGCCAGATCATCTGTTGAACTTTCCCATCTTTATCGCAGGCGATAGAGCTACCCATCGATTAAAGGCTGACAGGTCAGAGTGCTTGCCATTCCATGAATCACATCTGGTCCGTGCTTACATCCTTCGATTCCCTCCATGTTCGCAGCTTCCTCCTGCTTCTTACCTTTGTTTCTCAATTGGCAATTTACCACAATGCATACCTCAGAGCTTGCCAAAGTACTGCCCAAGTCTCATGATGTCAGTCCTCTGTGGATGTGGTCTGAAGCGCTGGGATGTGTCTCCAAAGTTGGATGTAATCGACTGGTCTCGTCGATTCGCTAAGGCAGTCGATCTGTGACTCATTGACAAAAAAGACAACTTCGAGCGACCGCAGAATTCGCATCGAGAAGCCTTGCAAAGCGCCAGGAGGAGGTCGTTGCTATTGGGAACAGACGAGGGCTGCCGCTGCCGTCTTGTCCATGGCTTATGTGCGCCTTATCTACTTGGCAATATACCCAGCAAGCAACACTTGCAACGCCTTCAGATTGATTTCACCTACAGCTTGACTGGACAAGATAGGTTATCTCGACCACTGTGTCGCTGTGTCGGACGGCGCCGTAACCATTATTAACGATTGATATGGTGTGCCTCTTGTCGCTTAAGGAAGACAGCAATTGGTGAAAGATACAAGCCAACTACAAGAGGCTTGAGTTTACTTGGCACCAAAACGTTTTCGCCCGCTCTATCAAACCTTGAAGGGTCACGACTTTGGAAACCAGTCTTCCTTAAGACGTCGCACCCAACTCTGGTAGTATATTCTGGCGCCTCTGCTGGGTCTACGACGACGGACTGGCTCATGACGGCATCTTCAACGGCGTGACAGGACCCAGGAAGCTGGTTCTTTTATCAGCGACTCCATAAAACATTCTCGCTAGCGATGCACACTCTTTTTCGCCTGCGAGCTTTGTCCTCCGGCTAAACCGATAAGGGTCTACGGAGGTCACCGCTTAGACATCTAATTGGTCGTACCATGACCTCGGCAGGATTCTAGAAGCTGATAACGGCAGATCTCTCTCCGAGTTTCATAACGAGCTGCCAAATTCAGAGGTGAGACGGTGGGCTGGCGGGGTTCGCGAACACACACGCTCAAAAATAAAATATCGGCGACGCCCTGCCAGTTTTGACGTGTCGTGTGCTCAACTTCCACTCTTCTTCCGACCGTCACCCCTCCACCTCTCCCTTCGTCATTCTCATTGACCCTTCTCCCTCTGCCTTGTTGCAGTCGAGTTTCAGCCAACGATCTTCAACCCGGCTATCGACAGAGGAGAATAATCATGACGGAGTTCTACGACGAAGAAAAGGCCGGCAGGCTGCACCCTGACGAGAAGGATGTCAACGTTGATGTTGGCAGTGCTCAGGGTTCTACAGAGGTCGTCAACGAGGTCCCGGTCCAGAGCGGCGGTATCCTCGACACGCTATGTGGATGGGAAGCAACCCTGGATCGAAAGCTTGGTATCGAGTCTCAAGCCATTCGTCGCAAGTTGCCTGAAGAAAAGGTTCCTCAGAAGTGGCACAACCAGGCAGTCATGGCCCTGCTTTGGAGTGGTGGTATCATGAACTTGTCTTGCATGTCAACAGGGTTCCTCGGACCCACCTGGGGTCTCACCCTCGGCCAGAGCATTTGCATCACGATCTTCGGTACTTTGCTCGGAGCCAGTGTTGCCGGTTGGTGTGCTACCCTTGGCCCTGGTACTGGTCTTCGATCAATGTCCATCACTCGCTACAGCTTCGGCTGGTACCCCACAAAGCTCATTGCTGTCCTCAACATCATCTCTCAAGCTGGCTGGAGTGCTGTCGGTTGCATCACTGGTGGTATGTACATTAGATGACAACTTAAAGACAGGCGCTAACCGTTTAGGTCTTGCCCTTACTGCTGTATCGGATGGCAAGGTGTCTTCCGCTCTGGGTTGTGTTATCATTGCTCTTGGTAGCAGTGTCATCAACTTCTGCGGTCTCAAGGCCATTCTCTACTACGAGAAGTACGCGTGGTTCGTCTTCTTCATTGTTTTCATGATCATGTACGGCATGGCTGCCCCCCATGCTGTCAACATCGTCGACACTCAGCTTCATGGCGCCAACCTCGCTGGAAACGTTCTCTCCCTGTTATCAGTCGTGTACGGTAGTTCCTGCTCCTGGGCGACCATTGCCGCGGATTACTACGTCCACTACCCTATCAACACTTCCAAGGTCAAGGTCTTCACTCTCTGCACTCTTGGCATCAGCATTCCTACCTGCATTGGTATGGTCCTTGGATGCTGTGTCGGCACTGCCATGCAAGTCGACGACGAATGGAGTGCTGCCTACGAAGACGGTCTCGGCTACCTCATCCAGAAGATGCTCTTCCCTCGCGGTTTCGCCAAGTTCATTCTTGTCTTGCTCGTGCTCAGTGCTGTTGGTATGAATGCGCTCAACCTCTACTCATGCGCCTTGTCAATCCAGCAGTTTGCACGTCCTTTGGCCAAGATCCCTCGTACCTTCTGGGTTCTCGTCGTCTTTGGTGCTGTCACTGCTATTGCTGTTGCTGGTCGCGATCACCTACTCGAGTACCTGGAGAACTTCCTGTCTCTGCTCGGATACTGGGGTACCTCCTACTTCGTCATCGTGTTCCTCGAGCATTACTGGTTCCGCAAGGGTGATTTTGCAAACTACGATCTTGACGGCTGGAACACTCCTTCAAGATTGCCAATTGGTCTTGCCGGTCTCTTCGCTTTCCTTATCGGTGTCGTCGGTTGGTGTCTCGGCATGGTCGAGACTTGGTTCACTGGCCCTCTCGCTATCCTCATTGGCGACAGCGGCGGTGACATTGCCAACGAGCTTACCTTTGCCTTCACTCTCCTTACGTACATCCCTCTCCGCCACCTTGAGCTTCGATTCTTCAAGAGATAGGCAATTCGCGCATATGGTTTGCAGCACGGAGAATGACGTTGGACGAATGATCTGTATATATGCGATTTGCTTGGTTTTCTTTGCGGTTTGCTTTGGCAGGAAGACAGGGCGATGCTTCTGAGCCTGAGTCTTGATACCCAACTCAATCACTCTTTCAACAATCAACAATGAAGATGAACACCGTGATACACTGCTCCGTCATGCATTTGTCTGTAGGATTTCGTGGTTCTTTATTACTACGTTTTCCGTGTTAGACTGCGTACGGTACAGTGTGTTATGCGTCCAGTTGATTTTGATGTGATTTGGGGGTATTTGTGGACTTGGTTGGAGGTTTAAATGCTCTTTCTTCGTCAGCAGCATGTCGCAGACGACCTTTGCATCATTTGGCAGCCGCAACTGGACTTTCTCTTTGAGCACGGCCAATGACGTCGCGGGAGATGCCGGGATACCGCCTTGCAGAATCTTCGCCAAAGCTGGCAAGGCTTCTGACACGTCTCGTCCATCGTCTTTCAACCTCACTACTTGGACTTCAATCATGGTGTCGGTCAACACAGCCATCATCTAGCTTCGACTCGACACCATCTCTTCTATCAGGTCAGTGTTCGCTCTCTCTCTCTCTTTCTCACACATCACCCAATCCATGCGAAGGATTAAAACCTTTTAACCCAGAGTCTTTTCGATGAAGATTAAAAACGCAACAACACTCTAATTTTTTCATGACGCACATTCTCTCCTCTGCCCTGCTTCATCAACCAATTTTTGAATACATGGCTGACTAAGAGAAATAGAGATGAATGTCAAACCATCCCTTGCTGAACATGACGTCTGGTATATCCCCCTCGAGTGGATGCTATGACATGCGCTCGGCGGTTATGGTCACTCCGCATCTATGCAACGAACTCGCCCTTCATTTCGATCATCCAGATCGACCCAAGTTGTACAGGCCTCGTCAATTTGCGAGCAGGTTCCAATCTCGGCGGATGAGCAAGTATCGTGGACCATTCCAATAGCCACTGTCGCGGTGGTGGTGTTGCCTTGATGCAAAATCCCGTCACATTTTCCGCCAAGCCATACCACCCAACGCACGGCCTTGTCAACTCAAGCGAGAAAAAGCCGCACAGCAGGAACGAAAGTCGATTCTTCTTTCGTGATGAAGACGTCCAAACAACTTTTCCTCATTCGCCTCCCATCATGGAACTTCACCATGTTAGTTGAGTGGTTGAGTCCATGGAAAATCCTGTAATCACCGTAAGTCTACCCTTGTCTTTAGCACATCACCACATCACCTCCTCACCCACATCCAATGATGAGACAACCAGCTGGCACCAGTCCTAGAAAGACTTGTACTCTTTTTGCTGCGGAATAGCTTTGCACGGGACTAGACTCCCTACTTCTGATCACACCCTCATACATCTTCTCATCACTCACAAATGTGAAAAGAATATCGAGACTAACATTCGTCTCTCAGATCATGCCCGAGTTTCTCAGTCTAAACATGCCGACCTTATCAACGGCATCTTGAAGCTATTATCAGTTACCCCCCCCCCCCCCCCTTCACAGGTAGGCGAACAAGTCCTCGAGACTGTTCAGTAAGACTGCAGATCCAACATCTCGCAGTAACCCGTTGTACACATGTCGCCCGCATGTCGACAAAGCTTTCGTCGACGGTGGTGCACTGAAAGGTAGGTTTTTCGTAGTACTTTAGAACGGGATCAATACCAAAACCACTTCCACCAATATTACGCGTTCTTTGTATTACTCCTTGCGTTGCCTTCTCCTGTTCGTGTCGTTGCTTCGTGTATTTAAGAACATTTCCAAGGCCATCTTGGTCAAAAGTCCGCTCTCACTGCACAATTGTACAACGCTCATTCCTTCGCAGTGTTAGTAGGTGTTATTCCGCGTAGGCAATCTTCGCTCAACTCACCTTCACAAATCGGTCCTGCCACCAGTTGGTGAGTACACCTGATTCCTTCATCTCTTTCTCTGGGGCTTCGAAGGTGTGGCGACTGTAGGATAGAACATGGCAAATCTCTTGTCGGGTCTCTCATCCTCGCTGCCTTCCTCCATAGAATATCCCTCGTCTTTGCCGTCGAAGGCTTTACCGTCGAGGACTTCGATCTAGGGGACCCACTTGTAGTTGATTCCACGACGGCGCTTGCGAGTGGTCGTGATTGTAGTGGGGGTGTTGGAGGTCTCCTTATCAGATTCGAGATCGTCGATAACAGTCTCCTCGGTGACCTTTGAGGATTTGCAAGCAGAGTCGCCACGAAGAGACTTCATCCTGAGGACCTTGTCTGACGTGACTCTCAGGTCGGTCATTCTGGTCTTGCAGCCGATGGCAGGCTTGTCGAGGCTGACAGGAGTGGCAGGACCATTGCCCTGCTTTCCGGCAGTCGAGGGGCAGCGAGCACTGTTCTTGCCACGGTCGAATTGCTTGGTGGTCTTTTGGGGCGTGGCAGCGGCAGGCCTGTCAAGGCTACGGGGCGCCGGGGGCAGAGATTTGTACTCTGCAGTCTGGAAAGAGCGTTCAATAGCATATCTTTCCTTTATGCTTTGAGGAGTCACGAGCGACGCAGCAGGAGGAACTCTGAATCTGCAAGGCATAGGACGATGGATGACGACGTCGAAATCGTCGTCAGTATCCTTGACCACGATGGCGTCACTGAGAGAAGCGCCACCAGAGTCCTCGTTGACAGCGACAGATGCAGCGGGAGAAACACTGTCAATCAACTTGAACATGTCAGAGATTCGTCAAAAGTGGTTGAAAGCATAGATCTTTGCTTACCCGTTGGCTGATCTTGACGATGTGTTGTCTCAGTTCTTCGCCATTGGCAGGAGCAACACCGAGCTCAGTGGCTACAGATCGTCAGTATGAAAAGGCATAAGGTGGGACAACGAAACAACTAACGCCACAGCTCGACGATCTTGTTGGTAAGATCTGTGGTGATCTCTAACTTCGAGATATGAATGATGGACACGAGGACGAAGATGTCCTTTGCAGCGTTGCAGGTGGCCATGTTGGCGGGAGTTATCGTGGACTGTAGGAAAAGAAAGACGGTAGGAGAAAGAAAAGGGAAAATGAAAGAGAAGGAGAAAAGGTGTGAAACCGAGTATTCAGTTTCACGATTAGCTCCATTCGTTGTGAGAGCTCGAGATGCCACCGTGGGAAGAAGTGAGTGAGTAGTCTGGCGCGACGGGTTAGAATTTTGGCACTCAGCACACTCGCATCGCAAACGAGAAATATCAGAAGGAACGACGTGAGCGAGGATAGAAGATAGTTCCACAGAAGATTAGTTGTGATTAATCTGCCACTTTCCATGAGCCAGACATTTACTTCTGCACATCATCGAGTCTGAATAGAAATAGACAGTGTGCTAGATAGCTTCTGTGCCTTTGTCAGACACTCGTCGATTGAACCATGCTGACGTCGGTATTGGCAGCTCTCAGCAACTTCAGCACGTCATCCAGCAAGAAGCTGCAGTCAAAGAAGATCGGAGGAGTCACACGATTGCCATTATCTGACAGCGATGGAGACTCGTCCCGGCCCAAATCCATAGACAGTTCAGCCTGTATGCGTCCTCTCCTGGTCAAAGTCTCTCTCGGTGCCTCAATTATCTTGCCTTGCCACCGATACAAAAAGCCTCCCTACTATGATCGGAAGAGTCAGAGCAGTGTATCTGTAATTTCTCTCAAAGATCATGAATGTCTCGATCTCTCAACATGATCTTGCCTAATATACGTCCCAGTAGATGAGAGCAATGTGAATTTCACCAACATTCACCATATCATTCACGCAGAAGGATAGTTTGAAAATGGTTGTTTCATAAAGTAGCTAATTACATTAAAGAATGCTCAGATAGCCCGTCCCGGGCTAAGGCCCACCCTGCATCATATCATATCTCGATCGTAAGAAACCCTCTAGCAGAGAGTAAGGGTGAAGTCGTTAGAGTTGGAGCAAGCCTTGGTGCTGCCGTCAACCGAAGTAACAGCAGGGCAGTTGGCCTGGTTGCCAGTAAGACGAACACCCTGTCCGTTGAAAGGGTTGCCATCAACGTTGTTGAGAGAGTAGTAGACGACACCAGCGCTGTCAGAAGCACCCCAGATGAGCTTGGGTGTGTTGGCAGAGTAGTAGTCCTGGTTCTTGGTCAGGCCGTAGCTGTTGCCTTGGCCGGAGAGCTGCTCGCTGAAGTAGCCACCGTTGGCTGCGAGCTTTTGCTGGGTGTGGCTCTGGTCCTGGCGGGTGATTGTGAGGTAGACGTCCTGGCCACAGTTGTTCTTGACGGCGGCCTTGCCGGCAAGGGCGGAGGAGGCGAGAGCAAGAACGCTGGCGGCGGTGAAGGTAGAGAAGTGCATCTTGATGGTGTTTGTTGGGTTTGAAATTGGTTGAAGAGTGGACTGAGTTGGTTGTTTGGTTGTGAAGTGTTCTTGTAGATGAGAAGAGAGGATTGGTTGTAGGATGATTCTTGTTTCTGGCAGGACTCGGGCTGTCCTTATATACCTTTGACTTACCTCTTCATTCCTCTAACATCCGAGCGTCATGACTTCTCTATCAATGACCTCTTGCTATTTTCGGATCTCGTACGTGAAGGGGTCCATACTTTCGTCGATCATCAGGCCTTCTTTGCATTGCAAGCGGATGTCTGACTTGAGGATACGAGACGGTCAATGTCGATGGAGCAGTAGCCTTTCTCCGCAGCAGTGATCATCCCCGCTTATTTCCAGGTCCAGAGAAACATACTTTACGAGACCCTGTCCTTTTCTTGGACCTTTCGCAGACGGTGGAGGTAGATGCAATCCTTTGCGTTCAGGCACTGCTGCAGTGGTGGTTCATGGTGCTAATCTGATATTGTGGCGGTCGTCAGTAGCACACTGTCGACGTCCTCGACACTCTATACCTTGCATAACAAGTCAGCAGACCAGTATACTAGTAAGTTGACGGATCATTGCAAGTGGTCTTGAGTGATGTAACCTTAGAGCCCCATCCTCGGCTTGGCAGGGTCTTGAGGTGCCAAGCTTCTCGTGTGTCCCAAAAATAGACCTGCCCGCTCGAGCTTTCTTTCATTCCTTACATCATGGTCTTCTATATCGAGGGTCTCAAGAACACGGGGTCATGTGTATGTTCACGAGACTACTATAAGCGCAACGGTTGAGTGGACGCAATGCATTTTCAGTACCGTGGCATCTCTCTCTCGTCCGCAACTTCCGTTCGCAAGGCCTGCCGACTCCGCTTTCAATGTCGTATCGTCGAAGATCCCAAGCATCAGGCCATGTCGATGTGGTCATCATGCTGAGCCATCTCATCTAGTCAACATATCACTCCGTTTGACTTTGAGAAGAGAGGGCGAAGCGATGCAAGCCGCAGGGCATGTCGTAGTCGAGCTCGTGATTTAGGCTGACCAGTGAAGCGGTCGAGGAATGCAACCGAGCACGATATCTTGACAGTCCACTTCTTTTACCTGTTCTCGTAATCCAATAGAGTCCACAGAATTCTGATGACATAACAGCACCAGATCCAAGCTCATCGCGATCCGATACCGCTGTCGAAGCGGACATGATCAAACAAGACACGACAGCAGAAGGCATTTGTGTTGTCCTGTCATCTTGTAAGCTCGAGCAACGTGCATCTATGTCTTGGAGTACGAGATGCAAGGAATGTCAGAATTGATCGATCAGTTGACGCTGGCATCCGTAGTCAGGTATGGCATGTATTACTGAATCTCGGTACTTCTCCTCGTGGTCTTCCGAAGTGGGATCAAAGACTCCGTCTACCAAAGCAGGCAGTTGTATATATCGCGGCTCACCTCCATTGCTCAAATGTTCGTCCCGCGGATGCAGTGTCATGATCGAAAATGACAAATTGTCATAACACTCAAGTAAGGTGTCGCGGCTGGATGGTGAAGAGGACAAGAAGGACTGACTTGGAGTTCAGGGCCGACGGACCATCTGGTATCTCACGGCCACAACTTGGAAGGCACAAAAGACTGAGGGAGTGACCTACTGGTTAGAATGAAGATATTGGTTCGTCCATGAGGCTCGAACGCGCCTCTCATATCACAGATTTCTAATCTGTGAAACACGATTGTCGGAGTATTAGACGACGGCGGGCAAAATACTCACCTCTTGCTGCAGTCCATGCAAGATACAAGTCGTTCATGTAGCGAAAAGTGTCAATAGAGAAACGCAAGGGCCCGTAGATGATGCAGTGCTTCGCGGGAAGAAAGCCGCATATAGCCTGCAAGCCACACTTGCGCCAGTCACGTTGCACACATAGGGCAGTGCTTCCATAATTGCGAACCTTACCCCCGGGATACCAGAAGCGGAGAATGATGATCAGTTCATCATTACCAAGCCAACTCTGTCATCCTCAAGATCAGGAGAACGAAACATCACAATCAAAGAAACAACAACAAGGGGGAATGAATGTGGTCTCCATGACGAACGGTCCGATCTTGCTCAGAGATGAAGATGAGCAGTTTTGCTGTTCCATTCTTCCCCGGAAGCGGTGGAGAGAGCATGTGTTGTAGCACGCTGCAACGGGTAGTGGCTTCCGATATACTTGCATGAGGGGAAAGGAAAACCGCACCGCCATTTGATCGGTGGTACGCGGCAGAGGGTGATGGTTCTGGGGGTGCCGAGGAGTAGGGGTAAGCCACCATCACAGAATCCCAGGCTACGCCATAAACAAACCTAGGTTGGCAGGGGAAAAGCCGACAAAGGCGGACAAAAGGCAACAAAGGGCTTTTGGCGCTGTGAGCGGCCAAGGAGACGTGGGGTGTGATTCAAGAGCTGCGATGCATCATTCCAGCAGTCAGCATTACCAAGCACCAAAGATTCCGTGGAGAGAATGGGGAGAGCCTGGGGGACTGCGGTTCTGGAAGGCTCTCGTCAGCTGCAGCAATGTAGATCTCGTGCGGATGGGTGGCGGTCCAGACGGTTTTGCAGGCCATCTCCGGCTGAATGCGGTGCATCTCGACCAGGGAAGGGTTGCCAGCCTGCATGTTGGCGCATGCATATCTCTTTCTCGGAACCTGTTCCACAGAGCAACAATCAACGGGGCGAGGAATACGTACAAAAGGATGTTGCTTCCGCTCCATTGACTGTCGGCTCCCCATCCAATTTGCAAAGTCATAATCAATAATACAAAGATCTTTCCACACTCTCGTTCAAGAAGAGAAAGAGTCTTTATCGCCAGGAATTACCCCAGTTGCCCAGAAAGTCAACCTCCGCTTTCAGGCTTTTCTCCACACCAAGAAGCCGGAACGCCACAAACGCCGCCACCAACCCTACCATTTCGTCAAAGTCCGGCCTCACTCGACATTTCTTCTCCTTCAAACATTCGCTCATATTCAATCACGATTACGCGATACTGCGTCGAGTCTCTGCACCATCTCACAACATTCGCTAAAGCGCCTTCCGTATACTCTACCTGATAATCTCTGCAAGTCTTGTACAAACTCTTCCACGAATTCCGCTCTCCGGACTTTGCGACAAACTTCTACTCCACACAAATCACACGACCCACACAACAAACCGCCAACATGTTCCCCGCCGACTGTCTACCATCCAACTACGTAGAAGCCCGCACACAGCAAGAAAAGGCACAAGCGCAAAAAGCAGCCGCAGACAAGAAGCCCACACATCTCGCTCAACCCACGCCACAACGACCCACCGTATCACGCGCTCTGTCGTCTGCCCTGTTCAGTTTCTTCCCTTCTGCTGGCTTGTCGGCGTCGACATCGCCGTCGGCTACACCTATGCCATCGCCTGGCTTGCAACAGTCGGGCAAGATGTCGTGGTTTGCTCCTTTGCCAAAGGCTTCAGAGTCGGATATTGCTGTGAGTTGCTTTACCTCGGCTTTGCCTTTTGTGGACGAAACTGACTTTTTTTTTGTGATAGTGTCTTCCTCCTGCTTGGTCTTGAATGGCAGATAATTATCCTACTTTATGAATAAGGGGGTGCCGCTGCAAATGACGTTTGCACCGAGCCCCTCATGAAACTTTCCTTTTACGGCGATGAAGATGTTGCAGAACATTCATCGGCCGACGACTTTTTCCTCAAAAAACATAATGGGGTCACAACAATGGCTGGGATAAGGGATGGAAAAATGGTATGGGCAAGGATGGACTCGGGAGAATGGATTATCAATAATGACGAAATGTAAAATGCACCGACTTACACTGTATGATCTGCTGATGACAGTCCTTACGATGTGACATGTCGCACGACAGCTGCCGTGACAACAATTTGCTATAGTCGCATCTGACCGGTGGGATATGCTGCACGCTTACAAAGGCAAGGTGAAGGGATGGTGTGAGAATACCATGTATGTACAATTTTTAGATATCATGACACGAAGTCCTGGTCAAGTCAGTCCACCTACGGTAGCACAATGTACTTGTGCAACTTTTCAGGAATGGCGTCGACGAGCTTCTTGCTCTCAAGCCACTTTCTGGAGAACAGACGGTCGGCGTAACGATATGCGCCATCGCAAAGAATGGTCACGACAGTGTGTCCGGGGCCCAGCTTTTGTGCGACGTTTCTTGCGGCTGCAACATTGAGAGCAGATGATGCGCCAAGGTAGAGACCCTCCTCATCGAGACAGCGGTAGACCATCTCGATACTTTGCTCGTCGGGGATATGGAGAGAGCCGTCCAGAAGGTCGATGTCGGGCTTGAGGTTGTCGGTCACACGGCCTTGACCAATACCTTCGGTGATGGAGCTTCCCTTGCGCTCTGTGAGTTCACCACCAGACTGGATGTAGCTGTGCAGAACACTGCCGGGAGGGTCGGCGAGGAAGCACTTGACGCGACCGTCGCTGACGGTCTTCAGGTAGCGGGTAATACCCGCGATGGTTCCAGCAGTACCAGAGGCACAGGTGAAGGCGTCAATCTTTCCAGCGGTTTGGTTCCAGATCTCGGGACCAGTGGTCTCAATGTGTGCACGACGATTAGCGGTGTTGTCAAACTGGTTGGTCCAGACAGCGTTGTCAAGACGCTCAGCGTGGCGCTTGGCCTGCCAGTTGTAGTTGTCGGGATTCTCGAAGGCGACGGCAGGGACGGGGTAGACCTCCGCGCCGAGCAGACGCAGCAAGTCGATCTTGCCTTGTGATTGAGTGTTGGGCATGTAGATGACGAGCTTGTAGCCCTTGCTGCGACAGACGTGGGCGAGACCGATACCAGTGTTTCCAGCAGTGCCCTCGACGACAGTGCCGCCAGGCTTGATCAAGCCACGCTCTTCGGCATCCTTGACGACATAGAGAGCAGCGCGGTCCTTGACACTACCACCGGGGTTCTGGAACTCGGCCTTGCCCAGAACATTGCATCCCGTCTCTTCTGACAACTTCTTCATGCGAATAAGTGGCGTCTTTCCGATGGCTGTTCATGGCAGAGCTACCAGTCAGTCAATCGCGAAGTGCGTGTTCAAGACATATCGAGGGCGTACCATCAATAAAGCCATCCTGGGCGATGCGCTGGACCTTTGAGATCTCGATGCCGTGGAGTTGAGGAGCCTCCATCTGGGCGACCGTCTCGGCCGGACGCAGAGCCGTGGCAGCGAAGCGACGAACTGCTGTGCGAAACATGATTGCTGTGGGAGATGCTCGTAGGAGGGAAGAGGGGATAGATAATTGCCATCATGGCTCCGCATATCGGAGATGATCGCGATAAGATGCGATGAGATTAGACAAGACTCGACCACGGAGATTGCGGGGCTTGGGATGCTTTCTTTGTTTACGCCAGCGGCTTTTGTTTCCTTCAGCTCATCGCATGTGAATCGGCACCATCGACTACAATGCCTGGAAGAGTCGCCGGCTCGTCCGCTAAAGCCACTGCTGCTGCCACGAAACCGCGAACCTCTCGGACTGCTAGAGCAGCTGCATCGTCACCCGCAAGCAACATCCCCGATGAGGGACAATCAACAAAGCTGCGAGACCATGTCGCTGCAGTCTTCTCGGATGCCCAGAAGTCAAACACTGGCCACAGGAAGCTTGTCATCAACTTGCGAAAGATCCAAGAAGCCTGCTGTTACGAGCCTTTGAGCTCAAAGAAGAAGCAGGCCGAGTACGATTTCGACGAGGACGACTTCAACACAGAGGTCGTGCGTTGTGTCTTGCGCGTCTTGCCCATCAAGAAGAGCGAGACTGTAGGCGATCGAATCGTCAAGTTTCTGGGCATCTTCTTGAGAGTGGCGAGTGAGAAGGACAACCAGCTGGTCGCTGATCAGGATGGCGCCTTGCCAGAGACTCCCACTTCTCGCCTGACGAATGCCATTCTCAACACTCTGTTGCAGCTACTTTCTACAAAAGACAAGATTGTGCGTTTCAGAGCCACTCAGATCAGCGCTCACATCATCAACACCCTCGACACCCTGGACGACCACATGTTCCACTTGCTCCGCCTAGCCTTGCTGAAGCGTATCCATGACAAGGAGTCCTCGGTCCGAATGCACGCCATCTACGGTCTGAGTCGTCTTGCTGCCGAGCTTGACGAAGACCAGCAAGACGAAGACAGCGACGATGATGATGCCAGTTCTGGTGTCTTGGAGAAGCTGCTTAACGTGCTACAGAACGACCCTTCAGCCGAAGTCCGCCGAGCTCTCCTCCTCAACCTTCCCCTCACACCTACCACTCTTCCGTACCTGCTCGAACGCGCCAGAGATCTGGATGCTGCAACACGCCGCGCATTGTACGCTCGTCTTTTGCCTGCATTGGGCGACTTCAGACATCTCAGTTTGACCCACAGAGAAAAATTGCTTCGTTGGGGTCTTCGTGACCGTGACGAGACGGTGCGCAAAGCCACTGCTCGTCTGTTCAGAGAGAGATGGATTGAGGATTGTGCTGCACTACCCGCAGCCACTGCTCCAGAAGAAGAGACGGAAGATGGCAAGAAGAAGCCTGGTGTCACAAAAGCTGCCGATCCCAGTCTCGAGGCTCTTCTCGAACTGCTTGAGCGCATCGATGTCGCAAACTCTGGAAACACTGGAGGCGTTGCACTAGAGGCAATGAGCGAGTTCTGGGACGGTCGCCCCGACTACAGAGAATATGTCACATTCGACTCTGAAGCCTTCTGGGACGAACTTTCGCCAGAGAGCGTTTTCGTTGTTCGCACATTCAACGACTACTGCCGAGCCAAGGATGCCCAAGGAGACGGAAGACTACTGGATATGCTCGAGATGAAAATGCCTGAAGTCACGAAATTCGGTTTCTTGCTCGAGATTCAGATCAACAAGCTGATCGAATGCGTGCGTGGAGCCGCTTCTGGTGGACCCGACGGTGATGGTGATGAGGAGATGGAAGAGGAGAGCGTACAGCGCGAATTCATCGTCGAACAAATGCTTCACATGGCCATCAGCTTCGACTACAGCGACGAAGTAGGTCGTAGAAAGATGTTCGGTCTCATGCGCGAGGCCCTCACAATGCCAGAGTTGCCAGAAGAGTCGACCAGACTTGCAGTCGAGACACTGCGCTTGGTCTGCGGAGACGACAGAAGCGACAAGGGCGAGAGCGACTTCTGCGGTATTGTTCTTGAAGCCATTGCTGAAGTCCATGATACTATCATGGGTGACGAGGGAGACAAGACAAAGAGCTCAACAGGAGAGGAGAGTTTCCACTCTGCTAGGAGTGAAGTCAGCGACGATGGCTCGGCGAAGAGAGGTAAGAACTCGAAACGCGCAGAGGACAACGACGAAGAGGATGAAGACGACGATGAAGAGAAGGCCATTCGCGAGATCATGGTGAACATGAAGTGTCTGCACATTGCACAGTGCATGCTTCAGAACATCCAATGCGAGCTGGAGCAGACTGTTCATCTGGTGACTATGCTCAACAACCTTGTCATTCCAGCTGTCAGGAGTCAGGAAGCGCCCATAAGAGAGCGCGGTCTGGTCTGCCTCGGTCTTTGCTGTTTACTCGGAAAGGTACGTTTTGCGAATATGGCGCATCCGAATAAGCTACTAACATACTGCAGAACCTTGCACAAGAAAACATCACCCTCTTCTTGCACTGTTTCGCCAAGGGTCACGCATCATTGCAGACGATTGCACTTCAGATCATTACGGACATCCTTACAACACACCCATCTTTACTTGCTCCTGTACCATCAACAGGAGAAGGCGACGAAACATCCGCTACGCTCTCCGCTACCGAGCCATCACCATTACTCAAGCCTGTCCTCAAGACTTTTTCCAAGTCGTTGAAGTCAGACGACGTCGATGTTCAATCAACAGGTGCATCGGCTTTGTCGAAACTCATGCTCTCACAACTCATCACAGACCCTGATTTGTTGAAGGGTCTGGTCATCGCCTTCTTCGATCCCGAGACAAGCGGCAATGCATCTCTCAGACAAGCGCTGACATACTTCTTACCCGTGTACTGTCACTCGAGAGCGGCCAACGCCGAGAGAATGGCGAGTATTGCAACCGGAGTCATTGCCCGTCTTGCTGCACTCCGAGAAGCATTCATTGAGGATGAAGACGTGGAAGAAAGCGAGATGGTGACCTTGAGCGTGGTTGGTGGCATGCTCGTCGACTGGACGGATCCTCGCAAGGTCATCGGTAGCAGCGAAGAAGCAAAGACTGGCAAGCTCAGAGTCGAAGAGGGCGCTGCTCCTGACAGCGACATGATTCACTTTGTGCTCGCAGAGCAAATACTTGAGAAGCTAGTGACCAGCCAAACAAGCAGTAAGTACTTCTGCATGGTTATCTTGAATATTTACTGACCAAGTATTGCAGAGGACGAACGCAAAGTGTTGTTTTCAATGCTCAGCAAGCTTCACCTTACTGTGCCTTCTCCCGACCCTGGACTCCTCCGTACTGTTCTCGAGCTGGTTGCAGAGGCGATCGAATCCAAGGTGGCATCCGATGTGACTAGCCGCAACGCTCTTTCCAAGATGCAGACAACTCTGCTCAAACTCATGCACGACATCGCAACGGCAGAGAGAGGTGGAGGCGGCGAGGAGACAGTGGTCGAAGACACCACGGTCGTGCAGAGAACAGATGTCGATGAGACAGCGCAATCCGTGACGGGTGCAGATGCCAGGGAAGATGAAGAGGAAGAAGAGGTCACAGAGGTGCAAGCCGAAGACGATCCAGTCAATGCACAGCTAAGGCGAGAGCTCGAGGAGACACGCATTGAAGATCCTGAAGCTGAGAGCACGCGGATGGACATTGACGAGGAGATGGAAGACTATGACTTCAGTGCCATGGCCGATGATAACGACGTCCAGGCACTGATGAATAGCATGGTGGACGATGATGATGACTTGATCGAGTAAGGAGGTTTGTTTCTGGAACCGGTCTGGAGTCTTGTTTGGACATTGGAGTTGCGGATAACGCTTGGGAACTTCTTTGATACCACAACATTACATATGAATACTTTTCTTTCCTCAAAATGATGTTTTGAATAGTCGTGCTCTGTTCCGAATTGCTGGCCTCATGGTGTTCGTCAGGGGCAATGACGTTACTCCACAGATTTCACATGCAAGAGGGTCTTGGCGCGTGTCAATCGTACGAGGGTATCTTTATGGGAGATTGCTGTAGCTTGAATTGCATTGCGTCCGTCTCCTCGACTTTGTTTGACAAGGTTGCATTGGAAAGTCAAGATGGTTTCCAATCAACTAGGTGACCAGAAAACGGATGCGACAAGATGGAGACTTCGAGATGTTGGCGGAGAGCAGACATGGCATTACCTGAGCGAGGAACAAGTGCAAGAATGGCCTCAGAGCACAGCAGACAAGTACTTTCTTGGTCTACCTACTGTTTGTATTCGTCGACCATATTCTCAGTCGAGACATCACTGACATAGCGACAGGAACAACCCAACCTCCCTCCCGCAAAGACGCCTCTTGAATCCGCCGAAAATGGTCTCGAGTTCTTCTCCAAACTGCAACTTGCTCCGGGCAATTGGGGATGCGAATATGGTGGTCCCATGTTCCTGATCCCTGGTATCGTCATCACCTGGTATGTCACCAAGACACCCATCCCGGAAGCCTACCGAATCGAAATCAAGAACTATCTATACGCGCGTCAGCATCCAGAAGACGGAGGATGGGGTCTACACATTGAGGGAGAGAGTACTGTCTTTGGTACAGCGATGAACTACGTTGTCTTAAGATTGCTGGGTGCCGATGCTGAAGACCCACGCTTGATCAAGGCTCGTGGCCTGTTGCACAAACTCGGAGGTGCTGTGAATGGTCCTCACTGGGCAAAGTTCTGGCTGAGCGTCTTGGGCGTTACACCTTGGGATCTCGTCAATCCTGTGCCTCCAGAATTGTGGCTGGTGCCGGACTGGGTGCCGATTGCTCCCTGGAGATGGTGGATTCACATGCGCATGGTCTTCCTGCCCATGTCGTTCATCTGGTCCCGCAAGTGGTCTTTCCCTGCCGACAAAGTGGTCAAGGAGTTGAGGCAAGAGCTGTTCATTGAGCCATACGAGAACATCAACTTTGCTTCTCACCGCAACTCCATCTCGAGATTCGACAACTACCACCCCAAGACTTGGGTTTTGAATGTCATCAACTGGATCTTGGTAAACATCTGGAATCCATTTCTGCGAACACAATCACTGGTCAAGCGTGCCGAGGACTGGGTCTGGTTTCTGGTCAAGCGCGAAGACGAAAACTCCGATTATGCTGATCTTGCTCCCGTCAATGCGCCGATGAACATGCTCTGCTGCTACATTGTTGATGGTCCTGACAGCTATTCCGTCCGTCGTCATCGCGAACGCATGGAAGAGTTCTTGTGGGTCAAAGATGAAGGTATGCTGGTAAATGGCACAAACGGAGTACAGAACTGGGATACATCTTTCCTCATCCAGGCTGTTGTCGAATGCGAAAAAGCCGAAGACCCCAAATGGAGACCTATGCTCGAAAAAGCTCTTGAATATCTCGACATTGCTCAGATTCGGGAAGAGTGTGTTGATCAACACGCAACATATCGTCAACAACGAAAGGGCGCATGGGGTTTCAGCACAAAGGGTCAAGGCTACACTGTTTCTGACTGCACTTCTGAAGGCTTGAAGTCTGTGCTCATGCTTCAATTCTTGCCTAGTTATCCTCAGCTCATCTCTGACGAACGTGTCAAGGAAGCTATTGATGTGCTTCTGACCATGCAAAATAAGAAGTCAGGCGGCTGCTCTTCCTATGAACCTCAACGTGGCTCTGAGCAGTTGGAATGGCTCAATGCCGCAGAAGTTTTCGGACGTATCATGGTCGAATATGACTACCCAGAATGCACAACAGCCGTGGTAACAGCATTAAACATGTTCTCCAAGCTTTACCCTGGCTACCGCAGCAGAGAGATTGCAACGTTCAAGAAGGGCGCTTACGATTACATCAGAAAAGCTCAACGAGCAGATGGATCATGGTACGGCAGCTGGGCCATTTGCTTCACCTACGCCGGCATGTTTGCTCTAGAAGCCCTCGCCACAGCAGGAGAGAATCACACAAACTCCGCCCGTGTACGCAAAGCCTGCAAATTCTTCATGGATAAGCAAATGAAAGATGGTGGTTGGGGAGAAACCTACCGCAGTTGCGAGACTGGCGAATATAGCCAACACAAGCAGAGTCAAGTTGTGCAAACAGCTTGGGTGGTTATTGCGTTAATTGAAGCTGGATATCCTGATAGAGCGCCTATTGAGAAGGCGGTTAGGTTGGTCATGTCGCGTCAACAGGCTAATGGCGAGTGGCTTCAAGAAGGCATTGAAGGTGTCTTTAACAAGAGCTGGTGAGTCAAACAGTGCTTCCTACTTCCAGATGGTATACTGACACGACCGATAGCATGATTTCCTACCCCAACTACAAGTTCATCTTCCCCATCAAGGCTCTGGGCATGTTTGCCAAAAAGTTTGGCGATCTCGAGCTTCAATAGAGTGGACTCGTGCTGAGACCTAAATGGAAGATGGAAATCTTTGGACAAAGGCTCAAAGGCTCGATCGATATGAGTATATGAACATTTAAAAGTATTAACAGACTTCCATACGCTTGATCTTCTCTGTCTCTGATGAACAAATAATTGGCGAAATATATCTAATGATCGTGTGTCATTTTCTCTTTTGGTTTGCTGAGATTCGATCCTGCGGCCGCTACTGTCTTCCGCACTTTTTGACTGCTTAGTTAATTTGTTCCTTCCAAGGGCTGACCCGAGAGAAGGTCGACAAAATTCCAGCTCTCAGTGGTCATTTTCGAACAAACTGCGCCCTTTCACAGCCACTTAATCAGGTGCAACTTGATTGGGGAATTGCTCTACAGACAACCTTGCCTCTTTCCTGATAATGACCTGATCAAAGCCATCAGCGGATGTTACTCTGCTTCTCGAAAAAAAAAAAAGAAAAAAAAAACTGTGCCTTTTTCCAGCTGCATTATCAAGATGGAGGTCAACATGCAAGATCATCGGGATGCCACAGAGAGCAGAAATACAGCTGTGGGAAAGCATAAACAAACTCTGGATCGATAGGACCCTCGACGGAGAGCTGACAGAACTATCATTGTGGGAGTTGCTCTGGTACTGTCAAATATTGTGCCTGTCTACGCCTACATGTACAGATGTGGCTCGATGTGAGAAGGGTCTCTACATGCTGATACTTTACTCTTGCACTCTTCCAATGGGAAATGAAAGTATCAAAAAAGCTACAGCAAAACAAAATCGAATTCTGGATCAAGCGAGTCTAGAGGGAGATCTCACGAGGCAGTCGCTGTCGACACAAGCTATCCTGTCTCGACTCCAGTGCATGCACGATACAATTCAGCATCGAGAACGCTTGCTAATCGTCATCGTAATATTTCCTGGCCTGCTCCTACCCTCTCGGTCGGGCTGTGCTCTTTCCAATTGTCGACATTTTCGGGCATTTCGCTTGATTGCTTTGCTCTTTCCCAACTTCGTGATCTGCATTCGTGCTTTGTTTATCCTTTCTTCGACTGCTCGGTTTCATCCTTCTAACAACATATTGTTTTCGACGAATCATCATCATCAGTGTTCTATCAACTTACAATAATCAACTGAATTACTATTGATACCGCATGTCCATCAGAGCAACTATGGGCGGTAAGAAGGCCTCCTCGACGGTCAGAATGAGTACAAACAACATGTCAGTACAAGAATCGACCACAGATAGCTCATGTCACTTCGGCAAACTTCCTTGTGAACTGATCGAAATGGTCTGCGGCTATGTTGAGAAGTCAGACCTTCCCAATTTTCGCCTCGGTTGCAAGCATGTCAGCGACTATGCGACCCATGAATTCGCCGAACACTACTTCACGGAGCTTGGCTTCCTTTACACTGAATACAGTCTGAGGATTATGGACGAAATCTGCTGCTCCAGATTCGCCAGATAAGGGGCATGTGCTCAAGATGTCTTCCATGGTCATTACCGCAGGGCCCGCCAGCAACTCCGTTGCTTTCAGCTGAAGATACAACACACCACTCTTACTTTGACGGCCAACTCTGCTTGGAGTCCGGAACTTCACAGGATTGTGCCGATCGTCACAATACCCAGATCGTATTGAGAAATTTCAACATCGCTGAGCAACATCTCGATGCTGCCATGCAAAGTCTCAGTGCTTCTCTCAAATTACTTCCCCGTTCACTTGGTCTGGCCGTGTCTCCCGACGAGACTGATTTCCTCGGCACGGCAAGAACATTCAGCTGTCATGACTACGACGATGTAACCCAAAGCAATATTTGGATGAACAACATCTGCAACTCTTGCTCAGCGCAACGGAGAGAACACACCCTGAATTTCAAGAGTTGCATCTTGACACATGGTGCCGCAACGGGGACCCGTTTGGCTTCTTCACGGTTCCCCCTGTGGGCAGGCTCAGGAGCATCACAATCGGTGCTACGATTGTAGGGGGTCTTGATGAAACTGGTCTTACCTTACCTCTGGAAGGTTTTCTCATGCGGGCGAGGCTTCTGGAGACTATCAAATTCACTGGCAACATCTTCAAGGAGAAACCGCACATGATGTCTCAAATTATGTGGAATGTCAGATCTCCCATGCTCCGTGAGATCTCGTTCGATTTGACGCACGCAAGCGGAGATGGGATCTGCGTTCTGCTCGCTACAGCGAGATTGTCCCTGCGCAGGCTCTCCGTCATCACACAGTTTCTCAGGTGTGACTGGACAGATCTTCTCAGATTCATCCAACGGAATTGCAGGGATCTCGAGTATTTCGGTTTCCGGGAAAGACGGCCGTACTTTACTTGTCTTCATTCGTAGGATGAGGAGTGGAATGGCCGTGAGTTCATCCGGCAAGAGCTGTTAGAGTGGGTCAATCTAGGATGAGCAATACAAGCGTGTTGACTCTGGTTGATTTCGATCCTCGACTCGGATGTCGTCAGGCATTGGAATGGCTTACGCATATGGAGAGTGGGAAGTGAAAGGGGACCAGGGCGTGGAGGCTAGGTGAGCTTGTACAGATGGCATGTCACAAGCAGAACAAATTTCTATTCGGGAAACTCGCTGTCCTCAACATATTCATCAGGGAAGACGAGCTCTCTTGGCACATCGGGCTTTCTCCTCAGTGCAACAAAGTATGCTTCTTTACTCTCCTGTACTCCGGAACAAGACAGTATTATCAGCGTTTGACACTCCACCTTCTCCATAACAAGAAGAACGGACAAGACAAAACTTACCTTTCGTGATGACTCCGGCTTCTCTTTGTGTACTTTGTCAAACAACTTCTTCAGTCTGTTCTCAAAAGCCTTGTCTTCCGAGCCTTGATAGAATTTACACATAAAGTGACCGCCGGTGCGGAGGGTATCGTAGCAGAAAGTCAAGGCAGCATTGCAGAGATCCTACCGGTAGAAAAGAGGCCATTGCTTCAGCCAGTGCACTCTTTGAGATTACGAAAGGGAGGGAGAAGAAGAAGAAGAAGGTGAGAGGATGGAACAGGAAATGAGAAGATGAAACAGAACAAGGGAGAAGAGCAAAAGAAACTTACCATGCTGCCTGCGTGATCTCGAAAGGGGGTGCCGCTCGTGTTCATCATCCTGAAATACGGGTTACTAACGCTCCTGATCCAGTGACCGGTTGTCTGCTCCCAGGGTGCTGACATGTCACTTAGCACAACATCGACAACCCTGCCGTCGCGGAGGTCCTTTTTCCGCACGCTGAGTTGTGCTTCTTCGTCCTTTTCTGCCTCTTGGTCGGGTTGTTGTTGTTGTTGGTCTCCTTCTTCTTCTTCTTGTGGTCCAGGTTGCTCGGTCCCGATAGTCTTTGTCTCTTGTGTCATTCGCAGCACACCGCGGCTTTCACTCTCGACTTCCTCTTCTGTAGGGCCATCTTCCTCTTCGCCTTCGCCTCGCTTCGACATTGTGACTCTTGCTCGCGCTCTCCCTAACGCTGGGTCGCGCACATATCTCCTCACCTCAGCCTGCACCTCTGCACTCAAAAAGTTGCCCTGGATACTCGAAGCACCTCGTGGCGGTTGCGCAGGGATGATATCAATCCCCAACACCCTACCACCAGGACTCGTTCTGCTCACGGCAACTTGACTCCAGCTCCCAGGCGCATAGCCCAAGTCTACCACAGTGCCCCCTTTACGGAAGATGTGGTGTTTGGAGTCTAGTTCGAGGAGTTTAAAGGCGGCACGGGATTTCAGACCGGCGACTTTTGCTTCGCGGGCGAAGTGGTCGCGGGTCTGGCGCGTCTTCCAGCGTGTTGAGGAGCTGGAGCCATGTGCGATGGAGGTTCTGGGCGTGAGGTTGGCATGTGATGAGAGAGCAGGGATTACAAGTCGGCATGTTTCTATCGGCGGTAGTAGCGCGAGTGTCCTGTTGCTTTGAATGAGTCGTCGATGTGTCTGGCGGAGACAGTTCATTGTTGGGTCCTGACACGTGGTTGCTGCAAAAAGGAACGCGCACGCGTGACTAGGATTGAGTAGTCGCCGGACAGTGGAATGTTGATGTGATATCCAAGACGAAAATGATGAAACACACCAGAAAAAGGAAAAATGATGATTGCATGCCCATGCGAGAGCTTTCAAATTCTCTTGGCATTTTCTGCCTAAACCTGAAGATCCCCTTCCTATTTCGACGAGCATGTGCTCCCGAGAGAGAGAGAGAGAGAAAAAAGAGATCGTTCCTGCTGCAATTATCACCAGACACAAACCAAGGTTCCACATTATTTTCCACGCAAGCAACAAATCCCGGACATAACAGGCCCCGTCTGCTACCGCAGGCATCAAAGGTGGAGCAACTGCAACCTCGACTCTGCCTGATCCATCTCTCCTGCTTTTTTCCCCAACTCGCGAATGCAATATGTTCATCCCAATCTCCACATGAGCAGCAGCAATCCTTTCTCCGATTGCTACAAGGTATCGAGAGACATACCCCTGAGGATACAAAGAAAGTGCTCCCACATTGGGACACGCATGCATAGTACAAACAAGGGCAAGAACGAATGAGACCTTTTTGATACCCTTGATGCCCAAAACTAATCCCCAATCGGGCTTTTCCACTTCGCTTGTATTAGTATCACTAATCGCTATCATTACCCCTGGGATGACATCTCATAGAAAAATCCTCCAATGGGTTTACTCTTCAATAGTAATGTCCTAGCCTGGGCAGCCCTCTACAATGATGCCGAGACCTGCAGTCACGTTTTCTAGACATCTCGCCAAAACAAAACTTTTACCATATGTCAAAGATCGACTGTGCGAGAATGCCATATAGGGGTAATGCTCATCATTATCAAGGCATTCTGACGTGCGCGGGGACACAAGACGTGACCTGAGACAAAAAAAATCTACGGTTGACGTGACAGAGTTTCGCGGGAAAGACGTGCCCTGTCCAAAGCAAAAAAGCGCAAATGTCTCAGATTATCATCCCGCTACTTCTTGTCCCTTTTCGGCTCAACTTACTCGTATCTAGCAACAGAGTTGGCTGTCTACGGAGAATTTCGATCGAGAAAAAATGGAGAACGAAAGGGAATGGTAGTAGTAGGTCTGGACCTCGTCTAGTTCTTTTTTGGGGAACGGCACGGGAAAGAGGTGTATGTCCATGCCGTGTTTACTACTTTTTTGAATTGTTTAAACTTCGCATATGGTCCTCTCGTACTCCGTAAAAGAAACAGGTTTTTGTCTACCAGTTTTTTTTTCATTGATCCTCTTTTTTTTTACGGTGTGTGCCGTCTTTTTCTTGTTCAGCTATCACTCAAGGTTTGGGCTGGCGAGCGCGTGTCTAGTTCCTTTGCTCAATCTGAACCATCTCACCGGGGCCACCTGACTATGTCGCGGGACAGAAGAAGCGTACCAAAGTAATAGGCCCGAAACAATAAACACGCTGAGGATGAATGAGGTCTCGGCTCAGAGATGAAGGCAAGACTTCAGAGAGCTGACCGAGGCGAGTAGGAGCTGCCATAACGGGGACACCAGGAGAAGAAGGTAACACATTTCACATCTCTTTCCCTCCGAAACACGGGACGGCAAGGGTACAGGACAGGATCTCCAATGATCGAAACGGTCGGACAATTTCAGCTGCACATTGAGGAAGTGGAGGGCATGTCCTACCGAGAGGAGTTTTCGTGTTCATGGATCGCAAACATTGGCATAGCGGACAAGTTGACCTTGTACTGCAAAAACAGATGGGAGAGACCGAAAGAAGGAAAGAACGACGCGGAGAGAAGCAATGAATTGTATGTAGTATTTCTTTGATGGTTTTGATATAAGTGGAAAAAAGACATGGTTGTAAAATGAACAGACCTGTTCAAGTATGTGTGTTTTGTGCTCGTCCTTCTCTAGATGGCTTCTTCACAGTCCCGGCACCGTTTTCAAGGTCCAGCTCTTGATCCGTGCAAGAGAGTAGAAAATGCCAGCGGGCGAGATCCAATGAAAGAAGCATCAAAGAGAAGAAGAGACACACTTCGAGCTCAGCTCAAAGGCCAACAGATGGTGTGGCAGGTTGGGGTAGCAGATATATATGATTGCCAGCAAAAGGGGAAGAGGGGGGTATCATTCTTCTTCGGAAGATTGAAACAACACAAAGGAGACTTGCAAAGGGAGCAATGTTGGGGTACAAAAGGAGCAAGCTCCCCCCAACAGAAGAAGTAGGAGCGACCAAGTCAATGGCTTCCATGAAAGGTTGTTGACCTCGAGCCTATTACAAATTATAGGCAAGAGAGGAGATGGTGAGCATGTAGTTATGTGCTCGGGCTGTTTCGTAAACAGTGGCCAGAGAAGAGTGAAAACATGGTGTGGCGTTCCCAACGCCAGAAGGTGGATAGGAATGGGTGGTGAAGAAGATAGAGTGTCCGCAACGAGGGTCATTGACAGTTCGATCCCTAGAAGCGACCTCGTGAAGAAGTCAAAAAGTGTCAAGGCAACATACAATCAGTACGGATGACGAGCATCCCTCTTTGGACTCGGTGGCGCAGTAGAGTGATGCGACGAGTGGTGGTGATGCTGCTGCTGACTCTTGCTCGGTGGAGCACCCCTCTCGTAAACGAAATCGAGATGGGTTCCGGGAGCACCGCTGTCACGACGACTCGAGGTTTGGCCGGTACCGGGAATAGCACGAGGCGAGGCATTGCTTCGGACAAGTTCATGAGCAGGGCCCGCTTTACGGCCGGACGAAGTGGTGGAAAAACTCGGGCTTGAGTGGGATTGAGTTGGAAGCGACGATGGCGGTGGAGGTGGCTGATGGGCTTGCTGATTCTTGCGCTTGCGAGGGCTATCTGTGTGGTGGCCCCCGTCAGAGTTTTGTGAGGCACCTGTGCCCGTGACTGGAGTCTGCGGCTGCGTACCCGACTTTGAGTCAGCCTGTGACGTCGGTGGCACCCAGTGGTGGAAGTAGATGGACGGTGACGAGGCCGGCTGGTCTTGTTGTATCGTCTGAGTCTGATGCAGAGGGTGAGCGCTGCTCGGTGCAGATGGGGGTGGGTTGATCTGCATGTCTCCGGTTGTCAGACGAGGCAAGGTGGATTGGGCCACGGATGAGCCAGGCGCTCCAGGGATACGTCTGCCCGGTGGTGATGTCGATTGGAAGGCTGGGAAGGTCGATTGATGAGCGGCCAGCAGTGGGGGAGGTTGCTGTTGTTGTTGTTGATGTTGTTGATGCATACCAGCAGCATGAGGATGCGATTGGGGAGGTTGCGGGGGTAGCGCATACGCTGCTGGCGGTTGGTTGATGCTTCTTCGTTCACGGCCGTCTTCCTGTCCGGGCTGCAGTTGTTGCTGAGCGGCCTGTAGCTGAGCAGTGTATTGTTGCAGCACCTCGAGACTGAAGTTGGCCAGATTGGCACCGCCAATGCCTGCAAAGATCATGGGCACCATGTGCGGAGGAATGCCGCCCTGCATCGACTCCCTCAACATCGAATGTTCGACCCGTCTCTGCTCCAACCTCAACGACTCTTGCCGTGTCTTCTCTTCCTCCTGCCTCCGTCTCTCCTCCTCGACCCTAGTCGCGTGCCAGCTGCGTGATGATTCCCCTTCGTCCTGCCATTGTGTCCTCTGTGCTTCATGGTGCATGTGCGCCGGCGCTTGCACCGGAGGAGGTGGTGGGGGAATCATTGGTGGCCCTCTCCCTGGATCCGGCAGGGTCATGGCAGCTGGTGGAGGCAAGCCTCTGTGTTGATTCGACATGGTCGGGGTGATACTGGCCGGCAGTGGAGGTCGTACAGCGTCGTTCATCATAGACTTTGGAGAATATCTGGGCAATTGCGGTGATTTAAAGTCATGCGTAGTACGTGCGCCAAAATCTGATTTCCCGGGCTGCGATAATGTGAGCAACATGGTCGAGCCTTGTCCGGGTCCGGGGTTAGGTTTAATGAACCAGATCGATCCCGAGCATTAATTTGGTATATACAGCAGAACCGATCCGAGGGAGTGTGCTTTCGAAATGACCGAAACACGGCAAAGGGTTAAAAGGGAAAGATGTGGAAATGCGAGAGGAGAAATCGGACAAAATAAAAATGGAAAAGTGTGCAAAAAGGACTGGGGCGCAACATACAGTTTTTGGCATGAGAAGGGTGCTGCGTGACGTCTCTCCTGCTTTGCCCTGGAGGGGGGTTGTGATGTTGATGCAGATGCAGATCGGTACACTGATTCGTTCGCCTTAGTATACCCGTTGCAACTAGTCAGCTTTAGCCCGCGACCGGGTTTCGCAGCACGCGCGATCAAAAGGCACGTCTGGCCGCTCAAGGGTGGATGCTTTCACCCTCGTCAAGGGACCGCCCGACGACTGGTTCAGAGTATCGGAAGAGGCTAGACCGGGTGTAGCTGTATCAGTATGCGCTATGTAGCACCAGCACTCTGTTTCCTCTCGGGTCAGGGCGAAGACGGAAAATTGATGAGGGATCCTCGGCGCGCAGCTGCGTCTTGGTCTTGTGAGAGGCTGACGAATCTGACGAGTCTCGACGAGTTTGGATGATAATGATGGTTTGGAAATGGTCGGTGCTTTGGAGTCGTAACATGAATCTCCTCTTTTTGACTGGTGTTCAAGGGCTGGCTCGAGAACTACAACTCATTAGAGCTTCTTACGTGAAGATAGCGTCCACTTAATAAGTCTTACAGCTCTCGAAATCATACCCTCTAGAGACTACAGAATCGAGTAAGCTCGCGTGCGTGATCAAACAATAGAGGCAGGCAGGTGGGCAGAACGTCTTCGTGAAACATCAACGGTCCATCAGTTTTCAACCCGGAGGGTTGGTGAGATAGATGGTCCATGGAGCCGTTTTACGAACAACAAAGTGGGCTTTTCCTCTTTCGCAAAACGCAGAAATCGAGTGGCGTCCAAGCCATCGCTTGTTCCGCAAGATTGAGGGATCGCAGGAGGAACCCAACCTGTGCTCAACCTGCATGTCATCACATCGCTCCAAACGAGCCCCATACCCATGATCCATCGCCATGTTTTGGGTTCAGGAGGACCGGGGCAACAAGATTAGGAGTGCATCGACGACCTCTTTTTCAACACTTGACACAATTTGGCGAACTGCGGCGGCTCCGGGAAATTAGAAGACTGTCAAAAACTGGAGAAACCACGCAATCACTTCAATCCTTGTACGCTCTTGCCTTCTTGATTCATCTCCCAAGACCATAGACGAAAGATCTCTCTGCTGCTCATGCGGCTAGCCATGACAATCAGGAAATTGCTGATCACTTACGATCCGAGCCCTGACTCCTCGGATCGCAAAGAACGTCTTCTCGAGATTCAAAAAACGGCTGTCGGCCAATCTGACTTGCTTCGTCGTCCTATCAACTAGATGTATATTAAAAACCTGGGCACGTACAACATCCATCACATCGGCCGAGCAAGGCGCTTTCCTAATATCGACAAAATGATGGTGGCCCTTTTATTTCCTGCATTGTGTGGCTTGCAATGTCCCAGATGAGCTTCTCCACAATCGTGGAAAGTCCTTGTTCTCGATTCCTGCACGAGTCACTTGTAGTGGTGGATTATTACGTGCAGCCGCACCCGAGCTTTGGTCATGTCTCGTTGCTGTCTTTGTTCCATGTCCGCTGTCATCTTGCGAACGATCCTTGCCGTGATGTACACGAAACAAGGGACTTCCCGTTGTCTGTGTCCTGCCATCGGCATGATCCTCGAGCCGAATGAGACAGAGCAAACCCTCTGAACGGTTTTCACGGCAAGCAGCATCAGAAGGCTGTGCGGATGCTCAAGCGGCCGTTGGAAGAGAGGTGTGCGACATCTGAGAAATCCACTTGCCTGCCCCCCGCGGCTCGACATGCCTTTTCGTTTCCTCGAGCAAGAGAAGAAGGTTGCTGACAGGCCGTTGCACCCCAGCCCGAGGCTTGAACTCTCTTCTCGCTTCGTGTGGTGCTCAGAAGGCAACTCCACGTTGGCAAGCCGCTTGGAAAAGATCGACAAAAAGATCAACAAAGTACTTGTAGCACGCGTGGTCTCTGCATTCTGCGTGCGTCCCACGCTATGTACTTGTCCAACTTCTGCAAGGATGATGCCTTTTCTCATCTGGCTTTGCACATCACTTTGACCAAAAACGAACATGCTACCGAAAGGTGTTTTGCGCTTTCACACTTGGTAGAGCTATCTCGATTCGGCGCAAGTTGGAGGGTACAAGCTTCACCTGCCCGTCATTGCGCAGGGCCAGTGCGGTTGCTTGAGCAGTGGACCGTGGCCGGGAGAACCATGTCCTAGAGTAGCGAGCTCCATCCAGCAAGCAGCCAGCAGCTTAGGCGCAAGCAGGGGCGAGATCAAATTTCCGAATTGCTCCAACCTGTCGTACGCGCCACCCGTTTTTGCGCGCTTCCCGTTGGGCGCTGGGAGCTCGGGTTGCTCTTTCCATTAACGTGAAACACAGCAGTTGACCCGTCGTGGACTCACGAGAGACAGGTAGTTCCATCACACATGCTCTTTTCGATAAACGACTTTACAGGTCTCGGTTGGTTTGGAGTAAGCAATTCTCCCGTTCAAGGATTTGGTGTGGATCTAGACCCTCACGCTTGAATCGTTACAGTTTGAAGAACAGCCAGCCCATGTGCTGACCTCCGCTCCATCCAACACACTTGACTTTGACGGGGCTTGCATCGTTACGCGCTTGAAGATGAACCGTGACTACCCAAAGAGGCGCCGCCTTGCACATTGCATACTCCGTCGCTGTTGCCAGTCGTCCAGCGCTTCTTTGCTCGGCCTGCAGGGACATCTCACCGCTCATGGGAGGCGTTTACCGGGTTTGCATCATTGCATGATGTTGTGGAGGAGCTTAAGCAGGACGCTATGGCAGTTGGGACAATCTAGTGTTGCATACACATATTCCGTGTGGTTATCGTTAAGTGAGGCAAGAAGACAAGACATGACGCTCATTACCTTCCAAGCGAGCCTTTGGTCTCCAATAAGATGATTCAACGGAGAAGTCGGACTTGCGATGATGATGGCAGCAACCGACGTGCTGAGAAGAGACGATCATACGTAGTTGCAGCAATGAGTCAGTGGCTTCGGCCTCTACCTTAGTAGTCCCGACAAGGGAGGAGACACAAGACACAAAAATCGTGTATTGTGCTCAGCAGCGAGCTGTCGATTGCCGAGTCTTGAGCGACAAGGTTACGACTTTCCTTGCGCAGGGAATAATAATCATCATCTTTTCCTCTCGTGGCTGCACGTGGCTCTCACGCTGTTCTTCTTTTGCTTTTTCCAGAGTGTTTCCAGACGATCATTTGCACTCTCTGTAAAAGGAAATGATGTGAACAAGATGCGAGGCCACGAAGGAAGATCAGCTTCCACTTCTGCGTCATTCCTTGGCCGTAAATGGCAACTGGACAACCACACACATCATGTCGGTTGCAAGCTTTTTGTTGAACTCGACGTTGTATTCGGCTCTCTTTGCTTCTCGGACTTGTTGCCATTATTGAGCTGTGTTTACGAGACAATGTAACCACTTCTATCGCTGAGCCTCTCCTGCTGACGAGTTTTCATTTCTCTCTGCTTCTCACTCCTTCTCTGCTCCGTATCTTACTTCCACCTGGGCATCGGTCTCTCCGTACTCTCCGTACTCTCAACGCTCCCTCGCTCCACTGGTCCTGTTCTCTCAGCTCAAGTCTTCCTCCTCACATACTAGACACAAATTCGAGCCACTTTAATCTATTAAGCATCGATCCATGGAAAAGGATCGGACTTCTCCTTTTCTCCTCTTCGTATCACCCTGATCAAATCTCGCGCTCGGCGACCCTTTCCTGTAGTCGTCACATGCTTGTACCCTCGGACCGCTGCTCCTCGGTGTATGTGTACCCTAAAGCACTAAAATCTCTTGTATCACGGATGCTCGGAAAGGGAGGGAAGGGCTGCTTGGCAGTGAACACCGAACCGCCGGACTTGAGATTACTCGCTCCATGCCGTCGCGAAGGATTCAAGAGATTGATTCGCAAGCCTGATGCGGAGAACGAGATTGGCGGAATAGGTAGGTGAAAGTAGGCAACCGCAAGAGAGATTGGCAAAGCTAGAAGTGTTTGCCCTAATTCCATGCGTCTACCAAAAAGACCAGCCGCTACTGTACATTGTTGGCGGAGATACGAGCCGAGTCGTGTTCTCAGCTCCGGAAAATCCTTGATCTACAGCTGTCTCGAGGCAGGATGTTTTGGGACTTGACGAGTGGCTACTGAAAGCACGAGTTGTAGCCCCTCTCCAACGAGAGCACTCTAGTAATTGTACAAGATTGTGGATTGCTACGGACGTGTGTTTACTTGTCAACACTGTTCAAGTATCTAGCCCTCGGGCCTCCTTCTACATCACTGCATTATCTGCACACATCTCGCTAAGTACTTCGGCGAATCTACCAGTCTTGTCTTGATCTTGCTTCGCCGTCTGGATGGCTAGCAGTATACTGGACACGCCGACGTTAATCGTCTTCGAGCCAGTAGTCTCCTCTATCTCTCCGAGCGCACGATTGATGTCGGGATCTGAGAATACGCCACTTTGCTTCATAATGGCGGCCAATTCAGGCTGTGTCTGGACGTTTGGTACTGCTATTTGCGCAGAGAAATCGAGCTGGAGCTGTTGGAGTACGCTCCGCGATGAAGTTGTGGCGAAAATGAGCAGGGGTCGACCCTTTGGTGGTTTGTTCTGCATCATACCCTTCAGAGCGGCCAGAACGCTAGCACTGAAACGAGGGCCTACCGGAACCCAGTCAATGAGCAACTCGATATTGTCCAGAACCAGTACGTTCTGAGGACTTTTGTAAGCGTCTGTGAAGACCTTTTGGATGTACTGGATCTTCTGAATCTCGTTCATGCCGACAATATCAACAGGCTTGATAAGTTTGATGAAGGGGAACTCAGAGTCCAGTGCCATTTGGGCCGCCAAAGCGGTCTTTCCGCTTCCACGAGGGCCGTATAGCAGTACGGAAAGTAAAGGAGTATCTCCGGAGCGTACTTGGTTGACAAACAGACGACCACGTTCGAGGATGCTGTCGATGTGCTTGCCGAAGTGAATGATACCACCTTCGACGCAACGATCAAGCTCTTCTTCGGACACACCGAACAGAGGCTGAACTTCGTTGAGGGCGTCCAAGAAATCTTGATGCATGACTTTCATGTTGGCGATGTTCTTGTCGTCGATTGCAGCCAGTGTGCCAACCTTGATGTGACGATTGAACGCGAAACTTGAAGCACTCTTGACTAGACCACTGATCTCAGCACCACTGAAGTTGCGCGTCAATTGAGCGAGCTCCTGGAGGTTAACATCGTCGCCCATGACGTTGTTCTCGCGCATCTTGGTGGTATGAATTTTGAGAATCTGAGCTCTGCCATGCTCGTCGGGTAACGAGATTTCCATATGAACTTCAAGACGACCGGATCTGAGAAGTGCTTCATCAATCATGTCCTTTCTGTTGGTCATGCCGATGAGCAGGATATTGTTCAATTGGTCGACGCCATCGAGCTTTGACAGCAACTGGTTGACGACACTGTCGCCAACACCAGTGCCGCCACCAGCTCCGGAACCTCTCTGCTTGCAGACGGCATCCAGTTCATCGAAGATGATAATATGCAGACCCGATTCGTCACCCTTCTCCTTGTATTCTTTCTCGGCGTCTGCGAATAGCTTACGGATGTTCTCCTCAGACTGGCCGACATACTTGTTAAGGACTTCAGGACCGTTGATGACCTTTGGCTCTCTGGCATTGAGCATCTTTCCGATTTGTCTAGCGATCAGGGTTTTACCAGTTCCAGGGGGACCATACAGCAGGATACCGCGAACGTGCTGGATACCCAACTTGTCAGCAAGGCCAGGCGGGAAAATTCTGGAAGCGAAGGCACGACGGAAGATGGCAGCGAATTCAGTGTCCAGACCACCAATACCCATGTTCTCGAATTTGAAGTCGGGTCGGACGACCGAGTTGGCAGCAGGACGACGGTTGGAGCCCTTGATGTTGATACCAGTCTTGATGTCCTTGTAGTAGTTGATCTGTGTTTCTTGAGTCAAGATGCCACGAGAACGCGGGTCGGGCGTGGGGGCGCTTTGAGATTCGGTCTTCATGGACAGATCTACTAGCTCTACTGTCTTGACGATCATTCGGAGAGGTATGCCCTTATAGTCCATGAGTAACTGCTGGCCAGGAGAAAAGATCTGGTTGCGGAAATTGTGAATGAAAGCTGCAGCGAGCTCGTCCTGGTCGTAGGGCGCCTCTGTTGACTTCTTTCCAGCAAAGCCAACTTCTACGTCGAGATTGCCTAGGTAGCTCGAAGCTCCTTGCGAGAAGGCGTCGTAGGGTTGTACGTCGATCTCGTCTGTGAGGGCAATTTGCATCCATGTTCGCTGGGGGTCAGACATGCTAATGTGACCGCCAGGGAAGCCTTGCTTGATGCGTGCTGAGATGACGAAGAAGCCATTGATGAGCAGATAGAGGTCGCTACCGTCAGGGCTTGGGGCGAAGTCTTGGGGCGATACAGCGCATCTGATAGGCAGGCAGCGGTCAGCTTGTGTCCTTGGAGTGGGAGGGGAGCATGCGCATGTCCTGAGCAATGGCACGCAGTGCTTTAGACTGACATGTTACCGAAGACAAAGGTCGGTTCCTTCAGTTGGTACGGGCGTAGTCTCATGGCTCTGCCTGATGGTCTTGAAGGCTTCTGATCGTAAGTTGGTGGGGGTTGCTGAGGACGACGCGACGGGGGTGGCTGTTGTTGGCCGCTTCCAAATGGGTTCGGCAGGGTGGGTATATTATTGCGGTTAAACATGTTTGCAATCTGTGTCCTCTTGTTCGTGTATAGGCGGCAGCTTAGGAAGGAGCGAAAGGTGTTGTCAAGAAGCAGCTGCTTCGAAGTTGCAACGTTGGCAGGCGGCCTTGGTCGTGCCTGACTGACAAAGTTCAAAGCAACGTCACTCAAATCTGGGGAAGCTGCCCATTCATGTCTTTGTCGCAATATCTTTGTTCACTCCTTCTTCATTCGACAGCTGGACTGTTGTGTGCTGGGAATATGCTCGGTGGCACACACGCACAAATTATTAACGCGTGTATCGAAGACTGACACACGGAACAGGCTCTGGGAACAAACTGACTTAATTCCATCGACACGAATCTAGGGTGTGCTACTACAGTCAAAGCAACCGAAATACGCGAAATCCGCCTTCCGTAGAAGGCCCTCTTTATTCCTCATCCATTATTTCCACGCAGAAAATCATCACCAAGCCATAAACGCCATGCTTCTTTACTCGAGGAGCTTTGAAAATCGGGCTAGTCGCGAGTCCGAGCCTACGATCGATTGGACGGTACTGTGAGTATTGTTGATCATCTGTGACCATGGAGGTACATTAGTCTGCTGCGGTTGCGACAGGAACGAAATGTATAGATGAAGAGGCTAGTACACCTCTCTCTGTGTGTAGCCTCGATCGTCGAACATCAGAGGGTCTACTGACCGATATGTGCCACTGCCTCTGTGACTCTTCTTTCTGGGAGCCACGCTCGACTGCTCCTCGATGACCTCGACAATGTCGTCTCCTTCGACTCTTCTCTCGGGCTCAACGACAAAGCTGCTTCTCATGGGTGGTGCGCGGCTCGAGTCTCTGATGATTCTCTCTTGACGGATAACACGGTCGGGACCTCTGCTGACGGAGCGCATCTCGGATCTACGGCGTCTTCTGGGTGAGCGTTCGTGGCGGATGATGACTTCTTCGTCAGGTTGCTTGTTGCGGCCGCTTGCGAGAGTTTGGATGAGCCAGACCAGAAGGATGAAGCCGGCGACCGATCCGAGTGTTGCGCCAACGACAGTGCCAGCATCAGGACCGCTGTTGAGGCCGTAGTAGACAGCTGGAATGGCGACCATATCGTCTCTTGCGGTCAAGAACCGAGGCTGACTGATTTGACGTCCGACGATTCCAGGCAGCGCTCTCTTGACGAGGATCCAAGGCACTGACATGGCGTTGACGGCTCTGGCGTCCACTGGCGAGACGATGTTTGACATTGTATAGGCTGTTTGGCGTTTTGAACTTTTGGTCGAGTTGCCCTGGCGGCTTCCGTGTCGTCAACGTTACGAGAGGCAGAGAGGCCCGAGTTTGGTGGGTGTCGACGGTAATTATGCGATTGGTCGGATTGATTGTGGTGACACGGCTGACAGGACAAAATGTTTGGCGTCGGCGCGAAAAGAATGAGTGGGTGAGTGAGTGAGTAAAGATAAAGTGAAGGACAATGATCAGCAGAATGAGAAATACAAACGATCAAGATACAGGTTCTGTTCGTCCTTACGTAGTGTTGCTGCAAGAGGCGGCTGGGGTGGCTGGTAAGACTGCTTTCTAGTCTATTTACTTCGAAGTCATTACGATAGTCACTCGCGAGGTCACTCTGTATGTCTTGTGTTACCGGAGCTTCTGAGCTTCTCACTTTTTCAAACTGTACCAGGAGTTTGCTTCCCCAGATGTCACCATCGATGGCAGATAAATGAACGGTGTATCCATTCACACAAACGAGTTGAAGATTCTCGAGTGACTGCCGGCTGCGGGGTTGTTTCGACTTCGAGCTTGGGTCGCCTTGCACTCCCGGCTCGTGCTGCAACGTCTATCACGGCGCCCGAAAATCCAGTCCTGGAGTTTGCCTTCGGGGAATCATCGGCCTCGAGCTATTGACGAGTTGTCTTGAAACATTGATATGGTAGTCGTCTAATTAACTATATCGCTACGTCAATCCCACCCGCTGTTCTTCCTTATCCTGGCCATTGGAATTGACCTCATGTTAACATCCGTCGTCACGTAGATGTTGTCATCAGGAGTGAGCAGACTGTCATCTGACGAATCTCTCGAGGCTCCAGAAGGTCCACAACTCTGGATTGATGTCTTCATCTTCGAGTCGGCAGCCTCTGGTCCCCAAAGCGCAGGGACAGAACTTTTGCGATTCGACACTCCTGCGCCATATTTCGAGGATGGACCATGGGAGGCTTCAACAGTGCTCTTCATCTGGCCGTACCATCGACTTAATATCGGCTTATAGCTCGGGACGGAGAGGGCGATCAATGTGCCTCCGATCTCTGCTACTTCAATGACCAGTTGCGGGTTATAGTACCATGACCCGTCGGTCCGCCATTGACCAACGACGCAAAGCCAGAGACGTGCGCATGAGATGCTGAGAACATGTCAGTGTACACGTCTAAGCGCTTCCAGTTTGCTCGACTCACCCGATGACAAGTGTTCCAGGAAGCATTACGAGAGACAACACTATCTTGCGGCCTTTGGGAAGCTGCAAGATCGCGATCATGGCTATTGGGATGCTGAACAGCACAAAATCATTCACCAGCGACAGCGAGCTGTTCGTCACATAAACCACGCCCCAATTGAGGCAAGTGTACGTTCCTGAAACACTCTGCCATGCATAGGGCCACAGTCCAGTACTAAGGTCATTGCGGTCAGTCTTGGCTAAGTCTATATGACTAGAAGGTATGTAGATGCTTACACTGGAAGACAGTGCAGAAGAATGAGAAGAAATTGCACGATGAACGTCGCGGTCAAGAAGAATCCGCAGGCCCAGATAGCGATTCGAAAAGTCGGATGCGAGCTACAGAGTCGATTGAAAAATGCGAGCCCACTCAGTCGGCAGAAGTACAAGGTGGCCGTGTATATGAGATGCGCTGCATAGTCGTTCACCTCTGTCTGCTCCACCTCGGACAGGCTGAGCACATATTGGATGTACTCAATATGCCGACCGCTGCCTTCATAGATCAAGATCAGACAGAGAGCCATGAAGGCCGAAAAGCACGCCCAGGAAAAGGCCGCGATGCCGTCATCGAGTCCGAAGCTCTTAACGATGAAGATGCGAGAGGCGAATCTGCATATGAGCAGAACAGTGGTGATGATGTATATTGCCAGTATTCCTGCTATTGCAGGTCCATCGCGCGACTCGCTCAGGTATTCCGGTGTAATATACGATATGTTGGTAGGTACTCGTCCCTCGGCGTAAGCTTGGGCGACATCGACGGCGACCATGACGGCGGCGTCAGGACAAGTGGGCGGTGCAATGCAAGATGCGAATCAGATATGGGATCCACGCGATAGATTAATCATGCGCGAGAGAGGAGTCCCCTAGGACGAGATTTTGGGTCATTCGTCTAATCTAAAAGGGTTCTGGTCCATGACCACCATATTTGGCAGCATAGGGTCGCGACCCTAGTTGGACTCTTACGTGCGTTTGATAAACGTTGATCCGTCGGTTCAACGGTACGATGAACGCACCAAGTGGAAATCACAGTGTGAGTCGGTTGCTTGCGGCAAACCTTGATGCTGCCTATCTGCGTGCTAATGTATGCGTCGCGTGTGGCTGTCTTGAGACACAATATGATTAACAGGCTGTGGTGCTGTCTGGGGATATACATGCTGTTACTTTGATTCTTTTAGAAGCCAGCTATACCTTTGCACAGCTCAATATCGCTCTGTATCGTCCTAGAGGGCGGTAGGAGTGACAAATTTCAGCACATGGCGAGGTTGGGAATCGATCATGGCTCCATTCATTAGGGCTAGGTTATCGGCAAGCTTCGCCCGAAGGTGGTTAAAGTTCGACGGACCAGTTCCACGGCATCCCGCACACCCACCCTTCCGACGGGCAAAGATGCCGAGTGCGTTCTCGCGCAAGGATGAGCTGGTACGTGCGCTCTCAATGCTCAAACACGTCGATCAATACTGTCGGCGACCTTGCCCTGGATTGAGATCTAATTTCTCGAAGCTCAACACTCAAGTTCCTTTCTTCTATAACTCCTGCAGGGGGATCCTGGGCAGTCTCGCATCACACCGCAACGTTGTTGAAACTCCCCGATCATGCAGATCGTAAACTGTTTCGCAGCTGCCATCGTGCTTGGCTCGGCCAGCGCCACTCGTAGCTTCCAAAACGCTTCTACTGTGAGTCTTTGGCATCGACGTTTAGGATAACCATTGTGCTGAACAGAGACACAGGCCTATCCAGAGTATGGCTTCCCTTTACTCTCGGATGCCAACAACACTGAGTTGCTGTTTCCCCAGCCAGCATGCCACGGCTTCGTGATTGCAGAAAAGAGCATTGAAGAACTTCAAGAGTACATGAGCTCTGGGAACCTCACCTCGGTTCAACTCACGACCTGCTACTTGCAGAGACTTTTCCAGACTCGTGACTACATCAAGTGAGTAATCACAGCACGTGATTTCTGAATCCACAATACTGATCATTGTACAGCCCTATCATCGAGATCAACCCTGATGTCTTCGAAATTGCTGCAGCCATGGACGAGGAGCGCCGACATGGCAAAGTCCGTGGTCCTCTGCATGGCATTCCATTTGCGGTCAAAGACAAGTAAGATATCAGCTGCTCCATTCACGATCTGAAACTGATCATGCCACAGCATTGCCACCAAGGACAAGATGCAAACGACTGCTGGATCATGGGCTCTCCAAGGATCTATTGTGCCTCGTGACGCCCACGTAGTAGCTGGGCTTCGTGCAGCTGGTGCCGTACTGTTCGGCAAGGCTACTCTGTCTGAATGGGCTGACATGCGCACCAACTACTACTCAGAAGGCTACTCTGGTCGTGGCGGTCAATGCCGTAGTGCTTACAACCTGACTGTCAACCCTGGAGGCAGCAGTTCTGGTAGTGGTGTTGGTGTAGCAGCCAATGTCTTCCCTTTTGCTCTCGGTACTGAGACTGATGGCTCTGTCATCAATCCTGCTCAGCGCAATGCCATTGTCGGTTTCAAGCCCACCGTTGGATTGACTTCTCGTGGTGGCGTTATCCCTGAGTCCCTGAACCAGGATACCGTTGGTGCTTTTGGCAAGACTGTCCGCGACGTGACTTATGTCCTTGATGCCATTCACGGCGTTGACGTTTATGACAACGAGACTTCTGCCCAGATTGGCAAGACACCCCAGGGTGGCTACGCACAGTTTTTGACCAACAGAACCGCCTTGAAGGGAGCCACTTTTGGTATCCCATGGAACAGCTTCTGGGTTTATGCTGATGCTCACGAGCAAGAGGTTCTTCTTGACCTCGTCTCTTTGATTGAGTCTGCCGGCGCCACCATCGTCAACAACACCGAGCTCCCCTACTACGAGACCATCGTTTCCCCCGACGGCTGGAACTGGGACTACGGAAGCACTCGCGGCTACCCCAACGAGAGCGAGTACAGCTACATCAAGGTCGATTTCTACAACAACATCCGCGATTACCTGGCCGACCTCAACAACACCAACATCCGCTCGCTCGAAGACCTTGTGCAGTTCAACTACGACAATGACGGCACCGAGGGTGGCTACCCTTACGCAAATGGAAGCGGTATCCCTGCATTCTTCTCTGGTCAAGACGGTTTCTTGGCCTCTTTGGCTAGCAAGGGAGAGAAGAACGAGACTTACTGGTCTGCACTCAACTTCTGTCGTCACACCACTCGCGAGGCTGGCATTGATGCCGTTCTGGCCATGGGACCTAACGGAACCAAGCTTGATGGTCTCTTGGTTCCTCCGGATGTCGCTCAGGCACCTCAGATCGCTGCTCAGGCCGGCTACCCTATGCTGACCTTGCCTGCTGGTACTCACGAGAACGGCATGCCTTTCGGTCTGGCCATCATGCAGACGGCTTTCGCAGAGGACAAGCTTGTCAAATGGGGTTCGGCGATTGAAGATCTGCAGGTCAGCTCTAACACGCCGCACAAGAGAACTCTTCCCCAATGGCGTGATTACCTTGTTAGAAACATCCCTGTCACCTAAGCATGAAAGGGTCGATTGAAGAGACCGAAGCTGTACATAGATCATGATGTTGAGTAGAGGTACGATAGTATGAGCAATACGTAGATATAGTTGCATAAGCAGTATTGAATTACTAGAAGCATGGCACCTCTCTCTCTCTCTGTCTGTGATATAAAAAGCGCAAAAACAACGACGAATTAAGAACAAAAACTACAGTTGCTCTGCAAAACAAAGTCTCTCAAAACGTATCCTAGAACCATAACGCCTCGAATAACAGTCAGAGCGTAGGTGCAAGGTTAGACATGTTCGTCCAGAACCAATGTATACACGATTCGCAGTCTTGCCATCATGTCTCTCCTTCCTCTTCTCTTGTCTATACCATCGTCTAGAACAAGATATCCAAACAACAGCAACAAGCCAACGCACTCAACACACCAGCACAAATACCACCACCAGCACCACTGCTACTCTGCTGCTGGTAATGCCCCTGCGGCGGAGGATATCCCTGCTGCTGATAGTACATTGGCTGTCCCTGAGGTGGGTAACCTCCCTGCTGCGGTGGGTATCCTTGTGGTGGGTAGCCTCCCTGTTGTGGTGGCATGTATCCTCTGTTTGCGTCTGGCGCGGGAGAGGCATATCCTTGTTGGGGTGGGTAGTAGGAGTTTGCGGGTGGGGCGGGGGAGGCAGAGTTGCCGTAGTAGTTTGCTGCTTCGCCGCCGCCGGTGGCAGGAGCAGTGTACGTTGGTGGAGGACCTGAGGGGGCGTCCTGTGTGCTTTGTTAGTTGCTGCTGGCTTGTCATGCAGAGTTGTTGGGGCGCATACGTATTGACCCATGATGCTAGAGTACTATGAAGTAGGCGCGAAATGCGGAGATGGTATAAGATGTCCTCGGACGAAAGGATTTAGGCGCCTTTGCGATAAACGCTTTATTCAGTCGCGCAGGAAAGTGTCAAAGGTGTCGATGACGGAAAATTGATCGCAGATGTCAATGCGAAAAGATGTACAGATGGACGGGAAAGTGGAGAAGAGAAAGTGATCCAAAGAAGAAGGATCATAAGAATGTCGTTGTCACCGTCGCTCAGATTAAACTCCAAGCCTCTGGGCGCAGTCTACCAAGCCCTTGCCCTCTCGCCGACTCGTGGTCTGTTCTGGCCTTCGTTCATACTTCCTATTGCCATCGTACCACGTATATACCACTTCTAAGCCACCTTGTTATACGTGTTGTTGCTATTTCCTCGTCTTGCGCACTTGTCCTTTGTCGACGTCGTCGTCTTTGCCACCATTCAAGACAAACAGCGTCATTGTCTGGCATTCCCGCGGGATCCGCTTCGGCTTCCTTCACCGCTGGCTGACGAGCTTGCGTGACAGGGTCGGCCGAGTCGTCTTGGTTGCTTCCTAAATGCTAAATCAAGTTTGTCACTTTCACTCTTCACCTCGACGCGATGCAGAGCAGAAACGAGCTGTCAGGAGGCGCAATGATTTTCCAGATCGATAGCATCTCCTGGAAAGTCGGTGGAACGAGACGAGACGATGATTTCTCTACTAATCGTCGCGCGGAAATCTAGCAAACATTGTGCTTTGTTTCAGTGCCGTGTGACAAACTTCAGCACACAGGTAGGAAGGATGAACGCGCGGCGCCGAGACATCGAGAGGTGGAAACAAGACAGAGAATAAATAATGCAATCAATTCGTGATCGAAACAGATGTGGTATACAATGTCATGAGATCCGAAGGCGCCGCTAAAGACGATGTATTTTCATCACAGCTTGCTCTTCCTTGTAAAGTAAGTCTTGATCACCTTTCTAGCTCTTTCCACAACTTCCACATCTTCGATCGTTGCAGGGACCTCGACTTCCTTGTCAAAGTTGCCCTCGCTGGCGTCTTCTACCATCTGCTTTAACACTCTGCGTAGGGTCTTTCCACTTCTTGTACGAGGAATCACTCCCTGTGCTATAATGACACCTCCCAATGTAGCGATAGGACCAACAGCTGCTCTCACGCGTGAGTTGATGGCGGCGAGAAGTTCACCCTCTGGTATCGTGCCAGCCGATGCGGAAAGAGCGACAAATGCAAAAGGTACGTGGCCTTTGAGAGGATCTGGTGCCGGGATGACGCAGTTGTCTGTTATTGATGGATGGGATGAGATGGCTTGCTCGAGCGTAGCTGCGAAAGAGTGTCAGTCCTGTGCTTTGAGTCGACCGATGATCAGACTTACCTGTGCTCAGCCTATGAGCAGCCACGTTGATCATATCATCACTGCGACCGTGGATATGAACGTAACCATCTTTGTCAATGAGACCAGCATCGCCTGTGTCAATCCATTTGCCCCCAAATCGAAGCATGTATCCCTTGTAAAAGCGGTTCTCGTCTTTCCATAGTGTCGTAAATCCGGTGGGCGCAAGTGGCATGCCGAGAACAATGTTTCCAGTTTTCCCTTGTGGTACCTCATTACCATCGTCGTCAACAACTCGGATGTCGAAGCCAGGCATCGGCTTTCCTGCGCTGCCAGGTCTCGTCTCCAGGGGCTTGATCTGGCTGTCACTTCTACCTTTGTGCCATGAGTCAGGAAGTTGCGCCAATCCCGTCATGGGTGAACCAGACTCGGATGACCACCAGTTGTCGACGACAGCAGCACCAGGGGCGCCATACTTCTCCAACAAAGCAGTGTAGTCATTGACGACGGCAGGTTCGCTTCGTTCACCTGCTAAGAAAAGCGCGCGCAGTGTTCTGAGGCCGTCCCTCTCACCTCTCTCCTTGAAGAACTTGTGCTCACCATCTTCGCGACGGATAGCACGTAGAGCTGTTGGTGCTGTGAACATGACGTTGACTTTGTGCTCATCCACAATTCTCCAAAAAGTGCTAGCGTCTGGAGTTCCGATAGGTTTTCCCTCGAACAGAACGGTCGTTGCACCCGCCAACAAAGGAGCGAAGATGATATAGCCATGTCCTACAACCCATCCTATGTCTGATGCACAGAACATGACATCGCCAGCCTTGATTCCAAAGAGGTAGCGCATGGAGAAGCTCAAGCCAACGGCATGGCCTCCGGCTTCACGCAGAACTCCCTTTGGTGCTCCTGTAGTCCCTGCAGTACAGGTTAGCGCATTGTACTAAGTGATTACTGGCATGGCTTTTCGGCTAGATACCTGAAGTGTAGATGACATAAATCGGGTCATTGGATTTCACGGGCACATTTTCTGCTTTTACGCCACGATTTTTGGCACTCTTGACGAGTCGCTGCCAGTTTCGCTCACCGTCTTCTTTGATGACAGGATCCCAGCGACATTGTTCACGCTGCCATACGATCGTTTTACTGGGCTTGTGCTTGGCCTGTTCGATAGCACCGCGTACCAGAGGCTGATATGGCAATGGTCCCTTGGCGCCTTCAATACCACAACTGGCAGTGAGAACCACTCGAGGCTTTGATCCATCGATGCGCTGAGCCAGGCTCGGAGCTGAGAAACCACCAAAGACAACAGCATGAACTGCACCAAGTCTTAGAGTGGCCAGGACACCGACAAGAGCAGCAGGTATCATCGGCATGTATATCAAGACCACGTCTCCTCGCTTGACCCCCTCTTCACGCAGTACGCCAGCCAATGTTGCGACCTCTTCTGCAAGTTGTGCATAGCTGATCTTCTCTTGTGCACCGGTGACAGGCGAGTCCCAGATTATCGCGGTACGCTGGCCGTTTCCGGCATCGACGTGTCGATCAACGCAGTTGTATGAGGTAGATATCTCGCCGTCCGGGAACCATTTCCAGTGCTGATGTTTCGTGCCAGATGGCAGGGTTTTCGTCGTTCGCTCAAGGACAGTCTTCGGAGGTACGGCCCAGCTCAACTGCTCAGCTTCATGAGCCCAGAAAGTGTCTGGCGATTTGAGTGAAGCGGCGTATGCTGCGTCTTGCGGATGTGCGTTCGTCATGGCGTTTCTGGAGGTTGTCGAATAGGTTGCAGTGTGAGTCTCAGGAACTGGCCGACCTACAAGAAGGTACAAATATTAGATCAGATAGCCGCGCCCTTGCCCAAGGTTATTCGGGTCAGCGGGATGGACTGCAATTGACCTCTTCTTGACCAAAGTCTACCCCACACCCCCACGTTTGCGGGGTTCGGCTTCGGCATGGTTGAGAATGACGCTGTCGAAATCGTTGTTGCCAGCCATCTCTGCAGTATAATATTTGTGCAACGGCACGTGGCCTTGGAATAAGAGAAGGCGTTCATGGTTGATCCAGAGACTTAGATCGCACCGTGACTACTAGTATAGAGTCGCGTAAAGTCGATAAACCCACAGCGTCAGTCGTAGCGAGCTTTTTGTGCTGTCAGACGTCTTGTCCAGAGACGCGTGTGATCAGTTGACCCCGTGTGTCGTCGAGGGAGGACTGTGGAGCATTAAGTAGCTGGCTGAGAGGGGTTTGCCCAACCTCGGAGGAGGATCAGGAGAAGGATCAGTCAGCGTGGGGATCGTACTCAATCTCTTGGTTCGGCCACTCGAGCCAAGCATGATACTCCGAAGGTATTGTCGAGTTTACTGAGCTCGCGACTTTGAACGCTGGTGTCCGATTCCACCAAAGGTTGCCAACCCTCTTGATCAGAACCCCTTGGTGTACTAGGAGGACGAGAGCAACAGTCTTATGCTGCTCGAGCATCTCGAAAAATTCGACCGGGACCTGTACGAACCAGAAGTAGCCAGCGACTATCGGTGAGATAAATTGATGGGGGTTGTCGGTCTGAGCAGATTTTGCATAACACCATGTACAGTTGTTCGGCGGTGCTTTGGCTCGGCTCATGCGGCCGTAAGCCTCTCGCAAGTAGTGTAAGGCCTCATCGTATATGGCTGCCTCCTCGCTACTAACATCCTGTACCATGGATGGCGTACCAGGGTGCCATAGCTGTTGTAGGCTGGCTAAATATTCGTCTTCCTTGACGGCTTTGTCGTCTATGGGCTGGGTGATCTGGCAGAAAGCGCTGTCTACAAGCAAGGGCGCAAGAGGACCATCTTCAAGCCACATCTTACCACGACGAGCGATGTGATCAGTGCCTCTGAATATGCGTATCCAGTCTACAACAGCACCCAGTAGGACCTCGTTGAATACACTTCCAGTTGTCAGATTTGGGTTGAGACGAGTCCCTGATGAGGCGATAATATAGCACGCTACCAGTATCGAAAACGCAAACAATGCTTCACAGTTTTCTGAGTTGAAGTTCTCCAGAGCAGATCGGAATCCTTGCAAACCCAAGTCCTGATGATTGGCAGCTAACATTGAAAGATCGTCTTCCTCGCACTGACGCGTAACTGACACGTGAAGACCAGCTACAGCGAGAATCCCATGCATCAGAAACTTGTGTTTAAATGCGATTTGGACTACTGCAGTTTGCCATATGTGTTGGTGCTCTGTCTGGTCCGAAAGTGTTTTGGCCGTGTGAGTGACGAAATGATGCAGCAGTTCCATTTCCTTCAAAGTAAAACTCTCTCCAGAGCGTGTACTCGTATCTGGCTGAGGGTTTTGGAAACTGCACTCTCGTGAAGTCCTTCTGCATTTCTCACATATTGGCTTGCTCTCGTCGCACTGTGATCGAGTCAGACTGCGAATCAATCACTGATGGGATAGCGACGCGAAAATCTCGACGCGGAGAACATGTCGCCGTCCGTCGGTCGTACATACCTTTATGCGACGTTTCTTGCACTGCACGCAGCCAGTACGCGTCTTCCTGTGCGTGATCATCTCCGGTCCAGTACACTTCACTCTCTTAGGGCGGCTTGCTTGACGGCCCACTGTCCTGGGTTTGGCGCGTTGCCAAGTACAGTTTCTTTCATGGTGAGCGAGGGCAGAGCGAGAGCCAGTGGCTGGGATAGAAGGGTGTCGTATGGCCGGTGCGAGGCGGTACGGACGGATGTGGCTTGGCAATATGGTTTACCGTTTGCAGATCTTTTCTCAAGGCAGGGTGACAGCGTATATCAAGCCCTGAGCAGGGTCATACCCGAAGCAATGTTTTCGCTGACTTTTGGAATGCTTTTCCTTCAAAGTACATCTCAACCACGATTTTTTGACAGTCTATATAGTTTAAATCATGTCTCATGATCTCTTCTATGACATCTGAGAGTTTTCCACCGATACATATCGATTTGGTGGAGCTAAATATGATTCTATGTTTTGACAACTGCTTCGTTGGACTTGCTTGGTGATTGTGTATGAGAATAAAATGGAGAACCATTCCTTAACACACCACTTACCCAAACACACAAATCCAGGTTATCTATAGCATATGCTCAAGCAGGTCCATATGCTCAAGTAAGGCTCCAAATCAAGCACCACGGCGAGGTATATGAGTGGGTGGCTGAGAAGATATATCTATTATGACATTGAGGCAGGGTGATACCCCAAGCAAGGTGGACTTATGCATATCACACACTGAGACCTAGCTTCTCCGCAGCACCGACAAACCCATTTTCCTTGATGCCGACCCATATATCCACAAAGCCTTTGTCTTTTGCTTCCTCTTCGTTCTTCTTTTCTTCTTCTTGACTGCGTTCGACGTAGATGGTACGATATCCACAGCCTTTCGCCGCCTCAAGATCACCCAGGTGCGCTGCGACCATGACGCACTGACTGGGCTCCAAGCCCAGCCTCTTCGCAGCTCCCAGGTAGATGGCAGGGTTTGGTTTGTAAGAGTTGAACAACTCAGAAGAGTAAATGTGCTTGAAAGGCATGCCACCATGTTTCTGCATGTCCTTGAGTAATGCGATGTTTCCATTCGAGAGCGTACATGTCTCGTACTTGGTGTTCAAAGCCTCAAGACCCGCGACGGTGTCAGACCAAGGATCGAGCTTGTGCCAGATGAGACTCATCTCCTTGACTTCATCTTTATTCCAGAGACCACCAAGCTCGCCGTCTTCGCGTCCTAGTCCATGCTGGACTAATAATTCATGTAATGACTCGAGGTGATGGTCGTCGACTGTTTTCCAGCCGAGAGATGCATCAGCTGCAAGAGCTCGGGTGAACTTGTAGTAGGTGTTCCTCCACTCTTGTGCAAAGGCACCCCAATCATCGTCGCTCATTGCACTTGCTTTGGCTCGAACATCGTTGGTGATGATCATTGATCTTCTCATCAAAGCCACTTTGCATTGTTGAATCAAGGCATTGGTCACTGTCGTCCTCCAGTCGACGCAGGTGCCGAACACATCAAACAGAAGAGCACGAGCATTGTCCATGACTGACTGGCAAACAAAGGTTGGAATAAGAGAATATATCATGCGAGAGTATATAATGCGCAAGAAGTTCAATACTTTGACCGAGGAACACAACGAGAGCAAAAGGCGGAGAAGGGCGAGACTTGTCGGCTGCTCTCGGGTATGAAGGAGACGCGACACGCGTTGGAAGAAGGCACAACATCACAAAGAAACGAATGAAGAAGACAAAAAGCTTGCGAGCAAAAATGTTGAGGATTAAACTGGTATCATTGCATTGCATTTCCCATAAACTCCCCTGCCTGTATGATTGTACATCGGCATTGACCCCAAAGCAACTAGTGATTTAACACACTTCCCATCCGATAACCCATTGATGATGATTGATAACGATCCCGGCCCGCTGGATGAATATGCGGCCAGAAGAGCAGTCGTGAAACCCATGAAGAAGAAAAAGAAACGCTTAACCACCGAAACCGTAGAGGGTACGGCCCTGGCGCTTGAGAGCGTAGACAACGTCGAGAGAGGTGACAGTCTTGCGCTTGGCGTGCTCAGTGTAGGTAACGGCGTCGCGGATAACACCCTCGAGGAAGGTCTTGAGAACACCGCGGGTCTCCTCGTAGATCATGGCGGAAATACGCTTGACACCACCACGACGAGCGAGACGGCGGATAGCGGGCTTTGTGATACCCTGGATGTTGTCGCGCAAGATCTTGCGGTGACGCTTGGCACCACCCTTTCCGAGACCCTTGCCACCCTTGCCACCTATAGAGGAGATATGTTAGACGACTGAAGATGCAATGGAGGCCGAATAGCTGTGAAGTGGGGTAACTTACGACCAGACATTGTGATAGAAGTTGTTTGAAGAAGAGGGTTGAAGTTTGTTGTGATGACCGAAGTCTTGCGTGTGGAGAAGTCGCTGGGTGAAGAAGAAGATGGGAGTGTGGATGGAGATTTAATTCGTGCGGAGGGAAGAGGTGTTTATGGCTGACGCGTGAAAGGGAAAACGCGACAGATCACAGCGATTGATCTTGGGTCGCTCCTTCCACTGATTTGGGCTAGCGAAATGCCAAAGCCGAATGATCTTGGGAAGGCGCGGCGGCCCAAGCGTCCGCTTCACCGGCCAATCAACTCGCGATACGAGCACTGACCAGCAAGATTTGTCGAGAATCTGAAGTTCCGTCAGCCAGATTCGCAAGCAAAGAAAGCACAGTTTGGAGTGCTGGATCTGAGACGCCCAAACAGCGAAGCCCCAAGTGAAGGCAACTGTGATCTTTCTGGCTTTGATTTTCCAACCCGCACCTGACGCCCCCCAACGCCTATATATTCCTTTCCCCCGCCCACCACTACCACTCCTCTCTCATCATCCAACAACCATCTCTTCTATCCACAACAACAACATCTTCTCATCACAACAACAAGTCATCTACAATGGCTCGTACCAAGCAAACTGCCCGTAAGTAATCACTCATACATCACCCTTCATCATCATCGCCGCCGCCGCCTGCGCGTCGCTCTCGCTGCCCGGGCGCGTTTCGACGCGTCTTTGGCTTTGGCGCCGCCGCAGCATCCATCAACAACCATCACTTCATCCATCAACAACAGTCGCTTACGTTCATTCACAGGCAAGTCCACTGGTGGCAAGGCCCCTCGCAAGCAGCTCGCCTCCAAGGCTGCTCGCAAGTCCGCCCCCTCAACCGGTGGTGTCAAGAAGCCTCACCGCTACAAGCCCGGTACCGTCGCTCTCCGTGAGATCCGTCGCTACCAGAAGTCGACCGAGCTCCTCATCCGCAAGCTGCCCTTCCAGCGTCTTGTTCGTGAGATCGCTCAGGACTTCAAGTCGGACCTCCGCTTCCAGTCCTCCGCCATCGGCGCTCTTCAGGAGTCCGTTGAGGCTTACCTCGTCTCCCTCTTCGAGGACACCAACCTCTGCGCCATCCACGCCAAGCGTGTCACCATCCAGAGCAAGGACATCCAGCTCGCCCGCCGCCTCCGTGGTGAGCGCTCTTAAGCGCTTCCATCATGACGACTTCTGATGCTCTCCCACTCATCAGCATCATATACCATCAACGAGAAGCTTGAGGATGGATGATTCGGGAGACATCGATGGGATGGCTGGCGTTTGTTTTCTGACTTTCTTCTACTGAGTTTTCAATTTTATCAAGCAAGGGAATGACATGGGATTCGGGGTTTCTACTATCATGGGGTGCACGAAAGCGTGCACAGATTCAGAGAGCATTGAATGTAACATAATGAAATGCAAGCACAAAAGACCGGGCCCGGGTACTTTTGCTATCAACTTTACAACATCTTCCACATTCTGTCTCTTCTCTTGTGACATGCCTTTGCTTGTACAAGGAGCTCCTCCATTCTCTACAAAATGTTCTTACTACTGTTTCCGACTTTCCGGCTTCTTAGCTTGAAGGTCGTGATATCTTCAAGCATCTCCTGACTGTATCACCTTGTGCCTAGAGTTGCCTGGAGGCACAGACATGTTGACAATGATGGTGTCTCTGCTTGGGAGTGCTTGCCTCACGCTCTCTCCCCGTGATGCAGCTCTACTAATAAAGGACACTGTGCCTTTCGACAGATAAAACAACAGTCTGAATACAGGAAGCGAGTGTGAGATCGTTGTCACAGCCCTGTAGACGCGTGTCGAACAAGTTGTTCGTAGCGTACACGCGTTCCGGTTGTAAAGCACGGTATGTCACGCAACAGCTGATGGTCTGATGTAAGTACTTTCGCATCATATTTTCTGATCACCAATTCTACTCTTCTGGACAAACCAAGCACTGTGTGCTATACACTTCTCCCATTCCGTCTACGCGACCTCAAGATATTTGTAGGTCGATACCACCTCTAATCACCCACATGATCGCGGTCGCACGCCATAGCGGCTCCGAAGAATGACGGCTCCGAAGCATGGTGGTCCCGAAGCCGAGTACCGAGCTCGCTCAACAATGTTGCTCCCTTTCTCGTTCTCGTGTCAAGACGGCGCAATGTCTACTAAGAAGAAACAACCAAGATGAACGCCTACTCTTTTGCACTTGCTGGACGAAGCAATAGACTGCTCTTGCGACTGCGATTGAGCGGCCAGCGACGACTTAATTCGACAAAGCCTCAAGACAAAGCCCAGGATGTGCCCAAAGCAACAACGATCCCAGGACCAGGCATGACCTGGATTGAACCCTTGAAAGAGCCGTTCCGGGCCTATGGTCGCATGCAATATCGCTCGCCATACATCACACAACTATCGACGACATTGATCATCTACTTCTTGGGTGACTTGTCAGCCCAGAAGGTCTCCAGCGATGAACCCTACGACCCTTCCCGTGGTCTACGAGCACTTGTGATCGGTGGCATATCGTCGATACCGAACTACAAGTGGTTCATGTTCCTGGGCAACCACTTCAACTACAAGTCACATGCGGTTTCCATTGCGACCAAGATTGTCGTCAACCAGACCTTCTTCACACCATGCTTCAACACATATTTCTTCGGCATGCAGAGTCTACTATCAGGGCAGTCGCTCGCACAGACAAAGCAAAGAGTTATGGACACGGTGCCTGTGAGTTGGAGAAACAGTTGGAAGTTGTGGCCAGCAGTCACGGCGTTCAGTTTTACATTTGTGGCGCCGCAGTACAGAAGTGTGTTTGCGGGAGTCATTGCTATTGGATGGCAGACCTACTTGAGTTGGTTGAACATGAAGGCGCAGAAAGAGGAGGATGAGAGGGCAGCGACTTCGGCGGCCGCGGCTCCTGTGACTGCTCCATCAACGGCAGTTCCTGCTGTATGAGCGTGCGGAGCAGTCTGAGAATAACACGAAAATACACCTGAACCGCCCTGTTCGGCCTGCTTCAGCTGCTGCCAGAACCCGGCTGAGAAGCAGTTGCAGTTCTGAGATCTGCTCCGAGTCGAGAACACTCTTCGGCCGAAAGCAAGAGGATTAGAGGTAGAGAAGACATAGTCTGTCGGGGTCATGCTCTAAGATGATACCCGCCTTCTTCCAAGATAGCCCACAGATGCAGCGAGAGAACAAGGTCGGAGCTGTGTCAATCAGGAAGTCGTCCAGACGGACCCCCTCATGGATGTAGTGGAAGAAACAAGTCCTTTCGCTATGATGCAAATGACTTGGCTCAGTTGAAACATGTTCACAGAGCGCAATTGGGAGAGGAGTGTCAGAGAAACGGCCATGACTTAGAGACGACCAGTACCTTAGATATACACGAGGCAACAGTACGCTGTTCATGTACATCAAGAGAGCACAAATGTGAAGAATGTCGAAAAGAAGAAACCGATTTTCAAAGATGTTTAACGAGAGATGGTGAAAGTGATCGGAGAATGCTGGAGCAACTCCGCAGGCTTGGCACAGATCAAGCAGTGATGGCATCGACAAGCAGCTGGCTGCGAGCTAAGGTATCCGCGCCTGAGCCATCTCAATCAACCAAACATCCTCTCCATCGCCGCATTCCCTCTACGCTGTACGACTTCTCTATCTCGCGCATCGCTCCGCCTATAGCCATCTCACTCGGCCTCCTCTCGTCAACTTGACCGACACCCTCTCGCCTCACACCGTCATGGCGCAACAAGACAACGCCGCCCGCATCGCCGAAGCAAAGAAGCAGGCAAAGGAACACCCACACAAGGCCGAAGAGACCTACAAGAGCATCCTCGAGCAAGGCCCCGGCAAGTCAGATGCCGGTGCTCGCGATTATGAGAATGCCTTGATGGGTCTCGGTGAGCTGTACCGTGATCAGCGCCGTACGAACGACTTGGCCGAACTTGTCCAAAACGTCAAGACGGTTCTCTCATCACTGGCAAAGGCAAAGACGGCAAAGCTGGGTGTGTATCGCCTGGGATTCCTGCCTCTCATCTCTCAACTGACCTTGTTGTGTCACAGTGCGCCAGCTGCTTGACCTCTTCACACCCATCCCCGACACGCTCGAAACACAGATCTCCGTCACAAAGTCATGTATCGAGTGGGCTGTTCAAGAGCGCCGTGGCTTCCTCCGTCAGAACCTCGAGACACGGTTGGTCTCGCTGTACATGCAGAAGCAGAGCTACTACGAATCCCTCACCCTCATCAACCGCCTGCTCAAGGAGTTGAAGCGTCTCGACGACAAGCTGGTCCTGGTCGAAGTCCAACTCCTCGAATCAAGAGTCTACCACGCCCTCGGCAATGTCCCCAAGGGCCGCGCCGCCCTCACCTCTGCCCGCACATCTGCCGCCTCGGTCTACTGTCCGCCTCTGTTGCAAGCCAACCTCGATATGCAGAGTGGTATGCTGCACGCTGAGGACGGCGACTTCAACACCGCCTTCTCATACTTCATCGAAGCTCTTGATGGCTACCACGCCCAGGACGAGTCCGAGAAGGCCACTGCCGGTCTGATGTACATGCTCTTGTGCAAGATCATGATCAACGCCAGCGACGACGTCAACAACCTCATGCAATCAAAGCATGCCCTCAAGTATGGTGGCAAGGGCTTGGACGCCATGAAGCAGGTCGCAAAAGCCCACAACGACCGTTCCCTCGAAGAATACGAGACCGCCCTCGCCGACTACCGCCACGAACTCGCTTCCGATCGCTTCATCGCTACCCACCTCCGCCGCCTCTACGACAACATGCTCGAGCAAAACCTCATCAAGGTCATTGAGCCCTTCAGCCGTGTTGAGATTGCCCACATTGCCAAGATGGTTGGTTTGGACGTCCACCATGTCGAGCACAAGCTGAGTCAGATGATCTTGGATCGCGTCATTATTGGTGTTCTCGACCAAGGGCAAGGTTGCCTTGAAATCTTCGACGAGCCTGAGCGTGATGCTCAATACGATGCCGCTTTGAACACAATCGATAAGCTGAGCAATGTTGTTGATGTGCTTTACACCAACCAGGCCAGTCTTTTAGAGTAAGATAGGACTCTGATGCTGCATCCATGGCGAGTGGAGTTTCTTTATGGCAAAGGGAAGAGGATGGGCAATGTACTCATAGACAGATGACCAATGTGGGAGCAAAGCATGAAAGAAGCGAAAGCAACATTTCGAACTCTTAATGAAAAATTACATCTCAAACTCTGCTCTGTATCTTGCCATCTTATATAAATTCATGGAGGACAAGGTTGTTGTCGCTCCTTCTCAACGCATGCGAAACATGGCTTTTTCGACAGGGTGACCCTGTGGGCAAATGTCGAAACACTCGAATGCTCGATATATCGACCACCACAAGATATTATACGTATTCTAGTAAGTTTAACATGATTTCTAATATCTAATATATAAACTTGAAGAGTTTAGGACGATCAAGATGTCGATTGGGAGAGAAAACGCCATCTTTTCTAAAATCCCATGTCGAATTTTGGGAAATGGGTATGTACTGCATCTTCTCCCACCATATCTTTCCAACTCGAGCTGTGAAAGTGTATTGTTATTCTGAGTCATACGGCGAAGTGCTTTTGAGAGAGGAATCGGGTTTTTCTTTCACTTGCGAGATCTGATTTCGAAATTGTGACATTTAATTATGCATTTTGATAAGCACAACTATGCATACTTTTGGGAGAGATGGAATTGTACAAAGTCTTGTGCGAATGCATAAGGGTCGTGAAAATAGCATACATCAACGCGTCGCGTAGAGAAAGTCGCGTCCTTGCAGTTCGTCATCCTGACACTTCGTTCTCAGTAGTGCCTTTATGAGCCTCTTCCTCTCTACTTGTCTCTTTGTGTCTTGGGTCAAGTTCTGTGACGTTAGTATTTGTGGTCGGGATCATGGCGAACGCGTTCAAAGCTGCAAGACCACGCCCTGGTGCTGGTCAGAATGCACAATGATTTCTCACGATACCGTCCACCGCAGCAGAAACCTGGTTCGTCACCTTTCCTCTTCTTTCGTGATAGCCTAAAAGTAACAAGGAGCTGTAAAAAGACACAATCATTTTCGCGCCGACGTGACACGGTCTCGAGCTAACTCTTCCACAACAACTCCAACAATCAGAAAAAGATTGTGCATTTCTACAGCCCCCCTTCGTATATCCGGTTACTGGTACCGAAGGATGTTCCCGGGTGGCTTGCACTTTTCTATCATATCTACTCTCCTCCGTGGTAGACAAGAGTAATTAATAGCTGTCGAAAGGCATAGTCGTTCTGTAAGGCAGATCAGTCTTTGTGAAGGCCTGACAAGCTAAATGCTCTTGATGGGTATTGCTCCTTCTCTAGAACAGACTCTGCCTCGATACAGTGACACGAGAGACGTAACGTAGCATACAGGTGTAGTTGAAAGTCGATGGGGTGTCAGCTACCCGATTGAGGAGATATTACTGGACCTGCCACTGGCCGTATGGGGCACATGTACTCACAGAGGAAGAGTGCAGGCTCCTCATCCAAGCTACTACCTGGAAATGATGGTGCCTCTACACGGGATGTCTTCACAGGATGTCTTCACAGGATGTCTTCACAGGATGTTTTCACAGGATCTCTTGATTGACATCCATATCCAGGAGGCTGTGACAGATCAACTTCAAGGGTGGCTACTCAGGGCCCAGACATGTCGACATGTTCGTGGGTACCACATCAGCAACAAGGTCTATGGCATACCGGACCATTCTGGCTGATATGGGACAAAGAGATGTCGTCGTCTGCTAGGTACCCTGCACACAAGCTCACCGCTTCTCACAGTTCTCGGTACCCGTAGCTAGCGATAGCCCTCGACATATAGGTTCTGGTCGTTCGGATCGAATCCCTCGCTCAGGATGGTCAGCAGCGGTCTTCGAGACCAAGCCGAATCGTTTTCTCGTAACGGCAGTCCGATCGGCGACAGGAGCTTGGAATAACCTCATCCCAACCTCACGGAGTTGGACCCGAGCTTGTGTCATCTTCTTGTGGTGACAACCCGGTCATCGAAAGGAGCTCGAGAGAATGCCATCTGCACGAAGGGAAGGGCTGAGCTTGTGTCATCTTTCCATGACGGTAGAGCGATCAACGACGAACGGAGCTGAAGGAGTTCCATCTCTCTCACACGGAGAAGCGCCTGAGGTTGCGTCGTCTAGGTTGTGGCGGCGACATCATTCTCGAAGGATGGATCCTCGAGAGAGTCTCGTCTCTCTCTCACGGAGGCGAGCCAGGGCTTGAGTCGTCTTGTTCGTGACGGCGACATCATCGTCGACGAACAGACCCTCGATCGGTGCCTGATTCGACTCATGGTGAACGCCCCCTGCCTCACCTCTCTTTCTCACAGACGCATTAACTTCTCGACGCGCTGTGATTTTACCACAACCCGCTCTAGACGTTGTCAGCGCTATATACAGCAGTAAATCATCACCATACCTCCCTCAAAATGTAAGAGATCTTCCCCTATCGTCTCCAGAAGACACAATTTGCTAAACCTCTCTTTAGGGCTGACGGAAAGGACGGAACCATGTTCTCCTGGACGAACCAGATCGGATTCAGCCAGCCCCATTCCAAGGTCGCCGAGCTGACTCGCGCCCACCACCCCCTTCTCATCAACATCCAAGGCCTCCCCGGCTCGGGCAAGACCCACCTCCTCCACGAGCTCAAACGTATCCTTCCCGCAAAAGACTACGCCTTCTTCGAAACCTGGAAGATCATCTCCCTTCTCTCGCATGGCCTTGACAACTTCGTGAGCTTCATGCCTCACAACAAGCTCAGAATGCGCAAGGACGCCACCGTCGAGATCGCCAGAGACTGCACGGTTGTGGACAAGGTTGGCATTGCCACTGGCTATCACTACCTCTGGGACGAGATGGGCGAGGGAAGCCAGGATATTGATACCCCTGTCGACACTGATGCTTATGACATGGTGTTGTGGTTACAAGTTCCTGTCGAGGAGCTTGCTGACAGACGTATGAGTGAACCGGGCACCGGACGCAGAGCTCTTCACACCGACGAGCAGAAGAACACGCAGTTTCTTGGAGAGTGGCAGGATGGCGAGCGCGAAAGGCTCCAGAAGATCTGCGGTGAGAACAACGTCCAGTTCGAGTGCATCGACGTGGGTACTACCACCAGCGAAGACGTTGCAGAGCTAGTGCGCAAGAAAAAGGGCATGTGAACAGCATGTGAACAGCAGGTGAAGGAAGGTATGAGAGAGGATCCTCAAGCAAAGACTAGAGCTGAAAACAGTCAATCACAACAGAAGAAGGAGCGACAGAGCTCAAAGCGGCGTCAAACCAAACATGTCGTTTGGCATGCGAAATGAACAATAATCATAAGGAAGGAAGCAAGCATGCGGGTCATCAGCTTCCATCATCATGATCATCATGATCAGCATCATCATGTCAACACATCACGAAGTCATCCGAAGGTTACAAGACAGAATAGAGTGAAGAAGAAGAATCGGATTCGCATAATCAACAGTCGTCTAATCGTTACATGAATAGTGAAAAAGAACTAAAACCTGGCCCTGTGATCCAGAAGAATCTCATCAATCACAAAAAAACAAAAGTGCCTCTATGGCCAGGTATCCTTTCAGAAGCAGAACAAGGAGAAAAATTCAAGACCCAATGCGCCCTTTGCCACCTCGTCATACCATCATTAAAATGCGCTTGCTTCCAGAAAAAGAATTAGAAAGACCAAGGAAAAGTAAAGGAAAAGAAACATCTCATCACAGTTTGAGATGGTCAAGATGCACATTTCGCACAACTTTTGTTTCAAGCAGCCCTGTCTTCGTGTACAGTTGTGGGAACGACGGCACCAGCGAAGTAGTCAACATTGCCTTGAAGAGCCGCGGTGGGAAGGTCAGAGCCAATGCCAGAGTCGCTGGGAGGTGCGTAGTGTACGATGTCCTTGCCAATAGTAGCCTCAACGGGCACAGCTGGAGTCTCGAGGCCAACGTGATACTCGCTCTCAAGATCACTGTCATCCTCTTCCTCGTGGATGATTGAGCGATCCATAGTGCTGCGGATGGTGCTGCCAATACTGGTACGACGGTCAATGTCGCTGCCAGTCATGTAGCTACCAGTCTCGTAGGTGCCGAGCGTGCCCAAGCTAGTACGACGACCATCGTCAGTAATGCCAGAGTTTGACTCAGTCCAAGCGCTCTGACTTCCAGCGTAGCTAATGCTGCGTCTACTGCTGTTGTAGTACGAAGAGTCAAGACTGTCGCGGCTGACGGGGCGAGAGTCGTAGTCACGGCTCTGAGGGCGGTATTCAGAGTCTCTACTCACAGGACGAGATCCACCGTAGTTGCTATCAATCTCAGTCACCTCTTCAATGTCGTTCTCCTTGTCAGCTGCAGCACGTGCGGTGCCCCAAGAAATCTTGCGAAGCTTGTTATGCTTGAGAGACTGACTGCGATTGATAGAGCCTTGTGCCGAAACCAGGCTCGGTGCAGCAGCAGCATATGTAGCAGGTCCGCCAGTCGGGAGATTGCGGCTGATCTGACTGAGTGACATTATGCGGCGTTCACCAGTGTTAGGAGTAGTGCCAGTCTTCTTGGGCATACCGCGAGTCTTCATAGCGAGAGCGTGACTCTGCAGAAGGCTAGGAGTGGTAGGAGCCGGAAGGTTTGTCGTTGAAGCATCGCTAGGCAGACGCAGATCACGCAGGGGCTTCTTCTTGGGCGACATCTTAGGTGTCTTTTGTGTAAGAAGCATGGCACGAGAGTGATCGATCAAACCTTCGAGAATGCGACGTTCCAGAGCATCGGCCTTCTCATCCATGATGTGCAATTCTTCACGTCTAATCTCCAGAGCGGTATGAAGAGAAGAGACATCACTGTTCAGACGAGCCTTCTGCGCAGCGAGAGCATCCTTCTCAGCACGAAGAGCCTCGACGATAGCCTGAAGGCTTTCCTTCTCCTCATTGAGAGAAGAAATGTCGGTCTCGATGTTGTCCTTCTGCACTTGGCGACGTTCAAGGAGTAGGGCAAGCTCTTCTGCCTCACGTTCCTTGCTCTCCTGACCTTCGGTAATCTGCTTTTGCTGGATAGCAACGAATGCAGATACTTCGGCAGCAGTAGCCTTGACTTGAGCGTGGATCTCATCAAGACGTTCCAACTGAGCGGTGGCTGCTCCGGCTTCACCAGCAAGGTTGACAAGAGTGTCAAGCTTCTCGTGAACTGCGGTGTCACCAACGAGCTTATCGAGCTTCTCATGAATAGCAGTGTCATCATACTTCTCTGCCGGCTCAGCAAGCGCAGGAAGCAAGGCAGGAAGAGCCCCTTTAAGCTCCTCTGTCTGCGCGCTGAGGTTCTCGGAGAAGTGTTTCTTGAGGTTCTCAGCGAAGAGACCTTCAATGTGAGTTTTCGACTCCTCGGTAACGGTACGAATAGTGTCATGAACTGTCTTGGCTTGTTCTTCAGCAGTGGCAGCAAGTTGTTGCGAGTACTCATAGTGAGCACCGACCAGAGCGTGGAGCTCCTTGAGCGACATGGAGAATTGAGGGTTGTACTCGGTGACCTCTCCTTGGAGAAGAGCAATGGCCTCCACGACCCTGACAACATCCTCACGAGTGGTCTGATGTTCGGTCTTCATGCCGTCATTGTGCTCGTCCATCTTGAGCATAGCGCCTTCGACTTTCTCGAACACAGTCTTGGAGTCCTCGGAAATCTTCTCGGTCGCCTCGTTGAAGGAAGGAATGAATGCGGTCAAAGACGTGCCCAATGTGTCGATAGAGAGCTTCAACTCATCAGTCATCTCCTTGGTGCTGTTCAGTATCTCCTTCTGCTGTTCAACCTGCTCTTCCATAGACTTTGCATTGTCGTGCGCAGCGGCTTGGGCGTCATCGTACTTGCTCATGAGACCGTCGAAGCAAGAGTCGACCTTCTCGGTCACAGCAGCCACAATGGCATCCTTGTGCTCGGCGTGCTTCTCAAGCAAAGTGGAGCTATTCTGCTCATGGTCGATCTTGATGCCGCCCAGAGATTCATGCGAGCGCTCAAACTCGTTCTTGACAGTCTCCAAGATTTCCTTGATGTCGGCTCCAATGCCTTCGTCACCAGCAACCTTTTCATCAATCGACTTGATAGCCTCTTCGATATCAGCCATACCGGGTGTGCCTTCTTCGACCTTGGCAAGTATCTCAGCCTTGATTTCCTCCAAGAAAGCCTTGACACCAGAGATAGCCTCGGTCATCTCCTCAGCCTCCTTTCTGCGGTCGTCGAAAGCCTTGGCAGTGATGGCGATATCATTCTCGTAACCTTCTCTGACCTTGTCATGGCTCTCACGGAAGTCATTGATGAGGCCAGTGATTTGTTCAACGTCGGCCTTGGATGGGAGTGCATCAGGATCGGGTAGGTTGAGCTCTGAGATCTTCTCCTTGATCTCAGTACAGAGCATGCCAAGAGCGTCCAAGTCTGCCTTGTTCAAACGAGAAGCTGTGTCTTCCTCTTCGCCTTGCTCCGGTGCCCTGGACTTAGAATCCTCAAAAGCAATGGCGAGGTCCTTGAGGAGAACTTCCACGACAGTTACGTCCTCCTTGGTAGCAAGACCATCAATGGCTTCCTTGGCGCTACGGACTACTGCCTCGACATCGTCCAGCTGTTCTCTACTGGCAATAGATGCAGGGAGTTCTTCAAGATGTGCCTTGGTATTGCGTAGCAAGGTCTCGATGGCGTCGGTGTCTTCCTTGGTGACAGCGTTATCAAGCTCAGTATTTCCTTTCTTAGCCATAATTGAGAGGGCATCTTGGATCTGTCGAAGAGTCTCTTCCATACCGAAAAGATCTTCCTTCAATACGGTACCCTCAGCAGGAGCAGCCGAGGAGGTAGGCATATCGCCGATGCTTGCAGCAAGGCCTTCAACCTTGATATGAAGTTGTGCGAACAGAGCCTCCATTCTCTCCTTGAGACTGACAGAAGGAGCAGCCTTGTCGTCTTCCCTGAGTTCGCGTGATCCATCCTCACCGGGTGCGTCGGCAAGAATTAGTTCACTACCAAGAGATGTTGATGGACGGTCGCCACCAGTAAGCTTCTCCATATCAGCGCGAAGGCTAGCAACGCCCTCCTTCAGCGTCTCCAGAATCTCGTAATTGACAGTCATATCGACAGGCTTGTCCATGATCTTGGACACGTCTGAGCGCATGTTGTCAAGGCCCTCATTGAGAGTGTCCATGAGCTCGTTGTTGAGATTTCTGTGCACCTCGGGGTTGTCGATCTTCTTCTCAAGAGACGACTGGAGATCATCCAGACCAAGTCTGACAGCGTCAAGAACTTCTTCCGTATCGGCGCGAGAGCCACCAGTACCCAGAGAGTGACGAATTTGTTGGAACTCACCTTGGATGGCCTCCAAGAGAGCTGTGTTGACACCTGAGCCTGAGCTGGCAGCAGCGATTTCGTCGAGACGAGTTCTTATCTCATCAAGGGGTGCCTGAGTAGCTTCCTCATCGTTGTTGTTGTTGTCGCCACTACTGAGAACAAGGCCCTTGGTGGTAGATTCGCGGAAATTCTCCAGCTGCTCCTTGAGCGCGGCCAGAGTCACAGCGTGAGCTTCACCCTGCTCAGAGCTGATCTGTATACGGATGGTGTCGACGGCCTCGCGAATAGTCTCAATCATCTCGTCGCGCTCAGCGGCGGCGCAGGACTTCAGGAGAGTGCTAGCGATTGTCTCGCGAAGATGAGCCAGCTCATCCTTCATAGACAGCAAGAGCTCATTGTCAGAAGTACCATCCTCGCGGTGGCCGATCTTGCCATGAAGGGCATCGAGGCTCTCCTGGAGTGATTCAATAACCTCAGCCTTGTGTGTATTAGAGCCGGCGATGACAGCGTCACGAAGGGCTTCAAACTCAGCCTTCATGGCTTCCAAGACTTCCTCGTTAGTCTCATCGAGAAGATCACGGCTAGCGGTCTGGTTCTTGAGCTCTAAGAATCCAGCTTCGAGAGCAACGAGGATTTCAGAAGTGCTTGAAGGACGACCTTCGTCGCCTTCACGAGTTCCAAGACCGCTGACAGCCTCATGAAGATGCTCAAATTCAGCCTTGATGTAGTCAATCATCTCGTTACGGCCATTGGAAGGTCCTTCGGCGCAATAGCCTTGAACATCACCGCGAAGTTGCTCCAGACCACTCTTGACGACGTCGACAATCTCATCCTTGCCTGTCACATCCTGAGCGCGGTCAACATATGATTCGACTTCGTGGCGCAAGGATTCGAGGCCATCCTTAAGGGCGTCCAAAACTTGCTCAGTGTCGTGGCCATTGGCAGCGGAGTACTGCTTGAATTCAACTTTCATCTCCTCGATGAGATTGCGAAGTTGGCCCAAAACTTGTTCACCAAAGCTGCCAAATGGAAGAGTTGAGCCATCGAGACTGGCCTTCACAGCCTCGAAAAGATCGTCTCTGCTGATGTCAAATTCACGAGGAGCGTGAGGCCCATGGTTCTCAAGACCCTCCTTGACAGCTCCGAGAACAATGGCATGAGTGGCGGCATCATCTGGACCAGCAGATTTGAGCTCTTCGATAGATTGGCGGATAGACGCAAGCAGATCTTCCTTGAAAGAAGCTATCTCATCAGTGGGTCTGGGAGGGTTGAACTCTTGAAGAGCACGCTGCATGGCTGATTCAACTTCCTCAATGTTGGCACCGGGTGATGCGGAGGGTTCCTTGTTGGCTTGGTAGTCGTGTAAACCTTCCTTCAAGACGGAGAGAATCTCGTCGCGTTCGAGACCGAATTGTTGAAGCTCTATCTCTGGTCTGAACTCTTCGATGGCATCCTTAACTGCTTCGAGAATGCTTGCTCTATCAAGCCCGTCTGATTGAGGCTGTGTCTGAACAAGAGCAGAACTGTGCTCTGTGATGGCACTCTTGACAATGTCGTACATGTCCTTGCTCTTGTTCTCGTCCTGGTGATTGGACATGATGAGTTGTTGCGAGTTTTGCTGGATGATGTGTTCCATATGCTCTCTGAGTTGGGAGAGACCTTGGTTGACAATCTCCTCGACGTCGGTCTTGATCTGCGAGCCATCTTCGGCGACTCTAGAAGTAGAGTTGGCCTGATCAAGTTGGCGACCGAGCTCGCGACCCATGCCTAGAACCTCGCCACGAAGGTTCTGAAGAAGTGCCTTGATCTCGTTGCTCAAGCCACCGCTTTGAGAGGTGCTGTCCTTGATCTTATGGAGCAGTCTCAGAATGTCGGCGCTCATGGCATCAATGGCCTTTGACTTCTGTTCATCGTCCTGAGAGTCCATGGAATGACGGACAAGAGCATGACTACCGGACTTTTCCTTGATGAAGTCCGAGAGCTCGGCGACCTTTTGAGCGGTCTCGATAGCCTGGACGTTATCCCTGCTGTGCTTGTCGAGCAATTCAGACAAAGTCGATAGAAGGCGATCTTGGCCATCCTTGGTGACCATCTCGCGGATGATCTTCTCCAGCATGGCCACACTGGCGGCACCGTCCACGGAAAAAGGGTTGGGACTGCCAGGGTCGAGGAAGCTGCCATGACTGTTTGAGCGAGGAAGCGAGCCAAAGGGTCTTGCTCCAGCAGTTGGTGAGGTGATGCTTTTGTTCTCGAGAAGACCAAGACCGAATGCGGATGATCTACCACCAAAGACGGAGCCAGCGTCAGAAGCCGTCACATTGGAAAGGAGGTCACGCAAGTTTCTGCGGATCTCTTCGTCACGACTGTCAGCAGCCTGTTTCAAGCCGATCAGGTCGGCGGCATTGTCCTTGCTACGGCGGTTGAGCTGGGCCATGTCCTTTTGCATGCCTGACGTTATGTTCGTGATGTTCGTAAGCTGGGCCATCATTTCGTTCAATGTCTTGGGCTCGCGAGAAGGAGAAGAGTTCGTGATGTCGTGTAGAGAAGAGTCGGGATCGCGGGCGGTCATGGTCTGTAGAGCGAGCATGGTGGCCGATGGAGGAGTGTTCTCGCCGAGTATGGCTCTGGGACGAGAGGCAGGACGGAGGTTAGGAGCGTCCCTGAGAGCGTATCTGTCTGCAGGCGTGGGTGTGGAGTGGTCCTGAGGAGGGCTTGAGAAGTAGTCGGCATCGGCAGGACGAGTGGGCGAGCCTTGGGAAGTGGCAGTGGATCTCGAGGTGGGCCTCTCGGGAGAACCGTTGCGCATACCATCAATGAAAGAGCGAAGGTCGCGAACACTTCCTGTTTGCAGGGACTGTAGGCGGCGGTGATGAGCTCCCTTGATGAGTGACTTGTCGGGTGAAGTGGCAGGCGACGGGTTTGTCGTGTAGACGCTGGCGGGCATGTTCTCGCGAGCGCGCTCCGTCAGCCTCTGTGCCGTGGCCTGGATGTTAGCCGAAGCATTTGAACGTGTGGCCAGACCAGGTGAGCCAGGTGGAATAGGCAATGGCGGAGGGGCTCTGTCTGGGTCTGAGCTGTCCCACCTAAGTTTGGAAAGATGACGAGTCAGTCGCATGGTCGCATGTTGGGTGGTCAAGGCTGCATTATGAAACTTACATGGGCACCGACTGGCGACCAGAGTCAATAGACTCGCGATCACTGTAGTTGGGCATGCTGAGGAATGTGAAATTGCTCTGATCTGATGATGATAGGGCAAGGAGAGCGCAAGTGGTCAAGAATGCACGCTAAAGTGGAAAGCGCGTTACAACAGCAATTGCATTGTACGCGGACGGGGTATCTCGAAGGAATTCGTAAAAAGCACACAGGTTCAGGTGTCCGCAAAAAAAGGCGTGCAAAGATGGGAGATTGAGGAGCAAAGACGGTTGGAGAGAACCGTTGGTGATGATTGACAGGGCAGATGTGTAGATAATGTTTAAGCGCTGCGGGCCAGTGTTTACTTTGAACAACATGCTGCACCCTTGTCTGCGTTGCTACGGACTTGTTAAGCCCGAAGCGGGAGTCTAGCCGCTTTGAGCCCGTTCACCGCCGCTTGGCGAGCAGCAGACTGTGGCCAATCAAGGCAGAGAAGGGCGCGCACACCTGCCGACATTCACCCGCAATATTCGCAGCCCACCGACGCCAGTCGCTCTCAAGATTTGCTGGTCAGACGATTTTGAACGACAAGACATACTAACCGTCCCAACCCAGCAGCCATGAAGTGTACGTCCAGCGCACATTCCTCCTCGCTCGATTGCGACATCGATCTTGTCAATTGCGCAGCCAGATGCTGACAGTGTCTGTTTAGTCCTTAAGGTCGGCCGTGTCGCCATCATCAGCCGTGGCAGATATGCAGGCAAGAAGGTACGGCACTCTTTTCCTCCAGCGGATCCACCGACGAAACCGGGTTATACACATGGGCATTGAAAGGGCACCGCATGTACAGCACACAGAAAGAGCTAGGAACTATCATGTGAAGGAGCAGACAAACCGCACAACCACCTCCGACCGTCGAACCGCTATTCGTACTAGCATCGCCGAACATGCCACTTACACTCTTTCCGCTATAGGTCGTCATCATCCAGCCCGTCGACCAGGGCACCAAGTCCCACCCCTTCCCTCACGCCCTCGTTGCCGGCATTGAGCGTTACCCTCAGCAAGTCACCCGCCGCATGTCCAAGGGTCGCCAGGCCAAGCGCTCAAAGGTCAAGCCTTTCATCAAGGTCGTCAACTACAACCACATCATGCCCACTCGCTACACTCTTGAGCTCGAGGGCCTGAAGGGTGCCGTCACCAACGACACCTTCAAGGAGGTTTCGCAAAGAGAGGATGCCAAGAAGAACATCAAGAAGGCCCTCGAGGAGCGTTACCAGAGCGGCAAGAACAAGTGGTTCTTCACCCCTCTCAGTATGATGACTCTCTGTCCACCTCGTCTCCGGCCAAACGACTAACATGTCTTCCCACAGGATTTTAAACGACTCGACAAAGCGCGGTGCACTTCTTGGTTGGGGGAGTCTTCAAAAATTCACTTCATGGACACGGGGGACTCAAGACTTAGCTGTCTTTAACGCATGATCATGGGACATAGCGAGTCAAAATACCAACGTCTCGAAACAAAAAGGAAAAGTTCAAAAAAATTCTTCCAACCCTGTCAAAACAGTCCACGAGCAACATGTGCAAGGAACCGGCCGAGTTTGGGAGCGATACCACCGAACGAAAACGAGAACATCAACATGGCGACCATGCGACGACTACAATCCTTCCCTCGAATGACACCCTTCTGAAAACAAGACAACAACTCGCGGCGGATGGCCATGAAACATGACGTTCACGAATACCTTCCGCGCTCGTTGTTAGCCTTGTCTTGATCACTTGAAATGCAACAAAAGTTATGTCCGGTATCTGTGCTTGTAATCTCAATGTAGGAACACGTTATGGCCGTATCGATATGTGAATTGACTCCTGCTACTTATTAATCTACAGCTGTGATGTAACAGCAAGTTGAAGTCTATGTCGAGGTTCCGCCCACTCAGTGGTCAAGCATACTCATATCTAGCCTGGTTTCATACTACACCATACATCTCCTCGTTGACTCTTACGAAGGAGCGACTTATATATCATGGTCTTGTTCACTGAACACGAGAAGATGTCAGCTCGCATACGTTTACTTTCTCCCGTCCCCTCTCTACCTCGCTGTCGAGATCACGATATCCATGGACAAGAAGCACCTTCACTCTGTAGCCTCTCGCCGCTATCTGTCCCGTGACTGCAAGATCATGCCATTCAGCAAGGTCATATCCCTCTCCTTCGAGGCTTTCATTCGCAGAGATGGAGACCTGCTGCCCATTGGACCGGCCCCGATTCCCACACCCTCTCTCACGCTATAAGAAAGACAATCTGCCAGGAAGGGGAAACAACATAGCACTCGCGTCAACGAACACGATGAAGCTCTCAGCAGCAGATGGAGCATTATGTCCAAGAATGCTTCTAGTCTTGCCGGCTTCTGAATGACAGGGTGGCTTACTACACTCCAACATAGCAATCATTGCTTCATCTCCATCTATTCGTGCTGGCAAAGGCTCGTGCAACGTCTGATACGTTCCGGCGAACGCCATTGGTCTTGCATCATCAAAAGCAGCACAGCATACTCAACAAGACTTGGGAAGGGGCGTGCTGTTCAAGTTTTCCTGGCAATGTCTTCTGAGCACGGAACTGACGTACCTTCCACAAGTTTACACGCCGGTGGATCCAACATTTGACATCCACGACAGTTACAAGTACCAGCCGAACACCACTCGCAACCGTAACCCTGTAGGATCAAGCAAGACGCGGAGAAAACTTTGATCCACCCTCTCGCTCTCACGACATGCAATCCAAGCCAACACCAGCAAGACCGTTGACCCAAGATCCAGCATTCATCCTAACCATACCGTTGTTGAGCCTTACAAACCCCTCTATACTCATCTTTGGCAGATCGTAAACTCTCTTCAATCGAACAAAGTACCAATGTACCGTAATGCCCCTCAGAGTATCCACGGAGCAGGCTCCTGAGTTGTGTAGTGTGGCAGATTTGTATTTACATCTTGTCTGGGTGGAGGGCAAGTCGAATGTTAGAAAGCACCTTCACAATCGAGTAGAGACCACGAGGAGAGATCGTCCGGTACCCCGGTTTACATACCTCGAATATCACCGAGAAAGTAGCCGCTCAAAGATCAAGCTTCCTTTCAAGCGAGCACCTACAGTATGTGTTCAATTGGAGAACGATTCGGTATGATGGAGGTGTGTTGATGAGTTGCTGCTTCCTTGTCCATTTCTCTCATGTAGTCTCTAGAACGTGCTTTTCTCTTATCTCGGCCCCAATGCTTGCATACACGAGGGCGAGTCCGGGTGAGTTCGAAGGAGTTTTGCTCGTATCTCCCACCAAGCACACTTCTCTTGATTGCTGCCAATTGGACAGGTCTGTTCACGTTCGTTTACCAAGAGATGCCCCTCAAGTGATTGTTGCGAGACCGTTGCATCAGAGATCCTCGAGGCAAGTGGTAAAGCCAAAGGTACACACACAATTTAACGTTATATACTCCGCGCTCCGAGGATCTTTCCTGCATGTGGATCAGAGTCAAGCGCCGTGCATGCCGCCTGGGTCATGTGCGGCTACTTGGTGCATACCTGTCGTTGTCGGCCCTGGGCAAAGTTCTTGAGTGGCTTGCATGGACAATTGACAGTCGGCACTGTCATGGAAAGCTAAGATGGTTCATGACCCACCAAAGCAAGGCGACCGCATTCGAGGACGATCATAGTCCATATTCGTGAGGAATGGACTACCTCACTAAGCATGTGATTTCGATGCAATCAAGAGCAGTTGGAGAAAGAAAATTGATCAGAGTTTTTGACATGTAAGAGAGATAGCCCAGAGATACAAAAGAATTTGCTTTTCCTCAATGCCTCCATGAATCTCACATCCATATGTTTCCTGCCTGCATACCTGCCCTTCTCTTTCCAATTTTGTTTGTCTCTTTGGCACCGCCGTGACAGGCCGAACAGAATTATTACGCCTTGAGCGCCTCGCTGGACAAAGTGACCATACGTCTGGAAGAAAAGAATGAAACAGCGACGACTGCTGGTCGTCGTGCAAGGAACTTGTCCTTGCAAAAACATCTGTACAAAGAAGTGAAGTGTAAACAAGCCTCCTCTTCCATAGTTCTGAAAGTACCAAAATTATTTTAGATCGTCCCGCGCAGCAGACCAGAGGCATAAGATGATTTGCATAGAAGACGACGGAGTGTAAAATGATATGTCTTCCGTGGTTTCGCGAAAGCCGACAAGTACGTCACCGTCAGACGCAATGTCTGGATCGCACTCAGTATGTAGGACGTGACCTTATTTTAATAAAAGCCCGTAGCAAGAGGTTGAAGGGCGAGAGCAGGAGGCAGGAGGGAGGAATCGATTTCGCTAGTCATTTTTTTGCAAATGGCCGAGATGTTACTGCTCCTAGCAGATGGTTTTGGTGATGAATTTCTCAGATACTGGCGAAACCAAATTCGTGGCCTCGGAGCATGGAAAGCGACCAAGCCCAATGCGCTTCTCAAGCCTGAGGGTGAGAAGGTAGAGAGAGAATAGAAAGGGAGGGGGTTGGTATTCAAGGAAAAGAGACAAGTGGTCGTCATGGCGATAGGCACATGCGAAGGACATGGCCGAATAGAAACAAGGCTCTGCAAAGTCGTATGGTCGTCGTGATGATATGCAGAAGATGAAGAAGGGCGCTCAAAGGATGACACACTTTCCGCCTGAACGTTTGGATTTCTTGACGGTTCCGCGACTGTCGCCAGTATGCGAGCGGCCAGAGTCTTTCTTACCGCCGCCGCCTCTGCCACCAGCAGAATTGTGTCTTTGACGGCGCAGCTGGCGGACGACGTCGTAGAAGGCCTTTTCGACATTGACGCAGTTTTTGGCCGAAGCCTCGACGAACTCACAGCCTAGCTCGCGAGCAAGAGCGGCACCTTCCTGGGTAGAGACCTCGCGCTCGGTGACGCGATCGCACTTGTTGCCGACAAGCATGACGGGCGCAGGACCGGAGGATGATGGGGCGGAGAGGCTGGGCGAGCCAGGGTAGGTGGGCGAACCGGCTTGTGCGGACTCCTTGACGCGTTGGATCTGGCTGTAGAACTTTTTGATGCGTTGGAACGAGGCGCGCGAGGATATGCTGTAGACCAGGATGAAGCCTTCACCATCCCGAATCCACTGGTCTCTCAGCGACACATACTCTTCCTGGCCTGCCGTGTCCAGCACCTCGAGCATGCATGATTGGCCATCAATCTGCACTTGCTTGCGGTATGAATCCTCAATGGTCGGGTCGTAGGTTTCGACAAAGTGGTTGAGACAGAGCTGTCAATGTCAGCTCGCATTCCTCGGAGCTGCAGCTCGGCACATACCTGGATTGTGAGGGCAGTCTTGCCGACACCGCCATCTCCAAGCACCACCAACTTGTACAGAGTCATTTTGCCCGCCATCTTGACTGCTCGGATAAGTGCAGACTAAAGTTGCGAGAGTTTTAGTAGCTGTGCTGGGTCGTGTGCGAAGGATCTGCGGCTGTTCAATTTCGGCGGCGCGCGGTGGTGAGATGCAAAAGGTCGGTCAGCTTCGCGAGTGGGCAGGTGCAGTGTGGAAAGCCGCGGGCGCAGGTGCTTGGTCCCGTCGTGGTCGAGTGCAGACAGCGCGCAGCAAGCAGAGCAGGAGCAACAGCAGAAGGGACTGCTGAAACTTGACGGATACAGGGATATTGTTCAAGAGGCTGTAGAGCTAACGCACGTAGCGGCGCCGGGGCCAAGGCTTCAAAGGGGGCAGGAGCAAAGAGGGCGCTGGTTGATAAAGCCAAACGTCGACGCCAACGACTGGAATATATCAAGCTGGGGGAGAGACTCGTTGGGAGGGAAGGTGGACTGCTGCAACGACGACCAAAAGGCAGACGACGACCAGAGAGCAGAGGGTCTTGCCTTTAGTTAGCTCCGACAACTCCAAACTAGCTGTGCTAGCACCGAGAGCTTGTTTCCCTGAGCCTGAGAGAACCACGACTACTTGCAGCCCGACCCGGAAAGCACAAACAATCAAGACGCTGCGGGGGTGTCCACTCTCACCAATTCACCCATTTCTCTATCCCGGCACGACACGGCGCTCGCACGCTTTGCTGCCAGTCCACGCTGCCTCGCAGACAGCCAAGGACTAAGCATTTGTCTCCACTGCCCGCCTTGAACCTTCTTTTCCGCTCAAGACGCGTCCATCGACGTCCACATCCCGGCATACGAGCTGTTGTCTTCCACCTTCCAATACATACAGTAGGACCACCGTCGACGCCCCACAAACTGTCGGCCGTCCCGGCTTGCTTGATCGTTGAGGAGGAACTGCTGTTTGTTGTCTATTAGACTTTGAATCTCTATATGCCTGTCGTCTCCCTATTCTTGCCGCCTCTCAATCATCCTCCAATGCTCCACGCGAAACCCTGATAAGCCAATCGCTGGAACCCTAAATGAATATCCTCTTCTCCTCCCCTCTAACGAATACGGGTCTTCCACTCTTTGACCACTTAACAACAACACGGTGGCGTGCGATGCACGTTTCCCTGCCTAGCACTTTGTCTTGAGCTCTGCTCTACTGCCATTCGCTCTCTTCTGAATCAGGCTGCCTGTCTCGCGTCGTCACCCTTCATATCTGACTCGCTGCGTCAACTTCTTCATCCAAGCTCCTCGAGTTTGAGTTTTAATCTTGATCGGTAAATACAGGATCTGATTAGATGCATATTTTGCGCCTGGGTATCTCGTAGGCAAGAGTCATTGACACCCCAGGAGTAAGATTTTGCTGGAGCGATCGTCGACTATCGGACCTGAAGCAAATTGGCGGATGCATAACCAGTATTTCCTTTCAAGTTTCAAGCAGGACCTCAACATGAACATCTGTCAATCTTCAATGCACCAGAGCCGCAGCTCCGCAGAATCCGCAAGATTTTGACTGCCGTGTCAAAGAGATCTGCTTTCAACATTTGCCGGTTTGATGATTAGTGCCTCGCTTGCAAATTATTCGGGTGTCGTTCAAGAAGCCTATCGGTAGGCACTCCGAACTAACTCGACCTCATCTTGCCTACTTCGTCTCCTTCAACTCCACCTACAGTGACCTACTCGCTAATTTACGCGCAGATTACATAAATCTTGGGTCGCTCAGCAAACGGCTCTACCCTTGCCATCCAGCGTTGCGCGACAGATAGGAAGACGATCATTTGCGGCTGACCCTTGTGTGCACCTGTATTATGCAACAACGCAGTTGGACTCCGAATATGACATTGTATATCGAACTCTAATTTTCACATGCATCGCGCTTGCGACCGTGCCGCTCACGAGCTATGTTGTTGCGTATATTTGAATACGAATGATCTGAGCAAGTCCCTGAAATGCACATGTTTAACTTGAGGCCCACTTCCCCACACCGACTCGGTGAGTCGACCCCCACCAACTCCCAATAGCAGGTCGAGGAAGATATCATCGTCTGAGGAACAACAACGCTCTCACTCTAACAAAGCCACATAATCCCACCTATTGAGTCGTACTCGCAGTGCATACAGAGACGAAGAGTTGAGAGATTGCGACCAGCTTTTCCTGTGGCTAGGGCAGGAGAAAGCCCTGAATGAAGGTTCGCTTTAGGTGCATGCCGTCGAACTCAGCTGTCTTTCGGTCAACTGTCCCGCTGTTGTTCAGCAATCAGGACCAAGTAAATCTGCTTGTGCTGCTCGCGTGAGCCAGGCCGAAAGCAGAGGTATGTTGCGAGGCGGAGAAAGCGCTCAACCGTCTAACGTTGTTCTTCACGACCATACTAGGTTGCCTGTCTAGCTGATGACGATCCCCCTCCAACGCTGCCTAATGGGTTGCTCAAGGATAAAGCATTATATTTGTACATTGGATCGGTTTCATCACGTACGGCCATAGTCAGCTGAAAACTGGGCATCCCGTCCGCTCTGCCATACATAAGCAGTTGAACGGCAGATTAGTACTACGGTGGGTGACCACGTGGGAATCCCTGCTGCTGTACGTTTTGCATCTCCTTTTGGTTGCTGGTCATTCATCAAAGCCGTCTTTGTGAGCGGGACTACCTCTTGTTTTTGGCTAGACTGGCCGACCTGCGGGAGATCTCCTGCTCGTGTGTGGGAGTCTCACGTAGAGCTTCATGAAGGCTCACGGACCGGGTGTGCCGACTATGGTAAGCTATCCGAGGCCTCTAGATCCTTGAAGTGTGCAAGCAGCGGCACACATATAGTACCCGGCATGTTAGCCACTGAAGCTTGATAGGGAGACTTGGTTTACTGATGGAGAAGATGTGATAGACTGACAAAAGCCTTTAAAAAACGATCTATGTGACAAATACAATTGACTGTATACGTAAATCGTACCTTCCTTGTCAGTCGTCTGCCACAGACTGAGCTGATTGAAGGCAGAAATCATACTCAAAAGGCAACATTACCATTGAGATCACTACGAAGCAAACATATTCGAAGTGAAAGAAGCATCAAGAACAGATACATTGCAAAATTAATCTACTCAACTCAAAGACATTACAAAGATCCTACTCATCTCATCATAACATCCAAGAATGCCAAACATAAACCTCAAAGTCCAACCACAGTACGCACAATCATCCAAACAACCTCACTCAGATCCTCTGAGATATTCCACGACGACCTCCTTGCTCCTTTCAGGGGCTTCTGTAAAATCCCTGCTGATCGTATGGACTCCTCGACCTCTTTGGCGTCTCCATGGCTTTGCTCTTTCTCTTGTCCCATGTCGTTGTCTCTTTTCCTTCGTTTGAGACTTGTAACCCTTTCCCCGACTCCGACACCAAAACCTGCCCTTCTTTGGCTTCCAAGCCTAGCATCTTGTCAAGTGTACTAGTGGGTGTATCCACAGGGCTAGACGTTACGGCTTCATTGACACGACGTTCCTGCTCAGCCCAGTATCCCTCCCCGTTCCTCCACACGGAGAGATGTGTATGTGGCATCCTTGTAGATTCGGGTAATGTGGTGAGAAGACTGAGCATAGGCTTCGAAGGCGAATAAGTGACGTATTGGCACTCTCTGCTTTCCTTGTCGTCATCCTCGTCTTCTTCCTGTTCCATCATGATATCTCTTGGTGGACCATCCTCATTATCAGAGTTTTCTGGCGAGAAGCCAAAGTCAAAGGGTAATTCAAGAGCCGCTTCACGGCCTAGATGCAGATAACGATGCGAACCTTGACCCATTTCATCCTCGGGAATTTGTAATGAGGAGTTCATGCGTCTGAGTGCCATGATGCTTTTGCGAATGTCTTTCGGGGGCTGGGCACGAGGTCCTGTGACGCGTTTGCTGCGAGAAGAAGGCTTCTCGATGCCGCCGCTGCGACGATGAGGACTTGAGCTACCACTGCGACGACGTGGGCTTATACTGCTGCTACGACGATTTTGACGATGAACGCTGTTGTTGGGATTCGACAGTCTCGCGCCTGGCAGAGTCTCACTAGCATTGCTAATCTTACGACAAAGAAGCGGCGGCGTTTTGCAAATGCTAGAGCTAGGAGATGGAGGTGGGGACGGTAGGCTTGGATCTAGATCTTCCAGGAATGAAGCATGAGGACGGAGGATAGGCATAGACTCGAAAGGCGAGCGAATACGGTCTGTTAGCACCGCTGTACGGGCGTAGGGTGACTCAATTTTGCTATCGTTCTTCGGTGATTCTGCCTCCTCGTTTTCCTTATCACTCGCATAGTCACACAGAAACGACGGCGGCGAAGACCAGGTTGCTGTTACGGGCTCCTCTTTAACAGCAAAAGGGAACTTGGGAGAACTGCTGTCGTCCTCATCCGAGGAGTATACGGAGATTGGTCTGTTCGGATCGTATTCTTGTCCACTTGCAGACGGATTCGTTATCAGCATTGGCCAAGATGGGTCGTACTTGCTTGACCACGATGGGAGCGATGGAGATGATTCGGGAATGTAGACTGAACGTGTGGAGTTACTTGGCGTGACATGCAAACCAAATGAAGGACTGCGTTCATGCTCGGACCACTCAGTCGAGGGACGAGTGAATTCGATTGCAGGTGTTTCTGAGCCTTGTGGAGCAGTCTCGTCTTCGCCCACAAGACTCACGTCTGGCAGACTCGGTATGCTGAACAACGAGGCTTGACGTGATAGTGGTGACTTTACTGCTTGCGACACATAAGATGCAGTTCTATAATTGACCTGGCTGTTCCACTGTAGAGGTTCGTTTCGATATGCTACCATGGACAGAGTTGGAGAGCTAGGCGTGAGTGACGCCCGCAATCTCAAGGGATCCACAGTAGTCCGCGGCCGAAGGGTTATGTCGCCATTCAGGTGCTTGTCAGCGGTTGGACCTTCTTCGTCATCTAGTGACTCTTCTCGGATCCCATCCATGGAAGAACTCGTTGATCTACTTTGAGACTCTGATGCGGGACCCAGAACAGTTGGTGCGAGTGTCGACAGACGAACGCAGTTTTGTCGACGATGCCTCTTTCTTGCGCTTGGACTTCCTTTCAAGATCGAGTGTTTAGGCCCTATCACTGACTTTTCCCATTTAGACATACTGTCAGCGTCCGAGTCTCTCAATGCATTCTTCATCGGCCTCTGTGGCGAGCCTGCGTTGCCAGACACAGCACGCAAGACGCTTGATCTGGGTTTCTCTGGTGGAGACCCTGTTGCTGAAACTCTTGAGGATCCGGTGTGTCGCCTTGGTGTGCTAACCATTGTAACGCCGCCATTACCCCTACTGAGCGAGCCAGATGATGACACACGACTTATGCTGATGCGGTCAACATTGAGGATTTGCGGTACAGACAATCTGTTTGACTGCTTCTCCAGCGTGGAAGCAAGACTTGTGACAGAGTTGCGATTGCTGCCGCTTGAGGTGATACTGAGACACACGAGACTCCTCCTGTGACCGATATAGCTTGCTGGTCGTGAAGTGTCACCATTCGACGAGACCTCGACCCCTGCTTCGGCTGCAGCGTCATCTGTTGTTGTCACTTTCTGATTGTTCTTGTACTCAGGTATTTGATTGACGTTCCCGGAGCTTATTATACGTTCCCAATTGCGCTCAGGACTACTGTTCAGACTGGTCGATGTGCTCTCGTTGTGCTTTGCTGAAGGTATACCCAGAGCGCTATGACGATTCGCGGGATTGTAACCGCTTTGGCGACTGATGTTCCTTGGAAGAGGCGGCAGAGGAGGTAGCGGTCCGGTAGGCGCCGGTCCGGGAGCAGACGCGAACGTGTTCGCAGAGTTGGGCTTGTTAGGATCAGAAACGGCCCCCAAAGATTTTGAACGAGCCGCCCGAGGTCCTATAGAAGGTTCTCTAGTGAGCGAGACTTGTATGGGCGGATCCGTGAGTTGTATCGGTCGTGAAGAGGAACGAGGCGGTATTTGAGGCGAGTCGATTTTGACAGCCTCAGGCTTTGCAATCAATGGTCCCACAGAAGCATAATGGATCTCGCGTTCTCTCACAGCACCCCCTTTGGTAGCAGCTGGCGAACTTCGGGAACCTCCACCAGGCGTCCCTCCTCTTGGGCTTTCAATAATTGCCGAGAGAGCTTGTAATCTTCTGGCATTGGATGGCATACGCCCTATCCTTGGTCTCCTTCCAGGAAAGTTCCATCCCGTCCGAGTCTGCTCCTCAGGAAAGATAAATGCCGGATGAGTGCGATTGTTGACCTGTGCGAACGGCGGTAGATGGTGAATCGTCTCTGTCGATGCAAGTGCGCCCCATCCCCCACAAGGTACGTAGGGAGGCACGAATGGCAATTGGCAGACTCCAGATCCTTGATGTAGTTGAGTGACCTCTACAGGACGGGCAGGAGGAAATCCTTGTTCGATCTCGGCGATCTCGGGATTGTGTTCGCGTTTGCGCTTGTATATCTGAAAACCGATGAAGCAGACGGCGCAAAGAAAGAGCGCGCCAATTCCTGCGCCAATCCCGACAACCGCAGAAGACGACATGTTTCTTGACGCGTTATGTCCCAGATGAACGATGCTGATACAATGATACTACTCTTCCAGTATCGTCGTCGTCATGTTCGGCTCATGTTGATTGATGGTGATCTTCGCCTGGTCGTCCATGAATTAATTGGTCATGGCATAGTTGGCACAAGCGACTACTCTCGTGTGGTTGTGCCACAACAAATGTCCAGTCGGAGGTATGGAAAGGTTGCCACAACATGGCTTGAGGAATGTTGTCCACCACCACATCAGATTGTGATAGTTAGACTTGGAGCCAGATATTTTGGGCCAACTACTTTGCTCAATTGGCATGACAGAGGTGGGATGTTGAATTCACCTTTGCTGAACCAGAATTTGCTTTGTGATCGGACGTTGACTAGAGCTGACGCAGGTTCGTGTGTGCCATTATTGTAACAGATACAAAAGTCATGTCTAGGATGAACATTCCACAGGGATTTGGCGAGGCCTCTGGATCCTCAACATCATGGAGCAGGCCTACAGATGAAGAACCTCACGTCGACGCCAAAAAATCATAAATTGCGCTAACGATGGCTGCTTTACTTGTCAGTATGTTTGCGAGAACGATGGCAGACTTCAGAGTCTCATCGCGCAGTTGAGAGAAGTCGCGATTTTGCGGCTCCTGCTTTATTAGCCTTGCATTTACCCGGGCCCGGCGATAATCCGACACTACCTTGCCTCGGCCCCGGTCCATCTCAAGCCGGCAGAATAAAGAAGAGCATCCTCAAAACATCTTGCCAACAACTTGAAGTTATGCCAACAAATCAACACAAAACGATGGTCCGGTTAAAGCACGAGTCGATATGGATCAAGGGAAGGCCATAGCGAATCGGAACAATTGATCGATTTCAATGAGTTTCGCTCGTGCCCCGCCCCCACCTCGATGTTGCAAGCCGGGGAATATCGTAAACAGCGGTATCTGGCACTTCTACCAGCAACAAAAAGGATGAAGTAGGGCTCAATAGAGTTTTCTGGACTTCTTCCTTTGGACACGTCAGGATTTGATCTTAGTTAAGATAAACAAGAGGTCCCTGCAAGATGTCTGCTGTTCAAGTATCCTTCGTTCTTAGACGAGCTGTTCCCAAATCGTCATTTTTGACTCTTCTACCTCGTCAATCTATTCGCACAATCATGGACGGCGGTATCACTCAAGACGGTCTTTTCACGACAAACAACACTGTCGCACCGAAGCCCAGCAGTATCCTGTCGTTGTTCAGCTTGAAGGGCAGGACGGCAGTGATCAGCGGAGGTCCTGCTGGAATTGGTCTTGCAGTTGCAAAGACATATGCTGAGGCTGGTGCAAACGTCGCCATCTGGTTCAACAGCAATCCTGCTGCTCATGCCCGTGCCGAAGAAATCGAGAAGGAGTATGGTGTCAAATGTGAGCAACACACGACGTTGAATGTGTGGTATCAGATCTCTGACAAAGCCGACAACAGGCAAAGCATACAAAGTCAACGTGACGGATGCCGAAGATGTAAAGAAGGGACTCACTCAGAGTGTCCAAGACCTGAACGGTCGCCTCGACATATTTGTCGCCAACGCTGGTATTCCCTGGACACAAGGCAACATGATCGATGGAGAACTGGACCATTATCGTAAAGTCGTCACAACAGATTTGGATGGTGTATACTATTGTGCACGTGCTGCTGGTGAGATCTGGAGACGACAAGCCAAGGAGGGTACCGATATGAACGGCGAAAAGCTCGAAAACTACTCATACGGATCCTTCATCGCAACTGCTTCAATGTCAGGACACATTGTCAACTTCCCTCAACTACAATCAGCATACAACGCAGCAAAGGCCGGCGTGCTACACTTGACCAAGTGTCTGGCCGTGGAATGGGTCAAAATTGCGAGGTGCAACTCAGTCTCTCCTGGCTACACTGCGACGGAACTTACAACGTTCGTACCGGAAGAGACAAAAGCTATCTGGAGAAGCAAGATCCCTATGGGTCGTGAGGGCGAGACCCATGAGATGCGCGGCGCATACTTGTACCTGGCTTCGGATGCTGCCTCTTACACCACTGGTTCCGATATCGTCGTTGACGGAGGTTACTGTTTACCGTGAGCATTCACCCAAATAGTGAAGTGGGCTTCGACCGAAGATAAAGTCAGAAGCGGTGGCGAAGTATGACATACATGAAGAGAGTGCTTTTTTCCTGGTAGCGATATTAATAGAGCGCCTGTCTCGTATCCGTGTATAACGTTCGGCCTGATGAGGCCTACATCTACTGTCTTATGAGTGAACACTTCGTATCCACAAGAGCTTGCTGTTGATTGACAGCCCTACTCTTGTTTTCCCCCAGAGCAGTTTCTCTGCAACTGTAGATTGGTATATCTGTTCGCAAACAGCGAGACATCGTCTGATGTTCCAAAGGAGGATCTGCTGATCGCTTGGCTTCTTCTCCTTGGCGAGAACAATGCTCCGAGTTCGAACGATCCACGGAGGTTAGTTACAGAACCAGTTCTCTGTTGGTACCAAAAGGAGCTGCGTGTTTGGGACCCTTGAGTTTTCCAATTGAGACGTGTGACAGGAGTCAAGGGAGACAGAAGTGTTCATAGCTCGCGGCTGTTATAGGCGCAAGTCTCCCACGAAACAGCCGTGGACCCTGAAATTTTTCACTTGCGGCTCAACCCATGTCTCAGTCCGCAACCAAGATGCCGGGGAATCTCATCTAGTTTGTCTCTTCTTCATCTGCTCTCTCGACCGCTTGTTTCGTTTGCACAAGACGACCAAGACTCCGAAAGTTAGAGTTCGTATTTTCGGACCGGTCGACGTCGTCTGAGTAGCACATTCGAAACAAGCCTTTGGAAAACTTGAACTTGGCTCTCGTTCGGTGCGACTCATGCGCCGGCCGGAACGAGAGAATGGTACGAGATCGAAGACAAGGGGGGCCTTAATTCTGTTGACACGGTGAAGCGCGACAGCGGTGGGTCGATGCAATTCGTGCTTGATACTAGGAGGAGATTCTTGCGATAACCGCTACTCCTATAGTGACCCTGATATACGGGTCCTCTCAACTGTCCTCGCTCCTGAATTTTGCAGCGAAAACGTGTAGAGAGATGAGTTCTCCATTGATCGATTACTTGCATGCCAAGCACCACACTTCCGCGCATTCCGAGGGCTCATGTGATAGGCGAAAGCAGCGCTGTAGATCAGTGTTCTCTTCGAATGCTTATCTTATTTTTATAACAGCGCTATTGATAGAGAGTCAGGATGGACGGTAGCACTGTGGCTGTATGTGGTACGGATTTGTACGACGCGCCCACGCGAGTGGCACGCGTGATGGTGCTAGTTCTGGCAAAAGGAGAATGTGGACTCTTTTTTTGAGCAGCGCGCAACGGATCTGTGCATGCAACGTGGATGGTGGTTGTGGCTGGCAGAGGTAGGAGCTCGGGTTAGATCAGGGTACGAGGAAGCGAGGAGCGCACACACTCAAGACAGACGCAAGTCATAGATCGCGTTGACGGCATCAGTGCATCGCGCGCGGAGTGGAACTTGCAAATGGACCATGTCTGGAGAGAGGCCAAGAAAGACGGAACGCAAGCAAAATTGTACTCGGGAACAGGTACCAAAGTCAAAAGATGTTGGAAGTTGACAAGACGCAAGCAATCGAGGAAATCTGGCTGCCAGAATGTGAAAGTTGCGCGGTAGGTTTCGAGTAGCACGTTTCTATGTGGTTTTCGCGGCTGCTATCATCGATTTGCGCAGGCGGCACCCACTCCGTAGCGAGACAGACGGGAGAGCCGCTCAGTTAGTTGATGATTGCGTTGTTCTGGCGGGACGGGTTTATCGAATAGAGTTGTACAAGTAAAAATCTCCACCATTGTCAAGCCACAAATGACGTTGATGCAAGCCTGCGATCGGATTGTAGGCTGGGGACTCCTGATTCCCAAACAGTCGTGTCTTTGGTAGAGCAACGGGAAGCGGGATTTTTGTCTGTTGGGAACAAAGGGTGACGCCTTTGGTCGTTCAAACTTGACAGGCACCCTTACAATCTGGTAGTTTGGCCGAGCTGTAGCCCGGTAGTTTAAGTCTAGACTTTTTTCACGCTAGAGCGAGAGCAATGTGAATGATTTTCAAATGGTGCAGAGGGCAGGATGAAAGGATTCGGGGCACAGTGGGTTGAAGCAAGCATGTGATTGGCGAGGTGCATATCTGGATATGTAGGGGTCGAAAGACGGTGTGGAGTTGAAGATGGAAGATACGAGAAAAAGGGAGAAGCGCAGGGTAGGGTAGCATCACATCCCTGTCGAGAGTTGAGCAGCAACAGAGCATGTGAAGGGCACTTGAAGACTGAGCAGGTAGGAGTAAGCCTGGCAAGGTAGGTCAGAAGCAGGCGCAACGTGCGTGGTGCGTCGGTGGTGCCTTCTCTTGAAGCTTGCTCAAGCCTGAGTGTCTGAGCTTTGTTGCAACTTGGGGCTCCACTCTGCATGCGCGCACCGGTATAGATTCTCGACATGTCCCGCTTGTGCCGGCCTGCAAGTCTCGTTTCCTGCTTCCAACCTCACATCACCTACCTGCGAAGCCTGACATTTCTTATCGAGATAACTTCCTTGTCTTCTGACAGCATCGTCCTTCGAGCACTTTGACCCGCGGCCGCCAACGCTTTTCCGCTCATACGACGCGCAACCCCTCACACATCGTCGTATCGGTACCTTTTCTCACCACCTTTTGCCAATACAACCCCCGCTCGTTGCCCGTCCGCGCCGCTCCTGCTCTACTCTTAACCACTCGTCCACGCCTTCTCGCACACCACTTGTCGACATGGCGGCATCATTGGACTATCCTGCACACCAATTCAACGTGCAGCGAAGGCCATTGCCATCGGCCGCTCCTCCCATGGACTATCTGGCCCACTCTCGCTCGCGCACCATGTCGTCCAACATCGCCCCTGCTCAGCACTACCAGCATCCTCAGCATACCGTTCCTCCGCCGCTCAGTCACTCTCGCCGTACCCTCTCTAATGCCACCACTTCGACCACAAGCACCCACAGCAGCGTGCACGGCCGCGTCCCTGCCGCTCCGTCGTCATACGCTTCGTCAATCCGCCGATCCACATCTTCCCGCTCCAACAACTCGCCCACCTCATACGTCTCCCTGATGCGGAAACAGAAGGCCACCGTCTGGTGCGATCGTGCCCAGCTGGAAGATCCTCGTATCCTTGCCCAGCAAAGAGCTGCCAAGGTACGTGCCCAGATGGAAGTCGTTGGCGGCGTCTCGGCCACTGGCAACGGCCGTTCGGCTGGAAGCAGTGGAGGTATTGCCAGCAAGATCCGTCATCACGGTGCTGTCAAGGCTTCGGCCTACTCCGCTGCTGGTAACATGTCTGGAGGTGGTGTGCCTATGCGTCTGAGTGCTAGCGAGGTCGACGAGGACAATAGCGACGATGACAGCGCCATTGCCCGCTACCACCAGCGTAACAACTCTGGACGCAGCAGTCTCGGCTCGGGTCAGCGCACACGCGAAAGCTACTACGCTGGTCCTACACCGACTGCCACTCGCTTCAGCAATGGCAGCACCCCACCAAGCAACAACAGCTACAGTCCTGTCGACAAGTATCCGGAGCAACGTGATCGTCAAGACTCGATCGCTACCACTCGATCATACTCCGATGCTACTCCTCAGCAAGGCGCCACAAGAAACGACTACTTTACCCATCCTGGCGGTAACGGTGGTTCAAGTGGCTCTATCCAAGAAGAGCGTTTTGGTGACGTTGGAAGCTTGCCAACTCGTGCAGCCGTCTCGCATAACTACGGTATCGACCAACAAAAGACAAACGACGAGCTGCGTCGACGAGGCAGTGTCGACGATCGCACAACCACTATGAGTGGTGTCCGCCTCTTCGTCGCAAACCCCGACATGGACGACGACTAGACATGCCCCCTCTAGACGTCACCTGGGAACCCGCTGGCTCGGCTCTTCCCTCGACAAATGACCCCTCCCCTTGAACGAACGTGTCTCTTCCTCTGCCTATATCCTTTCTGCCTTCCAAAACACTCCCTTTCCTTCAACTTGTAATGTCCCTCAATCGCTTCTTCTTTCTGCTTGCTTACAACCTTCCTTTCAATACCACTACATTTGTGTGTTTCTATTACCTTCGCTTTAGCATACGAGACCACAACATCCTTCAAAGAAGAGGATAATGAACATTTATTACTATACCAATCTTTCTCATCTCTGGCCCTGCTCTTGTGACGTCCATACTACATCCCAATCTCTAAATGCTTGTACATTAATCGTACTTCTAAGCATCTATTCTCATCTACAGCTGCAGAGTGCCACCATAAGTCGCGTGCAATTGTATTGTTGCTCTGAGGTCAGGCAAGAGGTCATCTTCACCGTGCAACAGCTCTGCAGATCAAGGTGGTTTGAATCACGGAGAAAGACAAGGCAGAGTTCTAGTGGTCATTAAACAGTAAAATTGTGGGGAAAAAATCTATAGAGAAAAGAAGAAGGGAAAGAACAAAACCTCAAAAACGAGGCCACACACTCATGTCCTCGGCGACTTGATCTCTCAGACAATGCCCTTGCCTCCCTACAACTTCCCTAAGATAATCTATCGTCTCCGGATCTCGTGTCCAAAAGCTGCTTCCTCGCATCCCGCATGCGATATTCGGCGCGGCTCCTTGTAATCTTCCTTCACTGTCCACGCCAATCCCCGGTGGAGAAGCTTTTGAATCGTGCTCTTTTGCACTATGATCTTTTCCCTTTTTCGCATTCACGATTGCGATTTCCGAGGGAGCGTCTTGATGATGGAATAATTCCGGATTTGCAGACCAGCAGCGGAAATTAAGGTCGCGGCAGGCTTCCAGGATACGGACGTCGTAGGCTTCACTGCCTCCTTCTGGCTCTTTGCCCGCGACTTCGTAGAGTAAGCGATGTGCTCCTGCGCGGGACAGGGCAAAGCCAAAGGTACACAAGGGAGAGACGCTTTTGTGTACCACTCTTGTTTTTACAGGGACGCCGATTTCGCGGAGGAAGCGGCGGGTGAGGATGTGCATGTATTCTGGCGAGGGGAGGGTGGAGTCGCTGACGGCGACGCGAGGTACTTGTGTTTCGTTCATCCAGTCGCGGGATGTGAACATGTCGCCGCAGTGGCCGAGGTAGAGGATATCCCAGTCTTCAGGATTGCCCCAGTACCCCCCTGCTTGTTCTGAAGTGACCACCTTTTGCCTTGTGTTTGTTGTGGGGAGCTGGCCGGATTGTTCGGTGAGGAGAGTGCGCATTGCTGCTGCTACTTTCGGGACTTGAGATGTGCGGAGGTGGATGTCCCAGTCTACGTCGTCTTCCATTACTAGCATTGTTTCTAGGCCTGAGTCGAGGAACCAATGAAGGACGTTCAAGTGGCCCATCCATGCCATTGCCGAGCCACGTGTGATGAGAGAGTGGTTCTTCGTCTTGAACTTCTCGACATCTGAGTCGGTCCAGACTGGTTGATCAGGAATCGTAATGTTGAGCTCGGTGATGTTCGCTGCCAGCAGCAGGCTTTCTCGGCGTTTTGATGTGAGTTGGGATACTGCGACAATAGCACCAAACTGTGGCACATGTCAGACATTGTTGGCACGCAATCGCTTGTTCGGTCTTACCCCTAGTGTCGCATTCGCCGCAGGAAGATCCGGCACATGGAGGAAATATTGGAGTCCTGCCTGCACTGCAGAGGACACTGATGACGGTGATGGATGTCCAGCATATGTGTAGAGAAGAAACAGGACCAGCGCAACAACAGCAATGACGACAAATCGTCTACGTCGCGGGTCCATTCTGCCCCGTGACGACCGTGACCGTGATGGAAAGGCGACGGCTGCTGCTTTCGCGTGATGCATCCTTGGAGGGGTTCAAAATGAGTGGACGTACGAACACGAAGGTGGAAAAGTGAAGACCAAACGGCAGAGCTGCTTCTGAAATCTTTCGACGCTTCTTCCGATACCAGCTAGTAGCTGAACGCTACCGTCTTCTTCATCCAGGGGTTTCTACGCCGCTTCATCGACTTATCGTCCTTTGGAAGCACGTTGCCAAGCTCAAACTTGGCAGGAGTTATGATGGTGGTTGAGCCCTTCTTGTAGTGGGTCTACGTTGGTGAATTCGAATCGATTGCTGAGTAGCAAACAATGCTGCAGTGCACCGAGTTCATGATAAACATCGGCTACCCGAAGAGGGGCACTTCTCGTGTCGGAATTCTAGGAGCACAGCTTCAGCCTTCAGGCCCCTTGAACACGGCAGTGTCGTTTGACTTTCGGCTCGTCCTCCGCAAAAAAGCTTCCGTCCTCCGCAGCGCCACGTTTTGAGCCCTGAAATTTATACAGGACATGTGAAGACTGGATTTGGCACAAAATATCTTATAGGCATCAGGCTCTTATACATCTTGGTTGAAGAATGCAGCCGGATCACGCTCGTGACACCAGCTGGATATTCAAGAACCGAGGAATGCATGCAGATTGTCCTCACGCAAGTGCTTATCACCTTGCATACGGCCTTATCTCTCAGGTCACTACGTAGCGAGGCTTGTGATGGTCGATCAAGGGATGGAAGTCCAGTCTGCGCGAGTGTGAGCCTCTCGCTTTCTCAGTAATCAACAATGACTTGGAAGATCTCAGAAGCGACACTGGCTGACGTTCCTGCAATAACGTCAATATACTCCCACGACGAGCCCACACCTTTCATCAAGCTTTGTCTGGGATCATTGAACGTGCTGGCATTGAATTTCAACCAAGCAGCACGCATCGCTAACAGCTTGCAAGACCCGGAGGAAGCCTGGTTTGTCGCTCGAGATGAGCGCAACAAGATAGCCAGTTTTGCCGAATGGCAGATGCCAAAGGACGAAGCAGACACGGAAGCGCAGATGGCAGAAGAGCTGGTGTGCTCGATATACGTCTGAAACGCAAGTCCAAACAATGACGCCAGTCAGGCCCAAGCACAAGAAGCCTACGGAGATTCGATCGCACCGGGAATGAATTCAAGTCTCGTTGTTGAGTTTAGACATCGAGTTACAAAGCTTCGCAATGACGTGTTACGAGGACAGAGGCATTACCGTCAGTTACCATGTTTGTTTGAGCCTAGTCCCTCACAGCTGATGACAACCCGAAAGTGCTCATGAATATTGGGACAGCAAAGACGTGGCAACAAAGAGGAGCGGCGATGGCGCTCGTAAAGCGAGCGTTTGATGCCGCGGATCGAGAAAAGGTTGCCATATATTTGGACACGGTTTCCGAGGGGCCTGCCAGACGGCTTTTTGACAAGCTGGGCTTCGAGGAAGTTGGCAGCTTCGATATTGATCTCAGCAACCATGGCGGCCAAGGATTGCACTCGCACGTCGGCGTGATAAGATGGCCTTTGGCGAGAATATAACTCGTGCCGAACAGGAAGGAGGTATTGAAGGAACGGTCGTGTGACGAGCGTTTTTACGAGCTGGCCTAGTAGGATTCCGTATTTGGTAGCATTCTCGGGAGAGCTCCTGCTGTTCTGTAGATCCAGGGTGTTCTCGAGCGTTGCCGCTCCTCCATGTTTCGAAATTCATTTCCCAAACACAACTCCCCCTTTGTGATTTTATTATTAGACTTAATCAAGGGATTGAAAGACACGCCGATTGCCATTCAACCAGAGTCGCAGCAGGTCAGCGACGCTTTTCGATCTCTATCCACCTCCCATCTGCCCGTCCGATCCGCGGCGACCTTAGTGACTTGTGTTCTGGACCGTTGGTACCTGCATGTGACGCAACCGACAGAAATTCATTCAAAAAAACACGATTATTCTCTGCGAAGCGACTGACAGGATACGACGCGACATGGCGGATACTCAGGAAGGAAAGCCGTCGCGCTACCGCTCGCAACGAAAGGCAGCGACCGCCTCCGCACCTCCAACGACAGCAGATGCCGGCATAGGAAGAAGCAGGTCTCGCTACCACAAGACTCGCCCGAACGCTGCCCACACCCAGGACCAATCTCTTACAGAGTCAAACACCGAAGCAAACATATTCCCGACAAGGACTCGCTCAACCCGCGGCACGAATGAAGCACGCGATACAGAAGCTGGGGCTGTTGACTCTGGAGATGATGGTTACGGCAGCATGCGATCGCAACACAAGAGCTTGGAGAGAACGAAATCTCCCTTGAGAGAGGATCCGATGAAGTTCGCAAGAGCCCAGGCACCAACTCACATTCGCGCCAAAGTCGAGGACTATATACCGGATCAGGAAGAAGGCGAAGTCTCGGCCGAGGAAACAGCCGGCTGTTTTGGCATGTTTGGAAGAAAGAAGAAGAAGGACACGGCTCGCAGTGCTGGAAAGAAGCCACTCAATACTCGTCCAGCCGTCAACAAGATGAGCGAGCCTCCAACTATCAGACCGGGAGGCGGTGGTGTGGTGCCCATGAATGATGCACCTGGAATGGGACCGAACGGCAACAACCGAGTAAGTTAGTTTGGTGTGATTGCGAAGCATATGACTGATGTCTGAGTAGCGCGTTCGTGTCGAGTGTAGTGGGGCGTCTATCGAACTGCCCGTGTGCCCAACCACTTCTGCTTCGGACCTAATAGCATCGGCTGCCAACTGCTTGTCCCAAAACATCGATCTTAAAACATCGATACTTCTCGAGGACTATCAATCGATTGGCATAACAAGACCTTTCAGGCGATACGAGTATGTCGCAGATGTTATGAACTCTTGGGATGAAGATCGCGTCAATTCGTTACAGGTTGTTCCTGCGCGTGCTGTGATGAGTGATCCCAGCGCATTGAGTGCTGCTAATGTTCCTCGTGAGAAGCCGAGGGAGGCTTCTTTCTTGATGCATCATTCTCAGAAACCGGGAACCTGGAACAAGCGTCTCATTACAATCCGTCAAGATGGTCAACTCCTCGCCGCGAAGCCTAATAAAGTGACCGAAACGTCGAATATTGGCCATCTCACCGATTTCGACATTTACAATCCTACAGCAAGATATCTATCCAAGGTACTGAAGCCGCCCAAGAAGATATGCTACGCCGTCAAGAGCCAACAGAAGCCATCGCTGTTCCTCAAGGACTCAAAATCAGTTTACGTTCATTTCTTCTCCACCTCGGATCAAGTACTCGCCGCCAGCTTCTACGAAGCTGTCCAAGGCTGGCGAAGTTGGTACCTGCACAATGTCTTAGAGGAAGGCAAAAAGAAGAAAGCCACGGACCTGGGCCGAACGCCTAGTAAAGCGACGAGACCACCGAAGCAGTCATCGCATATCCAACAGCCTTCGACTGGATCAATGGATGCCCACTATCAACTAGGTAGCTACAAGCCCCTCATGGAAAATGACAAGTTGGAAAGACCTACCTCGTCCAGAGGTCAAGACAATACTTTCGGAGCTCCTGCTAGGAAGCCATCAGTGCGTGAGCGCTCAAGTCATCCTTCTGTGCTGTCCAAGAAGCAACTGTTATCGGATGACGAGCCTCTTGTCAATATGGCGGGTGCCAGAAGAACTTCGTTCGATGCTGACGCTGCAGAGTTCGCTGGCGATGGTCTGCTAGGTAGGAGCTATTCGACCCGACAGAAGGTTGTTGCAGATAGAGAGGCTGCTGCCAAGAACCCTTGGGTCACAGGTCCTTCTTTGCTCAGTGGTGATCAAGCGGAAGGACTGAACCGCCAGGCATCCGTAAAGCGTACAGGGTCAACCCGTCGTACTAATGGCACTGGCACCGAACTCAAGCACCGTCCGTCAACTCGCGAACGTCTCATCGCAGCTGACGACGGACTAAAGCGATCTGGTTCAGGCCGCACGAAGGCTCCATCTAAGCCGCTGGTTGACCTCACCCCAGCTTATCAACCACCACCGCAACATTCCAAGAAAGGAAAAGGGTTTCACCCCGATCAAGTCGGTTCCGGTGGACTGATCGACAATGCTACAAGCCCTGAACAAGCATACAATATTCCGCCGGCTCACGATTGGCGTGGTGGTCGAGCTAATGGCTCCGCTGCGGCTAATGCAGGCGTCAGTCGACAGCGCTCGCTGGCACACAGACCTGGCTTAGAAACCACCGACGATGCATTCACTGGCACAGGCTTGCTAAACAGCACTCATGGTGGCTACACAGGTAAAGCTTCGGTGGGTAGAGGAGTTATGAGCGGTAACAGAAATGCGCGCGAGCCCATGCTCGATGTCTCCGAGGAAACGAACTACGTCCGAGGTAGTCTCCTTAACAAGGTGGCTCGAACTGAACGCGAGGAGGGCAGAGGTGGGCCTATCATCGACCGCAGCAAATGAAGCTGCATACTATCAGACCATCATTTCCTTTGTCATACTCCTCGATTGTGCCTTCCATTGCTTCAAAGATATCCCATAGCACGTTCTTTTTCAATGCATTCTTTGATCTGCTCATGCCATACGGCCTATCTCTTTTGAATCAGTTAGTGTTTGTGTGATATCAAGGACACTGTATGACTGACCTTGATGTCTAGAGGGCGGGAGAGAGTGACGTGTTACTGCGTCGTTGTCGGCGGAAGAGATAAGGGTAGAGATGCTACTACATAAAGTTAGTTATAGTCATCTTATAGGCAACATGTTTAGTACCTGGCGGCAAGCTTCACAACTGCAGTTATGCAGACCGTAAGGATGGATGCCCATTATGGACACGCAGTGTATGATGAACTGCCTAGCCGACGAGAAGTGGCCGCCACTAGGGTGGCCGAAGAATTCCTTTATGACATGCTTGCCGGGATGGCTCAAGTACATGTAGCCAACAGGCAGACCGATAACAAACTCCACCTCTCCGCCTGGGCGCATGCTCTAGCGCTATACCTTGCCAATATGGATAGAATCACTTACCTAGTGCCTGCACATAGGCGGGCTTCCTGTTGAACTCACGGCTTAGAAGGGCCAGAGTTGGGATCGTATCGATGTATGTATACACGAAATTGGGGTTATGGGGGTACGAGGCGGTCCAGATGCCGTCGTTAAGGACAGCATTGTGAAGATTCCACTTGATGGTAGCCATTCTTGATGTATTTGATCTATACCATTAAGCGAGAAATACTAAGCGCTAACGCAATTGGGAATGACTACCGCTGTTTTGAAAACCAAGCTGACGCATGGGGTCATAGGAATAGACCGCCGCACGAGTGAGCCCTTCAGTGACGGAGAAGTGAGAATTGAATGAATGCAAATTCACTTGGTACAGAAGTATGAAGACGTTCAGTCTCGCAGCTCTTCTGAGTATCGCTCTGTCATTTTCAACGCTGTAAAAATGCACAATCATTTTCAGATACGATACTGCCTCCCTTGAGAGCTCAACACTTTTCGCATCTTCTGAAGGACTGATCAAATCTCAAAAAGCACCTTGCCTTTCCACAGGCTGAGGGATGTCGGATCGCTTCGCTGGAGGCGCTTCCACAAATCAACTTCCAATGGGCCTGTATACGACGGTCGGCTCTTGCTCCCGAAAACGGGCTGCGGTGTCAAACGCCTCTGACTCGCGGCAGAATTTGTTCGAGTCACCGCCTCCACCTGTGTCTACTCTTAAGCATTTCCTAGCACCATGGAGTTGATTTTCAGTATTAAACACCGACTCTACCAGACAAATTGTGGCAATGGAGCTGGAGTTTGCAAAGACCCTTGGATGTGTTGTCCTCAGAGGCAGTCACATCATTGACATTGCTCAAAATTCACCCTCACCTTCTCCGCAAAAGCCAAATACTCCATACCATATCACAGTATTTACGAAAGCCGAACTGCAGGAACTGAACAAACTGGGAAACGATCCCAAGAGGAAGATTGAGCAACTGGTCTTAAGACCTCCATCTTTGGAACTGCCAATCGATCTGGGTATCGGAACTCATGGCTCCGTTGTCTTTAATGTCGTGTTTTGGCCACAGGGAAACGACATCAGAAGCCAATTCGACTTGCCTAGGAAACAGTTTCACATCACCTTGTCGCCGGACGATAACCACGATGTTGACAAAGGCGTCAATGCCATTACTTGTTGCAAGACTCTGACAACAGAGCAGGTAGACACCATCATTGCAGCTTGCGTCACCATGGCGAAAAGAGCGTCTGATCAGGATATTGCACTGGATATGGTGCGCTTTATAACAAAGATGCATATCTCTTGTCTCTCGGAACAGTCATTCGACGTGGCTTGGAGATTGCTCTCGAAGCTCTCGAGCAAAGCAGAGAGCTCGCTACTGTCATCTGACTACTTGGAACTACAACCCAACAGTATTGCCGCGTTACTACGTGCAGCACATTGCTGCGAACTTCCTCGAGAAGCCAAGAAAGCCATGTTCATGTTTGCTCAAGCGGCCCATCTAATGCCCGATGGCCGTGAGTCAACCAAATTACAGTGCATCGAGGCCGTAGTCAGATGCTCAGAGTATACCGAGTTCGGACCGTGTTTTCTCGACCACGAAACTGAAGCTTGGAAGCGTGATAGGACGCTCTTTTCTGCATATGGAGAAGCATTCAAAGATCTTAAAGTGCGCCATCTCATTCAGCAACATGTCAGCGTGAGCAGAAGTCTTGCGGATATCGAATCTCTGATGACAATACCATCTATCGCTTCGAATCAAGACATGTTCATGCCGCGAGATGGTGATCTTTACAGACTTCCAAGATTCTTCCGATGGTTAGCGCCAATGAGATTAGCTGTGATGAGTACACCCCGTCGCAGAGAAGATGTCGTGGCTTTATTAGCTCTCGGCATCACCCTGATTGTCACCTTGACAGAAGAAGAACCATTACCAGCCGAATGGTTTGCCAACAGGAATTGTCGCAATGTTTTTCTACCCGTTCGCAACTACCAAGCGCCAACAAACGAGCAAGTAGACACTTTCATCAGACACCTGGACGATCTTCCACCCGGCGAAGCTGCATTGGTCCATTGCGGTGGCGGCAAAGGTCGTGCTGGTACTTTCGCTGCTTGCTATCTGATGGCGAGAGGCTTTGGTGTCGCGAATCCGGATGATGAACAACCAGTCAGGATGTTCCCTGGAGATGCCATGAAACTCTTGCGTCATATACGTCCTGGTAGTATAGAGACTGCCGAGCAAGAAAACTTCATCAGAGATTACGCTCAGTATTTGGTCAGCGGTCGTGAGAAAATTGTAGCATTACCGACACCAAGTTCAGAAAGTCAAGATCCACTTCAACTGGACGGGAAGCTGCCCAAGTTGCCTTCTCTTATTGTATGCTGTGGCTTGCCAGGCTCGGGCAAAAGTACATTCGCAGCACAGCTCACAAAACTCGGATACACAACGATATCTCAAGATGAGCTAGGAAGCCGTACTGCCTGTCTTAATGCCTTGTCAAATGCCCTTGAGAGTGGTAGAAAGATACTGGTGGACAGATGCAATTCATACGTTGAAGACAGAGAACAGTGGCTTGCTCATGCTTTCCACCCAGATGACGCATTGTGTGTCTGGTTCGATGTTGATCCTGAAACTTGTGTCAGAAGGGCGGATGCTCGAATGAATCATCCGACCATTGCGCCAGGAAGAGCGAAGAGGATCGTGCATTCATTCGATAAAATCCTTGTCCCACCAAGCAAGAAAGAGAAGTTTGCTTGCATCGCAAGGGTACCATCCAAGACTGCCGTATCGGATCTGTTGTCGAGACTTGGTGTTGCTGCTAGCGACATCTCACAAAAAGATGTGGCTACCACTCAAGCCAGTACTGTCGAAATAGCACAGCCTACTCAGTTCACACTGGAGAAGCGATTCATCTACAAGTTCCCCCGAACAAGACATCTCTTCAACACCGGCTCCGCATCACGCGACGACCTTATCCTGACAGCCTCCGACGCTGAAGCATTTCTCAACACATCGGACCTATCAACAACAATCACAATCGAAGAAAAAGTAGACGGCGCAAATCTCGGCATCAGTCTCGACTCAAACGGCGAGTTCAAAGTGCAGAATCGTTCTCACTACGTCAACAGTAAATCACATGCTCAGTTTAAGAAGCTGGATAAATGGTTAGGCGATCACTATGAAGACTTGAGCACTGTGTTGAACCCGACAAAATCTAAGTCCGTTAGATGGATATTATATGGAGAGTGGTTGTTTGCTAAACATTCGATTCATTACAGCAATCTGCCTGACATGTTTCTCGCTTTTGACCTTTTCGACACAGAGACCAGTACATTCTTGAGCAGAGATGCATTGAGCAGACGACTTGAAGGCACAGGTATTCATCAAGTCAACAAGCTTGAGCTAGAGGATCTGAGCGAAGCCGCTTTGCTAGAATTGGTCCAAACACATCAATCAAGCTATTACGCTGGAGTCATTGAAGGTGTCTATCTTCGAAGACAGCGATATGGCAAAACAATCGACCGTGCAAAGATTGTTCGCTCGGACTTTATCGCAGGAGACGAACATTGGAACAGAAGAGGTATTGTAGCGAATGTTGTTGCATACGAATAATATAGTAACAAAAGCGTCTGCTTCGTATCTCTCGGATTATGGTCCTCTGGCAGATTGACACTGCTTTGTATTTTCCTCTGGTTCCTGCTCATGCGACGACCATTCCATGATAAACACATATGTCACGTCGAACGGCATCACGAATCACCCTCCCATCGTTGTCTTTCCTCGAGATACTCAAACAGTGGTAGGGGCTGCTGGGGGAGATGGCGGTGGCGGAGGTGCAAAAGCGCCACTCAAGGGACCATTGATAGCGCAAAGATAGCATGCGCAGTTGTCGAGCTTATTCTGAACGATACTAACGACATGAGGGCAGAACTGACGGTGCGAGCGAAAGCAACGACCGCTAGGATGTCCCCAGATGAAAAGGTCGTATCTGCGGATGCTGCTGCCGAGAGGGGCGTGGGGACGACCAAAGTAGGAGTAGCCACGAGGTAGCGAGCCAACAAAATTGCATAGGATGTCCTGGATTGATAATGTCAGTTGACGTTGGACGGGAGCATGTTACGGTGATAGAGCTTACCAAGTAGACCGGGTGAGGATGAGTTAACCATACGGCTTAGGATGTGGAGGTACATTGTATCTGGTTGTCTGATACCGGTCGAACGCTCAGGATGATTGCCTATACCATCGCTGGTGTACTGTGGGTCACTGAGATCGATGTCTTGGACTTGAACTTGATCGGCATCGGGATTGGCAGATACGTTGGCCATGCTGATGTAGTAGCTTATTTTTAGCCTGAATTACTTCTCTGACTTATGGCGGACGTTGCATCTTCTTATACTCATCTCGACGGCTCCTTCGCTAGTTCCGTAACTCTTCTGTTGTATTGCGGCAAGCACTTGCAGACAAAGACTCGAGGTGATAGCTCATGTTTAGTTTGTTTAGACTCAGAGTCAACATACAGCTTTGACGATAACGCAGCAAACTGGTAACGATAAAGGGCTAAGCTTGTGTGGCTAAAATGTTTGACAACTTGACAAGAAAGAATGCCCCCAACCACTAAAAGTTCCATTCTTTCTTCTGATCCATCATTCAGCGATCGACATTTTTGTGTCCTGTGCTTCAGAGCTCGTAGTTGTGCCTTGAATATCGGGAGCAGAAGCATCAACAACCGAATCACGAGGAAGAAGGGGAGGCAGAGTAAGAGACGCGACCCCCTGTCCACCACGAGCAAACGTACACAAACCACACTCGCAAATCCAAACAGTACCATAGATCAAACTGACCACATGCACAGAAAAGTCCCGAAACGAATCAAAAGGGCGACCACAAGGATGACCCCAAACTTCCACCATTGTATGACCTGATCTTCCAACACGACTGAACGCAGCATAGCCATGAGGGAGGTCACCGACAAAGTTGACATTCTGACCTGAATTTCCGTCAAATGTTGGACACGGAGCAAGGAGGTTGGGAGTACTCACTGAATAGTCTTATGCCATGACCGTGATGGTTGAAGACTTCGCTGAAGGTGTGAAGTGCGTGTTCTATGATTGTTGGGAACAAGTTCTGGGGGAAGGTACCGGTGCCGTCGCTTGTGTATACGCTGAGGTCGAGATCAAGGTCTGGTTTGGGAATGTCTGGGGGTTCTTTGTAGTTCGGCAAGACAGATGCTGGGTCGGCAGGTTGTTGAGATGGTTCATCGGCCATGTTGATGAGATTTGGAGAAGGTACAGCGAGGGTGAGTCAAGAATGAAATAGGAAGATGGAAGATTGAACAATCTAGTTCGATCAGCGTATGCACTTTCCTGAACTTATGATGTCCAGACGCAGTGTTCGAAGTGGCAGGCATGACCGCTGGGGAGCTACTTCCACCTGAACTCAAATTGATCCTTCCTTTGTACTGCTGATATCGTCGAAAGGCAGGACACTTTCCTGGCTTAAAGACGCTTTGACGGAGACTTTACAAACTTCCTTAACCATTATAAACGAAGTGGCACTTATAGCACACCTAGTCGGAAAGTAAAGGGCCCTATAAGTAGCGTCTTGTCCGCTGACGTCCACATTCCACGATTATGCATATTGTGGGCAACATCGGGCGGACCTTACGAACCAATTCTAGCGATACATATTGAGGCTAGCAGACAGGGCACGACTAGCTATGGCCTTTCTTCTACGAGAAGTTCTAGCCGCCTTTCTTAGTCTTTCTAAGTTGCACTATACACTAGGTCGTTATACAGACCGACGGCATTAGAATCGCGCGGGTCTTATAGGTTTGCGTGACATGGACTCTAGAAGGGCCCTTAATTAGATGACCATCTCTATCCCTGCAGGTGTAACAGATCCACTGCTTTAGACGGAGAGACTAGGTTCTGTTGCTAAGGGTGAGCTTCTTCGTGCAATATTCCACGGGGCATGTCGAGACTTTACAGGGTCTTTAAGCAGCAAAGGGAAATAAGAGTCGATGCAGGTTTGCAAAGCAGTGCGAAATGCTAGCTCTGCAGCAGTTCATATGAACAGCCATACAGTCAGTGACAATGGTTGAAAAAAATGTAGTGTTACTTGCGAAGATACTGACCTCTTGTTCTATGACTCCAAGCCTCGTCTCTCGAAGTACCAGGCAAGCACCGAACGGACACATCTCAAAGCAGAGTGACTTCCAGAGAACAACCCTTTGCCAGGGAAAGCAACAGACCCGGACCCTTCTTTCCGCGCCATCAACCACAATAGCATCTTCCGGAACACTCACCACTTCAATACAAAACTCTCTGCCTCTCTCCAAGATCTCTTTCCTCCCTAACCATCAACCATCAAGAACACGTCCAGAATGGCCGACCCAGATCCCCTCGATATCAACGCCAGAACCGACACAAACATACCTAGTCTTAGGGGCAACAATCCAGGTTTCCAAAACTTCGACCTCAGCGACACAGACTTCTTTACAAGTGATGGCGATGAGAGCAATTGGTCCCAGGAGCATCCTCGCCTCACAGATGCCGTGTTCCTTGAGCTTCTCAGTACCGCGTACAACAAGCGTGATGATCTTGTGGCACAGTGGAGTAAGTGCTGATCCGTTTCTGCTTTGCGTCAGCCAGGGTCCTTACTGAACAATGTTGTTGTTGTAGGTGGGCAACCCATCAAGTTCGAGGGTGAACCTCCCAAGGGTTACGCTCTGTTCAAGAAGAGCGATTTGAGTATCCACGGGCATCCTTCCGGCAATCAGTTCAGATCGGTCAAGTTGTTCATTGATCATCTGCACAGTATCATGACTGGCACCCTTGGTACATGTGGCTGTACGCTCTGTCCTCAACGACCCACTCCTTTAGCTGCAGCTGGCCCGAGCACTGCAGGCTCGAAGACAACTTAGAATGACGGCCGTCAGCTACACAACAAGGGGTCAACGTTGCAAAAGGGCTATGCGTTTCGACAAGGCGAGGATAGGGTGGACGGGCGGCAGGAGAGCAAATGGACTCTCAGGATGCTTTGATATGAACATCAGCACACTCTTTTGATTACAGATTGACTGTGAACGTCAGCAATTAAAATAAAAACTATACCACCTCATTAGGAATCATTTTGTGACTTTCGATGTGTTTGTCATGGCAGAGTCGCATAAATTTGATTAGGAGGCATTGGGAGTGAGAACGGTCTTTTCATTATTATTTTGTCATCATGATTGCGTGTCTGGTAGACGGACGGCAATGTCGCCGGATTGTGTAATGTAGCGGACCCACGGTAGGGAAGGGTATTGAAGCTGGAAGCATGTGTCAGCGTGTGATCCCTCACTTGTTCCATGGCTCGGAGTCTTACCTTTGGTTCGATGATCTTGAGATACCTAACGTTGATGCCTGATGTTGTAAAGTAAGGGATCTAGGAAATAAGTCAGTAGGCGCGAGATAGGTTATAAGTAGGGAGAAGCGTACCTCGAACTTGACGTTGATGGGTCGCTTGCTCTTTCCACGATCGCCGACACCGCCCATGCTACCACCGAAACCGCCCATCATACCACCGCCCTTCTCATCATCACCACGTACTGATGGCAGACCCAGCTCAGCACGCATCAAGAACTCCTTGCCACCACCAAACTGTTTGATCTTCCAGACAATAGCGCTTTGTTCGGGCGCGTAGTGTACAGAACCAATATTCGTTCGGAAGCGCGGTGAGTCTGCGTCTTCTGGTACAGGGATGATAATCTCGACGTTGTTGGCGGTAGAGCGACGCTTGAATTGAGCTTTCGCTTTGAGCATGTACTCGATGCGACTGTTTGAGTGGTTCTCGACGATACACTCGACCCAGATGAGAGGCTTGACTTGTGTATTGAGGCGGTAGCTCATGAGCTCGAATTCACCGTCGGGAGGGATGAAGCTGATTGTACGGTCGTTTTCGAATCGTGATAGACGGACACATTGATGGAACTTGACGTCCTCCATCTCGACGGCCTTGCCACGAGTTGCGCGACCAGTGGTTTCGAACATGGCCTTGTCGTTGAGACCCAGACGCAGCTCGGGCATACCGGATAGATAGCACTTCATCTTGACGGCACCAAGAATCTCGGAACGCAAGACGCTGCCTGATGACGATACGAGAAGGTTGAGAGATTCGACAACGTCGAGGAAGACTTCGTTCTTGCGGTAACGGATGCCTTCTGAACGCCATGACACGGCGTTGGTGACTGCGATGGGTGGTCGTGCCTGCACTTCCAGCTTATGTGACTCTTGGGTGATGTATTCTTGCAGAATCTTGCTTTCCGTCGTTTGTGGGTGACCAAAATCCATCATCTCATCCAGCAACTCGTAGATGACGACAAAGTTGTCACGAATACTCTCCTCTTCCAGCTCTTTGAAGTACTCGGTAAAGACCTCGACGATTTTGTGGAGAAATAGCAGGATCTCGGCGGCGTTGGAGTTGCGCTTGGTTAGGGCGAGGAGGTAGAGGTTGTTATGGCGGATGTAGAGGTAGTTGATGCCTTCGTCGCTGAAGCAGGGGGGGACGGCCGAGCTCTCTTCTTCGGCATCGGAAAGGAGGATGGGGAACTTGTCGACAGCGCTCATGGGGATGTCACCGCGGTAGTTGCGCGCCAAAAGGGTCTGGTCTCATATCAGCATGCGCCACGCAATGGGAGCTGGCCCATTGATGCATACCTTGCCCTTGAGGTCAAGGAAGAAGAGGGCCGAAGCCATGTTGTGATGAGAGTGCTGCGGGTCGTCGGTATATTGTTGTCGGGCTCCAAGTAAAAGAGATTGACCCGTCGGGAGGCAGCGACTCCCTCGTGCGTGAGATGGCTCCTTGATTAATTAGTGCTTGTTGCTATTGAGAGTCACGACGGCCTTGGCCAACAACTCAATGTTGCTTGTCCCCTTCCCCACACAATGGCCTGGGCGGCCCTAGCTCACTCCCAGCGGTAGAATGTCGGCATGTGCGGCAGCAATCGCCATAAAACTTCTCGCGCCCTTGCCAAATCCTGCTTTCCTTTCCTTCAACGCAGCCTTTTAGACAGTTCTTGCCGGCATCTGGTTCAGCCTTCACGTTATGTGCAAGTCTGTTCCGTAATTCAATTGCTGGTTTGCGATCAGGTCGATGCGAAGACGGACAAGTGGTTCTATAAGAACTGGCTACGCATAACTCTGTTGTGTAGGCGGTGTCAGAAGATCCCGACATCAATAGTGCAATTAAGTATCTCTTCAATTTACTTTCAACCTTCAAATTATCTTCTACTTCACATTTTGCGTCCTTGATCAAGATTTGCAACTTCTGTTTGCGTGTTGGCCTTCTGTGCTTGTGTCTGCTGAGCAATCTCTGCATAGATGGAGTCGAATCCCTCTCTCTTGTCCTCTGGTCAAGCAATCCTTCTGGGCGTGCCTGTTCCCTCTGTTGTGCCGTCTTCCTTGGGCATGTGCTGGCCAAACCATTCACTGATGAAGCTCATGCCACCAGAGATTGCGCTTTTAAAGTCTTCAAAGCTCATCTAGTCGATGGTGATGTAGTTGATTCTGGGTTGCTTCAAGTCGTGTGCAGCCCCATACATGTCCTCCGCAAGCTTGAACATCATCTTCTGTGCATGTATGCCAAACTGTCCGGCGACGTCCCTGGCCGCATCCTCCACAATCTGGGCAGCAAAGTACACAAGACCACTATCGGTACGCTCGCTCCAATTGAAGATCTTTTCCTCTTCGGCCTTGACCATCTCAAGTCCAATATTATCTTCAAGGGCGTATTCGAGGTCTTCCTCTTCCATTTCGAGGATCGCGCTGAAGGCGGTGAGGAGGTGGATGTTGAGAAAGTCTTGATTGGCGTGCCAGAGGCGGGTGTGGGCGAAGATGAAGGTGCCGATGAGGCGGCGCTCTTTGTCTGTCTCGTGCTTGCTTGAGGAAGGCATGTCGACTCGTTCTTGCCTGGACAACAGGTTGAGCGCTGGATCTAGATTGGTCAAATCGCGCACTTACTGCTGTCTGATGTTACGGATGAGATGCTGGACTGGCCGAGGACTCGAGACGCGAATATGGAGGTGTTGTTTCAAGCGGAAGGTGTGAGTGAAAGTGTGTTTTGAGACTCCTTGTGACTGATCAAGCCCGCGCTCAGTATCGAAAAAGCAGTGAGACCTTTCAGTCTTATCATTATCAGCAACATCACCACGACAGACCACAAGCGATCAATGGTCTATCTTACTACCGACATTTCCAAGAGCCAACCTCACCAGCTCAACATCATCGGCACTTAACACGAAGGCGGAAAACCACGCTATTGTCCGCTGGAGGATTTCACGGTCTGACAATCACCACAGCCAGTCTCACCCGCACGTCAAGACGCGCATCCGGTACCATCACGAACGCTTCAGCACTGCTCTCTCCCGCCTCGCATCGTCCGTGACTGTGCCGTCGTTCCCGCTACTACGACTCCTTGTAACGAAGCGCGAGAGCCTGCAGAACCACCCCCGATGCGAGCGTCCGCGCAAATTCAAGCCGGGTCATGATACGGACGACGCATCACTCTCCCGCTCTCGCGGCCCAACCAGCGCCCTCGTGCTGCCATTCAATGCGATCTTGTCCGAATTGCGGAACCTGAGCGATGGAGATTATCTGTCAGCGATCGTCGACCCGTTGTGTCACTAGAGCGTCCCGTTGGTCAAGCCATCTCTCATTCTCGTAGTGGTCCACCACTATCGCTGCCGTCCAAATGCACAGTCGTTTTCTATCTTGGAAAGTTGTTCATTGAGAGCACCTGCTATCCTGCTCTCCCCGACCATCGCTGAATGTTGCAAATTTATTTCTGTATTTCCACAGCCTTCTACTCGACGGACACTACCTTCGAAGCAACTACCATCATATTTCTCGGACTCTCCTTATAATCAAAGATGGGCAAAACATCCACCTCCTCCATCCCAGCCTCTCTCAAATAGAAAATCCTATCCAAAGCAATCACCGACTCCACAGCTCTACACAACAAAACCGACAACGTCCAAAGTATCGCTGTTTCTCCCATCCTGTGCTTATACCTTACTTCATACTCTGCAATCTCTTCTACTGTAATATCAGTCCCGACTTCCAGTTTTAGAGATCGGAGAGCACGAGTTGTGTAAGCGGTGAAACTCTTCATGTCGCCATTTCTGATGCCCCAGACTGGTCTTTGGCCTGCAGGTGCGAGGTTCTTGTCGTAGAGTAGTTTCTCGAGTACAGCGCGATACCAGTACTTTCTCGCAAAGATGGAGTCGGGGTTGTGGATCCAATTTGTGGGTGCTTGACAGCCTGTAATTAATGCTGAAGTGGAGAGTTGCAGGTTGTTGATGCGCATGAAGTTGGAGATTGGGAAGCCTGTTGAGTTCGTAGGTGATAGGGGAGAGATGTGGTTGTAGCAGCATCCTACTACTGCGAGGTTGGTGATGCAGGGGACGACGGTGGAGAGGCGGATCATGTGTTCAGACAACGAACCGCAGGCGTGAAGACCGGTGAGAAGACACTTTTCGCCTTTGGCCCAGCGCTCAATCTCGGAGGCCAATTCTTTTGTGCCGGTAACAAAGCGAGTGAGGTGAGTGATCTGGTCGCCTTCGATGAGACCTGCTTGTTCTGCTGCGGCTTTGGAGCCTTCGATTTGCTTTGCACTGCCATCGATGGCCAGGACTTTGAGATTGCAGGCCGCTGCCAAAGTCAAGGAGAGATAGCCTTGTCCACTGCCAACGTCAATGACGCGGGTGATTCTATTTGTCTTGCAAATGTGGTTAATGTAACGTGCTCCAGCACGGACTTCCGCCAACTTCTTCGTAATCATACGACTAGCCATTATTTCTGGTACTTCGACGTGAGGCACTTCCTCGGGCAGAATCAGCTGCTCGCGGTCGAGACTGAGATTCCGAATGCGCTCCAACCATGTCGATAAACTCTCTGGCCGGTCCGGAAGATCATGCTCTCTGGCTGCATGCTCTTTGCGAAGACTGTTGATGAGATCTTTTTGTGCATCCTGTGGGCTGGACAATGACTCCCACCATGTTGTCCATTCAGTGGGTAGCTTTTCCCAGGCATTGTGGATGAAAGCGTCGTTGACGTGTATACCACCAGTTATCTGTACAGAGAGTGGCTCGTGCGTGAAACTGATGAGATGTCGCGCATACTCGTCCACATCTGTGTATTCAGAAGGTAAACTGACCATGGCGAGGAACTTAGAGAGGAGGTAACAAAGACACAATGTCTTACACGTCAACCTTCAGTGATTCAGTCCTAACACCAGGAAGACAAGAGTTCGAATCTAGAGCGACTTTTCTTAGTCTTAGAGCTTCCGTAAGTGTTTGATGGTAGTCCGGCTGTCGATAATTTGTAACCTCTCAGGTTAGGCAGGCACAATTTGGGCTTCGATCAGGGGGGAGTCAAACAGCGAAAAGAAAATGTTTGTCACCTACCTCCAACAGTCAAGTCAATGGGGATCCTAAATGTCTTACCTCCGATAATGTATAGACCTACCTGAAAGCAAAGATCTGGTCACGAAGAGCGATGACGAAACTCTTTTGCCAATGATGCTGGTCTCGTTGGAGCTGACAAAGCGTTCGGATGCTGTTGAAACAGAATCTGATTGCTGAGTATCTAGACTCTTGTATACTGGTACAGAAGATGTAGAGAAGTCTTCGATCGCTAGACTCTTAGTTGTTCATAGCAGATTCCAGAAAACAGCATGGCGAGAACTTTTCCAGCGGAAGCAGCAAACGGCCAGCGGCCGGCTATAACTAATTACCAGCTGTAAGACAGCACGGTCCATCTCTCACATCAACCGGAATTTTTCACGAGGTCAATCACCAAGATGCCTGAACAGATCGACCTTAGCACACTCATCATCTCTGATGGCACTTACAATGGTCCTCCCATCAACGGCAAGCATATCGAACAAATTGGTGCAGTCGTTGCCAATTACCTGAGGTTGTTGTCCAAGAAATTCAACACTGATGCCCGCCTTGTCCGGGCCAATAATGGTAAGTCATGGTGAATAGCAAGACGTGAGTCATCCACATTTTCCAGCTGCGTATAAGATACCGTCTTGAATCGTTGGGAAACATGATTGTGTCACATGAGCAGCGACTCAACCAGCCATCGATGACACTGACCACGAGGTCATCTGCCCTCTCGTTGAGTCATCTCTTCGTCTGTTCACAGCCGGGACCACTTTTGCGCCCCAGAACAGGAAGCTGCCTGGACTACCCTCCCATCTCCATTGACAAGTTCTCCACGCAGCCCATCCGTAATGCCTACTGCCATCAATCTCCGTCAAGATTTGTTTGACAGAAGGATAGAGGCTCAAGATCCACCACTTCCAGTGACCTGGGAACATACGAAACCATTCATTACCATTCCTCTTGATACCCCAGCATGCAACAAACAATTGCAGGATGTCGAGAGTCAACATAATGATGGCGTCCGCATTTCTGTACCATGATCCGTAGCCGGTGAGATAGGCGTAGGGATTGAGATAGTCAAAGCGCCAATACATGTGGGAGAGATGTGAAGGATGACGAGCGATGAATGCAAGTGGCTGGCGAACAATGGTAACAAGCAGACCCAACGCCGCCAGACACACCCTAGCCTTGTGAACTTTCTCCGCAATGGCATCTTTGCCTTGGAACATGGGTTGCTGGAACAAGACTACTTTGCACACTGGACATGTGTTTTTGCCAGAGTCGAGCCATTCCCTGATATCTGCATTACAGAACACATGGCTACAAGCCAATGTTGTAGGTGCATTATCCGCGTTCAGCTCATCCCAGCAAGTTGGACAATGGTCTCCTTCCACAGACGCTGGATTCTCCAGTGGTTTTAGAGCAGCCAGATACGGCTTTTTGGTCGGGAGAAGTAGGATCTCTGCATTTGTCTGTGTGGTTGGAAAGAGGTGGTTCCAGAATATTGTGAGCGTGAAAATGACGGCGGCGTAGATTGGGTATCTGAAGAGCGGAGCGGCGAGACCAGTGGCAATCAGCAGAGTTTGGAAAATCTGTGGCATCCTTTAATTGTCTTGTGTGTCTTCAGGCGAGGATTATATTGTAAGAAGCACGGTTATGCACATACTCTGAACAGTTTTTATACCGAGATTGTGATGCCGAGAATGCAGCGGTGGATGTCGGGCATGCGCTGATGTCGGACATTGCTTAAGAAAGCATCTGGCTGCATACATCAATCAGAACATCGAAGACCAGACAGCTTGTGCTTGTCTACAATATCTAATCTTCTCTTGGTTATATATAGCATTTCCCGTCGTGCAAAAAGGTGCTATGTTATAGAGTTGCGGATCTCGGCCGATGTGACAGCAAACTTCTTTCCGCCAACCGTCAAGAACCTCGAATACCCTTTATTTTGCGTCATGTGCATCTCACCGTTAAACAGCACGTTTCTGGTCTTGATTCGTGGAGAACACGAGCGGTTAAACATCCACAACAACAACAACGAGAGACGACACTATTCATCATGTCAAAACTTATAATCGGTCTCTGCACCTTTCAGAACATAGACAGGCTTTTCATCGATTGCATTCGGACTTCAATCACAAATCCAGTTCCAGAAAAAAACATTCACTGGAAAGATGGTCTACATACTACCACCCGCAGCAAAACCTGACACACTAAAAGCATTCATCACTGCAAATCTCGACAGCGAGTCACTCCAACACTTCAAACAGACATTCGCAAAAGCAGCATATCTATCTTTTGCACCTTTGCTTCATCTGAAGATTATTCAAGCACCTGCCTCCATATCTCAGCGCCACACACACAGCTTCATCCGCTCCTTGGAAGATGTAGCAGGAAATACAGACCCATTTATCATAATCGACAAAAACTTTGCCAACAAGGGAGCAGTGTGGTATATTGACCAATTTGCTGATGAATCCGACGTCGAGTGCGGCTTCGCTGTATCGGAAAAAGTAGTCATGAAAGCTCTTGTGCTCGTCGAGTATCTGGCCATGGGACATGTGTGTTGGAGAGAAGGTAACCCGCCGATGGGTGAGGATTTGGAAGCTTTGGAGCAAGAAGGTCTTCTACCATTACGCGAAGAGTCGGTGCAGGAAGAGCCACTCGGACAAGATGCTGATGGAGATTTGCTGGAGGCGTTTCGAGAGCTGCAGGTTATTGCTGAGTCTGAAGAGTTTGAGACGACGACGGAGAAGAAGGTGCTCGAGAACATGGGGCTTGAGGATGGTGAAGAGACGATCAGGTTGAGGGCTGATGTCGCGAAGAGGGAAAATCTCACAAGTGTGTGGACACACGGCGAGAGCGTGGAGGAATATGAGATGGAAGACGGAGGTACGAAGAATTTCCCAAAAGGCAGTGTCTGTTTGCAAGTCAGATACGACCCTCAGGTCCCCAGACTCCAGTATGAATGGCCAGAAGGCTCTCTATAACCTACATCGAGGTAGAGAACAACTCCACAAGCAGTAAAACCCCCCCCCCCCCCCATTGGAATGTTACACCACCTAAATAAGACCTTCCTCTCTCAGCCTCTCCTCCTCTCTCCTTCTCTTCTCCTTTCCCTCATCAGTAATATGATCCCCTGCCTCCCCAATCTGTTTATGCGTAAACCACCCCTCCTCATCCCCCTTCCCCTCACCATCCTGCCCTTCCACCGTAAACTCTTCAAATCCCATATTCGCAATGTCCAAATTACACCACATGATATACGTATCATCCCACGGCAGCCTCACTTTTTCAAATCTGCCTTGCCAAGTCTCCGGGTCGTCGAGGTCGTGGTATTCGTATGGTAAATGGCCCAGTACAAAGGTTCTTGTCTTCACACCCTCGGTGTCTAGGACGAGGAAGAGGGGGCCACAGTGCGTTTCTTCTTCCTTTTTGGAGAGTTGCAGGCAATGTTTCTCGATTTCCTCCATGGAAGCGCCAGACCATTCGTTCTTGGCCAGACTGGTCAGAGAAGGTGAAGTGGTCTCATAGTCATCTGCATTGATAATCTCTTTATCCGTTATGAGGAGAAAAGAATCAAAGTCATTGTCCCATTCGTGCAGATCCAGTAGTGCTTGATTGACAGTCTTGTAATCTGCTTCGGCGGCAGTGACGAAGAGTAATCCAGGCATTTGTTTAGGGAAAAAGGGCCGGAGTAATGATCAACACTTAGGAAAGAGTTGCGTTGTTTTTTGGTCGGACGTCGGTTTTTTTTTTTTTGAACGAGTTCCTGCTCGTCTTATATTATGGCTTATGCCTGGAACGAGATAAAGATTGACTGTGTGGTTGCATTTAGGCAGATGGACCATCGCGTCTGCCTCATCGCGGATAAGGTTTGACGCGAACCAAACGGCGAACATGAACGGTGATTTCGTCAACCATACGAGCTCGTCGACATTGAAATTTCATGGCGACCATCAAACTTAACATCCGTCTTGCAATTAGATGCGAGAGAAAAACGTGGTGGTGGCCGAGCGACCTCGAGAGTTGGAAACTCACCGCGCGCAATGTCCTCGTGGCGTCAAAAAGACACCGGAGTGTTCAATTTTTCAAAGTGCTGGTGTTCTGGATGGTTTGACGAAATGCAAATCAAAGAGCGCGCGTATACGTGCCTCTGTTCATCGTGTCGATTAGAACCAACTTCATATATGTACTTCCTGTTTATGGACAGTAGCGCGCTCTAGGACCTCGGGTGCATACCCAACACGCCAAACGAGAACCAATAATCAGTCAAACAATGTATCGACTACCTATCCCACAAGATCCCGGCCATATATGCGACTCCGATATCTCTAACATGACCTTCACGTTCCTGGAAATGCGCCAAAGAACTCCTCTTTATCATGCTTAATCAATGCTTTCGGTCGTGAACCCTTTCATGCTTTACTCGCAGCACTCTTCTTCCCAAGCGCAACAGCCGGGAAGTACTCCTTGATGCCCTTGTCCAACGTCTTCAACCCCAGTGGCTTGACAAAGAACTCATCAGCGCCAGCTTCGAAGCTATTCTGCTTGTCTGCCGCGCTGTCCTGACCAGTAACAATAAATAGTGCCGCTCTTGGTAATGCCTTTTCATTTTCCATTTCTCGGATTTGTCGTGTCGCTTCAATGCCATCGCAGACAGGCATTTGAAGATCCATGAGAATGAGATTGATGGGATGTGTTTTGAGGGACTTTTCGAATACAGAGACTGCTTCTTTACCGTCCATGGCGGTGGAATATTGGATCTTGCGTTTTTCGCAGTACATACGCATGATGCGTAGGTTGACAACATTGTCGTCGACCAGCAGAGCCATTGGCTGTGCATCTGCTGAATCAAGGTCATCGTCCGTTCCAGAAGTACGATGAGCGTCTTCACGATTTGCAAGTCCTGTTGCCGTCTCGCCAGCTTCGGGGTCGGCGTGGAGTCGTGTGTAGACAGAGTTGAGCTCTTTGGCTATTTCCTCCAAGCGTGACGTCAAGAAAGGTCCTGAGAAGAAGCGGACCTCGTGTGCGCCATGCAGTTTTTCAGTACTCGCGCCAGCTGGAACAAGACACACTGCGACTTGTCGTGGATCAATTTTCGAAACGTGGCGCCGAAACTCATCCGCGTCGGGCGTGTAGGTCAGGATAATAAAACAATCGTCCGGGTTTGAAGAGTCCTCGAAACCATGATGGCCGAGGTATGATGCAAAGTGGTATACAAGTTCTGGACGTTGTGACAATGGCGGTACAACGTGAAATCTCCTTGGTATGTCTTTGAGTGCCGCATCGAAGGGCACCAGACGTGCCAAGGGACAAGCAAAACCAGGCTGGAGAAACTCAGCGCGAAACATCGATCCATGGTCACTCGTACCTTGTTCGGATGTTACCAGAGTCACTGTGCCGTTCATGGCCTTGGCAATCTTTGCAGACAATGTCAGACCGAGACCTGCTCCCCTAGTGTGCGTGTCGACCTTCTCGTACGCTTCGAATATGCGTGATTGGTCTTTGAGAGCGATGCCTCGTCCAGTATCCTTGATATCGATGATCAGCCTTGTGTAGTCGCTGGACTTTTTGATAACGACAATGACAGCTCCAGCATCAGTGTATGATAAAGCATTCTGGACGAGCGCCTGAAGACACTCTTTTAACAAAGATAGGTCCATGACAACCATGGTTCCATCCATTCCGAGTCTGTTTTCGAACATGATGCTGATTTCTGAAAGTTCATGCTCGGGTATTGATTGCTGCACTTCATAGATAATCTCGGCTTCAATCAGATTGAGGCTTAGTAATGAAGCAGGTTGTATGGATCCGCCCGTCTCCTCTGCCCAGCGATTCAGCTTCAGCATATTATTGACGGTGGACATGAGCTCTCGACCAGAGTCTCTGATGGCTCCGAGGACAGAAGAAGGATTTAGCCCAGAGATCCCAGCGGAAAGCATATCTCGGCTGGCCAATTCTTCGAACAGCAGCTCGCATGAGCCCAAAACGCCATGAATGGCTATCACGCTGTTAGTCAAGTGTGTGATAGGACGGGGAAGGTGGGACTTACGTGTTCGGAGCTGATGGGTTATACCACGTAAGAAGGCATCTTTGGCTGTAAGTGCCTCCTTGAGACGACTTTCTTGAACGCACTGTGCCATTAAGCTTGCACATTTCTCGACAAACCAGGAGTCGACATCGTCAAAGACTAACTGAACATTCTTGGAAGCAACGACGAGATATCGGGTAGTGGGTATCCTTTGACACGGGTGTGCGATTGCACGTATTGTGGACTCTGACGTGAGTTGAGCATGATTTTGAGTCACGATCAAATGTTCGACCAGCTTAGAATCTTCCCAGAGTCCTTCTCGAAGATCGCTCGAGTAGATTGGGGCATGATCAGGCAGGATAATGGCGTCATTGACAGAGGCTTCCTGAAAGTCAATGGAGGCATCGGGATAGACACGACCAAGAATAGTGAAGACGTGATTCTTGACGTCGTCAGGGGTCTTGTACTGTTGTGTTTCGGCGATAAGGTCGGCCATGATCTGTCGTTGTCGTCTGCGAGATTCTCTTGCGCGAGCTACAATCTCACCCGTCATCATATCAGCGAAGCGAATCAAGGCATTCTGCTGCGTGTCGGATAGTGGAGGCTGTTCTGAATTGGAGGCAATGCAAAGACTCCCGAGAGCGACTTGCTCTCCAGTATCGGCCTTGCAGCGAAGCGTGGCACCGGCATAGCTACGCAGACCACCTTGGGCCACATGCGGAGAGTGCTTGAAGCGCCAATCGCTAGCCATATTGGGCAGCATAAAGACAGTGCCGGGAGGTTGGTTGACGGTGTGCGAACAGGTACTTTCGCGACGAGGCAGTACAGCGAGAGGCAGACCGGCGGTCGCGACACGTGTGAACAAATCCTCACTGAGCAAGCCCATGATTGCAAAGTCCCAACCCATGAAGCTCTGAACCAGGTCGAGTTTCTGCTGTAGAGCCAACAAAAACTCCTCGTCTTCCATCATCTTGTTCGTGTGCGTGTAGTACCAGAGGAGAGTCAGACGTAGGCGTTCGTGCTCGGTCAACGAAGGCATCAGGTAGGCGTCTTGAAAGTCATCCGGCTGGCAGGGGGTAACAACGCTATCGCCATTGGCATAGTTGAGTGCGTGGACCTCGGAATCGAATTCGGCGATGGGTTGAGCAGCGAGGACCTTGTCGAAGACAGGACCAACACCGCGCGGTCGTAGAGGTAGAGCGCGGACATGTCCTAGATTTGAGGGACCTTCGGCCTTGGGAAAGTGCGCTTGACAGAATGAGTGTGAGGATGGGGAAGTCACTGAGGACGACCGCGGTGCCATGGTGCATTAATCGGCGTCTGACTGCATTGATCGCCGTACGAAGCTCGTGTCGTGTGGCCGTCTCGTCTTCCTCTCCGTACGCGCTGCGACTCTCGACGGTGCCCTGCAGTATGGAATTGACGATTTTCTATTCCATCTGCGATTGCTTGTGCCTTTCTCGCTGCTTGCCCAACCAGCCGGCGATCGAACGATCCAGCCCACCAGCCCACCAGCATCACCCCGAATCCCCGACCGACTCCGCGAATCCTGCAGCGCCTCATTTTCTCGCCAATCATCTTCGTGTCGCGACCATCCTCCGCAAACATGGTTATGTCACATTGCCATTGCAAAATACACCAGCATACTCTATGAACTAAACAAAGGTTGGAAGGTGCTCTGATGACCTGCAGCAGCACATGTATTACATTATTGAGCTATTTCCTCCTGGTTACCCTATCCTCCTCGCTACGACCCACACGCTATACAGCATGACTTTCCTCAACCATCTAAATCCTCACCAACAACTCGGACCTCGTCAGACTGCGACAATCTTTCAATCTCCGTTTCAATCCCCAATACCCAGTGATCTCGCTCAGTACGACTCCTCGCCTTGAAAACAATCGCTCGGCCTTTGGTGCCCAATTGCGACACTCTCTTCAGCTTGTTGCGAGCGCCTCCACTCTTTTGCTGTCCTTCGTTTTCGTCCTCTTCTCTTGCTCTGAACCATCCTTTGTGTTGTCCGGTCCACAGCACAAACGTAGTCATGGCATCATCGTCTGCACTTGCCCATCCGTCCTCGAGGTACATGCGAGGAAGCGCGTCGTTGCCTGGTCGATTGTTGTCGAACGTGCGATTATGGTACAACAGATCGTTTGCAGTAATGAGCCCTGAGTAGAGATAGCAATCTCGGAGATCGATCGAAGCGATACGTTCGTGATGAATGTGCGATACTTTCTTGCCCGTGGTACTTCTCACTGTGTCCTTGAAAACAAGAAGATGGCCATGACAGAGGATGACGTGACAGCGCGAGAATGTGCCATGCACACGAGGCTTGCGGAAGAGAATTCCTGACCTATGAATCGCTCGACAATTCGATATACCGCATACGTTGTAGAGTTCGGGCGATGCAAATGACTTTGTGACTTCCCACTTGTGTGCAAACATTCCCACGTACGCTTCTGCTTGCATGTCAAGATTCAGAGTGTCGAGGTTCTGTTGGCGAACGAATTTGAAAAGAGCCAGATCTTGAGAAGCTCGTCGTGCCCAGTATTTTGCCAGTGCTCGAAGTCGTTTTATCCACTCTTTCTTGGTAGCCTTGCTGAACGCTTGCAATCTTACGACCAAACCATTTCGCATGAGAAGTTCGAACGTTCGTTCGTCATCAAAGTCTTTTGTTGTTCCATCGTCGTGGTGACTGTCCTCGACCTCGGCGTCAAAGTCAACATGAGGTCCTTCATCCACAACTTCATCAGCCGGCGTTGCGCCTCTCACCACGTTCCGAACCTCAACAATGTCCGAAAGGTTGATGAAGCCATCACAATCCAGTAAAGATTGTGCATTCCGTTCCGCTTCATCATAGGCGTCACGATCATGTCTCTTTCTCTCTTCGGCATCTTTGACAGGGTCTGCCAACCACGATATCGTGTCACCAAGCATTGGAAAAGGGTTGACTGCATAGATCAGAGGAATCTTCTCTGCAATCTGTTTGGCGCTCGGTATGTTCGAATTCTCCGTCATTGGCATTCTTGGTGGTGGCGGAGGTTTTGCTTTGGCTGGTCGCAGGAAGAGAAGGTAGTTGTTTTGTGTGCTGAAGTATAGTCGCTTGTAGAACAGCTTTCCAAACTTTTGGTCATTTCCTTTCTGCGAGGTCAAGCGGATGAGGAAGCCTTCCACTGGTGCAGGCTCCTGCATGGTTTCACCATTGGCCATCTTGACAGTCATCGGATAGTGTTGCTTTGGTCGCAGCTCCAACTCGTGAGTTCGTTGCAAAGCCATGGTTCCGTACATCTTATGTTCGTTGATACCATGCACCCATTCCAGTCGATCGTAGCGCTTCCAGGCAAGGCCGATCTTCGACTTGTGTCCCCATGTCTTGAGAACGTCGTCCCATTCGCTATTTTGGGCTAGCAGTTCTAGACAACGGTGGATGATCTTCGAGGCTATGGCTCGCTCAGCTTCCATGGTTTTGGCAATAGCGGCTTCGTCGCCTTCTGCGGCTTGCTGTAGAGCTACAGATGATTCAAGCTCTTCAAACGGATTCTCAAGTCTGAGATTAACACACAGGTCCGGAATGTTGATCTGGAGAGTATGTGGCCGATGCAAACCGAGAACGCCTCTCAAGAAAGTGTACCACTCCACAGCGCTGGGGGTAGATTGAGGTCGAAGGAAACAGATGATCGTTCGAGGTCCTTTGGCTTGCCAGAGCACCAGAGTTTTGTCCAGACTACTGTAGAGATTCACCTTGAGCTTGGTTGGGTCCAGCAGAATTTGATGTTTGTATCGCTTTTTGGTCTTGTCTTGATTCGTGGCAGGAATGACTCTGGTTTTGTACATCTGCAGACACAAGACAGCATCGTCTTCGTGGCTCTCTCGACATACGACCATGAACTCCCTCCACTTTTCGGTGGTTCTTGTCTCGACTCGCTGGCTGTCTTTCTCATCGTAGTCTTCATTAGGTTGTTCCGAGCCGGTCGTGATGTCGAGACGAACGAGCATCTTTTCTACCTTGACAATCTCTCCATCTTTCAGCTTTCCTCGTGTAAACCTTCTAGTCAGCCGGGATTTCGTGCCTTGCGCCATCTTAGCTCGCACTTGCATCTCTTGTTTCAAGATGGGGTTGTCCGGGATGTTGAATCTAACAAGACCAGGAGACCGTTGTTCGGGATTCACATTGGATGTTGCCTCTTGCTGTTGCTCAGGAGTTTCTCCGGCACCTGTTGTGTCTTGTCCGCTCACAGTGTGGTCGAGTTGTGGACTATGCTGAGGCCCGAGGAGGAAAGTGTTGGAACTGGTAGGTCCTGGTGTGGCTGGATTGGTCGTCCCAAAAGAAGCACTACTTCGCAGGTCTGCTGCTCGAGGACTGTTCCTCGGCGTGCTGTCATTATCGCTAAGTGGGCCAGATTGAGTCGGAGAAGAAATGTCAGGTTCGTCTATTATGATGGAGCCACCATCCGAGGCCGTCACGAAGGAGGTTTCGGAAGTCTGACGTCTGCGAAGGTTGTTGGTTGGACGTGCATCTATGTAACCTGACTGGGCGTCGCCGGGCCTTGGTGTAGCAAGAGGGGTCGGTGTGGAGGGAGAGGTCACAGTATGAGCTGTCGTGTATGAGGACAGGGCTTCCTCTGCAGCTTCCGGAGTCTCCCTCAAAAGACCGGGGTCACTCTGTCCTGATCGCGGGATGTCGAGAGCGGCCGGCGCTTCGATGGTCACCTCGCCGTCCGAGTCGGCACCGTCGTCGATTTCCTCGAGTGTTTGAATGATCCGCAAGTCTTTGCTCTTGCTGCTCCTGCGAGGCCGTTGTTCTTCCTCCTCTTCATCATCATCATCATCATCATCGACAAGTCTTTCTCGCACGACTGCCCCACTGACATTATCCGGTTGGGGAAAGCTTGCGCGATAGAGGGCAGAGGTGCTTGGAGCGTCGAGACCAGTGGTGCGACGACGGCGATCGACGTTAGACGAGGCAGAAAAGGAAGGAGCTTTCGACGAATGGTGGATGCCCAGATAGTGCTTGTACCATTCTTTGCGATGGCTCCTGAGCCAGCCTTCGGGGATCGGACCAACGAAGCAGCGACGTGTGGTTAGGTACAAATGCTCAGGGGATGCATGTCGAAGGCGGTGAACGGTATAAGAGGAGTCCTCGCCGAGTGACTCGATGGCGGTATGGAGTGTCGCATCGGGGTTGTTGGCGGAGGCCATGTGATGGCCGGGACAGAAGGGGATTAAAAACAGGCGGTATCAACCAAGAGTAGAAAGAGGAGACGGAAGAATATACATTAGAGAGACACTATGGCGGCGTTATGGTCATTACGGAGCTAGGAGAGCTTGTTGTGCCAGCTTTGGCGTGTCGACGGTTGAGGAAAGAGCCAAAAGGCGCTTTTGCATGCCGCGGACGGGCCCTTCCCCACCACAGAGACATCATCGACGCGATCTAGGTCGATCCAAATCTGTGAGTGAAACGGATCTCTTCTATTATATCTCTCTATTTTCATATCTCCTGCCGCCAACGGAAAGTCGTTCATTATCTCGTAACTGCATAGGATAGCCCCTGATGGCCAGCCTTCGTCCTCTTCGCTGCACGCCTCGGCCCCTTTTACTGCTTGAAGATCAAAGTGTCAGGTCTTTCTCGACATTCTTCAGGCGTGGTCGACCTTGATCTTCTTTGCATCGGGCTGGTCGTGCTCGCCTGGCGCAGCGGTAGGAACGTTGGGTAGCTCGGGCATCTCCTGACCACTTTCCTCGGCCTCAGTCTGTCCCAGAGCCTCCGTCTTGTCCTCCATCTCAGTCTGCTGTCCTGCTCTAGGCTTGACTGTGTCTGTACCCTTCGCCTTGCTCTCGCTTGTCTGTTGTTCTTCGGTCTCCGTCTTGGTCTCCGTCTTGGTCTCATCACTCTTGCTCTGTGCTTCGCTCGTCTCGGCCGATGGGAAGTATTTGCTATATCATGAATTAGCATCTGACAAACAGCGCACTTAGAGGAGACTTACGGCAGCCACTCGTAGTAGGCGTCCTCGTCCTTCTCCATGAAGTTGCAGAAGATGATGTGATCAAGCTTGTCGGCCTTGTCGTCAGTGTCGAGCCACTTCTTGACCTCACCAATAGCAGTATGTGCCGCCTCACCGCTAGGGTATCCGTAGACACCAGTGCTCAGCGCGCTGAAGGCGATGCTCTTGCAACCGTTCTCGGCGGCGAGGTCGAGCGATCGGCGGTAACACGACTGCAGCAGACCGGTGTGCATACCCTTCTTCTTGGTGCTCCAGTAGACCGGTCCGACTGTATGGATGACCTTCTTACATGGCAGTTCGTAGCCATTAGTGATCTTTGCGTCACCAGTCTTGCAACCATCTAGCTTTTCGCATTCATAGTAGAGTCCATCGCCAGCTGCTCGGTGGATAGCGCCATCGACACCGCCGCCTCCCAATAAAGACTCGTTGGCTGCGTTGACAATAGCGTCGACCTCTAGCTTTGTAATGTCGGTGCGGATGACACAGATCTTGTCGTTGTAAGCGCTGCTGGCTCCCGACACTGTTGAAGATGCCGGCAAGAGACGCTTAAGCTTGTACAGACTGCTGAGAGTTGGGATGTCCTTGATTGTCTTGACCGGAGACATGCTGACTTGTGTATGTCTTGTGATATAGTCGCAAAGTTGCAAAGAAGACAAGTTGCTTCGAGCGTGTCGCGACCTTGTTGATCGCAAAGGTTGCTAGCGCTTTCACATGTCACTCGGATGGAAGCTTGGACCGCACTCTAAATTCCGACACTTTACGCCACAATATCCCGGTGGTGAGAGAGCAACCCTGTTCATCATTAATGACATTCACTTCTGATCAACTTGACAAGATTCGTGCTTCTTCTTTTCTCAGTTCTTGGATTGTCAATATATTCAATGTGTCACTCAATTCAGAACGTTTTTGGATCATCTTGCGGAACAGTTTGTCGGTGGAAGAGGTCCAGTCTCAGAATCAGACAACAATCACGGAGCAACATTTCCGGAGACACCAATGCAACTACCCCTAAGCTAGCGCTACACACCCTATGCACTATTTCGAATGATGCTTGTGTTTGGGTGAAAACACATTTGGAAATTCTCCCAATAATCATAATGAGGTCGTCTGTAACCGCCGGTTCTCGACTTCATCAGTAGGTAATCATCCACCTCACTCCCCACCATGACCTCCCCCCTCATGTTTCTTCGCCATTTTCCTCAAAAAGCCCATAAACCCCTGACGTTCAGCCTGTCCCTGACTTTGCTTCCTCGCAGCAGTCTGCCCCTCACCTTTCTGTGTCTTTACTCCGTCGTGATACTCATCCATCGTCTTGCAGCCAAAGAAGCCAGTCAAAGTCTGCCCTTCCTCGCTGGGCTGAATGTATTTCTTGGTCTCAGCCCATTCAGTCAGGGCGGCCATGTATGCTGCTTCACTGGGGAAGCCTTTGTAGCTGCCTGTTTGGGCGTAGGTTGGAAGGATGGTGGAGGCGGTTGTTTGCGTGCTTGGGGCTGGTGAGGGTGGGCGTGCGTAGTCTGGGATGGCGGTTGTTGTGGTTGTGGATGATTTTGAGTAGTATTCTCTTTCTGATATGCCTGGCTGGGCTTGTGATTGCGCATTGGGCTGGTGATTTGGGATTGTTGAGTCTGCAAGTGGGCCTAGGAGCTCCGATAGGGTTGAGGGTGTTGGGTCCTGTCGCGTGTACTCTGGCGGTGGTGCGGAAGGCTGTGATTGCTTCATTCTGGGCTCCATTTCTTCAAATGCTTGTGCTTTGCTCATTGTTGCGAGACTGTAAGGTGTTCAAAGGCTGTCTGTATGATAAGCGCTGCCAGATAACGGTCGTTTTGATATGGGGCAGGAGTGAGCAGGATTACGAAAGGATTCAGAATGTGAAGAAAGGTACTTCATGTGAAGCAGGCACTTAACTTGACCACTACATAATAGCATTGTCTATTCGGGACCGCTCTTCACTCACGGAATTGCTTGTGTCTGTCGAGACATAGGGTCTGTCCAATGTGGAAGCTGGAGGGCACCCATGTGTTGAAAGTCGTGCCGTCATCGGCATTGATCGGCAGCAACAAAACAAATGCACTCGGGCCAGCCCCAGCCGTCAGAGCCTCATGAGCCTCATTCTTCTTTGACCTCAAGACGCGACGACATAGGCATTGTATTAAGGCCCCCCGCCTATAGTAGACAAAATAATATCACGGAATGGACAGCACGAAGACTGTCTGGCAATCCATCTGCAGAATGCAGCCATTCTGACGGCCCCTCATGAAGGATTCTGTACCTTCCCGAAGCAGGTAGGCAGCAGCATTGCGATAGCACATACCAGGCAGGTTCGGTACCAACGGTACCTTTCGAGAAATCAAGTACTTATCTGGATCTTTCTCTGCGTCCTGAATCCTCAAAAGTTTCATCTCTTCTCAGCCTCCGAGTCAATCATGAATGCTTTGTGGCCTCTATTCGACAATGGCGAGCAGGCTGTGTCCAACGTAAAAGATGATAGCGAACTAGGAGAGAGCGATGGCTTACCAGTACCCAACCACACATCTTCCTACTGGCGGTCTGAACTGCATCCAATCGACTCTTACTGCTCATCCGAGCAACTGCCTTCAAAATGCGATATTGCGATCATTGGCGCTGGTATGACCGGTGTCAGCACTGCCTACCACCTTTCCCGTCTCCATAGCGCAGACGAATATGGACGAAAACCATCGATTGTCATCCTTGATGCTCGTGAAGTCTGTTCAGGAGCCACGGGACGCAACGGCGTATGTCGGATATTGAACGGCAATACTCAGCTAGAATTGACAAGTCTCAGGGGCACTCCAAGGTGCAAGCATTCACCATGCGAAAGGTGATCAGCAATGCTGGTGTAGATACTGCCAACGAACTTGCGGCGTTTGTGTCTGCGCAGAAGTACCACATGAAAGATGCCGTCGACCGGGAAGATCTGGATTGTGAATTCGAGATGCGACGCAGCTACGATGTGTATGTCAAAGAGGAAGAGGCAAGGGAAGCGGAACAGTTATATCGCACCGCAGTAAAGGAGGGTCATGCGTGGGTTAGGGACCTCGACTTTGTGGGACCCAGGTTTGCTGAGCAGGTATGTTGAATAGCTTGAGAGCACCTAGACATTTCCTGAGAGTGCCTCGACCATGCGACAACTGACTCTGGTGTAGGTCACATCGATTCAAGGTGCAAAGGCAGCTATCAGCATGCCCGCTTGTAGTCTCTGGCCCTATAAATTCGTGTCCCAGCTGCTCTCTCGTCTGGTCGACGCTGGAACAGTGAAGCTGTACACGCACATGCCTGTTACTTCCATTGATTCGTCCGACGCTTCATCCACTACGCTTCACACTCCCCATGGTAGTCTGGGAACGAAGAAACTTATCTTCGCCACTAATGCCTACACTCCAGCCATTTGCCCATCATACAAGGATCAAATCACGCCGTACAAAGGAACAGCCTGCCACATTGCGCCCGCGAAACCAATCTCGCCACATCTCAGTCATACCTACAATCTCTACCACGACCACCCATCACACCAGCCTGCAAGGGTCGACTACCTAAATCCACGACCAGATAGCGGCATAGTCGTCGGTGGCGCGAACTTCCTCTTCAACGCCGACAAAGCTTCCTGGTACAACAACACCGATGACAGTACACTTCTCCCCAACGTGCGTCCATACTTCTTGAACTACATGCAGTCCAACTTCAAAGGCTGGGAGAACAGCAAAGCCAAGATTACACACCTTTGGACAGGTATTCAAGGAGAAACAAAAGACGGCTTTCCATTTGTGGGCAAGGTTCCGGGCAAGGAGGACTGGTATATCGCTGCTGGGTTTAATGGTGGTGGGATGACTTTTATCTTTTCTTGCACTGAAGGGCTGGCGAAAATGGTAGAGGGCAAGACGTACAAGGAAACTGGACTGCCCAAGATGTTTGATGCGGAGAGGATGTAGAAGTGAGCTACGGATGTGCTGCATACTATAGACGAGGTGCGGAAGTGAGCTTTCCTTGAGCATATGCAAATGCTTCGAACGGTCTCAATCTGACTGATCCCTCATACGCTTCTGCGTTATCGTAATTCGAAATCAACAACTCCTTCAGAACAAATCCTGCCGGCAAAGTCCACTTGACCTCATGCTGTCGGAAATTACATACCACCAATACACTCTGTCCTTTGAATGTACGTTGGTATGCAAAAACATCATCGTGCTCGGTGTCGACCATTTGGAAGTCGCCGTACACAAAGACATCTACCATTTGCTTTCTAAGCGCAAAGATGCTTCTCCAATATTCGAAGGAGCTACCCTGCACGCCAACTTGTGAAGCAGCATTGCAGACATTGTAGGTATCATTGACACGGAACCAAGGCTCGCCTGTTGTGAACCCTGCATGTTTCTCCGCTGTCCACTGCATAGGCGTACGCGCATTGTCTCGTGACTTGATGTGGTATTGGCCCTTTGTGACTGACTGCAGGCTCTTATCGGAAGGACGAGTCTCACAAAGCTCATCCCAATGGTTTAGTGTTTCCAGATCTCTGAATTCATTCATCTCCCAGTGCTCAGGGATGTTGGACATGCCGAGCTCCTGTCCTTGGTAGAGAAAGACGGTACCACTCTGTAGTCCGAGGAATGTAGCGAACATCTTGGCCGCCAGTGTCCTGTATTCGGGACTGTCTGATGCCCATCGGGATACCGTCCTGGGTTGATCGTGATTCTCAAGGTAGAGGGCGTTCCAGCCGCCGTTTCCAAGCATAAAGCTTTGCCATTTGGCGACGATGCCCTTGAGGTCGGTCATCTGCCACTCCTTTGGGCTGAATTTACCGCCAGGTCCGTGGTCCATGTCGACCATGTCAAAGTTGAAGATCATGTTCAACTCCTTCCTGTCATAGCCTACGCATTTGAGGATCTCTTCTGGGTCGCTCACCCATGGCATCTCGCCGACGGAGAAAGCATTGTATTCGTCGAGTATACCACCCAGCTCTTGCAGATACTCATGGATTCGAGGTCCATTGGCGTAGTGCTCGCATCCGTGGTGGTATGGTAGACTGGGATCCGTGATCTTGGCATCTGGGAACGATTGGTCCTTGCTGATGAGATTGATTACATCAAGACGGAAGCCGTCAACGCCTTTGTCGAGCCACCATCGGACTGTCTCGTAGACGGCAGATCGCATTGCGTCGCACTCCCAGTTGAGATCTGGCTGAGTCTTGTCGAAAAGGTGCAAGTAGTATTGACTCGTAGCGTTGTCAAACTCCCAAGCACTACCGCCGAAGTAGGAGCTCCAATTGTTAGGTGGTTGACGGTTGCCTTGACCGTCGTACTTGGCGTCACGCCAGATGTACCAGTCGCGATATGTGTTGTCCTTGGATGGCCGAGATTGCTGGAACCATTCGTGTTGGTCGGAAGTGTGATTGACAACCAGATCCATCAAGAACTTGAGACCCCTCTTATGTAGTCCGGCAATCAGCCGATCAACATCCTCGAGAGTTCCATATCTTGCGTCGATGTCTTTGTAGTCAGCAATGTCATAGCCCATGTCAACTTGAGGGCTTTTGTAGATTGGACAACACCAGACAATATCCACTCCAAGGGCTTTGATGTAGTCCAGCTTCTCAATTATGCCACCGAGGTCGCCGAAACCATCTCCGTTTGAGTCTTTGAATGATGAAGGGTAGATCTGGTAGACACTGGCTTCCTTCCACCAAGCGCGCTGGACTTGTTCGGTGCCCGAAACGTGAGTAGAAAGCGCCATTTTCGAGATTTGGTGCAGTCACAGTGGAGTAAGGAGACGGAGAGAGGGACAAAATTGACACCGAAATCAAGGGGGACCTACATCTAAGTATCTGGGAAATGTCAACAAACCCGAGAAACTGCGACGACCCCGCCAGGTGCAAACATGTGGGCCCTGAGACATGGGGATCAGTTCAGAAGACAAGCTCATCGGCAGTGCTTCTCCAGATCAGTCACCCATCGCAAAGACTTTCGCGAACATTATCGCAACACATTGACGGCTGAGCGCCGTAGCACATCTAGGGATGTCAGTGCGCTCGGTCACGCAGACAAACGTTGTCAAAGGAGGAGCTCGCAACATTTCGCGTCGTCATTCTCGCATCAACTCTCGCAGTTCTGCTCGCGACATGTCGGAGTTCGCTGATGAAGATGTCACAATTTCAAGACTTGGGTCGTCTTCTGGCTCGCGTCAAACATCGTAACGATTCTCGCAGAGATTCTCGCAAAGTTTGTCAAGTTTGCCTCCAGCCACCGGGCCGAACATCAACTCCGTGGGGACTCCAGTTTTCTCCCTCATCCAGAACCGTCAATCACGGTACTGATCGGTGTGGCCGGTATTGCTTCCACGCCACTTGAGATGGTCTCTGTATACATGTGTTGGCTCCAACATGTATAAAGACATGGATCGCCATCCCCAGAATACCCCAGACTCAACCACCAGCAGATCAATCGTCTTTTACACAAAGACACTCGACCATTAATCAATTCTCATTCACCTGCTCGCCATCTCTCTCCTGAACAATGGGTGGTCCCTCTGGAGTCGCTGCAGCAGGAGGTAGCGAGATCTACAAGACTCTTCGCAACAATGTCAATCCCAAATGGAGGCAGGATCCTGGTCTTCGAAGACTCAACATTGGTGTCGCTACAATGTTCGCTTCTGCCGCCGCCAATGGTTATGATGGCTCTCTCATCAACGGGTTGCTCGCCATCCCTCGCTTCAATGCCAACCTTGGAGATCCTAGCTCGAACCTCCTGGGCTTAACCCTTGCCGGTATCAGTTTGGGTGGTGTTCCCTCCTTCATCCCAGCATCCTATGTCAGTGATTACATGGGTCGTCGCTTCACCGTCTTCATCGGTTCCTTCATCATGCTGGCTGCGGCTGTCATCCAGTGTGCGACATCAGGTGTCTACGCCTTCCTCGGCACTCGCATCATGCTCGGTGTTGGCCTCGGATTCTCACAGACCGCTGCTCCACCTCTTACCACCGAGATTGCTCACCCCAAGCACAGAGCTAACGTCACCAACCTCTTTCAAGCTACCTGGTACTGGGGATCTATTCTTTCTGCCAGCATTTCTCTCGGTACTCTTTTCTTGCAAAACAGCTGGAGTTGGCGTATTCCCTGTCTTCTTCAAGGCCTGTTCCCTGCCATTCAATGCCTCGGTCTCCTAATTGTCCCCGAATCGCCTCGCTGGTTGATCTCCAAAGGTCGCGATCAAGAAGCTTTGGACATCCTGGCTCGCTACCACGCGAACGGTGACAAGGACGATGAGCTTGTCCAGTACGAGTTTCAAGAGATTTGCCAGGCTATTGAGATGGAGAAACAAGCTGCAAAGTCTACAGGCTGGTCTACATTCCTCGCCACAAAGGGCAACCGCCACCGTCTCCTGATTTGTGTCTTGGTCGGCTTCATGATCCAATGGGCTGGCAATGGCATCGTGTCGTACTATCTCGCTCCTATTCTCAAGAGTGTCGGTATCACAAGCTCCATCACCCAAGCTGGTATCAACCTTGCTCTCCAATTCTATAACGCAGGCCTGTCATTTGCTGGAGCACTTGCTGCCGAACGCTATGGTCGTCGCCCTCTCTGGCTGCTCTCTGCCTCGGGAATGCTAGCTTCCTTCATCGTTGTGACTGCGCTTAGTGCCACGTTCGCTGAACATGGCATCAAGGCTGCCGGAGGTGCTACTGTCGCATTCCTCTTCATATTCTACGGTTTCTACGACATCGCCTTCACTCCGCTTTCGATCGCCTACCCTGTTGAGATTCTGCCTTTCAATCTTCGCTCCAAGGGTCTTTCTGCCAATCTGACAACCGTATTTGCTGCCGGCTTCTTCAACCAATACGTCAACCCTATTGCTCTGGAAGCTATTCAATGGAAGTTCTACTTTGTATACATCGCCACTCTTGCCGCTATGATCCCAACCATCTACTTTGTATTCCCAGAAACCAAGGGACGAACTTTGGAAGAGATCTCGCTCGTGTTCGATGGAGAGGTTGCGCAGACTTTTGCCTTTCGTCAAGCCTCTTTTGCTAATGAGAAGATCTCGGGCGATAAGGAAGTCACAACCAATGTCGAGTTCGTAAAGCAAGTCTAGGTCAGACCAGTTGGGATGAAATCGAAGGAGAGTGGGCGAAGAATCAAGTGTCTTGTGCGTGTTTCAAACAATCCTTTGTACATATGTATATACAAATAGTTGTCTTTTTGTCAATCAAGTATATTTCACAGCATTCATGAATGGTCACTCTGTCTACACGGTATCTGACGAAACACGCTTGTCTAGAAGGAAAATGGCCTTTGTTTATTTGCAGGAGCAGGTGATCGAAGGCTTGCACAATTTGCTGCATAAGCTTTCCGAGGCCTAGATCGGGTCGTTCAAGCGAGCGTTACTCACGCCATCATCGACCCCACTCGAGAAGACTTTCCCTTTGACGTCCTCCATTCTCATACTTAGACATCTCCACGAGACTACCTACCTATAATGCTTGCGAATGGATAGGAGGCGTGTGTGCGATGCATGCTCTGTCCGCCGGGTGAAGTGCGATGGCCAAGCACCATGCGCCGCCTGCCAGAAACAATCAATTGAGTGTACACGACTGAGACAGAGGGTCAAATCTGGCCCCAAGGGTGTGAGAAAGAAGACTCTTGATCGACTGAAAAACGTCAGAACACAGACCTCGGGAGAAGCAGGCTTGCCGCCGAGCTCTGTTCCCGAGCCCTACGATGATGAACTCGTGCCTACCAAGCTACAGGACACTACTCGTCTTGCCGATGATCACACGGCCAAATTCTCTTTGCCATCGGGATTGAATGTCGGATACGAAGAAGTACTAAACGTCAGTCAATATCATCTGGGTGATAGACCACAATCGTCGACGTGGCCGTTCAATATCAGCCTAGCTCTCCTGGAACCCTACTTGGACATCTATCACTACAAGCTCTTTCCAGTCTGGCCGGTCGTGAATAAGGAAGTTCTTATGATGAGATTGCAGACCGCAGAGCCTGATCCGACTGCGTATATGTTAGCGAGCGGTGTCTGTGCAGCTACAATGCTGCAGCTGCAGCTTTCGGTCTTTGGTGCTCTCGGAGATGCGCTGGAGCCTAGCGTCATGCTTGCAGAGATTGAAGATCTCAGAAGGATTTATGACTACCGTGAAAGTCCGACAATTGACCACTTGTCAACAAGCTTCTTCATGCACGTTGCCTACATACACCTTGACCGTCGGACAACAAGCACACTATTGCTCAGAGAAGCCATCACTCTTGCTTATATGCTTGATCTGCACAGACCTTCTCATTACGACGAGATCGCGGATGCGGACCGTCAGAACCATCTTCGCATGTTTTGGCTGCTCTTTATCACGGAGAGAGCACACGCCACACAATACGATATACCATGTATCATGACCATTGACCCTGGTATGCCAGAATTGGACACTGAGAGCCAGCCATACGTGCTATCAGCGTTTATCATGCTCTGCAGGATGTTCAGATCGTTCTCCGATGCCACCGCTAGGGACGGTCTGACGCCTGACAACTTGTTGTCCTTTAACAACCAGCTTCTGCAAATACCGACGCTGACTGAGCATCACAACGACCTTCAGAAAGCTGATCTCTCGGTAACGCAACAATGGCTTCGCCTAATGTTCTGGAAACTGGCAATCAACAAAGTCATCATGACCGTTAACACGAACGACGATATCCGAAGTGTTTTCTTCCCCATCTCTCTGGCTAAGGACTTGCTGTCAAACATTTCGAACATGTCCATCGATACACTTGAAGCTCATGGACCGGGAATGGAGCTCAAGCTTTTTGAAGTCACAAACTCGGTAGCCGACATGATAACCTTGAATCCTCATCAAGCCATCTCGACCTTCGAGCTCGGACCTCAGGATATCTTGGTGCATCTTGCGCATATCATCGGTAGATTTAGAGGTGGCAACAAAACTTTGCTGCCCTTGCTACAATCTCGCCTCTCTGGCATCGGGCTTGAGTCATCCATCTTGCCTCGCATCACGGACGTCACGTATGACTCTCCAGATACCAATCGCGAGAAGGGCTCGATTGAGAGCAATGAAGCATTGGCTGATCACAATCTGCATGACCATGCACAATCATTCTATGGCCCTGAGATTGCCTACGATGTAGCTTCTACGAGTTGGTAAGGTGGAAGACAACCCCACGATATCAGTTGACTCTAGAGTGATGCCGTTCGTTGTCAAAGAGTGCATACATACCCTTGCACACTCCGGAAGGTTAGAGCTATCGCGAGTGTAGTGCCCGAAAGAGGTTGCAATGGTCGTGCATGTACAGCTGTCATTGGATACATGCAAGAGGTGTCGGTCGACTATCGGACGACCATGCTATGCAGCAACGCGGCTGCTGCGCTTGTAGGGTCAGTAGCCCATTTACCGCAAGCTCGATAACAGCATAGATTTGTGAGATGCATTGAATACGCATGACGGCAATGAAAGGTGGAAGAGGGGTGCATGCCAAGACTTGTTGGCCAGGGCTCATAGACCAGTTCAGTTGATCCTTTCAACCCAGCTTTGCCTCTACTCTCATCATCATTTTTCATCATGGGCCTCACGAGGCTCTCACTCCGGACTTCGATATCTCCTCTTCGCATCAGAACCTCAATCAGTAGGCTCAGAATATGTCCGCACAGAAGGGCGTTGTCCCGCATGCTCTTGTGGCCCTTTCCGTGGTATCTTAAGCATGCTTCTTCGCCAGATATTGTTGATTCGGGTCCCGACGAAAAGTTGATCGCTCGGATTCAACCGGGAATTCGACAGCTCCACTGCATTCCCTTGTTCCGGAGTAGAGACACGTCGCTATCCTCCATCTATCGTATGGTCGAGGATCTGTGCGCGGGCCACTCACTCATGCTGGGGTACGAATGTGAGTACATGTGGTATCATGCCGAAGAGCGCTGGAACTTGAGCAAGGTCCCGGACCCGGAAGAGTCTGATCCTGTACTGTACGCCTTGCTTGCTAGCATGGTAGAGTCGCTTGTTCGGGCATTCAATTACAAGCTCGCTCTCGGCTTGCGACGTAATGGCGACAAGTACCTTGAGGACGATAGGCACATTGACTTTCCTCGGGAAACGGTGCCAGCTTGGGCAGAACATGTCAAACCTATTGACAAGACGCTTGACCTCCTGTCTGATGAGCAGCGGTCTATGAGTGGTGCTGCTGACACCAACTTCTCCAAGAGGAATATCCTAGCGAATACGGGAGACCTGTACAACGTCTGATGTTGAGAGTCATGACTCAAGAACGCGACTGTTTGGTTTACATGTTGCAAGATCAAGAAGGTGATCTGAATACTCACGCATTCGAGGGTGGAACTTATTCATCGACACTGCGCGTGCGCTATCGGTTGTATGTGTGTTGTCGCTCCAGTGCGAGAAGCGTCTTGGTTGCTCAGAAGCACAGTATACAGTGTTCACGAGGCAAGGGGCACCATACTTTCATCACCATTGACCAAATCGAGTATACAAAGGGTGGAGCTCCCCTGCGCCTTGCACGCCCTCAGGAATGCGACCGAGCCTCCAAACCACGACTGATTTCCTTCATAAGCACTTCTCCAGCACTTTCATATCTCGTTTCCGCACCACAGCACTACCGGTACAAGAGACAAAACCCAGCATCTCGATCCAAACCATTACGAGAATGGCAACAATGCCCCCCCCTCCAAACACCACCACCAGCAGCATATATCCCATCGAGACAATCTCTTGGACGTACAATCTCATCTTCTACCTAACCCCCCCGAAAGAATAATCGACTACCTCCAATCCTCACCCTCGACAACTTTTACACGCCATAAACAGCCCCTCCACATTCCCCGGTCTCTGTATCCTCCTCGTCTTCTTCACCGGCAGCTTCATGCTTTTCCCTCATCCTACTCTCCTTGATCTTATTCTTCAATTCAGAGCTCCAACCTTCTGAATCGCAAAAGAGGAGGAGAACAAAAAAAACACTTGCAACAAGTCCAACTCATCATCTCGGAAAAACTCTTTAATCTACAACGACAAAAAAGAGAAGAGGAAGAAAAAGGGTACACACCCATCTGTTTCGCATGGCAAGAAAAATCCAAGCAAATTGGCAGGATCTAGTAACAGAAGAAAAATGCCCCCCCCCC